TATGCACTAGTTATACTTTATATACTTTAGACTTATATATTACTATAACTTAGTATCTAATAGTCTATTAGAATTCTTCCTAGAAGCCTAACTCTTTTATTATATATTAATCTTCTGCCTAGCGCAGCTATATAAGGTTAAGCAGTATATTATTTAAGTCCTTATCTATATACCTAGCTATATATAGCGCATACTAATCCTTATCTACTACTTATAAAAGTATTAAATAGTCTACTTACCTAGGCTGCCTATACCTACTTACTAGGTAGGTAGATATAACTAATAGTTTATTAGAACTTGCTATTATTAGGTTTTACTTGCCTAGAGTCTTAAGCCTAATGCTTAGACTCCTAATTCTTTTAAAATTATAGATTCTTAAGTAACTATACCTACTATATTATTAGTTATAGCTATAAATATTATATAAGATATATAATCTTCTAAGTAGACTATATACTTTATTTATCTATTAGCTTAGTATTAGAAAGTATATTAGGCGTCTGCTAGGAATAGGTTTCTAAGTATAATTAGTATTAATAATAATTTTAAAATAAAGAAGTTTATTAAAATCTTAATATTTCTAATAGTTACTAGGGCCTACTAGATTATTCCTTTAAATTATTTAAATAACCTATTAGTAGCTTATAGCTAGGATAAGGCTATTTCTTATAGTATTAAAGTAATAATAAGTTCTGCTGCCTATACTATCTTTAGGCAAATTATATTAAGTTTAGCCCCTAAGTCTAGTAGGGCAGATATCTTTATATCTCTAATACTTATTAGGGCTCTAGGATAGTCTCTTTAAACATGCTTAAACTTATATTTCTAATTATATTCTTATTATTAGCTTATAGTTTATTCTCTATCTTCTAGCTCTATATATGCTACTTAGTACTATTATAGTAGTATTAGTGCAGCAATCTATAATCTATTAGGACCTAATTTATAAGTACCTACTTATATAATTATACTATTATATACTTCTATATATATACTCTAGATAGGAAAGTATTAGGTTGCTAACTTTAAATACTAGAGCTTTATTAGGCTTAGGTATTAGTAGTTCCTCTACCTTAGCTTATATATAATATAGCTTAGTTATTCTCTTATATAGTTCTAGCGCTAATACTAATAGGTCTTATAGTAAGACTTCTACTATTATCTATAGTACTTATTTTATAAGCACGTTAGGGTTGCTTATAAGGTAGTTAAGTAGCCTAACTTTCTATACTATATTTAGCATCTATTACTCTATAGGAAAGCTATTAACTTCTGTCTTATTATTAGTAGGCTTTATACTAACCTATTTATTATCCTTCTATCTTCTATTTTAAACTATAGGTATATATTCTAATACTACCTTAGTAATAGCTGCGTTTTTATACCTTATTTTAATTATATTAACTTATATTCTTAGACTAGTTTCTATTATTATAAATTCTATATTTCTTTAGTAGTTATCTTCTTCTAGAAGACCTACTACTTATACACTATTATTATCTATTATAATTATATTACTTATAATCCTAATAACTCCTTAGTTCTTATTTTCTTATTTATATAGGTTTACTATTATAAGTAGATTAACTACCTAGTGCCTACTTGCCTAAAGCTAGCTCTTAATGCCCTTAATAATTAATAATATAATTACTATTCTACTTATACTCTGCACTTCTTCTTTTAGGTTTTCTTATATTCTCTATGCTAGATAGTTTCTTAGGTTAAGGTATATTTACTTATTTTAAATTAGCTTTATATAATCTTTATAATTAGTAGCTATATATCCCTACTTTCTATATACCTAATAGTCTATTAGGGCCCTAGGCGCTGCTAAATTATAGGTTAGTTAGTATAGTGCTAGTTAGAAATTATTTATTAGTAGTAGAGTAGGCTAAAAATTAGTTATTAGTAGGGCATAGCTAGCTATTACTAGTTAAGTCCTAATAACACCTTAGTGCGCATTTACTTAGTTTACTACTATTATAACTTCCTTTTATACCTCTAAATTAGCTAGTAGCTCTACTTCTTATAGAGCCTATATAATAAGTAATAGGTTTATTCTATTAAGCTTAATATATAAGAATTTCTTAATTAGATTATCTACCTCTCCTTAAGTAGGCTTATACCTTAGTAGTATCTATACTCTATGCTCTCCCTAGAGTTACTTAAGCACCTTATTTAGGTCTATTTATGCTAGTTAAAATAGTAGTAGTTCTATAGTTCCTAATAAGTTATTAGCTAATAGTCTATTAGAGTTTAGTCTTGCCTATTTCTTAAAAGCTAGATTAAATATTTTAATCTTAGCTTCCTTAGAGGCAACCTTACTAAGAAAAGGCTTAATCTTAGTATAGTAGAACTCTTCTAGCTTTATTATAGTTAACTTAAATTTATTTAGTACTTTATTAAGCTACTACTTATTAAGTCTCTTAGCAAGGTAGAATCCTTTATATGCCTCTAAGACTATGCCTGCTTTAAGGCATTAATTAAATTAAGGCCTAAAGCTATTAAGGTAGCTTTGCAGGGGCATATTTATTATTACTAAGCATATTATATACTAGGCACGTAGTAACTCCTTAGTCTCTTCTTATTAGGCTTAATTAAGATTATAAAATTACTTCTTTATTACTTTCTTTATACCTAACTAGTTATTAGCGTTCTAAGTAACTATAAAGTTAGTTATGCTTATTTTAATAATATCTCGCTAAGTATAGTTATAGTAGCTAAGAAGTTGCAAGATTTAGTCTCTAATAGTCTATTAATAGAAGCTAGACTGCTACTTAAGTTTCTTAAGAAATAAGGTAATATTATCCCTATTAAATATAAGGGGGATATTAGTAAAGGGTGCTTTCTTATTTATATAAGTGCACTAGGTATTAGCTTATACTATATAGCTTACTCCTCTTATAATATCTATAAGGAAGGCTTAGAGGTTATTACTAATTACTAATAGCTTATTAGTTATAGGTTGCTAGATAAAGGGGTCTAGGGCTATCTAGCCTGCTATATTTTTAGCACCTAGAGGCATAGCTATAATGCTGCCTTCTATTAAGCTTGCAGGACTAAAATCTTAGTTATTAGACATAGCTTAGAGCTTATCTTTAATAACTAATAGAATAAGTAAGATTAGAGCATATATTATAATTATAATAATTAATAACATGTCCTAGAACTACTAAAGATATACTATTTAATCTTATTCCTTTTAAAAGATAGTCCTAATAGATAATTAGATATACTATAAGGCTATAGTTGCGCAAATTAGATTCCTTCCTATTATTGCTACTAAGGGATTATTAGGCCTATTACTAGCTTATTAAGATCTCCCTTGCTAGAGAGTAATCTTATACCTGCATACTTGCTATATTCTTAAGCTAGAATAGATACCTCCCTTTTGCGCTAACTAGTTCTTTATACTATATTATAACTGTCTTTTAGTTATATCTAGATAAGAGGGAAGAAAAGAAGAAAGTAAACTTATATATAGAAGTAAAAGTCTATAGTATAGCTTAATAGGTTATTAGGCTTAGCATAGTAGCAGCTTAGACTTCTAATCTAAAGAGATGCTAGTTTAAGATGCGCTAGAGATGCTAATTTATAGTAGTAGGAATATGCATAGTTAAAGTATAGTATATTATCTAACTCTCCTAATAGTCTATTAGGACTAGTCTTTTAAGCTATAAGTCTTTATTATGTGCATATACCTTATATCTAGTCCTAATAGAGCCTTAAGTTGCACTAAGTAGTTAATACTCTACTATAATACCCTTAATAACTATTACCTACTTCTAGTTACCTAGCTAGACCTACTTTGCTTATTCTAGCTTCTCTATATCTATAATAATAACTCTAGTAGATATCTAGCCTATTATAAAGCCTATCTTATTAAAGTTATATATATTATTATTTAGGATACTATACTTAGCTTTAATATTAGCTACTAGGCTAAACTAGCCCTAGATTACTATAGGATTCTTATAGAGGGCTTGCTTATAGTTATACTTGCAATTAAAGACTATTTTAAGCTCCTCCTAATATAAAATAAACCTACTAGCCTACCTTAGGCTAATAGGGGCTAAACTATACTCTTTTTATAGAGAATTAGCTATATTAGCTATAATTATAAGCTAAGAGGACTCTCCTTATATAACTAGCTTAAGTATATATATAATAATTACCTACTTCTTAGTACTAGTTAGATTATATAAGTTAGCTATAGTATTAATATATAAAGGTTATTCTATGCATTAATAGTCTTGTATAGTTTAAGAAACTTTATAGATAGCTGTAGCATATTATACTAGGAGTTTATATCTTATTTAAAAGCTTAAAGTATAAGCTAGATCTAATACTTTTTTAACACGTTAAAATAGAGTTAGTAGGGGGGCATTTAGATAGTAATAGTGTTTTAGTATAGTCTTAGCAAAAGTAGCCTACTTAGTATACTAGCCTACTTGCTATATACCTATATTATAATACTTTAGGTTATTAAATTTATATAGTTTACTCCTAGTATTAAACTTTTAGTAGTTACTTTTTATATATAATATATTTTTATTTTTTATACTTTATTACTAAAATTATAGTTTAGGCCTATAGTATATAAAGTAGGTAGTGCTTACATTGTCTCTATTGCTAGCTATGCTACGTTTGTCTCTATTGCGTGCGGTGCTTACATTGTCTCTGCTGCTGGCGGCGGCTTAAGGCTCGCGTCGCAGCTGTCCAGCCAGGGCTCGCGTCGCAGCTATCCAGCCAGAGCAGGATTTCCTTGTCTTGTGCGACAGCCGTTAGGGATAGGGCTTCGGTCGTGGCGAGCGTGTGTGATATTAGATTCGAGGTTGGTGTATGTGAGGCGCCCAGCACGTTGGCGAGCTGGATACAGCGGCACTTGGTGCTGGGCAGGGTTATATGCGAGTGGTAGGCACCAGAAAGGCGCCGATTCATCTTCGGGTGCATATGGACGGGTGGAGATAAGAGCTGCTGGTGATAGTGGTGGTGTTGTTGCGCCGTGTTGTAGAGCCGGCCCCGCAATTGGGTTCCACAAACCTTGCACCCTCATCTTCAAGTGCAGCTAACAAACGTTGCTTGTACGTACTGCGCTATAAAGACTACCAATTACAAGATAACAAGTCGCCACTGTCTACCTTCCATAGCCGCAGAATCGCGGATGAGGCTCTACAACCCAGTCGAAAACACTACCTGCCATCCGCTCAGCGCCTGAAGTTCGCCATCTCAGCTCTCGTGGGCACGTCTTTCACTGAACATATAAGTCTGGCAGTTGCTGGATCAATGCGCCTTCGGCCACTTGGAAACCTACACATTGGTCAAAGGCCGCACGAGACACACAGTCACAGTACTATGCTTACTCGTCTTCTGCCTTCTCTCTCGCCTTGCTCTTCTTCTCGCCGTTCCAGATTCGCAGCTTCTCTAGCAGCATTGTTCCGTAGTAGAAGGTCTGGCTGTCTCCGCCAGCCATGTTGCCACTCTTCTTGAGGAAGGTAGTGAGTGCACGCACAGAGGGCCCTTCGCTGCGTGTGCCGGCCGACGAAGGAATGATGAGCGGATGTTCCTGGGCAATTTCGCACAGTGCGTTGGAGAGGTTGGTCTTGTTGAATACCTTGTTTGTGCCAGGGATCTGGACTTTGCTGCCAACTAGCGTGTTCAGCTTGCGCCGAACCGTCGCGGCCTGAGCATGTTAGTCGTGTGCGGTACTGCGCGAACGAGACGTGCATTCTCATAACAGGGGACCTCGATGTCGCCAAAAAAGCCAATCGCCTCTTCAAGCTCAATGTCGAGGTAGCTGTCTGGCAGGTCTGGATGCGCACTGGCAGCGGTGACCTTCATTAGAGCAGCGTCCTTTTTCGCAGCAGGTTCAGATTTTGCAGCAGGGTTGCTTTTCAAGGCGGGCTTATCTTCCGCAGTGAGCGGAGGTGTGGCAGCTGGCGACGCGCTGTCCTGAGGCGATGCATTCTCCTTGTTGGCGGTGTTCTTTGGAGGCTTGCTAGCAGGGTACGGTGTTGCGCGCGCAACACTTGCGCCCACCTTACCTTTCTTAAGACGAGCCATGTTGACAGGTAGATTGTGTCACTGAAGTGCGGCCATTCAGATGAAGGGAAAGAGCTGCTATTCTTGATGATGTGGTCTAGCGTACTTCGTGACGCGTTGTCGTGTTCTCCGACTCTCCGCACCTGCCCTGTCGACTCAACGGTCGCGGGCAATGCTCCGGTGAAATTTGAAACGCAGTCCGTTTTAGACTCGCTTTCTACAATTCAGCTGCATGCAATACTTAAAAGGCGTTAAATTCGCTAGCAGCCTGAACGACGAGGTCTGGATAAGTTCAGCAATCGAAAGTTGAGCATTATCGCAGTGTTTCTTGGTGTCGGGATCTTCTCCAATGGCTCCATGCGGTGCATAGGCGGTACAAGTCGGATTGTAGCGCTCGATAGACCTCTGCGTCTTCGTCTTGGATTGTCAGTACGATCCCTGCGAAGAACAACGCGTGTGGGTTGCGTAGCTGCCGCAGCATCATTTAAACCCCATCTGGCCCTCACTCGCTGACATTGCAATAACCTGCGAAGCAGCTGCGAAGCAGGAAGTTCCAGCATCATTTCCCTTCTGCTATATCATAGACACTTGTTATGCAATCCATGAAGGAGCGTCGAGCTTACGAGACCGATGCCTCACTAGATAACGACGCCTTACTAAGTATAGATCGAGTCATCAACCTATGATGTTTTGCCATATTGGACCTCTAATACAGCGATCATAGGATTGACAGATCAAACCGCCATGGCTTTAAGACAGATTAGCAATGCTCTTAACACAAACATCGCTGGTCGATTGTGGGATAATTTGGCCAAGTCCTCGGGCGTGTCGCCATTGTAAATCATAATGGTTCAAATGTCTTCGACAATTCTGTATGCTACCCTGACCGGGTTAGAAACAAGGACACACATGAAGAGTACTAAGAGATCCAGATTCGTAGTGTAGAGCATGGCCATTCTTCAAGTGCAGGCCCAAATGAGTGGACTACTCGACAACCGCGATGTGATTCACCACAATATAGAAAAGAGCATCAAAACTGTATTGATGGATCTGCAAGCTTGTACCCACGGCTACCGAGTAACCTTTAACGCGGACCTCCGATCACCTTACCGATGATCAATCGTAGCACACATAAGTATAGTGAAAACCAAAAGTATGCCCACAGTGACGCCCGCCAGGAACCGACCCTACAGATCCTGGCTTAGCAGATGGATGCAGTTATATAGCTTGGCAGCGTTCGGAGGCGCTCTCGATGTTCCTGGTTATACTATCAGATAGTCGTCGAAGGAAGTTGAAGGGCCAACCTCGCACGCCGGGAGAAGGCACATTGGCACTAAGAGGAATGGCAACTTGTACCTCCATGTTATCTACTATTTCAATGTCTGTGTGGTGACTGACCAGCCTTATTGAGAGGACGCGATGGGTTTGTTTCTGTGGGGCTTTCACTGGATGATGAGTGTGGTTTTTCGAGTTTCTGTCAACGTGAAAACAGTAGCCGGCTGGAGAATGCGTTTGGGGTGTGCGGTCCCAAGTCGATCAAATCGATCAAGGTCTGTTCCAAGCATATGAACCACTTCTTCCTTGGAATAGATGTATGTAAGGATAGCGATGGAAGATATACAGCTAACCATGTGCCAATTCGCAATTTGGATACTGTTTAGTCGCTGGACACAGGCTTGGCCCTAAAGCCTAAGAGAAATAGGTAAGTATTACATTATAGGTAAAGGTATAATAGTATAGTATACTTATAATTAAGTCTATATTATCTACTTAATATCTCTATTATGCCTACTCTACTTATTAAAGTTGTGTCCTGCTATTATATATTGCGTAATACATTTTCTAGAGCGTGTTTAACGCTTGTATTAGGCCCTAGTGCATCTAGCAAGAAGCTGTCTGTAGCTAGTGCAGTCTTACAGCCTATCTGTCTATTTAGACTTACACTTCGGCTTTACACTTCGGCTTTACTGTACTTTCAAACTCGTCATTCTCTTTTTTGAAGTTGCTCCCAATCTTTGCAACATCTGTGTCCTTCAGAGCTCTCTTCTTGCCCGCGATAGATGCAACTTCATCCCTATTCCTTCCTGCGCCACCCGTTAACAGTCCCAGGATCTCCATCGGTGCCGATGTAGGATCCTGCACAATCGACGCAATGGAGAGCGCGACGTTGCCGGCATCCGCCACAGCTACGACACCAGTCATGATTACGTCAACGACTTCGACTTCAGGGGCGATTTCATCGAGGAAAGGGATGAAAGCAAAAACGGCACCGAGAATCTCGAAGATCAGCTTAATCTTCTCTTCCTTCTTCTCTTTCTGGCCCATCGATTTTGCAACCGACATAGACTGAACAGCTTGGTCAATCACGAAAACGGGCATGGAAAATGCCTCCACAAGGTCTAGCGAGGAGCCATTCCATATGCCATAGTTCAGGTCCATTTGTTGTGCCAGAATTGTGTTTGTGAGCGACGCGATAGCAGGTAGAGCCTTAGCAATCGTGTCCTTGGGGTTTGGAACGTCTATACCATCCGCTGCCTTAGGCTCGTTGACCCATTTGTGATCAAAAACTACGCAATCTTCTGCATTGAAACGATTGCATGACGAGCCAGAGTTACGTAACTGACGATCGCCAAATGTCACCCAAGACTTTTGAACGCCATATGTTGACTGCAGGCCATTATAGAAGCCATTTTCGTCTTTGAGCGTGTAGGTAATCGTGTATACATCGTTACCCATCAGGTCAGCCCATGAGATGGGACAAGGCTGTGTCGTCGTAGGCCCGTCGCGGGATAAGGTGCAGTCAAAAAATTGGTTCCCAGGCCCACCGCTGGGATTATCGGAGGAGGCGCCTTTCATGTACTCTTGGATCATCTGCGGGATCAGGTCCTTCATGTACTTCTGGTAATAGCCGAAGACTTTGTCGTAACCGTTATCGACATTGTTGTAGTTTATCATGGCATTGCGTAGGACAGTTCCAAGCGTATCTATGGCATAGTAGTTCATGCACTGATTGGGAAAGTTTCCAGAGTCCGCGTTCAGATCGGCCATGGTGGCGTAATGCTTCGTAAGATCACACGAGCTTTTCGTTGCACAAGGCGCACTCGTATCGTCATCAGTACAGCTGAGAACTACAGGGCTGGAGCTGTCGAGGTATCCTGCCAAGGCGCTCCAGAACGGATGACCAGATGCTTGCGTGTACGGCTTGGCTAAGATGTCCACATTGGGGCCGCTAATCATTTCGACTGAGCCGATAGTGATTAAATTCCAGAGATAGAACCCGCCATTGTTTCCATCGTCATAGACGAGACGCTGTTGACAGTTCTGCGTGTCGACGCAGGCTTGTCCATAGTTCTCGAACCACGAGTACAAGCCTGCTCCCGCAATAGTGACGTTAGAGGAGCTTTGCATGAGCACAGCCCAGGAAAAGTCGCACATGAGTGATGTGCCGTTACAACTGGTATCTCCAAAGACAGGATCGCCACTGAAAGTTCCCACGGTGGACTTGTAAGGTCCTGGTGATGTAGTACCGGTTGTATACTGATAGTAGGGCGATTCAGTCTGGATCATGCCGGCGAAAGTGTTCGACGCATTGGCGAAATTGTACTGGTACATGATGGAATGCTCGGAAGCGGTTCCATAAAGCCAGTTGGGTCCTTCGGATTCAATCAATATACCTCGAGCACCACCGACGGTAATCTGGGTATTTTGGGGATCATCAATGTCGTGATCCGCGACCCAAGCCCAGACATTCTCAAAGTACCCGTTGGCACCAGTAGTGACGTGCATCATCATGTTAACAGCGATACAGCCGGTTTGAATCGAGGGTGTTGAAGCTGGGCACTGCGCGACTTGGAGCTTGGTGCCGTACGCACCACCAACACGGAAGTGAGTATCCCACATGCCCACGGACCCTTGAGAACTGGCCTGCACGTTCCACTCCACCATTATGAGACCTGGAAGGGCACCAATTGATGTAAATAGGATATCCGAAATTTCGACGGTTCCGGAATCACCTTTATTGCCGACTTGAACCATGACCTTGGGTGAGTCCATGTGCGCAAAGTAGTCTCCAGAAGCGACAAGTTGAGACCAAACAGAACCCGTCATGCGAGTTCTTGGGGGTATGACGACAGTAGATGTGATGATATAGGAGCCGGCCGGAAAGTAGACAAGGTTCGAAGTCGTTGCTAGAGCCAGAGCAGATTTGATCGCGCTTGTGTCATCTGTTTTGCCGTCGCCCTTTGCGCCATGATCCTTGACGTTGATAATACTGCCAGTCGAAAGCGTCTCATACTGCGGCCGACTCTTTGTAAAGTAGTTCTTTTGAGAACTGCGTCCAGAACCTGTGAGGACGTCAGGGCGTCTGGGTACGGACACAGTGTACTGTCCATAGTTTCCGCCCTCCATTTCGACGTTACCTATGACAGCAAAGTCGACGTCGTTACTTGGCAGTTCTGCAACGGTGTTGCCATGGTCGTATGTGATAGCTTGTAGTACGCCTTCAAAGGCGACATTGTCCAAGGTGATGATGGAGCTTTCCAAGATAGTCTTGTTAAAGGTGGCTTGAATACCGACATTGACATCGAAGAATTGAGTGTCCATGATATAGGTCGATCCAGTAATGGCGCCGCCGCCATCAGAGCCTTCAGGGTTGAGCAGACTGATGCCAACAGGTGCACTGCTCAGGAATAGACCAGACCATGTCCAGCCCCAGTCCCATAGGAGACAAATGCAGGCCTTGAATTGGTTGACGAATTGGAAATTACGAACAGTGTATTGCTGATTTCCTCCATCTGCAACACCGATCAGTTGGTCTCTTTGAAGCGTCGCGATTGCACATACAAATGCCGTAGGCACCACCAACAATGGTCACGTCTGCCATGAACCCTCCACTGCCGTTCTCAGTGAAGAAGCCCATCTGCGTGTTGTTCCGACCACTGATTGCGGCAATCGAGACATTGGTAACAGATGTCGCCTGGCCGACTTGCCAGTGGATAGCCGCCATTGAGTCCGTGGTCGTGCCGCGAATATCGATTACAAAATTGCGGATTTGTCGGTAAAAGTTCGATTGCTAAGTTGCTTCAGCTTATGTGCCCATACATTTTATCTTGGAATATTGGAACTTACCACAACATACCACTCCCCACCTTTGCCACTCGGGATGTAGACATCGCTTTGGATAGCTCCTGGTTATGCTGTAAGTCGAAAGCAACTAAAAAAGAACGACTGAAGGCTACGAACCTAGACCAATGAAGGATGGTGTAGTTTTTATGATTGGGTAGTCATTTGCCTAGATTCGGTTGGTCAACATGGTCGCTTTGGTACTTTGGGGTAAACCCTACATCTCCGACAAGCTGTGAGTAATAGTAGGCGTTAATAGGCGTCGAAATGAGATAGGTTCCAGGGGGAAAATAGATGAGAGTTCCTTTGACGGAGGAAGATGAGCAATTCTCGCCACAGTTTGCTCCGCTAGCGATAGCTGCGTTGATGGCGGCAGTATCATCAGTAACGCCATCCCCCTTCGCTCCGTACTTTGTAACATCACGAAAGACCTGCGATGGCTCAGTATTGTACGGCTAGGCAATGAAGAACTCTGCTTACAGTGTATGACGAATCATAGCCCATCGGAGAAAGGCCATGTCCAGACATAGAAGCAACCCAGTAGGGCGCTCCCGTGTCGCGTTTTTCGTGACCACTTATGAGAGTCTCATTGCCACTTTGATCTATCTTGACCGGTTGAGGGACCTGGAGAAACTCATTATAGGTATTGTGCAGTGTTCCGTTCATCAGTTGCTTTGCGGCTGTATGCTCCGCCAGCAAAGATGCGGCAGCCTGAAGTTCTTCTGTCAAAGATGGGGAAGGTGGAGCACCATCCTCGATCGAACGTTTTTCGGCAGAAGGCTTCATGCGATACGTGTTGCGTCGGGGGTTGGCGACACGGTAGCGATTATATTCTTCCTGCTGAGCCATAGCAGCAGCTACAAGGTCTTGGGCCTTTTGCATGTCGGAAGAAGAGACATTCTGTGCTACTGATGTCGGAATTGGTGATTCAGCTAGTGCACGACGCTGGTGCTTGAAGTAGACAGGGGCTTCCGAGTCAGCCTGATGAGCTGCGGAGCCAAAGATGAAGAGGATGTTGAAGAAAAGGATGAGCGCCAAAGTATAAGGGCGTCTGACGAAGCTGTGCGCCATAGTGAGAGGACGAGGCCAGGTCTGGTCTCAACGGATGATAAGAGGTGTTGAATGAGCGAATGCCTGGATGAGAAAGGTAATGAGCAGTAGTCAAGCTAGACAGACATTTCAAAGAAAGGAATAGAAGCCACGGTGATCGCGCTGTTCTGTTGGGATCTCTCCAGGAAGACGGGCAGGCATGCGGCTTTAAAGGTCCTGAAAGCTCTACCTTGCAGGCAAAATTGCATCAACCTTCACAGCAAGTCTATTCCCACACATGCAGCGGTTCAAGGAGCGTAGTTTGTCCGGAGATTCTATTCTGGTGCATGAATTCATCCGCAGAAGTTGACGTATGCACCATGTCTGACCGCTTTGGCGGTCCAGAACTGAGGCCTCCCATGCTAGTATCACATCGATAAATTTTTGTATCACGCGTCAATGAAGGCGCATTGGTTTTATTACGGGAGGCCTCAGACAATGGCCCCCATGCACTCACCGGAGAATGTGTACCTTCTACTTAGGGTAGTTGTGTAGGATCGAAATCAAAGATAAATTTTAGATGCGGCTGGTAGCTAAGCTTTGACCGGGATGCTACCGAAAGCCAATTTCGCGTTTGATAAGCTTGGCGATGCTTGGTACAGCTTGGAATAGCTTATCTCTGAAAGAGGCTTAGGCATCCTGGTTATCTTGTTAGAGGCACGGCTAAACAACTGCATTCTCACAAAGATCTTGAGCCGTTAATGCGCACACAGCCTGTGCTAATGCAGGTGCTAGCGTACATCTCCGGACTCTTGAGACAATGGGCAGTTCCGGACTGGTTCACGACCGCTCAGATATCTCAATGAAGATGGTTCGCCGTAAGGTGCTCGTATGCATTGACTCAATTGAAGTTATTCCTATGTGCATAGTATTTGCCTAAGTAGATTGGAAGATGCAAGGATTGTGAAGAGGTAAGCTAGGGGGACAGTGCTGTTGAAGATGAGCATTCGTGCAAACAGATATCAGGTCGCGTTTCCTGCCGAGATATGCCTTGATGCAGAAAACTATGGTTTCTTTCCTCGCTACGTAGGGAAGGACTCTTACAACTCGCTTTCATCTTTATCGCCCACTCTCATTAAGACTCAACACATGTACGTCCTGAGCAAGTCGTCGAAGCGCCGGATACGGGTGCTATGTTGCTGCAACCCATAGCCCCTGCCCTCTAGCAACAAAGACCATTGAACAATTTCAGTTCAGAAGACTGATCACCAATTAGATCACCTTCAACCACTCCACCGACCTTCGCCATGAAGTTGTTAACGCTTACGCTCTTTACCTTACTCTCCTTAGTCATCGAGATCGCTGCCAACAACGAATCGATTGGCAGCGAAGTATTGTATTTCTACTATGTCTACAAGATGCAGTACTCGAGTGGCGGAGACCGGACCATAGCCACAGGATGCGGACCTAGTGGAAGTGTGGGCATGTGCTACTTTGACGACTTTGTCAAGTACATTATGGAACGAGATTTCGTTCAGGGGTACCGGCCTAGTCCCAGTGACCATACCAAGACACCCTCGCAGTCTAATCTGGTTACCTTCAAGAAATCCATCACGCAGCAGTCCGTGAGCTACAGGATGGACAGATTGGACACCCGCCTGCAAAATGCGGCCAGTGGGGACGTGGCCGGGGCAGCACGATCGCAGGCTGCTCTAATCGAGACCATGTTGGGGTCGGCCAACAATGCGATTGACTCTGGGAATGTCCTAATATCCGATGCAGAATCGGCTCATGAGTCCATCGAAGACGCGATGCAAAAGCGCAGCCCTCAAGCTATGGACGCTGTTGACAGGTGGCTTGCTAGACAGCTCACGGAGGAAGAGCAAGGCCATATCAGCAAAAACGGAGCTATCGTGGACTGGAAGGAAACGCTCGACAACATCGACTTAGCCGTTGAAGATGACGATCTCACCCACGATGAAGGAGAAGCCCTCAAAACTAAGATGACAAACATCAGCGGACAATTTGGTCAGGATGAGGTAGATGTGCCGCGATCTGAAATCACGCATATGTCCATCTTGCGCGCTCTTCAAGACTCTAGCACTCAGATCAAGGCTGGTATTGATCGAGGTGATGAGGAAGTGGACGACAAGATTCCTGCACCCGCTGAGTCGGCTAGTTCATGTTCTTCAGACTATGAAAGCAGTTCCGAAAGCAGTTCCTCTGGCTCCGAATTGAAGAGAAGAGCAACACACGGATTCGTCGCTAAACTTTTCAAGTTCGCGAAGAGACAGCCTGGCGCTCTTGCTAAGATATTGGAGGCTCGCCAGTTGCAGCCTATCAGCGTATCCAAAGTTGGTGTCACTGCTAGTTCTTCAACCTCTTCGGCCACTCCTGTCAGTAAGTCGACGCATTCGATTCCTTCATCTTCGTCGCCATCTTCGACGTTATCACTACCGCCATCTACCGCTTCCAGCGAGGCGGTGGTAAACACAAAGACGGGATATGACATGGCTGTCACTACTGTATTCTCTGCGCCTCCAGAGTGCACGGGAGGCATTACCACCATGGCTACAGACACGGGCAACCTCTGGCTCAACGTTATTGACCCTGTACCAACTGTGACAATGACGCAATGTTATCCGAGTCAATTCGTCGCCAGTGCTCTGGCGAAAACGACTTTGCCACCTTTTAGCAGGCTGGTCTGCCCTGACCATTGGGAGTCATATAAAGCTAACTCTACATACGTCGTTTGTTGTCCACAGTAAGAAAATTTCCGCGGTGCAGTTCAAATTCTTTGCTAACAAGTATTCAGGGGATATTCACTTTGGGCGCCACATTGGACTGAAACAGCCCGTCCTGGTCGTAACGCCTATTGCAGCTCTGTCATATGGCCCAGTGTGATCATGGATGTTACTAGCTATGACGCATCTGCCCTTGTCACTGTTCTTCCCGAGACGGCTGGCACAGATGGCAATATCGTATTCGCCACTGCGTTTGACGGGAACACATACGCTCCCACGACTCCAGCCTCGTCATCTTTGCGAGTGACTTCCTCCTCAAAGTCATCACAAGTGGCCGTTTCTTCATCTTTACTGTCGATAAAATCGTCGACCCTACCGTTTTCTTCACCAGCGACTTCGACTGCATCTACAGGGGCAACATCAGTGACGTCTAGTATCTCTTCCAAGCCGTCTTCGACCTTGTCGGTTGTGGTCAAAACCTCGTCGATTGTGCCGACGACCTCTCCTACGAAGACATCCTCTTCCACCACAAAAGCCTCCACCGCTCTCCCTGCCATCTCATCTCTGCCATCTTGCGGCGTAAGTTCAGATGCACTTTCATTCTATCTTCCTATCTCATCACACGCACACAGACTGACTCCTGGCCCAGCAAACCTGCATGAACAATATGCTCAGCCAATACTCGACCCTCGGCTGCTCTTCTGCTGACCCAGCCTGCGTGTGCCGCAACCCCAACTTCGGCTACGGGGTACGCGACTGCTCCAATGGCGCGTGCGGCTCCTCCGTTGGTGCCAGCGTTATCACTTGGGCATCGAACTACTGCTCCATTGCCGAGGCCTCAAAGACAACTCAACCATCGACGGCCACGCCTACTCCCACAGCGACGGGAATCGGTTCGCTGCCCTCGTGCGGACAGACCTGTATGAATAACATGATTGCGCAGTATAGTTCGTTGGGGTGCAGTTCGTCTCAGGCCGCGTGTCTATGTAGAAATGCTAATTTTGGGTATGGCATTAGGGATTGTGCGAATGGAGCGTGTGGCACAGCGGTGGCGAGTACAGTCATCTCTTTCGGGTCGGCGTATTGTGCTAGAGCTACTGCTGCCGCTTGAAGGAGAATGTCGCCCTTTAGATAGGCATTTAGCCTTTGGTTGGTCATGTGTTTTGTTGCTACGGGCAATTTTATGTAGACATTGCAATGGGGTTTGTTCGTGGTGAGGCAAGCATTTTGCATCGAGAACTCTGGATTGTATGTGTGTTCTCAAGAAAATTGCATGAATGATTAGCCAGCGCGGAGGCAAACACCCATCGCTAGGAGTACTCGTTGCCCACTAGACGGGGTGACTCCACGGCGGTTGTGCCCAATTAGGCAAAGTCTGCAATCCTTGTATGCCCTTGACTCATGATACCTGCCGAAGCGGCATGGTATCCATGCACGCATTCAATTTAAGCTTTTCGTGCATCGTATAAGATGAGCTTGACTTTCCCAACCCGGGGCCACATGTATCTCGTAATCACCACTGCTCTCGAACTGCTGCTTTCAAAACGCTATGGGATCCACCTCACACTCTCCCCCCTTGGACCACAACAGCGGTGAACGCGAACAAGTGGTTGTGTCAACATCTGCCCCAATTACTACTGAACTTCCCCTCTCCCAACGCTTCGCGCACGGAATTCAAGAATGGAGACAAGTCCCTGCTCTGCCACTTCGCGAATTTACGATCACGCATGTGATCAACAATTTGACCGATAGGCGAGACTGGCATGAAGACGTGTTCAGAGCGGGCTGTGCAGCGCAATGGTATAACGAGCTTGTTCTCTCTACGCCGTTGCTGAGCGAGAAGACGTGGGAATGGTGCATGAAGGAAGCGAAAGATAAAGCGCGGGCATATAAAGAGACGGGCTTTGTGCGCGTCTTGGATTCCGGGGCGTGCGTGTGTAAGGCTGATGGTTTGGAGTTGCTCGAATTATCGCGAGATTTGCAATCTGGGCTGGAGGAGTTGCATCGTTATGCTAAGGGGAAGCATAGTGAGGAGGTGTGGTGGTCGTACATTGATCCACGACGAGCTCCATTGAGATATGGGAAAAGTCGCGTTTTGGATCCGCGCGGTGTAGCGGGCAATAGCGACGACGTGAGGATAAAATTCGCCCCAACGCTCAAAAGTGAGCAAGTCGATATCGAGGGTTTTCAACAGCGCATGGGGGATGGTATGAAAGGCTACCAGGCTTGGCGGCATGCTTTCGGCAACATGGGCTGGCAGAATATCCAGAAGTATTACTGGTCGTATAAATATCAATGCTTACCGAGCGATGTGGCATTTACCGACGATTCTGGGAGCGACGTCGAGTTCACCTCACCTGTCAATGGCATGTCCATGGGTGGCAATGATCTACATCGGAGTTTTGGAAGACTCGTTTCCGCCCTGATCGAGCCATGGAATGAATGCTTGATAAGAGGACAAGACAAATGGAACGAGACCAGCGTGGAGGTCAATGGCGGTTGGGCGCCCCCAGGAAATGAACGCAAACAAAGAGGTCGTGTTCCATGCAGAATCATTACCTACGGTGTGGAGTGGGAGAACGAGGCGCCTGAATGGTTCGACAGCTTTGATGGAGTGCGCCGAAGGAGATTGGCACGGTACCACAAAATACTAGAGAACATTGAGCTTATCAAGGGAGAGCGGCCGACAGACGAATGCGACGAGAAGACCAAAACAGATTACCAAACAAGATTAGCAAAGGCGGAATCCTCTGCAACAGGATATCAAGACGTTCACGGCCTGAAGGAACTGCCGGAACCGACTCCGGAACTGTGGCAAAGAGCGTTCAAATATCTGGCGCAAGCCGAGCCTGGTTCTGATCAACCAGTCATACCTTCAGAGAATTGGCGGGATAACGTCTACAGGTTGCTTCGTGAAAAGCTCGGCCGTATGCTTCTCTTCAAACATCCTGAGCCTGGTACCGCATTCACATATGAGCAATGGAGAGATGGAGAGCATGGTGGAAGAGCCGTCGTCGATATCGTCACTGACAGACCGATCATACCAGGAAAGCTCCCTCCGAGCACGCCTCACGAACCATACAAAGTTCGATTACAGGACGAGTTTCGAGAAAAAGGCTTGCAAATCATCACCCGTGTTGATAGTATTGAGCTGTCGCCCGAACACCCTGCCTACACAGGCGGTGAGTGGGAGCTCAAGGGCATGAAGAACGAGCACGTGGTAGCGGTGGGCGTGTTCAGCTTTGACGTGGAAAATGTCAGCGAAAGCAGAATTGCATTTCGCCAAGAGACAGACGTCTCTCCAGGCTTTTTCCGACATGGGCCCAAGCTATTCCAAGGCTCAGATGGCTACAGCAGATACAAGCAACCATCACATGAAGAGGGAAAGGGCGACCAGGTGGAGGCCATTTCAGAAATCTTTGGATTCAACGCATTTCAAATGTGCAGTGACCATCATGATTTTGCTTTACCATTTCAAGAACTTGGAGATGTTGCGCTGTCACAGGGTAGGGTGGTTGCGTTTCCGAACGTAATGGAAACGCGCCGAATGCCGTTCCGCTTACAAGATGCAACGCAGAGCGGACATCATCGATGGATAACAGTCATGCTTGTCGACCCACATTATCGACTATGGTCTACAGGGCATGTGCTGCCTCGACAACTGGAATGGCAAGGTGGCGTGGAGGATGCAAGGAATCTACCCGAAGAGGTGGATTCGGAGAGAACTATGAAGGAGATGGCCGGAGAAGTCAGGCGGATGCACTATGCACGATACGCTATGATGGGAACATTCTTCTTTTGCTGATCGTGTTACGGGACGAACAAGTGTGGTATCAACTGTAAGCTTGCACTCGAGGGTGACGAGGTTGGGGCACAAAGGCTGAGCGTTAGATTAGAAGATCGTGACATCACCTCGACTAGCTTCAATGGACTTCAGCTACTGTACCGCTTCGTGAGCGGATCACCTTGCAGTCTCGATGGAAGCACGAGCTACAGCCCCAGTCCCCAGCTAGAGCGCACAGGCAGTGGCTGCCGGATGTGTGAAAGCAATCGCATGGCTCCGCCACATTGAGCCCCTCGATGTCGCCCAACATGATACCCGAACCCATCAACCTCGAACCCATCTTGAGCTATGCCGAGACTCACAACTACCTCTCGTGCCCTCGCTCATTGATTCTTATCATGATGGAACTGTGGAGAATCCCTGGTTTTAACGATCGCTCTCACCGCGGGGCCGATTGCAACACCACGCAAGAGCAAGTCGGCATACTACTCCAGCGAACACTAGCATTCGATCCATATGCATGGTACTGCGGCATCCAATCTACTGGTCTGAATGAATGCGTTGAGCAACGTACGCATATAGCTTGTGCGCATCGATCAGCCGTGTGCATTTATCTCGCGCAAGTTTTGCCTGCTACAAGCCCGCTAATCAATCCAGAAAGCGACACAGCGCTTATTAGTCTCACAGACGTTGCTAATGACGTTCTTTTTCACATCTCTCTTCTTATAGCCTGTACAGATTCTTTGTTTACCTCAATATGCTGGCCGCTATTTTTGGCTGGCACCGAGTTGAAGCACGATAGTCAGCGAGAGTGGATTATCAACAAGCTTGACGAGCTCTATAACATTATGGCATGGGGTTATATACGTACGTCGAAGCGTGTGCTTGAAGACATTTGGCGATATAAGTATTACATAGATAGCAAGACCTATAACTCCGGCTTGGTTGAAGAGATGGGTAGGCGTAAAAACGAAATTATTGTTGCTTAGATCTATCTTACGGCAAGAGAGTGAATAAACCTGCTGCTGAACAGCTTGCTGCCTATCGTTGTAGAGAAGGAAGATGTGAGCAAGTCTAGCAGTACTTTAAGCTGAGCGCTGCGCCACGCTTCGTCATTGTCGTTAGCATCGCCATCCAACAGCCCTAGAGTGCCACTGCGCTCCTTCTGCTCGACTGTCTAGCGGAACGGCTTGCGCGTATCTTTCATTAAGTCCTTTCCGTTTCAGTTGCTGCTTGGATTGTCTGCGGATTGGCTGCCATCAGCGTCAGAGAAGTCGTCGTTGTCGTTATTGTTGTCAGCATCAGCGTTAGAGTCGTCCTATTCCTCCCCATCTGAGCTATCCTTGTTGCCTTTATCGCATTTATGGACTTTATTACTGTCCTTATTGTTGCATTTCTGCGCTGCTAGCCCTGCCACCATGTTAGCTGCAAAGCGTAGAGCGTAGGCCCAACCTGACCAAGTAGTAAGCGTAGCGGATCTAGCTTCCTAGGCTCTGCAGTCGAATCATGGGCAGTTGATCGATCTCCTGCCGCTTCGCGCTCCTGAGCCTCTCCCTCGACGCTTCCCTTCACTACTTACTATCAAAGCAACATCTTGGCCGCCTACCCGCTAAGTCGCCGTCCATCGGAGAATTCCTAGCGCCAAGGTCCGCACAGTGTAGGAAATTAGGATTTCCACGTATCTAGCTTAATGTAGCGCAGTCTTGTGTAAATTTCCGTCTTAGGGTGTGTCTTATTATTAACGGGACAAGGCGGGCTGTTTGCGGAGCAGTTAGCGCTTGGACGTGTGCACAACAAGGGTCGTTATATACGAGGAAAAGATCTGGCCGGATTATTGCCACGTGCTGGTAAGCATACGTTAGCTAAGCGGCGGGAGTCCCTGGTCGGGAGTTTTCCGCCATTAGGAGCAGAGTGTAGGTGAACAGCGATTACAGAGCTTACCGTATCACAGCCTTGGGAGGGGTTTCAGCCAAGCCTTGGCCCTATACACTACCCAAATGCCAATGGCAATAGATGAGGACGGTTTTAAAGACAATGTAGTGTAGCAATCCTCATGACAGTAGCGACGGAGTGAGCGCGGCGCAATTGGACGAGGATTGGTGTTTGCTTTGCGTGGTGTTGGGTGAATATAAATAAGAGGGACGCCCGTCTATTTGGAGACACGCCACGGCTTTTACTATACAGCTCTTGTCTCTGAAGGTCTCAATTGCGACCGACGATGCTTTTCAACGCCGGAACTGTCCTCGCCCTGCTGGGTGCTCTGCCCGCTGCTCTGGCGTGTAAGGGATACACCGGAGGCCTTCCAAAAGCCACATCGTCCAAGAAGATCTCCGCTCCAATCTACGTCAAGGCCGGGCAGGTCTTTGATGGCGGTTGGGCAAAGTATGACCGCAGCCCCAGCTCCTGCGACTCGGGTGAAGGAGGTGAGTCGCACCTTTCATTGCCATCAGTGACTTCTTCTATCTACACAGAAGCTAAATAAAACTAGGTGAGGCAGACACAGCCTTCGTTGTTGAGCGCGGCGGCACACTGCGAAACGTCATTATTGGTAAAACGGTGGGTGAGGGTGTGTACTGCAAGGGTGGCGGCTGCAACATTGAGTTTGTGTGGTTCGAGGATGTGTGCGAGGATGCCATCTCCATTGTAGGTTGACTTTGTCATCTACAATAACAGGAGCTGACAGTCCTCAAGAAAGACGATCGCGCAGGCGACGTGACCAGGATCATCGGTGGAGGCGCCTACCACGCCTCCGACAAAGTCATCCAGCACAACGGGTGCGGAAGGGTTGAGGTAAGTCTTTGAACCCCGGTAGATCCATGTGTATATGACTCATCCCGGGCTCTAGATCATCAACTTCTACGCTGAGAACTACGGAAAGGTGTACCGATCCTGCGGAACAGTAAGTCTTGGTTTCTTCCTCTCACTCCAGGATTCGCAGATGAGTTGGCTACATCTCACGACCCTGGACCGAATTCGAGTATGTGCTAACAATAGTGCAGTGCAGTAAGTGCGCCCGCGAGGTTTACATCGAAGGCGTCACCGCAAGGAAGGGTGGCGAGGTTGCCGGCATCACCAAGGCCAACGGCGACAAGGCGACGCTAGTGAACGTGTGCACAGACGCGAAGACACCGTGCCAGAACTACAACGGCCCTGGACAGAAGGACGGTGCCTGCTAAGCGTGTTAATGTGTTTTTTACAGTGGTCAAGCAGATCATAACAAGCATAGGCAGTCTGAGGTGCGCTGAGCATATGAAGGGACGTAAAAGTAAACGAAATCACAAAACTGAGACTACAAGTTGTAACACACAGGCTTTCATTCTTATGCATTACAACACACACACCTCGCAATCAAGATCCTCATTCACCACTTCCTTATCTCCGGTGGGTGCTGGCAGGCAGGGACAGATACACATATGATATCTTAGCTGGTTTTGGCGTTTTGAGCGTTGAGAATGTCTACATTTTGGAAAATAACGTCTCGATCATATTACCTGTTACGCCGATGCTTGCGACGTGACATGCCTTCCTCAATCTCCATACTATCTCTATCTTACTATAACAAACTCGGGAAAAGACCTCCGAGCCAAAGCTAGGCCAAAGTCGACGGCATGCACTAGACTTCATTGTCTCTCTATGCCAATCAAACACTTTTCAGACTTGACGCTCCAAAGACGAGTAACTTGAAGCGTGTTTGCTCATTCCGGTCAATAATTTCATCCGCTGGGAGGATCGTTGTGAAAAGGGAGCGTGGGTCACAGCAATAGAACGAGCCTCCAGGGGAGAGGCTGAGCAGATCGCAGCCGCACTCATCTCGAACCCGCGAAGATGATCTCTTCGTTCTGTCTGACCTCTTTCGTTTCGCGTTCAGGGTTTTGCTGCGAGGCCCGCAGCCTGCAAGAATTGAGAGCTTGTGGTTGGGCGCTGTCAGAATATCTACGTACAGCTCCTGGCCGAAAACTATACGAGACGCACCAGGCTACAAGATCCCCATCAACTGAGCAACGTACAACCTCTTTTAGTATTTAAAGGTTGCTTCGGCTTGAGCGTTGATCTTTCTTGTGCTCATACGTCACTACCGCGATGTCCATACTTTTGATCGTCATTCTTGTCAGGTGTGACACCTCTCCATCTTAATCCACAGGGTGCTGATAAAGATCAGCGTGCAAAAAGCAATCTTCATCACCAATCTGCTAATGCTATTCGCCATTGCTGTGATGCCGGTCTTGTCTGAGCGGGTAACTCTTTAGCGCTGCAGAACCACTTGTATGCTATGGGAGTATTCAACACACGAGAGGTGGCGGAGAAAAGCCGACGAAAGCTGGTGTTCTTCCTAAAGACTTCCCTTATCACTAGCTTCTTTGCGGGCGTTGTACATTTCAGTAAGGCGATATGCTTGTGTGTATCCTTACGCTTCTGCATTACTTCCAACTTGTAACATATATACACTATCTATCTTAAGATGGTAGGTATTTCTAGTTACTTAGCGTAGGTGTCCCTAGCCGCAACGCCTAAATATAAGCATTGCCTAGGAGTAGGCATTAGCCTCTGCGAAGTATCTAAGCTAATGCAGCATCATCAACTTGCATTAGTGGCCGGCGGCAAGCGTCTTTAATCCGACATAACTATCTCCCTCAGCCAATTGAAAGTAGACATGAACGCAAGCCCCTACCCGTGACCTTCCGAACAACGGACTCAACATGTGACGCTAATACGGGACTCACTTTGCCACAAGAATGTGCCCACAAGCTTACATAGCACACATAGCACATCGCTCATGTTCTCTCTGTGCCGACATTGAGATCTATCACGCTAATGCTCACACACCGACGCTTGGGGGCGATAGCAATGGCCTTATGAGGGTGTGTTCGACTTGGCGCGACGGAATAGCCAAGAATGAGGAAATCGGTCAAATAAATGAATGTATTGAGTGGTGGGTCAAAATTTCACTGCTGCTGCTGCTGCCTATAAAAGTGTCACCGTGGACACTTTCTCGTTATAATTATCATCCACGTCTATCTTACTTCATCAACACAGATCCAATCATCATGTATTTACCACGAGCATTGCCTCTGTGGTTGCTTGTTCCAACCGTGAATTCGTTGATAGTTCAGCGCGAGCCAATTTCATCTAGTTGTCAAACGGCCGTAAGTACATCTACTCACAATGGTTTTGGATACGTTCATTATCCTTTGCTAACCCTAGATCTTCCAGTGCGGCCTCCTGGAGAACGAATTCGGATCTGCAGCTTTACACCATCTCGGACAAGACAACTTCACCCTCTGGGACGCGAAGCAGAATGAGGTCCAGTACGCTTGTCGTTTTGAGCCTTCCAACAAAACCGACGTTGCTGCTGCTCTTCGTGTTCTGACTAAAACTTGGTGTAATTTTGCAGTCAAGTGTGGCGGTCATTCTCGTGATCCAGATTTCTCCAATTCAGTCGGCGGCGTGACTATTGACCTGAGGCGCATGAACAATGTAGAGGTGGCATTGAACGAGTCTGTCGCAAAGGTCGGTGGCGGAGCTGTTACGGCGGACGTTTATGCTGCCCTCGATGCCCGCAACTTGTCTTTTGTCGGCGGGCGCGTAGGCAGCGTCGGCGTAGGTGGCTTCGCTACAGGTGGCGGTACTTCAACACTCTCGTCCCGACATGGATGGGCTCTTGACAATATCTATGAGTACGAGGTAGGTCATCGGAGCAAAATCTTGTGAATACCTGTGCTCACATGAACTAGTTGCTCTTGCCAAATGCTACCTTCGTGACTGTGAACGAGCACCAGCACCCTGAGCTTTATTGGGCTCTTCGTGGCTCAGGAGGCGGCAACTATGGCATCGTTACATCGTTTATCGTACGAACATTTCCTCAAGGACCACTGTACGCCGGACGTCGAACCTGGAACGACACATATACCGAGCAGGTGGTAGATGAGCTGTTCGATCTGTACACCACCCAGGACAATAACACCAACATATCTGCTGATTTCTACTACGGCTATATCCAAGCCAGAGACGAATTTTCTCCAGCTGGAACTCTGAGGTACTTTGATCCAATCGAGAATCCTCCAGTCTTTTCATCTATCGAACGCATTCCGGCGGTGACGTCATCGGGACAAATAAACAGCTTGGGCAGCATCTCTGGACCAGGCAGTGTATCAGCCACTCCAGCTCCTTCAAGGTAAGAATCTAGTGCCCCCCGACGATTCGTTTTCGCAACCATCCTTACAAGATGCAGACATTTATTCCAAACTACGACCACCTTCCCATCTCGTGAATGGCTAAGAGAATCATTGAGGATCTTTCGTGAGGAGGTGCAAGATGTTAAGTCCGTAGCGGGTCTGAATCCGCAACTAATTACTTACCCAATCTCATCGCGCGCTATACAAGGTATGACCGAACGAGGAGGCAATGCTCTCGGTATAACTAATACAAAAGGGCCGCTTATTAGTAAGTCTGCCCCAAAAACATCATTGCCATAGTATGGACGTTGACTGATGTATTAGTGACTTTCCTGAGTACCGCTTGGCTAAATGCGGAAGATGACGGAAGTGTCGGCAATTTCTATGACCGAGTGCTCGCACGCTTAGAGGATACTTCCAGACGTCTGAACGTTCATCATCCTTTCAAGTACGTAGGCTATGGCAGACTAGGCGAAGATCCCTTCTCGTCTTATGGAGCAGATAATCGCAAAAGGCTTGTGCAGATACAAGAGAGCATCGATCCACAAGGCATTTTCACCTCTGCTGGACTTTGCCGCGGCGGATTCAAGGTTCGCTGAAGAGAAGTGACTTCGGACGCTTGTGTCCAACGAGGACACACAGGGAAGGCGGGCTATGTGTAATAAGTTAGCTGATTTAGTAGGCGTAAGACCAACATAAGTACCTGTACCTATTAAGTCTAAGACAACCTACTTAAATCCAACAAAAAGTATACTTAGAGGCATTCTCTCCAACTAAACTATCAAGCTTTTCAATAAATTAATGATCAGCCGATGATCTAAACTATGGCTGGGTCGTCCTGTGGAGGTAGAGAAGCTGTAGAGCGTTGGGCATAGTCTACAGGTACTCTCAGAGGCATCAAGGCGGGGTGCGCCAAGTACCAGCAAGTAACACTTTTATCAGTCAGTATAAATGATACTCACACGGTAGCAAGACCCTGACACCCAGAAGTTAGCTGATGAGCTGTGCAGCCTGCCTCTCACGGTTGCAACAGCCGGTGCGTATCTCTGCCAAGTGTCGACGGGCTTTGCTTACTATCTGCAGCTGTACAAGGCGTCGTGGCTCTGTCTACAATAAGATATCTCTCATCGCCCAGGTACATCACCATCAACCTTCTCACCAAACAGAACCTCCTTCGCTACCTCTGTATCAAGCCACTCATTCCTAAGACCTAGGAACTCCATGACCTGCCCAGGTAGCCCTGAAATACCGGTATGCAAAGCTACATGTATCCCGGCCGGTCCCTCATCAGCCAGCTTTTCAGCATAACGTTCTATATTACCTTTAGCGCATTTGGGATGGATCCACACTGCTCAAATATCAGTAGAGATATCATGACGATCGAACTTAACTTACTCAAGTCCTCGGGATTCAGTCTAAGCTTGTACTCGAATTTACAACCAGCTTTTTGGAAGGCGTGTTTGATACGCCAAAAGTTCATAGATAGGGGTGTTTTGTGGTGCATACGATTGTAAACAAATTCGACACTGTTCAAGAGGAGGATGGCGTTCCCAGCATCCGAAGAAGGTAGCGCGCTGCACAGAGCTTGTTCGATGCCTTTGCAGTCTGGCGTACTGCAGTCGGTTTTGTCCATCTTGAGATGTCTCAAACTCTTTGGTAGAACCTCGTGCAGATTGGGATATCTACAGTCATCCACAAGCTCCCAGTAGTTTTGCTCATTCTTGGCACCAGCTGGAGAGCCCATAATGACATGCCAGGGAGCCTCCAAGGACTTTAGAGAGACCAGTGTCTGGAAGCCCTAAGGACGCTAGCGTGTACTGTCCCGCAACGTGTGCTGTCCCGTTATAATGGCAGTTGCTGATGGGTTTTCTGGCTAGCCCATCACCATCCAACAATATCTGCAACGTCCCTCATCGACAAGCCCCTAGGCTGAACAGCATTACCTCTTACGCAAATCACCTCACAGACATCCCAGCATGCTCGCCTGGTGGCAGGTCACACTACAAAATATGTAAAAAACATGGCCGCATAGGAACGTAGTGGACGGCTTCACAGCACTTAAGAGAACATTGAAAATTAGAGAACATATACGAGGCCCTGGGGGCATCAGTGCAAGCTAGCACGTATGATAACTGAACCATAGTGGGAGACTGAAGGTATTGCGGACGCAAAGCATAAGGCAACTGTGCCTCTACGAGCCTTGAACAAAGCTGCATACACAGGGCTTCGAGCACGGCATATACACAGGAACACAATGTGAGGAACACAAAAGTAGGCAAAAGACTTATCACTTCCTAGACCCTAGAGTACAGCAATCATGGTCACTAAGTTGTAGACAGCTTTAATTATTCTTCCCTACATCTTTAGGGCATCATGTTGTCCTACTATATCATTTAAGATGTAGTGCAAAACCGACAGTGCTTTTGCGCTCAAGGCCATCTCGCAACGTCAGTTCCGGAAACGCGTAGTCACCGCCTTTAGCAGCCCGATATTGAATAGGTGCTGTGCTGCCCAGATTGCGCATTCTTTCGCGCACCTCAGCAGCAAGAACGTCAAATCCTGCTGAGTCGATTCGATCTGCTTGAAACACTACAATTGGAGGCAGCACCTGGAATCCTGGATAATGCAGTACCCCATGGTGAATAGGGAATAGGATATCGTCTATTGGGCCTTGGAAGCCGCGAGCAGTGTAGGCCGATTCCCGGCCCCCTAATGTTGTAACTAACATTGCCCGCTTCCCTTTCACACCTCCCCAACCAGTCTGCTGCTTGTTGTTAAGCTCTTTCACGTTGTACGCAAAGCCGCCTGTAAAGACCCGGTCAATCCAGCCCTTGAGAATTGCTGGGAAGTTGAACCACCAGAGAGGGAAGATGAAGATGATTGTGTCTGCCCATAGAATTTTGGCTTGCTCGGTCTTCACATCTTCTGTCAGGCTGTCTGAAGCAAAGGTTGAAGAAGAGACGGTGGTGATCCGTAACCGGGCATCCGTTGGTAGATCGGTAAAGTCCTCCCGATCGACATGCGATTTCCATTTCATGCGATAGAGATCTGAGGTCTGGGTCTCATGGCCTTGTTGCTCTAATTCATTGCGTATGACTTGGTGCAAGCTGCAGATCAGAGAAGGCGGCTCTGGATGGGCAAGAACAAGAAGGACTCTCATTGCAAGGAACGTGAGACTGGATGTGACAATTCAGAAACACTACATCTTTGCTTCTTATAGTGAATACAAATGTCAATGTGCAAAGCTACAGTTTGTCAGCGATCGTCTATGCCTTGCGTCCAAGAACGTTTGGACCGAAGTTAATGTGCGATACCCACAGTGCAAATTCGTAAGATTGGATGTGTCGGTTCGAAAACACTACATCTTAGCATCTTTGAGTGAATACAAATGTTAGTGTGCAAAGCTATAGTTTGTCAGCGATTGTCTCGTCCAAGAACGTTCGGACCGAAGCTGGTGTGCGATACCCACAGTACAAATCCTTGATATTAATAAGCAGACCAATTCTACCTCGTAGATGAAAGCGGGTTTCCGGATTCGGGTGGGGTCAGGAAGCTGCGATAAATGTCGTAGGACGCCGGTGCCGCCTGCTCAATTGGATCGCCGGCAAGTGCGCGCAACAGCGGCGACTACCCGACCCCAATGCCTAATGTCTCATCGTTTCTTTTCAGATAAGTCGTACTTGTGAAGCTCAGTGATGGGCTGTAGGTAGCCTAGAACCTGGCAAATGAGCTCTATTGGCAAAGATGGTGGTAGTGTCATAGTAGCACCGCTTCGGATTCATCCACTCTAGTGAATGCAGGAAGACGTTGATGTGTACACAATGAAGTAATCGTGACACAGATTCTAGATAGCGAAACGCTCTGTTGCGTTTTTGAGTGCTTGTTCAGGCTGCCGTAGGGAGGCGTGATGTTGTCTGTGTGCTCATCCCACGGACGGTACCTACCTATCGCGTGATGCACGCGATCATCGAAGCATCGAATTTTCCGCAACGCTATAACTCAGTAACGCCCTGTCCTTAGAGATGCCCTTTGCGATGCAAACATAGGCGATGTGGCTAGCAAACCTGTACCAGAGGATTGATCATGCTGAACAACGTCGATGATGCCCGCTTCCTTAAGACGGAGTTCATCCACAAGCGCAACTCGACCCTTGTCACGGTGCAGAATAGGGAGTCGACGCTGGGTAGCCAAACCGCAACATCATGACCGTTGGAACTAATAGTGCTCTTCGAGAAGAAGCTAAAAATGCCAATTAGCAGCGTTGAGCTGGCCGCGACGCTCGAGTACATACTATTTGCTATCAGAAAAGCAGGTAGCACAAAGAATGCTATAACACTTCGTAGCAGGGATTATGACGCGGGCGGATCTGGAGCGTATCGCGCCTTCCTCCTACGCTTTTCGCGCGGCATGTCGCACCCGCTCGACGACAATGGCCGACCCATGCACACCATTGCTTGTAGCGCCCACTCGGCAGCCCGACCATCTCGCCTACGCCCTACCCGCCCTAAGCAGCCGCACTACGCACGCGCACCGACACCGTCGTCCGACAACGACTTCAGCAGACCCGCTGCGCCCTCGAGCTACTCATCGGTATCGCCACAATGACAGGAGCAACCGGCTGCTGCAGACAACGAGGCAACATTCGGGTTCGCGGTGTTGTCGTGTCGCGGCGGTGAAACTCGATCAGGCTGGGACGGGCGCGCTCTGGCGTGCGCATGGGCGTAATAAGATGCGCCGCCGCCAGTCGCTGCTTCGGCGCTGCAGGCGGGCCAAGCAGTCCTCGTCAACTAACATATGCACTACGCCGAGGCAGTGGCGCAGTTGCACTGGCGGTTGCTGGCTTGTGTCCGGACAATATAGGAGCGATTCCAGACGTGTTCGGGCATTTCTCTCGTGACAGACCGCTAAAGATGAACAAGCATAGTGCTTTGCCAAGCATGTACTTCCTTTCTGCCTCGAAGCTTTCCTTTGCTCTATGCGATGACCGCAGGTAGCATCTTCCAAGCATTCAGAAGCGTGCCCAGCATCAAAGCGACTACGCGCCTCAGCTTTTAAAGGGCGAATTGAAATGGCAGTTAGCACTTAGGCCACTATGTTGTTTTGCTGGCGCAATCACGGTGATATGTATGCAAGAAAGTCCGTTCAGGTCTGACCGCTGACAGATACTGTGCGTATCGGTGCAGGTACGTCTGTCCGGAGGCAGTGGCGAGATCCATTGTTAGTGTGAGTGAAACAAAGCAGGCTATCTGCAAAAAGCAAGCTGACAATATCAGAGTGGGCGCAATCAGGTGGCGTGCTGCAACCCAGAAGTTCTGTCACCTCTGATAAACGGAGTTGACAAGCCCTCGATAATTTGAGGCTCTTCGTTCGGTCGCCCCCAAGGCTTGTGCCTCTGTTCAAGACGACACTGGATGATGGCCTTTGCGTGGCGGAATGAGATAATTCTTGTAATGAGGAAGATCGTCAGGAAACGCGAGGCTGGAAGAGCGTGGATCCTCCCACTTGTTCCCTGATCTATAATAGAATAGGTACACTTGCTCAGACGCTACATGTCTGTTTGATCTCATACCGAGTATAGCGTCTTCCGGATATACTCAACGCTAAAGACATGAGAAACATGATAGAAACGACGATAAAGAACCACAAAACACGCTCAATGTAACAACCATCAATGAGATCTGAGATGTGTTCAGCAGCTGGGCCTCAAGCGACGAGGCGAATGCAGAGACCGATAGCATTCACTACAAAGGCTCGTGTGAGTTCCCGAGGTCCATATATGTACCGTGTAAATGTTAACATTGATACCTTAGATGCCGCAGTTTGATGCGCTCAATCAGCCACACAGCACATATGAATTTGATGAAATCGGCCGTGCAACTCTTGTTCGACTCGGACATTTGGACTTGGCCAATAGTGGGACGTTAAGCCAACATCACGATGAGAACGAATGGAATTACGGCAACAACGAGGAGGGTTCATTAAGGTGAATGAAGCCAAGATACCTCAGTCCCTAGTCCCTCGGCATTTTGGCCGATGTAGTTGGAAGGATTGGGGGCCTGTCTGTCAACTCTCCGAGATCTGATAGTACGCACTGATTCCTGTTGCGAAAATCACCTTATTGATAGAACTACACTCGTGGAATATCATTCGACCGAGCGATGCTATGGAGAAATGGTGTTAAACGTGATTCCACATACTCAGGCAGCAGGGTCGAAGTGGCTGAGTGGAAGGCCTTTTCCGGCAGCGGAAGCGTAGCGTGTTTCGAATTGGTGAATATATACAGCTACCCCACACCGCTCACGGGGCACGCACTATACTCCTTTACAGGTGGACTTAGCAGCAGAACATGAGTCGATCGACTAATTACTAAAACATGAGCTGGTGTACAAAGTCCAAAGACAATCCGCCCGGTTGAAGCAGCAGTGTCTGGAAAGTCCTTCGCCCCAGCAGCAGCGATCTCATTCTGTCGTCCAAAATGTTGTCTTTATGGAAACTTCTTCTTGGTGGCGCGCTCGCCATTGTGTCTGTGGCGCCTGGCGTCAACGGCCAAACTTATCCTGGCCCAGGTCCAGTCTCAGGTAGCACATTTGCTCACGATCCGACTGTGATCAAGACAACAAGCGGCGGTTACCTCATGGCATACACGGCGCCAGGCATTGCACTCAAGACTTCCACCGACCGTACCAACTGGCGCGACGCCGGCCTCGTATGGACCAACGCAAACGCGCCATGGACACAGCCGTACACAGGTGGAAACAGCGAGAATCTCTGGGCACCAGACCTCTCGTATCATAATGGCAGGTACTATCTGTACTACTCTGCTTCAACATTTGGATCTCGCAAGTCGGCTATCTTCCTGGCAACCAGCACTACCGGCGCAGCTGGGTCGTGGACAAACCAAGGCGTGATCATCGAAACGAATGCCAACAGCGCATATAACGCCATTGATCCAAATCTGATCGTTGATGCTGAAGGCAAGTGGTGGCTGTCTTTTGGCTCGTTTGGAAATGGCCTTAAGTTGATCTCCATCAACCCAAGCACCGGCAAGCGCTCTGGTAGCAACATGGTCGATATCGCCAGCCGAGGGAGTAGCGGCGCCATCGAGGCCCCGGTCATCTCCCGCCATGGCAATTACTACTACCTCTGGGTCTCTTTCGATGCATGCTGTCAGGGTGCTGCAAGCACTTACAACATCAGAGTAGGCCGCTCTACCAACGTTCAGGGTCCGTATATCGACCGAAGCGGCAAGCAGATGATGTCTAGTGGCGGCACTTTGATGTTGGCATCTCACGGTTCCATTCGCGGACCTGGGCACAACACTGTATTTACCGACAATGATGCCGACGTGCTCGTCTACCATTACTATAGGCAGTCCGACGGTCAAGCTCAGCTGGGCATTAACTTGATTCGCTACGAGAGCGACTGGCCAGTCATCTACTGAGCGCTACAACCTACATCTTCATTTTTTAGTCTTAACTATACCTACGTAAACGTACTACAATTCATGGAACATTACCTCATGCAGACAACCTATTCCCATACAACTTGATCGCTCATTGCGTTGGAAACATGCAACATATTGCACCTCCTACAACTCTCGACCAGTCGTCCCTGATGTGGCAGGACCTCAATTCGCTTTATGGCTTTAGTCACTTACTCTCACATTCGACTCAACGTTTCCAGTCTCACTAGGCAAACAGGTAGCATGCCTGAACATGTCCAATTTTACGATGGGATGCCGGCAGCAAGCATCTTGGATGGGCTCACTAATCTTTTTTGCGTTTCTGGGGGTGTCAGCCCGAACGTGCCTGGAAGTACATAAGTTACCCACTCGAACAAGAGATTGCGAGAAATGCAATAAACCGCGGAAAGGCACAGTTACTCATCTGGAGCGAACCCCGTCGCAGAAACCCTTCCCTGGGCGCGCGGCGCGCTGCTGGCTAACGGATCGTGTTGCTGGCTAACGGATCGCGATGCCCTTTATCTAGCTGGGTTCCTTTCGCATTCGCAAAGTTTACAGGTTCCAGCAGCTCGGGGTTTTCGCTTAAAGTTCCACCAATCTAGAATAGCTGCACTGTTCTCTTAGAGGCTCTGTGATGTACGAAGTATGTACACATACCGGGTCGGCACTACATAGCAACCCGACGTCGGCCTCTCTTGTATATGCGTGATAGCTGTCCACCATAGGAGGCCTCGCCGTGCTGTCCCTGTGGTCCACTAAAAAGGCTTATTCGGCCTAATACCGACCCCGCAATCGATACCAGACGCAGCCTGGAACAAGCACCAATAATGTTCAGTCGATCATGCATGTCGAAAACCCAGTCAAAAATTGTGTGCTGATGCGGCAAGTTTGTCGAGAAATAAGCATGCATCCAACGCAAGCCCTGGCCTGCAACCTTGGAAGGCAACACCCGGATTGCAAGCTCCTATCTTTGTACAGGCACACGTTTGGTTATCTAGCCAGGAGCTGCCCAACTCCTTCCGCTCCGAGATATCTTGCCCTTTTTTCAGACTGAACTCGCGTTCTTTCCATTGCAAATCACCCTTGTTGATCTTTACAATTGGCGCATCTCGCACAAAGAGAGTTACATTGCCTTTGTAAATGGCGCCAGTAAAGGATAAGAGATTCCTGCCTGAGATATGGGCTTTGTTCTCTATCGGCGTATTGTGGGTCGTGATGCGCTTCGCAGTGCGAATCCGGACGGTCGGCATCCGTGGCCTGCAGATCGACGACGGATTTGCCTTTATAGCGGTCGTATGCTGGGCTATCATCATCATGGGCATACACATCACGTATTTCACTGGCACGAACGTGGATTTTTCGGCAACAGAAGTGTGGGGCTTGAATGAAGATCAGATTGAGCAGGCATCATTTGGGTCAAAACTATACATCATCACGTTGTACGCGTAGTAAGTCTAACAGATGGAGGATAGGAGCTTGTAGCCAGTTTGAAACTGACTTCGGCCAGCATTTCGATGATATTCAGCCTCAAAGCAGTCGTCATCATCCTTTATCGGCGGCTAGCCTTCGGAAATTGGCAAAAGTTATTGCTGAACTTCACAGTAGCGGTATGTGCTATTGGATGGATATCCACGACTCTGATGCTGAGTCTCATGTGTCTTCCCTTCAAGAGAAGATTTATCGTCCGACCACTCCCAGACGACACGTGCACGGCATCTTCGACCTTCTTCATTGCTATCAGCTGCTTCAACGCATCCACAGATGCGCTTTTATTGACTGTACCACTTCCGATGCTTTGGACGTTGCGAATACCGCTCCTTCGACGAATTGGAGTATTTCTATTGCTCGCGTCCGGCATCTTTGTCATGGCGGCGTGCATCATCCGTGTCACGTTGACAGTTGTGCCAAACATCACGATCCGCATCATCGCTCGTTGGGGCGCTCGAGAGCTAGCCATTGCTCTTGTCGCTGTCAACACCGCTAGCCTGCGTCCGAGTAAGTGCATATTGGGGCTAAACTTCGATCTTGATATCAGCACCTGACATATGTTCTCAGTGTTCCGCGCCTCTTTTTGGTTATCGGAAAAAGCCGCTGCTGAACACGCTCACCGCCAGCGTGCTCGTGGTGCTTATGTCTGGGCGTCCTTGCACCGCGTTCAGAAGAAAATGGGTCATGTTTGGCCACTCGACTCCACGACGGCAGGCATGTCTACCATTCAAAACTTTGCTGCGGGAGAGAGCACAGCGTGTACAACAATATTAGAAGGTTCCGAACACCAGACCATAAACCTACCAGAGAGAGCGTTGCACTCAGATCACAAGCAAGCGAATAGCTTTGCGCGGAGTATTGTTTAGACACTAATGCATATGCCATCAGGTATTACTTCCATCCGCTTGGCTTTTCCACAACAATCCAGTGCATACCCCACTTTGTGAGTATCGTGCGTGGTATTACCGCTTAGGGCGAAGCGCTAACATTTACAATTGCTAACAACAATAACAAAGCGGTGTTAGAGAATTGCCATTGATACTATGCTCCTTCCATTGGAAGGCACAAAGCCAGAGCATGGAGACTGTACAAAGAACGAAGTTCTAGTCCGGTCGCGGAAATGAGCATCTATATCATGCTCAACTAAGATACCTATCCGCACGAACACAGAGTTCTACCCATGTACGTATTGCTGAAACCCGGGTCACCAGATTACTATATCCTTAATCCACGGAGAAAGCACAAGACTATCTATGTACGCAGACCCAAGACTGTGATCTATACAGAGTTTGCTGCCCGCGACTACACGCACAATAGAAGCCTAAGGTACCCGCGAATACAATTTGATCCGCAGCAAGTTTTGATCACAAAATTGACATGCGTCTCTATCTCCGCATGGACATGTGTTCGAGAGTGGATAGGTCAGAACGCATCCCGGGTACCTTACATATATTACTACATTGCAGTTTTACCATCGAGCGGTTCGCTTCCGACCATACTAGTGCTGCAGATGTGTGGGTCACATGGTGTTCCGAGAGACTATCGTATTCTGTTGCGCAACTAGTGTAAGCTCTATTGTACCTTCATCTCGCTGTCTTCCGCCTCGCAACATCTTATGAACGCAGATCTGCTTGTCTTCGATTTGATGTACTGTCAATTCGCTGATAACCTTAGAATTGCGAAAGTCTGGGCTTGCTGCTAGCCTATATCGTAGGGCATAGGTCACACTCCCGGTCATCACCGCCATCAATGGAACTAGCATCTGTTATTTGACTTGTATCTGTGTATAGATCGGAGACAACATCGCTCCGTGTTTATGCGAGGTTTGATGACTGTACAACAAACGGTCAGGCACCACCACACAGGCCGCCCGAAAAGTGCGAGCGACCTCGCATTACTCAAACCTAGGTGGTCCCGAACATAGAACGATGGTAATCCGACCATTCCCGATTTTTGATCTCATAAAACTTCTCGTGATTTTAACAAGGGACCCGTGGCGTGGGGGAACCACCCTAAGATTCCACAAAAGTGGCAACGCTGCACGTCGAAGCACGTTCCATCTATGTGAGTATATAATATGTAGGTACCTCATAGTATGCAGCACGAGAGAAGCTAATAAGGCGCAATGCTATGCAGCGCGCGCAGACGTTGTACTTACATGCTTGACTAAACGCTATTGAGACAATAGCTCTTGGGTGATGCGGGGCGGACTCTCCCGTCGGGTTACGAAGTTGCACAGCTTCCCGGCATCTCGGCACGGCGGAGTCTCGGTGTTCAACAGCCAGTAACACCAGCCCGGTATTGGTGGCGGGCCAAGGTTTTGTTACGGTGAGCGGAAACATGCGCAGCAGGGTATGCAGCGCGCCTGGAGACCCACTGACCTGTCCATTGGCTTACGATATTGGAGAACTGGAGGCGATCCCCGTGTGCAACCCTTGTTCGACGCCAAATGTAATGAGCAGGCTGTGCAGGACGCCTAATGCCAGCAAAATCATTGATACATCCGCGTGCCCCTAAAATTGTTTTGTGCGTCTTGACATTGTTCGATTGCGATTCCTCAACGCTCACCAACAATTTCTTCGATACGCGAATCTGACATCTCAACGCGGCGAGATAAAATGGCGGCATGTTTCAATACGAGGGGTAACGAGACGACGTGGGACAGCAAAGTCCATGTCCCGTGTAATATGACCGCAGTAGAGGCCGGAGGCCATTCGACATGCTGCATAATTGGCGACCTCTGTCTCACGAATGGCATGTGCATGCACAAAGAGGACGTCGACAAAAAGAATTGGTATTGGCGAACAGGATGCACAGATAAGACATGGGAAGACCCAGCATGTCCTAAATATTGCGAATCGATCGGTAAGTTTACAGGGCAGTTTGTGTCCTCCGAGATCTTGATGTTGACCTTCGTAGAACCCACAAGGAACACGGGTCTTATCATGAATTGTCTCCAACCAGAGTCCTGGTGCTGTGCTTATGTCGGGGGTAGTCTCCAGGATTGGAAATCACAGGCCTCGATCAACACAACATGCTGCACCATCGACGACCTTAAATTCTCGGCGGAAGATCCTATCGTGTATGCCACGGCAACCAATCCCATCCGACTCAGCACACAATCAGCTTCGACTAGCACCGTTCTCAGCACCATATCGCAAGCCACGACCGCAATGACAGCTGATCAGTCTAGTTCGCCCACAACAGCTGTCAATTCACAACAGAGCTCGGACTCAGCTGGTCTAACTACCGGCGCGAAAGTCGGACTTGGTGTTGGGATACCTGTCGGCGTCATTGGGCTTGCTGCGATCGGCGCCTTCTTCTGGTTACGGCGGAGACGGAACGTAGGACCCAGCAGCAACCCACCAGAGCTTTACACGCCTGAAGCAAGTAGCAAAGGAGCCGTGCCACCATACCAAGAGACAGCAATGAATCATCAAGGAGCTGCGGTCTACCGACACGAGGCACCATCGTCACAAGTGGCTCATGAGTTGCCTGCAGCCGTCGAGCCATCAGAGCTGCCGCTTCAAGGCAAGCTTGTCCGGTAGCGGGAATGAGAGCAGATCTATCGACATCTACTTCGAACGCAAAAATTGCTGTTTACCGCCCCCTACCACGTCCTGGCCGTAGATCACAGCTACAAATGAGCCTGTTGGATTTCTCTCAAACTTCATTAGTCCAAGCCTCTTACCGGTAGTTCCGGTACTCTGGCTCTCGGCTACGTCTCGCGGGATTTTACGGGCTCTTTTCTTCAAACGACTGTCCGTTTCTCTACTAATTCACATGTGTTATTCCTGACGACGAATTCGTTTTGAGCGTTCGCATCGCCACTAGGCATTTGCATCAGGTGGCGAGGCTAGTCGATGGTTTGAAATGCCAGAGCAGTGTACCTGACTATATGATTCCACGCTCAGCTAACGTAGTGGGAAAACATCCGATACCCTTGCGATTACATGTATTTTTAACAACGAAACCATTCATTGCCATCATCGGATCACTATATTGTAGTGGCTGATATCAAAGCAATAACAGATGATCGTATTACCAAAACCGTGCGAGTGTGAAACTACTCAATAAATCGTGTCATGCGCGTATTGTCATCAATCTAAGGGTTCTGACTAGAACAGCGTGAAAATCGAGGGTTTTGTCTGACTAGGTTAGGATAATATCGAGGTTGCTGTTATTGCTATTGAGAACACGTCCTTGTGTTTTCTCGTATTCTGCCTTGCCCGTGATCAGCTATCAGCCCTGGTTTCTGGCTTTCGCGACCTTCGTTTCTCTACTACCCCTGTATCTGTCTCACCTCCCCTTGTCATGGTACTAGTTAGCGTACACAACAATCACATACGAACACAACTGAGCGTTAGTCGCAAAGTCCTATGCAAAGGCAATTACGTTGTCACTTCTGATGCATGATGCTCAAGATCGTAAAAGTTATAAGCGCTATAATTCATGGGTCAAGCCGTGTTTCTTGGTCTCCGTTCTTGAGATAACAAACCCGATCAGGTAGGGGTATCCGAAGGTCCGCATTGGCGTCCCTTGCACAATCAAGGCTTTCTGGATTACTATGAACCTCTTAGTCATCCAGAGGCGTGGATGGAAAAAAATCGTCTTGGTTCAATATTGGTCACAGGGCAGGGATGCAATGGGGGTCAATTTCGATTCTAAAAACAATGAATTGATGATGCTTGCAAATAAATTCGACTACTCGAAAAGAAGATGGACGGATGAGATGGAAATTAGGTACTTCCTCCATGAACATTATCAGACCCTTCCTCCATAAATATTATCAGGCCTTTCCTCCATGAACATTATCAGGCCCTTCCCTCATGGACATTATAATCGACTATCCTTCACCACGATCGATCCCTCCAAGATCACTTCTGGACCCCCTCTTGATCATTCAAACTCAAGCGTCGCCAACAAACTGAATAGTCTCTGCTCGCTCAGTAATCGTCTTGCCGAGAACTTCGAAGTCCATTCGCTCCATCGAAGGGTACACGCATGCCTTCTGTGGCACTCCAGCCTCGCCCACAACAGCCATCAGCTCATCCGACATAAAGTCAGCGAGTTTGTTCTTCAGCCCCTGTGGCATGAGCTTTGAGTGATAGATCGTGCTCAGACCTTGTGCCTGCATCTTGAGAATATGCTCCTCGCCCTTGCCGAAGTCGTGAATGTGGGGGTTCAGTGTCTCGATTTGGAGAATCCTAACCTTCTTTTCCAACAGCGTGAACTCGTCACGCTTCCAGTCCGCATCGCTGAATGGAGGAGGAGAGCCCGGCGGGGTTGGTGGCAGAACACCAGAGCGTTCCCAAGCATCGACCAATTGGAACGGCTCGACCGCGTAGCCATTTGCGAACTGGAGCTGCAGTGCAAGCTCGATCGACATAGCATGTTCACCTGCGTTAGCGGTCTTGATTAGATCGATGTTGTCGTGATCGCCAGTGATAGAGGCAAGCAGGTGGTTCATCCAGGAATTCACGACACGCGAGCAGCGTCCAGATTCCTGGGCAACGAGCTTACCGTCGACGATCTTGGGCTTGGACTTCCACTTCAGACGTACCATGGCCAGCAGCTCTTGCTTGGGCACGGATGCTGAAGAAGTGTGTTGCAACGCATGAGATAGGCCTGCTGCAAATACCTTGCAGTATTCGTGCACGGCTCCAGGTACGAAGTTGTCGGCGTCGATGAAGCCCACGAACGACTTCTTTGCAAGCTTTGCTAACGCAGTGCCAATCATCATGGCTTCGCCCTTGCCGTTGCGAATGCGAATGCCAGTGCTATTCTGCAAGTCTGTGTCAGCTTTGGCGGTAGTGATGTGCGGCATACCAGCTTTGGCAAAGGCACTAGCTAGACCTGAGTCTTGCTGGTGGACTGCAATGCCTTGACGGTAGGTATCAGTGCAGAAATCATTGAGCATTGCGCATTCCGCTTTGAAGTTCTCAGCGCTGCTGTTGGAGACCAGAATGATCAGGCAATGGTGTGGGATGCCATGCAGTACGCCCTCGAGAATAGAGTGTTCCTCGTTCATGCAAGGCACGATAATTGCAAGTTGCTTCTCAACTGCTTCGAGGGATGACTGAGAGAAGGCGGCAGTCAGGGTTCCATCCTTGAGTGTATCGTACTGGTTTGGTCCTGCAATGAGGCCAGAGTCTAGTGCTATGACCTTCGATACCGCATCGACCTCGATATTGCCCACCTGGGACATGTTATCTGTGAAGTTCAGCCGCATGTGTGATGACTTGTAGTTGTTGTGGAGTTGTTTTGAAGGGTTATAGGTACGATGGAGCTCATAAGTATATAGTTGGTGGGGCGCAGGCACATTGTTCGGCTTTTCACTGTGCACGTACTGTGAATGTTGGTGTGGTATCGACGCATCGTGTAAACAAAGAAGTGGCACTGCGGCACAACGTCCGATGGACCTGAACAGTCTGATGCTTCCTAGGAAGGGATCCACCGTGAAACCCTATGCAAGGTCCCTTATCGGCGCCGTGCCGAGCCGCAAGCATCAGTGGTATGGATGACCGGTGTGCCGTTGCATGTACTGACCTCTTTTCTGTGACAGTGAAGTATTCTTCCGCGAAACCTTCCAGTTATCGTTACAGAAGATCCTCATGACGAGCTTATTGTGCTGCTTCATCCCACACTTGAAGTGATTCCCTCCAGTGATGGTGATGAGCCAACATGCGGACAATTACTCAAGTCGGCTTGTGGCAGACAGGCACCAGTATTCGAGTTCGAATTGACTGTGGCGCCCCAATTTCTTTGTTCTCAGGAAGGTTCGATGACTTGCGGAGCTTGTTCCAAGACCTTACAAGGATTCGATTAATGGCACAGTTCACTGCGCTTTGAGGTATACTACCCTCATTGTCCACGGGATTGCAACCTTTCGAGGTCAAGAATAGGCTTTATACCAATCAAGATAGCAGGTCGAGTTCTATGACAGGGTCCGTCCCTTGTGGTAGGAGGAAACGCGTCTGACCTATAGATCAGGCCACTTCAAGGCTCGAACAGGCTACAACGCCCCTCATTAGCTAACTCTTCCCACGCCTCATTCAGAAATCGAGCCATTTGTCTGCTGTTTGGCGGAACTCCATACACTCCCGCATTTCGACCCTTGCGCGGAACCTTCATGTGGAAACTGGATGAGCTTGGGAGGTCGTGGTACTCGCGGTCGAAAATCGTTGCCAGACGGGCAGGCACCAGTTCGACCTCGAGGAGTATCAACGTTCGTATAAGTCCCAGCGATTAGGAATGTCCGCGTCTCTCCCGTACTCGTAAAGCTTGCACGTTGCGACCAATACAGGGTATATTACCTGAGTGCTAAAGGACCCCTCGCGGAGCAAGGATCATAGACGGGAAAACTCCTCCGGTTTCAGTATTGTAGACCCAGTCTTTCGTAAGGGACGTTGCTCGGTCAGTTAGACGCAATACTGCACAGACGTGTAACCGGTTTTCTGGCGCTCGGATGCGCAGAAAGGGACGGTGATGGAAACCCACGCGTCTGCGTTCGTCAAGTTTGTACACCGCCAAGACCGTTGGGGCAGGATGCGGGACGCACTCGGCAAGGATGTTGCGCTCGTAATTGTATTTCTAATAGCTACGCATTACACAATCTTCGTGGCTTTGGGAATGTACCTACGAATCAATGATCATCTTGATCCGTTAGACGACGTTGAGCTGGTTGAACTCCACACCCGGTGAAGACCATCAGGGTCCGTCTTGTCTCTCTCGCCAAGTACCACTCTTTGACACCACGAGCACCAGCTCCTCAGCTTGCCGTCATTCTCTCTTGGCAGCCATTGCACGGACTTATCGCGTTCGTCTTCGTACATTTTCACACACTCACCGACTCTGGTGTATTTCTTATGTTTCACCTTAAGCACGCCGCCGATGCCCTCCATCTCTTGGGCGAGATAGCTTGTGCCTCGCCACCTTTCTGGCGACTCCGGGGTATTATGGCTTCGGTCTTGTGCAGCAAGAGCCTCTAGTGTCTCTGCCTCACATGTTTCGTGCTCGACGATCTTCGCACCAAGACAGCTGGGGCCGCGGCCGCACTCGACACCTTGTTCCCCCTCACCCGCTCCTGTGCCGACACCACCTAGATAGTGGCTATAACGTGTGCGCCAGCTCCAGCCAAGAACGTAGTTGGTGTCGGCTTTCTTAAGGTGTTTGCCACACGGTGCGCACAGCCATACGACATTATTGCAATTGCAGGGTGTTCGTTCGAAGGCCGGTGCAGTGAATGATCGAGGCGCATCGCCAGCCCAGAATACGGGGTGGGAATTCGGCGATGACGGCGGCGACGGCGACCCGCCCGATGATGACGTCTGCTCCTTCGTCACAGCCATGAGCAGCGGCAGAGGAGCTTTGGTACATGTTCGACATATCCTGCGATGGCGTGCGCGCAGCGCAGGTGTGGGCGGCGGTTTCATCGTGCAATTCTGTTTGCCGTCAGCGCCGTTCTCAACCTCCCGGTAGGAGACGTCATACCCGACACACGACCTTTGCGCAGCGCTGACACTCGCCCACCATGTCGCGCGCGCAATGGCCAATCTTCCCGCTGGTCAGATGCCGCGACGACTGAAAGTCGCCCGGTCGCTCGCGAAACCGCGCCTGCAACTGCGAATCGGTGTCGTCATCTTCGAAGCAGCAGTGCAACGTGTGCTTGATGAGCTGGTCGCGGTACTCGAGCAAATTGGCACGGAACTGCCGGCACGTGCGGGACAGATCATGAAGTGTGTTCAGATCGAGCTGGCCGGCCAACTGCCTGACTATACTGTTCGGTCGACGTGGTTAGCATGCCACTATGACGCGGAGCTTGTCCTTGCTAAAGGTGGTTCAGGCTCACGGATAACAGCTGAGGGCTGCCGAGAACCCGTTGATGTTAGGGTTCGGCCTCTCATCTGCTGTTTTCGCATGTTCGTTCCTTGTTGAGGCCAGCAAGTCGTGCAGCAACGGCTTCACATCCGGTATGTTGGTAGTTGACGTATGGGGGGCAAGATACGCAGGAAGCGCGTCCTCTTCCAGATCAACTAGAACCACCATCGTGGAAGTATGCAGCAATAATGCACTGCATTGGAGCCAGGGGCAGGCTCAAGATATACAGAGACGACGCCTGGATCGTGTTGTCAGAGCGATGCCGGCGTCATGACAGCTGAGGCATTGGTGCGGACGGGAGTGCCCCACTTATCACGGAAAATCTAATCAGATGGATTAGCACACACCATCAAACAACCCACCACAACCCATTAGCAACGCGTCTACCGCTTCTAGACTGCGCTTGGCACGCGTTAATTCAAACTACCTCGTGACATGATTCAGCCAGCGTGCTACCTAGGCATGTTGATCAGCCCCTGGAGGTAAGAGATTCAACATATCCACCATTCTATCACGATACACCCAATGAACCGCACCGATACGGCACATCGCAGGAAAATCATCGAAGCCTATACGCTCTATTGAAAAAGAACATAGACAAGATAGTCGAATCCTCTTACCTAGTACCATATCGCCGAGCGGCCGGTGCTTTAGCCAGTCCGAACTGCACGCGACTGTGCTTCGTGCTGGCCGGATCTGTTCTCACATCAGCAAACGCTTTACCTGAAGGGTATCGTCCAATCAAACTTGCAAAGCCTTAGACAAGAGCCGCGAGGCATCGACGTTCATTGCTTACACAATTGATGGCCCCCTGGAGGCCCATTCTCGTACCTGTCGTGCACATCTCGCAGTCTGGCTAGCTTTGATCTCCTTAACCGTAACGTTTAAGCTCGTCAGATTCTCGGTTCGCCCACGTCACTCGGCTATTCAAGTACTTCGCCTTCGGCTGCGGACTCGGAGCCAGCAAGCATGATTCTAGTAAGGATCGACTATTTGGTAACCTACCAATATCACTCGCAGCAGTAACTTGCATGTTGACTGCAACTTCGACTGAACCAGGTCAACTTTCTACTTGGAAGTCGTCGGGCAACACTCTTGTTATCGGTTCCACCCTCAATTCTGTGTGGCTGACGACAACAAGATGTGCGAATAACCACGCACCCATTGGATAAAGTCACGCGACTGGCGGTGTACGGAGGTAACTGATTTCCTCAAGCTAAGAATAGCAATATGTTACTACTCTTGTTTGAGAATCAACTCAGTAATTAGCGGCTGAGCAGGCAGTAGCGGTAAGCTGACCAGTGTATGCTAGGCATCTTGTGGATATGTTAGTCCACATGTGCTCCTTATAGCATCCAATCTCGACATGATTGTCGTTGTGTCGCTCCAAGAACAAGTTGCGTTCTCCTGCCTCCCCGCACGGATATCCTCCGCGACTGCATCGGCCTCATAATGGAAACCGAACCCGGGAACTTCGAAATCCAGTCGTTCCTCCTCCTCGTCCTGTACTCTGATCACCAAGTAGCCAGGCTTGGACGCTGCTACACCTCCCACTGATATGGAGCCCTTGGATCCCTCGATGCGTGCGAACTCCGCTCCGCTCTTGTATAACAGCGACGCTGAGCAGATGGCCTGAGCTTTGAGATCCGAATATCTCAAAACTGCAGTGACCTGTTCGTCTATCCTTTCAGCAATGTCGAGTTTCTCATTATGGAAGGTCATCGTCGCACTCATGTCCGGCGATGTATTGGTCTGGCGACTAGGTGATTTGTCGAGAATAATGGACGCCCAGGTCAGCGAGTAAATACCAATGTCGAGAAGAGCTCCTGCGCCAAGCGCCTTGGAGGCGACGCGGGTTGTGGGGTCGGCTTTCCCGATGGGCATGTTCAGACCAAAGTCCACGAATACGGCGGCAATATCCCCAATAATCTTCTCTTCGTATAACAGGGAGTTCAATTTCGTGGTGATTGGGAAAAAACGTGTCCAGACAGCTGGTCTGGCACGTTAGAAAGGTGGCACTTGGGACACACGGCGACGGAGTACTGACCTTCCATTAGAAATACGCCTTTCTCACGTGCTGCGTCAATCATTTTCTTGGCATCTCGGGAATTGACTGCAACTGGCTTCTCGCACAGCACATGTTTGCCAACAGCGATTGCATCAAGCGTGTTTTCGCAATGGACTACATGTGGTGTTCCAATATACACGATGTCTACATTTGGGTCGTTGTATAGGTCCTGATATGAGTCGTATACAGTCGGTTGTTGCGAAGGACAATGTTTCGAAACAAACGTGGATCCTTTGCTCTTGGAGGAGGAGGCAACGGCTTGCACGATGTGTTTGGTTGTTGCGCCAGGCCTGTCCGCGAGACACAGGTCAGCTACGAACCATGAGGATATTAAACCGCATCCTAAATCCCAATTCTGTCAGTCAATTGAGACTGACTTGTACTGTGCCAAACGCAATCTCACCAACAATACCCCATCGCAGGGTGGGTAGCTCTGACGTCGCCATTTTCGAGGAGGTTTTGTCCTTGTTGCGCAATTGCACAAATCCGGGGCTGAAGCTTGATTTAACCGTGCAAACGATTCAGTCTCAGGCGTTCAAGTGGGCCATGTCCATTGCCGAACGTGGAGCCGACTTCATCCCACACAAACCCCAGAGTTGAGTCGTGGGACGAGGCCCCGAAACTCCGCGCGGGTGCTCTTCGGCTGTGGGATCTGGGCTTCCGCGGGGTCATGTCATGGTATCCCCGCGGCTCTCCATTAAGCGTGACATGCAAAACGTATTCACGTGGCCAGATTCGCATGTATCTACGATTCGAGGTTCTGGCAGGCAGGTGTCATCCACTTGTTCGGGATGTGGAAGTCGTCTTCCGAAACCCCAAGCATAGGTCTGGGCGTACGCTTCGGCCCACAACCAAATCGGGTGCTCGACAACTGCAGCTGAATGAGGTAACGTCAAGCACAATTTTGATGAGGATCTGTACAAGGAAGAAGTGGTGTATTGATTTGCTAAAGTCTCTCATGTGGACCCAGTCCGGAGGCTCTTGTCATGCATCATGATCATAGAGAATATTTCCAAGTCATGCAGAGCATCCTCCGGAGTCGTTTTGACTGGCTTGCCCTCTGTTACCAGCTGCCACAATTCCTTCAGCTCCAAGGTGTAGGCGTCCTCATATGATCGACGGATGGTGGTCTCTTTGAACACGCCATCGATATTTTCTGAGACGTGCATGGTAGTTGGCAAGCCCTTGACATAGGGCGTGTTGTATTGTATCTTGACTGTCTTGTTCAGACCGTATATCTCAATATGCGCATCGAAGCGGGGGATGTTGTCGATACCAGATTCGTACGATACTGTGAACTTGGGGTATTTGAACAAGACACTGTGGAAACAATTGTGTCAGTCTTTCCCTGTTTACTCACTTTCAGTGAACCACTTACTTCCAGAAAGGGTATCCCAGTGATGAGCCCACAATTCTTTCAGGCATGCCGAGAACATCTCTCATGACTGATAGATCGTGAGAACCAAGTCCGCCGAGAATCCGCCACATGAGTGTCGACTCAGGCGTCACGGGTAAGCCTCCACACTCAACACCGAGCGCAGTTTCAACCATCTCCTTCGCTCTTGACTCACGCTCTCGTGAAGCTTCCGCTGCGATATCATCGAATTTCTCAGGAAAGGTTCCAGATTGACCAACAAAAGCTGCGTTCGGTCCAATGATATCTATACAAAGACATTAGCACAAGAGATCCAGACGCATTTCGGAGACCGACCTCTGACCCGGGCATACAAAACTTGATCGATGCCCCCTATTTCTCGCAATGCATCTTCGAAGGGTGCAGCATATCGCCTCATGTAACCGACCATGACTTTCCCAACACTCTGTTTCTCGGCTTCGATGACCGCCTGGATATCGCGTTTTGTCAAAGCCAGTGGCTTCTCCACCATTACGTGCTTGCCATGTTGAAGTGCAAGAACAGCATGTGCAGCGTGGTACTCATCCGAGTTACACACAAGGACCACGTCAACATCTGACGAGGCACAGAGTTGCTTCGGATTGAGAGTAGTCTTTGGTGCATTTGGAACTCTGGCTGCGCAATGTTCCAACGCAGTTGGTGACACATCGCATAAGTAGGTGATGCGGAACCAGCGATGCATGAACCCAAGGGTTGGAATATGAGCCACCTGAGCAATTTCACCACATCCAATGATGCCGACATTAACAATCTTTTTTTCCTCTGGAGGTTGCATGGCCGATTTTTGAGATCGATAGTAGAGATGGTTGATGTGAATTCTGGAGTCAAGCAGCTTTGTTCTTGTTGTATTAAGACGCGCCGACAGAGCCAGATAAACTTTTGAAACGATGCAAATAAGGGCCCCAACAATGACATCAACAGCGTTCTTCGGCACCAGCAACCGGGCACCCAGGCTCTGTGTTCTGCACGGCATGTGAACACGCGACTACCCACCTAGATACCCGAGTGTCCCGCATAGGCTTGGTAGCCACAATGCGGGGTCGTGTTTAGTGTCGGCACGTCGGACTATCCGCCTCCCACCTCCTGTACTGAGTATTTGGTATCTTTTCTATGTAAATTGACAGAGCCCGGATCTCCGCGAAGGCGTCCCCACCCCACACAATTCTCTGGATCGCCCAACAGAGCCCACATGGCACATGCTGCATCCGCCTCCGCGGCCGCAGTCGATAGTTGTTCCACAGCACCAGCCGCAAGCGAAGAAATATCTTCAGAAGTAACACGCAAACGCCGCCGAACTGAAAAATCAAGAGTTGGGGCAGCTTATCCACGGAAGAGAGCTGTTGCTGCATGTCAGCTTTGTCGCGTACGAAAAGTCAAATGTAACAATGCGCGGCCGTCCTGTGGAGGCTGTTTATCTTCTCAAATCTCATGCGTATACGAGGACAGCCAGGATCATTCTGCGTATGTAAGATGGGGATTTGATGTGATTTTGTGGCAGTTAACGAAATATACAGGTTTGATCCTGCAAGTATCTTAATTCTAGACCGTCTCAATCAAGTCCTTGCTAGACTGGATCAGGGCCCGTCATCCTCTGCGAATACCTCACCGACAGCACCCACTCCTGGGGACTCAGTTCACGCGTCGACGACTGCTACTAGCGATCTAGATCTAGCCGTAGAACAAGAGTCCTACGATCAGCTTCGCGTCCCTTCAAGCCAGACGACACCTGATACTATCTTGTCATGGCCGGTCTTCCAACGCCAATTCCCCGCCAGCTTCACTACCGACTCGGTATTCGAAGCCGAAGTCTCTGAAGACATTCAAGACTCATCCCAAAATGATCATACAAGATTTGGTCAGAAGGTTGGCGGCGTCAATGAAGAGTGTATCCCAAAGTTAATCAAACAATTCTTACAATATGTCCATATTAAAAACCCTGTCGTCGACATGGACACAATCGCAATGTACGCCCATACCGTAAGTGAGGAGGGCATCAAGTGGGACACAGCTTCCTGCCTCGTAGTGAGTACCCTAACCGTTACTCCCTATCTCTCACTTGGATGTCAAGTACTGCAGCTGATCTCAAAGAGATTCTTGCTTGTGCGCTCGGATGTGTCGCCAGGCCGTTTCGCAATGACCCTTCTTCGCCTTTGCAATGCACATCACTCGATTATGATGAAGACGCCCTTCGTCAGGGTGAGGCATATTACAATTGTGCTCGCAGGAGGTTCGGATTACTGAAAGCAGGTATCTCTGCAACACAGTGCCATTTCTTGGCAGGTGTTTATCTAATGTACACCATGCGGCCGTTGTCTGCATGGTCTCAATTCCGCTCTGCCTCGGCGTCATACCATCTACATCTAGACTTTCAAGCTCGACGAGTTGCCCGTTACGGCTGCGCTCCTGTATCCCCGGAGCGGAGACATCTTGAAACAAGCCTTTATTGGAGCTGCTACAAGTCCGAATGCGAGCTTCGCATGGAGCTGAACCTTCCCGATAGTTCTCTGGTCAACATTCAGTATCCAGATCTGCATCCAGTTCCCCCTTGGACGGATACTTCTAGCATATCGATCGAACAATTAGGTACTGGAAAAAAACCTAGGCAAGCTTCCAGTGATGCCCTTGACTTACAACAACAAGAGACCAGCTGGTTCTATTACCTGACGGAAATTACCTTACGTCGACTCAGGAATTCGGTTCTGAACACACTTTACGTCAAGGACTATCGAGAGTGGACCGACGAGCAGATCCCATACATGACGCGAGCTGCAATCGAACTTGAGCAGCAACTAAAAGAGTGGTAAGTGTAGCGGAACCTCCAGCTTTCGTGTGCTTCAGTAATCTGATTAAGGTGGTCATAGGTACAACGGTTTGCCCGCACCACTGCGATACGAAAACGACGTGATACCCTCCGAAGAACTCCCCTGGTTGGCTCGGGGACGCGAACTCGAGATTCGAATACAAATCTACCAACCGTTCCTGTACTATGCCATCCACCAACTTTGTAACAGTTCGTATGGCAGTACTGTGATACCTCTTGCACAGAAAGCTCTCTTGTGGAGTTTCTACGTTATTGAGGAGTTCCCTACTCGGCACAGACATCATGGAACTTGGTACGGTATTAGATTCAACATCTCCGCGTCGTTTCTTATCCTTGCTGCTGTCAAGAGTGAAGCGTTATCAGTACGCTCGGATTGGCAGCGCATGATGTCTGCCAGCATTCACAGGTTGGCATACTGGAAAGACGAGGCACCCGGACTGTCAGAAGCTATTGAAGTAATTCAGTATTACCTCTAGAAACATATTACGTAACTGTAACTTCCTTCGACTTACTGGCATTTCGTGTTACGAGATTATCTGAGCCTAAGTCGTTATTTTGGTCACATTCACTGGGAAAGATAGTCTCGGTGCTGGTCATTCTCGCTGCCTGCGATCGGCTGAAACGCGGTGTGGTGATCTCAACTTGACTAGGTTTACTTGGCATCAGCATCCTTCGCGGGGCTTGGCTTCACGAATAATGTGGTAATTCCGAACAACAATGGGAGTTTAGATGCCTCCAACTGCGATTGTAACTGGTGTTGACTTTTCGACCATACTTTTTGGGACTTGTGGTCAACGGCTAGGAGTGGGTCTTACCAGAATCATGGAAGGCGTTGGGCTAGAGGCTCGCCCATTGGTTGACGTACTATAAACTCTGTTCAGACATGAGTCGGTCCTTTGTTGAGCACGCCCGAGACTCCCCGAACTTTCCAAGTCCCAGCTGTTGCCCCATGCGCTTCTGTCGAGGCGTTAGCCCTGCTTTTCAGCCGCGCATTGCATCCGACCCCGAATTTCCCCACACTCTCACCCCTCATGCAATCCCTAGTCTAGCCGCTGGTTGGGAGCTTGTTTGGCGTGCACCAACAACATCCCTTGTCCGAGATCCCCGAGCTACACTACCTCCATCAATACTGCTTCGAGGCGAGGAGCTTCTCGTGGCTATCCTGCCTACCCGGTCAGGACCAGGAAGTCCCCTTGGCATGAACGAGTAAGACTATATGAAGACATGCATATAAAGGTGCATGCTCTCCACGTCTCAAGGATTGTCTACAAGAAGCTTTCTCAAGCACATTTGGTTGCGACCACGCCCACTCTTCTACTATTCATCAACAGGCACACGTCTGTTCCGACAAGATGTTTGGCAGATCAAAGAAACTCGAGACCAAAACCCACGCGGTCGGCGCAGGACTTGCCGCTGTTCTTCCAGTCAATGAAGCACCATGGTACCAGCAGTCTCATCTGCTTTATCTCAACTTCTTATGTGTCTCCATGGCGTTGCTCACGGCGGCGAATGGATATGATGGCTCTATGATGAACGGGCTGATGACGCTACCCCAGTGGTTCACCTTCATGGACAATCCGCGCGGCGCATGGCTCGGTTTCATCAACTCAGTCCAAGCTCTTTCCTCAACTGTCGCGTATCCATTTGTCGCATACTTTGCCAACCGCTGGGGTCGCAAGAAGGGCTTGTTTGTTGGCTACGTTTTTATTGTCGCTGGGTCCATGTTACAAGGTTTTGGCCCCAACTCTACCAGTTTTATCCTTGGAAGAGTTCTCCTCGGACAGCCCAGTGCATGGTGGGGAGGTCTTGGACCACTTGTTGTTACAGAACTCGCATATCCAACACACAGAAGTTTTCTGACTTCTTCTTACAATGCTGGATGGTATGTTGGCTCCCTCTTGGCCGCATGGGCTACATTCGGCACACGCAACTATGCCAGCGATTGGGCTTGGCGTATTCCCTCGATCCTGCAAATCGCGATCCCAATTGTTGCTTTGCCTGCCGTTCTTCTGGTTCCGGAATCACCGCGATATCTGATCTCTAAGGGTCGCTCTGCTGAGGCTCGCGCAATTCTTACCAGGTTTCACGCTGGCGGCGACGAAGGATCGCCTCTTGTCGAGTTCGAGATGAACGAAATTGAGGTCGCAATCGAGCATGATTCACAGATATCCAATGGTACTTCCTGGATGGATCTAATCTCCACCAGAGGAAACCGGCACCGCGCCTTTATTTCGGTCACACTGGGTGCATTCGCTCAGTTCAATGGTGTCTCTGTGGTATCTTATTACCTTGCAGCTGTGCTCAAGACCGCAGGTATCACATCTATCACCCAACAGACACTCATCAATGGCTGTCTCCAGATTTGGAACTTGATTCTGGCCATCAGCGCTGCTGCAACGACGGACTCTGTGGGACGTCGACCCCTTTTCTTGATCAGTTCCGCGGGAATGCTGGTCTGCTTTGTCTCCATATCTGGCCTCTCAGGCGGCTTTGCATCAACTGGATCCTCTAGTATCGGATTGGCTGTCATACCATTCCTCTTCCTCTACTACGGCTTTTATGATATTGCATTGTGAGTATCATCCCCCTCCCAGACTTGCATTGAAGTACTGATGAACATTGTAGCACGCCACTGATCGTGTCTTATCCCGCTGAGATCTGGCCCTACCACCTCCGTGCGCGTGGTATTGCGCTTACACAGCTTTCTACCTACCTGTCGCTCTTCTTCAATATCTTCGTCAATCCCATCGCACTGGACGCGATTGCTTGGAAGTACTACCTCGTCTTTGTCGGTATCCTCGTAATCGTCAATATCACAGTCTACTTCTTCTACCCAGAAACTGCTGGGCATTCCTTGGAAGAGATGGCTATTGTCTTCGACAAAGTGGATGCTATTCTCGGAACAAACGAGAAAGACATGGAGGCGATCACAGTAGAGAACATCAAGAACCGACACGCAGTCTAGTGCGAGTCTCGAGGCCTCGGAAGAGAATCTGTATCTTGGTTGGTGCGAACAGAAGCTATTTTGTAGAGAATTATGTCCCAAGAAGATTTTTGTATTTGCACTCAATGAACATGATCCGCATACGTTTTCCCTACAAATTCAGTCAATCAGCAACGTGTAGCCCCACGCATACTCGGCCTACAATGCAAAACGGAAGTCAGGGTGTTCATCGCCCAACTCTTTCACGCTGATCTCTAACACCTCCGGTAGCGTGGCCCTTATCTCGTCGCGTTTCCTGTTCTCCCACTTGCATCCAAGCCACGTAATGGTGGCGGCCAAGGCTCCCATACATGCCAGACCAAGGCCAGTGCTAAACCCGGTACGGAATTTCGGTGACTCTTTGAACATGAAAACGTTAGAGCTGACGAATGCGCCAGCAGTGCCGAAATTGATAATCGCGGCAATGGCTACGGCACGTTTGTACCCGCTACCAGTATTCATAGAAACCCAGATGATTGAAATCGGCATAGCGAGATAGCACCCGCAAGCGATGAAAAACATGCCCATGTAGCGAACCTTCGGACTCTCCGGATGAACGATCTCAACTACAAGGCCGGACGCAAGTACAGCCCAACCCAGGATGTAAAAGTAATAGCGACGCTGCAAGTACTCGCTCATATAAGCAAACGCCACTGAGAAGACGGCGCCCACAACATATACTGGAATGGAGTGGACTTGTGCTTGGGTTGCAGTGTAGCCAAGGCCCCTGAGAATCGTTGGCTGGAAGTTGGCGAGCGAGTTCGCGTTCTCGGTGACGCCGAGATTCATCGCAACTCTAATTCTGAGTCAAGATATACCCTCTTAGTATAAGTGAATGGGCCGACTTACCCTGTCCAAATCTTCCAGTCTTTCAGATAGTGAATAGCTTTCGCAAAAGAGATCTCATCATCAGCCACGTGTCCGCCATCAGCCTTGATGCGGGCCAACATCAAGGTCATATTATCTGGTGACAAAAAGTCGCAATCCTCTGGAAATGGTGGAACAACTGGCCAGCAAACAAGGCTGACGAGTATTGTTATGCAGCCCTCAATTATGAAGATCCTATGGCGCCTGGTCAGTAGATTCGAAGCGTACCAAAATAATCTCAAGACTTACCATCTCCAGGCACCGTATCCAGCAGCACCATCCATCTTCGCGATTAGCGACGAAAGGAAGCCGTTGATAGCCCCAGCCAATATTCCTGCGGTGCAAAAGAACACGAATCGCGTCAGATATTCTGCTTTAGTGTAGTACGCGCCAATCAGATACGCAGCACCCGATATGTACGCAGCTTCCGCCATACCCTCAAGTAGACGACAAACAACGAGCTGCTCCCAGCGCTTAACGAGGCCACATCCAATGACGCATATTCCCCAGGTCATCATCATCACGCACAGGCTCTTGGGTCCGCATCTCTTGAACGCGATCTGCAAGGGAATACCAGCAACTAGATAGCCCAGGTTGAAGACCCAGACGCAGATGTTGAAGCGCTGGCCGATGAGGTTGAGCTCTTTCTCCATGCCCTGAATCTTAGCATTACCGATGTTTGCGCTGTATAGCGTGTCAATGTCTTGTCTCGCAGGCGGGCAGGATAACGCACCGATCAATGAAGTTCACGAGGTACAGAAGCCACAACACTGGTAGGATTCTAAGGTCGAGCTTTCGCAACAGCCGTCTTTCTGCTGCACGGTCGAGCGGAGGCTCTATACTTGTCGAGGATGCAGGTGTGTGCGAGACTGTAGAGTGGCGGCTCAAGACACCCTTCTCGGCAGCACTCGAGTCTGCCATCTTGAGACAAGGTAGGACGAAGAAACAGGTAGGTAATTGAAGATGATAACAATAGGTATACACCCGTTGATTGACGCTCGGGATTCAGAGACGCATATGTAGATGCGAGTCGATGGAGACACGGCAGCAACTCAAGGAATTTGCCAGCGCGATGTAAGCTTGTTGATCATGAACTGGGATTCAGTCGGTCTAATGCATGTACTAGATCCTGATGGTGGTATGATATCGTAACCCTACCTGTGTCAACCACCTGAACACAAGGCGGAAGATGTCCCGCCAATATCGAACCACGTTGGAGAAAATATCAGTCAGACTCGCACGACACATCTGTCTATCGGCCCTTGCTAATTGTTGAGATTAGTTACCTGTTCGAATGTTGTTCCGTCTGCCTTTGATTTGTGTAGCGTTGTATCACATATAGCAGGGCTCAGATCGATGCACATAAGCTTCTGCCGTCAAGGCGAATTGTTCAGCCTATCGTTGTGTGGGATTGTCGGCGAAATGTCAGACCTCAGCTTCATCCCGCTCCAGACCCTGGTCGGTTCCATGACATCGGATCCGCTCTAGCGATTCTGTGCCGTCGACCCTGTGGACGCCCACATCTCAAAGGAGACTTCCCATCTTTATCAAGGGTCCCAGCTTTCCATTCGGTGGAGAAACTCTTCAGGCGTCCTACACCACCAGTGGCTCAGGAAGTTTATGACCGACGGGCGGCCTTAAGGCCGAGGCTGCGATTGACTGGCAAACGGCCTTCAATGTGGATTAAGAAGCAGAAGGAGATTCAGACATGGCAAAAGCAAGATGTGACAAGGCTGGCGCAGGTCTCGTGGTATACGCTCCCTTCCCAGCTTGCTCGGTCTCTTCACAGATCGACAACAATCAGTATCCAATCATTGTAACACGGGAAAATATCCTGTAGAATGCATATACATCCCATGATAAGAGTGTTAGAGGCTGCACTTGTGCAAATGTGCTGCGGTTACATTCAAACCGTAAAGCGGGGCCGGCTGACTTGCATGAACATGCAGAACAAGAAGACCAAAGCTATAGGGCCGACATTTCGGTCTCCTCCTGTATGCTCTTACACCCCAATCCTTGACGTCAATACTATATTGCTGCAGCAGTTCTTCGCTCGAGCAACCTCTCGAAATGTCTGCTCAACAGCCCAAGCGTGCATCAAGCATCGCGATTGTTGGCGGCGGTATCGCGGGTGTTGTTCTAACGATTGCACTCCTAAAACATTGCCCTCATCTTCAGATCACTTTGTATGAGTCGGCTTCAGCATTCGGCGAGATTGGTGCAGGTGTCGGCTTCCAGCCGGTTATGGTACGCACCATGGCATTGATCGATCCCCGCATCGCTGCCGCGTTCGAGGCGTGCATCAAGGGTAATGAAGAAACGGATCCTCCACTGTGGTTTACAGTACGCGTTGGCGACCAGAGGAAGGAGAATGTCACTATCGGTGAAGAGGTGTTCAAGATACCAAGTCGCATCGGGCCAAGGGGAGGTGTGCACCGCGCGCACTTCCTAGCAGAATTGGCCAAACTAATTCCAGATGGAATTGCAAAGTTCAGGAAGAGAGTTCTCAACATTACAAAGGCTGAGGGTAGCTCGGGTATGTTCTCCGCGCCTTTCGCAAAGACGCCGAGCTCACGTTCAAGTAGAAGATGATGCGATACTGCACTTCGCGGATGGAAGTAGCGCACAGCATACAGCGATCTTTGGCTGTGACGGTATAAAATCTCGCATTCGGCCCATCGTTCTTGCCGATGCAAGCCCAGCTGCAGCCGTCTTCTCAGGGAAGTGTGCGTATCGCGGTCTTGTCCCAATGGATAAGGCTATAGAGATTCTAGGGAAAGACGAGCCTTTGACACCTCAGCTACATCTGGGCTATCATGGGCATGTCCTGACATTTCCAATCGCCAATGGCAAAATCTTGAATGGTAAATCACCGAGTCCAAGACCGCGGGTTGTCCACTAAAGTCGTAGTAGTGGTTGCCTTTTCATCTCGATCGACTTGGGAAGACTCCACATGGGTGGTGCAAGCGTCCGAAGAAGATATGCTGAACGATTACAAACATTGGAGTCCGAAGGTGCGCGCGTTGATGGCCAACGTGCAATCCCCGGACATCTGGGCGCTGTTCGATCATCCACCGGCTTCGATATACTACCGTTCTGACCCACTGGTATGTTTGGTCGGTGATGCCGCGCATGCTTCAACGCCGCACCAAGGCGCTGGTGCAGGTATGTGTATCGAGGATGCTTATATATTGAGTCAATTACTCTCCACGTGTCGTTCGAGGTACAGTCTAAAACTTGCCTTGCAGGCTTACGATGCAGTGAGAAGACCGAGAAGTCAGATGTTGGTCGAAACAAGCAGAGAAGCGGGGATGCTTTGGGACTTTGAGGGTAAAAGTGTGGGCGATGATCTGATCGCACTCGAGAAGAACGCGACGACGAGGATGAGCTGGATTTGGGATCATGATATACAGTCGGATCTTAGACGTGCAGAACTAATGATGACTATGGGAGGCTCAGTAGACGTGGAATAGAGTGCTGTTGCGGTCACAGGAACTCGCTTGGTACGTGACGTCACTGATGTCATTGCCGCTTCTTTCTGACCCAAACAAGCATCGTCACCTCACTGATCTTATGTACGTATAGTCAATTCCAATACCACAGTCAAGTCGCGCGAAAGAATTTCATGAAATCCAGAGCATCTCAGCTATCTCTACAGTCTCAGAATCTGCGTTAGTGTCACTACCCGCTGTGTCGGAGCAGCACACCTCACGCTATCTTCTCTGTCGCAAACGCTGCATCGAGATCTAAAACATGACCTACGGTCATATTGCACGTCGAAAGAGCTCTACCTATACCCAGCCATCATATCGGCTTGCAGAACCCCCCAAAAGCATGCTATGTTCATTCTTTACAGACATGACAAGTTCGCTCTGCCCGGACATATACAACAAACAAGCAATAGTTAGTTCGAGCGTATCAATTCTTGTATGGTGGCCCACATTTCTTTCAAGTCAAGGTTGGCTTATTAGAGAACCGTAATGGCACCCAGAAGCAGTCGCGCGAGCGAGAATTGAAGCGAGCGCGCCCTGTCAAGAAGCCTTGATCTCTACTTGGAAAAATGTCTTCGACCTCCCAATCCACCTTGCAACATTCATGCGCGGCATTTACTTGCTCAATCAACTCGGGCTTCTCTCCCCGGTTACTACTTACCATTCATTCGGTGTCGTCATCTGAACCGGAAGCGCTGCAGTCATGTACAAGACCAGGGCTGCTGCCAAGCTTCAAGTTGCGAGATTTCACAAATCATGGTCGAACTCGATCACGATATGCGGATTTGCAAGTCATTTAGAACACGTTCTACGTGAGCACTGCCAGTCGATCGGATAGACTCACTTGAAATCCTAGCTATTGATGTTCCAACCTTTCCCGATGTGGGATGGGAATTGTACCAAGAATAGCCTAATAATGAAGACGTGGTTGCGCACTGTCTGGTGGAGGGTTAGTCTAAAGCGTAGCTGAGCTGCATCGAGTCACGTCGGTGCTGCTGAGATTCAAGACTATGCTTGCACTCATCTATTGCAGGTAGTCTTCAGTATGAAACAATGGCCTTGTAGTGATGCGTTGCCCAGTTTTCTGCATAGTTCTGTGAATATACCTGTTCACAAGTATGATACAATGAATTGGTTTGTCATCAAGACAATAAATAATAATCAAGCTACAACATTTCTGCAAGCCTGAGTCCCGCCAGTCTCAGCTTTACTATTCCGACGCTTATTGGAAAGTGAAGGAAGGGATGTTGATGTCGGTGACCTTCCAGGTCTTACCGCCATCCTGAGTCGACATCTCGCCAGTGACACCCTCGCCCTTACCCATCGTCTGGTCGTACTTTGGATCAGCAGAATCGAGAGTGATGACTGTGTTGATCCATTTGTGGGCGGGCATGGTGCCGCAGTTGTTCTCGGCGCACTCAACAGCGCTGCCCCATCCCATAGCCTGACCATCCTTGGTGCTAAGGACACCGCTCTGCTTTCCGTTGATAGAGACGATCTGAGTGTAGTTACCGGTCGCATCGTCGAACTTGTCTTTACTAACTGTTAGTCGGGTCTTGTTACTTCGTTCCCTATCGGATACTTACAGTGCATGGTGATCTGATCAGCAGCCTTGGCATTCTTGCCCTCCGTCTGGACGGGCATCTGGCTAGTGGGGCCAGTGCTCAAGAGAGTGTACGCGTAGATCGACCAGTCAGATGATTGCCAGTTATCGGCGATCGACTGAATCAGGTCACCATTGGAGGTGCCCATGCCAACCCAAAGAGAGGCGTCGCCATTGTTGTTGCTAGGGGCCTTAGGCAGAACAAGAGTAGAAGTGGCCTCGCGAATCCAGGAACGACCACCGACGGGGCCGGTACTAAAGGCTGGGCCCATAGCAGCCTGAACAGAGGCAGCAGCGGCAAGCAAAGGAAGGATGGAACTGAAAGAAGGCATGTTGATGAAGTGAATGTATGACTCTAGGTCGATGGTAAAGACTGGAATATGGATGAGAGACAAAGCGAAGATAGATACAGGATGAGTGACTGGAGAGCAGATTGTTCTTCTTTTGAAGTTGCAAACAGAGGACCGTGAGTCGTCTGCCCACTCTTCCTGGCATGCATCCCGGACGCGACTGTTTCCAGTCCGTCGTATATAGTGGAGCATACGCCGTGCCTTTTATTTGGGAGTTCTTCATGCCTATCAGGCGACTTACCCTCGGCGAACACCTCTTCAGAGCAAGCGTTTGTGAGCCCTGCGTGTCCCCGCAATTCTTAATTCTCCTTGGCTGGAGCTTAAGCCCTTGTTTCACTCTTAGATCAACTGGAGGGCCGTGCAGTCGAGCTGCCATATTGCCGCGACCCTGAAGCGATAGTGTCATTCGAACGCTGCCGAAACACAGCATGAAGTGGCTCGGCCTCGTCGAGTCAGAGTGACGTCAGCCCCTGCTGCAACGAGTGCACTCTTGCCCTGAGTGTCGATAGGTCATTTGTCTTCTTTAGGACAAGGAATTTTGCGACTGCGAAAAGGAATTGATACCTAATCTTCGAATCGTCGATAACTCGTGCAGACCATTGCCCCGCGCTTGTTCGGCAGCACGTATACAGTACCCGAAGGCAAGTCATCTTTGCCTGTCGGCAATGTACCTAGCCCGTTTTTGGTGCAGATGAGCGCGAATTAGACGCCGCGTAGAAATGTCGCCAGCGGGAGAAAGCCCGGCCAGACGGACCGTGCAAGCCAAGTTACCTCGGGGCCCGGGATGCGCCCGCTGACAATGAAACATTCGACACAATGCACTCCGTAACAACGCGCTTTTCAGGGCCTTTCATTCGTGGACATCATGAAACCTTCAAAGCAATTGAGATCGCATGCGGCAAGGATCCGCGTTTGCAACTCGTGTTCTATATTGTACACGAAAATATTGTATCGCTTATAATACCTAGGTAGCAAACACTGCAATCGTTTCCAGCGTCCTGAGAAACATAGGCTCCGACATGGACTATCTCACAGGCTGTAACCAGCCATGGCTCTCTTTGCGCGTGCCGGACAGACCTCTTCTCTGCGGATCGGACACTTGTTCGACCATATATCTATTCCATTGATTAAATTGCCGAAGCAGTCTTGGTGACTTAGATGCCCACATATTTTGATCTTCATGTTGGATGCAAGGTCCTCTAACATGTTTCCCAGACACTCACGCATACCTCTTCTCCCCAATTAGTCAAAGCGCTGATTGGTTCGGTATGTTCCAAAGGGCCAATCGGGGGTCCTATTGGCTCGTATTCCACGTCACGAAACGACTCAACGTTTCCTTCCTCCCAGATCCTCACTGAACCGCTCTCTGCCCACATCCTGCCTAAAGCTCATTGACCAGGTATCACCAATCCAACCACGGGCTCTTGCGGGTTCAACAGCTTCGTGCCCAAGGCGCCATGCTGGTTGATGATGGGGTCAAAGGCGTGTTTGGCTTTTTTTGTGGTGGTGAGTAAGTCGTTGTAGAATTGCGCAGGAGGAGGACACGCAGGTTGTATCTCCTCTTCGTTACGTACCTATGGTTGGGGTTAGTCGTACCATAGTCAATATCTTTGTCAATATTGGTGCCCTCAAAGAACCTATTGCGGCTTCTGTTTGACCAGTGTAAGGGTCTGGTCCTCGGTTGGTCTTATCATCGATGTAAGATATGCGGCTCGGAGTAAGGCTGATACATCGACGCTCATGTCGATGATTTATCATAGGTTCTATACGGGTAACTCTGAAGATACAATGCTCCCTTGTAGACTTTCAGGTATGCACAGCTACCACAACAGACAGATACTGTCTATGGCGTCGATAGGTTCAATATGGCGCACACATTCCAACTATTTGCTCTAAATCACCGTCATACAGTAAGTCCTAACACATAACTCACCAATAACTACGTGTGGAAAGCTAGAAGATTTAAATAGCTGGTCAATCCAAGATCTGTGTGATGGAATGCCTCTGCCAAAGTATTCTGCGCCTCCAGTCACCACTCATATCCCGTTTGTATTGTTAAGAGAATCCTTACCTGGCCCACTGTATCGTGCTGTTCCAATTGCTCACTCTCATCCGTTCTGAATCCTCCATGCTCACTATTTCTGGCCCCACCTAGATAGTGAGCCATATCAGTATTTCAATATCTCATAATGCCGCCCGAAAGACCCGTGAACATTAACACTGTGTGCAGCCACACTGCGTCTCACATGGTCTTGCCTAACAAGACGGCCCGTTGTGTGGCTACAATGTGCCAAATCATAATACCCAAGCCATTACAAATATATCCACACGTTCATCTTCCATCTCTCCAGAAACGTCAACTCCAAACAACCACAGCATGTCTCGCGCTATCATAGGACCTGCTATCCGATTCCCCGATGACTTACCGACTGAACTCTCGAGCATGCAGGACATGCTCGACAGCCTCCCCCGGAAGTTTGACGATCCTTATGTGTTCCGAGTGCTGATCTACTTTCTCAGCTCCCTCATCCCGAAGTCGCATAGAAACGCCGGATTAGCTGGCACGGATCCCTTTTATATGTGGAATTGCCGCCGGCGAGAGCTTGCAGGTATCGTGACGCATGTCACCTACCGCGAAAAGCAGGCTTGCAAGAAAGCGTTGAAGATAATAGATCAGCTAGATCTGTATTCGACATATCGAGACATTGAATATCACTCTAAGAAACTGGTACGAGGAGACCCAAAGTCTCACTCGAACTCCATTGGAGAGGGTTTCATCACCACGAACCGGGGGCACGATTGGATAATACGTTGCGCATACGAGCTCGACATACCTGACCAGTGGAAGGAATGGCTAGAGCTTATGTACGAGAAACAACCGTACACGGCTGTAGATCCACCACGATCTCGTCTTGGTCAAAGCGAGCAGTTCTTTCTGGAGACACTGTTGACTGCTACAAATATCGATGGCTTTGAATCGATGGTTTCTCTCATCAAGTTCTGGCTACGGCAGGTACTGACTGTTATTCAGGTTTGGGACGAGTGTCCGACCAAGAATCATTTCATGCCATCCTACGACTGGTGCGTAGCAGCCTATCAGCTGATGTGGGACCGTCTCAAGAACGATTTGGTAAATCCGTTTTCGGAGTATCCTTACCTGTTGCGACAGGAGGTGCTTCGGAATATCAGTTTCATGAGTGTCTTCGAGCGTTGCTGGAAGTGGGTCAGCTCGACGAACCAAGCTACGCCAGGCGAAGACTTTGATCCCCTCGAAGTACAACGACGGGTTTACCACCATATACTGGCCCTGGTTCGAGACATGTATCAGCACCGGAATCCGAGCACAAACGACGTTCTTAACCAAGCCTTTGGTGGGCAGAACGAACCCCGACCGTATCTGCCCCTCGAGGATCATTGGCTTCGTGTACTCGAGCCCAAACTTCGTGAACACGAAGTTCTTTTCAATGGCTTATGCAAAGAGTTCTTTGGCTTGCCAGATGGATCTGTGATCGCAGATCCAGATAGAGTCCCTTTCCGCCTTGAATATTCCCCGTTCTTGATCGAGTACCAGGCAGTGGGCGCCCGAATTGATATCACTCAATTCGTATCAATCGGGCAGCCCGCTCCAGGTGACTTGTGTACCTTATGTCAGATGCCAGTAAGCTCAGCTGATACGGGTAGAACACGCTGCATTGTGCCTTCGGCTTGCTCTGACACGTTTCACGCTGCTTGCTTAGATGCATGGGTCAATAGCACTGCTAATATGGCTAATAGATGCCCAGCTTGTCGAGTCGAGATGACGAATCAGCAGCGGCATCGTTGGACGTTGCCTCAAATAGAGTGGGAGTCAGAGTGGGAGTCAGAGTCAGAGTCAGAGTCAGAATCAGAATCAGAATGATTCAGAGACTGTAAACCAGCACGGAGGGAAGAGAGACATGAAGCTACGAATATAAGGTAGTATGAAGAAATATATATTTATACATACATTGGTTGTACAAAAGACTACAAGAGTAAAAGCCATCTGAGCCTTTCTGAGATTAACAGTCATCGCCAATCATACTTAATGTATCGGAAAGTAGCGAGTCGCATCCTCGGCGCGCAGGCTTTTGTGTGACTTGAAGTATCTTTACGAAAGTACTGTCAATCTCACCTGGATCCCCTCCCACATGTCTGGATCCATTGGTTCGTAATGTCGCCGCCGACAGTCGTTGGGTTGGTATCGGTGAGGCTGAAGTCGCCGTATCTGTCCCATTCATGCTGTGCGGCAGCTGTGTCATCTCAGTGCTCGGAGTAACGTCTTGACCTGCCCCATGGTTCGAAAAGCTTGAGTGCTTCAAGATAGGCCGAGTCGCCGCCCTCCTTTTGGGCACAGGATTAGAGGTTATTCGTGCTAGTGGAGGTCGCGCCACGAGAAACGATGACGGCAAGTAACCACCCCAATATGACGACGGCTGCTCCGCAGAGTCGAGGTTCGGAAAAGTCTCTAGTGCAACTTCATCGACGACTGGAGAAAAAGATACACGCTTTGGTGTCCGGGGTACAGTCTTTCGAGGAAGCTCCCGGGGAGGTATGGAAGAGACATGTGTATCGTAGAGCTCTAAACTCGCGGAATTGTGTGTAGGGGTGCACGGAAACAGTATTCCAAGTGCATTGAGCTCCTGTGAAGGTCGAATTGGGCCACTCTCTTCGCTTGGAGATGCCAGGTCTTCCGCCCATGAACCCCAGTTCAGCGTTTCTGTTGGTCCTGCAATCGACGTGCCGCTCGATGTATCTGCTCCGTCTTTCACTTCGTCTTCCACTTTGTCCTCCGCTTCAACTGTTGATATTCTGGTATATCCTTCGCCAGACCCTAAGGTAGGTGATGACCACCAATCAAAGTAACCCCTCTTCTCCTTGGTCACATCAGGTCGTGAGCTCGTGGACCACATCTCACTAGGGACTGGCAGTGGTGCGGAGCTGACCATTCTAGGCGTTGGAGCGGGAAATGGCTCGCTGCTCAAGTCGAATAACGTTTGAGGGGTGTTTGGCGCGGACTGTGTCATCACCCATTCGAAAGAGTCAATGCGCCTGTGAGAGACAGAAACTTGTGATAACTTGTCGTACAGGTACTCATCCCCATCAGTCATCTTCGGAGTGGTATCTGGGCTCTCCAGTCCTTGTTCGCCACGTCTGGATACCGATGAGTCGTGATAGGGGTTGGATACGGCAGAGCTGGCTGGCCTAAAAGAGAACAAAGGAAGGCAAGACATGGCGTTCGTATAGAACTTGCTGAGAGGCTAGATGGACAGAAGTTGAGCTGTTCCACTGAAGTCTTATCGTTCATATTGAGAAGGAGGACCTCCCAGAGATATACATTACGAGACGACGCGCACAGTTCGGACAGACATGGTTATACACTGCACGCTGCAGCTGTGCGCGCATGAAACATGAACACACAGCCTTGCATCGTAAGCCACTGGAAAACAGCTCTGTTGCCCCCTGTCTCATCGCTGCCGATAGGAGTTTGAGTGATAGTCGAGTCATCCGACATGCAAGCTGTACACCGTGCTGTGGTTGAAGTCCGCGCGCTAGGGTTGTATTAGGCAATTATTGGCAAAGTTCGGGTTCAGGAGCATGGGCTTGCATCGCTCCGCGAACGGGGAATCGAAGTCACGCAGGGTTATACAGTATCAAATATGATGCGGCTGAGCAGGCTGTTTCGACATGGGGAGCGACGGGGAGGCACCAAGCTGCAGCGCTTCAGCGAGCCACAGCTAAGCGAGGGTGCTTTGTCAGCCCCCACGTGCAGGCTCGAAATATGTGTTCACTGTTCAAAGTAAAGCGATAATCCATTTGAGATGCACAGTACACTCACTGTATACTATATCTTCAAGATACCATCCGTTCCTGACGCGCGCCTTCTTGTTCAGGTTAGGTGATACTAACTGCATATGCAGCCCACTTGTGCGATGACTCGAGCAACATCAAAAGGGCGCAGAGGAACCCTCGAGGACCCTCTCAGGGTAGTAAATTCATTCACACTCCGTACGCGATAGCATATTGCATTGTAATACAGGCCGAGAAAGACCAATCTCAATAGCCTCCGCGCGAGTAGCTGGAAAGCATCACGTCTCACACGGTTCCAATCCAGTTCTCACCTTGATAGCCTCAATCGCAATGGCTGTCAGACCAGACCCTGAGCTGATACCTGACGCTCTTCGTCCGTTCGACACAGTCCGCCTCGCGTTTCGCGCGGTGCGCCAACCACAAGATCTCCCTCTATACCTAGCCATCGGCAACGATCAAGATGGTTTCATGAACAGCAACTTTACCAACACTAGTCTGCCGTCCAACGCCGATGCGACGAAGTTCATGAAGAGCATCGCCGACTCCCTCCTTGGCGCAACAATTTGGCTGAAAGATAACGCAACTTCGAAAGAAGGCGTTGAGACGCCCAACAACGACGCGCCTTCAGGTGATCTGAAAAGCGAATGGGGGACAGCAATCGGCGAAATTCATCTCAGCAAACTTCCGGTCGGCGCTGTACACCACAGGTGGACCGAGATTGGCATCGATATCCTCCCTGCATTCCAAGGGCGAGGCTATGGGCGTGAGGCTATTGAATGGGCTCTAGACTATGCATTTCGCCGTGCCGGACTACACAGAGTGAGGATCCGGGCGTTTGAGTGGAACGTGGGGGCAGTGAGACTGTACGAGAAGATCGGTTTCAAGGTGGAGGGCAGGGAGAGGGAGGCTCTTTGGCACGAGGGACGTTGGTGGGATGGAATAGAATTCAGTATATTGGAAGGTGAGTGGTGGAGTATGCAGAGGGAAAGGGAGAGAAAGAGCAGTCAGGAAGATGGGCGAAGGACAAGTCGGGCTATCAGAATTGAGTCAAGCCAGTAGCGAAGCACCAGGCAGTAGTTTGGATATTGTTGCGATGGAACCTGGCAGGTCGTCGAGATAAGCACAATTCTTGGTCGCATTGTACCTATCCTCTGCGTGACCATGCTCGGTCGAGACAAAATCCGCAACCTACAATTATCCCGTCTCTACATGCCGACTCACGACCTGGAGCGACGTTATCTTGATCTTCCGGGGTCAGCATGTCGAAAGACGGCTCGCTGCGCGGACTGGGGTTTGAACCGCAACCTTATACAGCGTCTATGGGAGAATACAACTAGTTCCGAAGAGGAAACCGCGCTTGCAACGAAAGCCAGGTAGATGGACTAGGGTGCTGCACCGATAGCTGTTCTCGGGCCAGCACCCAAGGAACAATTCTAGAGCGCTGGATTCGCCCATAAGAAGAGACATTGCCGCTTGAAGGGATTTGGTGAGACAAGGATCCAAATAGTTGGGGGCTTGAAAGAGATAGAATGCGCTAATAGGTGTCTGTTATACGGGCTGAACATAATGATAGCATAGCAGATACGGGGAGGGTGCTAAGACGCTGCAGCCACTCGATACGGTATTAGAGATACGTTCGTTGATATTGTGGCGTGTGCGACTGTGAGGTACAACGGTGTTGCCACGGAGAGGCTGTTACAACTACAGTGACACGCCATGCTTACCTGTAAGGCATGAGGTCTCAGTCAGCTTCGCTGAGACCAACAGATGGCTTGACCCGGCATAGTGGTCGAGTGTGGAAGACGAGGCAACTCAATCCTGGGCAGTTTTAGTGTTGGTCTGTGCTTCATTGTTGGGAAGGAACGATCGAGGTCTCCATATCGCCCTCTCTGCTCTCGCATCAACGATGTCGGAACTCTCATCAGTGACCAACAGGAACACGGCAGAATAATACTTTATTCCAATCGCAGTCCTATGAGGCGAAAACACAGACTAGTGCGGGCCCACCCCTCTCGAGCATACCCAGCCGTTTGTGCCGCTATCGCTCAAGCCTCACCTCTTCAGGCTGCTCCCACAGCCCGCGGTACGTTCCACCGGAACACTCGTGTGATTGAGGCAGCATGAGCGCCCGCGTGTGGTGCCGCAACACCGGCAAACGCCGCAATAGCACCGACCAGGATCAATTTCCTTCGAGATTTGCGGTGAGCGCTCAGCCTCGACTAAAGTGCGGCTCAAATACAATGCACCGTTGCAACTCACCGGAAAGTGTTGCGCAGCAGTCAGTGACGAAGGCGGGCAAAGCCTTCCTTCGGTGCAGCCGGGCCCGATGGCGCAATACAACTGGCCACAGTCGGGCCCTGAGCATCGATCCTGCGGTCGTGTCCGCCAGCATGCTCGGCTTCCGAATTTGTGCGACCGCGCGGGCATGCATACAGCTTGCCTTGGGAGATTTTGGCATTTCCAATAATTATCGTCCAATCCATACACCCGTTGGTGGGATTTAACCCGCCCAGCATGAGGCCCAGCGCTTCGAGCATGAGGATTCATATCACATCTTTAGCCGCAGTTTGGTGGCTGACGACATGGCTCAAGTTCGAGGTCAATGGTTGCTCACCTGCTAGCAATGGCCCCCGCCGCAAAGACATCGCACAGAGTTCATTGGCAAGGGCAACAAAATTCCATCCCCACTGTGCGTCAATCCGCACCAACACACACGTGCAACGTCTTATCGTGCTTACGACTTGGGCAACCCTGCCTCCAATCTCACATTGCCGGCCGTTTTCGGGGCCCGCAACTACTGTATGGGGGAAAGGCCACACCACGCCGCGCGCCATGCCCGCAACCCTAGAAGCCAGAATCCCGGTGATTGGTTACTAGGCGGGGTGAAGCGAACAGCCAGGCAAGTCTGCCATGCCGCTTGCCCCAAGCAGAACCGTCCCGAAGGGCAGATGGGCAACTGTACAACGACTAAAAGGCCGATGAATCTGGCCCCGCTGACGCCTGGAGGCGCTGTCTTACCTACTCAAGTCTAACAGGTAACGTCTCGTGCCAATCCAACCCTCACACCTTCTCTTGCCCTCCAGAAATGATCAACAGCGTACGACGATTGCCAGATTCCTTGCGACAAGGGTCCTGTACTGAAGATTTTACCTTCACGGCACTGACACTTGGACCTCGGCACTATTTCCGCCCAACACCATGAGTGCGAGGACGCTAACGAACGTGGTCAATGACCAAACAATAGCGCTAAATGCCATGATATATGGCTATGCGGGCCATAGTCTTGTTACACCCCACGCTGCGCTTCAACAGATCTGGTGGACCGAAGAAAGGATAAACGAAAAGGTCACACAGGAGTTTGTCACTTCCCGACTGCAGCCACGAGAAAGGGAGCGGTTGACACAGCCTGTGGGCTTTGGCGATCTGTCAGACGACACGTACATCGAATGGATCCTAGAGAAAGCACGGCGATTATTCCTTGTACTGGCCGAAATCGGTGAAGCGGATGGGATATTCGCTGTGGTTGACCGGTCATGGGACGATGATGATTTGCCGCTTGAAATGGACGACATTGAGCAGCTGGCACTTTCAAACAGACGCGACGAACATGCTAGTGCTCGCTTCTACTCTACACAGTTCACCTTCTTGCTCAGAGAGCTCCAAAAAGGCGTGCACATAGACTATGCGTCCAATGAAGAAGTACCTTTGGAGTACGTCATGGGGCTGCCGCCTGCGGCAAGTCTCCAGAATTGGTCGCGTGTACACTTGCCTAAACGGCCCAAAGAAGTATATGTCCGCAGGAAGTTTGCATTAGGAAATGCCGAATCACCAACCGCGTTCGAATCGACTTTCATACTGGATATTGAAAGTGCCCAGATGGTCGAGCATGAGCACATTGCACCTGCTTGGGCTTCTTACACGGCGAAAGGGATCGGCTACGTAGTAACAGACTTTGTGGGACAACACACTCTTCGAACGTTCATCGACCACCGAGATCCGCACCAGTACAAAAGACTTTCCAAGCCCGAAAAGTCGTGGCTTGTATTGAACTGGATGCAGTGCTTGGTAGATGCGGTTACAACCCTGCACCAAAACGGATTCTGTCACTCTGCAATACGTCCGTCCAACATCATCATCGATGATAGTAATGCGATCGCTTTCAGTGACATTGGCAGCCTGGAGACGTTCCAAAGGGATAAAAGGCCGGATGTACCGGACGCATACGTATACAGCGCGCCCGAGACGCAGACAAATCCTGCGTCTCTCACGTCGAGTGCTCCAGGGCCGTCTTCTGTTGTAGCTAACGCTCGACAAACTTCTATCGCAAGCAAAAGCTCATCTGCGTCATCGAATAGTAGCGGCTCTTTAAGTAAGAAGCTTTCAAGAACTCCCACCAACGACTTCAGTGGATTCAATTTTGGTTTCCGCAAATCGAAACCGGCGCCAAAACCAAGATCGAGGGTCCATGAAACCGAGAAAGCAGACGTGTTCTCGCTCGGCTGTGTGTTCCTGGAGATCATCAGCTTCATGCTGAAGAAGAAACCACATGAGTTCGTCAAATATCGTTCGTCGAAACAAAGGAGCAATACTGGCAGCAAAAGTAGCCGTACGGACTCGTCTTTTCACGCCAACCTGGACAAGGTTGAGAGCTGGATGGTCGTGCTTGAGAAAGCTTCTTGTGAGCGTAGCGAAGACGCTTTCCGTGCCATTCCTCACATTCTTACACTTGTAAGGGATATGCTTAGCACGACTCCGAGTGGTCGGCCGAACGCTAGACATGTCCGGGACAGATTGTTTGAGATCCTGACAACGCATACCACCATTCCAGAGATTCACTGTGGCGCACACAAGCACGACTTCGGACATGCTGGTTCATCCACCTCCGGCTCTGATCGCGCGTCCAGTATAGCGTCTCTGCGCACAATGTCAACGATCAGCTCATCGTCCGACACAGATACCATTCGACTATCTACCTCTTCAATGACCCGCACGAATTCGATTGTCACTGCTTACTCAGACCGCATAACTCTTGCTGGAATCTCAGAGGACGATAGTGCGTCCATCCGCACAGTGGAGCCTCCACTGCCCACGTCTTACAATCCTACACCACGACTCCCTCCACTGGTCGTCAGTCCACCGTCCTCGCCCACGGCGATGAGGACTCCAACCTCGCCTCGATCTATCGAGCGATCATCGAGCCCGTCAAGACAGGGCGCTTCGCAAAAGAAGTCTTGGAAGGGGCCGTTTTTTCGCATGCCTTGAACGCGTGTATAGTTTGCTTCTACAAACCCGTCACAGCGTTGTTCGTAAGGGTTACTTTTTCGCTGCCTCACTTTGCTCCACGATCCCTGGTGACTGTGGAATGAGAAGTCAGGCCGCCAGCGTAGCAGCAGGATTCTGGAGCTAACGAGGTCGCGTCGCATCAGAGTCATGACTGACGGGAGGCTGCATACCCACACAACCGAGACGAACGACAGGCTTGGCAAGTCGTATTCAAGGTCTGTCCCGTACGTGGGGCAGAAAGCACCTGAACGGATGACAAGTGGAACAGAGCACGAGGACACTGGCTTAAATACCCCAGATGTCCGCTCGTAGATACAAGCCATAGCACCAGCTTGGCCAAGGAAAGGGCCCGCTATATTGAATAATGCATGGCCTTAATAGCCTCATCCCCAATTTGTCCTTCCAAATGAAGGAAGCTCATTGCCTGATCAAGCAGGTGCTTATCTCTGTGCCGCCAAACGTTGAGAGAACCGGATGTGCATGCCTGCTATGGTGCGGGGTAGTTTTTCTTTGGAAGCTTGCAGAACTGCAATCAATGAGCACTTGACGTTGCTCAAGAGGTTTTGTCGGGGCGTGCCTGCAGCGCACGCGTCGTGCGTCACACCGCACAACAACGTGAGAATCAACTCTTGACTCAACATCATGCCACGACTCCACGCCAATGCATCCCAGCGCATCTGCGCTTCTCACGAGATCTCAACCTATGCGAGAACGTTTATTGATGCGAGGATCTAAGGTAGAGGCCGTCTTGGCCCGCCTGATCGGCGTCTTGGCCGGTAGCTCATTCGGCGCGCTCATCTGACGGCGCGCTTCTCGGCACCGTCAACATCGTTGCACTGCGATCCCCGCCGCCTGAGCCTGCGGCATGCAATATCTGTCTGCGCCTGATCAAGGCTGCTGCCGATAGTTCACTCATTGCGGTCGCATGCACGTACGCCGCGCCTGAGACGTCACCCGGCGTCCCTTCTGAGCACTCATACCAGTAGCGGCCTCGTCCACCGCGAAACTCGAGGCTGTTGTGATCGACAGCGGCGTGCAGCCACCCCTCTCGGTCCCGCCGCTAACCCAGGCTGAGTGGGGGATATGCACACACCACAGGTACCAGGGGCTTGACCTGATGATGAGCACGCAGGGCAGGCCAAGTACTGTATATAACGAGGCGGATTCTTGACAACTGGCGACAAGCGCAGGGCTCTCTGCACAGTCGTATCACCATCGAGATGCGGCTTTCTGGAGCATTTTCCGTATTCTTGGCCTCGGCTGCAATTGCTACGGGGTCTATTCTACCGCGCTTCGCCAACGACTCAGGGTACCAGCTACAGACTGGCCCGCTCGACACGCCCTGGACCGCGGACGTAGGCACGGACCCGTGGCCTGAGCATCCACGCCCAAAGGCCCAGCGCGCGCAATGGAAGAATCTGAACGGCGTGTGGCGCTGGCGAAGTGTGGCCGCTGGGCAGGTCAACTCGCCGCCTACGGGACAGACGCTCGAGCGGGCGGTCTTGGTTCCATCGTGTCTTGAGAGCGCATTGTCTGGTATGCTGCCCTGTCGTGTTCTGGGGTGGAGCTGACCATTCCAGGTATCATGGAGAGAGGACATCTCTACAGCTGGTACCAGACGTCTTTCGACGTGCCCTCCGATTGGCCATCAGGAAACCGTGTGTTGATCAACTTCGGCGCTGTCGACTATGAAGCTACAGTCTTCGTCAACGGCAGAGAGGTCGGCTTCCATAGGGGTGGATACTTTGAGTTCACTTTCGACGTGACGGATTACCTATCGAGCAACGGCACCAATGAGCTGTGAGTAGATTGTAGTCATACTTGTTCACACTAACAATCTTGCGTCCAGACTCGTGCATGCTTTCGACCCTACAGATACCGACAGGTACCAAATCCCCATCGGGAAACAGACACTGACCCGCAACGGCATGATCTGGTACACACCCTGCACCGGTATTTGGCAGACAGTGTGGCTGGAGTCGACGCCCGCCGAGTACATCACAACGATGGACCTGGCCGCCGGAGCAGACGGCAGTGGTAGGTGGACTTTGCAGATCCCAATCATCGACACTGACTTGTTGCAGTAAACGTCACGGTACACAGCAGCACAAACGGCACAGCATCGTATGAAATCACAGTGCATGAGCTCGGCTCAGAGGCAGCAAAGACTTCTGCGACAGGCACCAGCGGCAGCCCTTTCGTCTTCAAGGTTGACTCGCCCAGCCTCTGGACCCCTAGCACGCCCACCCTGTACAACATCACAGTCCAGCTAGGCAGTGACTCAATTTCCAGCTACACCGGCTTCCGCACTATCTCGCGCGGCGTTGTCGACGGGATCCAGCGCCCACTCCTCAATGGCGAATTCGAGTTCGTCTGGAGCCCGCTCGACCAGGGCTACTGGCCCGACGGCATCTACACCCCCCCAACCGTTGAAGCCATGCGCTACGACCTTGAGCAGCTCAAATCCGCCGGCTTCAACGCAGTCCGCAAACACATCAAAGTCGAGCCCGCCCTCTACTACCGCGCAGCGGACGAACTTGGTCTCCTCATCATCCAAGACATGCCTTCCCTTCGTCCCGATCTGCCCGACCCTAACAACGGCTGCGGCTCAATCCGCCTCGAGTCCGCCGCAGCCCAAGAAGAATTCAACCGCCAACTCGCCCTCCTTGTGACCCAACTCCGCAGCCACACCAGCATCATGGCCTGGACCATCTACAACGAAGAATGGGGCCAAGCCACCGACGCCTCTCAGCCGTGGCCCGAGTTCGGCCTCACAGCCCTCGTCCACTCCCTCGACCCCACCCGCCTCGTCAACGCGGTCTCGGGCTGGACCGACCACGGCGCCGGCGACTTCGACGACAACCACCACTACAGCACGCCGCAGTGCGGCACGCCGTTCTGGTCCGCGCAGGGCTCCGGCTACAACACCGCCTACGACCCGTCGCGCATCGGCCTGCAGGGCGAGTTCGGCGGCGTCGGCACCCAGCTGGCGCCCGAGCACGCGTGGTTCGATAATTTGGATCAGCAGACGGCGTACGAGCTTGCGAACACGACGGAGGCGTGGAATCACCGCTGTTTGCAGAACGTGGAGCAGTTGAGGGAGCAGGTGGAGAGGTGGGCGTGCTCGGGGGGTGTGTGGACGCAGACGACGGACGTCGAGGGGGAGGTCAATGGGTTGCTGTCGTATGATCGGAGGATTAATCGGATGGAAGTCGGGGCGTGGGTTGAGGCAGCGAAGGGGCTGTTTGAGGCGGCGCGAGGGAGAACAAATGGCTCGGCGTCTGCGGGTGTGGTGATGGGTGCGGGACTGGGGGTGGTGGACGGGCAGCAACTGCTCCCGTAGGCCACGCACTGTATAGCAGGTGTTGTGCTGTTGGATGCCACTAGCCCTTTGCCCTACCTCCCAGTTTACATAGTCGCGCTCAGGCACATAGTGTATCGATCACCAAACGACCTATAGTTCCGTTCTCTCAAGACCAGAGATGCGCTTGTGTCTTCCTCTTACTAGTTGCTAATCCCTCTCTACAGACCCTCTCTACAAACTCTAGTGCACACATCCCAACCACGTGCAGAGTTCAGTCTGCTACTGCGATCTACACGCTACACCTGGCAAACAAGATAGCGCACGAAGTTACACTGTGCAAGTCCTCGTACGCGTCTTTCTATCATCGTCCTACACACTAGACTAGCAATATGTAGTGCTTGTACTACCTACATAACACTATTACTGAACTCAGACATACAAAACAGCAAATACGTAACATGATTACTTGTAAATGCTCTATACTATGCTGTGCTGAACTATGCCATACCGTACCGTACTTGTCCTATCTTACCATATCAATTACTCATACACAATCGGGTATCACCACCTGTCCCCCCACCCAACCCAACTCTGTATTCCCTACAACCACGCAAATCCCGCCATGACAGCCACCAGCCCCGCCCCAGCACCCACAAGCTCATTTCGCCCTCCTGCCGCAGCCCCGGGACTAGCACTCGGCTGACCCGCGCCGCTGCTCGCAGCACCACTGGGCCTTGTAGAACCAGTAGCAGTGCCGCTTGCGCTCGACGAGGCCGTAGCAGCCGCATTGTGCGTCTGGCCGAGCGAAGGCAGCGCGGAAGTAGGGTCGACGTCCCAGGCGCCGCTGGTCTGGGGCGGGCACTCGGGCGCCGAATGTGATGCCGTGTACGCGCTGGCCTTGACTCCGGTCGGGGTCAGGGTCTTCCAGACGCTGCCGAGGTTGGAGAAGTCAGGCTGCACAGGGATCGGGGTGCCGGAGCGCGGAAAGCCATCGGGAGGCGCGGAGGGGCTGGCTGGGTCGACTTTGGAGCCGTATGAGATCAGGCCGTAGTTGTTGGCTTCTTCGATCCACTCGTAGACGATGCTTCCGGACCAGGTGTCTGCCATTTCACCGTACAGCGCTGTCTGGTCCTGGAAGGTACGAGGGCGCACTACGTTGCAGCCTGTCTCGGACATGAAGATGGGAATGTTGTATGAGGTCGAGTTGGCCTCGAGCATGTCGTAGCCGGAGGTCATGTAGTCGCTGTCGCCGCACCACGAGTAGGCGTTCAGCGAGAAAAAGTCGAGGGCCTCGGACGCGTTGGTACCGCAGGCAAGATAGTTCTGCAGCATGGGCCGCAGCGTTGCAATGTCGGCAGCCGAGTAGCCGATGGGGATGTTGCGGTAGTTCTTAGCTTCGCGGTGAGCCTTCAGGTCGCGGGCGGCGGCCTTGACATATGGCGCGGCAGACGAACCGTTGCTGGTGGTGATGACCTCGTTTCCAACGAAGAAACCCGCGAGGTTGTCGTACTGGTGGAACTCGTCCATGACGGCAGCGAAGGCATCGCGCTGCGTCTCGTTCCACTTGGGCGCTATCTGCTCGATCTGCGTATTGAACGTATCAAGGTCCAGCCAGATGTAGATGCCGGCGTCGGCGAAGGCGCTCATGCAGTCCTTGTGGTCGGCATTTGGGTCGACGTGGTAGACGCGGATCGAGTTGGTGCCGATGGTCTTCATAAGGGCGGCATCGAGGCCACACTGTGTCGCATCGATGAGTGGGTCATCGGGGACGAGCTGGTACGCAATACCTGGAACTGTCAGTCGAAGCACAGCGATAGCTAACAATTTGCATACCCTTAACGAAGAACTGATCTCCCTCCGACGTGAAGAACTTGGAGCCCTTCACCGAAATAGTGGCAATCGCATTAACAGCCACGGCGCCAGCCACGGCGCACGCCGCAATCGAGCGCAGCATTGTCGATTGATTGGCTTCGAAAACGTGCGAATGAAACGAAAGACAGCTCTGTGCAACAGCCACAGATAACAACGAGCGACACGAAATAAGCAACAATCACCAACAGCAAAGAGCAGAGAGGAATGAAGCCAGAAACCCAACGAGCAAGAACCTAACCTCCACGCCCTTGCCGCCTTCCCCCTCCCTCTCTAGCTCCTACCGCAATTCCCACCAGCGCGGCACTGCTCGCCTGCACACCGCAAACAAACCGGTTCCTCTGGTGTTTGCGATAAAGCGCATCACCGTGCGCGTCCGCGTTGCGAACGGAGGGCTGTGATTGGCCGCCACGCGTTGCGCAGAAACAAGCTCGTTTGATGTGCCGTCAAGCACGCGCCAACGCCGTCTTAGCGGCTGCTTTCTGCGACTTGGAAAATGGCGCCTCAACACGCGCTGAATGGGCGATTCGAGACCGCAATTCGACTTTTCGATGCTGGATACTTTGCTTTACCGAAAGCGGGTTATCATGATACCCGATGGCTGGTAACAAGGCTACTTCTGCTTCTTCCTGCTGTTGCCGAACCAACGTCACTCTCCGATGGATTTCTGCGCTCATGTAAGCTTTTGACGCAGGTAATTTTCTTATGGATCTATTGCCAGTGATAGGCCATTTAAATTAAGCTCTTTCGAGGCCCTTGACTTCACTCCTTCGATTGTAGAGCGCAGAATCATCTTAATTGCTCCATCGGTCGACGGTGCAGTGATACAAAGTAGCACATTTCAATCTCGAGGCATCCACAGAGCTTGTCATCGACTTTGGATGGAGCACAGTGTAAGCACCAAGCGCGTGAACAAGAGAAAAAGTGAAATTGCGATGCGTTCTTTGTGAATATATGAAACTTCCTGCTGACTTGTAGAATCTGATCTCAACATGGGAACGTGCAATCAATCCGCCGTATTCTCCGACTCTTATCACCAAAGATGCCGCATGTGTCCCCAGATCCCCTGGGATCCCATCCACCCTGTGAGCAGCGAGTCTCGTCATTCGACGCCCAACTGAAAGTCCCATAGGTAAACTGCACGTAGTCTCCTTTGTGCTCTCCTGTGATGACGACGGGCATTGGCAGCTTGCTGTTGAAGACAAATGGATCGCCGTCATTGCACGACTGTGTAACCTGCGAGCCACCTTGGCCGATTGTTGTCTTCGCATTGTCTACTAACAGTGCCTCGCAGGTAAGGTCCCGGTCTTCCGGCTCACACGAGTCGAACTCGTCGAGATGGATGCCACATGTTCCTGCCTGGTATGCTGGAGCAGGTGTAGACACAGGAGGTTCGACCGGCTTGGTTGTGGTGGGCAGCTCCAAAGGGCAAGAACTTAGGTCAACGTCTGGCAACTGTTGATCCCACGCAATTCGATACGCCTCCGAAATCATGCCGAGGGCGACTGACGCTTGATATGCGGTGCCGAGGGAGTTTGGATGGAAGTTCCTGAGGATTCGATCGGGGACAACCCAGGACGTCTGGCGTTTGTACTCCATGACCATGGTCTCGTTGTTCCACTCATCGTAGCCGCCGATTTCGCGCCGTCTCAGGTCGTCGTGGGGCGCGTTCTCGTCGAGGTTGAAGCGAATGAATGCGAGCTTCGAGTTGCTGTCGTCTGCCACATTGGCAGCTCCATCAGGTTCGCAGAACTGGCCATTAGCCATTTCTGTAATACCTCCCCAGTCTGCCCACTGAAGTTTCCTGAACCTGTTGTTCGTTTTCCAGTTTCCAAGGGCCTCGATAAGCTTATCATTAGTCTTTGTTACCAACCTGTTGAACTCGGTACGTAACGCCACATCTGGGGACATACACCAGGCGGATGCTACAAAGCACCATCCCTGACTGTTGCATGGTTCCGGAGATAGATTGAAGAATGGGGCGTAAAGTGTCCAGACTATGACACCTTTATAGTTGAGCTTTCCCTCGAGGAGACCAAGCAGTTTATTGACTGACGGAGTCAATACCGTGTCAATCTTGCTCTCTGCATCGGCCAATGCCTTCTGACAGGCAGCCTTGTTGGACAAGCCGTTGGGGAGGAAAAGACATGCCTTCAGCACATCGCCGAATCCAACATCGTTACCGCCTGCCGACACAGTGATGAGGTCCCAAAGTCCTGCATTCTGATTCAGCTGCGGAACTTGGTCTTGGACTATGTTGTCGATAACAGCGCCAGTGCAAGCTAGAAACTTGAAGTTATCAGCTTCAACAACGTCCTGGATTTTCAATGGATAGGCGTCGGAGTATCGACTACACTGCCATTCTTGGTCGAACGCAGAGCCCCTACGTTCGCCCGCGCCAATTCCTGCCGCGAAGCTGTCGCCCAAGGCTGCGTAGGATTTGACCCAGCTAAAATCCCACGGGTCTTCGGCGGCCGGTGTCGTGAAACGGTTGCTGCAGACAAGAGGGCATTGTACATTTCGACCATCCTTGCCACGACTGCAACCGAAATTGCAGAGTCCGTCGTCACTGAGGCCTAAGAACATGCGCGGCTTGATAGCCAGATCGTTTACATCTGGAGGCAAGTTCAATGGCCCGGTGGCCGAGCACGCACATGTGTTCCGAGGGCAGTATCCGTATTTGCAACCAAAGTCGCATAGCGACTTGAAGTCCCCAGATGTTGTTCCGGCTACACAAGTATCTGGCGTGAATGGCGAAACTTTTGGGATGTACTGAGCCACCGGCGTTTTAGAACACGCTCCCTCCGGACAGAAGCCACGATTGCAGGCGAAGTCACAGAGACCTGCATAGTTGGCGTCGCCATTCTTAGGGTATCCAGGCCCTGTAACGTCTGCTCTCTTTTGAGGCTTTGGTATACCCATCTACATCGTTCAAGCGTCAGTAACGAAATCTTATCGGGGATGTGCGGTCACACTCACATTCTCGCATACACAAGAGTCAGGACAATAGCCGTTCTTGCAAGTGTAATCACAAATCACGTTAAAGTTTCCCTCGCCCCAGCCCTGTATGCAGCTTTGCTGAGCGCGCGTAAGTGTCGGTGACCAAGTTTTGGCGGCAAATCCGTTGGTCCACTGAGAGGAGGTGACTCGGGCGTTCCAGTTGGCCATATTTCCTGCGTAACATGTGCTTTGAACAGTTGTTTTGAACTCGTTTAGTACTGAACCTCCGCGTCGAAGCGTGATGGTATGCTCTCCAGCTCCTGCCATTGGAACGGACTTGTAGTACATGCCAATACCGCCATCAGGAATGATGTCCCACTTATTGTCTGCGACTGATACGTATGACGCCTTGCCAGGGGCACTGACGGAGAATGACGCAGGAGCAGTCAATAGGGCTGCAACATACAAGGAATCTGGTGATATTTCCTTTGGTGCAAACTCCAGTTGGAGTTGGGATGCCGTGTTTCCTGTTGTTCCGCCGCCTGAACATGAAGAAGTCAACGTGACCTGGTGGGCTACGACAGCGCTTTCTTTTGTAAACTGTGCCGTTCCTTTGAGATATCTCTGGATCATGAATGGCAAATGTGTAAGCCAACCAGTATGGTCAAAGTCGCGGACATAGTTGAAAGGGGAATCACCTCTGCCGATGGCAAAAGCTTCGTACTGTTTGTCGTCTAGCGGACCGATGTAGTGAGATTCACCGAAGTCGTTCCAGGAGATGATTTGAACGTATTCGGGCTGCAGTTCAAAAACCTGCTGCCATCGTTCGTACCACAAGTTACCACCTCGCCACATCCAATTCTTGTTGAAACCTTGATTTGGTTAGTCTTTGAATGTTTCAGCGACTCTAGGACGGAGACAAGCTTACCAGGCATATTCGTGAAAAACCACGGGGACACAGGCATCATGTATGGCTTAGTAGAACCTTTTGAAGGATCACTTCCACCAAGAGCTTGTATGTAGGAATGATCAGAGTACGTGTCGGTTTTACGCTTACCATACGGCCATGCTGCCCAGCTGAACAGCCCGTCAGCAACACCCTCAGCCAGACCAATTGCTGGGAAGGCTCCCACAGAAGACCAGTCTGGCATGAAGAAGCAACCTGTTTTGGCTTTGATGTTATGCCAGTCTGCTGCATTGCCGGGGCCCTCAAAGGTGGATGCGAGTGGCTTGCCTGGGGCATGTTGCCAATAGTTGCTATCTCCACCCCACTTATTGAGGTAGTTAATGACCACATTCTGATCCCAAGGATATGCACCACCTGGATAATCGAAGGAGAAGAAGAGTTTGAATCCGGTCGTGTGGGCAGCCGCAAATGCATATTCAAGAGACTGTGAATTGTATGGCCAATCGGCAGCCATATTCAGTGCAAATGCTTGTATGCCGACAGATGCTGCCTTGTTCATGTTGGTGGCCCAATCCTGTGTAGTAAAGTTGCCTGTATTTCCAACCTGAAGACTGTCAGAAGGCGTCAACTATCTGATTGGCAGCCACTTACCATGAAATGTGCAAACACACCGCGAGGCGTTCTTGTTGCCGCCTGGGTACCACTCGCCGCCGCCACGCAAATGGCGGCTATGGCCTGGAGGAAACGCATCCTGAAAGGTGTGAAGTTTCACTGAAAGACTACTTGAAAACTGCAGACTCTCGACCATATATATTGTCGACTAATAAATATGTAAAGTAGAAAGCAGTGTCAAGTGACGGCCTGTCAGGGGTGCAAGTGTACCTGCATCAACACGCCCACTTGGACAGACCTCATCCAGGAGTGCTCATCTACGAGCCGCAGTCTAAAAGCTGACATCTCTGTCACACATGTATACCAAATTTAGGTTGTACGTGCAACACCTTCCAATCTAGGAGTAATCATTAATTGCTCGTCGGTCGAAAAATTTGAAGCTGGAATCTGGCCCACGATAGCAGGAACGACGAGGGAGATGTGTGTACTAGAAAGGATAGCAGCTCGCAAAGCTTGGATGATACTCGGTGCGGGACGGGCGTGGGACCTGCATAAGGCCTAAGCGTGGCGTAAATCGAGATTAGTTTCCGAGATCAACTGGGTCCCTGCCGGTGGTGTCCCGCCCGAGATCAGCTTAGACCCTGATCCCCCCCGCAGTTAGACCAGCAAATTCAGTTCACCGTCGATGGCACCAAATAAGTCCTGTCAATGTTTAACGGTGTGAAAATCGAAAGTTCATATTCGAACAACGCTTTGAGCAAACGCCTTTAGTCCTGCCCGGTGAATGCACTTTTCAACAAAGCTATCGGGATTATTTTATCAAGGCCAAGCTTGCGCGTACACTCCCTACAAGAGATCGCATTGTTCCGTGTGAGGCGGCTAAATCCGTCAGGCAACCCAGCAATATCAGGTAGTGGACGCATGTCTAATTCCAAGCCTCCCGCGTTGCAGACAAGCGAAGGCGCCAACCAGATACGCGACGTTTGCCCAGGGTCCACTCTAACGCAGCTAAACAAGGGTCGAAAGCCCGTTGCTCGAACGGGATGTATGCAGAGTATCCCTTCCTCGGACACGGAATGGTCTATATTAGGATTGATCAAAAAGCTTTGATTGCTCGCAACATCATATAAACGGTGGTAATTATCATCTGCATCTAGCTAGCTGGAGGGCTGTCAGGTGGACTGCCAAGTCTCGAACAAGCACCGATATCAGCTGTCAATCGTATTCGTGCGAGGGTCGAGTAAAGAGCCTAGGTCTTTATGGTCGTATTAGAATAAAGGAAGGTTTGTTGCACATTTCGTTTCCCGGTATATCCTCTCAAGATCCACGCTCGTTAGCACGTCTTCAGCCGCCACCATGCTCGGGCTATTGCAGCGTCTGCTGGTTGCCTTCCTCGCCTTTGTATGCTTTGTATCCATCTCGGCCTTCGAGCTCGATAACGTTCAGGTACGGATTCCCTTCTCTGACCAGCATTGTAGTCAACCGACTTATAATTAAGTTGACTCATTCGGACCTCAACCTCAATGGAACCGCTCAAGAGGAACTGCGGGTTCGCAGGGCGACTGTTCCGTATACTACTAGTTTAGGTTTCTACACCGACGATATACTTCGAGATGAAAAATTCTCAACTGGCCAAATTGCGTACACATCTGTGATAGATTACACCGTGGATGTTGACAGCTGGACTGATGAGCAGCTGCTCGGTGTAGCTGAGCAAGGTTTGCATACTTTTCCATGCGATCGTATCGAAGAGCTTAGTTGACATCTCTTTAGCATGGGACGAGATGATAGTCGTACACCAGGAATGGATGGATGACTGCAAAACCCAAGGCAGGAAAGATTTCCTCAAACGCTTCACTCCTCCTATGGTCTCCGTCCTTGCTGTCGGCAACACTCTATATATCGGCAGTGTTATGAAATTAAGCACCCCAAACGCGTTGTTCACGTTCAAGCCAGCCGATGACGGGAAGTATGTGGATAAAAAGGTTATAGATATCATGGAGAACGCATTCGTCCAAGCTGCAACAGAGTAGGCCCTTCAACTGATAAAAGATGTGTTGGAATGGATCACTGACTGCGATAGGTTCACAAACAAAAACAAAGATTGGGCCATTTCAAAGGACCCGCGAAAAGGCCACACCAACTCGGGGTGCTGTGCGGAGTTCGTTGCAACATCTCTGTGTGTCATCGACACTGCGCTGCTGCCTTGGGATGTGAAGACCAAGAAAAAGCCCAGGATCGTCGCTTGGGGAACTGGGGCCAGTGATCCTTTCACTGTCGCGGGCACTCAACAGAATCCGTGCTGGAAGAAAAATTCTCAGCAGACCAAGGACGGCACTGACAAAATTGGCTGCGGCCAATTTGTGGAAGGGAAGATGGCAAGTCATACATTTCATAATTGTCACTGATTACGGTTTGAGCGGCTCACTAACAGTCATCATTACAGACCGCTATCTACAAGACTAATCCTCTGAAACAACCCGTACGAGTTACCGTCCAGGGAAAGAGGCGTGATGTATCCTTGAAAGATGCTATTGCTGTCATAACACCGTCCAAAACGGATACTAAGGGATGAGGTGCTTGCAGTACGAGATGGAATTTCCAGCGATCGTGCATGTCTTGGGGTATATTGTCAAGGGTGGCCATCGTTATTTCCAGTGTGAACAATCTCATTCGCTTTTGGTAAATGCTTCCTACTGCAATCTAGAGATATTTCACATACAACTATCTGTCAGCCCGATTCTCTATTCTAGACCAGAGCCCGAGATTCATACGCTACATCATTGCCCTGCTGCTACGGGGCTCTATGCTTCAAAGCTGAACAAGCGAGTGACACGATGATTTCATTCTAAATTTTACTCTGTTTCGACAAGGACAATGCACTGCCGATTTTGCGATGAGCATATCCTCCTGAGCTCCGCAAACGTTTCTTCTCCCCAGCCGTCCATCGCCCAAAACGATCCAGACAAGAAATCAAACGTGATGTTTCGTAGACGTGCTTTTGCGTTATCACACGCTGACGCATCGTTGCGATTCTCTTGCAAAAGCTCAGAAAACTTGCGGATGTATTGATGAGCGCCCCATTCAAAGAACGGTTTCATACCCCAGAGGTCATCGGTGATGACGAGGTGTTCGAGATTGGGTGGGAGCACGTGGTCCAAGGGTGGAGTTAGATCGGGGTCGGTCTGGCCGAATAACACGCACAGCGACAGTTCGATCTCGGTGAGCTTTGTGAAATGTCTGAAGGAACCCAGGGTCCCGGATTCGATGACGAACATCTCGTCGACATCTTCATCATCATTGTACGGATTGAACCTGAAGGAAAGTTGTCTCAAGGTCGCACTGGTATGAGACAACGCTTGCTGGACATCATCGAGCCTCAGGGGTAGCTGCGTCGACGGAACAGCATACGCGCAGCTCAAAGACTCCAGATGCTCATTCTCGCGAAGAATCGCATCGAGGACCGTCGGATGCAGGTTTGTTCTTTGCAGGTTTAGCTTGTTCAGCCTCCCTGCGGTAACGGAACTGTAAGCGTCGACACTGTCGTTGAGATCAACTCGCCCCCAGAGTTCGAACTCTGTCAAGCTTGGCAGAGACAGCGCCAGCAGTACAAGGCGTGAAGAGATGCTGTAATCTACGTCTGGATCTCTTTCGTAATAACGTCGATCAAAGGTTTTTATATGCGTCTCACCCAGACGGACGCAGCTCACTTTGTTCAGCCATGACCATTTGCTAGTAGGCACTGCTCGCAAAGCGGAGTGCTGGAGCATGTTTGAGAAAAAGCTGGTCAGAGGGCAACTCAGCGGGAGATCTACGGTCAGGGTCTCGAGCTTGGGCAGACGGGATACAATGAATGCAGATTGGGCCCACGCGTTTTGCTCATGACACAAAGCAGCTTTCCAGAGAGCTGCATCATAAATCTCGGCCTCGTCGATTGTTCCTTCTATCTTTTTCTTCAGCTCATCAGTGAGAGGTGTAGGATGCGCCAACGGAGTTCTTTCGTTTCTCTGGGATGAAGACTGGGTACGGACAGACTGGGCCCGAACAGTAAATCTTTTGACTTGAGCAGCGTATGTAGGATTCTCCAGCAGTGTGCGAAGCAGTCGACCAGCCCTTGGTGCTATAAGATTATTTTCGTCGAGGTCGAGAACCACATTGCGATAAAGTGAACTGTGAGCCATAGGGCGCATAGCTTTGTTTACTCTGCAAAGTGCGGCCATATGGTCGAAAAGCAATTCGGCAAAGATGGCATCCCATAACTCCTGGGGCAGTTTGTCCATTGTTGAGGGCATGACTTGGCCTATTCCGGTAATGTTGACGAGATAAGGTCTGCCAATTGTCCAAACCCAGGTGGTGCGTGGCCTTGGACGAAGCGAAGGGAGGAAATGTGACGGGCAGAAGACGGACGGGCGTCCTGTAGCGACGATGAGGATACACTTGAGGTGAACAACGCTAAAGGTATGGCTAACCAAATCAGGCTACAACGCCCGGTCTCCAAAATTAGGTTTACAATTTCCTTACTACGTTGGCATCGCGGATAAATCACCTGCATCTGCCTATCCGAACTCGGCACTCTGGAAATTAAGCGATTACTAGCGTCTCGACACGGAACATGAAGACTTTTGTTAGCCCGTTAAGACTTGCCGCGGGTCTTATCCCTGCACATCACTTTACTTCTGAATTGACTTGGTTGCGCACGTCGAACTAAACCCCTTGAAAGATTAGTCTACAGTAGGTAGCTAACACGACATAGAACCACAATCGAACAAAGCTAAAACCCATCTATCCTATTCCTCTTCCTGTAGACTTAGAAACAGGGAACTACCTTATTACAATATACTTACAAAGAAATTCCAGCCACCTACATCCAGTGCCCCCGCACCACCACCCATGATCACCCCCCCCCCCCCCCCCCCCCACTATCCCCCAACCCACCAATCCCCCTCGCATCAAACCCTCAACCTAGGAACCCTCCATAACTAACAGCAACCGCATCTTACCCATCACAGCAGCTACAACCGACCTACAGCCGGCCCATTACTGCAACTCCGCACACTCCACACACGGCGCTGTAAAACCAGTGCATACCCGCAGAAACGCAGCCATCCCAACCAGCCAGCAAGAACCCAACCACGGCCGAAACCGCGGTGCCCAGACCGCGAGCCGCTGGTGTCCCGTGGACTTTGCCTTGGTGGCGGACGAGTGCGGAGGCTGCTGGATGGTTTGAGATGCGTGTCGTGGTGGTCTGCCTGGGTGTTTGTGTGCTTGTGTGTCGTGTGTCGTGTACCGAAGATCGCGGATCTGGGGGGTGGGGGGACTGCTATTGGAAGCTTGGAGGTGGATTGGTGAGCGTGCGTTGAGCTCGAAACACGAGCCTCCATTCGCAGACACCATGGCTTTTAGACGTGTGGGGATCGTGGGTAGGTCGGGATTCTTGCGAGCTGGCTGGTTACTAGCTGAATCGGTAGACCTGCGAGGAGGTAGGTACATAGACCGGCCACAGCACCTGCGTGACCGAGCAGAGCGTCTAACGCCAAGATAGCTTGGAGCGGCGATTCGAGACTGTATTTCCATCTCTTGGTGCCTGAAACTCTGCTCTGGACGCGCCGAACTCCGTTTCCCAGACTGCAGAACGCCACGCATCCCGCCAAACAGCTCTGAGAGACCACACGTCACGCCAAAATGAACGTCTGCATATGTCCTTCGAACGCACCACAGTCCAGTGCGCGGGGAGTGCCATAGGTCTGGTGGTGGTACTCCGATCTCAGCGTGTTTACAATATTGCAAGGCTCGTGAGTGTACTGCAGGGACCCTTCGTCCACGGCGTGCCAGTACGTGGGCGTGATGTATTCCGAGACCTTTTCTGCAATGCCTATTCCGATGCGCTCGAAGACGGGGAGGACTTCTGCGAGCGGGGGCAGGGAATGAGAAGGCAGGTCATAAGATGGCTTGCGGAGGAGGAGAAACAGTGCTGAGGTCCGGCCAATGAGGGCTGCACATAGGACGTTTTTATCTGAAATAGTGTCTGTGGGAGCTATGTCCCACTGCGGTTCGAGTACGAGGTTGTCTACACCGGATGAGCAGATTAGTTGCGGCTCGCGTACTATCTGGCCGTCCACTGTGGCCCAAAGAAGGTGTGGGCGAAAGGCCAGGGCGGTGACTCGCAGGAACCGGGAGTCCCTCGAGGGCGTCAACCTCAAATCCTCGATCTTATTTTCGTCCAGCGTGCTAACCTCTTCCCACTCGCAGCCTGTCCAGACCTGGAGTCCGTGGGGGTGATCTATGTGCAAAGTATCAAACCACACGTACGCTGTCCAACCAAGAGGAGACCAGCTGGGGAACTCTTTCCTACGAACGCCGGGCGTTTCCGCCCCCCAAGCCATGAGCAACCCGTTTTTATCATACCCTAGAGTACGATGATAAATATTTCGAGATACAAAAATACCCCAGAAGTGAGCGTATAGGGTCTCGGGACCCGTCATTGCGTCTAGAATGGCTGAAATGGCGTTGAGTGCATCTTCCTGGTAGCGCAGCTGCCGCCTACTGTACGTTTCAATCAGCGTCGTCAATGCGAGCCTCTGATCATGAGAAGCTGGTCTAAGTATATTATTCAATCGATCCACCTTGCCCTCTATCAGATTGTGTTCGTAGAGGATCTCAGTGTTGCAAGCGAATACTACCTGTCGCTCAGTGAAGAAGAGTCGTTTTGTCGACAGGTAACTTTCCTGTAATGTCCAACCTCTGGAGACCCATTTGGAACTCAAGATATCTTCCGTGCTGTCCCAATCGTGTCTGAGATAGGTAGTTCCAGTCATGACATCATTGAAAGGCACGCGTCGACTGATTCTTACTCCAGGAAGACCATGTGAGGAGTTGTTGCCAGCCACAGCGAAGATGGTCAGTTGGGCACGCGCATAGATTGCTCCCATTTGCCCAATCTGGTGGGATTTGTCGAATTGGTCGTGTTGGTCGATGCACTGGTGCGTTAGCTAGTGGGAGTAGATGCATCAAAAATACATACATATCTGTCGACCCAGAGATATTTATAGCCAAGCTCCAGTGTGACCTTGATACTGTCTCTGATGGTCTGCGGGATGTATGCTCCGAGGATATCCCCTTCTTGTGGCGATTTTTCCTGTGCCTCGCCCCACACATAGGACAGTGCCACATATTGGCACGATTCTGGGGCGATCACGACGCTGATGGGATCAGTGTCGCAACGTATCACTCTGAGGTGTCTTATGTGCTTACCAGAGGCGAGCTTGTGTGGATCGTGGTCTTGACATCTGTTGATCCAAACCTTAATCCTATCATAGGGTATCCTTGTGGCGTGTGCCCGCATTATATATGGGTCGTCGCGAAGAGATGCGAGATGGGCAACTTTCACGTAGTAAATCTGATGTCGATGGGAGAGCTTGTAGACGATATTGAGGAGACAGTTTTGTGGCGGGATGGTGCCTGATCTTACGCAGATCGACACGAACGGTGGTGGCAGCTTATCCGTCGAGAGCTTTTGGTGTTCGTACATAACCTCTCTAAAGAAATGGCAAATTTTACAACGTAAAGCTGCTAGATCGTCAGGTATATCGGTGATTCTGAACAAAAATTTCCATCGTGCCGAACGTTGGTCTAGCTTCTGACAGACAGCTAGGCACCGATGGCAGACGTCGGCGTCCTGAACGCCCGTAGCCCCGCCGTTTAGCGATAGCCCGTCAAAGTCCACGGCAGAAAGATCCTCGGGAGTCGGATCGAAGCTCATGACGCTGGAGAAATTGCGACGTCGACGTTGTCGTTCGATGTCGATGGTGGAGGCTGTCAGGTGACCATCTCAGCCTCATGAACAAGTTGCTCACCAAGTTCGCCTCGACCTAGTTCGGATATGGGGAGACACTCGCGCACGTACCTGTATTAGGAGCATAGAAATGCGCGACTGAAGAGTGACTGGCGAGGGTGGTACAGGATAGTGGCTGGCAGATGCTACGAAAAGCTGACAGGGCAGGTTCACTGTCGGCTGACGGAGCTAGCCAGAACAGGCAGGCATCACTGCACTCCAACATGGTCAGGGCATAGCTATTGACGAACATGCGCCGATCGCCAGGTGTGATGTAGATAGCTTACATATCGATGCAGCACTACCTTGAAGTGTCCAGCCCATTGCTCAGCCTACTCCTCCTCGCTCTCCTCACTACTATCCGCTAGCCCTTCCATCATCTCCATATACAACTCATCCTCATCCACCTCCGCCGCGGCGCCCTTCCTGCTCTCCGGCCGCTCCTGCCGCGCCGGCGGTCCGATATCCATCTGCTCGACATCAACGTCCTCGTCCTCATCCGGCTCGCCGCCATCATCATCACCGCCCAGGTCGCCAAAGTCGATATCCGCAGCTGCGGCATGGCGGCGCGGCGTCCCTGCGGCGCTGGTCGCGGCGCTGGCGAGCGAGATGGGGCCTGCGGAGGGGCTGCGCGCACGCGCAGCGTTGACGTGTAGGTGCGCCGGGCGCGCGCTCGGGTCTTCGATTTCGAAGGAGGAGGCGTCGCTTTCGGCGGAGGAGTGGTCGTCGTCGTGGCGGTGGCCGGGGGACGGCGAGCGGCGCGGGACGTGGCGCGGGGTGGGGAACGAGGAGTCGGGTTCGCCTTCGGCGTCGACGTCGCTGTCGTCGCTGGACTGGATGAATTCGGTGGACTTGATTTTGCTGGATGGTGGGGCGGCACTGGGTTTCGGTTGCGATGTTGATGGGGCGGGGCGGTCGGTTGCGCGGCGCTCCAGGTTGATTGCAGGGGCGGCGGGTTTCTTGGGCGCGCCCTTTGCGGCAGGCTTCTTTGCGAAGACGCTGGCAGCGGCCTTGCGTTTCTTGGGCGCGGGCTCGACGGCGCGGCGCGCAGGGAGGACGGGCGTGTTCGCGGCGCTGGTGGCTGTGTTGGAGCGGTAGTCGGGCGACGACGCGTAGCCGCGGTCTTCGGCCGTCTCCTTCTTGCTCTTGACCGCGTTCAAGAAGTGGCGGAAGTCGTACGGGTTGGCGGCGTCCGGCTGTGTGCCCTCGTTCGCCTCCTCGCCGGCCTCCTCGCCGAAGAGGTCAACTTCCCCCTCCTCGCGGTCGTGCACGCTGTCTTTGTGCGCCTTCTTCGGGTAGATCTTGCCGTAGCCCGACGACACGTCGCTGCCGTTCTTGGTGGAGAGATTGAAGGTGTATGTGCTGTCAAGGCGCTCGAGGGTGGCCTTCTGCGTGGTCTGGTCGAAGAGCAGCACGTACGACTTGGAGGGTGCTGTGCGCGCCCCGTTGAACACAAACATGTCCTTGTCGCCATCACTGCTCGCATCGCGCATGGAAAGGTTGTATGTGTTGTTGTCGGCGAGCTTGAGCTTAGACGTGCGCGTGCCGCTGGAGAGGCTCGGCTTGTGGTTGTCTGGCGGGCGAGGTTAGCAGACGTGGGTGCAACAAGGCCACCTGCGTACATTTGACGCCGTTGAAGCCTCGCCCCGTCCCGTCCTCGCGGCGGATCTGCTCGCTGACGTCCAGCGTGTACGTTGCCTTGCGGTGTGGCTCAACCCGCCCATCCACCATGGGGGACGCCATCGATTGTTTTCGTGCGATAAGGAGGTTGCTAGTGAGAGTATTTGCAGTGACTTCAGTATCTTATATCACGGACGGGAAAATGAGGTCAAAATCGCAAAAGGAGATCGAAACGGGGTCGAGGCTCTGGGCATGCGCAGTGCTGTGAGCAGGCGTGGTCGCGGTCTGGGTCAACGTGCGGCTCCCGTGTGGGGCCGCAAGCTACTAACTTTAGCCAGGCTCGCATCCGACTTCCACCTCAAGCAGCCGATCGCTTGTGAAGATCTACGCTTTGACATTGCAGCGCAACGCTGTGAATGGGCAATAGGCCTACATCACAGTCACAGTCATCTGCAGCACGTGCAAGTCGGCGACGGCAATCGGAATACAACAACACAGCATCACGTCGCATTGGAAATCGCTTGGTGAAGATGGATTCAGGAATGGGCGTCAGCTCAAGAACAGCCCGACCGCCAGCACAGGGCTTTCCCCCGCCTGCTCCTACATACATTGTCTATACATAGGCGCAGAGCGGATATCTTTCCCTCATCAGCGCATAGCATTGGTCATGTTCCGTCCTCCACAACACAGACACCACAGTGTGAACGGTAAAGGGTCTCATTTTGCTTTTCCTTTTCTTCCAAGCCTTGCCTATCCATCCGTACGCCGACATGTTGCGATGCAGTTGTCAATGACAGGGTATGAGAGGGTGACAGCGTCTACCACTGGGTGGTGGTAGCGGGAGCCTCGGCGCCCCAGCTCTCGGTGGCGGCGGGCGCGGCAGCCTCGCCGGAGGCAGCGGCCCAATCAGAGGCATCAGCGTCCCAGGAGGCGCCGGGGGCGGCAGCCTGGGAGGTGAAGGCACCGGCGGAGGCGCCGGAGACCTCCCACTCGGAGGTGAAGCCCTCGGCGACAGCGGCGGGGCCAACCTCGTCGGCACCGGGGACCTTGGCCTCCTCGACGCCAGCGGAGTCCTTGTTCTCCTCGGCCTCGGGGTCGCGGTAGAAGTACAGATCGGTCATGACGTCCCACTCGGCCTCGCGGGAAGCGAGGGTGCCGCGCAGGCGGAGGACCTCACGGGCGAGCATCCACCAGACGAGACCGATGGCGTGACGGCCCTTGTTGTTGGTGGGGATGGCAACATCGACATACTCGGTGGGAGAGTCACCGTCGCAGAGGGCCTAGAAAGTCAGCATTTGGGCATCGCACTGGATTCGCGGACCGCTTACAATGACGGGGATGTTGACGTAGGAGGCCTCCTTGATGGCCTGGGCGTCGGTGCGAGGGTCGGTGACGATGATCAGGCGGGGCTCCTTGAACGAACGGGTGATGTAGTTGGTGAAGTTACCGGGGGTGAAGCGACCGGCAATGGCGACGGCACCGGTGTGGGCGGCGAACTTGAGGACGGCACGCTGTCCGTAGGGACGGGCAGAGATGACACAGACTGCAAAAGTTAGCGCGGCTCGTCTGCTGTGCGCGCATGTGCGGTCTCGAAAAGTTCGCATCGCGCATGTCGCAGGCGCTGCTTACTGTCGGCCGGGTTGTCGATGGCGGCGATGATGCGCGCGGCCAGGACAATCTTCTCCCAGGTCTTGCCAACGTTCAGAACGTTGACACCGTCGGCCCTGGTCTTCCACAGGTACGGCTCCATGTGAACCTGGAGGTTCTTGGCTCCGAGGTGGCACTGAGCAGCGAGGAGCATCTCAATGTCCTGCTGGGTGGGGTTGAAGATCGCGGGGAGGTTGGAGGGGGCCATCTTGACGGATTGGGCACGAGACTGCTGCTTGTCGGTGTGGTTGAGAGTTGTGCGGTCGCGATCGCAAATGTTGGAGGGGAGCGTGTGCGGTTCTCGCTTAGGGCGCGCCTTTCCGCTTCGGGCAGGCTTGGGATACCCAAGGAGAGACAGATGCTTACCTACTCCAGCATGCCGATTTGCAAATGCTGTGTTAAAATGCTGCCTGCTGTATATCGCTGATAACAAGTCAATTGAAGACACTAATCTGCTTGAGCGGCCATTTTCGCTCTGTTGTCCGCGTTCCTCGTGCTCCGACTGATGCTCGTCGATTGCTGCTCCAGAGAGACTAGGCTGTTTACGGAAATGTTCGATGTCGCACCCAATCAGGCAAGGCGTGCGTCCGCGGCGGCGGACACGGCGAACTTTTGCAGCCGGTGAAGGACAACAGGAGCGCGCAGCAGCATTGCCATCACCAAGATGCCGCCCCGGATACCCGTCGCATCGTACCTGCGGGCCCCGAGCTCGCCGTCGGTCTTCGCCCTCCCACTGCGCCCATTCTCGACCACCGGACCGCTGCAGAAGAAGCTCACTTCGCTCGAGCGCAAGCAGCGTTTCGAGCACGACCCCTACATCGCCGCCCAGAAGGCCCGCAAGAAGGCGGCCAACCTGTCGCGCCGCGCAGAGCTGGAGCAGGTGCGCGTCGAGAGCCTGGGCAACCCCGTCCGCGGCGTGACGACGCCCTTCGTGCGGTCCTTCGACACGGGCAGGCCTGAGGCTGCCGGCACCGACGCCGACCAGCTCAACTACCGCTACTACCCCGACCGCCTGCGGACGCAGCTAGAGGAGAGCAAGCGCCTGGCCGTGCCGCTGAGCGAGATCAAGAAGGACGACGCGGCCCCCACGACCCCGTACAGCAGCTCCATGACCCACAACACCGCCTACAGCATCGAGAAGACGGCCGAGGAAATTGCGGAGCAGAACCAGCAGGACCACGCCCGCGCCACCGAGGCCATCGCCCGCATCACCGCCCTCGACAATGGCTCCAGCAAGGACCGCATGCGCGTCAACATCACCCGCTGCATCGACACCTTCGGCCGCCACAACACCGACCTGCGCCTGCCACCGCGCGCACCCCACCTTGGCAGCATCAACTCGAACACCCCGCCTGCCGTGCGCCCCGCGACCAACGAGAAAGCCGCCAGCGCGCGCATCGGGCCCGACACGGGCTCGTCCGAGGTGCAGATTGCGATCCTGACCGCGAAGATCAAGACCGTGGCCGACTTCCTGTCGTCGCGAGGCAAGGGCGACAAGCACAACAAGCGCAATCTGAGACTGCTGGTGCACAGGCGGCAGAAGCTGCTGCAGTACCTGCGGAGACGAGAGCGCGGTGGGCCGAGGTGGCAGCACTGCATCGAGACATTAGGTCTGACAGAGGGAACATGGAAGGGCGAGATCTCGTTGTAAGATGGACGCGTGAAGACCATTTTAAATTAGCGGCACAAGCGGGTTTCCGGTGCATTGCAGCTGTACAATACGAAGCATAAGAGCCTGGCATTGACGGACTGTCGTGATTATGGAATGACGTGCTTACCTTCGATCTACCCTGCGTATTTACACAGCGTGTCGAGTTCGTATACAGCTGTACTACTGATGCACAGCACCACGCGTCGCAGCAGGATATGCACATCACTGACCACGGCTCCAAAATGTCCGACGACCGGATTGTGTGCGCGTACAACTTCATCACCTCACAGCATTAGCGCTGCTGCAGCAGTTATCCCACTCTATTTTATCTCTTGCATCGCCGTTGAACGTTCAGATACTTGACTTCCCTCCTGCTGAAACAATTTGTAGGCTAACAAGCGCTGCTTCCATCGGCACACTGCACCTTCTCAAAACCAGCCTTCCTTTCTCGACTAGGACTAGCCACAAGACTTATTACAGCTGAGCGAAGGGCTGCAACATTACCAATACTGACAGTATGTAAACTATCTCCCGCAACAAAAAGACACTATACGCGTGCCAAGATCGCCTACATCTCCATGGTGTCAAGTCGAAACTAGGAACTGGGAAACCGCAGCCGCAACGACAAGAGACTTGAGAGCAGATCAAAATCCCACAGAGAACCGGAGTACGCCATCCATGGAGACACCGATCATTCTGCACTTGCCCGAGACACCACGAGAAGTATGGTGGTCGTGTACAAAATCGGTCTAAGCCAATAGCCTCGCCTAAAGCATTACCCTTCCCCCGCCGCCCGCCAAGCGCCCCCGACATTCCCTCGACCACGAATCCAGATAATGGTCAGGATCGACAGGTCAGCCAAGGCGCACGTCCGCATCATGGACAATGTGTCCAACCACAGAACCATCGTTCGTCAAGCCACTTTCCGGATCCCCACCGCTGTGGCGTTGACACTACACTAGTGCATGACGGCCCGTTTGCTTATTCCAACACAATTCCAGCCGTTCATCTCCACGTTCTGGGCGCGAGATCAACAGGAACCATCGCTTCGAATCTAGGATCGGCCGCCAGCTAGTCGGGAAAGAGATCCGTCCGTTGTCGGGATGCGCTTGTTTGAACTAGGCGGACAGGGCTGGCTAGGTACAGTATCTGCATAGGGCATTTGCTGCTAGACAGCATTCAACAAAGAAGCGAGACCTCTTTGGTGAACGCTAAAGATGACTTACTTGCAAGTCTATGCAAGAGCTAGTAATTCGGTACAGTGTGGAATTGACATGCATGCTGCTGGCAACATAACTTTTTCCAACTTCAGCTGCCTAATGTATCAACTAGAAAAATCGCACTGCTGCAAGCACGACCAGCACAGAGGAAATCCGCAAAGAAAACACCTCTCGAATGTGGCAACTCATTTGACCACAACTCAGTCATCCAGAAATCCGACCTTGGCGTTGCGGTTCGCAGCCTAGGTGGCTGCCATGTGGCGCTACGACAACATGCTCAGGAGCGGAGAACCTTGAGCAAATCTTGTCTAGCGCGTCAGCAATTCAGCTAGGAAAGCTTGTTCCTGCATGAAGGCATATCGGTTTGGAGATCCGGAGGCTTGGATTCTCATGATACAGTCCGAATGAGGAGTTTGGGATCTGGAGACCATGGCCGACGAGAGTCTGGCCATGGTGGTGTACAATGGCATACAGCAGCTGAAGAGACGTGTATAAAGGTCTCCAACATCGCCATTGACCATTCACTCAACCGAGACCATCTCATCAAACCAACCCATCTCTTCTACTCGCCACCAGCAACCACCCACAATGCGTTTCTCCATCCTCGTCGTCCTCTCCGCCGCAAGCCTCGCAACCGCCCAACTCACATACAACCTCACACAAGCCCTTGCACCTGGCAACTTCAAGAAATACCGCTGCCTGTAGGCGTCCCCACGCGAAAGACTCCTCTCGCATAACCTGACTTCGCCCAGCGACAACGACAAACTCCTCGCCCTCATGCCACCCGTCACAGCAAAGTGTCTCAAGACCTGCCAAATCGCAGCCAACAAAGGCGACGGATGTGCCGAGAACGACTTCGCGTGCCACTGCGTCAACTACAACACCTACTCCGATGTACGTCCCCTGTTGTGCCCCCATCGCCCTCGTCCTACAAGGTATCAAGCCTCTAACACCCCCCAGCTAATCGAGCCCTGCGCCTTCGCGCTCCCCGCTAACCCCGCAATCAACCCGCCGTGCGATACAAACGCGCTGATCGCCGCGCGCCCGATCATCCAGGACATGTGCAATTTCTTCAATGCGACGCTGTATGCGGACTATCGCCGGTGTCCGCAGGAGCTGAGTAAGAAGAAGACGTATGGGATTATTGCGAAGGAGGAGATTGAGTGCACTTTCTAGGTAGTGCGGTGTGCAATTGTGTTGGTGACGAGGATCTGTGGTGGGAGAACTCGACGAGTAGCATCGGGGTGGATGTCTTCATCTACCATGTACCTCCCACATGCTACTGCAGCGCTCAAAAGAGGTTTTGTGAGTTGGTAATCTAGCTGTTACATGATTAAAGTAATATTAGCGCTATTTCAGCTGCTGACCAGCTATCAATCCCTACACTTAAACAGATACTGCTAAATCTGCACTATAATACATATACATCATTCATTAAATCCTGCACTCAATCGACTTGTGACAGACTCCAGAAATTACTGCACCCAAGTACCTCTTGATTAATCACTCGGCACTAGGCAAGATCGTGACTGTTTCTATTGCATCTATCTTTTTTGGAGCTAGTACGCGGTATCAAGGGAAACCTGTCTAAAGAAACGTGTTGAGCATACAAACAAGCATCTCAAAAAGAGAAAGTAAGAACGGAATTAGTAGTCCCTATCTTTCATGTTTTGCATCATACTCAACAGCGGCTCGGACGTGCTTGCACCCATCGCTCACATCCCAATCTCTACACGCTGTCATCAACCATCCGATACACAAGCGACCCAACCCATTCGCCCTTGCACTCCCACGCGCGCTCGGTCAGACTGTGTTTCGAGAACCCCAGACGCTCTGCTAGACGCCAGCTCGCGGTGTTGCGGGGGTCACATTCGATCTCGAATTCTAGCGTGGTGGTGTTGTTCGTCCTCTCGCGCTCCGTGAACGCCGCAATAAGCGCCCTTACAGCCTCAGTAGCCAGCCCCTTGCCCTGCGCGCGCGGAAGAAAAGAGTACCAGAGATCGATATGCGCGCGCGCTGGCGCGTCGAACCCCATCTCCACGCGCCCAGTCTCCGCGTCGCCCTCTACACTCCCCTCTGCACCTCCCGCCACCGCCACCGCCCCTCCCCTGACCACCTTCCCGCCAACCCTCCCCACAAAACCCCCTTCCCCCTCACACACAACAGCCACGTCCACCACATCCCTCTCCTCCGCAAACCCCCGCTGCATCTCCCACACCACGGTCCCCCTCGCGCCCTCCCGCGTCCACGGCGCCCACGACTGGAACCGCGCATTCTCCGCACAGCTCTCGAGCTCGAACACCGCATCCACATCATCAGGGACGTACTCGCGCAGCGTGAGGCGCGACGTGGTCACGGGGTGAAAGTAGTGCGGCGCAGCGGTAGCGGGCGCAAGGGAGCCCAGAAAGTCCTGTTTTTGGGCGGCGTACGTGGCAGCGTCACGAGCGGTGTGTTTCAGCGCCGCGTACGCGGTGCGCAGAGAGGGCGTCGAGGTGAGTGCGGCGCGCACGGCGAGGTGCGTGTGTGCGGCCAACGAGGTGGAGGCGCACAGGTACAGCGTGTGGGCGTGCTCGGGGGAGGTGGGGGTGAATGCGATACCGTGGGATGGGGGGTGGGCGGGGGAGGGGGTGTAGTTCGGTTCGAGAGCGGCCCAGAGGGTGGCGATGAGGGATGCGGGGGCGGTGAGGAGGATGTCGATTATAGGGCGGCTAGGGAGCTGGGGTATGGCTGTGCTGCCGATATGGGTGAATACGATGTCTGTGTTGTTGGGGAGGGCGCGAGTGAGGTCGCGGATTATGTGCTCGTATTGTGAGGGCCATTGGGCGTTGTAGGGCTCGATGGTGTGAGGCATGTTGTGGTTGGATCTCCTCTGGGGAGGCTCGATGTTTTTGTCTTGAGGTGCTCGGGAGCACTAGCCCATTTGATAATGTACGTATCTATCAAGGTAGCACAAGAACGATGATGAGAAGATTCTGACAGTAAAAATCAGTACCAAGAAAGAAAGCAGTTGAGATTATTAAAACTGGCAGTATTGGTAAGTAGTCGGAAATTGCGCCCTTTCAAACGGCGTCCGCCCTTTCTCTAATTCCAGCTCAGTCGTACTCTTCGATCTTGATGACGGGAATATCTGAGTATGCTGGAGGCAAATCATCTTGCTCGGACTCCAGTAGAGCGTACTCTGCGTCCATGTCCTTGTCCTGCTGCCTTCTCTGGTACCAGACGTGGACAAAGAAGATAATGAACGCGAGGAGCAATACGAGCGGCAGCAACAGGGCGTTGTGTTGGATGTTATCCAGCCAATACTGCCCCATCCTGACAGAAAACATGTTCCACGTGCGAGACCAGGAACCCAGCTTGCCGTAACTATCCCACTCGCTAGGATTGAAGGAGGTCTTCACCGCAGCCATCTTTCCGCATTTCATCTTGAGTGGCTGTGCGCGCATGTATCTTTCCACGATGTGAATGTCCTCGATGATCAAGGAGTGTCCCTCCTCGCTTTCAACTTTCTGCTCTTTGACCAAGATCTGCACTATTCTGCGATCCTCGTCAAAGGACGCAACCTCGCCATTGCGACCGTAATGGAGACCGGTTACATCAAACTGCAGCCACCACTGTCCAGGAGTCTTCGTCTTAAGGAGCGTGTGCTCGTACTGCAGTGGGAACTGGTGGTAGTTCGTCTGCTCGATGACTTGTGGGTCGAGCATCCCTTCGCGCACGATGCTATCCATTGCTTCCTGAGAGATGTTGGCCGCGACTTGGTAAGCGTTTATGAAAAGTGGCATCGTGGCGAGGGGCAGAACTTGGCCTCCGTTCAATTCCATGGTCGAGATTTCGGACCGGTCGTCTCTGATGTCGAACTCCAAGAGCTTTTCATCGGTCAGTCATGTTTCACAATCTGTCTAAATCTAAGTAGAACGTACCAAAGAGTTGTCACGCTTCAACCATACATCATTCTCGCCGTCTTTGACAAGGAAAGGACAGTCCGGACATTCCAGCTTCACAACATAGCTACTATTCGGTGCAATGACAGTGATTTCAGACGCAACTTCTGGCACCGGCATCCCGTGAGCCTTGTACCAATCTGCAGTCTCGTCATACTTGAGATTGAGATTGAACTGTGGCGGAGGATCGGCTTCAACAGCAGTCACACTGGCAAAGGCAGCTGCAAGGGGGAGAATGGAAAGTAAGTGCATGTTCACGGAATACAAAAAGCGCAAGGAAACGACAGTGAGTGACGAGGGTCGGAGGTGGTTGAAGAGAGCCGGCGGGTGCTGTTCGGGGAAGAGGACCCAAGGGCTCGGGGAGACGCTCCTGGACTAACACTCTCGCGGACTAGGCCCAAAACTATTCTTAGTTGCCGAACTGCCGCAAGACAGAAAGCTTGGCTTCCGCGAACCTCCAGCATCAAACTGCGATTCAAGAGACATTCTTGGGTTTGAAAAAGCAGCATGCTTCACCTTCAGCAGCGCATTGACAGATACTCCACCAGGTACCGCTGGCGGGCTGGCGATCTGTTGACGTCACGACAACAAGGACGAACCTTGCGTAGGATGCCGTCGGGATCCGAACGGTAATAACATTTACGAAGTACAGATTTTGAGCTGTGGCTGTGCTTACTGATGAAATACCAAAGCCGATACAGCCGGATCCTCTGCCAGGCTGCTAAGTGCACCCGACGCCGAGTTCACGATACTTTTCGAACTGTCGCTAGGATGTCTCCTATTCCCCACCGTTCTAATCTTTTTACCCTGTTACAAAGGTAGCAGCCACTCATTTTCCGCATTCGGTCATCTCTTTGGTGTAGGTGTTTGTGCCACCAAATACATCTTGTAATATTTTCCGCGGACTCCGTTGTCTTACAAGCCAACTCCGCTACGTAGTCCGTTCTGGTTGAAAAGCACATCTACCCAGCTTCAGTACCACCGGACGTTTAGACTTTAATTTTGACATCATGGACACCTCAAGCGATATGAGCACAGTTCAGAAACAAGACTGGCACCACAGAGGCACAGCATGCGTCACACCGTTATCGACTTGTAAGTCTGACTAGTCTACTTAACCGCTCTTTACTTACAAGAAATTAGGCTGTCTGACATGGTGGTGCCCTTGCGTCGTCTACGGGCGCACTCGTCATCGTATGAAGGCCAACGGTAATATGAATACTTACTCGTGCTGTAACACCAGCGTAAATACCACAATCCTCTTCGTTCTTTACATTTACTAACAGAACTCAGTGCGCCGCATTCGCCGGAATGGGCATCGTTGGTCTGTCCTGGATTTTACCGCTCCTCAACCGCGGCGAGGTTCGCGCAGAATACGGGCTAAACGGTAACGGCTGCAAAGACTGCCTCTGCGCTTGCTGCTGTGCGCCTTGTGATCTGTTACAGCAAGAGAAGGAGGTGGAACACCGTGAAGCGCAGCGCAGACCGCTACTAGATCAACCTGGCAAGGTGGATGCGATGAACTACGCGCCACAGTAACAGACGTACTTTCATTGAGTTCAAATCATAAAGACATGGCGACTTTTACTGGCTTACCTTGGAGTTTTCTTTTGTTCAACGTTCAGTTCTTCCCTTGCGCTTGCTTCAATATACCCAATTCATGATTCGTTGCCACTTCTCACACTCACATTCACACTTCTATTCGTGCTATTGATCGATTGTATTTGAACAGATTGAAGTATCGTATCAACCTCCTCGAGTCGCGAGGAAAAGGCGTCCGCCAAACTTTTACTACGTTGCGCAAGCCGGTCCTCAATCCACAAAATCGACTTCGTTCCTTGCACGCTGTCTGGTAAACACTTCTTTCATACTCTCAGTGAAATCCGAAGTCACTTGGTCTACCCTATTCAGGTGCTTGATCGTTAGTCGTCCGCCCTCGCTCTTAGCAAGCGCCCTTGCGTAAGTCACGATATTTCTGATCTGTCTCCCGTTGGTCTTATTGGCTTTGGCAACGAGTGGAGAATATTCTAGAGCGTCTAGCAGTGCTGCTTTGTCTTCGAATTCCTCGGCTGGCAGGTACTCTAGCTTGTTCTTATAGATCCGGATCTTTTGGTCAGTTGTGAGGTCCTTGTAGCGTATCGCAAGCTGAATTCGAGACTGAAGCGCATTGTCGATAGTGCGAGCTCGGTTGGTGGTCAAGATGATGATGCCTGCAAACGCTGTTAGTGCAACTCATCGCCTTTCACACATGGTCCGGCAAACCTTTGTAGTATTCCAGGCAACGCAAAAGAACTGATACCAGAGCGTTTCTTTGCAGATCTCCTTTCACCCTTTCCTCCACAAACACATCAGCCTCGTCCATCAGGAGTACGGCCTCCCAGCGAGCAGCATCGGCGAATACCGGCGTTAGGGATTTCTCGGCCTCTTGCGCTGTGACACCGATCTCTGCAACAGAGACCGTTAGGAGTGGGCGTCCTGTTGTCAAGGCGATAGTCTCCGCTGTCAACGTCTTGCCAACACCAGGTGGACCGTGCAAGAGGATCACTAATCCCTGGCCCTTCCCTTCGATGATGTCGATGCTTTTTGACTTCGATTCGGAACTCTCTGCACCAGCACTGTTGCCCTTATTGGTGCTACTCAGCGTAGCAGTGACCTTGTGCTGCTGCATGAACGCCCAGAGTAGCTCCTTAGACTCTCTTTCCAATTCGAGGTCTTTCCAGAATGGTCCTTCGCGGGTTTTGTCGTCTTTTGGTGCGCTACTCTTGACGTTATCGACAAGGAACTGGCCCCATAGCTTTTCTTTGAGTGCGAATCCTAGCAGCCTGGGTGGCAGGAGCTGAAGTCGAGTTTCGTCTGCTGCGAACTTTGATGCAGCCTCGGAAGGCTCGAGCATCGGATCTGGCTTCCACTGCTGGGTCACCGAGGCTCTACACACTGGACACAGACAGCCTGAGGGCGAAGTCGGTATCTTCTTGCCCAAAGGCGGCATGTTGTTGTGTTTCATGGGATTCTGCTCCGAATGGAGGAACGAGAAGTTGTCGATGATCACTTGGCTCTGGCTGCCCACCATTTCAATCGGAGTTACGTTCACGTCCAAGTCATCGTACGGCAGCTGACGAGAGTCTGACTCGTCCACTAATCCATCCGCGTTACGCGCCTGTTTCGTTAACCTGTGTCGCATGGTAGGTGTAACCTGTGCTGTGCCTTCATAATGGCACTGAAACTTTGCTGGATCCTGCGTGCACAGCTCGACATATTTACGGCCACGCTCGATGAGGTTCTTCTGCAATTGCTCACTGCTGAGTTGCGTGTCTTTGCCCTCGTAGTATTGTGTCGGAAAGACATCCAAGGAATCGATAGGGACCTCGTTCTCGTACTCCTTGATGGTGAATACATACGTGAATGCAGCGAATTTGGTTCCATCCCAATCAAATGCTGTGCATCTGATCCTGAAAGCGTTCTTATATCCAGGCGCAGAAGAAGTGTGGACTTCAAACTTTTGCATCTGGCCCATGTATGATCTGGCATATACTTGTGTTTTGTGGCCAAAGAGTGTCCAGAGAAACCGGAACTTGATCCTTCGTTTGGTCGTGATGGTCTCTCGGCTTCGGAAGTACATTTTTAGACTCTCCGACTTCTTGATGTACACCATCAGGTCCTTCAAGTCTGCTCTTGCTTGCTTCTCAGACTCACTGTCTGTGTCTTTTGCTTCGCATACTTTCTCGTGCTCGTCCCAGCGCTCTACAAATATGTAGAACGGGGACTGTACTGTGACTGACTCATCAGCTTCAGTGACCACATCCTCCCAGTGTTTGGTAGCCTGCAGTAACAGATTTTTCATCTCACGCGAATGAATTTCGACCTCTTCAAAGTCGACCTTGTCATTATCGTGAAGCTGTCGTCGAAATGTTGCTGGAATCTTTGTGTCACTTGTGCCCAGTTCCAGCTTACTCTCGATATCTTCCCACTTTGACTGATTTTCGTTCCACTGTCTGGTGTCAGATTTGTAATCAAAGTTGCCACTCATTAGTACCTACTTTATTGACTACAGTTTTGATGCGCGTTACTTTGGTACTGCCGTCGCCTGTTGGGTCGTCTTCGCGCGCAGGCATTTTGCGTTTCGTAGGCAAGGTCAAAGGACCTTCCTTCGCACCATCCACTGCATCCTCTTCATCTTCTTGACCATTCAAAGATGGTATTGTATGAATTGGATTGCCCCCCGGCGTGAACGGATTGAAAGACCGTTCTGGCTAGCAATCGTCAGCATCACCGATTCCTGCGGCAGCTATGCCACAACACATTCTTACCGGTGGATTTCGCCCCAGAGGCATACCAGATAATCCGGAATGGAAGTGTGCAGACGTGTGCATGGGAAATCCGTTCTTTTCTGCCCATGAGGGCCTATCGAAGTACGAAGTACGGTCATATTGAGGCCCTCGTTCCATGTAGGGTTGCCGGTCGAAATATTGCATCTGTCCTTGGGACATATATCGCAAGCGGTCTTCGAGTTGATTGTTTTGTGCTTCGAGACGCCGAAGCTGCTCAAGCTGTACTCGTTAGTCTATCTGCATGTAGTAGAGTGGACGATGCTAGTCGTACGAGCCGGTCCATCTCCTCATTCGTCGGGGCACGAGAGGTTGCGCGGCGCATCTTCGACGTGTTTCAATTGTCATGTACTATCGAATTCTACAGGAATACCATCAACTGGCTTTCTGGATAGTCTGCCGAATCGACAAACGTGTCTGGAAACTTGAAGGTTGCGGCAAGGCTGAAGGAAGCACATCGTCTTGCGGAAGACTTGTACTTGTAAGCTGACGCCTTATTATATGGGGCTGTTTTACGCTGGGGCGCATTCTGACACACGTACGTAGAACGGTGCGGGCAGGGTGGCAGGCGGCACAGTGGGGGCGGTTTCTGGTCTCGGTTAGGTTGGGGGCGCAAGGCCCCAATCGATACTGTGCAATAAGGATTAGGGAGGGCCAATCCGTCTTGTGATTCGCAGACTCAAGCAGTGAAGTGTAACGCGATGCCTAATCGTGAGCAGTTGCACTGCAGGGGTGACTGGTGCCCTCAAATGCGCAGCACCGCGACTGTGGCGCAATCACCACAGCCTGCTCGAAGCAGCTATCTTAACTTCTAAGTCGTGTGAGGCTCCCAGATTCTCCAGAAACTTAGTCCTTCACACCATCTGAAAGCTTTCGCAGCGAGATGGGCAAATCGATTCGCAACTGGTTCGTCCGTGGAGATAGAACCCCGGAGTGAGCTACGATAAGTGCTGACAAACCGACATCTTGAAGCTGACATTACTCAGATTGCTGTCTCCGCTGGAGAGGCTCACTCAAAGCCATGAAGCATGGTGCGCTTCGGTTCTGACTCTTGTCAAAGTAGAAGATCGCAACGACGACCGGCCTGCCAAAATTCCAAGCGAATATTCTGCTGGCTCTTTATCTGACGTAGAGCTAAGAATCACTGAATTGTCTACGAAATGTGCTCAAACACATGCCGCTGCTCAGAGCAGTATGATACTGGCATCGACGGCACTATTCGGCCTCAAAACAGAACGTGAGTCTGGAAATGCGCGCAAAGCCGGTGTGGAGACGCAAAAAGTGCTTTCCAACATAGGAAGCTTTCTACAAGGGTTCTCTGGAATCGCAGAGATTGTGAAAGCAGCGGACCAACAATTTGGCGGCCTTGCTTATGGCACCGTATCAATACTCGCAACCGTTGCTGTGAACAAGGCTGAACGCGAGGAATTCATCGAAGAAGTGTTGGAGGAACTTGCACACGCATTCCCACGACTCAACGTTCTCGAACACATCGAACCGCGTGACAGCCTCCGCGCTCTCATGATTGGAGCCTTTGAAGTAACAATTTATTTCTGTCGCCGAACGACCGAATACTGTATGGCAAGTTCGGTGAAAAGAATCAAAGAAGCATCCTTGAAGCGTGATGAGATGCTAAAGACGGTCTCACGGCTGCGCATCAAGCTTTCGGAAATCCACAAGGAGTGCGAAGTCATCATGATGCAAGACCTGAAAGAAATCCGGAGCACTTTGGATGCGATGACAATCAAGCTCAACACCGCCGCGTTGGAAGTCAACGAAACTAAGGTCCGTTTACAAGAAGTCCAAGCGAGAGGGAAAGAGGTACATGCGACTGGCGAGGACACCAACAATCGGGTCCGAGAAGGCCAGGCCTGGATGGAACGACAGGAGCAATCGAGAGCACAGAAAGCGTACCTCTCTGAGCTCAAGAAATCTCTGGCTATCAAAGACATGATGAAAGCTCCCGATGCGATATATCGAGTTAGAAGTCTGCTACGGCGACTGGCGGAGAATCAGGAACAGAACTGCAAGAACGCAGCACAACTTTCACCGGTCATCCTGAAGGCCAACAAAACATTCCGAGAGTGGAACGAAGAACCACGATCGTCGATGTTGGTTCTCGGAGGTTACAATTTTGTCAGAGATATCGACTCCGAGCCCGAGAGCGAAGAAGAAATGAGCTGGTTGTCCTTCGCCAGCGTATGGTACACAGAAGATGCACTTCGAAAACCAGGACTTACTTTGAGCTACTTTGGTCAGCTGAATTATACAGTCAGGAAGCAGCACCGACATACTTTCTGGTATGTCATGAAGACATTCGTCTATCAACTCGCACAGACCCTGCCCGAGGATTTACTGGAGCAGCATGAGAAAGTGCTATCAGAAACCAATCTCTCATCTTGGAATGCCGCAAACAGCGTGGAAGCCATCGAACAGATGATTGGTGTCCTCACCACATTGCTAGATGTAATACCCGAGGACGTGCGTGTGTCAATTGCCATCGACCGTCTGGATCACTGTCGATGGGACGACTTTACTGAGAATGGCGTAGATGGCCTGGGTCACGCTGTCCGATTTCTTTTACAACTTGTTCGCCACCGCAAAGTGGGTTTGAAGGTCTTGCTCGTTATGAACAATCATTCTGCTGTCAATATCGCGAGGACACAGAAGTGGGCTGAAGAATTTATGTCGATAACACATTGGCAGCAGGAAGCTGAAGAGTAATGGACACGGCTGGTAACGTCGTGACATAACTAGGGGGGAGGCTGAGAGCCCCATAATCATATTAGACTATTTACATATCGAGCTGGATCTGAAACGACTAGGTGAATAGCCAGATTTTCCAGATGAGAGGAATCAAGCAAGCCGCAGAGTGAGAATACGAGAGCTCAGAACATCTCCTTTGGTGACAACTTTCCATGTTGCCATTCAGTACGTGTGTAGAGATTGGGTGGATTTTAATGGAATCGGCTGTACCGCTCTCGCAGACCATAGGACCGTCCCTTGACTCTTTTTTCGAGTCGACGTGGTGATATTTTATTGTATGTACTACAAGAGTCGTCTACCTCTTCCCTGTGCGGGACGCCTTTCGATAGGATTCGGAGCAAGGCTAGGGTGATTTTTTCGATAGTGCTTCAGACGAGCATCTGTGAATACTCGATCACAATGAAGTGCTTCACAATTGTATTGCGAAATCGCCGCCCCGTGAACATTCCGTTTGTGGCGGGCAAGATTTCCTTGACGGTAAATCCCGGTGAAACACGCATCGCAGCCAATGGCATCGCAGAACAGATCTTCCGGTCAGGATGCAGAAGAGGGTTCCAGGAGAGAAGATTCCCATGAAGTGGTTGTGGAACATGTACCCCAGCAAGAAGTGGCTGCATATGACGCTGTTTCTGACGCCGTTTCTGACGCCGTTTCTGACGCCGTTTCTGACGCTGCAGCCTGGGTGGATGTAGTTTCGGGCAGATACCGTTCATAGGGTCGATCGGTTACAGCGTCTACATCTGACGAAAAGCTATAAGACTCTCTCACAGCTCCTATAGCACTCCAAGGCTGCGACCAGAGATCTTGGTACCGAACTCGAATAACTATGGGCGAAACGGAGTCTATCGTGCTTAGTGCATAACCCGAAGATGTTTCACTTCTGGCAACGTCAGTGCTTACACTAAATAACAATTCCCACATACTTACGAAAGGCTATGTCCCTGTGCCTGTATCGCATCCTGAATAGGATTGAATCGTGTGAATGAAGAGCTTGCTGGTAAGGCTGAACGATCGTCCACAGTCCCATGACCTGATGTCGAAAGCCCTGGATTCTGAGCGCTATGATAGCGCCATATGTGTTCGACGTACTCATCAGGGCTTAAAGGATTCTGGTCAGACTCTCTGACCAGTGGCTCTTCTCGCGGCACGTTTGGTTGCTACTGGCGAGGCTATTAGCTACAATCAAGGTTACTTTGGACGATTCACTCACTCTGTAGAATGTGTTGGGAGCGTTGGAAAGATGCGATCGCCACAGGTTCTCGTAATGCACTCCTGATCCTAATTGAACGGTGCCGCTCGATGATCCTGCGAGAGTAGGCGGCGGCAGAGTTCGAGTTGTATCGATGCACAATGGAGCGTTTGTGTTGTTGACAGGATGTGTACCAGTAACCCCGATATCGTTTCCGTGAGAGGCAGAGATATCAGACCCTCCTTCCCACTGAACCTCGGACTCTAGCAGCTGTGTTGACCCAAATTGTGGAGAGACCCCCGTTGGCCCAGTAGATATTTGGAGATCTTTGTAAATCCTCTCGCACAACGCATTGTACTGTGACCGTGCAGCGGCTCCCTTTTTCTGAGGACGATCGATGTTGCAGTGTTTGCCATGCCCGGTTTGAAACAACGCCTCATCGACAATAGTCTCGTTACATGTGAGACATAACTTTGCGAACATTCCATGTTTACGACTCAAATGTTGCCTCATCCCTGAGGGAGTATTACCTTGAAACCCATGGCAGGTATGTGGTATCGTAAGTCTTGTCTCAGCTTGAAACTTTGGACAATAATACTTGAAAGCGGAGCTCATCGTCTTTTTCCGGCGGGTCCTTTTGGCAACCGGCTCGAATGTGACGTTTTCAGCACACTGAGCAACGGGATCTGTTTGATCTACAGAGACCCGTGGGGATTCTTCAGAGTGCGTTGTCGCGAAATATCTTGCCTACAAACGGTCAGGCGTTGTCAGGGAAGGAAGACAGGTGACGAACTTGGTCAGCCACTTGGGCGTGTTGTACTTGTGAGGCGGGCCATGGAATGGGACTATCGTGATAGTTGTTAGGGTATACGGAGTATTCGAAGAGCTCGCCCACTGAATAACCTTGGGTGCTGCTCATAAAGGAAGGAGGACTCGTGTGTTCCCGGAAGGGATGACTCATGTCTTCTTGAAAGGCGTGTAAGACCATTGAGCCGATTGAGAAGGGCCCGCCGGAAAAAGACGATGAGCTCCGCTTTCAAGTATTATTGTCCAAAGTTTCAAGCTGAGACAAGACTTACGATACCACATACCTGCCATGGGTTCCAAGGTAATACGTCGGGGTGGTCAACTCTTTAATGCGTAGTCCCACGCGGAGTGATTGGGTTACTCACACGAAGGCTTGCATAAGTGCTGAATTGCAGACATGCAGACATGCAGACGTGCAGACCTGGAAACTTCACCTGGCACCAAGGCTGCCAGGTTGTTTTCACACACACACAAACACACACACAGTTGTGCTCTGTCCCTTCCAGTGTCAGCCTTTCCCGCATATTGACAACATACACTGTTCAAAACGCGCAACATCACACATGAACTGGCTTCCTCGAGCCACCCGTATGAATCTTGCACCCGAAGGACCCCCTCGAGGTACTGTGGACTTGCTCACTTGCACACTTGCACACCTGCACGCTTGTTTACAACAAGGGTCTGCGGACACGTCATGGCACATGAATGGCCAGCCGACCCCAAGGCTGCGTCGTCCCGCAGATGAGGCGCAGCCACTAAACCGCTTCTATCGCTCGATAGCTGTGATGTGCCGTTGATGTCTGCTGTTCGCCCGTTCTTCTGTTCAAGTCCTCTGATGTTCATGTCGAATGCTTCGCCACTCCTATGTACGTTCGTCAAGTTTAGCCTTCAGCCTTGTTTGATACAGGCGCATTTGGCAGGAAGTGTATGAGGTCATTTAGGAGAGTGGCAGGTAAAGGACTAGCTGGTTGCTCTTGTATTCAATTCGCTGCTGAAAGCGATTCGTTTGCGAGTTCCAGCAAAGGCGATATCGCCGAAGGGTCGCTGCTGGATATCAAGGGTATCAAAAATGGCGAACAGACGCTGTGCTCATGCGCTCAATGCAATTCTTCCTTCACGCCCACACACCGAGGGTCCAGCTCATTCGCTCACCAGCGCCACGCGTGACTCCGGGTCCCATACTCTGCCGCTGTGGAATTACAGAAACCTCCTTGTCTCTTGACGCACCTTGCAATCCGTGTTGTAGATACCGCTCTCGGTCGATCTCGACAATCCCTCGAATCCGCTGGTTGGTCACCAGGCTGGCCCCAGCCCAAGCACCGAGCGTGTGTACACCTCTAATCGTGCCGCCAGTCGAACACTCGAGTGGCGGACCGTTTCTCAAGCTGGTCTTGGCGAGCTTAATGTCAATGTTGTCGATCTCTGGCTCTTGCAAACCAGCTGGCAGAGAGGCCGGCGCTGCTGACGCTCTGTGCGTATCAGTCTGTGCTTTCGTAGTCAGCCTGCGCTGCTGTGCCTGTAGCCTTTCCTCATGCCGTCCAGCGCCTCTGCCCCACGTCTTGACTGGATCCCAGCCTCTTGACTGCACTAGGTAATCCACCTCTTTCAGTACGCGGGTCTTCAGCCCCGGCATGTCTGCAACTCCACCTGTTATGACGATGCGCGACATACATAGCCGGCGAACATCAACTGGGAGTGCCACCAGTGTGCGGTAGATGAGATGATGGATAGGCAATTCTTCATCATCGAACTTTACTTCTTCGTCGTCCTTCTTTTTCGATGGTGCGTCTGCCTCGAAAAGTATGTTATCGGCTGGCTTGGCTAGAGAAGCAAGTGCTACCTTGAGCTCGGTCGGTGGAGTGTTCTTCGGGAACGGAATAGTAACGGCGGGTGGAGGGTTTTCGACAGCATCTGCCCACTCTTCCAGCACCGGCGCCTCATTTGCGGTGAAGTAGACGGTTCTCCGATTTCCCTTGGAAATGGGTTTGCACCAGCCCACACGTGTAAGGACCTCTTCTGCTTCCTCAAATGACACGTCTGCTTTCGGTGTGTTTGGCGCAGCGGCTTCGTCGAGCTCTGCGTTCAATATTCTGGCCATATCCTCACTTAGCCATTTGCCTGCTCGTAGTGACCGCTTCTCTCGCACTTCCCGGTACTCGTACACCGCTGTGACCAGTGTCTCCGCCCACCCAATATCAACAACCAACGCTGAGCGCAATCCTGCGGCGACGGTGGATAAAACGGGGCTCGACAAGAGAGTGATACTGGGCGCATGGAAGCTCTTGAACAGTATATCGAGGATCTTCGAGAGCAGCGCGTGCGGTAGTCGTGGCGGGAGCGCCAGTGAGACGCGTCGCGGCTTTGAGTCTAGTAAGAAATACTTGCTATACGCCTCCCTCATGGCCCGCTCAAATTTATCTCCCAACAGGTCCATGTCTGTCTTGGTAAGATCCAAACGATACAGCCCGTGGTCCTCGCCCCATGCCTGGAGTTTCCTCATTGCAAACACGTCATCATACTCGCCCGGTTCCTGGACAAGCTTCTTTTGTCGTCTGATTTGATTATATCCTGGGTCGCATTGCCTGTAGTCGCCTACCCTTCTCTGCTTGTCAGGACCAAATGGAAGCGTGCATCGCGGGGCACTTTCGCCAGGAAAACCAGCCCGCACGAACCGCGAACCAACCTCTATAACGACATACTCGTCGTCAGTACGATAACTTCCGCCCGGCGAACCGTACAAGGAGGAAGTCGCGCGCTGGAGAGGCGTTCGCGGCGATTCGGGGGTGGACGCTAGGTCTGCAAGACGCGGAGTTGTGCCTCTTACAGAGCGTCCCAATGACGCAGACACTTTGCGTTCGGCGCTGATTGACATTGTGGTAAGCCCGGATGGCTGGACGAGGTTGTGCGCTCTACGACATGACGATCGTACTGAGCACTGGTTGTTTGGTGAGACCCTTGGCTGTTGGCTTCACACGCTTGAACATTCTGGGTGTTAGCGCGCCTTCCACCTTGGCAAAAAAATATTCGAGGAAGCTACGACCGGCGCACAATTGACCAGCATCGACAACCCTCGCGCCTTCCAACACCGCGAAACCCCAGCTCGAACGGAGTAGTGACACCGACACATCGTCACCTCGAGCATAAAAGAAGGAAAAATGGGTCTTTTCATCCTTAGCGAGACGAGGTACGACTGCTGCGATCGCGCACGAAGCCGCAGAGCAAGAGAAACTAATGTGTAATTGCAGCGCGGGTTATGCTCTGTTCAAGGCCAAGGACAAGAAGCTGCTCAGCAAGGGCGATGAGCTCAGCAAGGATGTCTCGAACATTGTCGAGTCGCTGAAGCTGAAGAAGTTCACCAAGTTCGAGAGTGCCGTCACTGCGCTCAATGAGGCCGCAGCTCTCACCGACGGCAAGGTCAGCTCCATGCTCGGCAGCCTCCTGCAGGAGCTCAAGGATGAGAGCAAGGCATCTTGTACGCCATTGCGACTTTTCTCTAGAGAAATTGCGAATCACTAACAATCTGCAGTGGTTGTCGCCGATCCCAAGCTTGCCGTCTCCATCGCGCAGGTCCCTGGCCTGTCTCTGAAGCCCATCTCCGACTCCTCCACCCAGGATGTCTACCGTGCTATTCGCGAGCACATGACCTCCCTTGTCCCCGATCTGATGCCCGCCGAGATGGACTCGACCCGCCTCGGTCTTGCGCATTCGCTCTCCCGTCACAAGCTGAAGTTCTCGCCCGATAAGGTCGACACCATGATCATCCAGTCTATTGCTAGCCTTGATGTTCTCGACAAGCAGCTCAACACATATGCCATGCGTGTCAAGGAATGGTACGGCTGGCACTTCCCCGAGCTTGCCAGGATCTTGAACGACAACCTTGCCTACTCCAAGGTCGTCCTCAAGATGGGTTTCCGCACAAACTCCAAGGACGCCGACTTGTCAGGCATCCTGCCTGAGGAGATTGAGGCTGCCGTCAAGGCCGCTGCTGAGATCAGTATGGGTACTGAGATTTCCGAGGAGGATCTCGAGGCTACCAGCGCTCTCGCTGAGCAGGTCGTGGACCTCACTGAGCATCGCCAGAACCTTGGCGCATACCTCTCCTCGCGTATGCAAGCTCTTGCACCTAACCTGACTGCGCTCGTTGGTGAGCTTGTCGGTGCCCGCCTCATCGCCCACGCTGGCTCGCTCATGAACCTCGCCAAGTCTCCCGGTTCCACCATCCAGATTCTCGGTGCCGAGAAGGCGCTGTTCCGCGCGCTCAAGACCAAGCACGACACACCCAAGTACGGTGTAAGTAGAACAGCCTATCGCTCGTATCATACCATATGCTAATTCATCCAGCTTATCTACCACGCCTCTCTCATCGGTCAGGCAACTGGCAAGAACAAGGGAAAGATCGCCCGTATGCTCGCCGCCAAGTCTGCTCTTGGTCTGCGCGTCGACGCCCTCAGCACATGGGGCATCACCTCCGAGGACAAGTCCGACGAGCCCACTGAGGAGGAGAAGTCACAGATCGGTCGCGATGCCCGTCTCGGCATCGAGAGGAGGTTGAGGGCTCTCGAGGGCAAGCCCCTCAAGAGCATCCCCAACGCCAACGCTACCGCGCTCGGCTCCGGGCAAAAGTGGGACGTCAAGGAGGCCCGCAAGTACAACCCCGATGCCGATGGTCTGACGGGCGAGGAGCCCGCCGCCAACGGCGCCACACCGAAGAAGCTCGTCCAGGAGGTCGACGAGGACGAGTCCATGGCCGACGCCGACTCGGCCGACTCCGAGTCTGAGGAGGAGACCAAGGCCACCAAGGGCGGCGACAAGGCCGCAAAGAAGGCCGAGAAGGAGGCCAAGAAGGCACGGAAGGCCGAGCGCTCTGCAAAGCGCGCAGAGAAGGAGGCCAAGAAGGCCGCAAAGGAAGCCAAGAAGTCGTCAAAGGACTCGAAGAAGAGGAAATCCGAGGCTGACGACACAACCGAAAAGAAGAAGAAGAAGAAGAGCAAGGACTAGACTCAACACACGCGTCGCGACTGCTGTCGCTGCTGTACGTTTGACCATGTGAAAATGGGTGGCGTTCTGGGGTCTACATTCTTCTTTTTGCGAGACGTTCTCGAATCGCATGTCGTGCTATATGGGCGCGTGGCGCAGGGCTGGATTCATGTACCATTTCTTGTTGATGATGGCATTGCATATTGGGGACGAGATGATGTGCGGAAGGATACCCGCTGGCCTATGCATAAAATTACACGCAAAAATTTCAATAGCGCCGCTTGCTCATGTGATGCCCGTGTCTATGAAGTTGAGGTACAATACGTCGCCCGCCTTTTGACCTTGTCATCGCCCTTCGACACAGTAGTCTACTCGTCCCTCGCCCTCCTCTTGACCTTCCTCTTCTTCCTCGCCGCACCAAGCAGTTTGTTGTCTATCTTGGCCAAGTTCTGCTCTTCGACTCCTACCGGGATACCCGCCTCTTCCTCGTCGAAGACGTGCGTAATTCTGCTCAGGATGTCTTGCAGTTGGTCTTCTGTGAAGCGCTGGTCTGCCTGTGTAGGGTTAGGACTGGGTACAGTAGCTGAACACATCTGATTGCTGTTGGGTGGGTCATGGAGGCCGTAGAGTATGAACCAGAGAAACAAGATCGAACGGGGACAGGTGTTAGGGTTAAGTGTTAAAGGCTGAGGCTTGTGTCAAGGGGATCTGAGTAACGCACCTCTTCGATAATCAGCTCAAGCATGACCTGCGTGGTCGGGCGCAAGTTGTAGATTTGAATGAACTCTGCCTTGTTTAGGCGATAATCGGGCGCCAGCACGCGGAACAGCGAGTGTGCGCCCTTGTATAGCGTCATTGGCCGGTCTGGATGGGCTTCTGTGAGTGCCGCAGTGGCGTAGTCGGGCGTCTGGAGATATGCAAGGCCCTGGTGGTGTCAGTCATTGCATGAATCCAGAGATCCTCGGTGCGGCAAGGACGTACATCGCGCAGCATGTGCTCGAGGCCTTTGGGCTTCCAGCGCTTGCGGTCTGTGCCATCTTCGCCGGTGTATTCGGCGTCTTCCTGGCGTAGGTGCAGGAGGAGTTCGTGGTTGGTGATTAGTGCTGCCTGGGGATTTTTGATCTATGGGCGTTAGTCATTTGCTTAACTTGTTTGTGAGGGGTCGGTGGTTTGATTGTCGAGAGATATGGTGTAGATGGTAGGGCCGATGTAGTAAAAGAATTCGATGTAAAGCCGCGTTGAAGCGGTAGAACAGGTTGAAAATGGAAAACTCAGCCTGAAGGCCATAGAATACGAGTACAAGAAATCGACTGTTGCGAGCAAAAAAAAATCGCCCACTCACATGCATTGTGGGTGAAGTGTGGTTGTGATCACGTAGGGTCAGTCAAGCTCTCACACGTTTGTGCGCCCGTTCACCTTGCGTTAATATCCTAATGAGTGTAAGTAGATATCACATTTCGTTTAATTGTTGGAGCCATTCATAATCGGTAGAACAGTTGTCAACGGCTGCAGCGCGAATTCCGACGTTCGAGATCGACATGCTCAAGGAGTATACACCCGTAGTTGACCCGTGCGGCGAGATCGGGCACAAAAGCGACCGGGACGGGGACTTGCAAGTCTGCCTACCTTTTTGCTTATTACTTGTTAAAGCGAAGCTTTCGTAGCTAAGCTCGATGTGAGAGTTTGAGGTTGCGCTGTAGTTGGTAGTGTCTGATTGGATCGCAATATTGCTCACTCATGTCAACGTACGTGCAGCAGCGGAAGGCAGTTTTTCGCTAGCGTGGAGCACAGACCATGCTTGCCTTCAGCCTTCAGGCCTCAACTTCCTCCGACGCTTAAGCGGTTGACGCCCATGTTCCACTTCTAGTTTGTTGTATGCCGCCTCTTGGTCTCCACAATCAAGAGTATGCATCAAGCGTACGCCGACGCGGGAGGAAGCCGAAGTCGCTGGTGCTCACGGATGGCGTCCGCAATGATTGGCCTACAATCCTGGCTGGAGTTCCGGCCAGCCCTGACAACCCCGCGCAAGCAGAGTCCACGCGGAGATATTTTGAAACCCAGGCATGTCTCTTGAAAGCCTTTAGTACAGTATTCCCGGAAAGATGAACGAGCGGCATGGTTTTCACAGTACCAGCTCGTGTCCACATATGGATACGAGATGCAGATGGCAGTCGCTAAGAACTGCCCTAAGATAATGCACGCTCGCTTTGGGACGGTTCTTTTGCAAGAAAGGACTTCGTCCAACCCGTCAGATGCGCCAAATTAATTCCCAACCCCCATCCATGCATACCATGAGTCAGCATTTGCGTTTGACCTCGGTGCTTGCCACCGGCCTGAAGGTGAATCAACCTCGTACGGGCCATGTCTTGTTCAACAGTGTTAGCTAGACAGCGACTTGATACACCTACGACTCAGGCCGAAGAATGCAATTTGAGAGGGCAGGGCAACGCCGTCAATAGTCCTGTTGGACGAATGAGGCGCGAACAGATAAGAATGCCACTGCGGGTAAGGCGCATGCACATGGGAATTTCCGTGGTGAAAGCTGTCAGATGCCTTGTGCAAGCACGACAGCCGTGAGCGCTAGGTATCACAAAGTTGCTCAGCACTGAGTCTAGATCTCCACCGACGATAGTCGAAGAGTACCGTTGGTGGTGGAAGGGTGCATGCGACCAGGGTTCGGTAGTGCAGCCCAAGTTGCGGCACCATCACGAACATCGCCTCTCATCTCGATGACTTGGCGCAGTCAGACGACTACAAGTGCTAAGGTGCGTCCCAAACGGGCACGTCTCAGCAGACAGGTACATCAGTCGGGGCAGATATGGGCCGAGGGACAAAGAATCTGCTGCGGGCACGATTTGCATCTGCGCGCGGCTCCGTTCGAAAGCTCAGGTCGCAGGAGATTCCTACTATGCTGGGAAGCGTACCAGAGTACGAGAGCTAGGGCCTTGGTTCGGTTCGCCGCAAGTGAAAGCCGTGGTCAATTCGCCGTTGGCCCGTCGGTCGTAGCAACATTGCACGTGTTGCTCGGATTGCGAGTGAGCGATGAACGATGCACGGAAGACCGATCGATGTTAGCAACTCGCGATGCAGCTGCACGCGCAGTTCGGGCGGCGGCTAGCCTCTCTCACACGGCCGACCGCCAAAGTCAGGCCATGCCGCTCGGCGTGAAGTGAGGATGTGCAGCAGAGCCTTTAAGGCAGAGTCTGGCCTTCTGCGGACCTTTGGACGCACGGGCGCGCTGTTTCTAAATCGACTACGAGCCGCGCCCGTTGGGTGGAGCGCTATTCACCCTCCTGCAGCTGCGCAACACACACCCTCCCGCCGTGCGCTGTCTGCTGCGCGTTCGTGCCCGGCACTGTTGCTCACTCATCGCTCGCTTTGGGCCGGCGCGCCCCTTTCATTCGTTTGCTGCATGTCACACCAAACACACCTCGACCCTCTGCAAAGTACTCACTCCTCCGCTGTCACGTCCCAGCCCTTCCACGGTCTTGGCGCTACCTCCACCCTTCAGCAATCGTGAGCATTGATTAGACTAGGTGGAAGTGGAGCCACGGCCTTACCCATTCGGTTGTCAGATCTTTCAGCCACGTTTCTGCTCTACCTTGTCACCCACCTCGCCCAGTGTAGCGTGATCAGGCCGATTCCGACCAGACACGCCCGCCGCGAGAACCTTCGAGGCCACTGCCACCCCGGACATGCCTGATTCTCTGTTCTCTGCTGGTCGTGCCAAATTCAAGGATACGCAGGACCAGTACGCTTCAGCCGCACCTGCCTGCTCTCCTGCCATTCCTGCGACACCGGATGAAGGCACGGGTGCCTCTTTCCCCGGAGCTCAAGGACGTGCCGACGTACCCTGGAACGAAGAACACTGTTCCTTTTTTGATGCATCTGTTCCACAGCCTTTCCCGCTACCTTCCGCCTCACCACAACCGCTCGCGACCCCAGCTCTAGACAATCAACCGCAGCTGGATTTGACCTTTGCTGGAACCTTCTTGCCCACTGACGTGTCATTGCCCTCTCCCACGCTGGCCAGGACCGCGCCGACTTTTCGATTGCCCTCGTTTGACGTCCTAGGTATTGCTGCGCCCCACCCTGACCGTATCCCGTTACACTCCACATTTTCCTTTTCGTCACTCGGTGCTGGACCTTTATCGAAACCAGAGGACCCTCTCCATGCGCTCAGCCCACCATTGGAGTTTCGCCGCCAAGCCGACAAGTCCGTCAATTCTGCTGCCGCCAGCCCGAGAGCCAGCAGGAAACAGCTGGAACATCAGGTGTCGACCTTCACTCCTCCGTCGGAACCGGGGACGTTCAATTGGGGATCGCTCGTGAGGGTTAAGACAGCGGGTGCAGGTTCCCCACCCAGCTCAGAACCTGGAGTATCGCCAAATCTTACTCTCACGGAAAGTGCATCGGCGCCAGGGCAGGCTCCAATCATCGTGCCGACTTACGCGGACGAAATAAGCGAGGCGGTTAGGATGGCATTCTGGATTCAGAACGTCAAGAACATTCTCAGTGAGATTCATGCCTGCAATGTTTCCACTAATTTTGCTGACCACCCTAGCTACCGAGTCACATGCTCTGGAACTCACACAAGTGAAAGTGCTCTCGCACGCTCTGCCTTGCCCTTCTCTTACTGGTCACCTCTTCGGCCAAGTCATCGCGGCAATACATGACAGGACCAACTCGCATACATCGTGGATCAACGTCTTCCATGCCGTCCCCGGTCGTTTTACACTCTCCGATCTACCCAAGTCGCCGCCGTCGACCCCGGGGCCAGCTGTTGGAGGAGACGAGTACTTCACATCGAAAGTCTTTGACAGCGCCGTTGCCATACCCGACTACCAGCTCGATTCGAAACTTCTCCCCCCATCTCCGCGGCCGGTCGTTCCTCCAGGAAGCATCAACATATCGATAGTCGAGCGATTCATACCACCTACTAACTACAATGAGTATGCGGAGATGTTTGCGTTCAAAGGGCGGTCACTGTTATTCGATCGCTTAGTGGAGCTCTCGCCCGACAACGGCACACTTCTATTTGTATACCCGACACGGACTGGTGGGCGGACGTTCATGAGGCACTACTTAGGACCGATCTTAGACCCACTACTACGCACGGTGACAGTCATCCACGATCTGACATCCGATCTGGGGAAAAACCTTGGCACGATGACTTCAGTAAACTATCTGGACGAGTACGAGCAATTAGCAGCGCACGTCGAGCAATTCTGCAAAAAGTTGAACGGCGGCGAGTCCAGCCGGAAGAGCATCAGCGAGCAACAAGTCATCTACGAGGTCATCCAGGCCTCAAAAGAGGAAACGATGCTGGAAAGATCCGCTTGGGCGGACGACTGGTGGATCAAGCAAGAAAAGCCCAGGGTCCGTGAGATCGTAACAAAGTACTTCCGGAAAGCAGCGCGTCTGCCCACCAACACAGAGATGACGAGTGCGCATCTCATCGAAGAGGTACTGAACGGTGTATCGAATCGCGAGTACCTGGGCGGAGGGCCAAAGAAGGGCGTCGAAGTCGGTGTTTTCATCATCAAGAAGTCGCGGTCTACGTAGAACGTGGATCTGACGATACTCAACGACCGGAGACGCTCCAGTAGCAGTTGTTGCAGTGGGACCTGTCCCACAGAAGAGAGCGACATCGGTGCACCGTGAGAGAAGATGAGAGATGAGATGTGTTATGGCTGGCACGGCGTTACGACACAACCTTGTGTATGAAAAGCAATTTCGCGATACCCTGATTCGCATTGCATGGCGTGGCGTTCTTTCGATTCATGAACTGCATCCGGGCTTGGGCATGGTATGGATATGCAACAGTTGGAAATATAATATTAATCATTCACCTGCACGCTCCCACTTTGCATGACTTGACTCGGCCAGACTTCACGATGGGGAGGAGAGTCGCTGAGAGGAAGAAGATGCGTCATTCAGCTCGTAAAACTAACTGCTGCAGCGCCGAAGCGCACACAGACGGGCATATGAGAAATCGTCGCGGACATACACTCGTACAAATACAGATAGCCGCCCATGCATGCAACCCGAGAACGCTCAAAACGCCCAAGCCAACAACACCCAAACGCCGTTCAATGAAGAACACCCCCAATGTAGGTATCCAACCCATGCCCGCCAAACGCCATGCAGAACCCAAAACCAAGAAAATGCCGCTCGCTATCTCTTCGAAAAAACGCCAAACAGGCCCTTCAGTCCCTTCTCCCCGCTCCTCTTCCTGTCCCTGTCTCTCTCTCGCTCTCTGTCCCCCCTCTCAGCCTTCTCCGCCCGCGGCGCCCGACGCTCCGCCTCGCCCCGCCGCTCCGTCTCGCTCCGCCGCGCCCTCGGCCGCTCCTCCGCAGCCGCCTTCGCGGCCCTGCTGCGCTCAGCCTGCACCCGGCGACTGACGGGCCGCTCGCCCTTGTCCGATCCGGGCGCCACGCGCCTGTTGCGATTCGGGCGCTCGTCGAGAATCGAGACGCGCTTGGTGCGGCGGCGCGCGTGCAGCTCGGACCCCGAGCTCGTGCCGATGGCCGCCGCGTCGTCGGTGCGGTATGCGTCGTCGGTGCGGTACGCCGTGTCGTCAATCGCCATTTCGTAGTCCATGTCGTCGTACTCTGGGCCGCCGGCGCGCTGGCGCTCGACTTCCATGGTGGCGGTGTCGAGGGTGGCGACGGATTTCGGGGGTGGTGGGGGCGGGGCGTAGACCGGTGGTTCTGGAGGCGGCATGGGGTCGCGGATGGGGGTTGTTTCGTGCTCGCGGGCGCGGGCGATGCGGCGCTCTTCCTTGCGGCGGTAGTACTCTGCTTCTTCGTCGGCGGAGGCGAAGCGGTGCGAGTGGTGAGTGTGCGAGTGGCGGCGGCTCCGGTTGGGGCGTTCGCCGCGCTCGCGGCTCTCGTTGGAAGAGTGGTTGCTGCTGGAGTGTTGCTCGGCTTCTCGCCGCAGAATGGTAGCTGGTGTCTCGACAGCGTCAAGGGTGTCAGCTCGAGGACGGGATCTGGGTGTGGTAGGCTTTGAGGAGGGCGGAGTCAGAGGTTCCGTCTTCGAGCGGCTGAAGAATCCACCCAGGAAGCTGCCGCGCTTGGGTGTCGGCGGCGGAGGCTCGCGGGTGCTCATGCGACGACGGGGTGTGCTGCGCGGTGACTCGATGGCCTCAGGTGCAGGGCTGACCGAGTCCTCTGCGGCACGGCGTGCCGCGTCACGAGGAGCTTCGACTTCCCTGCGTCGAGGTCTTGCCGCCTCGAGTTTTTCCCTCTCTCTATCCGCGCGCCGTTGCCTCCTTGCTCTCTGTGCCTCTTCCTCGTCGCGTACAGCCTGCTCTGCCTTCTCCCTCTCCAAGCGCTTGGCGTCTTTCTCGGCTTCGTGACGCTTCCGTCTCTTCTCGTGTCGGATGCGACGTGCCTCCTCTTCCTGAGCTACTCTATCTACTTCCAGCTGCTTGATTCGGTCTTCTTCCGCCTGCTTGATAGCTCGGCGTTGCTCCTCTTCTGCCAATTTAGCAGTTCGACGTTGCTCCTCCTCAGCCAGTTTAGCAGCTCGGCGCTGCTCCTCCTCAGCCACCTTGGCAGCTCGACGCTGTTCTTCCTCCGCCAATTTAGCCGCTCGCCGCTGCTCACGGCGCTTCAGATGCTGCTGTGCCTCTTCCTCCAGCTGTCTTGCAGCAGCCTCCGCCTCCGCCAGTTTCAGCGCACGGCGTTGCTCCCGGCGCTTCTGTCGTTGCGCTTCCTCATCTCCTAAGAGTCTCGCAGCCTCTTCTGCAGCCAATCGCTCCTTCTCTGCACGACGTGCTTCACGGCGCTGTCTCCGTTCTGCCTCTTCATCTAGCACTGGCTCTGTGGCTCGTCGCTTGCTCTGCCTCTCCTCGATCTTGCTCTCCCGGCGAGGACGCTCAACTGGACGCTCGATTGAACGTTCGATTGAACGCTCGACTGGATACTCGGGGTATGTGGGCTCCCGGCTGTCGCGGTGACGGTGGGATCGATGGTCAGGATATGTGGGTTCTCTAGCGGGGCTGCTCCTTGGCTTCTCCTCTTGCACCCTTGCTTTGCTCCGAGAAATGTCGCGATCTGTCGTGCTGTCACGACGCTTGCTCTTGGGAGATGCTGACGGCTTTGCAGCAGGCAGTGCAGGAGGAATTGGGAGGGCTTTCTCTTTAGTCTCCGCGTCGCTCTCATATCGGCGGTGAGAGTGGTGCTTACGCGAGTGGGAAAGCCGTCGATGATGCTTATCTCGAGGCGATGTAGCAGGGTCCGGCATAGGAGCGAAATCCCGTGTCCTTGGTGTCGTGCCGAAGTTTGCTTCAGTGTTCGAAGGCTCATCAGCTACCGCAGGGTCTACATCCCCAGCTTGATCTACCTCTCTGTCGACGGGAGCGGGCAGTACGGCATCGGTCATGGTCTCTTCGATCGGCTGAGCCAAATCTCGGGACAAAGGTTCCTCAACAACAGCCTCTGGGAGCGTTTCCTCTTGAACAGCTGGGACATCGGGAGTTATGGGTTCCTCAGGAGTAGAGTCGACGTCCATCGGCTCTGCTGGACTAATCTCTCCAAACGCATCTCCTTCCGAGACATCCCCTATTGCAAGATCATCCTCTGGCGGCGCCAGTCCGGCCTCGATAATACCCTCATCGTCGACTGGATCAGCGGGGGCAGGCACAGGCTCGACTGGTGCACTCCCGACAATGATTGGATCCGGTTCGACAAGATCTTCAGGGGCCACAGACCAAATCACAGACTCACAATCAACGGCCTCAGCTTGAACGACCTGTAAAACAGGCGCCCTGACAAACGTCACCTCACTTCCCACCGCCTCGATAGGGGCAGCCTCAGCCTCCTCCGGTGCCTTAATTTCTCTCGGGACCGCTTCGTCGGCTTCCGACTTAGCATCCACCTCATCAGGGATGGAATCAGGGACGGAATCAGCCACTGAGCGTGCTGGCTCAGCAGCATCGTCGACTGGGGCTTTCTCAGCGGCGACAGGTTCAGATTCAGCGAGAGGTTCTTCCGCGGGCTCTGTAGGGGGTTCTTGGACGGCGGCTGGAGGAAGTGCAACAATTTCGTCTTCGTGAGACGCAGTATCATCAGCGATGGACTCAACTAAAGACTCGGCTGCCTCAGACTCTGCAGGAGGTTCCTGTACGGCGTCTGTGACAGGTGGAGGCAGTGCAACGGCCTCGTCTTTTTGAGGCGCGGTCTCGGAGGCAGCGGGCTCGGCAATAGACTCCGCTACAGCAGACTCAACAGCAGACTCAACGGTAGACTCGGCAACCGAAGATTCAGCTACCACAGATTCAGCTACCACAGATTCAGCTACCGCAGACTCAGCGACCACAGACCTGGCAGGTGCTGGCTCGGGAATGTCCTCTACTGCGGGCGTGATATCTGCAGCCGCCTCAGTCTCTGGCGCAGCTGCAGTCTCTGGTACATCTACAGCTTCAGGCACATCTGCAGTCTCATCCAGAGCCTCTGACGCTCCAGCAGTATCCAAAGGTTCTGCTACTGCAGATTCGGCAGCATCTTCTACCACGACTGCAGGTTCCTCGACAGCAGTTTCGAGCACTGGTGGCTCGGGAGTTCCTGATGGCAGAGTTTCTGTCTCTTCTAGTTGAATGGAGATGTCTCCCAGGACGGCATCGTTGATTGTCTCCGTTGCTGGCTCTTCGGTAGCTGGGTCTGCGGCATCTGCGACTATTGCGGCTTCGGTAGCCGGCTCAGGAAGGACGTCGACAGCTGCGTCGGGCTTGGGCGTTGAGTCGACTTCAACAGTCTCGGCGGCAGGGACAGCGTCAGGCTCGGCTGCAGTAGAGGACGCTTCTTCCTTAGGTACCGCTACTGATTTCTGCTCTGCGTCTGCTTCCGGACCGGATTTGTCATCGACAAGCTCAGCGGCTTCGGTCAAGGATTCTGAGACGGCACTGTCATCGATTGAATCTGAGACCACACTAGCATCGCCATCGTCACCGGCGGGGGCGCCAGAGACCACCTCGGGTGCTGGGGCAGTTTGTTCCTGCGACTCGACAAGAACAACCTCACTCTTCACAGGCTCTGCTTCCAACTCCTCAGGAAGTGCGCTTATCTCGGAGCTGTCCTCTTCGCTCACAGATGCGTCATCTTTGCTGTCAACATGGTCTGTTTGGGGATCCGCCGTGGCTTCGGCGACCAGGGGTTGCGCTGCCACAACTTCAGTTGGCTCCTCGAGAAGCTCGCTTGCCTCTGAGCTATCTGCTTCGCTGGGAGAAGCGTCGTCTTTGCTGTCAACGTGATCAAGTTCGAGGTCTGCTGTGGCTTCAGCGGTTGGGAGCTGCGCTTCAACGGCCGCGGGTTGCTCTTCAATGACGACTTGGGGTTGCGCTTCGACGATAATATCAGCTGGCGCTTCGGCAACAACTTCAGCCGGCGCTTCTGTTCCTGGTGAAGCTTCGACTTGGGCGGTCTCGCTAGCTGAAGAAACTTCCTTTGACGTCTCAACTGCTGATACCAAGTCTTGGTCTGGTGCCGGCGCATCTGCCTTGGGCTCAGCGGGCACATCTACTTGCGCTGGCTCGTCTTCAGTAGCAGAAACACCATTGGGGATTTCGGCAGGTGGATCTGCGTCCTTTGTTTCCTCGGCTGCTGCCGCCGAAGCTGACGCTGGCTCTGGCACTGGCACTGGCGCTGCGTCCTGCTCACTAGGCTCGACCTCATCAACAATTGGTGCCGCCACTTCTTCGCTGGGAGTCTCTGCTTCGACTGCAGGCGCGGCTGGAGTTATGGTCTCAGCATCTGCAGCATCTTGAGCATCTGTCGGTGTCGGAGATTCTGCTGGAGCTTCAGCGGCTTCGTCAGTGGGCTGGTCCGCTACTTCTGGCGCAGTAGCTGTGGTCTCGGCAACCAGGTCAACGGCAACGGGCGTGTTTTCGGCGTCAGCGGCTGCATCATCAGTATCTGCTGCTTCTGGCGGCTTTGCGGCATCCTGTGCTTGTTCTGCCGGTGCTACAATTACAGTCTCAGGCTCTGCCATGTCGGTGGTCTCGGAAACCTCAATTTCAGCAGTAACAGTCTCGTCGACCTGGGGCTCTGGCTCTTGTGGCTCGACCGGGAGGGCTTGCTCAGCCTCCACATTGTCTGTGGTCGCAGCATCAGGGTCCGCCGGAGCATCCACGTCAAGAACCTCTTCAGTGGAGGCTACTGCTTCAGCTACTACCTCTGCATTTGGAGCGACTGCGTCTGCAACCCCTTCGTCCTGCTCAGCTGGTACGGCCGGTGCGGCCGACACATCAGTATTTTCCGCTTCAGGCGCCTTCTCAGGCTCGCACATGGCCTTCAAGGCCGCGGCGACGAGGACAACGTTGGCTGGTGCTTCCACCTCTTTCTTGGGCTCAGGTGCAGGTGCAGGCTCAGACTCTGCTGGGTCTTCTGGTACTGGACTAGGGTCTGCATCTGCCAATGGGTCGGCTGCATCTGCTGGTGGTTCGTTTGCTTCCGCAACAGCAAGTGGTGCTTCAATTTCTTTGTCAAGCTCGGGCTCAGAATCCGCCGGATCTTCTTGTGCAGAACTACTATCTGCTTCCACTGGTGAATGAACTGCATCTGCTGGTGGTTCAACTGCATCCGCAACGGCAGCTGGTGCTTCAGCCTCTTTCGCAGACTCAGTCTCTGTCGGGGTCTCCTGTGCAGGACTCTTATCTGCTTCAACTGGTGGTTCAACTGCGTTTGCTGACGGTTCAGCAGCTTCCGCAACATCGACCCCAGCCTCCTCATCTACAGAGTCGTCAGTCCCACCCGACCACGAGCTCGAACTATCATCCTCGTCTTCCTGCTCCGGAATTTGAGCATTTTTGCTCTCTTCAACTGCAAGAGGTTCAGATTGCGATATTTCAGTTGCCTCAGTGGCAACTGCAGAAGGCTCCTCCGGACCGGTCGAGGAGGCAGCATCGGTATTGGCTTCATCCACGGACTCAGTGCTGTCTGCAGCGATATCTGTTTCACACACACTTGCAGCTACGGCCGCGGGTTCAAGGTCCATAGTAGAATCGTCGGCTTCACTGTCACTCTCGGCGTCGCTGCTTGGCGGATCTGACGCGGCATCATCTTGTGCTGCAACTACGGCTTTGTCTGCTTCGGGCGTGAGCTCGGTGTCGTTTGATTCCGCGCTGGTTTCTGTAGACGAGATATCTGTGTGCGCATCTGTACTCGCGGTGATCTCAGACGCGTCACTGGGAGTGAGTAACGGAACATCCTTTGGACCTGCAGGCGCTAGCACCTGCTGCGCGCTAGGCGGGTCGTGCTCTGCATCGGCAGCCCCGGAAGCATCCAGAGATACTTGATCGCCCTGCGTGGGAGTATCCTGCGGCATCGCTACGCCAAGTCAGCAGCAGCCTCGCGACGGGATGGCGCAACGCGCGCTTAGTCACATAGCAGGCAGGCAGGAGGTTGGGCTGGGATAAAGAGCGCGAAAAGAGAACAACTCCGGTAGCGAGGGCGTCAACCGCGGTTTTCGGTGGAACCACGTATGTCGCGATGGCCGGTTGAACGCGCGCATGCGTTGAGGCCCGACAGCCACGGCTCAGCGACGTGGTTGCACGTGGTGATAAGCCGGGCTGCGTGGTGTTGTGCCAGCGCTGTGCGGAGCGGCCAATCACAGGCCTCCAGCGCACTTTGCTGGCCAGCCGGCCAACCATCGTCGCAAAACAAAGTAATAAATGTGGGGATGACAAGTGATATCGATCGATAGGTAGTGAGAAATGTGACAGTATGGAAAGTACGTACCTGGAGTTCGTTCAGGGTCTTCTGTAGATCCGGCTGGGTTCTCAACCTGCACCGAATCCGCCTCGCTCACGTCGTCTGAGTTGGTGGTTTCTGAGGGTTCATCGACTGTGATTGGCTCAGTAGCTTTGATCTCAGGCTCAGATATCTGTGAGGGCCCATCTGCATCCGAGTCCCACTCGTTTCCGCTTTCTTCGGCACTGTCATGGTCGCTATCAGCAGCCTGCGGGGGACTTGAACCCGTCATGGGTGCAGTGGGTGTAGCTTCTGCGTCTGCGGTGACTTCGGCACTGGGCGACGAATCGACCTCCGAGGATGTAGCGGCTGTTGATTCCGTTTCTGCCGCCTCGTCGGGCTGTGTTGTGGGAGTTGTAGCCGTGACCTCTTTCTCTCCAGACTGTTCTTTAGCTTCAGCAGTATCTGGTGTTTCCTCACTACCCAAAGAAGTATTCTCGGTAGATGCATCGGCTGGCAACTCTAGTGTCGGACTTGTTTCAGTCGATGTCGAGTCCACAGTGTCGTTGGTGCTTGCAGTCGTTTGCTCAGGCTCTGCGCTCACTTCGATGTCTCCGTCTGATTCCGCAGAGATCGTCGTATCTTGAACGTCCGCAGTGTCTGCGCTTTCAGTAGTGGAAACTTCGACCAGGCTGAGCTCAAGAGAAGTCGCCTCACTCTCGATAACGCTTACGTCGGTGCTTTCGGAGGCCACTGAGTCGCTGCCCTCACCTCCTGTCTCGCTTTCGCCTGCTTCCGCTGTGGGCTCAACGACTGGTTCGGAGACAGGTTCAGTAGGGGCAGGTTCAGAGATGCTTTCGTGTTCTGTAGGCTGTGGAACTGTGACATCCTCAACTTCTGTGCGTTCTTTCTCAGCATCTGGCTGCTTGGTGTCGACTGGGGCATCTGTTGGGAGCACTGGTTCGGCGACTGTTGTCTCTGGATCGGGATTTGGGGCAGATTCAGCTTCAACATCGATGGACGATGTATCCGTAGAGGAATCATCTGCAGGTATCGCTTCTGCAGCTTCATGATCCTCTGCCGTTGGCTCGTCTGTTGCAGAAACTGGGTCTTCGGCAGCGGGTTCTTGAACTACCGGTGTTGCATCCTCAGTCACCATATCCTCGAGCTTGGGTGAATCTTCTGTGACGGGTGTTTCGGAAACTGTAGACATTTCTCCAGTTGAAGCTGCCTCCTCAACGGGAGCGACCTCTTTAGCTGGAGAGGCCTCTTCGACTGAGACGACGGTTTCAACCGGTGCTACCTTGTTAATTGATGCTGCCTCATTGACTAGAATTGTCTCTGCGGTGTCTTCAACGGGAGCTACCTCTGTGACTGGAACTGCCTCGCCAGCTGGTGCCGCAAGAGTACCGTCCTCAGCTGGGGCGGCTTCTACAACAGGGGCGGCCTCTGTAGCTGGGGCAGACTCGTGGACAGCAACTGCCTCTGTTTCAACAGTAGCTGTCTCCGTGATTGGCACCGTCTCCTCGACAGGAGTTGCCTCAGTCGGAACAGTCTCCTCGACTAAAGAGACAGTTTCAACTGCAGCAGGAGTTCCAGCAGGGGTTGTGTCCTCGACTAGAGCTGTCTCTACTGCCTCTTTAATAGGAGCCGTCTCGACTGCAATCGCTTCTGCAGCGGGTGTGGCCTTTTCGACAGCAACCACCTCTGCTTCAGCGGGAGCGGCCTCGTCAGCTGGAGCAGCAGCGTCAACAGACACTACCTCCTCAACTGGAGCAACCTCTTGAGCTGGAACTGCTTCTTCCTTGACCGAAGCTGCCTCTACTGTTGGACTTGATTCTCCAATAGACGGTGTGTCAGTTGTGGTTACGTCTTTGACTGGAGCTGTCTCTGCTGCTGGTGTTGTCTCGTCGACAGAGGCTGCCTCAACGATAGGAGCTACTGTCTCGTCAATGATCTCCGCAAGCGGGGCTGTATCTTCCACTGGTGTGACGTCTTCTACTGGGGCTGTCTCGACAGGAGCGGTCTCTGCGGCTGGCGCACTCTCTTCAACTAAAGTCTGCTCTGTAGCTGGCGCTGTCTCGTTAACAATAGCTGTCTCGACTGGAGCGGCATCAATTGGAGCGGCCTCGACTGGCACGGCCTCTGCAACTAGGGCTACGTCTTCTGCTGAAGCTACCTCTTTGGCAGGAGCGTCCTCTGATGCTGGAGGAGCGTCCTCTGCCACTGGAGCAGCGTCCTCAATTGTCTCTGCTGTCTCCGCGACTGGAGCTTCTGTGTCAGCGACTAGCGCCGCGTCGTCAACAAGAGCTTTCTCTTCAGCTTCAGCTGGAGCCGGTGTTTCTTCAACGGGGGGCGACGTCTCTTCAGTGGAAGCTGCTGCTACGACCAGGGCCTCTGTGTTGGTGATCGGTGTCGCGTCGTCGACTGGAGCCGCGTCGTCAACTAGTGCCGCATCTTCAGGTGGAACGGTGGTCTCCGACACTAGGACTACCTCTCTAGCCAAGGGCTCCTCTACAGCCGGAGCTACGTCTTCAGCTGCGATGGATGTCTCAGCAACAGTGCCTACGTCTCCGGCGGGAGGGTCTTCTGCTGGAGCTGTGTCGTCAACGGGTGCCGTGTCGTCAGCTGGGGCTGCGTCGACAACTGGAGCTACTGTCTCCTCGACTGGAGATGCGTCGGTCTCTACTACTGGGGCTGCTGCCTCTGCGACCGAAGCTTCTGTCTCGGCGACTGATGCCGCATCGTCAATTGAAGCGGCAGTGTCTGTAGTTGGGACTACCTCTTCAGTTGAGGGCTTTTCTGCAGCTGGTGGTGGCTCGTCTGCAGGCGCGGCTTTGTCGTCAGGTGTATCTTCAACAGCTGGTTCTTGAGCAGTAGCTGTTTTCTCGGCGACAGGTGTTTCTTGAGCGACAGGCGTTTCCTCAGGGACAGGTGTCTCTTTGACAGCAGGTGCTTCTACATCAGCCAGTGTTTGCTCTACTGCAGCTGCTTCTTGGACAGCTGCTTCTTCAACAGCTGGTTCTTCAGCAGTAGTTGATGCTTCAGCGGCGGGTGTTTCTTCAGCGGCAGGCGTTTCTTCAACGGCAGGCGATTCTTGAACGGCAGGCGTCTCCTCAACGGCCGGCGTCTCAGATGTAGCCGGTACTCCAACAACAGCTTGCTCCTCGACTACAACTGGCGTGTCAACGACAGGCGATTCTTCCGCTGCAGTCATATTCTCAGCCGGAGCCGTCCCTTCGACCGGAACAGCTTCTCCAGCCGGACCACCCTCCCCACCAACTGCTCCCTCTGCCACAGACGCCACATCATCAGCGGTAGCCGCTCCAGCCGCCGTCTCCTCAGCCACAGAGCCAGCCTCGAGCACCGCGTCTGCCTCAGGCACAGGATCAGCATCCACAACAACCTCAGTCTTCACTTCCTCAGCCGGCGGCTCCTCGGGGCTCAGGTCGCGCGTGGACGCATCTGCATCTGTAGCGGGTTCGGGCTCTGCAGTCGGCTCGGTGGTGGCAGGTTCGGGGTCTGCGGTCGGTTCGCTAGGTCCAGGGTCCGCAGTAGCCTCAGAGGCGACAGACTCGACAAGCCCAGCGTCAGCATCTCCCACGACCGACGCGGGCCCATCCTCGACAGCCGCCTCAGCCGAGCTCTCCGAGCGCGGCGCGCCAGACCCGTCCGTCACGGCGCTAGACGCAACCTCCGAGCCCGCGTCGTCGTCCTCGCCCGCCCGCGCCTCCGCCTTGTCGTCACTACCGCCCCGGTCCTTCTTGGAGTGTTTCTTCCGCCGCCGCTCCTCGGTCTTGCCCTTCTTCTTCTCCTCCTTCAGCATCGCCTTCTCGTCCCTGCCAGACGCCGACGCCAGCGACAGCAGCGAGCCGCGGCGCTCCTTCTTCTTCTTGTCGTGCTTGGGCGACACGGGGGGCGCGGGCGCGGGCTCGCGGATGCGCACGAACGCGTTGGGCTTGCCCTTGCCCAGCAGCTTGGGCTTCTTCTTCTTGCCCGGGCTGGCGGCGTCGGCGGTTTTCGTGTCAGAGGTGAAGTGGACGCTTTTTTCTTCGTGCGGCTTGGGGGACGCGGGGGCCGCGCGCGCGGACGCGGGCGAAGAGGACGCACTGCTCGCCGAGCTGGGGGCTGGCGAGGCGGGGGTGTGTGGTCGAGGCGGTGAGGCGGGCGAGCTTTCTGCGGGGGCGGGCTCCTGTGCGGCAGGGGCGGTAGGTACAGTGGCTGAGGCGGGGGCTTCTTCAACAGGTGGCTCAGGCTGGGGTTCGACGGCATCGTTTGGGGTATCTGGAACGGGTTCTTCTGTTTTTGGTTCTGGTGGTGGTGGAGGTGGAGGTGGGGGTGGAGGTGTCTCTGCTGGTACAGGCTCCGGGGCTCCACTCTGGACATCTACAACAACAGGCTCACTCTCGGGCTGGGGCTCTTCATTTGCTGGTGCCTCGTCTGGGACAGGCTCGGCTGGCGGTACCTCTACTGGCGGTACCTCTACTGGCGGTATCTCTACTGGTGCCTCTGCTGGCGGTGTTTCAACGGGCACCACATCAATCGGCACTACATCAACTGACGGTACATCAACTGGGACATCAGCTGGGGCATCAGCTGGGGCTTCAGCCGGGGCTTCAGCCGGGACATCAGGGACATCGGCTGGCGAAGCATCAGCCGGCTGATCCTCAGATTCTTCACTCTCCTCAGGCAGAGCACCCGACATGAGCGCGTCCCCACCTACACCACGTTAACGAAACCCACACAAGCAAGCGGCAAGCATACTAGATTCTTCTTTCTCTTCCGGGCTCTGGTACCCATAACTATAGCTCACGCCGGCATACTGGTACGACCGCGCCGGGCCAGCAGTCGGCAGGCGCCTGACCACCGGCTGCGCAGCACTGGTGGAGTAGAATGCTTGCCCTCCCGTGCTGGCACCCGTATACGGATTGAGCCATGGCGAGTAGGATACCGTGTATCCGTTGCCGGCCATGGTCGGACGGCCGGCGAGCAGGCGGAGCCAAATTCGACGAGCAGGAGGGAGGTGCTACGCTATAACGACGAGTGTGCATGCATTGCGGTGTGGGAGCAGACAGACGGCGCCGCACTGGCGACATGGGATGTGGGGTGAGTACGGAGATCAATGGGCGGCGGCGAGGTCGAGCGCAGCACTCACGCACAGCTCGCAGCCGGATTGCTCGCGCGTCCAGTCGCCCGCGCCGCAGCCGGTCACAAGCAGCCGCGAAGTGCAGGTGTCGCGCGCGAGAAATTCGCTGTGGCCACACCCCAGCCAGCCTCGCGCTGGCAGCACACGGACGTGTTGGGAAACCCGCGCCCGAGCGCCGCGCCATTGGACCACGTTGGAACACATCGTTCGCTGGGGCTGCGAGAAAGCACGCCCGGCGGTGGGTTCCTGTCGCGGCGCCAATTGGCCGCGGGCTGCTGCTGCAGCGTCGCCAGCACGAATCGCGGGCGCCGCGCACGACGTTGCTGCGGGCGGTGGGGAACAGTGACCGGCGGCGAGCGCAGCGGCCGGGCTGGCGGCGGCCCAAGCACTGGCTCGCACTGGCACGCACTGCACTGGCACGCAGGGCCGCGCTGCAGGGACGCGCAGAGAAACGCGAGGGCTAGAAGCGAAACAGTCTGGTGGTGATGGAGAAGAGTGACGTGTAAGGTGGGCGCGCCGCACTAGCCGCCCGAAGCGGCTAGCCCCTGCTTCACTCGCTCGCTGCAATGAAGCGCAATCGAGCCGGCCCGCCGAGTCGTTTCGTTCCACCGTCGTCCCGCTGCGCGACGTGGGACGCTGCGCGGCTGCCCGCTGACACCGCGGAGCCTGTGTGTGCGACCCGTCCGGTCAATCAGCGGGACGCGGTGCACGTCGCCGCATCGCGATGGCCTGCGTGTGCGGCGGCAGTCAATTACTGACAGCGCCAGTCAACTACTGACATGGCGCCATTGGCGCAGAGGCAGGCGATAATCGGCTGCCGACTGACTGCACTGTGAGCGCATGCTGCGCGAGTACGTGTCCAACCTCGTGCAGTCGCCACCGTGAGAGCCCGATTGCCATGCACCCGATGAGCGGTCTGAGAGCAAGTTTGTCTGGCTGCTGCAGTGCGAAGGCGATCTCGCAGGCTAAAAAGTGGGCTCGTCTGCTCTACTCGAAGCAACCGCGCGGGCTTGTATATCGGGCGTGGAGGATTGCCGTCTGTGACGGCGCTTAGGCGTTGATCTTATAGCTGTGGGGATCGATCATGCGGTTTACCAGAGACCCATGGCCCACTCCCAGCAACCTGTTCGGTGTACTGCAAGCGTCCGAGTGACCAGCCGCTGGGTCCTTTGGAGGATCTAACGCTGCACAAACATAGCTAAGTCCTTCTGTTCAAGCACTCAGGAAGGTGTTGCGAGGGGAACACAAGTATGTCGCAGAAGAGAGCCTATATCAGCACCAAAACAGTGATAATTGTGCACGTGGATTGGCCTTTCCCTAGCTGTCCACGCAATTGTCAAGATAGTAAAAATCAGGGTCCAGCACCTTGCGGTGTACTCCTCCTGACTTTCAGTAATCAAATTCTCAGCCTCTATAAAGGCACATTAAACTACATGCACCGATGATGCAGTTTAATATTACACTCCCTATCTATACCACTCTGTTATAAACCCCTCCTATGCTGGAAACACTGCTTAGCCTACTATAACACTTCCTTGCGCTTCCTCTCTTCTACTCTTCCTCCACCTCCCCCTCCTCCTCGTCCTCCACTGTCTTCTCTATACCCCGTTCACACCCACACCCCGTCCTCATCCCCCTCTCATCCCTATCCTTATCCTCCCCCTTCCTCGCCGCCAAAAGCACACCCCCGCAACCCATCCGGCGACCAGCCACTGTCCTTAACCTAGCCTCGCCACTGTTACTTGCCCGACCAACTCCCACCACCCCCCCGTCCCAGACTTTAGGTGCGCGCACACCACCCCTATCCCATCCTTGGAAGCTTGCACACAGCCACGACGAAACTGCTGCTGGGCTTAGCCGTGTGCTGGGGCGTGTGCTAGAGTCGCGGGGGGTGTAGTGTGTATATGTGTGCATGTACATATCTGTATGTGTGCTACTATATATATGTCTATCTTTGTATATGTGTGTGTGTGTGTCTGTGTATACATTGTTATATGTATGTATGTATGTACATACATACATAGACATACGCCCTAGCGCAGCCTAACCCCGTAGTGTATACGCATTGTTTCAGTGTTTTGGCGTTTTAGTATTTAGATATAGGTTGTAGGATGTGGGTTGGAGGCTGACTTGTTGCGTGGGGTTAGTGTTGGAGGGTATAGTGCGTTCAGTGTCGAAGTATCCAGTGCATCCACTGCTGCGTGTATCCACTGCTGCCTCTCTTGCTGCCTCTATCGCTGTGTCCATCGCTGCCTCTATCGCTGCGTCCATTGCCGCGAGCGTCCAGCATCAAAGTCTCCAGCATCAAAGTCTCCAGCATTCAAGTCTCCGGCACCAAACAAAGCCCAGTAGTGGCTAGAACAATTGCACGTATACCAAGAAATCTCAAATCACAGACCAAAAACCGCATATCAGACACCACAAATCAGAACCCACAACCCAGAAAACCACATCTCAAAACCCAAGTACCCCCCCATCGCCTGCAGATTCCAGATATACAACTACTCTCTATTATTATTACTATCATTGCTTGCTTGCTTGCTTGCTGCTGCTGCTGCTACTGCTACCGCTAGCTCACGACGACAACAAGCCCACAACAACAAGCCCACGACAACCAAGAAGCCCAAGGGGGGCCTCGAAAAAAACCGCCGCCCAGAGCCGCGGAAGCAGGTGCCGTGGAAGCAGCGGCGTGGAAGCAGTGCCTCAAAACACGAAAAAAAAACCCCCCGCGCAGCGCGGTATGGCGACGCTGGAACAAAATGTACAGGGCTTTGGTGGAGCTGTGAAGGAATATAGAATGTAGCGTGTAGAAGAGTGGAAAGGTGGAAGAGTGGAAGAGTGGAGGAGTGGAGGAGTGGAGGAGTGGAGGAGTGGAGGAGTGGAGGAGTGGAGGAGTGGAGGAGTGGAGGAGCAGAAGAGCAGAAGAGCAGAAGAGCAGAAGAGCAGAAGAGCAGAAGAGCAGAAGAGCCGAAGAGCAGAAGGAAGCCCGCGAGGTGAAGAAGTGACGGCTAAGTTGGGAGCCGGGAAGGGAACAGGACGCGCTTTGACTTTGTAGAATAGCAGAAAACTGCACTTGAAAAAACAGATAGCTTCATGGCCTAGGGAACCACATTGAGAGCGAGCTACACATTAAGAGCGAGCTACACATTAAGAGCGAGCTACACATTAAGAGCGAGCTCTAAGCGCCAGGACCCCCCATCTCTGTACAGAACGCACACAACGCCTCTCCTCTTGTCGTCCGCATCGCATCGAAACAAACCCCCTACACGATGCGAAACTCGGCACTCCCCTCAAACGCCGTAATCGTCCCGCCCACCGCCTTCGCGTCCCCGAAATACCGCACCCTGTACCGTCCCGCGACGGCCCCGCTGATCCCCGTGTCCCAACTCACCCTGACCTCGCTCGTGCCCGTCAACCCATTCAGCCGCGTCCACTCGTACACGACGTCCCAGTCCTCGTCGTTCTTGATCTGCGTCCAGACGCCGTTGACATCGCGCTCGATGGCCGCGAACGTGCCGCCGAGACGCAGATTATTGCGCGGATTGGCGCCGACGAAGGCGACGCGGACGATGGCGCCGGACACGTAGGAAGCGCTGGGGGCGGTGCGGACGGCGCCGAACGAGGAGCCGAGCGGGGCGGAGTCGAAGAGCACGCCGGAGATGAGGGAGATGCTGCGGGCTCTGTTGTCGGGCGGGGTGGGGCCAGGGGGGATGGTGGCCGCGGGCGGAGAGTCGCGGAGGTAGGGCAGGTGGGTTAGCGTGGCGGCGATGAAGGCGGCGAGGGTGTGTGGGCCGTAGAGAGTGGATGCGCCCTCGTAGCGCTGGATGCTGTATTCCTCCTCGGTGGCGATGTAGTGCGCGTACGTGTTCGCGGGGCCGCCGAGGACGACGATGGGGTTTGCGGTCAGGGGGCCGGCGGCGGCGGCGACGGCTTCACGCCAGCGGCGGCCGGACATGGTGGTGGCCTCGCCGGGGGCGGCGATGATGATCAGCTGGCCGATGCGGAAGGCCTGGATGTCGACGATGTTGGGGGACCAGGGGTAGGGGGTGTTGGCTTGGCCGACGTTGAGGAGCACGGGCTTGGGGTACTGGCAGGCGCGCTGGGCGGCGGAGGGCGGCGAAATGGCGCTGCCGACGACGTTCCAGAAGGGGTTCTGAGGCGCGCCCGGGTCGTTCTGCACGAAGTCGAAGGCACCAGGCCCGTCGGTGGTGCCGGCGGCGAACGAGTTGCCCATGGCAGCGGGGCAGGTGGTGACGCGCGAGCCATTGGCGAGGGTGACGGTGTAGTTGGAAAAGTCGGCAAAGATGTGGAAGGCGCGCACGCTGCCAGAGAGGGTCGTGAAGCTGGCGGAGGTGAAGATGCTGCGTGCTCCGTCGGCCTGGCGCTTGCCGATCTCATAACACGACTTTGCGCCGCCGTCGTTCAGGCCGAAGAAGGGGCCGCGGCCATGGCAGTCCTGGCTCTTCCCGTTGGCGCAGGTCGAATCATTCAGCCGGCACTGCTGGCCGGTGCCGTCTTCACAATACGCGCCCAGCACGTTGGGGGAGGTGTCGCCGACGTTGGCCTGCGAGAAGCCGGCCACGAAGCCGTCGGCAATGTTGGCTTGGCCGGCAACGGCTTCTTCAAAGAGATAGGCGGCCACGCCCTTGTTGTCGCCCGTGACCAGGGTCTGGTTGCCCAGCATGCTGGTGCCGTGGGTGGCGAACCAGTTCAGAATACCCATAGCCTTGCCGTCGCTGGCGCGCGTGAACTTGAGCAGCGTCATGGTCTTGTCGACGCTGTCGGCATAGCGGGCGCGCTCGGCGGCCGGGTTGGCCAGGTAGGCGAACAGACTGCGGTTGATGTTGGCGTTGGCGATGGTCCCGGTGGCGGCACTGACGGTCCCCGGGGCCAGGCTCTGGTGGGCGCGCTGGATGGACAGCACGGCGCCGTCGACAATGGCCTGGTAGCTCTGCTTGTCAAAGCCCAGGCTGGTGATCTGCGGCAGCAGGTAGTTGAGCCAGGCGCCCGGGCCGGAGTGGCTGTGGGTGCCCGTCACGGCGACGTTGTCCTTGGTGTAGACGGCGTACTCGGACCCCAGGGCGCGCAGGCCCTCCAGGATGCCGTTGCGGATGGCCGTGTCGCCCGACTGCGTGTCCAGCACCATGTACACGACGCGCTCGGCGGGCACGTTCGGGCTGCCAACGATGAAGGCGCGCGAGTAGATGCGCTGGCGGAGGCCGGTCCCGACCTGCGACGAGTTGGCGTAGCCCATGAGGTTGAGCTCGACGACGGGGCTGCCCAGTCAGCAACGCCTTTACAACTGTCTCAGAATACACACCCGGTGATATCAGCCTTGCCCACGCCGATCAGGTACTGCGAGGGGTCCTCGACCACCTGCTTGGTGCTCATGAATTGGTCCTGCGGGGCGCCATAGCTCCCGAGGCGGCGGTGCCAGAACTCGTTGTTCGGGAAGCCCAGGTCGACGACCAGCTGGCTGAAGATCAGGAGGGCGAGGAGGGCCGCGCCCAGGGCGACGGCGATGTGGGAGCGCGCCATTCAGTGCGGTGCGGAGGATGCGCGGAAGGCGGCGGCAGCGTGGCGGGCATGTCGTAGTCGAGTAGCGGCGGGGGTTAAATACGTCACATGGCAGGCGTCGTCGCACCGTGTCGCAGCTATCGAGGCGTTGAACTCTATCGGTCGCGATAGGCCCTTCCTGGAGTCTTGCAGCGCTGCGTCCAGGGCTGGTTGCGGGGTTGCTCGCCCTCCGTCGCTTTGGGGCTGCTCGCCGGTGATAGCGCGCTAGCGACTGGCGACTGCAGGGCTGTTCTCTCGCCGTCTGCACCTCCAATACTCTGCCAATATCTGCGCGCACTATCACGTCGCCATGCCGCTGATAAACGAATCCTACGACTCGCTGCCTTGTATGTCCATAGTACCTGCCGTCCCTGTGCTCGCTTGCACGCTGGGTGTGTCGCGTGGACAATATCGCGGAGCTAACCGCTGCAGACGTTGACACCCTCGTCGACGAGCCGAGCCTGGCAGCTGCCCGCGCAGCCATCGCCGCCGACCTCAGGGCCGCCGGCGTCAACACGGCGGACCTGCACCCCGCCCTCGCCCCGGCCGCCGCCTACACCCCGCGCTTCTCCGACTTCATCGAGCGCGAGCATGCGCGCCTGGACGGCAACCCGGCGTCGAAGCTGTCGGGCATCGACCTGAAGCGCTACGAGGACCTCGACGCCCCCGAGAACACCAGCCCTGCCAGCGACGAGGACCGCCCGGAGCTGCTGCAGAAATGGAGCGCGGCGCTGCGCCAGGCCAACACGAGCTCCGAGTACGTCCAGGCGCGCCTGACGCAGCTGGGGCTGCTGGAGAAGTTTGGCAAGAACGCCTGGCTCGTCGGCAATGCGCAGCTGGAGGATGTGTTGAAGGGGATTGAGGCCGAGCTGGCCGACGTGCGCCGCCAGCACGAGGAGGTCGAGACGGCGCGACGTGCGCAGCAGGACAACGTACACGGCGAGATCAAGACGCTGGAGGAGACGTGGAAGGCGGGCGTCGGCCGCGTGCTGGAGACCGAGGTGGCCGCCGAGGGCCTGAAGCAGCAGATTCTGGAGCGCCGCCGCGCCGGCGCAGTTTGAGTGCAGCCAGGGCACGTAGAGAATGATACCCACCTGGAATTTATTGTGCGATGATCGTTTTTCACAAGTATCACCAGAGCCACGAGAAGCGCCGGCTTGCAATTAACTACACCAAGCGTCCAGTCTGGAATTGCGGTCACCGAGCTGTCATTTCCACGAGAAAGCCCTGGATATTAATTCTCTGTCACCCAAACCAGCACTGCATCTGCATCATCGTCATTCGCACTTCGCACTTCGAACCGACTAGCGTCCCGTGACAGCGCGTCGCCCCACCTCGCGCCTGCCTCCGCCACCCTAACACCACACCACCAAGTACAAATCCACGCCAGACCAATGTCGCGCCCACGATGCCGGCCCAGAAGCCCTCGCCGCACCGCTTCATAGCACCCAACCCCGCGACCCACACGCCAAAGCCAAAACCCGCGTCCAACCTGCGCCATGCAGTCAGCGCACACACCCCGACAGCGATCCCTGCGCTGCAGTTCAAGAAGATCACGCCTGCGAAGAGATTCGTAGTCGCGCCGACACAGCGACAGCACGGCGACGCGACGCCCCGCCCCGACCGCGTCGAGGAGCCTGATTCGAGTGCATCGACTGATTATACGCCGCGGCCTCGGCAGCGGAAGTTGGGGCGCGTCGAGAGCATCGAGGAAGCCTCGCAGTCGAGTCCGTCGCGGCCTGCGGAGGATGTGCATGTGCTGCACACAATTGAGTACGAAGGCGGAGAGGAAGACGAAGAGGAAGCAGCAACCACGCCGCGAGATACCGACGATGACGACGAGATTCTGTTCCCCGAAGCAAAACGGCGTCGCATCTCCACCCCGCCGTCACTCCGTCACTCTCCACCCCCAGACACGCCTCTTCCAAACGCACCACTCCGCTTCCGCTTCCCGCCACCCCACCCCACTGTGCTTCCTGACGCCCCCACAACACCGGCGCCAGCGCGCCCCTCCTTCCTCCGCCCGCCCCAACCCGCAATCGCCCAGCCTCCCCGCCCACTACCGGAGCTCTTCTCGCCCTCACGCAAAGCGCACCGATACGTCCCCGGCGGCCTGGCTTCAACGCTGCAGACATGGCTCATTGAAGCTGCGGCGGGGGCGACATCCGGGCGCGGTGTGGCCAGACTTTCCAGCACCCCATGGGCGACCGAGAGACCGCGCGACGACGGCGTGCGGTTCGCGGTGCGCGTTGCTAGTCTGAGGACAGGGACGGCGGTGGACATTGAGACAGAAACGGGGGCGCGAATGAACGCAGAGGCACACATGCAGACGCAGACAGAAGCGCACTGCCCCCCATCGACCCTGCTTTTCATCGCTGGTCCGACACAATCCACGTCCACAGTCACAGAAGACGCAGAAGACGCAGAACAAGTCCAAGAAATCAGAAAAGTTCTTCTCACGGCCCAACCCACCACACGCAATGCCTCCACGGCACCCATCAAGATCAGGGTCGGCAGTGTGATAGGCGTGCGCGCGCCGACGTGGGATATTGTCGTTGGAGGGGAGACTTGGGGGGTTGGGGTTGAGTGGGCTGTGCTTGTGCCGTGAAGTGAGCAGCTGTTGCAAGAGGGAGGGGGGTCAAAATAGACGTAAGTAGACATGTCCTCGCTCAAACATCCCGTTTGCATTCTTGGTCATGTTCATATTCTTCATTCTGTCTGCATGCGTGGGTGCAACCATACTGCACCGGCTTCTACACCATCTCAGGGCCCCGTCTCTTCTCTTTCCCCTCCCCAATCTCTGACTACGACTCATCTAAAGTTCAATCGCGATGCGACATACTCTACCAAGCCTCCCCCCAACACACCCAACGATGGTTCCCTCACGCCGCCGAACCACCCTGTCCCCAGCCCTCCAGACCCTGAGCGCGCCGAACCAGAACCCCGAGCCGCCGAACCACGGCTCGTGTCTAGAAATCTCTTGCGATTTGGGGATGGAGTACTTCAAGAAGCGCGCCGTCGCCCTTCTCTCTCTGTCATCTCAGCACACGCGTCTTCAAGAGCTGGCACTGGCACGTAACCGCCACGACCACACCACACCACACCGCACACCTCCACGCCACGACACCATGGCGTCGACATCGACCCCCGGCGCCGTGAATTCCTCCTTGGTCCCCAAAGCGCATAAATCTAGACCCCGCTCTAAACCTAAACCCTCCAATTCCAGACCTGCGGCTAAACTCCTCCCCAGACCGAACAATATCCGCAACCCCTACGCACCGCAGTACATCGACGCCCGCACCCTGCACGCGCTCACTTCGCTCTCGGCGGTGTGCGTTACGCCTGCTGCGCTTGGTGCCGCGGCCGCGGCGTTCGGGAAGGGGTGTGCCGCTGGTGCTGCTGGGGCTACGTCTACGTCTACGTCTGCACCTACGACTGGGGCTACGACAGCGGCTACGACAGCCACGACGGCTACGAGGCACTCGGGGGTCGTTTCCGGGACCGACGGAGCGCCGCTGCTGCCGGCGGCGGCGACGGCGGCTGTGTCGACGCGCTGCATGCACATCGCCTCGCGCCTCATTGCGGACCTCACTGGTGCTGCGCTGGGCGGGCGCGCGGTCGTGTTGCTCGACGGCTGCGATGGGCGGGACGGGGCTGGTCGGGCGGGTGTGTCCTGCACCACCGCACCCAGCGGCAGCAGCACCTTTGGGAGTAGTAGTGGCAGGAGCAGTAGTAGCACCAGCACGCCCCGCCAATGCCCCCGCGCCGTCCCGTCTATCGTCCTGCACCCCGCGCCCGACTGCCCGCCGGTGATTAGCTACGAGACTTGGCTCGTCCTCGGGTGTCCCGTGTGGAGCACCACAGTGGGGGTTGGTATTGGGCGGCGGCGGGGGGCCAGGGAGAAGGCGAGGAGGAGGGAGGAGCGGCGCGCGAGGCGGCGCGAGAAGCGGAAAAAGGCGATAAAGGGGGAGAACGGCGAGTGCGAGGACGGCGGCACGAGGGTGAGCGGGGACAAAGAGAAGCGGACGCCCGCGGCGAAGCGTACGCCCGAGGCGAAGAGTGGCCCCACGGCGCAGGAAAAGAGAGATGGCAGCGCGGGCGGCAGGGCGAGTCCGCTTGCTGTACTCCGCGTTTTTCTCGCTCCGGACGGGGGCGCCGATGTGCACGGGAAAATTAACTTGGATGTAAAGCGCGGAGAGAAAGAGAAGTCGATCGGCCAGCCAGGGAAGAGCGGGGGGAAGGTGGAAGCGGGGCGAAGGGGATGCGGATGCGGATGCGGATGGGGAGTGTGGAGCGGGTGGTGCAGAGGAAGAATAATGCTGGGGATGAGGGCGAGGGGAGGGGGAGGGGCGGGGGAGTGCTGTGCCGCGTGAAGTGGTGTTTTCAACAGGTGAGGGTCTGGTGATAGAGTAGTGTGGAGAAAGAGTTTGGTTTTCATGCCTTTTTGGAGGCTGGGAGGTTTCGTTGTTGAGAGGTAGAAGCAAGCACGTGTTCAGACGATTATATCTTGCGAACAGCCGAAAGAGAGGCTGAATCCATGTGCACAAGCGTCACTAACCTAGTGCTTTCCACAGGCCGCGTTCTTCTGCGACATGCTTATGTTGTCCCCTTTATCGTACAACTCTTTCTTGTGCGTTTGCACCGCGGAATTAGGTTGTGGTTGTGCGGCTTATCGGCTGTGAACCGAACGGGTTGCTGGGAGTGGGCTGTGGTCGCACTGTAATATGTCTACAAGAAAATATTAGTTTAACATTACCTAGGTATGATAAGAGCGGAGGTAGGAGCACCTCTGTGCCTTCCTTATCGAGTGCAGGAAAATCAACACGTCAACACTAAACGGCCGGGTAGGTATAGAGGCAATTGGATAACGCATCTCTGCAGAGGGTGCTTCTATGGGTATGCAGACTTGCTCCATCTATGGGTATGCAGACTTGCTCCACCTTTCTATCCATGTTGCAGCCTTCTTGCGTGCACCTTCACAGCGTAGGAGGCGAAGCAAGAAATTCTAAGAGGCAGAAACACAAATGCTATGATATCTCCTTCCTAAGTATGACCGGTGACAGGGAAGGCGACGCCCGAGTCTTGGCTCTCAGCCTGCTGATGACCCCTCCAAGGCTGAACCGTATTTAAGTCTCACCACCCACGAACAAACATTGACGTTTCTTCATCACTCTTTACATCGCCTTCGCTTCCTAGGATGAAAAAATTCAAGCAAAAGTTTAAGCAAAAAATCAAGAAAAAATCCAAGCAAGCCGCAAATTCTGCGGACCCTAGCACATGCACCTGTTGCAAGCGGTCAAAGACGGGCGGCACCTTCTTCGAGCTCGAGTCCTACGATAACAGAACACAGAAGTTCGAGTATAAGGATTGGAAAGCTCACATCGATGTATTTCGTGAAGCAAACGATCAAGGTTGCCAGCGATGTGCAGTAGTCTTCGAGATGGCCATGGCGTGGAAAAGAGACAACCCCGAAAACAGCAGTGACTACATGACTGTCAGCAACAGATCATACAGCAAATTGGAGGCCGACCTGAAAGTAGAGTTGTTGACAGACCGTGGGGATATGAGGATACTTAACGTTGAGCTGGAGTTACTGAGTGCAAACCGTAAGCGTCCCATAAATCGATCATGCGACTTCACCGTAGCATTTGAGGTCTAACAAAGCGAAGACAGCAATTCAACCGGCATGCTAGAAAGTTCCAGAGGCCAATGGAACCTTATCACTAAACCATTATGGTCTGAAGATGCCACGTCTGATGATGCGTTACAGGAGAGCATTGGGTCTCTGGAGCATTGTTTGGCACACCACAAGTATTGCACAAACATCTCAAACAAGCTTCCCAAGCGATGCCTCGAGCTGACTCAGATAACTATGACTCTACGAGACACCGCCTCGTTCCCTTCAGCAGAGCGATATGTTTGTTTGAGTCATTGCTGGGGCCCCAAAGCCCCGTCTCGTCAGCTCACGAGCGCAACTGAGAGCGAACTGCGACAAGGTATTAGCTTAGACACGGTCCCTCGAACCTTTTCCGAAACAGCAAAAGTGTGCCTGAAAATGGGCATTCGATTCCTGTGGATTGATTCGCTGTGTATGTTGGACCCCAGACAACATTCGGACACCGCTAAACGCGTAGCAGGCATCATTCAAGGGGACGAGGCTGACTGGACAGAGGCAGCGGCCACTATGGCAAACATATATGAGAATGCTTTCTTCACGATAGCTGCAACTGGTGCTGACAATAGCGATGACGGTCTTCGACCCTTTAAAGAGTGGTCCAAGCCTTCGAGGCTCAGAACCTCCAACTTTTTTTTACGAGAACATATTAGTATGAACAGCTGTATGTTTCATGGGACTCACCATCTCAAGACTTGGCCGTTGCTGTCGCGTGCTTGGGCGTTTCAAGAAGGCCAGCTTTCGCCACGGACGTTACGCTTCAGTTGCTATGGGATTGTTTGGGATTGCCGCACAACACGATTAGAGCATGAGGAGAGAAAACTGGGATCCAGTCTAGGCACTGACGCCATCAATCTCCTGCCGTTTTTCTTCTCGGCTGATTATAGATCATCAACTGACTTAGAAACCGCATGGCACAATACCATAACGCAGTACTCACGTCTCAACCTGACACATCGAATCGATAGGTTGCCTGCAATCTCAGCAATGGCGCAGCGTATGGCAAAACTGCGGCCTACCGATACCTATCTTGCAGGTATGTGGCGGAGCACCTTGCTTTCTGATCTACAGTGGAGAGCATCTGACGGTCAACCTCGTATGGAATCGACATTGCCAACCTGGTCTTGGGCTTCCGCACATGGAGTTGTATACGACTCCAGCGAGTTCGCACTGGGAGGCGTGAAAATAGTCGATCTCCGCTACACACCAGTGGGACCAGCAGAGATTGGATGGATCGAAGACGCGATACTCACCATACAAGGGCCTGCACTGCCTTTACGAGCAGGACTCGATGCAGATATAAAATTTTCCACGCATAATGTATCCGATGTCACGGATCTGCCCGTGTTCTCTAAGCGAATTATAGATTTGTATCGCGACTATCAATCATCTACAGACGATGATATTGGTGGAGATCATCCTTATTTGGCCTTGTTCCTGGGCGACAGCGGTTTGTCTTTCAATGGACTTATCTTATGCCAGGTTGGAGTCATGTACGAACGTGTTGGATATTGTACTATGTATACCGAGTCCGACTATACTCGAAAGCCGCGAGACACAACGATTGAGGAAATGGCAACAATCCCATTAACCACGGTCCGGATAATCTAGCCGCTGGACTCCGAAGCAAGAAGCCGACCAAGAAAGCGCTGATGCCAAAGCGCCATTGCAGGAAAGTGAGTAGTTCCACAATCGAGAAGGCGACAATCCCATCAACATGCTAGGTGCCCCAACCCCCAGCCTGCCAGGAGAGTGTCTGTGTTGCCTCTCCCAACAAGCGACTCCTAGGAGTATGATGAATGCCAACAAATCCGCGCTCCCGAAAACCCAGTCCCCTGCTCTGTCGGCCATAAGAACAATGCGAGACATGGATTCGACAGAGATGACAAAGCCGTATTTTCAAATCTCACAGGTTGTCCATATTCTGCCGGCGATCGAACTTCAAGTTCTGTTGTTCCTGAAGCCACTGCAAGTCAGTCGCATCCTCAGCCCGTCGGCGGTACTTCGCTCCTTTCTCCATTGTCGATGGATTCTACTGTCACCATCAACCATACTGCTGTGGACCGTCGGAGCTCCAATTATGGTCTTGGACGATGAGGAACCCTGGTACCCTGCGAAGAGGACTCTACAATCTCGCCGACGAGGGACTGTCTACAATCATAGTCAACAGCATTTACTTTTCTTTTTTTCCTTTCCTGTCTTTTGGAAAAAGTAGTCTGAAATGCAACTTTTGTGCAAGATGGCCTAGGCCTTCAACGGCTCAACAAATAATACCAAGGCTCGACGGTACGATGACTGTGAAGCTCATGCAACGCACTCAAAACCATGCTCAAGACCCAATGATCTCCTTCCCGAGCCAGTCAAAAAGCCCCATGTGCTGTTTACGGCCCTCCCGAGATGCCTTTACCCTATGTCCCACGATTCGTGACTGTTGCACTTCCGAACACTCGAGGAGGCTCTTCACAACCGCAGATATCGTCAACAGTGCACATGCACTTCGAATTCTCGAGCAGCAGAAAGCAATGAGCGCGCTGCGGAATACCGGCCAAACAAGCGAGTCAGAAAATGCCTGCGGTTCGCAGAGATCAAAGATACCCGCAGCGCACCCTAGGCACTTGATTGGGGTTAGACATACTGTCAGACGGATGATTTAGTAGTGACAACCTATGAAGGCTCAAGAGGCTGGTGCAACCCTGTTGTAGGCGGTATACTGTCAGACTCTGCCTTCATGTTAGGGCTGTAGGGATATCAACCTGACATGCTGTCTAGGATCTTTCAAGTCTAGACAACGCCATAGGGTTAGTGTTCCTGCCTCTTGTTATTTCTTACTTCACCTCTTACACTGCAAGGTGCACGCTAGAAGACTGCAGCATAGATGGAAAATGCAGTAGGCCTATGTACTAATAGAAGCACCATCTGCAGGTATGTATCATTTCTTGCCTGCCTAGTGGAGTAGAGTGGCGTGGACGTTTCTAGCGTCTAATGTCCAGTGTGGATAAAGGGGACGAAATGCAGAGAAAGGGAAGAGGTGTGGCGCTATGTTAATATTATGTTAGTCTAGCCTAGTTCCCGTCCCGAGTAGGCGGCTCTGCAGTACTTCTGGATTGATACGCGCCGCGCTGTCAGCAGCCATCAGCACTAAGACGAGGCTGGCGCAGTACATGCGGTCTTTGAAACAATTCAGCCTTGGCCCCCTCTTAATTTAGGGGAGGCTTTAATGTTTGGGGCTGATGGGTGAATGTCACTCAGGATAGTATTAGCTCCAGGATTCCTTCCTTCCCCTCCTCCTGAATCGTAACCTCATTCTCTTCGCATTGTATCTTACGAACTAAAGAGTGCACCTTTCTAGTCCAGCGCTTACCACATCGTCTGTTCGCCGACCGCCTCTCCAGAATCGCTAGCAGTCACAACTGCACAAGCGCTCAGGCGACCCTTAGGCATCGCCGTGCGACATGAACAACAGTGACCTCGCAAGCAGTTCCAGCCCAAGCAATAGACGGCACAAAGAGGATGATCGCCCCAGACAAAATGCATCGCGCACTAGTAGCCTCGTTCTGTCCGAGCGCACCGTCTTGACCGCCACAGGCAGCACGAAGCGAAGTCCCAGCCCAAGCCACCGTCTTGAACAGCTACAAACCGCCCAATCTTCCGATCCAGCTAGACAATACCCTCCATACAGCATACCCAACAACCCAGACTCGGACTATCCTTTTGCCCAGACACAAACAGCGCAGATATCACAAAGTGATGTTAGCGCAGACGAGCGGTCACGTCTCGTACATCAACCTCAAAAACACGAATCCAACGACAGTCGAGTCGGCACACTCACCAGATCGCCCTCCAAGCGTTGGTTCTCACTATGCGGCGATATTTTGCTTTCTTTAACACCCCTGTTCTTCCTCGGTGGGTTTCTGAAAGTCCTCGTCGCACCTGTTTGCTAATGGACCAGTTCTTGCTTCACTTTCGCTGCATCTAAATCACCAAACAAAGTCAGCGTTTGGTGACAAGGTCAGAGCAATGACATCGCTCTCTCCGACGATATTTCCCATCATCTATGCAGCTATACTTGGCACAGTGCTTCGGAGAATAGGCTTGTATAAGGCGGAAAGAAGTGCGACAGTTGGCGTGAGTATTGTGAGAAGAAGTTTCTCGACACAGTCGCACTGACTTGATTTAGACAATTGAACGGCTGATCGGCTGCCACTCCCTGTTTACGACGTTCGAAACACAGATTGGTCTGCGCCGTCTCGACTTGCTTGGTGTCTCCCTCCTGCTGGTATGGATGCTCTCCCCTCTAGGTGGTCAGGCGTCTCTCCGCCTGCTCACGACGACGCCTAGGACACTTGACTTCAACTCCACATTGCTGTACTACCCTATCGAGGCCTACTCTGCGGCTCCAATGATCCTGGGCAGTAGCGACAGCTCCGTGTACTGGCCCTTCTACGCATCCCCGTACATGACGGCCTTGCAGACGTCAGAGCAGACCATCAACAGCTCCATGGATCTCTGAGGACAGGTCAAGGTGCCGGACATCAGATCCTTGCAGGGTTACGAGCCAAGCAATTCAACCACGCGGTGGTATGACATTAATAGTGAGGACGAAGTCGCCTACGCCTCGCTGCTTGGGACACCGATAATCGGCATACCGGAAGCCAGCAATACAACCTTCCACATGGTCTCGTTCTACTGGTCTGTCGACTGCGACGCTGCCACCGTGGATCCAATTGGACCGTGGCTGCAAGCCGGTGCCGCCCTCAACTCCACCTCCGCATCTTCCACACCCGTGTGGACTTTTGATCTCAAAATCAACTCGAGCGCGAAGCACACCGCCTTCTTCACCTACCAGTCGCGGAAAGGCGAGAAACTCGCCCGCGCCAACTCCTCCACAGTACACTGCCGCGCGGAAGCCCCCGTCGTCGAGTCGCGCGTCGAGTGCGTCAACAAAGACCGCGGCGTCCGCGCCATGCGCAAGCTCAGCCGCGACTACGTCTTCTCCGCCGCCCGGCCCCCGGCCAGCCTCTTCCTGCAGACCATGTTCCTCGCGCGCGCCGACCTGGGCGCCACGCAACTGCGCCCGCGCCAGAGCCAACCAACCGAGTTCTTCATCGCCGGATGGGAGGACAGAATCACCCGCGAGGGCGAAGGCTGGATCGAGACGGCGCACATCCCCGCAGACGTCCTGAGCGCCCGCTTGCAAACCGCCATCAACACCTTCTGGGACGCCAGTCTGGGGAACGGCTTCAGCACCGCGAAGCTATCCTCAGACCACCCGCCTTCCGTGTGCCCGCTCGAGGCCTCTGTCGGCGGGACATGCGCCGACCGCGGGTTCGCGTGGAACACCACGACCGCCACGAGCCGCCGTTTCGACGGCGCCGCGTACACCTGCCACATCCCCTTCGCGCTCACCGTCATGCTGATCTCTTCGCTCCTGCTCATCGCCGCCAGCGTGTCGACGGTCCTGGGCTTTATCACCACCGCGCCGGATGTCCTGGGCTACGTGTCGAGCGCGGCGCGCGACAGCGCGTGGTTCGCGGGCCATGCGGTGCCGTCGCATTTATCTGGCTTGGAGGCCGCGCGGCTACTGCGCGATGTGCGGGTGATGATTGGAGACGTCGCGGGGAAGGCGGAGGTTGGGCATGTGGCGTTTGCGGTGATGGTTGTGCTGCCGCAGAGGTTGGTGAAGGGGAGGTTGTACGATTAGGTTGAGGTGTGGGAGTAGTGTGTGGGACGCTGTAGATGAATTCAATGTACTATAGCTTGTAGAAAACATGGTCTCGTACTATGGTGTTACGAAGGAGTTGTATTGTTTGTGAGGCCGAGCGGTGATCTAGATATTCGCCCCTACCGGTAACTTGCCTATAGTATATCAAGAATGGCAACTTATGTTCTAGGTTACCTGGATCACTATCAGGTGCATTAGCATGTCAACATGGTAGTAGATAGATAAGTAGATAGGCTGGGAAATATTCAGAATACATAGGAAGTGCGGGTGAGTAATGATGGAGAGAAACGAAAAGCAAGAAACGAGACACAATGGTCGAGAAGAGAATCGAGAGAGAGGGATGCGAGAAACAAGCAACGAGATGTGAGATTTGAGTTTTGAGATTTGGAAAACTTGAACTGAAAATACAAGGATGCAACAAAAGTGTTAGGAACTAGGAATCAAAGCTGAGAAAATAAAAGGACGCAGATTGAGTGTCGGGAATTGGGAATAGCAGGATGAGAGACGAGCATGGACAAGGAATCAAGAACCAAGAATCAAGAATCAACCATCTCTTCTCCATCGCGCCGAGCAGCTATACCACCCAGACCCTGTCCATACTGCACAACCAACACAACATATTTGCTTTCCCCTCACTATTCCGCTCGCCAATAGTCAAGCCTCAGCACTATACCACAGAAAAGCAATCATAATCCAGAAACACGATTATCAAGTACCTAGTCGACTATATCCTTGTTGCCCCGCCAACCCCCCATCAACAAGCCATCGCTCACTAGAACACCAGAATCCGGCCGCCAGCACGGCCCTGATCACGGTCTCCGTCTCGGACCGCGAGGTCATCGGCACTGCAGAACACGGATACAGGTCGTGATGCGTGGTCGGGATTCGCATAAGACTTAGTTACGTATGTGTGGGTGTATGTATGTATGTATATACATAGCATGTAAGTGTTTCAGACGTGCAGCGCCCAATGGCCAACGCCCAACCCCAGCGCCCAACTACCAACCACGGCACCAGCCCAGGATGCACCAGCTAGGTCAGGCCGGCCTACGAACTCGCCGGAGGGAAGCGAGGCGAGGTCTCGTCAATCAAATCGTACGATGGCAGGACATGGATGCCTGGTAGGAGCCGAGTGGGATCTAATGCCTACATGCCTAGTACATAGTATTGTATTGCTATGTACGGTGTACGTAGGATTTTCGCAGGGCACAGATGAGTGTGTCGTCATTGTGGGGGTTTGGGCGCCGTCCTACAACACGCATTTCCTACGGCGTCGGTGGGTTTCGAGGGACTTACTGTGATGGGCGCCGGTGAGGATGCAGGGCGGTGGGTTCTGGTGTTGACTTGTGCGCATCTTGACTGCTGCATCATTGACTGTACTGCATTGTTGACTGTGCTGCATTGTTGACTCTTGCTGCATCGACTCCAGTATGCTGCATGTCTGAGTGCGTGTCGTCGAGCGTGTCGTCGACTGCACAGCGCTGAAACCCGCCTTGCAGTCGTCGACTACAAATTCCTGCACGCCGTCGCCCCAACGCACAGCTGCAGCGAGGCGTTCTCGCGTCGCACCGCAGTGCGCCTCGTGTCGGCCGCAAAACGCGACACACGCGACGCGTCGCGGCGCCCGTCAGACGCTCGCGGCGCTGGGCATGGCAGTCGGCGCAGCTGGGCAGTTCGCAGGCGGGTCGGATTCGACACCACGGGCGCCGGCTGCAAGGTACAGGTTGCGAGGCAGGGGGGGAGTGCACGGCGGCGGATGCATCGGGACTGGCGCGGCAGGATCGAAGCGGGTCGGTGATGCGCGGGGCTGCAGCGAGGTTGGTGCGCGCCAGCCACTTCGATGCACGACATAGTAAACAGAGCGCTGCGCTGAGGCGACTCGCAGCTCCCGCAGCTCCACGCACGCTTTTGCTGCGCTCTTGTTGGACGTCTCGAGGCCCCGTGCCAGTCGCTCTTTTGCCGTGGATATACGCCAGGTCGTACACCAGCATACGCACTCGTCCTTTGTCCCTGGTACTCGTTGCCGTACCGTCACCGCATACTCGTTTCCGACACCGTCACCGTACCCGATACCGTACTGTCCCCAACTCGCACCCACACCGTCACCACTCGCACCACGCGCCCCCCTCGCACCAGCGCATGCACACACCCCGCGGCCACCCATCCCCGCCTCCATGGCGGCCAAACTCAACATGGCGGCCTTTGGCGGCGCGCACACGGCCGGCATCTTCTCCGACATGACCGTCGACGGGCCGGTGATAGGCACGCTGGTGGCCATCATCGACCGCGCCCGCAACCTGCCCAACAAGCGCACCATGGGCAAGCAGGACCCCTACTGCGCCGCGCGCCTCGGCAAGGAGGCGAAGAAGACGCAGACAGACAAGCGCGGCGGCCAGACGCCTCGGTGGTGAGTACCGTGGGGAGTGCCGTGGGAGACGCACGACAGCGCTGACGTATGCAGGGACCAGGAGCTGCGCTTCACCGTCCACGACTCGCCCGACTACCACCGCATCAAGGTCTCCGTCTTCAACGACGACCGTAAGACGGAGCTGATCGGCGACACCTTCATCGGCCTGACCAACGTCATCCACCCCGGCGGCGGCCAGTCGGACGGCTGGCACGCCCTCGACTGCCGCGGCAAGTACGCCGGCGAGATCCGCATTGAGTTCACCTACTACGACATCCGCCCCAAAGCCGAGAAGCCCGCCGAGAAGCGGCGCGAGGCACAGCCCGAGGGAGCGAGTCCGCCCGTCAGCGGCCCTCGCGGCGCACGGGGAGCGCGCGAGAGCATCCCCATCAAGCGCCGCCCGCTGCCGTCCGACCCCACCGTGTCGCCGTCGACCAGCGTGCCCGAGCACCGCGGGCTGCAGGGCGTGCGTGCCGGGCCGCGCGAGCTGGGCTCTCCGCGCCACGCCCAGGAGCCTGCGCCACGCCGACCGGTGCCAGAGGCGTCGCCTGTCGAGCCTGCAGTGCCCAACCCGCGCTCCTCGAACCCCAGCCTCGTCCAGCCCAGCAGCTTCGACATGTCGTACGCCGCGCCCAAGCCATACGAGGTCAAGCCGGTAGACGCCCTGCCACGCCACCTCATCGATCCCGCACACCCCCGGCCCGTGTCGCAGGAGGACCTCCGCGCCCCGCGAGCCCCGCCTGTGGACGCCCTGCACGCACACTCGGCCCCGGTCGTGCCCACGCAGCACAGCTACGAGACGGACCAGCGCTACGCCAGTGTCCAGGATCCATACGACGACCCCTCGTACCACGTTGCGCCACTCCGCTCGAGCAGGAGCAACCTGCGGAACCAGGAGGCCTCCCCGGTGGAGCAGTACCGCCCGCACAGCTATGTTGGAGACTCGTATGACGAGAGCCACTCGCTGCGCAGACAGAGCGCCATGCAGCCGACGGTGGAAGACGAGGACTTTGACCTCCCGCCGCCGCCGCCCGCCCACAGGAAGAACGCCGCCACCATCTCGCACCCGCACGCCTACTCCCCGAACCCCTACGCGAGCGATGCCCCGGCCCCGCTCAACTTCGCCCGCCACCAGGACCCGCCCGAGATGTACGACCTGCAGCGCCAGCCGTATGCCGCGCCTGAGTTGGAGTACCGCCAGCCCGCCGCGCCAGAGTTCGAGTACCGCCAGCCCGCCGCGCCTGAGATCGAGTACCGCCAGCCCACCGAGCGCCGCTACACGCACCCCCGGGCGCAGTCGAACAGCCGTCCCGTCTCGCGCGGCGACGCCGTGGCACCTTCTCCGCTGCGGCACGAGACGTCGCTCCCGTCTGCGCTCGTTGCCGGCTTCGACCCCAACCGCGGCCAGCGAGACTCGTACCACGCCCCGCCCGCCTACGACACGCCGCCGCGCCTGCGCCAGTACTCGGAGCCTGTTGAGTACCACGCACCGCCCGAGTACACCACCCCCGTCCAGGCCCACGAGCTGGTGCACTACCAGGCGCAGCCGCCGCAGGACTCGTACTACGACCACGACCCGCCCGAGGAGCCGTGCCGCCGCTCTCCCGTCGCCGAGTACGCGCCTGTGTTCAAGCCGCGCGCACACAGCCCGAACCCCCCACGCCAACGCGCCTACAGCCCGGCCCCCAGCCCGCGGCACTCGCCCAATCCCATCGACGACCGCGGCGCCCGGACACCCACTCGCAGCATGCCGACCCGCAAGTCCGTCTCGCCGCGCCCGCCCCCCGCCGACGACCGCCGCCTCTCCACCATCCCCTTCGGCCCCGACGACTTCAACGTGCTGAACCCGCAGACCAAGGACGACCCGCCCTCGCGCCCCGGCTCCCGCATGGAGTACACCGACGCCGGCCAGATTGTGACGTTCAGCGGCCGCACCGTCGACCCCTCGGACCACCTGCCCATCGACAACTGGGCCCCGGAGCCCGAGCCCAAGGGCACCGTCAAGGAGAAGAACCCCCGCACGCGCGCTGTCCCCGGCGGCACCCGCAGTATCCAGGACGCGCACGCGCGCGAGGAGCGGTACCGCCGCGACCGCGCAGAGCGCGAACGCATCGCCGCCGCCGCGGACACGGCGTTCGGCGGCGCCGACAACAGCCAGGCGCTCGTCATGACGCGGCGCCCAGACTTCGACGCGTCGAGCGCGCTGGTGCTGGCCGACCGCGATGCGTACGGCGGACGGCCCGTGTCCAGGGGGTATGAGTCCGGCCGTCCCGTGTCGCGGGGCTACGAGTCCACCCGCCCGATATCCCGCGGCTACGAGTCCACCCGCCCCGTATCCCGCGGCTACGAGCCCTCAACCCGCGCCCGCGAGGCCCTGCGCGAGCGCCACTCGCCCAACGCCTACGCCGACGCATATCCCGCCTCCTACGGCGCCGGCGGCCGCCACGCCGCGCCCCCGATCCCCGCCAAGATCCCGCTCGACCGCGGTGTGCAGAACGAAGACGTCGCGCTTAGTCTCGAGTTGCAGAGTATTGATATCGGACCTGCTGGGGGTGGGGGGAGGAGGCCGAGGACGAGGGGGAGGGAGTACGGTGCGTATGTTTAGGTCGTGTGTTCGGGGGGGGGGGGGGGGGTTGTATGATATGTGAGATTGAGGGGTTGGCGTTTAGACTTGCTTTATGGATTTGGATTCGGATGGGTGGGATCGGTTTGGGATGGGATGGGTTGGGACTGGGACTGGATACTCGGACACAGGATGGGATAGCATGCCTCCTCCCGCCGCCACAGTCTGGCACGGTATGGTATGGTACGGTACGTTATGGTATGATATAGCTTAGCATAGCACGCGTTCCCCGGCGCAGGTATACCCGCATACGAATGCAACTTTTTCTCTGTATACCGATTTGTGTTGGTTTTTTCGCAATGTGTGTTTGTGCTTGATGTGGGGTCGTTTTGCGATGTGGGATGTATGATGGCCAGGTCTGATTGCCATGTCTGGTGTGCATGTCTGGTATGCATCCATATCTGGTATTTATGAGCCCGTTCAGGTCTGGTGAAGTGGAGTAGCATACCAGTGGAGTAGCAGTCTACCAGCCCATCGGCATCACGCATCAGCATCACCCTCCCAAAACCACCGGCTGGAAAGACCACCAAGTAAAAAGACTACAAGCAGACTAGACTATGTACTCCCCACGACCCTCTTCACCACTTCCACTCGCCGCTACTACTTCGCTGCTATCACTTCACCACTTCCACTCGCCTTAAACGTTCACCTTCAAGGGTCGCGGTGCTGTGCTGTGCGGACGCGGCTGAAGCTGAAGCATTTCATCCGATCGAACTGGAGTGTCCAGATAGCTCCACGTCAAACCTGAGATCTCGGACAGCGCTGTAGTGTGTGTGTGTGTGGGGGGGGGGGGGGGGGGGGGGGGGTATGCCTGTCTGCCTGCCTGGCTGGCTGTCTACCTTTGAGTACCTACCCTTGAGTACCTACCTACCTACCTACCCTCGAGTACCCTCGAGCACCCGGAGCGCAACGGCAACACGCACCCGGACAGGGTGCTTGATGGTTGTGGGACAGCGTGGCATGGGGGGTACGAGGGGCAGGCGTGGGGACTGGGGGATGTGTCTGCGATAACGTATGTAGGTAGGTGGTCGATCGTCCTAGGATGGCAATGCTGTTTCGCGATACGGGGTTTGGTGGGGGAGGGTTTGGGGTTGAGGGGATGGGTCGAGGGGATGGGTCGAGGGGATGGGTCGAGGGGATGGGTCGAGGTGATGGATTGCGGTTGGTGGATTGCATTTGTTGAATTGCACTTGTCGAATCTCACTTGTCGAATCTCACTTGTCGAATCTCACTTGTCGAATCTCACTTCTCAAATCTCACTTCTCAAATCTCACTTCTCAAATCTCGTTTGTTGTTCCTTGTGTCTCTTTCTCGAACACCATTTCTCATTTCTCACTGCTCATCTCTCATGTCCTCGCCTCTCTCTACTATCCCCCCCCCCCCCCCCCCCCCCCCTCTCATCTCGCATCTCCCAACCCCCGATCTCCATTTCCCATCCCCGAATCTCGATCGCGTTCGCAACTCCTATTCTCACCTGCTGTATCCCGAGCACAGGACCCACTAGGAATGCCTTAACAGAGTCTACTTCCCTCACTCCGCTGTCTCCTCGGTACATGCCTCGAGAGTATCTCACCGTCCCCCCCGCCGCCGGACGACTACCTTCCGCCCGTCGCGGACGCGGATCCACACCTCCCTATCCCTATCCCTGTCCCTATCCCCGTCGCCGCTCCTGCCACTGCGTCTACTTCGCTCACTGCTTCGCTCGCTGCATCTACAGCTGCAGCTGCAGAGCCGCGGGGTGGGTGTGTGTGGCTGCCGGGCGTCTAGTAGCTGGGCCTTCCATTCCGCTTCTCGTTGCATGTGGGCTGCCCGAGCTGCGTCGGCCCATGCTGGCTCCCGTGCCTCTGCCTCGCGTGCCTCTCGTTCCGCATGTGTCTTGGCTGCGTCTGCCCGGGGATCTCGTGTCCAGGGATCTCGTGTCCAGGTATCTCGCGCTGTCTGTGTCTTGTCTGCGTCTGCCCGCGCTGCCTCGCGTGCCTCGTGTGCTTCCTGTGCCTCTCTTTTCATCTCCGTCCTCTCCGCCTCTTTTGCTGCCTGTGCCCTGGCTGCCTCTGCCCGAGCCATCTCACTCTCCGCCCGCACCCCCTCCGCCCCAGAGACCCGCGCACCCCAGCATAAATCGCGCAGCAAGCTCTCGTGCGCAGCCCACGCGCGCCAGCACCCCTGTGTCGGTGCTCCTGCGTGTGCGTGTGTCGTCGGGCAGCGCGCAGCTCGGAACCACCACGGCAGCCCCGTCCCCGAAAACCGAGTATCCCAATCCTGATGATCAGGCCACGGCCCGGACACTTGGTAGTCGCAGGGCCTCGACCACCCACGCCGGCCGGGCCGCCCGTACGCGCTGTCCTCGCACGCGTCCGCATATATCGCGGGCGCGCTGGGGCGGGGGAACGGACGGGGGGCGCGCTCCTCCAGCACTGCTAGATGCACGCCCATCGGCTGGGTCTGCGTTGCGTACGCGTTCTCGTGCGGGTTCTCCTGCGCTTGCTCGGGCGCGGCTCCGTGTCGCGATGGAGGGGGATGTGTGTACTCCTCGTACTCTCCGGCATGCGGGTGCGGCGCCTCCCGCGGGCCGCGTGCCGTGCATCCGCCGTCTGGATGCGGACTGCGCGGTGCTGAGGGCGACGCGGACCGGCGGGCATGGCAGTGGCAGTGGACGTGCGTCGTATGCGTGCCGTGCGCGTAGACGTGGATATGCGATTCCTCGCGGGACATATCTGCTGAGCTAGCCGGCGGATTGCAGAGCACGGGGGCGGCGTATTATAGCCGCGCTGTTTGCTCGCCAGAGGTAAGGAGACTGTATAATCATTCTGGATGTGGGTGGTTGTCGTTGTCAGCAAGCAACATGTCCACGACTATACATGGCATGGTGGTATAGCGGTTTGACCGCGGTTGCAACAAAAAAGCTGGATAAAACTGCGCTATCAAACTGGTATCTAGTACGCCACCCCGGCTACAACTTCGCGCGGCGCTGCAGGTACGCCCGGATGCCAAACGCGGCTGCTGGGTGTCAGTCAACATTCAGCGCTCCCTGACATCGCATCGAAACTCCATCTCGCACCACATCGATCGTATCGTATCGTATCGTACAAACGCACACCGCAAGATAATCACTTACCAATCAGCACGGCCAGCCCCTTGAGCCCGACGAGCCCGAGCAGCCACCCGGCCCAGCCGATGCTGCGGCCCTCGCGGTCGAAGTTGGGCTTGAGCTCGTTCATGCCGGAGAACTTCTTCAGCTTGGCCGACGTGTACGGCGGGTAGCGCACGTCCATCATGCTCTCGATCCACGCGGGCGTGGTCGTGATGCTGCGGCGGTGCGTGAAGGCGTCGAAGGACGCTTTGCCGCGGTACGCGCCGGTGCCCGAGGAGCCCACGCCGCCGAACGCCAGCGTCGGGATCGAGGCGTGGAAGAAGCCGTCGTTGAGCGAGGCGCCGCCGGAGCGGGTTGAGTCGAGGACTGGGGGGTTAGCGGGGTTGGGATGGTATACAAGGGCACTCACTCTTCTGCATCTCGGCCTTGGTGCCGAAGGCGTAGGTGCCGAGGGGCGTGTCGTGGACCTCGTTGGCGATTTTGATGGCTTCGTCGAGGTCGGTGACGGGCAGGATGGGGAGCAGCGGGCCGAAGCTCTCGTCGCGGAGCAGGGCGTCGTCCATGCTCTCGACCTGCACGACCGTCGGCTCGATGAAGAGGTCGGCCTCGTCCATGGTGCCGCCGATGACGATCTTGCCGTTGGTGGAGTCGAGCATCTTCTTGATGCGCTGGAACTGGCGCTGGTTGACGATGCGGCCGTAGTCGGGCGAGTTGCGCACGCCGTTGGGGTAGAACTCGTTCAGCGCGTTCTGCATCTCGCGGATGAAGGCCGGGACCAGCTCGCGGTCGATGAAGGTGCAGTTCTGGCTGACGCAGACCTGGCCGGCGTTGAGTGTCTTGGCCCATAACAGACGCTTCGCAGCCAGCTTGGGGTCGGCGTGCTTGGTGATGATGGCAGGGTTGCGGCCGCCCAGCTCGAGCGTCAGTGGTGTGAGCGTCTCGGCGGCCTTCTTCGCAATGATCTTTGCAACGTTCTCAGACCCCGTGTAAAAGATCTTGTCCCACTTCTGGTCCAGCAGCGCCGTCGTCTCGGGGACGGCGCCCTGGACGCACGTGTAGCATTCGGGGTCCAGCGACTCGGCGAGGATCTTCTGCATCACGCTCGCGGCGTACGGGGCGGCCTCGGACGGCTTGATGATGGCGGTGCAGCCCGCGGCAATGGCGCCAATGAGCGGCCCAATGGTCAGCTGGATGGGGAAGTTGTATGCGCCGATAATAAGAACAGCGCCAAGCGGCTCCTTGCGGATGCGCGGCCCCATGAACTTGTTGGTGAAGGCAATGTCGGCGGGCTTCTCGTCCTTGGCGAAGCGCTCGACGTTGTTGGCCATCCAGATGCAGTCATTCATGACCCACGAGATCTCGGTCAGGTACGTCTCGAACTGCGACTTGCCCAGGTCCTTCATGCACGCCTCCTCGATGAGCGCGGCATTGTCCTTGAAGCCCCAGTACAGCTTGCGCAGCTGCTGGATGCGGTACTCGAGCGGGCGCGTCTTGTGCGCGAGGAACGACTTGCGGACCGTGGCGCACGTCGGCGCCACGCTGTCCATGGACGAGTGCTCGAACTGGGGGATCTTGGTCGCCATGCTGTTTCGATGTGGTGGTCGTGAGCGCTGAGGTCCAGAACTTATGTGCCACAGCTCCTGGCCCCACTCCGCTCCCATGCCTCGGCTCGCCCTAGCGGACCGGGCCCGGAGGAACTGTCCACGACGAGCATGTGGCTGCGGGTTTCTGCTGCGGAGCCCAAGAGAGTCCGAGATCCGTCGCAGCAGCAGCAATGCACCCCGGTTTGCTTGTCGTATCCGATCCCTCCGTCTGTCACCACGACCTTCGTTCCAGCAGCTGTCAGTGCCAGTCGATGTCGTTCGGGACCATCGCACTAGCGCTAGACCTGCACCATCTCATCCCTAGAAGTCTGTCCAGGCTCGTCGTGAGTGACCGCAGGAGGTCGGCAGCGGTCGAACTCGTACTGCGAGCCTCCGTCGGCGAGAGAGACGGGCAGATCTGGGTGGCGAGTACTTCGGTGCGCTGATATTGCCTGATAAATTCCTTCGGCGCATTGACTACGCACGTAACTTGGTGACTTTGTTCCGGCATGTTCAGAGCAGTCTAGGTTAACTGACGCACTGCTATGTACCCCAAAACATGTGCGTTCAGGTTTGTGTAGAAACAAATGCAAGTCACAAGTGTCGAGATGCATGAGCAGAGCCTCAAGCACGCTAGCGAGGAGCCTCGGCTCAACCCCAGCTTTGGGGGTTCGGACGACGACCGCGGCTGCAGACCGAATAACTTTCTGAATCTTCTTTCTGTCCTTTATTCAATTCACATACACGAAATCCACTGCAATGGACAATTCTAACCTTTTCGGCGTCGAGGCAAGCAATATACAGTACAATTGCATCGTCTGATACTGACAATATGCAGGGCAAGATTGTGCTCGTCACCGGCGGTGCCAAAGGCATCGGCCGCATGATCAGCGAGGGCTTCGTCCAGAACGGCGCCACCGTCTACATATCCTCGCGCGACGCAAAGGCGTGCGAGCAGGCCTGCAAAGAGCTCAATGCCCTCGGCAAAGGCAAAGCCGACTTCATCGCCGCCGACCTGTACAAGGAGGAGGACCTCACACGAATTGCCGACGAACTGAAGAAGCGAGCCGGCAGTATGTCGTCCTAATATAGCATACCGCACACGCCGACTAATCCAACCCAGAGCTCGACGTCCTCGTCAACAACAGCGGCAGCAACTGGGGCGAGCCCTACGACACCTACCCCTCCGCCGCCTGGGACCGCGTGCTGACCCTAAACCTCAAGCGCGTCTTCCAGCTAACCCAGGCGGTAACGCCGCTGCTCGAAGCCGCGCAGACCGCCGCCTCGCCCGCGCGCGTCATCAACATCGGCTCCGTCGACGGCCTGCGCGTCCCCGCGCTCGAAACCTTTGCCTACTCGGCCTCGAAGGCGGGGCTGCACCACCTGAGCCGCGTGCTGGCCAGCCACCTGGGCAAGCGCGGCATCACCAGCAACACGATTGCGTGCGGCCCGTTCCAGAGCAAGATGATGAAGGCCACGCTGGAGAAGTTTCAGGGTGTGATTGAGAGTGGGATTCCGCTGGGGAGGATTGGGCGGCCGGAGGATGTGGCCGGGACGTGCATTTGGCTGAGTTCGCGGGCGGGGTCGTATGTCAACGGGGCGACGATTGCGTTGGATGGGGGGAGTGTGGTTGGTGCCAAGCTGTGAGGTAGAAACAGTAGGTTTGTTCCCATGCGGACACGGTATCTTTGTGTTGTAGATCGGCATGCAGGGCAGTGCATCTCGTCATTAAATGAAGGCACAGACTGGGTAGACCAATGCGGAATGTTTGCTAGATGGTGAAATCAAGCAGAGCTCCACACCAGTCACTGCAGGGTCTCATGAACCCTCCGGCTTGGACAACCACATCCAACCGAGCAATGCCCTGCAGCCAAAGTGATGATTTGCCCTTGACTAGCGGACCCTTCCACTGCATAAACGGTCACCTCCCACAACTCCCATCCATGTTTTCCTCATCGTGACTCGTCGGATATGGTCTAGCTGCAGCTGAACTTGTAAGCATCCTCTCATGCTTCAGTTGAAGTTGAGAGTACACATGATGAGTTCGTGTTCTCTGGCTCAGGGTAAGAAGACTAGTGGGTTTCCATATGTAGTTCCATCGCATCTCAGGGTATAAATGACGAGAGCTCCCTTCGTATTCGAATGACTTGGAGAAGTCGCCGAAACACACGTTGCGTCGATCAGTGCACCAGTCTGCCAGCACGCCAGTTTGATTCCACGTCACCAAACAGCCATACCTGTACGAGCCCACTTGCTTCAATCACCTGAACGCCCAGCTGACCAGTCCAGCAACCAGCAGTCGGCTCCCAGCAGCCACCAGCCACCAGCCACCACGCACCAACCATGCACCTCCCCACGATACTCCTCACCCCCCTCCTCCTCCTACCCATATCCAACGCCCTCCCCACCAACACCACCAACCCCCCAACAACCACCAAACCCCTCGCCCGCTGGAACATCTTCCCCACCCACCCCCGCATGTGCCACAAACAGCAATGGCAATCCTACCTCCCGAACACCTGCCGGTACGCATGCACACCGGAGTGCGACACGACCTCGCCCAGGGAGGGCCGCGACGCGTTCCTGGCGTTTTTGTTGCGCAAAGGGTTTGCGTGCGAGGCGCGGGATATGGGGGGCGAGCCGGGGGTGTGGTGTGAGAGGGATCGGTTCTGGAGGGGGAAGTGCGAGGATTGGGAGTGGGAGTGTCGGCAGGCGGGGTGGTGGTAGGGGGGACTTCTAGAGAGGTGGAGAGGTAGAGAGGGGGGAGGGGGGTGCTGGGGATGGAGGAGAGGCGAGGAGGGGGAGAAAGGGGAGAGGGGGGTGAAGGAGGAACGCGAGATGCAGTGTAGTACGCTATGAAATTGTGGTGCAGGCGACGCGCACGCTGCGGCTGTTGCGCTGTGGTATCTTAAGCCGCCAAACCCGAACGCCGACGCAATGCCTTTCCCCTCTATATCAAAAAAACAAAAAAAAAAGAATGAGACGCACAAAGGAAACAAAAACGTATGCAGTGAAACACCCGCAAGAATCACACACGTAGCCCAACGCCGCCAGCGAACGGCCTACGGACACGTCAAGCTCCGCCGCCGCCGACTGTCCTCCCCGCTCTGCCCCAGCATCTCGCCCCGCACGCTCTTCGGCAGCATCGCCTTGGCCCAGCACTGCATCGCCAGCCGGCGCATGAGCTCGACCTCCTCGCGCTCGAGCCGCAGCTGCCGCTTGGCGAGCTTGCTCTTCTTGAGCCGCACGCCCTCGCTCGCGTACTGCACCCCCGGGGCTGTGGCGCCGCGCTTGCTGCCGATGAACGCCGTGCGCTCGGCCACCGGCGACGAGACTAGAGATTCCAGGTTCACGCATTCGCTGATCAGCGCTTGGATGCCGCGGGATAGTTGGGTTGCGCGCGAGAGCAGGTACGGCCATTGGTCCGGGCCCCAGAAGGGGTCTGAGGCGAGGGCGTCGCGGAGCGCGGGGAGGATGTGCGGGAGGGGGGGTAGGGTGCGGGAGGGCGGGGGGAGGTCGGCGGGGGACGAAGTGACGGTGGAGGTGGAGAGCAGCGAGGCGGCGATGGTGAGGCGCAGATGGGATTCCGTGCTGAGGGTGGCGGAGGTGATGCACGCTGTGGCTGTTAGTGTGGGGACAAGCTGTATGAGACGGCGAACATACCTGGGCACCCGCGGGTGCGGCACCAGTCCTCCTCCTCGTCGACAAAGCACTGCAGGCACAGAAACGCGCCGCGCGCCTCGCCGGCAAACGCGAGCTCCAGGTCCTCGCTCCGCCGCGTGCACAGCGCGGCCTCGGCGAGCACCGAGGCGCGGTTGAACAGCTCCAGCACCGGCATCACCAGCGCATGCAGCAGGTCACGCTGCAGAATCCATGCTTGCTTGGTCTGCGGGTCGCACTCGTCGTGCTGTGCGCAGAAGCTGGCGGGGTTAGTGACGGTCTGTTGCGGCCCAACGCGATTGTTGAAGCGCGGACTCGGCGCGGGGAGAACATACCTGGTGTCTCGCGCGAGATAGTTCCTCAGCATGCAAAACGCCTCGGAGGCATTCAGCACGTCGACGTCCTCGACGGGGATCACGAACGGGCATAGCTCCTCACTCTCCTGGTACAACATGGCGTGCTGTGATTGGCTGGTCTGCTCGCGTGCGCATCGATAAGCCCGGTTGAATCTCAAATGCTCAGCACGCGTCTTGGGTCAAGGTAAGATAATAAGGAAAGGAATCAACAGACGTCAACGGGCGAGCAGCTGGAGGGAACCCTTTCCTTATTTCAACGAAATGACGCTGCTCTCCACGGACGCTGGACCCACAGCGCAGCACGCGTCGCTGCACCCGCGAGAGGCGTGCGCATTCGAGACCCTTCCCCTTTCCCAAACGGGCGCCCACTGACCACACCAAACTCTCCGACCACACGGCAAATGCGCCACAGCGCGCATCAAGCGTCCGCACTATCAGAATCGTGCTTGAAGGCGTGAACGTGGCCGAGGCTACACCTGCGCGGCCGTGCCAGCTGCTGCCTGCCTCTGCTGCGCTGTGCTGGCGCCCGCCCGTTGGGCAGACGCTGCGATTGCGCCAGCAATGCGATATGCGTCGGCGGGCCGCTATGTCTGCAGATAAACAGCACAATTGGGGATGCCCACGCAACACCGCCAATCGGCCGCGCCCGGACCTGGACGATCGACGGCATCGCACCATCTCCAGAACCACGATTGTTTGGGATGGTGCCTGCTGGGAACCTGTCTGCATTCGAGCCTGAAACGCGCTGCGATGGTGATAGTCGCAGTGCGGTATTTTAGCTTCATTGCGTGCGGTTGGCGCTGCGGCTACGGCAGTATGACGCTGGTGTTGCGCGCGACCGGGTGGGGGTATTGAATCTGCAGCGCGCCCAACACCGAGCTATCGACTGCAGCGGTGAGGCTGAGGGTCAAGGGATGTGGCATCCTTCTTCCCATAGTTGCAACTGCTTGAGACTCAGTACCTGGGTATCCCGACTGGGGGCACATGTCAATGGCGGATGGCGTATCGAAACCAAGGTTCTGTATCCGGGTCTGTATCAGGTTTTGACACCAGGCTAGCTGGCGCGAAAATCCTCTTTTAGGAGTGCGCTACGGGAGCGCCCGTGATCTGCGTTGCGAAGAGCTGGATTCATGCTGCCGCTCTCCGCTCCGAGTGACGCACGCTGCATTATTGGTGGCTCACTGTTGCGTCTGCGCAGCTATATACCTCATCTGGATGAACCCGATATCAGACGCATATGATAGATAGTCAGCGCAGGAACTCAGCTGTGTCTAGAACGCCGTTCAGCCTCATCGCTAGTCAGGTACCGACTTAACACTGCACTAACAAGCGATACAATGGATGGCGTGCGTCGGATCACTGGCCGTCGACCAGAATATGCTATGGATAGCAACATAGCAGAAACCTTGTCGACGAGACGGGCTCAAACACAGGCAGCGTGACGTAAAGACAAGACGAGTGTGTCTGCTGCTAAGGCTGCAGGAAGCGCAGTTGATTGTATCATTGGGTATCTCTGGAACTGCGATTTAGTCGCAAACGTGGCTGGATGAAAGACAAAAACTCCGCAATCGCCTCATTTCCACCAGAACACCGAACAGGACCCGTCAGCGTTCAGCAGGCGCCTCATGCTGTCATCGCCAGTAAAGTTTTGCTTGCGCCCAAACGGATCGGTAAGCAATACAGACAGCTTTTCGGATATCGGGCTCATTTCGTGTTTCGATACCGCCAGCGGTGGGCTCATTCGGTTGGGGTCAGCTTGCAGGAGCGAGAAGATGCTAGTCTTTGCGCGGCCGATCATGCGTTGATGCACGTCGCGGAGCGAGTCGTACAGCGGCCAGAGGGTGTTGAGGTATCTGGCTGCAATGGGCTCGACGCTGCGGCAGGGCTCGAGCATGTCCATGCATTCCCTGGCGAACTCCAGGTCCGTCTCGACACCCTCCGATTGGCCGTCAAGCAGCTTGGTCGACGCGCTGTGGAGAAGAACAATGGCGGCAGTGAACGCCCAGTAGCTGTGGTGCTGTTAGCATGGCGCGCTGCCATCTTCAGTGCGAGACTTACATGATCAGCCAACACCGTCTTGTCAATGTGCCGTCGAAAGAAATCAGTCGCAGGATCCGTGCTATGGTCTGACCTGCGATGGCACATTCGTTTCGGAAGTGCCGTGCATCGCTCTCCGAGAAAGCGAGGTTGCTGGAGGCGCCGTCTGTGAGCTGGCCTTCTGCAGTCGCAACAAGCAATTGACGGTAGATCAAGATTAAAGCACCCAGGTACATGATCTGAGAGCACCGTCAGTTATGGATATTACACAACCCCGACTTTAGACACTTACATGGACCATAAAAACTGCCCGTCTTTGGTACAACGTCAGATCAGACGGCCCCTCCGAGGTGAGTGTTGGTAGTTGTAAGATCAGTGGCACTTCACTACGCCACGTCTCTAACTTCTGCGTGAGCATCTCTACGTTCTCGCGAGTGGCAAGTTCAGGCGAAGCCAAGGTCTTTGCGATCTCCGCTGCAATCAAACCAACCTTGCTCGTCTGCGTGTGAATCATCTCGTCCATTGTGTCTTGAACCAGGCGCCTCGAAGTGCAAGCAATCTATTGGCGGTTAGACACATTGTGGTTATCGCTGGGTTCGTGCATACCTGAATGTCTTGCGGGGTGGCTTCTGAGTTGTAGCCGAGCGTGTATGAGAGCCAGCTGTCCATGAAGATCAGACTTCTGTAGACCCTGCGCCAGTTGTCGTCCATGGACCCCACAAGCGTGCGGTGCAGGAGCGGACACTTCCAGCGTCCAATTTGTAACCCGGCAGCTGCAACAAACTTAGTTTAGGAAGTCGATGAATGTAAGTGAGATACATACCGATCAAATATCTTGCGCTCATGTGCTTCTCGAGCAAGGCGTAGAACGACATAGCCAAGAGTAAACGCATCGTACGTAGATAGTCGGCCCTTGCATTCTGCTCGTGGAAATGGAGGGTACCGGATGCATAGAGGATTTTTCTTATACGGTCTGGAAAGCACTCAATGTCGTAATGCGCACCCATGGTAGCGATGGTAAAACATTCCGCCAGATCCATCGAGTCGATCTTGCCCTTGGGTCGGTATATTCGTTCGAGGACCTCATCTGCCTGCTCGTAGCTCCACATGAACAGCAACGAGCCCGTCCCCCGAATGAACGCATACATAGACCGTCTCATGAGCTCCTCAGGTGGAAGGTTGTTCTCGTCGTACGGCCGCACGTTCTGGGTCAAGATCTCGCCCCTCAGTGAGATCAGTTCGCTGAATGCCAGTGTCAAAGCGTTGTGGCACACCTCGGCATCGGTACCAGAAGACGAGATAGACGATGGTATCGAGGATCCGGGACTCTCCGGCGTCTCAGGGCTGGCCCGCGAGTGGTCGCGGGTGCTGTAAGACACGGTACGGCCTCCAAGACTTCGCTTCCCGCTAGCAGACTGCGCCTGCTGTGCTTTGAAGTCGTTCAGATACGCTTGATACTTCCGCCATTCTTCAGTCTGCTTGTACTCGTCCATCTGCGACTCGTACTCCTGCATGGCTCGTGCGGCATTGCTCTCCCACACGCGCTTCTGTTCTAGTGCTAGCTCCTGCCATCTTCGCCCGACCTCTCGAGCAATGTGCACGAAAGAGAGTTGGCTAATTTGAGGGTCAGTTCGCAGCTGGTCTGCAAAGTTCACGTCTGGACACTGTCAGATCTGTATAGCCACTGATGGCTTGCAAGCGTACAGGCTGTCTTGGGTTTCTTGGGCGCCTGGGAGTCCGCCCTTGGATGGCGTCTGTATCTCCGCTTCTCTCGCGGCGGCGGCGTGGTCTGCTGGCGTGCCAATGTTTCCAGAGCGGACGTTGATAGAGACGTCGGCTCGGGCGAAGCGACGTCCGGGTCCAGAGAGAGTGTTTGCGGGACTCCACGCCAGGTAGCGATTTCTCGTTGCAAGGCTCGACGGTGGCCGAGTTTGAAGTCCAATGTAGTCAGATCGTCCTCTGTGATGTCGACCACGGTCTCCCAGTTGCCAAATCCGTTCTCAGATAGTACCGGTAGATATGTCGAGAGGCCAATGCGCCCAAGAACTTCGCTCAACTCAGGCATGTTTGGGAGGGAAAGGGGAAGGATCGCCATGATCGCAAGATGACGTGGGTGTCGTCCTGTAGATGTGGAGGGCAAATGTGCATACTTGAGGAATGCGAACAGTCTCTCACCTGGCAAGTTCCGGTCCAGGGTCCTCGCCAGCGGAGAAAGCTGAAGGCTGCATGATGTGCAGTCGAGACTCCATCCAGCCGTTCGAAACACTCGATCGTGGCTTCGGCGCAGCGACCATCGCGAATCAGACCACTGTCGCGTTTGCCCTGACGTGCGCTAGTCAGATGCCGAGTGCCGGTGCGGAGACCTCAGTTTTTGCACACCACGACGCCAACGGCGCACGCGGTTTCGGCTTTGCCATGTTTGGAGCCTTCAAATCATCATTTCCCACCGCCAGCCTTGTCCTGCAGGGGCTGTTCTTAGCAGGTTCGCCGGTGTGGCTGGCTGGCTCCAGACTCCGCAGTGCCCGCACCAGCCCGCAGTCAGGGCAGCTGTGCCCAGCAAATAGTCTCGGCCCAAGCCTCCGGAGCCCGATCAGGATGGTGATCGGACACGGTCCGTCAAATGGGTGTACATATTCTAACACTATCGTATTAGTTTACGGCCGCCTCCTCTGATTCTTTGTCGCGAGCGTTGGTTGCTGCAGGAAGCCTGCAGCCGCAAATCTAGGTCGCGAGCGGAATATTAAAAAAACTACAGAACAGCATCCTGCAGGTCTGCCTCAAGTAGCCATGCCAGATCGAATCCGTGGCGAGGATCGCGAACGCTTCAACACCGTCTGGACTGGTGCGGCGGTGCGGCAATTCTGAACAGATCCCATTCGTTCCACTTCTATTGACTCTCGATGCTACTTCTTTCGCTAGGCTGAAAATGTAAGGTCTCACGATTTGCAAATGCCATCTGCGCGTCAATTCTTAGGCATTGTATGCCCTGCCCTTGCTCCACTCTGATCACTCGAGGATCAAGCCGTGCGGCAGTCCTGCCTGTTACTTACGGGCAAGTGTAACGATGCACTCACTGCCTTGGTCTTGCGGTCAGTCTCCACGGAGTCGCATTCAAGAATACCATGCGCTTACTCATGCAAGGACCGGGTCTAGGCCCTCGCCCTCGCCCAGCTCTTGCAGTCTAGATTCACCACTTCCTCCAACGTAAGACTCGTTTAACAGCCACCACGCCGCAGCTTGTCGTGCTTGTTCGCCTCCACGGGCACGCGCATTCGCGACCCTGACTCTCGCCATGACCTCGTGCTCAGCCTCATCCGCATTATGGAGCTTCGAAGTGGGTTCGTGGACCCTGATTCGCTAGTTTTGTCCTGAACAAACTGCATTCGGTGCTGTGGACTACCATCCCAACCTGATTGGGACGTAAGTAATGTGCTCACCACGGCAAATTCAGCCTCTTCAAGCAGCAGAACCTTACTACGAATATCCTAAGCTTATTTCAGCATTCTATTACTAATACGTGCATACTCTTGGAAGAAGTGCGATGCAAGTCTACAGCGATGGGCTTTTGATTGACATACATAGTGGTTCTACCAAATATTGCTGATACTGCTACAACTCAGATTCGTTTGGCAAAACACAGCAATGCATGCGGTGGCAAGGAACGTGTTTGATTCGAGGTACCCCATTCTCCGCCGAGACGGTACTGGAGAGTATAGTAATCGCAAACCGGACGTGCACTCCGGCTGCATCAATTTCTAATCCAGCCACTACCTATGCGGGGACGTGATCTTCGATGTAGAAGCAGAAAGTGTGAGCGGTATTTGAAAAGACGCGTGTGTGTTTCAGAACCTGGGCTAGCCGCAGCAATCGGAACTTTGCCATGGAATCGATCTGGATGTACTCCACGATTTCCTTGGATCGTAGCCGTGCCGCCGGCGTACTCCATATCACATTTGTGGTACCCGCTCTTTACGCTCGCCGATCAAACGTGGACGAGCGGAGCTGCATGTGAACGATGGCAGCCAGAGGTGGCACATGAGGTCTTGCCAGTCGCACCGGCCTTGACACCAATTGAGCCACAAGCGAGCCCTGTGAGCCCATCGAGATCTCTAGAGACAACAATGCGACACTAAGTGGGACAGAGGCGGTCGGCACTGCTGACTATGCCGGCCAGACAACATCTACAGATACTTCGCCATCAGCTCCTGGACAGTGTCTAGATTCAATGCATCGATCTTGTTCCCGTTCCCCTCCATGGTCTCAGCCTTGAACAGGGCGTTTAAGATGGCTTCCTCGACCGAGTCTGCACTCGCTTCGAAGAGCGCATTGATCGTCTGATCGTCTATCATCTCGATGCTGCGATCCAAGGGCTTCCAGGGGTCCACTTTCTGCGACGTCGATGTGTGCTGCTGAACATCAACTTCGTTTGCGGTGGAGAAGGCGAGGAAGATGTCGCCCGAGGAGTTGGACCCCCAGCCGCCGACACGAGATAGACCGACAGTCGCTCGTTTGGCGAGGCGGCGGAGTTGTGTTGGATGCAGCGGTGCATCGGTTGCGAGAATGACAATGATGCTACCGTCTTGCTTGTCTTTCTCTTGTTCGATCTTGAACAGCAAGTTGGACTGCGACAGAAATTTTGGATCGCGCGGATTCTCTTTGGCCAGGCGCTCCTGCTCCTCGAAGATCAGGCGGCCGACTGGCGCGCCTGAGATCTTGAAGTCTCTCATCGGACCGTAGTTCGTCTGGACCAGAGCAGCGACGGTGTAAGTTCTGTCGTGCGCTGCTGGCACCAAGCGGCTGCTAGATCCTGTGCCGCCCTTGAACCAGTGACAGATCATTCCCGTGCCGCCGCCAGTGTTACCTTCCTGGACAGGCTCACTACTCGCTTCGTCGATTCCCTTGACCACGTGCTGAGATGTGACCGCAAACTTGGACACGTCGTGCAGGTATCCGTCGAACGTCTCTGCAACAACGGGGAGCAGAAACCAGCCCACCTTTCCGACGTCGTCACGGTACTCCCGTATCCCGTACTCGTAGATACCGTTGTACGCATTGCCTACGCCGAAGCTGCCGGTGATCACAATGGGTGAATGAAGCAGCCCCGTCTCTTCGATCCAATGCGAGCCAGTCATCTCGCCCGAGCCATTGAAGCGGAAGATTCCAGCAAAGCAAGCCTTATGGAACCAGTCTTGGCGAGGGAGGATAGTTGTCACGCCGGTGTTGATAGAGCCGGCTGGTGCGTCTGGATATGTGGGAGATTCGTGGACGGACTGTGTTGAGACCAGCACACCAGCAACATCTGTCAAACTGTTCTTTGGGCCAGGCTCATAGCGCCCAAGATATACGGTGGGTAGTAGTTCTCTCACCCGTGGGCGGGATGAAGACGATGTAGCTTGGGTGGAAGGCATGGTGGTGATTGTGTGAGGAGAAGGAAGGTACACGAAAGGAAGCCTGGAGATGCTCAGTAGCCTGCTGAGACTGTAATACTACGCTGTGCTCTACTTATACTCGCTTGGTCTCAACTTCTAGAATCACGTTACGCACTCCCGTCATCCTCAGGCTCAATTGGAGATGTCTGGCGAATCCCTATGGTCGGCTGAGGCGCCCTGCAGTCTACGCGTTGAGGTGCTGTTTTTGGAAGGTGCAATGGCAAGAACGATGAAGCGGAGTCATAGACGCGTACCAATTCCTGTTTGCGATGAGCTGTGAGTCGACTCATGCAGTGTCGAAGGATTAACAAGAGTCACAAGCTCAGGTGCCCCACTACGACACTCAGCACTAAAATATCGCAAAACCACACCCCGCTGCCTTCTAATCGAATGACTTGCTTATCTTCGCTCTTGCAATTTTAAAATGTGTCCTGGCCCGCGACTCGATGCCTCTGGATCAACTCACCGTTCGGCGCATGTCCAAGGTAAGTCTCTCGTGTGGGACTAAGCCCGCCAGAGCGAAGCCTGGCTCCTACGGCCGATGCATAAGTGGACTTTGCTACAGACAACACATCGACGAGGGCAGTAGAGCATGTGTTGGGAGTATTCCTCTGTGGATACACAGCAACCTCACTCGGTTGTTCTCCCCGCAATATGCCGCATCGGAGATTTGATGTAGCTACATGGAGCAAGCGGCGCTCATCGGATGCCGTAACCCCACCTTTGGCAGACGATAAGCTGTGAAAAGATGGAATCAAGGAAATCTTCGTCAATTCAGTTTTCTTTCTTTTTGTTGTACCATCAAGACACTCTGCATTGTGAGAAGCGATGTTGTTCAAGGCTCTGCCATCGTTGGCTCTGTTGGTCGACGTGACCACGGCCAGCTATGCCTTCTACGTCGGCAAAGCCTTGACTGAAGATGGCAGTGTAATGGTCGGTGGCACTGGCGAGGAGGTGTCTTCGCACTGGCTCGAGATCTTCCCTGCGAAAGATTATCCCCCAAATGCGACCGTCGAGGTGGGCGTTACGGAAGCTGCTTCCATGCCCGGCAGACGGCTCAACATCTCACAAGCCGCCCACACATTCCGCTACCTGTCCATGGAGTACTCTGATTACGAAGGCTTCCCGGCACCGCTGACCAATGGAGGTCTAAATGAGAAGGGCATTGCTGTGAGAGACGTGTGGGCGCAGAACAGAGACGACCTCATTGCCATGACACCCAACCCTCAGACCGGTCTGCAGTACTCCGATCTAGCACGTGTTGTGATGGAACGAGCAAGCACTGCGCGTGAGGGTGTGGAAATCATTGGCCAATTGATCGCTGAGTATGGCTATGCCGACTACGGGGGTAACAGCCATCTCATCGCCGATGCGAACGAAGGCTGGGTGGTGTGGGAGATGTCAGGAGGCCTCAAGCTGTGGGCTGCTGAACGCCTCGGCCCGGATGTCGTGCGTGTTTTGTATCCAGGATACATTGAAGATTTCCCCGTCGATTTCGCAAACAGCACAGACTACATGGGTTCGCCAAACATCGTCTCGTTCGCGGTTGAACAGGGCTGGTGGAACCCAAACGGTACCGAGCCCTTCAACATCTGGAAAGCGTACGGCACCGCCAGCGGCAACTACACCGCTAGAGACGGCGGCTACAAGTACATGTCCCAAGCCGCCCTCGAAGAAGCCACACTTGCCATGGCCCCCGTCACCGAAAAGGACCTCATTGCGCGCGTGCGCGACTACCGCATCGCCGATGACGAAGCAGGCTACGGTCAAGTCGTCTCTCTGCACGCCGACACCGACCCAGACCTCCTTCAGATCTGGGTCGCGCCCACAGGCTCTGTAACTGCGCCCTTCAACCCCTGGTGGCTGGGCGTCCACAGCGTGCCGCCCGAGTACGGCCAGCACCGCTACCTGACCGCGGACGCAGCTTCCACATTCCTCGACCCCGACTTCCAGTTCCAGGAAGCCACGCACTTTGCGGGCCGCATCTATAAGCAGGCGCTGTTCTACACCTGCTCCAACCCGGACTCGTTTTTGCCTGTCGTGCAGAACATGCTACATGGGTTCGAAAACGCGTCGTTCAGCGACCTGGCGTGGGTGGAGGGCAGCGCTGCAACGCTGATTGAGAATGGTCAGCGCGAGGAGGCGCTCAATCTGCTGACGTTTTACGCTCACACGCGCGCGGAGAAGGCGCTTGGGCTGGGCAAGACGGTGGTTGATGCGTTGGATGCGTATGTCAAGTTGACAGGCGCATTCCGCGTTCCTTCTGGCTCGCGCATCAACGATCCGGGGCTGGGTGCTGAGACGGTGAATTGCCTGGTTGGGTGGGATCCGGACCAGCCAGCAGACCAGCAGACGCCGTTGAGGCGGAGGTGATGGATTGTTGATAAGTGTACGGTGTATAGGACTCGCTAAGTAAAACTCCTGCTCCTGTAATAGTAGTGAAAATGTAGACTTAACACATAGACTTTCCTACCGGGGTTTGAAAACTACGACCTCCTATCTGCTGATTAGACCTTTCATATGATCATATGGAATCGACTAAATCCTGATAGCTTTTCATGGTAATGCCCTCTCTGTGAACACTTTGGAAACAACTAACCCCGAGATGAACCAATCACGGCTTCAGTATTAACTGACAATAACACGGTCTAGCTCACCAATACGCTAAACAAAGCCTCGGGTATCTGTTCTGTATCCAACGCGACTTGAATAGTTGATAAATCCAATCACCGCGTCGAATTCTATCAGTTTCATCGTGCATAATTCCAGCACCCTTCGGTCCGCTCCAGTCATATTCCTCGGTACTTCAAAAGAGCTCGATCAATCCCCTTCCGGTCGTCCATTATCGTAGCCCAGCATCGACCGCGTATCACTTGGAAGCTCCAAGTCTTGTGAAGAATTGGCTGTGTGTTGCATGTGGCTCAAGGACCCAAGCGCATGCAATGCCCTCGTGTCCCCCCTGCGACCTTTGTGTCTTGAGACGATCCTGGCGGACCAAATCACCATTGGCATGGCGTTCAGTCCATAGCGGTTTCCATGACCCTGCGTTCTACCGGACGACTGGGAGTCGTTGGAAATCGGCATACTAGAGTCATCGACAGCACGGAGGAGAGCAGCCTATCACACAACAGTAACCCCAGATATCTTCGTCGTCCATGCTGATGGCTGTGGTCGGCCCTACAAGGCACCAAGGATGCTCTGATCTTGAGCCAAGCGAATTGCGTATGCTAAGAATCTTGGGTTTTTCCTGAACCCCAACAACCACGCGCCGAGTTACTTGTACGGTTCTGTGCCGCTGCGTCAGAGCGTAATCTCAAGACCTTGGGCCTTTCCGTTCGTCCTGGCGGGTACCCTCTTCCTCCGCCAGGCCGTCAATCCAAGTTCCCCTCTTTTTGGTTCTGTACCGCTGGGTGGCACAACCGACTGCCAAGCGCTTTGGAGATTAGGTGGACTTGATGTCTTTGGTAATGTCAAGGTTCTTTTGTGTGATGACTCTTGGAAGCTTCTGTAAGTGCTACACATGCTGAAGGTGTCCTAATTTGCAACGATGGGCCGTAGAGAACATGCACATCGGATGTCACCAGCTGGAAGGAGAAGTCTTGTTGATCCTGTGCCTTGTGCTAAGATGCGTTCGATCTGATTCTCCGCGAGGAGTGATTTTGCAACCCTTTGGATATGGTAGTTGACGTAGCGGAGGAAGCCTCCGGCGCGCCAATATTTGTGGTGCATCGGCCTTCTTGGATAGTACAGTCAACGGCGAGCCTCCAAGATCTTGTGGCAGCGTGGCATTCTCTCGCTACCCCGTGGGGAATTTCATCTGGAAGTGAAACCAGTTCTATAAGATGTGGGGGTAGGATGCGTAATTCTAGATTCGACAGCGGTAGTCTTCCTCTCTGTTCCCACCACTTCTCGATTTCAAACCCACTGCCACTTCTCGGCTCTCATACAGTGCATCCCATTTTCACAATGAATCCCGAGATAGAGACCTCAGGACAGAGTACACCGGACAAGAAGCGGGCAGATTCTACACCATCTGTACCTGAGAAGTTTGAGCAGGTCCTCAATGCGGATCCGCCGCTTACTATCGATGCGGAGACGGAGAGAAGACTGTTGAGAAAGCTGGATATGCGCATCATTCCCATGCTCTGTTGGGTATACTTGATGAATTTCATGGATCGAGGCATGTGCGATCTGCAAAGCGGTATTCTCGTCTTGCTAACCGGTAAAAGTCAGCATCGGCAATGCGCGCCTTTACGGTATGGAGGAGGACCTTGGGATGCCACCTGGTGGCAATCAGTATCAGATCGCCGTTGGTATACTGTTTGTCACTTACTGTGTAAACCTCCCTGACTCCAACTTTGGGTGAGAAGCGCACGCTGACCAGTTCAAAGCTGTTTGAAACGCCATCGAACATGGTTTTGAAAAGACTGCAACCAGCTCGTTATCTGGCCGGTTTGGTCTTCATCTGGGGTCTCGTGGCCACGTTCACAGCGTTCTGCAACAATTTTGCTTCACTTGTCGCTTGTCGACTGCTCCTAGGTGTCTTCGAAGCCGGTCTGTTCCCAGGTGTGATCCTTTACCTTTCTATGTTCTACACCAAGAAGAGTCTATCATTGCGCAATGCCTTGTTCTACGGCACAAGTGCGATCGCTGGCGCGCTCGGAGGGCTCGTGGCGTACGCTATCGGCGAGTTGGATGGCGCCGCAGGATGGAGGTAAGTTTGCGACGCAAGATTGGTCTGAGTGCATGACTAACGATTCTCAGAGGCTGGAGGTGGATCATCTTGATAAACGGCATCCCCACGGTCCTGACTGCCATGGCTGTACCATTCGTACTCCCCAACAGTCCCGAGACCGCAAGCTTTCTCTCTGAGGAGGACCGTCGGAATCTTTTGTTGCTCCGAGCGCTCGAGGTCGGCCAGACGAAAGCTGCACAGGTACTACACAAGGAAGATGTCAAAGCCGGAGCCAAGGACTGGAAGACGTGGGCTTTTGCCATTAGCCAATTCGCCGGTCTGGGCATGCTGTATAGCTTCTCTGTTTTCCTCCCCACCATCATTTTCGAGATGGGTGCGGGCTGGTCTCGACAAGTCGTGCAAGCCCTGACGATGCCAGTCTACTTTACAGGATTTGCAGTGTACGTGGCGACTGCGTGGTACAGCGACAAGATCCAGCAACGAGGCATATTCTGCATCGGAGGCTTCTTGACTTGCATGGTTGGGTATATCTTCCTCATCGCGAATCAAGGTGTCGGTCTGAGTTTTACTGGTTGTTTCATCGTGGCGATGGGCCTTTGGACGTCGACTGGCGCAGGCTTCACATGGCTTGGAGTCAACAACCCTCGATATGGCAAACGAGCATTCGCTAGTGGCATGCAAATCACGATTGGGAATGCTGCGGGTGTCTCGGCGCCGTTTCTGTACAGCAACGCGTACTCGCCGACCTACTATCCAGGCTATGGTGCAACCATTGGGCTCCTTGCCATGGGCATCGGCATTTATCTCGCACTGCACTTCTGGTTTCGGGCGCAGAACAAGAGAAAGCTTGAAGGTAGGGAAGACTACCGGATGGAGGGGTTATCTGAGGAGGAGATTGCTGAGCTGGGAGAGCACAACCCAAGATACATGTATACAATCTAGGTGCCAACTGGATGATCGCTGAAATTAGGTGGATGTTGTACAGTAATATATGCGATTTGCCGGTGTTGTTGGTACAATAGACACGCAGTGAAAGCAAGATATTTCGTAAATGCCTGGTATGACGTAAGCATAGACTAACTCTCCATGGTCTAATGTCCCCACGTCACATTACATCTCTTCAACTTCAATTGTTACGACTCGACCTTGGGAGACTCAATTGTCATTAGCTCGCTACAACATCGATAGCAGATCAGCCTGCATGCCAAATCCTGGATCCAAAAAGCGAAAGACACGCCATTCAGGACGAAATTTCAGAATGACACGGCAGGAGCCAGGTGCTACCATGCTTGCGCTTGCCGACACTGGCTTGTTGCGACTTGTAGATGAACTTCTGCTCAACGTTCTCGACTTCGTAACATCCCTTGGAGATCTTCGCAACATTGCGGCAACATGCACACGTCTTCAGGGTCTTGCGGAACCGTACATCTGGCGCTCCGTGTTGGTGCTCAGCGGGACACATGCACGCAACGTTGCTGTAGCATTGGATCAACGCGATCAGCGAGTTGATTTCATCCAAGAACTCTCAATCCGGTATAGGAATACACATAAAGAGGGCATTGAGGACCTCAATCACTGGATGACACTGATGTCAAAGCTCCGCTATTTGACTCTTGAAAGCCCTTGTCCAAATAATTCCGAGTGGAGTCAGGGCGAACTCTTCGACGGTTGGTCAAGAATTGACTATTCAAACTTGATGGCGAGCGCAGTGTTCCCGAGAGAAGGCTTACCAGTCGCGTTGCCAATGCTACAATCTTGTCGGTAACAGTATGGAATCACCTTTGACTTCAGGCTAACAAATAACAGTCACATTGCATGCCCATGGGCCAGATGACAGGAAGTTCGATCTTGACAACCGACTGGCTTCTGTGTTCTACCACCCTACTCTCCGCGACCTCACTATATCTTGCCTGAACATCAAGAATGCCGATATGGAATCAACGATCAAGTCTTTCGGGAAAGAGCGTAAATCTACCCCGCTACGTTCTTTAACCTTCATTGAATGTAACATTGATATGGATACACTCTTCACCATCCTCAGCATGCCGAAGGCTCTAAAACAGCTCTCGATTGGTGAGCGTTTGCATGTGTTCACAGGGGCACACCCAGCCATGCATGCTGAGCAGCGAACATCCTCGGAGCGTTTCCTACCAGCTCTGCAGCAACAAGCAGGCTCACTTGAGAAACTGACTCACATTGGAGGCTCGCTCTCATATATGCTCAGGCGTATAACCGACGAGGATGGTGCCGCCAAGCTGCGCTCCTTTACTGAACTACAACACCTCGAGCTGGGTTTCGAGTCGCACCTTTACTATTACCTCCGCGCGAACGGGTTTCCACCGCGACTCAAATATCTCAAGATGCTAGATAACGCCATATCAAACAGCTACAGCCAGCAACCTGATGCTCTCACGAGAACAGTGTTCCGCTCAGCGACATCGCTGGTTACGCAGTGCTTCCCCTCTAGTGTGCCGGAAGACTTCACACTTCACATCCACTATTCGCATACGTATGCTTTTCGCTCAGCAGAAGCTGATGAATGGATCTCTACACTGTTTCTTAGTCGGCCTTTGGTCTACAGGATTGCAGATATTTTGCACGAACACAAAGGCCGGCTCGTTATGTCGCGAGACTCATTCCCTTCAGGTGATTCTTACATCCCACCGTACATGTACGGCGAAGAGCTACCGGTCGAGAAGATGCTGTATAGCTCGGATAACTACTTCACGTTCAACGGAAGGGATTACAGAGTCCTCGACGATGAAAGACATCAGGCGAAGGTGGAGAGAGGTCTGTTAGTGTGTCCGAAGTGCGTGAGCCGAGCCTTTACAGAGCGCGAATGCAAGCAATTAGGAGACGGGAGTCGGTGTCAGCCTTGTTACCGGGATGGTATGGAATGCGGGTGGGCGAGGGATGAGAACGGACAGCTCGCGAGGCCAAAGGCGAGCGAGAATCTGAAATGATGATTGGGTTCAGAATGTGGACTTCATGTGCATGCGCCCATTAGAGATAAATACCACGAGATCACTCTGCTATCTTCTTTAGCACTTAATAAATAATCCCAACTTCAATCTGCTGCATTTGGATAAGTTCGTCGATGGAGATGGTGGAAGTTGTGCCAAGGTTCAGCTTTCGAACGCCGTTATCGCCGGTGACGCGCCTGCACAAGACAACAATGTCTCGACCGACTCTGACGCGCTCTTGTGACGTTCTTGGTTCTAAAAATGGACACACCAGAGATCAACGTGCTTCTTCTTGGTGAAGCGGAATGTGGCAAGTCGACGTTCTTATCGTAGGTGCTTCTCTTAGAGCTTTAGCCTCGTGCGAGGCGCATCGTGCGTCGACACACGAGGGCCTGAGCATCTCGCGCATCCTCTTAGCTAACACAGAGGCAGACGTCTCAGCCTGGGCGTACAGCCGTATAACGACGACCTCCCCCCATACGCGTTACCTACCCTCCGTGACTCAGACCAACCGTTCGAGTTCGACATATCGCTCTACGGGCGTCCCTACAAACTCCGGTTCTTCGATACCAAGAGCCCCGAGAACTACACTTTGCTGCGTCCGCAATTCGTGATACTCTGCTACGACATAAGTTCGCGCGCCTCGCTCGAGTCGCTCACCAAGTCATGGCTTCCCATTGTCAATGGTCACTACAATTACGATGAGAACCTCCCAGTCATGGTCTTGGGGTTGAAGCGCGATCTGAGAAAGCAATGGACGCTGCAAGAAGTTGGCGAAGATAAGAAAGGCAAGGGGCCAAGTGTCATGCCACATGAGGGCGTGCAGGCTGCGCAGCGAATGCTCTGCGACCACTACGCGGAATGCAGCGCTTTGACGGGCGAGCTGTGCCGCGAGGTTCTGCAAGACATTGCAAGGACCTGCGCAAAGACAACGACTGAAGATGGCGCGAAGGGTGGAGGTGTGCTCTCTGAATGTGCCATCATGTAAAGCCGATCAGCTGCGTCCTATCACAGCCATTGGACAAGCATCTGCTGCAGCGCAGGTGTGCTGTCATGCTCATAGTGAGCGACAAGTACCAGGGTTGCTTTGCAGGACACTTGCGGCATGAAGTGGCGTGCGATCTCCAAATCGCTTGCTGCTAAACAGCACATGGAGATCAATTGTCTGTGCACAATAATGTCTGCTCTTGATACCCCATCTTCAACACACCTACTGAACCAATGATCGAGGGCGGAGTTTGACCAATAGATAACGTGATTCAGCCTCCGGATTACGGACGTGTCTGGAAGAAGCAACGCGTCTGCAGGGTCACAAAGCGCATGATTGCATCGAAACTTCCCCGCCCTGGAGTTCTTCAGTGTCTACCTCGTATCTGAAGTATTACAGCTCCTCGAGTCTTCAAACAAGTCCTCTAGCTCCAACAGCTATGAACGGGTTTCTTGCTTCCTTTGTTGCGGCGGTCCAAGCATCTTTATCGGTGTTGCTAGTTATCTCATACGGCGCTATAGCGGCAAGATTGGGTCTCCTCAACACCAGCAATGGCAAAGCAATCAGCAAGATATGCGTGAAGTTGTTTTTACCAGCTTTGCTCCTGGTTCAGATAGGATCCGAATTGCATGTGGGCTCAGCTCATCGCTACCTAATCATACTTCTGTGGGCTTTCCTTTGCCACTTCGTCAGTTTCTTGATAGGCATCTTCGCTCATCTGGTCTTTGGCCTACCCGACTGGACGACTGCAGCAATCATGTTTAACAACACCACGAGTTACCCATTACTGCTTATCCAGAGCTTGGAACAGACTGGGATTCTTTCTAAGCTTCTAGTGGAAGACGAGTCGACGCATGAACTCGTTGCAAGAGCAAAGAGCTACTTCCTCGTTTTCGCAACAGTTAGCAGCTGCTTGACATTCGCAGTAGGCCCTCGACTTATCGATACCGAACATGCGCCAGACTCGGACGACGACCTGACAGTTGACAGTGAGGAGGAATCTTCTCCAAGAGCGCCCGCAACGCATTTCGGAGAATCCAATCTAGAGAACGGTACTTCTGCAGAACAACCATCGGAGCAGACGAGGTTACTATCGTCAGGTCCGCAATCTAGGAACCGCCACGAGTCTATCACCAACATCACCTTCTTTCCATCAAAGCCGAAGTTCGCCACCGTTAGACGTCGTCCTCGATACATCACAGGTCTTCGTTGGAGCGATTTGAGTGCACGCACGCGATGGTGGTTGTTGTTCTTCTACGACTTCCTCAATGCACCGCTACTCGGCGCTTTACTCGGCGTATTTATCGGCATGACACCTGCCCTACATCGCGCTTTCTTCAGCAGCACATACAATGGAGGCATATTCACTGCCTGGCTCACGGAGAGCTGGAAGAATATCGGCGGGTTGTTTATTCCTCTTCCTCTCATCGTTGCTGGCATTTCCCTATACACCTCGTATCAGGAGTCGAGGCGTGCTGAGGGAGCAGCTATGCGAAGTAGTACGCCTCTGGCCACAACGGTCTTCATCTTGGTGATACGCTTCGTTGTATGGCCACTGATTAGCATTGGACTCATTTATGCCATTGCAAAGCATTCTGCCATGCTAGGGTCCGACCCAATGCTGTGGTTTGCGATGATGCTTATGCCAACAGGACCGCCCGCCATGAAATTGATCACCATGGTCCAGGTCAGCGATGCTGGTGCCGACGATGAGAGAAAGATTGCAAAAATCTTAACTGTTTCCTACATCATCAGTCCGGTCTTGGCCATCGTCGTTGTTGGCGCTTTGTATGCGAGCGAAGCTGCAATTTAAGTGGGGTCCGTGGGCCACGCCATGTGCTTTCACCTCCCACGCTGAAGGAGTTACAAACCTAGACCCTGGACGGCAATCTTGTTCGTCGCAACAACGTAACTTCCTTCCCAAGGCTTCCTACTACCCTCAGCTATGAGGGCTGTGCACCTGCTATTATCAACGTTGGTAGTGCGCACATTTGGCAATCTATTGTTCAAGTGAGTTCTCGCCGCACACTACTCGTGTACCACGATGCACACTTGCTGGGTAGCACAATCATTAACATGGCTCCAGCAATTCCAGCCTGAACAATGGCGTCACCCCCTATCATATCCGCACTGGTATGGGCGCTCACCTTGCCGCCGACCCACCTCATCGACGCCCTCCACCACCTCTGCCAAATCGACCTGCCGAGCCTGCTAGCGACGATCTATGGGAAAAGTCTCGAAACAAGGGTTGCACACTCTCTTGGGCGATGCAAGCGAACGATGCCGACGTAGGACCTGCGTACACCCCTCACCGCGACAACGCCAGAAGCCCCTTTCGCAGTTTCAGTGACCTCCAGACTTGGGGGTGGAATCCTTTCCCCCCAGATGAAGTTGATGAGAGTTTTCATAACTTTTACTCGGCTTGGGGCATTGGTGAAGCACTCGTCAGTCTTGGGGTATCAGAGTACTCCGATATATACAAGGGTGGGAAGAACAGACTGATCTGTATCGACCATCGAAGCTACGATCCAGATGCTGGCCCCGTTGATGAACAGCGGTACGATGCTAATGGCAAGGTGTATCGAGCGACGGGGGCTTCATACGCGTTCACTATCAACCCTAAAGAAGGAGTCATTATGGCTCTGAACAGGCTTTCACCAAATTATGCTGCCACAGATCGCAACCCACACGTCCCTGTCGATCAGCTACCTGCACTCAATCAGTTCTCGGACGTCGCTTGGATTGGCTGGGATGCAGTGACCCGGGAAGAGGGCGAGGACATCAAAGGCCTGCGATACTTTCTGGCTGTGGGTATTGTCAACCCTTTCACCAAACGTGTCATTCGTCGGGCGATGGACACAAAGGGCTGGGAACTGAGTCCATGGCCTGGCCACACGTTTGAACGACAGTGGTTTGAGACACGGGCTATCATAGGTACGACGTGCTCGCAGCCACATGGGTTCATAGCTGACCTTCTTCCGACAGGCACTCCAAATGTGCAGGGCTTTGCATACATGCTGTAAGTAGACTCGAGTGCACTGCCTTTCGAGTAAACGCTGACCCGTGCAGTATCCAGCACAAAGATGTATTGGGAAACATGTTCATTGATAAAGTGCAAGTGTTCAGGGCTAACACTGCATCACGCAATCCGTGCATTGTTCTACATCTTGCGAAGCCTCGGGCTCTGGAACAGCGTGAAGTTGCTAAAACAAGGATAGTCGAGAGGGTGAAGGTGGTCGAGGTGCGCGCGAAACTGTGACTGTATTCTCATAGGCAAGGAAGGAAGGAACTGCTGAGAGGCTCTTCCCTGCAAGACCACACTTGCTCACTTTAATTCGAACTGTCCAGACCCTGATCATGATCCTATTCCACCAACCCAGTCTCACGTCGTGAGATAGCCCGAGCCTCGTCGACTAACAGGAGCTATTCACATGCCGAGGCACCTGCGCCTCGCACCTCCCACTGCATGCGGCAGAAGTCGGAACGCATCTAGCAACGTGCGGCCATTATGCTCTCACGAGCAAACCAACATGAAGCCATAGCAGATTCAACTCCATCTGGTTGGAGCCAATGATGCCGTGCAGGCACTCGGCTCCGGCTGCCCGCATGGCTTGTGAGAGGGGACGCAGACGCAGGGCAAGCTGAAGCACACATAAGTACAACGTGCATCGCCCGCCCTGGCAGTGCGTAATGTTACTATCCACCCTGCTGTCAGGCCAATGGCTTCGCGCGCTGCCACCATTGCTGGCTGTGCGCGCCGTGCAGATGTAAGGCACGCCCCTCCCCCGCCAACGTTCCCCTCGCAGGATGCGGGCGCGTGATGTCAACGCACACGATGGCCTGCACGACCGGTGCACGACACGGCATTTCTCTGCAGGTAGCCCTGCAGGATGTCTCTATGCGCTGGATATGAGCTGAGCCGCTCGCCCGGCCTGGCACCTGCTGCTTGCGGACGCGGGCGCTGCTCAGGCTCGGCAACAGAGGGCGGCTTAAAAGGCTTTATGGCTCCGTGGTGAACGGAAGCCCGCCGTCTGCGAACCTCGGGAGAGCTTTGACCCGCCTCGTGCTCCACAGACAGCTCCCCACCTATCTTCCGCCTATCATTCCGAGCATCGCAGTGCGGAAGACGCTACCGCGGCCGGCAAGCGCAGCAAGACCTTTGGCGATTCTCGTCGAGACTCTCACCACCGAGGTTATAGAAACTACTACCAGTGCCGCCGCCATGAGGCTCTCTTCTTCAGCTCCCGCTGCCCTTCGCTCTGCGACCAACCCCACACGTCTCTCCAGCCGCAGCTTTGCAACTCGTGCCCTTACGAGCCAGACTTGTGCGAAATCGGCTCTGTTCTCGACGGCGCGACGAACCACCACAGCCTCTCCCACAGTACCCGCAGCGCTTCTCTCCACGAACCGCTTTGCACAGCAGCTCAGGATGGCGTCCACAGGCATCAAGAAGATCAAGGTGGTGAACCCGGTGGTCGAGCTCGATGGTGACGAGATGACTCGCATCATCTGGCAGACCATCAAGGACAAGTTCATCCACCCCTACCTCGACATTGACCTCAAGTACTACGATCTTGGCCTCGAGTACCGCGACCAGACCGACGACAAGGTCACCCTCGATGCCGCCGAGGCTATCAAGAAGTACTCGGTCGGTGTCAAGTGCGCGACCATCACCCCCGATGAGCAGCGTGTCGAGGAGTTCAAGCTCAAGAAGATGTGGCTTTCGCCCAATGGCACCATCCGCAACCACCTGTAAGCCCTCCCGCTATCAATTGCTGCTGAAGACACAGCTAACGCGTCGCTCAGCGGAGGAACCGTCTTCCGCGCGCCCATTGTCATCCCCCGCGTGCCCCGCCTGGTACCCAGCTGGAAGCAGCCCATCATCATCGGCCGTCACGCGTTCGGTGACCAGTACCGCGCCAAGGACCGCGTCATTGAGGGCGAGGGCACTCTTGAGATGGTCTTCACTCCCAAGGGCGGCAAGCCCGAGACCATCAAGGTCTACGACTTCCCCTCCGGCGGCGGTGTCGCCCAGACTCAGTACAACACCACCGAGTCCATCTCCGGCTTCGCACACGCCTCCATGAAGCTGGCGCTCGACAAGAAGCTGCCCTTGTACATGAGCACCAAGAACACCATCCTCAAGGCCTACGACGGCAAGTTCAAGGACACCTTCCAGGAGATCTACGACGGCCAGTACAAGAAGGACTTCGAGGCCGCCGGTATCTGGTACGAGCACCGTCTGATTGACGACATGGTTGCCCAGATGATCAAGAGCGAGGGTGGCTACATCATTGCCATGAAGAGTACGTTCACACCACCACCTTTCACAGCGTTTACTAATTTTCACAGACTACGATGGTGACGTCCAGTCCGACATTGTCGCCCAGGGTTTCGGCTCTCTTGGTCTCATGACCTCCGTCCTCATCACCCCCGACGGCAAGACCTTCGAGGCCGAGGCCGCCCACGGCACTGTCACTCGCCACTACCGCGAGCACCAGAAGGGCAACGAGACATCCACCAACCCCATTGCCTCGATCTATGCCTGGACACAGGGTCTTACCAAGCGTGGTGAGCTCGACAACACACCTGAGCTTGTCGTCTTCGCCGAGCAGCTCGAGAAGGCCTGCGTTGACACCGTTGACATCGATGGTATCATGACCAAGGATCTTGCGCTTGCATGCGGCAAGAAGGACAGGGGCAGCTGGGTCACAACGAACGAGTACCTTGATGCCGTCGAGAGGAGGCTCAAGACTAGCTTGAAGGAGAAGTTGTAGTTGCAAGTAAAAAGGAAGCGATGAGCATGTTGAGCGATATTTTGAACTAGCTGGTAGATATCGGCATTGTGAATGGAGTTCTGGCTTACTCTACCCAGGGAAGCAGCATGAATACAGCGGAATCAAAAACAATCGAACATACATACCACATGACTGCTCGTTTGCTGCCTGCGCCACTATGGTCTTCGTTTGAACAGTCACGGTCATTTGATTTTCGCGCCAACATCGCTCACGCAATCGCAGGATCTGGCGTATCGGTCATAACACGGACACCGGCTTTCTCTACTCCTCGAAAGCTCATGCTATCGTCTTTGTTCGCTGCCAGTCTCTCCGTCGTTTGCGACTTCTACGTTGATGGTGTTTAATGCTCGTGCATCGGCTGTCGCTATGTCTCACCGCAGCACGCCTGCATGGAGCGACGTAGTAACTGCGGTTTGTTTGTTACACATGTTGTTTCGGAAACATGTCTTGAATTTTCTTCTTGTCTTCTTATTTCTCCATCTATAGTCTTGAAGGTTCATCTCTCTGTCGTTTGCTACCCTTGTCTTGTCTGTCACTTGTTTTGAGTCTAAAAAGCAACGCGCCCCAACCGTCCCGTCTCAGCTGCGGGACCTGACTGCTCAACGTTACACTTGAGAGTAAACAACAGATTCCATCCCCAAAATCTCATTCCTGATCTGATCTTTAGCATTTGCAAAGCAGTAAGCGAAATGTAAGTTCCCTAGTCATTACTCATTCCACGCGAAATTAGCACATCCGTGCCATCTCCACTTCGGCCACCCGTTGGGTCCCAATCGTCACCAGCTCATCTCACCCCAAGGTGACCCCAGTTTCCACATGAGTGCTCCACCTATGATCACGACCAAAGTGGAGTCGCAAAATCACATGACCGTATCTTTCACTGACACGTCGCGCAGCTATCAAGGATGATCCCTTCCACCGGCCTGGGAACTACAGCCGGGGAAAACAAAACCGAGATTGAGAATCAGGACCCTCTTGTTGTGACTCCGTCGCGTAAACACGATTCGGATCAATACACAGCGAGTACGACTCCAGCCACTCCGAGCTCCAGGTCTACACCACTGCACAAACGCTTCCTGGAGAAAGTGACAATGAGCCCCGGCACATCGTCCCCGCCTCCGCGTACACCGACTAGAAGTCCAAAAAGGGGTGCGAGGGAAGCTCAGCCGCAGAAGCAGACACTTGAGGTCGGACAGAACGGGTTCTATTTCTCGATTGAGATACCAGAAAAAAAGATCACGCCACGAAGGGCTGCGACGCCAGATACCACAACCTCAGGCCGGCTGACACCGAGCCCGGAGAAAGTGCAGCGCAGTGAGGTGAAGACTGGCGGGCGAGTCAAGGATATCTTGAGGAGGAACTTGTTTGGATCACCGACTAAGCAAACTATGAAGTCTGGACAGGAACCTCAGGTGACGGCAAAGCTGCAGAATCCGGACAGAGAAGCGAATGTGCGTCCGTCCAAGATCGCTGGGGCGCAGCTATGGGCATGCGATAGCGAGCGAAGTGAAAACGGACCAGGCGCACCGAAGGAAGGTGCAGCCAAACCCACGACCGCGCCTTTTGCTACTCACGACACACGCGCACCTTCACAGTCTCTCGCAAGCCCTGCCCCCACCGTCGCTGTGGCGATGGTGCATCATGCAGCCATGCCGACAGAACACCAACAGACGCCTGATGCACTTACGCCAGCACCTCCATCGACCACCGATGCCGCGCTCGGGAGCGACCTGCAGAAAACACCCGTGGAGTCCACTCCATCCAACATTGGCCACCTGATGGCAAATCACAGCAGCACAGGTCCCAAAGTACAGACGCAGCCTACCAGCGGCCTGGAGTCCATGCCGACGCCGCTGCGCAAGATGTCCGAGAGGCTTGGTCTGCAAGTCGTTCAGCACGACAAATTCGACGGAAAGAAAGTGACCCTCTCTGCAATGAGGTCACCAGAACAGGCACTAAGATCACCCATCTCGGCACTGGACTTACGGGATACTGCCAGCGTGGTGTATGGATCAGCGGCTCACGCATCAGTTTGCGAAAGCGACATGGCGACAGTGCCAGTCATGATGGAAAGAGAGAGCACGATGCGAAGCGAGAACCGTCTTCGCCAGTTTCTCCCGTCCCCAATCTCTACCGTGTTCCCGGTCGTATCCTCGCGTCCAGGTACAGCTACAACGTCGCCCTTTCCATCTCCTTCCACGCCCTCCCGGCCAGGTCTCTCGAACAGAGCCAAGAGCTTTGGCACGCCCAGTCGCCTACGCTCTTCCATAAAAGAAGATATGCACAATGTGCAGGAGTCATTGAAACGGTCCCTTGGTGCAGGTGCTTTCCAAGCAAACAACTCCAGGCCTACCACGCCACTGACGCCCACTATTACGACCCCCGCTGTGGTATGCGTGGAGTCAGTTCCGTCTCCCACAAAATTGAGAAGTAACCCGAAGACGACCGCAAGACCTAAGTCTATGGTCGGCTCGCCCAAGCCAAGTGAAGCAGACAACACGGGTGTTGCAACTAGAAGAAATCTTACCACCGCTGCACGTAAGCCACGGCCCAAGTCCATGATCATAGGTGCGGCAAAGATGCTTGAGGCTGTGGCCTCACAGATCGACTCACCGCGCGAGCGCGCGAAGCTGCGTAGCGCAGCTGCTACGCCTTCAGCCAGGCAAGACAAACGCACAGCTTCGCGTCCAGGTACAGCAGCATCAACCACGCGAGATAAACCTGCAACTTCACACCCAAGCACAGCAGTATCAGTCTCGTGTGATAAACCAACGACTTCACGTCCAGGTACGGCATCTTCGACCTCGCGAGGAATCAAACCCGCTGCCGCCAAACCACCAGCCTCGAAACCCCAGCCTAAACCTCGCACAACAAAGACCACTGTCCCGCGCAGTGTCACACAGCCAAAGCGTGCCGTCCCTGCAGCATCCGCAACCAATCTAGAGGCCCCCAAACAGCGCACCGCAAGCGCCGAAACAATCGCCACCCAGCTTGCCCACTGGAAAGCCACAGACGAAATCCGTCCCGCCCCGCCCCCCCGCGCGCCCATCAAGACACCCAACCAGCACGGCCCTATCTCCCGCCGCTCACGCTCACGCGCAGTCAAAACTCCCGAGCCCAAAGACCCCAAGGCCGACTCTGGCACCGCGCAATCCTACACCCCGCCCGGTAACCCAACGCGCCTCCCTTCGCCCGTCAAAGCGCCGAGTCGCACGCGACTTGTCCTTACTGCAGCTCCAGCTATGAGGAAGCTGAGCGCGCCTGCTGAGGCTCCCAAGGCGGCGCTGACAGACGTCAAAGCGGTGCAGAACGAGACTCGCCCGGTGCAGACTCCGCTGCCCAAGAGGCTGGGTTCGTATGGCGATCCGAACGCGGTGCGTACGCCTAGTAAGGGCATTCAGAGCAGTCTTGACGCGGCGATTGATCGCAAGATCAGGGAGGACCGGGAGAGGATGGGGCTGGAGTGGGTGTGAATTTGCTGTTGAGGGGGGAAAGGGAGGATCGTTGGGTTGGATCGAAAAGGTAAAGTACAAGACATTTGGTTTCCGTTGAGGAAGCGATACTCTACTCAAGCAGCACGAGGTTACGAACACGACGCCACCGTGCCAGACCAGATGGCGGTCGCCGGATGTTGGACCAGACACGATAATGACATGTTACGAAGCAGATATAGATATCACGATGTTGGAAAACAGAAAAGAGTTTTGCATACGAAGACACGAAACGGCTTAGTAAACGAATATAATTAATAGCATTTACACAGTCTGTCCTTGGGCGGAAATTGCTAGTAGATGTGTGAGAGTCGTATTGAGTCTGACCATCGTTGTAAGACGAGCAGCAACACGTCTTTTGGGGTATCAAAGATTCATTACATCATATTGTGACAAGACCGACGCTGAAATGCTTGACAGAAAAATAGTAAGACAACACAACAAGATGCGCCTTCACGCAATGTTCTCCGGAACAACAGCTTCGCCCCCGCTAGTCCTCGCCGGCTTCTTCTTCTCCGCCCCCTCCTTAATCCAGAACTTCTCTTTGTTCTGCTGCAGCATCTTATGCGTCACATCCGTCATGGCCTGCAACATCGCCTCCTCAACGCTCTGCTTCGTCATCGCCTTATCCACCGTATGATGCCTGAGGAACGTGCCTGCACATTTACTCAGAATATGCGCATGCTTGTTGATCCCCGGATACCCCATCGCGTCATCGCATGGAATCTCCACGATCTCGGTGCCGTGGGGGTTGTAGTCCCAGCGGATGTACTCCGAGAACGCCTTCTGCTCGTGGCTCCACGCCTGCTTCCACGCCGCGCACCCGGGGTACTGGCGCTCGCTTGGGCAGTCTCGCCACGCCTTCATCATCTCGAAGGTGTACGGGAGGGCCTGGGCGATCACGACGCCGGTGTTGAGGGCCAGCTTGCCTTTGCTGTCGGTGGAGGCGTTTTCGTCGCCGTTGAGGATTTGGCGGGTGTCGAGCGGCATTGCGATGGAGGTTGTTGGTGTGATGCCCCAGCGGTTGAAGAGCCATTCGATGGGCAGCTCGAGGTGCTGGATGGTGGCGTCGGCGTCGATGAAGACAACGAAGCGGTAGGATTTAAGGAGCGAAGAGAGTACGTGTGGTTTCACCCAGGTGTTGTGATATCCAGCCGATTCCATGGAGCGGGCGTTGAAGAAGCGGTAGTCGTAGCCGTGGATCTGCGCTATGGGAGTTGTCAGTCTTGTGGGATGGTATATCGTGCTCAGGTGAATTACAGTAGAGAAAGTGGTTCGAGAAAGAGGCGGAAACCATGCCACCGTCCTTACTGGGGTTCATGTTTGCCCAATCCATGCGATCGCTGTTCCACAATTCGTTGTCGCCATTGGGCACACGAGTATCAATATCGACGATGAGGATCTCATTCCTCAGAGGCTTCTTCCACCACGGACCATGCTCATTGATCTTGAACTCTGCTCCGGAGGGATCCTTGTACGTTGGCGCAGACACGTTTGTCCGTATCGATTCGTAGAGGTGGAGGAAGGAGTCGCTCATTGTGGGCTTCTCGGGCTTGAAGATGTTGCCAGGACCATTCGCTGCGCCGCTAGCTGCGTCCTTGATCTGCTGCACTGGGTTGTTGCCATGATGAATGCTCGCTGCCGAGAAAATGAAGGCAAAGACAAAGAGGAGGATGGTAGCGAGTGCTGCAAGGCGAAATGGAGAGAACAATGGGCCAGGCATGTTGCTGAGTAGTGCACAAAGTCTCAAACATGAGACAAGAAACGAACACAAGAAAGACGTGCAACGGATACCATCAGGGTATGCTCGAAGAGCGTCGTAAGCATGGAGCTTCCCGGTAGTCTAAATCAACAACGATTCGGTGATCGTTTATGTTGGGACTGGAAAGAGCGAGGGTAGTGCTGCCAACAAAACCGAGAGATACGCACCCTACTTTGCATAACAGGCATGGCCACAGATACTATACCGAGAGCCCATGGAGTCGTAAGCCTGTGCTATTTTAAAATTTTGCTACTCTACATTCTGGTTACGCGTCACTCATAACTATCGGCCAAATTGGAACGCGTTTGGGAGGTGATGCGACACTACACAAGATGGATTGAGCAGGACATCCTCGACTCAGCCTTCCGTATATGCCGATCGTATCGATCGTAACCACTCGCTCCGGATGTTCTCAGGGGTGAAGAATATTGTTGGAGAAGATGAGACTCAATGTGATGTCAAGGGCCCATTAAAAACGCGTCTGCAGTAGCGTCAAGCTTTAGTGTCGGGACCTTCGGGCGATTCGCAAGCTGGGGGTACGTATCGATGGCTCTCGGACCTCCACATCTACATCTGTCATGCACAGCACTCAGGTCAGCTATCAGACAGACTTCAAGACTTCAAGACTTCAAGACTCTAAGGACATCCACTCCCATAGCTAGAGTGTTGTTCGGTGTGCTACTTTGCTTCCCAATTCATTTTGACAATTCTTATTGTGGCCACCTCTGGTTGATCATACTGCGAGGGAGTAGAAAATTATTACGAGACTTGCCAACTGATCGATTTGGACGATGTTACTTCGTATATCTCACAGATATGTGCATACTTCCACTCAGTCGTAAACAGATTCTGTTGATCATTAAGAGAATAAATACAGCTGTTCACCCACATGTTAACGGGTGATCGACTTTGCAGCAATGACCAATCGGGGAATTCTCCAGGACTCGAGCGCACGAGCCATGCCTTCATCGCGACATCCTTGCAAGCTGTCCTCCGCATCCCACCTTGATTACCAACGCAAGCTACCACCACGCGCAACTATTCGTGACTTCACCACGTATACTTGTCGCATCAACATCCCGCCGCTTACGACACACATACTGCCACAATGCCGGGCAAGATCATCCCCGTAACGAGCGCCTCGCACTTCGAGACGCTCCTCAGTTCGTCTACCTACACAATCGTCGACTTCTATGCCGACTGGTGCGGACCCTGCAAAACAATCGCACCCATCTTCCAAACACTAGCCGAGAAGGAGACGAAGCCTGGGAAGCTGCAATTTGTGAAGGTCGATGTGGACTCACAGCAAGAGGTGGCAAAGAAATATGGAGTCACTGCGTAAGTAGTTTCCTCCAGTTGCGAACCCGGGGGGTTCGAACTTAATAGTGGAAGGCCGAGCTCTAACCGACATACAGCATGCCGACCTTCCTCGTAATCAAGTCCAAGTCCGTCATCGAAACGATCCGCGGCGCCAACCCCTCTGCCCTCACAGCCGCCGTGCGCAAAGCCTCAAACGACACAGGAGCCGGCGGAGCCTCGTCCGCAGCTTTTTCATCCAAGGGCAGGACATTAGGGAGCGCGAGCCAACCCAGCCAGGCAGTGGGTGATGGCGCGTTCGCGGGGCTGCAGAGGCTGATGACCGGCAATGGCGGATTCGCGGATATGGCAATACGGTTCGTGGCACTGTATCTGGTGAGCTTGTTTGCTTTCGATTCGTTCAAGGCTGCGGAGGAGAGCCCGTACAATGTGAGGGCGCGGAGGTAGGAGCGCGTTGATCAATATACCAGGGGACAGCGTACATAGCTGGGAGTTCATGGAGTTTAGAGTTTGATAGCCCGTCAGAGGCAATGTCACAAGTTGCAATTCGAAAGAGTTGTCTTGCCGGAAAGCAGAGGACATTGTCCCTCGAATACCTAGCACGCAACACGAATTTCTGATTGAGCGTACGAATGCCCCATTCTCTCTAAATCTCAACGTTTACACTCACCGTTTGAGAGGGCTCATTGAGTAAAGAAGGAGTACAAGACAGAACATTCGTACCTGAGATCTTGTGTTGTTGGCATAGGAATTAAAGGTGTAAACAAGACAAGAGTCATAGTCTGAACGACAAAATGCCCAGAGGGGCCAGGCCCTGTTCTATCACGACTCCGAACATGGCAGACCTCGATCAAATAGTGCTTTTAGGCTGCTAGATACGACTTTAGCAGCTCCGCCATCGACTTCGAGGCGGTGACAGCTCGCCTCACCTTATGCGGGCGTTGTGTTGGAAGCGTCTGATCGTGGCATGCGTACAAACTTACGTTCAGGAAGCTGTCCGTACAACATGCAAATTTCCTTGAATGGAAGTACTGACCACTGACCTCTTTTGCGGCATCCGACTTCTAATGATGGCTAGTAAGCTGCAGAACTTCAACTAAATGGCTGTTATGCGCATACGCTGATTCAACACAGATTCCGAATTCGGCTGTTTGTCATACTTGTATCTAGCCGCAGTACCTAAGTAGCGAAGGCTTTCACGTGTACTGCAGCCAGACGCATCCAAATTACCTTTGGGGTCTTTTTTGACACAGCTAATAGGCTTCCAAGTTACTACTGAACACCTCCACTTGAGCGCAACCGCACTGATAAGGAACTTTCTTCTGGAATGTTACCGATCCCTCGTCTCTTAAGTTGCAGCCGTGTCCGTGACAAGTCGGACACTCCAGAGTACAGTACATACAATCAAGCTTCGCTGTGAGACGGAAGTGCCGGCATGGCGTGGCTAATACGACAAGGGGCGCTTGCTTGTTTGTTACAATGAGGCTGAGAGACGAGTCAGCAGTTCTGTGTGGAGTACCACTGGGCAGAAGTTTCTAAGGGTAGTAAGTAGCTCGTAGGTTCGCAGTCTGCAGGACGTCGCAGGGGTTGGATACATTCCAGGCAGCAACTGTCCAGCCCCAGGCAACATCAGCTTTGCAACCGATCCACTCAAATTTGTCCGAGCTTCGTGTTGTCGCATTAAGCGTCAGATCAACTTCGTTGGGTCGCGCCTGAGGGTAACGTGTGATAAATGCTCGGTGCTACCTACTCAGGATCAAACCATGGTGCGTGGCTCCCAATAATGTATTGCCAGGCAACTGGTTGTTTTCGGTGTACTGGAGCGGCTCAACAAGCTTATAGCGTAACAGCTTGCCGAACGCACTGTGTTGAGTACGAGAGCGAGTGCGAGCGGGCTTATGCGTCAAGACGGCGGTCGCAGCTTACGGTTGCGTACGTGTGGGTCGCCGTAACAATGTCGGTAGACGGACGCTTTTAAACTCCGTCCCCGACGTTGTGGCGGACACTGGCCGCCACAACTGCAACCAGAGGTGAACAAATTCTTGCTGACGGCATGGAGAAGCGGAGGGCGTCTCCGAATGCGACAGATCGCACGGAACGGAGGCAACGGACCATTCTCTACGGCTGCACCTGAAAATTATACGGGCAACCAGGCCAGGCAACCATTATAACGCGACGCCCTTTTGATTCAAATGCCTTGTTATTGCAACCTTCAACATCACCTCATCCAAAGTCATCAACAAGAAAGGGCGTTGCAGCTATAGAACACCGCTTCTAATTTACGACGCGTAATATTCGGCTCCATCCTATACGAACATCCTGGCTGCTACTTCATGGTTGCCACCCCGCACATTCCTCTAGCATTTGTCCGCTCCCGTATTGCCGTATTCAGCGGTTAACCCTTTCCTTGGAAGCAAAGCTTAGCGCACGTGAAACCACTGCGCGAGCCGCATTCGAGAAACACCAGAGCGAAGCGACGTTGCCCCTTTACCATCTCCGGCCTAGTGACACGGGCCTAAATCAAACCGATCCAGTTCTAAGGCCTGTGCATTCGGGTTTTGGCACCGAGGTCAATCTCGCTGGGTGAAAGACACCTAGTTGTGTCACTCCTTCGAAGTACATCGACAATACAGCTTTGGGAGTCAAAACGACGATATGGCCGCCCCCCAAGAGCGTGCTGCAGCAGGTGTAGCCACGCTGAACATCGAATCACCACCCGGGAGAGGAGCTGAAGAGAAGAACCATGATGCATCCTCTGAGGAAGGGGCGAAAACGCTCACCTCTGGCCTCAGCGACCACGATAAGCAAATAATCGACAGACAGACAGATGCACCAAAACTCAACGTCGGCTACTTCGCGTTGTTTCGATATGCGAATAAGACGCATACCTTCATAATGATTGTATCGCTCATTGCTTCTATTGCAGCTGGAGCTGTAATGCCCCTCATGACCGTACGTACCTACCCCATTTGGACGTGATCAAGAGACATGTACCTGTGCCCACGCAGTAACTTCAAACTGACATCAACAGCTTGTTTACGGTAATTTTGCAGGCAGCTTCACGGGTTTCTCGGTGGATGCTACCGCTGCAGAGCACTTTCAGAGCCAAACTAACAAGTTCACCTTGTACTTTGTGTATCTTGGTATGTACTAACTCATCTCTTCCAGCAAATGGTACTAATAAAATTGAAGCTATTGGTTCGTTCGTCACAACGTACATCAGTGTTATCGGATTTTCCTACACTGGAGAGCAGATCACCAAACAGATTCGACAACTTTATCTCCGCGCCATCTTCAGGCAAAACATCGCCTTCTTTGACTTCCTTGGATCTGGAGAAGTCACCACTCGTATCAGCTCTGACATGAATCTGGTTCAAGATGGAATCGGTCAGAAGATCGGTCTTTTCGTTACCGGTGTCTCTATGTTCGTGTCCGCAATCATCGTTGGCTTCATCCGGTCTTGGAAATTGTCTCTCATCATGTTGTCAGCTACCGTCGCCCTTGTTCTCATGATGGGTGTCAACGGTTCAATGATGAAGAAAAACCAGACGATCGCAATTGATGAAAACGCCACGGCAGCATCTTTGGCCGAAGAGGTCCTGGCTTCAGCCCGTAACGTTGCAGCGTATGGTACACAAAGGCGTCTCCAAGAGAAGTACAAGCTGTTCCTCGATAAGGCCACCATCCACGATTTCAAAGCCAAGTTCTGGTTGTCCACGATGATCGCAGGCATGATGGGCGTGCTCAATTTGCAGTATGCTCTGGCATTTTGGCAAGGAAAGAGGTTCCTTGACAGTGGCGAGCTGGGCGTTGCGAACATTCTGACAGTCGTCATGGCTTCCATGCTTGCCGGTATCTCCATCGGTTCGAACCTCCCGCATCTTCAGGCTTTTGGTGGCGCTACCGCAGCAGCAACCAAGGTATTCAACACCATCGAGCGTCAGTCCCCCATTGATCCAGAGACTGAAGAGGGCGAGACTCCAGAGACTTTCGTTGGTAATCTTGAGTTCAAGAATCTCAGGCACATCTACCCATCTCGCCCGGATACAGTCGTCCTCCAGAACTTCAATCTGAGCGTTAGTTCCGGTCAGATGGTGGCATTAGTAGGAGCATCTGGATCCGGAAAGTCTACTATTGTCGGTCTGCTCGAGCGCTTTTATCTTCCCATGGAAGGCCAAATTTTCTTGGATGGTAAAGATATCAGCACACTCAACCTCAGGTGGTTGCGACAACATATGGCGATCGTTAGTCAGGAACCAGTACTGTTCAGCACCACGATATACGAGAGTATTCTACACGGATTAGTCAACACCGAATACGCCGATGCATCTGATGAGAAGAAGACGGAGCTGATTGAGCATGCCGCCAAAATTGCCAACGCCCACGACTTCATCATGGATCAACCAGATGGGTACCAGACCAAGGTCGGTGAGCGTGGTAATCTGCTTAGTGGTGGCCAGAAGCAGCGTATTGCCATCGCTCGTGCCATTGTATCGGATCCCAAGATTCTGCTTCTTGACGAAGCTACCGCAGCGCTGGATACAAAATCGGAGTCTCTCGTTCAAGAAGCGCTTGACCGTGCCGCCAAGGGTCGCACCACAATCGTCATTGCCCATCGTCTCTCTACGATCAAGAAAGCAGACAACATTGTAGTTATGGCACAGGGCGAGATCGTAGAGACTGGCACGCACGAGAGTTTGATCCGCGCTGATGGCGTCTACGCCAGTCTTGTTCAGGCACAAGAACTCACTCAGAAGAAGCACACTGGCAAGCGCTTGTCCGATATCGAGGATCTAGAAGACGAGAAGGCTGCTGGAGAAAAGCCAGCGCTTCTACGAACTGTTACATCCGCTCCGTCCGTGGTCGCAAGGAGAGAAGAGAAGGAAGAGCTATATGGTACTTGGGCACTTGTCAAGTTTGCCTGGGAAATGAACGCCGGTGAACACAAGACCATGGCGCTTGGCCTTGTTTTCAGTTTCCTCGCTGGCTGCAACCCTGCTATCCAGGCCATCTTCCTCGGTAACTCCATCAATTCGCTCATGTCACCTGGCACATCGTTAGGAGGCTACGGCATCAACTTTTGGTGCTGGATGTTCCTCATGCTAGGTCTCGTCATTGGTCTTTTCTACTATGCCCAGGGTATGACGCTATCCAAGGGCTCTGCTCGTCTCATTGGCAATGTTCGCCAGCGTGCGTTTGCTGCCATGCTCCGACAGGATATGGAGTTCTTCGACGGCGAGACGGTGACCTCTGGCGCCTTGTCCAGCTTCCTCTCGTCGGAGGCTAATCGTCTGGCTGGCCTCAGTGGCGCCACACTTGGTACAATTGTCAACTCTTCTGCGTCGATTATCGTAGCTGTCATTGTTGGCTGCTCTTTCGGCTGGAAACTGGCACTTGTTTGCACTGCAACCATCCCGCTCATGTTGGCTTGCGGATATTTCCGATTCTATGCTCTCATTCGCATGGAGAAGCGCAACAAGGAGACCTCCGAAGCTGCTTCGTTCGCCTGTGAAGCTGCTTCGTCCATTCGCACCGTCGCCACACTGTCTCTTGAGCAACATCTTCTGCGGGAGTATCAGGAGAAGCTCATCAAGCAGGCTGCAGGAAATATCGTATTCAACAACATCTCCGCCTCGTTGTACGCCACTTCGCAAGGACTCTCCATGTTGATTTTCGCTCTGGTCTTCTGGTATGGAGGTCGTCTCTTGCTCGCACAAGAGTACACTGTCTTGCAGTTCTTTATTGTGTACTCTGCCATCATCAACGGTGCGCAATCAGCTGGCGCTATCTTCTCTTTTGCGCCAGACATGGGCGAGGCTCGTGATGCCGCCAAGCTGCTCAAGTCCTTCCTCAACCGCATGCCCAAGATCGACCACTGGTCTCCGGACGGTAAGAAGATCGATCATCTATCTGGCCGAGTCGAACTGGAAGGTGTGCGATTCACCTATCCTGGAAGACCAGACCACCGGGTTTTGCGTGGAATCGACCTCGTCGCCGAGCCCGGTCAGTTCATTGCCCTTGTTGGTGCGAGTGGCAGTGGCAAGTCTACCGTTATGCAGCTTCTAGAGCGCTTCTACGACCCTTCGGCCGGCTCTGTACTAGTTGACGGTGTCGATCTGCAGGAATACAACCTGCAAGACTACCGTGCTCAGTTAGCCATTGTCAGCCAAGAAACCACACTATACACTGGTACCATTCGCGAGAACATCCTCGCCAACAAGGACGACGTTACCGAAGAAGCCATCGTACAAGCATGCAAGGACGCAAACATCTACGAATTCATCATGAGCTTGCCAGACGGTTTCTCCACACTTGTCGGTGCGAAGGGTGCGTTATTATCCGGCGGACAAAGGCAGCGTCTCGCTATTGCGAGGGCGCTGCTGCGCGACCCCAAGGTTCTGTAAGTACCCCCTCACATCCTCATAGCTCTGAGTTCTGTTTGCTAACGCGCCACAGCCTGCTCGACGAAGCTACCTCAGCGCTCGACTCCACATCCGAACGCGTCGTCCAAGACGCCCTCGACGCCGCCGCGCAAGGCCGCACCACGATCGCTATCGCGCATCGTCTGAGCACGATCCAACAGGCCGACGTTATCTACGTGTTTGACCAGGGCAAGATCGTGGAGAAGGGGCGGCACGACGACCTTGTGGCGCAGAAGGGCGTGTACTTTGAGTTGGCGAGACTGCAGAGCATGGGTGCGCCGCAGTGATCATGTCGCAGTGATAATGTGTGTATGTGCGTTCTAAAAGCAAAGCATGGCGCACTCGATGAGAGGCGGGACCTTGGCCGTCGAGGATTTTTTCAGCTACTTAGACTTGTTAGCATTTTGTAATAGACTTTGCCACTCTTGAAGTGTCACGATTTGGTCAGAGATTTGGCATGGATGCAGTAAGGTGATGATGCAAAAGACGCGACCATCTTCAGAACACACTTCTTCACAGAACGGCCAAGACCGCTCCCCGTGGAGTACCTTCAACACGGCCATGGATCCAGTTTGAGTTCTAGGTCTGTATGCTTGAGCACAACTCGTGCAGGTGCCAGGCCGAGCCGCAACAGCTCGCTTACGTCACATGCAATCACAAGAAACACATAGCACACACACCACCTACACCACAGAGTGAGCAAACACAGTTCCACCGGCGTAGCCGGAATTCAGGAGAGCTAATCCCATCTACATTTGGCATATACAAACATCCCCAACGCCTTCAACGCCATCCGTGCAAAAACACGCAGCGCGCAGGCCAGGTACTTGATATACTGCTCCCCAGCAGGTGTATGAACAGGGGCACAGTCACTTGGGTGAGAGGGCCTTACGGAATGGAGACAGCGGGCCAGCCGAAGCGGCGCCGCGTCACTGTAGTCCGCAACTCTAATATATGGTTTTCTATGGCCCGAAGGCGGGTTTGCCTGAGGAAAGGAGACTTTTATGGGAGAGGCGGGGCGGGCGTGGGTCGATCAGCCACTAGCTGTAGTCGAATAGCACGCTGATGCTCTCGCCGTGGTGGACGCGTCGGATTGCCTGGGGAAAGGTCAGTTACTGCTTTTCTCTCCTGGCTAAGATGTATTTGCTCACCTCTGCGAACACGTTGCCCACCTCGAGAACCTCGAGTTTGGGGCAGCGCGACTTGTGCTCGGTCTGGTCTACCGTGTTGGTGACAACGACCTTGTCCAGCGCACTGGCATTGATGCGATCAATCGCGTCACCACTGAGGATGCCGTGGGTAATCAGCGCGTATACCTGCGATGCACCCTCCTTCTTCACCAGCTTGGCTGCGCGAGTAATGGTGTTGGATGTGTCGGCCAAATCGTCGATCAGGATGGCGGTGCGGTTTGCGACGTCACCGACAAGCATCATGGTGGCGTTTTGCCTGTCACTGATCTGCGTAGGTCGGCGCTCCTTGTGGATGAGCGCAAAGGGCATACCAAGCGCATCAGCGATGGCAGTAGCTCGCTTAGCACCTCCGGCGTCTGGACTGACGATAACGGCCTGTTGGTAGTCGGGAATGTTCGACTGAATGTATTTGCGGAGGAGGTGGCGGCCGTACAGGTTGTCGACAGGAATGTCGAAAAAGCCTTGGTACTGGGGATCTAGCAACTCGTCAGTACAACGCTACCGGCCGGAGGAAAGAGCTACGTACCGTGCAGATCCATGGTGATGACATGGTCAGCACCAGCACATGTGAGCAGGTCGGCGATCAAAGTGCCGGCCTGAGCAACCCACTGACGGTACCCAACCTGAGGCTCGAAAGCTGGAGGCTTGGTGGTGGGCTTTGTGACTGCGCCGTTCACGCCATTCGCGCTATCAAAGTGAACTGCGGCGTCCGACTTGGTCGAGTCGACCGTCTCGCTGCGGCGCAGGCCATTCGTCTTGACCGGGCTAGAGGGCGCTGAGGGCCCGTTGCGCTGCTCGTCCAGCTTCATGCGACTGAGCTGGTGGTGCAACGTCGCAGTGCCATTGGCGCCCAGGCCCGCACTCTCAGGCTGGCCGGGGTGCGGTGTCTGAGGGCGCGACTCGAAGCTGTACGTGCCTGTCCTCGACCGCGTGCCCGGAACCCTGGCGAGCGGCGCGCCGGTCTTATTGTAGGGAATGTCCGACTGGCGCGAATACGGAAAGAGCGGCAGCACGGCGGTAATGCGCTTAGCCGAGGCAGTCTGGCAGGCGGAGATGGTGATGAGGAGTCTGCAAGACGGTTAGGCATTGCAAGCAGCTGCACCAAGTAGAAGAGCCTACTCCATGAGGTGGTCGTTCACTGCATCGCAAATGTTAGCGCAATTCTTTCATGTGAAAATAAAACCACACGTTGCACCGCAACTGCGGCGCGCCTGCACAGCAAGGGGAGCAGTACCTGAACCGCCACCAGACTGGATGATGAACACATCCTTTCCACGCACGCTCTCTTCAATCTCGACCCTGGTTTCGCCGACCTTGAACTTGCCAAGGAGGGCCTTTGCAGGCGGGATGCCGAGGTGGTTGCAGATGGTCCTGCACGTCCGTCAGTAGCTGGATTTTTTCCTTCTGCGCGCAGCAGCGCATACTCGGTCAGCTGCGGGTGCGAGCTCCCGCCGAGGACAACGATGTTGCGAACCATGACGCCGGTGGTGGGGTGCTGAGGCCCTCGTTCGCAAAGGGCGGCGGAAGAGGAAGTGGAAGGGCGATCGCGTCGGGAGCGGGACAAAGGTAGAGCCTAGTCGCCGTTGTGGGCGCTGGAGAGACACTTTTCAGGAATTGGGCAGCATGGTGAATAATAGGTCGTTGCGTATTCCCCCAGACGAACTTTTCGAACCCTTCTCGGCAAAGAGCAGGTCTACCGAAACGGCGAAACGGCAGGGTTACGCAATTTTAAGCTTTCAAGCACGGAATCGCTGCCTGCAGCATCAGCACCCGATGCAGCCCCTCCAGACGCATTCCTTATCAACGCAGCCCATCTTGCATGGCCCACATCTCTGTCTGCTCAGTAATTGCAGTTTTCTGATTTACGCAACGGCCGCAGGGTTTAACGGCGCTTGCCGAGGTCGGACAGTCACGTGCGGACCTCCACCTGGAAAGCCCTGGAGGCAACCAAGTATCGGAGTCATCTAAACTTCGGAACCGGAGACTCGCGAAAAGTAATTTTCTGGTCATGAGTCTGATAGATTCGATTCTTCACAGGAGGCATTCTTGTACCCTGATTGCTAGCAGTCTGCACCATTGCAATAATGTCGCAAGCGAAGTCATGCTCTTAAACAAAATGACTTGCTCTGCCTTCTTTTGGCTGGCACTAACTTGTTAGAGAGGCTGGAGGTATGTACTTGTGATAGGGTGCACAGGTGCATGGGAACCATGCAGGCCCTTGACCGGTAGCCAAGGCAGCACTGTCAGGCCGTAATTTGTACCACATCTTACAACTCTCAGCATCTCGTGTTACTCAGCACCGAGTTCGAACGTGTATCGCCCGTAATACCATCCTTCGGTTATGCCTTGGCAAACAAAGCGAGTCGGGAGTGAACAGTCCTTGTCCAGCTGCCATAGTTGCCACGGTTGGGTGGATAGGTTCGTCGGTTCATCGCGGAGCCACGCGCAGCTCCTCCTACCCTTTTTCATCACCAAGAACCTGAATCTTGCCTGCGTAGTATGCAGTCAGCTCTACCAGTTAATCATCAGCAACTCAGATCCTCGAGCCATGGATAATTACCGGCTCTGGTGTCACCAAATCACACTACCCGGCGATGGCGTTGAGTCTCAGCAAGCAATGTTTTTCAATCTGGAAGCACGCATCACTTCTCGTGAGATCTGGATAGTGCCTTACGAGATATGCTCGCCTCGATATCCGTTTGGAGTGGCGAGGTCATCCATTTTGATGACACTCGCAAACCGTTGGATGTTTGAGTGCAAGTCGAGTCACTATGGAACCTGTAAGGACGAGGTTAGGAAGCTTTCAATGGGTCTGAATGTGATAGACTGCGCTACGCGAACTTTGTGCGTACTGCCAGAGAATAGACCTTACGTATGCCTCAGCTACGTCTGGGGTCTCGCCAGCTCCAATGATTCGAGCCAGGTAGACCTGCACGACCTCCCACGGACCATGAAAGATGCGATACACGTGACAGTTCGGCTCGGGATGAGATATCTGTGGATCGATCGGTATTGCATAGATCAAGCCAACGCTGCCGAAAAACACGATGCTATCAGCAACATGGGAGTCATCTACCAAGGGGCTGCGGTCACAATCATAGCTGCAGCTGGAGTTGGGCCTCATGCAGGTCTTCCCGGTATTGGAGAGACGCCTCTTATTGAGGAAGATGTTATGTCCATCAACGGGAAGCCGCATGCAGCATTTCCTAATCCGAGATTAGAAATATCGGAGGCTACGTGGAGCACTCGTGGATGGACTTATCAAGAAATGTTGCTGTCGCGCCGCCGCCTTGTTTTTACTCCGTCTCAACTCTACTTCCAATGCAATGATATGCATTGTGGGAACTTCATGTTGGCTCGATTCGCAGAAGCAACTGGGTCGAGTGCGCCAGCGCGGGCGTTCCCTCAAATGCAGAATGCGTCTGCGGAGAACTATATATTCGACCGTTTGCAAGAGTACTACATTCGGAGATTATCGTACCCGAGCGACATCGTCAAAGCCTTCATGGGGGTCATTGGCGCGTTCAGTCTTAGTCGCCATGACCGCAACCTACGCGCGTCGCAGTTCTACGGCATACCGATTCTGTACTTTGATGCCGACGAGGCTGACCGAAAATATCCAGTAGCCAACAGACCAGCAATGCCTAGGACAACTTTTCTAACAGGTTTAGCATGGAGTATCTCAGGCACTGAGCAGTGGCCGCTACAAACAACAAATGACGATATGTTCCCGTCCTGGACATGGGCATCAGTCAAATCGAATCGAGGCGACAGCGACTGCGGAAACCTTATGTTTCCTATCACATCTCAATCAGACTACGGTTCAAATACCCGCGTCTATATGCACCACCGCTCTCAAGGTCGTAGAGAACTCCGCGGCCACGTTGACGAGTGGTCGCGCCACGAAGCCTACCATCCGTGGATCGACCTAGAGAGCTGGACAGCCGCAAGTGCACTTATCCCCGAGCCAGGCATAGGGCAGCTGCGCAGCTACCCACTCAGCTACCGTATGTCCGGCTTCAAAGGAGGGACACTGTCATTCGACTACGGTGTCCAGAACCAGGCGGTAGCCACTGTGACCGTGGTGCTTCTTGGTGGTGGATTTCACTTGCACACGGATCCCGACGTTGCCATATTCCTCGTGCTTGAGGACGTTGGAGGTGGTCTCCATCGGCGCATTGGTCTGTACACTTCTGCCAGACACGAGCGTGAGTTTGCTATGGATCGTCTGGCGAAGATGATGACTCCTCGTTTTGCTGTTCAGAAACGATCAGCGTCTCTGGATGAACAGAATCGGTCTGAGGCAGCTAGGGAGAGACTTGTGCAAGAGGAGCGTACGTGGCAGCGTCGTGTCGTGCGTGTAATCTGAGAGCGTGAACGTTTGCATACCTACCAGCAAGCGATTTAGACGAGACTGTCTCGATCTATATCGCCTACATCAATCTTAGGTATTATTTCAGGGTACGTGGTGGCAGTCAACGCTCAAACCAGACGCTCAAAGCAATACACACTGTTCAGTTGTAGTTCTGCATGCGGAGCTTATCAGCGGCGACACAGACGTGTCGAGCGGCTGGCCAGACATACCTAGGTACATGTGTGCTGTTCACGTCATCCAAGAAGAAGCCACATATACAATGGTAAGAACCAATGCTCGGCGCGATGTTCGCGTCGAAAGTTGGTGTTGGAAGTAGCTGACAAGTTAAATCAACCACGTCCACGATGAAGGAAAGAACGCACGACATAGCTTTGCAGACCGTAACACCGTACGTACTCAAGAGCAAAAGAGATACGTACAGGACATGCTCAAAAACAAAATATTTACATACAACAGTGGGGATTCCCCAGTGGTCACCCACCTGAGTACTAATCCACCGGTACGTTGCTTAAATAGGGCTGAGCGAACGGGAAGCCTTGTTTTCAACGTCCAATGGTCGTATGTGAAAGATTGGTGGTTTGGAAGCGTCTATAACGTAAGTAATAAATGCCCACACGAAGATCTCTTTGACCTCACCGTGGGCCGGAAGGAAGCGTCCTATCCGTATCGACGAAGTCTACTCCTTCTCATCTCCGCCGACCCCCAATCATCAATTCCAGAGTCACCAACTGAACTGTAATGTCTCTTCATAACCAATTCATCTACAACTTCTAGTAGTGCCCGGAGAGCATCTGAATAGTCACCGAGAGTACGATCGCTGGCAGTATACACACACACAACGCAGCCCAGAACAGCACCATCAGCCTACTCTTACACGTCAATCCTACGTACATCGCAAAGCCTATGGCAAGCGGTAGCGCAGGAAAGAGCCAGAGATCGTTGCGCACAGGGTGCATGATAAAACTGCGAATGACGAAGATGTCAATCACGACGGCCACAGTGAGTGCAAGCAACCACCACACTTCCCTCTTTGCCCAGGCCTTCAGAGTCCATTCATTACCTTCTTTCCCATCAGTGCTCTCAGGTAAGAGCGCTGTGTCGTACGCGATAGAGCCGCCGTAGAGATCCTTCGTGATGCGGCGCCGCAAAGCTGACTCCGTCATATTCCGTACGTCGTTCGCTTCCTCTTTCTCGATATGGGTGAGCTGGGAATGCATTGCGTCCGATAGCTCGAAGACGGCCTTGTACTCGCCTGCCACGTCTTCTCTTCCGCGCTGCAATCTTGTCATCTTGGACGATATGTACATGATCATAACGCCAAGGGTCCACACCCAGAGCAGGATGACCATAATATTGAGCTGGATGAAGGAAAAGCCCCATCTGTAAGTCTGGGGAGAGTTAGATGTATGCAGAGTTTTGTCTGTGGGGACTACGAACCTTCTGTGCCTGGCACTGAGCATCTCTCGTGATCACTTGTTGGTCATAAAATTGACCATCAGATAAAAACGTGGTTGCAAGGCCGGTTCCTGTAGGTCTGGTGTCCCGATTCACCCAGAAAGCATTCGGCACGTCGTAGGCAGTTATGTTTAGTGTAGGTGGACCCAGAGAGGAGTTGCCAAATGTCGATGACTGATCCTGCTTTGGCTCGGTTCCATAATTGCCGACATCTGGGACAGAGTAAGTAAAAGCGAGCCCTTACGAAACACTGTAGGATATCTTACATTGCGATATATTCCACAACATCGCATTCGAACTACATTCTGCGAGCCCAGTATTGATGTATCCCCGACAATCGCCGTCTTTTCCAAATCTGTAAGTGTACCGAGTGACATCCGTCAGTAGCGGATCATCTGTATGCATAAATTAGGCAACGCATATGCATTGTTCGTCGTACGATCGACTTACTCGAATTGGGCGATTTGTATATGGTCGCATGGAAATCATCTGTCTGATTGATTCTTGTACCATCGTGGACTGTGTAAAGGACAATACTGAAGTTGTTGAACGGAACGAAATTTCCGGCCGAGTCCGGGACATAGGCCAGAACGTTACCGCTGTAACCAGTCATGGCACTACCCAGTGTAGGAAAAATCAAAACGAACATCATAGTCAGTATAATGAAGACCATCGCACATCGAGAGTGCAGACCACGTCGTTTGCTAAAATCCCGGATGATTCGTGGAATCCCCAGGACGAGCGACTCATTCTGAAGGAAGATCATGCGATATGTATTGAAAGTGACGGGCTGTACTTCCATCGACGTGGTTACGTATCTCACAAATGTCTGCCAGGAGAAGAAAGCTATCAGTGCTTGACCACCTCGACCGACGACCTTAAATAGGTCAGTTATTCAAACTGTACAGAAACATCAAGGTTTTGGGTACTGACTATGTCCCAAATGACATCAATAGCTTTGGCTTGCGTAAATGTCAGATCGCCAGTTCCCAGAGTGATTTGGAAGAACCCAGAGTTCGACCAATACTGATAATCTTCTGGCTGCAGGCTGAAAGTGTCGTCAGGGAGACAGGCCGAAAGAGAACCGGAAGAACTCCAGGAGTCAGAGACCAAGGTCGACCAGACGCATAATACAATGAATCCAGTCGTAAGACCACAGAGCCAGAGGAATGCCAGTACCCACAAGCATCCGCGACCAGATCGGATGCGGAAATCGCTACGGGCCTGATGATGGCTATCGAGCCATGAAGTTTTGACGGTCGACGCTGACCTCTTCAAAGTTGATTGTGTGCGTGCGCCAGCCCACGACATGTAACTAGATGCGCGCGACCGCGAAAAAGAGTCGATCTTCATCGTCGCGCGAGTGTGCTGTGCGAGCCAGCCTGACGTTAAGTACCGTGACAGCAACGAAAATAGGATCAAAGCATGGCGGATCGGATCACAGCAACGCGACGGGCAATTCGAGCGCTATATCGTTGATTATGAGGTGAGCTTCTGCCCGCAGCCAAGGTGCAGATCTGGCGTATCACTGCCAATGTCATTTAGCGCTTGCATATCTCCTGTGAGGCTGGGGAAAGCGAGGCCAGGGACTGGATGAACGCTAGGATTCGCCCCCACTCCGTTAGGCGTACAGCCTCAAAATGAAGATTAGCGCCAGCGCATGTCAGCTTTGGTGGTGACATTTCGTCATAAGTCGTTGCACGAACCTGGCATATGAGAATCAGACGTCGAAAAGGGCCGTCAAATGCAACAAGTGATGTAAGTGTATCATTCTTATATTCAAATCCAATTATAGATTACCACGAGCTGTGAAATAAGGAAACAGCGTCCATACTCGGGCAACAGCATGACCCGGTACAGCACAGCAACGACGATGCTATGACTGGCTGATTGCGGCGTTTTGTGATGTCGCAGCTTCGGATTCAGCTTCTAGTGGCTGAGGAAAGATTTCTTGACGTCCGACCCTGGAGGCTTTCATCTTAAGCCATCCTGCCACCGACCGACTCCGCTGCCCTTGCGTTTCTCACTACGCTCTTGCCCAGGTGTGAAAAGCTCTGCGCTCAGTACAAGGACAGCCGGCACTACAGCCAATGCATCTATTGTGCCGCTCCGATTGCGCTTGTTCTGGTGGTTAGGGTTCATCATCGCAGCAATCTCCTTGTTCTTCACCTCCTTCCTGATCCTAGGCCAGTCCTCACTTATTCCCCCTAACGACGAGATAGACGAACTCCTACGGCGAAACGGCGAGAGTGACGAGAGTGAGACTGCGCGCGACCGCGATTTTGGTGGTGGTGACAAAGATTGTTGTGCGTGCTTGGGCGGCGTAGGCAAGGCGGGAAGAGGTATGTTGATTTCAGTATACAGAGGGCTTTTATCTTCCTCTGCTTGCGGCGACGCAAGTGGTACAACGAATGGTGGTAATTCAGGCGCGGCATCTGGTGATGCAACGGCAGATGTCGAGGAATCAAAATCGCAGAATGGATCGACATGAGGGGTTGTAACCTCGCAGCACATGTTTCCGGTATCCATGGTCTCGAGAAATGCAATGTAGGTTGGATGATAATGATAGTCGGGTTATTGCAGTCAATCCCGTTGTTATGTTGATCGCGCAACTGCCTGAACTATAGCACAGCCACTTCAGGCCCCCTTCGGTCTAATTTGTCGCGCAAAGACGGAACCGCAGCGCAGTGGACCGTTAGGCCAATGCAACGAAAGGCAGTGGTGGTGTTAAGATCAAGTCTGTGCTCGTAGGTAGATCGCTGTCGTGTCCGGCAAGATTCTCGTTTCTCGTTTGCGTATTCGGGTGTCGGCTTGGGGTGGGAAATCGAGAGTGGAGCGAGAGAAAACGGCAGCGACTCAGCGCGAGCGCACATCGTTGATCAAATACCATTTACCCCTTCGTCAGTCTAGCTGACTGGCATTCCGAAACAGCCACTGGTGCTCACTCAGCCTCAGCTGCGGTGAGCTGGAGTCGCAATCTCGGTTGCTGTGCCGCCGAATCTGACAGTTGGTGGTTTAGTGGGGCGCAGCGACGGGGCTGAGAGCCGGTGCTGAGCTTGGACGTTGTCCAGCTGGCTGCAGTGTCATAGAGATCGTTCATACGACAGCGATGAGAATTTGGGAACTCAGAAGCTGCAGAGATAGTTTGGGATGTCAAGATACAGCAACAAGCGTAGCACAGTGCGCCTAGCCCCAGCCTCCACGTCCGAGGAATATCCTCTTCACATGAACACTCACATGCCACTTAGACAGACATTTCAGAGAACATTTAAGTATGAAGTCGTGGGCATCAATGAGCACTGGATATGGTGGAAATACACAGGGATACTGATGCTGCAGTGAACTGCATTGAAAAATGGGCCGTCTGGCAGGTGAAGTTTTTGCGGCGTAGTCGAAGACCAAAGCTCCCATGTATCCACTCTACTTGAATTGATCTTCAGTGACACCCTTGCCCATCGCTGCCGTCGAGCTGACACCTCCCGATACCATCTTCAAGAGATTGTCGACGTAGTTTGCGCCGCTCCATTTCTGATGTGTCAGGACTTCGACCTTGTTTACGCCCTCGGGCTCTTGAATGATCTCGCCGTAAGCACGCATGCCCTGCTTGGCGTACGCTTTGGAGAATGTGTCGGCCATGAGAGCAGTCTGGTGTAATCCGGCGAGGGTGATGAACTGCCAGCAGTAACCGAGAGCGCCGAGGCGCTGGATGTAAGTTTCTTGCTCGTCGCGAGGCATGGCGCTCTTCCAGTTGAACGAAGGTGAAAGGTTATACGCAAGCCTGATGTTTGGTCAGTGAGGATTATAGTTACGAAATCAGAGGCAACATACTTCTGCTCTGGCCAGGCAGCGTGAACACCATCAGCAAATTCCTTAGCTTGACCATAGTCGGGCTTTGCCGATTCCATCCATATCATATCACAATACGGCGCGTAGGCGATGGCGCGGTTGATGGCAGTCTGGCAACCACCCTGGTACCTGTAGTAACCTTCGCGTGTTCGTGCAGCGTCCCAGTTGAAGAAGACGTCGACACCAGTCAAGCCCTTTGCGATAGCACGTGCCTCGGGGTTGCTCTTTCCCTTGCTCTTTTCGTTGAATTGAGCAATCAGCTCTTGCTTGTTGACATGGACGCCCGCGTTGATCGTGTCAGCAACAGCTTCCTGGAAGAGCTTCAAGTGAGCTTCCTTAGTCCATGCGTCCTCAATCGCTTGCAGTTGCGCGCCACTCTTTCCAGCCTGCTCTGCAGCATACATGAGTTCGCTGAGGGGCTGGATGGCTGGGTTTGTGACTCCCAGGATGTAGTGGTGGTCGCGGGGATCAATGGTTGATGTGATCAGCGTCGCGGCTTCCGAATCAGTGCGAGCAACGGCCAGGAGGTCACTGCCCATGATATCGGCCTGGGCTCGGATGGCGACCAGACGATTGATGTGTTCACTTATCGGTACCAGGACCTTTCCTGCCATGTGTCCACATTTCTTTGTTCCTGGGGCTTGGTCTTCGATGTGAATTCCGGCAGCACCCTTCTCAACGAACAGTTTCGTAAGCTTCATTATTGCTGTCAGACCTCCGTGGCCGGTATCGGCATCGGCAATGATGGGTCTCAGGTAATCGATGCTGACGAGTTTTGCACGGTCGGCTTTAGGGGTAGTGATGCGCTCCTCGCGCTGCTTACGATCATGGAACACTTGTGCCATGAACAGATGCCCCACCTTGTTGGGCACAGTTGTCTTCTAGAGTCAGCTAGAGACCGAGTGTACGGAGTGCATCACTTACGTAGGGGTAATCTGCGAGATCTGGTCCAGGCTCGTCGGTCGATGAGGCTGTCGAGGAGCATTGCCAGCCAGAAACGTAAACCGTGTCCAAGTACTTGGCCATTTGCGTGACCATCACAGGGTCCAAACACCCATATGTATAGCTGACGTCGTGGTTCTGCCAGAATCAGTATATACGCTAGTTCAGTCCCGTGAGCGTCATACCTTGAAGCGACCCTCTACAGTATTCCACAGCTTCTTCGACAAAGTGTTTCCCGGATACTGAATCTTGAGGGTTCCACGCTTTGCGACAATTTGCTCAGCAGTGAATGGGCGCTTTGTGTATCTCCATCTTGAGTCGGTCCACCATTGCTTGACCTCCTCAACCTCCTTCTGATACTGCGCCTCTTCGGCGTCGGCGTGAGACATTATATAGGTGTGTGATGGGTTTGATATACGACGGTGACGTAGCTGCAAGAGGTACTTGAACTTGAGAACTTTGTCAAATGAAGAAGCAGAGCGACAAGAGGTGACAAGAACTTCTTTAAGGTCAAGAACCGGCGATGATGACACTGCTCCAGTTTCAACCTTTCAGCTACCGGGCAGCCAAGTCCCTTAAGTAGAACCGCGGATCTCGCGCCTACCCCAGAGCCAGGTTAGCACGCTCATGAATTACAGTCACAAAACTCGGGAAGGCCCGGCTGAAGGCACCATTGGGCCGACAGCTGAACCCGAGGAAGCTGGCATGGTGAATCAGCGACCAGTACGCGCAGCTAGAGCGATATCAAAAGTTCCCTCGGCCCAAAGGGAAACCGCGCGATTCAAAACGTGACTGGTGTAGATCCGGTGGATGAGGGGACCAGTAGACAGGAGCTTTGACAAGGATGACGTTGTGTGCCAATTGCTTGGGGCAAGCCATGAGCAGTGGGTGATGTCCACCACTCAATTATTCTTTGATATCAGCATTGTTCCTCATGCTAGAAGGCTGATGTTTGGCACGCGACCTGCATGCAGCTTCACATGCCGAAGTGTGTGCGCCTTTTCTTTGATGCATGACATGTGAAGGTGCAGTCTCAACCCCAGATTTCGAGTCCGGCTACGCTAGGCCAAAACGAATGGCCCCGCATAACCTCGGCTGTCGAATTCAGCATGGCGCACGTGTGGCCAGAACATGTCACAGAAGCATTACGATATATGGGACGACCGAGATTTGTGGATGGAGACAAGAATGACTCAGGCCGGTGCCGGAGCCATGAGCTGTTCGGATTTTGAAACTCGCAATCATACAAGAATAAGAGGACTCTCAAACAAATGCCGCACTGGCACTGTCGACCAAGCTTCCATGTATCCGGAAAAGCGTGACGTATCCGGTCCCAGCTGATAACACTACACACAACGTGGAGCAAGTTTCGCGAGGCGCCTTTAAGAACTGTAATTTTGCAACATTGATGTACTAATGATAACCTTTGAGCAGCCCATACGCGTGGCTTGCTGTGACTGCTACTATACTTCGAGTCAACGGCCACCAATCCTGTTCAGGCAAGGCTCTCCAAGTGGGTGCGGTCGAGCTTGACACTTGTCCTGCAGCATAACAGCACAATGAGGCCCGCAGGACCCAGTCAACCAAAGTGATGATTTGGGGAAAGCCCAAGCAAAACCTCTGAGCAAAGAATAACTTGGCGACTATCCTCCGATACGTGCCAGCATAAGCCCGTCCTCCCTGACTGTGGACAAAGGCATCCATATCCGAGTGTTTCGAAGCACGAATGTCCTCTAGACGAACCTCGGAGCCTTTCGGATTCGTGTTGTATGCAGATTCGGCTGGAGCGCATCGTAGCTTCTGGAGTAACGACCATCTCAACTCATTTATTACGCCATTTTGACCGGTACTTTGCGATTTAACAGGCGCTGACTGAGTGATCAACTGCGCCAATAACTCTGGACGGGAGACCCAGCACGTTCGATTCTTCTCGTCCGTGAAGATGCACTCGCGGTCGAATGCCTCTGAAGTATAGGCGTAGTGCACAAATCGTGAGTAGAATGCAGGGGTAAGGATGCGAATCTCGAGCTCTTTCACTGCGTTCCCGCTATGAGGCCTTGTGAACCCAATGTTCTGTTTGGGAATCTCGGGTATCGAAGTGTGGAGTATGATGCGGAAGTTATCTTGGGCTGTATTGACAAGGTGGGTCAGGTAATCGTGGAACACCTGGTGGATCTTACTACAAAGTTTCAGTATCGGGGAATTAGCCATGTTCAGTCTTTACACTTACACCTCTGATGAAGTGGGTAGTCGACCCAGGCTGGGGTTCAGAACTTCTGGGCGAAACCAGACGAAGAGGCTTCGCTTGTAGAACAGAGCAAATGCCTCTTTCAATATGCGGGGGAGGGTCACAAAGCCAACCCACCACCATTTAGATATGAACCAGGCGGCGCCCATTATACCAAATTCGCTAGGATCCAGTGGGGGTCCAACACAGGTCAAGCGAGCTACCACCTTGGCATGGTCTTTCGAAGATTTAAGAGTGATCGTGTTGTCGATCATCGGTGTATTGTACCCTACATACGGAAACGGGTTATGTGCTCGAAGCGCATACGAGCCTTTACGCGAGTTGAACGGCGAGACGTGGAAGTCTTTCATCCAAAGATCTGTGAATCGCGACTTATCTCCGATGGATGTCTCTGTCGGGGTATTTGCTGCGTTTATAGAGTCCAGAGTTTGCGGTGGATTGGACATGCTGGTGCCGTTCAGCAAGTATATGCGTCGCTCGCCGAAAGTGTTGTTGACTTCAAGTATCATCTTCTTGAGCTGATGCTCCCGATCGTAGATGTACCAGAACGACACAGGGTTGAATGAGTATCCGAAAAAGCGCGGTGCGGTGACTAAATAGGCGTATGACCACTCTTTATCTGCAACGTCTTGCTCCCTCATCCATGACTGGAGCTTTCCATAAAAGCCAGCCTTACCGTTCCCTCGACAAAGGTAATCGCTGGCTCGAACACGAAGCCACCAACTACCGAGATCCTGATCTTTCCCAGTCGCGGTATCGTGTCCGTCAGGCGTCTCACCACCAGGTATGATCGGGAAACCGCACTGTAAATATGAGTATTCGAAGGCATGGCGTTTCGGGAACATGCGCGCATGTTTTGTGACACACGGAAAGATCCTGGCTTTCGGATACTGAAGGGTCCATTCACGAATGTCTTCAGGCGAGTTAATCGCTTTCGCGTTGTCGCTAGATGTGCGTGATCTTAATCCGAGGATTGCAAGTGGAACAACGACAAAAGGAAGGACCATCATTGATGGCCCCACCAATGGTGAAGAAGCATCCCAACTCTTCTGTAGAAACACTTTCAGTTCTTCTCTTGCTAGCCATGTTGCTACGAGTCCGAATACCCAACAGTCAGTTCTGAGTTGGTGGTCTCCGAACGACGCTCGAACGCCAGCGCCGAGTGTCCAGGCGGCGAGAGAGGTAAACATCGCTCGAACCACAATTACCACACAACACAATCGAAGGAGCGAAACAAGGACAAGAGGGCCTTAGTGGCCGCAAATTACTGCGCGCAGTATGGTTTTAAGAATGATGGTTGCGTAAAGATCGAAAAGTTCTTGAGATAGTACTGTTAGCCTTGACACACACTAAACCGCATCTTGTCTGTCTATGCAGGGTCGTTGTTCCTAGCGCCGTCATCCGCGCCCTGACCGCAGTCGCCATGCGATCACAAGCTTGGTAAATGATCAAGTACCTTTTGTGCGTTCTTCGCAACCAGTGGAGTTTGATGCGCGGTGGATTGCATTCCGTACCACATATGACGGTTGCCGCACGTCGGCGAACCAGACGTCATCCAATAATACAGTTGCGGGCGTGCGCCCAGCGAATCAGACGTAATGGAAAAGATTCAAGCCCCATCGACCACACCTAGGTACCATAACCACACCTGGGCAAATCTACTCTCCCAGTTCCACGGGGATGGTTTCACGGTTTGGTCCAGACTATTGCCTCTGCTAATGAGAAGAGGACAGTCGGATGTTGCACAACCTGCCGCTTGTACCACACATACAAAGATCGGCAGTTGGGTCTGATCCGTGAGCGCTTTCAACAATGCTCCAGACTCACCGAGTGACAGAAGGTGTATCGCAATAGTTCGGACAGTTTAGTTGACCGAGAAAATTGCGAGAGCCAATCGCGTCAGTGTAGATCGATCATAGGCAACCTCCCGGCGTCTTCCTGTGACAAGGCCACAATCATGTTCGCCGCGACAAAACGTGCGCTCAGAGAAAGCTGGATACGGTGGTGAACTCTGGGCGCCTAGGTATACCATCACCAGCTATACGTACTTGGTGACTGAACTCTAATTCTCAAATCGCGATTCCGCCTTCCCAGTCATACCTGTGAGGATTAGTTACCACACTTCCTACCTCGTCTTACAAAACAGAACCCGTTCACTGATAGATCTAAATCAGCATAGCTTTCTTTACCAAATATGAAGCACTCCTCTTTCTCGCATCGTAAAATACTACAGTGACATGTGAATTTGAAGGGGACGCTAGTTCCACTCGGGGTATTGAATCTATAGTACGTGATCTACCTTACGTCCCAGCCCATTGAGTTCCCTTGTTATCTTATCTCAAAATGCTCAACTCGAGCTCTTGAATGATCTCGAGGCTGAAGGGGGCAGCGACACTCAAAGCTCATGTCAACATCGATATCGGATTATGCGCTACCATTAGTGCCGTTGGCTGCCTTTGGTGGGTTTGTATCGATCTGAATGGTGACCTGTCATGAAGTGAGTTGCTGGCCAATTTCTACCATTACTGCGCGAGGCTAGCTGAGGGTCTGGAAGTACGTCAGACTTACTGGACCATCGTTGACCAACGCAACATCCATCATCGCAGCAAATTGGCCATTCTTAACTTTCTCTTCGCCGTGTAGAGCTTGGACTTGCTTGAAGAAATGATCGTACAGACTTCGAGCTTTATCACCACTTGCGGACTGGTGGAAATCAGGCTTGTTGCCCTTTTTGGTAGTCGCGAGCAACGTGAATTGGGAAACTATCTAGCATCAGTGACCGTAGCCATGTGGTGACTTCTGACTTTCATACCACATAGAACCTCTCCATCAATCTCCTTCACATTGTGTTTCCACCGTCCCACAGGATCCGTTGATACATCGTCCCAAAGTTTTGTCTTCAAGATCTTGGCAGCCATTGACTCTATGTCTTTCTCTGTGTCATCCCTGGAGACTGCAGCGAGCACCAAGATGCCTTTTCCAATAGAAGATATGATTTGGCCGTCGACAGTCACTGATGCAGACTTGACTCTCTGAAGCACGGCTGTGCGAGGTCAATGGCCAGGCCCCGGATGACTTGCAGTGAACGTACTCCTCATGATGGTGGGGTGACTGGTATCTATACGAGCCTTGAAAGAAGGTTTCTGAATTCTGAAGATATCTACAGAGAACGAGAGAATTTATACGTCAACACAGCACGGATTTCATTGCCTAGAAGGGCTACAATGATGATGAATGGATCAAGACGCGTTGGACGCGCTGGGTGGGGAAGGGACTAGTTCGCTTGGCGCGCGCTAAGCCGCAATCGATACCTCATTGTGGACGCATTCGACCTTCACAGTTGTCCACACCCCGGACAGACACTCCCCGCCCATTGCGACTGAGCAAACGCCTCGCGCTCGCCGCAGATTTCCGCTGCCCCACTCGTTCCGCACGAATCGCACGCACGCGCCCCCCTCACACATAAGACCTCGCGCGAGGCTAAGCAAACACCATGGCAGCTCGCAAGCTTCAGCAGGAGATCGACAAATGCTTCAAGAAGGTCGCAGAAGGCGTCGCGACCTTCGAGAGTATATACGACAAGATTATCCAGACATCAAATCCGTCGCAGAAGGAGAAACTCGAAGACCAGCTGAAGAAGGAGATCAAGAAGCTCCAGCGGTCGCGCGACCAGATCAAGACATGGGCTGCCATGAGCGAGATCAAGGACAAAAAGCCGCTTCTGGACCACAGGAAGCTGATTGAGACAGTAGGCGACCGCCAATCGCGGAAAATGATGTCATGCTAATATTGCGCAGCAAATGGAGAAGTTTAAGGCCGTCGAAAAGGAGATGAAGACAAAGGCATATTCGAAAGAAGGCCTGTCCCTGGCATCGAAGATCGACCCGAAAGACCGAGAACGAATGGAGATGGTTGAGTTTCTGCAGCACATGAACGAAGAGCTGGAGCTACAGGTGGAGAAGATTGAGGCTGACGTGGAGATTATGCACGCAGGCATGAAGAAGGGCAAAAAGTCTGACAACGCAAAAGCCGAGCGAATAGCAGAACTTGAAGAGGCAGCAGAACGGCACAAGTGGCATCAGGGCAAGCTGGACTTGCTGCAGCGAGCGCTGGAAAACAGCAATGTCGACACAGAGCAGGTCAAGGAGATCGAGGACAGCATCAAGTATTACGTCGATGAAAATCAGAATCCTGATTTCATGGAAGACGACACAATATACGACGAATTCAACCTCGACGAAGAAGAAGCTATCTACGGTATGGGCAACGAGGCAGATCGCGTCTCGTCGCAAGACGCACAATCAGTAGCAGACGAGCCTGATTCCGAAACTCGACCGGTCGTCACAAAGGCCAAATCTAGCGAAGCAGCAGGCGCGCGGCGGCCCTCGATACAGCTCAAATCGCCATTACCGGTACTGGCAACGTTACATACGCCCTTACCTGGTACATCGAATACAGCAGCGAGCTCGATGAAGCCAGCACCCATACCAACGCGAACGCCGGGTGAACCGCTCAAGTATGCTTCTGCAGCAGCGGCAGCGGCAGCAAGTGACAAGAACGGCGTGGGGATAGCCCCGCTACCACCGCCACCCGGGTTGGCTTCGAACTTACTCACAGGGCGTTCCAGTGCGGCAGCCTCGCCAGCGATCACAAACGCGCAACCAGCGTCTCGTGCGCAGCCACCTGCCGAAGCACCAGCGCAGCAACAGCCCTCGAAGTCTCCGGCAGCCCCACCAAGTGTACCCGCCACGCCAGCGCTGGAAAAGCAAACATCACACACTGTATCAACAGAAGATAGCAAGGTTGCAAGCAGCAAGAAGACACCTGCACCGGAGTCCGCAGAAGAGGAAGAAGAATTGCAAACACCAACGCCACCTCTCACGAACGGTGAATCGCATGCCGACGATGAAGAAGAAGAGTCGGTCTACCATCTACCATCGAGCTTACAAGATCTGCTCGACTCGTTTGAGGCTACGAAGAATAACATCAATGCTTCCGCAACGAAACCTCCTGATGAGCGAATGTTGGCAGCATCGATGGGGACTGCGCCTGACTCTGCTGATACAGAGGCCCCGCGCCACTATCGCCCACAGAATCCTTACCCCTTCACACCTTCGCATTACCCCCAGGAGCCGCTCGCGATATTCGATGATCCTCGCCTTTACTCCCGCATCGAGACAGACGCACTTTTTTACGCCTTCTACTACCGACAAAACACGTATCAGCAGTACCTGGCAGCAAAAGCACTGAAGTCACAGAGCTGGAGATTTCACAAACAGTATCAAACATGGTTCCAGCGTCACGAGGAGCCAAAAGCAATCACAGAGGACTACGAACAGGGAACATACAGGTTCTTCGACTACGAGAGCACGTGGTTAGTAAAGACTGGTACGAAGAGGATCGATTCTTTCGAGTCACCACGGCCAAAGCCATGATTTGCGTAAAGCAGGCCAAAACGAGCGACCTGCTTGCTTATAGCAACCATGGAAGTTTCGACGGTGGTGACCCCAGAGATTGATTTTCTTCGTACGCAACCTTGGTCATGATTTTGCTAACATTTCACAGGATGAACCGTAGGAAGGCTGACTTCAGATTTGCTTACAAGTTCTTGGAAGATGATCTATGATCATGCCCGCGCCTACTGTTAAGCAGACTCTGCTATGGTTATGATGGTCCCGGTCTGTATTGAGTATAAGTAGTTCTGGAATGGGGTTCCCAACGCGGAACGTATCGTTTGTTTCTTCGTCACACGACTCACATGCAAAAGATGTGTACAATTTACTGGACGTGCTAGGCAGACCTTACGGAAATTGACAGCTACTAAGAGGGCCATCAATGGCCAGGTCAGCTCATGCGGCCCACGGAACACCATAAAAAAATAGGTGGCCTTACCGTGGCAGTCCCACTTCAACATCACACATATTGTTTGACACCGCATGCTTGGACAGGGGGCCCCTGAGGAAGGCACCGTGCAGCGAGTTCTCTGAAATACGAGGCATTTTCACTACAAAAATTGGTTTGGTTTGGCTATCCAGTAGCTCGCAGTAAGATGACGCTTGGGCCCCCGACGTTTGAGTCACTGAATCAAACATGTGAGCTTCTTGTCGGTGAACGATAAAGGGCTTGCTTCAGAAATCTTCACCGCCTAGACATGATCGAATCGTAGCTCACAGATGCTTGTTGCAAGTTGTGCTAATCTAGGACAGCGCAACGTTATACTGCTTGCTATGTGCAAACTGCGCCGGCACTATGCATCAAACCGATACCCTCCTGTGGCGGTAATCGCAGCGTTGGTAGGCTTAACGGTTCATTACAGCGCATTGGCTGCGACAGATGCTCCATAGCTGCTCACTGTGTCAAGCACGTGTGAACTATCGGAATGACTTGTTCAGGTTTACATTAAACTGTCTATGCTAGCTGTCCCTTTTTGTATGGGAATTGTTCTCTAAATGCTTCAGCGATTTCAGTCCGTGTGGCAACCCATACGCCTTCCTTGGAGGAGATGTACTTTACAAAGTCCTGCAAAGCCTTGAAACGCCCTGGGCGACCAATGATACGGCAATGCAGCCCAATGGTCATCATTTTTGGAGATCCATCCTCGCCTTCCTCGTACAAAACGTCGAAAGCATTCTTGATATGCTCGTAGAAGCCACCGGGACTGCGGAAGCCAGTTCCTTGAGTGTGGAACTTGAAGTCGTTACAGTCGTAGCTGTATGGTACCATGAGGCAGCCTTTGGGGTTTTCGGAGCTGCGCTCTTGTGGCAGATCTGTCCAGTACGGGACATCATCGGCGTATGTGTCGCTAGCCCAGAGAAGCTCCTCGCCCATCTCCTCGTAAACGAGGGGAATGAGAGCTCTGCTTTGTGGTGATGGTCGTCCATAGTACCAACCTTTCGGGGCGTAGCCAGTGAGCTTCTTAAGCGCCGTGATACCGTCTCGGATATGCTGTTTCTCAGCCTCAACACCGAGATTACCATGGTCTATCCATCTATACGCGTGACTGGCGACATCATGTCCTTCTTCGACGCAACGAGATACCACTTCCGGCTGTTCTTCAACTGCTGAGCCCACAGCGTACAGAGTAAACTTCATCTTGTAATCGTTGAAGAGCTTGAAGAGTCGCCACCAGCCGCGACGAGACCCGTACTCAAATTCAGATTCTCCGCTGTAGTCTCGCTCATTGATCTTGTGTTGAGCGGGATACTCGCGAAGACTGATTTCCGAAACTCCATCACCTTTCATGACCGACCGTTCACCGCCCTAAAATCACGTGGTCAGCTACATCATCGGAAATATGATAATCTAGTATTGACTCACCTCCTCATAGTTAATGACGAATGACACGGCAATCTTCGCATTGTTCGGCCATTTCAAGCCCTCCAGACCCTTCTCCCCATATCCCTTGAAGTTACGCGGGAAAGCGAAATCTGGGGGGGCTGCATAGACTTCAGGCATGATTGTGTTGTCAAGAAGTGCTTATAGATGATTGGTATTGAGCGCTGAAGGGATATCAAAGGCGGAGTGCGCCTGGTTTTGTACATCGTACGAATGAGCCCCATTTCCGGCACCAACTAAGAAGGGACACATTGAAGCAAACATCGGCAGACCCTAGCCGGTATGGCTGCTTGCCGTCGGCAGCATTGTTGAACTCATCATACATCCCATTGCACAGTACAGCTGCTCTGATTGATGAGCCGACCTGGTAACCGGCGTTATCGTGACAGCATTGCGGGGCGTTATCGGGCGCAGGATTGTTAAGCCACGGCCGAGCCAGGATCAGTGTGAATAGGCATCGGCATGAAACTATCCGTTAGGACGTGCGAACACCCGATCGTCAGATAAGAACCGTGTCTGTGGGGTGAGCAACTGGACGAGCAGGGGGAGGCAGGGTCGTAGAGAAGAGTTCCCGTTCCAACCCCACCGCTAACCAGTTTCAGCAGTACGCCGAAATCGGGCGCGACATCTCCTACTACCAATCGATCGACAGTTGCCTACTAGGTATGTACAATTTGACACGTTACAATTCCTACCTAATCATGCGCGTGCTTCAGTTATGACTACAAGATCGCAGTCGGAATCTGGCTGCCTGATTCTGCGATTGCATTTATAGCATCTGCAGCCATCGAGCGCATAATATAAGCGCCGTACTCCTAATTCTACAGTTACTGAAATCACAGCGACATTGCAAACGAGCACTCTCAGCTTTGAACAGTTTACTGCGCGATAATAGAAAGATGAGCACCGACCTGTACAGACTTACGGCCACCGAGGTCCTGCAGAAGACCAAATCTGGCGAGGTCTCAGTAGAAGAGTACGCAGCGTCACTTCTGAAGCGAATCGAGGCGCGAGATGAGGCCGTTCAGGCTTGGGCGTATTTGGACTCAGAATATGTAATCAAGCAAGCAAAAGCACTGGATGCCATCCCGAAATCAGATCGAGGACCACTACACGGAGTGGCTATTGCTGTGAAAGACGTCATCTTTACAAAAGGTTGGTTGTTTCATTGGCAAGCATCGAATACTCACTAACATACTTTCTAGATATGCCTACGCAGTTCAACTCACCTGTGTACAAAGACAATGCGCCGAAAGTTGATGCAGGTTCCATCATGGTGCTGCGGAAAGCGGGTGCACTTATCTTGGGCAAGACGACCACAACTGAGTTCGCAGCAACTACTGTAGGCCCCAAAACACGGAATCCATACGACTCATCGCGTACGCCTGGCGGCTCTTCCTCAGGCTCGGGTGCCGCTGTTGGCGACTTTCAAGCGCCCGTCGGTCTCGGAACTCAGACCGGTGGTAGCACAATTCGCCCTGGCTCTTATAACGGCATTTATGCCTTCAAGCCCACATGGAACACTGTTACTCGCGAAGGCCAGAAGATATACGCTCTCATCCTGGATACCCTTGGATTCTATGCTCGCAGCATCGCTGATCTCGAGCTTCTTGCCGATGCGTTTGCCATCTTCGATGATGTCCCTGCTCCGCTAGACTTCACGATCAAGGGCGCAAAATTTGCGTTTCTGAAGACCATGGTCTGGCCGAACGTCGGTCCTGGTACAACTGAGGCGCTTGAAAAGGCAGTTTCTTTACTTCGTGCCCACGGCGCACAAGTTGAGGAATGTTTTTTGCCTGAGCAGCTCACAGATCTCCCCGCTTGGCATGCGACAGTACTCGCCTCCGAAGGCCGCACAGCGTTTCTACCCGAATATGCTGTTGCCAAAGAGAGTATCTCAAAACAGCTTGTAGGTCATGTGGAAAACAGTGAGAAAATTTCGCGGAAAGCTCAGCTGGAGGCGTTTGACAACATCTCTACGGCCAGACCTGTCGTGGATGAAATCCTTAGCCGATACGATGCAGTTATCACACCAAGCGTGCCAGATGAGGCGCCTTTGGGGATCGAGAAGACTGGAAGTGCGGCATTCTGCTTGATTTGGACGGTGAGTGAAACTGAATACACGAATGAAAACTCCACTGACTTTGAACAAAAGGCATTACACACTCCTGTAGTCAATGTGCCAGGGTTCTGTGGCGAACACGGGATGCCGATCGGTCTTTCACTAGTTGCCCCTCGCTATCACGATAGACGATTACTTGCAGTGAGTAAGAAAGTTGGGGAGATCTTTGAAGCAGAGGGTGGATGGAAGCGATCAGTTTGAAACCAGAAGCGTGGAGACAAAAACAACCCTTCATCAGTATTGATTCATTATGTGTCCTCCACTCACAGTAAGGCACGCCACTTACTTTTGAAGCTGTCTTCAAAAGCCACAGATCATCTAGCCAAGATACAACACGTGGTATAAGGCAGCGTAATAAAAAGCGTCAGAATTGTGTTAACACGAAGAAAGATAGATGATAGACAACAGAGAAGGAGCTTCAATTATTATGCGTACAGGCTTCCAACCACATCTTACGAGCTCGATCATGGCTGCCATAAAGCACATAAGCCAGATGTCGTTTCCATCAGAAATTAGCCTTGGCTGATTTCTCGCCCACCTCCAGTTCCTCCCCATCCATGACTGGTGGTGTCGAGGGACAATATATATCTCCATTTTCTCTTTCTCCATCAAAGAAACCTTCGCGACCGTCGTTAGCCAGCCATTCCCGCTTCAACGGCGTGCTCTCAAAACCAGAAGGGAAGATTCGAGGCTTGACGAAGAATCTGGCGATGTAGTAGACCACAGCGGAAGTGAAGAACGTTAGAAGCCATCCCATCATGTACATGTACTTCGCCGCGTTACTGATGATCTGGGGCTCGTACTGGCCAATGAGGCCTGGGATTCCCATTGTGGTGCCCAACAGCCATGCTACTGCACCAAGCCAATTGACTCCAGACCAGAACCAGTATAAACCGCTCTTGTTACCGACGTAGCATGAGGGGATATGAATATTGCCTTTGCGCACGAGGAAGTAGTCGACAATGATGACCGCGCATAAGGGTGCCATAAAGATGCTGTATGATCCCAGGAAACTGTCATATGGTCAGCATGGTGCAACAATAGCCCGGGTACATCGTTGTACTACTTACCTGAGGAAAGCTTGTGCATTCGCCATCAGTTGCCAAGGCTGAACAACCACACCAAGTACTGCGCACAGGATCTGTCCTCTGCGGATCGTGAGCCACTTTGGAAATAGACCGGTCATGTCAGAGCCAAACGGAATTGAATTGGCGCCGAAATTTGTCGCGAAGACACCGAGATAGAATGATAAAGCGGCGAAAAAGACCCCGGCGCGAGCACCAGCAGAAAAGTGGTGATCGAGAATGGCACCGAATAGATCCCAGACGTTCCAGTAAGCGACGCCCCATACCGCCTGAATGGAAGTCGTCGACGCCATTCCAAGGAAGAAGACAATGACAGAGGCAACGAAGACGCTAACACCTTGGATCGATCCGGCATCGCGAGGCTTTTTACAATAGCGAGAAAGATCAGGCTGATTGACCAACATAGGTGATAGGGAACCAAAGATGGTATTAATACCAGCCATGATACTCCAGCCTAGCGGTGTCACTGAAGCTGAAAACTGTCCTTTTTCCGAAGCAAGATCCATGGAGCCGAGTCCACCTCCGTTTGTCATGCACCACCCAAAGACTGCGAATGCCGCGATAGGCATGACGAAACCTTTGACGGTGAAAATGTAGTGAATACTCTTTGGGTGAATCCACATCTGCACATGGTCAGCTGGTCCGCATCTCTACTTTTATTCTTCTTCAGCCAGATACTTACGAAGGGGAACTCCATGAGCCAGGCCATGAAAAACGTCAAAAGTTGTTTCGAAGTGACATTTGCGCTGGCAGATAATTGATTCTCGAAGTTGTTCCAGGAGCTACCGAAGATGCAACGGAGCATCACGGAGAGTAGATTTCCGGCATAGAATGTTTGGATTCCGTACCAAATGATGCATACCACAGCTCGAATGAAGATAAAGAAGTAGGAACCATACATTCCCATGACAGATCGAACGAGAACAGGACCATACGATGTTAGCGGGCAACCAGGACAAATTTCGTGCGAGTGACTCACTATCCGATGTGATATTTGACACCCGGGCGAGCCATGAGAACTACAACAATAGCAGCGAGGAATGACCCGATACATGCTGAAACGAAGGACTGTTGCCATGTCTACATTGGATTAGATTCACGAGATCGACTTGTAAGATTCAGCGAGACCTACCAAGCCCACGGTGACTAGAGCTGATCCAGTGTTCCAACCGACTAAGGAGAACTGATTGGAGAACCAATATAACGGGAGATTGTACCTTCACTCATCAGCTACAAAGGTATGTGATGTGTCGATCTCCTGCTTACCATGTCCATGTTCTGTCCTCCTCTCGAGTAGGCTCAAGATCCTTATTAGACCATCTGGCGTCCCCGATGGCAGTCTCACCCTCGGGAGCTTTGACGAAGTTCACAAAGGCTGCCTTCGATTGCCATGGCTTGGCCTGCCTAGCCTTGGAAAGTGCGTCGAATCTACCCATGGTGCTTGAGTTGAGGTGAACAGAGTATCTGTTGATCGCTACCCAGTGTCACCCATGTGAACTCAGGATACTCATATGTTGCTCAAGTGAGCGGCCCATGAATCATAGTCCCGATATGGGTAGGTACACCATACGCCGCACAAGTGGCGAGGATAAGGGCATCCTTCTCGGTCGGTAGCTTCATCGGCGCAGTTCTACCCGACAACCATACTGTCATGCAGTCTTGATCTAGTTTAAACCCGAGTGGCTGAATTCACTCCCTGACGCGAGCCTCTCCAGTGATTGAAGGAGAACAAGTGATCCTGGTTGGGTAGTGGTCCTTATCGCAGAACCCTGGTTTTAACCAGATAAGGATTTGGCGCCGAGCCCACTCGCAATCTCATCCCCACCTTCCCGCCTATTTCGGACGTGGTCCCCAGACTCTGGATGATGGACCATTGGCCACGCAGATGTCAGTATCTTTCTCTTGGGGTACATCGGATGGCAGCTGCCGAGCAGAACCTAGCTGCAGTTGATCTGCGAGTGACCGTTTCTTGTAGCTCTGCGGCAACAGCACTGCCGACATCACACAGCTGCCAAACTCGTCATGTTGCAACCAAGCGTTGAGAACCATCCGCACAACTACGAACAGCAGGCTCCGCCAGCGCCCACGCCCATAGCATCCTCGAGTGCTACTATTGAGGGCGGTCAAAGCGCTGCGAATCGTAAGTCTCGTATTGCTCTAGCCTGCAAAAGATGCAAGAGGAGAAAACAAAGAGTAAGTCCCATTGAACCGGACCATAGATACGCGCCCCATCTAGCCATGGCCGTCCTCTAATTCAAGTCTGCACAGTGTGATGGTGCACGGCCCAGCTGTCAAGCTTGCGATAGAGTAAAACAAGCCTGCACGTATGAGAGGATAGCGCGTCCACAGTACCCTGGTGGCAAAGCTTTGTTAGAAACCCCATCCCCATTTCTGATCCTACACAGTCGGTGCGTTTTCCTGACCTTTTGTAGATATATCAGCGCTTTGGAGGAGCGCATTGCGTTCCTTGAAGCTCGACTGCCTGATCACGCTACGGATCATCTTGATGGCGCATCAGAAGTAGCCCAGCAATCTCCGGTGGTAGCTGTCGCTGCATCCCACCCGGTTTCTCAAGCTCGGAGAGGCTCACATCGTGGATCACAAGCTGGTTCAAACTCAGAAGAGATTGATTCCGATGATGGTACCTCGCTGGTGAACGGAGTCGCTTACCTTTCTTTGTGTGCCTCGGGTACTACCGATACCAATCACGAACCGTACTATGTTGGATCCAGCTCCGGAGCTATCATTGCTCATGCCATTCAGTCTTCCATCTACCGTAGACCGAGCACTCAACCAGCTGATTTGGCTACACCTACACAGAAGTCTCCGGCATCAACACCGCCGGCACCACGATATCTTTCGTCAGCCCTTCTCGAGCCTGATGCCCCTACGTCTGCTCTGCCAAATCAAACTCAGGCGCGTATGCTATTTGATTTCTTCTTCGAGCGAATCCATCCTCGCTGGCCTTTGCTAGATCGTGCTGTATTCGAAAAACTGTTTGATGGACAGTATCGCCCCGGGTTTCTTTCAATCACGCAACGCAGTTTATTGCATCTGATCTATGCTATCACGGCTCGCTTTTTGGCCGTTACCAAAAAGCCATGCGGCGTTGACGATGAGGTAAGATCATGAAGAGCACGTCACGTAACCAGGAGCTAAGGTGGACTAGGTTCAGTTATCGGCCGCAACCGAACCCATGGATCACATTCTGAAGCAGCATGACCTCGCGACTGTGCAATTCCTCATCCTTCTGGCAGTCCACGGTCAAAGATCTCCCTATGGTGCAGGAGCATGGTCTCAGGTTCGATATGCTACATCAGTCTGTATCGAAATGGGCCTGCACAGAAACAGAAGCGTACCAGGCTCTACTGCATATGCGAGAGATACTGAAATTCGACGGCGAGCCTTTTGGTCATGTTATTGCCTCGACAGAGTGATCAGCATCGTACTCGGTCGATCGTTTGCAATTGCGGACCGAGACATCAGCGTAGAGGTATATTGCTCGAACGTTTGAAAAGATGTCTGCTAACCAACCGAAGTTTCCCAGTGCTAGTCCTGAGTTTTGGACATTGACTCATCGGGATGAATACGATACCAACGGAAGACAGTGGTCCAATGTACAGCCGTTCATACACATAATCAAGTTGGATCGGATCCAATCACGGATTCAAAAAACAGTATTCCGCGTGGACAAAGACGTAGTTGGTGGTACTTCCGAGGAGCGAATCAAGCTTGACAGCAAAATGTCCATGATGAGGAAGGATCTTGACGATTGGTTGGCTAGTTACCCCCAAACACCCAAAAACGACAACAAGAGTACATGGATGTATGATCCAGAGAACGCTTATCTTGACGCGCGTGACTTCTATGGCGTGTAAGTTCACTCTTCAACACACGAGATCGCAGTGCGGGCTGACAAGCGGATTTCTAGGCAGTATCACAAGGCGGTCTTGTTCCTCTTCACTATCTTTCTTCCCACACTTGAAACTTCGGACGAGCGCTTTGTCACTTGCGCGCACTCTGCTGCTAGTGTCTGCAACACTTACAAGCGGCTGAGTCAAAATAAGACCTTGACGTACACCATGATTTCTTTACACTCTTGTTTTGTGGCTGGTCTGACGCTTGTCTACTGCATATGGCGAGATCGTAAGCTCTTCTCGTACGAAGTCATTGAGGCAACCCAGAGCTGCTCTCAAATCCTAACTATCTTTGGCGAGAAATGGCCTGGAGCTGTCAAATATCGCGACATCTTTGACGCATTGTCCCAGAGCTTGTTCAAATTGACCATGGAGCCGTTAGACACAGCACGACACACTAAATCTCCCCCATCACTCCAGTTGAACATCGAGAAACAATCTGTCACTGCTGGTCAATCTTTGCAAGGACGCAATCCACCGATGTCACCGGACGAATGGCAGGCTACCAAGCCTACCATGTCACATCTCGTGACTGACGCAGTCAAAGAGGCTTTCATGGAGGTCGATGAAGAAGCACCCGGTGGGTGGCAAGGGTGGAGAATGTGGAACGAGATGGTCACCGATGAAGATCTCTCGACTCTGCGCCCCGCTGGGATCGATAGCGTTGGTGATGGGCTGTTCGAAGCGAATTGGAACTCGTACCAAGGCTCTGCGGTATATGGAACCGATCCAATTCAGGATGCCACGATGCAACTGGGCAACGACGTCATGTTGGATCAGCACCAATGGCATTTTTCTGGTTACACATGAGTGCGGAGTGCGTCAGTCAGAATGGTACAGTTGTCTGTTCCGTTTCGACCGATGATGGGCAGTACTTCAGGGAAGACCAAAGCTAAATTTGAGATTCGCTCTTGTGCTGCTAAAGTCAATTTTTAGACATGAGAAAGCACAGCGTTCGACACGCTCTGTTGAGCAGGCATGCGGGTTGAGAATGGAACTTCATCGTGGAGCGTACAGTGTTCAAACGGAAGGATCAAGAGGCGCAGGGAACAGTATGAAATGTGGGTGGTGTTGTGAATTAAATTAGAGTACATATAAACATAGCCCATCCATCCTATGTACACCGAACATGACCAGGTAGACACGCCCAAACACGCCACCGTCCAACGCCCCGCTCAAACAAGATTTTCCCTCGTGCTCCAATATGCCCTCGAATATCACTCTTGCCCTGCGGCAGCAATGAGCAGCCAATCCACCATCCGCACCGAGACTCCTAACCCGCCACCACACGCCACAAACGTGAAGTCTCTCCCTCCTTGCCCCTCCACAAGCTTCACCACCTCCCTAGCCAGCACCACCTTATCGCACAACCCCAGCTTCCACGCACGATCGAACAGCCCCGCGAACGCCTCCGCCGCCAGCCCGCGCGCGCCTGTCACATCTGGCTCCGACAGCAGCAGCAGCCCAACCGTGCGCAGCACAATGCGGTGAATCCAAGCGCGGTCCTCGCAGCGGATCGCGCGATCCAGCGCCTCGACGAGCGGCACGTTATCGAGGATAAAGGCTGTGAGGTCGGGGTCCGGGGTCGGTCCGGGGAGGGCCGCGAAGAGCTGCGCATACCAGGTGCGGCTACGGCGAGGAGAAGTGGCCAGGTCGTGAAAGAGAAGCGTTTGGGTGTGGGCGAGCGAGCCGGTGTGAATTGCGAGAGAGATAGGGCTTGTGAAGGGGCGGCTTGGGTGGGGTGGGGTGCGGCGGAAGGGTGTCGAGGGGCAGAGGCCGTAAGCTAGAAGGGCGGTGATGGCAGGGTTGTTGTCGAAGAGAAGGGCGAGAGGGAGACACGCTGTGAGCGTGAGGGTGGTGTGGGAGTCGGGAGAAGCCAGGAGAGTGGTGAGGGTGTCATGGTCGTGGGAGATGATGGCCGCGGCGGCGTCCCACTCGAGGTGCTTGGCGCCGGTCCAGGTGGTGTCGACAATCAGGGAGGCGGCGCCGGTGGGGTGACCAGCGCGCTCGTAGGCGAGCAGCGTGCGGATGAAAAGCCGGATGGCGTCTTTGCGGCGCGTGTAGATGGCGTGGGCGAAGGCGGAGAGGCCCTGGCTGTCACGGATGCATGGGTCGGCGTCTTGTTCGAGGAGGAGCTCGATGATTTCTGTCGACTCGGATACAAATGGAGAACGGATAATGGCCATTAGTGGGGTTATTGGGTGTTGCGGATAGCCAGGAAACTGCCCCATGGCATTGACGTCGATGCCGCTGTTGAGATACTGGATGAGCGATGCCGGGCTTACCCAGCCAATTTGTTTCATGAACGCAGTCGCTGACGCCGACACTTCTGGAGGCACTTGCGAACTTTTGCGTATGTGCATTTTGTTAGAGGGATAGGGTTGGATGCTCAGTTTTCTACTTTGGGTGGTGGAAGAGCTGTATGTCGAGCTGTCATCCGAATCTTGCATGGAATTCTACGCTGGCTTAGTACGTTGATGGGACAGCAGATAACTGTGCATACCAGCAAGTCATTCAGAATCACTTCTTTCGCCGCCCACGCGGTGTAAGCGGCATTGGTGCGTTCCTGAAGCTTTTTCTTCTCGAGTGTGGTGCTGGCCGTGACAGCCTCACGGATGCACAGCTCCAAAACATTGTTCGCGACGGCAATTTCCTCTCGCAGTCGCGCAACCTGACTCTCGATATTCTGCCGCGATGAATCTGAGTTCAGGCTGTCGACACTAAGTTTTTCCGCGCCACTGATCCCATCGTCCTCAATCGGGGTGATCGAAATCTGGATGTGCTTGTCCTTGGTGATGTCGGCAACACTATCATTTCGCTGAAGCGCATCGCCGGCGATGCCCACAACAGAGACGGTCGCCATTGCGACAGGAGCGTAAAGCGTAAAGGAGGAAATGTGAAACTGGGGTCTCTGAGGATGCGCACCGCCATCAATAAGACTAAGCGTCTAGCCTTAGGGCTGAGGGACGCCGTCCACGTGCGACGCAGTCAGCCTTGCAGCACATCCAGAATCAATACATCGCGGAGGCTTTGCAGCGAATCAGCACCACCCACGCCTGAACGCCTAATGTGTTCCACCCCGCCCACAATGGAGTGTTGTCCCGTCAGCACGCAAGTCTTTTCCTTTGCTGAGCGTTGACCTTCTGGGACGCTAGAAAATCCGCGGCGCCATCGCGAGTTTGACTGAGCACGGCCCGGAACACGGGAAGGTCTGTGATCTTGGCTATAGGGGGCGCCCCACAAACGTCGGCGGCGTTGATGGAGCGACGACTCGGTGATGTGTTGACCTCGTTGTGATGGCAAAGAGTGTGAGTTGACGATGTCGTGGCGGTGGACCCTGCATGGTGGTTGATGAATGGCAGGCCCAAATTAGTGCTGCAGTTGCCAGGGTACCTGGTAGCCTTTCATTTACCCTCGCACGCAATGCGGCAAGCAAGCGATGGGAACCAGAGAAACGTCCCCCGCCGGTCGCCCCACCTACTAAAACGGCGTCAAAGACCCGTACCTGGTTGTCATCATTTTCTATTTGGATGTAAAGTCAGGGTGTAGACCGGGATCGACTTTTGGAATTCCTTTGTCCCTGAAGGTTCGCACGTCGGCGTCTTCAACCGCACCATGATGTGTAGGCGAATGGATCGGCGTCTAGGGCGTTCAACAACCAGTCTTTCAACTTGAACTCTCGAGCATCGTGCCATTTGTAGCTTCTCCTACTTGCATAGCCCTACTCGACTGTGTTTACTACGTCCATCAGCGAGAGCTCATTTGGTGTTTGTTCTTCTTTTGTTTAGAGTTCTTTCACAGGAAGTTTGGGCTGCATAGAGTTTCAATCATTGAAGAGATTGTATTGAGGCGGTGTAGAGGAAGGTAACCACATATCGATATTGCGTTTATCATATACTGTTGTAGAAAAAGACCGTCGTTCGCGACGACGTATGCTGCCACCCTATGACAAGATTGCTGTCCCTCCCCTAGTCTCTTCCCATAAGGTTCCTTGGCCTGCAATCAAACTGATATACCTTAGACTGCTGCGCTCTCTCATGTCTTACCCTCGACTAGCGAGATCAATGTTCAACTTGAACCTCTTCTGGCGCTACCCCTCCCACGAGGCCTCTTGTTTGGGCTATTCGCTTGGACGGAAGACTTGTCCGCTTTCCTCTTGGTGTCTTTGGTCGGAGCTTCTACACTGCACGACTGAGGCTGCGCATCTTTCTCGTAGCTTACCACTACTTCCTTAGCTTCATTGTACGCGTCTTCGTTTTCCTGCTTTCTGATCTTTGCGAACTGGGACTTCAATTTGCTACGCGCCTTGTCGCACATGGCTGCTTCCGCGTCACCGGTCTTGTGTTCATGCATTCCACACCAGCCATCAAGCACAGCAGTGTTGTGACCTTTAGTGAACTTGTCTCTAACGTCCAAAGTGACATAAGAGAATATTCCAAAAGCGTGTTCGTCAACGGACGGAAAAGAGGAGAGGAGTTGTTCGCGACTCTCATATTGGTGAGTTGTCCACAGGAAAGCAAACAGCCTTGCAATCCAGCAGCAGAGGCCGCTTTTTTCCGGTAGATATTGAAATGCAAGAACGGCAGTCGCGAGATTTGGTAGTTTGTTTCTGTATTGGTAGTTTGTGCTCTGGAATCTGAGCAATATCGCAAAGCATAGGTCGCGCTCTTCATTGCGGTGCGCAAGGATGTACAGCTTGACGAGATTGTCGTAGAACTGCTCAATCACGTGTCCTCGCACAGCGCTGAAAGGTCTTACTTCATCTTGGTGCTGCCATTGTGACCAAATGTCGAGTATTTCATCGACTGAGCCGGAGAGGTCCAAGCCAATGCGCCCTGCAATGCGCAGGATCACTGACTTGTTGAGCGATTTGAAACTGATGGATGACGGGTTCGTATCAGTACTGACAACGCTTGATGGCGACGGAGCAGTAGGTGTCAACATAGTGGGCATCACCTCTGCGACGGTTGTGTAATATGTATCGAAGGCTGTTGATGCCGTTGGGGTAGGCAATGACACGTTCAATGTGATCTCTGGAGTGAAGTTCTGTCGTAGAGCCTGGTCAGCAGAGAATTGACGTTTGGTTTCTTCAGGATCGGAGACGAGTATAACATCTGGGAAACGAATTCTCAGGTCTTCATGTTGTTCAGGACTGAGAGTATGCTGCGCCACATGAAAGCTGACAACTTCCACGCACGACGGGACTAGCTCTTGCTTGTCAACACTCCAGGCTCTTGACCTAGCAGCGATGAAGAGGGATGTGAGATCTGTTCCGTCAGCATCCGTTGTGTGAGATGCACCTTCGGCGCTAAAGGTTTCGCTTTCCTGTGTCGTAGAGACGTCAACTGCAGCGATCGGCTCTTCTCCCTCAATGTCGTCCTCTTTAGAGTTCAGGATCGTTTGTACAAATTTGACACTTGAAGACGCACATCCGAAAAGAAGCTTCGATCCGGAGATATCGAAGCTCATAGCCTTATGACCCTCAATCTCAAAGTTCAGTTTGACTGCTTTATTACTGCGCCTTGGTCAGTTGCAAGATTGGATCTTCATGAAGCGGAGTACGGACAGTCTGGCGTGTTTGCTACTAAAAACCATAGGGCACTCGATCGGATACTCTTCTTCCAGTTCGCGGATGTGCCGGTAAAAACCGCACTCACTCTCCGACAGGACAAACTGGAAACGCTCCTCTTTCATTGTGTAGCGATTCGTGGTTCGGTGGTTGTTTGGCTGGACTAGGGAAGGAAAAGGGTCGTTTGTTGTCAGCGGAAGGTGGCAAAAGTCTCTTAAGCGTTTAAATTGCGGTGGAAGTGATTATTGAACCCAGCACTCAAGGTGAAGGCGTCGTTGACAGTAGCAGTGACTTGTCACTTTGTAACGAGCAGCGAGCGTAATGGAAGTTCACACTGAAACAAGATTATTCAGCCAGCAAAGGAAGATGATTGGGCGCGAAAAGAAATTGGCAGGGGGCAGCCTAAAACAAAACACGCGCTAACGTTGTGTAACCTGGTTTGGGAATGAGTGCAGTCGCGATCTCTCACCGCTGTCGATAACGACAAACTTATCAAGAATTCTTAGCGTATGCAGGAACGCAGTCCACAATTGATGTTGCGTGAATTTGACAAACAATCTTGTAACGAGCTACGCACAGCAAAATCCGTGCAGCATCAGATGTGGCCTTGCAGTTGTAGCACGGCGTAGGTAAGACCATTCAATTACAATTGTTGGTAATCTGCGTAGACCCTGACAACAGCAAGTCAGATTTCACAATGCGAGTGTCTACTTCAGTAATAGCAGAGAAGTTCCTCAGTAATTATACAGTTCCTACGTAATCACCCTGCAATGGCTATAATTAGGCTTATATAGACAGTCGTTGGCATTGACCATGTCTTTGGTCTATGTAATCAAGGCAGTTTAGTCAATGCTTCAAGCGATGGTAAGTCTGAAGCCTGGCATCAAGAAGATGAATTTGAGATGGACATGCTTACAAAGATGCAAGACATGAAAGCTATATACAAAAAGGGCGAACATATGTACATTTTGAGATGACCAATTCTGCAATCAGCCCACGATTGCATTCAAGACCACCAAATTCTGCAGCGAAGAGAGCCTAGAGCTGACCTCCACTCGAAAGCTGAGCCAGCTTAACCAGAGCAGACACCGGCCTTCTTGGGCTCGCAGCCACCAGCACAGCCGTTGTACATCTGGCACTTGGTCTTTGCGTCGGAGCAGACGTTCTTGAGGACAGCGGTATCCTTGTAGTTCGCGTTGATGCCAGCAAGCTCACCACCCTTCTTAGCAGTGACACCCTCGATGTAGACGCCGCGCTTGCACTGCTTGGAGCACTGAAGTCGAGGTCAGTGGACTGTGAACGAGTTTGGGAATGTTTCACTCACGTTTCCGCAAGACCTGTAAAGCTTGCCGTAGTCCTCAACGTAGAAGTTGATGATGTTGACGGTACCGCAGCCGTTGTGCTGGATGATCTTGTCCGAGCCGTGGTAAGCACCACCACCGATGACCCAGGAATGCGAACCGGCCTTGTCGTTCTTAATGGAGAGAGCGTCCTCGCAGACGTCCTCCCACCAGACAAACTCAAGCCTGCAGGCACCGTTGCAGTGGACACCCTCGGCCTGGTTCTTTCCGATGATGACGTTGCGGAGAGTGGCGCCCTCGTGGAGGTAGAAGACGGCGTCCTTGTAGTCTATGGCTTGTGAGCAATGTATCAAGACAGTAGAGCCGGTGTTGATAGCTTACCTCCCTCACCCTGACCACCGCAAGCACCGCTGCCGCGGTCGTACCTGTACCACTGGCCGTCGAAGACCTGGCCGGCCTTAACCTCGATGACAGCCTTGTTGGTCTTTGTGCCAACAGCCTTAGGAACTCCACCGGTGTGACCGTTGCAAGCCATGACGGCAGGAATGAAAGCTGCGATAGCAGCAAAGATGGTGGAGGCCTTCATTTTGGAAGATGCGTGCAGGAAGCGAAGGTGGTCTGAAAGAGTGACTGTTGAAAGAATGTAGAGGAACTGTAAAGAACGCTTTGAACTGCTGATGATGATGCTATCGCTGGACAATCTGAGGTCTTTATAATGCTCTTTTGGAGACCGTCCCACACAATCAATACGGTCGCTGCCAACAAGGCTACACAGCCAAGCTTACCCAGATTAATCCCAATTAGAGTCCCTTTCTAGACTGGCCCACACTTAATTCTAGGAAATCCACATGGCGCCTTGGTTCTTGGCGGCAAATCCTCCGCTGTGTAGAACGGCATGCCCAGCAGTCAGTGTGGTGATGCGAAGTCGACTTCGGCGGACGCAGAGCGTGCCAAGGTACATGTGGTCTGCGGAATCGCGGTGGGACCTGCATTGCGGTGAGACCTGAAACGCTCTAGCTCCCTCCTATTGTCCCGGTGAATAGACTAACACACATTGGGCGCTAGACATTCGGCAAGTGTAAGGCTTAGCGCAGCCTTCTGCAACACCACTTAGGCAGTCAGACACTTCACAACTCAACTTGTTGCTAGAAAACATCTTGCAAAGCGTGTGCTTGCTGAACCAAATGTATGACACAAGCCCGGTACCGCCACTTTTACTAGGCCGAGAAGCAATCTTCTTCCAAACCTACCACGGTAACAAGCGGAACATTTCGCGGCTTGTCAGCCAAGCCCAGCTACAAGCCTAGCGCCCGTCGAAACAAATCACCGCAAGCTCCATGCTTGTTAAAATCCTACCGAACGTCGGGAAATACATTCAGGAACGAGGCTGAGTATCTTGGTATGCAGAACCGTTGATCTAGTCATGTCCATCAATTAAAAGGTCATGCTTGACATCATGGCACAGCTGTCACATGCCTACCAACAATTTGTAGTCTTATACATGGAGAATCACCGATCAAACATATGGCTTCCGGTACCGAATACGATGCACAGGTGATGTTGATAAGTAAATAGCCCTTAGCTGGCGAGGAGAAAACTGGGAAAGCGCTGAAACACGGTCAAGGCATCAAGGATTATCATCCTACATGCAACTCTTTTCGAAAATTGAATACATTAACCAAGATAGGCTGGTCCAAAAGTAAAGAGCCAACTACTGCCTGATTTGGGGCTTCCGAGAAGGATTCCCGGTCGGGACCTGTACCGTAGGGCGCGGTCTCCGACGCAGACCTGTAGTAAGGGCCATCTCTGCCCCCTTTCCCTGATATCAATCTGATGTGTGTCTAAACTTTTGTGTTCTGCTGAAGATGAGCGATTCCGAATTTGTAGAGGCCATATTGAAGTGGTCACTCCATTATGAAGAGAGATGTGCGAGGAACAGGAACAGGGCAAGATTCTGTCGCGAGGTATGTCGCTATGGTATGTTGTAGCGCCGCCCGATTATACGTAAACCGGAGGCTGATATATGAAGGGATATAGCGTTGCACTTGCTTCCCACATCCCCAGTGCATTGTGCTCTGCGTATTGAGATCCGCGGCTTCTCAGGTCAACCCGCCAGTCTTTTCCTTCTACAGATAACGAGAGTGCCGAGCGAGACCAGTCATGGAACACTACGCGTTTGATCGAGTTCGTATCCCGCTGCAAGTACAATAAGTATACCGAGAATGATTGCAGACTTGCGAGACAAGAGTTTGACTCCGCAAGGGTGGTCAGCACATCAGCCCACGTAGCCTGCGGATTTGCGATCATGATCTTCTGAAGCTTCAACTGCTTCAGCGAGTCTGAACAGGGCATTAAGAATTCGATCAAGTCGTTGACGTGGGTGATCCGGAAGGAGTCCAAGTTGCACTTCTCAAGCTTTATAAATCGGCATGTTCGCGCCACGACTCCAAAGAGATCGTCTTCAAGCGCGCTATAACAGCTCAACTCTAGTGTCCTCACGTTCTTACACTTTGCCAAGAAGCGCACGATGAATGGTGCTCGGGTCTGCTCGATTTCAAAACCGGCATCAGGACTTCTCCAGTCTCTGAGATTCAGTTGCAGTGTCTCCAGGTTCTCAAAGGCCACGTCAAAATACCGTAGAGAAGGCGCAAGAGATTCAAGACGCCCGATACTAATAGCGCCGTACCTGTCCTCATCGTGGACCGCGATATGTCTGACCTTGACCTCTGACGTGGCAAGCGCAGATAAAGTGGAGATGAACGGACGACTCATCTCGTGCTGAGAAGACTCGCAGTATCTATGCCCAAACACCGAACACAAAGCTTCCATACCCTGGTAAGCGAAAGTGATGCGATCAAGTGAGGTGAGATGGGCGAATACGGTGACGAGGCACTTGACATCAAAACGTGTCTCATTAAACCACTTCGCCGCCTCTTCTGCTTTATGCTGCAACGCCTCGTAATCCTCGGTCAGCTTGAATAATCTAATGTCGTCCTCGTCGATGGCAACAGGAGCCATGAGTCCTGGGTCTAAGCTGCGACGGCCCATCTTCCACAATAGGAGAGCGTGGTGTGGCGTAGCGTCTATGATGAGGTGCCGGCAACTGCTACCCAGGGGCTGATACGTAGATATTTCGGTGAGGCGCTGAAGCGACGTTTTTGTCCATCGTAGATGTTGAGTTGTGAAGAAGCGCTGCCTGAACAAGTGGTCGGTTTGATGGTGGTAGCGCGAGGCTGTGAGGCGAAGTGCGCGGAAGCTTGGAAGAGTAAGGTAAGAGGCAACTTGTTCGATAAGTTCTATTGGGAGAGACAGAAGCGACGTGCGTGCTTGCACTCTGGCTAGTGTTTCCTTTTGCGGTTTCGATGTCATGTTTGTTGGTGAAGACTGGGTGGGATGGCTGCGGGGAAGCCGAGCTGATGCCCGTTTTGCCACCGCTGGACCGACGCTACTGCATCTTACAGACGGTATATTCTTGCTATAAGTGAGATAACATGTTCATGGTACACACAAGTGCAAATCTGAGTGTCATATTGTTTACCGCTGAATACCCTTCGTCTACTCGAGGCGTAGCTTCGCAAAGCTCGTTGATTTGTGAAGAAGAGTAGCGGACTAAATATGAATCTTAGACTTGAACAGTACCCTACGGGACACATGAGTAGATGTCCTGTTAGAGTACGAGTTGATTGCCACTAAAGGGTGATCGAACCTAGAACTGCCTTTATCAAATCACTATCATCCGGAGAAACGAAGACAGGATATGCCTGTGTTGTACAATTTGAAGCAGTAAAGAGGATCCTAATCGCTGTCCTCAGCGCTGTCGCTGTCGCTGTCGCTTCCATCAGACCCATCACTGTCAGAACTTGAGCTTGAGCTGTCGTCGGCTTCGGTTTCAGGCTCTGACTCTTCACTTGAGCTCTCGTCGCTGCTGCTGTCCGAGCTGCTCTCGTCGCTCGAGATATCGGTTCGGCGCTTACTCTTGCGGGCCCTCTGCACAGGCAGAAGCTGAACTGCGGGATTGATGCTCGTCGTTGGCTTGGGAGCGGGCAAGATTGGTGCCGTACGACCAAGTGCTGACAAAAGTGCTTCTGCTCGGCTGCGGCGCATTCGGCGAATGTATGCATCGCCGTTGGGGTGCTGCGCTAAGCTCTCGATATCACCTTCAACCTTCCTGCGCTTCTTCTCTTTTGTGACGCGTTCTTGCAGAGCCGCCTCCTTAGCAGTTTTTTGAGCTTCTTGGTCCATGTCTGACGGTGCTTTGGCGTCTTCTGCATCCAACTCCTTGATGGCTGCCAGAGTCCTCTCCCTCAGTCGATCGATGACACCAGCGCCCTTCAAACCCTTGATATACTCAAGTAGTGCGTCCGAATGCTCGTCTGGAATGCGAAAGATGTTCAGTGCGTTGTCTACGACGTCGTTTTGCTTCGCTTTATTAAACTTCCAGTTGACGCGGTCGTTGTAATACTGAGTGAGATAGGTAGTGTAAACGGAAGGATCTTTCTTCTTACCCTTCGCCGCGGTCGCAGACTGATTTGAAGGTTTCGGTGATCCTAAGACTGGCTGTGCAGCTGCTTCGTCGTCCTTGGCTGCGGCACTCGCTGCAAAAGCCGCTGCTTCCTTCTCGTTTGCTGCTGCTCTGTCCTTCTTCTCTTTCTTCTTCTCCTGTCTCTCTGCCTTCGTAACTTCTTTAAGCTCCTTGGTGGTTGCTGGCGCCGAAGTGAAGCTAGGCTGCGGTAGGGCTTCGAGTTCTTCTCCCTTCTGCTCTGCAGCCCACTTCTTGAACCAAGTCTGCCCGCTATCGCCGTCCAGTCGTTTTGTGTCTGGAGTAAATGCCACCGACTTTCGCCGATCAGTCCGTGGTGGTGAGCCTGACGAATCTTTGCTGCGGTCTCGAAGGATAGGCTGATGCTTTTGAGGTGTTGAGATCAAGGGCACAGGAGAGTGGTCGATCTCCGTAGAGGCAAGTAAAGTTGCTCTTGTTCTTACAGGCACAGCTTCGGCGGGTGAAGTTGCAGCCGCCGTTTGTGCTACCAACTTTTTCCGGTCTCTCGGAGTCAACTTCGGCTTCTTCTTCTTCCCCTGGCGGTAGTTTGGGTCTCCTGTGGCAGGTGCGGTTGCAGGAGTCTCCTCCGTGATACTATCTGGTATGGCATGGCCGTCTTGCGCAACGGCAGACGCATTATCAGCTGAGTCGTCATAAGTTTGGCTGTCCACTGGTGCTATCCGGGTTCTTTTCGATGGTGTCGGTATGCTGGCCTCCGCGGTCTCATGTTCATGTTTCCTTTTGCCAAGCTTTGACGATTTGCCATTTTGGGCAGGCTCGATGGAAGGCTCAGAGTGCGTTTGAATGCCTTTTGCTGCATCAGGTATCGTTGCAGGCTGACTTTCGCCCCCTTGCGATGTAATGGGATCAGTAACGGCGACTCCGGATTGGGCCTCACTCTGTAGAGCGAGGCCAAGTCTTCGCCAGGCAGGAATCCTCGTTGCCATGATCAGAAGTGGAATATGAGTAGTCAGATTACAATTACGCGGAGACTCGACCCATCGCTCAAATCCGAATCAGCTCAATCAGCGTGTATGTCAATACTCGAGTGTCGAATGGGAGACGTGAACAGAGATTTTGGAGCTGGAAAATGGCAGGTGGCCAGTGCGCTGGCGATCCCGAGCTTGCTCCTTCCAGGCCACCAGTGGAAGGCGCGTCCAGCACCGATAGACCACGACATCTCGCCTGCCATCACCACCAGCGCCGCTAAAGCTCACGACCGCCTCCACGAGCTGCAAACGAAGCTGACCCACCCAACCGTACAAATACATCCGCCGCCATCATGTCTGGTGCGTTGTCGCTGTCCCTCCAAGCTCGTGTGGTTCATTGCACATGCTAACAGCTACCCTCGTCATACAGGAAGCGCAGGCTACGATAGACACATCACCATCTTCTCTGACCAAGGTCGCCTCTACCAAGTTGGTACGAACCCCGCCGTAGCCCTCTCGCTAGCATGTCCCGCGCTGCAGCTTGAGAGCTTCCTTCCACGGACCCCCGCTAACGGAGCGGTCTCACAGAGTATGCATTCAAGGCAATTACGGCGGCGAACATCACATCCTTGGGAGTGAGGGGCAAGGACTGCGCAGTAGTCATCTCTCAGAAGAAGGTCCCCGTATGTTATACCGTCAATCAGAGGCAGCAACAAAGCTAACAACCAGGTGTAGGACAAGCTCATCGAACCCTCCTCCGTCTCCCACATCTTCAGGCTGTCGCCGTCAGTTGGCTGCGTCATGACAGGCTCCATCGCCGATGCACGAGCCTCCGTGAGCAGAGCGCGAGGTGAAGCTGCCGAGTTTCGCTACAAGTACGGCTACGAGATGCCCTGCGACGTCCTCGCCAAGAGGATAGCCAACATCAGCCAGGTCTACACACAGAGGGTAAGCAAGGACTCAAACAAGACAGGCAATGGAACTTCGATACTGATTCTGGTGTAGGCTTACATGCGGCCGCTCGGTGTTGCCACAACGCTTATCTCGTTAGATTCAGAGTTTGGCCCTCAACTGTACAAGTGCGACCCAGCAGGATACTACGTCGGGTACAAGGCAACTGCATCGGGACCGAAGACGCAAGAGGCACTCAACTTTCTCGAGAAGAAATTGAAGAACAAGGAGCACGCAGAGGGCAACTGGGAGGAGGTCGTCGAGCTTGCTATCACTGCGCTGAGCACAGTCCTGTCTGTCGATTTCAAGAAGGGAGAGCTGGAGGTCGGCATCGTCGGTGGACCTAAGCTCAATGGCCAAGAGGGCACCGATCCCGCATTCAGGGCGCTCACCGAGGAGGAAATCGATGAGCGACTGCAATCAATCGCTGACAAGGATTGATGGACCATTGAAGGGATGATGCCTCAGGGCTGAAAGGCGGTGGGTCGCTGAGGTAGGCGCAAACACGAGACCATGACGAGCTCCTAATAGCATGCAACGACCTCTCAGACACGAGAAGTGCTACAGAAGCACCATGAATCTAAGACTTAGACTCACAAACCTGCATAAGCGCACGAGTGAACTGGAAAGTGGAACCGAACTGAAAGAGCTTGGGAGTTCAGCCCCCGGCTCCACATGGTTTGTAGGATCCTTTCGCCATATTGTAATGACAGCAATCTTTGTAGGCTCCAGCTGCCCTGCCCTGCGACAATTCAGGAACGGCCTATCGACGTCATGCAACTGGCCGGAGTTGCCAGCACAGCCGTTCTGTGGCTGATACCGCTTGCTGCGACCACGGCCCTAAGAGCGTTGTGGAGAGGCTCAGGTTGCCCTACCCGGCGCCCTCTTCAGGTTCACTCAGCAAAGAGCACGCGAATGCCGCACCGCTAATTATAAGTATGAGCCAATCAATGATGCTGGTGCGGCTGAAGCACGCAGCTTGACCGGATGAGGCCGTGAGGCTTGACCAAATATGGCCTAGTGTTTTGGTGGCTGGCCATACCGCTGCTGAAATGCCCAGCGCAGCACTGACGAACATGTACACTCCAGCTGCGATGGTAATGGGGCTCACAGATTAGGACGGTTTTTCCTATGGTTCCTGCATGGTAGTTTTCTCATGCAGCCTCAGTTTCAGTACTACTCTTACACCCCATCGGAGCTCGTTAGCATCCTCGCAATGCTGAGTGGTCCAGCTTTACCAGCTAATGCCAGCTGGACACTACTCAGGATCCAAATGTGGACACTCGGCAAGACGTAGCGGCGGGAGCAGCCCTCACTATCATCAAGCCTTGCAGTGCACCATCCTTCCTACGAACGCCCAGTCGAGTTCTGTTATATAACGTTCGCCACGCCTCTGTTGATCTTCATCACAGCGGCCAGGTCTCACCGCAACAACTCGGTCCTGTTTCGAACCACACTCAACATCGCCAATATCAGGATCTGCTTCGACGACTCTGTCCAACTTTGTAGTCAACATGTCTGACGGTCGTACGTTCCCCTACTTGCGGGCTAACCAAGGCCTCTTGGTGACCATTTGCTTGCTCATGAGGAGAGCCTGTACTAATGAGCTTTTCGCAGTGAACGATGCCCGAGCTATGCGAGTAGCAGAGATCATGACCGACTTCCGCAATCTCCAGCACTACCTAAGTCAGCTGCGCGCAACACCGACCGCGGAAGAGTACTACCTCGAAGGATACTCGCTCCTTCGATCATGCGCCAGCGAAGCTCAAACTATCCTCCAGACGCCGTTTTCCGCTAGCACAGGGGCATCTACTGGGGACCCTGAACGCGAGAAGCAGCAATTGAAGACGTGAGTGTACCTGCCAAATAGCATTTACTCCTTCTGTACTGTACGCCGCGTACCAAGCCGTCACGTATGACATCAGCGGGTATAGAACGCCTTTTTTTGCATGTAGAGGCTGACGTCAGAGCACAGTATCATCACAGACGCTGCGGTACGACGATTCCAGTGTCAGCGAGCATATCTGAGGGCGCACGCGGGTCTAAGGTGGATGAACTCGCGGCACAGCATTCTGCGAAGCCAACCCCCGAACGCAAGTCACATCGCAGCGCTACAGCAAGTGGATAGCACGCTACGTAATGTACGTCAAAGACCCCTGCGTCAAGCGAACCTACAGTTCTTTGATCGTCACCATTGCCTGTACTACAGTCACTGATCAATTACAAGGAGCTCCTCGCTATTACAGATACCTACGTCGAAAGCACACTGCGCAACCAGGACGCTGCTCAGGGCAAGTGGCTTGCAGAGGATCCATCGCTCGCTCAGGTCCAGCAAACGCTCATGCGCCGATAAACACCACGACCGATCTACGTCCTTCCGCGATTTGCACTACTGCATTCGGGCATTCAGCCTCAAGGCGCCACGCATCTCCTACTCGATACCCATCTCATCTTACGTTACGCGTCATCGACACAGCATGGCTTTCTACCTGCGGCTTCCCAGTATACCGTGCGACAAATTCGGGTACTCTTTTGCTTTATCAATTTACCCAAGACAGCAATGCCTTGTGGGGGGACGCTTTCTCGACACCAATTATTTGGTGTGCGTCTCTCGGGATCTCCCGACCCTTCCCCTCTTTTCCCTGCTTTGTGCTGGTCACACTTTTGAAAAGTATACACTTTTTTTCTGGTTCTTGATAACGCTACATAGCGGTCAATTTTAGCGCTGGTGTTGGTCTGATTTCGTTCAAATACTTCTAGCCCAATTGGGGTCGCTTGGCCCGCCTCTTCTCTTGACAGGCAACGCGACACGATGCAAGTGGAAAACGTGTGCAAAGCATGACATCGGCAAGAGCTCAGACAAGGATCTCCTAGCAAGTCATGTATTACTTTCGCATCTAGCATCTTTTTTCCTTTTTTCCCGTTTCATTCTTCCCACTCTAGCAATTTACATTACTTTCACAATCGTACATACGTGTTCTCATCAGATGTTGCTGTATGTTCTGCTTGTGCTATATCACCACAGTCATTCATTGATGCAACTGATTCGTGGCGGTTGCCTCGTTCGCATCACAGGCTAATGCATGACATGACGCACGACCGATCGTGCAACCCTTGATCCGCGACAGACGAGAAACGTTTTGCTATGGGCCCGGCAGGCCCTAGCGGTACAGTCTAGAGGTCAGCTGGGATCGCAAGCGCGTCGAATCCGAGCCTGCGGAAGCTTCCGCGGCACCCAGAGGAGCGGTCGCAGCTCCTCTGGCACGTGGAGAAGAAACGGCGTGACATGATGTCGTTGCGATTCAGCACAGCCAGGATCGCGAGCCAAAATCGAAAATGCGGCTGAATTAATCGAAGCATCGAGATTCCATGGGATATGCACTAGCGGGGCTGAGTAACATCCCTTCACACTGTGACGTCTGTGTCGGCATCATAGGCCGCAACCTTCAAGACGGATATACATCCCACGGCACGATACCCCGATTCCTTCAACCTAAGGTTCCCCAAGATTACGGTGAATGACGCTTCGGCATCGCCTTCCCATCAAAGCCATCGTCGCACACCCCGCGATGCTAAGAGCTGCTCTAATGCGCCGCTAACTGCGCTACAAACTCGGTTAAATGCTTATACGTGACACTTTACTCTTTACAGCCATAGATCGTATTCGGAGCAGCCGATCGGCATGCACCAAGCCACAGCCTGGCATCATATCATCGACGAGGAGACGTAGGCTTGGTGATGAGGGGAAGAGCAAGCCATGTGGATCAAATAAGTCTACCAGTGACAGTGTGTCCACGTGGCGTGAACGGAAGCGATAGACATGGGAATCTGAGAAGTATACGGCAATCGTAGCGAGATGCTTATGCGCCCAGTGTAACAAGTCATGGCAGATCCTGGTCGAGCTGCAAAGCGCATGCCAGAGCGAGCATGTAAGTCTCGTACGATAAGTCGGAAAGTGAGGATACGGTGGACGGATACGCCGTGGATGGATGCCGTGGATGGATATGCCGTGGATGGATATTCCGTGGATGGATATTCCGTGGGATGTTTCACTCTGTTCTTTCAACTATTCGAAGCAAAAGCCACCATCCCTACTTTACCGCCCGAGTTGGCTTCAAGCAACACTCAATGTCGAACGGATGAACGCGAAACCCGCAGAGACGTTCACTTGTCATCAAATATCTGTTTATGGCTACATGGGCTGGGATAGAAAAAGTTGGTGAACTAATTAAGCAGACTGTAGTTTGCTCTCGAACTTGATACATGTGCTGCCTGCATCCCAGCTATTTCTTTTTCCAAAATACGCGCGACTTCATCGTACTGACCTACAAAGAGACCGGCAAGGTACTGTATCCTCTTCTCTTGCGCCTGTAACCAAGCTTCGCGAGCAGCCATCGCCTTTTCGCGCGCCGCGAGTGCAGTATTCCGGGCTTTCATTGCCTGTTCGCGCCTCCAGACACCGCGTACTAGCCGTGCCACATCTCGCTCCTGTTGTAGTACCGCTGATGCCCGGAGATCTATCGCCTCGCGGTTGATAATCTGGCGGTTGATATGGTCGGCCATCTCTTCGTATGTGAGGTGGGTGCGGTTCTCGTCTCGTTCGCCGGGGAGCCATAGTGTGCGGCATATGGGACACATCTTTGGTGCTTCTGGGTTGGATTCCAAGAATAACTTCAGACAATCGACACCAAATGTGTGCGAGCATCCAGAGATACCAGTAATGCGCACACATTCTTCGTTCTGGGGATCGTACGTCTCTCGGCAGATGGGGCATTCTTCTGATGCGTTGAACGGCACAGCGGCCGTGTGAAAGGCAATAAAGCTTTGTGTGGCATATGTGTAGGTTGTGCTTGTCATTAAAGTATTTCGTTTCTTGTATCTTCCAAACGCCGCTGACTTGTGTAGACACGCAAATCATGAGGACTGTCGATGATGGTGGCTGATAGTGGCTGATGGTAATGGCTGACGATGCTAATCTTGAAGACCAGGACCATGAGAGTGACTGAAAAGCCAGCTTTGTAGTACCTTGCTAAGATGAACATGGTTATAGAGACCCTACGATCCGTACCACTCAACCAGTACCAAACGATGTGCTAAGTTGAACCTCGAGTGTGATTTCAGTAGAGCTTATTGAGAAAGAAAAGACTGTGAGATGTTGAGCTTGAAACAATGATGAAAGACAGAGTTAATCCACTGGAAATATTCAAGCTAAATTCTATAAGGGTTCACAGTCCCACAATTACTTAACCATGGTTCATCTTACACGCTAACAAATCAGAACATACTCTCATTGGTCAAAAATATACGGCAAGGTGATACACACAAGGTCGTCATTAATTATCATGATTATAATGATCGATTTGCTTGCATGCCTGCAGATATAACAGCTTCCAAAGACAAGCCTCTGCCAACATCCATGTTACAATCTAAGGACAGCTGAACATATAGTATGTCTTAGCCGATGACGGTACAGTTTTGAGGTACAAGATTGCACATGTGCATCTGCGTCATCTCGAGCGATTGCGTGTAACTAGATCACGCAAAATCGTGATACCAATCATACGCGGGTGCCCACGCGGGGGCCCATAGGCTGCCACTGCTTGGCTTCTGTGCCTGGTTGACCTATGCACAACAGCAAGTGTTGTTATGGGCTGCGTGGATGTATGAATCGGTTGGGGGTCGTCCGCGAACCATGGCGTGCTGCTTGCTCGGTATCTGAGCAGAGGAATTTGATCTTCTTCTATGCCGTAGCTAAGATCGTGAACAACGCGTCGATTGTCGATAGTCCTTCCCATTGTCTGAATAGCTGGTGGGCTCGCGAAAGAGGGTAATGAGACACTGCCCTCTGCCTCCGCAATATCAGCTAGCGTGGCATGGGGATCGTAGAGTGGTCCATTATCTCGCGCGCTATTACTGTTATGAGCCTCACTCGTAGATAGGTGCTCCTCTGCAACTGGTAGATTGATCGCACGGTACGTTCGAGCTTGGTTTGATGATTGTAAAGGTACTGCGTTACGTCGTCCTGCTCGCGAGTTTGGTAGTGGTAGCGGATTTGTGGACACTACGCGACTTGATTGACTTCTAACAGTGGTCCGCAAAGAAGACGGAGATTCTGATCTGTTGGAAGTTGGGCCTGCATCCTCTGACGACAGAGCAGACTGCTGTGACGAACGCCGGCGGGCGAGCGGGAGCTCTGGCAACGAAAATGTGCTACTTCGAATGGCGATGCCAAGTAACGAATACGGATCCTCACCAGGTTCAAGCTCTGCGGTCATCTCAGGCTGATGTCTGGGGGCTCTCTCCATAATGCCCCGAGCACCAGTACGAGGCTGTGAGCGATGAACAGTAGTGCCCGTCGAGGCTTGTATCGTCGTAGCGTTCCTCTCCAGAAACGAATGTATGCGAGCTTCTCCTTGTTGCAGGCTAGTCCTGGTCACTCGATCGATAGGTGGTACGCCTGCACGCTCCAAAGCTTCGAGAGCTTCGATGTTGCTAAGTAGCTGCTCTACATGCTGGGAGACGTTAACATCATCGAGAGCATGAATCAAGTTTCTTAAAGGACTCCGCTGAAGTGTTCTCGATTCAGAATTGTCGCGTCTTGAAATTGCGGCCAGAGCGGGAAGAGCCAACACTTGTGAAGTGTTTGTGTCCCTGGGGGAAGGCTGACCTGTCGAGCTTCTGGTGTACCATTTTCGGCGACAGACTGGACATGTGTTCTTGTTGGGGCAGGTGCTGTCAAGCCAGGACTCAAGGCACTGGCGTCCAAATACGTGATCGCACTCGCTATTGCTAGTAACTCCCACTGGTTGATGTGCATTGTTGTCATATGGGTCGAAGCATATACAGCACTCATCGCCGTCAGAGAGATCGCCGCGATTGGGCCAGATGTGGAAAGCTTTGAAGCTCCTTAAGGTTGGATATCTACGTGGCATGTTCTGGTCTTATTGTTAGCTTCTATACCTATAGACTGTCTTGACGTGATGTCGGGAGTTAGACTGACGATACGCGAGAGGTAGAATGGGTGTGATGCTGATCTCGAGGTTTCTGTGGCTGCTGCCGGCACGACGACAGAAGCTCTAAGAGTGCTTTTTCTCCGGCGCAGGACATGCTGTCCTGACCACACTTTCCAAAATGCACTAAGGCGATGCCTCGTGCACCCCATTGACCTTTTTGAGACCTTTCTCAAAGATTGTAACCAATGACATCATCGATATAGGAGACTGTTGTTTTCGGAGTTGTTCCTTCTGCCAAGGTAACGAACACCTAGCAGGCACGAACGCTAGGCGTGCCCGGGTGTCACATCATTGTACAGAGTTCGTTCAGACTCAGATGTGAATCTCCTGCTACATGGTGTACGCAGCAGTTCAGCGGCCGCAATCGCGTCGATCCAGGTTTGGCCCAACTTCGTACTCGCCTAGATACTCTGGGACCATGGTAGCGTTGGTTCATGATTGAGGTGTCTAGACCTAAGCAAGACACTCAATATTTGGGATACAGTGCGGACCTCATCGTGCTTAGAAGAGGCCCGTGAAAGCGGCATTGCGTTCCTTGAACGCGTGATGTGAATGCACAGTCGTGGGCCCCGCTTTGAACAAAAGCTCGCTTGCTACCACTACGGTGGTCTGGCTTAGTCACCCTTGACTTTCAGGCGCCCCTGCAAATCAACGACAAGACACAACAAGTTTCAGCTCTGGTATTCAGATCAGTAGCATTCGGAATCTCCATACAATAGCTATACTGATAAGCTTCTGCCCCTGACGCGCATCTTGTTGAACAACGACGATCATTTACACGCCGCCCGTGGGTGCCAGTCGCCTCCTGCCAAAAGAAAACCACCCGCCCAAAATTGCCGGGATACGCCTGCAACGCGAAAAACGAAATACAGAGATGGTTGCGATGCGGAACCACCCAGAGCTGCTATAACGCCAGTGCTATGATCAAAAGCCAGTATCTGGCGATAGTGCCAGTCAAGTAATGAAGACATTGCGAGAACTGCGTCTGTCGAGGATCGACGACTCGCACGCTTTTTCAAGGACTCGCATGAAACGTATATCTTAGAAGAGGTAGACTGGCTGCTGCGTTGCTGTGCTGCCACATTGGACAGCACAAGCGCAGCTGACGGTACCAGGCAGTTCATTGACTTCTCCGTATCCTCTGGTTGATAGGGATGGGCGCGTTGACAAAGACATCGTGTTCACCGGCTATGCGCGATTGCTTCTCTTCGTATTCGCGAGATGACATCTTCAGGTCATCGATTTGCGCCTGCAACAATCAGTACCAAGAGTACAAAGAGTAGTCGGTGATCTCACCTTTGTCAATGGAGGTCCAATAGTCGAGACCAGGAAGCCATCTCGTCCCTATCCACGGTCAGCGTCCTGTTACACCTTCATTCCTTACTCTGGACGGCATACTTGGAACGTGAATGGCCTGACAATTGCATCAGGGCCGCAATGATATCTTATCTCGTTCTGGATCACGGCGCGCGAGATTCCATAACCAGGAATGAAGTATGAGTTCGGGGTTGCCATCATGATATTCCGGACCGGGAACAGTAATGATGAGACAGGAAACGATGTTCAAGCCAGGTTCACTCTATGTTCAGGCGCTGTTGTTGCGAAGTAAGCTCGGGCTCTGCACGATTTATACACCCTGACAGCCTTGTCCTCAGATCAGACAATCCTCTCTGAAACAGACAAGTACACGGGTGCAGTCTCAGCATCGTATCCGATGGCTTTGCCGGCGGTGGCCCTAGTTGGGCTTGTATGCGCTGATGCCGCTCGCCTCATTCTCGCCCTATCGGCCCAACCATGATAATTGGGCGGCATCCGGCCCAGCCAATCTTGCGCGACGCCCTGTTTCCTGTCTTTGACTTAGCAGCAACGCCAGTGCATTGCGACCACTGAGACGGCTCCAGAGGCCTGACAGCGCCGTCGTTCAGTCACCAATCTGACATACGGCTACCGCAATAGCACAGCTGCCACGTCCATGCCTGCCATACTAGACGCAAACACCCGATGTATAAGGTCGATCTCTTTGCCACCACATTATTTACCAGGCGTCTTGACGAACTTGACTTGAGTGTGTTGTGCCTCCATATGTACAACACGATGCTTGCCATGCTGTGGGGCCAACAACGCTCTTGGCGATCCGAGAACCACGAATGTCGATCATCACCAAAACAACAAATATCCCCCAACGGTTGGGCATCGCACGCCTTGGACCTAAAGTGACAGGTTATCGGCACCTCGCATGGGGAACCCTCCGCCTCACCGCCTCCGCTACCAAGATCTGTCAAGTTCATGAAGTGTTCGATGATCGCAGGGACATCCCTTCCGGAAGTCGCTGAAGTCCCGGACCCACTGGGCATCTTTGCGTCCTCCTCGACTCAATACAACACACCGCATACATGCAGGTAACGACAATGGCCTCGCTGTTTGGGGCGATTCTCCAGAAGGTCCCGACGCTTTGACTCCTCCCAATTGACCTAGATATCTGGTGGCGAATCCACTTACCGCTTGTCAACTACTTGCCAGACACTGTAGTGAGATTTGATCATACGGCAGTGGGCTCTTGTGTGCACTGTAGAGTGGTGCTGGATGTCAGCAGTCGAGTACCTATTGGAGGAGGTGGACGACGTGCATTGAAGCCGCCTGATCCGGCGTACGCGGGGCTCACACAATACACCGAGGGCCGGTAGCTATACGTCTCAGCCACTATGCGCTTGATGTACGCGAGTCGTTCCTCGGGACGCTGTGTATCCTAATCGCCCACGCGCCCGATGACGTTCACCGAACGAAGACAACGCAGATACAGAACCTCAGACCACTACGACTATCAGTCGGCGACCGGATATAGCTGCCTGCATACAAGCTGATCAATGCTACGTTGCGCAACTCCAGGATCGTCGCAGCGAGCCGACGCGGCATAATCGTTCGCATGCACTCCTCGCAATGCCCAAAGCCCAAAGGTCAAGCCACTGGCTTACCTACAGATAGATTATCAACCCCCTTGCATGCGGAGCCATGCTTGATGAAGTGGACTACCCCGCACGACTGCCGTGATGTATCTGTAGTATTTGAAGTCTAATCTCAGTGCTCTCTGTAAGTCAACCGGCGGCATCGTTGACTTAAGAACCTAGACTGTCCTGAGCATTATGCAATGGAAGCCATCTGTGTCTAAAATCCTCAGTCGTGTCCTATCCTACACTCGTTCTCCATGACAAATGGATTTCTGAGTGGAACGTGATGTTACTAAATCTGTGATCCAAGGGTTGAATTGAGTGTGCACGCAAGCAAGCACAATAAGCTCAGACATACACAATGGAGCCTAGAGGCTGTACGAAACAACTGCCGTGTATGCAGCGGCTCGGGTACGAACAGAATTGTCGAACCCTGTCAATTTGGACATCCTCGCTGAATGAAGCGTCAAGGTTTCTACCTTACGACACTCCGGTCAGTCTCTACGTGCACGTGCTACTAAACTTCAGAGTGCCTATCACATGGACGAGACGACATACAGCGTTGCCCCGGCACATACGCATTCAGAAAATGTGGCTTGAGGTGGCCTCGTTTAGTCACAGTCCGCACCACCAAACAGCTTACCAGAGAGACGATGTCTGCTACCAATCCAGACACATCCGCGCACCTGCGCATTCCAACTACCTGGATCCACACACACTTCACACAGAAGCCGACCGAAGATCTCCACAAGCTACTCGATACTTAGTCAGGATACGCGAGATCGACCTACAGCAGCCTCACTAATGCACAACACACCTTCCAGAAAACTTCACTCACCCACCTTGCCCAGGTGCGAGGTTTGTGCAAACAAACTCACTCATCGATGTCTCGTCACCGGAATTATGCTACTGCGCTCGCCCCATTCCAGAGTGCTCCGCAGGCCAAAACGTACAACCCATCATAGCCTCGCCCACTAGCCTCCAGGCCAAACCACATCACTATTCCTTAGCCTTACCACCGAAAGTGTGATACTGCGCTCGCTCCATCTCAATCACATCACAGGCCCCAGCCTCACCACCAACAACATGCTTACGCCCGCCCTATCTGCTCCTCAGGCCAAACCACATCACACCCTAGCCTCGCGCCCTATGCCCCTACCCCCAGCCCGTCCATCTCCGAAAAGCACACCCCCAGCGTTCCCCGCCAGGCCCGCCCTGAGTGAGGCGACAACCCTACCGCCGATCCCTCGCCCTGAATTGCGCCATCGGTCCCCACGAGCTAGCTCTTGCGACACGACACACTGCTCACCAAGAAAACGAGGGACTGCGGAGAGGGCGAGCATCTCCGGTGCCTCTACTACTGTGTGTATAGATGAGGCGGCCAATGGCCAAGGAGGGGAGAGGGAGTCGGGCCGGCTCTATCTCGGGCTGTGGAGCGTGGAGAGGGCCTGAGGTCCAAGGGCTCGCGCAGCGAAGTAGGGCAAGCAGGACGAGCAGGACAAGGACGTTTGTTTGGAGGCAGGTGCGTGTTTCGTGGCCCTCCTGAACCAGAGGGGAGAGCAGGTACGCGCAGCGACACGGACGATTTCCAAGTGCCACCGGTTCAATGACATGACACAAGTGCCGCGCACTTCCGGTCAGACTGGGATGGCGGGCTATATGTGCACTCTTGAGTCGCCATATAGCTGAACGGATTCGAAACACCCCTCGCGTCGACGATACAAGGTCGCTTGCATATGCTCGAAACACATTTTGCGGGCTACATTCGAAAAGGTTGCTGCTACACAGTAAGACAATGAACGCAGAGGAATTCGATTTTGTATCTACGGACACAGCATGCTATGGACGATCTACAGCTCTTCAGAGCTTAGACAGATCTGTAGAAAGGGTTCGATGGAGTTCAGCATTGTAGGAGTACCAAAACTCCGAAGTTGTGACGAAGTATCTCTGCTTGTTGGTGATTCTTACAAGACTTCAATTTCTCTCTCTTTTTGGTGCCTCACTCGAATGGTATGCGCCAAACAGGCTAGGTGGCTCCGCATTGCTGCTGCCGTGTTGTACGGCGTTCTTCATCGCTGCGAACAGCTTTCAAAAGGTGCCGTCATAAGGTAACCACAGTTTATGCTGTTGCCATGTGTAGCTGTGTTGAAGCAGTCAGTCTCAGATCGGACATATGTTAGCGAAAGAGGAATAGTCGTACATGTGCAGCGCAATAGCGCTCTCTGGTCCAATCGCACCAGTACCTAAGGCGAATGATTCGAGATTACCAGTTCCGATCGCTCAGGAATATCGCAAGGTACGCTGTAGCATAAGCGATGACTAGGCTTGCCGTTGGCGTAGCTATGAGGAAAGCGAAGAGTGTCAACATGGCCAATCAGATCCTCGTTCCAACACACGTGTATGAATGAACCGTAGCAATAGGTTTGCTACAAAGCCATCACTTAAGCTTTATGTCAGTGTAGAGGGTGCTTGAAGTGGTGATGTCCACATGGGGGAAGTCGTCACACGACCTTTTCGCGTGCTCGATTGTGCGTAAGCCCCGCCACATGCTGGATGTATGGTGATCCAAGTGTGGATCGTTAGACGCAGAAGCCTTCTTTTATAGAAAGAAGTGTGTCGTGTGCTCTTTTACTGTGTTGAGTTGATGCTGTTGTGTGGTCTTTGGGGGAAGGACGTGCCGCAGTGTGCCGTGGAGTGCCAGGCCGCTGACAGTGAACTTCAGACAAATATCTAGATCGTGACGATGCTGCGATCTTGCATATGTCAGCTGCTACTGTAGCATTCCTGTCGCATGCGATATGATCATGTTGAGTCGGGGTAGTTGTTTGGTGATGCCTCTTTGTCGTACATAGACTGTCACCTTGCTTCTCGGTGCGAGGCTTTTACTCCCGTCGTGACTGCCGAAGGTAAGCGCGACATAAGCACTGCGTGCTGTGATTGGTAAAGTTTCAACGAAAGTGTACAGTCGAGTGGAGGAGTCGTAAATTGATGCTCCAATGAATTTGCTCCAAGCCGTACATCCTTCTACATCTCGCCCCATCAAAAGTTCCAAATTTGAACTGTACACTCAGTACATGCACAGGTAACCCCAGAAATGCCCAGCATTGTTCGAAACATGCGTAAAAAGGTGTCACTGAAAGAACGGTTCCGATGCAAAAGAGTAGGCTATTGCACATCACTGTACATTCTCCTCGGAGCGGGTGGCAGCCCGCCATTGAGCGGTGGACCTCTTGACTGAGGTCTCGAATTGGACCCGTTTGATACGTGTGGCGCCGGTCGCATGGGGAGGGACATTTGTCCGCTTTGACTCGACTGGCTGTTTGATTGGCTGTGTTGGCTGATGCTGCTCGACGTGCGTTGAGGGTAGGCGGGACGCGGTGGCGCTTGTCCGTCTTGCCTGACATCAGCGGATCCTCTCCTCGACGGCGGCCCTTGCTGTCTGATATCCGCAGAACCTCGCCTCGGCGCGGGTTCCTGATTCTGCAGCTTCTCGCGAATGCTGCCGGACGGTACGGAGGAGGTGAGATGTGACTTGCGCTTGTTGTGTTCGAGCATGCTAGTCGCCCATGCTTCGAGGTCGACCGGTGTGCGCTTCGCAGCCTGGAGGAACGCATCGTGGTCCTATGAAACATTAGCAAAATGACAACAACGGGACCGGCATATGACGTACATAAAGCTCCTTGGGCGTCGGTCGCTCCTTGGGGTCTTTCAGCAAGCACTTGGCAACCATATCTTCCAAAATGGAAGGGAACGCATCGCTCTTTGGCAGCTTCGGCGCAGGCTCAAGAACGATCTGCTGCAAAAGATCAAGGATACCCTGAGGGCCTCCAGCATCGTCGTCATCGGCGCTTCCTGAGAAAGGAAACTTGCCAATAGCTAGCTCCATGATGCTAAGACCGACACTCCATACGTCCGATTTGACGGTGTAAGGTGAACCCTGAATACGCTCAGGGGCCATGTATGTGCCTGTCCCTACAAAAGTCTCGGCAATGGATCCATCGAGTTCGCTAGAAACGCCGAAATCGCAGAGCTTGATCTGGCCTTTCGAGTTGACAAGAATGTTCGATGGCTTCAAGTCGCGGTGCATGATGCGGTGGGCGCTGTAAAGGTAGCTGAGACCGCCGAGCACGGCTTCTGCGATTTTTCCGAGGACATCGACGCGTACGGGGCCAAACTGGCGAGAAACCCAGTCAAGGGCACTGTTACAAGGTGTCAGTTCCTGCAAGTCTGAACCCTGTGGGGCTACTTACCCCACATCCATGTACTCCATGCACATGATGACATCTCCAGAGTCATTCTGGAAGGCGCCGTAGAAGTCGACAATGTAGGGCGAGTTGCACTCGTGCATAATGCGCAGCTCTCGCACGATGCGTTTCCGGACCTCGTTCTTGGCCTCGACGTGGATGACCTACACCTGTCAGCGTTCCTTATCCCACGTTGTTATTCCACTCGACCCGGTCGAACGCACCTTCCTCGCCATGATGACCTTAGTAGCAGCATGCTGGACCTTGCTGACTGTGCCTCCGTTTCCGGATCCAAGCTCCCGCAGAACAATCAGATCCTCTGCCTTCAAGTCCAGCTGGAACTCGACGCCGATTTCAAGCGTCTCCTCCTTCGCATTGCCTGGTCCCTGTGAATCGCTCTCCGAGGCCACTGGCTTTGGTGGGGGTGCGCTCAGGGCAAGGCCCTTCTTGTTCTTCCGCTTCATCGTCTTGGGGGCGAACGGGTCGGCCATGGCGGCTGTGTGCAGCGCTGTCGACGCTGTGAAGAAAGGAGTTGGGAGGGCGAGCGTCAGTAACGATGTGCGGTTTCAGGCGCAGGTGAGCGTGGCTGGACGTGGTTTCGAGTTGCCGCCCGAGGATGGGTCGACTGATGGGTCGCCAATCACGGCAGTGTCCCAATGGAGGACAGCGTCTATTGGATTCCGGCTGGACGTGCTGTAGCAAGGACTGCGTGCCTGATCGGGAGGCGACCGCGGCGTGTTATAGAGGGCGAGTGTCTTGTCGCGGGCTGCAAAGGGCTCAGGAGAACGTGAGGTCGTGTTAGTTATCGAATAGCGGGGCCGAGTGTTTGTGCATGCGGCGCCAAAACGATGCTGCAAGGCTGCGGGCGGGACACGACCAAAGATTAGATGGCGTTCGGGGTCGGAGCAACGTCAAGCGACTACCAATGTGAAAGGGCGTCGGGCACAGGGTGCGTCTCTGATATATAGAATACACTCGACTGCGTGTTTCAGCTGCAACACCATGCCTCACCTATTCTTCTAGCGCTCCATACAGGCCGCAAGGCTGGTAGACATGTGATGACATGACCCCTGCAGACAGCGCAGAACCAGAACGGGGACTTGGAGCACGAATCGCGTACACAACGCGTGTTAACTGTACACATTTCATGTTGCTACCAAGTACCTCCGGGATGGGCGTGGACATGGGCGGAGTGTACAGTCACGTGATCCCGGAGCTACGTAGCTGCGGCTCCGGTCGCTCTTTCGCTTTCAAGACGCGTTGGTCCACCCTCTTTGCCTTGTCCGCGCCCTTTACCTCGATCTGCTTCACTCCCTCTCCGCCTGAATCGCCGCGCCTTGTTTCCCCGCGTCGGCTTCTGGAACGCCGCGAAAACGCCTGTCCGACGCCCATAGACGCTTTCGCGCATCTCCTTTACCTCACCATACACAATGGCCACGAGAGACCTCTTCGACACAATCGCCGACGTTGGCAGCGACGAGGAGGAAGATGAGGACTTTGATGGAGAAGGTGGCGCGGAACGGCCGAAGAAGTCTAATGGCGCCAATGGAATCGACGACTCCAGCGAGGAAGAGGACGATGACGACGAAGAACTATTAGCGAAGGCAAGCCTGCCTGCATGCACTGTGGGAGCAACTGCTGACTAATGATTAGGAGGGCGCTGGCTTCATCGCTGACGAAGACGAGGACGAGGACGAAGTAGAGGCACGGCGAGAACGACGCCGCAGGAAGAAGCGCAAGAACCGCGAAGCTGAGGAGGATCTTGACGAGGACGATCTCGATCTGATTGGTATTGAACGGCCTGAGAGGGAGGACGAGTCAGCGGTATGATAGGACATGCGACCTGTTCCCAAGGTCCATCTCTACTGCGCATGCGCTGACAACAAGCAGCCCAAGTACAAGCGCCTGAAGCGCGGCCACAAGGAGAAGCGCAAATCTCGCGGTATAGATGACATCTTCTCCGACGAAGAAGCCGGTGACGATATCGATGAGCCCCGGAGACTCGGTGGAGAATTTGACGACTTCATCGAAGAAGACCAGTTCGAGGACGAGATTGAAGACGACCGCGATGTTACACAACCGGGAATCAACCTCATTACACAAGGACTGCAGGCTGCCGGACTTGATGAGGGTGCCGAAGAAGACTACAGGGCAGCCTTCGGGGACGGCACCGACTATGACTGGGCGCTCGAGATGCAAGAGGCTGAAGAGGAGGAACAGACCGGCGAGGGTCGCGAGCTCCAGCTCAAAGACGTGTTCGAGCCATCTCAGCTGCAGGAGCGCATGTTGACAGATGAGGACAACGTCATCCGAGAGACGGACGTGCCCGAGCGTCTGCAGCTCGCCCGCAAGCCATTCAAGGAGCTTGAACTGACGCCTGAAGCTATGCAGCAGAGACTTGAAGAGGAGGCACTGTGGATATCCAAGCTTCTCTGGCCGAAGAAGGGACTCCCGAACTATTTCCAACAGCCCTTCCAGCAAGCAGTGCGCAAGGTCCTCGAGTTCATCAACATCGAAGATTACGAAGTACCTTTCATCTTCAATCATCGCAAAGACTATCTCATCCACGCACCTGGCGACAACGACGATCAGGATGACTTCGGCGCCCCCCCTCCCGACGCTCGGCCAGAACGCCTTCTCAACCAGAGCGACCTGTGGGAAGTCTTTGATCTCGACCTCAAGTTCAGAGCTTTCGCTGAGAAGCGAGATTCACTACGCCAAATCTACGAGAATGTGAGGGCCGTACAGCCCGAAATTGTTGATGGCGAGATTGAGGATCTGATGGACAAGGCAGTCACCATCGAAGAGATTCAAGAACTGCAGGATTACCTGCACTACCAGTACTCGCAAGAGATCAACGAAGTACGACAAGAGTCCAACGGCACACAAAAGCGAGCCAACAATGCGCGCAACTTCTTCGACAAGCTTCGAAGCGGCAAGGCGCATTTGCTTGTTAAAGCAATTGGCATTAGCGCCGAGGATTTCGCCAAAAAGGCCGAAGGATCCAGCAGAGGACCTCAGGTTATCGAAGATCCACCATATAAGGTCGAAGAGCTTGCTGACCAGATGGCGGATGCTCCTGAAACGGGTGTATCACTGCTCAGGTCTGCCAAACTTCTGTTTGTGCAGGACCTACATCAGAGCTCTCGTCTTCGTAGGTTCCTGCGAGGCAGCTTTTACCAGAACGCTCTGATCGACTGCATACGAACAGACAAGGGTATGCGCAAGATCACCGAAGACCATCCCTACTATGAGTTCAAGTACTTGCGTGGACAAACTTTCCTTGATCTGAACGGCAGACCTGACCTGTTCTTGAAGATGCTGAAAGCTGAGCAAGAAGGTCTTGTGCAGGTCAGCATCTCGATGGGTAACTACGAGAGTTTCAGAAGCAGGCTTCACGACAAAATTGTCTCAGACAATGTCAGTGAAGTGTCTGAGACCTGGAACAACCTTCGTAGAGAGCTCCTTGACATCGCACTTGAGAAACTGCAGGGCATCATCGCCAACGGCGTCAAAGAGTCCCTGCGTGCTCGTTGCGAAGATGAGCTTGCCAGCCGCGCCAGGGAGAACTACTACAACAAGCTCGATCAAGCCCCATTCAAGCTCAAGAGCGCAGTCCTCGGTTCAATCCCGAATGTTCTTTGTCTTTCGAATGGAAAAGGCCAGCGCGGCGACGCCATCTTGTGGGCGTATCTCGAGAATGACGGTCGTGTAATGGAACATGGCAAGCTCGTGGATATGAGGCTCGGCAACCAGGAGCGTGGAATTCCGGATGGCCAAGATATCATCAAGCTCGTCGATGCTATTCAACGTCGTCGCCCAGACGTGGTCGGCATCAGCGGTTGGTCTGTCGAGACGCGGAGGCTGTACAAAGACGTGCAAGACATCGTCGCTCAACACAACCTCACAGGGCCAAGCTACGAAGACGAGAGCACCGGTCAAGACAGGAGCGATCCTCTGGAAGTAGTACTAGTCAACGACGAGGTCGCTCGACTTTACTACAGCAGCGCTCGTGCTAACGCCGAGTTCCCCAAGCTTCCCGAGCTTGCCAGATACTGCGTCGCTCTTGGAAGATATCTGCAGAACCCGCTCGCTGAATACGCCTCGCTTGGCAAAGACATTGTGTCAATCCCATTCGTCAAAGACCAAACACTCGTCCCTCAGGACAAGCTCATGGATCGTCTCGAGACCGCTATGGTCGACATGGTGAACCTTGTTGGCATTGATCTGCCGGAGACATGGGACGACAAATATATGTCGAAGCTTCTTCCGTACGTCTGCGGTCTTGGCCCTCGCAAAGCGGACAGGATGATCAAAGCCATCAAAGCAAATGGAGACGAGATTCTTTCTCGATTCGATCTACTTGGTGTTTCAGAAAACGCCTCTCGAGATCTCAAGGCGGCTATGGGCCCCAAGGTCTTCCAGAACTGTGCCAGTTTCCTGTACATACCGTACGACTCCACAGAAGAGGCTTCTGACTACCTCGATTACACTCGCGTGCATCCCGAGGACTACGACCTCGCCCGCAAGATGGTCGCCGACGCTCTTAACATGGATGAGGAGGATGTCAAAGCTGAGGTCGATGACGGCGGTCCAAGTGCAGTCATCCGGAAGATGGTTAGGGAAGATACCACAGATTTGGTTAATGACCTTGCGCTTGAGGACTATGCGGCTGAGATCGAGAAGAACTTCGGCCAGAGGAAGCGCGCCACGCTCGAAACTATCCGCGCCGAGTTGGAGAACCCCTACGAGGAGATCAGGCAAATATTTGCACTGATGACCGGAGAGGAAGTATTCACAATGCTCACCGGCGAGACCAAGGAGAGTCTGTACGAAGGCATGGTTGTCCCGGTACAAATCAAGCGTACCTTCCCCGATCACATTGAGGTCAGGCTCGAGAACGGAATTGAAGGTGGCGTTTCTGAGTCCGAGTTCCCGGAGGGCGTTGGGAGTGGCGGACAAGAGCCTCGCCATGTCTATCAAACACATCAGACTGTTCGAGCCAGAATTGTCTATCTCAACCGCAAGGCGCTTACTGCGCAACTTTCGTTACGAGATGATCTCATCCGGCAACCGGTCCCGAAAGCCTTCGACCGCATCGCTGGTGAATGGGATGATGCACAAGAGCGTGCCGACAAGCAAGCCGCCGAGAAGGAGAAGGAAGTCGCTTCTGGTCGGCCCAACCGTGTCATCAACCATCCTTTGTTCTTCAGCATGAACTCCGCCCAAGCGGAAGAATACCTTGGTAGTAAAGAGCCTGGTGAACTTGTCATTCGTCCTTCATCGAAGGGTTTCGATCACTTGGTTGTCACATGGAAAGTGTCCAACAGCGCATACCAACATCTCGACGTGCTGGAGCTGGGCAAAGAAAGCGAATACTCGCTTGGCAAACAGCTTAGGGTCGGTAAAGCGACATACACTGATCTTGACGAGTTGATCGTCAACCATGTCGAGGCGATGGCACGTAAGGTCGCTGAACTCACACGAGATGAGCGTTTCCAGCCAGGCACAAAGTCAGATACTGGTATGTTTGTTTCCCCGTTCTCTTGACAGTTGACTGACATTATTAGAACTCTGGCTCGAGAACTACTGCAAGGCCAACCCCACCCGCTCCATGTACGCCTTCTGCAGCATGCCTAAGCACCCCGGCTACTTCTGGATCTGTTTCCAGATGGGAGAGCACAAGCCGAGGGGTGCCTGGGGTATCAAGGTTGTACCGAACGCATTTGAGCTACACAAGAACGCGTACCCAGACATGGTCGCGCTTAAAAACGGATTCAAGCTGCTGATCCAGAGTGGTGCTGGCGCGAGGCCTGGAGGTGTTGTGCCCAGGCGGTAAATCGGCACGCAAAGTTGACATGAAGTTGCATTTGTAATCATATTCCCATCATAGTTTGTTTGCAGTGGACACCGCAAGCGATGTTCGCGAGCGGTAGAGAGATACTCACATCATTGGGAACTGGCGCAGTTTGAATGTTCTCTGCTCAGCACCTTGGAGCAGCAAAATTAGCACAGCAGTCTGGATACCTCAATACAAGAAAATTCAATTGACGATACTGAGTCCCAAGAGCGTCCAGGTTCGTACCTGCCTTTCTTGTGCAGCAACCGTCGTCACCTTACCTTTTCGACCCCGCCACTGCACTTGACCATCCACCACTTCGTACCTTCACACAACAAGAGTGAATACATCCTCGTACCCATCTATCAGCGCATTCATGCTTCAGAGAAATCAACCACACGCGTACTGTGCTGCTTGTTTAGCCAAGATTCTCCTGCAGGCTAAGATCATGAACCAATCGCTTTGTTGGCAACCTCGTCAGCTGGAAGGCAGCAACACCAGCACTCCTCAAGACGACGAGAACGTATGGCAAGCCTGCCAGTCCCGCCTTGCAAGAGCCACTTACAGCTACTCTCTGTTTCATCATGCGCCTCCTGCACCTTGACGGCGAGGGCAACCTTGGTTTTGTAGAGTACATCAGCGACGACGTTCCATCATATGCCATACTCTCGCACACATGGAGCCAAACAAGCAAGGAAGTCACGTTCGACGCTTTCATATCTGGTGAATACGCAGAGAAACCGGGATACAAGAAGAGTCATGAAAAAATTGGCCGGTGCGGCGAGCAAGCCAGAAAGGATGGTCTACAACATTTCTGGGTGGACACCTGCTGCATCAGGAATGTCGCCCCGTGAGTTAGGCCCTACGAAAGCGGAGGCTATTGCCGCCAGAAACGATGGGCATTGAAGCTCCAGATTAGCGACACGTACGGTAAAGCTGCTTACTCAGTCTATTTGTTTCCTCCAAAGCTGCTCACCATCCTGCCCTGATCTGGCCCAAAAGCGGGCCAGGAGCTTGAAGTTCAGTCTAATATTTTAGCCAAGAAGGCAGTGAACAGTACGTAGCAGGGCCGGCGTTGATGTCTACATTCACCTTGTTACAGCGGTCAAGCGCGGCGTGCGAATGTTAGCAGCGTCGTCGCTTCCTTCCATTATGCTATGGTTTCACAAATAACTTCAACAGTCGCCTTTCGAACGATTATCGACCAGATCCAGATGTTTCTGAACGACAACGACTCAGTCGGGCTAAGTTTGAGAGATATCGAGACATGCCCGTCGAGGAGGCTCAGCTAGCCAACGAAGACGCTAAAAAGCATCGCGAATGGTTAATGGGAGTATGGAGAAACTAAGCCGCCTTATTCGCCTGCAATAACTGTGTAGAGTAATTGACTAACTAAGTAGGTACTTTCGAGCAATCGACATAGACCCAGACTCGATTTGGAACAGATTGTGTGAGGCGCCAGCCTTGAAAGGGGCGTGATCATCGGTTCTCTACATGGAGGCTTACTCTCCTTCCGCGTAGGCCCATGATCGCCTGAGCTTGTGATTGCGAACACCTTTGATGATCTGACAATGCAAAGCCGAGACAATGAAGATGACGAACGCTAGATAGCCAAGTGAGTATTCATAAAAGCAAGCTGAACTTAGATTGGTTGAAAAGGAGGTAGATTGCAGGAAGGAGAAACACTTTCCAGGGTCTTGATACGCATTGTGCATCCAGCAATAGGTTTATAGGACGGACATGCACAGATGAATTCAGAACTTTGACAAAGATCCAGCAAGTAGCGAACCAGTAGAATTGCTTCTAGTAACTGTCTATGAACACGACATGACTCCAGAAAACACAACAAAAAAGCCCCCAAAAAACTAAAAAGATAGTGGCAAGCAAAGAAACACGCTTGCGGTTCACAAAGAGCGAGATCAGAACCGTCCATCATCAGTTCTTCTCACCTCTCCGACACAGCCTACTCCTCTTTCCCGCCGTCGGATCCCCAATGAATGACCCTCGTAGGGTTCCGCGCACGAATGCTAGGCTTGTGTGCCCCATCTTTCGAAATGTGAGAAGTGCTGTCGACATCAAAGCAGTCGCCCACAATAGTGCTCGAGCACAGAGGCAAAGTTTCGCGGGTCTCCATATTACAGTAGATGCCCTCTTCAAGCGAGATGAAATCTGGACCGTAGAAGTTCTGCTGCTCGCAGAGTGCTGTAGCGTTTTGACCAGAGAGTGAGCTAACAACAACTGTATCCGACAGGCTTGGAGTTAGCAAACTCTGAAAGTAAGGCGCGCAACTCGTGCAAGGAGTGATGACCAGGACTTACGGCTATCATCTGAACGACCCATTAGGGGGAAGGAACCCCTCTTCGTATTTCCCGACCAAGCCGACACCACCCGATCTGCAGGAAGGGTGATTTCTTTGAGGTAACGGTCGTAAGCCTTAAACGGATTCCGCCCATTTGGTACCGTTGTTTGACGCAATGTGTGGAAAATCCATCATGTCACGACTGCGGAGGAGCGGCCACTTGGTAGAGTTATACTGTATGCTCTGGCAGCCCGAGGTCCTGGATTGGCCCGATTCCTCCACGGACAGGGAAGTGATCTTACAAGCACACATTGAAAAGCACTATGGAATCACATTCACTATATCGAGTATCCGCAAGATGAGAAAATGTATCAGCATACATGTCTCCTGGGCAGTTGCGTTTCTCGACTGCCGTCGCCGTGACGGCGGAATTGTGGGCATCATACTGCAGCAGGACACGTATCTGGAGACTTACAACAGGCTCCACTGGCCGTCTCTTGTCGAAACAGTGAAGCCCTGTTTCGCCAATCCGGCAGCCCATGAAGCATGTACCATCCATATCATGGCACACATGGTTGATTGCGAGACGAAACATTCTGAAAACAGAACTGACATATCAGACGAAGTCACATATCGCCCGATCAACTTGCATGATTTCGGGTTGAGCCGCGCCGCTGTCTCTCCTCCACAAACGATTCCAGTCTCCGCAGAGTACAGCGCCATGGACGTGCCCAACATCCCACGTATCGTCTTCACATTTAATGGTGCGGACAAGAGCGAAGAGTTAGGTGTGTATTGCACGCTTTTGGAAGACACAGACACGGCAACCAGTGTTGCCACGAGCATAGCCCCGGCCCGGCGGATGCTCCCACACCTAGCCAGGATGGACCACGGCAGGACAAGTCCAGGCCAGGCGCGTTTTCTGGTGCCCATTCGCCGCGGATCAACGACGCGCATCAACCTCAACGAGGACCTCCGGCTCATGATACGCGGCCAGATGCGGTGGAGGCGCAATCCGTTGGGCCGATCCAGGGAGAAGCAGTGTCAACTCTCGCTCTCAATTGACAAGAGGAAAAGTCCCAAGTATGATCTTGCGCTGCTCGATGAAGGTCTGTACAAGCTACCGCTGTTTTCAGCGCCAGTCTAGATTTGAAGCATTTCTCGGATTGTGTGTGCCTCTGCGGGTCTCGCAATGGGCCAGGTGTTGGTAGTCTCAACCCCTCGCGCTGTCCAGGTCGCATTATTTGTCTTGGGTCAATCTGAATGAGATGGTGACTGCGATTCGTACGGCTAAGAAGGTTGTAACCAGCAAGCAATCTGTTGTATTGGATATGCAATGGCTCTTCTCGCGAGCTCTGGACCATCGTCAGCACTTGACAAGGCTGCCTGCATGCAAATCTCCCGTGCAAGCGCGCCCTGGTGACCCCTCTGTTCACACGTCGAGTAGTGCCCCATGGGAGGCCGGTTTACTGTACAATCCAATCCAATGCTAAGCTTGATGACCTAACACTGGGGTACAAGATTGGGCAAACAACACTGGATTTAGCAGCTGAAAAGCGCTGCGTAGGGTGTGTGTTTACAGTTCGTTGTCCAAGGTGTTGCTACGTTGAGACCCCAGAAGCACTCTGAGACTACCCTCGGGCCTCGTTTTTCCAGATCAGCAAATGGGGATCCCTCGTTTCTTCTGTCCCGGCTAAAACAATCACTCGAGGCTACTAGACTCTAGATTTCGGACGCTGTCTGACGCGATCAGGGCGAAACAGTCTCCAGACACACAAAGAAGCTTGCAACCAGACTATGATAGACGCATGTTTTGCTTCCAATGTACATGGCTAGAACGGCGGTGCATCTGCACACCCACCGTCTCCCACCCCCAGCCCAAGCCTCGCAACCCTCGCTCTCCGCTTCGCCCTCTACAATACACCCCCCTAATCAAAAACCACCCTCCTCCTCGCATCAACCCTCGCACCCCACTCCCCGTCCCCTTTCTGCGCCTCCCTCCACCCAGTCTCCACATCCCTCCCCCCCCAAACCAGCCCCCTCTCGCTCTCCCCGCGCCCCACAGTCTTGAACCCCCCGAACGCGACATCCCTCCACCCCCACTCGGCGCAACTCACCGTGCCGCGAAACTTGCGGCACTCGTTGCCCGCGAACACGACGTAGCCGGTGCCTTCTGCGGGCTGGGGGGTAGCCGAGGGCGCGGGTTTGGGGGGCGGGAAGGAGGAGCCTGTGCGGTGGAGGGTGGGGGACGGGGGTGGGGAGTCTGCGGGGTCGTGTTTGCGGGGGAATGAGGGGTGGGAGGGGGTCGAGGGGGTGGGGGGTGGGGAGGCGGGGGGGAGGGTCAGGGGGCCGTTCCAGGCGAGCCAGAATTTGGGGGTGCGGAAGGAGTTTTTTTCGAAGGTGGTGAAGCGGTCTTCTTCTTCTTCTTCGTCGTCGTCGTCGGAGTGGGAGTTGGCGGCGTTGTCGTCGTTGTCAACGTCTTCGTCGTCTTCGTCGTCGCTTGCGTCTCCGGCCAGCGCACGCGTCAGCAGCGCGAGTCCGCGTCTCGTCGCCGCCAGCACGACGGTTGCGCGCAGCAGCCCCGGCAGCACAAGTTCGCCCAGCACGCCCTGACCGTCGTCGGTGAGGCGCAGCAGCTCGAGTTGTGGCTCGGCGAGCTGGCCATCAACCCCATCCCCATCCCGCAGCTCCCTCAGCGCACGCTCATAGCTCGGGCACTTGACTTCATATTCGCCAAACGCCTTGCGCACATCGAACGTTCCGCCTTTGCGGCCTTTTCCCGACGGGCGGCGCGAGTTGCGGTTGTGCATGTGGCGCGTGCTGAGGGCGTGGTCTTGCCAGTCGTCCATGGCGGGCAGTAAGAGAGACTTAGGTTGGTAGTAGAGAGGTAGGGTTTGGGTTGACGATGGTCTTGAGGATTGATCTAGGCCGGCGGTGGTTTGGAGTAGGATTAGGGTGGTAAGTGTGGGAGGACTGAATCGTTGTGTCGGTTTGGCAGCGATGTACTCCAGCACTCCAGTATTCCAGTGTTCCAGTAATCCAGTGCGGATTGCCTTCCTTCCCTTCCTCCAGTTCCTTGAGTTCCTCGAATTCCTTCAGTTTCCCAGGTCCCTCAATTGCGTGTATACAGGTGACGTCGTTGTTTACTCCCGTCCTCGTCACCACACGTCGTCTCCCGAACTCACTAGCGCCAACCGAAACGCGGGGAAAGACCCACACCAGAACCAGAACGGAAAGCACGACGCGTCCAGCAATCTGCAATCTGCAATCTCCAGCTCAATAATCTCCTTGGTAGATCCGCAGCTTCCAGCGTCGAAATCCACGTCCGAGACAGCGCGAATGCGAAGACACTTAAATGAACATGAACACGCAGACGCGGAAACGCAGTAGATGAAGTGCAGAAGCGGGCTTGACGTCATGCAGCGCCGGGGCTGCTTGCTCACGCGACCGTCTGCGTCTGCGTCTGCATATAGTAAACGTAAAAGCGCAGGGCGACGGAAGCGGCAGGTAGCACGCGTACTACTGTGTATGTGGAAACGCGTACTGTACATGGACTGCGACGACGTCCGGTGTGCGTTTCAGAGCTTGCTGGCATCAGGTCGGCATCGACTGAGACTAGCACGATGACGGGGAGCAGCAAGGGGGCACAGAAGACTGGAGATGATAAACCCCGACTCGCTTGATTTCGTTGTATCGACTTGCCCGCCACCAGGGCTTGACTTAATACACCTGCTCCCTGACCGACCCCTCCTTGGCCTCCAGCCGCTCAATCTCCTTCTCGCCCAGCGCGTGCACACTCCCCTCCCCTTCGCCCTCGGGCACCGCCTGCTCAGCGCCATGGGCGACTTGCATGTCGCCCTTCAGCGCCTCCCGTAATATCGGCTCGTCATGCTGGTGCTCCGTCAGGGACTGTGTCTGTGTCTGCGTCTGCGCCTCCTCCCCCTGCGCCGCCTTCCCCGCGTCCTCAACGCCGCTCGTGCACGTCTCATCCCCATCACCCAGCGCATTCGCGCGCCTGCCGGTGCCCATGCCGCTCTCGGCCTTCCAGCCCTGCTCCGTCTGGCGACGAGCCAGTTTGCGCTCCTTGCTCTGCTGGCGCTGGCGCGAGCTAGCGCGGAGTCTGCTCTTGCCCGTGGCCGTCGCGGACAGGTGCTGCATGCCGGGGAAGTAGTCCGAGTCGTCGGAGAAGCCCTCGCCGGGGGTGTGCGCGGGCTGCAGGTGCCGCAGGACAGCGGAGGTGCGGGGCACGGAGGGGTTGCGGGAGCGCGTGTCGTCGTCGTCGCTGGTGGAGGCGTCGGCGGAGGCGTCGTTGGGGGAGGCGGGGGTGGGAGGCAGCGCGGTGACGTGGGCGAGTTTTGTGGTTTGTTTGCGGGGGAGTTTGGAGGGCGTGGGCTCTTCGATGACGGGGGGGTTGCTGCCGTCTTGCGCGGCGACGGGGGGGTCTTCGTGCTCCTCGATGGACGGGCTGGGGGTTGCGATTGTGGTGGCGGGTGGGCCGAGATACTCGACTGTGTTCTTCCGCATGGGCCGCTTCGGCCAGTTGAACTTGTCGTGGTTGCAGCCGTTCACGCAGCCGCCCCATCGCCGTATCGGGATGGTCGGCGACTCTGTGAGGGCGGACTGCGAGTGCGTTCTGCTCGGCGTTGTCGAAGCCGGGGCGGTCCCACCGGCAGCAGCCGCGCGCCGCTTCAGCTCTGACCACGTGCGCAGCTCGTTCTGCAGTATAAACTTCTTGTTCGTCTCGCTCTGCTTCATGACGATGAACTCGCAGTGGTTGACGTTGCGGAGGTCCTCAAAGTACTCGACGGACCAGTGGTACCTGACATGTCAGCGCCTGCAGCCAGCCCAGCTCTCGCACTTACCATTTCATGAGGAACACACGCGACATCAAGCCGTGGGTGACCAGCACACAGACGCTCGGGAAGTCTTCGTCGCCAAACTGCCGCCACAGGCTCTCATTGAAGCCACTGACGCGATCATAAGCGTCAGCCGCGCTCTCGCCGTCCGGGATGCGGTAGAAGAAGTGGCCGTAGTCGGCGCGCTCCTGCCACATCCTCTCCATCTCGGCGGAGCATGGCTGGAAGTTGCCAAAGTCCTGCTCGCGCAGGCGCGGCTCCTCGAAGACGGTGATCTTGTTGCGCGGGAAGGGCGACGGCTGCGGGTCGTCGGACGTCAGGGTGCGCAGGATGCCCTCGGTGGTCTCGCGCGTGCGGCGGTACGGCGACGTGTAGAACTGCAGCGTGTCGTCCGGGCGCAGCAGCGAGCGCAGCTGGCGGCCGGCCTCCTCTGCCTGGCGGGGTTAGCTGTGCGCGGGAGGTCCTGCGGCCGACGTACCTGGGTCCAGCCATGCTGGGTCAGCTTCACGCGGTGGTCCGGGATGAACTGGTGGATGTCGCGGTTCTTGTTGCCCTCGGACTGCGCATGGCGGATCAATATAATCATCTGCGAATGTCAGCAGCCGCCCGGGCGTCTCCTCTGCTCCACTCACGCGGGGTTTCCCCATGTTGGCGGCCCTCGACGAGACTGCAGTGCGGACGGGGCAGTTCAGATGCTGGCGATCTGTCAAGTGTCAGGCGTCAGAGGACAAGGCGAAACAGGCACAGCCAGCAGGACACGCGGGCAGCGTTTCATCCACCTGCACGCCGTGCGGCGACTTCGCTGCGCGGGTGGCGCACACGCCCCGCCGTACCGCCGCGCTGGCCGGCGATCCAGGCACGACCAGCGCGTCTCGTCGACACGACACACGCTTCCCGCACGCGCTTCAAATACTGCGTCCGCCACTCACTCGCGCGCCGCCACGTCAACGCCGCACCACCACACTGCAGCGCCGCCCGCCAGATCGCAGCGCCGCCGCCCACCCATCCAGTCCTGCGCCCGTCTCCACCCTCACCGGACGCCTGCGCGCAAAGACTCACCACCACACCTCAACATGTCCGAGCCCATCCCCGAAGCAATCCCGACCTCCTCACACCCACGCCCCGCCAAACGCCGCGCCCTCTCCCCCCGCGCCACCCACGCCTCCCACGTAGCCTCGCTCCTCGCCAACCCGACCACAACAATCCACCTGCCGCCCACCAGCACGTCGGCCGCCTCCTCCGCGCCCCCCGAAATCGTCGCCAACGTGCAGGGCTCCAGTGCCGGCGCGGGCTCAGGCGAGTTCCACGTCTACAAGGCCTCGCGGCGGCGCGAGTACGAGCGCCTGCGCGCCATGGACGACGAGGTGCGCGGCGAGGCGGCCGAGAAGGCGTTTTTGGAGCGCAGGGGGGAGGTCGAGCGTGCGGATCGCGAGAAGACGGAGAGGAATCGGGCGAAGCGGGCGAAGGCGCTGGCAAGGAAGGCGAAGGCGAAGAAGGGGGGCGTGGTGAAGGTGGATGAGGCCGGGAAGCGGAAGTTGGTGGCTAATGCGAATGCTGTTAAGACGGGGGATGGGGCGGAGGAGGGGGAGGGCGAGGGGGCGGAGGCTGTGGGGGGTGTGGGGAATGTGGAGGAGATTGGGCTGGTTATTGAGGACGATGATTGAGGATGATGATTGAGGATGATGAGTGAGGACGATGGTTGAGGATGTTGATCGAGAATGACGATCAAGGATAATACCAGGGCGCGGTTGCACGGGAGATTTGCATGCGGGCGGCCTCGTCAAGTGCTGACGACGGTCCAGAGCTCACGAGAAGAGCCGTTACATATTCAATACAATACATTGCCTCCAATATTCAGCTCAGCGTTGGGTGGAACATGTAATCTACCGAGTATTCACTCAGATGATAGTGACATCTGCCATATGACCCACGTCATTTCGCTTCACTCAGACGATAGTGACAGTCGACCAATGCACCAACTGCCCGAGCTCTGAAACGACCCCTCGTCACACCTGAAAACGCCGACTCGTTCGAAGTAGCCCCCAGAGCTACCAGCCAGACGTCCGCGCACCAGCCCGTGAACGCGGCACGTGTCTTTCCCGCACACCAGCTGGCCGATGACCAAGCAGTGCACGGCGTCCTCGTCGTTTCCATCCAGTGGAAAATCAAAGCCAGGGAATATCCGACAGAGACACTTGGGCGCATCGACGAGAAGGCGTCAGGCGCTCGACCATCGAGGCTCGCTGAATCGCTGTTTCCAGCACAGGCGCGTACATCTCGAGACAGTCGTGTGCCGCAGCACCAAGCGGACCCGCGTCCGAGTGTCGTCCTGGATGATGCACAGTGCATCGATCCAGAGACACCTTTGGCCAAGGTCGCGGGTGGCAGAAACAGCATCTTGAAAAGCGCGGGGAAGATCGCTGGAGGGAATTCCCTGGCTCTCCTCTTCTTGACAGACGTTGCTCTTGACACTGTATCTGCCTTGATATGCTGTGAAGATAGTGTATTGTTGTAACGTGGCTTAAAGTCACTATCTTAGCCTTTGATAGATCAGTGCTTGTTAGTATGTGCAAACTACCCCCTACATTATTATAATGTACTGCTATAGTCAGGGATTTAGGCGCCTGACCCCATGTTCGGCGTAGGATACGTGTGTAGGACATAGGGGAGGATGAGAATCTATATACAACGGTAGTTTGGGGCAACCTATAAGGGGTGAAGAGACTAAGTCACTACGCCCACGGTACTGCTCTACTGTCTACCTAAACAGCCGCTTATAGATGTTACAGAATAGTTACAACGTTGTCACAACGTTACAGACCTCCTCTAGGTAGAGGAAAAGATGAGACTTGCCTGCCTTTGATTTAGTATCCCAGCAGCAGTTATAGAACCTAGAACCCAGCGTGTAGCCTAAGCCTAGGTTCTGATTTATAATCTTGAACCCTCTCACGGGTGAGAGCCCAGGTGCATAATGCCATATATTGCCACTCGTACCTGTGGGTCTTGGTTTCTTCGCAGCTCTGTGGCCGTGTGCGACTGCTCGGAGTTGCTGCTCGGCTCCTGCTTTCCGAGTATGCCGTCTAGTGCTACCTAGGTACATGGACTGTCCCAACTTGCGAGGGTGTGCCATCTCGAGCGAGGGTTTTACGTCTGATCCGATGGCTCAGAGGGATTCTGGGGTTTTGGGAGTCTGGTCTAGGCCGTGGAAGCTGGGCTTGAGACAGGACATGGCCAGCGTAACCAACACAGCCGCGGAAGATGGTCAGATAGGAGTTGATAGCTGCTCCTCGAGACCTCAAGTACCAACACACAAGCGCTGTGGATACGATATAAACACCGTTGCGAGTAAAGCGGAAAGTTCTGTTGGAGACGTATCAACGGCCGCTGGTCGCTTCATCACAGCACGGCTTCTCGCAGTGTGATAATGCGACTAGTTGCGCTCCCGTCCTGCTGGGGCCCCAAAAACTGTCTTCCTACCTCTTCTACTCAGGGTGTTAAAGAAGCTAGAGGCGTAATCCGTTGCTCTTAGATGGCTGATAGTTGGAGCGTCTCTTGTCCTCGATGAAGGCTCGCGCGGATTCGATGCTGGTTCGATAGCTCCCCTTGCTCATGCGCGCTGAGAGTCTTCTCTTGCCTGATGCGTAGGACTACGGGCATTGAGGAAACGTTTTCCCGATGACAAACTTCGTCTCGTGGGGCTTGCATAGAGTCCGCGCTTTCCTTGAGCCTGGACATTATTCCTCTCATATCCGATTTGGCAGTGTCGGGTGGGCGACCATGATTAGATTGCGCCCGCGAAGCTGTGAGGCGCAGGGACACATTACCAATTGTTAAGTGCGTTTGTAAGCTCGTGTTGTGCATCTGCCGTGGTCTGATTGCCAGCCTGTTTGTGTATCCGGAGGCTGTTTAGCTCTGGTCTTGTCAGACAGAGTCCGAAGACTGGGGTGGAGTTGCATCGAGCGATTGGGTTAGGCACGACAGAAGAAACGAGATTGCATGCGGGCCTTGACTGCTGATACACACATAGCGAGGCCCGGAGATAGTGCCATGGTGATTACTGAACTAGAAAGATGATGGGATCCAGAGGTGCTTTGCGTTTATGTTTGGATACATGCGTTGCTGCAGCCAATGGACTTGGACAGTGACCATTGTCTACAAAGAGTGGTACGCTTACGTCGTTCCCACCGATGGCATCTCGCTAAACCCCAAGCGAACCATGTTGTTCCTGGGAGATTGATCCGCAGATCCTAGGGCTGGCCTTGCTCGCGCTATCTGCATGTGTGCGTCGATGACGAAGCATTGTACGGTACGTGAAACCGTGAGCGACGAGCCGGTATTCTGCTGCTGCATCCAGGACGGTGTTTGGCTGCGTGTGCCATTGGTGTCCAGTATCATGTGTAAACCCGATGCACGACTCTGAGTCCCAAGTCAACCGAGGAGAAGAATCTGTTATGATTTGGCGATTCCTAGCTCCATCGCAGTCGTCCCAGCCAAAGCTTGGAATTGGATTTCAACTTCTAGACGTTATCTGTTAGACAAGTGCCATCCCGCACTGCAGCAGTTGCCAACATTGCCTCGGTATCGTGTTGTATAACCCGCAGAGCTGCCTGCACACTTATTGACTCGTGCCGTATCTTGAAAAGGTAGTGAAGCGAGCGAATTGCAGACAGTCCTGTTGCCGCACTAAATCCTTCACACCTGCCACAACGCTTGTTTGAGGCGCTCAGGTGCAGTAGCCTACTCCCTTACCGTTCACTAGACCCTTCTGGTCTTACATGCATCTGCCAACACTGGCTCTTCGTAAGCATGCAGAGGCGGCTGCATCGGCCGCTGCAGCATCTAAAACGGTTCTTTGAGACATCCAGGTCGACTTATACCCGGGACACAGGCAGTGTGCAACTTTACGGGGTTAACGTGCCGCTCGTTGTTCCCCAGGCGGTGGCGCCGTGGTGCTGACAAAACTTGCTCTGGAGCAAGGCTGAAATCCCTGCGTAGGCTAGCTGGACCAACTGACAGGTCTGCTCAATGCGATCAACATAGACCTCGAAAATTAAAATTCTCCGGCCGTTCTTGTAACTGTAGAACCTCTTGGAAGCACCGACGGATGAAAGCATCCGTCGCAGTGTTCGGAAGGGCCCGGCTTCATACGTGTTACATCATTGCTCTGTTTTGCTGCACGGCGAAGCCACGACAACACCGCTTTACTCCCAGCCTTATGGAAACCGATCCATGCATAAGCTTCGATTGGATAATGCAGTAGACCGCTAGTAGACACAGAAACTCTGGCGCAGACTCGCGCGATGTAATTGTCTGATTGGCCGACTGTGACCGGTCTATCCTGACTCTGCCCGAGGCTCACAGCTTCCTCTTCACGTTGTGATACCATTATTGATGGCCTAGAACATTAATCATGCCTGCTGAACAATCGTGTTGCATAGTAATGCGATGCAGCTTGATTCCTCGCGAACGGACGTCAGGATCCAACATGCTTCGGCGTTTAGACTTCTCGTGCGACGACGTGCTAGTGGCGGCCGACGCGGTGGGTCCCTACAGATCTGGACATCCCTGCGACGTCATGCATCATTGCATGTGGTGGAGCATCGAAGTGGAACTTTCACAACCACCAGAACCTCATATATAGCAGCCCTCCGCTCGTTCTGTCTACCTCCCATATTCAATTGCAACCACACACACAACTACCACCACAAAAGCACTTTTTTAATACCCAAACCACCTTACATCGCATCAAAATGCCTTCATTCACAGTCTTCAAGGGCTCCAAGGAGGGAAAGATTGTCAAGGGCGAGACAACAAGGCCCGACCTCCAGAAGGACCAGGTCCTCGTCAAGATCACTGCTTCCGGTCTTTGCGGCACAGATGAGCACTACGCCAAGGCAGACATGGCCCTCGGCCACGAGGGTGCTGGTGTTGTCGAGGAGACAGGGCCTGGCGTCAAGAACCTGAAGAAGGGTGACCGCGTTGGGTGGGGATACCAGCACGACTCTTGCGGCGACTGCGAGTACTGCCTTACTGGCCGCGAGACCTACTGCGAAAGCCGTCAGATGTACGGTGGTGCCGACCTCGACCAGGGTTCTTTCGGCTCCCACGCTGTCTGGAGGGAGGCTTTCCTTTTCAGGATTCCCGAGGGCATTAGCGACAGCGACGCTGCCCCTCTGATGTGCGGCGGTGCCACCGTTTTCAACGCCCTCTACACATACGGCATCAAGTCCACCGACCGCGTTGGTGTCATCGGTGTTGGCGGTCTCGGCCATCTCGCGATCCAGTTCGCTGCCCGCATGGGCTGCGACGTCGTCGTCTTCTCCGGAACCGAGAGCAAGAAGGAGGAGGCCACCAAGCTCGGCGCCAACGAGTTCATCGCCATGAAGGGCAAGGACAAGATCGACATCAGCCGCAAGGTCGATGCCCTCCTCGTCACCACCTCCGTTCTCCCTGACTGGAAGCTTATGCTCCCTGTCATGGCCCCCACCGGCAAGATCTTCCCTCTCACCGTCGATGACGGCGACTTCAAGATCCCCCACATGGGCCTCGTCGCCGGCGGTCTTACCATCCAGGGTTCCGTTGTCGCTGCGCGATCAGTCCACCGTCACATGCTCGAGTTCGCTGCTCTCAACAACATCAAGCCCATTACCATGGAGTTCCCTATGACTGAGGACGGTATCACCGAGGCTATGGCCACATTGAGGGATGGCAAGATGAGGTACCGTGGTGTCCTCAAGCCCCAGTAGATTACTGGCGGGCAAACATCTTCAATTAATGAGTATGGTTTAGCGAAGCATAGAGGGCATGGAGTTGGAAGCACCTAATGTAAATAGAATAATAGACATGATCATGATTCACATTGATAGCCTCTATCCCGTGACATGCGTGATGCAAGCACATGTCTCTAAGGTTTATGTTGTGTTATCACACATGATAAAGAATGAGTTTGGCACCTTTACAGGCGAGGACCATGGAGCTTCTGCCACAAGACTGCTGTATACTCTCGGTGACTACTCATCATGTGGTGAACAGCTGGCCGTACGTGTTGCTTGTCGTCAACATTCTCGCAGCATCGACATGACTTAGTACTAGCTCGAGCTAGGATTCCTGCGAAGAAGCCTTGGGATAGACAGATGAAATCGTCCAGTTGATCCGGTGCTTTGGCTCTGCAGTTCAGTTCCCTCATACCACCACCTGATTATATCCCGAATATCGTTCTCCATATCTTACCTGATCCTATAGATTTCTGTAGGCACCTGTATCGAGTCCGTATGGTGCTCAATGACAATACGAAGGGCATTCTCATCACCTCGCAATCGGCGCTCGCATGCTACGGAGAGTGGCGTTTGACCTCCTCGACCTATCGCGTCGACATCTGCAGGAGAGAGATCTCGGACGTGGATCTTCAGTGATCTATAAACCCGATTTCGCACAAGATAGTGCTTCGAGATGTATTTCCAATGATCAAACTCTTGTAAGAGAATGCGAGAACCCGTGTACACAGAGCACCTGTGGACTATGGCGGTCACTGTTACCACGACGAGCCCAAGCCTAGTAGAACTAATACTCAGTTTAAGTACCCATCGCGTAGCTCCAATTCCTGGGCTGAGTTACGTTTTGCGTGTATGGAGGTTGGCTTTCCGGGTCTGCCCAGAAATGAAGCACCGCGAAATGGGGTGAAGGCAAAGTCACGTGTGGCGGAGCCGCGTGATTACAACAAGAAAAGTTTGCTTGTACCTCTCGCCAAACAACAAACAACAATTCGGCAAGGTCAGTACCGCAGAAAAGTGGCCGCGTTTTGAGCGCAAGCAGCTTACTTGTGAGATACAAGCGCAACTAACAACCTAGCAGCAAATCTGAGGCGGTAAACAACTGTCTCCAGTATATTTGAGCGCGCTTTTGGACGTGTTCTTGTTTACCGGGCTTCACCACCGGTACTTGGGAAGATTTTCTGCCACACAACCTGCAACTGACACAGCCATGGCCTCTACCGGTTCGAGCAACGCTGGTGCTTCACCACAGAACGCGTCAAGCAACCGCGATCCTCTCATCGTCGGCCTGTATGGTGTTTCCGGCGCCGGAAAGAGCCATCTCCTCGAGATACTATCGAACTCACGTCTCGCCCAGCGTCTGGACTTCGTCGACGGATCGTCGCTGATCTACCATCGGTATGGCCTAACCGGGTTCAAAGAGTTGACACCTGCTGAACAATACACTCAACGCGTCGAATTGATGACTGACCTTGTCAAAGAGCGCCGCAGTAAGGAAAAAGGCATTGTCGTCGGTGGACACCTGTTGTTGTGGGAAAGCGAGGCCGAAGAGCCGCGCAACATTGGCACTGACGCAGACTGGAAGGCGTACACTCACATCGTCTACTTCCAGGTCGATCCACAGGTTTTGCAGTTCAGGCGAAACAACGACAACAGCCGAGAACGCAACCCTGTGTCGGTCAAACACTTGACTGAGTGGCAAGCCCGAGAGCGCGCAGCGTTGCGCAAGGTTTGCTACGAGAAACGCATTTCCTTCACCACCATCACGGAGCACGCCGGGATGTCCAAGAAGAAGATACCCGGCCGAGTCCATGCGCTGCTGACGAACATCCTGAACAGTAGTGAGGAGGGCAATCTTGCGGCTGTTGATGCTGAACTGGAGTCCGATATATCCCTGCACGGCCATGACCTGGAGACGATGCTGGTTCTCGACGCCGACAAGACACTTGCTGCACAAGACGCCGGTGCGCTGTTCTGGAAGTTCATGAAAGGACGTAAGGGTATGTCTGAAGACGCCGTGGAACGCATCTTGAAACAGCAGGGCTACTCCTACGAGTCGTTTCGCCAAGTTGCGCTGCTCTACGAAGAAGTGTCCGATGACTTCGGGTATATGTGTAACCAAGTCGCCACGAGCATCGCACTGCATCCCGAAATGGCTGCCCTACTGGCTCGAGTTGCTTTAGAGCCGCACACCGGCGCTGTCATTGTGACGTGTGGCCTGCGTCAAGTGTGGGAGACGGTGTTCCGGATTAGCGGCCTGACTCACGTCAAAGTCATTGGTGGGGGACCACTTGCGAACGGATACGTCGTCACGGACACTATCAAGGGACACATCGTTGATACACTGAAAGCTAAGAACTTGCGGGTTGTTGCGTTTGGTGATGGCGTTGTGGATGTGGAGATGTTGAAGAAAGCGGATGAGTCGTACGTGGTCGTGGGCGAGATGGAAGCCAGGAGTGCGTCGATGGACCGCGAGTTGACCAAGCTTCTCGACGCTGGTCACTCATTGCAGCAGATCTTGCTGCCAGCAACCGTTGCGCCACGCCTCACGGAGACCCAACTACCGACAGCAAAGCTGGACGAGGCCACTTTGAACAACATCTTCAAGCGCCGTTTTGTCCACGCAACCAACAAGACTTCGGCCAAGATACTCATGACTGCCATGCGAGACACAGATGTCAGCGGCCACGACCTTCGTCGGGCGTACCAGGAGGTTGGTTATTACCTCGCCAACGAGTACCTCGGCGACATCTTGGGCATCGAGTCCTACACGATGAAGCATGTGACGGGCACATCAACTGACGGCTATCGCTTTCAGAACGAGGACAAGACACTCATCGTCTGTCTCATGCGTGGCGGCGAGCCAATGGCGCTTGGCGTCAGCAAGGCTCTGAGGTCAGCAAGCTTCGTGCACTCGAAGAAGTTCACGGACATCGATGAGCACCACTTCAAGCTCAACGAGACGATCATACTTGTGGACTCGGTGGTGAACAGCGGCAAGTCGATCATGGAGTTCCTGACCCCGCTCAGGAAGCTGTGCCCAAAGGTCAAGGTAGTTGTCGTCGCCGGTGTGGTGCAGGCAAAGGTCGTCGAAGACATGGAGGATGGCAAGTTCGGGCAGGCAATGCGCAAAGATCCTGACATCGCCCTCGTTGCTTTGCGTAAGTCAGACAACGAATACAAGGGCACTGGCACGACCGATACTGGACATAGGCTGTTCAATACCACGTACCTGCCATAAGTACAGGCAAAAGCCGTTGAAGATATGGGGATAGCACGTTCGGGCAGGTACTGCGCGAAGACTCTGGAACCTGATGTTGCCTTCGTCGCCTTACGCAAGCTAGAACGAACACACGGGCAATGGCACGACCGATACTGGAAATCTCCTGTTCAATACTATGCACCTGTCATAGGTTAGTGAAACTGGAGACTGGCGTTAAGTTCAAAGCGTATGTCGAGGTGAAGGGCATAGATAGTGAATTAGGTTTGCGGATTTGATACTTGCTCCATTCAATTGCCAGGTAGTGACACAGGATCTCCGATCTCGATGAAGTGCTAGCAACTTCGCGAAGTGCTAGGATCTTAACGCGGTGTTCAGCTTCCCCTTCCCATCTCCAATACTTTGAGTTGTAGCATGATCAGAGCGTCCGATTGTCGCATGTTTCCGATAGTGCTGGTCTGCCTTGTACATGTGGCTGGCATCGTGCACGAAAAGCCTTGATCAATGACTGAGCATTCGGCGGCAATCAATCCGAGATGCACGCTCAGACGAAGAGGTCGTATTCTTCGCCGTCCGTTCATCTGTTCCAGGCATCTTTTGAAACGCCGGCCAGCGCTGTCATGAATATCAACCGCGAGTCAGAACAAAAACACCTCACCGCTCAAGAACGACGGATCTACGCAATGACGCCAGCATGTGAGCTCAGACCACTGTAAGTATCTGGAATTGCGCTGTTCACGATGTGCTCGATCGAGGGGATTGGCGCGGCAACACTGGTGATAATGATCGTCAGGGACAATCTCGTGGGTGTCGAGGTTTGCTGATGTGGAGATCGGGCTGTGCAAAGTGGATCTGAGGATTGCGGGATGGCGGCTGTCTAGCGCTGGTTTGTGTCTCAGGTTGCTCCGTCGGCCGTCTTGGATTCGCCAAAAGAGATGAGTTCGTCGAGCAGTTCTGCGTGTTTGATGTGCTTGTGTACGCGTCACGTGACCAATGGCCCAGATGCAAAGATGTAAAACGTGCCCGTGTCTGGCCTTGCTTTCCTGTATCACAATAGCCTTGCAGGGCATCGCTGTGGCGGCCTCAGGCATGTACAGCTGCGACAGCGACATGTTCGCGAGGCTGGAGTCGTCTCATCTGTCTTGCATGTACGCCATGGATGACGACGCACGCTGACGCTGTTCGCAGGCTTGGGACCTAGAAGACGCTAAAGAAGATCTCAATATCAATGAGGCGTCGATTTTGATGGCCAAGCTGACGCGCTTCCTTCTCGGGTGCTATACGATCAAATACGTCTTGGTACGAGGCTGACTGTGGGATGCACCGTTTGCGTCGCAGATGAGGCCTGAGGCCGCACGGATGGGGTACAAGGGAATTCTCAGACTCAAAACGCTTCAGCATGGGCGGCAGGACCATCAAGCATTCGCAAGATATGATGACAGTTAACGACATGACTACCTGACTCCGTGGCTGCACAGTGATGGTGATATTGTTTGGGTATGATGGTGTGGTCATGCGCGCCGAGGTGAGATTTGATGTGCCCAGTGCAGAGCGTACTCGCAGCGAAAGCCCGGAGTCCGTGAAATTGAGGCAAGATGCACGCGCTGGGCGAATGGGCGCCATCAGTCAGCGCAAAACGGTCGCTAAAGGCACCGTAATTGGTCCATTCCCGGGCTTGAAATTATTGAAGAGCCCTGGAGGGACTGGCAGCGCTGGGTTGCTTCGTGTTGAGTGTGGCGGAGCATCGTGTCGCGGGTTGGTCCCCTGCTCCTGCCGTTTTCGGCAATTTGTGGATGCCAGAGGGGAGCCTGAATTAGCAGCATTCGGCACTCCAGCTCGCGTTTGCGCTCAAAGAACCCAACAAGGTCTTGCGCAAGCAGCAGCAATCCGCTGTTCGCAGTGAAAGCAGAAGCGCCGGTTTAGCGGCCCTCGAGGATCCCCTCTTAAGCAGGCTCTGGGCACTGGGCCGAAGCAGCCGCGCAATCCTGGTGGGCCAATCATCACACTTGACCTGTCTCGAACGACCCCTATCCACCGCCGTGCATAGACACTGCTGAGGCCCGCTGGGATCTGACTGCTGTTGCCGTCTCGACTCTCTTCTCCCTCAGGCCTTCAAAACAGCAAAGGGGACCCGTGACGACAGCTTTTATTTCAACTTCTCTGGGTGCATCGCGGATCTGTCAAAGGGCCCGCCGATCGCTCATCCGTTCGTTACCCATTCAACCCGTTCTTGGCCCCGCCCCTGCCAGCCACGCCAGCCAGCTGCCCGGTTTCCCAGTCGCGCCTGCCACCTCGACATCACCACCACATTCGGCCCACACCGCAAACGCTCGTTCACCCACCGCCTTCACATTTACCTCGCTATACCTACTCGCATCCCAGCCACGTCATCCCGACACTCGCTCTCGGACTCCGCCGCCGCTGGTTTGGCCGACGCTCCCACGCCGCTCTCGTAGAGAGTCGCCTGCTCCCTCGACTTAATACACCACTCTGCCACCATGCATCTGTCGCTTTCGAAAGCGCTGCTAGCGCTGGCGGCGACTGCGCTTCCCTTGGTTGCTGGCGCAGACAACCGCCTCATTGAATCCAAGTCGCTCAATCCGTGCATGAGCAACTCCAGTTTCTCCGCTACGCTCTTCAATGTCGTGTTTACGCCCGGCAACCGCAGTTTGGCCTTCCACGTCGACGGTATTTCCAACATTGCAGGCAAGGTCGAGGCCGACCTCGAGCTGCTTGTCTATGGCTTCAGCGCCATGAACCAGGTGCTTGATCCCTGCGGCAACGAGGACCTCTCTGGCATGTGCCCGATGAACTCTGGACCTCTCACCATCAAATCGAACTTGGACATCAGCCAGGAGATCATGGGCGTTATCCCCGGAATTGCCTACACCGTTCCCGATCTGGATGCCGTCGTCCGCATCAAGATCAAGGACCAGGACACTAAACAGCTGCTTGCCTGCGTCGAAGCCGAGCTCTCCAACGGACACTCGGTCGAGCAGAAGGCCGTCGCATGGGTGACCGCTGTGATTGCTGGCCTTGGTCTCGTGGCCTCGGCCGTTACCTCTGGACTCGGTCACTCGAACACCGCTGCGCACGTTGCTGCCAATGCCATGTCGCTGTTTGGTTACATGCAGGCCCAGGCATTCATCGGCATGACTGCTGTGCCTCTGCCTCCTATTGTTGCCGCCTGGACCCAGAACTTCCAATGGTCGATGGGACTCATTCGCGTCACCTTCCTGCAGAAAATGGCTACCTGGTACCAACGCGCGACAGGTGGCACTCCAACTACCTATCTGTCCCAGCTGGCATACATCAGTGTCGAAGTTCAGAAGAAGAGGAAGATCAAGCGTGCGATCGACAGCGTCAAATTCGTTACCCGCGCTGTCGTCCGTCTTGTGAACCGCAGTAACGCTGCTGCTACCGAAGCGCAGGCTGGTGGCGAGCGCCTTGTCTTGCACGGTATCAAGCGTGTCGGCTTCAAGGCCCGCATTGAAACGACAAACATCTTCTTCACCGGATACACCTTTTTCATGATCTTCGTCCTCTTCACCGTTATTGGGGTGGTTCTCTTCAAATTTGCCTGCGAGGGTCTCACCAGGGCCGGTAGAATGAAGGGCGACAAGTTCATTGACTTCCGCAACGGCTGGCGCACTGTCCTCAAGGGCATCTTGTTCCGTGTCGTTCTGATCGGTTTCCCTCAGATGATGATGCTCGGACTCTGGGAGCTCACTCAGCGCGACTCTTCTGGGGAGGTCGTTTTGGCTATTCTCTCTATGATCACCATGATTGCTGTTCTCGGCTGGGCCTCGTCCAAGGTCGTCCGCATTGCACAGCGCTCGATCGCTATGCACAAGAACCCAGCGTACATCCTCTACTCCGACCCTGTCGCTCTCAACAAGTGGGGTTTCCTGTACGTTCAGTTCAAGGCTGCTGCTTACTGGTTCATCATTCCGTGGCTCGTCTATCTTTTCATCAAGGCTATGTTCGTTGGTCTGTCCCAGTCCAACGGTACTGTCCAGGCTGTTGCTCTCGTCATCCTCGAGGCCGCTTTACTCATTGGCGTTGCCGTCCTTCGCCCCTGGATGGACAAGAAGACCAACGGTTTCAATATTGCCATCGCCGCAGTGAACTTCCTCAGCGCCGTCTTCCTACTGATGTTCACTGAGGTCTTCAAACAACCTGGCATCGTCACAGGAGTCATGGGCGTCATCTTCTTCGTCTTCAACGCCGCTTTCTCCCTGATCTTGCTTCTCATGCTCCTCGTTTCTTCTGGATTCGCCGTCTTCTCAAAGAACCCCGACACACGCTACCAGCCTATGCGCGATGACCGCGGTTCTTTCATCAAGTCGCAAACTCAGTTGACCACTGAGCTCGATGCTTTGGGCGCAACTGCGCGCGGAGAAGGCAAGGGCTCTCACGGATCGCGTAGCCGTATCGACGATGACGACGACTACTCATCAGAGGAGCAACGCCAGCTCGCTTCCAAGGAAGGTGGCTTCAACGAGCACTACGCTGCCGCACCTCCTCGTAGCCCAGCCAGCACCACACATACTCAACATGCACCACCCTCGTTCTACGATCGCAGCAACGCTAGCCCGGCACCCTCATACGGGCGGGAAGGCAGTATGCGCAACGACGCACAACAACGTGCGCAAAATAACACAAGCCCATGGCAGCGAGGGGCTGGCTACGACCAACACTGACGCCAGGAGCACGAGGAGCAAGTGGGTAAGATCATTGACATGTATGGTCATGGTCGCTCCTCTGTGCAAAACAAGATCTGAAATATTAATGGGAAACATTGCGTGTGCATATATCCTGTATCGATATACATAATTCCACGATATGTCTTTGAGCATTGGAATGTGGTCACGAACGGCGGCGTTATCTTGCCAGCCCTTTCTTACCGTTTGGAAGAAAGCGCATCGATCTTCGTTTCATAGAGGGCGATAAACCTCAATTTCCTTGTCATTGTCTTTCCTTTTTTTCCTAGTGTTCCGGTGCTACGCGCCCATCCTTCCTTTGTCAACGGCGCGTAAGGGACGGTCAGTCTTTAGTTCTATATCAGGCGTGCACAGCACAGCCAGCTCGAGGCAGCGAAGTCGAGTAGTGAGGCTTGCAGACCTCAGGGTCTGGCTTCGGCAGTGTATAGAAATTACAGTCAAGTCCTCAGCTCGCAATTCAGATAAACATCCATGAACACTTCACAGCACGCTTCACTAATTGCACTGGAGAGCATCCGTGAATGTAGTGCACGCCAAGTGACAGTCAGACGTTCTCACTTATCGGTCATCAGCACCTGCCGTAGCAAGCATCTTTCCAAACTCGACCCCACCTGTAGCCCACTACCACCTTACGATGCCCACGTCCACTTGTGTGTCTCATCATGCTCCTGCATCCTAATGTACCTCCCGACTGTATCAAGCTCCGCGGAAGGTAAATGACGTTGCGAAGCACGAACTTCCCCGGATCTGGCCACGATGTTAGGCGTTTGCGACTATGCTGCAAGCCATCAAGCTCCCGGTGGCGCGTCGAATGGCCGATCGGAAATACGTCAAGATGCAGCCATTGCGGAGTAGACCAGCGAGACAGGCCAGTCGGAGCTACCGGCTAACTTGCTTGACAAGGAGGGGAAAGGCACTCGACCGGATTGCTGGAGACGAACGCATGACAGACTGCGTGCAGGTGCTGTCGAAAAGCTCCTACCTTATCTTCAGTGGGACTGGAAATTGCTGATATCTTTTCGGGGTTCCAAAGTCACGATAACGCCAGCCACGGGGACTAAACACGAGGATCAAGGCTCCGGTTCGATGAGGAGCGGCAGACGGCTCTATCGATTTCGATAGCTCCACTCGAAAATCAGCTGCACAAAGATCTTGCGACAGCTTACTAACGACGTCAGAGCACCGAGCGCACGACTCACAGTTGAGTTACGCCGAAGCGTCGTCACAGGTTGTCATCTCCATCCAGACAGATTTCGATCCGTGGCGCGCGTAACAGCGTCTTGCACACGTCGAACCAGATACAGAGTTCAGGGTACTTTCAGACACGGTAGAGGCCAATCAAGTCCCGCACGTTGATACGTTCATGGGCGTTGATTGGGGACCCGAGGAACAGGATCCGCTTTTTTGCGCCCCGGCACCAACGCGACAGCCCGACCAGGAAACTCGAGTGAAAGGGTTCTGGAATCAAGCACGCTTCCATTTTCATCCAAAGTTGCAGATACCAACCGCGGGCCTAATTTCAAGCGCGCAGCCCTGTACCTGTGTGTCACACGCACGAGATTGGCGGGTCCTGGCGGGACACACCCGTCCACGCCTTAACAACCGATGGCCGTCCGGATCTGTCAAGGCTGGACGCAATTCTTTTCCCTCGCGGGCACTCTGCGCGCGCCGCTCCTACGAACCGAAGAATGTGTCTTCTGGATTGAGTCGCATATGCGAACCTTCAACTGAAACCCCTTGTACCAATATTTGTAGCTTTATTCCCTTTTCTTATTCGGTTCCATCGCCACAGCCTCATTACCCATCCCTTGGTCGAGGCCAGACCAAATAACATCCAGACCTCTCTTTGCTATTGCCTAGTTGGACATTACTTCCAGAGCTTCCAGAGGATCATACCGTTTCGCCCTTTTCCACACAGCTTTCAAACCGTTTGGCATTGTGCATCACGTTTCACAAGTCAAGGTCACCCTTTCAAACGCCTGTAGCCGTGACTGCAGTCTGCTCCTCAAACCAGACCTTCGTCACGAGGCCACATCTACAGCATGCCCTTTCATCATAACCTTGCTTCCCCTTCTGAAGGGCATTTGCTCGAATCTGGCTCTACCAATAACACCCTGTCATCTAAAGAGGATACACTGCACAACCAGCTGGATTTAGGCCGCTGCACGCTGGAGGACTTTACAGTAGCGTCAAAAAGGGAGCAACGTCCAAATACACAGCCAAATCTAACGCCACCGGACTCGCCTGCTCGTCTGCGTCCTACCAGAATAACAATGCAAGACGGGAAGACACAGAACAATGGTGCAATGACGCCTCCAGCAACACCAACATCATCCTCTCACTTCAGGTCTGGCTTCAAGTCAGATGACTATAGCATACAGACTGGGCTGGCGCGCCATGCATCTACAGCATCGACTGCTTCTGTCCCTCGCTCACCCTCCATACGTTCCCACCCCGTAGCACTACAGATCTTTGACTACGACATACTCGAGTATGTGATACTAGTCGATGATAACAACAAGAAGCGTCCTATCGGTACCGGTATATGGAGCGACGTGTACCTAGCGGCCCCAAGTTTACCAAAGCCGAGTGATGAGTCATTTCTACTACCACCTTCGGCCACAAAATCGCCCCCTGTCACCCCAATAAAGTCGAACGACTCAGCTGTTGGACTGAATTCATTTCCTGCTGTACCGCCTCTGTATGCGATCAAAGCTCCTGCATCTATGAGCTCACGCAAGGTTCTGAGAGAAGAAGCGAAGGTTCTGTCTTACCTGTCCCAGTTCCCGGAATCGGATAAACACATCGTACAATTCTTCGGTCAGGATACCCGCAACGATGCGCTGGTACTAAAAGCCATGGACGGTACTTTGGAAGATTGGATCAAGAAGGACTTAAATAGCCTTCCTGAAGAGCTCCGCTCAACCAAGCTTGGGACCGTATTTCCCTGCATCGCACTAGCCCTGATTGACAGTCTGATGTGGATGCAAGACAAGAACTGTATCCATGCAGATATCAAGCCTGCGAACGTTCTGATCTCCAGCACCCCTGCGGATCTCACGTCTGCACCAGCAACAGTATACTCTGACTTCTCATCGACCATTCTGATTGCACCGGAAATTGAGGTTCACAACGCCTCGCCTCTCGGCGCCGGGACCTGGGATTACCTCGATCCGTCTCTGCTAAGCAGCTTCGCACCTGCAGAGCCGTCTGCCGCTACCGATCTGTGGTCTCTCGCCATCACCCTCTTATTTCTCATCAGTGGCGCGTCACCCTTTGATGCCTTCAGGCATAACAAATATCAACAACGTGAGATGATCAAATCCGGCAGCCCGCTCCAATGTCTGGCCTACGATGACGTAGGCATCAGAAACATGCGTAGAATGAAGGACCTGTCGAAAGCCCTTGGACTCGACCTGCACAAATGGTTCGCTAAGGTACTAGTCAAAGATGTCAGTAAGCGCATTGATGTGGCTGCGTGGAAGGACGAGCTGGTATGCGCTACGACCAAGGTCGGATCGATGATCTAGCGTGGCTATGCGTTGCAGAATGGTACGACGACGCTTCGGCGGCTGTAAATGCCACCATGTACAAATGTTTTTATGACTTTTTCTGTCTATATGGGCGTACCGGGGTCCTCAAGAGGTATTGGACATTCGCTAGATACCCATTGGCATTGCATTGGACACAGGTTTAGTGTCACCAGAATGACGTCTCGACAAACGCACAGATTTGCTACTTCATCACACGTGATTCAAGTCAACCCATTTCAAATATCATTTTACTCTCATCTCATTTTTGAAACCTGATCAAGACAGTTACCCAACCGTGATGGTAGCCCTCAAAACCATCACCTCTCACCGTCCTTAGGCAGAAATGTCCGCACCAACACTGGCAACATGTCCCTCGGCCTCACACTTTGAACACAAGCAACCGCCATGCGCAGATCACAAACCATCACCCCCTCCTCTCCCCTCTTTCCCCCGCGCGACTCGCCATCATACCGCACCCTCAACGCCTCAAGCAACTCGTTCTCCCCTCCCCCGCCTACATCCACATCTGCATCCCGCCCTAACCCTCCTCCTGCCCCTGCCCCTGCCCCTCCTGGCCCTGGCACCAAACTCCCCACCAACAGCCCAATCCCGCCCTCAAACGCCGCCCGCGACAACCGTGCGCCTGCACGCGAAATCTCGTCCTCCCATGCCACCCTTAGCCACTTCATCTCGCGCTGCAGCGTCTTCTTCGCCCACGATCTGTGCGGGGTGAAGAGGTCAAGGGGCGAGGAGGCGTGGAGGCGAATGAAGGCTTCCCTCTTCTCGAAGCGAGAGTGCGATGATGCAGACGAGGCTGATGCAGAGACTGATGAAGAGGAGGAGGACTGGGAGGAGGAAGAGGAGGTGTGGTGCTCGAACACGGCAGCGAGATACGCCGTTATGAAGCGCACAGCTGCAGGCGATAGATCGACGCGCGGGGCGCCGGCTTCGACGCGTCGTCTGTGTGCCGGGGAACGCGATGTGTCGCTGTTGGTGGGAATTGAGGCGAGGGCGTGGTGCGTGAGGAGCGCGGTGTAGAGGGCGATGTTCCAGCGGGCGGTGTCGTGGTAGCGCTGAAACTGGCGCACGGGATCAAGGCGGTAGAACCAGGTTGCTCGGACAAGGTTGAGGCTCGTGGTCCCGGTTTGCTCGTTTGCATCGCCGTAGTTGCCTTCGCTGTTGTCTTCCCAGTCTTGCTTTGCTAGTACAACGCTGTCCAGTGCCTCACGGTAGCGCAGCAAGAACGCGAGACCGATGTCTTGCGGCACGTTAGCCAGGTTTATTTTCTCGGTGCGGTCTATGATATCGTCCAGCGAAAGGTTGGGGAGGTGGCCTGGTGGGATGCTGCGGATTTTGTGGGCTAGGAGGCGCTCCAGGTGCGCTCGCTCGGTCAGAGTAAGGACTGGCGATCGCCTTTTGGTGAGATCCAGGGTGGGTGGCCCATCTGGGAATTGAGGAGGGATTTCGTCTCGCATTGTGGGTGGGTGGGCGAGTTTGCGACGATTGCTGGTGTAAGGTAGAACAGTCAAGGTGTGCTAAGAGGAGTGTGAAGATGATCACGCGAACGGTCTGAGCGGGGCGCGAAGTGAAAGTAAAGGAGAGCTCGCTGGTGTCACTAGTAGATCACTGCTGTTTGTCTACTGAAGATACGTAAACAGAACCCCGAATATGTCAGTTGAAAACACGACAATATGTGCGTATCCGTTCCACGATTCCCGCTAATTAACGACTGTATCACCAGTGACGCCGGTACTGGCTTATCTAAACAGACACTGCACGTAAATATCATTTCGTTCTCTATGGCTTCTTGAAGACCTTCTTCAACCATCTAAGCAGCGCACATCGTTTCTTCGCTTGAGCCTTCGATGACTGGGCCTCTGATTCCTGCGCCATGGCCGAGTCACAGCGGAGAGGAAGGTCAGTATCCTTGACTTCCTTGATCTGTACGGATATGTCATAGGCATTATTCGTCCTGTTACAGTGCGTCAGCAGTATGCTACAGAATTACGAGCCAAGAGGTACATACACGTCTTCGTGACTTCGGGAGGAAGGAACAACTGTGGCATTGCTCGTGTGGGACACGCCATTGAAGTGAGCTTCTGTAAGGGGCACCTGCGGACTGCGTGCGTGGGTAGCAAGTGACTCTACAGGACGCGGGCTGGGGGCTGTGCGAAGTCTCGTGTTGTTGAAACTCGTCTCGTTCCCCCCAAGGTCCGGTGGCAAGGGTCTCGCTGATATATGTGAGGTATCGGAGGAATCAGCAAAAGGAGAAGCGGTAATGTCGCTGTACCGCGAGTCGGCCGTTGTGCGCGGTGTAGCGTAAGGAACATCCATTACTCTGGGGTTACGCCTTGACGCATTGCGGAAAGTCTCTTGTACAGCACGAACACGCTGAGCTGGATCGTTCGACATGTTCGTCTGGACTTGGACGGCCCGACCGGTATGGCGTTGTGCTGGATGGGAACGATTGTCGTAGTTGCTAAACGGATTAGAAGAGGCTGAATAAAGGTCAGGTATCGCGTTCGAGCTGCTAGGATCGGCGATGTGGTCAATCTGCGTGTGCGGAGCGCAGCAGACCTCTATTCGTCGCGGTGCTCGATAGCCGGGACGAACCCTTGCTATCTTGCGGTTCGTCATGAGCTGCGGTTCTGGTCGCATACTGTTTTCTGTATGAGATGATGGGCCGAACATATATGGATCGTGGGAAGGCTGTGGTTCGGGTGGTACGGGTGGTGGTATGAATGGCGGGTGAACGAGGGACGCTGGCGTAATGGGTGTAGGCGGCGTACTCCAGTATGGGGCACTGCTGGCACTTGACATAGAGCTCACCGAGGCCGCTGTACTTGGCGGCATTATCTCAGCGGCGGATAGTTGATGAATAGCGCCTTCTATCTGCTCTTTGGTGGTGAGCCGTGTGGAACGGAGCTGGTGCGTGAGATACTGCTTCGACAGTCAGCAGATGATCGAGCGCTGTGACAATATGCACGCAATAACGCATTCTGTACGCGGAATCTACGATCGCTGTAGCTGTAGATAAACACTGACCGAATTGCTGTGAACAATGTCCAGAGAATTGTGGTCGGGTTCTGTGATCTAGACATCTAATGTCAGAACTATACAGTGAATAATATATTATCAGCATCCGCAATGGCTACAAATGCCATGCCCGGGATAAATTCAGATCAGACGTACAGTTTCACCGTCTTCAGGTGGTGTCGGAAATCCGTAAACCATCTGGTCTTCGAATACGCTGATTGCTGGCATTGTAACAACACACAAAAGTGCGTGGTGCTGAAGTCTGCTCTCACCAGAACTCGCACTTCCAACAGCGAAGAATCTAAGTGCACCTTTTGTGCGCAGTCTCAAGGGTTCAAAGCTCAACAACGCGAGATGTCGCCATAGATTCAGTCGGTAGAGATAAGATGTTCTGTCCCTGAACCAGTCTCATTGAGCGCCTGTGCCCAACCATTCACTGCAGTGACCAGAATATCCAAGCTGCGTGCACTCTATTCGAGTCTATGACTGCTCTCATAGCTCAACCCATGATTTATTGGGCTTAGATATTGAATCGACTTGCAACAGGGTCGTTACCCCTCCCAACAGCATCTCTGCGCCGCCGCCTATCTCCGTATGAACTTGTGCACTGGCTGCGCGACACATAATTACCACAAATCCTCGTCTTAACATCGAGCAAGGTTCGTGCGTTTCGAGCTACAGAATCCTTTACGATCAAAGCAAGTCTTGGCCAACCCTTTGCAAGGGCTGATTCAGGTTGTCTTCTAGTTAGCCTCACGGGCCGCACCGACGCATGCTAGATCTGTCCGATGTGGCATTGTTCCAGAGAAGTGGCAGAACCCGGGCGGTGCGTGTGGGGGTACCTTTTCGAGGGTCGGGTCGAGTCTCAATAATGTGGGGTTGTTGTATACCTGGTGTTGAGCTGCTGTGAGACCGCGTTCATTGAGTCTTGCGCTGTTCGGAGAATTGATCCAATGTTTCGCTGACGTGAGGCTGGGTCCACTCACGTTGTACTCCCATTCTGCGCCTTGTGCTCAGCCATCGAGCCTCAGATCCGGCGACCTCACCGCCGGATCAGCCCAACGACACCCACGTTGCACGACTGCCCAGATCACTGCCCAAAGTGCAGCGCGCATTATCTCCACTTTCTGACACGAGTCATTTCTGTATCTCCAAGACTCAGAACGCCGACTTGTATACAGACAACGTCACTATTGCTAGCTCCCGTGACTGACGGGTACACAGTCTTCCGGGCCAGGTAGTTGGGAAAGCACAGGGCTTGCAGCCTCGTGTTCAGATCGAGGTCGGCGAGGCTGCACTTGGAATCCACTGCGAGATCCTTCTCGCGCATCAGCATCTATTTTTCCGCACATTTTGCCGCAATACCCTCTGCAATAGTCCTGAATCCTTTCGGCTGGTGCAGGACCGGGGTGAATCTCAAATGTTTGACTTGCTGTAGGGATCGAGAGGGGTTGGCGCCACCAAATCGACAAGGCGTCGCTCAGCCTTGTCCGTGTCTGCAGCCTCGACTTGGTTCCTGGGGATGCGAGCAGGGGTTCGACAGGGGCATCCCAATTGCGAATTGCGAACACAAGACGGCCTGCAATAACGCCAGATCTTCTGGCCATGCTTTTGGATCGCCGTTCAAAAGCGCACGAAGGATGCAGATGACCTCAGGCTGAGTGATGGGGCTTGAAGTCTGAGGTGAGACCAGGGAAAACGATTGGCCCGGCGCAACACACACAGCAAAGTGGAGAAGACAGTGCTCTCTCACCGAGCACACGCCCACTGGCCAACGCAGCTTAGCATTGAAATTGTGCCGTAGTCACGTGTTCTGGAGCATGTTGCGCGAGAGCCACCTATGGAGCAAAGCAGTAACGTTTTCGGCCATTCATCGTTGATTAGACCAAAGACGGCGACGGTATCTAGTCGGACCGCGCGAACGCTTCAAGAACCATCGACACCAGCACGGTTTCTACGGCAATTAGCGAATCGTTGGTGTTGCGCGGTAGTGGGGATAGTGGCTGGGAGAAGCGAGACTGACAACGCCTAGCGAGGTTCATTTCGCTGGCTGAGCTGAACTATCGTGGACTCCGAGCGCGCGCCTTTCGACCCTAGTCCCTATCGAAGTGCAGCATTGCATGTCACGCGTCGCAGATGTTCGCTGGAACGCGTGGAAACAAAGAACAACACGGGCACTGCACAAAAAAGGAGGCACTGCATATGATTTGCGACGAGTGCCAGCCATGTGTAACGTGGAGTTAGAAAAGTGGCTCTTGTGTCACAGTGCAATGAGGGATAGATCCCTGCCCCCAAGCTGTCAGCATTCAGGAACGCTGTCCTTGCATCGCCTTCAGATTGGTGAACCTCTCGATCCTGCAGCTTTGGGATCTGTGCCGGGTGTTTCGCTTGCCGCGAATAACGCACAGGGTGATGCTTTTTTTACGCACGCTGAATGACCCGCAGGCCGTTGATTGGTGGGACGGGATTCAAGTAAGCGTATGATGTTGTTCACTGGCAAGGGCAGGGTTCGATTGGTAGTCCCCATAAAGCTGCAGGATGTAGGATAACAGGGGGTCGTGATGCACAAAGCCTCCGGGACTGCGACGAGGTGTTTCAAGATGTTTGATTGCGAGTTGTGTAATCTGCGTAACGTTGGCAACTGCCATGGTAGAACGCCGAAGAAGCAGTGGATTTCGATATCTTGGGCATTGATATTGGCTATGATGTAGTGGTAGAGGACTTATTGAAAGGACGATTCGGCATAATCGACCGCAAAAGGAAGTGCATAGAGAGATCGGAGTAGCCGGCCACGTGTCGTGCAGGAGGCTTGCGATGAAAGCTTGGGGGCCAGATTTGCTGTCCCCAGACGTATGGTCATTTCGCGTGATTGGGTCCGCAAGCCACCGAAGTCCAGCTTTAGCGAGCTCGCGCTCGGGCCTCAGTGATCAGCCATACCCGGAAAAGTGCAAGCGCTGACCTAGGCCGAGAACGACAACAAGAATGCTATGTGGCAGGATCTGCTGGCGTGTACCACGTTACTGGCGCTGTGGTGGTGGGATGGAATCCTTGACCATGTAGGCGCAGGCGGCGCCGAGATGTCCGTTCGCGGACAGATGCGCTGTGCGCCAGCTGAGATGGCTTCTTACATGCTTTCGTATAATAGTCCAGCGGTACCGTCTCCAAGTTGCCTCTCACCCATTAGCAACACACTAGCACAACAAACATCCACTGTCTTTATCAAGAGTCTACAGATCGAGTCAGAAACCTCCGCATTCCCTACAGCGTATTACATATTTCGACAATGGTTGGCCGCCTGAACATGAAGTCCAACAAGACAGTCCAGCCTGGACAAAGCTTTCTTACCGAGGAGAACCTTCGCTTGCACAGCTCAACATACACCAAGGTACGTGATATGATAGATGATATCCAGAGCACTAGCTAATGATCAAATTATAGAACACATCAACATATGAAGACCGCCTGTCAATTCAAGACCGTACATGGGCAGAGTCCTCTGAGCTGTACCGAATTGAAGATGACCTGAGCGAGTCTGCCGATGAGGATCTCAACACCAGGAGATACAACATGGCCCTGAGAAAGGCAGCATCTCTGGAAGCATTGCAAATCTACGGCGGTTGCTTCACATCTGGCTTTCTCGCCATGACCCACGGAGACTACGATTATCAGAAACTTGCTTGTGCAGATGCCGAAGGACTCGATTTGCAGAAATTCGCCTTTGAGATGTCTCGTGCCGACACAGGCAGTATCGAGAGCCGATCGAGATCCTCGGGAAGCTGTGGCAGCCCGCGACCAGACTCTGACACCCTAAGCCGACTGGACCGCGAGAGGAGCGAGAAGAAGTGGAGCTGGAGGAACTTTGGAAAGAAGAGGCGGAGTGAGAGGACATCGGCATGATTGAGCTTCGAGCGTATTGGAACTTGCTGAGTTGGATGATCATTCTTAGCGTTGGTGTTTGGGTTTCGGCTTCTCTGACTGGCATGGCATAGCGTTGCACTTCCTTTGTTTGCATATCCCAAGAGACGTATCCTTGGAAGACACGACGCATGATCGCGTGTTGTATACTAATGGCTTCGAAACGAGTCAAGATGAGTGTGAACCGACGGGAATAAAGACCGAATTATCTCACTCTTGCAAGATGTAATGCGTGAAGTCAGCGGGTGCCTCGGAGAGCCGAGATAGTGAAAAATATCACGTGACATCGTACTGTGCAATCCACGGTTTGGAAGACGCGTTGGACCGAACGGAACTAAATTACGCGGCGACGAAATTACGCAGCGACGTCATTCAGCGAACCTTTCTCCAACGAACCTTTCTATTTTTTGATCACATCCAAAATGCCGCAAGGTTTTGTTTTGATTCGGTTGAGCACTTCAAATTGATGGAGGCTGACCGCGGAGCGTGGGGTTGTTCATGCACGCCCACGCTCCTGAGCAGCTGACCGTACAGCCGAGCCAGTCGCAGATGCAGGCAGGCGCAGGAGTCGTGCCGAAGTGCATGCGCAACAAAAAGTGAAAACAGGCACAAAGAGCCATTGAAGAGTAACGGGGTTCGCGATGAGGTGTTGATGGAGCATTTGTGGGGAGTAGTGACGTCGGACGTGGGTCTCAGTCTTTCAAGGGCACAATGCCGAGATCTGGAGGGCGACGAGAGATGGGAAGAACGGGCAGGTTGCACGAGACATCGTAGCTGCTCCTGGCGCCATCGTCCATGCTGCCCACGCCCCTGGGCCCTGCTTTTTGCTGAACCAACGCTGGATCAAACGGTCCACTTGCCATTGAGGTCAGCTGCGATTGGCGTTGGCTGCTAACGCTCAGCTGCGTGATAGCACCTGCATCCATCGTGAACTTGAAAGCCGGGCAGCTTTCTGCCTCACCGACATTCTCCCTCCTGCACTCTCTTACCCTCTGCATTGCTCGCTCATCAACGTGTGACGGCTCTTGTTCCTAGAAGCATCTCTCACACCGTATGCCCCACTGCGCCGTCCCCACCGCGTGTCGGTCTCGTTAACCCACTAGGTCATAGGCTACGCCATAGCAACATTATCTCCAACACCATCACCTCACCCACACATCACCTGAACGCAGCACAGCCCTGTCAGACCGCCGGAGCATGAGCTCGCAATCCTCCAAGCCCCGTCGTACCTCCAGCGCGCACGATCCCTTGGCAACGCCCCAGGTCTACTACGGAGAAAGCCACTCGCGCAAGCATCCCAGAGCGCGCACATACTCGGCTGTGAGCGACCCGAGGCTCGCTGGCGACGGCACGTATTGACAACCTGCAGAACGTCGACCGCTCCGCCCGCAATGGCTCCCTGTCTGAGGGCGTGTCCATGGGACGCCGTATCAGTCACGGTCAGCCACCATCGCCCCGTTGAGAAGGAGGGTCTGCGCTGACAGTCTTAGACGAGCAATCGCTCCAGCCGCGCCGTTTCCTCGTCCAGGTTGACGAGACGCTAAAGACGCTGCTGTCCCGCGAGGACTCGGACGGAAATTACCAGATCACAATCGAGGACAAGGGGCCAAAGGTGCGCTCACGCCCGACTTTGCGCTCCAGCCACCGCTAACACATACCAGGTCTTGTCGCTCGGAACCTTGGCGTCCAATGCTCACAACAAGTTCGATGTGCGCGGCACGTACATGCTGTCCAACCTGCTGCAGGAGCTCACCCTCGCCAAAGACTATGGCCGCAAGACTATCGTGCTCGACGAAGCCCGCCTCAACGAAAACCCCGTAAACCGCCTCTCCCGCCTCATCCAGTTCTCGTTCTGGGATGGTCTCACGCGCCGTATCGATGGCTCCAACATCGCAAAGGTCGGAGTTGATCCCAAAGACTGGACCGATAACCCGCGTCCTCGAATCTACATCCCCCGGGGTGCTCCCGAGCAGTTCGAATACTACACCCGCATTGCCAGGGAGCATCCAGAAATGAACCTCGACGTTCAGTTGCTGCAGGACCCTGTTGATGATGAGCTATACGTGCGCGACCTGAATAAGGCGCCAGGTCTGCTCGCTATCGCCATGGAGGAATGGATCGACCCGGAGACCGGCAAGAAAGACCTGAGAGGGCTTCCCTTTGTGGTACCGGGCGGTCGCTTCAACGAGCTGTACGGCTGGGACAGCTACATGTGCTCACTGGGTCTGCTTTGCAACGATCGAGTGGACCTGGTCAAGGCTATGGTCACCCACTTCTGCTTCTGTATCAAGCATTACAACAAGATCCTGAACGCCAACCGAACCTACTACCTCTGCCGATCGCAGCCGCCCTTCCTGACGGACATGGCTCTACGTGTCTACGAACGTATTAAGCACGAGGAAGGCGCTCTGGAATTTCTCAGGGAAGCCATCCTTGCGGCCATCAAGGAGTACAATTCGGTCTGGATGGCGGCTCCTCGATTGGATCCTGTAACAGGCCTCACACGCTACCGACCTACAGGCAAGGGTGTGCCGCCCGAGACGGAAGCTTCGCATTTCGAGCACGTACTCGAGCCGTATGCGAAGAAGCACAACATGAGCTTCAAGGAATTTGTTGCAGCCTACAACTACCGAAGGGGTGTGGACGAGGAGACCCTCAAGGAGTTGGATGAGTACTTCCTGCACGATCGTGCGGTACGAGAATCTGGACACGACACATCGTATCGCTTAGAGACCGTCGCTGCTGATCTGGCTGTTGTCGATATCAACGCGCTGCTATACAAGTACGAGGTCGACATTGGTCGTGTCATCCGCAACCACTTCGGCGACAAGCTCGAGATACCCGAGGGATTCCGTACAGGTGACATGAAGCCGGGCCACGTCGAGCACTCTGCCACGTGGGAACGCCGCGCCAGAGAGCGACGCAAGAGAGTGGACAAGTACCTGTGGGATGAGGAGGCTGGCTTATACTTCGACTATAACACTAAGAAGCAAGAGCGCACCAACTATGAATCCGCCACGACTTTCTGGCCAATGTGGTCTGGTCTGGCAACACCACGACAGGCGCAGACGCTTGTTGACAAGGCTCTGCCGCTGTTCGAGGTGTTTGGTGGATTGGTGTCGGGTACCGAAAAGTCCCGCGGCAAGGTCGGTATTGATCGCCCCAATCGACAGTGGGATTACCCCTTCGGCTGGGCACCACAGCAGATTCTGGCCTGGATTGGTTTACAACGCTACGGGTTCGACGAGGAGGCTCAGCGATTGTCCTACCGATGGCTGTACATGGTCACCAAGGCTTTTGTTGACTTCAATGGTGTTGTTGTAGAGAAGTACGATGTTACAAAGCAGATCGACCCCCACAGGGTCGAGGCTGAGTACGGAAACCAAGGCAGTGACTTCAAGGGTGTGCCTCGCGAAGGGTAAGTTATACAGTTCACAGCGCTTCCTAACATCATGGCTAACATGCAATAGTTTCGGTTGGGTCAACGCAAGTTACATCTACGGAATGTCGCTTCTAAGTGCCCACCAGCGCCGTGCGCTCGGTGCTCTCACCAAGTGGGAGGACTACGAGAAGGCCATGTCCAACCTCGGACTGAATTAAGCGCTCATACGTTTGGTTGTGCATTGCGTTTGGACTGCTTCAGGGCGGCATGTTGGCTTGCGCAGTGGATAGCGTTGCTAGGTAGACTTAGAGGCCCTATGATCATCGAATTATTGATACCACCTATGAAGTTCATGCCGGATTCTTCCTACTCGTCCTTCAAGTCTCTGTGCATGAAGTGTGAGGAGCAATCTTGAGGCACACTGCATATGCTCAATAGGTGGAAACACGTTGCCGGAGTGCTAATTTAACGACCTCCGGAATGTATGCAAACAAGTGGTCACTCAGAATGACTGCAGCGCACCAGCCACACTGTGGGCGTAACGCGTGAGATGAAGGGCGCAAGGGCTGAGGACCGAGATGGAAGGTGCTCGAAACTCATACAGGGCACGGACCAATTGTGGCAGTGACGTTGCGCCCGACTTGTGTGAATCATCGCCGCCGAAGATCGAGAACACAACACCGTCCGCATAAAGTGTAAGTCCGCCGAGCCTTATATCCTGCCCACGCCCGTCTGCTCTTACTCAATCCCACTTCTACCGCCTGACAAATCTACGAGTAAACGCTCCAGTACAAAAGCTCACCCCTCACCTCCAGATCACCACTCAGCTCCCACACGACACAGATTTTCCAAACACCACACAAATAATACTCAAAATGTCTGACGACTGGAACTCCGTTACCAAGATCGGCAGCCGCACCCGTGGTGGCGCCGCCGGACCCCGTGAGAGCGTCGTCAAGGGCAAGAGCGCACTGAACGCCGCCCAGCGCAGCGGTGCTGTCGTGTCGACAGACAAGAAGCAGTTCACCACTGCCAACACTGCCGTAAGTGCCCAGAGCAAGTGGCAAACCTAGTCGAAGCGTCTGCTAATGTCCCCAGTCCGGCAACACAGAAGGACAGCGCCTGACTAAGGTCGACCGCTCCGACGACATCATCAAGCCCAAGACAGTCGGCGTCGCCGTCGGCCAGGCCATCTCCAAGGCGCGCTCAGAAGCCAAGAACGACAAGGGTACCACCATGACACAAAAGGACCTCGCGACCAAGTGCAACAGCACACCCACTATCATCGCCGACTTTGAGCGCGGCACTGCGACACCCGACCAAAAGCTGCTCGGCAACATGGAGCGTGTGCTCAACGTCATCCTGCGCGGTGAAAAGATGGGCCAGCCCAAGTTCCCCAACAGGAAGTAAGCAGCGCGTATCAGCTAGAGTCTGCGACGCGGCTCTTGGATTGATGGCTCGCTGTGGCGCTGGACGATGGTCATGTCTTTGGATTAGCGGGCGTTAGATGGATATTATGGCGACGGAATATCAAAATGGCATTGCTAGCTGCATCAGCTGGAGTGCTGGAGGTCAGACTGCCACATCAGCCTTGCGAGACAGGGGCTTGGGTTAGGATAGATGAATCCATGATTTACGACCCATGTCACGACCCATACTGCGTACAAACGAGACTTGCAAACTGTGTCTAATGCTTCTAGTCACGCTACAAAGCCTGCAAACGCTAACAATGCTAACATCCAACAACCAACATCCACCACCCTACACATCACCCGTCCTCTCCAGCGCCGCCTCCCCGCGCTCCTCCGCAAGCCCCTCAGCCCTCTCCCCCTCCACCCTCCGCCCCAAAACCACAACCGGCACCACCCCCCCGGTCTCCAGCGCCCACCCCCGATGCCCCAAAACCCCCAACGCGCTCCCCACCACCCCCGAATGACTCGTGACACTCACCACGCCCTCGCCGCCCTCAAACACCGCATCCAGCCCCCGCCCCACCCTCACCGCACGCTCGGCATCCGTCTCGCGCCGCTGCGCATCCCACAGCGTGTCTTCCTCCGCAAAGTCCGGCTCGAATACGGCGTGCGGGAACGCGGCGCGCAGCGCGGAGAGCGGGCGGCGCGCGTCGCACGTGTGGATCCCGAGGGTCTCGCGGAAGCGTTCACGGACGCAGGGAGTGTAGGGAGCTGCGTGCGGGAGCGGCAGGGCGAGGAAGGTGGCGTCTGCGGTTTGCAGTGCGCGGGTCAGCGGGGACACGTAGTAGATGTGTGGCGCGGGCATGCCGCGGGCGAGTTGCGCGGCCCAGAGGTCGTGCACGGCGCGGGCTTGCGAGACGCCGAGCGGCGTGAGAGGTGCGTCGGTGTACGCCGGGTTGCGGGCGTAGACGGCTTCCCAGGCGGGCGTGCCGTGGGTGCTTTCCGCGACGTTGTGGGTGCCTTGGCCGTGGCGGGCGAGGAAGAGCAGTTTTACTTTCTGGTCTGGGGGGAGCGCGGAGTTCAAGGTTTGCAGGTGGTGCGTGAAGCGTGTCCAGGGGCGTTGGTCGGGGGCTGTGGGGTCAGAAGGGTATGCGCGGTCCACGAGGCCGAAGTTCTCTTTTTTCTGCGCGGGTTTTTTAGTACTTTGGGAGGTGGAATGCGAAGCCAGCGGGCGGGCGGCTTACAAAGTCGAATGTCAAGTCCGAGGTTGAGGGGGAGGATTGATGGAATAGATCTGGGATGACGGTGTATTCGTAGTGGAAGGCTGGCGGCGGAGGGACCGGGTTTGAGGTCTTGGGTTCAGGGGGAGAGGACATGATGGTGGATATGAGATAGAGGGCCAGGATAGTTGAGATGAGGAGAATGGGTCTGGAGAGTGTTAGCATGGGTGTTGCGTGGATAGTGAAGGTGAGTACGTGGAAATTCTGATGCCGAAAACTTGGTTTGTCGGCAGGTTTGGGGCTTTTAGCATCACACGCAGAATTTGGCTGGGTGCGAAGTAGTATAACCGCCGCCTATTTCCGAGTCGACTTGAGTGATGGAGTGGAACATTGGTGGACGTTGATATGAGGCTCGACGCTAGCGATCTGGGCCAATCACGTTGCTGATTCTTGTCACGCTTGGTGTTGGTCACAGCATGCGTGGGCGTATGTCTGCCTCTCGATCTCAAGTATGACGTTGCCGGATTCGAGTGATTTGCGCGTACAATTGAAAAGAGCTCTCCACATGCTTTGTACTGGTGTTCATTCGGGTACTACGCTCTGATATCGAGTCTATCTGCGGATCGCTCTCCAGAACTTTTGAGAACCTCAACCCAACCGGAACCGGAACGCCGTTGCATGCATGCACCATTCCAGACATCCCTCATAACATCTCGCTCCGGTACATTACAAGTTCGCCTGCTCCTGCTCCGCCTCCCGCTCCACCTCGTACTTGAAGTCGAAGTAGGGCTTGTCGAAGTGGTGCACGCGCACGTAGCCGTCCTCTCCGCCGGAGCAGTACGCAGTACCCTGCGGGTGCACGGCAACGTAGTTGAGCGGGCCGAAATGGCCACGCACACGGCCGATCTCCTCGGCGAAGATCTTGTGGTAGAAACGCGCCTCGAATTTACCCTGGCGGGCGGAGGTGGTTGTGACATCCATAGCGGCCTGGCCTCCACCGAGGATGACGTAGTCTTTTACGGGGGTCATAGCGGCGCTGTTGAGAGGTGTATCGGCGATGTAGGCCTTCAGGACGTCCAGGGTCTCGGCATCGACGAGCTTCGCGGTCTTGTCCTTGGACGCGGTGATGAAGTAGGTGCGGTCGGGCGACCACTGGAGATCGGTCACTGGCACTGTTAGCACGCTTTCAAACCGCCACACGCGCATACGCACCCTGCATGTCCGGCTCGTGCACGTCGTAGTTGCTGCTGAGCAGCTCGCCGGTCTTGCCGTCCCACTGTGTGATGGAGCCGTCCTCGTGGCCGGAGATGATGTACTTGGCGAGGTAGGAGAAGCCAGCGACAGTAGCCTTGCTCTCGTCGCAGACTATGCGCAGAATCTGCTCGTCGCTCTGGGTGGCCTCAACGTCGGGGTTGATCTCGTATACGACAATGGTGGACAGGTGCCCCGAGCGCTTCTCTGTGACACCGAGCAGCTGGCGGCCGTCGGGCGAGAACTCGACGCGCTTGATGGATGTGGCGAATTCCCAGGTCTTCAGCAGGCGGCCGGTCTTGACCTCCCACAGGCGCATCGTGTTGTCAGCGCCGCCGGTCGCGAGCAGCTCCGAGGTGGGGTTGACGTCGACGGTCCACAGGGCTCCGACGTGGCCGTGGTATGTGCCCAAACGCTCACCGTTGTGTGAATCTGCATCTGTCAGCGGACTGCTCGCCTGGCCGACCGGGGCTACTGACACCATGCGCACACAACATGGTCCTTGGAGACGGAGAAAATGATGTCGCCGTCGGGGTTGAATTTGACCTGCGTGAGCGCACGCTCGTGCCCGGAGAGAAGAATCGGTCTCATGTTTGCGGTATGTGTAGGGCGGGGGCGGGTCGGGGTGGGCGTGGCCTTTGTAGGTGGTGACTCTCAGCGCTGTTCTTCAACTCGCAGTGGGACGAATTTCGATACTGGGATGCGCTAACGCGCTAACGACACGTGCCCCGCATTTCACGACGTCTCGCCGCTACATCTTCTTGACATCAGACCTCATCTTGTATTGTTTGGGATTTAATGTTATATTCTGGGAGTTTTGAACAGGTTTGCCTTGTGGTGGTAGCTTCTAGTTTCGGGTGTGAGCCTGCATTCGCTCTCTCAAATCCATCTTCGCCTCTCTGCTCAGGGCTGCAGTGCATCTGCACGGCCAGTTCCTGGAACGTCGAGAGGCACTCTGACTCACTGGTGCTCTCTATCAGTCAAGCAAGGGTCTCTCATATCTTAGATGTCACCTCATCAGGCGTCCTGTGACTCACCGTTGACACCGATCACTCGAGATGCTCCCGAGGTCGATACCAGAGTCGCCTCATCCAATGGTACAGTGGCTATTGGGTGCTCATAACTTTCTCTCCTAGCGGAGATTTGTTAAGTCTCTGTCGAAGTTTCGGTTATGCTTGGCTGCTCCTTCCTGCTCCTTCCTGCTCTCAGGCGAAAAGACAATTACTTGGCTTGGCATTACCTGTCGTTTTCGAGAGAGTCGGGCATATCCACAAGAGCATTCCACCTGATTGTGTCGTCTCGCATGATTAGATTACTTCACTCCTTGACAGCATCACTCTCGATGGGCACAATGCCGAAAATCTTTGTGCTTCACAGGCAACATAACGGATCTCGAGACTAATGCCATTCTCGGCCAAGACATGACCCTTCCAGTTGCCCTAAGTTTCTGAAGTCAGGTGCGAACAAACAAGCGAAGAATCTCGAGGTGAATCGCATGTCAAGCTGGGCTTAGAGTGAGCCAGAGGCAAATCGGGCTCACGGTGAAGCTAGCCTTGGCGCAAACGCTCCTGCCATCCCAATTCCACTCACCACCAGCTTCACCTCTTCTATCACCTACTGCCCTCATCAACCACAGAAGTGACTTACCACAGCACATCAGTAGTCTAGCAGTCGCGACACGCCACGCCTGCGGCACTATGGCCGAACTACACCTTCCAGATGCAGCGCAGGTTTCAACCTCACTTGACAACCTCGAGAAGCTTAGCACAGACGAGTACATTATAGCGTTTGGTCCTAACGGTAGGCACTTCTTTGCTACGCCCAATGGCTACTCCGCGTAAGTTTAATCTCTCACTTCAGCATTTACTGATCTTACACAGTTCGCAACTCCCAATGAGAGTGGTGGACTATCTGACAACTAAGCCTGTTAGAAAAGTCCGCTGGGCATCGTATGGCTCTGATTCCGAATCATGGTTCTTCGTGTTCGAGATGATTGACGGCACATTCACTTTCCACGTCGGCGCACGCATACCAGCAGCGCTTCGACAGTTCATTAACCAAATCCGACTGGTACCCAATCTATGTTTGGGCTTGCGTGTGCAGCTCGGCGGCGACGACTCTTTCGTAGCATGGTCCCGCACATCCTGGGTCTGCTACGGCGTCCCTGCGGCGCTTGAAGCTAGACTAGTCCACATGAGCGGAAACTACATGAGGTGTTCTGGCGGCACTAATGGATCTTTTAGAGGTACGCTGAGCCAAGTTACGTGGCATAAGGACGGCTCCTACTACCTCAAGGGGCAAAAAGGATACGCTAGTCACTTCAGGTCGAGCATCACCTGCAAAGCATGGAGGACGCTTTGGTCGAGTAAAAGTGAGACTCCAAGCCTTGCGGAGTACTCAGAGCTGGTGGTAAGTCACTATCTTCAGCATCTTGATCACGGCCTAACATAGTAGCTTGTCGCCCTGGACTCTCATGCGCCTGTCGGAGAAACCTTTGTCTTTATCAAGAAACAAGGCGATGCACAAGAAGCACCGTTCGTCTTCCACGTCCATCAAGACACCATCTATGAAACAGAGGCCCCAAAGGCTGCACCCGCTGTCCAAGAAACACGGCTTCAGCAAACGGAGTGTAAACCAGAAAGGCCGAAGTTTTATCGATGGGCCATCAGCACGCAAGACGGCCGTCCACATCTGAACGACTCCTGGGAACTGCAGCTTAAGAAGAATGAGAAGTTGAAGGTGTGGGAGGATAGAGGCAATGACTGGTTCATCGTCGAGGGGCGACAAGGAGTGAAGGGCTGGGCGCATGGCACGTGGATTGCGTTCTGCGGAAGCAAGGTGCACCAGGACCCGCGCGCCACCTACACTCAGTTCCAGGAAGACATGCAGAAGCTGCTCGTCCCTGGTCAGCTGCGCGAGTTCCCCCCGCTCAGCGAGTACATGGATGTTTGTTCCCAGGCCATGTGCGAGGTGTCAAAGAGTAGTTCACAGCTAGGGTTCTGCGTCCACGACCTGCAGACGCTGCTGGAGGGCTCAGGGTCCTACTGCTACGAATGGCTGAAGGAAGAGCGAGTTATGTGGCACCCGGACAAATTCGCCAGATATTGCCACCCTGAGCACAAGGAAGAGTTGAAGGCGTCCGCACAGGAGATGTTTGTGTTGTACGGCGTTCTCATGGACATATGCAGGCTGGAGGAGTAGGAAAGGATGGCGAGGCACGCGTTGTTACAGCTTTTTAGGCGACGCCATCACGTACAGATCAATCAATTGGATCCCGATAACAAAGTATAGTGTTGAAGCATGACTCTTACGGTTGCAGGTCCAATGGCGGTCAAAAAGGACCATATCAGGGTCGGCCATGCTGGGTTAGTACGTAATAACGGGAGCGGCGAAAGTTTGCAGTTTCGCGTCGGAACGCATTGAACTCGGACCGCACAAAGAGCTGGCGGGTTAGTTTCAGTCATGTCTTTCAGGTAATATGTTGCGTGCCTCGTTCTCCATCTCGCAGCCCCTCGCCTAGTCTGGCAAAAGATACGCTGGCTTGGCCCAGATTGGAAGGAAGATGAATCCGATGTGCGGCGCAGGACGCGTGCTGCGAACGAGGCCCCGTGGATTGCCGCATACAGCTACCCCGCCATCGCAAAATTCACATGTAGTGCCCCGCCAGCGCTTTTATACTGCATCAGTTGCGCGCGCAGTCCGGCACTTTTCGAGCACGCGCAGCATCATGACGGCCACCAAGATCGATGGCACTGCCATTGCGAAGAGCATCCGCGAGCGCCTGGGCGGGTACATCCAGGAGAAGCAGGCCGCGAACCCGCGGTACCGCCCGAGCCTGAAGATTGTGCAGGGTACGCGCCGTTGTAGATGGGCTGACGGCCATTGAGGTGAACGTAGCTAACGTGCGCAGTGGGCGACCGCTCCGACTCGTCGACGTATGTGCGCATGAAGCTCAAGGCGGCCGAGGAGGCCAACATCGACTGCGAGCTGGTGCAGCTGCCCGAGGACACGACCGAGAGCGACCTGCTGCACCGCGTGGCCGCCTACAACAACGACCCCGCCGTGCACGGCATCCTGGTGCAGCTGCCGCTGCCCAAGCACATCTCCGAGTATGAGATCACCAGCGCCGTCGCCGACGAGAAGGACGTCGACGGCTTCGGCGCCGCGAGCATCGGCGAGCTGGCCAAGCGCGGCGGCAAGCCGCTGTTCACCCCGTGCACCCCCAAGGGCGTCATGGTGCTGCTGGAGGAGGCCGGCGTGCAGATTGCCGGCAAGAACGCCGTCGTGCTGGGCCGCAGCGACATTGTGGGCAGCCCCGCCAGCTACCTGCTGAAGAACGCCGACGCGACCGTGACCGTGTGCCACTCCAAGACGGCCAACCTGCCCGACATCGTGCGCCAGGCCGACATCGTCGTCGCCGCCATTGGCAAGGCCCAGTTCGTCAAGGGCGACTGGCTCAAGCCCGGCGCCGTTGTCATCGACGTCGGCACCAACTTCGTGCCCGATGCCAGCAAGAAGAGCGGCCAGCGCCTGGTCGGCGACGTCGACTACGACTCCGCCGCCGAGGTCGCCTCGCAGATCACCCCCGTGCCCGGCGGCGTTGGCCCCATGACCATCGCCATGCTGCTGCAGAACCTCGTCGACTCGGCCGACGCCACCTTCGACCGTCAGACGAAGCGCAAGATCACACCGCTGCCCATCAAGCCCGAGGACCCCATCCCCTCGGACATTGCCATCTCGCGCAAGCAGCACCCCAAGCAGATCACCCAGGTCGCCAAGGAGGTTGGTATCCTGCCCCACGAGCTGGAGCCGTACGGCTACACCAAGGCCAAGGTCGACCTGTCGCTGCTGAAGCGCCTCGAACACCGCAAGAACGGCCGCTACGTCCTGATTGCTGGCATTACCCCCACGCCGCTCGGCGAGGGCAAGTCCACAACCACCATCGGTGTCGCGCAGGCCCTGGGCGCCCACCTCGGCAGGATATGCTTCGCCAACGTCCGCCAGCCCAGCATGGGCCCGACCTTCGGCATCAAGGGCGGAGCTGCTGGCGGTGGCTACAGCCAGGTCATTCCCATGGACGAGTTCAACCTCCACTTGACTGGTGACATCCACGCCATCACCGCCGCCAACAACCTGCTGGCTGCCGCCATCGAGACTCGCATCTTCCACGAGAACACACAGAAGGACGCCGCCCTGTATAAGCGACTGGTGCCCGCAAAGAAGGGCGGGCGCGAGTTCGCGCCGGTCATGTTCCGCCGCCTGAAGAAGCTCGGCATCGACAAGACCAACCCCGACGACCTGACCGAGGAGGAGATCACAAAGTTCGCCCGTCTCGACATCGACCCTGAGACTATCACATGGCGTCGCGTTCTCGATGTCAACGACAGGCATCTGCGAGGCATCACCATCGGTCAGGCTCCCACCGAGAAGGGCCAGACCCGCGAGACCGGCTTCGACATCTCCGTTGCCAGCGAGTGCATGGCTATTCTCGCGCTCAGCAACGACCTTGGCGATCTCCGCGAGCGTCTCGGCCGCATGGTCGTCGCCAGCTCCCGCAGCGGTGACCCCGTTACCTGCGACGACATTGGTGCTGGTGGTGCCCTGACTGCCCTCCTCCGCGATGCCATCAAGCCCAACCTGATGCAGACGCTTGAGGGCACCCCCGTCTTCGTTCACGCTGGTCCCTTCGCCAACATCTCCATCGGCGCTTCTTCTGTCCTTGCTGACAAGCTCGCACTCAAGCTTGCCGGAACCGAGGCTGGCGAGGACCACGATGAGAAGACTGGTTTCGTCGTCACAGAAGCCGGCTTCGACTTCACCATGGGCGGCGAGCGCTTCTTCAACATCAAGTGCCGCTCCTCCGGCCTCGTTCCCGACACCGTCGTCATCGTCGCCACCGTCCGCGCCCTCAAGGTCCACGGCGGCGGCCCCGACATCAAGCCCGGCGCCCAGCTCCAGGAGTGCTACCGCACCGAGAACATCGAGATGCTGCGCAAGGGCTGCATCAACCTCAAGAAGCACATCGCCAACGCGCGCTCCTACGGCGTCCCCGTCGTCGTTGCCATCAACAAGTTCGCCACCGACACCGACGCCGAAATCGCCGTCATCCGCGAGGAGTCCCTCGCAGCCGGCGCCGAAGACGCCATCCCTGCCAACCACTTCGCTGAGGGCGGCAAGGGCGCCAAGGACCTCGCCGCAGGCATCATCAAGGCCTCCGCCCAGCCCAAGGACTTCAAGCTGCTGTACTCCCTCGACAACACCGTCCAGGAGCGCATGGAGGCCATCGCGAAGCAGATGTACGGCGCCTCCGCCGTCGAGTTCAGCCCCCTCGCGCAGAAGAAGGTCGACACGTACACCAAGCAGGGACTGGGTAACCTGCCCATCTGCGTCGCCAAGACGCAGTACTCGCTGTCGCACGACCCGGCGCTCAAGGGCGCGCCCGAGGGCTTCACGGTGCCGATCCGCGATGTCCGCATGGCGGCCGGCGCGGGATACTTGTATGCGCTCGCAGCCGATATCCAGACCATCCCCGGTCTGCCCACAGCGCCTGGGTACCTTAACATCGATGTTGATGTTGAGACTGGCGAGATTGATGGTATGTTCTAGACGACGAGCTTGGGAGGCCGGGCTTGCGAGGCATAGCAAGCTGGCGAGTTGTAGCATGCGCGATGTAGCGCAACAGAGTAGTGGGAGGTGTACCAAGGAGTCCCTCAACGGCGACTCCATCAACGAAGGAAGATGACATTTTCAACAACTTGACGTTCTTCAGCACACGGCGTTTGGGGCAACGATGGGACGATATTGTAGCGATATTCAACACTGGGCATGGATGCATGGCATAGCATAGGTCGGCCGTAGACGGGCTTCGAGTACGAAGACTGGGAGACACGAGAATCGTATTTTATTTATCATTTATGGTTTCAAGGGGGATGGTGTGATGTGTTGTGCTGTGAGCGCGAAAATTGCTAACGACGACGCAGGTGTGCTGGTCTGAGACCCTGACCCGTCCCTCTCATGATGCGGGAGCAGTGCAGGAGCACACACTGTTCCACACTCTTACACCACCTTTACACATACAATTTGATCACTCTGCACCCCCATTTGTTCCTTTGCTGTCCTGCAATTGGTCTCGATTGACGACATACCATCACCATATCATGTACTGCATTCTTGTGTCTCCGTCCCAGCTTCTGACCGACAGTCGATTCGCGCAGCTCCACATCTCCATCACCCCCGGAACAAAGTCCAGCACACCAAAATCCAGACACTCTGAAAGCAATGGACATCGCAGCTGTCTGATCTCAGGACACCAGTAAGTCTAGATCGTCGTGTAAGAATCTCGACTAACGGGAGAACCCGGGAGAGCCGCGGTATGTTACCTGTATCTATGTTTCTTTACCTCTCTGGAGAGAGATACCTAGGTAAGCAGACGCCTGCTCGGCAGACATGTGACGTCGACCCATGGCGGGGCAGTCTGGGGTCCGAGGTCGGGGTGCGGGGTGCTCTCCGGAGCTCCCTACCATATCACATATCATGCGGTGAACCGGCATCGTCGATACAGATAATCTACAAACAACAAACAAACTATTCAAGGCTCAGTCCACTTCCACAACGAAACTCCAGATACCAATCCTACACTATTTCCACACCAGTCCCCCACCATGCCCTCCACCGACCCAAAGTACGATGAGATGCACCAACAACTCTTCGCCGAAGGCCTCGCCGTCCGCCGCGCCGTCGTAGGCGACTCCTACGTGACCTCCGCCCTCGAAAACGGCTCGACAGACTTCTCGCGCGCGGGCCAAGAACTCGTAACCGAGTGGTGCTGGGGCTACGCATGGACGCGGCCCGGCCTGGACCGCAAGCAGCGCAGCCTGATCAACATCGGGATGCTGATGGCGCTGAACCGCGCGCCGGAGCTGGCGGTGCATATCAGGGGCGCGCGCAATAATGGGCTCTCGGAGTTGGAGATTCGCGAGGCGATTATTCATGCCACGACGTATTGTGGGGTTCCGGCGGGTGTGGATGCGATGAAGACCGCGGAGAGGGTGTTGGATGATATGGCGCAGAAGGGGGAGATGGCGAGGGAGTTGGGGGGGAGGAGTGAGAGGGCGGGGAGGGAGGGGGAGGGTGGGGAGAAGAGTGGGGAGAAGAGCGAGGAGAAGACTGCGTAGGGGGTGGAGGAAGAGAGGGGTGAGGCGATTGGTGTTTCTGCATGGGAGGGGGCAGAGCGTGGATCTGGTGTCTGGATGGAATGGCAATACAGACACAAAAATAGTCTGGACTTGGCTGACTGTGCTTCCTAGCAAATGAAGTCGCGACTTAGTTGTAGAACGTCTATAGATACGTGTTGTTAAAATAAAGGTTCCTTACATCTTAATTGTTATTATAAGGGTTTATCGTGTCTAGTACGGACGTGAAGACCAGAAGATTAGGGCAGACTAATTCAGCACTAATTGTAGGGAATCTAGATCTACTCTCTCGCTCTAGTGGCTTCGGGATTGCCCTTGTGCCGCGTTATTAGGAAACGCCGGGCTTCTATAGACACGGCTATTGAAATAGCAAGTATCCCCCAAGTTGGTCTTATTTATGTAGGAATTAATTATCGAAGAAAACGCACCGCTACATAGTACTCTTGCTGACGAAGCATCCTAATAGTATGCTTTCTCTTAGCTTTTAACAACTAAAATACTACAAGTCGACACTCAAATAACCTTTCTGTTTTCAATAGTCAAAATCAACTTGGTAATTCGTACAATTGGCTTCGGTACCACCGAACTACCCGTACCCACTACAGTAGAATCGGAATCCACTGACCGTATAAGTCCACAACTCGTCTTTTGGTAAGCGAACTTCAGCACCTTTCGATAATCATTACCTCATCCAAAACTCTTACTTTTCGTACAAACCCATATCCCCGCCATACTCGCAACCGCCACAATGTACGCACTAACCCCAGAAGCCCCCTGAATATCATCTTTGAGTACTGTCCAGATGATAAGAAACAACAAACTAGCTACAAACAACGTCGTAAACAGAACAACAATAATTGTGCTAACATCAATGTCTTCCTGAAAGTACAACCCCCAACCCTCTAACCGCGACCCGCTTGTCTCGTCAAGTCTACAGTCCATCTTCTTCGGAATCTGCTCAAGAACTAAAGTGTCGTCCTTAGCTATGCATTGCGGAGAGTAGAACATATGCATCATGAATTCAGGACACACAGGCGGCCAGGTATCTGGGGGCCCAGACGGGTTACAGGCGTATTCACCAGAGCCCATAGGGGGCTTTATGACTTTGTGTTGCGGGGGGATGCATTCGCAGATGCTTTGGGTGCAGCAGTATGTGTGGTGGCGGACTTGGGCTACGCTGTTCTTGTGGAGGCGAAACTAGGGATTGTTAGTTTCAAGTAGAGAAGTTGAGGCAGGAAGTGTGCTTACTTTTACAAAGAAGATCCTTTGAACACGGCGCATAGATAGTAGATTGCGGAAGCTGCCACGGTACAGTTTGAGCTGGTGTTTGAGGAAATAAAAAAGCTGTTGGTCAGTCGTGATATCTTCAAGGAGATCTTGAGTAACTGTGATATGGTGCTGCGTGCGGTGTATGCACGACATGAGGTATAATTCGCGGTGTGAGACAGGCTTGCTCGGCTTCGTAGCTTTGGAGGCTTGCACAACATTTGAGGTTTTGTGTTGAGGTAAGTACATTTCATCAGGCGAGGCCCTTGTGAACAATGACAAAGTGGCTGACATCTTTCTTTTGACTTTTTGAAGCCATGGTGGAGTCTGAAGCGTGAAACTGTTTCGGGGAAGCTGCTGATTGCAAGTTGTGATGGTGACATTGCGACACCCGGAACGCTGCATCCGCTCTTTGAGTCTGTGGATGCCACCTGAGCGGTACTCAAACACGTCGCTGGAAAAGGCATCGCCACATCTCTGCATTTGGGTCAGAAGTTCGTCTTTAGTCCAAGGTTTGCCCAGTATAGAAATCGGGCGGTGAAATGACTTACACAATGCCATTTTACTCGGACAGATTTCGGCGCAATTTGTGGTTCTACGAACCCTGTTGTAACGCATTCTCGAATGGCCATGCAGAAGTTTCTGAACCAGCCTGTACGACAGATAGACTCCGGTCTCTGCTCGTTCAGATCTGTGTTCTCATCTGTAATCTTCGCTTCGGTGGCCTGTGTTGGTTTAGGAATGACGAATGCCGCTAATCGTGATTGAAAAGTTTGGAAGGCTTGACTCTCGACTAGAAATGTTCGAAAAATTGTCAGATCCTCAAATCGGTCTTCGTTGATCGAATTGTCTTCGTGGTCGCTTTCACTATCCCCATCCTTCTCTTCAGCAGGTCGCTGCGGTACAACTCGTGTCACACGGAGATCCTCCACAATGCAATGAGCCATGCTTCTTGCTTTCAGCTCAACGAAGCGTGATGCCAGTTCCTCCAGCTCCTTGTTTGCTTCCACTCTCAAATCTTGCGACATTTGCTTGAGCAAGCGGCCAAGATTTTGCTGTAATCCATCGGAGCCAATTTCTGCGTTCTCGGTAGCCAGTCGATACAGTTTAAGGAGACGTTGATCTCCTTGAAGTATTCTTCTCAGCTCAAACGTGGCACTTGCTATCTCTACCGAGGTGTAACCACTGATTGATGATACAAGCGTGGTGGACGATTCTATCGACTGTGCTGATTGGCGTGTGGTGGACGATTGTATCGACTGTACTGATTGGCGTGTGGTGGACGATTCTATCGACTGTACTGATTGGCGATCCTCTTCATCCGCGACTTTCTGACTGAACTCTCGGTCCGCTTCACTGACCGGCAAAATTGAGGCGCTTCTAGCAACCAGAACATCACCATGACATTTGAGCGGGTCTTGCTCATCAAGTTCCGCATTCATGCTCTGGTGAACGGTCATTCCGGTACTAAGTTCCTCGCAAGAGGCGAGACCATCGAAAGTGATCACATCATCACTAACGCTGGGTTGCAGCCCTATACTACGCACAGTTTCGACTGGATCTGAGATCCGAAGCCACCTTTCTACAAGTTCCATACTCTGAAAGCCTCGATTATTGGAGATAAGTGATTGTCTACTAAGATACTCGCCCTTAGCTTCGATTGTATCATTATTTGGCTCTGGGTTGATAGCTGAAGGGCCTAGTGGGACGTATTCGCCATCCTGTGATATAGGACTGCCATGTTGCCCAGATAGCTGGCCTTGTACAAGTCGGTGATGTAGATGAGGGACCAACTCCAATAACTTTAGTACTGCGTCATTTGCCAAGAAATACCCCATGGGCGAGATGAATTTTGGCTTTGCGGTCCGGACTGGGATCGAACGAATAGGACTGCTAAGGACGGGGTTGGGTGCGTTGTTCAAACGCTCCGATGCTGGCCCTTCAGCCACAGCCTTTTTCGCTGCCTGAACTTTTCGTTTCCTGATCTGGTGGGGCTCTTTCTCTTTAGGTACAATGAACTGTGGCACGTCTCCGTCTAGAATCTTCAAGATTGCTGCTTCAGTGTCGCTTTCGGAAGCCTCATCCTGAAATATGCCCTGAGACGTGCTTCGCTGATCAGGGCTTTTCGCTGCCATTGCTGCCATTTCTGCTACCTCATTCTCTTCAAGGCCTGCTGCAGCAACAACTTGGTCGATTTTTGCTTCTGCAGCATATCCTAAAGCTTGCAGTGTTGGTTCTGCGACGACACTCCAAAGGCGCTCCAAGATCGCTGGACTCCCTCGATCGACCTGTTCAGACATCTCTTCAATTTCTGTCGGCCGGAGATGTGGTAGTGGGATGCATCTTAACCCGCTAGATTCGATCAGTATTCCGTCGGAGCGCAGCTCACTGACATTGATGACAACGATCGGCCCATTTTTTCCGGCAGCTATGTTACCTTTATCACTTGGAGGAAGCAGGAAGGATTCACAACCGGAATATTCGCGAACCTCGGAAATAAGGTTTTCTAAGTCGAATGTTGCGCGAGAACGAATGGTGGCAACGTCTTGTGCGGGAGGCCAATTTTCCTCTTGATCTCCAGGAAGGTCTTTCGTCCCTGAGGAGTTCGAAATCCCTCCAAGACGATTGAATTCTCTCGCCAAATCAGGGCGTTTGGCTTGAAGATCTCTGAGATCTGTTCGCATCTCGCCCAAAAATGCTTTAAGCACACTACGCCCTTGCTCAAGTAAGCTTAGCGCAATTAGAGGTTCCTGCCCTGCATTCAATGCTGTTGCAGCCGCATCAGAAGCTAGACCAACGATCTGTCCGAGCATATACTGCTTGTCACTGTCACAGAGTGTCCGCTCAGTCAGGTTGTGGATTAGCTCAACGGCAGCCCGGGCATCTTGGTAAGCCTCTTGCCAATCCGCCCTGACTGAATGATATCTGAGAACCTTTCGACCACTTGTCATGCGATGAAGTACTACCGAATTCGAATGGTATAGAGCCGATCGGTATGACGAAATGACGGCTGAGAGATCTTCTTTTGCTCTTGTCTTTAAGTATCGATCCGCCAGTCGATCTCCCAGGGTGTTCAAGTAAGCAGCCCGATCAGCATGGTTTTCTGGGAGTGTTGCAACAGCCTCCTGCATGATCTTGATTGACTCCTGTAATACTGACATATCCTCTGTATCTTTGTATTTGTCACCGAGGGGAACCCCAAGGTTATTCAACCATTGAGCTCGATCTGGATGTTTCGGCCCGACCAGACTCACAGCCTCTCGCAGACACTTGATACTCTCATCGAGGTCTGTCAAAGCACTCTTGTCAAGTCCGTCCGCCGCTTTCTTCTGAACGTACCTGTATCGGAGCTGAATGCTGAGGTTGTTTAGTCTTCCGGCACGGCTGGGCTCGTCTTTGGGCGTTGTGGTGAGCACTTTCTGGCCGATGTCAATGGCTGTGTTTAACGCCTCAACACTTCCTGTTCTTGTGTACATATCGCCAAGAAGCAATGCGAGGTTGTTGAGATATGCGTTTCGATCAAGGTGGTCGTCTGGTATCAAGGCAGCAGCTTCGCGTGCCTTCTCAATAGCTTCTTCAAGGTCTAGTACTGCCCATGATCTTGCATATCTATCGGCGAGCCGATTTGCGAGGGTGTTCAGGCGTCGTGCTCGATGAGGATGATCTGCTGCAGTATTGTCGAGGACACTCCGTGTGATCTGGATCGCTTCATCAAAGTCGTTTTGTTCACCTGACAGCTGGAACTTTGCACCAAGCGCGATGGCAAGGTTGTTTGCCCATATCTCCTGTGGAGTTTGGAGTCGTTCAGACACCTCGACTGCTTTGCGCCAGAACTTGATCGCCTTTTCAAGGTCAGCCGCCGACCCTTCTTGTGAAAATCTACTATTAAGCTGAGACGCGAAGTTGTTTGCATACGCCGGCCAATTGGGGTCGTTCATCGAAGTTGAGTTGACAACTGCTTCCGCTATCTCAATTGCCTCGTTGAGATCCGCCACGCTGCCGGTCTTCAAGTAACGATCCCCGAGCCCCACAACAAGGCTGTTCAGATATCGATTGCGGCCACGATCTTCACTGGGCGCTGCACTGATAGCTTTGCGTGCGAACTGGATCGATTCTTCGAGATCGTTCCGTCTTCCCAGTGTCGAGTATCTGACGCCAAGAAGATTGCCCAGATAGTCCAATTTGAAAGAATCATCAGGAGCGTCCTGGATAGCTTGTCTGGCACTCTCGATCTTCTGGTTTAGTTCTAACATCTCTGGTGTTAAAGACGCGTCGCCCATCGTTGGAAGAACAGATCGCAATACGTTCAACATCGTTCCCAATTTCAGGTAATACTCGAGTATGTGAGATGCCCTCGGAAGGATGTTTATCGATTCACTTGGCTTGCAAGGTGACAGCCAGATACTTTTGATAGACGATCAAGTTGAACTGCAGCTGTTAGCAAGATCGCGAAGAATTTTCAGTCTCAAGTTGCTTGCGAAAATTGGATTCTTCGCGCATCTGAATATATGGAGCTTGCATCCTGCCGATCCGCCTGCACCTGCAGAATTCAGCTGGGGTAAGATCAGGCAATTGCTCACGGCCACGTCACCAGGCTGCGCCTCATACTTGCACGACATCAAATGACAACATGCAGCAAGAACAGGACCAATGATGCGTTATTATAAGGCTGATCGCCATAGGCTCACCGTTACGAGGCGTGCAGCCCCCAACCAGTCATTCCGGATAGCGGAGGTCAGAGCGCGTCCTGATGGGCGCTACATAACGGTCGTATAAGGCGTAGGGAACTGAGCATCGATGTGTCTGTGTCAAGCATCGGACCTGCTCGTGGCTGGGGGTTTCAAAACTACATGCAGATGTCCGCGGGCAACCGCACCGACGAACCGCATTTCTATTGCAACCACTGGAGAATTTCTCGAAAAGAAAGGACAATACCACGTCTGAAGTCGAAAGTCAGCCTGAGTGTGTTTAGGCTAAGTATGTGGGGAAGCGTTAGCGTGAATGAGACGGTAGCGGCCCGCGTGGCGACTGGGCTGCCCAACGCCAGGATAGTCAGTGCTGCGCTCTTCTACTAGTCTTTGGTAGCCAGGTCCGTTGGTGTCTCGGTCAGACCCTTGCGCAGTGGTCTCGCATCTCGATGACGTAACAGAAGGACCTAAGAGCGGCTGCACTCTCTGGTTCAAATCCAATCAAGACCCTGCATTGACCTTATCTTCGCCCATACTGTCAACCACGTTCATCGCGCTTCGCGTCTGTCTTCCCACCGAGTCTGCGCCTCGCAATCTTGTTGCCGACGATCACTCTCTTGTTATTGCTGACGTCGAGGCCGTGGCCGTGAAGAGAAATTGTTGCGGACAGCTTCATGGTCATGTTTGACGACGATCGAATGCACGCGCCATCGCACTATCAGATCCACGATCATACTCGAGACCTGAAGCGATTCGAAGCATCAAACATAACACGCAAGGTACCAGGTAATCGGACGAGCTAGGTACTTCGCTCTTATCCTAATGTCCCTTATACTGGCGAGTCGGTGCAGAGCATCGAACGAACCTGCATCGAATGATGATCTAACGTCGGGACCACGCCACAGCAACTCAGCTACTATCCACAGTTCGTAGAAGTCAGTGAAGCACGGTTGCCATCATCGCGAACACCACGAGAATGCCTCTGCTGCAGAAAACTCGAAGAAGAGAGGAAACTATCAAAAAAAATGCCCAGTGTTTCATTCACATAAGCTTTGTTGATGCTCATCCTTAGGTCCAGAAGAGACGTAAAATATTATCAAATCAAATTTGTTGATGCTCAGCCCTTGAGCTCCGGTCTCTTCAACTACAGAGGCCGTCTTCAGTCCCGAACAACGGCACCGAGGGCTGCACCACGACCGCGGAACTACCTATAGCTATACTCTAGCAGATTCGGCAGAAGAGATTTCAAATCTTATGAAAATATGGACACACGCCACGAATTCGTCAAGGGTTATTGTTGGAAAAGGCAGTCGCTACAGCTAAGTTTACGTGCACACTGACTACATTATGGCAGTCACATACCTACGGAGTACGAGCCTATGCAAAATATGATCGCTGAGCTATCTTTAGAAGTCACCTACACCAGTGGCAGGCTAGTAGAAGCAACGCCACGTTCTTCTATCACAGCAGATGTTGCGAGATGTGCGGAAGGAGATTGATGCATCTTAAAATAGGTAGTTGAATGTCTCTGTTTTGCTATGCCAAAACATTTTGCGGAGGTAGATCAGATAATGTGACGATGTTCCCTGCAGACAACCATCCATCCCAACCTCGCAGTCCCGAAATATCAAATGACCTTGCTTCACCAATCTCCACCTAGATCATGAACATTTCTCAGACTAGTACTTGCAACTTTGCAATCGGCCCGTCACCGCAAGAGGCACATCAAGATGTAGACGGACAACTTCCATCATTGACGTCTCCGAAGACAGAGATAGAGCTGATGTCGAAAACTTCATCTTGGAAATTGAACAAAGTGGCCTGGACATTTGTGAAGCTAATCGTCAAAGGGACGTTTGCTGGTCCCAGAATAACCGTTTGACCTGGACGAGTTGTAGGCTCGGCAGGCGCATCTGCTGCCTCGCTGCACGCTCCGCCGTCATTGATATCCCCGAAGATGCTAATTGAGGAGATATCGAAAACTTCGTCTCCAAAGTTGAACAGTGTCAAGCTGATATTGGAGATCTGGACCGAGGGAAGGGTGATGGGGCCGAATAATGTCCCAAGGCTGAGCTGACGTGCTTCAATCGCGGTTGTCGATGTCGATGTGGTTGGAAGCGAATACGACAAACCACTGAATAGCAAGGGCAGATAAAGCATATGAGACTTGAACATAGCCATGATCAGGGAAATACTGGGGCTGATAGATGGTTACTGAGTGCGAGTGATCTTCGAATTGAGCCTGTAGCGCACAGAAGGCTGTAAACAATGGTAGAAGCTGAAATTGCACAGATCTCATGGTATCCGACAAGTGTTTTATACTCCCCCGGGTTCTCGCAGAGCAATCATCGCAATACTCAACGAATAGCGACGTTCCAGCGCTTCTGAAAGCTGCCATCGGACTTACCTTGCCATCACTCGATGCTATGCAAGCCAAGAACGACATACTTTAATCTTCTTCTTCTGCCTAGTCCTGCTACGCCCACTTCATGAAGTGTCCGTTTCACGAACCTGCGCGAAATATTGAGCCAAGAATGACAGAAACTGATGTCTCCTCTCAATGGAAGGGCTAAGAGAATGTTTCCATGTTGAGGGCGCGGCTTGAGGCTGCGTCATTATAATTACGCCGTCTTTTTATTAACCAGGTATTTCCGGTACGGGCCGCATCATTTCTTTCAGCTTAGCGTACCACCAGCTCTAGTACCTGGTAGGCGCACTAAGTCTATACAGGCGGAAATCCCTTTCCACCTTCTATAATAGTACATCCAACGCCATGGTATTCATCTTGGTATTGCAAGACTTGAGATCTGATCTGAGAAATGCCGCAGCGCGTATTCCGGTAAAAATTTGAAGACGAGAGGAAATGTTGGTTTCACCTATCGGCAAAGTAAGATCAGAGATATGTCTGCTGCCCAGTGATGTACTTGGAGATAGTCACATGCCATTTGACCTGATCCGTGCCACACCGATTAAGTTGAGCCGAATTTGCTGTGATCGTGCACGCTTTGCATGCCAAAGGCCTATGTACTACGGTCGAGCGTGTGAAAATTGGTCATTATGGTGCACTCAGGGTTATTTTTCTCGCAGCACTGTCACGGTCTTCACTACAATATCAATAGTGCAGACCATGATCAAGGGCGAAATTAAGAAGCAGGAATCAATCGCATTGACACTAATGGGGGAAGGATTGAGAGGACGGGGAGAGCGTGAGGGGAGGAGAAGACTGCATAAGAGGGTAGAGGAAGGGATGAGTAGGGTAGTCAGGTGGATGAAGCAGGTGCAGAGTATTCCTGCCAATACTCAGACAACATCAGAAGGTATACCACTTGCTGGCACAGAGCAGCAAGAAATCACATATAGTACCTGGTAGTTGATACCATGTGGAAGAAATGGGCGCGTGTTTCCAACTGGACTGACCTCGTCTGCTACACGTTGAACAAGCAATACAAGTGGGAAGCGATCCCGGTGAGCCTCAACTTCTCGCCGGAAATACGGGCCTGGTATCGCTGCGATCCATGTATGCATTCTTCATCGACAAAGATCTGAAAGAAATCGAAGAAATGGCAGCAACGTGGGCCAAGGACGCAAAAGCTGGGTTCGAGGGGAAGTGGGAGAGCGCAAGCAAAAGGTCTCTTACTGCGGATGAGAAGGCGTGGAAAACCGAAGCGTTTGGCCGGAATGGCTATGCTACTGCGGCCAAGGTGAAGTTCCCTCGATCCCAAGGTTCTCCTGGAACTGCCGGGGCTTCTACTGGCTCAGGGCCATATGGGGCTTATGGTTAGGGCCATGCCGGTAATGATGCTAACGGTGTTGACCCCGCCATTGGATCCCCAACCATCATTACGTAGATAATGGTTGGTCACATCGACGGTCGATAAGACTTCAGGGTTTGGGATGGTAGGCGCTAGAATAGAGGCCTTATTGTGCAGGCATGACAGGGTGCGCAGGATGATATCAGAATGGAGTTTGAACTGGGAGTTTGGCTTAGCTGTATATAGGTACAGAACGTATATCGCGTTTGTTCTTGGCACCTCGCATGTTATCCCAGAACTGACAGACGGTTTTGAAGCATTAGGTAACGGCAAATGTAAAACAGCTAGAAGAAATTGGTCAAGTCCTCCAACAGCGTACCCAGCTCAGCACGGGTATAGCGCTCCGTGCGTGTTCCTGACCTCTCGGGCATTTGCCGAGAACTCGAATCGCGATTCATAAACATACTAAGTAAGCCCCCTTCATCTTCAATCCAAGTTTCGCCCGGCATCTCCTGATGTATTGAGGGACGATCCCAATACACAGCGAGGAAGCCTCCTTCGCCTTGATTCCAAGGTTCTTCCGGCGAATCCATAATAAGAAGGACCCTTTCCAATTGATTGTATCTACGAAATGCTGAGACATGAAAGTCGTTAACCCCTAAAGTCTCTCGCGCGGCAATCTCAGCTAAGATGTGCGCCTTGCATGAGTCAATTCTTGCCTGCTCAGACGTGTTGGCAGCGAACAACTTAGCCCAGACATCTATGCGAGCAGTTGTATCACGGCCACCTACTCCATGGTCTTTGCACAACTCTTGCTGAAACTCCCTAGCTGGAGCCTGGACGTAGTCTAGGTTGGCAGCCTGGGCCGTTGTAACGTAGATTTGGAAAGAGCGCTCAGAGGGTGTATCTGCGATAGGGAAATTGGAAGCTGACCACCCCGCTGGGACTTTCAAGATCTCCTGGCGCATCCAGGCGGTATAGCAGGCTACGCTGGGGTCGTGGTGGCTTGGGGCTCTTTCAACGACACATTTCTCAGTAACGCGGACTGGCGAGAGGCCGCCTGTCGATAGTCTTCTCTCTGGGGTCGGCAGATCTCTGTCTGGAGTATAGGACATGTCGGCAGACTCACGCGGGACATGTGGTGAAGCGCAAGAAGCCAAGAAGTGCGTTGTGCTGCTGTGTTCTGTGTGTTGTTGGTGGATAAATTCGTGTCGGCGGGTGACACCAGGGAAATGGTGGGGCCTGTGCAAGTGCTGGGACAATCTACAGTGCATGTACCTATCTACTAGGCGCCTAAGCTACCCAGGCTCTACCTACAGTCTATGCGACCCTAAAACCTAACCTATGCTAGGTACCCTAGATCTATTTGCTAGCATAGGTAGATGTCTTAAAAAGAGTCCGAACTGTAGGTGGGGAACTAAGCCCACGCACGTGGTGGACGAAGCAGGGGCAGAGTATCCCTGCCACTACTCAGACGACGTCAGAAGGTATACTACAAGCTGGCACCAAGAAGCAAAAAGAAGACGTGACATACAACAGTGGGGATTCCCCAGTGGTCACCCACCTGAGTACTAATCCACCGGTACGTTGCTTAAATAGGGCTGAGCGAACGGGAAGCCTTGCTTTCAACGTCCTATGGTCGTATGTGAGAAATTTACAAATTTGCTGATATATAGCAAGTGACGTGGAAGCATTTCGTTACGTCTCGCGGTTGGAAATCGCGACGGGTACCAAACCTGCGGGCTATTCCGATAGTAGACATTACTAAACCATGAAGCCTGAAACCGCTGAGTGTCTGCGAACTACGAGCTACACTAGCTGTTATCACAAACTTCTCTCGAGCCACAGTCTCGCGAGTAAGGGGCCACGAAAGCTGGTGACTACCTAGGTAGCTGACCATTTTCCAGCAACGCGTCAAACATATCTCTATGGGAAATACTCGAGAAAATTGCACTACTAACGACCAACCGTGTCGCTAAACACATGAAACGCAGTCCTGCCTCTAGTTTGGTGTCCTTACAAGGAAGTGAGCGACAAGGAAGCGAGAGAGATCAAGTAGATCTAGACAGAGGTTGAACCAATGCAGGTACTGGCAATGGAAAAGCACGAGTCGTAGTGAATGGGGTAGTCATTCCGGTACTGATCGCGCCTGGAACACTAGTGCTAATAGGAATATTGATACGGCTGACGCAGACGTAGCAGGTGGAACAAACCCAGAACAGCCACCGTTATAGATCATCCCGGGATATTCAATGGCCGTCAAGGATAGCCGAGTAGGTACCTGTTTAACTCCTATGGACGGATCAAACGCTTGATGGGTATGTTATCTGGCTTGTTGGTAAGCGTTTTGATTTGAGGTTAGTTTCGCCTCCATTTCTTTAACACTAGGTATCTCCAGAGGCTAAAAATGGTCCCATAGAGAAGGCGAAGATGGAGGGCACTCAATATCTTGTCTCTGTATGCGCGCTGTCTTGAGTAGCATGAAGTTGCGAAATAGTGCAGTCGACGAGCAACAGCTGCTGACCCTTCCGCAGTAGCGCCAGAGCTCTGCCCTTATGCAACCATGGTTGAAACCAGTAAGTAGTTAACCAAAACAGTGGTTCGTTAGGCCCTGACCTGCCAAGTCTATAACCTTAAGCCACTGCACAATAACCATGAGACCGCAAGCGGGACTGAGGTTGCGTGGCCTCTGACTCCTCTCAATGCTTTTTAGTTTCTCAATAACCCAAGGAGCCAACGCCATAAGCCACATGGCCCCTGCCCCCCCCAAAGCTTAGCCCCACGCAGATTTTGCACATAATCCTCTAGGTTCCTCTGGAAAACCGCCTACAAGCTCTGATATACTCACTGCCCAAGATGTCTGAGCTCAGTAATGTCCTGACAGTCCCACATCAATTTTCTCTGATCCTGCACACAGCGGTGGACTTCGGCCACAAAGCGGGTATCGGCATTGGTATCATCCAGAGCGCAGCGACAGACACAACCCAATCCAACACTCTATTGAGAGAGGAGCATAAACACGGCATCGAGCGTGGCCAGGTCGGAGCCAAAAACGTCACAGCACGCGAAAGAGCTCATATGTTCGCGCTCGTACTTGCCATAGGGTTAGCACGTAGTACACTCAAACAACAACATGCTACAGCACGCATCAAGGTTCAGAGTATCGCAGTGCTCTGTAGTTTGCCAGCGGTGGTTGAAAGGATCAAAGATCACCGAGTTCGAGGTATCAAAAGTCTCAAATCCGTGGTGAGCACGGAGGACCGTTCCATGTTGAGAAGGGTCCTGGTGGCTATAAGACGATTTTCGCGATACAACGTTCAGGTCTCAGTCGTGGAGTATGGGGTGGAAAGCAATACTGTAGATGCAGCAAGGGTAGAGATGATAGCTCGTCACAGAAAGAAGAAGACGTGTCGTCGCCGTCGTCATGAACGACGAATCATGTCAAAAATACTGAAATGGCAGGCGATGAAGAAGAAGATGGAGGAACCGACGAGGAAGAGAGGGATGGAGTAGACGACAGGGAAGAAGGGAGGAGCGATAGCTCGCATTTGGGACAGATCACAGAGAAGGATTCGTCAGGTGCATCCATAATGGAATGGACAGGTGAGCCAGAGTAGCACGAATTCAAACGCATACTCCTCACTTCAGTTCTACAGCTATTCAGATCTAAAGCAATAAACTGACACAGAACAATCAGAATCAAGCTGCACGTGTAAGAAATATAATCTTAATCTAATAACGAAGCCCTAAAGATAGTATGGCTTATAAACTAATTATCACTATTCCCCCAGCGCCAGGCACTGCAGTGAGGGAAAACAAAGGAAATTATGGCCCACGTACATAGTAAGCCCTCGTCCAAGACAGAATCTACTGCCTTCTGTCCCTCATCATATAAACCTGGACTTGACACCTGTGGCTGTTTTGGTTGCTTAGAACCAACTGTATTCGCGCATTTACTAGATGCCCTCATCATAATCATTCTTGAGCAATAGGCTCTAAGGTCGTCGCGAGTGGATAGGCTCTCGCAAAATAATTTATGAACCGTGATGTCACCTAAAGCTTCTGTCCACCTCTAATACTCTTTCTTTTCTTTGCTGCTCATAAGGATGACACTCCAAAGATCCGTTCCAGGCATCTAGTCCTGAAAGTCAGCTTAGTGTCTCCTTAATTAGTCCTACTAGAAGCTTCCTTGTTTTGACTACACATATCTCAAGTTGTGGCTACACGCCAATGTTCCTTTGCTGGAGGGCGGATTATAATGAATAGCGGCTTCAGATTCCGAACCACGTACGTAGTACCTGCCAAATCTTGTGGGTGGCCTAATGCTCCCCAAGAAATTTGCGCGGTACCAACTTTCACTTACCTAGAAGCTGACATATACGCATATAAATCGAGTATGTACGTTAAAGCTGATCTGCGAATCACTGTTGTGGTGCAAAATGGTCGTGAATACAGCTACGTGAGCGAACTTGCTTTTAGTCACGTGTATTTCCACTTTCATCTGTCACAGGGTGGTGAGCCGTAGTTGTAATAATCATGAGGGCCATTCCCAGAATTATCTAGGTTATAACGAACTCAGCAGGGTAAAACAAAGTTAGGTTGTTACGAAGCAAGTGCAGTGTCAGCGCAAGAGAGAATAGAACCTACCTCTTTAGGGCTTCTACGCATGGAACTATGAATCCTCTATCCCTGTACAACTATTTCGGGAAGTTCGGCCGAGCTCGATGCGGTAACCACAGCGCTGGCTCTTGCCGAGGGCCGGTCGACGACGCCTTGGCGCCGGCACCCATAATACCTACATTGCTCGGCGCAGGACTGACAGTTGCTAGCAGTACACTACTTAGGTACGCAGCTTAGTATTAGCTGCATTGTTTTGCCTTTAAGCCAGCTATTACCGCTGTCCTTATTATATGCTTGAATTTCTACTCATACTCTCTACTCTTCTGCATTTTGAACTGTTGCAACAGCTTGAGGCGTTCACTCAGGATCTACCCCATGTAAGGCCTTACATAGCCAAGGTTTAGACTACTGCAGTGGCATGCATACAATCAATGGTCAATGTTACAAAACAAAGACAACCAAGAGAAAGGGGTCGTACCGATGCAGCCACAGGTATGATCAAGGCAAAGCTCTATAGGCAAGTGTGCTTCGTACCAGGGAGATTCTTGGTAGCCTCTGTAGAACACCTGCTCAAGGCGTTATTGCCAAGCTATCAGTAGATTGCAAGAAAGAATATAAGGTCTTAGGTTCTCTGTATGTACAGACCATCCTCAGCTCGCAACTTACATCTATCTCCTTGTCTCCTGCACATATCTCTAAAATAGCAGTTACAGCTTTTATACTCCTCAAGCAAGTTTATATACTCCCTGTTTATACTCCCTGTTTATACTCCCTGTTGTTAGTAATCCTAGCTAACAATTAACATTAGGAGCCAAGATGAAGTTCAGACTTTCTACTGTAATCCCTACCCTTGTGCTCAGCGTCACTGAGGTCACGGCTGCCCCAGTCATCGAGGCGCGAGCCACTCCGCGCCTTACGAGCGCGTGGACCATTGGCGGGTCGAACATCCCATCCGGCTCCTCCACCCTCTACCACCAGAGTGGTGAGAGTACCCTTTACAGCGGTCTCCTTTCAGACTGCAAGAAGATCGGTAAGGTGAATCTTTGTATCGATCCACCTAAGGCTAGGGCGCACGCACAGTATGATGATGGATTCAAAAGGTGCTTTGCAAGGACAACTCTGATATATGGTTATGCCGAGTACAGTGCCACTCCGTGCACTTGGTGAAGCCACAAGTTTAGCGTATTTGCTACTAGGTAAACAGCCTACAATAAATAACATACCTCCTAAGGCTAGTATCTGGGTGAGACAACTGTTCTAGAAAAACCTGATGATTGCTGCATCAGCAGCAACGCCAGATTCGAGATGCGCCGCGTTGCGCAGCCGCGGGCTTCACCAGATCAACAAGAAGGTAAAATTTTGAATTCGCTGCCTTCCCAGCGTTTGCGTTGCTAAATGGGCAAATGAGTCACTTTAAAAGAGAATGGGAGGCAGCAGGTGGGCCAAAACAAGCATTGCCCAAAAGTGTAGTGGAGGAGGAAGCGACAACAAAAACGTAAGGGTGGGTAGCGCTACTAGCACTTATACTAATCAGAGGTAAGAAAAATTGCGACGTGAGGAGATGAGATCCTATGCAGCGACATATATGCTGCGTAGAGGCAAATTTCAGGCTCTGAATGGAAGGAATTTTCTTATCCCATGCCCATGTAGGTACTACACACAACTCAAGTCGTCTGGAGCATAGGCGACGAAGCACAAATTCGCAACAGGTAGCCCGACATCATTGTAAGAGATTTCACTCACTTGTTGTAACTACCTCGCCCATCTCTCTTTCCGACACCTCCGATTACCTAGTGCCTTCATTAACGATTTTCGGATTGATTTGGTCGTAAATTGTCGCAAAAGTAGCCTACAGGCTAAAACTAGTGATCAACGGCTAGTCGTATTGCAGATTCGCATTATTTTGACTGCTATTACGTCTCTAATAGTACCATCGGCTTTGCAAAGTACGCCGCGCGCGGCAGTACAGAATTTTGACCTTCAAGGTGAGCGCTTATCTTTGCAAAATAGAATCTACTTATCCAAAGTTGCGGTTGATTACATACTTCTCCCAGTGCTCTTCCGAATCAGCATCTTTCCATATCTCCATGCCACCCGCAACACCATTTTCATCAATCTTCCAAGCTTCACTCACTACCATACCAAGCCAGTTTTCCAAGATACTAGCAAGCTTTTGTGCATAGCTTGTTTCAAATGGATGGAAGCCTAGACTGTAGAGATCATCAAACGAGTCTTTTGGCTCATTCTCTCCATACAAAGCACCATCGGTCCTGCACGCGTACCCTTTCCCGCCAATGCTGAAAGGGAGAATGAACTTGCATGTATTGTCCGACATCGTCTGGAGTAGATAAAGGCCTGCGGGAAATAAGGTGTTGTTGCGATAGGGGTATCCAAAAGGTCCGGTTCCTCCAGGTTCTATCTGATCCTGAGACTGGTCGTAGTTAAGCTTCGAGTAGAAGAGAAGAAATGGTGGAACACTTTGTTTGCTGAGCTTCTCATCAGTCTCAGGTATGAAAGGTTGCTTAGACATACTTGACGTTGTCATGACTTCTAAGCCAGGTGCAATAGCTTTAAAGCGTGGAGTTCGTGCCTTTTCTAGAAACTCTCGGGCGAATCCTGCAGAAATATTGTGCAGCTGGAGCACGTCTGCATCTACGAGACCATGTGCATTGTAGTTGTTGTTATCGTCGTTGTTGTTATGCAAGGAGCTTCCCTGGGGCAGACGAGCTTCGATGGCTTCGACGAGCTTATTGAAAGCCTCAAGTGTCTCGTCCAACATCTGCTTGTGGAATCGTATATAGTGCCAAGGATAATGGCTGGATACAAGATCGAGGTGAGTCTGTAGATGTTTCTCTGGCACAGCAACTATATCACCTGTTTGGATAGTGTTGAGCCAGTATTCTAGGGCGACATCTAACGGGTACCATTTTGTTCTTTTCCAGAAGACCCTTTCGAAGTCGTCGAGATCTGGACATATGATGCAGAGATGACTTGTTTGATCGTACCTAAAGTCGTTAGCCACGTGCAGGTCTTTGCAGCATCCCTTTATTGACCTACAATAATCCAACATTGTGACTCGCAAGCTGATTTAATGTGTAAAGAAGTATAAACCTTTTCTCTTTATACTCACATTTCATAGGTACTGTATCATCAACTGGATCAAGCACCATCTCTACCATCTCTTCAAACCCAAAAAGATTTCCTGGAGCAGCTAGATTATTAACCCAGAAGAAGAAGGAGAACCCGCCAGCCTTGTCCGGCTCACTTAATATAATCTGAGCTTGCTGCAGGAATTGTCGGATTTCAGGCACAAGATTAGCCAGGATTCCTTCATCGTCGCCGAAGTGGCTCATCCACGATCTGGCAACTGTCTCAAACTGGGAAATGTTGTGGCCTGAATGGACCCATCCATGACGCAGGATCTCATTGTGTAATTTGATGCATCTTTCTACGTTCATAGTAGCGGATTTCCAGACTGAAAGATCAAGAGAGGATAGCGTTGCAAGAGAATATGACTATTTTAGTTTCTAGGGGTGAAGAGTAACAGTTGGCATGGCTAACGACAATGTTATGAAGGACCCGGGAGACACTTTTAAGATTGCAGCTGATTTAGCCTGATCAGCTGCTAGCAGAAAGCTCTGACCTGGCGGGGCATGGCACCTCTCGACGGAAGTGCCAAGCCGGCCGGACACAAGCAACGTAGGAAATTTGGACGACTTGAGAAAACTGGTCGTTGATTACACTGTATGCGAGATTGATGCGATCGGAAAGTATGATATATTTCTCAAGTACGTGGGAGAAGGCGGCGAATTCGTAGGGGGTTCCTGGAGACTGGCGAGGAGATAAATGTACGGATCCAACCAATGCACGTTTCGTCCGAATAGCACCTCAACTTCAGCGTGTAACGCCCTCAAAGCTATTTTATTATCATTGTCTTTTACCACTAACAAACAAGATGTAACCTTTTAGTGTACTGCTCCAGAGACGTGTCCGCATTTTGACAGTCAGTATGAAAATAAAGAAAAGAAATCATATAGTGACGTGATCTTCAGGCACTTAACAATGAGCATTAACGGGAATTAGTCCTATGTGATATGGGACAAAACTAGATGGCGAATCCCCAAAAGTCGTGTACACCACCCTCTCATGTTGGGGACACGTCGATACGCATCTGGAATCGACAACCGAACCTGCTACCTCTGTGCAATAGTAGCCGCCGTAACCACACCTTCCCCTTAGTCTATCCGTTTCCTTATCTCATTTGGGGATGGCTTCTCTCCCTTCGGTCTCGATTGCGCGTGAGATGAGGGGCTTGTCTGACGTGGAGTCGATTTAGTCTCTCGTTCCGTATCGACAATCTGACCTGGGGGAACAGGGACATTGGGCTCGGGAACAAAGGCTCCGAAGCGACTTTGATAGCGTCTCTCGGCCAAGAACCTAAGGTCCTCCCCTGACATACAGCCGACTAGCTGTGCTGATCGATCCTTGGATATGGCTTTCTTGACATCAAACAGATCAGCCAAAGTATTTGCTACCACTTGATCACTGTCGCCGTCAGCTACGACCTCTCCTACCCTGTAGATTTTTTGAGACGTAGCTTCGCTTGCCACCTTACATACTTCCAAGCACTGTTTGGAAGCATTGATGTCTTCGAGCAGGCGCTTTCTCTCCTTATCATCCTTTGGATTGTCGTTGAGGATCAAAGCTTGTAGGCGGTCCTGGAGCTGACCAATGATGCTTACAAAATTGTCTCGATTCTTGCCTAGAGCTTGGCTCGTCAGCAGCTGTGCCTCGAAGCTGTGCTGCTCATCGGTCCCAGTAGCGTCTTTCCCATCCTGTAATACTGTTGACTGGCGTTCCAGGGATTCGAGGAATAATTTCGCATCTTCACAAATACGGAGACAAACCTGAGTAACCTCTTTTTCGTCGTCAAGGTTGACATCCGAAGTGGAGATGCTCAGATTCGCATAGCCTTCCAGTTTCTGGTCGACACGTTTCAAACGGACGTTCAGGTCATATATGGTGTCCTGGATCATCTCGTTGTACTCATCGAGCGCCTGCTTGGAAACCTTGGCCTCTCGTCTGACGAAGTTGTTAGCGAAGCCCGGTAACAACTACAATAACGTACATGGTGATTGTGCCCAAACCAACTGCGATAGTGGATTTATACCCAGATATCGTGTCAATAAATTCATTTATGTCACCCCTCATGAATTCTAGCTTTGCCCAATCGCGGAAGCTAGCTTTAGTCTTCTGGCCGAAAGACTCCATCGAAATTTTGAATTCTTGACATACTTCGCTGCATCGATCAATAGGCCCTCGTAACAGCTTAGAGATGGACGTTTCTGTGTGAACTACTTCTTTCAAAGAGTTTAGAATGGTGATGATTCCCTGGAGCTCATCCTGAAGCCTCTGCAAAGTCTTGTCCCGACCTTTGAAACGTGCGACGGTGTCGTGGAGCGACTTGACTGACTGGACCGTGACGGTAACAAGAGCTACCACCGACGCGGTAACACTCAAAGGGTCTGCCATCACAGGCAAGAGCGTGGCACACGTGAGAGGTAGTGGCGTGATGCTGATGCCAAGATGAAGACTTGGCGAGCGTTGAAGAGGAACAGAGACAGTAGTACTGACTGCTTCAAATACTTGTATAATTGATGGCTGTGGCGATCCGCAATAATTGATTGGTTAGATTAGCGCTGTGGCTTCGAACACTGCCCACGGATCTTGACTCGCCGTTGCCCATCAACTGTCTATCGTTGCGTGGTTCTAGGTGTATGTTGGAGTTATATTTGGACATGTTCAGGCGCTTATGATATTGTACGATGTAAATGAGAGGGGCAGGGTAGTAAGTGCTGCCATCGTCTGTTTTCAGCAATCTCCATTCTCCAGTTTTGCCCGGGCGCGTGTCGTATGCACTAACCCACGTTTATGCAAGCAATATTTCTATACATATCAATCCATGTACTTATCAAGCATAGATCGATACCGAAGCGCGCGCCTACGTAGTAGCATGTTGGTTGCGTATTACCAACAAATGTCGATCGAAGAAAACTTCATTTAAGCATGTGACAACAACAGCTAGGCAATTAGCGCTTTCTGATTAGTAACCCAGTACTTCTACCCTATAACAAGACAGCCTTGACCTAAATATGTTTGTCTAGCTTTAGTCCTATAAGTACTTATCTAGTATATTAATATACATAATGATCAGAAATAACCTAATAAGCCTTACTTCTTGTACCTTACTCTTGCTGCCGGAAGCAACATGCCTGAGGGTAGTTGCAATTGTAAGGCTTTCATGATCATCTGAATTGATTGTCGCAATAAGCACACGTGTTCTTTCCGGCAAGGTTGGCAAAACATCGTAAGCTACTTCGAGCGTGCGCCAGGCACAAACAAGCCTACGCGGATCACATCCGCAGAAAGGGGCTGGGGATCAACCGATTTGAGCGAATAAGAGGTAACGCTTGACCATGAAGGGTATGCTCGATTAAAGTGCGCCTTCTCTGCACGAGAGGTTTCTTCGGCGAGTACATGTGAGAGTATACTGGAGAACATCTGGCGCGACTTGGCATAGGAGAGGTGAACAAGGGTTACACTTCTTGAACCCCTAAAAGTGTACGCTAAAGCAGCATTTGCACGACTATGTATGTTAGGAAGCCATAAGATGCATAGTCAGCAGGAGTTGATGCCAAGCACCACTAAATACCTGATGTACAAACAAACATGATAAGCTCACCAACAAGTAGATAAAGGGCGTCTTTGTCCATAATAGCCAGATGAAGAATTCCCTTATTCTTAAGATCGTTTCCCAGCACACCATGTACAAAGTCGGTGAAGTAAGCTTTATCCTCATCGCGCTCAACAGCAGTGTAAATAGTATCTCGTTAAGGACAGAATCGCAGGCATGGCGCATGCGCATCAGAACTCGGTACGCGCGCTGTGTCGTAGGAACGTGCAAACGATAAACACGGCGAACGACAGTATTTGCCTCATGGTTGACATGGAGAAGTGGTGAGTAGGTGTTCGTCAAGCCCAGACGTAGATGATGGTCGACACCCCTGACGATATTTCCTAGATAGTTTTCGCTTCGATATAGCACGAGATTTGGGTCATCGGACCCATTATCTCGCCGTTGGGATGCATAAGTGTATGCTGCGGCCACCATAACCTTGAGAAGTCGTTGTTGCGGGAGACTAGACTTCCAAATGCGCCTTCGCAGCTTAAGCAATATCCTAGGAATAGACGAAATGAGGCCTGCGCCTCGATAGGTTGTGCGAAATTATCTTCCAAGAACTCGAAATCTTTCGGGAAATCAGAGGCGTGTCTTCTGCTTGATTTGCCAGCTATTTGCGTGCTATATTCCAACCACGGAAAACGCTGTGTAGCCATGGCCAAAAGAGATCTAAAGAGCGCGCCGAGAGGCCAAAGGAGATCGAGAGGGTCAATCAAATCTAGGCAGGATCTGTATACAGTGCCATTGAGAGAAGGGTGAGAAATAGAATCTCGTGCCCGTACAGGAAGGCAGATCTACGCCTTGGCACAGTAGCATCGCTTACATACCCAAGTTGTAACTTCTTAAGAGGTTAGTATATTTCAAGGTACATATAATATAATATCCTTTATAGGTTAGTGGTTATGCAATAGAAAGAGAGGAAGTGAAGTAGTTCAGATAGAGTTTAGCTGGTTAGAAGGCATGGTCACCGAAAACGGGAAGGCGTGTTACGGAATTCTCAAAACAGTACCACGACAGAAGGGTCGGACAGAAATCTTGTTTGCAATGTCCCATGATCGTATCTGCATACTGACCTTGGCTGTACGATCTAAGTGCCAGTAGCTTGCCATGATGCGGGCGTTATGGATTGTTTCGATGAAGTGTTGGTTGAAGAACGATGCGTTCGTGTTTGTGTGCTCGAGTCGGAGGAGTTCAGCAAACCAAGTTCTACGGCTGCTTTACTGCTGTCCAAAGGGGTGCATACCGGTTTATAGAGACCGAATGGCGCAGAATCGGATGTTCAGATTCCATAGCTTACCAATAGCATCTTGTCATGAAGGGTAGCACTGCAAAGCTCGCTCGGATTATCACAGCGTACTGTACGCTGCATCGCGTACCTGACCGTGTCGTTAGACAACGAGCTATACGACAAGCACTTCGGAGTTGATTTGGGTAAAGATCCACTCCTACAGCGCGGTGAGTCGCGAGCATTATCGTTGATGCGGACCACAGCGAAGACGCTCGTGCTTCCTCGTATGTTGGAGAGCTTCCGGACGCGCTCGTTCAGTGGATGATTATCGCTGCGATACAAAGTCGAGCGCGTGTGAATAAATTCAAGTGATGATCTAGCGCGTTGGGGGGATAACAGTCTGGTGCGGAAGGGAACAGGAAAAAGGAGGCAATCCACAGGACTATGCAAGATATGGGGGACCACAGTTCCCACGTGGCCGCTATGGGAGTGATGCCTGCCATTGTAAAGAAGCTCGCTCGTACCCTCCTGTGCCTTCGAGTAATCACGTCTCTTCTCGTGGCTCTCTTCTACGTGAAAGGTCCCCACGCATCTTCAAACGTGCCTGACAGCGGAGACAACTGCCGACGTGGAGTCACAGACATACCGCATCTTATCAAGCAGTGGGACCGCTGCAGTCTTCGGAGACTCAACCGAGCCACGCCACGGAACAATGTCGTCAATGTCACGCCCTGCCGGCGCCTTATGATTAAACAAATCCGCAATGCAGCCTTGGCTCGGTCAAACCATCGCGGTAGACGCAACCTACCCATGCCATAAACCGCGGTAAACCGTGCGATACCGACTGCGTTTCCGTCGGTGAACTTCTGGGTCCAATCACGCCCTGCTGGATGATCAGTCGCCTCAATCAAACGACCCAGCCACTCGATGTGTGGCAGCATCAAAGCTCGCGTCAAAGCTCGCATCTCGGAGAAAGGTACGTAATCCCAACGCGGAAGTGTAGCGTTGCGGCCAAGAACGGCCAAGCTTATGCTTCGAAAGGCTAAGCATGCAGTTAAATAAGGAATCAACGACAAACAATATCCACTTCGAGAGTTGATTTTGCTAAGAGTTTTCTTCCAAGCATAAGCGCAGCGGTTGTGGAGCTGCGCCATACCCATTTACGACTAGCTTACTCGTTTACATCCCTGTCTTAGGCAAGGCTGCCGCGTCGCATCACAGGGGCCTGCATGTCTAGTCAGGCCCAATGCTTCTCGAATATTTCATGTTACAACATCGAAATCATCGTGAGCAGGCAGTGAGGCCGACTATGAAACGCTCAGACTCTAAACGTGCGTCCGGAGTGCCGACCTGTGCGCTCGTCTCCACGCGCAAAGATAACGGAATCTGTTATGTCAATGCCATTACTCCGGTAGGGTTGCGGGGAACATGCACGATTCTATATGTACCGTGGGGCACCTGTGATCATGCGGAGGAGAACAGGCCCTTTATTTCGCTCTTCTGTCTGCTGTCTTTTGGTTCCTAGCCTCGCTACCGGCTAACCTCAGGACCTGATACTTGGACTGTCAAGACCCGCAGTCCTCTACACCTTCGACATCCACCATGTCTGACCACATCAACACTGCAGCCGCAAAGCACGAGAAGGGCTACGAAGGCTCCGACATGGCTGATAACCAAGTCTTCGCCGAGGGCGAGGTCTGGGACTCCCAGCGCGCAAAGCAGATTGCCAAAGATGGTGATGCTCACTTCCATCGTCTGGGCTGGAAACGCCTTGCGGTCGTCACCATCGTCGAAGCCATTGCCCTCGGTGCGCTTTCTCTGCCCCAGGCGTACGCCACCCTCGGAATGGTCCCTGGTGTTCTTCTCACAGTCGGACTTGGTTGTGTTGCCATTTTCACCAGCTACATCGTTGGTCAGGTCAAGCTGAAGTACCCCGAAGTCGCTTCCTACGCGGATGCCGGTCGTCTGCTCCTCGGCCGCTTCGGCTACGAACTCTTTGGTGCCGCCCTTGTCCTCGAACTTGTCATGGTCGTCGGTTCCCACGCCCTGACCGGAAGTATCGCGCTCATCAACATCAATGGCGGCCACGTCTGCTCCATCGTTTTCTCGGCTGTCTCTGCCATCATCCTCCTGATCCTCGCCATCCCGCCGTCGTTCTCTGAAGTCGCCATCCTGGGTTACATCGACTTTGCATCCATTCTGATCGCGATCGGCATTACCATCATTGCGACCGGTATCCAAGCCGGCGACCAGACCGGCGGGATGACCGCTGTCGACTGGTCCGCTTGGCCTAAAGAGAACCTTACCTTCTCTGAAGCCTTTGTCGCCGTGTCCAACGTCATCTTCGCGTTCAGCTTCGCCATCGGCCAATTCTCCTTTATGGACGAAATGCACACACCTACAGAGTACATGAAGTCTATCTGGGCATCCGGCACAATCCAGATCTGCATCTACACACTCACCGGCGCGCTCTGCTACGCCTTCATCGGCAAAGACGTGCAATCACCCGCGCTCCTGTCCGCCGGCCCCCTAATCTCCAAGATCGCCTTCGGCATCGCGCTGCCCGTGATCTTTATCTCTGGCTCGATTAACACCACCGTCGCCCTGCGCTATATCCACGGCCGCATGTTCAAGAACTCCGTCCTGCGCTACATCAACACCGCCGCCGGCTGGGCGTCCTGGATCGTACTCGTCACCATCTTCACCATCATCGCGTGGATCATCGCTGAGGCTATCCCTATCTTCTCCGACCTGCTGTCGCTCGCATCCGCGCTGTTCGTGTCTGGCTTCTCGTTCTGGATCCCCGCGGTCATGTGGTACTGCTTGCTACGCACTGGCAGCCCGTTCGCGCGGGAGAACTTGGCGACCAGCGCGGCGTGCTTGCTCGCATTCATCATCGGGATTGTGACGTTGGGTGCTGGGTCGTATGCGACGATTGCGGATATCATTAAGCTGACGAATACGGGGAGTGCGCACAAGCCGTTTACGTGCCGATCGGCTTAGAAGAGTAGATAGGAGGGCGAGGAGCTCGCCATGTTAATGCATAATGTCCCTACTTCAAGATCTGTTCCAGCGCTGGTTTTGAGACTCCGTTTGCGTGCGTGATTTGTTCGTCGGCCGATCCATGGAGTATAGGTTGGGTGCGAGTGTTGCCGTAGTGACTGCGTGAGACGAGAGCGCTGAGTAAGTGATGGACAACTGGACTAAGACGATTCACTCCATGTGGCTGTGAAACTCGTGTAAGAATCACCGACTAGTCTATCATAATCTACCCCCGCAACTCTCTAGCAATTCCTCGTACACCCAAACGGAAACGGCAGCACTGCCGGACTCCTCCACCCGCCCGCCCCCACACTCCTCACCCCAAACACCACATTATCCTTGTGGATCGTCGCGCTCGTCAGATTATACCACGTCACATTCCCGACATCAATCACGCTCGTCCAGTGCGGCTCAATCGTCTCGCGGTACACGATCTCATACCCCGCGGGCCGCAACCCCGTCGGTGCCGTCCAGCGGAACTGACTGAAGTTATCGCTGCCCGTCGTATTAATTCCAACATTCGTCGGCTGCCCCGGCGCGTTCGCCAGACTCCACATCGTGCTTGCCACGACGCGGGCGGCGCGCGTGTTGTACGCAAAGTCGAGGAACTCGACGAGGTCGCCGTACTGCTTCCCGTTCTGGACGCGGATGTCCTGGTGCTGCTGCGTGTAGTCTTCGTTGGGCTGGACGAAGCGCACGCTGTTGAATCCGGATTCGAGGAAGGGCCGGTGGTCGCCGCCGCGGCCGTAGCGGTCGAGGCGGTAGATGATGCGCACGGTCATCTGGGTGAAGGCGTTGGAGGCGACTTCGTAGATGTGGCGGCCGAGGTTGCGCGAGGGGCTGTCGTTGTCGCCGCCGATACTAAGGCGGGAGGTCGTGGTTGAGGCGTTTTCGGTCAGGGGGGTGCCCTGGCAGAAGAGCCGGATGTTGTGGGGGTCGGAGGTGCCGTCTTCGGCTTTGGAGTTGCCGATCATGTCGAGGTTTATCATGGCGGCGACGTTGGTGGAGGAATTTTTGTATGTTTGTGCGAGGTTCTCGGCGCCTAGGAGGCCTTGCTCTTCGCCGGCGAATGCGGTGAAGGCGATTGAGGCTTTGGGCTTGTATGTTGCGAATATGCGGGCTAGCTCTAGGGATACTGCTACTCCAGAGGCACTGAGTGGCGTTAGAAGATTGCTTACTTGTCGATATATCTTCCACTTACTCATCAACTGCACCGGGCGCATCGCCTTCATAGTCCACCGGATCACTGTTCCTCGAGTCATAGTGTCCACCAACGACATAGAACCTCTCAGGATCCTCACTTCCAGTCAAAGTCGCGACGACGGTAGTAATATTAACGGGAAAGATGATGCGCTCATTATCACCCGGGTACTTGATAAAGCTGTTCCACGATACACTCATGGATCCATTACTGGCAGCGGCAGCGGCTTCAAACTGGGCGGTAAGCCAGTCTCGGGCTGCACCAATACCGCGATTGGGATCTGTCTGGCTCGAGAGAGTATGTCTGGTTCCGAAAGACGCCAGTTTCCGGACTGTAGCTTCGATATTGGCTTGTGAGATCTGGGCGAGGATGGCTTGTAGATCGGCGTCGGGAAGCTGTTGCTCGAGTGCTTTGCCAACTGTTGCGAGAGGCCATTGAGCGATATTGGGAAACACATTGACGGAGGTGTTGGATTCAAGAGAAGATGAGAGAGCCGAGGGGACGAAACTGGCCGCGAGCAATGCTACAGTAGAACTTTTGGACCACATGTTGGCAATTCTGGAAGTAACCGACCTGGGTATATCGTTGAGCTCGGCTGAAGTGGAAAGTATTAACGAGCTCGGAGGCTTTTATAGTTGACGCTCACTCAACCCCATTCTAGTTGCATCACAGGTAGCACTGATTGCCGTTATCTGCGATATCGCTGCAATCGACTTATCTTCCGACGATGATGATATTTGCATACATTACTTGGGTGCTTGCATATCTGTGTCGTAAAAGGAAGCTCGAACAGACACCAAGGCGCCAGAGCTGACCCTAACCACAAGTGTCAATCCGAGATCGGCAAGATCTTCGCTGAGAGGATTGGCAACGGCTGTTGAAGTGCGGGGTCTAAAATGCCGATGGCGTTGAGCGCACCATCGGGTGTTGAACTCCGGCAAGGCTGTAATCTTATAGTGGAGTGAATTCATCGTAGGAACTCAGCTGTGTGCGTATGTCGTGATATCTGGATTTATTTGAGATGGCCAAGACAACCAAAATCTACCGGCCATTGACCACCTCCTGACCAACGTGCTGAGATGGCTAATTGTACTTAATGCGCATGCTTGCTGTCACCCGTCTTATCTTCCCATATCTTCAGAAACAGCTTCCACAAGATAGAGAAAATGATGCCCTGAAGACCGTTTGCAATGATTCTCGTCTTCAGGCCGCGGCCGAACAGCCCCAATCTTCCATCTTGACGAATGATGCGCCTCGCGGCTTCGGTGTACGACACTTGCGTATCGTGCACCTGTCGATACGTCTTGACCACCCGCAGCGAATTGGAAATAGTGTCCGACACAATCGACGCACAGAACCCGATAAACGCCGCTCTCAGCAGCCAGGGCACGATGTCGCTCCGCGGCGGCTCGGTGATGGTCTCGGAGAGGAAGTTGTACGTTGCGAACCACGGGTAATGGCCCACGAACGTCGCTGCGGCGGTTGCAAACGCACCCCACCACAGACTCCCGATTCCATTAGTCTTGATGCGCTGGCGCAGCAGCGCCGTTCCGCGCGGCCCCTCGGCTTGCAAGGTGGTCTTCAGGGTGTCAATCGGCGTAAGCACCATCCTGAAGCCCGCCGCACACAGCGACGCAAACACCGTCTTGACAGGCGATGGCAAGCCCGCCAGGTACCCATTCGACTGCAGCAGCGCCAGAATGCCCGCGTTCGCTGCGGTGTCGCCAAACCGCGCAATAGGCCCTTCAATCAGTCAGCCAAAACTCAGTCAATCCAACACCCCCCACACCAGAAAACATGCAACAACTCACCCTGAAACAGCGCCGCCCCCATCCCTGCATAGTACCGCCCATACCCGCCATCCGCATACAACGTCCGCGTCGCCACACTCAGCGACGTCCCGTGGCGGTACTGGTAATTCATAATCGTCCGAATCGGCATCAGCAGCAGCACCTGGAGCACCATTGCAGCGGCGCCGCTCAGCCCGCCGCCCAGCGCGCGCTTCAGCGCACCCTTGAGATCAAACTGTGCATGTCAGACCCGCGACGGAACGCTCAGAAACGCTAAGACAGAAGTCGAGAGACACCCGCGCTCAGCAGATGTTCGATATCAGATATCAAATCCCAAATATCAAAAACTCACATCAACATCATCAGCATCCACCCACCCCTTCACAAATACCCCAATCCCCACAATCGCAACCACAATCCAGAACCCCCGCCACCCGTACGCGCGCCTCTTCTCCGCCTCGGACGGCGCCTTCGGCACATCGGCGTCGGCGTCGGCTGCCGCCGCGGTCCCTTCGTCGTCTGCAACTGGCCGCTGGGCACCGAGCAGCGGCGCGCGCTCGGAGGACGTCTCGACGTCGTGTCGTGAGGCCATTATGGTTCGTGTGTGGTTTGGTTTTCTCTCCAGTTTGGTTTTGTCCCCGGTTTGGGTTGGTGTTTGGGTTGGTGTTTGGATGGTGGTTGGGACTTGTGAGGCGGATGTGCCGGTGGTTGAGGGCGGCTGACCAATCATGGGATGACGTGATTGCGGGCCGCGATAGCGCGGGAGCGCTTTACTGCTCTGGGGGCGAGGCTTGCGTGGGAGGTTTGTGGGGTGGTGTGGGAGTGTTTGTGAGGGTTGGAGAGTGGTGGGTGGTTTTGGAAATGGTGGGTTGATTTGGTGATGGGCGGATTGGATGCATGCAGATAATTGTTTATGGTAAGGAACATCTATACTCAGTCCAGCGCTGGTACCACGACGCCGTTCGTCTTTGGCTTCGGCCCGTGGCTCTTCAAGACATGGTCAAACGCCTCATCGAGAATCCGTAACCCCTCCTCGATCTCGTCCGCCGACACAGTGACAGGCGGCGCCACGCGAAAGACGCCTCCCATGCCGGGCAGATTGACTATGTTGCAGCTCAATCCACACGCCATCGCCCTATCAGCCACCGCATGGCCAATCTCCAGACCCGGCGCCTTCGTCTTGGGATCAGATATCATTTCGATGCCCTGGAACAATCCGCGCCCTCTCACGTCCCCAATGCACCAGTACTTCTCCATCAACTTGTCGAGTCCCGCACGCAACTGCGCACCCCTCTCGCGCGCACGCTGGCAAATATCGTCGCGCTCCACAATCTCAAGCACCTTGTTGCCCACCGCCGCGGTCAGCGGGTCATTGAGATGCGTTGTCAGCCACAAGAACCCAGCCTCCTTACACCCCCTCTCGACCTCTAACGTCGTGCTCACCGACGCCAGTGGCAGCCCGCAGCCCAGTGTCTTACTCAAGCACAGGATATCGGGCACAATGCCGTCGCGCTGGAACGCAAACATCTCGCCCGTGCGCCCGATGCCCGTCTGCGCCTCGTCCATGATCACCAGCATGCCGCGCTTCTTGCACTCGGCGACCATGCGCGCCAGGTAGCCGGGCGGGGGGTCCAGAATACCGCCAGTGGAGAGGATGGGCTCCATGATGAACGCGGCCAGGGAGCCGACGCTCTGGCGGTCGATCATGGCCCAGCCGAAGTCGAGCTCCGTTTCCCAGTCGTAGGAGCCGTCCGCTTTCTTGAACGGTGAGCGGTACGCGTAGGGTGCTGGGAAGGCGAGCTGGCCGGGCATCGCGGGGCCGCCGTTCTTGCGACCGGCGGAGTAGGTTGCGGAGCCGGAGCCTTGAGTGAGACCATGGTAGCTTGCTGTGAAAGCGACGATTTCGAATTTGCCGGTGTGGCACTTTGCCATCTTGATTGCAGCTTCGGTGGTCTCGGAGCCGGTGTTTAGGAAGAAAGATTTTTGGAGTGGAGCAGGGAGGATGCGGGCTAGTCGCTCAGCTAGATCGACAACTGGCTGTGTGATCATGTTGCTGAGAAGGTGGTCGAGTTCGCCGACGTATTTGCGGACTACTTCGACGACTTCTGGATGTGAGTGGCCGAGCAGTGAGCTCATCTGGCCTGATGTGAAGTCAAGGATCTCCTGGCCATCGGAAGTGTAGAGACGGGTGCCTTTGGCCCTGGTGATCACTACTGGCGAGGGTGGAACGCCGGTGTGCATCAAGTAGCTGTCGGCTTTCGACCAGAAGTCTGTTGTCGTCATCTTAGGCGGTAGATGGTTGATGTAAACCTGCTGATCCTCGGTATTGGTTGGTAGGGTCTGATCTAGATGGGTAAGTTTCGAGTTTGACATTGACGAGCTCCAGCTTTGTATATATACCAGGAGGAGCGTTCACTTTCGACCGATGTCGGGCTAGCCTAATGAGGGAATTTCCGATGAGCTAACGGAAAGCGCAGCTGGCCGTCGGGGTTGCCCCACCAAGAGATCGGAAAGCCTTCAGCAAGCCGCTGAAGCCACTGTCGATTGGCCCATGTGAGGTAGCAGAAGCCGACGGGAAACTTGCATTGATAAGGATCCATGACCTTGCTATCCAGGACTAACAATTTCTTTGATAAGAACATGGCTAGTTTCATGTCAGGCATATCCGTTACGGAAAGACCTCCCTCAGCCAGCACTGCCATCTGTAGAGCATACTGCGGGAAGGGCAACAGAAGTTGTACTCTTGACACCCAGATTCGATTTACCAGTCGTGATGTCTTCTATGGACGGCTCTGGTGGTGATGAAGGGTCCTTGTTCTCACCAGAACCCGGCTACCAAGATCTTTCACTGGCTTAACAGTGAGCTTACGCTCTACTGTGTGGGCTTTGGGTGTCGGTTGTGAATGCCGGTAAGTCGCGAGGGTAGGCGTGCATTGAGTTACTGCTCATGTGTACGTGCATGGCTTCCGTCTTTCAGGTCGCCTCTCAGGACGCGTGAGAGGCTTGCTGCTATACTAAGCATTCGACTCGACAACGCGCTTTCAGTATTTCAGTCGGTCGCAAGGGCCACAGGACGAGCTTGCACCGTAAGAACTACAAGTGTGAAGGAGGTGGGCAGCACAGGTCGAAGCAGAGCGAAGAGCCTACCATGTTCACTTGAGCGGACTAGCAACTCTCTCAACTGGACTGCTCGTCCTGCCAGTGCCGACACCCGATGCTAGCAGTTCCAGTCTGGACGCCTGCACGCGGTGCTTCTTCATCACCTCCACCCACTCTTCTTCTTTCTCTTGGCTGGCGGTTGCCTCGTCCTGATTATCTAGCTCGGCCTTCAGGTCTTCTTCCAGCAGTGCGATCATCATACTAAAATCGCCACCGAGTCTGCCAAGCGAGCCGGCGCAGTAGAGGACTTGTGTGAGCAGCGAGTCCCGCGCTGAGCGGTCTTGCACGTTGGGGAGGTATTCGCGCAATGTGTCGAAGAGCATCTCCACGAGATGCAGAGGGAAGGTCGCCAATGCTGAGGGAATGGGCTGCAGTGGGTTCGACTCAGCGGCGGGCTTGACTGCAGGTGCAGCATCGTCCTGCCCGGGTGCAGGCAGTGCAGATGGAAAGATGCTCTTGTACATGGAGATGACAGCAAAACTCTGCTCACGAAAGACTTCGAGATACTTCTTCAAGTACTTCTCGGTTTGTTGGCCAACTGCCCAGCCGCCTTCGGTCTTTGCACTGCCGTCAAGCCGTCGGTCGGTCTCTTGGTCTGCCAGCTCGCGCAGGGGGTCGAGCGCACCGAGCATAGACTCAAGACATCCCAGCCTGCACACCAGAAAGAGAGCACCCAGACTGCCCTCACCACTGCCGATCCCCGTCTGCCTCGTGGACCACGCCTCGTCGAGCTCAGGAGCAACGCGCCTCAGCCAACCAATTGTACGCATAGCCCCTGCCAGTTTAACGCCTTGTGACTGCAGAGAGGCAATGAGGTTGGTGGTCATTGTCTTCATCTCCTGCTCAGCCTGTGCGGTGAGAGACGAGACGAGCTGCGAGGTAGGGTACAGCGTGTGCAGGCGTTTGATGTGGGCGTGGAGGTCGAGTGCAGAGGCATAGTTGGCGTTGGATGTCACGGAGCTAGCACCAGAGGCGGCTTGGGCGGCGGTGGACGACGAGATGGCAGACGACAGCAGCGTCGGCAGCTCCAGCACGTCGACTACGCGGTCAATGTTCCGAGACAGCAGCATAGCGTTCCTCCGCTTTTCTAGAATGGGATTGTCGCCGCTCTTGCTGTACTTGTCCGCGAACGTCTGGGCAGCCGTCTCCAGCTTGGGCAGCTCGGCCTGCACGGTGGCTGCATTTCGGCCAATCTGAGGCAATGTGTCTTGAAGGTGCTGCAGGCGGTCGGCCGAGGATATGATTGGCTTGTGGGAGCGTTTGGAGAGGGCCTGCAGAGAGCGCAGGACCGATTGCGCGCTCTGGGACAGCGACTGCTGCTCCGAGGTCGTGAGGGCGTCGAGCGGGAGCGTGGTCAGGCGGGCGAGGTAGGCGTTGGTGACGGCATCGGTGGGCGAGGGCCGCTGCTGGCCGTGGGCGTCGAAGTGCGGCACGAGCAGCTCGTAGAGGGGGTCGGCCATGCTGGCGGCGCGTCTGGAGGATGGCGTCACGCGTCCGACAGCTCAATGGGCGCTCCACGTATCATGGCCCCGTGTTTGCGGGCAAGGCGGAGGTGACGGACTAGCGCGGCCCTGTCGCGCTAAGCCCTATCCGCCGCTGCGTCGTTATTCACATGCACGCCTGGCGTTCTGCAGCGACTGCGATGGACGGCGACGACTCCCGCAAAGACTCGCACCCGCACCTGACTCCCGCCGCCGACCCCCCCGTCGACCAGCCTGCCGGCATCGTTGAGGGCTTTCTGTCGCGCCTCTTCCAGGACCGCTTCCTCAGCAGCCCCGCCGCCTCCGACGCCCCACCATCGCCGGGCCTGGCAAATAATCTCGTGCCCTTCTTCACGGCCGCCAGCGTCTTCGCCCCGCCCCAGCACCCCGCCCAGCACGCCCAGCACCCCTCCGCGCACTCGCCCGGCCGCCGCCGCAGTCTGCTTCCCCACGCCACCCCAATGCAACGCTCCGAGCATGTCAGGCTCTGCGTCGAAGACACGGTCGGCCTGAAGGACGACCGGTACAGCGTGGGCGTCGTCGACCGCTCCTTTGCCGACGTCGACACACACGAGCCCCGCCCGCAGCGCGACTATGGCGAGGACATCGAGCGCCACCCCGACGTCCCGCTGGCCGAGTTCAACAAGTTCATGAAGACGGGCATCCCTCCGCGCGGCCATGTGCTGGTGTCGTGGCAGACGCAGCTGAAGACGGAGCTCATACCAGAGGCCCATCTCCAGCTGCTCGATCGCGCCTTCTACGTGGGCGATGTCGTCAAGCGAAGCGCCGAGGATCACATGAGCGGCACCGTCATCGGCACAAAGGCTGTCTGCACGCTCTTCCCCGCCACCCAGTTCCAGCACATCACAAACCAAATCACCGACGACCTCTCGATACGCAACGTCTCTGCCGATGAGCTCCTCAACGTCCACGAGTATGTCGAGGGCGCCATCGTAGTCTACGGCGACTGGGTTGGGCGCATCGAGAATGTCTACGACGAAGTCGCTATCAAGCTGTCAAACAACTCCGTCGTCATCGTAGAAGATCCAGGCGAGCTGGAGCATGATGAGGTCGCTTTGGAGCGCATCAGCGTTGGCGACATGGTGCGAACGAAGAAGGGCAACCTGCGGCGCGGCATCTGGAGGTACGGTGTTTTCGATCCGAACATCAAACCCGAAGGCATGGTCGTCGAGACACGGCCTCTCGAACTTGACGTGCAGTGGTTGGCGAGGAGCATCGGCGCTCAAGACACACAATACGCTGCAGAAGAACCGCCTGCCAATCTCGGCCGAGACGAGTTCGAAAGCCCCAGCTTCTATCGTTACGATGCCGCTGCCGGCGCTGCGTCGACACTCCCAATGTCTGCCAACGGAACAGATCGAACGTACCATGTCACTGAGGTTGCAGTTGGCGACCGCGTTCGTTTCAAAGACCTCACAGGTGCTGCTGTAAAGTATGATGGAACCCACACATTGCCGAATGGATACCCACAAGGTAAAATCAGTAAACTGCCCCGAACGGAGACACTTGGCTATGACATGAATGTCTTCCTTGTCATGCAAACACACTCTCAAGTCACAGTCCAATGGCAAGACCTGAGCGTTACCGAAGACGTAAGCTCGTCACTCATACCAGATCCAAACGTTGAGGACGATGACGAAGTGTGGCCAGCAGAGGTCATTTGTAGCAAGGAAGACAAGGCCGTTCCAACACCCGACCAAGTTGGCCAATGGGTGAAGGAGCCCTCGAAAGTAGGCGTGGTTCAACAGGTCAAGTCACGAGACCGCATAGCCAGGGTTCGTTGGTTCAACAACGCGGACATCAAATTCTTCGGCTCCGATCTGCTACGGCCAGCGATGACAGGAGAACTCTCCCAAACCGCCGAAGACGTCAGCCTTTACGACATATACTCATTCACAGCTCTGACGCGGCGAAGAGGCGACTTCGTCCTGGTGCATCCCTCTGGTATACAGGCAGATGTACCGAACGTCGATGGCCCAAATTGGTTTGGTGAGGTTGTAGACCTCAGTTTGGATGGAAAAGCCATTGTCCGTCTTGGTGCAGCGAAACCTGTCGTCGACATCACTGTGGCATACGAGAACCTCACCTTAGCGTACAGCACTGACATGGATAACGAGTATAATGCGCAAGAAGAGGTCGGCGACTCGATCGAAGACTCGGAAGAAGACATGTCCGACTTTGATTCTGCTTCATTCAATGAAATGTGGATCGAGTACGAAGGCATGGAGGGTGAACCGCCTGTCGGAGACGAGGCAGACTGGTCAACAGAGGATGAGGATGAGGTAGAAGAGGACGATGATGACGACACATCAATGCCTGATCTAGAATCAGTAGATGGCGTCGATACATCGAAGACGACACCGGATCCTGTCGCAAATTCGGAGCCGACAGACGATGCAACAAATGACGCAGCACCCGAGTCGCAGCACACTGCGGATCCCCAAACGGATGCGTCCGCGCCATTCCTCATCCTCGATACGCCACCACCCTCAAGTCACCACTACCTGAACAACACATCAGCCTCCTCATCGGCTTTCATGCGCCGTATCGCAAAAGAGCATAAGATCCTCCGGAATGCTCTACCACCGAACATCTTCGTGCGCACCTGGGAGTCGCGGCTCGATCTGATCAGAGTGTTGATCATCGGCCCCAGTGAAACACCCTACGAGTACGCGCCGTTCGTCATCGATTTTCACCTTGGCTCGTCATATCCACAAGCTCCTCCTGAGGCTTTCTTCCACAGCTGGACAGATGGAAACGGCCCCGTAAATCCGAATCTGTACGAAGACGGCAAGATTTGCCTCAGCTTGCTCGGCACATGGCACACCGACGAGCGTAATGAAAGCTGGAGTCCGGCGAAGAGCACGCTGCTGCAGGTTCTCGTATCGATCATGGGACTGGTACTCGTAGCGGATCCGTACTACAACGAGGCAGGATATGATGTCCAGCGGGCAGCGCCAGAGTCACGGCTCAGCTCTGCGCTTTACACGGAACGAGCCTACTTTCGCGCGCGCGAATTCATCAACCACGCGCTCAGCAACACTATCGAGCCGTTCGCGCGAGACCTACAATACTTGTACCGCAGTGACGCACCGGATGCACCGCGTCTACTCGACAAGGCCATCGAGGCTGCAAAGGATGTCGTCCAACGAAGCAGTAACGCAAGCGAGGAAGGCGAACGCGATGGCCTACGAACGATCAGCCTTGGCGCTGTTGTCATGTTGAAACGGCAGATTGGGAGGTTGGAAGCACTAAAGCAAGGTACAACATAGACGCATCTGATGAGCATGTACATTACTTTCTAGCGTTTGGTATGTTAGATATTTCTTCTCGACTCCGTCGCGACGCGTCGCACGCCTCAATTAGACTTTTAATGCCAGATGCCGGTCACTTTTGCCGTCCTGCATGGATCACACTAACATTGACTGGACGCTGGGCTACCTTTTCACTGCCGAGGTTTCTCCTTGTTTCTTCGTTACGCCTGAGAAAAGTCTGCACACAGAAGGGCGTCCTTGCGCTGTGTGGCAGTTGCTCTAAGAGGCGATCAACCGGGCCTTTTGATCATCCAGTCGCCACTCTACGACGTCGAGGACATGCATTTTAGCCGTGTATCCCAGACTATGCAACCGAGCGCCATAGGAAATTCAAAAATTGGATCATGCCAGCTTGTCACGACGAGTCAAAACTTCACTTCGTTTCTCAATTATTACCTTCAAGTGGGTCACATATCTTACGAGCGGGCAAGATTCTTGGATTATCGAAAGCGAGCAAGGGTGGTGAATTGTGGGTTCCCCGCTAGACCGTAAGTAGGCAGTTCCGAATCCTTCTGGAAGAGTAGGGGTCACAGCGCAGCTTCGAGCTTAAGAAGCCAACAGCTGCAAGAGCTGGCATCTGCGAGGGCTCATACTTACAGCTTCACCATCTTACCATAATGTTTTTGAGACTGCTAGCTTTCTCCGCAGGCCTGCTGGCTTTACAGCCAAGTCACCATGTCGCCGCTGCCGAGACGGCATCGGTGCGGACATATTTCTATGTTGGCGGCGGATACACCGAGGACGGGAACGGCGGCCACATCTTCAAGGACCAGATGTATGTGGAAAAGCTGGAGCCTGCTTCTTCTCGACGCTCCAAGTCAAAGTTGAGCCCCATCGTCTTGATCCACGGACAGGGCCAGACTGGAACGAACTTCCTGAGCAAGCCCGACGGCGGAGAGTCCTGGACATCGCATTTCCTCGATGCCGGATACACGGTCTACATCGTCGATCAGACTTTCCGTGGAAGGTCAGCATGGGCGCCACGTGCTGGAGCACAGGCTCCCTCCACCTACTCGGCGGAGATTATCCAGCAGCGATTTACCGCCCCCGAGCAGTACAACCTCTGGCCGCAGGCAAAGCTGCACAAGCAATGGCCCGGCACCGGCGTCATGGGCGACGCCATCTTCGACGCCTTCTACTCCTCCAACGTGCAGTTCATCTCCAACGCGACCTACCAGCAGGAAACCGTCCAGTCGGCCGGCGCCCAACTGCTGGACAAAATCGGCACTCCGGTCTGGCTCCTCGGCCACAGCCAGGGCGGCCTGATGCCCGTGCTCATTGCCGACGCCCGCCCCAAGCTCGTCAAAGGCCTCATTCTCCTCGAGCCCACGGGCCCGCCCTTCCAAGAAGCCGTCTTCGGCTCTGGCTCCGCGCGCCGCTGGGGCCTGACTGACGTCCCCCTCGCCTACTCACCGGCAGTGTCCAACCCGCTCACCGACCTGGTGCGCCAAATCGTGCCGCCGCCCGTGGCCAATAGTGACAACTCGACGATCGCGTGCGTGTTGCAAGCCACAAGTCCCGCGCCGCGCACGCTGCCGAACTTGGCGCCGCTGCCGATCCTGACGGTGACTGCGGAGGCGAGTTACCACGCGCCGTACGACTACTGCACGGTGGAGTTCCTGAAGCAGGCTGGGTGCAAGAAGGCGAGTCATCTGGAGCTGGGCAAGGAGGGAATTCGCGGGAACGGGCATATGATGTTTATGGAGCGGAATAGTGAGAAGGTGTGGAAGAGGGTGCAGAAGTGGTTGAAGAGTAACGAGTAGCTGGAGAAGAATGAGTAGCAAGCTCGCGGCGAAAATGGTATAATCTGTAATATTCACGTCCGACACGAAATATATGTTCGATCTCACCCATTGGCACACCCATGCTTGCAGAGCTGCATCCGTAAGTACTCGACAAGCCAAGCGTCCCAAAATTAATGTACGTTGCTCTTAGGCACGTCTGACTAGCCACCTGGCAACCCGCAGCATTATGCAAGAGATATTGACAATTTCATCAGGGCTCTTTGCTGTCAGAGTGCACCGCGTACGCGCTTGAACACAACAGTCCCGTCGTAGCCCTACACACCACCAGCTACAACAACACACCCCATATCGCACAAAAGCATTGAGTCGTCAGTCAAACACACCTCGACGCAGCACATCCCCCACCCACCTGATTCCCAAACTCACCTAGGTACTGTGTACATACTACAAACCCAATCTCACCCCCAACCTCATGCCTTCCCAACCACAAACCACCCCCCCGGCACGCGCTAACCACACCCCCTCAACCGCCTTAACCGCCCTCTCACACCCACACCACACACCCAGAGCACACGTGTACAGAGCGTCGAAGCCGCGCTCCAGAGGCCCCCCTCAGCCCGCGTCCGACACCCAAAGGACGAGCCGCGCGCGCGCGAAGGAAGCGCAGCGCAGCAAGGCGAGCACGTCAGCCGGAGAAATTTGGGGCGCCCTGCATGCGTGTGCTGCAGGCGAGATCCGGCGTGGCGGAGGCGGGCTAGTTGGGGGGGTCGCATGCAGGGGGCGTGGTGTCGGTGGGGGGGTTCTGGTAAACTTCGGGGGAACTTGTGGGTTTGCGGTTTGGGTGCTCAGGACTTGACTACTTACTGTATCTGCGAGGGTTGGTGTTGCTGGTAGATGAGTTTGGGATTTGGAGGTCGGAGATGATCGTTGGATTGGAGGGTCGAGATGGGGGCTGTGCTGGTCGTTGTACAATGGGAGGCAGTACAGCACTCAGGTTTGTTTGATAGGAGGCCGGCATGAGCAAACAAGGGTTTGTCGGAACTGCGTGGTTGCCACTGGTTGGCAAAGCCGCACGTCTCCGTTACCAGCAGACGAGAACGAGTGCGAACGGCAAGTAACGAGCGCGACACGATTGCTCACGAACCCCGCGTTCAACACGTTGCATCGTATCCAATTGCCCAATGGCATCGTTGATTGAACATAGGATGCTCAAAAGCAAAATGAGTGTCGTAGCGGTGAGTCGGGGTCACGTGTTCTAGCGCAGTCCCGAGCCGCTCCGCCGCTAGACACTGAAACGTTATCCGTCCTTCTCGTGTCGCGAGCGTGATTGCTGCTAGAACACTCGAGTCCAGACCGTCGCCATCGCTGAGAGGCTCAGCCAGTCGGCCCTTTCTCTTCAGCGGCATGCTATTCCTCATGTCGAACTGTCAGCCGAAAAAATGCACAGGGTCGCCACAGAGGCCCCACAGCGGGATGTTGACAGTTGTGTTTTGTATGTGCACCTCACAATTACATATCGTCCTAGCGATGTCATAGCGATGTCCTAGTATCAACGCAGCTTCAACAAAGGATCTCGACTTTGGCCTAACAAAAATCCAGGACAGAGACCTTGGCGTTGCAAAAGCGTGCTCAGCCAAGTACCTACTTCGTACACAGCCGGACCTGATCATGCAAGTGAGATCCAATGCAACGGAACCTCCTTCCGCTGCACAAGTTAGCGGCCCCTGTTCGCATGCCGGACTCCGCGCAGCACGAGGGCCAGTTGCATCGCAAACCAGCGAATCAGTCCAGGCTTAATTAGACGTCATTTGCGCTTACGCAACAATCCACTCAAATCTCTCGGTGTGATCCTTTCGGCGAAACTGCTTTTCATACACAGTGTTGCTCTACTGTGTGATCAGTTCCTTGTTAAACATTATAGCAGACTGAGACTTGAAGTTGACCAACTCTGGTAGAACCATATTTTAGATGCGCCCGTTGCTTAACTATCGCGTGACGGTCCGCCACCAATGCTGTTTGCGGCCTATGCATGTGTTGTGGAGGATGCCGCCACGAAGAAACGAGCTGCGGGCCATCGCCGTCGTTCCCCGGCTCGGACATGTTTCTGGAAACCGCGATCTAGCTGTTCCAGGGTGATCACAGCATTGCTGCCCTACAAGCATAGTCTTCAGTCCACTGTACTGGGATAGGAGACCTCGGGAAGGAAGATCATCATCGTGATAGGCACCTGCCATATTATGGAATCTAGTGCAGCATCCAGATGATCATCCTTCACCAACCTAGGACATTATAACACCAGTATACCTTCGACCTGCATGGGGGCTCACGACACGCAAAAATGGAAAGAACGACGTTAATCATCCACCACACGTTCACCGGATTGGCGCTGGTCATCATGGCGCTGCGCGTCGTATGCCGACGACTCTTATTCTCGAAATCGGATTTCGGCGATTTTTGCACCATAATCGCCATGCTGTGCACAGCAGCCCGTGGTGGCATGATCCACATCGTAACGACGTGGGGCACCAACAACATCTCAGCTCCAGCACGAGCACGCATAAATTTCACGCCAGAAGAGATATACCGTAGGACAGTCGGCAGCAAGCTCGCCATCGCAAATCGGCCTGTCTATAATACCTAGTACATTCATCCCAGGATCGCTGCGGTAGCTCAGCTGACAGCAACGCAGTCTTTGGCTGCAGAAGCTGGTTCTGCTGCACTTCTTCCTGCGAACTTTCCACAATTCGAGGATAGAAAGTCATCGGTACATCTTCTGGTCGTACGGCTTCATATTTCTCGCAACATGGACGGCTGCACAGATTGTCGGTTTTACCGAATGTGATCCTGTTTATCTGTACTGGCAGGTCGTTCCTTCTCCTGGTCAGTTGAACATCGTATGCTTCACGTAAGATACTGACAGTTCTCTAGGGCGCTGCGTGCAAGCACAAGTTCAACTCGTCGTGCTCGGAGTATTGAACATCGTAAGCAGCCCCACTCTTGCCATGCTTCCATCTCAACCACCCGAATCCTACAAGCAATCTCTAACACACGACGACTCAGGTAACCGACTTCATGCTCCTGGCCCTCCCAATCCCCACACTTCTCTCGCTCCAGACCCCATGGCGCACCAAACTGCGCCTCTGCACAATCTGCATGCTCGGCCTCTTCATCATCGTCATCACCATCATCCGCCTCCCCATCAACAGCCTCCACGCCGCCGTGCAAGCTAACCGCTCAATCTGGGCCAGCACCGAGCTGCTGGCCGCCGCCATCGCCGTCAACGCGCCCACGCTGTACGGCGCCATCAACCGCTGGCGGCGGCGCCCGGAAAAAGGCTCCCACGGCTCGCGATCGCGACAGACTCCGTTCAGCGGCACGCGCACGGTGGGCAGCTATGCGCGCCCGCTTCCGCGGACCGACGACGACGACGACGAGGGCCTCATACTCAGCCCGGGGTTTCAGGCGACGGTTAGTTCGGGGTTTGCAGCGCGGAACTGCGAAGACGGGATTATCATGAAGACTATTGAGGTGTCGTATGATGAGGCTCATTCTAGTCCTGAGATGAAGGGTGAGAGATAGGAATGCATATATGCGCCATTGTAATGTCTATTAATGAGTATCCCGAACAGTTCTTTGTGTCAGGTGACGCACTGCTGCGCTGTGTCTCGGGCTTGAACTTGCGATTACGGTTATACTGACTTCTGATACTCCGCAGGTATTGGGCAGATACGATCCTCCACCGGAGCGTAGTGACCTAGGGAGACGCTGAATCAGGTCACACGGTCAATGGATAGAAGCGCAGTTGCTTTCAACTCCTTTTCCGCCTATTTTCTCATCTGTTAGTCTTTTGCTGCTTGATCTTCGCGGCCCGGTTTCTCAACCACTCACTGCACCCAAGTCCACTTGGCCACTTGGCAAACGGCAGCATCGGGCAAGAAGGGTTGATGGTTGTAAGGTCTTATTAGGCCCTTCTCTTATCAAAGTGCATACGCTAAACAAACTGATGTAGTAGTAGTTCTGCGGTTGGTATTGATCCGACAAAGGTGCCAAGTGGCTGATCGGCAGTGACTGCAAACCGCGGCAGTTATCGACGCCCTGACCATTTGCATGCTCGGTGAAAACCAAAATGTTCTCTCTGGCCAGTTATATTTTAATCAACCTTCAATAGCCGTACTGGTAACGAAATAAGGTATGACGTCATTCCGTTGCGGCTGAAATGCCAATCGGTCAACTTCTCGTCCAACAATCTGGTCCTGTCTAGATGTTTAAGCACGATACAGTCTGGTTACTTTTCAAATGGAGTTGAGATGGATATCACGATTGACCCTTCCCACGTCTTTGCATACAACAAATTAGTCGACCCAAGAACGCACCTCCGCCTGATCAGCTTGGAAGGCCATGACAAAACCACGCAAATCGTTACAGTATCTATAATCACCGTACCGACACATGATGTACCACACTACCATGCAGTTTCTTACACGTGGGGGGAGCGCACAAGCGGAGAGCAGATCTGGATGAACGGGGATAGAGCCGGGCATCTGCACGTACAAGCCAACTGCGCGACTGTCCTACGGCAGCTGCATCACTTCTCCACATCCGAATACTATTGGATCGACGCTATATGCATCAACCAGAGCGACACAGAGGAGAAGGAATGCCAAGTAGCAATGATGGGTTGGATCTTCATGCACGCCGAGTGCGTCCTGGCCTGTGTCGGGATGCACCAAGAGCAAGACGACAGCGAGTATCTTGCCGCAACGCTCCGGAACTTCGAAGCTTACCTGAGTGATAACGGACTGGCGAGCTCGATATTGACCACACGGGAAGCTGTGCCCTCACGCTCGCCTGCGGCCAGACAGCGCAGAAAGTGCGTGCAAGCCTGGCGCCGCTGGATTGACAGCGTGCCCAATGCCGCATTCGAGAGGTTCTACCGCGCCCTGGATCAGCTTGCCTGGCGACCTTACTTCTGGCGTATCTGGATCCTACAGGAGCTGTATCTCGCCAAGAACGTGCGGATTTTCTGTGGCTACGACGAGCTGAATCTGTCAACACTCCTGCTCTGGTGGAGAGAGTCCAAGTTGCGTTTCTCGTCGGATTACGACGATTCGGAAGAACAGCAGTATGGCGACTCGGATACGCGGCCTTTCTTCATGGACAAGTTTGGTCCGGAATACTTTGAAAATGCACTGTGGATTAATAATCGCTTCTTCGCCGGGCGTGGCGGGTCTCTGCTAGGAGTCGATTTCGAAGACATGCTTTACGAGCGACAACATCCAAGGCCGGCTGGTGTGGCTGTTCCCAATCTTTCAATGAACAAGCTCCTGGATTTGTGCAAGTATAGGCGATGCAGGGATCGACGAGATTGCATCTATGGAACATTGACAATAGGGCATTGGACCCTTGGGCCGTCTTATCTGCCGAATGGTGATGTAATCAACTCCGGGACTGTCATCGTACCAGACTACACGGAATCTGTCTTTGACTTAGCCATGGATCTTATTCCGAACTTTCACAGCGACCTGCAGGTATCGGAGCTCGTGATCGGAATGTTAGGCTTGACGAACACCCACAACAGAATACAACAAGGTCTCGAGTTCCGCAGAACTGTAGATTTCGCAGACTGTACGATGGGTACCTGGCAGAACCCGGGGAAAGGCCGAGCCTTCGTCCAAGTGGTACATGCTGGCATCCAGCTTGGCGGCAATTCATCGTGGTCCATCGCTGGGGCCACTCTTGGACCGCGCCAATACAGTAAAATCGTCGACTCCAACGGCAACTGCTATGCCGTCACAGTCTCTGAAACCAAACCCGGTGACTGGGTGCTCCCAACGCACTTCGGGCGCGGTTTTGTGCTTCGCAAGAGAGGAGCGTATTATGTCATTATAGGAAAAGCATGGTGCCCCCCTAGAAACATACCAGAGGAACTCGAGATGACCGCGTTCATGATGTGGTACGACACCGAAGACTTGCTCATTCACACGTCCGGAGGCCTCCAAGGGCTTGCTGATTATGCTATCGACCCTCCTGGGGAAGAGTTGGTTGATCATCTCTACATCAGCTTCTGTGGGGCAGCGAACTCGTCGTTTGCGCAGATACCTGGACCCGAACGTCGATACCCTGCAGTCGAGTATCTAGAATACTCACAATCAATTTGGAAAACCATCCTATGTGATTGGCAGGAGTCGCTCGGGATTGTCTCAGAGGTCAGCACATGAACGGTGTGGGAAGACCGAGGCAGAAGTCAAAAATCGTTTCTCATTAAAGTATGTGAGGGCACTGTATACTCCTCACTTATTATCAATCACACTTCCCGTCATGGGCGAAATGCAGTGACTCAGAAATGCGGCGTGTTCAAAGCCATAGCCATCAACAAACCAGAGATCAAACCTGCAGTCGGCAGGGTGATGATCCAGGACGAGAAGATGAAAGCTACCTGCTTCCAATTGACAGCGCGAACGTCAAAGTTGCAAAGCGCCACTCCGATCGTCGCACCAGTCAGACACTGCGTAGTTGACACAGGCAGAGCGAGTCTTGAAGCGAGAAGCACGGTGATGGCAGCGCCAAGTTCCATCGAGAAACCTCGTGTAGGCGAGACTTGGGTGATCTTGTTGCCGAGCGAGCGCATGACGTGGTATCCGTAGACTGTGGGTGTCGTTAGCGAAACCGTTATGAGCGATGCAAGAGACGGATACATACACCAGAATCCCAAACCGAGCAGCAGACCAGCGATGACAAGGATCCAGATGGGAGTGTCAGCGCGGGCTGTCACCTCTCCGCTGGTGTAGGTGTTGTAGCTTGCTACCCAGGGACCGACGGCGTTTGCGACTGGAAAACCATTAGCTCACGTTCATAAACTGTGTTGAGATGGCTACATACCATCGTTGGAGCCGTGTGCGATACTCATCATCATCGCTGAGGCTACTTGCGCATAAGTCCACAAGTGTTCGACACGGTTATCGTAGACGACAGCGCGAGCATGTACAGCACCAAGGTCTGGGCGATACAATTAGTGAAATCCCTTTGCATATGGCTATAGCACACTTACTCTTCTGCGTGACAACGTCGCGGCTGACACCCTGGAGGAGTAGGAATTTGGCCCAGTTCCCGATCTTCTTGGGCGAGTAGAACGGCAAATCACGGACCGGGTGCAACCATCGCTCCTCCGGCTCGGGCTTTTTGAGAACGACATGAGCAACAAGATCTCCTCTTGGGTTGGGCATAGAAAGCCCGTGAGGAGCACGTCCTGTTGTGGAGTTGTCTGCGCTGTGGTTCACATCGATTGAAGTCGATTGAGCATCGCCAGTCTGGTGGACCGTCTTGTCGGTAGTGGCTGCACCATCGACAAAGCCGTGGTCCTTGGGCGCCTTCTCTAGATCCTGGCTAGGCGTGTCCACGGACGACTTTGCGTAGTAATCAGTAACCACCTCATCACCCTTTCCAGGCCAGTAGATCGGAGGGTCGTCGCGGTAGAGCAGAGGTCCGAGAGGAATGTGCCACGGTCGCATACGAGCATCATTCATAATAAGACGGCGATGGAAGTAGGGGATGAAGAAGGTATACGCAAAGGCGAGGACGGCGAAGAAGACACCCAGAATAATGCCAGTAGCCTTACCAGGACCCATCTCTTCGAGCGACTCGCTATTGGGAAGTTCGTCAATGATGAATAGTGCCAGAACACCAGCTGTGAAAGCTAGGTACCAAGGAATCATGCGCATACCCCACTTCATCGGGTCTGCCCTGTCCAAGACGAGGTACTTGATGGTCAGGAACAAGATGGCGGCAAATGCAGCTGCAATAAGTGGGGCAATTGCCCAGGACGCAGCGATCTGGCTGAGACTGCCAGTGGCCCATCCCCACTTGAGAGGGGTCTGTGCCGCGATACCAGCACCTGCGAGTGCACCGACCACGGTTTGAGTGGTACTAGGAGGCCTGTTAACAAGAGTTGCCGAAGCATGAGAGGCCTTGACTTACCTGACAGGCATGCCATATAGCGTAGCAATAGTGAGGAAGGTCGCACTGCCTACTTCAGCGCACCCCATTACCAGCATGAACGTTGGGGGCGCCGGCTGGAATTTGGTCAGGCCGAAAACGCCGCTCTTGATCGTGGATGTGACGCGAGATCCCATAGCGACGGCTCCAACGAACTCGGTGATAGAAGCAAGGATACCAGCCTGCCACATCTTCAGTGTTCGCGCGGCCACAGAAGTGGCGTATGAATTGGCGACATCGTTGGCACCATTGGAGGCTGAAGAGAATACGAAAGCGATGCTGGTGAGGGCGAGGATCCAGCTGTACTTTTGCAAGGCTGGGGCCATGATAAAGAAATCTCACTGCCGACCGGTGGTGAGAGATGATGAATGCTGTGGGTAAGGACTTGATTCTAGCTGGGCCAGAAGCCCTTAAAAGCTCTCAGCGGAATGATCGATCGGCCTAGTTGCAGTCACAGTTTTGAGTGTTCGAGGGTCAACTGTGGAGCCGACTTTCGTCGGAGGCGTCCGTTCGAGATCTACGGCATGGATGACCCTGACCCAATGATAGCCCCATCTTTACTCCACGGGGTTGGATAAGGATGCTGTATAGACTCCGAGGGCGTCTTCACACTGCCCTATGAAAAAAAGCATTCATGTCATCATCAATGAAGCGCTCGAAAGCGACCTTGGCTGAACACAAAGAGCGTCATTGCATGCGCTCCACGGCAACCTGTGGTGTTGAGGATCAGCGTAGACCGCTTATAGTAGTGGCGCCTTGTCACGGTCCACATCAACGGCTTCATCGTGTTGCGGTGTCGCGTGCCTGTGGAGAACAGCATTTTGAGATCCAGCGAAACAGCATTTGAGATTGAAGAACGTGGGCAGTCCTTTAGGAGTTGCCAAGTTCCGCTTTATCCGTTTGCCAAGTGCTTGGTTTGCCAAGTGCTTGGTAACCGCGGCGGACGCACCTGCAAGCATTTCTCCTCCCGAATTTTGAACGGGAAAGGCTCGTCAAGACACCACCAGACTTGTCTTGGTTGAAAATTTCAAGGCTTATGGCCACTCAAATCGAAGAGGGGACCATGTCAGCCTGCGCCTTGCCTAATTAGGCGATAGCCAAAATGCATCACTGGCCGGAACAAATATGCTCAACACGGAATTCTCCGCTTCTTTTGTAGGAAGGTAAGTATAAGCTACCTAGGTACATATACGTGTCTAGATCTCCGGATCCTCGACTGCAAGAGACGACAGAAAATGTACCATCCTCCACGTGTGATAGTCGGACCCGTCGCTACCTGGGTATGAGAGATCACAGCTGTCTACACCCCCTCCCTCGAGAATTCACAGTAACGATTCAGAAGACGTTCAACTTCCTGCGTTTCGGTTGGCGTACAAAGGCCTTTCCCGCGTGCACACATCGATGCGATACCCACCCAAACATCAAAACTAGTGCACTGGTTCAATCCTGTTAAAGAAAGGAAATGCTGGAGCTCATCGAAAGAGTGGGTGCCGTCCATCCAAAGTTTCTTGTAGTCTCGTTTGAAACGGATCTGAACTCGCATGGCCATCTGTGAAAATGTGTATCTCTGTGAAAGGTGCTCCTTGGAATGGAATTCAACCGACAATAAGACACCATCTCCGACGTAGCCAGCGAACGTTTGATTGGCGCCACACATAGTGAGCAAATAGTTGAGGTCTCGAATCAACATGATGTCGAGGGGATAGTGCTCATGCATAGCTGCCGGTAGTTCGAACCGGAGGGAGAGGTGCGGGGTTTCGACAGCGAGCTTCAATGCAGGCAAAAGATTCACCGACTTGTGTACAGTTGCCGGATCGTAGGACAGTATCAGTGAAGATTGATAGCCATGCAGCGCTTTTCCGAAAATGCTAACGAAGTGTGGCATCCAATCCAGATTAGTCCTGAACTCGACACGAGCGAGCAGGTAAGGGAGGTACTCATCCCTAAGCGTTTGACAAACACGAGACACATCTGTGAGGCTACGGACTCTGGTGTGGTCATTCTTGTTGCAATGTTCGATCGACCTCTCGGTAACCAGATAGCCATAGATCATTGACCTTATCTCTATATATCCGTTAGTCATGAGAAAACGGGGCGATGGAGCACAAACCGTCTGGCATATCGAGTAAGATCGAACGGGCCACATAATGGGGTGTCGTCTCTACCGTTACTGGGTGCACTGAGCATTGAGGTGAAGGAGATAGCGTTTGCGAAGGGAGCCTGAGTGGCGTGACGAGTTCAGGGTCGTCTTCAGTGGTTCCCGAGTGCAGCGCAGGTAAGTGCCACTCTGGGCAAAGGTCCCCTAAGAATTTTGCCGTCTCATCTTCGCATGTATCGCTGGACGAAGGAGTGAGTTCACTTTCCTGCAATGGCCTATTCTGACGTTAACTCGGCCTAACAAAGAGCAGTTTGGGCGCAATCACGACATGTTGTGAGCATGAAGTGGCGAAGTAGTCAAGTGACGCAAAGGCCAACCTTGGATGAGGGGCAAAGATGGGAGCGAAGTCTCAGGTGTCCGAGATTTCAGGTCAAACTTGAGTGGTAGCGCGTGCAAGTGACGTCAACTCTGATTGTGTAGGAAGGTACACCTTCGCAGTAAGCTATGATTGACTACAGATACAAGGACGGCCCATAATTCAGGTACAATGATCACTGATGGTCACGGTCTATCTGTATCAGTGATCCAGCAGCCCTGATACGTCAATGATACTACAATTCGTTAAATCTGAGTTTGATCACAGCAACGGGACTTACTTAGGGTTGTTCTTCATTTTCTCTCGCAGGATTTTCTTCATATCATCAGGCATGTTCATCTGCTTCTCGATGTGTTCTTTCGACATGGGTGAAGGAAGCGTGGCCGCGTCTGGCGCGAACCATGTTGCTTTGTCGGTCTTAGTCCCGTCCGCACCCTCGGGAATCGTTCTGTGGCTCTCGGGCACCCTCAACTGGAATGCATGGATCTGCTCAGGGGCTATTTCCTCAGTTTGTGTTCGTGCGTACTCAGAAGAATAGGAAGGGGGTCTTACTGAGTCCCTGGGCAGAGATCACTTTACGATCTGCGGTCAGGGAACGTAAGATCCCGTCTTTTGATATGTGTATAATACCCGTCAGATCGTGCTTAAACTCGCTCATGATGCTGGTCACTTCTTGCTGGTGAGGGTCCTTTCTGTCCCAATTGCCACAGCCTCCTGACGCAGAACCTCCTGTTGATGTAGTTTCAGACTCTGTCATCGTGTTTGAGTCCCTCCCGGAAAGAATTTAACTGTACGAAGAGTTGTGATTTCGTGAGCGAAGGAGGCTCGCAGGTTCAGAGACATGAGGAGGTCAACGTCATCTCACGCGAGGCCAAGTGGCCGCCTGACGGTGGTTCCTGGCTGCACATGACCTAACGCAAAGCGAGTGAACAGAGCAGGCTCTGCATGTGTCGAAAGAACATCTCTCTCTCTTTCTTGCTGTTATCCTGTCTAAGGCTTTGAAGTTGTCCTGAGTGCGTCGTTCAGTCAAGAAGGCGCCTGCGGGGAAGTGGGGCACTTTCCACTCTGGACCTAGCGGCGAAACATGCCCATCTCCTGAGACTCGGAAGCAGCAACAACCCACAAGGCCATGTATCCAAGGATTATCGCACAATTAAGTCTGATGATAGGCTGACCGGCGTCTCTTGTGTTCGGTGTTTTCGGTGTCTTTGGCTCCAATACGAGGCGTTCACAGGTCTGCACGTTGGCGCTGCCCAGATGCGTCACCTCATTCACGTGTTCGATGTCGTCAACTGTAACGCACCTCTAAGATGCTTGAGAAAGTCCCGACAACGGCCACTGATAAAGACAAGCTCACCATATTAAGTCTGAGCTTCCGACCTTATCGCGTCTAGCGTTGCACTCGAGTGGGGTGATCGCTTCAATGACCCTGCACGACAGGCAAAGGTTGTTGCAAAGAGGCAATTGTGGACAGTTGAACGCTTGCGCAATTTGAAGCACGTATGCAACAATCCCGAGATTTTCGCGTGTGGCTCTAATTGGAACTGCACAAGCTCGGACTGGCTGGGAAATACAAAGGTAAGTTGCGTGCAGCTATTTGCATTGCTATCGGATATCGATCAGCAAAGATGACTCTCGACAAGCAGATTGACTCCGAGGTCACATCGAAAGATGACACAATTTCAAATGGATCGAATGATCCGGCGTCGCATACTCTGAAGACAAACAAAGTACCATGGTACGCCTACATTTGGGACTACGAACCGGATCGCACACATGAAGAGCGCGTCTTCGTCTCCAAACTCGATGCATACCTGATCACCATACTCTCGCTCGGCTACTTCATCAAAAATCTTGACCAGACCAACATCGCCAATGCTTTCGTTAGTGGCATGAAGGAGGACCTGGCCATGAATGGAAATCAAATCAACTTGATCGACACCGCCTGGACCGTTGGCTATGTTGTTGGGCAAATCCCGAGCCAGATCATTTTGACGAAAGTTCGACCATCAGTCTGGGTCCCTAGCTGCGAGCTGGTCTGGACTATGTTGACTTTCACACTTGCAGCTGCAAAGACAAGCAACCACGTCATCGTCATTCGCTTCTTCATTGGTCTTGCGGAATCCATTTTCTATCCGGCTGCCCACACCGTACTCGGAGCTTGGTACAAACCCAGTGAGCTTGGTAAAAGAGCTTGCGTGTTCCACGCATCATCCGCTGTGGCGTCGATGTTCTCCGGCTACCTCCAAGCTGCCGTTTACAAGGGTCTGAATGGTGTACATGGATTTGCAGGATGGCAATGGTTGTTTGTAGGTCTACTCATTACAAAACTTCTGCTGTTTTTAACATTGAATCAGATAATGGATGGTATCATCAGTGCTCCAATCTGTCTTGCTGGATTCTTCCTGCTACCCGATCTCCCTGAGAATACTCGAGCGTTCTACCTGAGCGACAGCGTAAGTGCGCCAAATGCAGGCTCAAAGCGTGAAGACTAACAGCCAGTAGGATCGTGCTCTGGCGAAGAAAAGAATGGAAGATATTGGTCGTGCGCCGCGCAAGAAGCTCACACTGGCAACATTCCGAAGAATCTTCAGTAAGCAACCGTCTTTGTATCCGCTTCTGAACCTCAACCACCTAACAAACCAAAGGTCGTTGGCACGTCTACCTCTTAACGATCTTGTATATCATTTTTATCAACATCAGCCCTTCCGGTAGTGTCAACCCGTTCTCACTCTGGCTCAAGTCCGAAGGTCTTTCAGTTTCCAAAATTGTGAGTTAGCCGCTGCAGTCGCAGATCGTTTGCTGACTTCGTCAAGAATATCATCCCTACCGCCAGCTCTGCTATTCAGTTGGTCTTGACTGTCTCTTTAGCAATCATCTCCGACGCAATTCGACACCGCGCACGTATCATGTCGATCAGTACACTCCTGGGAGGATTCGCTGCTCTGTGCCTAGCTATCTGGAACATCCCATCTGGCCTGAAATGGTTCTCCTTCTTCATGCAGCGCGCCATGGTTCCGTATGGCCCGCTGAGCATGTCCTGGGCGAACGAAATCTGCGGTTCGGACGCTGAAGAGAGGACAGTTGTCATCGGCATCATGAATTCCATGGGATATGCTTTCAACGCGTTCGTGCCCATATTGACTTACCCTCAAACCGACGCACCGAGGTTCAGGAAAGGATTCATCTTCTCCACATGCGCGTTCGCTGCGCAAGGTTTAATCACCGCTGCTGTTGCATACATGTACAAGAGGGACTTGAAAAAGGTGGACAAGGCAGCCGCTGGCGACGAGGAAGGAGTCAACGACGCAGTATTGGTCGGCGCGACAAGAACAACAGATATCTGAGACTTCCGCACTCGTGTAGGATGCACCAACGAGTCCGCACCAACAGGAGCTCACCGCCAGTAGCAGCCGACAGCGGATATGTGGCAGTGCAGGACACTCGGGCCATTAGCCAAGTCCTCTGACGCAGGCCGCACGAATGATGAGGTCCGAGCGCGCTTTGAAATTCGGCGGAGAGTGCTCGGCCGAGCGACGTCAGCCACTCATCCGAACTTTCCGCCCGGAGTTCCGCCTCCCACCACTCGCTGCGCCACGCTAAGCGATGGTCATGCGCCACTTGAGCTGAAAAGCTTATTAGAATAAGCTCGTGCCGGCTTTCCGTTCGTCCCCATGTAGAGGTTGCGTACTCAGATACCCGTTCATCCGTTTGCAGTATATAGATACCAAGCCACCCAACTTCTGTTAGACCTGCAACTTTCAAACCTACTACGTTATATCAGTCATCTCACATTGAACCGAAACCCCCACAAACCCTTACAGCTGTATCAGAGTACAACCCAGGATGCCACTCAACTCTTTCAAAAGTGCCATTGGGCACGTCGAGAATGCTTTGTTCATGATGAAGGGGAGGCGAGACGACGATCGGGATGATGGCATGGCATATGGCAATTCTTATCCTCAATACAACAACTCCGCGCCGATCCCACCTCAGCAACCTCTACCACAGCAAAACTACGGCCAGCCTCCCTACTCTCCACCAAACGGCTGGTCTCAGCACTGGGACCAGGGTTCTCAACGCTACTACTACATTGAGCAAGCTACTGGGCGCTCACAGTGGGAGCCACCAGCGCATCAATTCAACCAGCCACCAAGGCCGACATCGTCCCACTACCAGCGTAGTTCGGGCGATCATACACGAGGTTACGGATCTGGCGAGCACAACAGGCAAAGTCTACGGCCCCACAGCAATTCAAATGCTTCGCAGATGTCAAGGAATGGCAGCCCGCTGCCAAGGGCACTGTCTATTCCACTGGGATACTCGCTCGATACGAAGACGGGGCAACTTGTCAACACTATGCTACCACCAACGGGACATCACAGTGCACCTGTCAAATACTGGTAGATGATGGGCTGAAGCAAATTCTCATCAACACAACAAAAACACGCGATACGACGATATGCTATTACGGCCTCATGCACATCGCACCGTCACACAAGCAACGACAAGTCCTGGGATGGAGGATCAAGGATGAGGCTCGTACGGCAGGCAGAACATGTACGTAAGACCAGTCATATGCACATAAAAGCGTCGGTAAAACAAGATCTCGTTGGCTTCAGTGATGGAAGAAATGCAGCAGAGGAAAGGGGGGATGTATCCGTAGAACTCAAAGCGAATAAAGCTGCGTCATAATCAAACGTCAATCTTCTACCAACCTGTACTGCGTCTGAAATACTTTGTTGGAGCCTTTCGACTTCTCACTCGCTATCAGCGATGGCCCTCTGGACACAACAAACTCTATCCTGCCATGCGGGTTCCAAACGCCGACTCTTGGATCCCATGTCGCCCTCCCCAAGGCTCTCAAATACCCATGCATGCTGTCAGGCACCCTCTGTCCTGGACGTTTGATGTCACTAATGAAAGCGTGTTGAGAATCTCCTCGGAAAAACAGATCTACGACCGTCGTTGTACCGGAAGGCGTATGCACCAGAATCTTTGAAAGATCATCGAGAATAGCTTCGCCCCACGCCACAGCATGATCCCAGAACAGAGCGTTCAGCTCCGGCATTGGTCCAAACTTGTTGAGAAACGAGCATTGGATATCTTCATTGCCGAGGCAGAAGGTGAGAAGTGGAAGGATGTCGAGGCGTAGAAGCTTGCCGCCCAGCGGGTAGGGGAGCTCAATCTCGATCTTCTGAGGTTTCAATGCAAAGTTGCATTCGACTTCCTTGCTTAGGAAGAAATCATGTAGGAATAGTGGGAGGAGTTGCTCGTCGACGCGAAGGCGGTGCGTGATCTGCGCTACGTAGAGCGGGCCGAATTCGCGTCGTGTAGCGCGACAGACTTGATTCAAAGCATACACTTCTCCTCGATGCGGATTCTTCCTTCGCCAGTGGCTTGAAAACTCGGTTCGTGGTCTGAGACGGATGGTTTTGTGACCAACGTTGGTATCTACATCCTCAATGAGGAATGCATAAATTTCGTTGCGTATTTCTGTGCTGTCAGGCCGGATAGGACTCGTTATTATTGGTATTCTTACCAGCTGGGAGATCCAGAAAGCCTATATGGGGCTTAGAGGTCATATTGGACTATTTACTTTCTGTATAGTTGAGAAAGGGCGATTGGGGAAGGTCGTTCATGTGGATGCCTGATGTGGGGATCCCGACAAAAGTGGGTCCGCGCCATTCCATCCATGGAGCCTGGAGGCTCGTGACCACGTTGTTAGCGGTCGCACCCCGCTCTATAACCATACTGTAGACCAACATCAATCTACGCGATACTGGATCCAAATACATTTGGAATGTCTGAAGTCTTTGGAGAGTCGCCTTGCCACCTGGTGTCACTGCCTGGGGAGCTGCGCAATCGTATCTACGACTATTGCATTGAGTCTGGACCGATCACTCTTCCACTTACTTTACACGGGTATGCGCACTCGCGTCCGTACTTTGGAGGCCTTAGACATGTTTCTAGGTCATTATACGTCGAGTTCACTCCCATATATCTTGACAGAACCATTGTCTCGCTCAGTCCGTCGGATGTAGAACGCTACCTCTCCGTCATCTATCCAAAACACGAAGCCCCATCAACTGATAAATTTGCCGTGGGAGGACTGGGAACAAATATCCATGGGCACATTAGGATCAATCTTCGGCTTAGCGAAGTGCTCGATCTTACTCCTTTTGCTGGATTGCTGTCACGGGCACCCAACATTCGCATCGAGTTTGCCCGCTCATCTGCCATAAGCGCGGTAGTCTGGGACGTTGTCGTACTTTTGAGGAAGATCATGCACGCCTCGTGCCCTATCGACTTTGAGAAGACTGTCGAGCGCATACTGTTCCGCTACAGCTTGCGCTCAGAAGTCGTGATCAAGTTGCATAGAAATGTGCCGCTTGAAAAGATGTTTGACGACGCAATGCGCCACAGTCCACGACAGTGGCTCGTTCGACAAGGCCTACCGGTCCTCGGTCACCTCAAGGTCGTGCTGGAATCGTCTGAGAAAGTGTTACGGGACCCACCCATTGGCAAACCTTACGGGCCACCCGAATTAACAGAGGTGAACTCCAAGGCCTAATCGTAACGTGAAACTGCGTTAGGATACCGGCATTACTACTCCAGAGAGCCCTACGGTACATCAAGGAAATTTATTCAGAACCACCTGCCGGTCAGCGCGGTGAAAGACTTCCTGTACAACTTGGGGCTTACAGTATTCATGAGAAAAGTACGGGGTTTAAAAATCCCGAGGTTTCCTAAGTCCACCAGATTGTTGCAGTGTTGTGTTGTGATCACCTTTGACACTTTGGCGATTATTGCTGCATTGTTTCTCCGTCAATGACATGGGGAGGGACGTGGGGAATTTCCACTATCACCAGCAAGATGGCAGCTGCTACATTAGTCATTTCAGACGTCGTGACAGGGAATCTGCATGTCTGACAAGATCACTAGGTTGAGTGAAGTTGTTGATACATTTTGTGGTCGAGCGCAGTCAATCTGTTATTCAGCAACGACGTGGCTCTGAGGAAGTTGGACCTTGCATTTATATTTACGCTTACCTTCTGATCCTAGTCTTCAATTGCACGAAGTATCGTAAAGATGATGGTGGCGTTGTGATGGGTTGCACACTGTGGGTTAGTGCATTAGCCTCGCATTAGTGCAAGCACCCACTGCTCGGCTTTCGTTGGGAACGCCGGCCGGCGACCGCTCTGATTGCGTGCTCTGCCAGGCTTTCCCGGCATTCTTGACGGCGTCCATTCCATAACTCCACACCACTTCACGGCCGTTCACAACGCAAGATGCAGCCCCGCCGACGTCTTGAAGTTCCCCCAGTAAAAGCCGCTTGCTTAGCATGGTACGCGCGAGATTTTGACGAGGAACCGGATGTATTGCTGATTGCTTAGCCGCGCTTCCAAGGCTCGCTGCAATGGTGAGAATCCCTGTAATCGAGTAGGTCATGGTGTGAGACTCAGATCGTTAACAGTCGCTCACGCTCGGTACAGTGCGGTGCAAATGGGAAAGCCTGTCAATATCTCCCAAGCCGAAGAGGCCGCGTGGTCCGAGCACCAGTAACTCCACCATCCACGGGCAATTCCACTGGGTCGCCCGCCAGCATAGAAGGCCTGAATTGTGATGTGCCAAATAAGAGGCCGAAAGTATCCATTGACTATCAAGGAGCCTTGCTTTCACACAGCCAAGGCGATTCGAGAAATGTCCGGGTTCATGGAAGCAACCAGTCAATGTATGTTGGACTCTAGCCTGCCGTCATGACTGGAAAAGCTCTAATGCCCAACAGTCTCGATGCCTATTATCTGCTGATACATCCTGATTTGCCAATCTTGCCTCCTCCAACTACGACCCTAGATCAGCTGCAGGCTCAAACAGCACAAGAGGGCGACTGCCTTAATTCAGAGTCGCCATTGCTCCATGCTATCGCCACACTCGTCGCTTTGGTACCAAAGAATGCGGAATATGGCTACTCATCAATGGATGCGCGGTCAGCACGCAATGACTACGCTGAGCAATGCTCCAGATCGGCCTTGAGGTGTATCGACAGTGATATGGATACATCTGGACCACTGACTCGCAGCCGTTTTCATCAGGATGTGCCTGTCAATCTCGAGAGTACTATTGCGAATTTACTCGTCGCCATGTATGAGTACAACTATCGCGGGGCGATGATGAGAGCACGCACTCGCACGGCTTCCGTCATCACTATGGCAGTAGATCTAGGATTGCATGATGTAGGTTCTGGAAGTCCACTAGATTCAGAGTGCAAGAAGAGGACTTGGGCCATGATTGTGAGTTGAACAGGCGCGCTTCGTCAATGTGCGATCTAACGGGGGTTTAGCTCTTCTTTGCAAATAAGCTGTCGATCATCCATCACCTGGTAAGAACAGCTTCAAATTCCAGCAACTCGATCGATATTGACGTTTTGGCATAGCCGCCACTGATGGCGATCGGGGATCCTAGATTCAAGACCTCTCCTCCGCTCCTGGCAGTCAGTCCGGATGTAGGTATTGCCACTATGACGTATAATTTCTCACTAATGGACGTAGATATGGACGCCCATATTACGTTCGCAAGATATACTTCTCACATCTCAAGCAAAGCTGCCAACCTCCACAGAGTTGGAAGCTCTTGACGCTACCATTTCGTCATACTCACAAGACTTGGACCGTCCACTTGCTGGCGGGGAGTCTATCGATTCTGAAGGACTGGCAGCTCGCAAGTGGTGGGCAATTGCACGAATCGTTGTACACAGGTAGGCGCTTCTCTTATTTCAAAAAACTGGTAGCTCAACTAACGGAGTCGACCAGCGCGCGGATCAGGCTGCGTCGTCTTTCGGCATTCGCAGATATACCAGCGTTCGTAAATAAACACTGTGACATGACTGCACTACAGGATGCAAAGCACTTTCCCGTCCCAACGACGAACTGCCACGAGCTTCCTTCTCCCGAGTCACTGGCAGACAGCCCAAAGACCGATGATTGGGCAACTACTGAAGTCACTGGCCCATTCAGTGCAAACGAGTCTGCTGAAATTTGCCTCAAGTCCGCATTTGTTGTCCTGCGCATGTTCAGATACTTGACAGAAGTTCTCGCTGAAAGACATCTGCAACTCCCCGGACTACACAACGCGAACCGAGACGAGAGAAAAGGAATTTTAGCTTCGGTGCCGACTATCATGCCTCTTATGGCATGTAGCGCAATGCAAGCATGCTACGTCATGGTCATGACGCTTTACAAGGTCAAATTCGCGCTGGTAGTTGACCAACCATCTGGAGAGGATCAAGCTGCACCATCGACACTGGACTTTTTGGAGACCGAGCGCTTGGTCGAAGAGCTGCGACATGGCGTAAAGGACAGCCTACATATGCTGGAAAGGTATCAGACTGGGTTCGCGCACATCAAAGACATGTACGAGGAGCTGGAAATGGTGTATCAAGTTGCTTTCGTTGACGTCTAAGCGGGACATGCCTATACGTAAGGCAATCAGCCTTGCTGCCGGCGTTCAAAGTCTCGAACGCCGATCGAGGCCTTCGAAGTGGGGCAAATTCAACTCAGATGCCCTCATTTGGTTAGCGAAGCTCGACTTACCTCAGCAGTCTTTGATATCTCGGACTTTGCCAACCATCTCCAACTTGCTCACCAATCTGATTGCCTTGAACCAAAATTCTCAAGCGAAATCATCCCCTTCTACAATGGAAAAGCCACGCCTTCGCGAGGTCGTCATGGGACTTCTCGACCCTTGGCACTTTATGCTTGTATCGTGTTCTTACATCCCATCCACCATCTTCCACTTGTATGCGACTTCCAGTCTGGCTGCACTTTTGTCCTGGGATGCATTTCAGAGCGCCTGGTTCAGCAAATTCTGGGCCTGGGCTGGTCCGCGCATCCGCGAGGGGAACGGACCTCGCATTACGGCCCTCCTCGAAGGAAGGGTGACCGGCGCTGAGGTTGTTGATGAGGTGGTGGGTGAGCCAATTAGCGGGGTAGTGCTTGATATCGGCCCCGGCTTGGGCTACTGGGTTGATTTGTACGCCCGCACCGATGTTCCCCTTAACAACGAAGACGCAAGCCTGAGGAAAAGAGAGGGTAAGGGAAAGGGCATCACTAAGGTTTATGGCGTTGAGCCGAATGCACAGGCTCACTCCGGACTCCGACAGCGTGCAAACGCAGCCGGCCTGGAGGGCGTGTATGAAATCTTGCCAGTGGGTATTGAACACATTGCGAAAGAGACAGTCGTCAAGAAGGGCAGTGTGGATGCGATTGTCTCGCTGCTCTGTCTGTGCAGTATCCCTGAGCCCGAGAAGAATATCAAGGAACTACACAGCTACTTGAAACCTGGCGGAAGATGGTACCTTTATGAGCATGTGGCGACCAAAGCATTTTGGCCGATGCAAATATACCAAAGTAGGTCGCCTTCCCAATATGTGATTCACGAAGGCCTAACGTCAATGTTCAGGGTTTGTCAACTTGTTCTGGCCACACGCACTTGGCGGCTGCCAGCTGTGTAGAGATACCGAGAAGACGCTACGAGAGGCAGGACCGTGGTCGAAGATAGACCTCAAACAGCCGCCTATAGAGCCGTGGTATGCTGTTGTTCCTCACGTCTTTGGAACTCTGACGAAGTAGGCCTATTTGATCTGCCGCAGAGAAGGTTTCTTGCATCATGTTCCATGTTCCATGTTCATGCTATCACAGCTTCATCTACGTCGTATCGTGTTGTTACCGCTTAGCGATCTAAGAATACTATAGAGTCATATTTCCTCGTTCTCAAAATTCTCATCGTGTGCTTCAATCTCCGTGTAGGTGCAACAACCGTAGCTCGAGTCCTATTCAGGCTGGACCCATTCATGGTCCCAAAGAAATTCGTACCTGTTCGCAAAAAAGACAGCGCGAAGTCCCACGCGCTGCACGTACTCGCCAAATTCGGGCTGACTAGAGAGAGGGTCGGCCTGGCCGAGAGCGTTGAGCGCATATGTCTCGTCTTCCGTTCGCGTCCGCGCTTTCTTTGCTTTGATATTTGCAAACTCAGTTGGAAGCACCTCAGCTTTTCCGGGCCCGATGTGAAACTTTGCTTGCGGAAAGAAATTCGTGCCAATTTGAGAGACCATAAGTTTCTTGATCCTGCCTTCAACGACGTCTTTCACCCAATCCCAATGCCGATGTGCAAGAAGCTTCTGGACTGTGCCAACATCCGCGCTCTGCAAGCTCTGCACCTCTTCCGTGGTGAGCTCTTGGCCAGGCTCGAAGGTGTCACCTTTAATTTCGCACCGTTCAAAACTGCATGTAAACCCCATGTTTGCAAGACCGAGCTTCAGTATCGGCAACAGGTCAATTTCGACTGGAGTTGTGAGTGCCTCTCCTTGGCGGTAACAGTTGCTGTAGATGGTCATCCGTTCAGGTGCGAAGTCGATGTTTGCAACCACACCATCTTGGGTAGGAAAGAAGGTGTTGAAATAGGAGGGAACATCTCTCCAGTCGATTGCAACGTCAGTCTTCAGGCACATAGGCCAGTATTCGTGACGAATCTGCCGGCAACTCTGAGCAAACGCCAAACAAGGGACAACACATCTTCGTTCGCCAGTCGAGGAGCATGTGACAAACTCGTAGATGCAGTTTCGAAGTTCTACGTTGGTGTTTAGCGTGCGAACAGAAGAGGGCCGCGGAGAGAGAAAGACATACCTGCAGGAAGGTCCAAGAAGTTTCGGCAAGGAGAATGATCCGCTCCAGGTGATTTTGGCAGGCGAACTCTGCGTGCGCGACGACCGAAGGGTCGAATGTCGGGAAGAGATCGTTTGATGTTTTCAAAAGGCATGTCTCTGACGTCTTCGATCTTTGAGGTTTCCAGGGTTTGATGCGCACTTGGCTCTGTGTGACTCTGATTTATGTGCAGCGAGAGAAGACTGAGAGAATGTTATGGGGATGGGGATGGAGGCACATTTTGATTCTCAACAAAGTGGCCAGTTTGCTTTTGGAAACCTGGTACCGATCACAACCCCTATTGCTGGCCAGCAAAGCAAAGAGACCCTGAAATGAGGCCACTCGATCAGGGTCCTACTGTTGTTGGTTTCTCTCGATCGAACTCACACATATCATGTCGCTATGGTTGCTCTCAGGCTACCTTCGCGGTAACAAATTTATCAGCACGACATGAAATCGATTTCTAGCCGGAAATTCCTGAGTTAGCATCCATGTACATCATTGGCGGTGTCACCGTGAATCTACCGTTCACGCTCAAGTGCTGAGGGGATTTTAAGCGACATGGTGCACACATGCCGGGAGTACTGCATGTGCTGATTGCGTTGCAACCAGGCAGTGAGAGTGATACAAGGATAGGTCAGTCAAAACATGGAGTTGTCAGACGCCCTGGAGGACTCAGTCCGAAGGCAGACAACACACAGCCTTTACTTCATCTACACCGCTGCTCGGTCTTCTGGTGCTTCAAAGCTATGCCCAGTATGTTCAAATACTGCTCCTGGCGGCGCTCAGTTTATGCTGTATGCTTACCCACTGCAAGGATTCATAGCTGCCAATCTCAACCACGCCCACGTAGCTCGATGATGCGCGACATAGCCTTCGACTTCTCTCACCTTACGCCACAGGCTACACCGACACTTTACTCGAGTAACTAGCATCCTTCTAACTGGTCCATAACAGAGCCAGAGCCCCGCTTTCGCCGCTAACAGTGCTTATTGTTCAGTTTTTGTGCCTACCAGTGCGAGAAAAGTGGGGCTACCATGCTCACGAAAGCCCAAGGATCTCACATTCACCCTCCCTTTGATCGAGGCTGCGCAGTATATAAAGACCGGTCCCTGCCAGCTCTTACGCTAACTCCTCATGACAGTAACGACTTTTTGGGTCCCTCCAACTACATCGCACTTCTTCCTTCGTTCCGCCCAAGCACCGTCTACTATCGAGAGCTATGGAGTAAGTCTGATCCTGTGTTTGCGTCCATCAAACTCAACACACCACTAACACAAACAGTCTCAAGCGTGCGACGACGCCTCCCCCATCGGACAGAGTCGACCTCACGCCCCCGCAAACACCAGGAGCTCCACAAGATGCTCTCCCCAGGACTCTCATTCCCCCTTCGCCAGGAGGTCCCCGCCTCGCCTCGCTGAATGCTAGCTTCAAGGACACGACTAGGCTCCACGCTCCACCTTTAGGTGGTAAGCGGAGCCAGACAGCTGGCGTTAGAAAGGCGACAAGCAAGGGTCTGAGGAACAAGAGCAGCTTGGGCAAGTCCTTTGAAGCTATTGCTGAGAGCAAGAAGACGACCAATCTCATGGATCTGCCCGGCGGTATGTTTGACTTTTGACTATGGTGTTCCATGGCATTCGCTAACCAGTGCAGAACTTCGCAACCTCATATACTCCTACAGCGCCGGCAATTCCCGTCAGGCGCTCTTGGTACATCGCCCTCGCATCGCATCGCTTCGTCCTCGCACTCGACTAGACCGACATCGTACACTCGAATCAGATGTACTAGAGCAAAAGCATGACGAGGCACTCGCTACTGCTACGAGCAAGCACATGCCAAAGACGGTGCTTCTTGCGCGCGAGACCAACCGCCCATTCTTCGGCCTCACTCAGGTCTGCCGTCAGCTTCGCCAGGAGTTCAGACCTCTGTATATGCAGAGTCAAGAGATCGGTATGGATCTTGTCGAAGTTGCCTCGTATCTCAGCACATTCTACCCTGGGGTTGCTGATCACCTTAAGGTCCTATCGACGTCTGGAGACAGGAAAATCGATATGCCCTTCACGGGAAATATGACGATTGCTGTTGGCGACAGGGTCAAACAAATTGAGAGATCTGCGGACGGGATCGACGTTGGACCGCTGCTTGATGTATGGGCGAACTCTTTCAAGATTGAGGCAGGATTTGGGCGCTACATGCAAGTGCACTACGATGCTACCTCAGATGGTGAGGCCAAAGACCTGTAAGTTCGCACTTTCGTGCCCCCAGAATCGTGGTGTGACGAGACTAACTCTTATAGATACCGTCTCTTTGGACGTCGCGTCCAGCAAGACCGACGTTGCTCCGTGATGAACTACCTTTGGCGCAACATCCTTCGCACGCGCTCTCTGGCATCTGTGCATATCCACCGTCGTCCAGCAGCCCCAGCACCTGCCTATTTTCCGGTTTCCAGCTCTCAGACGGTGCGCTTCCGCCCCCTCCATATGGTATCCGTGGAGCCTCGCCCATATATCCATGTTCTGTTCAAGCCGGAATGCGCAGAGACTTGGATGACGAAGCTTGACTCCCAGATACCTTACGGTTGGCTTGCTGCACATGGATTCGATGCCATGGAGTACTTCGATGTCAAGGTCGGCGTTGCTTCATCTCGCAAGTAAGAGCTCTGATCACCGAGAGCGACTTTGGTGCCACGCTCTTGTCTGGTATATCAACGTTGTGATCCTTTTGACGTTCACAAAAGCACGCCCCACCAGCCGGCCGTTGACATCACCAACTTCTTGACTGCATTATCTCATCTATACGAGCGCATTTGAGCCACGGAGGTCTTCCAGTATCTTTGCATTTTCCTTTGCTGATGTCCACTGGCTTGACATATTTCGGTATTGCGTTGCTGAAGGATATTATTGAACCTTCAGATCAGATCTCTTAGCCCTGCAGGCTTTATCAATTACATCTCCTTTTCTTTGCATATCGTTCCTCCAAAGGCTGGTCCCATACTCGTGAAATTTAAATTCAATAACGTGTATCAAGGTACAAGGATGGGCTGAGATTAGAGACTGGAGTGGAGCGCGACGAAAAAGCGGAGACAGGGTCCCAATTAGCGCGATCTGCCCGATGCACAAACTCCACCGCAGCACGGCCGTTGTGTGACGTCGTCTCGTCTCGTCATTCCTCAGGCTGGCAGCTGATGAAACTCATGATAACAATGCATCGCGCGTCCACGTTGCTGTTCCCATTTCGGATGTGCAGCGGTGCTGATGTTACTCTTTTGTCGGTGTGCGCAGCCGCGGACCCCTGTGGCGCGCTTTTCTAGCTGCAGCAACGCGTCTTGAGGTCATGCACCATGGCCGAATTGCTGTGGCTGCTGTCCCGTGTCTAGCACAGACACAACGACGACGATGCGATGCTGGTAACGCGACACGTATAGATGCTGCCACCGCACACTGTTGCTCTCTTCCAATCCTTCAATCCCCAATCTCGACACAGCTCCGCTCCCAGAAGGCATGAGCAGCGCAAATCTCGGCCCATCCCCACCAGTGTGAGGTCATTGACAAGGATCGCGACCAGTTGGCCGTCCGCACCCAGCGGTTGCTATTTTGAGCGCAACGGTTTTTATACTCGACATGTCTCAGGCAGAGTCGTATGTTCGCCGTGTATCGTTTGCTTCTACTTCAACGATACCCGAGGTATCATCCAAATCCGCATCTTTCGTCACGGCAAACACGGTTGCTAGCCGCTCACGCACCCGCTCCGAATCTATAATGACAAGCCGACCCAAAAGCATGACCGATTTCACCGCACTCATGGACGCTTCCATGCCCCTATTTGAGAGCAAGACAAATGCTCGGAGAAGCTTGTCACCGGGCAGGAAGTCCCCAGACAAGACGTCCCCAGAAAGGGGAGAGAGGGCTACAGGACATGGACGCAAGAAGCCGAGCATGTCCCTGGCCCAAGGGCTGATCATCAATGGCGAGCTGCATCCGCCGAAATCGCCTTATAGGCAGACCCACAGCAGAGGAAGCCAGGATGACTCGCCCGATGTGGTGGACAACGGCGAGGAGAGCCTGTTCTACGCATATGCGCTGAAGGTGTGTTTGAACGCCTTTGCATCTACGTTGACGCGACTGACATGAAATAGAGCGACTATCCGAATTCTCCACCGTACCTTCTTACCTTCGCGACCTCAGACATCTCCGCACAGTGGTGGTCGCTTGTGCAGCGCCAGTACCCCGAGTCTACACGGCCTGGAGCCCAGCTCTTCGTGCTCAAGACGGACGACATGCAGGCCATACAAGAGGATCCTAAGTTCTCGGAGCTGCGTGGTAAATGGTTCTTCACCTCTCAAGATAGGTCGAACTGCGCGACACCTGTCATTCCACTCCAAGGTGCAACTGGCCACCTCGTTGCTAGGGGCCCGCCGCCTCAGCCTCAGTCAGCGTTCGAGAAGCCAACACACACTGCAGTTGATAGCTTGGCTGAGAAGCTCGAAAGGCTCTCTTCCGTGGTGGAGAGCAGTGCTGAGCACATTCATGCTCTTTCTGTTGCCCAGTCTGCAGGACTGCAGCGCATGCAAGAGATCAACGAGAGTAACAGCACTCAAATCAAGGCGCTTGCCGAGTCTCAAGCTAAGCTGCAAGGACTGATTGATCAGAATGCGTCACACTACATTGCCCTGTCGAACACCTCGTTCAAATCCCATGAACAGGTCAAGGATGTATTGAAAGCCACCACCACCCAGATTCAGAGCCTGAGCGGTAGTCAAGAGCAGCTGGCACAGACCTGTAAGGCAATGATGCGCAGTATTGAGAGTCTTGGTTCTTCAGTCGAGCACATGGGCATGGCTTCACCACCGCCAGTACTTTACTCGGAACCTTCCACTTCGCTTTCTACATCACCGCGGTCGTGCAAGACTTCCACCACGACCGTTAGCCCGGCACCCAGGAAACTCAACAGACGCATTCGAGGCGTGTGGTACGAGTATGATAGTAATGCAGAGCCTAAGGTTCACGGAGCGCCCAGGAAGCTCGCTCCTGCCCCCAGTCTCAACACTGCTCCCAAGGCGCCTGCCACTCCGCCGAGAACACCTAGGAAGCTCACACAGACATAAAAAGTCTGTGAGTTCAGTCTTCGGTTGCACCTACCCACTACGTGGGTTCGCGTGCGTCCTTGTTGGGTGACTGCCGTTTGCTCAGTAGCTGATTCCACCTTCGCCCCACTTCGCCCCGAATGCATTTAGAGAAGTTGAAGCTCGTACATGGCACTCTCTATTCTACACTTACCACGCAAATCTTAATCAGAGACTTCATCGACTCACAAAGACCCGCCTTGCGACGCACGTTGCGATGAAGTTGCACGTCCTCCTCACTTTGCTCCTTGTGGGCCTCCTCAACTTCGCCCTCGCACTGCCTGCAAACTCAACCGACCTCAGTGTCCCTCACCCCGTCGATGCTGACGATGCCACTCCACTCAATGAGACCACCGACTTCGAAGCTGATTACGTCATACGCAACCCCGCTCCTGGCTGGTGTACCTTAAACATCAACATGGTCGAGCACTTTCCTCGCGGTGTCGACGGCGTCCCCGGCGGTCGAAGGGCCTCTATTTCCGTTGGCGGCGTATGGGACAACAGTTCGAAAGCCATTCAATGGGCATGGTCCGACGGCACGCCTGCGGTTATCAATGGCTTCCCAAGCGAGCGCCGCATCGACACAAATGCCCTTACCATCTTTCACATCATCCACAAAGGCGACTGGCTACGCTTCTCGTGGCACCACTACAACAGAAACTCAATCTTCGAGTGGATTCAGATCGACTACTGGGGCACCACGTGGAGCGATATCGTAAAGGACTGCAAGACGGGACACTGCTGCCAGAGAGGTGATTGGCACCCTGATGGGAAGAACAGGTTGTTGCGTGGTGTCGCCTGCGGGTTTGCCTGCCCTTGATCGATGTGGCCACTGAGGTTGATGCATCGCTTTACCTAGGCGCCGTAAGAGCAGAATGCTCACGTGTAACCCTTCTCGGAACACTACCTAGGCTCCTAGAATGTGCCAGAGCCGATATCATACATAGTAATAGGGAATAGGAAGGAAATCAATTCATAGATTGTAGCTCCACACAAGTCACTCTCCGCCCCTTCCAATTGCCTCTTTGCTGTTTTTGCCATCTCACACCACCCGTTCCATCACATTGCAAATACTCTTGTAATCCACGCCGTTGTCCCTGTCTTGTGCAAAGTTCACAACCCAAAGTCAGGTGAGAACGATTGCACAAAGTCTGTTCCATTCAAAAACGCGTGGTGGCTGCACGTCACGAGCAGCTTAGCACGATCAGGGAGACAACAGCGACGATCTTAGTATTGGCAATATGAGTGAGCAGTAGGTAGACTGGGATACATGCACCTCCCTGCAAACTACAGTCCGGAGAGACACCGACACGATGCCATTGGTCATCTGAATGCTGAAGATATATTCGTGGATTATATATGTACTATTTACAGAGCGCGTCATATTACGCGCAACTCTAGTGTCTCTACTTCTCCGCGCCATTGGGTCTCCCAGACTCCACATCGCCCTCGCGAGGCGGCTGCTCAGGCTGCTCAGGCTGCTCAGACTGCGCTTCTTCGCGCTTGAGCGTGACTCTCTTGATGCCGAACGTCGTCAGTAGCCCCAGCGCCGCTACCACTGCGTAGCAGATAAACGCACCCCGCAAGGCGCTCATGAATGCGCTTCGGACAGCACTTCTCTGTGTCTCTTCCAGCGCTGCCACAGCGCGCGCCTGGCTCACCGCCTCGCCGCGCGAGAGCTGTTCCGCAAAGGACCTCGGCACACCTGCATCGACGATGGTGTCGAGAGAGCTGCGCATAAGCGCCTGGAAGATGACCTGGCCAAGGACGACGCCGATGGCACCGGAGAGCATGCGGACGAACCCGAAGGTCGCAGTGCCAACTGCTGTATCTTTCGCGCTGATGCGTGTCTGCAGTGCGATGAGCGGGGTGTGGAAGGTGGGACCAAAGCCTGCTCCTATCAGGATGAGGAACCCGATTGCCTTCGCTGCGTCGAAGGAGGGTGGTAGAGAGACCAGGGCACCGACGCCGGCGGTGGTGAGTACAAGACCGCCCTGTAGCCAGTCCATGAAGCGGCCGGTTTTCTCGATGACGAAGCCGGACGTGAGTGATACGACGGTGAGAGGGATGGCGAGAGCGAGCATGAGGACTCCGGTGCTGGATGGGCTGCGGTCGGCCACGATCTGGAAGTACAGCGGCACAAAGTATGCAACTGAGTTGAAGACGAGAGCGTCAAAGGCGCAGACACCCAGGGCGCTGAGATTTGAGCGGTCGCTGAAGATGCGCAGTGGCATTATAGGTGACCCGCCGTGCACATCTTCCCACCATTGCGTGAATGGGAATATGATGTAAGCTAGCGAGCCAAGAACGAGGAAAGAGATGACCATGGGCGAGCTGTAGGACGTTGTGCTGCCAGTTTGTAGACCGACTAAAAGTAGGATGGTAGCGGCGAGGATGGTGAAGGTGCCGAGCCAGTCGATCGAGTACATTCCGGCAAGGAACGGAGTGCGCGGGTTGTGTACATGCAAAGTGAAGTAGAGAAGGACGATCGCGAAGGATACGATGGGGAGGTTGATGTAGAAGCACCATCGCCAGCTGAGATTCTCTGCGAAGACGCCACCGAGAACGGGACCCAGAGCTGAAGCGACGGCCCAAACAGCGCCCACAATCCCCAAGTAGAAGGAGCGATTTCTGAACGATGCTGTTAGTCACCTACTATAATTACGGCCACAGGAATGACATACCGAATCGTGAACAGGTCACTGACGCAAACATAGACTAAGCAGTTCACTCCTCCCCCACCAAGACCTTGCACAGCCCTTCCCGCCACCAACATCGGTGCGTCGATACTGACAGCACAAATGATACTTCCGATGAGAAAAACGGAATTTGCCACAAGGAGTACTGGCTTGCGGCCGAATACGTCAGCCAACGTCCCCCAGCAAGGTATCGAAGAGGCATTAGCGAGGAGGTAAGCGGAACCAGTCCATGCGTACAGTGAGTCAGGAATATGGAACGACTCAGATATTGTGGGTAGAGCAGTCGGAATCAGGACGGTGTCCAAAGCCACCAGAAAGATGGAGATGCATAGAGCAGTGTAAGCAAGGAGCACCGACAGTGGCGGCCGCGAACTGGACGTTGGTGGCGCAATGACTGCTGTATGACCGCTGACTGAAGAAGCCGAGGTCTCTGCAGCCTTGGTGGATGCTGATGCTGACTTGATAAAGTCTCCGGCTGAGTCAATTGTGAAGGAAGTATGCCGGGACGACCGTTGAGAGGGCATGCTACTGTTCCCCGCATTCTCTGGTCCCTGTCTCACAGACTCGATTGCTCGATCTGGCGGATTTGAGGCAAAGTCCGCAGTTAAGATAGTTTGTACCATTGTTTGAACTCTCAGTCGCAGCGTCGGTGAATTCACACGCGTCGCAAGCTAGTTGCAATCGCAACAGGTGAACTGGGTAGGAACGAGTGAGCAGCGTCAAGAAGCGTTGCAAACGCTAGCAGGTATTGAATTGATGACCGTTTCAGCAGGAGCGACACAACGCAGTTTATAATGTTGATAACTGAGGCAGGTGCTGACCCACCCTCTTCGGACATCGAAAATTGATAGTCGTAGCTGAGCCCCGGGACTATTTCGGGACTTTTGTACTGCATAGACGCTCATGCAGGCTACCATTAGTCCACGACTCGAGGCCAGTCGGATGCTTTGCTACGCTTCATGCAGGTTGTATGGCGGAAACTTATGTCGCCGCAGTTGAAGAGACGAACGAGCTTGGTTCCATGTCAATCGCATAACTTACTCCTGGGTAAAGGCTATTGCTTGCGACTAGCAGCGAGGCGCAATATCACCGCGATTCCCTATTGTCTGCCTTAGACACCGAGGATCTTTGTGAAGCGTCAAGTAGGCCCCACCGTTCGTGACGACAGACCTCCATGATGAACGACCTTTGCGCTGCCAGATCCCGGTCCTTCTGTCGATGGCGATTCATGTGAATGGATGATGTAAGAGATGCAACCAATCAACGACCTTACAATGCCCTCTCAGGGTCTTGATACAATTGAAGTTTAAACTGTTGCGTCGTGTAATAACGGAGCAGCACACAGAAAGTGCAGGTGATATTCGTTCGTCGTACCTGCGGCTCGAAACTACTGTGGTAGAACGACGATCGCAAGAAAACGAGAGATTCTAGTGGACGCAAACGAGCGTTTCCGGTTCTCTTACCGATGCGCGAGACACGGGTCATGGAAAACTACAGACGAGCTTGGGTGTAACCCTATGCACGTTGCAGACTTCGCCCGCGTGCAGACATTGCTGCGGTGTAACTGACCTGGAGGCTCAGTCGCAGCAGGTATCTGGCCCCTGCTTATTTACCACCGGGCCGGGCGCTTCACACAAGGCGCAAGCCTTCAGCCCCGGATATCAGGCGGCGCGTCGTCAGCCACCTCTAAGTGGCGCGAGATCTTGACTTGATTGAAGGTGGTGGGGCTTAGCATTAGATGCTGACCTAATACAATTCTTGACTGGGTCGTGTGGTTGACTGTAGTGCTCGTGCCATTCGATAAGGGTGGGAAACATTGAAGCTGTGCAGGGTCCCGTGAGGTGATGTGCAGAGCCCCGCAGTTTGGCGCTCTGTTTCGCTTCTGACTTCACTCGAAGATGGCTAGCATTGAGTATCTGGTGGTACGAATGCAGCAGACAATATGTGCGTCGGCACTGCTTGTGCATGATCCGAAAAGCGACTGGCCGGTCTTCCAGAATTCATATGACGATTATAGGTCGAGGCAATGCTAAGGAGGTGATTGACAAACTCGACTAGATCTTGTGGTTGGCGAGAGTTCGTCGGTAGCGGGTCATGCGACACCCCTGTCACTGCATGCACTGTGTAACTTGGATGTCCGGAAATGCGCCGCGCTCCAAAAAATTCTGTTCGACATGTGCAGTTATAGATTGTAGAGCGATGCTTGTCGCCTGTCGATTCTTGGGCGCATTCTGCGAAAGGAAGGTCGAGCAGAAACCGATGACATTCCAAGGATGTCCCAAAATTGGCCATATGCCACGGTGTGACATCTCACCGCCTTCTCCACGTGAGAGAACCCCATGCTGAGGAACGTATCGCCATCAGGTACCCGTTTGCCGGGCTTACGAGGTCGCCGTCCATGACCAAGGCTTCGCGAACATCATCTGTGCGACCCGCCTCCGCAAGGGAGCCGGGGACGGGTCCCGAGATTTTCTAGCGCACCCGGGAAGCAGGTGTTGGGTTTTGAATCTGCCCTCAGGGACAGGAGATGCGCGCAAGAAGATTCCGCTATGTCGGGGTTGTGAACCTTGCTACAAATAGTGGTGATGAACGAAGCGGAGTTCAGCGATCCTATCAGCTTCGACTTCGATATTGAGAAGTAGATCGACAAGGATAGAATACCACGTTAAGCCGCCGGTCACTTGTCTGCCAAAGCAACGGCCGCCAAACTATCGATCGCCGTTCCCGCTGCTCCGCCTAAGGCTCGAGGCCTCTTCGGGAATTCAAGTCGCGAGAATTAAGATGGGTCATGCCTGGAGGTGGGAAGAGAACGTTTGCGGGGCTCGGGTGGCGGTCGATGTCTTACACCGTGGCAGGCAACCGGACCGAGCCAACATCCTTGAGACACAACGAGAGTATGGTGCCAGACTGAGACAGGAGGAGTCGTCATCTCGCTTGTAGCCATCTTCTTGTTGGGAGAGTTGTCCGATCCCCGCAACACTTCGGTTGTTTTGACACGATGGTCGTACAAGAGTAACCACGCTGTGGGGTCATCTCGTCACTTCATGTGTGTCGTCGATAGCTAAGGCGGCTTGTAATTGACGATTCCGGCAGCGTCTCATGATATCTGAGATGGGATATGCGAGATTTTGATGATATTGGGGTCCAAGATCGAGTGATTCGACAAAGGGATGAACAGCTGTTCAGATGAAGTTGGTCCATTCCCGGCCCGTCGGCGGTCCGCCGCACCCGCGTCCCCGAACTTTCGTGCTTCATCAACCAGGATAATAACATCCGCAAGCGTTTGTCAGACACAAACACATGGATGCTCTCTATCTACATTGATAACGCTTATCCCGGCTTGCGTCAATCAGAAATCGATGATTGCCGGTAATCGAAGTTGAGGACGTGTGAATAATCATCTACAAAGTTCGCCGGAATCAACAAGTATATTGTCTGTGGATGATAAGATGTATTGCCACATCAATCGAGTCAAGGTTGTGATTGTGAAAGGTGCTACAGAGACCATACCTTCCTTGAGGCATCCTGAAGCTAGGCACGAGAGCCTCTTTGTTAGGGCAACAACTACAGAAGACATCCATCATAAGTACGATCTGAAGCGTAAGACCTAACGAGTAGCTACACACTGCTACCTCAGTCATAGTATTGTCCCGGTGCGCGTCCCAAACTTGCAGCTACAATGGCTAGGGTAATCGGACATTGGCTATGGAACCACTATTTCTAGGAGTCCTGATCGTCGCAATGGGTACCAAGGGCTCTAGAGGATGTGAGGTTGGTATATGCCATTCATTCCTAGAGATACCTTTTCTAAGTTCCAGACCTAGTTATCGTTGAAATGATGTAGACCAGTTTGAGATTGCAGGGACAACGATTTTCTCCCATCTCATGCGTACAATCTATCTTCAATGGGCGCGGTCACCTCTTTGCTTGAGAAGGAGCAGTGTCCCACTACTTCCATGCCGCCTTCAACAACCACACCCCATTGTATTTTCTTCAAATGGCAGTTTACGTCATCGCTGGGTGGATGGCATGCAGCACTGATAATTGTGCTTCGATGTCGGGCTGGTGGTATACGTAGCTTCAAATGCTGTATCGACAACGACAAGACTACGAGCAGTAACGAAAGAAATACGCAAGCGAAGACTAAGATGCTAGACGTAGAGTATCCGCAAGCGCAAGTAGATTCCGGATAGAGCGTTCCATCTTGTCTTCGCCTTTCTCGACGTATCAAGAAGAGGGATTGTGACAGTAGCCAGTGGAGGACTCCGGATGTGACTGTCAGCGGAATGGCCCATCTATATGGAAGCTGCAAAAAATGAGTAGATCGTTGAGCTGCGGTCGGGTTGGTGACTCGCAAGCCCCGCTGGATTGTAGCGTACTCGTTCCATTCCCTCGCAGAACACATCGAAGTACAGATAGAATTGATGACGAAGTAGACAAGAGATAAGCAGACTTGAGGTAAATTCGCCAACAGAGCTGTTTGAAGGGCTCCTCGAGCATCAAAAGTCGTTGAAGTCAGGCTTATGATTGCGGAGGAAGAGGTGCCCCAGAACGCGACCCTCTGGCCGTTACTTGTAGCCGCTGTTAATGAATAAAGTGTGACTGATACAGACAAAGTACTACTTCTTGTCAGTCTCTCAGTCCACAATAAATGGCAAGCAGGGGATGACGCACATTATCGGCACTGACCACAGTGGTGTACCGCCTAAAAGCGACATGATTGGGAGTCGACGTGATCTCCAAACTTGTCCACCCAATTCATTTGGCGGCTCCACAAAATCTTTTTCAAATAAAGAGGGCGTTACGAGCACGCATTGTCCTTTTGAGCTTGTCTCAGGTCGTTCTAGAAATGAGGCAACAGCGTCTCCAATTGTGACGATGGGTCCAGCTGAACATGTACGAAGTGTAAGAAGAATTCCTACAATCTTTGCGATATTTGCGACGATAACGATGCACAGGAACGGCAACGCCAGTTGTACTTTGCTGCCATACAAGAGTTGCTTAGCCCTTGCGCTGTGAACGTGTAGTGGTAGATTGCTTGGGCTCCTGAGCCAGCCTGAATTTGAGCAAACACCGAAAGCCTGCGCTAATGTACCGTTACTAGATAAGTTCATCGGAACGGAATACGGTAATTTGATAGTGTGGACGTCGTCTTTTTTGGTGGACGTCGACGAGCCCAAAAACGGTACTTCAACTAAGAACTCGTCTTTAGCGTTAGTATGGTTACGAGACGCATTGATTAGGGTTGGATACTGAGTGCTCAAGGCGGGTAAGACACTTAAAGCAATGACTGCTCTTTCGTTTGCTTGCCATGATTCTGGCTGAAGAACCTTGCCTGTGGCGTTTACCCCAAACGTTCTGTTTGTACTGAACCCGGACTGGAACCCTTCGCTGGTAAAATCAACTTGATTCCAGTTGCATGAGGAGAGATCAGGCATTCCAAGGGCAAAATCCCAGTCCGGGTAGAACTGTACGCCCATAGAAATGCTGTCAACCAGCAGGATGAGATCACCGTAGCCTGCGTTGAACTTCGATTCATAAAGCTGTGGCCAGTCGGATCCACCAACGTCTTTCCACCCGGTCCCGGAAGAAATGTCACGAGCATCGTCGCTGACCACGGTAATAGTGTAATCCTGTCCTGCAACAACGTGGAACACCGATGAGTTGTACCTGCAGAATTCGATCAACACACGGTTGCTTGTTTGGATAATCGACTTACAGTAAATGCAGTGGAGCTGAGCTGATGGCCAATACGACCCATAGTAAAGTGCGCTTCCGATCGATATATCGAAGATTGCGAAAGCTCATGAGGCCGACCTCGAGCCATCGTCCATTTTGATGTGCCTGATCGAGCTCTGCACGAGTCGGTGCGCATAACAGTTGCATAGCGTAATTACTAGAAGTTAAGAGAACCGTACTGCAGATGTTGATGAGGACATGATATGCAGTGCCCAGCCTGACTATGTGATCTGCATGGCCTTTTGCTATGGTCCCGATACCATCGACAAATCCACCATCTGTGACAGCACCAAAGAGCAGAATGACGACGTTAGAGATAAGCACCACGATGGATACTCCCAGTCCCACGAAGAGGCCAAGCTGCCAACTTTTTGGCTTGTGGCAGTATTTCTGGACATCAAACCATCTGTGTGGAAGGGCAGATGTGGACGTTGTCTGCTTGTACAATTTTTCGAGCTCGACGTCTTCCAACTCTTGAGTGTGACCCGCACCGATATGGCTGTTGATCGGATTGAACAGAGGCTGGTAGCGTGGATCGTATGTACTCATTGTTGCTCAGAAACGGGAGTCTGAGGATGTGGATGCGGACCGGAGATAGACCAGGCTGTACGTTGTTTTGAATCAGCATATACAAGGTTTTGGCCCCCATGTTATGATATCATAGCTGAGTCTCTTATACTAGCCTAGCGAATGAAAAGAATGCGGCACATCATAGATTGATCACCCCGCGGAGCCGCTACTAACTAGACAAGGCTGAAACCGCCTTTCGCTTACGCGTTCGGTCGTGCAGGTGTGAGTCTGCGCTACGAGATCAGCGTGTTCTACCGGTCACCAACACCATGACCGCCTGCACTGATATCCTACAAGGTATCGTTGTCCGTATACTGTTCCCTTTGGCGCAATTTTGAATTGTCAGATCTCAGAAAAGCTTCCCCAACTTTGAAGCACCTCCATGCATTCCTTCAACGCACGCCTCGTCCGACAGAGGCCAGGCAACTTAGACTAGTTTTAGGCTGTGTATAGGTAGAGTCTGCGTAGAACTCTCTGAACCAAATAACGTACTAGGTACTCGCTAAGAGGCTCGACCCTGCAGGAAGCTCGCTGCCCATAAGCATCTTCATCTCTATTTTCGCAGTCAAACGTGTGTTGCTTCAGCTACCAATCAGCATGTCGTGCGTCAAACAGGGCCTTTTTGTCCGTTTAGTCCATCTTTCCCAGGCTGTTGTACGTTGTTGAAGACACTCACCTCTGCAGTGTCACTCAATGCTTCTGCTTGACATTCAGTTGTGGCTCTCCAATGCGAAGCGAACACATACATGTCAGCTCCCTTCATTTAACACCATGCTGTGATGCTTCTTGAGCAAGCTTAGCTGCTGCTTCCTGTCGTGCTTCTCGCCTAGCAAGATGCGGGTGCCTCCTGCCACTTGACCACTTCACATATGCGGTGAAGTCGAGGTTCTCGCAAGCGACACAGTCACCTTCGGGTACCATGCCGGACTCGGCGCTCCACGTCTTGATTTCCTCGTCTCGGCATCCGCACTGCTTTTTTCCGGTCGGGCAGAACTTCGTGTCGTTCCAGCCGTCCATCCACTTCTTCCATGATGTGACGTTCACCTTCATGTCAAGGAAGACCCACGTGACGTCTTCGCCCTTCATCGACGTAGTGTTGCAGAGCAAAGTCACATCTCCCATCTCCTTGGAGACGTAGTCCCTGAAGACTTCTTCGTTGCACACCCTGAGCATCTTCTCCATCAGTTCCATCAAGGTGATGGTCTTGATCGGTTGCTTCGGCTGGCTCCTATGGGGAAACGTCGAAACGTTCTCCAGCTCCACCTGAAAACGTGAGGTTGTCATCAGCTTAAAGAGATTCTTCAGGGTCACCTCTGTCCACACCCGCTCTTCTGACTGTCGGAGCACGGCGTTACCGGTCGCATCCTCCAGTTTCGTGACGCTTGGCGGGGCGATCAAAGTCTCCATGCAAAGCTCGAAGTCGTTGACCGGGACACTGATCTTGACTGCAGCGAAGAACGACGAGCGGTATTCAGCTCGCATTAGTCGGTAAGCTTGTGTGGCGCCAAGAAACTGCCAGGTTGCCCAACGTGGAGCGGGACCGTCGTGGAAGTCCGTGACAGCGACCGTCGCGTCTGCTTCCATGAACTCGTAGATTGGATTTCGCAACTCTGCGCAGTGTTGTTAGTACACATGTCTCACGGGTAGTAGTGTGCTTACTGCTTGGGAGGCCGAGAAGCGAGTTTTCGGGTAGCTGGCCCTGAACAGGCACCTTGACTCTCGGCAATGGCTTCTTCGAGTGGCGGTCCTTGTGCTTCACCATGTCGAGAGACCGCATTCCGATGGCATCACGGTGATACATGACTGCTTCTTCGGAGCTCTGTTAGCATAAGTATGTGCGCAGATGATTTGGTGAGCGTGCAGGTCCGAAGATCGCAACTTACTGCTTGAGCTTGATGTTGTAGTACTTCTTTGTCTGCGGTTGTGAGAGACGAAAGAAGTGAGCGAGGCGACAGAAGTGGGCGTGGTGAACAGAGAGCTGTTTATGTGGGGCAGCTTCGCCTGGCTCTTTCGACCGCTGGCGAACTCACGGTGAAGGTGACGATAACCCCACTCTGGAATGGCAAGGATATATGTCCGTCATTTTACATCGTATCTCATAAGCAGTAGTTTTATGTGCCGTGAGGGTTGCTGAGACTTGTTGTAGCCAACCGTGAATTGATAGCGTGTGTACAGTGGGAGGTCATGATGCGACTAAGACACAGGATGCGGATCATGGAGTAAAGAACCTGGCCAGTTTCTAATCGAGATCTTTGCCGACCTGAGCTAACCCATCAGCCCCGCAGGATATCAGAGACGAACGACATACAGTACATCAAACATGCGAGCACCAGGTCAAGTCCTCTCACCTCCCAATCAGCTGTTATAAGCTGATGCGGCGATGAAACTTTCCATACCACCTCGCACTCGTCCAAGTCTGCCCGGATATACAAGCCGACAAAGACTCCCAGGTAAGCCTCGCATAGAAGCCGAATGCAACGGCGATGCTGTGCAATTGTCTTCAAATGGCCATCAGGCGTGTAAGACAGGTTCAAGGAATTAAGATTGACCAGAAGTTTGCGTATCTGGTTCGGTCCTGCGACTGCTTGGGGCAAAGCTGTGTCTCCAACGTAGATTCTCGGCTCGAACGGGACCAACTTGATGCTGGTGATAATGCATGCATGAAAGACACTTTCTTCCCAAGCCATGGCGCGACTCATCCGGCATAGAATGTCCAGCTCAGTTTTGTTCTCTGCACCGACGGGCATTTCCTCTGGAAGAAGCTCCAGGTGGAAATCCGGATCATCTTTATTGTGCACCAGCAAGTTGAGTGCCTCAATGCCATGAAGAGGAAGTGGTACCCCTGATAGTCTGGAGCTCATTGGCTGGATCCATCCAGTGCGCTTTCCATTTGTGCTGCTGCGCGGGTGGAATAAATCGGCATAAGCGCTTAGAGTGGCTAGTGGGGTCTTCACTCGACGATGCTTCAGTAGCCAGGGTGTAAACTCAGCACGGATTTGGCGACTCGTTTGAGTGAAGGTCCAAAACGAATTCGGGAAGTTCGGGGACATGCCTGACATCTGTTCCGATCGACATCGACGGTGACCGTGTGGGAAATGGCGAACGTCGTGTATCTGATTGTCTTCGTGTAGCAGACACTATTCGTAGACACAGTTTCGAATCTCGCGGGGCAAGCTGCACCACAACCTGGGCGGTATGGTTGAACGATCCGCTTCAGACATTTGTGAAGTTAAATGCAAGACTGACGTCGTATTTCAGGTGGTGCTTGGGGCTGGGGTAAGCTCTCAGATTCTTCGGGAGCTTCCACCGTGAACCGTGTGTTGTATCAATGAGCGATAAATGTGGCCGTATCAATGGAAGTCATGTGCCGTGGGAGTAATCGTCCTACAGATTAGAAATGTCGTTCATCCATGACACGCGACTGCCCGCCAAGAAGCGCATTGGCTCACGCCGACCCCAGTACTTACCTCACGCAAGAATGCCTACAAATGAGCAATTTGTAGCATCTTCCAACGTCTGGCACAGAAGTCCCGGTCATGTTCGGTGAAGCTAATCGGGTGAGGTAGCAACGCGCGCTGCGTTGTCCAAACCTGCCGAAGGCACTGAATTTGCAATGAGCCGTTCGTAGGGCAAAGCATCATCAACACTTTGAGGATTCAGATAAGGAAAGAAGGGATGGAACTCGACGTCGCAATCCAATTCGTTAGCGTGGATGATGTCACCACCGCCATGACGGACAAGTCTCAACCACTGGGTAATATAACCGCATCAAACAAGCTATATTGCGTGAAAACATTAGTACGGGACTACACAACTTCATACTGTCGAAGCTTCTTTCAGTCTTGTACATTTCGAGGCAATGGCAGTGCAATACATGTTTCGAGCTTGATTACTATTCACGAACTCTCGCCTCGGATGGCGCCCCTTTTGACGACATCCAACAACCGAAACTACGGCCGTATGCACCAAAATCCTTTCGTGATGACTGATCATATATGAGAGCTGCCTTATCTGTGTAAGCAGCTACTTCCGTTGTCGCACACGCAGGAAGCACACCATCGATTGCAGCCGAAAGGATCGTACTACAAGTCTGGGCGGGGAACTTAGTGTGAACATGCAACACCGCGTGCAACGTTGAAAAGCACGGTTTGCACAAGAGGTCTCCAGGTCCATAATCTCAATCGTATATGTACCGACCAGACCAGCGACAGTCACACTCTGCGTGACGATATGACGAGTGTTGAGACACATCAGAAGGAATTGAGCCTCGATCCGCTCGCCAGCCACGCCGAGTCGCTGTCAACAGACATGACAGACTCAGAGAAGCAAAATGTGGTCGCCGCATCACCACCACCTTCAGCAATGGACTGGGACGGCCCAGACGACCCCGAAAACCCGCACAACTGGCCCCTATGGCTACGCATCTACCACGCAACGACGCCTGGCTTCTTCGGTTTCGCAGTGCAAGTGCCATCTCCAAACAATGTCCTTTCTCTACTGACCTTCCGCAGCACATTTGGCACATCAGTCTACACAGCAGCTCTCACCGACATCATGGCCGATTTCAACGTGTCCCGCACCGCTGCCCTAGTCGGCATCACCGTTTACACGCTTGGTCTAGCCTTCGGTCCCATTTTCTCAGCGCCGCTGAGCGAGAAGCATGGCAGGAAGATCGTGTACCTCATCTCGTCGCCCGTATTCATGCTGTTCACCCTCGGCGCAGGGTTCAGCAAGAGCTTCGCGAGCCTGATCGTGTGTCGGTTCTTTGCAGGGTTGACGGGAAGTCCAGCGCTGGCGGTGGGCGCGGGGAGTAATGCAGATCTGTTCCCGCCGCATCAGCGGGCGAAGATTACGGCTGTGTTCTTGATGGCGCCGTTTGCGGGGCCGTCTTTGGGGTGAGTATAGTCGTTATTCGATGGCACTGGTGCTGACGCTCTTCAGGCCTGTTGTGGGCGGCTTTGCTGCGCAGTATAAGGGCTGGCGTTGGACGCAGTGGTGCATGATCTTCGTTACGTTGGTCGTGTATGCTGCCTCTCTTCCCATGAAAGAGACGTACAAGCCTGTCATTCTAGCTCGCAGGGCCAAAAAACTCGGAATCGATGTGAAACCGATTGGCGACCCTGGATCAGCAGCCATGAAGCGAGCAGTCATAGTCGGCCTTTTCCGACCTATGCATATGCTGGTCACAGAGGTATGCATCCATTCGCCGACCCGGTGTAGAAACTGACATCAAGCAGCCTGTCGTCTTCTTCCTCTCCCTGTATACAGCCTACGCATTCGGCGTCCTGTTTCTCCTCTTTGCCGCCTTCCCGTACATCTTCATGCGCCCGCCATACTCCTTCACCACCTCGCAATCCGGTCTCACCTTCCTCGCTATCGGCCTTGGCGTTATTCTCGGGGGACTTACTGGCGTGCTGATCGACCATTTCATGTACCAGACGCAGCACCGCGCAGCCCTAGCTCGAGGCGAGACACACGCTGCGCCAGAGCACCGACTGTACAATGCCATGATGGGAAGCGGTGGTATCCTCGTTGGTTTGTTCTGGGTCGGGTGGAGTGCAGGGAAGGGCGCACACTGGGCTATCGTGCTGGTCGGCAGCATTCCGTTCGCGTGGGGAAACTTGTGTCTGTTTGTAAGTGTAGCAGCAGCTCTTTTGCTGGAAATGCTAATTCCAGTCCAGACAAGTGCGGCACTCTACACGACCGATGTCTACGGTCAATTGAATGGCGCGTCTGCGATCGCGGCGAACGGCATATTCAGATACACGCTGGGAGCTATGTTTCCCCTGTTCACAGTGCAGAGTAAGTATTCCACCACCAAACTGGAAAGAAATCAGCTAACACTCAACCAGTGTACTCTGCTCTAGGCGTAGCATGGGCAACATCGCTCCTGGGGTTCTTATCAGTGCTCATGCTGCCAATTCCGTGGGTATTCTACAAATGGGGGCCGAAGATTCGAGCGAGAAGTCGTTATCCGGTGGTCATGTAGCTGTGTCTCGTACAGTGAGCTTTGCTTTTGCTGGACTTGGCCGTGGCATGCGCGGCCGGGTTAGCTCACATATATGTCATAAATTGAGACCGAGTGTAAAATATACATACGCAAGCTGCTGACGAAATGAGTTCACTGCGGTTTTCAATACCTCAGCACCCTCGCTGCTGTGCTTCAAAGCATCTTAGTTACTCTCTGGTGATATCGTAAACTTCTGATCTTTCGAAGTCTCCTTGCTTACTTCGACATGGCTCACGATCTCATTTTTCACATTAGCAAGAATGTTTTGTATCTTGAGGTGCAATTGACTTTCAATTGCTCTGTGTGTGTTCCCGCTCGTAAGTGATCTCAACGTCATGCACGTCTCTCGCGGCAGTCGTGGGGGGAAGTCAGCAAGACTTCATGGTGATTGGCCACAATCCTGCCCACCCCATCAGGCATAGCGCGTCGGCGATTCAGGGTAGCATTCGCCGTCTCCACAACTTTTTTCTAGTCTCGGCTCTCGAAAAGTTCGAGTTTGCGACCGCCTGCATTCACGACCCGCATATTCACGATGGGCGCCCAGGAAATCGAAGCCAAGAAGCGCAAGCGCAAGCACAGCAGCAAGAAGACGGAGGAGGCTGCTGCACCGAAAGTCAAGAGCAATGGCGTGGAGAAGGCCGACAAGCCCCGCAAGAAGGCGAAGAAGGAGCACACGCCCGAGCCCGAGGTCGAGGATGAGGTTGCAGAGGCGTCAGAGGTAGAGGAGGAGGACGATGACGAGGCAGCCGAGGCGCAGCTCAACTCAGAGCTCAAGCAGATTGCGAAGGCGGCTAAGAAGAGCAAGAAGGCAGATGCAGAGGAATCGGGCGATGAGCAGGAGGAGAGCGCAAACCCGAACGACTTGCCGCTCGGTACCTCGATGCCGACTGTCGAGGACCCCAAGCTGTTCTCTGAGCTCAACCTCTCGGACCGCACAATGGAGGCCATCAAGGCCATGGGCTTTGAGTCCATGACCGAGATCCAGCAGAAGACCATCCCACCGCTTCTGAGGTAAGATAGCACACGACAACGCATCAGAGCTGTACTGACAAATACAGTGGCAAGGACGTCCTCGGAGCTGCGAAGACTGGTAGCGGAAAGACGCTCGCCTTCCTGATCCCCGCGATCGAAATGCTCTCAGCCATGCGCTTCAAGCCGCGCAACGGTACCGGTGTCATCGTCGTCTCGCCCACCCGCGAACTCGCCCTGCAAATCTTCGGTGTCGCCCGCGAGCTTATGGAGAAGCACTCTCAGACATTCGGCATTGTCATTGGAGGCGCGAACAGGAGGGCAGAGGCTGAGAAGCTTGTCAAGGGTGTGAACTTGCTGATTGCGACACCCGGACGCCTGCTCGATCACCTGCACAACACGCCTGGCTTTGTCTTCAAGAACCTGAAGAGCTTGATCATCGACGAGGCTGATCGTATTCTCGAAGTCGGATTCGAGGACGAGATGCGCAGCATCATCAAGATCCTCCCCTCCGACCGTCAGACCATGCTCTTCTCTGCCACACAGACAACGAAGGTCGAGGATCTTGCGCGTATCTCGCTCAAGCCAGGGCCGCTGTACATCAACGTCGATTACCGCAAAGAGCACTCTACAGTCGAAGGGCTGGAGCAAGGCTACGTCATCTGCGACTCGGACACGCGCTTCAGACTGCTGTTCAGCTTCCTGAAGAAGCACCAGAAGAAGAAGGTTATTGTCTTTCTCTCATCCTGCAACTCGGTCAAGTTCTATGCGGAGCTGCTCAACTACATCGACCTGCCTGTTCTGGAACTGCACGGCAACCTCAAACAACAAGCGCGTACAAACCGCTTCTTCGAGTTCTGCAACGCGTCAAGCGGCACACTGGTCTGCACCGACGTCGCGGCACGAGGCCTCGACATCCCAGAGGTCGACTGGGTGATCCAATTCGACCCCCCGGACGACCCGCGCGACTACATTCACCGCGTGGGACGAACAGCACGAGGCTCGCAGGGCAAGGGCAGGAGTCTGATGTTCCTGCTGCCGTCCGAGATCGGCTTCCTGAAGCTGCTCAAGGAAGCCCGCGTCCCGCTCGTCGAGTTCGAGCTGCCGGCCAACAAGATCCTCAGTAAGTTGCATGCCCCACCGCTGCACAGCACACGCTAACGCAACGCAGATATCCAGTCCCAGCTCGAGGCCCTGATCACGAAGAACTACTACCTCAACAAGTCGGCCAAGGACGGCTACCGCTCGTACCTGCAGGCGTACGCCTCGCACTCGCTGCGCTCTGTGTTTGATGTGCACAAGCTTGATCTCGTCAAGGTGGCCAAGAGCTTCGGGTTCAGCACGCCGCCCAGGATCGATATCAGCTTGGGCGCGAGTTTGAGCCGCGACAAGAAGGTCGAGGGCAGGCGGGCGTATGGCAGCCAGCCGCAGCAGCAGGGGAGGCGGCCGATGAAGCCAGGCCGCAAGTTCTAGGTACGGAGGAGTGCATTGAGGGCGTTGGGTGTTTAAAACGGGCATCAGCTGTGTTGTACAGGCATGGTGAAGATTCACTGTGCTGAAGAATTTCTTGCGTTGAAATGCATTGCGTTTGAAGATTGATCCCGTTCCTCGACGAACACTCATGAGTGACGTGTGCAACCTGGCTCTGAGACGACGAGCCAGCAACTGTACCTGGTTCCGCAAAGCTCTTGCTCTACGCTGCACAGTACCGTGTACCTACCGAGTGCAAACAGCCACAATCCCTCTTTCTCACCTCACTATAAACTTGGCACCGCGCTCGTACCCTGGCGCCGGAGACGCGACATCACTCAATGCACGCACAGCAAGCGAGCGGACCCCGGGCCTCCACCTGCAGTTCGACGACGCAAAGCACCGGTGAAGCGTGGCTGGGCTAGGTAGATACGACCGCCAGCCCTGCACCTCTCTCGCGCCAGCTCACTACTCACTACGATGACCCGACCCGACTCGCCTGCCCGCCTGTGACGAGCGAGCAGCTTCATCGCGGACGTCATTCGTCGCGGACGTCATTCGCCGCGCGACCAAGGCACTCGATACTTCGCACCCATCGCTCGCAGCGTGCGAGTGGTGTGCAAACCGGATGCGTTGTCAAGCGCGAACGCGCGCCGGGACGCGCTAGGCTGCGCTGGGGCGGGCAGCGAATCAGTGCGGGAGCTAGGGCGTCCCGCGCTGGCGCGGCGCGTTACCTGGGCGACTGCGGTGGCGGGCGTCATATGGGCGCGGAGCTGCGCACTGTCGCGTTGCACGCCGAGTGTGCGAGTCGGGTGTGCGAGCCGGGTGGTGGAGACGCGGCGGAGGGGTGCTGGGTGCTGGGTGCGAGGGGCTGCTGCGTGCGGTGCGGTGGATGGGCGCTGTCGCGTTGGGCCACGGTGTTGGGGGCGCTCCCAGCCACATCTGCTGGGCGGCGGGCGCTGCAGAACGGCTAGTGCGGTGTGTGCAAGGGACGCTGGCCACGAGGGCTGGTGGGTGAGAGGGTGTGGAGGGGCTGGGGGGGCTAGGGTTGGGTATTGAGCGCCATCTGGGAAGACTGGGCTGGGTGGTTGTGCGAGATTGAGTGTGCGCTATTGAGTGAGATTGTGCGTGTGCGCTATTGAGTGAGATGGATTGAGCAAGATGCTCTGTGTGCGGTGCGCCATTGAATGAGATAGTGCTGTGTGCACTGTGTTGCTGGCGCAGACTCTCCCACCGCGAGTGCGCTCCGTGGTGTGACGGCTTCGAACGACCCTGGGCGCGCCGAGTCGGTTGGTGTGTAGTGCTCCAAGCCGCGGCCTAGCGCAGAGCCGCCCAGCACGTCCATCCACCCCAGCGACGTCCTCTGGAGCTTTGGACGGCCCCCCGCGACGGCGACGGCGACGTCGACGCTCATTCTTACGGCGCTCGGTGCTGCTGGTAAGTGCGCAGGCTGCCCGTCTGCTGTTGGCCTGGCTGCCAGTCTTGCGGCTGTCAAACCGGCGCAACAGGCGCGGCGGCGCAATCCACGGGCTGCTGCTAACACGCCCAGCTCAGGCTGCTCAGCCCAGCTCGCCCTCACCCACAACGGCCTCCGCCGCTCGCTGCCCGCCCGCGTTGCACAGGCACGCTGACTAAGGGCGCCTGCGACGTGCTCTCCCATCTGGTCCTAAATCTGAACCTGAATCTTGCGCCGCGACCGCCCTCCGTCGCCCGCCAACCGCTGCGCTGCGCCTGCAGGTCGCTCACACTTCTGCCGCACCCGCACGCACATCCCCACTAAACCATGTCCGCGCCTGGCTCCCCCTCCGCCTTCTAGGATCCTGCAGGGTTCGCAATGGGTTTTGACTCTCGACCACCGCTCCCGGCCCCGACAGAACTCTCGACTCTCAGCTCCGCAGACCTCGACCCGCCCCGCGACGACGTCGACACCAACGTCTCCGCCCGCACCGACCGCACCTCGTACAGCATCCCCGAGGACGGCACCCCCATCACCATCAACACCACCAAGCCGTCGCTGCACAAGAAGTACCCGAGCCAGACGAGCCTGCTGATCGAGTACTTCGAAGCCGGCAAGGAGAACGGCAAGACCCGCGCCCGCCCCAGCGTCCGCGTGCGCGTCACTCCCAGCTCGCGCAAGAAGAACCGCGCCGGCATCGACCAGGTGCATCTGACCCAGACCACCAAGAACAACGCCAAGCCCGCCTACACGCGCCGCATCTCGCTGCAGCAAAAGTCGCGCGACGACGCCGCCCCGCCGCAAGACTCCTCGGACGCCTCCACCGTCTCGTCGTTGCCGCCCGTCGACATCGAGGTGCTAAACCACGGCAGCGACCTCTCCAACCGCGACCTCCTCTTCATGCCCATGCCGTCCGACATCTCCTCCATGCCCGCCGACAGCATGCTCGAGGGCACGCCGCAAATCATGGCTCCCGCGCCGCGCAGCAGCAGGAGCACCGAGAGGGACACCGTGCTGACAGACTCCAACGTCGCCGATGAGCCCGACCTGCTCAAGGCCCCGAAGCACCAGCGCAGCCGGAGTATGAGCAAAGACCGCATCACCCAGCGAGTCATGGAGAAGCTGCAACAACAGCAACAGCAACAGGCCGAAACGTCCTCGAGCAAGACACGAAAGTCGGAAAAGACCGGCAGGGATGACCTGTCCTCGCCCCGCAAGTCGTCCAGGCGACACAGCAAGGATCACCGTGGAGAGGAAATTAGCGTCCTCAGTGGGACAGACTCCAGCTTGCTCTCCTCCAGTGCTGACCGCAGATCTGCTGTCCCGTCGGTGCGCTCAGGTGTCTCCACCACCTCGTCCATCAACAACCCCAAGCTGCTGGCCACAGTCGAGGACGCTATCAGGCGGCTGATCCTGCCCGAACTCAATGCGCTGAAGGAGGAGAACCGCACGTCCAAAAACAGAGACAAGTTCGAGCGCATGTCCCGCGACAGCGGCGCCACATTCGAGACCGTCGAGACCACCAGCTCGCGCGACCCGTCCACATCACGGCGGCGCGTCTCCAAGTCCTCGAGCACACCGAACATTCACGGCGGCAAGCCCAAGGTCGTGCTCAATCGCGATGGCGAAGACTCTGGCGAGGTACTTACGAGTAGCTCCAGTCGAAAAGAGCGCAGATCGAGTCGCGACTCGACCTCTGAGCGCAGTCTGGCTGAATCAACGACCAAGACAGCGACGCGAGAGAACTCACACAAGAGGAGGAGCGGACGCACTGCCCGCGAGGCAGAGATCGCTGCTCTTGCTGGGTCTGGTCTCACAGCTGCGGCCTTGAGAAAGCACACTTCTCGCGAAGAAGAGGTGGAAGACCGCAAGCATAAGAAAAAGCACTCTTCTCGAAGCAATCACAGCCGCTCTACAAGTATCGCAGACAGCGCAGCGAAAGAGGAGATTGTGAAGGATGTGCCACCCATGCCGTTCATCCAGAGCGAGCTCCATGGCGGCTCTGAGCTCACCCGCGAGTCGATCCTGTCTGCTGACACAGAGACGAAGACTCGCTCGCGGTCGACTTCGAAGTCGTCCACCACCACAGGAGCGGAGACACCGCTGCGCGAAGTGCCACGTGGGTTTCCTTCACCGACACCCCTTACTCCTACAAGAAACGCACCGCCTGCTCTGCAGCGCAACTACGGTACTGCGCATGCGAACCAGTCAGCCGAGGATATCCGACTGCAGTCTCCCATGAGCGACAGAAGCTGGGGGTCCAGATCAAGAGGTGCTGGGCCGGCCAGCTTAGAAGCCGCAGCAGCGGCCAAGGCTCGTGCCATTGAGCGCTCGGAGACACAGGCGTCGCACTATGAGATCATTGGCACCACGCCGACTCGCGGCCTCAGCCCCATCCAGAGCGAGGCCAGCTACCGCGAAGAAGCGCACACGACCGAATCGCCCCGGCGTCTGCGAGCTGTCCACAGCAGCGCGTCTGTGTCTTCGCTCGGTAGGCACATAGAGCGACAGTCGTCGAACCTGTCCATCGGGACCCTCGAGTCGACCGCCAGTACCAAAGCAGCTCGCACTCGCAAGCGACCACAGGGCGTCAACCTCGAGAGCGTCAGGTCCGCCATGGGCTCTCCCCAAACGCCGCACACCCCTCGCGACGCTCGCGACTCAGAGCTGTTCTTCGAGCAGAACCACGAGCAGAACGAGCTGTACAGGAGAGAGCTGGAGGAGAATTCTCAGCTCTCGGAGAACTTCCCTGTCAACTACAATCGCTTCACCAACTACACGGACGATAGCGAAGGCGTGCAGTACCTCGATCACGAGCAGAAGATCGAACCTATTCATCAGGATATCAGGAGAGTCGGTGCCAGCCCTGAGTACGTCCATACGCCAGTTGCAGTCGAGTCTGCTGTTGCGTCGCTGCATGAGCCATCCAGCGTCAGTGTTCGCTCATCTGCAGTGTCGAGCCCATTGCGGGAAAACGTGATAAGCCCTATCAGGAAGAGCCGCTTATCCCAGGTCAGCCCCGCTCCCAGCGAGGAGCACATCCTGCACCTCGAGGAGCACGAAATCCCCACTGGAGACCGATGGGGTGCGCTTCGTGACAAGGCAGAGGCCATGAACTATCACCCCCACCCTGCGGACAACTCGCCCAGGCAGAGCATCGCTCAGTCGATCGACGAGCAGCCTCAGATGCACCACAGCGCGTTCCCTGTCCAGGATCACATGATGCCTGAGATTGGGTACGGACTGGACAATGAGTCGGAGATCTCGACAAACCCTTCCATCATCCAAGGGCCGCTCAATGGAGGCGATGGGTACTATGACCACACCCAGGACACGATGTACCGTCAAGACGACCGCGATCACGTCTCCACTCGCCAGTCCAGCAAGAACTCGTTCAACAAGAGTGCTACACTGGGCGCTGGTGCTGGCGCCGCTGCGGGGGCCGCCGCTGCAGCCCATCATCTGCACAACCGCAGCCCGTCGATCGACGAGCAGCACCAGGCTACCGTGGAAGACGACTACGAGTCCTACACGGGTGACTCGTTTGTTGGGCACGACGAGCAGCTTGACTACGCGCAGAGTAACCGCACACCTCTCTCCGGTACGACTGGATGGAGAGACGAAGGCTACCAATCAGCTAACCAACGTGAAGGCTACACGCCTCAAAATCTCAATCACGCAAAGGTCTTTGACGACGAGTTTGCTGATGAGTACGATGAGACACCGCTTGATGGGGAGGACGTGTTTGCTTCCAACGCCAAGCATGGCCGCCAATTCAGCGGCAACTCTCATGGCATGGCTTCCCCTCTTTACGACTCAGCAACTGGCAAGGGCATCGACCGCATCCAGTCCAAGGACATTGTCGCGCTTATGGACCACCTCACTGTACGGGACGCGCAGCGCAATGCGAGAGATACCGAGATTCTGGTTACTCTTGTCCGCTCTGCCGCGGAGATGCGCAACCAGCTTGATGAGCTCAAGGGCTTCATCAAGGTGCAGGACAACATGATCATGAACACGAATGACAAGCGGGTCGATATTGCCGAACAGCGCATTCTCGGTGGGCCACGACCGCAACCCGCGCCGTACGGTGCAGGCCGCGGTTTCCGATCTACCTCCGATGACATGGACGTCGAGACGAAGAAGAAGAATCTGTTCAAGCGTGCGCTGAAGGGTTTGAGCATGAAGGGCGACGGCGACATCAAGAACATCGAGGCCATGCTGATGCAGCTGCTCGGAGACGTCGAAGGCCTGAAACAGGTCCAGCAGCTGCAGCTGGAGCAGGGCAACCGCACGAATAGTATCACCTCGTACGACAACCTGCAGGCCAGCGGCGACCCTGGCTACGAGCCCGAGGGCCGCGCCAATACTGCTTCCTCGCCGAACCAGTCTGGATTCCTCTCGAACCCCGCCTCTTCGTCACGACGCATCAACGACCTGCACTCTGGTTATGATGTTGTGCAGACCAACCGCATAAGCACGGTGCACGAAGATGACGAGGAGTATCTTGAGCGCGAGCCGCGGTACGAGAACAGCGAGCGCATGATGACACCTACGCAAGATGCGTACCACAGCAGGAACGTGTCGCAAGAAAAGGTGTCCCCGCCGGCGGCGAGGAACAGCTCAGAGGAGACGCCGAAGAAGAATAAGCACAAGTCGACTTCGTCCTCGATCTTTGGCATCCCCAAGATCTCCCGCTGGTCAAAGACCACGTCCTCCACTGAGCCTCGCAACAGCGTGGAGAAGCGCCCGTACTCGTCCCACTCGCGCTCGAGCTCGCAGAAGAGTTTCGACTCGTACGACGACGACTACTCGCAGAACGGTGATGACCGTCCTCGCAACGGTGACGACCGCTCGCTGCGTTCGCGAGACTCACGAGACGATCGTTCGTTCCGCTCCAGAGATGACCGCTCGATCCGTTCCAGGGACGATCACTCGGTGCGCGCACCGTCACCTCTGATCCCCGAGGACCCAGAGTACGAGCTCGAGGACCCCAAGTACCATGCGCACCGCAACAGCCTGAATCTGCAGCACCCGCAGCCCCGCGCAGGGCCAACCGGGCGCCACCAGACACATCTCGAAGACCAGGCGCAGGACTACGTCCCCGACAATGTCAGCGGAGTCAGCGGCGTCAGCGGCAGCGGCATCGCGTCGCCCGACTACGACCAGTGGGGCAGCATGCCCAGCCTCGCGCGCAACCGCATGAGCGCCAGCACCGCGACCTACCAGCCTGGCGGCAACCTGTCGCCCATCTCCAGCGACGGCGGCTACTCAGGCCACTCCGCCAGCGAGCAGACAGGGCGCCTCGCGCAGAAGGTCGACGACGGTCCGCTCATCCCGCCCACCACCGGCGTCCTCGCCGGCTACGGCCAGACCCGCCAGATGTACAGCTCGCCCAACGAGTTCGGCTCCCAGGGCGTCCTGACCCCGCTCGCGCCCATCGCCGAGGTGCGCTACAGTCTCGAGACCGACCGCGGGCAGTACCGCGTACGTCCCCAATCTCCCCCCAAATAACCTCAAAAAGAGCAGTAAACTAACACCCACCAGGGCTCGCCCACCCCCTCCCCCCGCCCCAGCAGCGCACACCTCCGCACCCCGCAGCGCAAAATCACGGGCCCCCGGCCCATGGGCCCGCGCTCGCCCGCGCCCGGCGCTAGTCCCCTCCGCCAGCAGGAACTCAGCCAGCAGGTGCTCATCAACCAGCAGCACGAACTCAACCGTGACGACACGGTGATTCGACGCAAACCCGCGGGCCCGCCGAGTTTCGCGGATACCGAGAGCTTGTTGAGTTATCGCACGAGTATTGATGGGAGTGACGATGAGACGTTTTAGGTCTGAGATGGCAGGGAATGGGTGGTTTGAGAAAGAAGGGAGATTGGGGAGAGGATGGCGGAAGAGGAGGAGAGGAGAGGGAGTTTTGTGTGTTTGGGATGGCGTTATATATCACCGGTTTGCACGACAGGGGGCGAGTAGGCAGGATGTGAACGATGACGGGGACGCAGGGATGCAGGGAGACACGTAGATAGCTACTCGGTGGAGGACGGAGGATGTCTGTATTCACACTCAACACTCAACGGTTCTGCAGCTTGGGCGTCTGGTGCGTCAGGATAGGCTGGGATGGGATGGGATGCGATAGGATACCACGGTGCGGCGTAATGCATTTGGGTGTGCCGGACTCTCTTCTCTTCTTCTTCTCCTTCTTCTCCTGACGTGCCGGTCGTGGTCGTGGGCATGAGCATATCGCCGTGCCTACCTCCCCCGCCCATCCACCCAGCACCCCTCCCCCCCGTCAAGCTCCCCGCCGCTCGTCCTTGCGCCACCACACACCTCGTTCCGCGGCCCAGGGCGACGGGATGTGCAAGAGACGCGCAGACTGCGTGAACCGCTTACGAGATTAGGAGACGAGGGGGGGAGGGGTGGTTTGCGGGGTGCGTATCGACGGGCTCCAGGAGCTCTGTGAAACTCGGAATCTGGACTATTGTATTGTATGCTCCTGCTAACGCTGTTGTGTTCCGTCCCCGGAGACGGGCTGGAAAGGTGCGTCAGCGTCACAGCGTTCACAGGATCTCGTGTATCTCGGCCTGGTACTTGATCTTGAGCAGCATGTCTGCGTCATAGCTCTGCCTGTTTTACACATTTCCTCTGTTCTTGTGACATAGTCGCGTCGTAACTCCGATCCTTGAGCTTCTTCGTGAGGGTTTCGCGAGCGTCGGGTGGCGTGCTGGACTGCGCCGGTGTCTGCACAGGCCTAGGCCTCGTCGATTTGGCGATGAGGCTGTTGGCGGTATGCATGAGCGTCCTTTTACTCGCGGTGTCCCCTTTGAAGGAATCAATCTCTCCGAATTTCTGGAGCACGGCGGCAATTCGGGCTTCTTCCGCCTCCAGTGCCTCCCCGTATACGCCGACTTGTCGATCTCGAGGTTTCGGCCACGCTGGCTCTCTAGCAATTTCAATTCGGCCATCTTGTTCTCGCTGGACGGCGTCCGGTCTGATCGCAATCTACCGCTCTCGCCCCAGATCGCCTCGCGCTGCGCGTCGTTCGCGCGCGGGAACAGGCGGCCGTCAGTCTGCATACCGCCCTGGCACACCGCGAGTCCACCTGCCGAGGCTTGCACACTGTCTGTGATGACAGTCAATGGTGCTTCTGCTACTGGGACTTGCTTCGCACGGTAGAGACAACAGATTGGTGCTCCGGTTGAGACGTGGGACTCTGACGCGCTGTGGAGACGAGGGTATAGGGTGGTAGCCTTGGGTTGTTTGCCGGAGGAGGACGAGGGGGGTGAGAGGTTTGTGGGTGCACAGGTGGTGGTTTATGGAGGGCGTCGACAGAGGGCGATGATGTGGCGGGGTGAGGATGTGAGGGCGGGGAGGCGGCTGGTCGGGTGTGGTGGTGCGTGGGAGGTCGGCGGGTGCTGGGGGGAGGTACGCACTTGGGCTCGTCCAGCGGGGACTTGCAATGCGTGGGGGCGGGAAGTGAGTAGTGTTGTCGAGGTTACGGTTGACGCGTAGCTTGGTGGTCATGGATGGACAGGTCTTTTGATACTGGGTCACTTTGGATGGCTTGCGTGTGCTGTGGCGGTTTGCATTGAAGAGCTCTGCACGCGTTCGAACGGGGAGACAGCTGCTTCACATCGGGTTAGATTGAGAGACTACCTATTTGGCCTGAGAAAGACCTGCTTCGTGCTGCAACCATGTTCCTTCGTCTGCGCCCTTCATCCAAGAACCATGCAGGTACCTAGCGTTTCCTCGCAGGCAGACCACCCTTCTCCCCCGCTTTGCGCTTGAGCGCTCCTCCGCTGATGTTATCGGAGATGATGTCCCGCATGTTCCCTCGCATCCACGCCGTGAACCCCGCTTGGGTGTGCGCCTGCTTCTTCGCAAACACCCTCCGAGCCCAGTGCTGGGCAGTCGCTACCGTCGCTGCCGAGACGCGGGCGTTGCTTTCTTCTCGCCATGCTGCTGTAGACAGCAGAGCGGCGATTAGTGCTTCAATGACACCGATGAAGCCGGGCGCCAGCCAGTCTTGTGCAGTGAAGAAGGCCCTCGTCATTCGTGGTGCAGGTGTACACTTGCGTATAACAGCAAGAAGTTGCGCTGGAGCGCCTTCTTCGGGAATACTTCGAGCCAGAATACGGTCCCCCTGCCCAGTTCTTGTCTGTTCTTCAGGGGCGACATCAGGCTAGGTTGGCGGTGTGATGGTGGTGGCGGGGGGTCCGACGTCATGTCGTGGCTTTGCGACGCTGGCGGTGGTGTCTTGTTGCTTCGTGGAGGCAGCGGGTCCAATCTGTGTGTGCTCAGCAACAATTCCATAGAGTAGAACATATGAACTGACCTTCTCCGCAGCATTGCTGATTACCTGGGCAGCATTTGTCTCCAGCACCTCGTTTTCTTCTGCTGATGTGGCCTGTATGGTAGGTTCTTCGTCGACTGCGGTCTGGGGCTTTGACTTGCTATTGCACTAAGCATCGAGGTTAGCAGCAAATAAATGTGTATAGGGTGTAGTAGGGCATGCCCATGGCCAGATCTACTGGGGCAGTGATATACCGTATTGCGGCTCATGCGGGTATCAGAAGAACAACGACTACTGGCACTGGAAGAATGTCCGAGATTGGGATATTGTCCAGTCAGGTGAGGATGATGAGCGGGGGCAACAGTTTCCAGTATTCTACGATCAGGGCTCCCTTATCGGTCAGATTCAGGTCTACAAGAAGGGGGCAAGAGCCAACACATACAGCGTCATAAGTAGTGGAAGCGGTTGGTTCAACCATGCGGGTGGCCGCATGAAGATCCTGGTTGACTGCAGCTGGCCGAATCTGAACGATGATGACCAGAAGAAGCTCTGGCGACGCGTAGTCGAATTTACAGACCCAGAAGGCCTCCGGCAAGCTCTGGAAATCGGCTACAGCGCACCTAACAGAATTACTAGCTGCCTCAATCCCTCAAGGAAGCAACAGAAGCAGACTCCCACACCACGTGTGACAAGTCCAAACACACTTCAGCAAAGGAAGAGATTTTCTGCTCCGTCAACCTCGAAGCAGCTTGAACACAACGCGTCCACCACTATCTTCCCCAGTGCTCTCGTCCACGAGCCGCAATCGAAGAAGGCAAAGAAGAAAACCACAGAAGACATGATGGAGAGAGTAAAGAAGGCAGAGCAGAAGGCAGAAGAAGAAGGAGCAGACAACTCTGAAGTAAATGAAGATGAAGCAGAGAGCCCTGACATCATGGTGGAGGAAGATATGGACGACGTTACCAGTGACGGTGGTGGCATCACCTGGGACTCGATTGCACGTCTTAACAGTTACAGTTCTCCATGGTGAGGGGTTTCAGGAAGCAGGTGATCATGCATTCGTGGAGGGAGAGAGGAAAGAGCACAGCCGTAGAAGGTACCAGGTTGAAGCAGGGCATCTGTCCCATCGGTAGATGAATAACTTCTTACGATAAACTGTCATCAAGTTGAAAACGTATTGGCATCATTTCGTCCCTCTAACTATGGAGGGTGTTACGCTGCAGTCAAAGGAGGAGCGAGATCAAGCCGTTGGTGGCGTCGCCGCCGCTCTCCAGGATTAATACGCCCGGTACCTCCTCTTCCCGTCTGTTTTGACAACCTTGTCCTTCACATGCATAAGTAGCTCTGTGATATGGCCTTCTAGCATCACACTCGGCAGAGCTGCCTTCCAGATGGATCAAGAAATACATGTGAAAAGCTGGGCTCCGCGCGAGCAAGTGATGGCGTGAAAGCGAAAAAAATCGCAGCATGTGCGTGCTCACAGCATTTCTAGCACAGATCACGGTGCGATGTAGAGAAGGAACAGCTGAGTGTGGTGTTCAGTTTGCAGCTTCTGTCGACATCGCCGTGCCGAACTGAGTAGCGCAGCGGTGCAGATCGTCGCAGATTGCACAGTGGGACGCGGCAGTATTGCTGCCACGACTCTTGCGTCAAGTCGGGGCGCTCGTTACTGTAGGTGAGTGTGCGAGAGATCAAGCTGAAGGTGCAGGTGGGGCTTGAGTACCTATGTATCACCTGCACGCGAGCCCTGTCCACTTGACTGCCAAGGCCAGGCATCTGTGATCTCCGATCATCGCACTTCTCTTACCTTAGCCGAATAGCGATAACAGTGGCGATAGTGATACTGGGCATGATTGCAAGCTATTTTTCATACTCAGACCAGCGAAGCCGCCATGGACGCTGCAGAAGAGGAAGATACAAGTCAAGAAGAGAGTGAGCTCTTCATCATATCATTCTGGACCCTGGAAAGCCGAGAGTGCAGACAATACTGCAGTAAGATGAAGCAGAGGCTGATTTTGCTGCCACTCTCCAAGAGCGGTGTATGAACAAGTAGCAAAGATGGCCCGGGCAAGGTTGTGGCGGCGAGGGTACCTGGGTAGAGAACATCAAGAAGAGAACAGAAAGCAGTCCCAACAGGGGAAAAGGAGAATGAGACTAGAGAAACGGCTACCAAGGTGGAGGGTGCCGAGAAAAAAGGGTCCAGAGAGAAATCAGGTAGGGTTGAGGCAGGGTCGCAGAGTGGCAAAAGGTCCTTAGCAAAACCACTTGGTTCAACTGCCACTCAGCATGTCACTCATCCTCGAATCTTCCCTCCCTTGGGAAACAGTCGGATTCAAAGCTCACAAGGAGGAATAATCCACTTCTCCATAGGCAGCTGACCGGGTGCACCCCAGTGAGGGTCCATGGCTGACGACGCAAAGACAATTGTTGAGAGTGAGAGAGTCTGAAGAAAGAATCAGGGATCAGTCCGGGCTTGGGTGTGCACATCGAGAAGTCATAAGAGCTAGGATGCGATGTTGTTGCAGGTGCAGATGGTTAATCAATAAAAATCTATGGAGAGATACAACTAGAGCGAACTACGATGGTAGGGTAGGGGGGCTTTCACTGTGTATAGCATCGATGTGATATCTTGCGACAGTTCCGTAAAGGTAGAATGATACAATGTATAGTAGAATATATACAGGGACATGAGAAAAGTGTCTGAAGATACTGCACTATACTATCTTTACTTGCCTGACAGATAGACTATCAATATAGGACTGTATGAACTCTATCCTCTTCTCTCTCTCGATGCCATATGCGCTGCAGTAACATACGCCAACACGCTCGTATCCGTCATCTGATCGCTTACGAAGGATAAGGCCCCAACAAGTAGTGTCCTCGAAGCCAAGGAGCACAAAGACAAATTGATCGGAATACATTGTGGATTCATTTCCAGTCATGAAGTTGAAATCGGCAGAATAGCCAGCAACACAAATTTCTGATGGCGAAGCGATAGTTTGGTCCCCAGATCGACCAGGTACCATGTGATACGCTCTCCAACGGCAGTATCGATCACCAGATTTGAAAATCGCTTCCGTCGAGGGGCCCCTCAAGATGATGCTGGCTTCACTATATCCTCCCAGCTGTGGTGGTCCGTCAGGCGTAAATGATAAGTCCACAATTTTCGCACTTGGCAAAGGATGATGGGTTCGAAAGATCACTTTTCCTTTCACTGAAGGCCAGGACCACGATGGCCGAGGCTGTGTTGGTCGTTGCCCGCTGTCTGCGATGAGAGTTCTGTCGAATCGGTACCACACAAGGTCTTCAATTAGCGTGTCTTTCCACATTCCAGTGAGATACGTGTCGTCAGGTCGTCGCTCCATCTCTTGTTTTGCCAACGCTGCGATAGCTGGTAGCCTGTCATCCTCGAAAGTCAGCTCCAAGCCTGAGTATTCTTCTACCGTTTCTTGCCAGGCACGAATACGTGACGTTGGCAAGATTGCATCGGGCAATTGAACTGTCCCATGCGTCTGCCGCTTCTCTTTAGTAACACCGTTTTCCCATGTAATGTAGTGCTGACACTCCCACATGAGCTGCTCACTTGTAAAATGCACCATCCGTCGAGACATTCTTTTTTCCTGATAGACCCAAGCACGCCGAAGCAAAGGACTTAGTTCCAAAACTAGATGCAGGATGTTGGGGTTACCCCACCACCAATCATAGATCGTCAGAGCTGGCGTACGACGAAGTGGTCTAGCGAAAGTTGTCTTGGAGTCGATCCAGAAACAGCCCTCGTGGCTGTTTTGAGCCGCACTTGCAGCGATTGTGATATATGAGTGACGGTAAATCTCTGCCATAGCAGCCGCAGCCTTGTTCCAGTCTTTGATGTCGTCTTGAACAATGCCTGAACTGGTTAAGCGAGATTAAACTAGGACTGCATTAAGGCTTACATAATGCATCAATCCATAGAAATCGAATTCCGAGAAATTCACATATCTCTACAGCGTCTCGAAATGTCTTTGGCAAGTGTTGCCTACTGAATCCCTGACAAAAGTTATACTTGTTCGCTTTCAATAGTTTGTAGGCGAGGCCGCCAGCTCCCCAGCAGTGGCTCAAGCAGGCGTATTTGTGCTCGCCAACAAGGTCTTCCCTCAAGGAGAGTATGTCACCCGTAATTTCGATCACTCTTCCAGGTATAAAGCTAGTTCCAGTGTCGACACAAGTGTGGTCACACTCACAGGTAACGAGCCAAGCCTTCAACGTGCTGAGCGACTTGATTGATGATGTATCACCACTTGGCAAACGTAACCCTGTTAACTGATTTGCCCATCTGGGCAAGACCGGAGCTTTCTCAGCATCTGTACGGTCAGAAAGGGCTATATGTTAATTTCAAGTAACAGCCTAATTGGAGAGAGAGTAAACCGTACCTTGATTTCTTAATACTGCCAACCGTCCGAACAACTCATCCTGCAGAACGGGTTGCAGCAAGATCTTTCCGGTTGTTCTTCCATCATCCAAGAAGGATACCGACATGTCCATGGAATCCATTTGTTTTTGTGCAAACTCATTCCATGTCATGTATGCATCGAGGACCACGCCACAAAAGGTGCATGCCTGTTCAGACCCACAGCGAAGTTCCTCCTGTGTAATGCCTCGCGCTCCTCCATCTTGCCATTTGCAAACAGAGCATTCTGGAAGCTCATCGTCACCAGGTCCAGGCAACACCACCTCTTTCGAGTCCTCGGTGTTCGGCCATATAGACATACGCAACAGAAAAGTGCAGCCTAGCAGATCACGCTTTCGACGGAATTTGCGTCTGTTTTCGTTGCGAATTCGCTTCAACCGTGATATCTGGTTCCAGCGAAGAGACGTATGCGTATGAAAATCGGCGGAGAAAAGTGTGTAGGAACGATCAGGCTGAAGGCGGGGGAACCCACATGTGTAGGTGTGACCGCCAAGAGCATGCTCCTCCAATCAGCCGAGTTCTATGGTCCTCCTGCTTACGTATCGGCGGCTAAAGATCACAGAACAGTACACGGTGGTGTAGGATAGAGAGCAGAGCTCGACGGAGAGAGATTGTGGCTACTGACGCAGGGTGACTGCCTGCGACGACATAAGAAGAGCAGAAACGGAGCATAAGAGATGACAAGCACTACTAGAGAGGTGGGTTAAGCACAGCCTTGTGGAAAGTAACGTCCCGCAAAAGTGACATGTCTGATTATGTAGTGTAACTCGTATCATCGCAGTACATATACGGCAGACTGCAAGCGCGTTGCTCTCTGAGCACTCGGCGCAAAAGCAGTGGCAGTTGACCACATCCCCGGTCTTGTCACACCAGACAAGCTCAGGATCACTGCGTCTGAGTAAACGACGACGCCTGACCAGACTGCAGCCCTTGACCCATCCCACACACTTCCTCCAGTCCCGGTACGAACTGAAGCACCGCCATAGGATCACCACCATGTCGACGTAACTTGATCATCCCGTCCATGACGATGTTGAGCCACGGCCTTCCGTTGGGTGGCACGGTCTGCATGAAGCCCATCAAGGACTCTTGTGCCTGACGGTGAGCATGCAGCTGTCCAGGATCAGCTGGAGGAGCTTGCAGAGCAATGATCTCGGTGCAGGACCACAGCTGCGGCAGGTTTTGATGCACGTACGCAGATAGTTGGAACATGTTGCAGACGAAGTTCCCGTTTCTGGTGGGAGCACGTTCTGCTGCGTGTCCCATCTCTGCATGTTGCGACTCTGGGGCCGCGGGGTGGTTGTATGGCGGAGAAATGTGCTGCTCCTGCTTCATGGCCTGCTGCTCCTGCTTCATAGTCTGCTGCTCCTGCTTCATGGCTTGCAGCTCTTTCTCTGCCTCCGCCTGAACAGCCTTGTCGTACAGCTGCCATTCCCGCTCCACCCGCCTCTCGGCCTCCAACTTTGCAGCCATACGAGTCTGATACTCATGTCGCTCAATAGCCGCCACACGCGACATCTCATTGATATACCCCATTGCTTTCGCCTTCTGCGCCGGATCGGCATCACTGTTCATGATCCTCCACGCTTGGTTGATGAGCATGTTAGTAGCCGCACGCTGCTTGATCGGAACAGACGAGTACTGAGGGTCGGTAGTGAGCTCGTTCGAGCGGAGCAGCGGCATTGGTGGGCTTGTTGCAGGTAAGGCGCGTGGAGCGGGGCATGGTGTCCGCAGCATTGACTCCATAGACGATTCCTGCGTCGTGAGGGCTGCAGGTCGCGGCTTCGGCGTACTGAAGGGACGTGCTCGAGTTTCATCGCGCACCGGATCATATACGATTGATTGCTGCTTGGGCGAAGGCAAACCACACAGGCGCTGTCGAGGCAGTGGCGGCTGGTGAAGCTGCGGGTGCAGGCCTGGCTGCTCTGCGACCTCCGGTCGTGTGTCGACACCGAATATGTAGTCGGTGTATGCGGGAAAGAAATCGCAGTCACGCTGGAAGTCCTCCCACTCGCGATCACAGAACGGCATGGCGAGACTCGATTGCAATATCAAGGCACTGACGATGTTGTGTTGTTGCAAAGGCTGCAATAAGGTGCGCATGGCTGATCAAAGGAGAAAGAGCAAACGCTCAACCGAGCTCCTCAACCATCTTCACTCGCCATTGCGCGCCCCACTTTCTCATCGCACCCAGCGCCATGTAGCCTGTTATGATGCTCCACAGCCCCAGAATCGTCATGAGCCAGCCGTTACCGATAGCTCGCAGTATAGGTTCTGCGACCATGGCGCCAGTGAAGGAGCAGATGTTGCGCAGAAAGTTGTTCAGCGCAATGCCGGAAGCCGCGCGCTTGGGCATGAACTCGGTGAGCATCGTGGAAACGAGCGAGAAGATCAGCATCGAGCCGACACCGAAGAAGACTGTTGGTGATCAGTAAGAGCCAGAAGAGAGGCATGGGCACATACAGTTGGCAATCATCGGACAGATCCACAGCACTCCCTTCTCTGCGGTCCAGCCATACCAGATCAATGCGCCAGGCCATAGTATTGCCGCTATCCACGCATTCTCTTGCATGCGGTCTTCTGGCCTGAGTATCAGCCTACCCTTCTCGTCGTACCTGCCTGCCTTTCGTGCCTCGCGGTGCATGATGTTGTCGATCCAGCGGCCACCAAAAAGACTCGCCAGCAGATAACCGGCACTGTTAGGAATGTACAGCAGTCCAACGATGAGCGTCGAGTACCCGTAGGGCTGCGCCGAGAATGTAGATTGGACGGAGATGTTGAGGATGTACAGAGATCCAAAGGTGATGCTGGCATAGTACACTGACAACAGAACAGGTGGGAAGCGCAGCCAGGCGAGGATCGTAAGAGGCTGTATGAAGATCTGGTTGAGATGCGCGAGGATCGACTTTGTCTTCGCGACAGTCGAGGCGCGTGTGGTCGTTCGAGTGAGCTCCGGGCGCGCCTCTGACTTGACGACAAGCGGCTTCGCGAGCGTTTCCGGCAGCGCAAAGATGATGGCGACGACTGTCAAAACACCATAGATGACCAGAAACCACTGCGTACTCCTCCACCCAAGCCCTTGGCCTAGCGCACCACCGATGATAGGAGCGAACAGCGGTCCACAGAGAGGTCCAAGGTAGAAGATACCCATCGCTCGGCCTCGCTCACGCACCTCCCAGATATCTGCGATCGTGCCCGCGCCAACTGCCTGCACTGACGCTGCTGCGCCACCCGAGAAGACTCGCATGGTGATGAGCATGGCGATATTCGTAGCAACGGCAGACAAAATGCCGAAGACAACGAACAAGATGAAGCTGGTGATGTAGATCGTCCGTCTCCCAAGGCGCTCGCTGAAACTCGACCACCACAGCGGGAAGATCGCCATGCTGAGCATATACACCGCGACACTCATGTTGGTGATCTCAGGATCCGCATCGAACGCCTTGGCGATGTCCTGCAGCACCGGCATTACGATGGCACTCCCCATAGGCCCGGCCATGGCGCAGAACGCGATGATGGAAGTCAAGAGCCATTTCGTCTTCCGTGAGTAGTGATATGGGTTCTCGACTTCAGGGATCAGAGCAAATCGCGCGAGCAGGCCTCGGCGTTCCGACTTTGGCACGACGACAGCGTCTGGGGCAACGGATGTCGTCCGACTCAGCGTGGCAGGTCGTGCATTCTTCTCATCTTGAGGAATAGTGGGAGCCGTCGAAGCGTGCGAGTGTATCGACTCGGAGTCGTCAGAACTTTCGTGAATCGACATGTCTGGCCCAATCTCCGACTCCTTCTCTTTCTCGGCACGGCTTCCGATGTGCGTGGTCGGCAGTTCGGCCGCCCGTTCAGGCGAAGAGGCTCTTGATGCCGGCATGCTTCATTCAGAGATACAGGGTGCAGATTTGGAAAGATTTTGAGCCGCACGCATGGATCACGCTCCCTTTTCCGGCAGTCGTTTGTTATCCGGTCCCTGCTTTACGATACGATGTACCTCGGTGGCCTCGGTCGGCAGACTAGTAATTGCCGATAGCTGTCGACGTGACGGTTCCGCCTCGATTCCGTCAGTGAGCGTGCAGGAGGAACGACAGAAGGAGGGGAAGAGCATGAACAGTATGATAACGCCATCTTCGACACGAGCTCGTGGGCTAACGAAACGAAGGCTGTTTGGTGCCGTGTGAAGCGTGCGGAAGCAGCACCGCTCCAATGAAGCTATTCCCGGCACTAGTCTCCACCGCGGAAGCATGCAACCTCCACCGATGGTGTTCAACTTGGCGATGCGGTGAGACGAACGTTGTGACAGTCAATGTGTAGGAAGGACGTTTATTGATTGAGGTGAGATGTCTCATGTTGGTATGTCAGAAATGAGTTGGTCCAAAATTACACCGCAAGGCCGCGCTCAAGCAACGTATCAGAAGAGGAGATTCTCTCCTTGCGTCTCGCAAAGTTCATCCAATAGAAAGGCAATTGAGCAATACCGATAAACAGAACCTACCGCGTTCTTTAACGCCGTGCAAACGCCGAAAATAGAACGACTTCAGCGGGGTACTTGCCCCACCCAACCGCAGGTCAACACTATCAACACCATCTCGACTCGTTCTCAGCCTCAACATCCAACTCCAGCCATTACCATCCAGGAGGCCCATTGAATAACTCCAAAAAAGCACTCTCAACAGCTCGATTCTCAAATTCTCCTCCATAATGGCAACCCAAAACCAAGACCGCCTGCGCAGCCACTTCGCCGCCCTCGACCCAACCTCCTCCTCGCAAAGCACCGGCTGGGACTCCCTGTGGGAAACCTCCTCCTTCCTGCCCTGGGACAGGGGCCACGCGAACCCCGCGCTCATCGACCTGCTCTCATCCTCGCTGCTGCCGCCCGCGCCCACGCCGCCGCCCGCCGCCTCGCAGCAGAACCCCACGCCGGGCGCGCCAGCCCTAGATGCCAGGGTCGAGGGCGTGCAGTTGCCAAGACCCGTAGAAGGGGGCAAGCGGAAGAGGGCCCTCGTGCCTGGGTGCGGGACTGGGTATGATGTCGCGCTGTTCGCGGCGTATGGGTATGAGGCCACCGGGTTGGAGGTCAGTGCGCATGCGGGGCAGGCGGCGGGGAAGTATCTCGCGGGTGCTGGGCAGGAGAAGGGGAATTTTGAGAGCGAGTATGAAGGTAAGGACGCGGGGCAGGGGAGGGGCGGGGCGCGCTGCGTGGTGGGTGATTTCTTTGAGGATGCGTGGGTCTCAGAGGCCGGTGTTGAGGTCGGTGAGGGAGGGGGTTTTGATGTCATCTACGACAACACGGTATGTCGCCCTTTTTCTATTCTATCTCAATCCCACTTCCTCATCTCGTTTTCATGGGTTACGCGACTTCGAAGCTAACACACCCAGTTCCTCTGCGCGCTCCCTCCCTCCCTGCGCCCCGCGTGGGCGTCTCGCATCGCCGCCCTCCTCGCAAAAGACGGCGTCCTGATCTGCCTCGAGTTCCCCACGCACAAGCCAGCTTCGTCAGGCGGCCCGCCGTGGTCGCTGCCTCCCACAGTGCACTCCGAGCTGCTCAAGCAGCCGGGCGCCGAGATCGCGTATGACGAGGGGGGTGTGGTTGTTGCGTCGGAGCGCGGCGAGGGGCCGGGTGCGCTGAGGCGGGTTGCGCATTACGTGCCGGCGCGGACGCACGATGTTGGGGTCGTGAAGGGCGTGGTGAGGGATAGCGTGAGTGTGTGGCGGCACGTCTGAGGGGCGTGGTAGTACGCAGACCGAGACCAAGGCCCGGGGAGGGTGCGTGCACACAATACAGTGTAGAGCAGCACTCACGCCTCCTTCTTGCGCAGACTGTTGTAGTGCTCGCCCAGCCCGTGACTGTGCCTGAAGTACCCCAACCAGATCTCCTCCTTTTTGTCTCCCTCCCCCTCTCCTTCCTCCCCCTGAATCCGATCCACCCGCCCATCCCCATGCAACACACAAACCACAACCCCATACCCCCGCGCCACCGCAAGCAACTCCAAATGCCCGCCCCACTCCCCCGTCTCCCGAATCTTCCGCACATGCTCCGCAACCCCGTCCTCCATGAACCCCCCCACCTCGTCGGCATGCGCCTCAATCCACCCCGCCGCCGCATACCGGACTTTCTTATACGGCGGCAGCCCCTGCGTCGCGTCTGCGCCGCGCGGCACCAGCGCCATCCCCCGCGCGCCCAGCTGGTCCGCGACCGCGGCGTACAGACAGTGCCCGTCCGCGCGGATCTCGTGCAGCGCGAGTCCGCGCGCCGCGAGGAGGGGTTCGAACGCAGATTTTTCTTGTTCGCGCGGGTTGGGCGCGTTGGCGGCTTCTTCTTCAGCGGCGGCGATGGCGGCGGCTTGGTCGGCGGCGCGGCGGGCGAGGCGCTCTTTCTGGCGGTTTTTCTTCTTCGCGGGGGCGGGCGTGGGGCTGGGTGTGGCGCTGGGGGCGTTGAGGCTCAGGGCGCTGAGTTGGATGTCGGCGATTTCGTCCGCGTCGGCAGCATCTTCGTCCTCTTGTTCGTGCTCGTCCCCTGCGTCCCCTTCGCCGCTCAGCTCGCGCACCTCCCCCTCCTGTCTCTCGCGGAGCTCGCGCTCGAGCGTCTCGCACTCGTCGTTGACACCTTTGCGTGTTTTCTTGGTGGCTTGTTTCTTCTTCTGTGTGATGCGCGAGACGAGGTCGCGCTGCTCTTTGCGGTGGCGTTGTTGCAGCGCTTCGAGGGGCGAGGGGGTGTCAGCGGTGGGGGAGGGGGCGGTGAGGTCGGTCATTTTGGTAGAGACTGTGTGGTGTGGTGTGGAGGGGAGGGGTGACGTGGGTGGATTTGGAAGGTGGTGTGGTTATCGATAAGGTGGTGGACTTCGTGTGCCACTACTCGTGTGTCTCTACCACCTATACATTCGCAATTGGGCAAGTCAACGAAAGTATGGTTTGACAGTCAAGATCGTTTGTAGCTTTGATGAATGTCTAGAACGAGATGATCCTCTTTCCTCACATCGACGGCCACAGTTGCACGTGTCCAGTCTTCCGATACTAAGTGAGTTCAATTACAGTCATTAAGTCTTACACTACTTCCTATATCGCTATTGGGTATCTTCCTGTCCTCCTCCTTCTACATTATGCAATACGAGAACATAAAAGTAAATCGCTCGGGGAATCATCCCCCTCACTCCTCATCATTACACCTCATTACAGCTCCAGATCACCTGTACAAGTCGTCGTTCGTGGAGTCCTTCGGAGGCACGGGATGCGTCGGCTGCTGCGTCGTCGCCGGTGCTTGGACAGGCGACACCTCACGCTGCTCTGACGAGACCTCGCTCACGTTGGCCGGAGGAGCAGCAGGAGTTGCCTGCTGCGGCTGGGGCGGCAACTGGGTGCTCGGTGCCGGCGAAGAGGGAGGCTGGTACGCGGGCTGGTACGCGGGCTGGGGCGCCTGCACCGGCGACGAGCCGACGACAACACCCTCCTTCGGCACATTGGGTCCGTAGTAGCCACCCGCGCCCTGCTGCGGATAGCCCTGCGGCGGGTATCCCTGCGGCGCGCCCCCAGGACCCTGCTGCCACCCCGGCGGCGGCGCGCCGTAGTAGAACACCTGCCCGCCCGGCTGCGCCATGGGCTGGTGCAGCGGCTGCCCCTCCGGCACAATCCCAACCGTCTGCTTCGAGAACTGGCCGAGCAGCGGCACCGGGTACCGCCTCTTGAAGCCCCAGCTCCAGTTCCTGAACTTCTGGCCCGCGGACATGTCCTTCCAGCGCTGCGTCAGCAGCACCTGGTCCTCCTTGCTGCGCGCGTCCTGCATGCGCGTGAAGCACAAAACCCATAGGGAGAGTAGCACCCAGCAGATGGTGCCGGCGCGCACGGCGGACTTGCCGCGCATCAGCCGCGTGTACCAGAACCAGGACTCCAGGAAGCCGAGCAGGAAGATGGCGGGCAGGACTGTCGCGATGATGATGATCCACGTGCGCAGGCTGGTGCAGCCGCCGAAGTAGCACGCCTGGTAGTCGGTCCAGGAGTCGGAGCCCGAGGAGCCCGAGGAGCCAGAGCCGCCGGAGCCCGAGGTGCGGGTGTTGGTGTACGCGGCGGGGGGCGGCGAGCACGACGAGATGTAGTAGTAGTAGTTGTAGTCCGAGTCGGTGGAGAACGGGGCGGCGCCGGCGGTGAGATAGAGCGTGGAGTACTCGGCGACGTAGGAGCGGCCGGAGCTGGTGCTGACCTCTGTGGACGTGGGCTGGAGCTGGTCGGTGACGATGGAGGGGATCAGCGACATGACGGCCTGGGTGGCGACGGTGAAGGGCGTGGGGCAGCTCGCGGGCGCCGTCATGGTCACGGGCATGCGGTACTCGGTTGATGTGTACGTCGACTGCCCCGTTGCCGTGAGCGAGTCGTCGTAACGCGTTCGCGAGACCAGATCCGACGCCGCAACAGCGCCGGTGGGGTAGTACAGCTGGTGCAGCTCGACATCGTCGTAGCTGGAGGTGTAGGTGTATGTCGACGTCGCGGTACCCGTGGGCGTGACAGTGGCCTTGATCGTCTCCGTGTACGTGTAGGAATACTCCGTCGTCGAGGTGCCATACGTATACGGCTCCAGCGACACGGACTCCATATAGCGCTGCGTGACCGTCCAAAACATCGACGTCCTAACCGACGACGACGTGCGCCTCCTCGTAGCATAGTAATCATCCGTGAGCGAGTAGAAATTCGAGCCGTCTGTAGTCGTCTGCGCCCACACCCCGACGCCCGCAAACGCCAACAGCGCATACCGCAAAGCCATGCTGTCCAGACAAGTATGTACAGTCGTGATACCGCACCCTCCACCGGGCACGCCCACCCTTTAACCTCGCGCCTCAAGAAAACCCGTTGACCGGTCCTCATCGCACCCCCTTGGCGCGGCCCTCACAGTCACCGCGCCCGCCGAATCACCTCGCGCGCCCGCCGCCACCGCGCGCATCGCCCAATCGCGCGCGCGCGAGGCACGGCCTGTGCGGCCAGGCACACCACTGGGCGAGCCGCATGCGGCGCTGGCACCAGGGGTAAGCGGCGTCGCGTGCATTTAAAGTATTTTAAGGATCGGCTAGGGTGGTTAGCTGCGCTTGTGTATGAAGTAGTGCGGGTTGCCTGAGGGCGGGAGATTGGCTAGTGCATCGTGAGATTTTGAGCGGGAGGGAGATTTCTGATTTCTGAGTCTGAGTTCTGATTGCTAGATTCTGGGTTCTGGATTCTGGATTCTGGTGGTTGGCATGTGAGGCTGCACTGCGCCCCCCTCCCCCTCCCCCGTGCCCTGAGGTCGCAACGACGTGCATACCCAATGCGGTCACCACCACACCACCGCAGTCTCGTACCGCACTGCAGCCTCACAGCCTCGTATTCCACCACGATGCTGATTATCGATACTCGATACTCGACAATCGATACACATGTACACACACAACTGCAAAAATAGAGTATGTGTGCAGCGTCAGCGTTACTAATTCTACACCGGTATTCCTCACCTCCTGATTTCCTCACTTCCACACTTCTTCACTCCTGCAGCGTGCCCGTGCGGTGCCACCGGGTGTACTGAGTGTAATATCGACGCACGAGAAATTAAACAACCCTGTGGCGTTCTGCTGTGTCACCGCGCATGTCACAGCAGCAGCCCTACGCCAAAACACGTACCTCGCTACGGTTAGTAGAGTATCGCTACGGTTGGCAGGGTATCGCTACGGTTGGCAGGGTATCGCTACGGTTGGCAGGGTATCGCAACGGCAGGTCATCGTAGCGGCAGGGTTCTAACAACGGCCGCGGGGCAGCGCCCTTCCACTTCACTTCAGCCCTAAGACCCAAACATCTGATTTACCCGCGAAGAGTCATCGCAACCGCGGGACAATACGATGCACCGACTTCCTCGCCGCGGGGGAGGGTCTGGATCTGGGTTGTCACTGCGGGTGGGAAGGGTATGTCACTGCACCGCACTACACTCTGTACACTCAGTACACTCTGTACACTACACTACTCTGCGCTATTCTACGTGTATGTCACCCCCCACACACGCCCCAAGAAACTCGGTACCTTAGAATTAGATGAGTCACAGGACGTCTATAGGCAGGAGGAGGCCAGAAGCGCATACCACCGTTGCGTAGAGCAGCTTGGAAAGGAATATGCGCCGCGTGCGTACATGGTGGGAAGTGAGTCAGCGTCTTCGCGATAGCAGATGGCAGACGGCAGACGACAGACGGTACGCGGGGGTGGATGGGTGCTGGAGGTGCGCGTGTGACATGCGACCACTGGGGTAGAGGATTAGGCGCGCCGTGCCATGGCAACAACGGCAGACGGCAAACCCCAGACGGTAAGCGTACGACAGCGGAGCGTAGAAACCTTAGTAAACACCCAGGTACCTATACTGTATGTATGTAGGTAAGCACTCACGTGTCCGCGTCTCGTGGACAAGAAGGCGGACTACTCGCTCGTCCACTCGTCTACACTCGTCCATACTCATCCACACTCGTCCACGGCACACGGCACCAGCACACGGTGGCACCGGCGAAGCAAGTCCGCAGCCGCACTACTGAGCGGCCTCAGTCAGTGCGCGTAGGTGTAGGATGTAGGATGTAAGTACTCACGTGCTAGGTATATCTAGACAGCCCACTGCCTCTGCGACACTGCCTCTGCGACACTGCCTCTGCCCATGCGCCGCTGTGATGCTGCCACTGCCCACGCGCCACTGTGACGCTGTCTGGGACCTGATATCTGGTATCTGGGATCTGATATCTTGTATCTGGTACCTAGTATCTCGGCATACAGCGAGATCTCACGCGAGCTACCAGACAGCACATGGCACATGGCACACGGCAACGGCAACGGCAACAGCAACGGCAACAGCAACGGCAACGGCGATGGGATAGGGATAGGGATGGGGGCGTGCATGATGAATCGAGAACTTCGTGATTGCGATGTGCTGTACGCATGAGACGCGTGAAGGGCCGTGGTACCGTGCTGTGCCAAGCTCTGCCACGCCATGCTATACTATGCTATACTGTGCCATGCTATGCCATACCATGCCCGATCTCCAAGCCCAATATCCCAACGCCATAAATGCCCCACTCCATATCCAGCGCCGTGAAATCTCAAAAACCCCCAACCCACCACCCCACCCCCCCAACCCCCAGCAGCGCCGCCGCCGCAGCAGCAGGAGGAGCCCGCGCCGCCGCCGCCGCCGCCCCTCTCGAACTCGTCGCCGCAACCCCCTCGCCACCGCGCTCGCGCTCGCTCGCCTCCGCCGCCGTCGTCGTCGTCGTCAGGGGCGCATCCCGCGTCGTGGTCGCGGGGAACAGCGTCACAGTCGTACTCCGCCCCTGACTCCCGACCACAACCCTCGTAGCCCCAGGCGCGAGCACAATCGTCGTCCCATCCACCGTAACAGTCCCGCCGGGGGTGAGCGTCTGCCCGCGGATAACGAACGTGGTGCCGCCTGGCGCGGCGGTGTATATCTGGCTGCCGATCGTGAGCAGCGGGGCCTCCGTAGTAACGGGCTGCGGTTCTGCGGAGAGGAGGGTGGTGGCGCCGTTGACGACGAGGGCTGTGGCGCCGGGGGCGAGGGAGAGGGTGGTGCCGGCGACGAGGATGCGGCCGCCGGGGGTGAGCTGGGCAGTGCCGATTTGGTAGGTTGTGCCTGTTCCGGGGAGGGGTTTGAAGACGCCGTTGCCGATTGTTAGCGGGGGCGGTGTGGTGTGGGCTGCTGCGGCTGCAGCTGGTGTGGCGAGGGTCGTCGTCGATCCGTCGATTACCAGAAATGCTCCGGATGGGGCTAGAGAGAGCGTTGAGCCTGAGACTGTGATGGGTGCGCCGCCTGGTGCGAGGGTCTGGCCTGATATAACGAAGGTCGGGCCGTTTCCTGCTTGGCCGTTCTGGATGTCCTGGTTCTGGTGAGGTGTGTTCTCACCGGGACTGCTGCCCGGGGAGGTGTCTAATATACTACCTGTAGGTAGAGCAGTGAACGTTGACCCACCGAACACCAACTCTGGTAGTGCGTTGTGGAACTCTCCTGCTACATGGCTTGGCGACGCCAGCATCTGTGTTGAGCTGCCTACCACCACAAAGGCAGCCGAGGCGTCAAGGCTAACCTCCGTCCCATCAACAACAGCAGTGCCGCCAGGCGTCAGGGTTTGCCCAGGCGCGACAAGAAACTGGGTGGCAGCGTTGGGGACAAACGTCGTAGACCCGATCGTCAACACCGGGGGCGCGGGTCCTGGGTTTTGCGGCAGCAGCGAAGTCGTAGCCCCCACGACCAGCGCCGCACCGGAGGGCGCAAGCGACACAGTGGTCCCGGGTGCGATCGCAACGGGCGTACCTCCAGGCCGTAGTGTGTGGGTGCCAACGACCACGATAGACGAAGGCCCAACCACTACCGGGACTGTCCCAAGCGATCCGACTGTCTGCTGGTGCGCAGGATTCTGGTGCTGAGGCAGCGGCAATGACGTCCCTCCCACTACAATCGCGCCCCCTGACGGAGCCAGGGCGACAGGCGTGCCGCCAACGGTCACAGCCGGGCCTCCCGGTATCAAAGTCTGCGAGCCCACCACAACAACAGAAGACGGGCCTACCACCACAGGAGCCGTGCCAACGTTCCCCACAGTGCGTGTTGGCGGTGGCTTAGTCTGTTTGTTGGACCCATCGACCACGCCAGGTCTTGCCGTTACCGGACTTCCCGCCTTGGTGAACTCCACCTCTGCCGGCGCGGTCGTTGCAGACAGATCCCAATCCGCCACGGTTGGCACCAGATAGGTCGACGTCGGGTCCGCGACCCCCCACGGAGCCTCGACTTCCCAGCCAGGAGCTGACGACTCCCAGTGAAAATCGCCGGGCTCGAAGTGGGCGTAGTGGAGGTAGAACATCTCGACGAAGATGAGCACCGTGACCACGGCTTGCAGACTTCCGCCCACGCAGGTGGACTGCGGGATCTGCTCCAGGAATCCAGCGGGTACCGAACCGGTGGCTACAGCACTATTCCCAATGCCTTCGCCGTAGGACTGCAGGTAGACGGAGCTCAACTGCACGGTCTCGGTGCTGTTCCCGCGCTCGACCTCGTAAGCCGTGATCTCAACATACGGGGTCGGCATCGTCTCCAGAGATGTAGAGTTTGGAGCGACGGAGATGGCTGTGGTCGGCGAGGGAAGCTCTGTGAGCGCGATGTCGTACTCCCAGACGTCGTACTGATACATCGTGTTACCCGCCGGCACCGGTGGAACAGCCGATCTGAAGACCGTAGCGGTGCTGGCGGCAGTCGGTTTCTCAGTGTACGGAAGACATTCCCAGGCCGTCCAGTCCCAGTCGGTGTACGTATTCCATCCATAGGTGCATAACGCCTCAGTCTCGAGGGCGCTCGCGGCGTTAAAGGTTGTCGTGTGTGGCACGAATGTGTAGGTCCTCGAATGCGAGTAGTTACCCCATTTATTAGTGATCGTAGCGATCGGCTGGAGGAAGGTCACAGGAAACCACGACTTGATGTTCGCCCCCGGAATATGCACAGTGCATGATGCGTTGCTTCGCGTAGAATTTTGGACATTAGAGCCACCTACCAGTCCCGTCCCGGTAGGCCTGGGATCCTGATAGCCGCTGGAGGATGCTGTGCCAGCGATATAGTAACTGGATAAAGACACTGCCGGCGCAGCAGTCGCCGTTGCTATCGCAGATTCGACATTTGTTGTGATGTTAAAGTAGGGGGCGGCTTATGGCTTGCTTAGTCGAATACGAGACGGGTCGAAGGACGTGAGCTTACCCGTGTGGTCTGCGCTACCGCGGCCCTGGAATCTGATAGCGATGGACAGAGGGGCCAGACAGAGGGCCACGAGCGAGTACTGCAGAAGCATGCCTTCGCGTTGCGCAGCTCATCCAAACATGCTGCGTACAGAAAGTGAACACCGTAGCGACTGTTGGCCAAACGAGAGGAAGGATGGCGCAGCGAAAGCGGGCCAACGTGTTTTAGTCTTTTGGACCGGTGTGCCTTCTTGGAGTTGTTAGGATGGACATGGGTTATGAACTAGGTCAAGCCACCACATTTTGTAAGGCGCCGGCACAGGCCGTGACCGTTCTCTCCTTTGGGCAAACAGCTCGCCGTAGACCTACACTGTGTCAGGCAAATCTCTCTGCCAATGGCACGTTCATGCGCATTGAAGTGAATGCTGCTGCTCGTCCTCGCCGCGTTGGACGAGCTGAGTGGAAGCATTTCGTGCTCGTTGACACCCTTAGCACCGGGGTACAAGCCACTAGGAACGCGGCTGTGCCTTTCCCGACATGGTTGATGGCTTGTATTTGTGCGTCCCGGGTGGTGGCTCCCATGGAGATTGCACGACCCTATGCCAATCCCTTGCTGATTGGCGGCGCGGTTAGATTGCGGTTCATGCTTTGCGGAGACACGCCATCAGCAATGCCATGCAGCGGCTCCGGCGACATCGATACAAAGCGTCGGGAACACATGACAGCAGCAGCAAGGCACGCGAAATGCGATGCGAGGTGGTCGAGTCGCGCTGTGCAACGCGGGCGGGCAGACTTGACAAGAACACCAAAGTGAGGGGAACCATGCGCACGTCTCGCACTGTGCAAAAGCTGCGGGCAGCCGTGTGGAGGTCGACGAGCGGTTGGCGCGCCGTGCTGCGAGCGGGTGCACAGGGCTCAAACCGAGGAACGGGTGTTGAGCCCTGCTTTTTGTCGAGTCTTGACGGTTCGTGAGGCAGGGTCCCACTTGCTTCTGACGGCACAACGCCCACGGCGCGGGCGCAGAACCGTCAAACAGCTCCGGGGACGCCCATCACCGCGGCAGGAAGGTAGTATTGTACCAGGCCTAATGCCGGCGTCGCGACGAATCGCACGACTCGGTAGTCTGGAGGGAGCTCAAGCCCGTGGGCGAGAACGCCAGACGCAGTTAGGCACTTGGCTGCGAAGGATCCCTTGACTGCCGCCTGAGGGCTTGGTGGCCAGCCCTGTGTCAGACTCTGTCGCGCTGCCTCCGCAATTGCTGCTCATCCATCTTCCCCGTGCTGGAGGTATTTGGTAATGTTGGAGTGGTGATTCTGTTGTCGAGGCTGCATGTTTGGCCCCTCGCTCCGTTCGATCTAGCGCCATGCTCCTCTCCGGCCGTTGCGCCTACACGACCCTCCTATCGTGGACGTTTCTCTCGCTGTGCTCGGCCGCGTATGAGCAGAAGAACTCCACCAGCGTCCCGGGCTATACGCTGCCGCGGGGAGTGGAGAGCGTGCCGGTGCCTTTAACAGTCGCGCCGGACCAGGGCTGGGCAGGCATTGATGGGCAGTGGAATACCTTCACGCTGCGAGTGGGCGCTCAACAAGCAGTGACTCAGGTCGTCCCGTCCACATCCAGTCAGCAGATATGGGTTGTGAACAGCGAGGCCTGTGAAGTCAATGACACCAGCTCCAGCGACCCGCAGGCGGTCAAAGCCGATCCGGATTGCGAATACAATCGGGGGTATGTGTTTAACATCTCACAATCACGGAGCTGGGCCGCGCAGGGTTACTACAGTCTGTGGATTGGCGGTACATATGGAATAGAAGGCAATGGTTTCTATGGGTACGATGCGGTGGGGCTTGGCCTACCAGGAGAGGAGGGCCCGGCGGTCGCCAACACCACGATCGGTACTTTGAGGACTCCCGAGTTCTGGCTCGGCCATCTGGGACTCCATCCGAAGTCGACAAACTTCTCTGCGAATTTGATCGACACCCCTCCCGTACCCAGCTACATGACGAGGCTCTTCAAGCAAGGCAACATCCCCAGCATCTCGTTCGGCTACACAGCGGGCGCCCGGTACCGTACGTTGATACGACCACGCGTAACGTAAATGCTGACTGATATAGATGATGCGATATTTCTTGGTAGCCTGACCCTTGGCGGCTATGATACCTCCAGATATATTCCAAACAACGCTTCTTTCGTCTTCTCGCCGGACAACGAACGTGAACTGGTGGTAGGACTCGCTGGACTGACTGCTAAAACGACCACTCAGTCCAATATCGACCTCATGGCGAACCAACAGGATGACGTCGTCTTGCTGATCGACACGACGGTAGCAGAGCTCTGGCTACCGCTCGCGATCTGTCAGGCGTTTGAGGAAGCGTTTGGACTGACGTACGACAATGCAACGCAGCTGTATCTCGTGGACGATCTGCTGCACCAAACACTACGGGCGCAGGATCCTAGTGTCACGCTCACCTTTCACCAGTCGTTTACAACAAACGAGACAGTCCAGATTACATTGCCGTACTCGGCATTTGACATGGAGGCGCAAGCTCCTTACCGAGGGCTGAACCGGACGACAAGATATTTCCCCCTGAGGCGCGCCGCGACCAGCAACCAGTGGACTTTGGGGAGGATGTTTTTGCAGGAAGCCTACATCACCGTCGACTGGGAGCGAGCTCGATTCAGCATTTACCAGTGCGACTGGACCTACGGCCAGCCAAGCAATATTGTCTCTATTCTCTCACCCGAGTACCTGAAGGCGGTTGGGGGCACGGACTTGGACACTGGCGTCAAGGTCGGAATTGCGGTTGGCTGCATTGTTCTGGTGGTTATGATAGTCTCCGCGACCGCGGGATACTACTGGCGTCGCCGCTGCAACACATTAGTAGCACAGCGCCGAGCGGAAGCGGCTGAGATTGAGGCCGCACGCAAATCGTCACCCGCCGACACGGACGAGGCGCCGTCCTCACCCGTGAGCGAGAAGGGCCCGACGGTGTTCCCCAAGGCCGAGCTGCCCGGGCACTCGAGCATCCAGCGGTACGAGTTGGGCAGCGGCGGGAAAGAAAAGGGGTCACTGGAGGTTCTGGAAGCGGACAGCACCGAGCGGCCGGTGTACGAGATGCTGGGCGACGTGCCGGCGCCGCAGGAGGCCGCTGGGCGGCAGCTGTCGGAGAAGGAGACTATGATGGTGCGGGAAAAGATGATCAACGGCTTCGATCCACACGCAGACGATCAGCCCGTGTCGCCTGTCGGCCGGCCTGCGCCGATTGCGTCCCTCAACGACATCGCCATGGTGAGCGCGCGGCTGCCGGGCGACGCCGTCTCGCCTGTCACGCCGCGGGGGCCCAGAGACGGGGCGCTGCGCGAGACGTTCTTCCAGCTGCCGGGGCGGGCGGACGACTTGCTGTCGCCCATCTCCCCGCTGCACGCGTCGCCGTCGCCGACGGACAGCTCGCGGCGGCGGTTTTCGTACGAGTCATGAACACGGAGGGATTTTTCTGCAGGCGTTGGATGGCGCTGGTGGATGTGCAGGACGGCGTTGGGTGGATTGCAGGGGCGTTGGGTGGATGTCAGGGCGTTGGATGTGCAGGGGCGTTTCTGGGTGGAGTCTTAGCGCTCCGGGTGGCGGGTATGGCGTCGACGGCGACGTCCTGGTCCTTTGTTGCTGCTGTCGCGTTCACGAATACCCAAGTGATGCTCTCGCGCTGGTCTTTGTGTTGCACGTGCATCCCTTGCTGTGCGCAGCAGTGCACACAATCGCACGCTGACGCCCCGCTGACGGCCGTGGCCTGACACAAAGGCCGGGCAATACGGGGCGCCGCTCGTTGCAGCGGTTGGCGGGCGCAGGGCTCGAAGCGGTATCAAGTGGAATCAGCCCTGTACGTACGTCAGGGCGCGAGGCGCTTCGGACTGCGCGGCGAGGGCTAGCCGGATCGGGCGGGCAGCTGCAGGCCGGCCTTTGCTGCGACCGCCAGTTCGGGCGCGGATTGCAGGCGACGGGCGCGTTGGTCGGGCGGCGCGGTACGGTGAAGAAAGGCTGCGCGCTCATGCACGGGCGGCGGCGGTGCCGCGCAGCTGTTTGGCTGTGGGGACGGGCGCTGCAGCGTCTACGGAGCTTGCTGCGGGCGTGTTTCGCGTGCCCCGCCTCTGCAGCCTGTCTGCCTGCCATCCACTTCGACTGTATATCTCCCGCCCGCCGCCAGTGCAACGCAGACGCTCCGCTGCCGCTGTCCCAGACCGCGTTTCGACGACCGCGACCACCGCCCGCGCTTCGACGACTACCTGCGACTGCGAGCCCCGCCACGACCACCTGCGACTGCGACCTGCGACTTGCGTGCCCCGCCACCGCCCACCACCCACCACCACCTGCGACTGCGTGCCCCACCACCGCCCGCGCTTCGACGACCGCCCGCCATGTCGGACCTCGCCAACCGCAAGGTGTTCAAGGTGTTCAACCAGGAGTTTGTCGTCGACGAGCGCTACAATGTGACCAAGGAGCTCGGCCAGGGCGCCTACGGCATCGTGTGGTAAGCCCGCTGCGCTGCTGAACCATCTGACGCCAGCTGACCCGCCAGCGCCGCCACCAACAACCAGACGGGCGAGGGCGTCGCCATCAAAAAGGTCACCAACGTCTTCAGCAAGAAGATCCTGGCCAAGCGCGCCCTGCGCGAGATCAAGCTGCTGCAGCACTTCCGCGGCCACCGCAACATCACCTGCCTGTACGACATGGACATCCCGCGCCCGGACAACTTCAACGAGTGCTACCTGTACGAGGAGCTGATGGAGTGCGATCTGGCTGCCATTATCCGCTCCGGCCAGCCGCTGACCGACGCCCACTTCCAGTCCTTCATCTACCAGATCCTGTGCGGGCTCAAGTACATCCACTCGGCCAACGTGCTGCACCGCGACCTCAAGCCGGGCAACCTGCTGGTCAACGCCGACTGCGAGCTCAAGATCTGCGACTTTGGCCTGGCCCGCGGCTTCTCCATGGACCCCGAGGAGAACGCCGGCTACATGACCGAGTACGTCGCCACGCGCTGGTACCGCGCGCCTGAGATCATGCTGAGCTTCCAGAGCTACACAAAAGCGAGTAAGCAGACCATCTCCCCTCCAACTCCACTTGTAACCACCTCTAACACCCCCAGTCGACGTCTGGTCCGTCGGCTGCATCCTCGCCGAGCTGCTGGGCGGCAAGCCCTTCTTCAAAGGCCGCGACTACGTCGACCAGCTCAACCAAATCCTGCACTACCTGGGCACGCCCAACGAAGAAACGCTCTCGCGCATCGGCTCGCCCCGCGCCCAAGACTACGTCCGCAACCTCCCCCGCATGCAGAAAATCTCCTTCCAATCGCTCTTCCGCGCCGCCAACCCGGACGCCCTCGACCTGCTCGACCGCCTGCTCGCCTTCGACCCCTCCTCCCGCATCACCGTCGAAGCCGCCCTATCGCACCGCTACCTGCAGATCTGGCACGACGCGTCCGACGAGCCCGCCTGCCCCACCACCTTCGACTTCCAGTTCGAGGTCGTCGAGGAGATTCCCGACATGAAGCGCATGATCCTCGATGAGGTGAATCGCTTCCGCCACCTCGTCAGGGTCCAGCCGAGTGCGGGCCAGGGCGCGCAACAGGGCGCGACCCAGGTTCCGATTCCGGAGTTTGGCGAGCGCAAGGGGTATGAGGATCCTCGTCCGCAGGAGGCGTTTCAGCAGCAGGGTCAGTGGGGGGATTTGGAGCGCGATTTGCAGGGTTTGGATGGGCGGGGGCGGTAGACAGATATCAACTCGGAGGGTTGAACGGGGGATTTGCAGTATGTGGAGTGAGTGCTCGAGAGGGGAATTTGCGGTGCAAGGCGAGCGATAGAACGAGTATTCTTTTTGTAGTTTGGTACGTGATAGTGGGTGAATGCCGCCTCTGGGGGTTTCTTGTCTGGCTTGTCTCGTGCCGTGCTGTCCCGTCTACGTTCGTCTGTCGCGTTGTGTCGTGTCGTGTCTTCTTGGTATCTCGCCCCTACAACATCTTGTACGCTTCGCCCTCAGTGCATGACGGCCAGGACATGACAGCTGCGCCATGGTAACCCGCCTGCCTGCCCTGACTAGGTGCTAGGTGCTAGGTGCTAGGTGCTGTACACTCTACCTCGCGTGCCGGGCCGCTTTGTTTTGCTGGGGTGCTGGGACGTTGGGGTATCTGGGGTATCTGGGTGGCAGAGGACGCGGAAGTAATCCAGCGCTCCGGGGCGTGTGCTTGTCTGTCTATCTGCTTGTCTGTTTGCCTACTGACCTGGTTACTTGCGAGTCTTTTTACTTGTGTGTCTACCTGCCTACTTACCTACTTACCTACTTGCGTGTCTACTTAACCGCCTACCTACTTACCTGCTTATCCATTTACTTGCGTGTCTATTTACTTGCGAGTCTACTTGGCTGTGTGCCTACTTGGCTGCGTGTCTATTTACTTACCTATTCACTTGCGTGTCTACCTGCCTACTTACCTACTTACCTACCTACTCACCTGCCTGCCTACCTATCTATCAACCTACATACCTACTTTCCTGCCGAACCTCCCATCTTATAAGCTTTATGTAGTCCCGCAGAACAGACGACGCGCGCAATGCGTTTCCTAGCAGACGAGCGCGTTGGCGCTGGGATTCGGGATCTCGATACTGGGGTCTAGGATCTCGATATTGGGATCTAGGATCTGGGCTCCAGGATCTGGGCTCTAGGATCTGAGTTCTGAATGGATGTTAGGTTACAGGCTCTAGGCGATAGGTCCCCGTGGTGTGGCCGACGTATCTCGCATCTCGCATCTCGTATCTCGCATCCCGCAGTCGTCCCGGTGCGGCTGGATATGTCGCTTCGCCTTGCAGCAGTGCTTCACACAGAAGCCCGTCTCTCTCTCCACGGCTGTCTCGCTGTCCACGGCTGTCTCGCTGTCCACGGCTGTCTCGCTGTCGTTGGTCTTGTCGCTGTCGCTGTCGCTGCCGTTGGTCTTGTCGCTGTCTATCTGCGAACGCTGTACACAAGCGCGCATACTCACACCAAGCACTGGGGCGCGCGCTGCGTGACTCTCCTCCTCTGCGTGCCCCTCCATCGGCATCGCCGTCACCGCCAGAAGCCGCTCGCCCATCGGCCGCTCCGGAACGCAGGTACCTCACAACATGTAGTCTGCGGATTCGACCGCGTCGCGCCGCGCCGCGCCGCAACGTGCCGAGCGGCGAGCTCGGAGACTTGGCTGCGCGACGTCACGCCGGCGTGGCTCATCCACGAGTCTCGCTGTGGCTCAGAACCTCACTTGCTGTGCTGTATCCACATATGTATCTCGCTGCGGCCCATCCCCACGACTCACCATGCCTCAACCCCTCGCTCGCCGTGCCTCAACCCCTCAAGCCGTCTAACTGACCTACTGTACATCCAAAATAAGGTTCAGACACACCTACACCGACCGGGGTCTGGATACAATAACCGACGCCGGCTCGCGCGGGTGTGCGCGGGAAACCTTGTTGGAAAGCTTGGCGGTAACGTCGTGGGTGCGTTTCTGAATGCATGTAGGTGTGTAGATATCGGGGTTGTATGGGCGGGGTCGGGGGTGGAGTTGAGGGTGGTTGTGGTTGTGTGGTGGTAATGAGGCGCGGTGGGCGGAGTATGATGGTAGGGTGGGTGCTGAGTGATGGTTGAATATCCTGGGAGGCTCTGGGCGCGAAATGGCGGTCGGAGATGCGTATGTACATACGAAGACGGACGGGGTAGTGTTGAGGTCGTGGGCACGTGACTGGTGTGGAGGTGTAGTGGCGTGGTGAGGAGTCTGGGCTTTCTGTCAGGCACTGCTGGCTAGTAGTGTATCCTAGATTGTTAGTGGATCTGGTTTCTGCGTACTGGACTTGTCAGAGCAAGTCTCGTTGGGCGCTGATTCATTTCCACTTACCATGATATGCCAGGGGCCTCAAATTGCCCACAAGCATCCTGATACTCAAACGGAGATTATTATCCCGCCCCTCAGCCGCCCGTAACACATCAAGCACTACCACTCACCACAATCAACACATCACAAACACCCAACACAGTACGAAATCGTAGCTTTCAGAAATCCATTCGTCATATTCTATATGTACAAAAAGGTAATGCTACTCAGTAGCCACAAGAGAAGAAGAAGAGGCGAGCTTGATTCGAGACCTTGCCGTACCCTCTCCACAAAGCAACCAATGAAGATGCAAACGAGGCGCCTGGCTATGCAGATGACAAGTCAGAAGTGCGCGGGAGCGACGCGCTTAGAAGAAAGAGCGCGCGTGGCGGCGGGCCTTGGAGGAGGCACCGGCGGTGGCCTTGAGCCAGGCAATGAACTCGGGGAGAGTGAACTCCTCGGGCAGGGTGGTGGACGAGCCGGAGCCGGCGGTGGGGGCGGGGGTGCTGGCCTCCTCGGTGGGGGTGGCCTCAGCGGTGGGGGTGGCCTCGGCGGCGGCGGAGGTGGCAGCCGGGGCAGACGCGGCGGCGCTGGTGGCAGCAGCGGAGGTGGCGGCCGGGGAGGTGGCGGACGCGGACGCGGTCGCGGAGGGGGCGGGGGCAGAGCCGGAGCCGGAGCCAGCGCTGAAGACAGCGGGGCCGGGGATGGGGTAGGTGGTCTTGCCGGAGTACATGTCGAATAGGACACCGGGGTCGGTGGCGGAGTAGGCCTTGGTCATGTCGGTGCCGGCGGTGGGGAGGGCGACCGAGCCGGAGCCGGTGACCTTGATCTGACCACAGCCGTTGTAGAACTGAGCACCGCCCTGGCGGTTACCCTCGTGGAGACCGATCATCTCGGGGCGGATGAGGTACTCGCCGGCCTCGAGGTCGGGGAGAGTGACGCTGTGCTGACCCTTGTTGGCAATGAAGGTGTCAACGGCCCACTTGCCGCCATCAAGACCAGCCTCGGCGATCTTGGTCCAGACGGCACCCTCACCGTTGGAGGCGGCGGGGGCAATGTAGACCATGACGGGACCCTTGTGGGAGGCAGCGATGGGCTCATCCGGGTCGTTACCGGTAGGAGCGCCAGTCTGAGCAGTGTTAGTATTGGTTTGATAGTGGGTCACTGATGACATACGTTGTGGTGCCACTGGAAGGTGAGCTCGGAGCCGGAGGCAACCTCGAAGGTGGCAGCGGCCTCGGTACCACCGTTGCAGTTCATGGCAGTGGATGTGACATCGAGGATGGGGTTGTTGCCGTTGGAAGGCTTGCGGATAGCATCAAGACCGACCTCCTTGCCGTCAACGATGAAAGCCTGGAAGGTGGTGTGGGCGGAAACCATCTGGGCAGCGGCCAGAGCGAAAGCGTAAGAGTACTTCATTTTGATAGTGTTGGTTGGTTGGTTGGTTGGTTGGTTGGTTTGAGAAAGTGGTATAGTCAAAGAATGAAAACTGAACAATGTTCGAATGGATAGTCGTCGAAAGTGAGCGTATGCTAAAGAGCGTGTGAAAGAGTGTGAGCGTCAAGCTTGCCTTTCTCCAGATGGGAGCCGTGAGTCTCTTATACGCAGCCGCATATTCGGCAAACATCGTCTTCTCAGACACGGTGTGGCCATGACATCTCGCATGCCTACCCCGGCCCGCCTGCGCCAAGCTCATGTCATCTACCTTCAACGTGCACTAGTGTCCAATGCGGTAATGTGGCACCGCTTAGCTGCCGCAGAATATCGAATCAGGGCAGGCGGGATCCTACGACCCAGAAAAAGTCCAGTTGGTGTTCTCTGGGAGATTGCTTGGATTTCGCTTGGATGCATGTTCCTGGACCTCCTCCGTCCACAGTCCGGAGCAGTCGAATCGGGTTCGAGATGACGAGAAACGTGAAACCTCAGGAACAGCCTGGAAGGCAGATTTCCGCTCGGCTGTCGTAGGCGTCTACAGAAACATCATGCGCTGTCAATGCCATCATTGTCATGCCGGCGGCTGATTCATGTTGGGTGCCTCTTTCTTTGCCGCTCTGCATCTAAATTGCACACGGATCCTTCATATGGTGGTAAAATTGAGGCGCAAATATGATGCGCCTCATCTGCTCTCCTATGTTTCTGTGGACCTCGATCATGACTTCGATTCTAGAAGCGGTGGAGCTCACAGGAGTTAGTCCTGGGCGAGGGCCGGCGGCTGGTGGAGCTGTTTTTCCGTTTGATCGTGTACCTGCAGTGGGCCCCGACTTGGCACATGTGTTTCAAACACGCCCATCAAACAATCGATACATCTCTGTCATGCTGTGGCTGTCAGTGGCGGCTACATACCGGTGTCTTTGTGGTCTCCAATGCAGATCGTGCCTCGTTGTCGCAGTATATCCGTCTTGTCAGGGTTACATAACAAAACCTCGAGTCGTTCATTCATTTCGTTTCGCTAACATGCATGGCGGGCCCGTGGCGTCGTGTCTCGCATAAACGCTCAGCGTGACGCTGGGCGAGGGTTTCGTCGTGCCGCCCGGCTAAAAAGACTGGTGTGGCCCAAGCGTCCGGCAAGATGTGCCGCTTCGTTTCTCAACTGTAATGACGACGAGAGTACATTGTCTCCTGGGAAATGTAAATGCCGCGTATGTGCGCTGGAAGACTTTACGGTGAACAGCGCACTGTATCCTCAAGCAATGCGTGCCTCGGAACGAAGAGATGTTACCTATTTTGATCGGCGATACGATACTGCATCACGACTCAGTGACTGCGTGAGTTAAAGACAGCAGACGGAACTCGTTGCACCGGAGCAGCAGCTCTGCTTATAATGTTCGGGTACGAGCCTGTTTCGTAAGTATCACTCTAGAGCTTCGTATGAGCATGTTTGAGCGGAATCGCACTTGCATGTCGCCAAATTAGACACGGGCCGCCAGCCACGAGCGAGTTGTAGGTATCCTTGGTTTAACGTTGTTCATTCATTAAATCATCGGACTCAGCGCAATGCTGCATCATCCGTGTATAGGTATCGTTCCATCCACGCCAGCCTTGCCAGCTCTACTTTTGCCTCACAGGCGCGTTCGCGTCAGGCTCACCACCGTGGTTCTTTGCATAGCTCGCATCCCTGGTCTCAGGTGCGCCAACACCCTTCTCGAAGTCACCAGCCTTGTACAGCTGCCCGGTCGCGGGGTTGATATCGCCACCCTCGGACAGAGGAATGTCGCGGTTGTTGCCGCCGCCTGATGCGCCAGAGCCTACTGTGACGGTGGCACCGGGGAACTTGTTGACTGCGGACTCGTCGATCCCAGAATCGATGGCTACGCTTGGTTAGCGGGTTGTTTGAAGAGTTTGATACCAGAGAACATACCCGAGTCGCTGGCACCAGGACCGCGGTTGGGGTTTACAGTGTTGGGATCTGTGCCGTGGACATTCGAATGAGAGTTGAGGTTCTGCTCAGCCTGCTTCGCGATGTCGATGGGGTTCTGGCCCTTGTATTCGGCAGACATGGTTATGGGTAAGAGGTCGTGATTTGGGAGGATAGAAGGTCTCGAGAGGAATTTTCTTGAACCGGGAAGAGGGTTTATTGGTACAGAGATGCTGAGCGAAGTACATGGGGTTTATAACGCTCTCATCGTCGCGATGATGCATATTTTCTTAGCGGGATGTTGCGATGATGAAATAAGAATGGAGCTTGATGCATGATGTCACGACGACCTCACAGTAAAAAGGTTTCGTGAGTGCACCAGCTGCCTAAGCCACTGAAAGACGAGAATGCTGAGAAAAGCGGTCATGAAGAGGGGCCCTGGGTTTAGTTGCCGTGTTTGGGTGTTTTGATCGTCTGCATGAAGCGTACTGGATGTACAGTGGCCCGTGCCTCCAGCCTTGTGAAGTTAAGCATCGTGATCGATGTGATGATCGAGGCGAATAGAAAAAAGGTGTGGGAACCTGACGAAACGAAGCAAAAATATTGAACTGGAGGTGGACATTGCTTGGCTTGCATGTTTGTATTATAACTAGTATGTGGTAAGGGCAAACCTGGATATCTCTGCTTCGCTGTTGCTTGTCCGTAGAAGCCAACAGTACTGCATTCCTCGTAAACACGCAGCGTAAATGAGAAACGTTCAAAGAGAAAAGAAACGAGGTGGTATAGCAATTGGGGTCAAGGAATGGGTATCCTCGAGGGCAGGGTATCATCAAACTCCAACTTTAGTATGGCACATGCGGTGAGGGCGTGTCGTAGAAAAGGGCACTTTGAGCGAGCGCCTACGATTAGTATAGGATGCGCTCGTCGAAGACAGGAGCCTCTCTGGCACGGCCGTCATCAACACCCTTCCAGTAGACCTTGCCCTTCTCATCGAACTGGGCTTGCTCGTCTGTCATCTGAAGCTCAGGGCAGGCCTTCTTCGTATCCCTAATCTCACGCTCGCTGATGCCCATGTCGTCGCGAACGATCCAAATGACTGGTGTGGGTGCGGTGACAGCAGGGTTGAAGAAGGCACGCTTCTGAATTTCGACCGGCAGTGGCTCCTGGGGGGTGTGATAGTACTGGTCTAGCGTGCCGTAGAGAGTGTTGAGTGAGTTGCGCTCAGGGTTGATGATCTTCCTGAGGAAGCCAGGAATACGCGACGCCTTGGGCGCATGGGTCGTAGTGCCATTCAGCGGTGCGGAGTCGGTCTTCTCACGGCTCTCGTCACGGTGTCCATCCTCGACATTGCCGTTGTGTGGTGTGGGGTCGGTGTATGCCAAGCGTGCTTCCTCGTGCTTCAAAGCCGTTCCTAGAGTCACAGTGAAGATGATGGTGATTAACAGCATCACACACATGATGGCGAGGGGACCCGCCACGTAAGTGTTGTCCGCAGTGGAAATGGCGAACAGACCGATGAGACAGATCTCAGAGAGGAATACACCAGTGAGAAGCTGCTTCAAAGCCTTCTGGTATGCCTCGCCCTTGGTGTCGATGTTGGTCTCGTACACGTAGAGGAAGTTGTAGCGGTAGGCAATGTAGACAAGGGTGAAACCAACCGTGGCGAAACCCATGATTAGTGGGGCAATACCGGAGTAAGTAATGGCGATCACACCCAAGTTGCACCACTTGGGGAATTCAGATCCCCATGCAGGAGCAGAAAGCTTGGTCAGCTGGTCGAAGACCTTGCGAGGTGTCTTTCCGGGAAGGATGCGGCCCAGAAGAATGACGACAACGAAGCCACCGATGTTGAGGAGGGTACCAGCAGCCGAGGAAATTCCCAACAAGACGAAATAGCTGATGTAGAAGTTGGAGGCTTTGGGCAGGTTCTCTGCGAGCAGTTTCAGGACGATGCCGGGGTTGTTGAGAACATCGTTGATGACAGAGGTGATGGCGCTGGACAGGGTCGCGACAAGGAAGACCTGGACGACCTGGAAGACAAAGTACCAGCTCTGGGTCTTCAGCTCGATCTGGCTCCAGGTGACGTAACCGGCCAGTTTGGCCATGACGCGGCAGAAGATAGGGACCAAAGCCATCAGTACAGCCAGCATGACCGTGGGCAACAGACCAGTAACAACACCTAGGATTACCTTGGGAATCTTTAGGATCCATTCCAACCATGTGAAGCGCTCGGCCAAGTAGTTGATGTTGGAGATCAAACCGACAAAAGCGACAGGGATGGCGAAGAAGATGATCATCACGGCAATGATAGCGGTAGCCACAGCCCAACGGGCATAGTGCTGAGACTTGCCAATCTTGAGGTTCTGCCAGACGACTTCCTGGGGCATGACACCGAGCTGACGGGCGTCCATCTTGGAGTTGGGCTTGTTCTTGCGGCTCTGCATCATCTGCCATGCATCCTGGGCGCGCCTTTGGGTATCGAATTCGATGAAAACTGCACCGACGAGCTCACCCTGACCATTCCAGTGCTTATCCTGCTCGGCAGTAATCTTAGGAATGAGTTCAGCCAGGTGCTGGCGGCCGTACTCAATGGTGTCGACTTTCTTGCCAATTAGGAATTTGAGCTTGTGGGTCGGGCGGTCCTTGGGGTTGAGCCACTTGGTACCATCCTGTGCGTTCTCGTTGACGAAGTGCTTCTTGTTCTTCTCAGCCTTCATTCTGTTCTTGTTTGCATCGGTCAAAAGCTTGACCTCGCCCGCTTCGAATTTGATGGCGGTCTTGTCACGGTCCTCGACAAGGTCCTCAAGCTCCTTGGTATTGGAGGCGACCCAAGCGTGCTTGACACCAGGAAACATCTCGAACAAGGCGCTCTGAGAGAGAGTCTTCGGCACATTGGTGAACAGAATGGTGCGCGCAGACAGGCGACTGGCGCCCCACGGTGATCTACGATAAGCCTGGCGAAGGTTCACGGTGTAGAACGATTCACGGGCGATAATTGCCATGACCATGCCTGCGTTCTGTTAGCCGGGTCCACTCTCCACCTGCTGTACGAAGACTTACTAAGGAAGATGGCCGAGATACACGCGTGGGCGTAGTAGCGGTTGCCGTTGACACCCTCGCTGTTCACGTTGCTCATAGAGAGCATGTCGAATTGCTGCTTTCCAAGGCCGCCAGTTGCGTTCACCGGGAACAGAACAGGCCAGGTGATGCAGGCACCCAAGAAACTCACAACAATCATCATCTTGAAGAAGCGCACAAACAGATAGCCGTCGATCGACTGGTGGTCTAGGATGTACTCATCCTTGAGGTTTTTGAAGTCCTTGATCCATCCAAAAAATCCTGGACTTGGGGCTGGAGTTTGTCGCTGTTCCCCCAAATGGTTGAGGTACGTCCTGGGCGCATACACTCGGCGGAAGGACTTGCGGAAGATGAAGAATGCCGCGACAAAGGCACCACCGAGGATTGCGACGGGTACCAGCGTCGACAGGAAGGATGACAAACTGTTCGACGCATCTCTGGCTTCGCCAGTTTGACCGCCCTGTTGCGACGCAATTAGCGTGTAATCACATGCCGAGTCATTGTTTACTCACAGTAGACGACATGATGGGCGTATAGGCAGCTGTCTGCGCCCTCGAGGACGATGGAGGTGCTGTTACCACACAGGGGACTGTGCGATTAGAAAAATGAAGAGGTCGTCGTCGCAACGCAATTAAACAGGATGCGGGAGCTATTGTACAAGTAGGTAGTCCCTAATGACGTGGGGCCCCTGCTCTAATCGGCCCAGTGGTTCGAACATGGGCAAGTGCGATCGCCCGCCAATGCGCGATTGGCCAATGCGGCCTCAGCTTCCCTTCAGTATTCCAACAATCCAGACCCTCACAGAGCGCTTCTTCACACACACCAGCCTCAGTTGAGGCGCAATCTTCTCTGGCAGGTGAGCGCTCTGCATCTCGGGATGCCCGTCGATGGGGCTGTGCAATCGTGCAGCTCCTGTACGGATGAAGTCGTCGTGGACCACCAGCCGTCGCGATCTTGATCCTGCGCTCGCCAGCCTCCCGCACACGATGATCGGTCGCGTTGGACACAGAGGCTTGCGAAAAGCAAGGCATTGATTCGTAGGTTCAGGGGTCACGGCACTCTCCCGCATTACGGTAACGAAAGTGCCGTCCAACATGCGTGCACACAGCATTAGGAGCACGCATTCAACGTTGATCACCTCAAAAGAGGGGATGCATGACGTTACTGTGCGAAAGAGGCATTGAAATGGCTCCCTTTCGCCCATCTCAGGACTTGGATTGTCCTGGCTGAAAACAAGGCTTCAATTCCTGCCAAGTGGTCTGTGTCGATCAGCGTAGCGTCTTGAGTGACACGCGCAACAAAGGCTGGTCCTGTGCGATGTCATCATCGTACCATCAATCTGGATCAGGTCGTCAACAACACCATCGCAACCGTTACGTGTGCGACGGGATTCGCGAAGCTGCAAACTATTGCAAATTGTCGTCTGCAGCCCTCATTATCAACCAGCGCAGCGGCAATCACCGTGGGCCCTCGCTTGCCCGATCTAGATCTCGAGTTCGGGGTGATCATTCAAACCCTTTCCCCATCCTCTGTGTCGTCCAATTTCCTAACCGCCCGACCTACCACATGACACGCACTAGACACGGCCAGGGCTCTGACGAGCAAAGTTTCAGCTCGTACCCCCTGTCAGCGGCTGCAGAGCCTCGTATATTTGATCTACTGGCGAGCCTGATTCGATTCTGCCGTCAAATCTGAGCTATCGTTTGTTGTTGCACAGCCACATGTGAAATCGGCTTCCTCCGTGGAGGGGCTGTGATGGCCACAAGAAGATGGTGTCGGGGTGTGCGTCGGTCAGAAAACTCATGAAGCAAATTTTAAGATCATATGTGCATAGTATGTAGATGCGCTGCTGGTCTTCGGCAGTCCAACGCACGTTGCTCGTGGATAGTTGCCCAGGTGGAGCTCCCACAACACCCCGTGCACTGCAACCAACACAGACATCGTTTTCGCAATATCTCGTCTCCTGCCAGTTCAGGTGCGACACCGATACACAACAGGGCCAATCACGTGACTGGTCAACACCACCTCATCATTCACGCAATGAAGCAGCCCCACCCCCTTTACCCTCGCTACCTAGACGAGCACGTCTAATACAGCACAATCCTGCGCTCACCCCCATAATCCAGAATTCCCATGTACTCCCCCCGTCAACACCCCCTCAATCCACACTCTAGAACCGCACACAAAACCTCAAATAAAACCGTGACCACAACCACGACACCACAACACAAAACCCACACCACGAACAGACACCCCAGCCGCACCGTCATCAACTGAAGCGCCATAAGTGAGCTGTGCTCGTTTGTGATCCTGTCTCAGGCACCGCTAGCACGCCCGGTGTACCGGTCTCGGGTACAGACTATCGATGGGTAAGTGACACCGGACTCGCGCGTGCTAGATGGGGTTCATAGGAGAGCGGTGTGAGTGGGTGGTCCTGATGGCTGTTAGCCTCAGGGTTTTGTGGGATGTTGGTGCTTGGTGTGAAACTTGGGGGGCGCAGAGGGAGAGGCGGGGAGTATGAGGTTGGCACTTGGTAGCAACGTGAGACTGTCAGGTGGTCTCTTGCTGTCGCTGAAACAACCACAAGACGTAAGAATTTTGTGGATATTCTGATTTCGACGACAAAAAGTGTCCATACGATATCCCCCAACTGTATACATACAACGCCATACCCAACGGCGCTGCGCTGATCCAACTCCAAACGCCACTACAAACAACCCCTTCCTGTCGACCAACTAAAACGCCCTCCCAGCATCCCTTGCAGCAAACCTCCGTCTCGCACTCACACTCCTCTCCAGATTCCGCTCCACACTCCCATCTCTCAGATCCCCCACCAACTCCTCGGGCAAATACTCCCTGCCCCTCGCCTCGCGCCTCGGCTCAGAATCCAGCCTGCCGGGATAATTCACCGACGCCAGGGACTGCGCATCGATGCGCTCATCCGCCGTGAACGCGTGGTGCTCCGACGCGTCGTCGAGGAAACTGCGCTGCGTGTCCGCGGTGGTGGGGCGCGAGTGGCGGCCACGGCTGCGGGAGCCAGGGCGGGACGGGGGCGAAGAGGAGTTGCTGCGGGAGCGGGGGTGGGGGATGGTGGGGACGGGTGGTGCGGTTAAGGGGTCGTGGAAGGCGCTGGTGTCGGATGCGAGGGAGTCTTTGCTCTGGTACCATGATTCTCTGGTGTGTTTGTGGGCGGATTCGTGGGAGTCGTGGTGGATTAGGGTGGGCTCGCTGCTGAGGGAGTCCTTGTGGTATGTGCGGCTGTGCTTACGGCGCAGTTTTTGGTTGGCCATGGTTGAGGTTGGGGAGGCGGGAGTAGAGAGGCGAGGGTCAATGGGGGATTCGGGGCTTGCGGGGCGGTAGGGAGTGTTCTGGTCCGAGTAGCAGTTGGAGACGACGGTGCCTACGCCGGCTTCTGGCGGTTGCAGGGAGCGATTGAAGTCCTCTGTTTCTTGATCCTTCTCGCTCATAATTTGGTTGCTGTCGCTCCCAGTCCCGTTTCCACTGCTGCCACTGCTGCCCATGACCCTGCGATGCCAGGAGCTGTTCTGGTACTGGAAATCCATGCGCTTCTCGCCGCGCTTCCCGAACCACAGCGGCTCGTTCTGGCTGATCCTCACCACGTTGAACCATGAATTGCCGGGTTCGTCCTCGGCAAGTGCAAAGATAACGTCAATTTCTTCGAGGGAGCGGAAGGCCGTCTCTGGGTAGAAGAAGTAGATGGCGGGGATGATAGCGAAGTTAGTAACAGCAAGGATGATCCACGTGCGATAGCCGATGTTGTTGAAGGCGACAGGCGTGACAAAGACGAGGCTACTGACTGTCAGCGTCGGACTTGAAGTATCCAAGGTTACTCACATGAAGTTGAACATCCAGTTGGCGCTTGTGCTCAGCGCGTTTGCCGGCCCACGGATTCTCAGAGGAACGATCTCGACTTGGTAGAGCCAGGCCATTCCTTGCCATCCAATAGCGAAGAACATAGAGAAGGCAAAAAGGAAGACGGTGCTGGCAACTCTGGCACCAGCAAGATCCTGCTCAGTCCAGAGGTACTGCATGATCGTGATGAGGACCATGCAGCCGCTCATGCCAGAAGCGCCAAACATCATCAGTGACCTACGACCCCAGAAGCGGTCGATACCAACAACGGCGACAAAACTGGCAAGGAAGTAGGTCGTCGCAGAAAGGCCAGCTAGCAGACGTGACAGCCATCCCGAGTAGGACATGCGGGTGAAGAAGATCCAACTCAGGTACTGCAGGACGAGGTTGATACCAGTCCCTTGTTGAAAAACCTGGACGAAGTACGCAAGAACGACACGGTGGAAGCCTCGGCGCTCCTTATTCGAGAACATGCTTGCTGTTGTTCCTTGAGCCATGATCAGAATGGCGTCCTTGATTTGCAAGAACTCGTCCTTGATCTCGAAATCATCGATGTCGGCATCGTTGAGGGCAGCGAGGACGTTCAGCGCCTCTTGCTCTCGGCCTGTTAGAATGAGCCAGCGGGGACTCTCCGGTAGGAAGAACAGCAGCGCGATGGCAGGTAGGGAGAAAATGATCTGGAACGCTATCGGGACGCGCCATGCTGCCGAAGAATCAACGTAAGCAAAGGCGAAGGTGAGCCAGTATGACAACGCATAACCTGCTGCGACGAAAGCTCCAGCGCTGATCATCAAGATTGTTCCCTTCCGATGTGACTTGACACATTCTGCCTGGTACGCTGGAGCCGTGGCTGTGGTGAACCCATTGCCTGTGTCTGTGTCAGTGATCTACCTCAACACTTCTAGGGGATGCATACCAAAGCCGGCAATGGCTCGTCCTACAATGAACTGTGTAAAGCTATATGAAGAAGTCTGGATGATCTCGCCGATCGTCCATATTGTAATACCGACAAGCAGTGTCCGTCTGCGACCGAGAGAATCGCTGACCACGATACACAAGAGGGCAGAGGCCAGACATCCGAGATTCCATGATCCCACAGCAAGACCTATATTTGTCAGTGAGATACAATGCACAGCTACAATGTACTGAACATACCAGTCACCCACGAACTGTGAAACGACGCCTGTGCCGGATCCAAAGTATCGACCTGCGGAAATCGCTCGAGGAACTGAGGCACAGTCAAAAGTCCGCCTAAAACACCCTGTGCATAACCGAAGCACCTGTCAACTGTCAGTCACCTAGCTCCGCCCAAAGTCGCGCCCACGACGCATGCATGAACGACCTACAAGAAGCACAATCCACAAACACCACTGATAACAGCAGCAAGGCGTCCGCCCCTCAGACCAAGATACCTCTGCATCGTGTACAGTGCTTCAAACAACGCAGCAACAACAGAGAAAAGCGCAAACCCATCAACGGCTACTCCGCGGCGCCCACCACGCTTATCAAACCCAGCCGTTAATGTGAACCTATCCACGGTTCCCCAGCTTCGCGCTCCAACAGAGCCTTCGGGCTAACGTCATGACCCATCTCGCCATCTGGCAGCAACGGGCAACCGACGTCCGCCAGGCCCGGAACAGTAAAACGCGGGTTCAAGATGTCAGGTACCGGGGTGCGGAGCGCTGGCCGAGACGGCTCAGCTGGCATGCTGATGTCATGGGAGGTTAGCGGCGATATACGAGAGTGGACTCAAAGTTTAACGATCCGTCGTTTGCACGTTCTCGCCGCTTCGTCTTCAACGCAGTCCACCTACCTATGTAGATGACTGTACACACTTGACATGTGTAGTTGAGACTGAGTTGAGGCGCTCAAAAGCAAACACAGCTCGCGTTGCACGACGCCGGATGGCCCCCGCAGAGTCTGTACGTAGGCGATTCTGCACGCGCGATCCCAAGCCGAACTCTGGTTCGCGGCGGTCGAACCCACTCGGCGATGACCTACTGCGCGTGTCTGGCTGGTGGACGATGTGGCCAGCCAATCGGAAGCGACCTCGGCTGGGATCCCAATCTTCGCGACCTGTCGACGCATCCGATGTCCCTATCCCAGCCGTTGCTTTGCGAAAGCTGAGCGTGAGCTGAGCATGAGGCTGTCACGAGCTGAGTTGAGAGATACGCAACTCAACTGTTGGCTTGGCCGTTGACAGCAGCCTGCGGGCCTTCCGCCTTGCGCACGCCGAACAGGTACGAAGTAGGTGAATTAACCCAACACAATCGATAAACCGAAGAAAACATTTCCAAGCGATCGGCACCGCCGCAGCGCGCTCCGGGCCACTGAGCCGACGAGTGCGATGCGGCTAGCAAGGGGTGGTATTGCGATTGGCGTGTTGCGGCGAAACGGCGAGACGGCGAGACGGGGCTTTACTTTTGAGTCTTGACAGACTGGCTTTGACGGACAGACCTTGACTCTTGACAGCGGAGCTGCTGCTGAGAACCGCCGCGGCGGGCATGTGAAGATAGTGGGAAGTGGGCCGAGGCGAGGCAGCGTTGCGGCAGGCGTTGTACTGCTTCCGAGACTGCACTTTTCGTTGCTCGATTGGCGATGGGCTTCGTGTGTTATGCTCCTAGGATTCTGAAGGACTGACGGTATTTCTTACAGCTCATGCTCACAACAATCTTCTAAACTAGAAGAGCTAGTACCGTACTGTGCCGCAGACTTGATAGATCTGAGACAGCATGTAGGAAAATGTTGAAATCTGATATGCTTAGGGATTTTCAAATACGTGTGCAACGAGTCAATCTCGCAGCTTGTAAAGATTTGACACGTTGTCTAGGGTCTGTTAGGGGTGAGGTACGTTGGAGGTAGAGGCAAGAGCAGATCTGTTACTTCCTCGTGCAGGACTGATCCGAACATCTAGATTGCATCATCGCAGAAACACACATTGCATATAAGCAATACGTCCAAACGCCTGCACAACATACCTCTACAGTAGGTACACAAGCAACTGCATCTTTCCATGCATGATGCAGCCTTATAGCGAGCGCCTCTACGGCGTGGGAGCCTAGGTACGAAATGCAAATAGACAGGAACACTAGATGCCGCCTTCTGTTGGAATTCCTTAGCCCAGGAGATTTGCAATGGCGTGTCTAGCTCGTTGTTGCAGTAGGTCTGATGCAGAGGCAGAACTAATAGACTACTACACGTACCCGTAATTTACTATAACAAGTTAAAGTTTAACAGAGTGGCTAGGGGAAGTTAGTCTTTTAGTACTGTGTTGGTATGTTGTGCTTCAATCAAGTGCCTCGTACTACTGTCTCTGCAGTACGCGCTAGGTGTCCTTTTTGAGTGTCGGATGAGCGGTGGTGCTCATAATCGCATGAGCCTCTTGAAGTGAGGTGGTAGCGTTCCGCGGAAGAGATGGCTCACATCTGACATGGTGCTGTCGTGAACGACTGTAGTTTTGAGGAACTCTGTTATCGTTGGAGCCGCTCACCATCGCTGTAGCTTGGCATGCTACTACCACGAGCATGGCCCTGAGTGGAAGCATGGGGCAGACTTACACCACCTCTTTCCCAAGGTGCACAGTAGTTGTAGTCTCGCCAGACATGTGCATAATGTGTCGATTTGACATGGCACGAGGAAGCACATTGAGTAAAAGGACCAGGCTTTGCTGATTCATTCATCTATACACTACAACCATGTTATACATATATACACCTATCGTCTCCGCCCACTCACTTGGCCAAAAACTTCTGGAACGCCTCCTGCTCGACAACCACATTCCCGACCGCCCTGAGCTTCTTGCGGCCCTCCTTCTGCTTCTCGAGCAACTTCCTCCTGCGTGACAAATCACTCGCGTGCAGCTTCGCCAACACGTCCTTGCGGAAGGGCTTGATGGTCGCGCGAGCCACAATACGTCTGCCTGCGGCGGCCTGGATCACCACCTCAAACATCTGCCGCTCGACGTGGGTCTTGAATTTCTCGACCCAGTTGCGGCCCACGCGGTCCACCTGGCTGGTGTGCAGGACGCGGGAGACGGCGTCGACGGGCTGAGAGTTGACGAGCAGGTTGAGCTTGGTGATGGAGGAGCGGTGGAAGCCGGCGTCTTCGTAATCGAGGGAAGCGTAGCCTTTCGTGCTGCCTTTGAGTTTTCCGAAGAAGTCGTCGACGAGGTGGGACAGGGGGAGGTCGTATTTGAGGATCACTTGGGTGGCGGTGAAGAAGGTGAGTTCTTTCTGGATGCCGCGGTTGGACTCGCACAATTTGATGACGTCGCCGAGGTATTCCTGCGGGAGCGTGATGGTGGCCAGGACGTAGGGCTCGTGGACTTCTTGCACTTTGAAGTGGAATTCGTCGGCATCGGGGAAGTCGTTGGGGTTTGTGATTATGCTTTCCGTGCCATCGCGCCACATAACTTTGAAGGGGACGGAGGGTGGCGTGATGATGATGTTGGCGCCGTGCTCCTGGCGCAGGCGGTCTTCGAAAACGGAGCAGTGCAGGGTGCCGAGGAAGCCCAGACGCCAGCCTGCGCCGAGAGCGTCAGATGACTCCTTCTGCAGGGTGACGGAGCGGTCGTTGAGAATGATCTGGTTGATCGAGTCCTCAAGATGCTCGTGATTGTCTTGATCAGTAGGGAAGGCGGCGACGAAGACCATGGACTTGGGCTCCTCGAAGCCGGGGTAGGGCTCGACCAGCTTCTCGGAGCCAACGGTGGTGTAGGTGTCGCCGACTTTGGCTTCCTGTGAGCGCTTCATGCCCGGGTTGAAGTGGATGTAGCCGACCTGGCCGGCCTTCAGGACGGTCTGCGGCGTCTGGTCCGGGTACATGATGCCGACCTCACCAACGATGTACTTCAGACCGGTGGCAAACGAGCGTACCGTGTCGCCAGGGCGCACCTCGCCGTCGAAGACACGTACAAGCAGGATGACGCCCTTGTAGACGTCGTACCACGAGTCGACCAGCAGCAGGCGCAGCGGCTTGCTCAGATCGCCGACAGGGGCGGGTATCTTTTCGATGACGGTGGGCAACAGGGCAGCGACGTTAAGGCCCGTCTTCGCAGACACCAGCACGGCGTCGGCGGGATCCAGCTCGAACGTCTCCTGCATCTGCTCGAGCACGCGTGGCGAGTCGGCGTGTGGCAGGTCGACCTTGTTCAGCACAGGCACCAGCGTCAGGCCCTGCGAGAAGGCCAGGAAGAAGTTGGCGACCGTCTGGGCCTGCACGCCCTGGCTGGCATCGACCAGCAGCAGCGCACCGCCGCACGAGGCGTAACTGCGCGAGACTTCGGCACGGAAGTCGACGTGGCCGGGGGTGTCGACGAGGTGCAGCAGGTAGTCGTCGCCGCCGTGGTTATAGAGCATCGTACACGTTTGCGCCTTGACGGTGATGCCGCGCTCGCGCTCGACGTCCAGGCGGTCGAGGATCTGCTTGTTGCCGCCGGGCTGGATGGTGCCCGTGAGCTCCAGCAGCCGGTCCGAGAGCGTGCTCTTGCCATGGTCGACGTGGGCAACGATGCAGAAGTTGCGGTAGCGCTCGATGGGGATGGCGGCAATGCGCTTCTCGAGCTCGGTCTGCGCGCGGAAGGCCTGCGCGTAGCCCCGGGCGGCGAAGGGGAGCTCAAGGACATGGGCGAGTGACGGGCGTGGGCGCGGGACGCCGTGGACGAGCGGGCGACGCGCCTGCGCCCGCCAGCCTTGCAGGAGGCTGCTCGCGGTCCGGACGCATAGTCGCATGGGTGGGCATGGAGGGGCTCGGTGGCTGCGGCGATGGACTGCGTCGTCGTCGTCTGGAAAATGTGCAGAGCCGCCTTATCTAATCAACGCCCGTCCCGCAACTGCAGCAGCTCCAGCAGGAGCCGCTCACGTCCCCACACACCACTACGCCGCATCCGTCTGCAGCATTGGCCTCACGTGTCTGACGCTCGCCTGCACGCTTTGGCGCTTCGTTGCACGCATACGCCGTGTTGTGTGCGTTGACGCCTGCAGCCTCGGCCAGAGTTGCGTTGACAGCCTCGCCATCAACAGCCTCAACAGCCTCAACCGCCGCCAACACCCCGCCATTGAGCCCACCGCCAACATGTCTGAGCCACGCACCACGAGGTCGACCAAGACCAGCTCCTCCACAGCCAAGTCTGCATCAGCCTCAAAATCCTCTTCAAAGTCGGCCTCAAAGTCTACGTCCAAGTCGGCCTCCAAGTCCAAGTCGGCCAAAAGCGACGAGTCCAAGGTGCACAAGCTTGCGCTGAAGGGCTCGTCCAAGACCGTCAACGAATTCGTGAGTTGGCCTACATGATGCAAAACCCCGCACGACTCACCTTACCCAGTTCGAATACTCCATCAACACCATCTTGTAAGACAGGCCAGATCCAGCCAGACCTCCAGCCAGACCGTGACTTACCCCTGCAGGTTCCAGCGCGGTGTCTATCCCGCCGAAGACTTCACCGCGTAAGTCCGCCACACACCTTTTGCCGGCTGTGGCACCTCTGACACCAGCCAGGGTCAAGAAGTATGGGCTGACTATGATGGGTTTGTGCGCCGTCCCGCTCGTCTGCACCACCGCTGACGCACGCAGTGACCGCCGATGACCAGGTCAAGGCGTACATCAAGAAGATCATGTCGCAGCTCAAAGAGTGGATGTATGGCGGCAAGATCACCAAGCTCGTGATCGTCATCACCAGCAAAGAGACCGGCGAGCACGTCGAGCGATGGCAATTCGATGTGAGTTGGGCGCAAGGCTGATCACTGATCGTCGGCTTTAACGATTGCAGGTCCAGATTTTCGGGAAGAACGCAAAGACCAAGCCGTCAAATACTGCTGTCGACCAGGAAAACGAAAACTCGGTTCCAGAGTAAGTATTCCCCGAGAACAAAGAGACTCACCGCGCGCTAACATTTAGTGCCAAGGGCAGCCGAAGTTCCAGAAGAGAAATCTGAGGCTGAGATTCAAGCTGAGATCCAGTCCGTTTTTCGACAGATCACGGCCTCGGTAACTTTTCTGCCCATGCTCGACGGAAACTGCACCTTCAATGTGCTCGTATATGCCGATGCAGACTCGGACGTGCCATTGGAGTGGGGCGATAGCGACGCCAAAGAGATCGAAAACGGCGAAAAGGTACAGTTGAGAAGCTTCAGTTCTAGCAACCACCGGGTGGACACACTAGTAAGCTACAGGTACGTCGAATTCGATACAGCAATACATGTGTTGGGACTGACCAGTCCAGGCTTGGCGACTAGGCCTCAATCTACACAATCCCTACCTGCAGTAGCTGCTGGCATTGAGATATGCTATCTTTGCACAAGCTTGTTTCCAACCCTGTCTTTTCTTAGCTGCAGCTCGACTCAACACGCATCCCGCACATGCAGCTGGGAATACGGGCCACACTCCGTCTGACGCCTGGCTGCCTCAATTCAAAAAGTTTGAACTTCGAACGCTGCCCACCAAGGAGTGGGACAGCGCGAGGCGGACCGTACTCTGAAGCTGCCAAAGTATGGGCCTGAGCCACAGGCCCTCTTTTCATACAGGTTCAGCTCTCGGCAAGGCGGAGGCGCACGTGGAGGGCGTTCGCTTCAGCATGCTATCGCAGGCCTGGGTGGGGCTCAGGTTCCAATATATACATATTCTAAACAGTCTTACCATATACAGCGTTCAACCAGCATGGCGAGGACGATTTCATGACACGACTGTCGACGCTAGCCCATCGTTGTCGACGTTGGGGCACTAGTGGAACCCAAAGCGGCGCCCCTACCGCACTGACGCAGTGTAACTCTTATCGCACCAAACACGGGAGCCCCCAATCCTCAAAGAGCTGCAGCCGCCGTATCTGCAGTGCCAATACTTGTCAGCACGCGCCTAGAACGCAGGGCTGCACGAGGCTGCGCAGAATCACCCACTCTCGAGGTTCGAGCTTCACCGTCGACATCGACGCAGGCTCTCCGCCGGTGTTGCGCGACTGCACATCTGCGACGTCGCTGATGGCTTCAAGTGAATGAGACTATCGATTTGAGATTTCGCGTACCTTGCGGAAGGCCGAAAACTCTGCTATTAATACAGATTAGGGCTATCTAACGGGAGAGCGACCCCTAGTCAGGCTCTAGTCAGGGGTGAGAGCCTGTCATGGAGCAGACTACTGCCGAGCTCTGGTTTGACCAGTGGCAGCCACCCGGAACACCACAACGCGCCACTACAACCTGGTCGACCACGTATGAACCAAGTTGCTCAGAACAGCCAGCTGCTTTAGCTGCGCCCCTAAATTACACTTCGTAACAATGTTCGGGCTGACAGATGCAGCCGCATCACCATGTTGTCAATCCGCCGCTGAGATTGCCTGTCGGGGCTAGCCTCACCCGGAGTCTGGTTCGTTGATCGCATCCTCACGGAACGGACCAGCCTCGCTAACCAGGAATTTCCTCGACAGGGTGTCCAGGCGGTCCAGCTTGTGTGCTTTGGGCCCACAGTGGTGTTGATCTACCACGGAACCTTTCAGCTCTCGCTTGCGCCCACGCCGAAGTCTCAGTGATCCACAATCTCGATAAGCTTCTGGTAACTCGTCTCTACAGGACCTAGTGGCCGCCACAGTGCTGTTCTTGGGTTTTGATCTGGGCCCATAGTCGAGTTCAGCGTGTCGCTAGTTTAGGTCTGCAGCATAGTCGCTCTGCCCGACATCTGCTTTATCTTCCAGTGCTTGCCCGTTGTAACGAATTTTTGGATTGCAGCATATTCATCAGGCGGTTTGCCTGACCCTCGACCCTGTGTGTACTATCGCTAATCCACTCGCTACCACTTGTTATCGACCACTGCATTACTTGATCACATTCGTTCCAGTGCTCATACCCAGCACAACAGCACAACATTAATATGGGTTTCTTCAAGCTGGGGAAAAAGAAGGGTGGGGATGTGGAGCTGGAGGAGAAGAAGGGCGATATCCAGCCGGTCGAGCCTTTCATGCCAGCTGCTCCCAGATGGCCTGGCAGCCTGGCATCACACCCTGGGTCAACTACTGACCTGCCCAGCCAAAATGGTGGCCCAGGCGCGAGCTTCCTCGACGTGAAGTGCGAAGTCATGGCACAGTGGCTTCACTCAAAACAGGAAGAGAAGATTTGGACGAGCGGCGAACCCGGTGAGGGTGTACTGGTGAAGAAGTCAAAGGGCTCGTATGCCTTCTCACCGCCGGAGTTGTTCGAAGACGGCTCTGGCCTATACCAGGCTGTGGCTGCTCTGAACGTTAGGGTATGTTGACACACCACGACCGACTAACGACCTTACTGACCGTATCAGTGTGCTATGACTGTCAGCACCCGAGTTCTGCAACTGTTCATGGCCGCGAGACCCGACGAGCACTTCATCCAGATTCACCGAACACTCCGCCTCCAGGTTGTTCCCGATATCAGCGCCCTGCCACACTGCCAAAGGCATCAGTCTGCTGCTTTCATTGCCAACACCGCCACTCTTCTCGTTTGGGAAGACGAGCCCACAAGACTGCTCGAGCGAGCAGAGTACATCCAGGATGCTCTGATGAAGATGTCCTGGAAGCCTGAAGCTGAGGAGGAAGGTTCAGAGGAGAAGAACGATGGCAAGAAGCCGTTCGTGAACATCGTTGAGTACGATGATATGCCTGAAGAGGAGGCTGGTGTTGAACAGAAGCCCCGTGAGACACTTCTGTGGCAAACTGTCTACGAGGCAATCACCGTTGCTCTTGTCGTCACTGTCATCGGTCTTGGATGGAGGAGTGTCGCTATTGAGATGATTCAGGACCCTAACTGGATGCGTCTGCTATTCATCATCGTCTTCCCTGCACAGTTCTGGCTCGCTTTGGTAAGTCATGTCACCCCATTCGTCAACCCTAGACTAACAACCACAGTTCTTCATGCAAACCCTGGTCAGCAACTGCGCGCAAGTCATTGGTCCCGTCGGTCACATGGAAGAGAACAGCAAATACTACTCTGGCAAGGCTCCTCGCCGTCTCCACCGCGACACATTCGGTCCTCTACCCCACGTCACTATCCAGATGCCTGTCTACAAGGAGGGTCTCCGCGCTGTCATTGAGCCCACGGTCCGTTCCATCAAGCAGGCAATGTCTACCTACGAACTCCAGGGCGGCACAGCCAACATCTTTATCAACGACGATGGTATGCAGCTGATCTCCGCCGAGGAGGCCAAGGCCAGGCAAGACTACTACGACGAGCAGCAAATCGGCTGGGTCTCGCGTCCCAAGCACAACCCCAAACCCGCCGAAGGTGAGAAGCAGTTTCTCCGTCGCGGAAAGTTCAAGAAGGCCTCCAACATGAACTACGCCATGCGTCTCTCTGTCCAGGTTGAAGAAGCGCTTGCCCTTACGCCCCGTCACAGCCAATGGACTCAACACGATGAGATTAACGCCTACCGCAACGCCCTGCAGCGTATCCTCGTTGAGCGCGAAGGTGAGGCCTGGGCCGATGGCAACATCCGTATGGGCGACTACATCCTGATCATCGACTCGGATACACGTGTGCCCAACGACTGTTTCTTGGAGGCTGTCTCCGAGATGGAGCAATCGCCCCAGGTCGCCATTCTGCAGTACGCCTCCGGTGTCATGAACGTAACAAACTCGTTCTTCGAGAACGGCATCACCTTCTTCACCAACCTGATTTACACTATGATCCGCTTTGCTGTCTCCAGCGGTGACGTCGCCCCCTTCGTCGGTCACAACGCTATCCTTCGCTGGTCTGCGCTGCAGAACATTGCCTACGACTGTGAGGATGATGGCTGGGAGAAGTGGTGGTCTGAGTCCACCGTGTCTGAAGACTTCGACATGGCTCTGCGCCTGCAAGCTGAAGGCTACATTGTGCGCCTCGGTGCCTACAAGAATGGCGGCTACGAGGAAGGTGTCTCCCTCACCGTATATGACGAGCTTGCCCGTTGGGAGAAGTACGCGTACGGCTGCAACGAGCTCATCTTCCATCCCTTCAAGGACTGGCCATTCAAGGGTCCCTTCACTAAGCTCTTCCGCACATTCATCTGCTCAAACATGCCCATCCACTCTAAGCTCACAATCATGGCTTATATCGGCACTTACTATGCGCTCGGCTCCCAATGGGCCTTAACTCTGATGAACTACGTCTTGATCGGTCTGTGGAACGGCCACTACGACCATTACTACCTCGACTCGTTCAAGATCTTCTTCTCCATCGTCATCGTCTTCACAGCCTTCGGTAACACCGCCCTCGCTGTCCTCCGCTACCGCATCGGCGAATGCGGTCTCCTTAAGGCTCTCTTCACCAACTTCAAATGGGTCCCGCTGATGACCGTCTTCCTAGGCGGCATCTCGCTGCACGTCTCGCAAGCCCTCCTCTGCCACTTCTTTAGCATCGACATGCAGTGGGGCGCCACCTCCAAGGAAATTGAGGACATCTCCTTCTGGGAGGCCATCTCCGACGTCATCAAGAAGTTCAAGTACACATTCGTCTTCTGCATCACCGCGACCGCCGGCATGATCTGCATGGCCTACGTGGTCCCCGTCGACTGGCAGATCCGCACCCTGGTCGCCATCTTCCCCATGGCGCTGATGGTCGCGAACCACTTCCTGCTCCCCATTGTGCTGAACCCGCAGCTCATGACCTTCACCTGGTAGATTTTTTCGCGCACATACCTGTTTTTTCAAGTTCACTCCTTGATTCCCGAAAGGCGCCCGCGGCATGTATATTGGCGGGCTGCTGAGGGGCGTAATTTAATGGCGCATGGTGTACATGGGGCCCATCCGCACCGGATGGATGGTAAAGCGATTAGAATACTAAGATTAATGATACTCTCGTTCACACATCACCCGCACTCTCACACCGCATCATCAATGTCGTGACTTCGTATGCAATCGCAATAACTCGATTATGCACCATACTCGCAATCTCGAAGCACGACCGAGGTACTCACATCCTCAATCCCTCCTCCTCGCTCGTGCTCCCTGCGCCATCCACCGCACGCCACCGCAAATCTCCCCCAACGCCACGCATGTCAGCCGCACCCCAGCCCAGCGCGTGCCCGCGCAGAACCGTGGTTCACGCGCAGATCCGGCGACCAGGAACTGGTGCACTGCGGTGCTGGACCGCGGTCTCGGGCCTAGGGTCGAGGGGGGTGCATGGCGACGATTGGGTTAAATAAGGGGTTGATGCCTAGGTGGTGGTGGTGGTGTTGGTGTTAGTGTTGGTAGTGCGCGTGGGCGTGGGAGGTCACGTGGAGGCGTGGAAGTTGGGTCACGTGCACATGCCCCAGCTGGCGAAGGGTGTATTGCGTTGGACGCAGGGTAGGCAGGGGTGGAGGTGTGTCTAGCTCTGTTCGTATGTGCATGCATATGCGTGGGCGGGGGGTGGCGGAGGCGCTGTGGAGATGATGTGCTTTGTTGCTTTTGCTTGGGTTTGAGGGATCGCATGGGCTGCTTTGTTTTGCGGTATTTCGCGTTACGGGGGTGAGTAAGCGGCGGGAGGACGCTGGGGAAGGGTGTGTTCTGGGGCTGTGAGGTGAGTGTTGGGATTGCTTAGGTATATGGGGGGGGGGGGGGGGGGGGGGGTTCTGCGGCGCTGGGAGCGCGGTATGAGGATCAGCAGCGCAAGATGACTGGCTTGCAATGCTGGGCTTGCATATCATCGTAAGCACCTTGCTGCGGTGGGTGGCGCGATGGAGAGAGTAGGCGTGAGTACAGGCAATAAGCATAGGAGTGGGATGCAGCGTCGACTCCATCAGTTTCAAGTGGCGCGAGGCTATCGAGATGGTGTTTTGAATCGACCTATCAACCTCCTTCCTGCTCTACTCTGCGTCCAGGATGGACTGGGGTGGCGGTATTATGGTGTTAATGTTAAATATTGTTACAATTAACGATACGGACTGCAACATTGGCACTTCCCCCCTTCACATAGATGCTACGGATCTCCTAGTGCTCGGCATAGTTACACAGACAGTTCTTTCTCCTCGAAATCACCCTTCTCCCCTGCTTCTCGCCGAGCGACCTTCTCGGCTGCTCTCCTCTTTCGGCTGTCGAGCTTGTCTCTGTCTTCGCGCATTTGTCGGATCAAAGCACTCTTCTCCCGGATCTTGTGTCCATATCTGTAGAAAACGAGCGGGATGGGAATCATTGCGAATTCGATAAGGGAGAGCATTGTTGCGGACCAGTGCGGACCAAGCGTGGCGTACCTAAGATGGTTAGTCGATGACACCGAAGTGATGAAAATTATAGACAGGACTTACATCTTGGGGCCAGCCAGAGGCAGCGCACCGCCCATGATGCTTCGGAGGACAGCGTTGCCCGCCAGTGCCGACGCGGCGTAGATGCCGTACGAGTGGACGAGATAGTTCGATGCGTAGATGAAGACTCCACAGTTACCTGCACCAAACGGTATACCTGCGAGGATGGGTGCGATCCAGTGCACGTTTGGCGTACATGTCCATGCGAAGATCATTTCTCCAACCGGCACTGATACCGCGGCTAGACACACCACGCTGACCATGGCTTCCGGGTATGGCTTCCCAGTCTCAGGATCTTTAGGGTGCGCGTTGATCATCTTGCGGAGTAGAGGCTCGCAGGAGATGACGATTACGCCGCCAATGCCAATGCCCATGTACGAGAGACCGGTCATGCCGGGTGACCAGCCGCGCAGCTCGGAGAATACGATTGGGTACGAGACGAAGCATAGATAGAGCACGCCGTACACGAGGGCTATGTAGACGTTCCAGAAGATGCAGATAGGCTCATTGATTGCCATGGAGAGTGGCCGGTACAAGTTCTCGCGCAACATTGGTAGGAACGACTTCTTGTCATCGTAGCGAGAGTACCAGCGGGGCTCGTCGGTCTCTTTGCGCTTCTTTGCAGACTTGCTTCGCAGGATAGCTGGCGCATACGTCTCAGGGATGAGGAACACCATGAACCACGATGTACCCGAGCCGATCATAACAACCCAGTTGGTCCACCGCCACCCTAGAGCCTGGTACACAAAACCTCCGACCAGCGGCCCGACCACTGGTCCATTCATTGGACCAAGACTCCATATCGAAAAAGCGAGAGCGCGGTATTCGTCATTGACCATGTCGGAGACGGTTCCCGGGGCGTTGGAGATCATGGCTGCGCCGGCGATGGCCCCGAAGAAGCGCATGACGAGGATCTGAGCAAGGTTGTTGGACAACGCACAAGGAATAATTAGGATCGTGAAGACGGCAACCGCGATGAGATAGACCGGTCTGCGGCCGTACATCTCACTGAGAGGTGCCAGGAGTAGCGACCCCACAGCCAATCCTGCCAGGTAGGTGGTGATACCCAGGACGACGAGTGTTTTCGATTGAATGCCGAAAGTGGCCATCATACCTGGAATGCCGCTAGTGTAGCTTGTCGAATACATAACTACAACGAGGGTTGAGTAGCTCATGAAGAAGATAACGAGGGCCTTACGCCACATGGGCCATTCCTGGGGATTCTCGCCATCCTCATCGAAGTCAATCTCAAAGCGCGGATCTGTGGTCATGTTCGTTGTGGTCGTCGTGATGTGCGCCATCGACTTGTCGCCAGGATCATCGAGGCCGGCATTGCGACTCAGCGACTGGTGTATCGAGAGCACTTCGTCGGTGTCGCTGAGTGAATCGGTCGATGCCGAGGAGATCGATGAATGGTCATCATCTAGATGGGCCTCCAATGTCTGCGAGTCCTCGGTCGCATGCGTCGTGACCGATCGCGATGCTGTCTCTTTCGCAGACGACTCAGCACCCGCAACCTCCTTGTTGTTGAGGCTCATGACGCCTTGAAGCTTGAACCCCACTTTTGCGGTTAATTGTGGTCGGAAGTCAATGAACACCACCAGCGCCTTCTCTTAACGAGCGCTCAATGAGACCAGTGGGATGAAAAGCTGCCAGTTTTGTCGCGCCAAAAAGCTTCGTTCCTGCGTCGCGCCAGTGCCACATGAGACAGTAGCAGAATCCTTCGACTTAGCTCTCAAGGGCGGCCTGCAGATAGGACGCGGCGCGCTTCCGCGTCCGTATAACTTTATTTCGCCACGGGAATAACATCCCGTTACCGGTGTTATCGCAGCGAGATGGCGAACTGCAGCAATTGTGGACGCTTTCGGTCGCACCTTCCACACAGGGTGACCTGACATGACTCGGTGTTGCTTTGCGCCGAGGACCGGAGTTCTACAGGTGATACATAAGCAAGGCTGACGCAGGATGTTGCGATGCTTGCGAGGCGATAAGGAGTTTAGGGCGTCTATAATCGAAGCTTGAAGCTGTAAAGATCTGCTTATTTGCTGAGCTGATGAAGGTAAGGTAAGGTAGGAAAGGTGTGTGCGTAAAGATGTTAGCGGCAGGAGCGAAACTCACGCGTCACATCTCAAACCTCAGACCTCACCGCGTCATTGTATCACCAGCACAGCAGGTCCACAACATAGTACCATCGGCAACAGTTGCTTAAAACTGTTATCTCTACAACTGACATCTATGAAGTCGACTGACACGCAGCTTTTACGCAAACTTACACCGGCCTTTCTACCATGTGAAGGAGTCCAAGCTAGGCACGACCTGGTGGACGCGCGGGTCGATCATAGCAACATTCGAATTGCAATAGGCCCTCATCTACGAATCACGAATGAGACCTTCATATGATTTGAGGAATATGGATGCATCCTCGTCGCTCGCACATTTCATGTACTATCTGTCGCTATAAAGGTGAGGAGTCGAAGAGTGTTAGCTTTTTCTTCTTGCGAGTATTCATTTGACCTCTTCTTCCCGCATGTGTACATACAGCCCATCTTCGTCCTTCTGCTGCTTGTTCCTGCACCCACGCGTCTTTATCCTTGGGCACTGTCCGGCTTGACTTTGGCCACGTTAACTTAAAGGCAGCTGCTTTCCGATCCAGGCAACTGATATATGCCTAGCTGGTTGTCAAAGACTGTACGCCTACAGCTCCGCGCGTGGAGAGGATTCTGAAAGAGTTAGTTGCATACGGCAGCGCGGGTTGAAAGTTTGATACCACGAAAGCGCAAACAGATAAGTAATGACCGATCGCCGGTCACATGTCCTTCTATGCCTGGAATGGGTGCCTTGTCTGCTCGGTCATGCGAGGTGGCGTTCATGGTGAAGGGCAGCTGCACGTTGCCGCCGCAGCTCTTGGCGGGCGCCAGGGCAACATGCTCTCGCTTGTTCACTTTCATCTTGTTTGCCAACGACGCCCCACCTTCGTTTCTGCGCTCTCAACCTCCCAGTAACTTCTTCGACCAACAACCCTGTACAACAACTTGCAACGACCTGACGTTCGTCCTCAGTGTTCTCCACAGCCATGGCGGGTGCTGGACGCGCGCGTCCAAGCCTCGAGCAGCTCTACAATCACATTGTTCTGCCGCGCGACGTGCCTGGCCGCGAAGATGGCAATCTCTCTAAAGTTGAAGCCGCATTGCTTTCGCGTCTGACCGATGCCACCCGCCTCATGAGCACACGTGTTGCACAATCAGATCAGCAGCGCATCTACGCACTGGTCAACTCGCTCATGGCCTGCGAGTCGCTGCATGTTGATCGCTCGATCACTAGAACAGCCTTGCTACGCGAGCTTCGTGGACTACAGCCAGGTCTTGTCCTTATCTTGCACATCTCAGCTCAGAACTGTGGGATGCTAATCTACAAAGATGCTCCGTAAGTTGCTGCACGGTCTATCAAGTTCGAACTGACACAGCAAGTGAAACAAACGACAGCGACGTGATCTTCGAAGCGTTCGAGGTCACACCGACCTGCGAGAAAGTCCTTGCGTCGAAGAACGCACTGCTACGAGGCTTCCCAGGCTGTGCAGTCACCGTTCCCGACGCCACGCTCTTTGAGACTTCATTTTTGGACAGTCTGACGTCTTTCATACAGCAAGCGTCTACAGAGTACGTTACCAAGTTCTCTTCGGTAACCTACAAGGCTGCAGCGCCGCTGCCTGAAGTCCGTAATACCAGCGATCCTGCGCTCGTGACAGGGCTACTGATGACAATCCTGGAGGCCAACGGCGCCACCACGGAGGTACCCATACTACGTAAGCGTGTGCGAGACACTGTTATGTTCGACCAAGCATACAAGCCTTGGAGACGCTCGCCCTTCTATCTTACAACCCGCGTCGCGATGCAGCGTCATCTCTACAGACAATTTGGGGCCGACGTCGGGAGATTGTACTACAAGACGATCATGTGTCTCATGCTCCAAAGGTTCTTGGAAGACACCTTGAAGATCTTGCCCTTCGAGCTGGTCTCTTTCCTACGGCAGAAGTTGGGTCGTCGGCTCGCTAAGCTTTCGAGCGATTGTGCTACGATCGTCAAGAATGGCAACCCCTCGGTCATTTCTACAATAAACTCCCTGCAGCCTGGCTTTGAACGCACAATCCTGACAACTGGTAATTGGCTGCAGGCCAAGTGGCGGAGTTACAAGAACGCCCATGTCCGCCGTGTTCCCCTACTCAACCCTCGTGCACCGGTCGGGGCCTTTCATTTTCGCCTCCCCAACAGCTTACCCGTTCTCACTCGTATTCTTGCAAATAAGGCCGTCAGCCCCGAGGTTGTCCAACGTACACCGGATGAACTCTTGAAGCAATACGAGGAATCCGCTGCTTCTATCAAGCCATATATGTACGCAGCACGGTCACACATCCAGATCTCGCAACATTGCGCCACTGTTATTGAGCCGGCGAAAGATGCGAGCGATTCTGGTCATTCTCGTATTCTTGAATTGAGTGCGGTCATCCGTGATTACATTCACCAGATTCAGACGTTCCCCGAGGGCTTTCCAGATCAAAAGAGTCATATGCTCCTCCATCTGATGGAGCTTTGGGTACTCATGGATGCAGAAGCTGTCACATGCTACCCACTTCTCGAGGACTTTCACCCTGGATTCGACAGCGATCTCCTGGACCCTATCCAGTTGCTTTTCTTAGAGGATATGGTCAGAGTCCAACGAGTACAGGACTATATCGGCAAACGATTTCGTGCGCGCCATGGCATGCAATGTAGGACCATCTTTGACGACCCCGCCGATGGTTGCTTCGCCGCGAGATACCTTGACGAATGCGATGAAGCTAGTCAGTCGCTACGGCTACGAATCGAAAGCGATGCAGAGAGGCACCGTGAAGAGAAGGAAGCTGAGTGGGAAGAGAAGAGCGATTTCCATACGGAACTTATTAGGAAGCGAGATGAGGTTACTTGTTCCTACTACGACGTACCACACCGATATCTGCCTGGTGTCTATGAGACTAGACATCGCAGCCCATGCGAATGGCACGATCTTCGGGACGCTGCGAGGGAGATTTGTATTCGTATTTGTGAACATCCTCTACCGAGCTACGAGCCTGCGGCCAAGGCGGTAATGTTCGAGATCAACTGTCCAGAATCTCTCTCCGCCTACAGAGACGCTACATGGTCTATCCTATCAATCATTTGCTCCCCGCTACCAGCTACAAGGCCTACTAGGGTTTCAGTTGTGCGAGAATTTTCCGAACTCCAGCCGTACGTCAACGACTCAACGTGCAGTGTTACTTTGGCGTCCGAAAAGAAGGCGTTTTTGGAGACTCATTACGCAAGCTGGAATTTTCCGGTGGACTTAGACGATATCGTGCGCACGTGTGGACTCAAACCGAGATATTATGATAAACACAGTCAATCCTGGACGGGTGGACATTGTAAAGCGTCGCTTTGGCACCATTTCCCGTTGATGCTTGGTATCGAGTCTTCATACCGTGCACTCGACCTGTCGTACGCCAACTGGCCTTCGTCGAACGAAATTCAATCGAACCAGGCTGATTGCCCTGCAGATGTCAGCGCTCACGAGTTTCTGGCGTGGCAAGGTCTCTTGGTAGGCACACATTCGAGATGGCTGGATCTGGTCCGCGAATTAGGCTCCTCAAATCTGAACTTCTCGGCTGACGGCACTTGGCTGCTCGTCATGCGTATGCTATCTCAAGTTGGCCCCGCCTCAGTGGTCGGAGAAGCTCGGCGAGACGTTCATGCTGCGTTGCTCGATGATTCCTTGTGCTTAAGACTGCTGGAGCAGGTTCAACAGCGTCTCGACGCAATCCATCACAACTGGCGCGAGCCGGTACACATGGAGATACTCATCACTATCCTATTAAAGGTTGTCTCATTGACGACCTCCAGCTTCACTCGACAGAAAGGCGCAGCGCTTTTGCTGCAAGCGCGAGATTCGACTGACCTTTGGCGTTTTGAGTTACAATCAATCGTCACTAACGATGGAAAGGTCAGGCCATTCGCTGTTTGGGCATCCTTACTGTGCAAACGGACTCTGCATATCGACCCAGAGATGTTATTGGAACCCAGTGCCCTCCGACAGTACGTCGGTGCCTCCATCTCCTTGAACTACAATCTCGTCGAAGAGTTCAAGCACCTGCCATACAAGCTCAGGAGCGCGATCATTCGTGACGTGATGTTTTCATACGAGCATAGGGGGCTCTTGCGGCGGTCCATATTATCCAATACTCAGGACTTCCTCGACGCTATTAACAAACTGTGGCAGGTTCCTGCGGGATATGAGGCACGCATCTCAGACTCAGCCACCGGCACTTGGTGGATCTTAATTGAGTTGAAATCGACCAGAGCTAGTCGCAGTCATTCTTACTTCATGCACTACAACTACGTCTACGGCACTTTACTCATAGACGGAAAAGAGATGAGTACTCTTCCATTGACATACCGACGAAACGCACTCTATCGAAAGATCTTTGGTGATAGAAATCCCATCGTATTCCCTTCACCGCTTCAAGACATGTCATGGGCCATCTCCGAGCCAATGAGAGGTCAGCGTGTGCATCTCGGATTCCGACAACATACCTTGATCGTTCGCGCAGTGCACAATCACCGGATTTACGAATACATACCAGCTGAAGTTTTCGGCACAACATCGGTTGATCTTCCGGCACCTCTGGTCCAAAACTGCTATCACTGGATGAATGTACGCAACGGCGAGCTTGAGATCCGTCGTCAAGACATGTGGTTATCAAAGCTTGGTAACTGGTGGATCTATGGCATACCATATGGGCAGTGTCAGGTGAAACGTCGATCAGGACACCCTTCTGAGACCAGGCTGCTGAATGACTCCAACGAGACTGTTCAACATATTGGGAACATATTCAAGTCATTCGAGGATCCTTCACAAATTATCGTATTTGCCTCACGAGAAGGCAAAATAAACGTTGAATTGAAGCTTCTAGAACTCAGTTTTTACGTCAACGGGAGAGGCTTACTCCAGTCACCGCGACTTGGTGCGGTCGTCACACAAGAACAAGATGCTGGCACCTGGTACGGTTTGGCAAGTAAGATTGTTATCCAATCCGCAGCCAATCGTCGCCAGAAGAGCATTTTAGTGCCGTACATCAATGACTGCCAAGCCACTCGAGACAACATCCATGTGTCTGTCAACATTAGCACTTGTACCGGCATGTACTTGAAGTTCGACATCAACGATGTATTGGGACGCATTGACTGCCCACCAGAGCCGAGTCTCCTTTACACCAAAGCGCTCTTACATGCACTTACTTCACACGTAATCCCGGATCCGTTGACGGCGCGGACTGGGGTAGAGGAGGCACTTCGCTTGCTTCAGACAGCACTTTACCTACCCTGGAACTCACTCGTGGACAGTCAGATAGTACTTTTGCAGCGTCTGGCTGGGCTCTCTCCCATGCGCGGCTACTATCCTGTGAATTCACGGTTCATGGAAACAATGGCTTTACAGTCTGATTTGACTCCCCACATCCAGGATGACCGATTCAGACCTTACGTAGAGAAGATACTTCGGCGAAACTGTTCTCTCAATCAATTCACTCCTGGTGTTGCGAAGCAAGACGCGTCCGCAAAGTCGTTGGTGACGCCTGATCCTCACTTAGCGGCACGAGCAGTGTCACGTACATATGCGCAACAACGTCGGGGCGATGACTTGGAATACACTGGAAGAGATGAGCACGTCCAAAATATGGCTCGAGCCAATACCTTCTTCGTTACCAGACAGCTTGTCACCCAGCAGCCCGCGCCAGCAAAGTCACCAAGCCTGCTCGTCCTATTGCACGACGCGTCTCTGGTTGGTGGCTACGACAAGTGCTACAAGAAGATTCTGCTTGCGGATCTGCTTTCCGTTGACATCATAGCTGAATGGGGCGCGCTCACGCAGCGGGCTTTGAGGTGTGACGCTCGAGATCGTTTCAATCTCATGTTTCTGTTAGGGCCAATGGCATTCTCCGACGACGCCAATACCAACCTGCTTCACAAGTTTATCTCCTTCGTCCTGTCTCTCGACGTTAAGGATCTGCAACCCCCGGAGCACGCCGCATACTTTCATTTTCGCACCGACGGAGCGCCGCCCATTTCTTACCTTGTATCTTTCATGGAGAAAGCAATAATGCCCTTTGTGCCAACAGGCTTCAAAAAAAGATCTCAAATGGTCGTTGCGCAGAACAATCACAGCAAGAATGTTGAGGCAAGCTGTGATGCGTTAGCTTGTTCCATACAAGCTCAGTGGCCGCATACAGAGATCAATTCCTCCAAATTACCAGATGTTGACCCTACGGAACTCGATGTTGCGAAAGCTATAGAGGACTTGACGCCTGAATGGCAAAGGTTGACTCGAAACCATGAGCTTGCCATCTATCTTGAGCATGTTCAATCTGTGTTGGACCGATCAAGTCCATCTCGGCCAGACACTACCAGTTCAGAGACAATTTGTCGTAAATCCCGCACAGAGCTTTCCATGAGGCCCAAACCTCGACAGTTTTATGCTTCAAGAAATCGAGAGGGAGACGATCTCTCGCTACCCAAGCTACTTCAGCTGTCAATTGGTGGTGTCCGCTACCAGTCTGCGAGTGGTCGCAACCACTTCGGCACGCTCATGCCGAGAGACGTCAATACTCTATCTCAATCTACCATTTCCTCTAGTTCCCTTGATCGGTACAAGAAGAACGAGTTCCCAGTGTTCCAAAAGCCTTCGCTTGCTTTGGATAGTAGTTATAAGCCAGAGATCCAGAGGCTCAGGACTACTCTGAGCAACTTCCGAGCAAACGCATCGCATGTGTACACTCGATATGCTGATGAGATGGAGACCAGTATCAACGCTCTCCAACTTTATGTGCAAAACCAACAAAACACACCCCAACCGACATATCGCTGGATCAATAACGACGATCTAAGACCAGCCAAAAGCAAAATCGAGACAGTGGTCGAAGAAATCAAACAAGGTCTAGCGACGCAGGATCCGCAAGCAAGATGGCTACAGTCCGTCAATCTATGGCCCACCATGAAGGTCACAGATTTGCTCACGGAGCTGCGATCCAGCTCAGGCAATACGTTTGGTGTCGGTGCAAAAGAGCTTCTGGTATCATTGGGCGTAGCGGTCACCAAGCTGCAACAGATGCTGCGGATTCAAGATGCCCAGAAGCGAAGAAAGGATCAGCAGCAACGTGAAGAGTGCGGCAATTCTGGCCACAGCAACTGGAATCCCATCGAATATACTGATTGGCTTCTTCTGGAGATCGATGGCAATGTCATGCTTCGCGAGGAACAGATTCAAGTGGCACTGGCGACAATATCACCAGCATCAGGGCAGAACTCAGTTCTACAGCTATTGATGGGCAAGGGTAAAACTTCATGCATCCTCCGTAAGTTGGGTCTTCCCCCTTTGAAGACCAAGCTAATCAGGCCAAGCAATGGTGGCAGCTGTTCTCGCAGACAAGCAAAACTTAGCGCGCATTGTGGTTCCACGTCCATTACTTTTGCAGTCTGCGCAAGTATTGCATGCGAAGCTCGGGAACCTGGTCAACCGTGAGATCCTGCATATCCCCTTCTCACGCAAGACGCCGGCTGAACTTCCACTAATGCGTTTGTATCAACGATTACATTCACGGATGCGTGAGCGCGGCGGCATAATGATTACTCTCCCCGAACATCTGCTCTCCTTCAAGCTGAGCGGACTTCAACAGCTTAGCGATGGCCACGTGGAGGTTTCTACTGTCATGGTGCACTTTCAAGACTGGCTCGATAAGCACGCCCGAGATGTTCTGGACGAGTGCGACGTCTCTTTGGCAATTCGCATGCAGTTGATATATCCTTCGGGCTCACAAATGTCTGTAGACGGTCATCCCATCCGTTGGCAGATCATCCAGCTCTTGCTCCACCGCACGCAGAATTTCATCACCGCTGTTCAATCGCGCTTTCGTAACAGCGTAGAGGTCGTGGGCAGAACAGAGGGCGGATTCCCTCTTATCTACTTCTTGCGCAAGGATGCAGAGGACTACTTGATCGAACTGCTTGTACGCGACATCCGCCAAGGCCATTGCCCCTTCATTCCCTGTGCAGAGTTTCCAGCGGCGATTCAGGACGACATTTCGAACTATATCTCACGAAGCTCCGTGCGCAGTGAGCTAGTTCGAAGACTGACCACGTTCTTCAAGAATCAACAGCGACTGATGAAAGCCATAAATCTTTTGCGAGGGCTTTTCGTCCACCGAATCTTGATATCAAGCCTCAAGAAACGTTGGAATGTGCAATATGGACTGCACGCTACTCGGGCGCCCATTGCAGTACCATACCTTGCGAAAGGTGTTCCCTCAGTTGCTGCCGAATGGGGGCATCCGGATGTTGCTATTATTCTAACGTGCCTGTCCTTCTACTACCAAGGTATCACTCTCAGTCAGTTCAAACAAGCGTTCGAGCAACTGGGTAAGATGGACGATCCGAGCATGGAATATGCAAGGTGGGTATTCCCTCGCGCGCCAGTTGGTCTTGAAGACTACAACGCCATCAACGCCGAGGATGGCTGGCAGCTGAACAAACTCTTCCAGCTCATTCGGTAAGTCTTTGAATGCGCTCGTATGTTGCAGAACAGCATAGGCTAACAGGCTGTAGTTTGAATGCCTCCCTCATCAACTTTTATCTCAACAACTTCGTTTTCCCGCAGTATGCAAAGACGTTCAGCGTCAAGCTGCAGGCATCTGGATGGAGTCTGTTCCCTTCGCAGACGGACGGTGGCTGCCGCGTGACAGGATTCTCTGGAACGAATGACTCTCGCCACCAGCTTCCCATGCTCATCAAACAGGCTGATTTGCCAGAATTGGCTCACACGAATGCCGAAGTGCCTTACTATCTGATGGCTCCTCGAAACCGAGGGTATATTCGCATGAATCACCCGAATGGACAACGCTGGACTGAAATCGACCTGATTAAACACCTAGTCAATTCTACTGGTGTTACCAGGGGTAGTAGAAACACAAGAATTCTAATCGATGCGGGCGCTCAGATCTTGGAGCATGCCAACCGAGATTTTGCCAAGGCCTGGCTCGAGAAGGATACAGAGGCAGCTGCGGCTGTGTATTTCGACGACGATCATCGTGCCTGGGTACTGTATCGTACCGGAAATCGCATACCACTACTAGCGTCACCATTTGCTGACAATCTGGATCGATGTGTTGTCTACATGGACGAGAGCCACTGTCGAGGCACAGATCTAAAACTTCCAGTGGATGGCAAAGCTGCGCTAACTCTTGGACAACATCTTACCAAAGACACACTTGTACAAGCTGCGATGCGCCTGCGTCTACTTGGACAAACTCAATCTGTCTCATTTTACTCCCCTCCAGAAGTTCACCAGAGCATCTTGGACCGGCTGGGAAAAGATGAATTCTTCCATCCAGACTCGACTGCTGTGCTGGCCTGGGTATTTGGGCAAACCTGCGACATGTTGGAGCAGCAAGAGCCATCGTACTTTGCGCAGGCTTCGCATTGGTTACACCAGAGGCAGGCCCGGCTAAGCCATCCCTTCTTCCTTGACAGCGAATATGGTAGATCTAAATTCCTGTCTGCCATGCTGCAGAAGGAAGCGTTACTTATCAAAGACATGTACCAGCCTGGCGGGAGTCGTCGCACTGGTTTCAACAAGCCCTCCGTCTGGGATGCTTCTCTTCAAGCGCAAGTCAAGTTGCTTCATGACCGCCAGCAACGCTTCCAGGACAATGGTTCCGCAGTGCACGCCTCGGTATTAGAAGAGGTAGAGATTGAGCAAGAGCGTGAGCTCGAGCTTGAGCTTGAGGTTGAACACGAAGTTGAAAACGTTCGCGAGGTTCAACAACCCCCGAAGTACCGTGCACTCCCGATCGCCGAACTGCATGCGGACGTCGAACACTTCGTCACATTTGGCAAGCTTGTCGCTGGAAGTAGCGCCTATGAACCGATGTTCTCTGTCCTGAGCCGTACTGCCTTGGGTCTTAGGCGCAGCGTCTCGCCGTCGATGCCATCCAACTTGTGGGTGTCAGAGCAGTTCAGCCGGACGATTCAAATCTTCCAGCCTAACGACGTCTATGTTCGGTCGAGTCAGTGGGTTCTGTGGAGTTCTATCAGTTCAAAAGCTCTTCTTGTCAGCCCAGAGGAAGCCGACTCTCTCATCCCTATCCTGCGGTCTAGATCTGAGCATGATGGCGTGCACCTAATTGTGTACGCTGCACCAGTTACTCGCCGTATGCTTCACTTCAACAGCCTCGACTACCATGCCACTCCAGCACTTCCTGCTGGATTCAAACCCCCCACATGGCTATCAGTGGAGCTGGGGCTCTTTTCAGGCCGGTTACATTTCGACTGGTTTGAATACGATGAGCTCTTGCAATACCTTGGCTTGAAGCATGATTTATCCATCGATGCAGATGCTCGACCCTTTGCTGCTAAACCCCTCACTTTCCTCCATGAGTGGATTGACGTCCGGCGCACAGGTCAGGATTTCGATCACACTCCCATGGGCTTCATCACAACCGGCAAGCCGCTCACCGAGAACCACACCTTTTTTCAAGGCTCTGCTCATGAGACTCACGCAGACATTCGTCCACGGGTTGCGCGCGCCGGATCAGGGGAAGCTGAGCAAGAAGAGGACACAGATGGGGACAGTGACCATGATGATGAAGAATATGTGGCCGTTGTTGAGCATGTCGACGACTCGGATACGGAAGATGAGGAGGAGTTTGAGGATGCGCAGGAGACTGTAGAGCAAATCTTGGACTAACTCGTGGTTCAGGATGCCCCCCTACCAGGCTCCTAACAAATCGAGAAATTTGATTGAGTACCTTTTACCGCGATCTGCATTACGCTGGCAGGCAATACCACGAATCCAAGATGTGCATCCAATACCTGTGCATGTTTATGTAGAATTAGTGAGCTGTAGGCCATGAGTGGAAGTGTTGATGTCATAAACCTTAATTGCGTCAGAAGCGGTGTTTCGGCGGGCCCGGAATCCCGCGCGCGGGACCTTCCAACTCCAACGGCCTATTCTTGCGGCTCCACTTGTCTCGCTTCAGATACGCAAAATCGTCAACAGGCATTGTCCCGGCCAATTAGCGCATGTTTGACATAAGCGGCGGCTGAAGGAAGGCTGTGCTGCCAAGTGGTACCTTTCATCGCGCGCTCTTGGCACCATGACAGCTGCGTAGCGCAGGGCGTACCAGTACTTCGCCCTCACAGTGCTTAAGAGTGGATGAGGCGACAAAGCTTGAACACTAAGCCCCTATCACTATTTACGGCTTCTTTCACTCTTTACTACACTGACGGGATTTGCTGCGGCTCACTTCATTTCGTACCGCACTTGGAAGGCACCTGGAAGACTCCGGCGGACCCTGAACCACATTTTTTCGGACATTGTGAAGAACCTACGAATTTATGGCGTCACTTACAGTAGTAAGACACAATTCATTTGCACCATATCATCCGATCTAACATTGAGAAGTGTGATACTTGCAGAGCGAGAAAGGTATGTAGTGCTGCGCATGCCTACTGAGCAGCGATCTGACTGATACAACAGGTCAAGTGTGATCGAGATGATCCTTGTGGTAACTGTTTCGATTCAAGTATACAATGCAACCGAACAGTGTTTGCAGGACGAAGCGCATCCAAACGAAGAAGAGGAGCTGAAGCAGTTGCAGCATCACATAGTGCGCAGTATCCTGGACTTCAAACGCAGTTCGCACCTTCACCATCGGGATCAGCAAGCTTACCTCAGTCGCCTTCGATCATAGAGGCGCATGATTTCATCCGTAGAGAAATCACATCTGGGAAGCCCATGCCGGCGGATCGACTGGCTGTCCTGAACTCGGCGATGTCGTTTGTTTCTCATCTGAGTCAGAGCACAAAACAAGTGGATCTAGCTGGAGTAAGAAGTACTCGAGTTGCAAACATCCTCGAAGATATCGCTGTACCAACTATAGAGCTTCTGTACTGGATGCTTCGTGGTAAGTCGGCCTTGCAAAATTAGAGTTTTGTGCTAACAATATCGTCAGAGCTCAAAGGAGGGAGCATCGGCCCGCATGTGCTCGATTACTTCAAGCATGTCTCACCAAAGTCGTTGAAGACTATGGGGCTCGCCTTGATGAATCCAACAGGTGACGCCGAGACGCTGCTGCTATACTCAATATGCGTGAACTCTGCAGCGTACAAATTCATTAACACGGTTTTGTCGGAGGGCGACATAGGTAGCCTCGAAGACGGCATGCGTGATCAAGCAGCAAAGTACTTACGTAGCGTCCAATTGGCAATGACGCGCATTCATCTCCTTGCAGCTCCTTCTTTGCTATTCCTGCAATCCTTGCTATGCAGCGTGAGTGGCTTAAAGCTTTTCTTCTGGTACGAAACATGGTGGCTGACAAGATGTAGGCTTTCATTGCCCAGGGCCAGGGTGACTCGGTGCATTGTTGGGCTTTCATCTCGGCCGCGTGTAAAACTTGCGAGGACTTGAATCTCGAAATGCGTGTGAACGCAATTGGTACAGAAACCGAGGATGATTTGGAGCTGTATTACTGCTATGTGTGGTGTCACATCCTTGACAAGAACTACACTATGATGCTCGGGCGGACGCGCTGTCTCCTAAACCATGAGGGTCTTGACGCAGTATTCTCTTCACCTCTCAACAGATCTTTATCAGCCTTACTTTCAACTTATTTGCTCTTCGTACCGGTGCAAGCCATTTTCGTTCTGGAACTTCATCCACTGAAGATTTCGAACAACAAGGCGTTACTTTCGAGGGTTGAGTATGTGGTGGCTGATCTCCTGGATCGTCTGAAGCGGGTCCACGCGCGGATCACTGAGGTACGGGCCATTTATGGTAAACGAAAGCATCTTTACTGACAGCGGTCAGTTGCACGGGCCATCTGATTCCTGGAGTGGCCTTCACATGGGAACTGAATTGACGACGATACAATTCTCGTACCACTCGCTGCGAACCTCCATACTGCGCTCTAAGCAGATCTGCTTACCAGCTCAACCATACGTCGACCACGATTGCCTTGAGTCAGCTAGAATGGCCATGTCGACATTGCGAAGTATCCAGGAAGCTGCTTTGACTCTGACCGACATTCGCGCCCATGTAGCTTATATGCACTGGTAAGCATACGCTATTGCCTCTCCATTGCCACGTGTCTTCAATCGACTCACCTAATTAGGACTGTGCTCTACCATCCATTGACTCCGTTCTTCGTTCTATTCTGCCACGTAGTGGCTACCTCGAATTCAAACGACTTCCATACCCTCAAGCGCGTCACCGATGAGCTCGAGGATCTCACCGAGCTCTCTACCTCAATTGCGAAGCTGCAAATGCTCTTCAAATCCTTCATCGAGCTTTGCGAAGGTCTTGTGTCTGAAAAGCGCCAGAGAACTCTCGCGACCGATGTTGAATCGGATCTTCAGATATCGCAAGTCCAGCAAGCATCTTTTGCAGCGTATCAGCCAACAAATCAACTTTTGGCGTCAGCCGATCCCCTCGTCGTTCAGCAACCAACTTCCACGCCATTTTCCGCATCTACGCCAGATTTTGCATTCTCATCAGGCGACATACTTGGCAGCACGGATCCAGGGTGGGGTTTGTTTGATGTTCAACCCACGCTCGACTGGCTCGATGCTGATTTCTCATTCTTTGACAACGAGCAGTATCAACAGGGATGAACCATCACTGTTTTATTTAAACCGAATGTTCCTAGAGCACCTAAACGTATATAACGACAAAATTGCTGTATATTAGAGTGGTACGCTCGACCAGTTCTTCTCTTGGCCTGCAAAAACCAAGCCTGCTATGCGAGGTTCCCAGGTGCAGGGAATATTCCCAGCCCTATAATCTCGGTCACACGCGAAGCAGCCGGGCAAATTTGTTCGTCCTCTGCTCATGGAAGTTTCGAGTGTAGCGAGCAGAAATGGGCAATCTTGGCTCCCCGGCTAAAAATAGCCGGCACATCGCGGCGACGACACCACCGGAGCGACATGTGGTGACATTAGAGACTGTAAGCTGTTATTTCAAAGATATATGTTGAAAGTTAATTGTGATCTTTTCAGATTCCCCAATCAGTCCCACTATCGTTAATCCTCTCTGCGATGCCATTTTCGTTCCCTCATCATCACGTGCAACTACCTTCATCCGATACAATGGACGTGCGGCTGGATATCGAGAACAACAAATCGACTTTCTCGAGTGGGGAGATCATATCAGGAAGTATCAAGATCTTCTGCTCGCAGACAACAACAGTTTCGGAACTCACAGCAACACTGATTGGCGAGAGCACCTCGTCCCTGACCGGCGCTCCAGGCCTGTTGTTCTCACGGCGGGAAGAAGAGAAACATACAATGATACGAGAAGTGCACAAAATATTTCCCTCCTATCTCGTGTCCAAGCCTCGGAAGTCGCGGCCTCTCCGACTCGAAGTCGGCTGCCACAGCTTCGATTTCCGCCTGCGGGTCCCGCGGGCGCCGGACTGCTCTACATGTCCGCCAGATACTCCATCTGGAGACGACTATCAGGACGACGAAAACCTTGACAACCAAACGTTGGCACGGCAGCTGCCGCCCTCAACAAAGGGCCTGCAAGCTGGAAATGAGGTCGCATATCGTATCGACGTTTCTGTCATCACAATACGAAACATGTTCAGAAATCGATCAGTGAAGGTGAGTTCCTCTATTCAATTCGAAATACATATCTGACGTCAGTAAAGAGTCATCCGATCGATATTTGGCCAATTGACGTGCGTCTACTTCATCGCGACCATGGTCTTGAGCCAACTGCAGCGATCGTAAAGGCGCGTGCGACCGTGCTAGGGCCAAGCTCCATGCCGTTACCGTCGTGTGTTCGGACACAGTCTGATGTACTTGGTCTAGGGCCGGCTGAAATTCTGATAACAGCAACCCTCCAGCCAGACTTCCAGCTTGTGAGGGTACCTCGTATCGATGAACAATCGCCAAGCCATCGCGGAGTCAAAATGGACCTTTCTATCACCAAACTCAATCAACATCCGCAAAATTTGTATCTTCAGTCTTTCCAGATGCTCCTTGTTGGCTACACTGATATTCGTGCTGGTACCGCCACGCATGGGCATATGTCGTTTTGGACACTGCAGTCACTGAGCAACGTCGGCCTGCAGATCTTCTCAGCATCGGATCCATCGGGCAAGCAAAGCAAAATCGATTCAAGGCTGTGGGACAATGTGGTTCTCGACGAAAGTGTAGTACCAGACTTTGCGACCTGCAATCTGGAACGAAGATACGAGCTCGAAATTCTGATGGGCTGGCAATGCCAAAGTGGGGAACATGCTGGGAGGGTGTTCTTTGTGCAGCTGAGAACCCCGGTGCGCATTGCCTCCGGAATATTGCCCAGCATTCAGACCGAAAAGAAAGTCCTGTCTGGGTCTGAGCGCTGTTCGCAGATCGTGCCTGAATGTAAAGAGGTCGGGGCTCTTGAGCATGTAGAGTCACCGAGGGTTCGTGCTAGTCTCTACGCGCCGCCGACATACGATGAAGCCGTACGCACTACGGCCAATCGTGGGCGGAGGGGGTCGAGATGAAGAATGATGGTGACTCCCTTATTCTTCGATGATGTCTTCAAAGATCGTGGCAGTGGATGCGAAAAGTAGTCTCGAGCAAGCGTCGAAGCGCCCGTGAATCGCCCCGAAAAGGCACGGTAATAGAATAGTGACAGTTTTAGCGACAACGCATTGGAATAATAGTATCCTGGGTCTCTCTTGTAACGCAGAGATGTGATAATGTGCAGGCTGTGTGTTGAAGTGATAGCGTAAACAGCAAAGTCCGTGTGGCAAATTCACGTGAGGTGATGATTGCATAGCTTGATTCTGTCATGACCTATCTGTTGAGAGTATTTTGTCTACCGCCAACATTTATGGTAGTAACGACATCTGTGAATCCAAACAAGAGCCCTGTTTGGGCGCCTTCATCCGTCAAGAAGCGCCGCAGCCCAGGTACACCACCAACTTGAACTACTGAAACAGGCGCAAAGTACCACCTTGACGAGGCTTCGTGTATTGGTCGTCCACAAAAATTGGGGTGAATGACGCGATGTTGTCGTCATGCGGTTCGGCCGTGATGTCGATGCACCATACTTTCAAACCAGCCTCAAGTAGCCCGAGACCTTCAAACCACTTGACCCAGAGGAGCAAGCTCTCGCGGTTGAGATCATAAGCTCCGTACCAGGGCCACTCTCCTGGCAGCGTCCTATGTTCCTTCAAGGTGAAGTGAACAATCGGACGGTGCTGGCTTACCGATAGTTGCACTGAGACAATGGAGTCGAGAACGGGTATGGCGTTGTGACTGACCTTGCTCAAAATATCGTCGAGTTCCTTCATGTCATCTACGGCGCCTCCTGGAGGCCACACAGTTGCCATTTTACAGTTCAAGTTCTTGTTCTGCACCATTGCTTTGAAGAGACTGGTGATGTCCGTCACAGCTCTGGACCTGATCCAACTTCCATTGAAATACTGAGGGAGCAGCAAGCAAAGGTTTGCGTGGGAGCAAACCGTGTTATCAAGCGAGTGGAATTTCACCAAATACCTTTCGAGGTGAAACTCTCGAACTCTGACCGTCACAGTTGATATCCAGAGCGAGAGGTACTCTTTGCGGATCTGCTTGCATAACCGACTCAGAGCAAGCGTGTCGGTGATCCTTCTATCCTCCTCGTGAGGACTGAGTGAGGACCAATCGATTTCGCGGTGGGATGTGGTTGCATCAATGTAACAGAGGTAGATCTGATTACGAAGCTCTGAGGTGTAAAGTCAGTCTTGATCCCACTTTGTTTGCAAGCTTGGGTTTGCGCTCGCAAGTCAATAATGATTGGCTCAAAGACGTACCCGGGGGGAGCTCCATGAAAGAGCGCTTCGCAGATCTCATGACCACACGCTTCAGTGTGTAGCGCAGTGTTTGACGCGGCTACAAGCTTGCGTAAGAGCCGCTTACGCTCGTTGGCAGGTTGATCCGGTGAAGCTCGGCGGCAGTGATCGTCGTTTTGAACAACTCGTAGTAGCTTGGTGTTTTGGTGTTAGTCTTTACGTAGTGCGCCAAAATCCATTATGTACATGGAGGGGCGGGGTCACGCTAGTGAGTTAAACGATGATTGCGCCAGCAGCTTTCACCCTCTCCTTCACTCTGCTTGGTTGCGCGATCTTACCTCGGCGAATACTTCGGCCACGCACGTGCATGCCGCGCCCCGAAGGTATAGTTGCGACACGCGCTAGCAGCTGTACCTGATGAGCAGTGATTTTGGAGGTGCCAAAACTGCGGTGTGGACTACTAGAGAAGGTGTGGTGGAGTTAGCGACATGGTGCAGATCTAGGTCTAGGAACTTGACCGCTCCTCTGTGCATGCTCCGAAGTTGACACGGTATGATCAAATCCAAATTGGAAAGTGCATCGATGGATTAACTGTCCTCGCAAATGAAGCGCAAATTTATGTCAAGAGTGTGGTCGCCGTCTTCAAATGGAAGGTCAGGGATTGTAGACAACAGTTGTCACTACATTGAACTATCTTGCTGGAAGCGTCATGTCATGTATTCGTGTATCGTATGAATCATCTCTATCAATCAAAGCGACGCTTTCGTTTCCATCCCTACTCGGGATGCTCATCATGTCAAGCGTAAAAGTCTAAGAATCAAAAATCGCACCATACGCCGGAATTCCCCTCTTTTCCATGTCGAACACGATCTGCTGCGTGAAGCGCTTGTTGCTGATGACCAGAACCGCTTCAGCGCCGCTCTCTTTGTACAGTCGGTATGTCAGTAGGCTCATGTCAGGTTTGCCTGACTCTCGTGTGTTGTAGATAACTGCATTAGGGTCTCTTCTGCGCACGTCATCCATGATAGATTGGCCAAACGTCTTCTTGTGGTTTGGGGCAGTCCAGAGGATGCGCATGGCGACTTGTTGGTATGGGAAGATGGATAGACATGGTCCAATACCAGATCCGGTGGCTACCACGACCACGCTCTTGAAGAGGGTGGCAATGCGTAGGACACCACAAGTAGGGATGCCACGCCTCCAGATATGCGTTGGTGCACTGTCGATACAGCGGCCGGTGAAGTCGCCAGCTCGGCTGACAATGACCGAGTACCCTTTCCCAGTGCTGTCGGGGTTATTGCCGAGACCATTGGTAATAGTTGCGAACCCATGCCAATCGCCAAGGGGTCGCTCAGCAAGGCGGACACCCTGACCAGGCGCTACCTCAGAGTCGAAATGTAAGCGGACGGCGTGGGAAGAGAGCACTTCCGATCGGACTGGGACACGACGCAGGAAAAGCCAGGGAAAGATGATCGCCAGAGTCGCAATCGCGATGAGCCAAATAGAAGGATTGCGCAGATAAGCCTCTGAAATCGACATACCCGAGCCACGGCTTAGGTCCTTCGTTGACAACCCAACAAGTACCCAGTAAAGACCGAGGATCGTCCAGCCTCCGAAACGGTGTAAGTTCTCCCAAGAGTCGTGGTACTTGTTGCGAAGAGTGGGTTGAGAAAGCGCTGTCATCGAGAGAAGCAGCGACAGGATCAGATATGTCAGGATCGATGGTGCAAGTGAAATGGCTCGGGTGTTGGTGCTCTTGACGAGGTCGATGCTTACTCCAACAGCGAAAATGATGAACCAGATCACCGCAGCAATGGCACATCCGACATGTATGCCACCGATATGATAGACGTTCGCGCAGATTCTCCGAACCACGAGCGGCGTCCAGGTAGGCACCGAAGAGAATACTGTGAAGAGAAGATTGATGACTGGTTCCGAGCGTATCGAAATCGAGGCGCAGAGGTTTGCTGCTGTAGCTGTAGCAACGTAAGAAAGCGGGTAATGTTGGTCCTTGATGCCCCGGTTGAGAATCCAGCATGCGACTCCAATGTTTACCGCAACAATTGGGATCAGGAACCAGCGGTAAGCTATCAAACCACGATGTCGAAGCCAGTGGCCAGTCGGAGAGCCTTTAGGTTCTGGAAGCAGGGCGGATGTGTCGTCTGGATTGGTCCCTACCGTTGAGGTACTCAAGTGCTTGACGTGACAACGAACACCCTTCTCAAGATCGACATCCCGGAATGAAGTCCGCGATGTTTCCTGTGTGATGACAGGAAGAGGGACCACGATTTCTCGGGCAGCAACTAAGTCGTCGAAGGCTGAATCCACTCTCTGATGACCTGGTTTGGTGGGCTTAACATCGATTGCCGGTATGCTGGTTTCTGCTGCAAGAGCCTTCAGTTGTGATTTATCGACCTTTCCATTGGAGTTCAACGGTATGACCTCAACTTGAAACCATCTTTCAGGTACCGAGTAATATGGTAGGTGCTTCCGCAAGTACGCCTGTAGTTCATGCTCGTCGATGGGAGCTGAGAATGTGTAGAAAGCGTAAAGAATTCCGTCGATGACAAGCGACGTAGCTTGCGCAATGCCTTCGAACTGTTCGATAACAGCCGTGACACCTTCCAACTCGACGCGAAAGCCCTTGATCTTAACTTGATCGTCCATTCGACCGAACGAGTCCAGAGATCCATCGGCCCTCCAGCACACGATGTTGCCGAAGTTATACATGGTCGTTCCGTCGTCGGCGAATTTGTCGAGTTGAAACTTCTCAGCACTTGTGAGAGGAAGATTGATATATCCTCTTGACACTCCTTTACCACCCACCCAGAGAGTACCTCTCTGTCCAACAGGAACTGGCTCGTCGGCTTCGTCAAGAATGTAACATTTCGTGTTGGGTAGCGGTCGGCCGATTGACAACGGCTCGCCGATGATATGTTGGTGCGCAGAGAAGAGAAACACTTCGGTAGAGCCGAGTAGGTTGTAGAAGCATCGATCCTGGGCCCAATCGTCCGCGAGACTATAGTACGATCAGTACAAGAAGTATCTATTAATTTGGGAGACACTTACGACTGTGAACACGCTTCTCCTGCAACGACGACTGTTTTGATATTTGGATAATCCTGCTGCTGATACTTGGAAAGTATTGAGGGCGTGCAGATGAGAGTGTCAATCTGGAAAAACCGTCAGCTGCAACTTCCGGATGAGGCAAGAGGCTTGAGACTGACTTGAGTCAATGTGGCGTTCCAGTCGGAACCTCTGAGGTATAGAGTGCCTCCATTGACCAACGAACCAAGCATCTCCCATGCGCCTGAGTCATTCGTCAGTATTGTATGTTTCATCTGTATGGCTGAATGCGTACCCATCGCAAAAGAAATACTCAGCACCTGCGCAACTCTCGAGCCAGTAGTGATTCGTAACCTTCCTGGTTCGAGTAGCAGTGCATTGGTCATAGTGCCATGCTTGACGTCAACGCCTTTCGGTACCCCCCGTGCTACCTGGTGATCATGGTCAGTGGGCACACAGTTTTACACCTGTGGGAGACTTACCTGATGTGTACATAGCATATACGCCATCAGTGGAAGAAACCTTGACGTCTGGTCGAAGAGGAGAATAGAATGCTCCTGTGTCCATGCCCAGCTCAAGCACGATAGCGGTTCTGGATGCGAATTGCTTGACTTTGTCCCAGTATCTGGGCAAACATAAGATAAAGCGAGCCTCTGTATCCTCAAAGATATGTTGCAAGGCTTGGTCTGAGGCGACTCCACCATCGATGGGGACGTACTGACATCCCGCCTTCAGGATGGCAAGTAGACCGATAAGCATTTCCAAAGACCGTTGGACCACAAGGCATACTCGTTGCTTTGGTCTGAGCCCCGAAGTGATGAGGTGATGGGCGAGGCGGTTGGCCGCGAGATCAAGCTGATGATACGTGATTTTACGGTCACCATGGATAGCGGCGAGTATTGAGGGGTGTAAGTCCACGATGCTCTCAAATGCTCCGTGTACGGTCTCATGGGGTACCGGTAGACTTGGTCCGCATCCATACCGAGAGATGAAAGCTTGGTCCTCATTCGACAGATGAGATATGTTGCTGAATCGCATCTGACCATCCGTTGTGTTGATCATGATGCTAAGATGATGACGACGAGGCCAATATGAGAGGGATGTCGTGCATCAAGACCGACGCTTCTTTATAGAGCGTGCATGCAAGACAATCGCCGTCTACTCTAGCTAGCAATACTACCCTAGTCCACTGCAAACAAAGCAATAAGTCCACAAAGACGACGCCACCACATCCTATGGACCGTTCGGGCCATCGTGCGTAATCGATCTGCCTTGATGTTGACCAACCAGTGAACACCTGACGCACACTTTGGCTTACCCGATGGTAGGAACCCAACAGACTGGGAAAGTTTTCTGGGGCTGCAGAGAACCAAGACATTGCCGGTCATTTAGTGTATGTAGGTCGTCCTCTAGTTCGGTCGTATATTCCACGCAGCCGGAGCTCAAGGCCAGCCACACAGATAGCCAAGCAGAATAGAGACACAATCTGGCGATGATTGACCAGCATGAATCGTTTAGAGATAGATGGGTGTCCATTTTGGTAGTCACCTGCAGTTTGAGGTGCATCTGTGTTAGTGAAAAGCTAGGATAGGGCGAATACGCAGATGACTCGCCGATTGCGAATGCAGTCGTCGGACTAGAGCCCTGCGGAGTGTCTGATCATAGTATTCAGCACCGAAGATCAACCTAAGGTCCCCGAGCCCACCAATCGCACTAAACAAATTGACTCGTTTGGCTAAACGGTCATGCTACACTCCAAAATGGACATGACAAGAATCGCTAGCGGTAGCCTCTTGCGTGCATGCAGCGTACACATTGGTGAAAAGGTATCTGTTACCTCCGCAGGGCTGGCTGGCGCAACCGGGTTAGTGTACAGCTACTGATCGTAGCGCTTGTATTAGGCGGCCCGTTCCCATAGCATACACGTGCAATTGAAGGTGGCTGCCTGGTGGATGCTTGAAGGCTTACTGTGTGGGCCATAGGGTAACCGTCAGAACGGTTGGGGCTTCGCTGACAGATATCGTCTTTCCAACGATACAATGACCGCAATGTGTCGGAATTGACGTGCACGCTGACCCCGCCCAAGCACATGGAAGACTCGTTCCTGCTTCCATGTACGACACGGGCTGTGCCGCACATGCGGATGGTCGGGTAACGTTGAGGTGCAATCTAGTCTTGATCCTTCACCTCTTAGCGGTCGTAGGTTCTTCCTCTTGGTCGAGAGTCTGTGGGGCATGCGAACGAGTCTCGCAAGGGAAGACATGCAGGATCGGATCCCCAGCAACGCAGGACTGTTGGGTCATCGAAGCCGCGCAATTGCACCAAATGGTTAGTCCGTATGCGAATCCTTGCAAGCGAAGCGCGTGCGCTTGCTCGATACCCACATTGACACAGTCTCGCGAACGCCGAACACTCGATCTTGCACGTCGATCGGTTCCTGCCGCGTCGTATAGTCTGGGGCTCCCCACCGACAATTGCAAACCACGGCACCTTGTCTTATGTTTTTGTTACGCTGGAAGATCTAGGTGGAGCAGACACCCGGAATTGTCTCCAATGCATAGCTGCATGGTAGAGTTTTGGTGACTTTACGTGCTACAAAAGCGCCATTTAATCGCTCCGAAAGACATAGCCGCTAAATCACTCTAGCGTTTACGGCGGCCAGAACTTGACCGAGCATGGCAAGACTGCTGTGTTGTCAACGCAGGTCGAGTACGAGGTTGGGGTTATCGACAAGATCGTCTGTTTTTGCCGTCCTGGACCGAGCCGTAGGCGCGAGGTCTGTAGCGCGACTTGGTAGCGCACTTTAGCGCCCCCAAAGCCTGCGATGGTTGACCGCCTCTTCTTCCGAGTGAAGGGTCGACTGCATACCTGCAGTAAGCTTGCAAGGACGCGACATGGGCCGAGGTGGACCAGTTCGAGAGCCACGTGTGTCGTCCCATAAGACGCCGTGGAAAAGGTCGCACACGCAACGCAGGTACACGCCTGGATCCGCTTTCAATTGCGCAATTCTTTGACATCGTGAGACCCAGGAATGTCGTAAAGAGAACGAGGCGTGGTGGAAGCCATAAACTTGACGTCTATTCATGGCTTATGCAAGGCAACTCGGGGGATTGGCTATCGTGGCAGGTCCTGTGGCATTAGACTAGCTGACGAGAACTGCGCAGTGCGGCTCAGAGGCGTCCGAGGCGGCCATGCTGGCTGCGTCTGATGGAGAGACATAGCTGATTGCGCAGCAGTATCCAGTCCTATTGGTGTTACAAGGCCTGGTTCCAGGGTCCAGTCGATGGTGAGATGATGATGTTGATATCATGTTGCACAGTCGAATTACCCCTCTACTCAAACATACGCCACATGGCTGACATCAGCGAAACCCTGACTTGGAAAGCACGTTGCACAAGAGTTCAGTCCATCCTCGCAAATAGTTCTGTAAAGACTATCCTTCCGACTGGAAATATCTAGACGGTCACTGTACCAACGTCCCAGAGCATTCAAGTCACTCGCTGACCTCGTGAAGTCCAGAAGATGATCTTTGAAAGCTTGGCACCGATACGCGAAACGCGAACATGATTTTCAGCTTGTTCCTTGCATCTGACATCGTGGGATGGCCGCGGCACAATCGAAGGACGAAAGGCTAAGCCACAATGGCGCATTGCTCCGTCCAACCTGACTAATAGGTAGAGAACCCTGGAGCCGGCAGTAGGGCATCTGCAAGTGGCAAGGATGCAATATTTTTGAGCTACTGAAAATATGTATGATCGAAGATGCCTGTGTTCTGGAACATTTACCCATGGATATTGGTCTTTACCCGCATCCCACTCACGCTCTCCCAAGAATCTGCTCAGCTGCATTATTTGACCTGATTCATCTCGAAGGCTTCCGGCCGTTCAATCCACTCGATGCCAGGCGCATCGATGAGCTCAACACCCCACCTGACTGTCCCATTCCTGTCCCTGAACCAGCCTAATTTCGTATGAAGGCCGCTTTCTCTCAGAGATTGAATATCGTGTCTCTCTGAGAACCATAGCAGTCCGTCACTACCCTCAATTAGAGCAAGCATGTCAGCTAGACATCCGATGCTGTTGTGCAAGATGTCGTGTGGATAGACGATCTTGAGTGACACTATCAGTATGCCAAGTATTGCTACAAGGACAAAAATGATGGCAACAGAGAGCCAAGTGGCTGATGGAATCATGATCAAGGTCTCGATACGCTGTGTGACCGTCACTTCCACCTTGGCTTTGTCTCCAGTTTTAAGTTCATACACCATTGATTGACCATCAAGCCACTTAGTCTGGCTTGCATAGTGCTGGAAGAACGTCTGGAAGGTATTTTGACTGTAATTCATCAATGTATCAGCGTCCAAAAGTACCAATGGATCCATGTTGGCTTGGTACAGGTTGGCATAGCTCATGAAGTCCATATTGTAACCTTTCTCCTTGTCTCGCATGTTGAAGCGATCGTCATCTAGATTTTCGAAGTCGAAAGGGGGATAGTAGCCAACGTTTGTGACTATTGGTGCAATGCTGGAGGCACCCAGAAGTTGAGTGAGGAAGTAGCTTCCATAGCTGTTGTACGTCAGCGTTCTATTTGAAGGATGGTCCCATACCAATGACACATCGCTCTGAGACTCACCTGACTGTTGCGATCGTATCCTTTTTATTAGACTCGTTGGCATGGCGGAAGTGTGCGGCCCACGGATCGAGTTGCACTTGGGGCTCACTCAGGATCTGGAAATCAAGGACCTTTCCTGTTCCGTGGGCCAGCACAACACTTGCGTCAGCTCTCTCTATGACAGGTTTGCAACTTAGAAAAGCCATAGGTGGCACTTTTTTAAACTGCATGATCTTGTAATCAGACGCGGCACCGTTTGTGTACGCTGTAACGTTTGTCGTCGTCGTAGATCCGGTGATCCATTTGACTGCAAAATTCGGGGGCCAGGTGTCTGGACCATAGTCAACCCAGGCAGAGTAACCTAATGTTTCATCAGATCCCCACCATGAGGATGTGTTCATTTGGGACCAGTAGCCAACAGCCGCGCGGCCCTCAGGATCTGTCTCATTGGAGCAGCATTGGATTGTCGAAGTCCTTGAAAAGATCGAGGTCTCGTGAGCAGAGTCGTTGAAGATAGTGTGAGGTAAGATATAACCGGCGCGACGAAGCCTGTCTTTGATGTCCTTAGCTTCGGTGCTATTGTCGCCTGGAAATAAGTCGACTTCGTTCTCCGCAAACCAAGGAGGGTTCTCTGTCTCAACCTTCTCACACTGCAGCTGTGCGCGTAAGGCTGATGTTACAAGAGTGGAGTTGGTTAGAGAGACAGGCGATGAACTAGTATCGTCATATATTTTCGAAGCACTCGATGTGCTGAAATTGAGGGTAGATGGGAGGCTCTCTAAGTCAACAGGAGTGAAGCTCCAGCCGTCTCGGCTCCAGGGTGGCTGCTGATAGTCCAATGTTATCTGGTCAAGAGCGCTATATAACCAATCTGCCGTTGTGATGCGCATGGTATCTTGGAGGAACGAAGCTTGACGGCCATAGGTACTATCCAATGTATCGACGACTTTTACAGTGTGGTTATATGTCAGTGGCAATTGACGAGTCGCGTAGGTACTATCGACGTGAGACACGGTAGTAGAAATACTGGGGCCGCGGTCAAAGATTGCCGCCATCGATACGATGACTACACACTGTCAGTAGACGCCGATGGAAGCTGCGTGCCTAGGTATGGAAGACTTTAGGTGAGTATGGTGTTCCGAAGCTTATCGAGGAGCTTCTAAGACGCGACCTCCACACTCAGTACACGAAATGTACTTACGAATTTGGCAGAGGGTTGTTCCAAAAGTGACCAATGATAGCAGCCAATGCCGATTCGTTGCAGCTCTTGCCGACGCCCAAAACCAATACGAAGCCTGGTAAGACAATGCTGCCCCATAGCGAACGTCGATAGCAGAATCTGACATAGAGAGGAAAGGCTGAATGGTGCGTAAGGTCTTATCGATTGCGTCCCACCACATCGACACCCCAACTGCCAGCAACGTAGCAAGGACAGATTGGGGCGAAAATCTCGCGTTGAATGCCCGTAAATCTAGCTGGTAGACAAAAGCAGAGCGGTAAAGTAGATGCCTGGAAGCAAAACTTTGCAGCACTAGTACCGCAACCGCAATGAGAATGAATGAAGCGAGCAAAGCAAACATCGACCATGACCGAATGATTGAAGGCTTCCAGGTCTTTGTGACACGATCTCCTGTCTTCTTTATAGCTAAACAATATTTTGTTAGGCTTGTTCTACGCCGAGGGTCTCCACACAACGTACCAATGTTCCCTTTGACCTTAGCTTCAGAGATCTGTTCTGCTTGATTACCTGGATATTGTCTGGGTTCCGACAACCCAGCCTGGCGTTGCTGTTTATGGCGAGCCTGTGCAACCTTCATTAGTTGATGAATTATGGGATTTCGCTGCAGATAAGCGCCACATCCAAACGTTGTGGCTGGGTCATTGCTGAGGTTCAATGGCCGGCGGCGAGATGATTCTACCAGGTAGAGATACAATAGGTAGAATGAGAAAAGAAGAAGTAGGACCGCCAACGTCGCGGACGTTCCTATGACAACTACGATGCGGCGTTCGACTTGAGTGTTCTGGCCTTTGGAGGATTTGAGAATCTCAGGTTGTTGTTCCGTCATAGCAGAAAGAACGAGTTCACCGAAGAACCGCTTGTTGAGTCTGATCGCCTCATCTGTGAGAGTACTATCCTCGAGCATGACTCGGTTGTCGAACGAGTACAATGACGACAGGGCTTCGCTCAAGCCTTCGTAAGCCCAATTGCCAAGCAGTGTTTTGGCTCGTTTCAAATAGCCCAGCTTGTCGCGCCCAAAAGTCAACTCCTGGATCCTCTCTGTGTTTAAGATTCGGCTTGATATTATGGTGCGATGGTTACGAATGTAGTCCTGATCTAGAGTGACCTCTCTCGCATCAGGTGTTACAGATGCTGTGACGTTCGTCATCACTTCGAAGTATTGCGGTGCACAGAGCTCCGCTCGAACTTTGAAGTTCTCTTTCTGCATCTTGCGAGAACTGCTGTTTCCCCAAGGTGTGGTGACCATGAGCAGATCGCGCCCGACACAGTTGCCTGAAAAGTCGAACATGAGACCTGCGTCTACAGGTGACCATTCTCTGTCTCGCGAGAAGACGGGTAGCCCACGCCCTTTAGCCCATTGATCGTATGTTACGTAAGTAGAAGAAAGGTTCGTCCAGAAAAGACCTCCATTGGACACAATGCGATGATCTCCACGCGAGCCTATGGTAGAAAGCACTTGGATGTGACAACCATCCTCGGAGTGAAGAGAGAATCCCTCAACAGGTCCCGAAGCGCTACGATTCCTGAAACCTCTCTCGAATCCACTGTAAGACGGGCTATTGTAGGCCACCATAGCACCAGGAGGATGATATACTTCCATGACTCTGCTACGATTGACCATTTCGAATCCATCAAACTGCATTCGCTTGCACGATGCCTCCATTTGTAGGACCTTCGTTTCCATTCTCCAAGTGCCCTCCGGGAGAAAGTCAGGGTGACTACGATGGTCAATTGTGCCGAAAGGGGACACGACGAGATCATCAGATACCCACATCGACGTAGATGCATTGAAAAGAAAACCGCTTGTGGTATGGAAGTACACTTGCCGCCGAGGTTCCAAAGCAATTGGCGCCGGGTCGAATTGTTGCATATCCACGAAAGAACGATGTGCTACTGGCTCTGAAGCAAGCAAAGAGGACGAGAGGGTCGACACTGCCAGTATACTCACACCCGTGGCCAATGAGGAAAATACCAACACCCAGTTGATTTGTCCAGAGTTGCGCTCACGCACACAGCCTTCACGAACCATGCTCCACCAGGCTCTTGATGTGAACAGCAAGGTGTATTTGACATCCGGTCTGTTAGACTTTGCTAGTCGTGCGAATGGCTCTGTCCGCTTGATATCGTTCCATATGACGACCAACACTTGAGTGAAGAACACCGCAAGGATGGTGGGTAGGTATCGCCTCGCAACCATGAGTCCGGCTGTATCTGTGTCCTTCCGCAAGCCATTGTTTCTGACAGAGTACCAGCACAGGACAGCCAGCGTGATCGCAAAGGCTAGCGAGATGAAAGCAATTGATCCCAAAAAGGCGGGACGTAGGGTGTAAGGCCTCCAATCGCTTGCTGAGTGCTTTGCAACATTATTATCATATCGTAAATGAGGCTCTTCCTCGCTAACTCGCTGCGTAGTCGTCGTGTCGTCTCGAGTTCGTGATTCGTTCGTCGCGCGCGCGTCTAGTAATGCTTCGTGTTCAGCGGCACGATGCTTGAGCGTAGTGGGGACAGCATGCACACTGCTCGAGTCATGGGCTCCTACAGATTGATACCGATGAGATTCACTCGTTGTCCATGTGCCATTTCGTGGGGTTTGGCGTGGTGGCGTGCTGTAGTCCGAAAGTGCTGTCCAGCCTCCACTGTTCTTAGAGTTGCGACGAGCTGCGAGCAAGTGGGACATAATGAAATACCACCTGTGCCAGGCCCTGCGACATAGCTCCTCTAGATCAGCGGTCTGCAAAACTCTGCTTGTGTGTAAAGTACATCAGGAGGCCTGACAACACATGTAAGCTGCGCCAAGTCTCAATCTCCAGTTTGGGGGCCAAATCATCGTGGTCATGACACTGTACGATGTCCGGGAACACAGCTACCGTGACATAGGTGTCTTGATTACGTGTTGTCACAGTTTGCGCGACGGAAATGCTAAGGGCCTGTGCCAAGATGGAGTTGCTCTGGACTGACGATGATGTTCAGTTGTTCGTAGACAGCTTCCCCCAGCAGTTTCGCGGACCCCGCCAGCGCTAATGCCGCGCCTGTGCGCTTCGCTCCGCCCCTACACCGTCATCGTCATATTTTCCAGCCAGTATCCAGCTCGCCGTAACGACGCACTTCGTCGTGGCTAGCTTACAGTGGCTCAACAACCGCCCTTTTGGGCTCGACAAGCGCCAAAACTAACATGTGTCACTGTGCTGATACGACAAGCTGATGCACAGCCACACTAGTCCCGCTCTCACCGTTGCAGCCTTGCGCTAATTCTGAGAGGCAGGCACTTTCGTGCAGAAGCGTCTCCAACTTTACTGCAGAGATACGGTGAGAAGGGCTTCACTTCTACCATAGATTAGCATTTGTGACTCATTGCTGCCTTCCTACACACATATATTGATCTCACAGCAAGCTCGCTTTTGCACTTACATACCGGCTGGTAAGCTTTTGCTAATTCCTTCTTTTGTTGCACGCGAGACCCATATAAGCTGCAAGTCCATCGTGCAGAGACGCATCCTCGACATTCGAGAATTCACAACTATGGACTTCTCGCGTCTCCAAAGCCTGCAATTCGAGCTGAATTCAACGAACGCCACAGCTACGAGCCTCCCATCTACACTACTTGAACTTGTAGTTCCTGGGTACAGCACAATCTCTCAGCTCGCCTTTCGCCTACTGGGTATTGATATTGGGGTTCTTGTAAGTTAATGCAATCGCAATGTGCAATCGACACTGCTGACGTACCGTCTTTAGGTGACTGGATGGGCACTGGTCTTCGGCTGTCATACAGCTTGGCGATATCTCTACGACTTGGTGATCGGGTACTTTGACGAATACTACTCTTCGTCTATTCAAATTGATAATGACGATTGCTTATTCGACGACGTCAAGGCCTGGCTATCTGAGCAGCAAACGAAGAAGCCTGGCAGGAAGCTGAAAGCGGTCACTAACTACGACGACAACAACAAAGATGAAAATGCACATGACGAGCAGGGCATCTACAAGTACGAAGTTCCAATGCCGCGATATGAACCAAGTTATGGCAGTGACGACTTCTATCACGAAGGGCGACACTTCAAGGTTGTTCGCTCAACTATGAAAGACGAAACGGGCCAGTACCAAAAAGAAACGCTGGAGGTTTACTGTTATGCCCGAACCGCACAGCCGGTCAAAGACCTATTGGCCCACATCAGGCTTTGGAAGATCGGCCAGGAGGTGGCCATGACAAGCGTCAACCGCGCGGTGAGCAACGGCGGCCGCTACTGGAGTCGACAATCTTGCCGCCCTTCACGTCCAATGCACACAGTATCTCTCGATCAACAGCAGAAGGATGATATTGTAGCCGACATCAACGAGTATCTCCACCCCGCAACCGCGAGATGGTATGCGGCACGTGGTATTCCGCATCGACGAGGGGTAAGTGGCTGGTTCTAGCTTCGAACCACACATGACTGACTTGTTATCTAGTACTTGTTCCATGGACCACCCGGTACAGGCAAGACCTCGTTATCATTTGCACTCGCAGGAGTTTTCGGATTAGAAGTGTACTGTCTCTCGCTGAACGACAAGGACCTGACTGAGTCCGAGCTCTGCTCTCTCTTCGACTCTCTTCCAGACCGCTGCATCGTACTCCTTGAGGACATTGACAGCGCCGGTCTCAAACGCGAAGAGGAACCTGTTGTCGCGGAGGTAAAAGATGACAGCACCCCTGACGCAGGGTCGAGCACCAAGCCCGCCGCGAAGTCCGAGACTGCTTCAACGCACATCAGCCTGAGCGCACTACTCAACGTCATCGATGGCGCAGCCGCGCACGAGGTAAGATAAGCCGACGTCATCCGATGCGCGTACTAACAGCAAATCCAGGGCCATGTTCTGATCATGACAACCAACACACCAGAGCAACTCGATGCTGCCTTGATCAGGCCCGGGCGTGTGGATCTCCAGGTTGCCTTCACCCTTGCCACCCGCGATCAGATTCACGAGACCTTCATGCGCATGTACAGCACCACATCAGAGGAGCAAGCAAAGGGTGGACTTCTACCGAACAAGAAGTCCCGATCCGTCTCGAAGGTTACAGATCCTGAGGAGCTTAAGGACATGGCGGAGAAGTTCACAGCGCAACTGCCTGCGGACAGTCTCTCACCAGCTGAGATACAAGGATATTTGTTGATGAGGAAGAAGGACCCACAGAGAGCGCTCGACGATCTCGAGAGGTGGAGGGATGACTTGATGGAGTCGAAGAAAAAGGGGAAAAAGCTTGTGGGCGCTCAGTAGGCGTTGCGCAGATTCAGTATTAGACGGGCGCGCACGCGCATATCAATACGATAGAAGCCCAGGCTCAAGCCGACCATTTCATTAACATTCAGAGACCTGGTCACTTAGCTCAAGGTAGGTGCAACCTTGATGTTTTGCCTGACAAAACCAAAGTATACACAAGGCTGAGCTCAAAAAATTGGTAGGCATAAAGCTAGGTCTATTCGCTCTCAAACAATGATCACAGGCCATTTTGATCCTGGTTTCCCGCACCTACGGCAGCACATAACCGCCGTCAATCAGGTAGTCACTTCCTGTCACATAGCTCGACGCCTGGCTTGCCAAAAACAAGAACACACCCTTGATCTCCCTCACATTGCCTTGCCTTCCCAACGGTATCATCCTCAATCCCTCAGTGATAACCTTCGGCCCCGCGCCCATTTTCGTGTCGAAGAATCCAGGACTCACAATGTTCACCCGCGCAAAGTCCCGCCACTCACGCGCCAAGCTCTTGCCCATGTGTGTGATGAACGCCTTACTGCCGTTGTAAATCGGCTGGTCAACAGGCACATTTACGATGTGGCTCGAAATCGAGCCGGTGAGGATGAGATTGCCAAAGCCTTGCTTCTTGAAGATCTCGCCGGCATACTTGGCACAGAATACGGGGCCATCGACATTGACCGCCATCAGGTTGCGGTACGCATCCAGCGTCTGCTCGAGCAAGGGTTGAGAATCGCCGGTACCGGCGTTGGCGACGAAGACGTCGACTTTGCCGAAGTCAGCGACAACCTGGGCGAGTGTGGATTCCACGGCGGAGGCGGAGGTTATGTTGACGGAGTAGGCCTTGGTTTTGACGGAAAAGTCCTGTGCGAGGCGCTGGGCGCGCTTTTCGGCTTCGGGGTTGCTGAATTGGTTAGTGAAAGGTGTGATTCAATTGGAGGGTGGTAATGCGTACGAGTTGTACCACAATGCGACGTCTCCGCCAGCCTCGGCCATTGCGTCGGCGACAGCGCCGCCAATGCCTTCTGCTGCGCCGGTGACAACGATGACTTTGCCCTTCATGCTGAATTGTTCGAGGACGTTTGTTGGGCCCGACGGCACCGGCTTAGGAAAGCCGGGACGCGGCGTCTGGCATTCATCGATTGACATAGACATATTTGCGGGTATTAAGAAAGATCAATTGGCAAGTAAATAAAGAAGTTGCAGTGCAGTTACAGGACTGACAGGACTGAGGGCGATTATGTACTTAAGGGCCTGGAAAGTGCAACGGAAAGTGTGGCGATCTCGGGTTTTAGTGCCCCAAGACAATGAGGCTCTGAAGGAACGCAGCCAGCGCTGCGGGTCGGCGACGTCACCGACGCGATGGCCGCTTGGTGTTGCGGACGTTTGTCGCCCGACATGGCGGGGCGAGTACCATTTTGAGGGTTCAAAGTGGGGTGATGTGGGGTTGGCGGGCGCTCGGTTGACCTGCCCTTTTCCTACCCTCACGCCCCTACGAATACAGTGCCTCCCTTAACTAGGGTCTCGGTGATTTGAGGAAGAGAACGGTTTTGATGGTCGCTTCCTGCCGTTCCCAAATACAGTACATACCCCAAACACTGCACCTAGGCACGCCCGACCACCCATTCGGCAGAATATAGCATCAGACAAGAAGGCGCTTTCTCGTTGGGATGTATACAACTGAGCGGAGTTCTTCAGTCACAGTCCTGCGGCTTACTGGCTGCGATGAAGATGGGTTGAATCCTACAAGAGTTCCAGGTGGCTGGCCGAACATGGCTGTGTGCACTGCAGTGGTTGTCCATCGGTTAGTGCTGCGAACAACGCTAACTTATAGGCACTTCACAGATGAGTGCGTTGCTATTCTGAATGACATGGTTGATTCTGAACATCTGTGCAGACGCTCACATGTGCAGGTGACGTTGCTAGAATCTATCTGGGTATGATATAACTGACTTCATTGATCTGGTCTGCTCCCCTCTGACGAAACGACTGTTTGGGAGTACAAGGCAAGTGACTGCTTGTACTCAATTTTGAGCATGCAAACTTCGAGGCAGCCTCTCTTCAGCGACCGAATTTGGCCTCAGATGCTCCTACTACGAAGCCGAGCATTGCTCTGCGGAATTTGCCCGTCTGAATGTACGGTCCTCTGTCGCAATTGTGGACAGCAGTTCCCTCCGTGATCCACGTCAGCTCAGCTGTATCGCCCGCTTTGTCATTCCTCTACGCTTCTTCCGGCCGAGATCATTCTCTTTGAACTTGAACAGCAGAAGGTGGTCCCAGTTGAATAACGCGACGTATGGACATCCTTTGTCTCCATTGGCGTACTTGCTGACCTGTTTTAGAAAAGGAGTCGCGTTCCCTACCCATGCCGTCCGGCCGGCCAGATCCTTGATCGTATCGATCCGGTTCTCGACGTCGGTTGCCGAGCTCCCATATTTCATGAGACCTTTTTCATCCTCTTCAAGTTCCTCGGGAGCGGAATCGTAGTAAGTGATCAACTCTCGTCGCTCAAGCTCCAGCACCAAGATTCGTTCTTTCTCCTCACCCGCCGTAGACTTCTTTTCGTACACGAGATCAAATTACATTGAGCTGTTGGGGCTGTACTCTCTACGCAAGGTCCATCGACCGTTCCAGCGTCGATGAAGGATCTCATTGATTGGCTGGAGGAGTAGGCTTTCAGTGGCACTGACCAAGTCTGCCTCCGTGTCCATTGCCATTTCAGGAAAGGCAAATGGAAGCCTGATATCTCCAAAAGGTGCGTTCTCGCGAAGCTTCTGGAGCGTAGACTCTGCCAGATCAATGAAGCCATTATTGATGCTAGCATCGCGGCAGAGTAAAAGGTATGGTGGTATGCAGGCCTGAGTAGTGGTCAATAAGGCTGAGACCTGGTGGTACTTCACTTCTTCGGAGCGATTGCTCAAACGTGGAAGGTTCATATCGAAGCTTTCGAGGATCAGTGACCTGTCTTCCATTGTTAGGCGGATGCTATAGGTGACTGGCAGTGAGAAGTAAGTCAGACGAAGCCGGCATTAGTTGATGTTCGTAGAACTGACGCTGGTAATCTAGACATTCACTCTGTTGCCTTGCACTGTTAAATGAAAGCCGGCTTCAATGTTCCATACATGCGATTCCACGTCGTGACACCTACACGCAAACCAAGTACGTAGACATTGCAGCTTCAACCCAATAGCCACGAAATTTACTTCCAGCTCATTAGAAGTGCTAGCAGATCGCCGGTAGTTACAGCGAAGCTGTGCTGGTGTGATGTATTAAGGCGACACTCAGTCATAATTGAGAGGCTCAATCTTGTGACAGAAGCTGATAAGAGTTCTCCAGCACAGACTTTGCTACCACCGTTGTGCGCCACGAGCCACGGGGACGTTACAATTCACACGATACAACGAATGTATCAAATGAGGCCATATCACTACCTAGGTAGGCACAACCATTCACGAGGAACTTGTCTTGTTGGAATCACCATTACCAGGCGACACAAGACTTGGCAAAATCCCCGGGCCTTGTGATTACGTCCATCCTCCGCAGCGGAGCAAGTACTGGGGCCCAGCTCGTCGCCGTTAACAACAGTCTGGTCGCAAAAATCTACGATCCTCTTTATTGCTATTCAAGCGATGATCGCGATGTCGTGGCGTGCGCTGAGCAGGCATACTGCCACGAAGCTGCGGCATACTCCCATCTGCAGAAGCATTCCGAGATCTCGCTCAACTTATCGACATCTCTCATCGAACACGGTCTCAAAGTCGTTAAATCACGCGACGTGCATCTCATTCTTATCGAGTATCTGCGAGGTGTGTGTATGGTCAACCTCGATCCATACAGGCTGTCTGAATACGTACGCTGGGAAATTCTTAAGCAGTGCATCGAAGCCGAGATACGGATGTTATATACTGGTCTTGATCACAGTGACTTTGTCCCTCGCAACATCATAATACTGGGCTCAGACTACCACACCCCCCAACTGCAGGTCAAAGTCGTCGATTTCGAGTTCTGTAGGCTCCTGGCACATCCTGGCTATTCTAATCGAAAATTAGGGCAGAGAAGAATGTTGGCGTTCAAGAACATGGCTCCTAGAGTCGCTAATCCCGTTCAACGATACTGCGGTGGACTTGCTGCGTTTGCCGACCTTGGATGGTGCTCTGATGACCGGTTCTCTGTACAGGAATGGTTGTGGGATACCTTTGGTAACGACGATCGCTATGTTCCAGCCAAATGGGCATTAAAACGGCCGGGAAGGGTTTAGGATCCGTGAACGAGGGAGGGGACACTCAAATTCCGGGTTTGAGCAACGGAGAAGGAGGAGATAATGAATTTCCATAGGCTGAGGCTGGAACGGAGCAGGGAAGTGGCTTTAGAAGAACTACCACGACGATGATCGGTATATCTTGGTACTATACTGTTTGTCCCCCTGAACAACTGTTATATACGACCGCTCTACACAACCGCTCTTAGCAAGATCGACGACGTCTATCATGAGGAATGGCGCAGGTCAAGGTATTTCGGAGGACTGCAGGTAACATGACTCTGAGCGTTCTGACTGCGGGTATCTTTCGTCTCGCAACGATATTGAACTTCGGGCTACTTCAAAACTGTACACAAAGATATGAAATTCGCTTTTCGTGAGCCAGAATCACTCGACTTTGTGTAAAACATTTTGCTCATGGTCTGCGTGCTTTCTCTGAACGCCTGATCGAAAATTCTAGTTTTACTTGTTTACGCATCGCAGCCAGTCTGGTTGAACTTTGATATAGCTGAGGCATCAGAGCCAAATGCGACAGCACGCGCGATCCAGGCCTAGGTGTTGAGTTAGTGTTGACGCGTGGCGAGACATTCTAGAAAGACTTACATCAATGCTTGCAGGGGCTGGCTGGCGCTCCCGGCTCAGAATGTATAGAGTACTCCAGTTCTGCGTCTGCACGATGGCCCAATCAATTGCGTAATCTAGAGACGTCGTAAGTATCTCAAACTCACTCATGTTTAAATGCGTGAAGCGTACCTTGAACAATGTAGTTGGGTCCTGGGCATTCCGCATCTGGGGTACCGGGGAAGCTGACTACGAAGGCACCTCCAGCGCCGTAAGCAGAATCGACCGGAGTTGCAGTGCCAATAATGTCAATGGGCTGAGGACCAACGGTTGCTGTATTCAAAACGCGAACTGTGCCGTTATCCTACCAGCGTGTTAGCTCCTTCCCGACGATGGCTGTTGGCGACCAACATTCAGCTCGTAGTTTGCAGTCACGCAGCGAGCTCCTGCTGTGGGGCCGAAAGGTGTACCGGCAACTTGGTACCAGGTTCCCAGGTAGGCCTCCAGATTAAATTTGGGATCAGGCACGGGGTAAAAGCATGATCTATAGGATATGTCAGGTCACTGTGCGTCATTGTGTGAACTGAACTCTGGGCTGCGTTTACCCGTCGTATTGCGCCGCTGCAACATTCGGTGTTGTTGTAGTCTCATTCGCCTGGCGAGACAGCAGAACAGCCGACGCGACTGAAGTCAAGGTGGCAATGGTGGCTTGGATGCGCATATTTTATCGGTGGAGCGTGTAAAGGATTGGTGTTCTGAGATTGTTGGTGTAGTAGATATGCGGCTCAAATACAAGACACTGCTAGAAATACCTTCTGCATGTGCAGATCCTCCAAGTTTTAGTTACAGTTCGCCCAGAGCAAACTATTACCCCACAAATGCCCCGATTTCCTAATTAGGACCAAAGCGCGAGGTACAAGAGTGGCTGGTGAATCTTAACCCTGCACAACGTCACTTGTGCTTCGCAGTACAACAAGCCACTCCGCATCCAGACCTGATGTTGTATCATCACATCATGACATGCACTGTGCCGGTTTCCTAGCCGAGCTACGAAGTATCAGCATCGAATGTGCCCCGGGATTGCAGCCGCTTGCAGAGGAAGGCAAGCGCCAAGACGGCGGGTTATCATCCTGTTGCAGCGTATGGAAGCGGAGGCTACCGATGATGCGGAGCGGGTTTTCATTACGTGACTACCTACGCGCTTGTGCACAGCTATTGTTGAGCATGGAGGTGTTGATGTGAGGTTCAGGGACGCGATCGAAAGAGCTTCATGATGACGTAGATGCCGGCTTGGCATGGATCTTGTTCGATTCGTGTACATGCACTTTTCTCGATCTAAAATCCGTCATGCAACTTCAGCCTTTCTTAAGTAACCAATGCTTCGTAGATCGTATATGAAGGCATAGAGCGAGATTGCACACAATACACTCAATGGCCTTTCGCGCGCGTGAAACGAAAGCGCTTTCACAGCCGTCATACGCCACTCCAGCTCTTACTGCTTTTCCTTACATCGACGCGTACTCAAGAATGTAACATGAGTGACAGAACAAAGGCTTCAGTAGCCTCCTGCTTTCTTACTCACTGCTGATCACGGGACATGCTGTGCGTCGCCCACCGAAGTTTTCCCGATTGGTCCGTTCTCCTTCCAACATACCTTCACTATCACTTCTGCCTGTTCGCTGTCACCAAATTAAAAATGACCCTCCAAGCCTCTTAGTGAACACTAACAGCTTCATCATTTCAACCCTCCTGATCAGTCACAACATGACATCGCCCTCCAGCAGCACTTCTTGCGATTCGCGTTCATTACGATCTTCTCAGGAAGATGATCTTGGTCCCTACTACTCTGGACGAACACTTTCGATCAAACGGCATACACCCGCTTTGCCTTGGGGTCGCAGCTATTGTAAGTCGGAAGTAGACGATCCAGAAGTGTCCGACGGAGTTTCTAAGGTCGAATGGTGTCTCACACATCCTCCTACGCCAGGTAGTACAGACCTGAACGACACGCGCGACATTATATTGAACGACCCAATTCGAGTTGGCAATGAATGTGGCGCCCAGATCCTATCAATCAATGACGGGCTCGTTGCGAAGATCTACGATCCACTTTGTTACAGCTTTCACACTCAAGGCTGGACGAACAACGTCACCGCCGAGGCCGATCACGATTATTGCATTGAAGCAGCTGTGTACTCCGCGCTGAATGGCTCCAGTCTTGAGGGCAGCATGCCGGAATATTATGGTTCATGGACTGCGGACGTCCTCATTGATGTGGAAGGCCGGCAGCAATCCCGCGAGATTCGCATGATCCTTATAGAATACATTGTGGGCATATCAATGAGAAACATCAAGCCACATGAACTCTCCCGCAAGGCGAGAGAGAACATCATGTACAAGGTCATCGAAGCAGACACAGACCTTTTCATTGCTGGCGTTGAACACGACGATTTCGAACCTCGAAACATCCTGATAATTTTACCTCTAAGATTCGATGCGCCTGAGACGACCTCATCCTACGATACATCTTTCGAAAATCCAAATCTTCGCGTATGCATTATCGACTTTGGCATCTCTTGTGTCTACACTCTGGCGGATCGCGAACCTCTCGATGAAAGATATCATAACCCTTTGTTTCGCTGGGCGGGAGCAGACATGTACAATGAATATGGTTGGTTGTCTCCACGACGAGAAGCTACTGATTGGATGTGGGAGATGTGGGGTTATGGCGGGTTGGATGAGAAGTATATTAAGGTAGTACGCGATATGGATGATGTGATCGGTCGTCCCATTTATCCGGAGGACTGATCCGGAGGACTGAATAACACGAAAAAGCGTTGGTTGAATTGGAACCCTTCCGCAATCAAGATACTTGTAACAGACTTATTCTCTGGTTTCACTCTATTTCGAACTGTGTGCACTGTGATGTTCCAAACAATATATGCTCTGTCCAATGTAGTGACAATAAGCGGCCGGTCTGTTACAAAAGCATATGAGACTTGAGTTACTGTAGTTCTTTACAGCTGATTTCCTGGTCCCCATCAGCTGTTAACCTTGTGTGAGGGACTTGAGAAGCCGAGCGTGACCTCATGTAATCGATATACTGGACCACCAATCTCCGTGGCAGAGTCGAACAATGTTGCAGCCAATATTGAGGAACTGGAAGGACAGAGATAGTTGTGGAAAATTACATTGTTGGTGTTGCTCCGTTTGGTCCTCTTCAAAAACAGCTCTCGTTGCGGGCTGGAAAATTTCACGCACCCACAACTGCCTCTCGGCTCAGGTACGCAAGGCGTTGAATGTACACACAATGCATCCAAGTATCGAATGACGGAGACAGCGCTCCTGTAAGACTATCTCCATTTGCGCAAGTCTCGCGACGGATGAATGCTGCCTGGCGATGAGGTCGGACTCAACTTGGCCCGAGCCCAAAAAATTTCTGACACTCACGCTCTGCTGCCTGGCATAGTGAAGGCGCAACTGGCGATTCGAAATCTTTCTTATCACTAGCAAGTACTACCGTGCTACCACGGTACACCCGAGGTTCCTCCAGTTGGCTTGCGTCGCATCGATCGTCCACAATGTGCTTTCACTTGCAGACTCTCTACCACCTATAATTACCAACCTTCCCAACTTTCAATCTCCACCCATACACCACTATACGCGCCAACCAAAACGTTGATTTGACAATTGACATGTCGGCGCCCACGACAGACGCATCGAATGGCCTACTGTCGCCGCCTCGCTCTCCACGAGAAGGCACTTCCGCGCCCTATCCCGTCGGACAGAGCTTCTGTGTCAAGCGCCATACACCCGTGATTCCCTTTGGGAGGAATTATTGTGAATCTGAGGATGACGAACCGCCTAGCGTCGTACCTGAAGATGTCTCCCAGCTCGATTGGTGTGTGGCGCACCCTCCTTGTGCTGGCAAGACGGACACAAGCGTCACACGTGACATCATCTTCAAGGCTCCGATCCGCACTGGGGATCAATGCGGCGCTCAAGTAATGCTGACCGAAGACGGCTTTGTTGCAAAAATCTACGATCCTCTCTACTACTCCTTCGGCTACGATGACCTGGACCGGAAAATCGATGTGAGCGCTGAAGCCGATTACGATTACACCATCGAAACGTACGCATATTCAGCTCTCTCTGAATCTGGTCTCCAAGGCTCCGTCATGCCAAAGTTCTATGGATCTTGGACAATGGAGGTTCGCACCAGCACCGATGGCCAGCAATGTCTTCGCGAAGTGCGTCTGATCCTTCTGGAACACATCACTGGAACAGCAATGTTGAACATCAAGCCTAAAAATCTCGGGAAAGAAGAAAAGGAAGCTGTGATGCGCAAAGTCATCGAAGCTGAAACAGATCTAAGGATCGCTGGTCTAGAACACGATGACTTCGAGCCGCGAAACATCATGCTCTCAACTTTCACCAAGTCAAGCGCGAACACACCGCATCATGTCTCATTCGATAGCCTAGATCTACGTGTTTGCGTCATTGACTACGGTCGTTCTTTTGTGCGCGTTGGTCCTACGTATCGTAACCCTCTCTTCCGCTGGGCTGGAGATGACATTTATAGTATGTACGGGTGGTTGCCACGCCGGAAAGAAGCGACAGACTGGATGTGGAAGGTATGGGGCAACGGAGGACAAGACGGGAAGTATGTTGTGGCTGAAAAGAACCCGAAGTCAATATTGGGGCGACCTGTACGCCGGAGCGTCATCTAGCTCCAGGTGAATCACGGCTGTAGCTTGTGCCCAACCCTTATGGGTGTTTTCAGGACTAGAGATACTAAGCCTTCTCATCAAACAAAATTGCATACCCGCTCTGAATTTCCATGTGTGAGTTTTGAACTGCCTCATGAACCATGCCATTCTCTTTTTTCTACTGACAACATTGATGGTACCGCTGGCAAGGCGTGTAAACACCCATCAAATACCCACAAGCACGAGCCAATTGATCGGTCTCACATAACATATATCAACAATCATATACTCAGGTGTAGTACTTGATCTGTTTGGCCTGCAAGGGGATATTACTAGGATTCCCTACAGGGCTCACGGGATTACTATAGAGCATACACGTGCACAAGCAGAATCTGGTCTGGAGAGTCTGATGGCTTTTCAGTTACTGAAATTTTGATTGTGATGTACACGTCCTACCTATTAGTCATTTTCCGTACGTCAACTCTCTTGGCTTGTAGCCATGGATAATACTTACACACCGTGCAGCTTGGATTGGATTGAAATGGATAATTGTTTACGTTAGAAGTGACTACTCTAAATCGGCCTCCCATGGGGCGCCCACTAATCGACGTGTGTTTAGGGAATTTCTAGAGGTGGCAGCTCCTAATCCCCTTGTAACAGTTTGGTGTTGTCGTTGCAGTTAGTTATCAACCAATTTGATGGTAGAATTCTCTGCCGGTCGAGGATAATACGCAATAGTTTGGATTTCTATAAGCGACGGAATTAGTGCTAGAAAGTGGGCAATAGCAAAGGCAGGATGAGCAGACCAAGTAAACAGAAGGCCCAGGAACTCATTCTCATAAATGCCAAGGGAAAATGGAGAAGGCAGGGGAGAAGCTTGCAGTGAAGCAAGCGATAGTAAGAGGGTGCCTATATGGGCGTTTTCGGATCCTAGTTTGGATGCCATTGAGCTTACTTGCGGGCTCTGGTAACCAGGCTGTATGAAGAAGGTCGAAAGATCTCTATCGGTTGAAGATTCGCGAGTAGAAACCCGTGATACGCAAAAGTTGTGCGAAGTCCTAGGGAGAGTCCAAAAGTCTGACCGTAACTAAGCCCTTCCCTAGCATTGCTAGAAGGACCAGTAGGATCACCCAGGGGTCATCTTTTGTATGACTTCAAGGCCTTGTTGCAGAGGGCAATATGATTAGGGATTCTCGGGCTGCCGCATGAGCAGTTCAGTTTCGCGTTCTCATGGCTAAATACCGCCAGTGCTGCAAGCATGAAGGAAGAATCCCAGAAGAGCCTTGCGAAAGTCTGTCTCTTCAACGATGGTAACATAGGCGACAGTTCGGTTGTTGTCAAACCTAAACAGAATTAGGCTGCTGTAGTCGCACAGTGCACCGTAATTACACTCTTTTCGAGCTGCATACGCCGTGACTTGCTTGAGTTGGGATGTGGTGAGCCCAGCTTTACTGGTGTTCTTGTCAGCATCTGGGACATGCGGTCTTAACAGGCTGTTCAGCTCCTTAGGCTCCCACATCAAATCTGAGAATACCTCCTCGTCGATGAGGCCTGCCCGCTTGAACTCGACCAAGACAACCGGTTGCTCAGTGTCAGTGAATCCCTCTGGGATGGCTGAGCCGTGCACGACAGCAACTTGATTGTGCATTATGGCGATGTCTACGCGCAGTTTATTCTTCATTGGGGATTCTGCGTGAACGTAAACCTTTCCAGTGTAGCGGTCAACAACTTGAATCGCTTGTTCGATTGGTGTGAGAAGAGAGCTACGTGCATGTGCGACCACGTCGGCTTCCGTACGCAGCACACGATTTGGCTCAGGCTGTGGTTCTTGCATGCCTGCAAGAATGGGTCCGTTATCGTTCAAGAAATTCTTGGTCTTGTCAATGTACACCGACACGGGCTCTTGAATGAGGTATTTGGGAGGCTTCTGATTGGCGACTGTGACTGAAGAATCTCCCCTGGAGTAGTCACCCGGGTCGAAAATCATTGCCCCTGGCAGTGGCTCGTCGAAGCAAGATAACAAGCTATGCGTTGCCATCTTGGGTTGAGAGCTTCTGTGTGATTTACAGATGGGAAGCACCGTATAATTTTATAGAAGCCAGGGACCCAGTACTTTGAGACCATTGCACATTGTTTGTAAATACAGCTTTGAGTGAATCTCCGGGTTTAAGGGAAAGATTCTCCCGTGCGTGCACAGTGAACTGTCGCCTTGAACTTAACTACAAGGCCGATGGCTAATCTCGAGATACACAGCGCAAAAGTCTTTCACATCAATTAAAGTGTACATGTGCGACGTACAACTCTTGACAATCAGAGGCACCAACCGTTCCATGCCATGCAATTATATCTACAGGCATTGGGGTAACATGATAGCCCATCAGATGGCACAGCGTCCGTTGTGGCCACTATTCTATCACACAGACGTTCGTTGAGATCTCAGTCTTTCTAAAGAATACTGGGTGCGATCATTCTGTTGAATCCAAATGCGGTAACGTGGATATATACTTTTGCAGGTGTGACCTTTATATACATGAAGGTTTTCTAGAAATGAAGGAGCCTGCCATTCAAATCCGACCTCAACGCTGATATCAAAGAAATGAGCAATGCTACCTGAGCATTTACCCTGACAGAATTGAAGCACACGTTTGAGAATGTGAATAAGGAAGAAACGTGACTGAAGAACAAATTCTCAACGCTGAGCACGTCCACATCATTCATCCGCGACTATCTCGGTCTTGAATACTGTGCCTGCAAGTGAACTGTCTCCGCCGACCGTGATGCTGCCGACACCGAAACCTTGTTCGGTGTGACATCCTTCCGGTGCCGGGTTCTGCAGCATGTAGGCAAATGACTCATAGCAATCCTGTGCTGTCCAGAAGACACCTGCTGAGCCCTCGGGCTGTGCCGCTGGTACGACCGAGACTTCTCAATGTCAGTGGGAGCTGGTTGGTGGCTGCTTCCATCAGTAACTTACATTTGACATTCCATCCGCTGATCTTGTTCCCTTCTGTGGTCTCAATGTTCGCAGATTGCGTGCTGTTCTTCGGCCCGTCGAGTTTCCAGTCTATGACTTGGGCGCACACAATATCATCGGCAAGGCGGTCTGGATAGGCGCAGCGCGGCATCATGGCAGCGCATGCGTCAGTGAGGACAGACTCCATCTGCGGTCCAACGTAGAAGCCGATGATCTTATCAGATGCTTTGTCGCACGATGTTGTTGTACCCTGAGGTGGCTGCCATGATGATGTGGGTTCCGCGCGGTGCTCGAAGCTGCTGTGTGAAAGTGGCGCTGCAAGGGCGACTGCACATAACGTGGTAATAACGAAGGTGCTATGCATGGTGATGGCGTTGTGTAGAACGTCGTCAGCCAATCTGCAGCTAGTATGTAAAGCAATGTACAATGATACTACGTTGTACTCGAAGTGGACTTGAAGACTGCAGTTTGTGAGGTATGGAGAAAATCAGCGTTGCCAAACCGACGTGCATATGAAGTCTTTCACATTCAAGACTACACGACGTCACATGAGATGTGATGACGCCCCGCAATATGAAATTGGACCAAGGTCCTCTCATCAAGGTTTCCGGCCAGCGTATCCCAGGACCTCATCGCATTGAGTGGGGCTGCAGTGCGTAGCGCGGTCATTGAGTCTTGTCAAATGCTTTCGAACAGGTCAATACTCTTTCCAATTGTTTCGACTATACAGAAGGAATCATGATTCCCGATAACCGTAATGATATTGGCCGGATTGGTGCACAATGAGGGTAGTGAGAACGTTTCATCGCGCGAATAATCTGGGGCGCATCATCTGTAAAGGATGCCTCAGGCACGTTTTGAAACGACGTGCTTGTTTCTTCCGACCCGAATGCATTGAGGTCGGGACTGGGATTAGCACAGATGAGATCGTGATAAGGTTTGGACATGAGGCCAGAACGTGGGGTAATCAATGCGCTCGGGATCGACCGGCATCTACTTTCGTGTGAGTATGTACAGCAGATCTGAGACGCTCCCTGCTGAATGCGCACTGCCAGTAGTTCGCACATGAACAGCGACGGGGCATATCGCCATCACGACGTTAGCTGCGATAAGCTCCCCATCGTCAAGCTGGTCGCGCAGCTGCTGGGGGCTCGTCACCAACCTGTCTTTCTGAAACGTTGATGTCTTGGGCGTGCAAACCGTGAAATGACGTCCCGAAAGGGTGGAACGGGTGCGCTAAATTAGCAGCCCCACTCAGGCACTACTTCTCATAACACTCCGCTTTGTATATCATGCATTGTCGTTCTATCATGAATCTGTACTGACTCCTCTCTTATCGTGAATGAAGGCTTGCTTGGCTGGCGAACCGCGAAGCGCGATAACAACCTGATGTCAGCAAGACGCACGCAAATAGGTACATCGTCACTCGAAGGAGCAAACATGTCATACTTCCACCAGTCTTGTTGGAGATGACTCGTATTGCTGATGGGAAGTGCCGAATGACCGATATAGTTCTGAATGACTAACGTGGCATCTTGCACCTTTGGTGCGTACCAGGGCATTTACATGCCCTGATTGGCTACAAGTACTCTTTCAACTGAACAACAGGCATCCATCCTCTGCGAAGGTTGTGAAATTATACATCTTTTCGTCTCTCTTTCTTGCCGCATACCCAAAGATATCGCTCGTTATGCATCATTCAATCGTCGTAGCCCTCCTTATACCAGGCGAGGCTGAAATTTTCCTCACTCTAGCACTCTTGATAGTAGCTCTGCTTTACTGGGCATCATGCTAGAGCTTGTCTCACCGATCTTGATTCCGAAGCTTCTCTTGGATATGAGTGTTCACGTATGTCCCAGGGGAGTTCATTGTGCGTTTTACAGCCTTGCATCTCACACCAAAGGGGCTGAGCACCGCTGACCAGGAATTAAGACTTGACACGCCGTATAAACACACGGTAATGCATTATGCAACCTGGTTCAAGATGATGCTTCATCGCCTTCTGACTACGGCTTCTCGCGCTCATAAGGAGCTACTGGATCACCATTGCCACGTTACAGCCCGACGCCACTCAGCGTTACCATCTCTCGGCCTTGACTACGATGAATCACTGATAATATCACACTTTCGAGCGGATTGATAGTCAGTATTGGGCTGCTAGGGGAAGTTCCAGTAAATGATATCGAAGCCTCTGCGTTCGCACGAGCGGAGCCTCATTCAAGCTCCCTATTGTATTAAAGTATGTGCACGATCAGAAACTTGAACGTCGATGTGAGTCTACAGCGGACCGAAGTTGAAACGAGACGGCAGTGGGGTCAAAATGCGATGAAGCTAGTGCCACGGAGGATTTGCTTACTACTATCGATGGGCCAGCACGCTACAAGTTGCGACATTGTGAAATTCGAATCAAGTTCCACTAGACTCTGGTGAGAGATCAGATTGCCTTGGACAAACATCGATACGCACTTAACTCCTGGCAGATTGAGAAACAGTGATGCGGTTGGCTCCATAGGCGACACTCGACCCGGTCCATCTTTCCCCCTCAAGCAAAATCCCCTTGTAGATACGGAGCCTCAACTCCGCTATCGTGTAGTGCACCAGCGCATCATGCCACAAAAATTGCAGGCGCAAGACACATTTCCCATCCTCACAGTGCAAGCACACCCTCACAATGCCACCAAGAATCCATCGTGACTTGTCATCCTCGAGGCAACTCCCTTCACTTAAAAAACGCAAACACACTGGGATACACAAAATGCATGCGGCTATGAGCTTGTGACACAATCTATGCAAGACTTTGTCGAGGAATGAACTCAGTCAGCGAAGTCGCCGTCGATATTTCCACCACAGGTTGAGGATTGTGGGATTTTATATCCTTCAAGACTGGACTTCGATATCACGCAAACTGCGATGAAAATTGAGGCTCGTCACAAGAGACTGCGGGGACTAAGTGAATGCAAAAGGCAGATATTTCGAACTTTGATATATTTTGGAGCTGAAGCATTATCTCGTGTGTGTGATACACGTTGGTAATATGTCAGTGTTTACCCTTAGATATCTTCTTCAGCTAAGAGCCATGACATAAATTTCAACTAATGCGCCGTCCTTGTGCTAAACAATCTGCGAACTACGAAGCTTGGCTGAATTCCACCCACTTCGTATAGATATCCCTGTGCAGGGGAATAGTAATCTCTCTGGCCCAGACATATGAGGGATGCGGCGCACCAGGTGGTCGCGGACCCAGTCTCCGGTCCCAACCCATCCAGCCCTCCCAATGGCCTTGCTTTATCTCGAAGCGGAATTTCGGGGCACCAAAATTGTCCTTGTAGTGAATGCCCACCACCGCTTGCTGGAAGTAGTCGCGAAATGAGGGGTAGTCGTCAAGACGGAACAGCACCTCTGTGCAATGCGGCGAAGATGGATAGCGGGTCCCGTCGGGGGCTGAGATGTGGAGGTGCTTCATGGTATTGACCAGTGTCACCAAGGAGCTCAGGTCAATGTAGACACGGGTATAGATCTCTGAGACAATGGCAAGCTGGCCGACAGCGTCTTCATCGGCTACACCGGGCTGTCTGACGAACGTGTCTATGTAGCTCTGGAGGTCATCCAGCCGGACGGAGAACTGGGTGCGAGCGTTGTAGACAGGAAGGAATTCGGATCGTATCAGGCGGCAGACTTGGGTCAGTCTCCAATACTGGCGGTATCTCCGCTGTGCGCTCCACAGATATCCAAAACTCAGTCGGTTGCGGTGGGCGTAGTAGCTGACCTTGTCGGCCTCGGCCTCCGTGAGTTTTGCGGAGTACTTGTCTTTGAGCGAGTCTAGGCTCTCTTCCATCGCGAAGCCGTAGATCTTGTTGCGGATCTCTGCCGTGCGTGTCAGCTATGTTTTCATAACTCCATGGGGAATTGACCTACCGCCAGGTACGCCAAGCAGTGAGCACGTCGAAGGCACCGCAGTGCACTGATCAGTGGTGGCTTGCGTTGTACAAGACCACGTCAGAGTAGGTATTGATGTTATCGAAATTGTTGGGTAGGTGCGAAGATGTGGAGGTGAAGAAGTAAGAAGCGCGTGGACAAGAAAAGTTTTATACGACCCTGGAAAGGCAGCAGCCACGCAAGTGAAAACCCCTACCCAGACCAAAGGCGCCATCACCGCGCCATGCAATCGACAGCAATCCCATAGCAGCATCCTCTCTTCTGCCTAGACTAGAAATCAGCGCTGTACCAACCACCTCTTCACTCAGCACCACCCAGGACCCGCCGAGTCTCATCGCGCATATCCCTCGCGAGAACAGCACTACCTCTGACGTTTACGAGCGCGAGCGGCACGACTTCTGACGTCTACGAGCGCGAACGGCACGATGTGATGAACACGCCGACCTCTCGTGCAAGAAATTGAATGCTTCTACTCACAACTTCTCACGCACTGCGACGGCAAGAATGGGACTGATATACCGCGCACTCCTCCATCCGCTTCCCATCACCGATGCTCAGGAGACTCGACGAGCTCCACGCAGAAACAGACAGCCCACACCGAAACGACGCCTCAGGAAGGTGCAATGCGGCGCGCTGCCATCACGACGACGAACCAGCGGCGAAGCGCGGAAAGGCCATGCAGAGGAAAACACACGACACTCTGCGCAATGTCATCGAGAGCGACGGTTCGGTCGAGAAGCGCCAGGACAGTATCGAGATTCCGCGGACGACCTTGCAGGAGCCGGCTCGACGGGTTTCTGGCGAAAGCGATGGGTACCCAGAGATCCTAACATACACAGAAGCATGTGAGAGCGGGGAGCGAGAGGTGGATGCGGGTATTGCTGGGATCGATGCGTATGGACGCACGCAAAGGGACAGAACGCGAGCACAGCCTGGGCCTGGAAGAACTGTGTCGACTGGCTTGGAAGACAAAGTGTTTTGTAGATTCAGATGGATTCAGATAATGCAGACAGCCAGCCGCTATGCTATGTGCCAAGAGTGTGGAAACGATGGAGCGCCGGAACGCCCTTTTAATGCTGTACTTGCTCAGATAGCACATTCCCAGATCCCCGCTCTCAGATACTTGACACCACTCGGGTCCCTCGTTACCACGCGCCCGCCTACAGCGCCTCCCAACCCTCCTCGAACATCGTCCGCTTCGCACACACCTCCTCCGTCGTCAACCCCAACGGCCTGATAACCTGCATCGCGCCGGTCCCCAGCTTGACACTCTGGCCCATGATAATGCACTCGGAGACGCCATCGATGCTATCGATCTTGCCGCGCGCAGCCGCCTCAAACAGATGATCAGGCGTCTTCTCGAAACTGGCGAGCTGCAGCACGCTGTCACGCGTCTTCTGCAGCCCGAAGCGCGTGATGCCGTACACATCGCCCTTGAACGTCATGACGTCGGCGAGCAGCTGCATGTGGCGCGGATCGATGTCCATGTTGCCCATGACGGAGCTGATTTCGCGCACGATGGTCTGGCGCGCGGCTTCGATGCCGAGGACCGAGCGGACTTCCATGACGTGGTTGGATTTGGTGGAGTAGGGCTCGATGCCGGGGGTTGTCATGCAGTCCTTGAAGCCGTAGCCTTCGACCAGGAGCTGGCATTCGTAGATGCCGTCTTTGTTGGGGGAGGTGTCTTTTTTGATGATGGCGCGGGTGCAGTCGGCGTAGCCTTTGATGACGACGTCGGGGATGAGCGCTTTGACTTGCTGCACGCGCTCGAAGAATTCTTTGTGGTTGCGGGCGGTCTTCGCGGGGCGCTTTTTGGCGGCGCTGGGGTCGGGGACTTCGACACGGATCAGTGAGGAGGAGATGCGGACGTTGGTGCCGGCTTTGCCCCACTTGAGCGCCTTGTGCCTATTGATGGCGCGGATGATGTCGTGGGGTTGGATGTCAACAAAGAGTGCATTGACGGTATCCCAGTCAACGCGCATGGCGATGTAGGCGCCACTGGGATGCCAGACGTCCTCGACATAGGTGATGATGTCGCGCAAGTAGGTCTTCTCAACACGTGCCTTGACGATACGTGCGGCGGATTCGGAGAGTTTGTTGGACAACTCGCAAGTAATGACGGGGGTGGAGATGGTGGATGAGGCGTTGATGATTTCCTTGATACGCGGGACACCCTGGGTGATGGACATACCAGCAACACCAGCAAAATGGAAAGTTTTCAGCGTCATCTGAGTACCAGGCTCACCAATAGACTGCGCACCAATAGCACCTACAGCGTGGCCAGGCTGGACTCGCGAGCGGTGATACTTGGTAAGACAGAGATCAATGAAAGTGTCAAGGGCTCTTTGGGAGATCTTTGCGATACCGTCAGCAAGACTGTACTTCTCCGCAACCTCTTGGGAAAGTTTCTCCAGGCTCTGGGACGGCTCGGCAACGCCAAGGTAAAGAAGAGTTGTCTCAAGCTTAGTAGCCTTCTTGCCCACATAGTCTTCGACAGTATCAAGGAAGTCGCGCATAGACTCCTTCTGGTCGATTCCAGAGTCACTATTGTCCTTGAAGTCGAGCCTCGTTACGCCATCCAGCATGTATCGCGGGTATTTGTTACGTTCCGTGTTCATCCTGGCATGGACATGCTCGCGGATCTCAGCCGGGACGAGGGTGGGCTCGCTGTTGGTCCAAGTTGATGTCACGGCGTGAGAGAAGGTTCGGTCAAAGTTTACAGGCTTGGCCTTACCCTCCATGTCGACGGGATCCAGGTTATCGTCTCCATATTGGAACTGCACGACAGTACCTGAAGAGTTTCGTACTGTGTCGTCGTATGAGGCCGACAAATCTTCCAGGGACTTCATAAGTCGTCTACTCATGTAACCAGTTTCGGCGGTCTTGACAGCAGTATCGACGAGACCTTCACGACCACTCATGGCGTGGAAAATGAACTCGGATGGCGTAAGACCCGAGAAGAAACTGTTACTGACGAAGCCCTTCGCTGCTGGCTGTCGCGCCGCCTTGGGGAAGTGAGGCAGCGTTCGGTGATGGAAGCCATCCGCAACACGCGCACCACCAATCATCTGTTGGCCGACGGAAGCAACCATCTGCGAGACGTTCAAATTGGAACCCTTCGAACCGCATTTGGCCATGAGAAGGGGTGAGTTCCATCTGCTGAGCTCCTCGAAACAAATCTCACCGGCAGCTTGACGAACGTTGGACAGGATACCACCAATTCTGTTCTCCATTGTCTTCTCTTCGTCGCATCCTGGATCACGCTGCAGTTTCCCTTCCTGGAAGTCGCTGATGATCTTGTCGCACTGCTTGTACGCTTCGACAACTAGGGCCTGCTTCTTTTGCATGAGCTTCTCGCCTGGAGTGACGTCGCTGATACCGAGGGAGAAGCCATTGTTGGTCAGCCATCGCGCGGACAGCTTGGAGAGTCTGTTCATGCCCTGGACAGCATGTTCGGGTCCAAAATCACGCATCATGACGTAGAAGACGGAATCTTTCTTTCCATCACCAACTGTTGCTTTGTCCATGCATCCACACATCACTTCTGAGTTACGGATGACCAGGTACGAGTCGTTGTCGCTGAGGTCGTGTGCTACGCCAGCCTTTGGCTTGAACATCTTATTTGCGGCTTCAAGGTTAACAAGAACTCTTGATGCCTTGTTGGGCCGCATGAGAAGATTGAAGACCTGCTTTCCCGTCCAAAGTGCTTGTGGCTTCCAGATGACAGGTGGCGGGATCTCGATTGGCAATGTCTTGCCTGTGTCGGGATCGTACGCTCCATCTCCATTGAACATGTAGTTGACGATCTGACAGAATGTACGTCGATCGTAGAAGTTGCTCTTGTTGCTGAGTAGAAAGGCTGCAGTAATGAAATCCTGGATGGCTGCAATGATAGGTGTACCGTTCTTTGGAGTGGCAATATTGTACCTTACGCCCATAAGCTCGGTAGCCTCTGTGCGTGCTTCTTCAGTTTGTGGAACGTGCAAGTTCATCTCATCACCATCGAAATCGGCGTTGTAGGGATTGCAGACACACTCGTTGAGTCGAAAGGTTCTCCATGGTCGGACTTTGGCCCTGTGACTGAGAATACTAAGCTTATGGAGAGAAGGTTGTCGATTGAATAGTACGATGTCGCCGTCTTCGATATGCCGTTCGACGATGTCGCCAATCTTGAGCTTCTCTGCAGGAAACTTTAGGCGCTCACCCTTCCGGTCGTGCTTCGTCAGTGCAGCTAACGAGATCTTGGTGCGCTCTCTATTCGGAGTTCGTTCGGCATCGTCCTTCAAGATGTAGTTCGCGCCGGGGTATTTGTTGGCACCGTTCAGCACTAGCTTTTTGAGCTTTTCGATGTTGTATCTCGTCACCTTCTCAGGGTATGTTAGATTCTTGGCGACGCGTTCTGGCACAGCAACTTCCTCAATACTCAAGTTAGGATCGGGTCCAATGACAGTGCGACCTGAGAAGTCGACACGCTTTCCAGACAAGTTTTGACGGAATCGTCCACCCTTGCCCTTGAGTCTCTGCGAGAAACCGCGCATTGTCTTCTGCAGACCCTGCTGTTTCAGACCGGGCGCGTCACTGTTGATGTACATAGCGATCTGCAGTTGCAAGAAATCCCACTGCTCCATGAGGATTTGAAGCGGAAAGCCTCGTGCCAGGCCAGCCCTGATAATACTGCTGATCTGGCAGATGTCTCCAATCTTGTTCGTCACATCATCTTCCGTGGCTCCTCCCTCCTGCATGACCGATGGTCGCAGCGCAACAGGCGGTACAGGCATGTACTCCCAGATCAGCATTTCCGGCCGTGCGTCCTCCGGAATCATGGCCAGCAGCTCGCAATCCTCGGGGGAGATCTTCTTGAACAAGTTGAGGGCTCGCAGGGGGTGCATATCGTCGGCGGCCTTTTTGAGATGCTTGTCGAGGTCGGGGTTCGCTGCCTTTGCTGTGTCGAAGGACTGGTCGAATTCAATCTTGCCGGCGGGGGCCTTCTTTGTCTTTGCGGTCGATCGGTTGTAGGCGTCGTAGCGGTTATGGATGATTTTGAGCGGGTGGCCGGGGACCTTCCTGACGGTGCCCTGCAGCGCATTGCAGTACGGGCACGTCTTCTTCTTTCGGCAGTCCTCCAGGATCCTCTTCGAGACGGCGCTGCGTCGCAGGGTGTCCATATCGGGGCGGCGCATGCTGCGCAAGTACCTGCGTCGCTCCACCTCATCCAGCAGCACGCGCGAGCAGTCCTTGCAGATGCAGTTCAGCACCTCGATGATGTGCTTCAGGTATCCCACGTGGAAGGCCGGCAGGGCCAGCTTGATGTGGCCAAAGTGGCCGTTGCACTTGTCAAGGCCCTCGCCGCAGGTTCCGCATTTTCCTGTCTTGCTCGAAATACCCATGTGAGTGTCCATGGGCCCATTGGCGGTAAGGGTGCGCGTGTTGTCGGCGGCGGGGGTGAGGTCGTAGACATTGCGGTCGGAGACTTCGAGGACGGCCTGGTTGACAATGTCCTGGTTGGAGCTGCCGGCTGTTAGTATGCGTGCAGCGCTGCACTGTGGGCGGCGAGGCCTACTAGATGCCGAACTGGATATGCTTGATGCGCGCGGGGATCTTATCCACCACCTGCTGCTTGACAGCATAGTTGGGCGCGGCCTCGGCCATGGCGGCGGGCTCTGAATGTAGCGGCGGGCGGGCTCTGGTCTCTGCTACCGGCGGACGTCGTGGGTATCGTGCATCGTCGTGGCGGCGTGAGTCATGTCAAGAGGCGCATCACAGTGCAAGGCGACCGTTCTTCAGTCGCAAAAAAGAGAGAACGCGGTGGGGCACATAGCCGCGGCCAGCCTGCAGTAGCGCCGCCGCGGGCAGCAGCTAGCGTGCACCTGATAAGCCCGATTAGGACAGCAACCTGGGGGGACCACCGCGACCTTCACTCCGCGCCCCGCCCTTACGGACAGGAGCCAAGCTGTCTCACCTTCTCCTGCAGCCTGCGAGCTTGCTGCAATCCTCCCGACAACACCAGCTGGCCCAACGCTCAACGCATCACCACTGCCGCCCTGAACCACTATTCAAGCTCAAACCCCGCTGGCCCCACCCAGGCATCCGCTGTTGCTCTTACTCCCTCGAGCAACCACTCAAGTACAGCCTGAGTGCCTGAAATCGCTGAAATCGCCTGCACAGCATCTGCCACGGCTTCACCCAACCCGCCGCCAACATGGTGCACAGTAAGTGCTCCAACATTTCAAGACTGTCCCATGCACGTGCTGATCGCGCAGCCTTCCGCATTGTCCTCAGGCAGGAGGCCGGCTTTGACATTCACCACACTCGTGAGTTCGACCTGGCCCTTGACTCCAAGTTTGCCATCGGTCGGGCCTCGAAGAACCTGTCCAAGGGCTATCTGCTGCCTGCGAAGCATAATGTCTACATCGACAGCCCGGTCGTCTCTCGCGAGCACGCCATCTTGACAGCCAACTCCTCCACTGGTACCCCGCAGGTCTTCATCACAGACACCAAGTCCATGCACGGCACCTATGTCAACGGCACTCCGCTGGTTCCCAACGCTCCGAAGCAGCTGTCGAGCGGCGACCAGTTGCAGTTTGGCGTTAATGTGAACCGCAACGAGAGTAGGTTGCACCTCCGCTGCCATGCAAACCAGGTCGCTAATAGCTCTACTACAGGCTACTTCATGGCTTACAGGTACACGTTCAACGCCGAGCTCTCCCACGCCGAGGCCTTCTCACGCGGCTTCACTGTTCCCGAGGCCGAGTCCGAGGAGGAAGAGGTCGAGTGTGTCCACAAGCGTCGCGGTAGTCAGCTCAACCCACTGATCCTCGATGAGTCCGATGCCGAATTAGATCCAGAGCACGAGGATCACGACGAGGACACAGAACGCTCTGACGACAACAACGATGTGACTATGGTACAGGATGAGGAGGATGAAGTCACCGAGGTGATCGAGTTGTCTGAGAAGGACGATTCTGCCGACGGTGCCCTTGATCTTGAACACACTGCTGACGAAAAGGCCTGGAGTCTTTTCGACATCGAGAGCGATGCTGCAAGCAACGGCAGTGCCTCCGACTATGGTTCAGACTCGCCACTCGTTGACGAGCCGTATGTCGAGAATGTCAAGGTCCAGGTCCACTCGCCTGCCGCTCCTCAAACCCCACCAACCCAGTCAGCGCCAGTCGAGCAACACCAGCCTTCGACAGTCAATGTGGCGTCTCTTGATCTGTATGAGCCAGAGCGAGGCCTTGCGTACCCTTCCTTGGCGGGCTTCCAGCACCCTGTCTACCCAGGCCTTTCTCTGCCTCCAGTATCAGCAGTGACCGAGCATTACGTTCCATTCTCCATGCCGCCATTTGAGGGCACTGTCGCTCCTCCACTGCCTCCGCGACCTTCCCAGAAGCGGCAGAGGATCTGGGACGAGGCACCGCGTGCAGAGCCGACATGGTACGGAGGAGCTCCACCTGGCACATTCGCTGGCGATAACATTGCTACACACTACAGTAGCCACAAGGTCGTATCGGAAGCAGAGCCCATCTCTGCCTCGTGGTCAGCTGCAGACGGTATCCAGACTCCGTCTCCCACAGAGCATGCCGAAGTGGTTCATCAGACATCATCACCTTTGGCACGCAGGACAGGCGTTGCCATCACTGAGATTGTTGATGAGCAACCACCAACACCCACTTCGATCAAGAGCCGCAAGCGCAGCGCAGTCGATGCTTTCGAAGAAGAGGCTGAGCAGGCAACCGAGCAGAAGGATGTGGAGGCTGAGGCAGATGCCGAGGAGGCGATGCCGCTTCAGCCCACATCCAACGGCACTGCTCCCGAGGAAGCTGTAATTCCTAACATCGAGCGGGTTACTGTTCAGCAACAGCGCCCCATCGCTCAACCAAGGGGTATCTTCAAGAGAGCACTTGGTGTCGTCAAGGTGATGGTGCCTGCCACTGCCTTCGGCGCTGTGCTTACAGTCACTGCTCTGACGACTCTGCCTGAGTCTTTCTTCACCGTTGCCTAGACGCACACCCCTTTCACCTTACAAGGACATCTTACTCTCCTCTCATCGGGAGTCTCGGTCGGCGTTGATGGATATCACAGGAAATACAGAGGCTACAATATCGGTGAGGCACACTCAGGCGTTCTCCGGTTTACAATTTCTACATCTCTCCTGCTTGACATTGTTTCGGTTACGGAAGGCGTTAGGTGGTCTCTTTGCAATTCGGTGTCGGTACGCCGCGCTTGTTTGCATATCTACGATTCATGATAGCAGTAATGACATATCTTCAAATTTGACTTTCGCGTGCTTGTGGTGCCGACAATGATCTATGGAGGGTCTGTTGTGGTGTGATGTGTGATGAATCAGGCTAAGCCTTGCTAACATAAAGTCTATATGACCGCATACAGCGCGCAGACAACCATCCAACAAGCCGCTGCAAATGCAAACAACGCTGCACTCCCCAAGCCCCTCCCCCCGCAACCATCCTCACCCACCCGCCCCCCAAACCCTCATCCCCACCCCAAGCATCTCCAACACCCCCGCCGCATCCTCAAACCCCCCCGTAACAACCGCCCGCACCGCCCACAGCGAGAAACACTTGCGCGCCCACCCCTCCTCCCCCCTTTCAATCCCTTCACTCCCTTCCCCTCCCCTCTCCCGCTCACTCACCCCCCACCCCGCCACACCCCCCACAAGACAAACCCACAAAAACACCCCCCTCATGCCTTCCTCCGCCCAGCACCCCACAGTGTCCGTGCGCTCCACTGCCCGGAGCAGCGCGGGAAGCGTGCCGGGCAGTGCGGCCGCGGCGGCGGCGAGGGGTGTGGCGTGTAGTAGGGCGTGCGTGTGCAGGAGGGAGGCTAGGCGGATTGCTTCTGTGGTTGGTGTGGGAGGGGAGGCGGGGGAGGGGGGTTGGAGGAGGGGTGAGAGGGTGGAGGCGTGGGGGTTTGGTGTGAAGGGGGTTGTTTGGTGGTGGGTGTGGGTGTGGGTGTGGGTGTGGGTGTGGGTGTGGGTGTGCAGGAAGGATTGGGTTAGGGCGTGGGTTGCTGTTAGGAGGGCGAGGGTCTGGGGTGGGAGGGTTTGGTGGAGGTGTGTTGTTCCTGTGGGGGCGTGGAGGGGGGAGGTGTAAGTGAAGGGTGTTTGGGGGGTTGGTGGTGGGAGGGTGGGGGGTTGTGGGGCGAGGGAGGGGGTGTTCTTGAGGGTGGCTAGGGTTGTGAGGGTGCTGGGTGCGTTAGCTGTGTTAATAGTGTGGTGGGGGTACGGTCGATTGTATCTGAGGAAAATGCTGGAGACCGCTGCGTTGTGTGGTGGTGCTTGAGGAGTTGCGAAATTGGAGAGACTTACAGTGTTATGTATGTTGCCAGTCGGGTCCCCAGCTGGCTCAGTCCCCCTCTCCTGTTTATGAGGCTTTGTAGACCCAGATGATGGACCTTGAACGCGATCCCGTCGCCGCCCACTTCGCTCAGGAGCAGATGCAGTATGCTCAGGATTGTCGCATCGTTGGACTCGAGCTGGCCGGCGATGGCACTGAGAGCGTGTGTTTTTACTTCCACGGTCATGTCGCTGTCCTGCCAGAACCCTTCGGCTAGGTCTTGATAGACGCTTGATACACTGACATGGCTGAGGAACGATGTCTGGTCCGCGCAAACGGTGCGCATCCACTCCCTGTCTACGCACTGATTAGTAAGGTACTGTTCAGTGAGTCTGAATACGAACCTTCTCCAAAGAGGCCGCAACTTTCGATGTATCGTTGTTTTAAACCATCGATAGGGCTGCTGTGCATCCCATGGAACCCAGGAAATGGGAAAGCTGACGCATCTTCGAAGATCGGAGGAGCACTTCGAGCGTACGCCACTTGACTCGAAGTTAGGATTTGGTGAATCAAACTCCGCAGTGTGGCTGGACTTGGACAATAGGGCGTAGAAGGTAGCGAGTCTCCTGTCCAGGTGCTACTGCGAGGCCTTGAATGATGTGGTGCGAGATAGTCGGGATCGCTGCTGTATTCACCCTGGCTAGTTGGCCCCGGACTTGATGTGCTCGACACATGTGCCAATTCACTCCTTTGAAGATTTGTATTCGTTCGTTCGTTTGGCGTCGGCTTTCTTTCGATCCGGTGCTTGTACATGACGTGGGATCGTACGTGCCGCATCGTCTTCCCAGCTCTAAACTGGTCTGGGTGGTTGGCAGTAACGAATTGAAAGGGAGGCCCGGGCTCGAGTGGTGGTAGCCGTCTTCTACCAAGTCTCTTCCTTGATGACGGTGGCTCGCTAGCCGATGCCATGTGTATGGATATAGGACGACTGTGGCGACCGTGACCACACTGTGCTATATCTGTGTGCAATATTCGTACTGGCGTTGTGAACCCGTTGCCGTCACAGTACGACTGTCAGTAAGAGTCGCTTCCAGGGCTTCGTACAATACTGCAGTTTTCGTCGTTGTCAAGCTGGTAGTCTCTAATGATTAGAGGGGTCGACTTCGGCAGAGTTGATTTCGGCAGAGTCGAGTGGTGGATCCTTGCCTGGTTCAGCGAAACCGTCTCAACCTCTTATAGATAGTTATACATGTGCCACCCGTGTGGGTATGAGCATATAGATATCTCGCCACAGAGAGATGATCTTTAGGGCGTAAATCCATCGGTTAAAGAACCCAGTATCGGTGCTGAGACCTCTATGGAGATTAGCCACGCGACGAAATTGTTGTCACAGGCGTGGTCCGCATAGCCACACAACCCAACACGTAGGCACTGCAGGGGTGTCTCCACCATCGTCTCAGGTGGTTCACTATGCAGCGGATACCCAGGATATGTTCCCGAGCTACAGGTACGGATCTGAGATTCGGGTGAAGGAAGCATGGAGACGGTGTACTGGCGGTCTGCAATGTCCCAGATCCAATTTACGCCGCAAGTCATCCGCCAACAGTCATGCATGTCGTCATAGCTGAAAGTTCGTATAAGCTACCACGTATAATTGGTACGCGAGAACTGGTTCCTGACATAAATCGAATGATGGTGGTACACCACAGCCTCAAGTTTGCTTGGTGTAGCTGACATGTGTTGCCAGAGTTTGTAAGACCGGAGGGCGTGAACGGAATTAAGAAGTTGAGCTGCATGCTCTGCTGACCTCATTCCAGTCTTCTTTGACAGTTTTTCAAAGGTGGTGTGTTTCTGAACCCTTCTACTTTCACACTGGCATGTGTTCAGTGAATCGACCATATCTTTAGATCGTGAACGCGCACGCTCTTGCAAGAAAGCAGTTGGGTAAGCCGCGGATGCTACCGCCACCAGGAATAAGCCAGCGGTATGACGAGGCAAGTGGACAGCATCGTGGGAGGTATTTTGAGTGCTCCCACTTGCCAGTTTGGAGACTAGTGCTGGTAAGCCTATGTCGGTGCGGTAAGCACTTCCAGTTCCACAGCTGGGCACGACTGGTTAAGTATCATCCTGGTCACCTTGAAGAACGTCTTCGGTACACCAAAACGCTACAGCCCTGCAGTCAGATGAATGGAATGAAACCTAGTTGCATCCTAAAATATAGATTGCGGCCAAAAGGTGTTGCCCATGACTGCATTTGACGCCCACATCGTGGGTTGACGAGAGGTATTGTTGATGCATATCCAAAACGATCCGTCGTGCGTCGCTCCAAAGTCGCACGTACCGTGGCCTTGCAACCAGGACTGAGGCAGCAGCCTCGAACCTCAACATCTTAGAGTGGAAGATTTCGGCAAGTCTGCTCGATTTGATGGCGATCGCGTGCCAGGTGGGTCTTCCTGAGTCTGGGAGGCCAGGGGCAGAATGACAACCAGACGTAAGCTGACCCCGACTCCGATAAACAATTGTGATTGGTATTAGTGCAGCGTTTTCGACCGCTTTCCAGTATTAATGCAGTTCAAGATTTGACATTCAAGGCTTATGTGCAGCTCGACGGCATTTAGAAGGTGTCGGTATCTCGTTGTCTCCTCAGTTGGGTGCGAGATTGTAGTGCTGCTGACACGCACGGACGTAAACATCTGATGTCATTCTCAGCTGGTGAAGACATGTAATCAACAGTCATGTTTTAATTCTTTCGCTTGTGCGCAGTTGGAGCTTGGGGAACAAATCGGACCACTAAGCTCACTCTTCTCGCGAACCAAAACGCCACTCTTCCCCGAGGGCAGCCAACGCTTAGTGACAGTAGGAAGAGTAGCAATACATGCGAAAAACGCCAAGAAGCAGGAGCGTCCTCCTCACTCCACCACTACTGGACCCTGCACTCCTTCGCTCATAACTCACGGTCAACCCGTATCGTACCAAACCGCAACAGCTTATGTTGCCGCGTGACGTCTATGAAGTCCTTGACAAGGGATCAACGTTGTCGCCCTCCTTGCTGGGATCGTTCCGCCTCATGATGCCCTCGACAGGGCCCAGCAGGCGCTGGAAGCCATTCTTCTTGAGCATTGCGACCTTGACCTCGGTTTCGCTGATGACGGATGCAGCACGGGGTGCGTCATTGAGCAAAGCAAGCTCACCGAAGTAATCGCCCTTGTTATATCTCTTGACAGGACTGTTGTTGCCGCGAATGTAGACCTGCGCTTCACCAGATTCGAGGATATAGAACGCTTCGCCAATATCGCCCTCTCGGATGATCTCAGTGCCGGCAGGGTACTTCTTCGTCTCGAGCGCGTCTGCAATCTTGGAGCGCTCGTATGGGGTAAGCGTGGAGAGTAGCGGAACCTCCTCCAGAAATCCTTCATACATGCGTCGTCGCTGAAAAGCACTGTCCATCAGAATGCGGCGGAACGTGACGCGATCAAGCGCCCAGAGTGTTGATGGCTCTGACGATACGACGGTGGCAGCGCGAGGAGCATTATACATGAGCGCAAGCTCGCCAAAAGATCCACCGGGGCCTACAGCGCCCACTTTTGCACCGAGCCCATCTGCACCAGCCTCAAGCTTGCCAGATTTGTTGACGTGGATATCGAAAGACCCCTTCTCGACAACATAGAAGTAGTCACCTACGTCGCCTTGTGTGATGACCTTGATGCCCTTGGCAGGTATGGGCTTCTCGTGCAACGCGCCGAGCACCTGTAAAGACTGCTCGTCGTCGAGATGTGAGAAGAGGAAGTTGCCAGACACGGCGGACCTGAGGCGCGAGACCTGGTCGTCTGTCTTTTGGTGGAAGGGCGGGGTGAAATTGTCGTTGTCTGCCGATGTGGGGTTGAGCGACTCGGCGGACACAGACACGCGTCTGTTGGCGTTGTAGTTGCTGGGCGCGTTGCCGCCGACGATGGGAGGCATCTGCGTGACCTGGTTCTTGGAGGAGCCTCCAAAGCCGCCAAAGTTGCCAAAGTTGCCGAAGGGGCTGTCGCCCTGGTCGCCGCCGCGGGCCCTGTTAAGGTCGGCTTGTGCGAACGAGGAGGCAGTAGGCGAGGCCATCATATCGCCCTCCTCCTCTTCTTCCTCGAGGCGCTGCATCGGGCTCTTGGCGAAGCCGCCGGAGCTGGGGGATGTGCCGAAGGGGTTGTTGCCGGGGAAGCTGTGCTCGGCGCGGCCTTGCTGGCTGGAATGCTGCTGCGACAGCAGAAACTCGGCGCGCTGCGACTCCAGGCGGCGGTTGAAGAAGCTCGCGCAGAACTGCAGAATGTCGTTCGGCTTCTGTTTGAGGATTTCGCGGTCGAGGGCGGCTATCTCATTGGAGTAGTCTGGAGGGAGGGACATTGGAGGCGGGTGGTGAGGGGTCGAGCGCAGCTCTTTGACGTCGGGCGCGCGAGGGGCAGGGATGGTGGGTGTAGGCTGCGAAGGCGTGGAACGCGGCGATAGGGCGCAGGTGGATGGATGCAAGGCACGCGGGGGATGAGGGTGTGCAGGAGCAATTGCACAATGGAAGTTAGTCGGTCGGTGAGGTGAGGGCGTGTGGTGCGTGCAGCCGCAGTTATGACGCTTGGGACAATCCGGGGCAGAAGAGGGGAGAGGCTGCAGCAAGAGCGATCACCGTGCGGGCAGGCACTGGAGCTCAAGGCAAACTTTCTGGGGCTGGCCTATGTTCCAGAAACGCTCTAGAAACCGAACTGCTGTCGGCCTGCTTCTGCGCAGCTGTAGCCACTCGCCGAGACAGCTACGCGATGCTGCCAGTCATCGTTCACGCACGCTGGCTGCCACCGCGTCACACAACGCGGCTGTGGCCAGCCGGGCTCCAGGCTGCAGTGCTCGTCGCGACGCAGCGAGACACACATGCAGAGCTCACAAAAAGTCAAGACAGCAGCTTCAGCCCTGGAGAGCTGCCGCAACAGCGCCTTTGAGGTAGCTCCCGCGGCTCTTGGATCCAAAGCTGCTCCAAGCTTGCTGCTAGGCGGCGAGCTCAGAGGGGCAACCATGCGTGGACCTCTGGACGAGAGGGGAAGCAAGTTGCTGTTTGGGGACGGCTATGCAACCAAAATGATTGTCTGCAGCGCCCGATATTGCAGCTGTTTCTGGCAGTGCGTCTCAGCATGTCTTGGGCTGCTTGAGAGCTCCCGGTCGACTGGCCAATCAAGCCGGCAACTTCACATGATAAGGAACAGAGCAAGTTGCACGCCATCGACAGGATCGCCAATCACGCGAACGCAGCAGCGATGATACCTTCATCATACATAGTACATATATTTGCATAGTCGAGGATGCAGTTCGTGCGTGAATATACTAAGCAAACACGGACGAACCCCACTGATCTCTTCCGAGGTCGAAGCTTCAAGCGCAGATCACGTGCGGCACAGTACTCCCAATGGCACGCGTCCAGCAATCCCTTCGAGAAGACAGCCAGCTTCTAGCGGTGAGGGCGGCATGGTGCGACAGAACATGTCCGAAACTGCCTGTGGCGTGCAGGTCTGCCAGGCTCAACAAGCGTGCAATTGGCGGTGTGCTGCACGACGGACAGAGAGACGAGCAGGTCCGAATGTTGGGACGTCGGCCGCAGGAGAAACACGAAACATGCTGCTGTTGAGCGCGACGTCTGGCAGATCAGCCAGGCAATCAAGTGAAGCCACTGTTTCCTCCCCGGGCGACTCCTCATGCTCCGGCTGCACGACGCGATGTCGATTGGGCGACGTGCAAATGACGCACATACGGTGGCCATGTGAGACGCTCGTGCGCCTCCTGGGAGCTGGCGGGGCTGCTGCTGCCCGCCTGTCAGAGCGCCGCGACGGCCGTGGGCGCATTGGCAGCAAATAAACATGACGATGCACGTTCGGTGGAGCTGCAATTGAACCAGATCCACCGGCGAAGGATGGCCAATTTCGTCATCGCACATGCGCTGCTGCTGCCGGCTGCGAGCGGCGCAGTCGCTCGCCCGCAAACGCGAGCTAGAGCTGTCTGCCATGGCAGAGTGCGCCGCTGCAGCGCTGGAGCCTCGTCTACACTGCTCTCCACAGCTCTCACACCCCTGAAACCGCGCGCCTGTCTGTCCCGTGTAGCAGCGCCCTAATCTTGCTGCCGCGAAATTGTTGCAAGTCATTGCAACACTAGCCCTCGGAAGCGCCGCACAAGCACAGCCACTTGAGCATTAGCTTCTGCTCCTTCTTCCCCAACCACCTCCTCACTGCTTGCGATCAAGACAAGTCTCACCCATCGCGCAACCTCGCAACCTTATCGCACGCCCATCTCACGCCGCCATGGGCAAATACACATTCACATGGTGCGTGCCGTGCCTGCTACGCTACGGCGCATTGTGCTCACATGCTGCAGGGAACACGACGCTGAAGACGTCTACGTGACCGGCACCTTCGATGACTGGAAGAAGACAGTCCAGCTAGAGAAGGAGGGCAGCGTCTTCCAGAAGTCTGTCGAGCTCCCCAAGCTTAAGACACAGTACAAGGTATGCTCGCCGCTCGCCGCGCGCCACGCGTCTGCCGCCTAGGCAGCAGACAGCAGCCCGTCCGGACCTTGCTGACAAAGGCGCGTAGTTTGTCGTCAATGGCAACTGGTGTATCAATGAGAGCGCGCCCAAGGAGGACGACGGTCATGGCATTGTCAACAACATCCTCCTCCCCGAGGACATTGTAGACGCGCCCGCCCACACTCTCTCCTCTGCCGCGCCCGGGTCGTCCACAGCTGCGCTCGCCGGCGCTGTCCCCAAGGAGAAGGATCTCGAGAAGAGCAAGTCGAACGAGTCCATTCCTGGCGCGTTCCCCATGACCCCGACACCTGGCACCGAGCAGCGCCAGTTCATTGACCCCATTCCTGCTACTGCTGGCTTGGGCAACCCGATCAAGCTCGCGCCGGGCGAGCCTGTTCCTGCTGCAAGCACACTTACCGACAACACAGTAGACTCCACGGTCAACCTGAAGGGCGCACCCGAGGAGGACGACGATGCTACGGTCAGCGTTGCGCCTATTCCCGCAACCGCTGGCGCAGGTAACCCGATTCACCTTGCCCCGGGAGAGAAGGTACCTCATCCCAGCACTCTGACCTCCAACACCATCAACAGCACCGTGACGACCGACGAGGCCTCATACAACAAGCCAGACTCGCAGGCGCCCCAGCTGCCTCCTGTGGACATCACCCCCCAGTCCGAGAGGCCCGCGAACGGTGGCATGTTCAGTCTGCCTCCTCAGCTCGGCAACCTTGTCCCCGAGTCCAGCTTGCCTATGGGCGTTGATGCGCAGGTTGAAAAGGACACCGGCGTTCACATCCAATCTGCTGCTCCCACAAGCTCTACCGCTGCTCTTGCTGGTCTGGTCCCTAAGGAGCCTAGGGGCGTACCTGAGGTCGTGACTGAGAGCCAGAAGGAAGCCGGCTTTGCCCCCGAAGCAGCCGCCAACTCAGAGGCTGTCCAGGAAAAGAAGGAGGTTGAGCAGGAGCTTAAGGAGACAATCCCAGAGAAGACCGATGCGGACAACGACCACGCTCCTGTCATTGAGGCCGACAAGTCTACTAGTATTGGCGAGAGTGCCGGTGCCATTGCTGGAGGCGTGGCTGCTGCTGCGACTGTTGGCGCCGGCCTTTTCACTGGTGCCATTTACGCTGCCAAGGAGAAGACCGCTCAAGCCGTTGGCCTCGACAAGGATGCCACTGTCGGCGAGACCGCATCTGCTGTTGGTGCCACCGCAGTGGACTCAGTTGGTCTGGACAGCTCCAAGACCGCGACTGACAACGTCTACCTGGCCAAGGATAAGACTCTCGATGCGGCCGGTCTCGACAAGTCTGCTACAGCGACTGATAACGCGATCCTCGCGAAGGATAAGACTCTCGATGCAGTCGGTCTCGACAAGTCCGCTACAGCGACCGACAACGCGGTCCTCGCCAAGGACAAGGCTGCTGATGCTGTTGGTCTGAATGGCTCCGCTGTCGGCACTACCGCTGCCGGTGATGTCCCTGTGGTTGTTGCCGAGAGCCAGAAGGAGGCTCACGTCAGTCCTGAGGCTGCCGCCAACGCTGAGGCTGTCAACGAGAAGTCACAGCTCGAGCAAGAACTCCTGAGCCAGGTCCCCAAGTCTCAGGATCACGGAGAATCAGCGCCATCAGTTGCTGTTCCCGCTGTTGTCTCAGACAGCCAGCGCGAAGCTCACGTCAGCCCTGAAGCTGCCGCGAACCCTCTCGCTGTTACTGAGAAGAAGGAGGTCGAATCCGAGCTTCTCAAGTCTGTCACCAAGACTGATGAATCCGGTGAGCATGCTCCTGTGATCGCCGCTGCCTCTTCCGTCCCTACAGCAGACTCGACGACCGAGCTCCCTGTTCGCTCAGTCCCTGATGTTGTAGCTGAGAGCCAGAAGGAGGCGCACGTTGCTCCTGAGGCGACTGCGAACGCCGAGGCTGTTGCGGAAAAGAAGGAGCTTGAGTCTGAGCTCCTCAGCCAGGTCAAGAAGACCAACGAGTCAGGCGAGCCTGCCCCTACTCTCGCCGCTGCCACCACTGCCATTGCACCAGGCGCCAGTGGTGCCGTCCCCAAATTGTCTGAGTCATCTGAGCCTCTTTCTACCAACTATCAGCCCGCTTCCGATGAGGAAGTCAAGCGTGCTCTTGCTGGCACCAACGACGAGCCCTCGACATCGGCAACCGGTGCTCTGGACACTCCTACTTCGGCGCCCGCTCAGACAGAGACGACCACCTCGGCTACTGAGTCCGCCACCACTCCCAAGGTTGCTGAGCCTGCTGTTTCTTCTAGCAAGGCCGACACAACGACTGCCCCCACATCTGAGGGTCTCAATGCTCCGGCTACTTCGGCTGCTCAGACCGATGCTACCAAGGCAGCGGCCGAGCCGGTGAAGGACGACAAGGAGGGTCTGTTCAAGCCCACCACACTCGAGCAAAAGCAGCCTACTATTACCACTGGCACCGAGACCGGCACAACTGAGGCCACGAGCCAGGGTCTTACCGCACCCGAGACTCCTCAGAAGGACCGCAAGGATTCCGATGTCTCTCCCAAGGGTACCCCAGGCAGCCAGAGCCTCGCGTCTAACTCCGTTGCTGCTGACAAGAAGGCCAAGAGGCGATCGTTCTTCGGCAAGCTCAAGGACAAGCTCTCCGGCAAACACTAAGGTTGCTGTAGTTGTCCTCGTACATTGAAGGTCCTTACAGACGACCTTGGTGCTCGCTGTTATACCCGAGGGTTGGGATGCCGTGTGGCTCTACCTTTCTCTGTCTATTGTTGGTCTTACGGGGTTGGCTTTGTCTGGTTTATACCATTTCCGCGTCTCTGTTTGAGATTGTTTTGCTCTAGTTTGTCGAGTTTCGTGGCTTCATCTTGCATGCATTTAGGGTGCATGTGTGGAGAGGCCATTTCGTACAGTGGGATTTCAGGTACTTAATTCGCTAATGTAGATGCATTAGACTCGTTTTGCAATCATATCTCCTATCGCGTGTTCGATAATCAATTCCCGGATGGTGACCGACTTTTGGTGTTGCTATGGAAATTCGCTTCACCTGCAGGCTGGGCAACCCCTGTCGGTTGTATACGTTCTCATAACACAACGATGCCCAACTACACTGGACAGCGACTCACTCACAACATCAGAGATTTTTAACCAGCCTACATCACCACTTCAAGTCTCTCTCTTCATGCACTTTCACAATGTCTAACCCCAACGCGCGCACAATGCTAGTACCACAACAATGTTCACACACAAGTCGCCCCCATTTTCGATGCACAGTATGGCGACTCGCTTCTCACAAATACGCATTTTGCCCGAGTCCGCTCGATCAACAAAGAAAGATCCATTCAACTACGCTTCAAGCCCAGCCAAATCAACCAAGAGATCGATCTTCTCTGCGCAGCAAGTCCGGCACTCCATGGCACACACGGCGGCAGAGTCTCAGCAGGCTGGGACTCGTCGACCACACTACTACGCACATCTCCAAAAAGACTCAGATAGGTCCAGTCCAGGTCGTTCCCGTACTCTACCGACGACACCTCGCAAGGATCATCATCAGGATCGGCACCGGCGGGACGAAGCAAATATGCTGAAGTCGTTGCCTGGGTGCCCGCCTTCGAAGGGGATGGATCCGAACACTGGACGGCACTCTACATCTCATGGTCCTCGTCAACAGCAATCTCACGTAGAAAAGGCTCGGACAGCAACTCCGCAGGCGCAGGCTCGCATGTCTGAGATGTACAGTATGATCGATGACTATCTGGCATGGAACGGGTCCTCTTCTGATCTCGAACCTCTGCGTCCCGACAGCGCAGGGACTATGTTCGTCGACTTTGCTTCCAACGGCGAGATGGAGATCTCCTACCGCAGTGGCTTGAATAAGAAACTCCCGACCCCACCTGTGCCATCAAAGAACCCAGAACGGACGAAATCCACTCCTTTGCGCCACGATACGAGTGTCAAAGAAAACGTTCGCCCGACTGCACAACGAAAGGAACAACGAAAAGTTGAGCAGTCAAAGCCACTTCCTACCCACCCATCCGTTTCGTCACGCCACGACTCAGTCATGTCGTCAGGAGCCAACAGCGAACGAGCAACCACCAACCAAACCCACCACCTCCCCCGCCTATCTTCGCAAACCTCCTGGCACATCCGCCCTCCCTCCCGGAATCGGCACCCGCCGCAAGTTCACGCCACCCAGCGCCCACCCTCGCGCCTCGCGTCACCCACCCCACCGCAAACCGCCTCCTCCACCTCCTCCTACGGCGCATACACCGTCACCCAACCCTGCGGCCTGACAATGCACTTCCAGCCGCCCACCTCACGTTCCAGTACCCCTTCCCAAGCCTCCCCAACCCCGACCCCCCGCCGCGCCTACATCCGCGGCCACGACCCGCCCACAAACTACACCTACACCTACGACGGCCGCACCATGCACATCCACCGCTCGCCCACGCCGTCGCGCCCGCTGTCGCGCACGTCGGAGTACTTCGACATCGCCGCGGGGAGCTATGACTCGCCCAACGTGAGCCAGAACCCTGCGCGCGCGCCCTCGAAAACCAAGTCCAGGGCGGGGCCAAGTGGGAAGCCGCTGCCGCCGCTGCCGCGTGCGCCGGGGTGCGACGATTTGCCGGAGCCGCCGAGGGGCGATGCGGCGCGGCGCCGTAGAGTGCTGGGGTTTGTGAGGAAGTTGCTGGGCAGGTTGGATCAGATGGGTGTCATGGGGGATTTGGCGCAGAGGCGGATGGGACGTCCGTCGCCTGGGAGTGAGGTGGAGTCGTGGGCGAAGGGTGGCTATGTCGTGTAGCGAGGAGGATGGTGGGGAGCAAGAGGAGTGGTGGGCAGGGAGTTGGTAGGAGTTGCTTTTGGTACTTGGAAGTCGATAAGAAACAAGCCATAATAAGTGTGCCCGTCATTCAAACTGAGACGGGTGCGCAGGCATGTTTCGAGGTCGAGGATAGGCGGCAGATTTAAGAGAACGTGGTTAGTGATGGACGCGTAAGAGCCTGTTACAAGTTTTAGAACAGTCGAAGCCTTTTAACAGAATGATACCCGGTTTTTTGCAACGTTTTACATTGATTTGCGGACTTTGTATGTGTGCTCGAAGTGCCTTGCCTTGCACCACCGCTGACGTGCAACATGTGACCCTCCGTGCTTCCAGTGCATGTTTCCACAGTATACGACACCTATGAGTCTGACATGGTCCGCTGTCGACCCGGGAGCTACAAATTGCAACTCCCATGACCGGTCCTTTCCGTCAGACTCACTTCAGCTACTGTACAATCTTGTAGTTACCTCCTCACTTAAGCTCCCGCGGATACATTCCCAACAAATACGCTTCGTTGCTCACTCCTGAATCTTGCATCTTCCGACGCGTGAAGTTGGCTCGTATTTCATTCGCTTGGACGCGACTTATTTGATTCGCATCGCAAAGGTAACGGGCGAGACTGTGAGCGTAGCGACGTTCAGCCCTTGCGCGAGCATCGATGATTTTTCGGAAATCGAGCGTGTTCCCCGTGCATTGCGTTGACAAGTATCTTGTGCTGCGCTCCTGGTTATACGCACGCTCTACGCTTACTTTAGCTGCACGCAACTCCGCAGCCTGCGCTCGTAGAAAAGTTTGAACATTCTGCGCTTGTGCCTTGTTGTTCGGCCTTTTGCGCTTCGACCGAGATGGCAAATTGTTGGGTCGAGATGGCAGAGTGTTGGGTCGAGGTAGCAAAGTGTCATATCGATATTGGTTCGGTACTGGACGCGTATACTGTCTGTTCCTGACGTAGAGGCGGCGCGCGGGGCGGTGGAGAGGGACCTCGTCCATGATAAAGTCTACAATATCAACACCTAGATTGACTTAGCAAGGTCACAAGCTACAGCACGCTCACGCTCCATTCTTTCCACTTGCCTGTTGGATATTGTCGCTCATTTTCCAGCCGAGCTTTACCACGATCGTACATGGTGTCAATCTCCATGCGTCTGAAACCCTTGCGAACGAGAGCTGCCTTGAACTCTTTCATAAGGACTTGAAGCACATCTAATGAATGGTTAGAAGAGAATCATTCTGCATATGATCACCGCTTGTGTGATACTCAGGTCACCGAGACGAGTCCTGGGGGTAGGGTAGAAGAGCTCTCACCGATGCCTTTATCATTAGCTCTTGCCATCCGGAACCTTACGTCCATGTGGCGCCCAGATGTACCGAGCGAAGAAGGCTGCGGATCACCCTCCCCTACGAGCATCGGCACATGACCAAGAACCACATGCTCCGGAAGGTATCTGTGTGGAAGGTAATCCTCTTGAAGGTGATACTCAAACCACTTGTATGCGTCCGATGGGTTTCCCCAGACAGCATAACAAATGAGCCGACGGTAGCCCCAGGGTAGCAGTCTACCTCGCGAGAGCTCGAAAATACCTGTTTGCACTATCTTGTCAATGCGCTCAATGATGTCCCACCTGTAGTCGAACCCGTCAAAAAACTCCACAAGTTCTGGATCCACCTTCGTGCGGAGTGGTCGATATGGGTAGTTGGTAGGTAGTGTGAAGTATTCCGACTTCACTATGCCATCAATGTACCTGGCAGGTCTCGTGTAGCCACGCAGGAAGAACTTGTACGCCTCCAACGGTGACGAAGAGTTCATTTGCATGATGGTGTCGCGGCCCTCGGGGTATTCGGTAATCTCGGGATGACTGCGTAGAAATTGGTCAATTTCAACGAGAAATCCATTGGAGATCGACCTTTCCGCCAGATACGATCGCAACTCGGCATCGGCATCGTCAACGAGCGAGCGTGGCTAGTTGCTGTCAACGACCATGATATGATACACCCTTTAACCTCGGATGCCGTTTCTTGGTGAGCTTACTTTGTAAAGCGAGCCGCTGTGTGGTCTCTCCGCCCAAGGTACGGTCTGCTCACTATTATTGAAGTCGAATCGCGCGCTCCTCGAAGCTTGACCAACGCCGGCTACCTGCGGCACAGGATGAGGTATCTCGTAGCCGCCGCTGTCGTCGTCGCTGATCACAACTGGCGAATGACGGCCACGCTGATCATGCTGTGAATACTTTGGGAGTGTTCGGTCGACCAACTCGCCTCCAACCCACCAGCGTTGAGCTTCGTGCTGCGTGGAGCTAGGAATGGCTGAACCACTGCGGTGAGGTAGCAGATCATATGGGTCCTCACATCCGTATGGACCATGTCCCTTGCTGTTGTAATTTGTCATCGCTGTCGCCAACTTTACCTGTTCACAGAGCGCAATGCCGACGCCAGTATGCGTGAGCTCGAAGCGGGGTGGCGAAAGCAGTAATTGAAAGTGCGCTGGGCGTGTGCAAAGACAGAGCGCAGCTGTAGGGTATGAGGTGGCCAATCCGAGGAGGATCGAGGTGAGAGTGAACTTGGCTTGGTCCACAACAACAAACAACGGGAAGGCACGCGTCCAGAACGCGGTACGCGTCAAACATGACCTGCGAAGCAACAAGCTCACCACAGGTGAAGTGAAGTGAGTGAATGGCAAGGAGCGCGTGCAGAAATCGATGAGTGAAGAAGTCGTCACCTGCCACACAGGCAGCTGATAGCAAGTGAGAGGGCAAACAACGCATCACGATCATGTACATTCTAATGAATCGAGTCTGGATATACGAACCGAACCTTGACGCCACCCAATACGCTGCATGGTCAAATCAAATATGCTACATGTGCGCTGCACGTTGCGCTTAGAACACACTGATGTAGTTACCAATGCGCTCTTTCTGGTTTTGCGCGATGCACTCAGATATCCAGGTAATGTTGCGGATTTCCTGTGATGTGTTAGCCGTACGTGACAGTTGATCCGAGGCGGGGAAGGTACCTGTTCGCGGAGCTTGACCCACGCATAAACAACAGCGTGCGTGAACTGATGGGTGAAAGCCAACTTCGAGATCTCCATCTCTTTCTGGTAGAACAAGTCTTCCAAGCTCTTAGACTCTCCGCCTGTGCCACCCGACATGTTACCAACGGCGCCGCCACCACCCTGGCTAAGTCCGGTCTGGTCGAAGAAGCTCTTGTACTCTGCAACACTCTCCACAGCAATGCGGACGCCCTCGACATCATCTGCTCGTGAAAGCATCATAGTTCCCTCTGGGTGCAGTTTGCCAAGAGCTGGGTACAGCTTCTTCCTGTCTGCCTTGGACAGCTCGGTGCCGAACGAGTTCAGTGAGATGTTGATGCTCCTGCGATCGGCCTCGAACTCCAGAACCTCAGACATGACATCTGAGGTCGGTGTTCCAGCAATCTCCGAATCGGTGTTGATCCAGTTGTGGAAGTCCTCGAGGTAGTTCTTGTACAGCGTGTTACGGATGATCTCGATGTTCAGTTCGTCCAAGTCTTGGTGGCTGAGCGAGCCTTTGAAGTAAGGCGCAAGCGGGGTCTCGATCAAAACAGAGTTGTAAAGCTCTTCGATATTTGTGGCCACGCACAGCACTGGCATGGTCTCGAACCAGCCAAGAGGATGGCATCTCTCCAACAGCTCGCGCGTGTCCCTCTCGTGCAGCGTACCCGTAATCAGCAGCGCAACATTGTCGATCATGTAGCCGTAGGTCAGGTACTCCATGAATTTCGAGAGCGAGCCGGTAGCGTTGGCCTGGATGTAGCGGAACTCGGCGACAAGCTTGTCGGTGGTTTTGGCGGCGAGCGCAGATGTTGACGGGTTGGGAGGCAGGGAGGCGAGGAAGTCCCCATACGCTGGCGAGAGCTGCAGCTTGACATCTGCATGTTGATGTTAGATAGACCAGACGAGTGCGCGACCGCAGCGAGGCTTACCGTCGATGGTCTCGCATTGCGTCAAGTTGCTGTAGTTCTGGCTAGTGAGCAGCGCATTGCGGTAGCCGCGCACAACGCCCTCGATGTAGCTGTTGAGTAGGTCAGAAGATGCAGTAAATGGCCGCAGATGTTGCACGTACCCGTATTTGACGTTGTAGAAAAGGCCCTCCATGATGCAATGGTGTAGAGTGCTGCAGCAGGAACCCAGTTGCCGTCATGGTGTTGCTGGCTGGGCATTGATGACTAACCACAAACGGTTCTGCCATTGTTTTCCGCCCTCGCCGAACCCCAATAAATACTCGGCCGAACGCGACTTCCTCCTCGACATCGCACTTTCGCACTTTCACCCCAAGCTTTCAAGCTCTGCAAGCACTCACCACACCGCTCCGCTAAACGCGCCTGTACTCTGTACACCTCCGATTACTCTGAACTGCTAGGCAGCTACGCGACAACTCACTGCCTTGTAAGTCACTTCCTGCAGCTGCATCACGCGCCTGCTGACTTCACTGCAGCGCAATGTCGACCCGTCGCACGCGTCGCACCGCCGCGACTGCGGAGATCACCGAGGAAATCATCACAGTCGAGACGCGCAGCAAGCGCACTCGCCCCGCTTCTCGCAAGGCCGCCGTCTCCAAGGCTTCCAAGACCGCAAAAGACACCACATCAAGCTCGCGCAGCAACGCGCAGCCCGCAGCGCGTCCTGACGCGGTCGCGTCCACACCAGCCCCCGCTCCAGCAACAACATCCGCCGCCACACCAGCCCCCGCGACAAACAAACGCCGTCTCCGCTCCACCACAGAAGCTGCGTCACCACTACGTGCCCTGGACGAGCAGCCCGCAAAGAAAGCACGAACCACCTCCAAGAAGGTGTCCACGCCCGCGCCTGCTCGTGTTCAGGAAGCGCCTGTCGAGGAGGATGACGATGAAGAGACCCCCATTTTCTTTACCAAGAGTGAGCTCCTACTTTTTTATCCCACCTGATCACACTAATATTCCCTTCTTCAGGCTTTGACCACATTGCGCATGAACTTCAGATCTCTTCTCTGAACGATCGTAATGCGGGTCTTCAAGCAACCTGTGACACTCTGCGTGAGGAGAGAGACAGCGCTCTCGCTGAGCTCACCCTTCTCAAAGCTCAACTTGCCGATCTTCAGAACGAACTCCGTCAATACACTGAACCGCAGATCTCTCCCGCCAAGGCTAATTCACCAATCCCAGAATTCGACTCCTTTGATGTCGAAGAACCAGAGCCCGCTAAGCCATCATTCATGACTGGTGACGCGTCTGCAATGGCCCTTCTCCGACACGTCCAAGAGGCGTCCAGACCTCCTCCAACCGTGTTGCCTACATCACCTGCATCACCTGCCTCACCGGCATCTCCGCAGTCACCAGGCGTGGAGATTGACGATATCCCCGCCGTCGAGTCGCCAACCCCAGCACGCGACGAGAGACCCTCGACTCCCTCCAGGAGCTTCTTTGGCACCTTCACTTCGTCGTTCTCGGTGATCAAGAACCTGTTCGGAGCTTCGACACAGGCACCCCCAACACCAACACCATCCCGACGACCTCCACCCGGCTCTATGACTGAGGTGCTATCAATGCCTCCCACCCCAGTCGGCGAGCGCCCAAAGCGTCCCGCCAGGAGGCCAAAGAAGCAGAGCCGCATGGTCAAAGCACTTCTCCAGGGCGTCGATCAGCAAGACATTGACCAGGCTACGGCATGGGCCAAGCAGGTCGCTGCCGAGCTTCACAAAGACTCTACCTCTGGCGACAAACGCAAGCGTCTGGAGGTTCCCGTCCTATTTCGCGACCTCAAGCACTTCCCTGCCAGCAAGCCATGGCAATCGGGTTTCAGCTTCCCCGAAGACATTCTGGACCTCGAAGACGACGACGTTGTTCCAGCCTGGGCTGTGTACACATCCATGATCGAAGAGGAGCACGAGACCAAGAGGACGAAGACTACTCACGCCAACTCTGTCGAAGATGACATGCCTCAGTCACTCAACGACCGTTTTGGTGCCTTTATCGACCCTAGGCTGGACTTCCACCCTCGCCGCGCTATCGACCCCTCACCGATGTTCGATAGCACACTTCGTCACCAAGAGGGCGTCAACATCTTCACCGCGATGCACGGTCATGAAGCCGCTGCCAGCGATCGTGAAGCTTTCCAGCGTGAGATGAAGGCTGGAGGAAGCCAACACCGAGCCCACTTCGAGAAGTCCACTGTCCAGAACTCCGAGGACCTACGAACACATGATCCTGGTCACGGCTCGTTCAGCGTTCCAGAATCCGACTCAGAGGAAGAGGAGACACCTCGTGCCAAGCCTGTCTGGACACAGGCACCACCACCCGCGCCCACTCCGGCCCACGTTTCCTTGCCGAATGCTACCCACAATGAGGAGGTTGAACGTCAACGACAGAAATTGATGAAGCACACCCCACACAAGCCCAGCCGACTCCAGCAAGTCAGCTACCCTTCCCCAAGCCTCATGTCTGACGCCGGCGATTCACCCTTTAAGAACAACGAAGCCTTCGGCGAGATCCCCGAGATTGAACCCCTTACGTTCGACGACGATCCAGAGCTTGCGGCAGCTTGGGCTGCAACTGACGTCCCTGCGGGTATTAAGTACTATTATGACAAGATGAGCAACTGGTCAGTGCCGCAAGTGACATACGAATCTGAGGAGGAGGACCTCTCGCCCGCCTAGAGGCGATCTCACGACTTTCACGAATCATGTTAAGATACCCGGTCATTTGCATAGGGCAGCGTTGGCGAAGCATTCAAGGTGGTCTGTTTTTGAAAAGGCTTTTGCCTGTGTTCTGCGGTTTTTTGGCCAGGCTTTCGCCTGAGGTACGATTATTGTGGCCGGGCTTTTGCCTGATGTGCGGTGTTTTTGGCCAGGCTTTCGTCTGATGAACGGTGTTTTTGCAAAGGCTTTTGCCTAGTGGTGGTACGGAAAGGTTCTGGCCTCGTGCGGTGGATCAGAAAAGCGTTTACCTCATGTACTGTAGTTTCTAGATCACGCCCTCCTCCACCGGGCTGAGAACCCCTCGGTCGAGCTTGTCCGCAAGGACTCGCTCCTGGGGGTGATCTCGTCTGGTGGAGGTTGGGCAAGATGTAGCGAACGATGAGTAACATTTCACAGCACCTGAACTGCAGAGTGATGGCGGAAGAGTGATGTCGTGATGTCGGGTGTTGGGTCTTGCGGTACGGCCACCTTGGTCAATGGAATATACCCAGGCAGCTGCATGCAAAGTGATGTTGGTCAGTGGAGTTGGTCAGTGAAGACGTCTGGCTCCACGTGAAAAGTGCAAAGCTGGGCCGTTTGAAGACTATACGGATGTTCACAGACTTGAGAAGGGAAGAAAGAGTCATTGATTGTTCATTAAGTTATTACCAAACACAACTCAGACCGTGTCTCACCATACCAGCCACCCTCCAGTCCACTCATTTACACCATATCCCCTTCCCATCTCCACGTACTCCCCTACGCCTCTCGCCCTCTACGACTCTGCAGTCAACAATCCCTCCGCCAGCCCGAGAATCCGCTCAACGCCCCCCTCTAACCCGGCAACGGCACCAGCGCTCTCGAGCCACACCTGCGCCTTCTCGATGACGAGATCCCATTCGCCCGCGCACGAGGCGGTGCGCTGCAGGAAGAGGATTGCGAGGGCGGTGGTGAGCGCGTTTTGCAGTGCGTCCGTGGGCGCGGGTGCGTCCGCTGGCGAGGCGTGTGCGTCTGCGGTCTTCTCCGTCTTCTCGTCCGCCAGCTTATCTGTGGACACGATGGTGAGTGTGTCAGTGGCGCTCAGCGACTGCAGCGCCTTCTCGAACGCCGCGTCCCCAACGCCTAACAGCCTCAGCAGCGCCGACGAATGCAGAAATGCGCCGCTGAACTCCTGGTGCGCGAGCACGCGCGGCCCGGGCTCTGTCTCTGCATCCTCCAGCGCTGCTGGGGGACTCGGCGAGCGGGCGGCCATGCCGAACGACATTGGCGCGTACCCATGAGATGCCGGCGCGAAGCCCGGCGAGTTGGGCCCATAGGTTGGGGATGCGAGTGAGTAGCATGGCGACGTGGGCGAGTAGCCTGGCGACGGCGGCGAGGGGGATGCGGGTGCGTAGCCTGGAGACGTGGGTGCGTCGCGCGGCGACGTGGGTGCGTAGCGCGGCGACGTGGGTGTGAAGGCAAAGGTGGTGGGCGCGTAGTCGAGGGATGCGGGTGCGTAGCCTGGAGACGTGGGTGCGTAGCGCGGCGACGTAAGGTTGTAGGCAAATATGCTGGGCCCAGGCGGAGGACCGCTACCAAGGAAGACCGGGGAGACGGGCGTGTATTTTGGGTTCGGATTGCCCATGTCGTAGGGGGTGGCGGCCCCCGAGGTGGCCCAGAGATCGGAGTTGGATCTCCCACTGGCGTCAGGTTTAGACAATTCAGCAGAGGCGCGGCGTTTGTTGGTGGTGGTGCTGGTGGTGCTGGTGGTGCTGGTGGTGCTGGGTGCTGGGGCGCGCACCATTTTCAAGCGGTTCCGCGATTGCTGCTCGCAAATCATAAGGCTCATCTGGTAGTCCTGGAGCGGGTTACCGGTGGGAGGGGGGAGCTGGGAGCGGAGAGCCGCGTGGGCAGTTGATTCTGAGTCAGAAGTCATGTGGAAATCCAATGTCGTACCCTCCATTTCCTGTATAGGGGCGTGGTCATGCGAGCCGTGTGCAACAGGGGCGTTGCTGAGACTGAACAGGTTCTGGGACTGTCCAGAGATGATATGTTGCGACATTTGATTTGCTGGAGGGAAGGTCCACTCAGCAGTACTCTTTCCCGTCTGTTGCGACATCTGATTTGCTGGAGGAAAGGTCCACTCAGTAGTACGCTTTCCCGTCTGGTGCGATAATTGATCTGCTGTAGGAAATTTCCAGTCGACAGTACGCCTGTTTGCCTGTCCTTGCATCTGCTGGGCTGCCCGCTGCGACGCTGCATCCCCCAAGACCGAAAATGGGACCGGCGACGCCTGTTCCTCATCTTCCATGAACTCCCAGTCCTGCTCGTCGGCGCCTGTAGTCGCCTTCTCAGTAGCGGCCTTCTCAGTAGCCACAAACGCGCACCACTTTCCGCCGACCTGGAACTGCACACCAAGCCGCACAGCCTCACGCTCGACCATGTCGCTGAAGCGCCCCTCGAAGCGCGTCTTGAGCAGCTGGCCGTCGGCGTCGGTTGCGGAGGCGAGCCAGCCCCGGCCTTGCTCGAGCTCTGAGATGGCTTTCTTGGCGGCGAGTTGGTGGATTGTTGTGCCGGGGGCGGCGAGGACCTGGATGGGGATTTCGAGCTCCAAGGGGCCGTGTGCACTTGTGCCGCGCAGTACCACGGAGGTTGGTGTCGCACTAGGTGCTTCGGGGCCGAGTAGGAGGTAGACGGTTGTACGGTTGAAGGCGAAGAGGGGCGGGATGGACTGCGGGGCTTGTATGATGTTTGGAACGGATATGACAGGGAGATGAGCGTGAACATCATCTTCAGTCGGATCTGGCGGTGTATGAAGATCCTCGGAGAACAACGAAATTGGTTTCTTGCCTTTCGCCTGGTCTGCGTTAGTTTGAGTCTGGCAAACGGCTCACTGTACTTACGCTATCAGTGGCGCTCGCCTTGTTATTTAGGTCGAGCTTAATTTTCAGACTGTCTGCTACCTTCTCGACGATCTCGAAGTCATCATCCCCTTCGGCAGTCGAGTACTTGACCTCAAGTGTGTAATCGTTGACATGCGGCGACAGAGCACCCTTGAGCATTCGTACGACCTTTCCAGTCATCTTCTCGCCGTCCTGTACAGACTGCGAGAAGCCGTTGCCTGCTTTCGCTATGCCCTCGATGAGTGAGTGCGAGACACCACTCCCGATGCCCAGAGTAAAGACACGGATGGGGGCTTTGCTCTCGTGAACTTGTTCGTTGAGGTAGTGGAAAATTGCCTGCTGGTCCCATATCTCACCATCAGTTAGCAGGATGATGTTCAAGGGCATATCTGTGTAGCGATTCTCGATAGTCGCTTTGATAGGCGCGAGCATCTCCGTACCACCAAAGCTGGCTCGAAGGCCCTTGGCTTGATTGATGGCTTGTGTAAGTGTATCTTGGCTGTAGGAAACACTCCTAGGGTAAAAGAAAGAGTAGTTGCTGCCAAAGGAGCAGATGTTGAACTTGACTCCAACTGGGAGGGACCTCATAAACACTTGGAGTGCCTCTCTGACGAGTCCCATGTTGCCATCCATGCTTCCGCTCTGGTCACATACAAACACGACTTCTGGCTTCTCCGAAGGAAGGGCGAATTTCGGGACAAGCGTGGCCATGAGTGCTCGGTGGTTCGGAACAGAGGGATGTGTCTCGAGGATGGCTTTTGGGACGCCAGTGTCCTTCGCAACGACCTGCAAGACGAAGTCGGTGTCCAAACTGGCGATGCCGAGGGTCAATGTGGCTGATGCTCTGTCCATTGAAGGTGCAGCGTCCGGGGCAGCGGACGTCGTGCCCATGGACATGGATATGAAATGCGATGGTGATTCCAATTTCTGGATGAAGGATCTTTCCGCTGTCTCGACATCTACAGTGATGGAAAGAGTGCCGTCCATCTGCGGGAGGTTCTGCAAGTTGGATCCATTGTTTCTGTACCGTGGGCAGATTCTGGTAGGGATAGTAAATCTAATGCCATCGACTTCCATGTCATGCTTAAGCTCGCCAAGGTAGGTGACGTTGACAACCACTCTCGCACTCGGCGGAATGTTACCGATGGTGGTCGTAAAGACATCGGAAGCATCAGGCAATTGTTCGAGCAGGCCAGCTATCTCACCTCGCGCGATAGCGTTTTGGTAGACGGCTTTTGCCTTTCTCTTCTCCTTGACCTCACCAGTAATGAGTCGATCGCCTACATGGCAAGAGAATCCCACGACGCTCACTCCATCGTACAGTGGAAACGCGTAGCGGGCTTCCCTGATGCCGCGCGTGGTAGATGGATTGACAAAGGTCTGTTGGAGCACGGTACGGGATGTGGTGGCAAGGATGTTGGCATGCACTTTGACTTCTACCTGGGGAAGGTAGTTCTTCTCGCCGGTATTGGAGAAGGAGCCATGGCGATAGAGACCATGGTAGTAGAGACCACAAATTGGAACGTCATGGGCAGAACCATGAGCGTACATTGTCATGTTTCTGCTTTTTTTTTTGGTTTGTTTTATGTAATTGCAGTTCAGTCCGTGGAGACAGTTCTGGATGAAATTGAAATTTCAGATTGGTGACAGCAGTTCTGGAGGAAAAGCGTAAAGAGAAAAAACAGGACGGCAAGGAGATATTTATGTTCAATTGACTGTCGCCGACTAGCTCCATACAGAGGCCTCCCAGAGGCAGTGCTGCTTGGCTCAGTCATCAGGCCAAATGGGGCCCGTGTCATGGTCGGGCCAATCACAAGGGCAGCATTGGTGAGGATACGAGGTTCGAAGTCTGCTCGCCACGGTCGAACGTTACTGAGCGCTTGGTCAGAGATATCTTGTCGAGAGAGATAGCGGCGATAGATGAGGGATGTGGGCGACGATGAGACGGACAGAGATGGTACTCTGTGGACAGTCGCGCTAGCTGGACCCTGCATGAGCGGCGTCATGGTGGAAAAAGATGGTGACTCTGCATGCCACCTGCAATGCGGCCGCTGCTCGCCCCGCTGACCCCCGCGAGCGCCTTCCCCGAGTTCCAGCAAGCCCTGCACCGGCTGTTCTGCACGCGACGCAGCTTCCACAAGCTCTCCCGGGTGGCATTGCGCGTGCAGCGGGCAGAAAGAGCGCCGGCGGGCAGACAAGTCATGGCCGAGGGGTACGCGAAGTGGACGCAGCAGCAGCTGATTGCGCGCATCCACGAGCTGGAGCAGGCCGCACAAATACCACCCGCCGCAGCCGTCCCACCACAGGATGACGGGTTGCCAGTGCCGTTTCGCAAGCCGGCCAAGGCGCCCCCGAAGGCGTTTGATGCGTCCAAGTACAGCACGCGGCTGATTGCGCTGAAGTTTGCGTACCTGGGCCAGAAGTACAACGGCTTCGAGCACCACAACAACAACAAGACACCGCTGCCGACAATTGAAGAGGAGCTGTGGAAGGCACTGATCAAGACGCGCGTCATCAGCCCGACCGTGCCCGAGGGCAGCGACACGGACTACAGCAGAGTCGACCGCAAGACGTTTGCCGCCTGGGACCGCGATGGCGCTGATATCAATTGGGACGGCTGCGAGTACTCCAAGTGCGGCCGCACTGATCGCGGCGTCAGCGCCTTTGGCCAGGTCATCGGCATCCGCGTGCGCAGCAACCGCCCGCTGCCCAAGCCCGCGCCTGTGGAAGAGGGCAGCGCAGATGAAGAAGCGTCAGACCGGGAGCCCGAGCCAGAGAAGAAGCCCTTCGACGACCTGACAGATGAACTGCCGTACATCCAGCTCCTCAACCGCGTCCTGCCCCCCGACATCCGCGTCTACGCATGGTGCCCGAACCCGCCCGCCGACTTCAGCGCGCGCTTCTCCTGCAAAGAGCGCCGCTACAAGTACTTCTTCACGAACCCCTGCTTCGCCCCCGTGCCCGGCGCTCCCGGCCTCTATAACCCCGCGTCCGGAGATGCGCCAATGCGCGAGGGCTGGCTGGACACCAAGGCCATGCAGGAGGGCTGCGACCGGCTGACGGGCCTGCACGACTTCCGCAACTTCTGCAAGATCGACGCCTCGAAGCAGCTCACCAACTTCAAGCGCCGCATATTCCACGCCTCCATCGACGAGGTCTCGCCGCTGTCCATCCCGTCGTTCCTGCACCACGACGCGCTCACATCACCATCCGCCGCCGACCAGCCTAAGATGTACGCCTTCACCCTCCACGGCTCCGCCTTCCTCTGGCACCAGGTCCGCTCCATCATCAGCATCCTGTTTCTGATCGGCCAAGGCCTCGAGAGTCCTAGCCTGGTCACCGAACTGCTGGACATGGACAAGAACCCCACGCGCCCCAAGTACGAAATGGCCTCGGACGCCCCGCTGGTCCTGTGGGACTGCATCTTCCCGCACGCCGCCGAAGTGCAGTCCAGCGACGAGCGCGAGCACGGCTACGAGGACCGCTTGCAGTGGGTCTACGTCGGCGACGCGGGCGGCGTCGAGCCTAAGAGCGGCAAGACATCGTCATCCATGGGCCGCGGTAAGTGGGGCCGCGGCGGCGTCGTTGACGATGTGTGGGAGGTATGGCGCGGCAACAAGGTCGACGAGACGCTGTCTGGGTTGTTACTCGACAGAATCGCGGGCCTAGGCGATAGCACGCTGGACAAGGAGGCGTCTGGTGAACAGACCGTTGGTATTGTAAAGGGCGGGCCGCGCGTGTTTGACGGAGGAAACTTCGCCCGCGCGAAGGGGAACTATATACCCGTGATGCAGCGCGAGCGCCAGGAGCCGGTCGAGCTCGTGAATGCGCGGTACGCACAGAGAAAAGGCCTCGACCCCAACCGCTACAAGACCGCGCGCGACGACGACGCAGGCGAGTAGTGTAGTCTTACGAATAAAACAAACGATACCCACAAACCATATAACGCTCACTTCCCCCCAGCCCCGCTCTCTCTCCCCCTCCCCTCGCCCTCCCACAAACACCCCCGCGCCCCCCGCCAAACCTCCTCCAGCATCGCCCGCCGCGGCAGCAGCTCCGGAAACACAACCACCACGTCGCCCTCCCCGCGCACCACAATCGCCAGGTAGAATCGCACCTCGAATCCGCGGAACGCCTCGTGGATAATCAGGTCCTGGATCTCGGACGAGGGGATGAAGCGGCGGCGTGCGGATTGCAGGTACGTGGGCGGCGAGGTGGAGAGTTGGATGCCGAGGTGGGTGAGGATTGTCAGGGTTTCTTCTGGAAGGTGTTAGGTATGCTGTTCTCCGCGAGCAAGTGAGAGATTTGTGTTGTGTGGAGGGAGGGAAATGGGAAGGGGGGAGAGCAGGTGCGAAGGAATAGGGCAGAAAGCGTTGAATGCTGAATGCCGAATGTTCGATGCTGATTGCAATATGCTATGATCACATGATGCAAACTCACCAGTATACCCCCTCCGCACCACAACCCCCAACACCCCCCCAGCCCCCGCACACACATACCCCCACCCCCACCCCCTCACCCCCTCAACCACCCTCTGCGCCCACACCCCTACCTCCCCGTTCTCCTTGAACACTTCCGCAGCACCATACCGCCCCGCGCTCCACTTCGCCCACACCACCCCAACCGCCGTCAAACCCAGCAGCACTCGCAAGAGGATGTTCATCCAGTGCAGTGCATGTGCGCCCAGTGTCGTGCGCGCGGGCCGCGTGGTCACGGTGAAGGAGACTGTTGCGCGGGTGGGGGAGGTTGTGTGGAGGGTTTGCGGGGCGGGGGCAGTGAGGGTGGCGAGGAGGGGGAGCAGCATATTGATTGCATTCGGATTTGCGAGGATGTTGAGGTTGCTTATTGTGGATGTTTGAGGTTGGGTTATGCGGGATTGGTTGGAGGGTGGCCGTGGTTGGCAGGTCGGGGTGGCGCGCAGGGGTGGGCGGGAGTAAGCGAGACGCAAGGCGAGGTGTGGGGCGACCCGCTGGAAAGTTTGGCACTTGGCTGCTTCGCTCTACCAACACCGACGGCAACACTGACATCGACACCGAATATCGCCATCACTACCACTCTACTAGACGCTCTCGCTGTATCCACGCAATCTCACATAGCACCACGCCCTATCGCCCCGCGATGCCGTCACCCGCTCCCGAACAGGGCGCAGACCGCGCCGACCGCGCCTCCCCCAAACCACGCACGCGCTCGCGCTCGCCGCGCCGCAGCCGCAGTCGCAGCCCTGCGCCGCGCAAGCCAAAGTCGTACTCTGGGTTGAAGTGGAAGAACGATAGTAGGGGTGAGAGAAGGAGAGATGGAGGGAGAGATGAAAGGCGAGATGGTGACAGGCGGGACGACAGGAGAGGCGGCGACAGGCGAGACGACAGGCGCGACGGCGGGCGAGACGACAGAAGGGGCGGCGACAGGCGAGACGACAGGCGGGACGGCGACAGACGCGATGACCGGCGCAGCGACCGCTACGGTGGACGCGACGACAGGCGCGACGATAGGCGTGACGCAGGGCGAGACGACAGACGCGACGACCGCGACCGCGACCGCCGCGACCGCCGCCCCCGCCCCGACGCCCCCAGCGACAAACCCGCGAAACCCAAGTCCGCCGCCCCCGCCGCCCCCACAGAGCCCATGATCCTGATCACCGTCAACGACCGCCTGGGCACCAAGACCCAGGTCCCCTGTCTGCCGTCGGACCCTATCAAGCTGCTCAAAGCGATGGTGGCGGCGAAGATCGGACGCCCTGTTCATGAGATTATGCTGAAGAGGCAGGGGGAGCGGCCGTTTTTGGATAGTTTGAGTCTGGCGGATTATGCGATTGGGAATGGGGTGCAGATTGATTTGGAGTTGAACACTGGTGATTAGATGGACATGGAGGGCTGAAGAGGGAGGGCTGAAGAGGGTTGTGAAATGAGGGGGGTGTAGGGGGGTGGATTATGGATGCCTATGGATGTAAGAGATACCCAAAATCTGATTGCTTATCACTGCGTGTGGTGTCTGAGGTGATATATCAGAGTGCCGTGCATCTAGATCTATCCAGCACTACAACGCCACACTCGCCACGCTGGAGCCATCCACCTGCATCACCTCCTTCAACCCACAGTCTCACCCCTACGCCGTCCCCTTCGCCCCCGCCTCTCCCCCCGTCCCATCATGCTTACTCTTCCACGCCCCGCCCGCCGTATAATACGCGCCCTCAATCCGCTCCTGGACCGTCGGCGGCTGCACCCACGCACACCGGTCCTTGGCAAACGTCTCGACCCTGGGCTTGAACTTGGTCTCGTGCAGATGGAAGTCGTCGATCGTGCCAATGCGCGGAATACTGGCGTCCGGGTAGCCGGAGCTGCGGCGGTACAGCAGCGTGCCGCACACGCTGCAGAAGGTGTTTTCCATGTAGTTGCCCGTGGCGGTCGTCGAGTTTTGGCGGAACCTGGTTAGCTTGTCTTCGCCCCGCAGGTGCTTGAGGTGTGTGTTTAGGACTACGAAGTTGGAGGCGAACATGCTGGGGGCGTGTTAGAGGGTGCGGTGGAGGGGCGGGATGGGGGAGCGTGCCTGGCGGTGATCTTGCGGCAGTCGGTGCAGTTGCATATGAAGGTGTCGACGAGGCCGGGGGCTTCGGTGGGCACTTCGATTTGCACGGCGCCGCAGTAGCAGGTCGCCGTTGCGGTGCCATTTACGTCGCCGTGCGCGCCTTCGCTGGTGAGTGTGATGTTCTCGGACATGGCTGCTGGGGTGAGGTGGGCTTGGATGGAGTTCAGTCTGGACGCTGTAGGCGTTGTTAGAGACTGGATTGAGTGTTGCTTGAGGTGGTCGCAGCAATTTATAGAACTGGGTGAAGGCACACAAGGCCCGGTCTAGGGCACAAACGGTAACAGCAATGCAGAGAGACCGTGTACTTGCCCATCTCGTCGGCTCAAGGGATTCTGGATCAGTCGATTGTGCTCTGGGATTTGTCAATCGCTCCACGACGCAAGGCTTAGTACAGGAATAACGTCATGTTGTTTCGTCTGCATTTGAGTTGCTGTGTAAGTAAGCAGCGCTCTGACAAAGCCGGCGATAGTGGGGTAGCTTCTAATTCCCGAGCAGAGTCCACGGAAACAAGGATAGCAAGTGCAACAAGTGGATATACGCAGTACTAGAGATTAGTCGTTCTGCTATGATTAGTCGAATTCATTGAAAACATCCTTTCTTCCTGTCTTGCTGGCGACCTTGGGCGTCGCCAGTGCAAGCCAACTGTCGACACAAGCAGTTAGCCGGGATTGATCAGCGTGGGGGGTGGCTTTGTCAGTGTGAAGGAGGATCGCGGACAGCAGTTATCTTGCATGCTGAGTCCCTCGACTTTTATCGAGCAGATCTGGAGAACCTTGATGGTCAGCTAACAGTCTAAGACAGTAAGGGCTGTTGCTGGTGGTTCACAGTCCGGATAGAGGAGCGCTAGCAGGGGTCCATGGCGGGGCACGCGTCGGCGCCTGTGCGCGGCAGCCTTGCCGCAGAGCTTCAAGAATTTCTATGGTCTTCGACGAGCCAGTTTCTCAGACGTGCCCGACCTAAACCGCGAGCTCACTGAATACCACACTTGGTTCAAGACAAATACGGACGCCCCAGCGCACACATCCACTCCACCACACCCTACCCCTCACACACCGCAATGGGCTCCGTCGTCCTCCCCCACCTGCGCACAGGCTGGCACGTCGACCAAGCGATCCTCAGCGAAGAAGACCGACTCGTCGTGATCCGCTTCGGCCGCGACTCAGACTCCGACTGCATGCGCCAAGACGAAGTGCTCTACAAGATCGCCGACCGCGTGAAGAACTTCGCCGCGCTGTACGTGTGCGACCTCGACGAGGTGCCCGACTTCAAGGCCATGTACGAGCTGTACGACCCCTGCACCGTCATGTTCTTCTTCCGCAACAAGCACATGATGTGCGATTTCGGCACGGGTAATAATAATAAGCTCAACTGGGTGCTCGAGGATAAGCAGGAGTTGATTGATATTATTGAGACGGTGTATCGTGGGGCGAAGAAGGGGAGGGGCTTGGTGGTCAGTCCGAAGGATTATTCGACGAGGTATCGCTATTAGCGGGTACGCTGGGTGCGGGTTTTGGAAGAGGCGTTGAGGTACAGAGGCGCGGATTTCATCTTGGAGTTTACAATGCTACGGCATGGGCATCAGAGTGGCGTTTTAGGGACACGAGAGTGCAATGGCAGATTGACAAGCCACCTTCTACTTACGTTGAAATGAATCCTTGGTTCACGGCGAATGTTGAAAGGTTCGTTTCGTTTCATCATCGCACCGCATTTGTGAGGCTTTGATTGGAGCTGTACATGTGATTCTTGTTTCGCATGCAAGCTGGGTAATGGAGTACTCCTGGAGTTTGCGCAAGGGCAGTCGAGTAAACTTGCGTTGCCGGATGGTTCACCCTATTTAGCTGGAATTGCAGTTCTCGGAGACATGCTGGCATTGCAGTTGTCTTCGAGGACAGGCAAAGTGATGAAGATTGTGTAACTAATAAGTCTGCAACTCCTAACAAGGAAACGTCGCTAAGCGAGGGGCCATCCAACATGTCTGAATGAGTGACTGAGGAAGGCCTCTTGACATGCTAGTCCGGGTGCTGCTGGCGGACCCAGGATGATCAGAAAAGGTCTCTGACGTTCCATAGAACTAGCTCTTCGAGAGGTTCAGCACCTGCGTCGCGCAGCATACTGGTTATCGCTGGGTGGTAAGTTGCTGCTTCCAATGCGCTTCCATGATCTCCACCCTCTGCGTTGACGTCGGCCTTGTGGTCAAGAAGTATCTTGACTACCTGCTTGTGCCCCCAAAACGAAGCTGCCTGCAGCGCGTTGTTAAAGCCTTCACCCCGCGCATTGACGTCGGCCTTGTGGTCAAGAAGTATCTTGACTACCCGCTCGTGCCCAACTGATGAAGCTGCCTGCAGCGCGGTCCCATATCCTCCACCCTGTGCATTGACGTCGGCCATGTGGTCAAGAAGCATCTTGACTATCTGCTCGTGCCCAAATAATGAAGCTGCCTGCAGCGCGTTTGCGCGCTCTCCACCCTGCGCATTGACGTCGGCCTTGTGGTCAAGAAGCATCTTGACTATCTGCTTGTAGCCTCCGCATACAGCTGCCTGCAGCGCGTTGCCATATCTTCCACCCTGCGCATTGACGTTGGCCTTGTAGTCAAGAAGTATTCTAACTGTTTGCTCATAGCCTCCGTATGCAGCTGCCTGTAGCGCGTTGCTATATTCTCCACCCTCCGCATTGACGTCGGCCTTGTGATTAAGCAGTACCTTGACTATCTGCTCGTAGCCCTTGCGTGAGACTGCTTGTAGTGCGTTGCCATAGTATCCACCCTGTACGTTTACGTCTGCTTTGTTGTCGATCAATAACTGTACAGTATCTAGAGCCCCGTTGAGACACGCATAGTACAAGGGGCTACTTCCCGTACTATCAACTTCTTCGACACGACACCCAGCCTCTAAGAGTCGAACGACCGCTTCGTTGAGTCCTGCGGAGGCTGCCAAATGTAAAGCGTATGCTGGGATCGTTTGGCCGACCCACTTCTGCCTCACGGTGGGGATATTATATAGAATGGTGCTATAGACAACTGTACTGGAAGTCACTAAGAAGTCCATACTATTGAATCGATGTTCTGTAGAAGAATAGGCGTTTTCCTCCAGTAGCCTGACTTGCATGATTGCTGCAAGACTCTCGCCTTTTTGCCGTAAAAGCGTCTCCAGTTGGTCATTTACATCGACAGAGATTTTATCACATTTAGAAACGTGATAGTCGAAGCTGTGGTATGCATAATCGACAAACTCGTTCTCAACAAGTCTTTCGCAGAGGTCGGAAGGAGATTCTGCTGGACCATCGAATGCCACGAGTCGCATATATGTGAGACACGCTACGCTCAACCGTTTATGCATGTGGGTCGAGTCTAAAAGCTGCGCTCGTATGGTCTGTTGTGGTAGCCCTGGAACAGCTTTTGCCAGAAACTCCTGGACTGTGTAGTGAATCGGCCGAACCACGAGATCATTGATTTCCAGCAGGTTGCTACAAGCTTCGAGAATCACTTCAGTGGAGTCGATCTCAAGATCCTGTATGACAGTGCATTGCGAGTTGATTGCAAGCGCATATTGTAGTTCGTCAATGTAGAGAGGTCTCCGAGCGTAGACTATCCATGCTAGACAGCTGAGTGCCAAATCTCTCATGTACGAAGGCTGGGCTTCGATCCGCTCCAGAATATGCACGTAGGTATTTGGCAAGCCTTGGGGCAGTTCTTCTAGCGCGGCTTCAACCGCTCGATCTTTTCGGGCTTTGCTTGCTTGGCAGAGACTGTCAAGCTGAAGGTCGACCCAGAGAAACCTAAGCATACATCAGCCTTCGTGGACCTTCAAAACACCCTTTGCGAAACACTTACATCCCTTCTGCCTTCTCAACGAGTGTCTCAATGATGTAATCCTTGAGCCTATCGCTAGCAACATAAAGAGTCTTTCCATGCTCTCCAGCCATAAGCTTTTCAACCCGACTGCGGGCAAAGACTTCAATATCTGCAGTAATTTCCGCGACCCGGATGTGAATTGTAGGAATGCACATGTCCCCAAAGGCTTTGGCGATATCCATTTCGTATCGACTGGTGACGAACACTTTGACCTGGCAACCGGACTGTATCGTCACGATACCAGTGATAAATCCGATGATATTTCCACGCTCCTGTTCTGGGCACTCGTCAAGGGCATCGAACACCACGTACACCTGAGGTGTGTTCTCAACGAGAGACATGAATCTTTCCTGGGTGCCTACCAAAGACGGAGACAAAGCGTCACGCTTGGTCTGGAGCAGGTCGATCGGCAGCCGGTCTTTCCTCCTGCAAAGTTGTTGGATCAAAGCAGCTACGATCAAATGAAGGTCTTTCAGCCGCGTGTCTCGATAGTTGTAGTATGCAAAGCAGAGGCTGGTGTCTTTTCGTAATACTGTCCTAGTTGTTATGTCTTCGATGACACTGGACCTAGACTGCGAATTAGAACGAGAATGCAGTGCCGGTCGGATTGCTTTCTCACTTACGCAAGCACAGATTTGCCCATCCCAGCTGCAATATTGTCAGCGGTTTACTTCTTTCCAGTCAGAACGAAGCATTGCTTACGTTTTCCATGACACCACAGAAGAGATGAAGATGGACTATTGAACCATTCCTGATATTTTGGTTCGTTCAACAGCCAGTTGCACGTCTTTTCGTGCTTCTTTGCGAATGTGTCCTGGTGAGTTTTCTCAAAATCAATGCTTGACACCCAATCGAGGAACGCAGATTTCTCTTTCCCTGTAAGCATGTCAAGATCAAAGCCATGCGAAATAATTGGAGTTGACGATCATACTTTCTTCTTCACATTGTCTCGCTTTCTCTGACTCCCTGGCAAAGTCGAAGTGCAACGACTGGACAGAGTGTAGCAGTACGTGAAGATGGTGCTGCAGGTCTCCCTTGATGGTGCTGAATTCCGACTCAAACGTCTCCCAATGACTTTGCATGAAAGTTCTAAGGGATGTCCACCTTCGCTTGTCACCGTTGGCGTCGATGAACACGCGTCGTGCCTTCCAGCCAAAGTTGAGAACATTGGCGTAGGCATTGACTAACGTCTTCTCTACAATCTCGATGTCTGCTGCCTTTGCGTACTCGGCTAGAGGGTCTAAATAGTCTTCGAATGTACAGATCATGTCAGTCAGCTTGCTGAAGTACATTGTAAAATTCAAGGCCAGGTCAATGACGACCCTGACGGAGCCAACTACGAGAGACGATATTTCAGGACTCGCCTGGATGCCAATAGCGACGCCCCTCATGAATCTATTAAGCAGACTCAGGGACTTGGAAAGTCGCTCAGCGTGCGGTCTGAAGGATGAGTCCTTTTTGTGCGCCTCGTCGTAACTTTTTACGCGGGAGAGCAAGGTTTTCTCGTCGATCATTTCTGATGCCTGTAGAAATGCTGCTTTCTCGGCCGCCGGAAGTTCCTCCAATGTCTTTGCTAAGGCTTTTTCTAGAATCAATGTATTTGGTGGCGCTGCCGCCGACAAAGATACAGGCGGGTATAGCTGGGGTGAAGCCTGAGAAGACATCTGCTGTGTAGGCGGTAGAGGCGTCGTTGCCACCGACAAACTTGAGCTCGATATAGGCAGACATGGCAACGGCGGTGGAAGGGGAGCATGGGGACACGTCTGCTGCGTCGGCGGCGGAGGAGTTGTGTTAATCGAGACCGTATTTGTACTATTTGAGGTGAAGAGTGCGCGTAGACGGTCTCGTTTCCCCATTGCTAATTGATACCGTAGGTCTGGTGTTGGTCATCTTTCGCGTAGGTCTACAATATTGCGGGGTGGGAACAGAGCTCGGCTGACTGCTGCGCCTCTTTGCATCGTCGGACCCACATGTAGCAGCATTGCCACGTTAAAACGGAATCGGCTCTACTTTATATCCAATGGAGGGCCCGCGGGGTTTGATACCATAAAAGGTACGAAAAAGGTAGCACCTCTTCTTGCACTTAAATGCATCACCGGAAAAGCTTCACGCTTCACATTACGGTGTAGCATTCGCTTCGGCATCCTTCCAATTTGCGACCAAACATATCGCTCCCAAGCAGAGAAGAACCAGATAGATTGGCTGTAAAGATTACGCAGCGTGCTTCTTGATCATATCCAGGACCGCTTGGTTGACCTCCTTCGGGTTTGTTGCGTTCAGGTAATGCGCACCACCATCCAGAATGCTCAACCTCTTATCCTTACTTCCCGTAAAGAGCTCAATTTGCTCATGCTGCACCTGACAGCCATACGGTACATCTTCTGTTCCCTGCAGCCAGTACACAGGGCAAGTGATATCGCCCAAACGCAATGTCAGCGAGTCACGCGAAATCAAGCACAGGACAGCCATCCTCGCCTTCTTCCTGCCCTCATCACCCGCATAAGTCTCCTTCATTACCTTGACCCAGAAACTCGTCGACTGATCTGTGGCGTGCGATCCAAAGCCAAGGCTGGCAACCATGCCGCACCACTGATCGTCGATCTCGAAGTTTGGGGTGACATCAGCACTCGTCCAGTTTTGCACGAACGGAGTGAGTAGCGGTACAGGATTCCAACAGCCCTTCTCTCGCGTCTCAGGAGTCTCAGCATCCATACTAGTCCCCAATGGCAGGAGACCAAGAACACGCTCAGGCGCGAGCAGTGCCATGCGGACGACCATCCACCCACCCTGGCTTGTGCCAAGAATAAATGCCTTCTCAATCTTCAAAGCGGTCATGACTTCCAGAGCAACAATTGCGGTGTCCCAGTACGTGAAGTGGCTGGCCTTCGTAGGGAAGCTAGTGGATCCGTGACCAAGGGGCTCGATGGCCAGGATGTTCATAACGTTGGTGAGATTTGTGTCATAGAATTGGGCATCGAAAAGTGCGGTCGTCATGCACATCGAGTTCAAGCAGACCAGAGTGGGTTTGGATGGGTCAACGGCATTATTGGTGAGGCGATAGCCGACCTGAAGGTTGCCGAGGTGGGTAACGGTGATTGGGATCGTTGATGATGGCATTGCTACTTTTCGGGAGCATATGCGTAGATAGGTTGTCTGGACTGAGGAGAAAAAGTCTTACAAAGATCACGTCGCTTGGTCTTCAGGCGACCCAAGACAACTGAGCCGTGTGGAGCTCGCGCACCGGTAGCCGAAAAGCGGGCATCCTGGTAGCCGGTCACATGTCTCTGTCGGTCAGTCTGAGGCGCATATCCATCAGTGAAGGTATTCTCGATCTTTCACGACGTAGATGCACAAAGCTTTGCCCAGGATGTAGGGCCCTGCATAAGTGACGTTGGTTGTCGGCATGTAGGATTGTAAAGAGCAGCGAAGCTTCAGGGTGGGGCAGATGAGGAGCTTGGACGAACCCCACAGCCGCATTGCACCGTTAAGGCCGCACGTCAATCACTAATCGTCCTCAGACTCCTCCCATACAGTTTTCTGTTGAGATACTTAATCCAGTTTCCACTTCGCTCTCCCTGGCCATTCTACGGTACCAGCTTGCATACTGATAGACGGAAGTAGCTCCCATAGCTTCGACCGGCAAGTTCGCACGTGGCGCTTCCATTGGTTCGGTACTACTCGTATCAGTAACTACCAACCACCCCAACGCTCAATCTCCGCAATCGCGGCGCCGGCTCTCTGCCAACGCTTACTCTGCAGCTCAAGACGGCTAAGAACCTGGAACGACTCTCTTGAACTAGACAAGAATCGCTTAAGCTTCGTGTTCATGACGTTGACAGCGCCGAAGCATCCCTAAGCGTTCATCCTTCACCCTGGCGCGTGGGATCATTGCTTGGCCCTCGTGCATCCGGTATCTGCAGCGTTGATGGAGCGCCATTCCCATACAGGCTCCGAGTGCTCGGCAGAGCTCTAGTATAAGATGCAGGTTCTTCGCCCCAGAAGCTGTGCGGGCTTCCAGGCAATTTCTTCACAAGCAATAGCTCCAAGCATCTCTGGGTAGCAATGAACTCCCTCTTGACCCTCGCTTTAGCGGCTGTGGCTGTTGCTGCTCCCACCAGCAGTTCTTACCCCGGCGGTCACAATGGCTATCCTGGTCACACCAGCAAGGATGACCACTACCTCGTCTCATTGGGTCCTCGCCCCTACTACATCATCAACAACATGACCGAAGGTCCACTGAAGCAGAAGCTTCAGTCATGTGAGAACAAACCAGTCACTATCAATCAGTTCTCGATCGGTCACCGTGGCGGCGGCACACTTCAGATCCCCGAAGAAACCAAGCAATCTCAAGACGCGGGAGCTCGGATGGGTGCTGGTGTCCTGGAGTGTGATGTATCATTCACTGGCGATCGTGGGCTTGTATGTCGCCACTCGCTCTGCGACCTACATACCACCACCGATATCCTTCTTCACCCTGAATTGGCGAGCAAGTGCACAAAACCCTTCACCCCTGCAAATGGAACATCCCCCGCCAGTGCCCTTTGCTGCACTTCAGATATTACTATCGCTGAGTTCGGCACTCTCTGCGGCAAGCAGGATGGCTTTAATGCGTCCGCCCTCACGCCTCAGGACTACCAATTCGGCACTCCAACTTGGCGAACAGAACTTTACGATACCTGCGGCAAGGTGCTGACGTTAAACGAGTACATCGACCTCGTCAATGACTACCCCGGTTATCGCAACTTCACACCGGAACTGAAAACGCCTCCAGCAGAGGTTCCCATGCCTTTCAATGGCTACACTCAGCAACAATACGCTCAGGACATGGTTGATGCTTTCCGCAACAAGTCCATTGATTTCAGCCGCATTTGGCCTCAATCATTCACCTACGACGACATTGTATTCTGGCTCAATTATGACCACGACTTCGGCAAGCAAGCCGTTTATCTCGTCGAGTACGACACACCCGAAGACATCGCGGCCGGTACTGCTAACCTTACCGTTGCCAAAGCCGCTGGTGTCAACATCATCAGCCCCTCTCTGCCTATGTTGCTCACCGTCGGCGAAAACAAAACGATCGTGCCTTCTGCGTATGCCGAAGCTGTCAAGGCTGCTGGTTTCGACATCATTGCCTGGACGTATGAGCGCTCGGGGCCTCTATCAACGGTCAAGAGCCGTGGTGAGTACTACTTCGGATCTATTGCGAATGTCACGTACTTCGATGGGCAGTACTACGATATCCTCGATGTGCTTGTGAACCAGGTTGGGATCAAGGGTCTATTCAGTGATTGGTCGTCTACGGTGACGTACTTTGCTAATTGCTTTGGACTTAAGGGACCTATTGGCGGTAGCTACACATAAACTGGACGCTGCTGGTAACAACTAAAAAATATCACGATCTATGGATCCTACAATGAAAACGTTTCAAAAGCATCATGCTACAGTGGATAAAAGGTTCTGACGATGTGGCAAGCACTGACACTGTCACGATTACGATTGGACTGCATGTATTGGTGATGCAAGCCCAATTGCTCTGCTCATCATTTAACAAACAGGTACAAAGCTAAACAATCACAACAAAAACCTGTTGATATCATCCCGAGAAAGCGCATACAGAATGCAAGACTTTAGATACCCTTCTCTATGACCAACTCGAGAAGGACGGTACTCCGAAGCTTCATCTTTATAACAACAACGAGGGATCACTGTAAGACGAGTCTGTTAGTCATTGTCTTGAACCCAGTCAACGCTTGTTCGAGTTTCCTATCGTGACATCAGGTCAGACTTATGTTGGTGTAATTCAAGTCCTGCTGAAGCCCTGCGACTACTTGCTTACCAACAATTACAAACGGCCCCCTCGCCGGGCTTACAGAGACAACTTGATCTTCGTTGGCGGAGTGGGTAAAAAATGACGTTCTCGATCGTACCGGCCTACCTGATACTAATCGGTGGTCCAGATTACTCATAATAATATGACGAGCAACTAGTTCAGGACTGCAAACGAACACTTCCTTGGATAACAAGGTCAAGTAGAGAAGTAAACCATATATCCCAAGTACAGCTATGATCACCACAGCACATGAAAGGCAGGATGTTATGTACTGCAAGACGTCTATGTCAAGTGTGTTGTTCAGAACTTGTTTCCTATTCTTATGATTCAAGACTTATACAAAGAAATCCACCTCTACTCGCTCTTTATGTACATTTCTGTCTTTCATAAGATAATCAGAATAAGTAGAGTGTAGCAACGTAGTCCTCAAATTGGTCTCCATTTGTTCTGATTGGGGCTCACCCACGAGCTAGTTCTATCTGCGAACAACTATGATGTAGCCTTCAAATGCTTTCGGGTGATGGAGTCAATCACGGATAGGGCCATCGGCCTAATGTTTGAAATAGGAAGAAGCAATGTCCTCATATCTATACGTTCGTCACTATCTCATTCTAGCACCGATCTTGTTCTAAGCCACAAGGCGAGTCAATGCGCATTCATTGTTCTGCTGAACGCGTACTGCGCAATCTCTCTAGTCAGTAGATCCTTAAGATGCCAGAGGTCAGATTCGAGAAATCCTGACTTGGTTCATTACAGGGTCCTCGCTCGGATGATGGTGAACACGCTGTGACTTGCTGTCTCCAAGATGCTTTCATGCCAAAAGTTGCAGTCGTGGGTATGATAGATACCCGTCTTCATCGTCGCATGTGTTTCTGACCACAGCTTACGGGCGACCTTGCGCGTTAAATTGTGCGGCCTGATCGCCCACATCGCATGATTTTCATGATTACTCCTCTTCTTTGCCCCTACCTACCGTCCTCAAAACCCAATCATTACTGATCTCAAAGTCTCCCATGATCCCATAATGATCGCTGACCCACTCTTCGTCGCCAGCCTCTTTGATACCAACTCCTATCTTGTCAAAAGACTTGGCACGCACATCGCCACAGAACCAAATCTTATCCAGACGACTACACCCAAACCTTTCTCTCATCTGAGCAGGCACTTGATATCCCCATGTGTACCCCTCATCACTGTCTTCTTTGCCTCCAAGAGACAAGAACGCATCTTGAAGCTTGTTATCGGTGTGCAGCGTCCTATCAAAAGGCTCGATGGCGTTGAAATCGCCAGCCACGAGAGCACATGCAACCTTGGATGCGTGGAGGTATTCAGAAACGGTAGAGAGCTGATGAGGGCGGATTGGTGGATCAGCAACGAGAGATTCGAGGTGTACATTACAAAGACGCAACACCTCCGACGAGGTTTCAGCGGAGGAAGATTGCCTGCTAAGAGCGATGTCGACGAACAAACCATCACGACCATACTTGCTGCGAAATGGTACACGAAAGACACCAGCAATACTTAGGCGAGCATCCACGAGAGTTGTCGTTCCGTAGTATGGTGTCGGCCATGATATTGTTTGCTTGTCGGTGATGTTGAAGCGATCCTGTATCCATGGCGAAGACGTGATGAGGTCGAGATCACGGGATGTCATCTCTTGTAGGAAGATTACGACAGCAATCCCTGGTGGCGTCGAGGTTACGAGCGTTTCGAGATGTTGTAGAGCGGCAGTCATGCGTTCATTACCAAGGGGAATCTGCATGTCGATGTTCCATGACATCAGACGAATAGCCTCAGGATCGACAGGGGCTTTGGGTGCTGTGGAGGGTAGGTTGTGACTCGAGGATGGAGGTATCCATTGTTGGTCTGAGTTGTAGGTGAAGTGTGTTTGAAACTTTGGCTGGCTTGGTGGCTCCTTGGAGGTCGACATGCTGCGACTCGAACTGGTGACGGAAGAGTACAGCAACGAACGTGCTTTATTTAAACACCGGTGCGGGGTCCATCGCACCATTTCATGCGTGGTTGCAGGGTGTGAGAGCTTACATCTGTAGCATGAACAGTACCTGCTGTGCACCGCCTTCACGTATCAGCGTTTGTATGATTAGCTTCAGGCATGAGAGCAGTCCTCAATTCTAACATGAGTAGATCTGGGGACACGTTGCACGTGACGACCGATTAGCGTAGGTGGACCCTGGTCAACAATTCGCGAGCCGTGTTGTGGCAGTCGCGACTTGCGCAAGCTACGACATCGAATGCTTTCACGATCATAACGTACACGAACCCCACGACTATCCCCGACAGCCTTTGCGCTATCATTTTCTCATCGCCGGCGTCAATCTTCGCTTATCTCGACACTACCCGCGATGGGCTCACGACTCCATAATGCGCCAATTGTTATCGACAATGGCAGTGGAACAATAAGAGCTGGATTTGCGGGAGAAGACGTGCCAAAGATTTTCTTCCCTTCATATGTTGGGCGGCCAAAGCATGTACGGACAATGGCAGGAGCACTGGAGGGCGAAGTATGGGTGGGGAACCAAGCAAAAGAGTACAAGGGGCTATGCAAGCTCAACTACCCATTGGAGCATGGTATTGTCACGGATTGGGATGATATGGAACGGATATGGCAGTACGTCTACAACCAGGGCTTGGGGACGGTCAGCGAGGATGTAAGTGAGCATATGGCACAGACGAAGCACATGGTGGGGTAACCCTGGCTGACTATCAATTGCTCTGCAGCATCCAGTACTTCTCACAGAACCGCCGCTAAACCCACGAGAAAACCGCGACGTCGCCGCCCAGATCTTGTTCGAGACTTTCAATGTCCCCGCGTTATACAGCTCTGTGCAGGCCGTCCTTTCACTATACGCCTCAGGGAAAACAACGGGACTCGTTCTCGATTCCGGCGATGGTGTGTCGCATGCTGTACCGGTCTTCCAAGGGTTTTCTATACCGAACAGCATCAGGAGAATAGATGTGGCTGGAAGGGATGTGACGGAGCAACTACAATTGCAGCTACGTAAGGGAGGGCACGTCTTCCATACAAGCGCAGAGAAGGAGATAGTCAAGTCTATCAAAGAGGCAACAAGTTATGTGGCGCTCGACATCGCTAAAGAAGAGAAGGAGTGGTCCGGCAGCAGGTCAGAAGGCAAAAGCATCGACTACCTCCTGCCCGACGGACAGAAGCTGAAGGTAAGGCGACTACGCTGGATCACAATTGGCCGCATGCTGATCATCTCTAGGTTGGTGCAGAACGCTTTCGCGCGCCCGAGATTCTCTTCAATCCGGAACTCATTGGACTTGAGTATCCTGGTGTGCACCAGATTGTCGTGGAGGCGATTCAGAGGACAGACATGGACCTACGGAAGTCGCTCTATGGCAACATCGTGCTCTCTGGTGGCTCTACATTGACGAAAGGATTCGGTAATAGGCTACTCCACGAAGTCCAGAGACTAGCGGTGAAGGACATGAGGATCAAGATTCTCGCACCACCAGAGCGTATTTACACCACGTGGACTGGCGGAAGCATTCTCGCTGGCCTGAGTACTTTCAAGAAGGTATGTTCCTGACTCTTGAGCAAGGGGTATGAGGTTAGACTGACACGTGTTGCAGATGTGGGTCGAGAAAGACGAATGGCAGGAGAATCCGGACATCATTCATACCAAATTCGCCTAGACGATGCGTTGAGACCTCGGTCGCAGACAAACCAGTGTCGCGACTCCGCGTCCCCACAGCACCCGCCTCCGCAAATGGCTTACGGTTCGAGGAAGGCGGCATTACGCTTGTGCCGCCGGGGTGTTAGTCATAGGAATCCGGTCTGCAGAACCGACGTCCAAAGAACATCACAGGGCCCTGCACACCTGGCGTCGCCCGGATCAACCTGCCAGCCGCATTGGGACGGGAGTGCTACCGTAGTGTGTTTCCCCGCGTTTGCCAGCGAGTTTCCAATTTGGGCGTGTTTCTGTTACTTAACCCTGACATGAGCGTTGCATGGGTTTGAGGGGTTTGCGACGAAGTGATGCATCATACATGGCGTTTGTGTGAGCGCAACGGGATACCCATATGATTTTGAGATTGAGTCAATACATAGATGCGAATAGCCAAGCTCATAATGGCAGGTGGCAGGTGCTGCAAACTCAAGGTGTCGGGAGCTGCAACGCTTGTCTGGTCGGCCAGATCGCAAACGCCAAGTATCGTGAACTCTTGTCCGCTATGGTGTGACTTGTTTAGCCATGTGCGACCGCAATTGCACAAAATTGCGCAATGACAGACTGCCGCGTCGACGATCTGGCCGGAGCGCCTCAGCGCGACTCACAAGGGGCAGATGAGCACACCGCTGAGTCGCTGACGGCGAGTGTGCGCGTTGTCCTTGTCTCGTGGCCAGTACCTGCGCATGGCCTACGCCTGAAGCTGTCTGGACTACCGGAACTCACGATGCTCAGCGTCATGTGCGACGGTCTGTCCGGGGGAAGCTTGGGCAGAGCTGGAAAGGAAATTGCGCGTTCTGGAAGCTGCGGCAAGGCTGTCGTCAGGGGACATGCGCGAAAAACATCGTGAATCACGATCGTGAGCTTCAGATTTTGCATCCGGCCCCCCTCCGGACAGGCACCGCGAGGCGATGACGGCGGCTGTGCGGGAAGGAAAACTCTGCCGCCTCCACACTCCGCCAGGTTGCGACGGGCGATGCCTCATCACTACGCACGGCTTTCAAGCCATGGCGTCTTCGCCGTGTTCCTGGTCTGGTAAAATTCTGCAGTGGTTTGGAAGTTTTCCATTACCCCCGTGAAATAATTTCATTGGTCCGCCTAGTGTCAGGTGCACTTCAAACAAGGCGCGCTCGAGCTATTACGCTATCGAATGCAAAGGCCAAGGTGGTTTCGACGCCTTTCGCTGAGCACCGATGGCGACCGTGCTGCTTTGTTTGCGTGTGCGTGGCCCGCATGATCGAGACACTGCCGTTAACTGCAAAGTGCTGGTCTATTTCCAAGCATGGTGGTGCTTGTGCAATGCAGTTGCATTTGGATTCGTGGGTCAGAGAATTTCGACAGCCCCTTGCGTGAGCACCTGAGCTGCCACCCATATAAGAGAGTTACCCCAGCGCCTCGTCTGCCCATCACTTGACGATCCATCAAAGTACTACACATCAGCCTTACCCAGACTCGATTTCTAAAGAGCCCTACAATTGCCTTTCGAAATCACTCGTACAAGCAAACCAACATCGCCACCAGACATCGACTTACCAATCAACAAAATGGTCAACTTCCACATCACCGAGCCTCACCCTTCCGCCAAGTCTTACATGTACTCTGGCCGTGGAGGTGCCGGCAACGTTACTCGCATCAAGGCTGCTGAGATCACCGACGGCCGCACAGCAACTGGCCCAGCATCTCGCGTCAAGCTCACTCCTCCTCCCACCACTGGATACTTTGCCTCCGGGCGTGGAGGTGCCGGCAACATGCGCACCCACAAGGAGCGCGCTATGTTCAGCTTCGACGAGGAACTCGAGCAGCAGGAGCGCCTTCGCAGCCAGCAAGCCCCCGTCTACCACATTGGCCGTGGCGGTGCCGGAAACCTGGTCGACGAGATGAAGCCAAAGAGTCAGCGCCAGAACTCCGCATCCTCAAGCAGCTCTGTCGAGAGCGAGAAGGATGGCGTTCGCAGGAGCCTGGAGAGGTGGGGCAGCCGCCTGTCTCGCAGGGTGTCAAACTACTAGACACTTGCTCTTCTCTTCACTTCGCTACTTCTATTACGGCAGTCGACATCCGGTTGAGGGCTGGTCCTGATTCCCTCCCCCGTCTACTACCCAACTTCATCTCCACACCACATTGAAGCATTCAGCACGGCGTTTCGGACCATTGTATCAACATCACCAAAAAGTTCCATTATCATTTACACACAACCAACGAGTCGGGATGGGTCTAAGCAAAAGCTTGAACCCTGATTACCTTCTTGGAAGAGGGCCACATTTTCTGTTTTTCACAACCAGCGGCGAAGGATATACCCCAAGTGCCGGCGAGGGCTAAGGACAGAGAGTCCATGTAGGGTCAAAAGACCACATCAATGAAATCATTCAAACACTTTACACTATGATTCTTTCTACGCTGTGCAAATGTGACATCCTAAATGCCGTCATGACTATGTCGCATTCTGTCAGCTTGACAGCACCCCTGACCCAAAGCCTTGACGCTGGACTCCCCCATGTCCCGTCAAGTGACGTTCCCCGACGGACTTGGCGTGCATCGCTAACTTCCCCGGATTTCCTTGACCGGATTTGCATCGTTCCAGCGTGCTTGGCTCGAAGATCCGGTGCTGCTTTAGCGCGCTCGGCGGCCTCCGAGATCCTGAGACGCCTTAGCGCTGGGAAGTGAAGATCTTTGGGGTCGAGAAGCGAGGCTGCAGCTTTGAGGAGAAAGGGGGTCCAGCCACAAGTGCGAGGCGGGATGGTCTGTGAGAGGGGAGATTTTTCTGGTCATGACTGTGAGGCCTGTGAGGCCTGCAGCGTTTAGGGCGTGTACAGTGTATTCGCACCTAATTTTCAAGTTTTTGTCTTTGCACGTCAATGCACCGTACGATTCGGTTCAACTCAGCGATTTGAATCACTGTGGATCTATGATTCAAGAGCATTGTGGGTACCGGATTCGAAAGCATCGCAGGTTTGTGCTGCTCTGAGCTAGAACCAAAGTGGTGTGGTAGGAAAAGTCTGACAGCACGGGAGTTCTATCAGCTCAGACTTCACACCTTACTCACCATTTCCCATTGTGTGAAATCGCCGCCACAACGTTGCCTTTTGAGATTTCTGTAGGTTTAGTGTGCACACGACATGTCTCTCTGGTAAGTATGGTTCAGCAAGGCCGTGGTCTTGTTTGTGCCTGTTGCATTGCACGCAGTTTACAGAGATCTGTTTTATGCATTCGCTCGTTACTACCTGTCATCTTCCGTCTCAGTCAAATCCTGCATCTCATATCTTCTCAATTGATGCTTTCTCCATTTTTCTCACATCTGCAAGAGCTTTGTTTGGAGGTTGGACGCCTTGGCTGAGTGTCTGACCGTTACCGACCGGGTAATGGACTCATTTGAGAGGACATTCTGCATTTTGATCTCATGTCGTTACGTCCAAAGCTCAAGCTATGGGTGTAGTGACGCAATGAGGCCATACACGTCCCAAGACATACGCCTCAAGCTTGGTTTGCCGTACGCAGGTCGCTATACGCCGATATAGCTGTCTGTCAAAGCCGTATTTCCTTTCACTGGTCTGTTGCAAGGTATATTTGCAGCGAAAGGCAAGCACAACATCTGCAGATGTTTGTTCGACTGTAGTGGTCTTCGTCTTGCATCTCTCGCGGAGCTTCGTTTGCGTCTCACCTGTCGCCGCCCCACATGATGGAAGGTTAGCGCCAGCCGTGAAGGTGACAGAGAGTAATTGCAATACCCCCACTGTCACCAGCCGATGCATTTGACCTGCCCTCATTGCGCTGTTCAATTATATGAGAACACGAGTTGTATGAGCTATGTAATTGTAATATTCTTGAGTTTTCTATCAGTAAGTCCTCCCCTGCCCTGATTGATACTTATGCAAAGGTCGACGGCGTCCTCGATCCGAGCGCGCCTACGCAAAACATGCTCACCTTCGCCATGCTCTTCCAACTCGAGCCCAACACATTTCACGTGATCAACCATGGGCAGAGTATGCGTATGCGTTGTCCACTGCAATACCTGACCCGCATTCGCGCGATGAAAGATTGTGAGAATGTCGACCTCGCCATTCAAGCTACGTGTGACTTCATGTTGCCCTGCGGTAGCGAGGAGCTTCGCCAGGTAGCCGCAGATAAGGCAAGGAAGGCTAAGAAGAAGACCAGAGGCCCACGCAGCAAGACAAAGCGCAAATATACTACCTGTATTGAGGCACAAAGCACCTTTGAGGAGGCATTCAGTACTCCAAGCTTCACGATTGACAGCTGTCGAATAGAAAGAGCCATCAAAGACGGCCACTCATGAACGCCCTCATTGCCCCTGTGCCCGGAGTATACTGGAGCACTAGCAACGTAATACACGTCGACGCCGTTGCTATCGATGAAATTTCTCGTGTCACCACGGACATGGGACGCCTCGACTGCGGTGATGACTTCGTCAAGTCGATTGAAGCTGATGAAGAGTACGAGGGTGCGGAGTTGCTTCGCGCATTTGATTCCGATATGATCAAGTACAAGCGCGGAAGCGTTGACTTCAGCGAGGGTGATCAGGTGTTCTTCGAGGACGGCGTGGAGATCTTCAACATGCCCGCACAGATATTCGATGAGGACGAAGATGAAAAGATGAAAATGTAGCTATTATGATATCGTTTCCACTGTGGACAGGATAGTCGAAGACTCGTTGTAGCCTCGATACAGCTCCTCCACAGGCACTACCTTCAAACCAAACGCGATGCCAAAGGTCTTCTAGATTCCCCGAAACATCTGTTGCAACTCAGGAGGTAGCATTTGGCCCTATTCTTACGCCACGTCATCATATTCAGCGCACGGGTTTCCAATAAAGACCTCCTACAAACAAGAGATGGAATCCCTCCACAAAACATGAAGAGAGAGATATGTATTTTGGGCTTACAAAAGACATTACCCGTTCGGCACAGGTGAACTGCACAAACACGGCCACAGCAAGATTACCTATGACTGGTACACGTAGAGACCTGAACTCAAAATATCCGCACAGAGCTCTGCCACTACCCTCTGCAATCAACTCTTCTCACCTCCGATTATGCAGCCAGCGCAAGGATCTATGAGCTGCTAAGATGTCATTCGTTTCTTCCCGAGAAACGTTCGAGGCTCGTTGTGGTCGCTCTTGCACGAGCAGCAGACCATAGCTGCCTCCAGACATTGAGTTCGAGTTGCCACTGCCGTGAAGTCAGGTTAGTGAAGTCACAGCACGTTAACATGCAGCGTACGATTGCCAGATGTGGATGTTCCCAAAAGGGTTGTCTCAACCACGGTTCAGCTCATCGTCCACATCACCACACACCGAAATTAGCAAAGAAAGTATTATGACCCACATCTAGCCCAAATTTGGGGTCGTGTTGCACCACTCACACAGATTGGTGAGTCTATCGTGACACTGCGACCTAAGTCGCGCAGTGGTCTGTCTCCACGGTTGTGCAGTGCAACGCTGCGCAATATGTCATGACAAACAGGCGTTGACAGAGTACGCAGCTACGAGCCCCTGTCGCGGGTGGTACTCACATTTGCACTCGCCTTTCGTGGCTATTCACAACCTTCGCCTTCCGTCCTTGTTCACAACCCTCGCCTTCAGTCACTGTTCACAACTCAGACACAAAATCTGGCATCTTGAGCCAACTGGCATAATCACGACGGCCCTGTGCATCAGCTCCGTCTTTAAAAGATACATTCAAAGTCTGCAGGCTCTAAACTGGAGATACCGTCCGCATCTTCACGATGGGCTGGATATCTCGTTACGGCAAACGGCAGAACGACCTCGCTCCGCCTACACCGCAACCCATTCGCTTCAAGCATATCGTTGTCGGCCTCATCTTGCTCCTAATTTTCGGCGGAGGCATTGCGTGCTTCCCTCTGACACTCATCTACGTACCAAAACCTCAACTCACGGAGTACATGCCAAAGGGAATCTACTGTGCGATATGCGAGGAGATTTGGCTACACAATCGCGATTTGTTCAATCGCGAGGACATGTTCTGCTATGGGCCGCCTGTCTATGTAAGTGCAGATACAGATAAAGATACAGATAGGGGTGCTGACAAGATCTAGGACCGCCCGACTAGTAAAGATGATGAGGTTATGTTCAGTGGGGAGAAGAGGTGTTGGGCGTTGAAAAAGTGGCATGACCGTTGGATGCGTCCCATTCAGGTCACGGATGAGGAAACGAAGAAATGGAACAGGATTAGAGGTGGATCTTGGCCTTGAATGTTGGTGATCTTCTGTGTTAGCTTTAAACCCTCAAATCCATAGAGCATACATGGTTTACGATCTTAGATTCGTTAGATTTTAGTTCACATTCAGCGATACACTTGCCAATATTTGAAAGTGACTCGACACTGCCATGCCAGATGATCCTGCCTCGGTAGGCGCTTTCGGGATCGGATTTCCAAACATGGTAGTTTCGGACTGTGGGAACAGCTGCCTCCGAAGGGTGTCTACAATTGGGAAACTGCTGTTGACAATGGCTGTTCGCGATATCTACCGGGCTCAGGCACTTCAACTCCAAAACATCTTCGCAGCGTTGTGCAGATCACGCTAAAATCGAAAGCTTGCACATCGAATTCGACGAGTTTCCTCTGTTTCTGACTTTTTCTCAACTCATTCTGATTTCACCGCCAACCCCGGCATCTCCATCGATTGTTTCGAGGCTCACAGCCCCCGTCACCTGAATCACCACGACATCAGTACTGCCTAAGGAAGAGTTGCAATCGACCTTGAACGTTCACTCACAATCCACAATGACAACTCCACGCTTTCAAATTATAAGCGACCTGCATCTCGAGACACCCATTCAAACACCATCCTACACGTACTTCTCTGCAGCAGCCAACTTTCCTCTGCTAGCACCCAATCTCCTCCTCCTAGGCGACATCGGCCTGATCGCACACAAGCAGCCTCTCCTCGCATTTCTCCGCTCTCTATTACAGCGAGACCCGCACCTAAACATTTTCTACATCCTCGGCAACCACGAGTCCTACCAAATGACCCTTGAAAACGCCCTGGCTCAAATCCAAAACTTTGAAACGACCCTGACCCACGACTTCGGTCCCAGATTCCACCTCATGGACCGGCGACGAGTCGACCTGACCCCCTCCCTCACCCTCCTTGGCTGCACCCTCTGGACCCACGTCCCGCCGCACCACGCCCACGACGTCGCCGCCGCGCTGAAGGACTTCGACGACGCGCACGGTGTGTGGGACCGCTCGCTGGACGACCACAACGCAGACCACGCGCGCGATCTGGCGTGGCTGAATGCGCAGGTGTCGCGTATCGAAGAGAGCGAGCCGCAGAGGGAGATTGTGGTGTTGACGCATCACAGCCCGACGACGGACGCGAGAGCGAATAGTGCGCGGTTTCTGCCTGAGAGGGCGTTGAATTCTGGGTTTCGGACGGATTTGAGGGGGGAGCGGTGCTGGGATAGCGTGAGGGTGAAGGTGTGGGCGTTTGGGCATACGCATTTTAGCTGTCAGTTCGTGGACACGGGTGATGTAGAAGGATCTGGGGATAGGTTCAGGTCTAGAGACGAAAGGAGAAAGTTGGTTGTGAGCAATCAGAAGGGTTACGCGTACCCTGAGAGCAAGGGAAACTGGAAGATAAAACCTGTGATCATTGGGAGGGAGGAAGGGGAGTGGAAGGTTGTGATCGGTGAAGAACAGTAACCTGTGAGCAAGAAGAAAGGGCACGAGGGTTGTGTTATCGGCATGAAGTGGAGCGCGAGAGAACCATCGAGCCTTCAGCTTTTAGACTTGGGAACACGGACTCTCCTTAGGATAAGCAAGGGAGCCAATGAAAGCCACATCTACACACACGTCTTAACAGTAACATCAGCAGGCAGCGTCGAGGCCGTCAGGAAATTAAACGTAAGGTTTCCATTGCTCGCGTATACGTACACACGGCCCATCGCAGTAATGCATCCACAGCGCCAGCTACAGCTTGCACACATATCCATATCAACCTAGCCTCACTGTGCGCCGCCGTTCCCAACCGTATTGCTTAAACTGGCAACAGGGCTCGAGGGAGAAACGCTGATGCAAAAACACCAGCCATCCTTGAAAATACACCACCACCGAAGGGAAAGCGCAGAGTCGACAAACAATACCACAGACCGGTAACGCCAAGCCAGACCACCTGGCTGCACCAGTCGTGCTTGGACGAGAAGCCAAAGTAAGAGAATATAGCGCCACAACACCGAGAAATGAATCAGACCCACCGCCATGTATGTACGTGTGCTGAAAGAGAGAAGAACCGTCGAAGGCTCGACAGGATCGTGGGCGCGTTTCCGGTACCGATGCCTCGTCGGCACCCAATGAGGTAATGAAAGCCTTTTGGTGACCGGGAGATGTTGCGTTCCTTGTTGTGAAGATGCCAGCACGACGTACGCCAAGCGCCAGACCATGCATTGGCGCAGCACCAAGGAAGGAGAGGAAGGATAAGGTGCGTGAATTAAAAGTTGGTAGGATCCAGTGAGGGAGATCAAAAGATGAAGCAGACCTCGAAGGAGTTGTCGGTCAAAACTCTGGGAATGATCCAGAGTTCTACCTGGCTCGCTCAGACAACATGTTTACCTGACTGACGGTGAGCAACTCTTCTCCTAAGCGGGGTGCTAACGTGCGTTCTGCCGATCATCCGCACCTGGCTGGTAGACATACCGGTTCATCATCTGACCCTGCATTGGCATCCCCATGTGGTGAACGCCATTATGTTGCAGCTGGGCGATGCCATATGGATTTTGATGGCTGACATCGCTACCAAGGAAGTTGTTCATAGCGTTGCCATGAAGACCTTGAGCCTGGGAGACTGGGCAGTCCTTGTGGGCAAGCAAGAGGGTCTTGAGGTTAACTATTTCCTCACGAAGCTGAGTGACAGTAGCGGAGAGCGCATCGTTCTCTGTACTGAACAACTCGACCTTTGCCTGTAGGTTGGCAAGCCATTGCTTCTTTCTTTGACGGCACTTGAGGGCAGCGACACTGTTCTACGTTAGCGTGTTTGTACAAAGCAGTATCAACAAATGAACATACCGATTCCTCTCGAGGAAGTTCTTGCGCTTCTCCTCGTCTGTCATCTTGCGCCCCTTGCTGTCAAACTCCTCTTCCTTGAGGTTTTGCATCTCATCATCGGAGTCATCCTCGTCGTCCATAGTGGCAGCGGCACCCTTCTTGCGACCACCCTTGGGCATGTCGTCGGCTTTGCGCTTGGTACCGGCGGCTTGCTTGCCGTTAGCAGCACCCTTCTTGCCTCGTGTACGAGTGCCCTTGTTTTGCTCACTTTGGCCGGACTCCGAGAAGTCACCAGTATCAGCAGAAGCCATACTGTTGATCGAGCCTTTGGTGTTACGACGACTGTGATCACCACCAACAGGTTGCACAGGCATGTGACCAGCATTGACTGACTGGTTGTTGGGTGCCATTGAGAATGGTGGCTGGTTATTCCTTGCACCGCCGCCGTTCTGACTTGCAAATGAGAGCAGATCGTTAGCGGCGCTGCTGACGTCATGGTTAGCGTAAGGATCATTTTGGGACCTTTGTTGCTGCTGCTGCTGAGCTTGTTGATAGTTGTTTTGGCGATCCATTCCTGCGGTAACCGTATCAGGTTGAGAAGTGGGTGCTACAGTAGTCTTATTTTGGTTAGCCTGAGCGGCCGCGCGCAAAGCAGCCTGCTGGAAGTCGCCCGTTCCAGGAGTGACACCAGCACTTTGCAGGTTAAAGATTGCTTGGGTATTAGGGCTGGGGGCAGGGAACATGGACCCGCCACCGCCAGGAGTAAGACCAGTGCGAAGCGAAGATTCGTTGGGAGTGGGAAAGCCTCTGAACGACTCGCTGAAGTAGTCGGTCTGACCTGTGGGGCCGCTGAGCATAGCAGGGCTTAGAGGACCGGCGCGCAACGATTGCCAACCAGGTGTGATGCCAGGCAGGGGGTTTGGCGACGTTATATTTGCAACAGGCGGCAGGATGGTACGGCCGCCGGGTGTTTCTACGGAGCCGTTTCCTCCGAAAGACTGTTCGAAGACGTTGGGCTCGAGCGAGAAGGGGTTGTGTACAGTGTTGAAGTAGTCGGCCGTCTCGCCAGGTGCTGATGGTTTTGGTGGAGGTGCCAGCGGTGCAGCATTGGATGTCGCAGGCTTTGCGTCGATGTTGATCGGTTCGGATACAGTAGCTGGTCGACAGGTCAGTCAAATGCGTTGCTGATGACGGCGACGATGCGCGACCAGGAAATACAGGTCGCGTCGAGCAGGAAGACACTTACGAATTTCCTTAATGTCTGTCTTGACCTCTGCAGGTTCTGGGGTCGACATGGTCAGTGATGCTTGAGTATAGTAGTGGCATTTAAGATGACGTGATGTGCGCGCAACAACCGCATAGGTGGGCGGTTGTGGTGTGCTAGGGAAAGGTGAAGGGCAGTAGCGACGCGACAGCAGGGCTGGGCTGGCATTGGGGATGGGGACACTTACCTTCAGTCTTAGTCACGAGAGGAAGGGTACCTTTGCCATCTTTGGGAGAGGACATCTTCGAGTTCGGGGGGGATGTGCGCGCGGTTTGGGTTGCAGCAGCCATGTTCGGTAGTGACGTAGCAGTCGTGGTCAAGGACGGACGATCGCTGTAGTACTCGGGCCTAAGCTCACACTTCACTCTCCACACACAACGTGTCTCGAGAATGCACCAACACGCGCTGGAAGGGACAGCTGTTGCGATGCTCCTAGATCTTTATTACAGACAGTCAGCATGCGCGAAGTTGACTTTGGCGATGCGCTCGCAGAATGCAACGCGACGGGTGCTGGCAGTGTGTGCGACAACAGGGTGGTTGCAGGGCCTTCGGGGCGCATGCGACGCGCGCGACAGCAACAGTGGCAGCAGCAGCAGCAGCGCAGCGACGTACCTTCAGCGACACACACAAGGTGCGGGGTAAGTTTCTGCGATCCGAATATCGATATTGCAAAGCACCGGCAGTGAGGATGCGATTGTCTGAGAGATCTCGAGGAATTTCGACGGTGACGTCAAGCCCCTATGAAGACGCTCCGCAACTGTCGCAGGCTACTTCTACTGGTTGCGCAATGTTCTACAAAGACCAAGCTAGTTCCGGCAGCTTGGTTGCGAACGATATTCTGTTCACTGGGATCTCAATGAGGCTCTTCCCAGGGCGGAGACGGGGATTGATGCTCGTGGTGACGATGACAATGGAGGCGTTCGCGATGAGGTCAGAGGGCAGGACAGAGAGCAATTTCTGGAAGTGACGCAGCTTTGTGCCAAGATTATAACGTGATCCAGCATCTTCCGGGCTAGAACCGTCGCGCCCGCTGGCGTGGCCATTCACAGTGCTGCTACCCCTCACCGCCCCGAAGGCAACGCTGATCGCTCCCCCTTTCGCTTCGCTTGCCACGAGAGGTGCGCTCGACCCCAGCAGAGGAGCCGTGCGACCTCTTCGATGTGGCCGGCATTCCGTTCCTGCAGCTTTATCTCGTGATATCATCCCTTGGAATAGACATCTAGAATGCAGCGGAACGCATATCCACGCTGTTCGCTGTCTATTCATTCGAAGGATCGGAAAGGGAAGCGCTCCGGGGGCGAGCCGTCCAACCGTCGCAGCGTCGATATGCAATGCCGGAACCGAATGCATCTCGATCCCTGGGTCTCTGCATCGATGTCGATCGACACAAATGCCCTCTATGAGTGGTCGAAACATAGTAGCCGATAGCGCTGCCGTTCCCACCAATCGAGGTACATCCAGCCTTTCTAGCGTAATGCCAAAGGTGTTGTTTGCAAAGGGTGCTGCTTTGAAATCAGACTTTGGAAAGTGCTGGTGGTGAGTCTCGAAGAGCAGATCTACTGATTACGACAGCCCGGCCAGTGCCGCGCGGTGCAATTCATGCCTGAGGCCAAGTGATGTGCTCGAACTTCAAATCCTCACTGTCTTTCAGCTGTGTTACCAGGCTACGGACGCCGCGGAAGCGGCTGTTCATCCACGTAGGCGCATACGGATATGCATGCCAGCGACATCATTGCCATGTCACATTGTAGCAAGCTGGACGACTACATGCGCAGTCGCGCGCGCTGTGTATGCAGTTAAATCTTGCACAGATTTCAAGCGAAGATAGCAAGTCGAACCGTTGATGGTTCGAAAAAAGGGTTTGTAGTCATGGGTTGCTATCGCGACTTCTCAAGATTTGAACAGAGTCTGGATGTAAAGTTCTGCGTAGATGCTGGTTGGGTATATTTGAGGTACAACGTATGTGCCCCATGTTCTCTTCATGCTGCTTGAGAGCATCCCTGCGTCCCAGCTCTTCACGACCCACGGTACGTCGTATAACCAAAAGGTCCCAGGAGCACAGGAACATGGAAATGCTCGCCCTTCTGTGCCTCCCTAACCACGAACTGCACAACAACCTCCGGGAAGAAAGTGTTCACCCCTCTCCCCCCAAAGTACGCCTCGGTATCGAATGTCAGGCTGTACTTTTTATCGCCTGCTTCATGGAACACTTCCTCCAGTCCCTGACTCGAAAATGGCGAGGTGGGTTTCCATGCAGTGACGCGACCGTCGCTGTTTGTTGTGGCCGAGAACTTTAGTGTGGAGTCCGAGGACGAAGATGGATTGAGCAGCGTAAGAACGACGGGGATGTCGCCTGCGGGCTTGCCAATTGTCGTGTCGAGCACGTGGCATGTGATTGGGGGCTTCTTCTCTGTCGACATGGTGAGCGATTGATTTGTAGCCGTTGGTGCTGTGGTCGCTAGGTGATTCGAGAGCGCGTCGATGCGTTGCGTTGCGGAGGAGGGCATGCAGAGATTGCTTGAAGCAGCGAGATGCTGTAACGTTAAGCTCTCAGAAGCAATTGAGCGTGTGCGACGTGGGGCGTGGGAAGTTGCGGGAAGTTTGTAAAGTCAAGTCTGTGCAGCTTAATCAGGGCCGGGAGTAGTGATGCGTGATGCGCTTGTCCAGCCTTGAGTCGTTAGATCGCACACAGGCTGTGGTATAGCAGATCTACAGAGAAGGGGCAGAGAAGTGCAGAAGGGCTTATCGGATGTATCAATGTAGTCGAACGAAGCTGTTCGCGGTAGGAGCTTTCCGTTGCCCCTCCACGATACCCCACAACGCTCAACGTCGGTGTCCTCCGCTGTCTCCATGCGCCGATCACCGTTATGCTCATCTCATTCTTACGCCTGCACAATCGCGCGCGAGTTAGCACAACTCTATGCTTAGCAGAGCTACTATAGCGGTTCCGACGTCCTCGGTAACGGCACAAATCTAATTGCAGAATATTGAAACGCCTGATCGTCTGTCACGCCAGTGCAAGTCGAAACAAAGATCCCGCAGCTATACTATATGTTTGCAAAACAGTTACGATCAGGAAAACAAGAATAATATGCACATCTGTGTAGAGAGTTTTGGTACATGCTCATAAGAGTCAATACATACATACATTGAAGCTAAAGGTGCTGATCATCGCACATATCAAAGGTATCCCATATCCATAGAAGTGAAGTGCGCAGAGAAGAGAAAAATGCCGTAGCTGGCTAGGTCAACCTTAATACCTTTTAAACAGAATCATAAACAAATTGCTCGCCCAGTCGGCTAGACTTGGGGGCTATGCACCAAACGCCTTGCGAATAACCAACTAAACCATCCAATTGTCCTCGAGCAGCGTCTACTTCAGATCACTTCTGAATTCGTCTGCAAACGGGCTCTGATCTCGCTTCGACATGGCGCTCACGCGTCGCTCTGACTCTTCGACAATGGGTGTCATCGGCATGCGCGAACGATCAGTGTCGTAAGATGTGATGCGTGACCCTATCGCTGGACGGTCTGATCGGTCGACCGCCAAGCTATCGTTGAATGGGCTGCGAAGATCGACGAGGCCTGTGGGTGTGGCATCCTGAATCTCCGTTACACCAGAGTCGCGCGAGCTCAAGGAGTTGCGCATTAAGCTCTGACGGGAGCGCTGGTGATCCTGCTCCTCCTCCTCATCGGATTCTGAGTCTGAGTCTGCTAAGCTGACAGCCTGACGGGCGCGTGCGTGCGAGACACCTGAATCGGTGGATGCAACAGAGTAGTTCGTAAGCGGCCGTGCAGGAGGCACAAGAGCCTCAGGGGTCGCTACTGCTGTCCTTTCGCCGCTCGTGAAAGAGCTCGACGAACTTTTTGGTGTTGCTGTGTCAGAGCTCTTCTTCTTTGTTATATTCAACGCGCGAACCGGTCCCAGTGTTGCTGTGCTCTGCACAGAGCTCTTAGAGCTAAGACCAGGCATCTGGATGCGGACTGGCTTGACCTGCTGCGCGTGCCTGGGATCGACCTGTGGTACTGGTGGCGTGCTCATCATGCTCACTGCGTCGTCGGGCGTGTTGGAACCGTTCGATTTGACACTGACAACAGCAGCCTTTCCGCGCACGATCGTCTGAGCCGGCAGAGGAGATACGATAGCGTTTTGGCGATACATGGTCGAAGCAACACTGTTACGAGCGAGACTGGGCGCAATGCTCTGGCGTGTGCTGTCCGATGCCATGGAGTCGCGGAAGTCGGGAACGAAGAAGTGTCGGTCGGCGTTGGAGTAAGGGCTGCTCATAGCAGAAGAAGGAGACATGGCAGGGACCGGCGGGACGGGAGGGACGAGAAGGTCGGGTGATCCGGGTCCAGAGCGGTTCGTGACACCGGGGATGTAGGCGATCTGGATGATGTTGGAGGCGCGAGTAAGGACCGATGAGGCCATCGAGGCGACTGTGTGTGTAGATGCTCGTGCGCTTCGCCGCGATGCAAAGTCGTTGTCTGTCTTCTCTTGTTGCTCCATCTCCTCTTCCTCATGCCACTCCATCTCAGATATCGGCCGCCTCTTCCCCTTCAAGTAGTACTTCCAGACGACGAAAACGATGATGGCGATGACAACGATACCGGCAATGACACCTCCGGCAATGGCGCCAGCATTTGGCTTGCTGGGTCTGCTCAGTGGCTCCGTGGGATCAATATCGCAGGTGACCTCAGCACAGGCGCCGCAGCTCTGTGGTGTCAATATGCAGACCTTTCCCCCGGAGCAGTTCATGCCATCGCAAGACAGATTTTTGCCGTTGGTGTCGCACTCAACGCAACGCTTGAAGAGAACATGCTCAAGTTCTGCAGGCTTGTTAGCGATGACCGGCCTTAGGCAGATGTGGAGTGCGCACCTCTGCGAGCGTTGAGCTTCATGATGGCAGTGGTGAAGGCTTCGGGATCGGCAAGTCCAAAGGCCAGACGTCAGCAGTGGACACACCAGCACGGCGATGTGTGACGCTGGCTGGCGAGGGATGCAGCGGCGAGAATAGCCGTTGTGTGACGGTAGTCGTGGGGCTGATCAAAGACAAAGAAGGAAGGAGCGGCGATCGAGGGAGGCAAGCGCGCTAAAGGAGTGAGCGGCGACGGCCAAAGGAGCCTGAGGAGGCAGTCGAAATAAAGGCAGCGAGTGACGAAAGATACGGCGAATGGACGAAGATGCAAGAACGACGACAGGAGCTGTAAAGACGCTCTGTGGACAAGGGACGGCCGCTGACAGGCGTGGGAGATGAGGTGCGGCGCTGTTGAGAGCCAGGCCCTGGTGCACACTGTGCAAGCCGCGCGTGTTTCGTCGGGACCCGCTCAGGCCAGGGACAGCGTTGTGCACGCGGATGAGGGATGCAGGCAGGAACACAAAGCCGATGTCCCAAACACTCTTTTGCTCGCTTCGTGATGGTGTTGCAGCCGGAGAGCAGTGTCAAACGCAGACGATCAGTGCGGGCGGGTAGAGGGGTCTTTGCTTGGTGTCGACGCCGTCGTGCACCCTCTTGCCCTCCTCCGCAGCTGACTGCCCATCCCGGATCGTGGCGCAGACCCTAATCTATTTATTGCATGCACCCCTGGGCAGCTTAGCTGTGCCTGGCGAATGCTGCACACAAAGGACTCAGCGCCCTGCACCACTTCAGATATCGCCATGCAGCAGTTGCCTTTCGTGCGCTGCTGCGAACATGTCGCACTGCTTCAGTCCTTTGCCGCTGTGTCGAGCATCCGCGTCGCCCTGCGTCGCCAGCCTGTCAGCCCGGAGAATAGGCGCCCTGTTTGGCGTGTCCCCGCACGTTGCCTTTTGCAGCGTGTCCAATATATCGAGCAGCGTCTGTTACCCACCACGTGCAGCCCTCCACAGTGTCTTGCAGCACCCGTCTACTGTGTGCATACATTCCAGAGTCCCTTGTTGGTGTACAATTGGTTCACTGACATAGCGTGCAGCCGCACTCTCGAGCAGCCACACCTGTCCAGGCCTCAAGGCTCAGCAGCTCAACAAAATCGCCGGGGCCTGGAAGGAACGGAGGCTCCACCCAGCAGTCCAGTAGTCCCCGGACGGTTCACGGCACACACATTAGCCAGGCGCACCTTCGTCAGCGTCCTCCACAGCTCACCACACTCCACACCAGAAATTTATCTGTCCGTGAACACCGTCGAAATGCCGCCGTAGTCTTGTGCAATTTTCTCCCGCCAGCCAATAGCACGTCTAGAACGGCTAATTACTGCGGCTTTTCGTACCACACTATCCGCAGAAAGGATCTCCCTTGCGGTCGGAGCATTGTCTAGACTTGAGCACGGATAGTTTGTGGGTCTTTTGCCAACGCTCAGCATAGTAGCACGGCATTCGTCTGCCCGACCATTATTTCAAAGGACTGCTGTATGCTTGTCGTACAGCAGATGCTTTTTGTCTGGCGTGCTAGGCGCTGAGACAGCTTTCCCCTTTGGCTCCATAGCACAGAACAGCTGAGACTTGCGCATCGACGACCAAGCCGTAGTACAAGAACCAAGAAAGCTGCAAAGTATCTTTTGAAACTGCGGTCACTGACTGAACATGGCTGCCAATTTACGCAAAACGAATAGTCTTTGTGATCTGCAGAACGCCCACTTCTCCATGTTCACCGGCCTGGGTACCTGAAACGTCTAGCTAGGATGACCAGAGCGGCACCTGAGGTACCGTCGATCCGAGATGCCCACAACGTTGGAAGTTCAGCAAGGATAAAGGGTATCAAGAGTTTAGAGAAGTAATGTGCGTCATCATCGATATGCAGTCGTTCTTCATCTCGGGCTCAAGGTATTCCTGCTTCGGTACTTCATCTCAAGCCGATCCTATCAATTGCAAGAGCTGTCCCCGTTGAGTTGCGGTCCTTCACATATTTGAGTAACGCGCTTGAATCTTCAGGTCAATAACATCTCTACTATAAGCACAGAAACATTACTTCCATATCTCATGCCGCAGAGGGACCGAAGGAAGCTCTCTGTAGCACATCCATGCCCATAGACTGACATGGGCAGTATCAAAGTTAGCTAATGATAGTGAAAACTGATATCGGTTATTTCACTTTCATTACAACTGTGTTCTTTGGGTATCACTTACACGCGAAACCACCATTGTGCAGTATCATTGCAGTGCCACTAACATATAAGCCAGACCAACTTTCGTGATAACTTTCGAGCACCATCTACATCTGAACTGACTTACACCCACTCACGTATCAACCGCAGATCGGCTTCAGGAATATGCAGCGCTACTCACTGTTCGTAGCTTTCGGCGACGGCCAGGACGTGTCTGACGACCGCTACGATGCAGCTGAGCTCTCCACGTACGGCCAGTTCCACGGCCCTTCCTCCAACGCCTATTCAGACGGCACGCCTCACGAGAATTCGGACTCCTCTTCCCGCAGCTTCCGCCAATCTCCGTATGATGAGCACGGCTACCCTATCGAAGGTGTCGATGCAGGCGATGGGGATCTGCACCGCCGTGCGCCGCGGAACCAGGCGGGTGAGTCCTCCATCCCTCAATCTGACCCACGCGTGCTTCTAGGCCGCGACGATCAGCGGCCAAATGTACTTGGGCACCGATCTAATCTGTCCGATCGGATTGATGCCAAAGAGCGCCAAGCACGCCGTGAGACCTTCCGTGAGCGTAGGCAACAACAGACCGAGGATGAGTACCTGGACGAACTGGTGGAGGAGCTAGCCGAGCTTCAGGAGCTAGGCGCGTTGGATCCGCTGCAGGAAGCTCGGGAACTTGAGCTTCTGAAAGAGGTTCTATTTGACGGATGCATTCATCGTGCGTATGTAGAGGCGCGGAGTGAGCAAGATGAGCGTAAAGCGTGGCGTGAGCAGCGACGTATGAAGCAACTCAAGCAGCAGCAGCGTGAGTATGATGAGACCGCTTCGAATGTGCGTAAATATGGACGTGGCACCTTCCCGTCCTATGAGTTCTGCTAGGGTCGAGTGAGCTTGAGAAGCCGACTGCAGATGAGCTCTGATCGTGAGCTCAGACGTAGGTATGCTTCGACATTGGCCATAGATCTGGTAGGTGTTACGTGCATTTCATTTGTTTCAGAGGATGTACGCCTTGGTTCCGACGTGTTTATACTCCAGTACACGATTGATATATGACCTATTACAACTTCAGGGGCGTTTAAACTTGGCTGTTGAACCACCAGTTTTGTCTTGTAAACTCACAAATCACGTTGCAATTCAAATTGGTGATTCCAACCCTCACGTTTCCTATCAAATGAGAGTCTGTCTGCTAGAGGCCTTTTACAGTCATGACTAACTGAACAGCCGTCGCCTCTCTCTATGTGTAGAAATTCACCCTCCATCCTGCTTATTCAAGTGAGAAGTCGCTCCGAGTCAACGAGCTGATTGGTGTTTCAACGACGGTGCAGGTTTATGCAAGTCGTCTTTCGTTTATATTTGCAACATACCGAAATTTTCCTATTCACTTGCCTCATGAGTTTTGGCAATGAGTACGAAATCCGACCAAGCCAGACGCGAGGACATTCTCAACCTTGCCTTGAGAACCTCCAGTCCGTTTTTCTTTTCTTTGCCTTGTCGAAGGCCGGGTTCAGAAATCAGCCCGCAGCACTGTGCGGACACAATTGCAGCACACTTCTCATAAACCCGCAATACTTTCACTGATTGTCAGCATGGACAAATGGGGCCCTTCCTTGCATATAAGTCCTGAGGTCGTCCTAGAGCCTTGTTGTCACAACCACATCCCACACATACTCAAACCAGCATCCTGACCAAACCTGCACTCAGTCTCACACTCGACAGTAATCATGTCACGCTACAATAGCGGTCGATACGACCAGCTCTTTACCGAAGAGGAGGAGCAGGACACAAACTGTCGGCGCCGTAGTCCTTTCGACTACGAAGACGTATCTAGTCTACAGATGGTACCATGCCGACGCTCTGAGACCTTTTCCGCCCAACGTCCCACTGAATTCACTCGCTCTACTCGTCTTAACGATGGCTTTGATGAGGATTCCCTGGGTTGCCAGATGAGCCGCATGAGCTTCAATGAGCGCCCCCGCGGTGTCCAGCTCGATCGACCAAGCCGGTTTTATGATCACGTTGCTTCGTACAACGAGCGTGCACGCCCTTCCTACGAAGATGCAGAGGTAGAGTATCTCCCTGAGCGCCGCGGACGCCACCGCGAGTTCGATGTCTACGAAGCGCCTCGTCGTCGTGCTGTCTCTCCACGTCCATCTACAGAGCGTACCCGCCCGCGTCGTCAGCGCAGCCCCGGTCCGTTCGCAGACACATTCACTCGTTTCTCACAAGGCGATGGCCGTGGAACACGCGTGCGTCAGCGCAGCACTAGGCACTCCTGCGCTGCACAGCACGGCCCAGACTGTCCTTACTGTTTCACGTCGAAGTACGAGGCCGACTGTGCTGCGCAGGAGTGGGAGCGCGGCGGCGCTGATTGTGAGGTGGTTTGGGATGAGCATCTCAATGGATGCTGGGCAGTTGTTTTCTACGATTGGTAGAGGACGATTGGTGTTCTTCCGAGAAGGCCCAGGACTATCATAAGATGGATGCCTCCAACGATCTCTTCGTGCTCGGTCGTTCGATCGGCCATTCTCTTGGTATGTGTCTGTTTAGTAAGGCATGCGTTCTTTACTTTTGGGGTGTTTTGGTTTGGACGGTCATTGCAATTCGATCAGTAGGCAATCTTTGGAATATTGCGCCACGTCAGTCGTTTTACCCAAGTTCTCCTTTCTTTGCGTAGAACCCGGCTACGGCTATCGTCATATGAGTATTCTCTGATCTGATTTTCGCCCTTCAGGACGTTTCTGGCTTTTCCGCACACTGTAAACGACTACACCTTAGTACTGGTTAGGTTGAGTAGACATGCGTAAAATGTATCAAGTTTTTGCACCATCCGTCCTCCAGTCCAGATGTTGTCGACGACTGACTGTCCACAATCGGTGTTTGTGATCCATAGCAGCAGCTTCGTCACTCCTGCTTCGTATAGTTCAAGAGATAGCAAGCAAGATGAGTTAAAAGACTTAGCGGCCACTCTGTGATATGTCACCTCTCCAGTATTTAGAAATTGAGCAACTTACTACTTTCCATTTGCAACGCATATGAACTGTGTGCGTGGTCGTGCACAGAAAAGTCCTAAAGAGCTGAGTAGACGATGTTGATTCAGGACGAATTGTGAGTTATTGTACGAAGGTACAAAGTGCAAAAGTGTTAGGACCGCAGGAGCAATGTGCAAAACGACAACGAGTTGGAAAGGTAAGCAGTGGTCTAGCCGAATCTGGTCTAAATGGTTTCGGCCCTCCTTTCTTCCTTCCGTCTACCTCCTATTTCCACAAACATGATAGCCTTGGTGTGCACATATCTCGTACTCAATTAGCCTGCAGGAAGAGATGACTCACTTCAATGTGATTCTTTCGTGTGAGATCAAGGAAATGACACGGCTGTGTAAGGAGACATCGATTTCTCAGCAACCAGATTATTCATCCCAGGGATTACATGCTGACGGCGCATCACGTCGCAATAATACACGAGCAGACAAACAACTCTGAAAATCAGGCATGAATATGTATAAGATTGCTCCAAGAGCTCGTGCATATGGGTATCCAACCATTAAGCAAGATCGCCGAACTTCATCTTACGATGCCTCACGCAGTACAAGACGTCGAAGTACGCTCCTCGCGTCAACAAGGGCGTCAAAAATCAAAGGCCAGATCGCTGCCGCGCGAGCTATTACAGCTCACTGCCCAGCTCCTTGACTTACAAGATCTGTACGCTCAATCGCAGCTGTCTCAGGCCGTGAACCAACAGGTACACATAATCGCCAAAGCTGGTACACCAATCGCCCGCATCGTCTCCCTAGGTCTTGGGAGTCTCTTCGTGACAAAGGGTCAATCTCGACGCCTGAAACAACTTGCCGTTCTACTAGCCGTCCGCGATCACATCCAAAAAGAGCAGAACGAACCGATAGAGGTCTATGCGCAAGATCCCAACTTCACACGACCCGACGAGAACTTGCTCATGTCACTCGGCATCCAAATACTGTGTACACCCTCTGGATCCGACCTCGGCGAGGCAACGTCGTTCATCACACCAGACACCCTCGTCTACTCCCCTTTCCTGACCTTGGAAGCATACGAGCAGCTCATCCTAAGATACGGACGAGGGCTGCAGTATCTCATCGGTGATGACTTCGATGCGCTATTACGGAAGTGGCCGAAGCGCAGCGCTGAGCGGAAGCAGGTCGAGGGGGTTGTGAAGACCGGATTGTCGAAGTATCGGAGGAAGACGGTGGCTGGGGAGGGTTTCTGGACGGTGGAAGATGAGACATTTCCTATGGCTGTCTATACCAGGACAGGGTTGGAGCTTGGTAAGCTCAAAGCTAGAATCTAATGGCAAAACGCGATGTTGCTGATTGCGATATGTGCGAACCCTTCAACACACTGAACCCTTGGTGTGCTTCGTTCTAAAAGATGGCGATGAAGTTGGAGTGAATGGTGATACACTCAGTCTGTACAGGTAGGTACTTGTTGCCCAGTCATCAGGCATGTCGTGAATGATGCACATCCACAAATACTGGAGCTTGGGGGAACTAATCAACGGAATGGCGCTTACGGAACTCTCAGGTAGAGTCGCTAACGGAAAGCTACGCTTGAAGCCATCAATTCGTTCCGAATCAAGCCTGCAAACCTCATAGGGGGGACTGAGTGTTATGCAAGGCCCCCTGCTGAGCATGTGTCTATTTGTAATTCTTACCGCAATTAACATAAGGGTTGGCGCTGTCTGCACCTCGAAGTAGCAAATTGTACCACGATGCCCATGACCTCGACGAAACTCGAACTCTTTCATCGTCAACCCTAGCTGCGGGCCTCGTGCGCTATACACCCCCCCCCCCCCCCCCCTTCCGATCTCCAGGTACATTCAATCTCGCTCCTTCTTCCAATTTCCGATATCCATGCAGGGCTTGGCGAGAAAGAACCAAAGAATGTCACCGTTTGGGACTCCTGGCCATGATGCTTGCCAACCCACCACATCAATTTAGCGCATATGTAGCGGAGGCCTCAAGCTGATGTAGCAGAGGTCCATACGTCGTCCGATGATCAACATAGCTTCTTTTAAGCGTTGCGCATGGCGATTAGCTTGTCTAGGCACCCAGGAAACTTCATTTCAAGGTGGGTATTCTCGCAAAGTATTGCGAGACTTCGAAGCTTTCAGTGACTTGCGTTAGATGTAGGCAACGAGTGTGGGCTGCATAGCCGCACGGTTCAGCTGAGGGGTTGCGCGATGCGTCCAGAGCCGAGGGCGTTCAGCGAACCAGCCTGAAAACGTCCATCAACTATACAGTACATGTAAGCTGACAACTCTGCAACGCTACCAGACCCGACAGAAACTTACGCATAGAAAATCTTGTGTGAACCTGGTGCAGGTAGTTCGACCCTCTGCGAATTATTTGCATCAGCTTCGACTTGGGCCGCACTCACACCGGTAGTATGTGCCCACGGTATCTCTAGTCCTCTTCCAACCGACTGCGCAAGATCGTTCTGCCGTCTCTGCATCTCCACCTTCTCGATGACTTTGCGGCAGATATCGCGATGCGCCTGTTCCATCTTGCTCTTGACGAACGGCATCAGCCACCATGAGCAGCTAACCTCAGCATCCTCAACAAGCACCCACTCGGCGTCACCAACACCCTGACCCTCACCGTCAACTTCGCCCTCGATACCCCCTTTGATGACACGGTAGTCTGCGCGTACAGTGATGCCAGAAACGTCTGCACGCGACTTTATGCCCGTTGGTATGTTCTGGTAGCAGCTGGGGAATGTCATGCTCTTCTTTCCCCATTGCCCAACGCCAGGCAGAACCGTGACGCATTCGGTGACACTGTAAGTATGAACTGGGTTCAGATCGGTCGGGTACCAGTATGTGTCCTTCAGCGTCTCGGGCGCGGTGCTCGGGAGCCTCTCGTGGCCTATCGTGAGGGCTTGAAGAGAGAGGGTTGTACTATGATCCTGGAGTGCAGCGATGACCTCTGCAGGTGTGAGATGCGGCGGTATCAACGCGGCAATATGAAGATGGTGTTTCGCGCTCATCGTGGGGTGCTGGATACTTCGGCTTTGCGATAGGGAAGATGGAGCTCTTGAGCTTTGTTGTTGATGCTTCGCAGCTGCGCAAAGCCAGTGGATTCACACTGCTAAGACCAATGTGCAAGTGTACCAGCAGTCAATACATTAAGTACATGGGGGTCTGTGTTGCTGAGACGTGATGACCGTCGCGATGACGATCGTGCTGACCCAGCCTCAGCTCGCTACTACTTGCGGCAGGGTCAAACCTGGTACCAATCGGAGACACGCCGTCATCAAGCCGAGCGTGGAATACAGTAGCGAATACTCAGCGCTCGTGTCAGCATTACGCTCGTTGCGTTTCTATGCAAGTTTGCAGTCTGTGAGCAAGTAAATCACAGGTAGAATCCAAGTCATCTTTCCACCTTCGTCGATGCGTCATCCGAACCAACCAACCTAGCCCGGATAGGACAACTCGCTTTCCGCGTTTCGCATCGGCCGCAACTCTGTCCCAGGAAGCTGAAGCAATCCACTTGACAGAGGAGATAATTAGCATTCCCATCCATCTTCATGGTATCAGTAGAGGCTAGCGATCAGTCTTCTGCAGACCCCCCACACACACATACACACAAACATCATTCATCACATTGCGTCCGCAGATGAGCTTAAGCACAGCCTCAGAATGAGCAACGCGTCAATAGTGTAGTAAAGTCGATGGCTACATCGCAGGACGCTGTAGAGGTAAAACTGCGCTCTGAACGGAAGTCTTCAACAGCTTGGAGAACCTTGACAATGTATAGCAGAGGTTAACTTTCACCTACCTGATCTGGACAGACTAAGAATGAGCGCCAGACTGGCAATACTGCAGCTTAATGCTACTAAGAAGATTTATCGCCATCAGAAAGTTATACGGATGCCTGCTTGCCGCTGCCTGTTCACAGTGAAGACGCACCTTCACTTTCACCCTTACTCCAAGTGTCACTAGCACACAAATTTAACGCACTAACTCCCTGCAAATTTCCTCTGTCTACAACCAGTTTTCTCCTCCGAACGAGCTCTCTCATCTCCGTGCCTTCAAGTTCACCTGCACAATGCTGGATGTGGTCAAACAATCGACAACACGAAGTGCCAAGCCTTACGGTCCTGGCCACGGCCCCATCCACGACTACGCGCAAGACTCCGCCAGAGCTTTACAGATCATCCAGTATCGATCTTATCAACGCGATATTTACATATACCACGTACGCAGAAATCTGCTGCCACTTCCGCTGATCCGCAGAGCACTACAGCGTCAAAATGAGTACCATGACAGATTGTCAAGCTTCGATCCCATGCGCCATTACCCAGTAACTGATGGTGACGAGATCCCAGCTGGATGCATTGAAGCTGCATATCTGCCTAGTGTTTTCCACGGCCATGGCTCCGCACTTGCACTGCGATCAGATCAAGCGTCAAAAACAGTGGAGTGGTTCGTCTTCAGTGGCCCTTTCCATGACATCTTCCTATCTCAGATCATCTGCACTAACGGCGACTGGATTCTGCAGCCAGACCTCCATGCAGATGACCCTCGGAAGGTCTTCGATCTGGTAGGGTACGCTGGGAAAGGTCTGCAAACAAGGACCGTGAGAGGCGCAAATCGTGAGCACAAGGGCTGGCATGATTCCCTGTCTTCTGCTGAAGAAACAAAGAGGACTGTCAAGTTGACGTGGAAGGGGTATGGGAACGAGTTGAAGGCTGACCAGGAGCGGAGGAGACGAGAAGAGACGGCCGAGGGAACAGAAGAGGAGAGGCAAATCGATGCACAAGTGAGTGGAGATCTATTTGTACCCCCACAACCACCTCAGAAGCCAGTCGCTCGGCACAAGGCTTAGTGTGAGGGGAACGATCAGATCCTGGCGAGGTCAACAGTCAGTGTTTAGATGCCTATCTGCCCTTGAAGTAGTACAATCGGAACCACCATTACCTCTGCAATGCTATTGTTCATATTGATGGTTTTCAGCCATCGCATCCCAGTTTGATTTGTATCTTGCTTGTCTGTTTTACCGGCATCAAACATCGCAAGACTCCTTGTTTCTAGTACATGGATAGATGGCACCCGGCTGTTCATGAGTAGACTGTTATCTCATCCATCATCTCGCCCGTTTTCATGATTTTGATCTAAGACCACTCCGGTTATATGCTTGTTCGTGAGGCATGGGAGGCTGAGAAAGACGTGATTAAAACAATACATTATTACTTGTGCATGATAGTCGACTCATGAGCCTGCGAACCGATAAAGGTGCTAGCTTTCCTTATCTTCGACGAAGAACAGGTCCGAGTCGGTATGGTCAAGCTTCACGTCATCTGGGCTTATACCGGATGAAACCCTGACATTATTTCTACTCATCCCTTCAAACCAATCTCACCCCTTCAGACCAATCTCATCGGCGGTAAGGATGAACTCCATGAACCCAGCATTGGTATCGAGGATGTTGTAAACGTACTCCTCTGCTGTCGGGTAGAAGTTTGTAGGGTAACCGAATTCCAGGGTGTATCCATACACCTTGTTCAGCTTCTTGTCTCCATGCCAGCGACTAGACGCCCAATCATCAGAGGCCCCCGAGGTTGGGTATAAACCGACGGCCTGTGATGCCTCGTACGACCTTCCACCGACTGCAGACATGACGTCAGTCGTCTGATTTGCGACCAGCACGATGTTGTACCAGTCTTCCTCCTCAATATACTCGCCATACAAGGTATCATCAACAATACCACGCTTACCATCGTAAGCAGGATTGAATAGATTCTGTTTAGGATCATTGGACTGGTTGGTGTCGTCACCCCAGGAATACAGCAACGTGCCTACAGCAGAGTGGACGTCGATGAACCACCTGATCTTTGGGAAGATGTCATACACCCATTTCATGTTACGTGTTTCGGGCTCAGAGAAGGGTCCAGTACCGTAAAATGCTTGGGAAGAAGGGTTTGTTGATGCGGGGGAGACTGAAGGATCGAAGTGCTTCGTGAAGTTCCACATGAAGTCAAAGTTACGATTCAGATCTACACCAACGCTAGCAGGAACACCAGCAATGGCGGAGGCCGGGTTACGGTTCTTGCGCCAGAGGTTGCTGTTGGCTTGGTCGTGGCGGACGCCATCTGGGTTGGTCATGGGAATGAAGACGATTCCTGCGCCAAGGGCTTTCTTGACGTCGGAGTTGGTGTACGTCTTATTGCCATATGTAAGACCCTTGCGGTGCTTGTTGGCGTACAGAAGGTCCGAGATGAAGTAAATCAGGTTGTCTGGTCCACCTCGTTCACGGGCATGAATACCGGAGGTAAAATATATGTGCTGCTTGTCTTTCTTGATCTTCTCGGCTTTGTTGGCGACACCACCCCAGACTGTGTTGCCTTCGAAGGTCTTGTATGGCGCCTGGAATAATTCCATGCCATACTCTTTTTCTAGACCCTTCAGAGCTGTGTAAACTTCGTCGGCGTTCAAGATACCGGCGCTCTGGTAGGATCCGTACACATCCGGCTTCTGGCTACCCAACCCGCGAGGGGCGACCTTCCCTCCCTTGAAACGATCACCTTTTCCAATTGGTGCTGGTGCTGCCTGACGCTTGTTCAGATGATCAAGAGTCTCAATACGGACTGATCCGGCATCCAGGCTTCTTTTGTAATGGTGGATTTGCTCCTGGGTAAGCAGGGCGTGAAGTCTGTGCTCATCCTTGGTAGGAATGACGACTGGATGGCAGCCATAGTCGATGTGGGCATTGTCCGAAACGAAGTCCAATAATTGGGCCTTCTCTTTCGCGAGGAAAGCAACACTTAAGAGGTCGTGTGCAAGAGCTGCTGTTGGCAAAAGACCGAGAAGTGTGGAGACCTTCATGGTGACGTGTAGTGGAGAGTGCAAGATAAAGCCTGCGCAGTACGTCCGAGAACCTCTACGCAGGCTTTATATATGTTGAGTGGCATATCGCTCATCCCGCAGCTGCCCTGTAGAGAGTACGACTGGCAAGTTCCTGGTTGGTATGAGCGACCTCCTTCCTCATTTGGACAATATTCCAAGACCGCCACGGCCTTGGCCACGCAGAACACTCACGATAGCAGCAGGTCCGAGCTGGTTATCTGCGAGCGAAGGCGAATAACAATTGCGAATTCCTTCCCCGGAAATCCACGCTGAGGGTTTATGGTATTAAGGCGCGGGAGAAGGTGTCGCTGAAGGCGTTGCCAAGCCTGTGGAATGTGACCGGTTATTCGCTCATGATCTTGTGTGGTCACCCTAGTACCTAGGTAGGCAGCGCACAACTCATATTGCTGCGCCCATGATCATTTTGATACCTAGTCTAGTCCTTAGCTATTTAGCTGTCAGATTTGCAGTGGACTTCTGCGACTGGCAACAGAGAGACGCATTCCTGCTTACCTAAATCAAGGAAGGTAGAGCCAGGGAATTAGCGTGATGGAAAAATAAACCCATAAATTTTCCTATCAAGATCATGCTCTAACCAACACCAAAAACTAACGCTCTAACCAAAAACCAAAGCTCTAACTTCAATACTTTCTCGCCCAACGGCTCCTTCGGGTGTCCGTGGATCTAAAAAGGCGGTATGCGGGACCCTTCCGTACTGACCAAATGTTTCGTCGCTGTCAAAGCATTTGAGTAATAGACGGTCCTCATTCTTCATTCCGGACCAGTAATACCACTTCTGGCCCGGGTTGTATCGTACAGACGCTGTTTGGCCGGTACGATGTGGATATCGATGTTCAATTGGCACGAGATCTTCATCCTCCACAGTCTGGCTGTCAGCCACAGCTAGTGAGAAGCCCATCACTGGTCCATTGAGCGGACGCCAGATGTTGATGATGCGGTAACGACCCTGGAGAAGCTGCTCTGCATCTTCAGGCGCATGGAGCCTCACCCTCTCAGCTGCAGACATAGGCGTTTGGTCGACGTGAACGCGTTGTACAGGATTGCGGTTACCAGTCGGCCGTCGGATTGTATGATCGAAGAGAATCACCCTATGTGCGCCAGGGATGTTGTCTTGCAGGAGCTTCTCGACCTCTGGGTAGTATACGCCACGGATGCGCTCATCATCCTTAAACTCTGTTTCTGCGCTCTTGACGTTTTGGTATGTATCGAATGCGTTATGATCAAGATTGAACTTTTGCTCCTGGCCGCGCAAATCGCTCAATGTTACTTCTTCCCAGCCATCGCCCCAGTTTCGCTGTGGAACACCAGGCAGAGGCTCGACATAGTTGTGAGGTGACGACCCGTCTTCCGGAGCCTTGTAGAATGACAGCTTCGCATTAACGGAGCCACGAGGGATTTGTAGCCCCTGAAAGTTGACATCTTCATGCGTCGAGGTGGAGGCTGTGGGGACAGATGCTCCAGGGAGCTGGTGAGCTGGAGTCGGGTGTGCTGCGGCGGTCGTCATGTTGGCGGGGTCGGACTCTGTCGATTTCGTGGCAGTTTGATCTAACTCGCTGCGTGCGAGAGAAGGCGGGAGTTTGGAAGTGATGGTATTGATGGTAGCAAGGCAGCTGATCGTCATGTGTGACTGGTATACTGAGTTGTTGATGCTCACTCTGGAATGCGATTTAGTTAAACGCTTGACAGCATTCGAAGATTTTATATACAACAATATGGAGCATCGGATTAGAAATACTCAAGAAGGCTGTCTTGGTGATGCAACTTTGTCAGCCATTCATCCGACGAGCTGTCGCGTTTGCGGGGGAACGCGGCGATGATGCCATGGCTTGTTCCCGTCACGGTTTAGTAATGCATGCTTTCCAACGATGACAGCTGACAAAGACAGTAATGGCGTGAGATTTCGAGGTACACTGCATCTCAATCGTATCTTCGATTGGTGATGGGCAATACGACTCGCTGTCAGGTTGAAAACCAGAGATGTGAGAGGAACGCAGACGGATGAAGCTCGGACTTTCGTCTCTTGGCGTCGTCATTGCTCGAAGCCTCGAACTTACACTCTGCACACCACAAAAAATGCAACTAAGACCAACTTAGTAACCTGGAGGAGCCGATTCTGTGTTCCCGGTACAGGACCCACTTTTTGTGGCGGATACCTGGGATCGCAGCGGCAGCACCCAGGAGCCGTCGTAAGTCGTGAGTTGTGAGTATCGAGCTCTCCTGAACAATTTCATCGCAATCCACCGGATTTCTATATTCAGTCCTAGTTGATTGTCCCCAACTGGGCAGTCTGTCTTACTATTGCTTAGACCCCTGTCATGTCAACATCCTTCTCTTTCTTACTTACGAGACACCATGATACAATTGTCAACAATCGTGATCACTCTATGAGCGAGGATACGCTCAAGAAGATATGAAAGTTTGGCCTGTTTCCCGCCTTCTTACACTCGATGTCATGGATCCATCATTACTGATGCGTCGCGCGGACGTCATGATAATATCGTCCCTTGCTACGTCAATATAAGCGCCCACACGGCCCATATAAGTCTATAAACTGCAAGTGACTGAGCTATCATGCTTCGCCTTTTCTCTCGGACCATTCCCAGAAATTCTAACGCGCTACGATCCCGATTTCAGCCAAAACTCATTTACAACTTTGCAAGCAACATGGCTCCCGGCAAGGCCAACACAGACGAGCTCAAGAACACAAAGCTATTCGATGTCTCGCACGTCACAGCTATTGTTACAGGAGGAGGTACTGGCATCGGGTTGATGATTACCCAGGCGCTGGTAGCCAACGGTGCCAAGGTCTATATAACCAGCCGACGCGAAGAGGTCCTAAAGAAGACCGAGGACCTACACGACCACGAGAATGGCGAGATTATCCCCATTGTAGCAGACGTCAGGTATGTAGCGGTAATGAAGGTCAGAGGGTTCGCTAACACCGAGCAGCGAGCCAGAGGATGTCAAACGACTATACAAAGAGATTAGCGAGAAGGAGCCTGGGGGAATCCAGCTGCTGGTAAACAACGCCGGTATTGCACGCGACGACAACACTAAGTTCTCTACTGCTGGGCAGCCAAATTGGGAGGATGCACAGTCGGTCTCTGACCACTTCCTGAAATCACCTCCCGAGTCGTGGGCCGACACCTTCAAGACCAACGTTGGCAGCATCTTCTACATGTCAATGACTTTTCTGCCTTTGCTGGCCAAGGGTGGAGACAAGACCCCTGGGTATACTTCCTCCATCGTGAACGTTACATCCATTTCAGGTGCGATGAAAGGCTCCAGCTCAGGACAGTTCGCATACGCCTCCTCCAAGGCTTCAGCAACACATCTGTCAAAGATGCTTGCAACAACTTTCATTGGCACGAAGGTCCGTGTGAACGTTATTGCGCCAGGCGTGTTCCCGTCTGAGATGACCACTGGCTCTTCCGATAAGGATAACAAAAGTGTCATTGAGGGTGGGATGTCGAATCCTGCTGGCAGGCCCGGCAAGGACTCTGACATGGCTGCTTCAATTCTTATGTTAGCTGGTCCAGGTGGCGTCTTCTACAACGAGCAAATCCTGTACCCCGACGGCGGCAACACTCTCACTCAGCCCAGCTCAAAGACTTAAAGGCCTGAAAGAGTTGAGAGTCTACAAATCCGAACGTTCTATCTTGTCTTGCAATCGTCATGTCTGCCAGAAGCGATCGGATTGTTGTGTCAAAGTGCTTTGGCGTGAGATCGGTGATTTCCATCATACAATTTAGCAAGATATGGACCTTTGGTGAAACTAGACGTATCGCTTTCAATGCGCAGACCCTACCGCCATTCAATGTTCAATTTTCGAAGTTCCAACGTTTGACGAATCTACCCCACTTTGCCGATTTTGACGGACCAGCCGCTTGCAGAAAATTTTGCCAGCAGTACAAAATAGCGCCTGCTGAAAACATTGACTGTCCAAAATACAAAATCAACGTAACTATAGTGTTCGTGACGGACAAAGCGTTCATCAAAACAGAGTAACATCTGGCCTAATGGCCCAATGGCAAGGCGCTTGACTACGATTCGTTCGGTAATCAAGAGATTCCAGGTTGTAAGTAGTATCTTGTGCTCCACACGCCAGTTCAATTCCTAACAATCTCTCAGCGACCCCTGGTTAGGTCACAACATCCTTTCTTTTTTGCAGAGGTCAACTAGCGTTCGTCACATGACTTAGCATGTACACGGGGTATCTTGTGAACGTAAGCTCAGCCATCATATCCAGGTCACTTCTCTCTATTACATGCTATTTTTGGTCATTCCGAAAGTGCTGCAGTAGCTGTTGTGGATATCAGAATTATGAAAATTTCTCTTTACATATTTGGGTATGTCTGTCAAACCCGCGGTAGCGCGAGGGTGATTGCTCTTGGTTCATGTGATTGCCAACCTGTGTCCTTGTTCTCGAGGTGTCGGGGAAAGGGGCGAATCTCCATCAGGGTTGAGTGCTGGCACACGGATACATGGTGAGATCCACAATCTTCACACTGCAGACACCGGAAGTAACCAGGGACATCATTGTCATCGTGGCTGCACCATCTGAGAGCCGACTTCCAACCTACAGCTAGCCCGCATTCATTGTAGTGCACGCACATAGCGTGGGCGCTGGATGCGGCTTAGTACCTACTGCAAAATCGCAGCCCATCTTCACATGCACTTTTCAGCATCTAGTACTTGTTGGATGTACTTTGGGCTTGGTGAAATGATAGAATTCTAGCAGCGTCACGATATTGGGCAGCTTCTGGAGTTCTTTACACGCTATGAGCGCGCACAACGGTGCAATGGCTGCAACCCAAGGATGCACCACCTATCAGGCCATCAACTAACCATGATGGTGTTGCGCACCTGATCAACTTCTTTGGTCATGCGCTTACATCCTCCGATGGCTACTAATGGTTACCAATGACGTCTACTGGGCAAATCACTTTTTTCGCACCTGTACACTTTTTCTTTCCAGCCGCCGAATTCTATGCCTACACCCGTCAACCTGGGATTCGTGTGCTACGTTGTAACAACGCCTTCTATCTGGTATCGACTGCTACGTTGCCAATCATTTGCTGTGTGCCTTGCGTGCATGGTTGAAACCTGCAGAAAGGTTGCTGTAATGCTCACAACAGCTGCGGTGCAACAATCATCATGCTTGAAATGGGTCTTTGTACTCAGATCACCTCAATGAGACTCGGACTGAAAGCCATCAATCATATCATTCGGGGAGCTTGTCAGATCATCCCGCAGTAGATCCAGCTGAGATGGTCCCCAATTTACGGTACCAGAGAGCCCATCGAGAGACACAAACCTTTCTATCGGTGTTGATTGAAGTCGTGTCCGAAATGGTTCGTTCGGAATTGCCGCGCCGTGAAGGCATTTCAAAACCCTCAATTTGTACAGAATAAGCCACACGTCAGATCTGAAAAGACGACAGTGCGTCCTTCCCTTCAGCCGCATATACCCTTTATGCAAGAAACGTCGAAAGTGTAGTAGATCGTCCTAGATCACAGCGCTACCTTGAGGATCCACTAACGGCTGCCACGAGTCCCTGACTTCATCTTGTCTGCAGGGAACCGACGCCCTTTCTTTGCATGACCCGTGTGACGCTCGCACGTTGGGCCGACATGCACGTCTCCGATTAAAAGATGACTTCGGCAACATCCTCTACCAGTACTCGGTTCAATTTGGCACTTGGCGTTCCGGACCGTGTATGTAGCATTCCGATTCTGAGTGCCACGCTTCGGGATTGCTATGTGCGAGTGGTTTGTTCTACATCACCTGGATGGAGCCAACACAGGTCTGATCGTTGCGGATCGCCAGTCGATGGGATCTTCCGGTGTCTTCATTGTAACATGGGGCTTCGTATGCTGTCGGGATAACTTCATCCACATTCAACAGACACAGCATTGAGTTACATCCTTGACGGACTCACATCTTATAAGATAACCTGGATGCCACATCTGTGATCTTGGGATGCAAATCAGTTCGATAATCGATCACTCAACAGCCTACATTAACATCAGCATCAATTGCTCACCGCATCGTACTTCACTGCCTTTAGCTCTTTCGACGTCACCATGCCGTTCTATCACCACAACACAGCAGCCTCAGCTTTGGTTGGTGGCCCCCCGCCACCCTGCTACTTAGACCACCCGCATGCCCTCAAGATTACCACCTGCACTGGCTGTGGAGGCAACCCGTACGCCAAAGCGGAGCCACATTATTTCGTAGCTGACATTATCAGTGACCCAAGGGCCGCTTGTACCGTCTGCTCAGGAACAGGTGTAGCCTTCGAGAGATGTTCGGCTTGCGAAGAGTACCGACAGAAGCTGAACGTAGACCATGGGCTTACGAGGCCACGATAGCTCATTTGTTCAACGTTGATTGTCTCTATTTCAGAAGCATTTCACAGCTTACACCACAAGACAAAGGGACCAATCGTTGTGAACGAATAGGAATGTATTTTCGACATGTATCGCTAAGATCAGTAGTGTTATTATTAGTGCCGCCATCCTGTTCAAGCTATTACAATTCATTACGCACGATACCAAGATCCCACAACACAGAAATTGATGGGTCCAATGCTCGGGCGCCTGCGTCCAAGCTATGTAAATCAAAGTTATAGCACAGATTAAGGTGCATATGGGGGCGGCGGTTCCCGCTCACCGAGCTGCGTTGATGCCTCCGTCGGCGCATAGGCCGAGTGCCCATGTGCTCTATGCCCATATGTCTCCCAGTTGTCGTCAACTGTATGTTGTGCTCCAAGTCCTCCCTCGGGCGCCATAGCATAGCTGATCGGCGGTGATATCGATGTTGCGCCCAACGCCGGTGATGACACCGAGAAGGCCGCGGTGCCATACGGCGATTGCGGAGTGGGTGACAAACCGTTCGTCTGTCGAGGTGGTGGGACCGGCGCAGCGGCGGCGGAGGGTCTGTAGCCATTCGCGATGGGCATACGCGATAACGTAGCCATAGAATCAGCGCGCTGCAAAGCGGGCTGGATAACAATCTCCGGTTTAGTTTGCGACACAGGTTTACGCGGGATACTGAATGACTGGGCATGACTCGGCTTGGGTCTCAACTGCTGAGGCCGAGGCTGACTCTGGCATTGCGGTCGACTTGCTGTCGGTGCATGGCAAGCATACTTTTGCGTTGTAGCTGCGTGCTGTGGGCGGTGCTGTGGACGCTGCTCTTGGTGCTGAAAATGCGGTTGCTGAGGGTAACTCGATGGCCTGTTGCTTGGAAACGTGTTGTTTCGCCGTTTCTGAGCCTCCTCCTCAAGCCTTTTCTTCTCGTTTTTGTTCTTGTAGTATTTATGGGCAAAGTAGCCGCCGGCTACTATCTCTAGGCCGCCGAAGATCATGATGTCACTTCAACAGCTGTGGAAAATCCGCAATTTGACAGGAGAATGAGAATTATGTGAAGTGTATGTTGACGGTTTGCGTTTGCAAGTGCGAAGTGGGCTGAGGCAGTCATATCGAAAATGGCTCAGCCTCTCTCGTCAAACCTGTGAGGAAAGAACCCATTGGAGCCGGATTCCCCGAGGAGGTGGCGGAGCGCGCATGCCAAATCTTATCGACCAATGAGTACTCTTCACCGGTCTCGGTTAACCAATGAATACGATGCACAGCACCTGTTCGAGAGCTGACACAATACTTTTTGTAGGGCACGAAGAAGCTCATTTTTGGCTAGTAACACGAAAACAGCCCTCTCTACTTGCTATTGCTAAACACTATAACCTACTAAGCTCTTCCTACTTATATAAACTTCTAGCGCAGGTAATTCTCTGTCTTTTTATACATGATAAGTGGTGGGTTTGTACATTGTGCTGCTGTTGTTGTTCTTTGCAGAACAGGGTGAGTCTATTAGGAGTTCCTGCCAGCGATCGATCATGCAAAAAAAGCTTCTTCGTAACGGTTGTGACGACACGCATATTGAGATTCGCAATTGTTTATTGTACACAGAACCGGCGTCTCATGCACTGTCAGAAGATCGCTCAGCAGACAGATTCACCTTCTCGTGCCCACTTGCAGCAACACTTGTTCGGCGACTTCTGGCGTGCTCTCCATACACGATCGACACAATGTATACTAGGCCCATGACGCCTGCAACCACGCTGTATGCAATGATATACCGCGTTTCGACTCCTCCCAGCTCTAGACCAAGTCCTCCGTTGATCATCCCGAGAATGATCGCTACTCGGCCAATCCAAATGTGGCCATAAGAAGCAGCACTACGCTGACCACTGCGCACGAACTGTTTGTGGTGAAGCCAACCTGCAAAGGGCTGAAAGATTACCATTGCTACCAGAACAATGCCAATGATGGGGTGTGCCTCAGTCATGTAGTTGCCAGTGATGCCATAGTAGAGACCAAGTCCGAAGGCTGTAATGAACAGTAGCCAAGAGAGGATCTGGAAGGCAATGTGGACCTTCAAAGTGTTGTTGAATCTGCCCAGGCGTATGACGATGGCTCCAGCAGGAAAGAATACCAAGAAAGCGAGAGAGGCGAAGATACCATGTACCAACAAGATGTTGCTGCGCATGGTTCTGCTGGTGCTTGAGATAGGAGCAGTGGGGCCAGAAACGACGGTATCCGAAGCTGCAAAAGGGTTTGCGCTTGCGCCCCCTACTGCATTGGAGTATGACCATGTAAAGCTGTCGTAAACATCATGTTGAGCGATGTTGGCGCGGACATCTGTTGTATCCAGGGCAGCTCCGTTATGCCTTGCGTGTATCCACTGTCCACTCTGTGCACCGAAGTTTCCAGATGCACGCTGCGCGCAGTTGCCGCATCGAATGTTTGCCGTCATTACGCCATTCTCGACTCCAGAACCGCTAAGTAGCTCGACATCAAGGTCTGCGCTGAACTGCGGTTGTACCTCTCCCCGGGAGAAGCGCGGTGATAGCGTTACATTCCCATTGCCGTTGGTATACATAATAAACATGTCAGAGTTCGTCATGCTTGAGCCAATTCCAAGGCCAATCCAGCTGTGTGTTGTCGGCCCGCTAAGGGACAGGAAAATGTTGCCGTTATCATTCTGGGCTGTGGCCTCCGGGATATTCAGCTGATAGCAGACGCTATTAGTGACACACGTCTGTCCAATTTGGGTTTGGGCAAGGGAGCCTGAGTTGTCATCAATAATCGCAGTGATCGTTAATTGTGCTGGTACATACCTAGACTTGAGCTGATAAGCAATCCCGCTGTGAAGTGAGAACGCATGTTGTGTTTGTTCTAAGCTGAGGTGTGATGAAGTTGCGTTCTTTGTTACATAGATACTTGTTGAGGGATGGTCGATCTATATAATCGGAAGCGGATCTGCGCTTGGCGCATTTCAGAATACGCTCTCCGTTGTCGACACCTATGACGGGGCTGAGCCTTTTCGCTCGGTTATACCCAGACACGGGATGTTGACTTACAATGTTGGCGTTGTTGGTAAGTAATCTTGGTACGCTACGGATCGTACCATCACCGAAATGTAAAATCAATTACCCCTCACTCTGTATCAAACCAGGCATGCTTCCAGAGCAGGTCTGTTAGCACATGCTTGTCGCGGGGAGTTTTGATCTGTTTTGGTGTGCGTGTTGCCGTTTGCAGTGCAGCAAGCGGAACACGGCCACCAGACTTTTAGGGAAACAAAGTTATCGTGGCAGCTAGGTAAAACCTTCAAGCTGATTGGTTGCTATCGAGTGATGTTGCGATGAAAGCAGTCGATCCTGGTCAAGCTTCGCGAACGTGAAGCGGCGCCATGGCACTTGGCCGCACTGGCGACTAAGCGTCATTGCGACCTGTACGCGTGGACAGGAACTGGATAGCGTTTATCATCACGTCGTTTCGGTGCGACTCTGGCTATCTTGGAATCAGGCCGCGTGGCTCATCCTGATTGTTGATAGACGTGGGCTGGGGTTGGAGCGGGCGCGATCCCCGCATTGACACACTCAGGAACGCCCGGGGAAGCGCCCTCCTTGTTCGAGGCCGCAACAGTTATCACAAGCTGATTACGAACACGCCGGTCCACGACAGCACTTCGGTCACTCTTTTCATCTCTTCGGCCCTTCATTTGGAATCTGTGGTGGCGAAGCTCGCGGACGTACGATGGCTTTGCAGCGGCACGATTTCCAAGGGCAGAAGAAAGATAATAGCTAGAGTATCCTAGTGACTCGGCTTGGCATATTTCGTCAGGTACTTGAGCTCAGCCCCAAAATTCGTCGTGGTCTGATAGCCTTCGAAGATGTTTACAAATCATGTGGTGCCAAGGCTACGTAAGATTAACGACAATTTCAGTCGACTGGAATGGACAGTGGAATAGTTACTGGGCAGGGTAGCATATTCCATAACTTGGTGCAATCGGAGTATAATCGACATGTGTGGGATGAATAAGTTGACTGAAGAACAAATTGTTGCGACGCAGCTGACGTAATAATGCTCGCTTCGTTTTCAAGGCAGGAACAACCATCATTCGCTCTGTCAATCACCATAGAAGATACAGAGCATCACACGTTACTGTTGTCTGTCGCCAAAATCCAATGATGCAGGGGACCCAATAGGAATGAATTGAGAAACTACATTCTGGTGGAGAAAAACCAGAGTTGGTGTTCGAAGGTCACGTGGTCTATCAGCATCAACACTGGGAACTCTCTTACCAAATGACACCTTTTCAACCAATAGCCAAAAATGTCATCAAATTCGGCCCACGATGCCCAACGACCACTCACCAACTATGTCGCTTATCACGACCTTCGAAGTCAAAGAGATCGTATAGGCAATTATGACCTTACTTCAAAGACGATTGAACCTCTAAGCTTCAAGTCTGGTACTCCACTCACCAACATCTATCAAGTTATCGAAGCTGGCCAGTCCAACATCATCAGCGCTGGTGCACCCATAGATTCGAATCATTTTCGCATTCTGCCTCCCCTTGCAGATCGGGATGTCCTTTGCGTAGGCAAGAACTACTTCGATCATGCCAAAGAATTCAACAGCTCTGGGTTCGACAGCTCAGACAAGGTTGATGTACCATCAGATCCTGTCATCTTCACGAAGCGATACACGTCAATTATTGCTGATCGAGATGAGATTTATCCACACCCTGATTTTACTTCCACGGCAGACTATGAGGGAGAGGTCGGCGTCATTATTGGAAAGGCGGGGTTTAGAATCAAGGAAGAAGATGCAATGAGCCACGTCTGGGGGTTTACTATTGTAAATGATATGACAGCCCGAGAGAGACAGAGGGATCACAAACAGTTCTACATTGGAAAAAGTCCAGACACATTTTGCCCTATGGTGAGATCGTTCTTCCATTGTTTTGTTCTCAGCGTTGACCCAGTGTAGGGACCAATCGCTGTCCCAGCATCACAGCTCCCCGAAGTCCTGCGGGTACAGACATATGTGAATGGCGAGCTTAGACAGGACGCAACAACCAACGACCTTATCTTTTCTGTCCCCTACCTCATCAAAACGATGTCAGAAGGACAAACCTTGCAACCTGGCGACGTACTTGCAACAGGCACACCCGCTGGCGTTGGCCTTGGTCTGAAGCCTCCTGTCTATCTCAAACCCGGTGATACCATTGCTATCTCAGTGACCGGTCTGGGAACGCTGACAAACCGCATCGCCTCCAACTCCCTCCCGAGCCCCCTGGCAACCAGAATCCCACCATCGAGATTATCTTACAGTAAATCTGGCTTGCCTCTATCCCAACTCAGCCATATCAACTCCAAACCCCTCTACTATACTCGCTCCGGTCCTTCATCTGGCTCCCCAATAGTGTTCATTCATGGCCTAGGCGGCACACACACCTCCTTCACGCCGCTCATACATACCCTCGGCCTCACATACACGCATAGTATACACCTCTTTGACCTTGAAGGACATGGTGCATCGCCCACCCATCCCCTCAGCGTTCTCTCTGTGTCGTCATTCTCTGAGGACGTAGCAGGCGTATTCGCACACGCTGGCATCGCACAAGGTGACAACGCCACGATCGTAGCGCATTCGATGGGCTGTCTGATCGCGCTTGACTTCGCGATCAAGCACCCCAAGCAAGTTGGACAGCTTATTCTACTGAACCCACCGAGTCTACCGTTCCCAGACGAAGGCATTGAAGCGCTGAAACAGCGGGCGCAGCTGGTCAGACAGGAAGGCATGTTGAACATTGCAGACAAGATAGCGATGTCTGCAACAAGCGCGCGGAGCCAGGCGCGCAATCCTATGGCGGTAAATGCAGTGAGGTTGAGTTTGCAGGGTCAAGATGCGGAGGGGTATGCGAAGGCGTGCTCTGCGCTTGCGAATGCCGCGGTCGTGGCGTGGGAGAGAGTAAGCGCAAAGGTGACCATCGTTACAGGGAGTGAGGATGGCGTTGCACCTGTTGGTGCCTGCGAAGAGGCGCTGAGCATCTTGAGTAAAAAGACAGAGCTGGAGGTGGTGGACGGTGTTGGACATTGGAGTGTGTTTGAGGAAGTAGAAGGAACTGCGAAAGTGGTAGAGAATGTGCTAGGAAGAGTGAGTGTTGCAAGTAGAGAGTAAATATGAAGGATTCGGAAAGATTTATGGCTAATCGAGATCCGTATTGTCAGATCCTATTCGCCCTTGCCTTGCTTGCCATAAAAAGCCTCCTCGCCGCCCAGCTCCTTGAGTGCCTGCCTCGACTTCTCCTTGCTCTCCTCGCTTGTGTCTATACAATCATGAGTACCCTATTGACGGTAGACAGTGGCTGCGTGTCTTACTAGGGTTGCTCAAGTTTGCCTTGTGGCCGGATGCTTTGTGGCTGATGTCTTCGGTGGTGTTGTTGATATTCTGGTCGGCTTCCGACAGACCGGGTGCGGTGATTCCTTGGTGGGATTTTTGATCGGCCATGATGAGCGAGGTGCTGCTGTTCCGTGGATGTAATGACTTTGCTCGCGGGTGGATGTTATCTGTGAGCTATCGTCGCGATTTGTCGAAACTACTTATACACGTTGATACAACTTCATCCATAGCGTACCGGGCGCCATATGACATCGTTCTTACGCCAGTTTTCAAAACCTGTATGTTGATTTAGGTTGGATAGTCCATCCAATGAGAACGGATACTACTATTATGGGGTAGTCTCGATGCTTGGCAGTGGTTGCGGCGGCATAGAAACAGCGGGGAAGCCCCCATAAGATTCAAACTACATGACGATACTGGGGAGACAGCTTGGGTTGAATCCTTCGCTTGTAAACGTTGACCATTCAACGCCACGCGCGCATTCGCGCTCCACATCTACTCTCCTTTCCCCTGTTTACGGTAAAACGCATCGTCCTCACCGAGTTCCTTCAAGACCTGTGCCGACTTTTCCTTCGAGGCGTCACTAGTATCTTTGCCGGATTAGCACATGTGCAAAGCAGTTTCTATCCCACAAGCGTTGACGTAGCTTGTGCCTCTCGCAACAACTCACTTGGGTTACTCAAGTTTGCCTTGTGCCCTCTTGCTTCATGGCTTCGGTCTTCCGCTGTATTGTTGATGTTCTGGTCCACTGATGATAACCCCGCTGCAGTGACGTCGGCGGTCGTCTGTTGGGTGGACATGATGCTAGTGACTGTGTAATATCGTGGCAGTCGATTTCTGATCATAGATGAGAGTCGGGTGAATACAAGACAAAGGGTGTCTAACTCCTGAGACTATGCGACCGTGGCACAGCTATCTATTATCTTGTTTGTATCGGGCCGTGAATGATGATCTTAGTGTGAGGCTTAGTGTGAGGAGCGTCTGCGGGGTTAGCGACCTAGAGAACATGGAAATGCAGTGTTCGTACTACTTTGGTGCGACAACACTTGGTGTGTTGATTGATGATCGTTCTTCATTGTCGTGATTATTTGCTCCTAGTCGAGGGTTCGTGTTGAGATCAAACCATCAACGGGCTTTTCTAGTCATCACCTCCTCCACCGATTGGGCCACTGACTTGCTTGGCCGCCTTCGCAGCAACAATGTCGTCAACTCTCAGCAGCAGGCATGCGCTCTCAATAGCGGTCTTGATGCTCTGCTCCTTGACCGCGAGTGGCTCCCAGACGCCGTACGTGCGCATGTCGACAACCTTGCCGGCATCGCCGTCAATGCCCCAGAAGCTACCAGTTGCCTTGCCATCCTCGTAGCCTTCTGCGTGCTTCGCACGCAGCTGTGTAAGAACCTTGATAGGGCTGTTTCCTGAGTTCTGAATGATGGTGCGGGGAATGACCTCCATGGACTCTGCGACGGCCTTGTACGGCCATTGTGCAACACCCTCGATGAGCTTTGCTTTCCTCTCTAACCCAACGGCGATGGCCATCTCAGTAGCACCACCTCCTGGGCACAGCTTTGGGTTCCAGATAACGTTCCTGGCAACACCCATGGCATCGTGCAAGTTGCGCTCGATCTCGTTCAGGATGTCCTTCGAAGGTCCACGGAGCAAGATTGTGCAGGCCTTGGGGTCCTTGCACTTTGTGAGGTAGGTAAAGTACTCGTCGCCAAGCTTGGAGATCTCGAATAGACCACACTGAGTACCGATGTCGGACGGCGTTGCGGCGAAGACGGAGTTGACGATGGTGGCTCCAGTGGCTCGTGCGATACGGTTGTTGTCTGTCTTGCGGACACGACGGATAGCGGTGATGTTGGCCTTGACGAGGAAGTGCTGAGCAAGATCTGTCCAGCGTTAGTATTGCTTTGGTATTGACGGCGAACTGTAGCTTACCACTGACGCCCTTCTCTGTGATGACGAGATCGGGCTTCAGGGCGATGATCGCATCGCACATCGCTTTGACTTGCTCCTCCTCAATCTGCAATATCCTGTTCCAGTCCTCCTCCTTGCTGACCTCGATATTTGTCTGACTCTCACCCTTCTTGTACTCGAGTGTGCAGTCGAGTAGCAGAACCTTAGGGTTCTCGATTTTTCTCCTCATTTTGGGGTGTGTGATATCCTTGTTGACCATGACACCGTCCAAAACCTCGCTGTCCTCGATCTCACCGCCAGGTATCTTCTCAATACGTGCGTAACGCTTGATGTCAACCTCCTTCTTGCCTCCCATGTCGGTGGAAACCGTGCGTACAGCCTTGAGCGCAAGGCCGCACATCAGCTTTGACCACCTAGAAACAAACTTTGTGCCAATCGAGGAGTTGATGATCCTGTACATTTCTTCGTCGTCGTTCACGTCGACTTCGGTCGCGATCTCATTGACAATCTCGAGGGCATCGGCCAGAGCCTTCTTGAAGGCTTGAATGACAACGACGGGGTGGATGTTGCGCTCAAGCTGGGGCAGGGCCTGTGCAAGAATTTCACCAGCTATCACCTGTCAGTCATGTCCATTCTGTTTGTGCCATGGCAAGCTTACCCAGGATGATGACGGTTGTTGTACCATCACCGACCTCCTCGTCTTGTGTTCGGCTGAGTTCGATCATGCTCTTTGCTGCGGGGTGTGCGACTTCGATTTCTCGGAGGATGGCGTGGCCGTCGTTGGTGAGAACGATACCGCCCATGGGGTCGAGCAGCATCTTCAGCATGGCCTTGGGACCCAGACATGACCGGATGATGTCTGCAACGGTCTTGGCTGCTGTGATGTTCGAAATCTGAGCTTTGCGACCGAACTGGCGCTCCCCACCAGGGGTCTGCGTGTCTGCGTGGGGTGTTAGGCAAATGGTGATGATGGTAAACAGTTGTTACACGTACTCATGACAACCACAGGCGCCTGCATCTTGAATAAACGTGTCTAGGGTAATGGTACAGGGAAGGGAGGGACGTGAAACTAGGCACGCGTGGGGTATCTGTTGCTCTGGCGCGTGGCAGCTTCACCAAAAAAACACGGCCAATGTCCCGCAGCAATCGGCGTCGAAAACTCCGCTCCAAGTCATGTGATAACATCACGTGCACCGGGCTGTTTCTGTTTCCGAGTCGCCAAGCCACCTGTTACACGAGCAGCCACTTTGGGCAAAGCGAACGATGCCGGGGCCAGGCCGTTTGCGGCATCCTTGTTCCAGCTCGTCCGTGACGCGCCATCAGCCAATCGCGCCTGACCTGCCCTGAGGATCTCCACACGATGGACCGCATCCTTGTCTGCACTCTTTCCGGTTAGTCTTACCTCGCCGGGCACTCCAGCCTCTCACGGGACGAGCGCGAAATGCTTACAAGAAGCGCCCTAGGCCCTCAAACCATCGCTCTTTCCACCTCTCACCTCTTGCCTTCAAACGTTGTCGCGCCTTCCTCTTGCGCCCACTTGTTCAACTCTGGTGGTCTCTCACCTCGTCCACACTATCTATCACCTCCATCAGCCTCCCCATCATCACGACCAACACACCTCTTAGCCGAGCATCTACCTCACCGTCGCTATCGGCCATTTAGCCGCGCTTGTCGCATGCTTCGTGTCTGGTCAACTAGACAGACTTTTGTATCCTTGCACTGCATCTCACTTCTGATCTACTAAACAAACAGTCACCATGGGTCTCAACTACTATGCCTCGTCGCCCACCGTCGTCCTGCAACCACAGCAACCGCAGGGCTACTTCTCACCTCACCAGCGCGCCCACTCGCCGTCAACCAAGGGTAAATTTCGCCCAAAGCATCCTACTCCACCGTCGCTCAATTATCTAGCTGCTGTATCCAATGCCACAGCTGGGCGCAAACGATCCATTGCCGACGTCGACGACCCCGAGGAGAACCAACCCATTGGATCTGTCGCTATCCCTGCCCCTGTCAAGTCTCGGGGTGAGCCTGTCTATGGCCCAGGCATGACTCTCGTCTACCCTGACGACCCAGGTTACAGCATCGCGGCCGAGTCGCAATCCGGCACGTGGTATGAAGAGAAGATCGAAACCGAAGAGAAGGCTGCGGCTCGTCCAATCGCAGTCTCGCGCAAGTCGCAACGCATCAGTCCGTCTCGCGATGTCATAGTCCCATCACTCAACGACATGAACGCGCAGATAAGCGAGGCAGTCATCGATGACAATGGCAACACTATCAACACACTCATCACCTCGCTTGGAGTCGGCTGGAAGAATGTCATGACCAACCCCAACCTGCGCGACCAAGCCCGCGCGTATGCTCGTTTCATCGAGCGTCATTTCGACTTCACTGACGTGATTGTCATGCTGGAGAAGGAATCACTCAACGCTTATCTCGTGCGCGCCAAGCAGAATGGTGCTCAAGGCTACTGGTTGTTCTCCGATACCCTCAAGTGGTGCCAGCTTGTGGGCTGGTCTCTAGAACACGCTGTTCCGAACCTTATGTGTGGACCTGTACCTCACTGTGAGGGCGAGCGCATCAATGCCCGCGACTCTTCCCCGTCAGAACCCGCAACACCTCCCCAGCAAACCGTCAGCGCACCCATTGCCGTCGCTGGTGACGCAATGGAGATGTGATAGCATCCGACTTGCACCTTCTCTTCCCTTTTCGGCTCTTTGAACCATGTACGGACGCGTCTCGGTTTCACTTCTCATGTTTCTATCTGCGCTTCACGATCTACTGGTTTCTTCTACTCAGCGACCCGGCGTTGGCAATGGATTGGATGGGCTCACTGGGGTGGATCATCTCTATGTACTGTATATTATCATGCTTGCTCACACTGCGACAGCTAGATCGTGGTTCGATCGCGTCGCAGACCCCGTCGCCACTAAAAGCTACAGGCACCATCAATGAACATATAATCACCGTGACACTATTCTCTTCATCACTCGTTACTGCCTGTGACCTGTTTTCGCGCATGCGTCAGGCCTGACCGATCCCCACCGCCACAGAAAGGCTAACGGTCTCGCAATTGCCGATCTGCCTCACTTTTCGCAAGGTTTTCTTGGCCGCCCCATCAACGTTCGTCATTTCGTACGATGCGACAAAGCGCCCTCCGAAACACGCCGAGCGATGCCATCCTTCGCGACAAGCCATCGCGCAAACGTGCACGCAAACGATAATGCGCGTCGAACGGGCAACGCGTTCGCGCTGGGCTCAGCAGGAGGGATGTGCTGTGACGCGAGATTGTCGCGCTACGAAGCCGAGGCTGCCGGTGGGCCACCAGCAGGTACATATCGAACACCTGGCATGTGCATTGCCTGGGAGACCGCTATTATTGTCGAGAACGTGGATTGGTGGATCGGGTCTTCTTCAGTAATCGTCCTTTGCGGGCTGAGTGAGTTCCATGCCCATGCTCCCTTTTTGCCCGGCGAGGCACGAAAAGAGCGAGGCGACCATGAGGTTCTCCGCAAACAATCAAGTCTCCTTACCAGGGTAGCATGCCTGCACAACCTCAAATCTAGCCTGGCTGTGTTCTCTGAGTTACAGGGAAACACCAACGACATTAAGTGTAGCACCAAGCCGCGGTCTTCCGTTCCGTGCCTCAGACAGCATCAGCGTTGAGCTTGGCCCGCACTGTCACATCCGTCCGGACTGTCAAGTAACCGCGACGATATCTCAACGTGCTTTCAATCACTTTGCTCAGAGCATGTCAGAGCGTCACTGTTCTAAGGGCTTAGATTAAGGACGCCTTCATAGCATCCTGTTGCTATTGAAACTCGTACGAGCCTGGTCGGCCGTCTGGATATCGCACCCGCAGCTTCACAGCTGTCTACTCTGATAACCTTACTTATGTTGTCCTACGGTCCGTCTCAGCTTGTTATGCTTACACTTGGGCAGCTATGAGCGCAACTTTCGCTTGTGGTCCACGGAGTTCAAACTTTGGTTGCAATGTGCATGGTGCCGAACTCGCCGAGCTCAGCCAGTATGTACACACCACCCGCCATCAAATCAGACGCAACGTTTATCGCTCAACAGCTCGCATGCCTGAGAGATCTACATATTGTCAGCTCTCACCCGGGCAGTGCATGGCTGAGCGGGATTCAAAAGCTCACAAGCCTCGCCAAGCCCCACTCACAAGTGCTTACCTCTCTTTTCCATGCTCAAAGAGGCTACCTTGATAGGCTAACTGCGACTTGGGACGAACCGCCAGCTGTTGGCTGCCTATGACATGGCGATACGGGCGGGGCACCCTCCGTATGGTTTCTATTTAGCAACCCAGGCGCTCCTTCGAGTGAGAGGCTTGAAGATTTTAGTTTAACAACCTCTTCTTCAAACCATCACTTCCTGCGAAGCCACTCGATTCAGCTATGGGCATTTCTGACGTACTGCTTATAACGAGAAAGAACCACCTCAACGCGAGCTCGATCGTCGGCTCTGCAACCAGCCATGTGTGTCCTGTCGAGAACCTAAACGGTCCAGCCATCGTGCCCATCGTTGGCAATTACACCTTCCACGAAGTCGCAACCATTGTTGCTGGCACGTGTGCGCTGTTCAGCATAATCATCTGCATTTTCATAATCGCTGGGCATGCAGCCAACTACTCCTTTCCTGTACAGCAACGCCAAATCATACGTATCGTATTACTCATTCCGTGGGTGGCTCTGTTCTCATTTCTCATTGTCCTTGAAGAAAAGGCCGGAGTGTACATCGTTGCGAGTCTCGACTTTGGTTGCGCGATTGCGCTGTCAGCGTTCCTGCTGTTGATGTGCGATTTTGTGTTATCCCATCCGGATGGCTTCGATGATCTCTTCGGTGTTGGTGCGATGAACAGAGGAGCACTTCAAACGAAAGGTCCTGCATGGTTCAAGGTACGATGACTCCCTTCTTGCGACAATATAGATCGTTAACATGGACAAAGCGCGTTTGGTACGGCGTGCTACAGTTCATACCCGCCAGTATCATAATTTGGATTGGCACGATTGTTGCACTTGCTGTAGGCCAGTATTGCAGACAGTCCAATAGCGTCCACTTCGCACATCTCTGGATCACGATCTTCAAATTCATCGTCACCACCATATCTATTCTTTGCTGCCTGCGCTTTCACAGCAGGAATAAGCCAAAGCTGCTTCAGCACAAGATTCTGCTTAAGCTCTTCACATTCAAAAGCATCATTGGCTTAAATGTTGCGCAAACTGTAAGTCCTGCGTAAACTCTACAGAGGTGTCAGCGGATCGGAATCATACTGACTTTACCAGTTCATCATCAACATTCTTGCGGGTCATGGCACTCTTTCTCCCAACAAGTACATGACATACCACGATATCAACGACGGCCTCGCCTCGCTCATCCTCGCCTGCGAAATGCCTATCTTCGCCTTGCTGATGATCTTCGCATTTCCGTCTAAGCCCTACAAGAACAGCAATAAGGCCGCGTCGGTAGGGCCTTTCAAGGCGATCGTGCAGGCACTAGATATCAGGGACTTATTGGGCGCTATAGTAAGGGGCCCAATGAGGTTAGTAAGAGAGCAGGAGAGAGAGATCAGAAGAGGGGGCAGCATCAAGATGGAGATGCAGAATGGGGGTCCCGGCGTTGATGGAGTCGATCAAAGTACGATGTACAAGGGAAGTAACGAGAGGGTCGGGCTTGCTGTCTAGTCACGCAACTGATTATTGGTCAACTCATGTTCCCAGTGCTAGCTATTCCAGTCTTTTACACTCCAACATCTCCTTCGCGCTTGTAGTTATGACATGCCCACTGCACAATTTTTATCATCCCCACTTCAACCAAACTTCGCTGTCAAATAGCATCACCATTGATTGAGTGGAGAGGTGTTTGGAACAACTCTCTGTTTGTCTACGCCCACAGTCAATAACAGATGTAGAAAGTAGGATAAGCGGTTTTGGATGACATGGAAACGACGTCAAGTGCCATGGACAGGTCGTGCGAGCTACTCGAAAGACGGCCATGCGAGTATTACTCACGAGATGCGAGACTTGGCTCTGTCAAATCCACACTGCATAGTTAACAAACCCAACCCTCAGACACAGGTGAGACTGGCAAAGTGACCACATTGCTTCGTAAGATGGATCAAGTAGAGTCTGGAAATAATGCATCAATTCACCAGCCTTCTCATTTGCTACTCCGTATACACAATCCACGTCTCAAATACCAAGAAGCGCTCCCTTACACCCTGGTGCGATTTGCGCTCGCCATAGCTTGTTCTCATTCAGCAAGAACAGTTGTCCGTCTTTGCCAAAGCAGAAGTTGGCGACCCCGCCATCGACCAATATCTTCGCCAGCAGCACACCACCAGGCGACCAAATACTGATACCGTCTCCGCATCCACTATACACGTTCGCGTTAGTATCGCACTTGATCCCGTCGGGAATTCCAGTGTCGGCCATAGCAAACAGCCTTCTGTTAATCAGAAAGGGCTGACCTGAGTACATCTTTACATCGAACGCATATCTAATGGCATTAGTCCCATGGGTTGTCCCACCCTTGAACCTTGCAGAAGACTTACATGTGTGATGCTCTCGTCCCATCCGTTGTCCCGTCGCCATGGATCCAGTCTGTGTCTGTCACGTAGCACGTCTGCTCATCCGGACTGAAGCAGATGCCATTCGGACGACCAAATCCATCTGCTACTGCCCTGATACCCCCAGTCGCTGGATCAAATCGGTAAACCTGGTTTGGCAACTGTGGAGGCGGGCGAATGCCTTGTTCCGAGCCGTAGACGGGGTCGGTGAACCATATACTCCCATCTGAATGGATGACAATATCGTTGGGCGAGTTGAAGGGCCGGCCATGGAATGATGTGATCAAGAGCTCAGATGCGTATGAGGTAGATGATGTGTGGTTTTTGGGGAGCGGCATGTACGCTAGACCGCCGGGTGTAGACAAAGATCCCTGGGCGCAGAAAAGAATTCCATCTTTGTAGTTGACTCCGCCGTTGGCCAAGGGAACGTTGTCTGTCGTGATTTCGGTGCTTGATGTTTCGATACTATGGATGGATGGCGGAAGTGTGATACGACTGATTTGGATGTGTTTGTTGTTGGTTTCTGGATGCAAGTATTGATTGCTTGTTACGAAGAGGGTGTTGGACTCCGGGATGAAGACACCGGCTTCATGTGCGAATGGATAGGCATTGTACTCTAGGAGAAGTTCGAGGTTTGGATGCTCACCCAGTAGCTCGTTTGCGGCTTTATCGAAAACTCTGAACGCGGAGGGGTATTTGGACATGTTGACAGAATGTAGTGAATTGACTTTCAGATGATGTTGACGTTTCAATGCCCGCTGTCACACGATCTGAAGGATAGATGCCGACCGACCGCGGCTTCAAATGTAACCAACAGGTATCCCGACAACAATCGCCGAAGGAGGTGCCGGTCCGATCGCTGTGGCATCGGTGGTTCGTATGCAATTGCACTACGCGAGTACAAAAGGGCCGAATTGGGCTCGGAGCTGCTCCGCCAGACCGTGGTACACAAGTGGCGCTTCACTAGCCACGATTTGGTTTCGTCTTTGTCTAGACCTCCCAAAGTTGCTCAAGGTAGCCGCGGGCAGACCACGATCATGTGGGCAATTGCGGGCAATTCGGCGATTGAATGTGCTGGAGGGGCTGGCCCTTCACACCACGGCAGAGCCCGCGGTGTATGCAGGGACGTTCGCCCCAGCATTAGATTCCGGGGTATGGGGTCGGCACCTAGTCACAAATCCGGGGTATGATACTTTGAGGTATATAATGTCGTGGAATCTTCCTACTCTGTCGCTTCATCAAGCACGAGGAGTCATTCTCGGTCTGATCCACTCCATCACCAGCATCATCAGCCATCTTCACTATGCCTGAACTTCAGGGCAAACCCCTTATGCTTACGGTCAGCTTGCTGACCTCCTTGGGCTTTATGCTGATCGGATACGACAACGGCCTGATGGGCGGACTCGTCAACGCTCCTGCTTTCCAGGATACTTTCGACAATCCATCAGCGAACATGATTGGCACTATCGTTGCGATCTTTGAAAGTAAGTCATCAATTGCGAATATCCCACACCTGTCCTGACAATAATGCCAGTTGGCTGCTTTCTTGGTGCAATGACGACGGCTTTTGTGGGAGAGAAGCTGGGCCGTCGCAAGAGTGTTGGCATCGGGGCTATCATCAGCATAATTGGCGCAATCCTGCAAGCAACTGCTTTTGGCCGCGCGCATCTCATTGTCGGCCGTGTCATCTCTGGTGTTGGACTTGGTTTCATCAATTCTACGGTACCAGTCCTGCAAGCCGAGTTCAGTCCCAAGGCAAGCCGTGGTATGTACGTCTGCGCGCAGCTCTCGACCCTCAATTTTGGTATCCTTATCGTCTACTGGATCGATTACGCCTTTGTCAGCCACACTGCAAGCTATGCATGGAGAATTCCGACAATCCTGCAGTGCATCATCCTCTTCGTAATCTTGGGCCTTCTGTTCGTCATCCCAGATACACCAAGATGGCTCGCAGCACATGATCGCCCCGACGAGTGCCTTGCTGTGCTGGCGCGCATCAGAGGAACCGACACAAACGATCCTGAGGTTCAGAGGTTGCACACCGTAATCACCGAGACCGTCGCATACGAAAATTCACGCCAAGCTGGTTGGAAAGATATCGTGCGAAACGATCCCATCAAGTCTAGGAGACGCTTTCTCATCGCTTGTGGAATTCAAATCTTTCAACAACTTGGAGGCATCAACGCTATCATCTGTAAGTGGTTCAGTACCAGTGGTATGAGAGGGGTCCTACTAACACGCCCCAGATTATTCCGGTACTCTCTTCGAGAAGAGCATTGGCTTCGATACTCACATGGCAAGCCTCATGAGCGGCTTCCTTCAGACATGGTTCTTTGTCGCTTCCTTCATCCCGTGGTTTTTGATTGACCGCATTGGCCGTCGGCCTCTGTTGCTATCTATGATCAGTGTAATGGCTGCTGTCATGGCTGTGCAAGCCGCTCTTATCTACCAGGTGCAATACGATACCTCGATCGCCAAGAACGCCGGTATTGCCGCTGCTGCAATGCTCTTCATTTTCCAGGGCGCCTTCACCATTGGATTCCAGGCGACGGTATGGGTGTATCCATCTGAGATCTTGCCTTTGCGACTACGACAGCGTGGCTCATCCATCTCGACTGCCGCTAACTGGATTTGCAACTACGTAAGTTTGTTTCAGAAATCGTGTAGTAGACAAAGTGCTGACGTCTTCCACAGATTATCGTGCAAATTACACCTCCTGCCATCAATAACATCGGCTGGCGAACATACATCATCTTCGCTGTTCTGAACGCAACATGGGTCCCTATTATCTACCTGTTCTTCCCTGAGACTAAAGGTCTCGAGCTTGAGGATGTTGATAAGCTCTTCTCGGGTGAAGAGACTCTCGCGGATCTTAGACGCGAGAAGGAGATGCAGGAAGACGAGCGCTTTGAGAATATCGCAAAGTCTTAAGCAACTGTGCTTATGACAATCGACATTCATGACGCATCACCTGGTTTGCACATTCTCGTATATCCTAGGTTACTTAGAAAGTGGCTAGTTCGAACAACTAAGTTTCTTCTCGAATACGACTGTTTGCTGCACGATAGGGGGTGTTGGTGTACAGGTGACTGTAAACATAACCGCAACTTATGGATTCTGGTCTACCCATGCAATAAGAGGGGCTGAAACATGGCACAAGGATAAGGGATCAAGACCGGGATTCAGCAATGGCAAGTACTGTTGAGGGAAGTGCTGCTGAAAGTTTTCGGCCCATCTTCGAGCGCTTGACCGACAAAAACAACCTGAACCGCTGCAAACCTAAAATTCGTCAACACTTATATATACCTCAAAATTTGTGCGCCAAACTTACGCAGCGGTTATAGAGAATACATCTGCTCTCCTGGCATCGGTGAAAAAGGATAAACACAACGATATGAGTGCATTGAACCCCGCAATAGTCCCAAGTCTTGCGCTCAGAGATCTGACCGTTGTCAACACTGCAATAGAAGCAACCGGTATCACGCAAGCGATCGCGCTTGTTAGCCAGAAGGTGAATTTAAAGATCTTCTGGTCACTGAACGATACGACTCCAAGTTTTGGATTCGGCTTTCTCCATCTCAGAAAGTTGAGCGTGTGAAGCACATTGAGTGCATGGTTTCCCAGAATTCTGGAGAACGAGTCTGAATCGCGTCGTGCATGGAGAACAACGAGCTCGTGACTGTAGTCTTTAGGTTGTAAAACACTACCGTAGACATCTGAGTCGGGACCGCAAAGACATAATCGCATTGGTTCGCCAGCGAGAAAGTGCTGGATGTCAGTTAAGTCAAACTTGTCTGGTTCTTTCATTTGCAATACTGTAGCTTGCTGAATGAGAGCATGGTCTTCGGACCGTCAGCATTACTAGATGCGCATGAGACTGAAAGACGCACTGTACTCGTTCAGAGTCTGTTTGATCTGATGAAAGAGATCTCGTTGCTTCGTATCACCGTCTCTTAGACTGCCGTCCTTGTGTCTTCGGTAGGAAGAATTCAGCCAATAGGCATTTCCAGCATAGTCTTTCTTGCGTCCTGTTGAGCTCAGGTTGTCTTTCTTTTCCCACAAAATCAATTCTTCTTCAAGACAAATCAATTCATTCTGAAGATACAAGAGATTTCGTGCGTTCAACGCGCCAAAACGGCGAAACATAGCGATCTCTGGAAGTACGCCCATACGACCGGCCAACATAGGATAGCCTCTGACCAAGTGGCTGAATGCATCGATCGATGTCGGATTCGTAGGGACATTAGAAGCGCCATGGTCTGAGCACTTCTCTGAACAATCGTCAGACGCCATGATGAGAGTGCGAGGGAGTGTAAGGAGCGCTGAGGACACTGCGGGGTTAACATTTCGTTCAAATCCCTTTCGCATAGCACAGACGGTTGTACGAGCGCTTATCAGGTAGCTGACATATATCACCCCGTCACACGAGCGTGTTTGCTCTGGCTTCATAGTTTGTTGTAATACGTCTGCGCCACTATCAGGTGACGATTTGGATGGGGGGCGCAGCACGAACGCGTGCACTGAGCCAGAATACCCTGTCGAGCGTACACTACGTTTTTAGATCATAGTAAGGACTCAACCTCAAGATCCCTGTTGTATTTCAAGATTCAGATGTCGCATGACTTGATCTGGTCATAACCTCTTTGATGAATAATGCTGCGAAATCTCAGTGGTGGCAACGCGCTTAAGTACAAAGGTAGATATTGGAAACTTGTGTACTTGCTTGAAGAGACACTTTGTTTATGAGGACAATGTCCCAAAGACAAGTGTGGGTAGACACTTGGCAGATCGAAGCTCAAATGGTTGAGAAACGCTTATAATCTGGACAATGGAAGTCGCAAGGTTACGTGAAAGACTACACAGTGCTGTGTAATGCAGAGCTAAATAGTGAACTAATAAAGAGGTTTAGGTTATGGCGCTGGTGGGTTCCTTCTGTCCGTAACAGGGTTGTCCCTAGGCAGTGTATTTTTCTCTACTGTAGAAGAGAGCTTCCTACCAGAATCTATAAAAGCAGCAAGGTGATGTTATAATTTGAGTAGGAACCCGTTTGACGTGACGAAGGCGTAATGTGTAGATATGCCTAGCTATGCTTTGCTGTCACCTCGTCATTAGATGTTAGTTATGAAACGTATATATGGTGACTTCAACAGCCAAATTTTATGAAGTGAAGAACTCATCATGGGTCAAGATCCACCTGGAGAGCGTCCTCAACAAACAAGAGTTAACTGTAGGCATTAGATAATACCATGCTGGGTAGTTCTGAAACACCACATAGGGCAACACGTCGATGTCGACAGTGCTAAACAACGTTGTAATTGCGAATCGCAGGTAAAGTGATATTCAAAGACAACAGAACCCTGCATGCAGTATACTGAAGCACCAAAGAAAAGAGATAGGCATCGTGAAATGGATGGTGGCGGCCCTAGTGACCACAACAATGGCGACGACAGTAACGGAACTGATGGCGGCAGTGGTGAGGCTGCCCGCGATGCTAATACTGCTAAAGGCAAGAAGGTCACTAAAAAAGGTAAAAAGGAAAAGGCATGGTGTTGTACGCTTATGTAGAGCTAAGGTACTCTAGATCCGCAAATCTAGGTATAGTACATATAAGAATTAATGGGCATAAAACAAATGAACAAGACGCGCGAGTGCATAGGAGGGTTCTCTACAACGTTACAGGCATCGTTGATTGCCTCTAGAGATGCCTGGTCTCCCATAAGCTAATCATTAACATATGTTGATTGCACTTCTACTGCATTGCTACAAAATTAATGCATTGTGATGCAGAACATTGCCACGACAACTTTGATTGGAAAGAAATATGAGCTTCAGGACTCTAGGTTAACAACGGCATCTTACCTTTGTGCAGAAATTCGTGGGGAAAGATCTGCGAACAACCAGAAAGGCAATCGGGCCACGGGAAGGCAATAAGAGGCCCAATCAGCTGGGGTCGCAGGGCGGTGATTGAAGACGACAGTTGCCAAATCCATGGAACGATTCTGATGGATGAGTAAAGAGAATGCTTACAAACTCATCCAGCTGTCTTTTTGGCGTCGACAGCTCTTTCATAGGCACCTACGTCAACATTGCCAGCACTCCAGATTGCGATAGCCTGCACAAACACTCCTCTCTCTTTCCGTCGTTCAACGTAGCCTATCACATTGATCCAGGTGCCAACTTCCATCTCATGCGTCTTGATGCGTTCTAAGACGTGGACGACGTCGACATTCGCAATTACTGCATGGCTGGCTGCGGGGTAGTTGTGCTTCAGTCGCAGGGTCGCAGTCTGAACCACGTACTCATCAACGCTGCCACAATCAGCTCCAGCTCTTCAGACCAGTGAACACATCAGTACCAGCCCAGGAAGCGGACTTTCGTCCCTTGCGCGGTTGTCTCGAGGTCGCTCAGCAGGACAAGATTCGATGCAACAGGTCCAGACATGTCGTCTGATGGTGTTCATGAGCTGAACGAAACCCTGATCATTGGAGCCGAGGCCAAGCGGGCACGTGCCATTGCTAGCGTATCAAGCGTCATAGCACTTGATTCATGCGCATGCCCGATACTGACTTACTCCTACCAGGCACCAACAAAAGAGACCACAACACCACCGCGCACACCTCCGACGTTCTCGACACCCTCCTCCCTGACCACCCTCGGCTCCCTCCCTCACCTCCCTCAGAGTGAGTGTCCCGCCACCTATTGTCTGCCCCGCCATCTTCCTACCAATCTCCCGCTTGATAACGCACCTCAACCACTACTGCGCCTTGAATCCTGTATCTGTACTGACCTGAAACCTTCAGAATCACTATCATCATGTCTGGCTGGGGTCTTGGCTGGTTTGGCGGCGGCCAAACCAAGAAGGAGGCGCCGAAGAAGGCTATCCTTCAACTGCGCGGACAGCTCGAGATGTTGAACAAGCGCGAGAAGCACCTACAGAACCAGATGGATGAGCAAGACGCACTTGCGCGGAAACACGTCTCTACAAACAAAGCCGGTATGTTTCCATGTACCTATGCAGCCTAGTACGCGGAACGCATGCTCACCTATGAACAGCGGCCAAGGCAGCACTACGACGGAAGAAGCAGTTTGAGCACTCGTTCGAGCAGACATCCGCACAAATCATGACCCTGGAGCGCGAGATATATTCCATCGAGACGGCGAACATCAACAAGGAGACACTGGACGCCATGAAGAACGCCGGTTCGGCCATGAAGCAGATACACGCCGGTCTTACAATCGACAAGGTCGACGATGTCATGTATGTCCTCGCTACACTCCATACGCCAAACCATCCGGTCTTTGCTCCAAGACAATCGCTAACAAACTAATCAGGGAAGAACTTCGCGAACAGCACGCCATCGGCGAAGAAATCGGCGAGGCAATAACCAGCGGCGTCACAACCGGCGGCATTGACGAAGACGAGCTGGACGAACAGCTCGCCGAGCTGCAGCAAGAGAAGCTGGACGAGGATATGCTGAAGACCGGCAACGTGCCCGTGAACGACAAGGTCGCAACGGGCAGACTGCCCGCGGCGCCATCGACAGAGGTCCGGGGCAAGGCACAGAGAGTCGAGGAGGACGACGAGGAGGAGGAGCTGAGGAAGCTGCAGGCCGAGATGGCCATGTGAGCGCCACCAGGCTGTTTGCTGCGCGCATAAGCATACTGACTACTAGCACGTCCTTGGGGAGGGCCTGCTTGATACCGCCTTGAGACGCGGGGTATAGAGTATTTCTACGAGGGCGGAAGACATGAACGGCGTATGGCGATTCTGTGGGAGCTGGTGTATTCTTGCTCTTCTGTTTCCGCTTGGATTTCCCAGGGCCGTGTGCCTGCACTATCTGGACGATGCAAGTCGGACATGTGCGAAACGATATACCTTGCAAATTAAGATGCTTCAACATTCATACTATAGTCGACATGCGTGTTCACTTCAGTGCATGAGCTGGGACCTTCACTCGCGTTGTGCAAATATCACTGGTCACAATCAAGATCTTGGTAAATAAGCTGCATTTCAAATCGATGTGTATAGTCTCAAGCTCAGAGATGTCCCTCACGTAGAGCTATTCCTCCATGTATAGCACGTTTCTGAATAGGCGCCCAGATATGTAGCGCCGCAAAATCGTTGCTGAAAACTTTTGGAAGCCCAAGCCCATGATGGGCCACCTTCGGGTATCAATATCGCAAATCAGGATATAGTGGGCCACATTAACGCCTGAGGTCGTGACCATATTCGTGTCGTAATGCTGAAAGCAGAAAGGGTAAAATGCGCATCTAAATATGTGCAGAGAATGTAAGCCGTGTCTTCATTGTAAGAGACCTCCTTGCCGTGCCTTCAGCCTTCGGTGGAGCATCTCTGTGGCAGAGAACTACTCTGCGCTTTCGGCTGGCTTCTCATCTGCCGACCTCTTGTCATCTTTGGCCGCAAGATCCGCAGCCGTGATCTCCGTGACTGAACGTTTGATCAGCGGCGTTCCAGTCTGTACGGCCGGTGAACCCGGTACTGGCGTAAGCGGTTCCACGCTTGGTCGGTGCGTAGAGGGTAGGCTTGTAGTGGGAGCTGCCGGTGCTGAAGCAGGGACAGTCATGTTGGGCGTGAACTTGTGCGGCTCACTCTTCGGGGAACTAGAGGTCGTTGGAGCGTTTGCTATGGGTGCAGAAGACGATGCGGGCGACTGCGTTACCTGTTCGACCGCTTGCTGAGGTGGCCGCTGCGGAGTCTGTTGGTGCTGCGTAGTGTGAGGTGGATCTGCAGTTGTACTGGCCGCGCCGGCCGCTGCAATAGCCGCTGCAGTCCCCGCGGCAGCAGTGCTTGACACAGGAAGTTGGGTTGCCGGGTTCTCCTGATTGACAGCGACTGGATTCGACCGGTAAGCAGCTAGGTTAGGGATTTTGGTAATCGCCGTCAGAAGGCCACGTTCAGGATCAGTGAGACTGCTCTGAGGGACGTTCGTGTCGATGAAAGCTCTGATCGCGTTGTCCACCTTGGTGTCTTCGCCAGGCTCCGTCCGCAGTTTCACATATTGGCTCCTGAACATCTCGAGATTGCGGATGACATTATGGTTAGTGTTGGCTGGATAACGAGCAATGATGTCAGGCGTGAGATTGACAGTCGGGGGTGCGATGCTGGCCTGTGGCGCTTGACTTGGCTGGGTCTGTGAAGGAGGTTGCGAGGGTGGTGGTGCCGGGCTTTGAGATGGCGGACCCGTAGAAGGGGGGCCAGCGGGAGGAGGCCCAGCAGAAGCACCATTCGTTGCAGGACCTTGGGGCGGAGGACCTGACGGGCCAGCCTGTGGATAACCTTGAGGAGGGTATGGAGCATACGGACGGCTAGGTGCAGCAGCATAAGGGCTTGCGCCTGCAGCAGCATATGGGCCCCCGTAAGGACTGCCTGCTGCATGCCCGCTGTGTGACGGTGACGCACTCGTTGGGTAGAGTACACCGTACTGGCCAGTTTGTCCAGCTCCTGAGCTGGCCGGAGGTGGTCCATGTGGCGGCTGTGGGTAGGGACGAGGGGGCATTGCCGCGGAGGGGCTACTGGCTGTATTACCTCCAGCCCAAGGCGAGGCATAAGGTGAAGGTGGAGGAGCGCCCTGAGATGCAGTAGGCGTTGAAGCATTTGCATCTCGAGCCAAACTTGGAGGTAGGCGAGGGGCTGAAGCCATCATACTTGGAGGAAGTCGAGGAGGTGCAGGCGGCATGCCAGGCGGAGGCATACCTGGATGGTATGGATACCCAGGTTGAGGAGGATATGGAGGATATCCGTTTGGCTGTGCATAGTAATGCTGGCGCTGAGCGTGATTGACTGGTGGGCTTACTTGCCTCTTCCGGCGTTCCTTTTCAATGGAAACTTCAGGATTGATGCGCCAATTGAAGCCTTTGCCTTCTTTGTCGCCTTTGACAAAAGCATCGTGCTGTCCAAGATTGTGCCTAACACTAGATTGCCAACCACTTGTAGTAGTCTTGAACTTGTACCAGGGGTACTTCTTCTCGATGTAGTTGTAAATCTGCTGGAGGTTCATCTGGCCACTAGTCGAGGAAGAGATGGCCTCATGGATGAGTACCACATAGTTGGCAGAGGGACGCTGCAACTGTTCTTCACTGTAGTCTTCAATGCGCATCTCGGGAGATGGTGTGCGCGGTGGTTTGATCGGCTGCTTTTGCTTGCCCTTGTCGCCCAGCATGGTGCCGTCACCCTTCTCAGTCGACTCCAAAACATCGTCACCATCCAAGTCTCCTGCATTCGAGTCCTTACGCTTCGTGATTTTAGGCTTGATGGACGGCGCAGGTATGTCCGCAGGGTCAATACCAGCAGCTTTGGCCCTTTCGATTTCCTTGGCCTGTTTGATGAGCTGCGAGCGCTGTCGTTTTGACATAATACCGTCCTTCGGGGGACGACCCGGACCCTTTCGCTTCTCTACTACATGGCCGACGAGGCTTTGGGGCAGATGGTGACGATCGGCCATTTCTTGGGTGATGAGACCTTCAATCTCTCCACCAGCTTCGATCTCAGCCTCGAGTGGCTTGCGCAATAGCGGAGGACTATCCGTCGGCACCGACTTGACGGGTACAGGCTGATCCTTGACAGGGGTCTCTTTCTTGATCGTGTCGGGAGTTGCCTCATCAGGAGCTGGTGTCTTCGACGGCGCCTTTGCAGGAGCTTTGCCTTTCTCTTTTGGTTCCTTCGGTTCTTTGAGCTCCTTGATCTCTTTGGGTGCCTCAATCTCTTTCTCCTTGACCTCCTTGGCTGGTTTGGTCTCTTTGGCAGCCTTGGGTTCTTTTGTTGGCGAAGCTCTGACCGGCTCTTCTTGAAGAGGTCTCATCTTTTTGACTTTCTTGATTGGTGATTCGTACGGAGAGTGCTCGTCCTCTTCCTGCTCACGTTCTCGCTCACGTTCTCGCTTTCTCTTCTTCTCCAGAGCCCTCTGCTTCTTCGACTTCTTTGGAGGAGGGGACGGCTCGCGCGGACGAGAGCGCGGTGGTTTGAGCTTGAGCTTGATCTTCTGCTTGGGTGCAGGCTCTTCGTACTCGCCCATATCTTCGTCGTTTGCATCTTCTTCCGAATCAATGTCACTATCGACAGGGTGATAGTACATTTGACGAGGATTGATGCTCATCTGTCCTTCACTGTCGGAGCTCACCTCCTCGTCACCCTCCATCTCGCCATTTCCGTTCTCGAACGAGAAGCTTATAGGTCGAGAACCCGACTCTTGTCGCAGACGCTGCTGTTCAGTGAGGGCAACATCAGGAAGGAAGAACTGGATGTTGACAGCTCCAATTGAGAGGTTGTCACCATGTTCGAGAGGAACGATTGCACCCTGTGGACAGAATTGGCCCTCGTGATGCAGTCCATTGTTCCCGAGGACCTCAATGCAGAAAGAGCCCTCTTCGAAGTTGTAGAAGATCTTCGCATGGCGACGTGAGATTCCCTTTGGCCCAGCGTTACCGGTCCTAGCGGTAACGTGCTCAGGGTGGATAGGAACGAGAGGGCAGTCATTGGGGTCCTCTGGAATGTGACCTTCAAACTGGTCAGGTCGCTCGGGAAAGGCCTGCATGATGACATCTTGCGGTGCACGTTCGGCGGCCTTCTCCCCAGCAGCATCGCCGTTCTGGTGGGAACCAGAACTGGCTGACTGGGATGGCTGTCGACCCTGCTGATACGCTAGGGGCATAGAGTCTATACGTGCGCTGACAATACCGCCCTTCTCACTGATGACGCTCGGGGCGCCACGGCCGTTGCGCTTGCGCTTCTTTCCATGCAGCAGCGCATGGGCGGCGGACAGATCGCCGCTCTTCTCCAGGTCGGCAACCTTGGCGAGACGCTTCATGTCTTTGCGCGCGAGAGCGAGGTTACGGCCAAGGATGATCTGATAGGTGTGCATGTAGTAGGAGCCGTCGTCAAAGCGCAGGCGCGCAAAGGCGTTGACGCGTTCGTCGCTGGCAAGGTCCTGGCCCGAGAAATCCATGGGCATGAGGTCGGGCGCCATGCCAAAGCCGCTCATGTCCATGTTCAGAGGCATGGGCGCCATGGAAGACATGTCCATGGCAAGGCTCATGTCGAGAGGCGGCGCGAGCGAGATGGGCGCATCCAAGGTCGGCAGGCCATTGGCTGCAGAATCAGCGGTCGCGGTGGCAGCAGGGTTCAGGTCGGCGGTGGACAGCGCGCCCTCACCCGAGACGAGGTCGGGGAGGGCAGGCGGTGCTGGCGCGGCAGGCGCATCGGGGGTCGCGGGCAGGGCGGAGGCGCCTTCCATGTCGGCGGCAGCTGTTTGCACGGGCGAGAGAGGGCCGTCGCTGGGTGCATGGTGGGGACGGGCATGGTCGAAGGGCGAGGGCTGAGACGCGCCGGGTGCTACGAGCATGCTGGCGTCTCCATCTTCGAAAAGGCGCAGAAGCTGGGGTTGAGGTGGCCGGTCGGAGTCGAGCGCCTGGTCGGACTCTGCGCGGAACGTTAGCACTTGCTCCGGCGGCGCGCCCGGCAGTTCGTCGCTGCGGCAGGAGCGCCTGACGCGTCGCGCGCACTCACCAGACTGGTCGCTGGACTGCGTGTCGGGCGTCAGCGTGGTTGTGAGGTGCAGGAAAGCGGTGCCCAGCGCGGTGAGGGCTTCCAGCGGCGATGGCGGTCGGTCCTGCGCGTGAGAGGCTTGCACGAGATGCGCTAGCTGTTGATTGGCGCCGTCGGGGAGAGCACGGCCGTCGCTCCTCTCTTGGCTGGCGTTGTTGTTGCTGGTGCTGATGTCCGCGGCTTCCTCATCTTCCTCATCAAAAAAGATATTGAGACCTTGGAGCTCCAGGTCCCACTCGTGCTGCCTGTAAGGCAGCCGCTCTTCCTGTATTGGAAAATCCTCAAGAGACCAGAGGCGTCCGTCTGCCTGCATCTTTGCGGGTTGCTATACAGTAGTTACTGCGCACGCAAGACTTGACAAAACTGTCTTTTAGAGCAGGTGAAGCGGAACGAATACATCCAGTGTAGGAGAGGAACAACGAAGTACCAAGCGATTTTGAATACTGAGCGCATCGGGCTTACCCTAAGGGTACTGTACGAACCAAGAGTGACGAACCCTAGTTATGGCTCCCAAAAAGACTGGAAAGGCTGCACCGGCTTCCAAGGGCCCTGCGCCTCCGCGACCAGCCCAACAGGCGCCGAATTGGCCTGCCTTCACGCCACTGATCCCGGAGTCAGACCTCTCGCTGCAGGAGATACTTCCGAGCCAGATCGTCACGATACCGAACTTCTTCACAGCGACTCTTTGCAAGAGCTATGTGTCATTCTTGTCCTCTCTTCCTTTGACCACAACCCCAGGCAAGCCGAAGAAGGGTGATGCAGTAAGAGTCAACGACCGTTTCCAGATCGATGACCCCGCTTTCGCCGAGAGGCTGTGGAGTGGGACTGCCCTTAAAAATCTGGTCACTGGAGTTGCAACTGGCGAGGGTCCGAACCTTACTGAGGATCAGCGCAAAGAGCTATGGGGCGGCGAGGTCATTGGCCTCAATCCAAACATCCGCATCTATCGATACTCGAAGGGCCAATTCTTCGACCAGCACTATGACGACTACAACAACGTGACTGTACCAGGCTCGCCACCAGTGCCCGGGCGCACAACGTGGACTCTTCTGCTCTACCTCACATCTCCTGCTACGGGGTGCATAGGTGGCGAAACAGTCTTCTATCCCGACCCTCCTAAGAAGAAGAGTAGGGAACCGCCGCCAGAGCCATTTGTCGTTGGGCTCGAAGTTGGCCTTGCACTTCTGCACAAGCACGGCGCAGATTGTATGCTGCACGAGGGTCGCGAAGTGCTGCAGGGCGAGAAATGGGTTATCAGAAGTGACCTATGTGTCAAGCGATGATATGTTCATACCTCGACTGCGACAAACAGAGCTAGCTGCGTTCGACCTGCTTGGAAAGTGCTGTCCACCGTACGCTGCCTGACCGATGCACTCCGCCAATAGATTGTGCCTGGGCACCTTTGTCTACGCAGCCAGCACGTGAGTATGTCCTCACTACACGGTTCTCTAAATCGATTCGTTTGCATGCGACTGCAACCACTGTAGCACATAGATGCTGCAACGCGTGTGGTTGCTGGCAATGATGACTCAGCAAGGCTCTCATCATTTTGTTCACTACATTTCTTGAGCATCTGATCAGAGGCGCGCTCATGGTTCTGATTTCGATGTATAAAGCTTGACTTGAAGTCAGATCAGACACCTTGTAAGGGAGCTGTCGTTTCTTGGAATCTCGCGCATGTTCGTAACCACTGTGTAAGCCGCTACGCGACAGTCATGACAGTATCTACACACACACACACACACACACACACCAACCCTACTCCGAAATCAAAAAGCCCTTGACTACCTAGAAGCACAGTAGTCTCTCCATCAGCACTGCTACTCTTCGTCACGTCGCTGGCCTCCGCAGCTACTCCACAGCGTCTGCGCACTTGTTCAAAACGATTCCCACGAGCCCACGATATTGCCTGAGAACAGTTTCATCTGCCGCTCCCTCTACGATCCAACGGCCTACTCTACATACACTAAACTACATACATTATGACCGCCGAATGCCTTATCGGACACAACCCTAGGACGTTTATCTGCGCTGGCCCCATACGAACAAGGATAGCGTCTACACAACACATGTCGGTGCGTTCACACGAGTGGCAGCCTGAGTTGCGGCAACGCTGGTGACGTTCAGCTTGGGTTTCGTACCATATTCGCTTGTGCGGGAGGCAGATTTAGCCTCTCACGCTTGGCGGTTCATAAGGTGTTTCACCTTCACAAGCTAACGTCTATCGGCTAGCCGGCATATGCGATGCTTCCAACACCGTCTCAGAACGGCTGACTCGCACTCAAGATGGTTGTTCGGTTCTCAAAGGGATAGCGACGCGCTCTGCCGACCCGTGAGCGGCAATCGATGTCAAACATGTCTTGTCGCAACTCAACCATGTGGGCCGATCCGCATGCCTCCGAGTACTTACTCTCACGGACGCCCTGCTGCCTCTGGCTCTCCAGCTGCGCTCAACTTCTATTCTCGTACCCTATTTCACCGACCCGGCGTCGCGACCTTAATCACACAACATGCCTCGACACCAGTATACAGACGTCCGGCCACAGGACCATCACGATGATGACTCGTCGACCGAAGTCGAATCTCTCGCTGGCGGTGAGAAAGCATGGACCTCGAATGATTACACACAACCATCAAGATCACGGAGAGATATACTATGCCCACCGTGCCTATCAGCCCTGAGATGGTTCCTGGTGATCGCACTTCAAGTTGTAATCGTCGGTCTGCTGGCACGGGAACAAGGCCTGCTGATGGACTCAAAATGGACGCGTGCAGCAACAACTAGCGAGAAGGAAGTCGGCGGTGACATGACCGGTTGGGGTCCACACAGTACTTTGCTTCCACCTCCAGCATTTCCCACCAGCTAACACTCTGCAGTCCCCACCAAGATCACAACCTTCCAGATCAACCAAACATTTGCGCCATACAACACATCCGACTTCTTCAAGCCCGAAGTCCTGGCCGCCTGGAACGAGCTTATTCCCGTAGGCATGGGCTTCCAGCACATCAAGCGGCCCGAGCTCTACCACGACCTGCCGACGCCCATCGTCTGGGACCAGAACAAGACCGTCTTCACTACGAGCATGACGCACCAGCTGCACTGCCTGTACGCAGTGGTGGAAGTCTACTCCGGGCTGACCAGCGGCACAAAGCTGCCCGAGGACCACCACTGGCACATGATCCACTGCTTTGATTACATGCGCCAGGCCATCATGTGCAGTGCGGATATCGCGCTCGAGGGGCTTGAGACGACATTCCCCGATCACAACGGTGGGAGTGATGGGTGGGATTCGAAGCATGTCTGCAGGGACTACAGTCAGGTCAAGTCGCATCTGGAGAAGGTGCGGGCATACAGCGATCAGGAGATTTTCTAGATGGAGTTAAGAACGACGGAAGATTCACGATGTAATACCAGAATTGACAGAGGCTGCCTCCACATTTGTGTCACCAATCGCGAGTACAAAGTGCCAAGTGCTCTTTTGTATATGTATGATATGGTGTTGGAAAACAGTAGAGTGACGCACTTGTATGGCTCAGTGAATTGATGACCTCTGGTCGGCTTTCAGTGGAAGTAAATACACATCCTCACTGAACCACCACATCCTTATAGACACTACACAATCTCCCCTCCCTCCACACCCCCCTGATATTCAACGTATCACCAATATCCACCAACGGATCCCCCTCCACAAGCAACAAATCCGCCCACCGTCCCCCCTCCAACCTCCCCCGATCCCCAAACCCAAATCGCTCCGCCGTCAAACTCGTCGCCGACCGCAATGCCTCCGCAGGCGTCATCCCAATCTCGCTCACAAACACGCTCAGCTCGTGGTGCATACTCAACCCGAACGCGGTCCCCCGCGCCGGCCCCGCCGCATCCGAGCCACACAGGATGTCGACACCAGCATCGCGCAGCGCGCGCACCGACGCATACGCATGTGCGATTTTCCCGTGCTGCGCCGCGAACGCCATGCAGGCGCACATGTTGCTGCGCTTGTCTTCGCTGAAGAGGTGCTGGACGCGGGGGTCGTGGGCGAATTTGTGCTGCAGGGCTGCGCCCTCGGTGGTGAGGCTGGCGATGGCGGCGAGGGTGGGGTTGCACCAGGCGTTGTTTTTCTTGTAGGCGGCGATGAGTTCGGGGGTGGGGGGCTGGTCGCAGAAGGTGTGTGTCAGGCCGTTGACGCCGGCGTGGAGGACGTCGAGGGTGTCTTGCAGGGAGAGGGCGTGGGCGACGGTGAGGTAGTTGCGTTTTTGGGACTCTTCCACGATTATGCGCTGTAGTTCTGGGGTGGGCTGTGAGAATTGCTGGCCCATTGCTGTGCCGGATTCGTGCATGAGTTTGATGAAGTCGGGCGCCATTTCGCGGGTGGTCCAGTCTAGATACTCCACTACACTCTTCCTGTCGGTGAGCTTTGGCCATTTTGCTATTTCAGCGAGCGTTTCGGGGCTCTTGTCATGAGCCGTAATGACAGGAATAGGCCATCCATTCTCAATAGTCGCTGCTTGGCCGGCCGTTTTGTAGGCGGCGGTGTCTGGCTCATTGGTTTGCTTTTTCAGTTTGAGCACATTGGGCAACTCGTTGTGCATATCAACGACCGTTGTCACGCCGAACCGAAGAGCTTGTGGAAGTGCCTCGGGATCGCCTCTGTCCGCGTGGATATGGCAGTCAATGAGTCCGGGTAGAAGTGTGTGGTTGGGCTTGGAGTATACGTCGACAGAGGTCTCCAATTGCGGAATGCTGGACGTTGGGCCTACTGATTTGATCTTGCCATCTTCGACTAAAATATAACCTTGATCGATGGTGGACTCGCCAGTGAATATACGAACATCGCGTAGCATGAAAGAAGACATGGTAGGTGGTCGAATGCGTCGTGAAGGAGAAGACTGGCTATCGTTTCGACAAATAGGTATGAGCTCTTCGAGTACTCGGGTTTTCGCCTTCATGCAGACTCGGAGCAAGCTGTCGGGAGCGGCGGGTAGTGCTTACAGGCTGACAGGTGGTGAGACGGCGACGATGTTACCTATACAGAAATGGACTAACAGCCGAAGACGCTGCAAGCGCGAGATCGCCGAATTGGATACTCTGGTTAAGTCTATTAAACCCGGTCAAAAGCTTCGCGCTAGCGAGACAGCTGCAAGTCAGTCTTACTAGGTAGGTACTTGAAGTGGTTGTCTCTTGACATTTAATATTTTTAATGGTTTTCTCTCTCGACCTACTTCGCTGTACATTAAAAGTCGGCATGGAGCACTAATATAGTAACCGAGAATTGTAGTCAATGGCTGAATGCTATTGTGGAAATGCTCGGCCCGCAATTGGGGTTGGGGAGCCGAAGCGCGGCTGCACGAGGCGCAAAAGACGGGAATGCAGGAGGGAAAAACGAAGATCCAAGCGGAGGTAGCTGGGTATCGACGATGATGTCATACCGTGAACACAACAATGCTCGGAGTTTCCGCTGCTTCCAGTGTAATTCTTTGGGGCTGGAACGGCTGATACGACTGCTTCTGTGGTGTGGATTTAAGGCCTTGAGCGGCCGCGCAACGACTCTATATAAGTCATCTGAAGCAAATTTCCTTGTCTCTTGAATAAAATATCATTCAACTGGTAAGTCTCGGAAGTTGGAGTGAGAATGAGAAGAAAGCTACAGGAACCGAAAGTATATAAGGCGTCCTCCAGTATTCTACTAAGCGGCTTGAATTTTATCGCGCTCTCATTAGTACTTCAAAGGGTAGCTTGTGACTTCGCATGGAAGCTTAGATATTTAATTTGTCAATTGAGACGAAGATTCTAGTGTCTGAATCTGCTAGTTAGACTTAGGAGTAGATGTGAAGAAGAAAGCAAGAAAGTGGACGATTCGATAAACCTCAACACCTTCTAAGTCTCTGTCAGCCGCCATGAATTACCTTCATCTAATAATTCTACTTTGGCTTGCTCCCCGCGCGTCTTTATTTGATCTGGTGTCGAGAGTCGATTATTTCCAGTCTCTTCACACCACAATAGCGCAAGCGCGGAGGATTTCCAGTAGGGCAAATCTCGTGTCTGAGATACTGTCGTGATGAAGAAACCAGATATTAGGAGATGTAGTACAATTGGAAAGATCAGCCATAGGAAGGTCACTTGGATGACAGGCTCTTTTTTATAAGCTATGCCAGCCGTAGTAATGCTGCTATGGGCTGTGCGGAATCTGAAGAGACTTAGACTTAGCGCACGTGATAAGGCGAAGAGTTGGGACTTACGTATTAGATAAACTTGCAGCTATGCTATCCATGCGGCGCTCGTAACCTTTGATACCATGGTCCGCATCATGGTTACATACGCCTGGATCTGGACCAAGAACATCGAAACCCAGGTTTGGCGCCCAATTGGAATAGACGTAGTAATGATCACCCAGTCCACCCCAGTAGGCTTTGATGTCCAGAGTAATGGCCAGCTGCCCAGATATCGTTGTCAGAGTACGGCCGAATATACAAAATCTGTCGGTCGTATCGGGCAACTCAGTGCAGAATTCGTCACCTGTCAAGTGACTTTCAATTGTCCACTTCGCGTTCAACCCTTCCGAGAGGACGGTAGTTTGCATCCCAGAAGCATTGTAGGATGAATTGTGGGTTTGAACGCAAAGATTGAAAGTGGCTTTGTGTGCTTTCCATCCCTTCGGGTCCTCCCTTCCAGCCTGGTCGTTCGTGCCGAGACATGGGTCAAAGTAAGTAAGGTAAACCTGAGCCAGATCAGATAGATGAGTTTCTGTGTTGTTCGGAGTAGCGCGTGAATGAACGATCTTAGTGAGGTTTGCGTCATCAGATATGTACTAATCTGCGGCGAAGAACCTGCTCTGTGCGCAAAAAGTTCCCATGGCCTGGAATTTACCCTTTTCTGATTGAACGTCATCTTCCCCGAGGAGCACGCGCGGTGATTTTGTCCCCTCAAACGAAAGCATATGGTCAGCTTCTTCTACTCGTGAGCAGATTGCGAGTGTATGGTATGGCTCCCAAGAGCATCTCTCCTTCCCACAATAGCTCGTGATATCATTGTGACTTACGTCAGCTAGCAAGCCAGTCTCAATCGCGTTTTTAACGTAGACGTCCATATAGCTTGACTCCCACCAGGTGCCTAGGTCTGCTTGGTCATAAAAGGCGTTAGTTGAGGCAGAGTTGACGAACGTTCGATATCGAATAGCGCGAGGAAGCGAGGCGGACTCAATACCAGGAAACTCCAATTCGATTACGTCAACCTGCACAGCTTGCTGCACAAATGTTGGAAACGCTAGCAGCAGTATGGTAGACAATGCACCAAGTGAAGCCAAATTCCTACTACGTTAGCTTATGTGTACTGAAAATGTCGAATATTCTCACTGTTTGAAAGCCAAATACCAAAGGAGGCGTATACTCCCATATGGACCACGACTTGCTAGATCGAATCATTCTATATCCATAGCCGGGCGGCGAATAGAGAAGACCCAATTCCATTTCAGTTGAGCAATAGAAGAGGCAGTTGGGACCAGCAAGGCCGACTGAGAAACTTGTGCGAGTGCTGCAACGAATGCCGTAATCGAAATATCTGACTTCCAGTCCTTTTGTAGCACTCCATTTGAGACGGAAATAAGTGTGATATTTGCCAGGAAGCCAATTGCGCCCAGGAGCCAACTGAATATTTCCCACCTCCAGATTTGGAATAGCTGGAGTAGAGATGTACGGTGTCGGTCTGGTGTTGTATCGTCCGACTGACTACGGTCTTGCATTTCCAGCAAAACCTGTGTCTCGTTGATTTGAATTGTTCTTGGAGAAGCAGCTCTAACAGTAACCGAAGCTTGGGGAATGGGATCATGTTCGCCTGGTGCTTGCAGTGATTGGCTCACAAGATGTAAAGCAGAGGCCCCAGTCTGACGCTCGATCGATCTGTTGGATCTCTCGCTGTCGATATAGGTTTGTTGTGTCGAAATCCCGTGGGAGTTGTGACGTAAAGTTTCTTGTAACGATGGACCACTCGTTGAGCATTCTCTGGTGACTTGGCCGTTCTTGAGATTTAAATGGGGTTTGCCTGATGGGACTGCAGTATGGGCCATGGCGATAGCTATTCCACGCTCTAATCTCGGACTGATGGACAGGACGGAGGGGAGCAACAGCGTAAATCCACTTATAGGTATTCTGACCACGTGCAAGGCTGTCACATCAACTATCAGCTCATCTCCTCGGCAGATATTGTCTTGTTCGACAATACATGGCTGAGACTAGATGCATCCATCATGATTGCGCCCATCACAATCCAACCACCCATGGAGCTCGAGTCCATACGTTAACCATGAGATCACTGAATGCCAAGTCGTCCTTCTGGCAGGCTGAGACGTGAGTTGCGCAGGGGGGCTGTCGATCAGCTTCTACCTAGGATGAGCGACAGCTTACGCGCGTCGCGAATGCGGGTGCCACCCACATGAACGACATATGGGGGCCGCATAGCAAAACCGCCGAAGCTTACGATGATAGCGATGTAGTCATATCGATTGCATTGCGAACAGGTCATTCACTGGGGTGAGGTGGCAGAAGGCGCTAGCACCGGCTGAGAGTAGAAAAGTGGGCCCTCGTTAAACGTTTACGGCATCACCATGATTACCTCACCGTTCTGCAAGCTGTCCCGACAGACGACGACCCACGCGTGCGCCCTCGTATGTTCCCTTCTGAAGACCCAATTGATAGCTTTGCGCGATATTCTCGGATCGTGACCGTCTATCTGCAGGCTCTGTGATGGCGACGTAATGATGACCACTTTCTCATCGAGTGCCAATGCACTCAGTCCATGGGCGTGCGCCTTGTTGCCACTATTGGTGAGATACCATGGATGACAGCATACACGTGCTGACTCGCGTGAGCCAGGCTGTCTTCCTCTACGGTGTCTACAATGTTTGGGTCCACCCCTTACGTAAATACCCCGGACCGATCCTGTGGTGTGCATACCGGGCCCCGTATGTAGTATCAACACATAGAGGGCAACTTCACAGGCGGCTAAAGGACTTTCATACCACCTATGGACCGGTGGTTCGAATCGCCCCGGATGAGCTTTCTTACGCTGACAGCAGAGCGTGGAAAGACATCTATACAAGTCGGCCAGGCCACCAGCTTTTCCAAAAGAACAAGACATGGTTCAAGAAACAATCTCCAGATGAGCCCCAGTCGATCATGAGTTTTGATGAAGCTGCCCATTCGCGGTTCAGACGCGCATTTGCACCAGCCTTTTCGGATACAGCCTTGAGGGAGCAAGCGCCGATAGTAGAAGGTTACGTCGACTCATTGGTCTCAAAGTTACGAGACTCAAAGCTCCGTAGCGTAGATTTGGAGCTGTTGCTTGAGTGTATGGCCTTTGACATTAGCAGCGACCTATCCTTTGCTGATTCTTTCGGCTCTCTCGAGGGTGGCAAGACGCATCCTTGGGTCGAAATTGCCAAAGGTTTCGGCAAAGGCCTTGCACTCATCGCCTCAATTAACCAGTATCCGCCGGTAGATCGTGTTCTACGGTTGATAATCCCCAAAAAGGTCATTGAAAAGATGAAAGACCACGCCATGATGAGCAGCGCCATGGCACAAAAGCGCCTGAGCATGAAGACTGACCGGCCAGACTTCGTGACGGCGACTAAGAAGTACGTTGACGCGAAAGGGGGGATCGAAGGAAAAGAATGGGACATCAACCTCATGATTATGGTCTTCTCTGGAAGCGAGACATTGGCCTCTTCGCTCACTGCCATCTTCCGCGAACTCGTCCAACATCCAGGCGCTCTCCAACGTCTGACTACTGAGATTCGCTCCACCTTTGTGTCGGAAGAAGAGATCACCTTAGCTTCAACGACCCACCTCCCATACCTGAACGCCGTCATAGACGAAGGCCTCCGCCTCGACCCACCCGCACCGGTGACCCCACCCAAAGTCGTTCCTGCAGAGGGAGACATAGTGTGCGATCGCTTTGTTCCAGGCGGCGTAAGGAATCCACCCTCCTATATTTACCGGAGATGTAGAAACACAAGCTAATCCCGCACAGACATACGTTGCCTATAACCAATACTCGGGCAACAGGCAAGCCTACAATTTCCATCTGCCGAATACCTTCCTACCTGAACGTTTTTTGCCATCTCATCGGAATGAGAAGGACGACATGGCCAGCTTCCAGCCGTTCCACATGGGCAGACATCAGTGCATCGGGGTGAAACTAGCATATGCCGAGATGAGGATTGCCATTTCGAGAATTGTATACTCATTCGACCTGCGGCTGGCAGACGCAAAAGACACATTCGATTGGGGTGATCAGTCGACATACATATTCTGGGAGAAGCGGCCACTCAAGGTGGTCATCACTCATGCAGAGTAGTGACGGGTGTCCAAAATGGGAACGAAACCTGCATAAGGAAATCAGCGCTCGTTTTACGGGTCAGTTTATAGTTTGCTCGTATCTGTTGCTCGAATGTTAACTTAATCTTGTATCGCCACCTCAGTATCAATTCAATACCCTTCCCAATTTGCTCTTGCATCGGCAACGTTCACATTCGCCGATCTTTGCCAGTGGAAGACGTCGACGAAGACCCACTTCCCGTCGCCGCTTCTAGCGGCCGCTCGCAACTCCGCGACCCACGATAATCACGAGCAAGTCAAGGATCGAATCCACTGCCAATAGTGTCTCGTGAGCCACCATGCAGCAACCAGTAGGCGAGCACCGCAGGATTGCATAGCCGAGAGGTCGTGCTCGTGGTACGGATGCCATATCTCCACCTTTGTTGGGAAAAGCATGCTAAATGACCACTTTCGCTGACACGCAGGACGCTAATGCGAGTTCGGAATTTGCTGGTCGGACTAGCGAGCATCATGACATGACTTCGAGGCATTTTGCTTTCGGCGCTGGTGGAGATTATGTGCGTGGGATCGGCGCAGAGGTCTCAACCTGTAACGCCCATTGGACTTGCTGCCAACTTTCCCAACACCGCCGTGGACAGCGCAGCCTCAATGTCAGCTCTGCAGTATCCGCACGTGCTGGGAGGACTCTGGCGAGCTTGTCGCGTCACAGTGTGCCGCGTGTGCTGACCTCGCCGTGGCAGGCGACTCCGCAATTTAATGTATGTACGCGCCGCCAACATTTAGCTCACATTCAAGCCAAAAGCGGGGCTATTCAATAGGCCTTGCATGCTATTCTAGGTCATTTGCGGCCTTTTCCCCCACATCTGGGTCATTTATCAGCCGTTGTCCTGCATGGCGCCTGCAGGGAGCTCCTACCACTGCCCAACCTCTTGTTCGTCCAGGAAAGTAACAACGGTCCAGCCTCAATCTGGTCTCGTCGAGTAGATCTAAGCATGTTGGCTCACTTTATCGGACGCCTGAGGGCTTTTCATGCTGTTGGTCATTGTTCTCAGCGCCTTGCGTGAGGCAGACTTGCTTGCTTTGCCGCAATTGTGTGGAGGCGATGTCAAACCGCCAACACACATGACAGGGCCGTACGAATGGAGGCTCAACACCAAAAGCAGCGCCTTGCGGCTCAGGCAGGCAGGACGCATGCACTCCCGTCGTAACGCCCAGGGTCCTCGCTCAGACCTCCCATTCGAACGTATCAGCGCTTACAGCGAGACAAGGTTTAGGACCCGCCTGCTGTTCTGGGCAAGGTGCCATCTATTACACTCGCGCTAGGTGCAGTTCCAGGTCACACCAGCTCTAGGATGCATACCGCCTCACGGGTAGCAGAGGGATCTTTCGGTCGCGAACATGGTCGCTCCGCTTAGTGGCATGCACAGGGTGCGTGGGCTAGCTGCAGGTGCGGTCTGTCCAACGTCAAAGAGCAGGGATGTGGGAAACCCGGAAAGCAGTATAAGAAACTTAACCGCCTGGTAACAGTAGCTGCACGCCAGCAGCACCGATTGTCTCTCACGGTGAAGGTGAAGGCCAAAGCGAGCAGTGTGGAAAACTCTTCGTGCCCTTCAAATTCAGTCCCATAACCTTCCCACTCTCCCACTACCTTTGACTTCAACCTCCCAAAACCTTTCCAATCTTCGCCACCATGCGTTTCTCCCTCTCAGCAACCGTAACGGCACTGGCCCTCCTGGCAACCACCATCAATGGTCTCCCCACCAAGCAAAAGCCTACCTACACTCCCGCCACCAACCTTGACAACCTCGCCAAACTCATGCCCAAGAGCGCTCTCCCCGCCCCCGACGGCCTGACTCTCAAATACGTCGTCCTCGGCATCGGCACGCAGAACTACACTTGCGGAGACGACGAGTCCGCCGCCCCAGGCACCACCGGCGCCACTGGTATGTCACTTCTATCTCACCCCACTCCACTTCTACTTGACTAATCTCCCCCACAGCTGCTCTCTACGACATCGGCACCCCCCTCTCGACCTCCCCCTTCGCGCGCTGGACCCTGCCCTCCATCTCCCCGCTCGCGCTCTCACTGTCCTCGCGCCCCTCCGCATTCACCCAGAACCTGCAGTCCTTGGGCTACTCCCACCTGATCGGGCACCACTTCTTCGCAGGCGCATCCCCCGTCTTCGCACTCGACCAACTCGCCTCCCCGTACCCGTTCACGGCGCTCGGGAAAGTCGCCGAGACCGATGCGCCCGCGGCGTCGTGCCCGGGCACCAAGGGCGAGGGCGCGATCAAGTGGCTGCTGCTGAAGGACGCAAAGGGGCTTAGCCGCGGCGGCATCGACACGGTGTACAGGATCGAGACGGCGGGGGGCAACAAGCCGGCGACGTGCACGGGGAAGGGGGGCAAGGCGTTTGAGGTCGCGTATAGTGCGCAGTGTAAGTGGTGTCCTCCTCCTGGACTAGCGATTGGCGTGCTGACCTGAGTGTAGACTGGATCTTCGGGCCCAAGACTGGGTACTAGAGCAGCACGCATGGCTGCCGCGCGTGTCTGTGTTGCTGGCCCCGTGCCTTGTTACGCCGGCGCTTGCACGCTTCTACTGCGTCGCGTCCGCGATGACTGCACTGCGTACCACTCGCTCTTCGTTTCTTCCCACTGTTTTTTAGTTCGCAGTTCTTCGCTTCTCTGTACCTACTTGTGCGATACCCTTAGTCGCCCGCGCGGCGCATAATACGTAAAGCGGAGGACCCTATAATCTCGCGATTGCGGATGGCTTCAATGACACAGCTCCCGGAGCCAATAACCCTGACTACCTTGCTCTGTGTGCTGCTACTTCTTGTGATACCATATCTTGTGCTCTGCTGCCAGCCCCGTGGAGAGGCTGGGGTGTGACTTCGTGCTCGAGGGCCCTGCCTCGTCGTACCGCCGTTGCGCCGTGGAACCCCCACTCTTCTGTGGTGACAGGAGGGACGACTCAGCCTTGTTTGTGCCTCGCTAAGCGCTGTTTGTGTGAGACTGCATGTGTACTGTCCTGTCAGCCGTGGTGTGTCCTCCTTGGTCTGCGGTCGTGCAGGTAGGCGCGTGCGTTGCTCCAGAGTGCTGGTAGTATGCCATGCCTCCGCTGGTATCTGTGATATCAACTGCGATGTGCCACGCAAGACGCTTCAAGTTGGTATTCGTCGTCATCGTTGATCGGAAACGGACGCGCGCGTCTACGCTCTTCGTCGACCTGTCGCTGTGTGCGAATCCGTTAGTGCCATGTTAGCAACCAAGAAAGAAGCCGACACATAGACACTTCAAACACATCGCACGCGCGTCCGCCGCTGGGTAGACAATAACTTCGTTTCAAGATGGTGTACATGTACATTTTACAACGCCAACCGACAACCCAAAACACGCTGTCCGAGGAGAGTAGTAGTAATTACAAGATTCTGAAGCCCCGAGTACACGCAACACGCAACACCAGCAGCAGCGACAACACCTAGTCCTATCTCATGCCGAAGCCGCCGGCGCCGGCGGCCGCGCCCATGGCGCCCAGTCGGCTGGCCAGCTTGGGGTACTTCTCCTGGACCTCGAGCTGGGTCCGTGTGGCCTCGGCGTAGCTAAGGGCGTTGACGATCTCGCCTTCTGTCCGGGAGAGCTCGGCGGCGCGCTCGAAGTATTTGAGGGCCTCGGTGACCTTGCCCTGCTGGAGGAGGAGTTGGGCCATTGTGGCGACAGCGATGTCGCACTCGGGGTCGATGATGAGGGCCTTTTCGCACAGCTTCTCGGCCTCGTTGAAGTCGTTCTTCCACTGGAAGAGGGCGAGGGCCTTGTTAATGAGGGGCAGAACGTTCATGCCGAGCGGCTTGCTGCTCTTCTCCATCTCGACGGCGGTGTCAAACTTCTCGATGGCCTCCTGGTACTTTTGCTGGTCGAGCAGCAGCTCGCCGTAGTAGTTGTAGACGTCGGGAACCTGGGAGAAGTTCTTCATGCAGCGGCGGAAGGTGGCCATGGACGAGGCGATGGAGCCCATCTTGTACTGTGTGACACCGAGCTGGATGTGCGAGAAGATGAAGGTCTCATCGAGGTCGATGGAGCGCTGGTAGTCCTTGGCGGCCTCACCGAACTCGGACTTGATGAAGTGCAGTTGTGCGCGGTGGTAGAAGATGTCGGGGTCGGTCTCGTTCTGGGCAAGGGCGGTCGCGAAGTCGGCTTCGGCGGCCTCGGGGTTGGCTGTGAAGGTCAGTGGCTGCTTAGTGATGTCAATCAGGGCACGTACCGAGTTCCAGGTGCATGCTGGCGCGCTTGATGAAGCTCTGTGTCAGCGCCGGTTGCAGCTCGACGCTCTTGTCCATGTCCTCCAGGGCATCCTCGTTGTCGCCCTTGAGGTAGCGGAAGGTGCCGCGCATGTTGTAGGCAAAGGCCTCGTGCTCGCCAAGGTCGCCCAGCTCCAGGGCGCGGTCGAAGGCAGACGCCGCCTCGGCGTAGCCCTCGCCCGTCTTGGTGGCCATGGCCTGCAGACCCTTGCGCAGCTGGCCCTTGCCGCTGTCCTCGGCCAGCTCGGCATCGTCGTCGAGGCCGGCGGGCGCGGGCTTGGGGCGGAAGCTCTGCAGGTAGTTGGTGACGAAGGTCGGGCTGGGCAGCTTCTTCTCCTTGGAGGCCAGGATGGCCTTGCCCTTCTGCTCGGCGACCTTCTTCAGCAGGCGCTCAACGCTCTGGGCGCTGCTCTCGTTGCGGAAGCCGTCGATGATGCAGCTGGCTGTGTAGTCGAGCAGGGCCTCGCTGTTGCGCTCGACCTGCTCGTAGGCGTTGGCGCGGCGGTTCAGGGCCTTGACGTACTCGTTGTCGAGGTTGATGGCGGCTGTGGTGTCGTCGATGACCTTGTCCCAGTCGGACATGGCGTTGTAGCAGGCGGCGCGGTTCGAGTAGAAGACGGGGTCCTGCTTGCACAGGATGGCCTTGCCGTACAGGCCGATGGCGCGGTTGTAGTCCTTGGACCCATAGGCCTTGTTGCCGGCAGCCTTGAGCTTGGCGGCGTATTCCTTGCGCTCCTGCATCTTGTTAGCCACGTCCGCGTCCCGGCGAGTGTCTGCGCACCTCTTCCGACAGCGCGCCCACTGTGCTCTCGTCCACCTCCGGCAGCTCGTCCTCGGCGGCCGCGACCGACGCCTTCTCCGCCTTGGGCTCGTCCTTGGGCTCGCTCGCCTTCGCGGCGCGCTCCTTCTCGCGCCGCCGCTCGCGCTGCTTCTTGCGCTTGTTTGCTGTGGCGCCCGCGGATCCGTCTGATGTCGAGTCTGTCGAGTTGAGGTAGTAGATGGCGCCGCCCGCGCCGACGACAAGCGTCACGCCCGCAATGGTGTAGACGACGCCCTTGTTCTCGGCGGCCCAGCTGCTCAGCCGGTCCCACAGCGAGCTGGTGCCGGGCTCGGGAATGCCTACGGGGAACGGCCCCGGGGCGCTGAGCACCGGGGCGGGTGCGTTGCCGGAGATGTTGGCCATGGTTCAAATCGCACGGATATTAAAGTGATGAGAATACAAAGGCGAAGGGCAGGGCGCAATGGCGTGGTGATGGGGCGGCGCTGCAGAAGCTGCGCGTCAAAGATTAAGTGGCCCATGCTCGGATGACTTCATGGTCGTCCTTGCCAAACACGTCAACACGCACGCCGCCAGTTTCCACTTTCTGCCATGCGCCGCGCTCCAGTGGCCAGCAGTCCCCGCCTGGCGTGCGTGCAGTATCTGAACGTCTCTTCACCCCTCATCTCTTCACCAGGGCTCCAAACCTAGTTCGTCGTTTCTTTCACGTGACAGACAGATGCTGGTTGTGTACGAAGCAGCTCTCATGTCAGTGTACGAAGCAGCTCTCATGTCAGTGCACCGAGCTTCTTTGCTCATGTGATGAATATCATCCTCATGTCGCCCATGCAAGTGTGATCAGATACTGAGAGTCTCCCTTGATGTGTTGCTGCCGGTGCGGCGACATTGCCGGCGTAAGCGGAGTTTAGAGTCAAAGTAGTGGACCACCGCCATCCACGCATCAACAACACATCAGAGCAGAGCATTGGCATTTACAGGCACATTTGACCATTATTTACTAACAACCATCACAGAGCACCCCTCACACCCCACCAAATACCAGAGAGCCAAATATCAGAGAGCTAAACACCAAGCCAAACACCAGAGAACCAAACACCGGAAAAGCAGCCCATTCCACACCCCCAGCACGACGACGTCCCAAGAGACCTCGAGCACCCAAACCACCCACCATGCCCCCAACCTTCCAACTCTTCACCTCCCTCCGCTACGACCCCCTCCTCCTAACCAGCCCCGAAAACTCCCGCCCGGATCTGAACTTCCTTGCCCCCTCGCCTTTCTACATGCTCGCCTACCACCGCGACCGCATGGTCGAAGCCGCGCAGCACTTTGACTTCGCGCCCGTGGTCGCCGCGCTCGCCGACGGCGCCGCCCTGCACGCCACGCTACTCGGGGAAGTGCGTGCGTGGCAGGAGAAAGAGGGGAGCCGTGACGGGCCGCTGAAAGTGCGCGTCTGCTTCGACGCCGCGGGGAGCATGACCGTGAACTTCGTGCCTGTCCCGCCGGTCCCGCTGGCCACGCTGTACCCGACGAGTTTCGCGCCGCCGCGCGAGCCGGCGCAAAAGCACCCCGCGCAGGCCTTCACGCCGTCGCCGCTGACAGGCGGTGCCCTGACCCTCGGACCCACCGACTCGCTGCCCGCGGGGAACCAGGACCCAAAGCCCTTCACGCCCTCGCCGCTCACCGGCGGCGCCTTGACACTAGGACCCTCCGACTCGCTGCCCGCGGGGAACCAGGACCCCAACGCCGCCCCCAGAGCAGCAGAGTGGCTGCTCCACCTCGACACCGCGCCGACCCCGCGCACGCCCTTCACGCTGCTGAAAACCACGCAGCGGGGCCCGTACACCGCGAGTCGGGCGCGGGCGATTCCTGCTGTCAAACCGGCAGTTTCGTCTGACCCGCCGAGTGCACCGAGTTCAGCAGCCGTCTCCCCCGCGGCACTGACGGACGTGATCCTCTTCAACGCCGTGCGCGAAGTCACAGAGTCCACGCTCGCATCGCTGTATTTCTGGCGTGGCGGGAAATGGGTCACGCCGCCCGTGGGCGTGCCGGAGGCGTACAAACTGCCCTCTGCACACCCTCCGTCATCTCAGCAAGACGTCAGCGAAGACAGGGACATCGCCGAAAACACAGACATCAGCGAACCCCTCGACATCGACACCACAGACACTGACCCCAGCACCGCCGCAGACGAAGGCGAACTCCGCGCCCCCTTCGCCGGCCGCTGGGGCCACAGCGTGCGCAGCGCCAAAGTCGGCGCCGGCGGACAGCGCGGCACGAGTCGGCGGTGGGCGCTGGGGAAGGGGTTTTGCATGGAGGAGGGCGTGGATGTAGAGACGGTGCGGGTTGGGGAGGGGGTGTGGGTTAGCAATGGGGTGAGGGGGTTTGGGTGGGGGAGGGTTGTTGGGTAGAGTGGGATGGTGTGAGTATGGGTATGGGTGTGGGTATGGGTGTGGGGTTGAGGAGGAGGGGAGGTGAACAGCGCGGTCAGAGAGTATTAAGCATCTAGTGCTGCGCGTGAATTCGCTACGCCGGTCTATCTATAGTCTTTGCAAAACCCACAGTAATTCTCCGAGATCCTGCTTCTGCATCTGCGTCTGCGTCTGCGTCTGCGTCTGCGTCTGCATCTGCATCTGCATCTGCATCTACATCTTTTCCCACACTCTTCTACAGTCCTCTGCGCGCACTACTCCCCGCTCAGCTGCAGGATAAGCGTGCTCGCCACGTCCAGGAACGGAAACGGACTCGTGCACACCTTCTCGCCCTCGGTACGGCCGACACCGACCTCCTCGGTGCGCTCGCGCAACACGCCGCGGCCGCCGCGCAACTCGCTCGCCACGTCCTCGGGCAGCGGCTCGCCGTCGTCCAGACGCCGCCACACGCCCTGCTCGTCGTCCCAGCCGTCCTCGTGCATGTGCTTGCTGCGGTGGCTCGACGAAAAGTCCGCCTCGTCGAGGTTGGGGTTCGCCTTGATCTCGCGCACGAGGTTGGACACGAGGCGCTCGTAGCCGGCGCACTTGAAGTCGACGACGAAAAAGTCGCGGTCGATCGAGTACAGCTGGATGCTCATGTAGATCCAGACGGCTTCGTCGGGGGCGGGGTAGTCGGGGTCGTAGGAGGAGTCGGCGTGGGTCATGCCGTCGACAGCGTGGCTGGAGGTGCTGGTTGTGGTGGAGCTGCGGCGGCGTGATTCGGGGTCGCGGTGGAGGTCGACGCGGCTGGAGTGTGTCGACGAGGGGTGCGCGACGCCGGGCGGGAACATGCCGTCTTTGCGGAAGCGGGCGTTGATCACCCATGGGTCTTCGGGGATGCGGTAGCCCCAGTCGTTTGTGTGGTTGTAGTGGTGCTTCTGGCGGCCGCGGGGCTCCTCCGAGTCCGCGTTGCGCACTGAGAGGGGTTTGCGGTGGGGCGAGCCCTCGTCGTCAGAGCGCGTGGCACCTTCTGAGGAATGCGATGATATCGACGAGCCTCGTGAGTGTGTTCGTGACTGCGACGCCGACGGTTGTTGTGAGCCGCGGGATCCGCTGCGAGAGCCATCTTTTTCCCCGGCCTTGCGCTGCTCCGGGACTTCCCAATCGGCACCCATAGCCTTGAGAGCCTTGAAGATTGCGAGCATGGCTTCAGCAGGCTGATTCCGCGACCGAATGCCAAACTGCCACTTGGTGGGTCTTGCTTTCTTTGCTGGTAGAGCTGTCATGGGTTCAGGCCGGGGCCGTTGCGGATCTGGGAGGGTGCGGAAATTCGGCTTCAGTCGTCGAGCATTAGCGGCGCGCTGTTCCTCGGTCTGTCCAGACGGTGACCCCTCGAGACCTTGAGTTGGGGCAGCATGTCTTGGGTGGCCCTTCATGTAGGCTGTGTGATACTCCGTGAGACTGCTAGGCAGGATGGCGATGGTGCTGATAGGGCTGCGGATGCTTGCAAGCTGACTGCTCGCGTTCGAGCCTTGTCGTGCACGTTCGTGTTCGGCTGAAGGAGGCGGGATAATCTGCGGTCGAGAGCCACCGGCCATGATCTGCGGTATGGACTGACTGAGATAGTCGTGACCGGTGGGAGGCGATGATGCCATGAACGGCTGCATGTTTTGCTCGTTCGTCAGGAGTGCTACACATGTTAGCAGTGTCAAGCCAGGCGTGAGAATGACTTACGATTTGCCTTCATCATCTGGTTCTCGCGGACAATCAGATACGCATCCTTGATGGCGCTTGGCTCGTCGCGCGCCAGCGCCTCCTGGACGTCGTGTTTTGCGTAGCCCATCGTCTTGCCCAGCTTCGAGACAACGCTTTCGTGCAGCTTCTGGACAACCGGGGCTGGCTGCGACGGGGCGACGGCCTTGGGGTCGATGGCCTTGTTTGGATCGATGCCGGTGTCGAAGAACTCCTGGATCGGGGGCTCGAGGTAGTTGGGCAAGTCTTGAGTAAACCAGGGGTCCATGCGAATCTCTCCGATGGTGATGCGGTGGACGGGATTGACCATGAGCATCTTCTTGATCAGCGAGACGGCGCCGGGGGACAGGTAGTTCGGGATGCTGTAGTTTCCGGCGGCAATCTTCTTGAACAGCGTGGGGATGTACTCGTCGTCGAACGGCAGGCGTCCCACGAGGAGGACGTAGAGGATGACACCGCAGCTCCAGACATCGACCTCGGGGCCCGCGTACAGCTTTCCAGAGATGACCTCGGGGGCGGCGTAGTTGGGACTGCCGCAGCTCGTCTTGAGGAAGTTGCCGTCGGTCATGATGTTGCTCAGGCCGAAGTCGGCGATCTTGACGTTGTACTGGTCGTCCAGCAGTAGGTTCTCGGGCTTCAGGTCGCGGTGCACGATCTTGTGGCGATGGCAGTACTCGACGGCGCAGACGATCTGCTGGAAGAACTTGCGGGCCTTGTCTTCCTGCAGGCGGCCGTTGTTGACGATGTAGTCGAAGAGCTCGCCGCCGGCATACTCCAGGACCATGATGATCTCGGTGGGGGTGGTGATGACGGTGTACAGCTTGATGATGTGCGGGTGGCGCAGCAGCTGCAGGTACTGGATCTCGCGCTCGATGCGGCCGGCCATGTCGCGCGTCACCAGCCTCTTGCGGTTTATGATCTTCAGGGCGACCTTCTGGCCGCTGACCTGGTGGGTGGCCAGCTTGACCTTGCCGAACGAGCCCTCGCCCAGGGTCTTGACGATGGTGTACTGGCCGAGGCGCTGGCTGGCCTTGGAGTCGCGCGCCTTGTTCGGCTCGACGGCGGGCGCGGGCAGGACGGGCTCGGCCTGGAACTCGACCGTCTTGGTGGTGCTGGCGCCGCCGCGGCGCGGGGCGGGCATGCTCAGCGAGAGCTCCTCCAGGTCCTCGGTCTCGATGGCGGACGACATGGCGGCGGGGGCGCGGTGGTCGCGGGATGCGGGCGTGCCTGATCAGCGCAGGGCCGGCGTGCACCACGGGGTATGCGCAGCTAGTCGGCGTTAGCAGGTGTGCCGACGACGCTCAGGCCCCGCGCGGCGGGCGCCCTTGCTGGCGACGCGGGGCGCTGGACGGGCCTGGACGGGGACGCGCCGGGCAGGGGCGGCGGCGGGGCACTTACGCGGAGCTGGACGGCGGACGTGCTGGAGGACGGAGGCGCGAGTGCAGACGGCGCTTGGACGTGCTGTGGTGCCCCGCTCACGGCTCCGGCGGGCAGACCATTGAACGGCGCGCTGGACGGCACTGCGGGCTGGCTGGGACGGCGGCGCGGTGCGCTGCCACTCGGTGCTCTGCCACTCGCTGCGTGTGAGAGCAGCGCGGGCATGCGCGGCTGATCGGTGTGCGGAGTGAGCGTCTGCGTGCGACGGCCGGCGGTGGTGCGGGCGGCGAGCGCGGTGGGCAGCGAGCAGCAGCAGGCGGGGGCGCAGAGGGCGGACGGTGGGCGTGCAGGGCGTGCAAGACGCGCAGTGTGCCGGCAGAGGAGACGAGGTGACGCAGCTAGCGGAGGGGCAGCGGCATCGTGAAGTGCCAGAGGCAGTCGCCTCGCCGCCGCGCCGATCATCGGCTGCCAGACGGTGCACTGCTTTCGGTCTTGCAGGTTCACGCAATGGCGCACGCAGATCGCAGGTCGCGCTTTATTCTGACAGCTACCCCGGCCCGCCGATGCAGCAGTTCGCATGGCATGTCGTCAGCCCCGTGCATCGTGACTCGGCTCCAACCGCAGCACGCGACGCCAGATGGCCCCTCTCGTGACCGCGCTGATGGGCTTCTGCACACCATTTTGACTTTGCCGTCCCACGCGCGCCCACCCCGCCCCCTGGAGCCATCTCCGCCACCTCCGCCACCTCCGCCTCCTCCGCGACAGGGTCCACCGCCCACAGCCATCACTAAAGCAGAACATCCGTCCCATCACCTAAAGCAGAACATCCGCCCCAGCCCTCGCTGCTGCACTTCGCGCCGCGCCGCCCCGTCCAGCTGCGCCGCCTCGCCCTCGCTGGTCGAGCTGGCGCTGCTGATCTGCTTGCCCTTGCCGTTGCCAAACACCCGTAGCAACACCACCATCAGTGCCGCTGACAGGATGCTCATACACAGAATGCCAATCATGACCAGGTTGCTCTTGCGGAACTTGTTCACACCCACAGAGTCGGCTGGCCACCCCGTGTACAGCGCATATGTCGTCAGGATGCTGCCCAGGTTGCCCAATCCAGACACGAGTGCGCTAGCTGCTGCCACGCCCACCTCGCCGTGGCGCGCCTGGAAGATCTCGTTGGTCATGGCCATGCAGATGGGCACCGTAGGCCCCAGTCCAAAGCCCACCATCAGCAGCCCGCCGTAGCGAGCCCATGAGTTCAGCCCCCCCGCAAACGTCGTGACTAGCAGCCCGGTGATCTGAATCAGGACTGCGCCGCTGAAGAACAGCGCCCGGTGGTGGTGGAAGCGATCCGACAGTGGCGTGACGATCAAAATCGCGATCAAGTCCATCTGCAACTGTTAGCTCATGTGCCCGTCCTTGTCTGCAGTTACTCACAATCCAGATGGGCGCGGTGAGCAGACTCAGGTCGATGCCGCTGAGGCCCGGGTTGATGCCGCGAATAATGACTGACGCGTAGTTCTGCGTGCCAATGCCAACACCGACCACGCCAAAGTACATCATGACCAACGGCCACAGCCTCCAGTCGATCAGAATGTGCCAGATGTCCTTCATGTCCCACTGACGGCGGTTGTACACTCTGGTCAGGTCTTCGTAGTGGATCCTGGCATCCTCGCCACTTAGAGCAGGCTTGCTCGCAGGGAGCCACCGCTCCAAACCAGTTCGCACCCGGGTCTCGCCCGGGGGCAAGGGGCGATCGGGCAGCCACCAGAGAAGTGACACGCCGATGAAGAATCCGACCACACCGTACAGCAGGAACATCCACTGGAAGCCAACGAGCCCGCCCATACCGTCCATCTTCTGGAATCCGGCTGAGACTAGACCGACAACAGCCGCAGAGACTTGAGAGGCCGTGAAGTAGCGTCCAATGCGCTTGCCCGTCCGTGATGGAGGGTAAAACAGCGTAAGATAATACGACATGCCTGGCCACATGCCTGCAATAACGATACCGAGCAGGAGACGAAGCAGGCTGGAACATGTCAGCTGAACGTCCCACCCCGAAATAAGAGTACGTACTAGAAGCTCCACGCAGCTTTCACCGCCGTGAAGCACATCCCAATGATCGCAACCGAAATGACGATCCTGCTCATCCACGCATGCGGGCTGACCCTAGACATGACCAGATTCGACGGCAGATCGAACAGCACATAGCACACATAGAACAGCGCCAGACCGGTCGACACCTGCTTGGGCGTCAAGTTGAGCTCCGACGCGAGATCGTGGCCCTCTTTGATATTCATCGTCTGCGCCAGTCCGATGTTCGACCGGATGGCCGAGCACATGAAATACAGCACCCAGAACGCAGGCAGGATGCGGCGATCGAGTTTGCTGGTGGTGTGAATACTCTGTGTAGTATCTTGCTGAGCAGTGATGAGTGACTTACGCGTATACTTTTTCCACCCGTGCAACATCCACATCCCCGACCTCAACATCGCCATGCAAGTCTCCCCGCTTCGGCGCCCGCGTCTCTTCGATCTGCTTATCCAGCGCGACATTATCCATAGCCGACGACATTACTTCACCTGGAATCACCTTCCTAACCACCTTTCAATGCACGCGGAGGAGTCAAGAAGTGCCCCAAAATCCCAAGACGAAAAGATCAGATTAAAAGCGCCAAGAGTGTGAGTAGTCGTTGTATCAGCTACTAGACCGATAGCGGCCGGCGCGGCCACGCAGCGCGTGTGATTCGCCCGCGCGCTCTACCCGCAGCGCACGCCCGCGCGCTAGGGGCTCGTTGGGAAGCTGTGCGGTGGGCGAGCTGCGCGCCGCGGTTTCTGGGAGTCATGCGGGTGCAAACTGAGACGAGCGTGCCGAGTGCCTCGGGGTTGTGCTGGCCGTCGGGAGGCTCTCGGGCGCCGCTTCGGCGGGGGCGAGGGCCCTGTAGGCGTCTCTGTCGCGATTGGGTGGTGATCGGCGGGGGGAGGGAGCTTGGGTGTTTTTTGTGTGGTGCCGTCATCACCAGCTTTGAAAGGTAGTTTTGAATTGTGCCATTGCGCTCGACAGAACAACGGCCGCGTTGCATCACGCTCGTAGACAGTATACAGTATACAAGCACAATGCTGTCCACCACCCTCACCCGCACAGCGCGCTCCTCGCGCCCCCAGTCTCTGCGCCTGCACCTCCGCGGCCTCTCCACGCTGCCTCAGAACCCGCAAATAGTACCCCTACCCTCCCCATCGTCTCTCTTCGTCCCAAAGCTAACACAACACAGTACGTCCACCCCCACCCCCTCGACCCCACAAAACACATCCTCTCGCACCTCCCCACCTCGCCCCCAACCCCCCGCCTCGCAATCGGCACCACGACCTCTCTCCCCGTGACCCCCTCGTCCTTCACCCCGAACCCCGCCTTCCTCCCGCTCCTGTCCTCCGTGCTCGCAGCCCACGCACCCACCGACCCCGCCGTCGCCGCACAAGCCGCTGTCTTCGCATCCCCGGGGGGCTTCAACATCGCAGGGTCCGGGAGCGCGAGCGGCGCGGGCGGCGCGGGCGGCGCGAGCGTCGGGGGCTGGATCCATGTGTCTGATACGCGGAATCCGCCTGATTTCGGCAGGATTGCGTGGCCGGAGGATATCCTGGGGAGTTTGGAGGTGGATGGTAAGGGGAAGGTGGTGCAGGGGAGTTGGCAGGATAGTGGGAGTTACAGGGTCGTGACGAGGGAGGGGGTGTTGGGGCTTACGGCGTTTGTGTGGGGGAAGGTTGTTGAGCGGTTGAGGGCGGAGGAGGCGAAGGGGGAGGAGGGGAAGGCGTGAGGAGGGGGGAATGTGTGAGATGGTGGAAGGATGAAGGATGGCGCGAGGCGTGTAGGAGTATGTGTATATGCATTGTTAGAGTCCGCATGCTCGGTCTAAGGGTATCAAAAGCGCTCAATCTCTTCAGCCCCGTCTCTAGCTCAACTCGCCCTTCTCCAACTTCTCCAGAAACACCTTCGAGAACTTGACAGCCTGCTCATACGCCACCTTGAACCCATCGTTCCCCCCATAATACGGATCCTGGATCTCCTCGCCCCTCCCTCCCCTCCGCGCCTCGCCCCCAAACTCCCCAAACAGCATCACTCGCCCGACGCCCTCCTCGCCCTTCCCCTTCACAGCTTTCCTGCGCAGCTCCATCAAGTCTTCAAGATTACTATCGTCCATGGCGAGAATGTAGTCGAAGTCCGAGAAATCAGTCTTGGGGGCGAATTTGCGCGCCGCGTGCTTGTAGGTCTTGATGCCGTTGGCGCGCAGCGTGGACATGGTGCGCGAGTCCGGGCTGTCGCCGACGTGATAGGCGCCGGTGCCGCAGGAGTCGATGGTGGAGACCAGGGAGCGGGTGGAGGGCGGCGCGGCGGCGACGAGGGACTGGAAGACGCCTTCGGCCATGGTGGAGCGGCCTGGGGAATCATTAGTATGGATTATGGGTGTGAGCGGAAGGGGCACACGGACAGATGTTGCCGAGGCACACGAACAGGACGGACACAGGTTGCGGGTCGGAGGAGCCCATGTTGGAGGTGGAGGGCGGTGTGTGGTACGTGAGATTTGGGTGAGATGGAGGTCACTGTTGGACGAGCATGAGGAGGATGCAGTGGTGGTGGGGCTCTGGTGTGCCAAGACCAATGACGAGGATCGACAGGCACATACGAGAGGCAGTGGCGCTGTTAGATCTCTCAGATCCAGCGTGGGACGTTCAGTTTGACTGTCAGTCCTGGCTCTGCCCACGGCCGTACGGTTCTACAATAGGCATGTGCATGCAGAGTCATTGGAAGTGCAAGTGGACCGTCAGCCTTTTGCAACCCCGCAAGGCTGTCAGCAAGCAATGCCGCCTGGTCCGACTTGCGATGCTAATCTCCTTCGGTGCGTTGTTCGCTTGAGGGGCCTGAACGCGGTCAGAACACACGCCGCAGTCGGTCAGCTCCTGCTCAGCCGCATCCAAGGATCGCACTTGTGCAGAGCTCGAAAATGTGCAGGTCGCTCAGATGTCTATTTTATAACTTCAGTAATTCCTGCATAGCGACACAAGTACTTCTGACAGCTAGTCAGGCGCTCGCCACTGCTGTGGCACATGGCAAGGATGGAGAAGTTGGTCGCGAGGCAACGGCGTGGATCGTTTATGCTTTCAAGGTTGCTCGAATTAGATTGGGACCGTCAGCAGGGCGCGGCTATGTGCAGCGCCACATGTACTTCAGGGATGCTTGCTGGGCTTGGCTGGGATGCACAAGAAAGAAATGCTGAGCCAGCTGGCGGTCAGGCTGAACGCTGCTTTTGACCGCCAGTATTTGTTCGCGAGGAGCCCCAGCTGCAAGGGCATTCTTGTTTCCCGCGTGCACCTTGCCCCCAGGACCCGCAGCAGCGTCATACGGCATCGTCCTCGCAACCCCGTTGCTAGGTAAACAGCTGCTGTGCACCCTAGGCCCCCGCCAAACGCATCGGGTTTCACACTGCCGCGATACGACCATCGCATATAAGCAACCAACAAGTCACGTTTGACTCGCTGGATATCCCATCGACGCGTGTTTGGGCAGTGGAGACGGCGTTCGCAGCATCCGCGAATTGATTGAAGGCGCAGCAGCACCCTCCCAGCACCATGGCTGGCTACAACCGACTGGGTGAGTTCTCCACGCGCGGCAGCTAAGCCTGTGATTGCGTCGCACGCATCCTGCGCCCAGGAACCTTCCCAGACTCCCTGTCGCTGCCTCGAAACCAAGTCCTACATACATAGCGCGGCTCTGCGCCGGACCTGCTCCTTCCACATTCCTCGTTGCCCGCACACCCACTCGCTGCATATTGCTATCGCTTGCTATCGCTGCCGCTCATTCAGCATTGCGTGCCTGAGGCAGTCGCTAATCGAGCCCTACAGACGAGGACCACTACGAGATGGATCCACGCCGCCCCGGGAGGACGCCCTCTCCAGGCCACCCGCTCGCGGGCTACCAGCTCGAGGACAACTATGGCTCGCAAGCCGGGCCCCTCGAGATCCCCATGGGCCCGCAGATGACGCATCCAGCGGCCTCCGGCGACAGACTGCCGCTCCAGCCCAGCGTACGTGTTTCGCGTAGACAGTGCAGAGCCGGGACTGACAATTGCAGTACTCGGTCGAGAACATCCCGTACGCAGCCGGAAACTACCACGACGACTACGACCCACGCCCGCAACGACATGACAGTGACTATTCGCTCAACCCGCAGGCGCACCACGACGCCTACTACAACCAGCCCTACGATCCCACACCGCACGACGAGAGCCCGCACCAGGGCTACGGCACCCAGCCAGACCACTACTGGCAGGATGGGCAGGATGGTCGCCCGATGCTGGGAGGCGCGAATTCGTATGGCCCCGACCCGCATGATTTAGACGACCACGGGGATCCCGAGAATCCCTTCGACGACGAGCCTATCCAGCACGCGCCGAGCCCGGCGCCAATCAAGCGGTGGAAGACGGTCAAGGAAGTCCAGCTGTTTAAGGGCAACCTGGTGCTTGATTGCCCGATCCCCCCGCGACTGCTCAACCAGGTTCCACATGCACAGCCACCCGAGCGTGACGAGTTCACGCATATGCGCTACTCGGCCGCCACATGCGACCCTGGCGACTTTGACGCAGAGCGCTTCACGCTGCGCCAGAAGCTGTTTGCAAAGCCGCGCCACACGGAGCTGTTCATTGTCGTGACCATGTACAACGAAGAAGACGAGCTCTTCGCGCGAACGATGATGGGCGTCATCAAGAACATCGAATACATGAACTCGCGAACCAACAGCAAGACGTGGGGCAAGGACGCGTGGAAAAAGATTGTAGTCTGCGTCGTCAGCGACGGACGTGCGAAGATCAACCCGCGAACCAGAGCTGTCCTCGCAGGTCTTGGTGTCTACCAAGACGGCATCGCCAAGCAGCAAGTCAACGGCAAGGATGTTACGGCGCATATTTACGAGGTACGTGGACGAATGTGGCTGTGCTGGACGATGACTAACGAGACCCACAGTACACCACCCAAATGACTCTCGACATCAAGAAAGGCGTTGTAGGCGTCAAGAAAGGCAATACGCCTGTGCAGATGCTGTTCTGTCTCAAGGAGAAGAACCAGAAGAAGATCAACTCCCATCGATGGTTTTTCCAGGCGTTCGGAGCCGTTCTGGACCCCAACATCTGTGTCCTGCTCGATGCTGGAACCAAGCCTGGAAAGGACTCCATCTACCACCTATGGAAAGCTTTCGATCTCGAGCCCATGTGCGCAGGCGCTTGCGGTGAGATCAAGGCTATGCTTGTACATGGCAAGAAGCTCCTAAACCCGCTTGTTGCTACCCAGAATTTTGAGTACAAGATGAGCAATATCCTGGACAAGCCGCTGGAGTCAGCCTTCGGTTTCATCAGTGTGCTTCCCGGTGCTTTCTCTGCCTATCGCTATATCGCTCTCCAGAACGATAAGACCGGGCAGGGACCACTGGAGAAATACTTTGCCGGCGAGAAGATGCACGGTGCCAACGCCGGCATCTTCACGGCCAACATGTATCTTGCTGAAGATCGTATTCTTTGTTTCGAGCTCGTGTCCAAGAGGAATTGCCATTGGATCCTGCAGTACGTCAAGTCTGCCAACGGTGAGACCGATGTGCCTACGACTATGGCCGAATTCATCGGTCAGCGTCGTCGCTGGCTGAATGGTTCCTTCTTCGCTGCCGTCTACGCTCTGGCCCACTCTTTCGACATTTTCCGCAGTGATCACTCCGTCATCCGCAAGACTATGTTCCTCGTCGAGTTCTTCTACCAGACCATCAGTATGGTCTTCGCTTGGTTTGCCCTTGGCAATTTCTTCCTGGTTTTCCACATCCTCACCGCCTCGGTGGCTACATATATCGGTACCGCTGGTAAAGTGTTGTTCGTCCTATTCGAATGGCTCTACATCGCGGTACTAATCACTTGTTTCATTCTGTCTCTTGGCAATCGACCGCAAGGATCGAACAAGTGGTATATGTCCATGGTCTACTTTTGGTGTATCATCATGACTTACCTCATGTTTGCATCCATCTATATTACGGTCAAGTCTGTCCAGGAGACAGCCAAAGGTGGCATCACCTTTTCGGAAGTCTTCCAGGACACAATCTTCTTCAACCTGATCGTTTCCTTGGCTTCCACATATGTCATGTGGTTTATCGTCTCGTTCCTGTTTCTGGATCCCTGGCACATGTTCACATGTTTCATTCAGTATTTGCTGATGACACCGACATACATCAACATTCTCAACGTATACGCTTTCTGTAATACGCACGACATCACCTGGGGAACCAAGGGCGACGACAAGCCAGAGAAGCTACCTTCAGTCACCACCAAGGCTGACGGAAAGGCCGACATCCAAGCTCCGACTGACGATGCCGATCTAAACACCATGTACGAAAAGGAGTTGCAGACTTTCAGCACGAAGTGGAAAGAGGAGAAGAAGGTTCATTCAGCTCAGGACATCCAGGAAGACTACTACAAGGGTTTCCGATCCGGTGTCGTTCTGTTTTGGATGTTCTGCAATCTGGGTCTCACAGCCGTTGTCCTGCAATCTGGCGGCTTAGAGGTGACAGTTGCAGAAGACCAGCAAAGCGCGCACCAAACCCGCGTTGCTAACATCTACCTGGGAGTCGTGTTGTGGAGTGTCGCGGGTCTTGCGGCGTTCCGATTCATCGGCGCTGTGTGGTTCCTGATTGTGCGCATGGTATGTCAACACTACAAACTTTACAGAGATCTTGCAACTAACGATGTGAACAGTTCCGAGGTGTATGATCGCGTAGTCATACAACGATGTCTCTGGTGTTTGGCGCATCCGCGGGTTTGTATAGTACAGTGCTACTGCGCGGCATTACGATTCATGGCGGTGACGGGGCGTTTTGATCTGTTGCATATGAGCTTCATGACTCTTTCCCAGTATTATACCTTGATAGCATGCTGTCTTGTATTCAAGGGCAACGAATTTGTCCATCTTATTTCCAATGCCTGTTCATACCTGTGTCGCTGTTGTTGCTTCAGTCTTGCGATGGTGCACCGCCTTCCTTCACTTGCCTCGCATCTTCCGTCAAACGCTTCTCAATTACAGCTCATCTGCAAAACGTCGAACTCATGCAGTGCTGCTGCTCTATAGTTTGGTACTGCTCGCATTGATCACTCTCACTGTCGATTCCTCCTTCACCTCCCCCGCACAGACGCGCCTGGAAATTGCTCTGACGCGCTTGCGCACATAAACAGTAGCGCCAAGCACCTCGCGCGAACGACACCGGTGCAGTCAAAGCCTCGCAATTGCACTGCACTCCCTCAACCAACACACCGACAGCAGCTTGAGCCTGTCTCTCGCTGCCTCACGACGCAGAGTCCATATCGCATTCGTAAGATTTCTCACTCGCACCTTCCAAACACCTCGCGTACAGTGAACCCGGCGTTTGACTGTTTGGGGTTTGACTTTTGGAGCTTGACCGACGCTGACTTTGCACGCTCACCAGGCCTGATCAACGCACACTACTAGACCTGTTTTCTCCTTCGGTCCGCTCTCACGACGCAGCTATGAGCTGGGACACTGGAGCAGGTGGTAAGTCTTTGCCTGTTGCGCGGTGTGCACTCTGCTGACGTGTCTAGGCGGCGACGCATGGGAAGCTACTGCCACTGGCGGCGGCGACTCTTGGGCCGGCGGTGGTGCCTCGGGCGGTGACGCTGGAGGTGGTGAGTATGCTGATGCTGGCGCTGGCGTAGGTGATGGCGGTGACACCTGTCGCATGTAAGTCTTCCTACTCACTCTCGGTGTGCGTCATCAAGGTTGCTGGGTGTTTGCGTCAGCCTTTCGCATCTCGCTAACCTTTTGGAAGCTGCAACCAGACTGGCCACTACGCCCGCGAGTGTCCTGACAAGCCCGAGTTCACCGGTACCTGCAACCTCTGCGGTGTTGAGGGCCATGCTGCTCGCAGCTGCCCAACCAACCCCATGAAGTGTAGGCTTTGTGACAAGGAGGGTCACAAGGCACTCGAATGCAAGGAGCGCCGAATCGTCGACTGGACTGGCGTTCCTGAGCTTGAGAGTGGAGAGGCTTGGACCCAGCTCATCGACGCAGCTAAAGAGAAGGATCTCGACGCATTCCGTACCTGTCTCAAGGCTTACGCTCGTTCCGTTTCTGAGGAGTTCAGCCTTCCCGGTGTTGAAGCTGCTCTCCGCGACGATGGACTGCCAATTTTCTTGATCGCCAAGAAGCAGGAAGTCGCTGTCAACATGACGATCGTGGACATGGTCGGCAACCCTGAGCGCGAGTATGTACTTACGGTTCAGCTCTCGGATAAGCCTCGCCGTGCGAAGATGAAGGAGGGCTGGCCTGAGGATGCTGCCCAGAATCTCGAGCGCCTGGCTTCTGCTGGGTTCGTTCAAGATCGCGGTGTTCCACTCTGCAGCAACTGCAACGAGCTGGGTCATATTAGAAAGGTGGGTGGTTCCATTTCGGAGTAAGACTGTTGCTAACTAGTCTCAGCACTGTACGCAGGAGCAGCCCGAGCATGTTTCCATGGCCCCAACTGTGCAGTGCGTCTACTGTAGCGAGGTGGGCCACCGTGCTCGCGACTGTCCCAAGGAGCGCATCAACCCGCATGCTTGCAAGAACTGCAAGCAGGAGGGTCACAACGCGAAGGATTGCCCCGAGCCCCGCTCAGCTGAAGGCGTCGAGTGCCGCAAGTGCAACGAGACCGGTCACTTCTCTCGAGATGTATGTTTCTCCACACAAGCACGTTGATGCTTCCTACTGACAGCAACAGTGCCCCAACGTCGAGGCTCGTGGTCCTAGGACTTGCCGCAACTGTGGCTCCGAAGACCACATTGCGAAGGAGTGCGACCAGCCTCGTAACCCCGACACTGTCACTTGCCGCAACTGCGAGAAGCTGGGTCACTTTTCGCGTGACTGCCCTGAGCCAAAGGACTGGTCGAAGGTCCAGTGCCAGAACTGCCAGGAGTTCGGTCACACCATCAAGGTCAGTAACCTCTTATTGTACATTCATTCGCAAGCTAACCTTTCATAGCGCTGCAAGGCTCCTATTGCTGAGGCCGATACGATGGGTGGAGGTGGTCCTGTTGAAGCGACTGGTAACTGGGGAGCTGGAGACGACACCGCCGCCGCGGGTGGAGGTGAGGCTACCTGGGACACTGGTGCTGGAGGAGGAGGTTGGTAGATGGTGCAGCTCGCGCCCACACCACCGTCCAGTGCAACTGCTCCGCCACGACTGCAGGTCTAACAATGCTTTCCATCAAGATGGGATGAAAATCGGGGTATGACACTCCTGCTCGCTATCAGTTCGAGTGTTTCAAAACCGGAAGGTACAGATAGTACATGAGCAAATAAAAGCTGTCTTACAGTCTTGGTCCCCTCTGACTGAATCTAAACTTCGTCCTATTCGTGCTGTCTACACTGCCTTCTCTATGATCTCTACGAACGCACATGTTTAGCTACAGTGGTGTTGCCACCAAACATTGGCAAGAGCCTTCGCAGAGCAGTGGCGCCAGGCCCAATCCAGCGCCACGACTTTCTTTTGTTCGCTACAACAACATCCAAGACGGACGAGATGTCACGATCTCGTAACAACCTCGTCAGCAGGCGTTCAACAGCCACACGATTCGTGTGTGCCGAGGCAATTTCCCAGTGTTCAAGCGTTTCTAGCCACTCCAACATCTCGATCTCAGGGTACTGTTCCCTGCGAACCTCCAGACAAGACATCTGGTCATGCTTCATTTGTTGTTCGTAACGGACGGCACCCCAAACGTGCACGGTGATCCTCCACATCGGCGAACAAAAAGACAGTGCACCAAGGCCGACCCCGCAACATGGGTACTGGGCGCGTGGCGCCACGACCAGCGGATCGTGCTCCGCTTTCCTCGAAACGGCCGTCCAAGAGCCGCAAGAGTGAATTCGGCAAGGGTGCTCCGCGAGCAAATCAATTGTGGCTGTGAAAGCCCTTGGAGGGCTGGCCAGCTACCAACGTTCTTGACATGCTTGGCTGGGTGTCCGCAGCCATCCGCGAGGTGTCGGACCTCGTGGTGATCGCTCGATTAGGTAACTTCTCCTGTCGACCAAGACGTGGTTGCTTGGTCTGTACTTACGCTTCTCTACATCAAGGACGAAACTGACGCGCATTTGAAGCAGATCGAAGATGGAGTTTAAATCAACATGGCCGCCAGTTAAGAGTACATCAAGAAATGACCACAGTGCATACTTAAGCCTTTACCTCCTATCTGAAGTCGGTCCTTTGGAAGTGGGTTTGATTAAGCTGAGCGCTGCAAATAAGAGCTGTACCTCCAAGAGTCCGGGTCCTTGGTCTACACGAACCACGTGCAAGGATCTCGCTTGGTACCCCACGATCTCCATGATCTCTCATGTCCACATCAATACGAGACCAAGAAACGCTGAGCCCGCTACCCTTTAACGGGTGAGAATCCGATGGTACTACTGACACATGCAGTGCTTCCATGCTGCTTGGAAGCCAAGTTGATGAAAGTTACCGCGGCCAAATGCAATGTCCCAACCTTATAATCCTTGATCTGTCCCCCGGTCGATGCACGAGATTGACAGTCAACACTTCCGGATTCTTGTCCACCCCTCAGCTGCTTGAGGCATCCTTCAGTCACCATGACGAACAGCAGCAGCGACGATGAATACAAACCCGGTACGGTCCACCAGGAAAAGTTCGACACTCCACCAGCCCACTATGACACCGACACCGACGGTATCGAGGAGAAGCGCCTAGTCCGCAAGATCGACTGGAGACTGCTTCCCATCCTCGGCGCCCTGTACTCCATCTCCCTCGTAAGCCTTCGACATCACGTCCCTCGCACTCCACTCACATGACCAGATCGACCGCACCAACATCGCCAACGCCCGCGTGGCAGGCATGGGCGCGGACCTCGCCCTCAACGTCGGCGACAGATACACCACCGCGCTCGTGATGTTCTTCCCGACCTATGTCATCTTCGAGTTGCCGTCCAACATCGTGCTCCGCAAGGTCGGCAGCGCGAACTGGCTCGCCTTCATCGCCGTGTCCTGGGGCGCCGTCATGATCGGCCAGGGCTTCGTCAAGAGCTGGCAGGCGCTGACTGCGTGCCGTGCGCTACTCGGTCTATTCGAGGCGGGTTTCTTTCCTGGATGTGTGTACTTGATTACATGTTGGTACAAGCGACGCGAGATGCAGAAACGGTTCGTGCTCCCAACCCCCTGCTGACCTCTCATCCCAGTACTGATGTACATTGCACAGTCTAGGTGGATTCTACCTCGTCGCCGTCGGCATCGGCGGCATCGCCAACATCCTGGCCTACGGCATCATGCAGATGGAAGGCGTCGGCGGCGTCCGCGGCTGGCAGTGGATCTTCATCCTCGAGGGCATCCTGACGTGCGTCGTCGCCATCTGCTCGTGGTTCCTGATCCTCGACTTCCCGGACAAGGCGGCCAAGCAGGGCTTTCTCAGCGAATCTGAGGCGAACTTTGTGCTCCGCAGGATCGAGGAGGACCGTGGCGACTCCGAGAATGATCCCCTGACCTGGGCGAAGGCGACAACACACCTTGGAGACTACAAGTTGTGGGCGTTTTGCACGCTTTTTATGTCAACAACCGTACCCGTATACGCATTCGCCTATTTCACTCCTGTAATCCTTGTGGGCATGGGTAAGTCTATTCTCTCTTGAATTCAGCATGATTTCTCTTGTTTAAAACTTTCTGTTTTTCTGAGGTTTGAAGCATCCATGAGGTTTGAACCTGCCCATTTCAAACCTCACCCCTCACAAATTTATGTCCTCACACATCTACACCTTTACAAATTTACGCATCCACTAACCCCCCACCCAGGCTACAGCGCTGGCGTCGCCAACGCGCTCTCCGCACCCCCCGCCATCGCCGCCATGATCACCGCCTTCGGCTTCGCCTGGATCGGCGACAAATACCAGCTGCGCGCGCCCATCATCGCCATCCAATCCGTCATCTGCCTCGTCGGCCTGATGCTCGTCGCCTACGTCGAAAACAACGGCGTCCGCTACTTCGGCGTCTTCCTGGGCATCATGGGCGGCCAGGGCAACGTCCCCGCCATCCTGACCTACCAGGCGAACAACATCCGCATGCAGTCCAAGCGCAGCGTTGCATCAGCTCTGCAGATCGGCTTCGGGGGAATCGGCGGCATCCTCGCGAGTACGGTGTTCAGGCAGCAGGATGCGCCCAAGTATGTCGTTGGGCTGTGGGTCAGTGCGGGTCTGCAGTTTTACACGCTCGCGGTGCTGGCGGCGACGAGTTGGCTGTTTTGGAAGACGAATAAGAAGGCGGATGAGCAGTTGGCGAGGGGCGAGACGGTGGATCCTATCGAGGGCCAGGTTGGGTTCAGGTATACGATCTAGGGGGGATCGTGGGTGTCAGGTGTCGGGCTTCATCCCATGTGGCTTGAGATGGAAGCGCAATATGTACTGTTCCGAGCGAGGACTCGCTATCAGTGTGAGTCGTGGTGCCTTTTTGGCTTGCCTGCCTCAGCGGCTCGGGGTTGAGGCCTGACATCAGGGGCGGCGGAATTAATTTGATCATCTGCAAGAATCTGACGCGGTTTACTGCAACACCATGGTTGGTTAGTGACAAAGGGATGTGTGAGATTGAATTTGAGTCTTGCATTGATGCATGCCGGTATGGAATGCTGGACACTATTCGTTGCACACACGTGAGAGTGGCAGCGATCATATGCATTCACAGTAGTGTTTGATATCGCGATCCGCGCAATCTCCGATCCGTCTTGACGGGCCCTCTCATCCCCATCTATTTCCACGTCTCGATCTCGTAGCTCGCCAACATAAACGGCCCCACGCCCTTCAAATCGTTCACCGCAAGCGGCACGCTAATATAGTACTGCAGCACACGTTAGTCGCCAACTCCACCGCACAGTATCCACAACACGACTTACCTCGAAAGTACCATTGCTGTTCAGACTCCCCACCTCGACCGTGCCCTGCCAATCGAGCGTCCCATCCGCCCTCTTAGTAATAAACTTCTTCGTGAGCAACTCATACCCCTTCTTCGCGCCAGCAAAGTAATCGCTCTCCTTGAGCAACCCCTCGCGAATCCCCTTCAGCAACCCGAACGTGAACATCGCCGACGCAGAGCTCTCGATGTAGTTCCCCTTCTTGCCCGGATACGGTTCGTTCATGATGAGCCACCACCCGCCATCCTTGTCCTGGGTCTTCTTGAGCGCAGCCGCGAGGGTAGTGAAGTAGCCCGTCAGCCGCGCTTTGCCCGGGTGCGCCGCCGGCAGCTGCGGGATCACTTCCAGCAGGCTCATGAAGTACCAGCCCACGGCGCGGCTCCACACGTTGGGCGCGGCGCCCGTGACCGGGTCGGCCCAGACGCGCGCCTTGCTCTCGTCGTAGCCGTGGACGAGCAAGCCCGTGGTCGCGTTGCGCGTGTACTTCTCGATCAGGTCGAATTGCTTGACGATGTGGTTCCAGGCGGTGGCGTTGCCGTTGTCGAATTTCTTCGTCCACGTGGCGTAGAAGGTGTCGGCCATGAAGATGCCGTCGAGCCACATCTGGTCCTTGTAGATGGGGCTGCGGTGCCAGAAGCCGCCCTCTTTGTTCTGGGGGTGGCGGTTGAGTTGGTTGCGGATTGTCTGGGCGGCGGTTTTGTATTTGGCGTCGCCGGTGCGGTCGTACCACCATAGCAGGTTGTTGCCGATTCGGTAGTCGTCGAGGGAGTAGTGAGTGAGGTTCCAGTTGGGGATGGAGCCGTCGGTTCGGACTACGACGTCGTCGATCTGGCTGCGGTACCAGTCTACGAGCGTTTGGTTCTTGGTCAGGGCGATGGAGGCTTCGATGCCTTCGTACAGAGTGGCTTGGGTGTAGCCGAATGTTTTGCGCACGCCATGGCGGATCTGGGAGTCGGCGGTCCAGGCCAGGTATGTGGGGTTTGCGACCGCTGCTGCGGTTGCCCCGGTCGCGTAGAGGAGAGTGTACTTCATCTTGAGGGGACTGAACTTGCGGTAAGGACGGCTGAACAAAGAGCTGCTTGCGCTGCGGATGCGGCCTTTTGTACGCTGTTCTGCTGCCTCAGCGTCAAGCACACAATCTCCACCAATTCTCTCATTTCCGTTTCTCAATCAAATGTACCATTTGTCCGAAGCGGAAAAATATGGCCCATGGCTGCCGAAATGATCCAGAAAAGGAACGGCCCGAAAATCACAGCCTCGTTGGTGATTGATGGCAGGATGATTGGGGACGGCCAAGTCGGGAGCTTGGCAACGTTCGAATACAACCTACCAAATCGAGAAAGATAGGCCTGCAAAGACGGCTGCTATTGGTGCGTCTGGGACATACCTGGTAGTCTTGGCTCCCCATACCCCGACTTCTGGACCCACTGTACTTATATGAACTGCAGAGTGTCTATTGCATGGATGCTTGCAGCTAATGTAGATGGTGATAAAGAGTGCACTGCCAGTTTACTCTTTGTCCGGGGAAACGAATATCGTACATACACGTCTTGATCGTGACTCTCCGACTAGTACTCTCCGCGGATACCCTGGTTTCATTGAATCCGGTAGATTGAAACCACCGCATTCGATATCGAGAAACATGATGTCCGGAACTCTACAGCTGTGGGTTAGGCAACGGAACAACGACACCCGAACCGCCTCACCCAGTTTCCCCGACCCCCTTGACGATTCCTCTCATCCTCGCCAACAACTCTGCAACCCTAAATGGCTTCCCTACAACATCGTCCATGCCAGCCTGTATCGCTGTCTCGATCTGCTGCGGTCTGACATTGGCCGTAACGCCAATTACCGGCACACGCCCGTTCAGTAGACCGTCTTGCTCCAATTCCCTGATCTTGGTGACAGCAGTGAGACCATTCATGATGGGCATTTCCCAATCCATAAGAATCAGAGACAGCTCGACGGGCGGGTCTATGCTATCGCCCACGCTGAGCAGAGTCAAGGCATCACCAAGAGAAGGGATGTGAATGGAGGGGCGGCGCGACTTGGAGCGCGCGTGGTAGACGTCGTGGTTCCAGCGGGTAGTTTTGGGCAGGAAGTCCAGAGACTCTCGTCCGTGGTTGGCCACCGAGACTATGCAACCAAGATTGCGTAGTTGCTTGGCTAGCACCTTCTGGTTGACGAGATTGTCTTCGACGACGAGGACATGCAGTGTATCGGGGATGCTCTTGGTGCGCTTCAATTCGGCAAGATCAAGGGGCGGCGGGAGACCGAGGCCATCCGCTGTCGATGTGGTAGCAGGAGCCGTAGCTGGACGCGGTGGCCCCGCTTCTACTGGTGTTGGCGGGTCATGAGCAGGAAGATACCCTGGTGTAGTTTGTGTGTGGTGCCAGGATTGGCTAGCCTCTTGCGAGACTTCGAGAATGATGTGCGGTGGATCATGTGGGAGGCTCAGTGATGACTTCTGGCTGCGATGTCTGATGTCTTCTGGGAACACGTCCGGCATGCTTCCTTTTCTGATCATAGCTGGTTTGACACGCCGAGCCTTGATGTAGAAAGAAAACGTACTGCCTTTCTTGTACTCGCTTTGAAGACCGATGGAGCCTCCCTGGAGCTCGGTGAGTCGTCTTGATATGAATAAGCCCAGACCGGAACCACCGTAATGTACGTGTGTGCGGGGAGAGGCTTGAGAGAAGCGCTTGAAAAGCGAAGTTGTTTGCTCTTGCGTTAATCCACGACCTGTGTCACTGACAGAAAATTGGACGAACTGGGTAGTGCCCTGCTGCCAGTCTTGCTCCAAGTGATGGTTGTCTGATACAAGCTTGGTATGAATGAACTGAATGCCTCCAGGAGTAGATACTGGCTCCGATACGCTGGCCGCGAGGGTGATCGTGATTTGCCGCTTTTGAGTTTCCAGACGTGTGAATTTGATCGCGTTGGTGAGAAGATTGATGAGAATTTGTAGAACTCGAGTTGGGTCCAACGACATCCACTCTATCTCTAGGTCGCGATAAGACTGATCGACCACGAAGACAAGATCCACGTCCGCAGCTTTTGCCTCCGAATCAAACATCTTGACAGCGTGTTTGACTATACTTTCCGGCTGAGTATCGACCGGTGTGATTACGAGTAAGCCAGAGTCGAGTTTGGAGATCGTCAATATATCATCAACGATATGCCGCATGTGCTGAGCGCACTGCGCAATTGTCTGTGCTGCATCCAATGTCTGGTCAAGTAAGTCGAAATACGTCCTAGGGCTTGGTACGTTGCCGTCGCTGAAAGAGTAGGAAGAAAGGATACCATCAGCACATTGCATGATAGCAGAAAGTGGATTACGCATCTCATGAGAAGTCGTATCGATGAAGTGCTCCAGGTGCTTTTTACTTTCGAGCGCACTGTCGGTGCGTTTCCTCTGAATGCCCTCGGCCCATTTCTGCTTCGAAATGTCGGTCACGCTGCCAACTACTTGGAGTAGTTCGTCGTTAGGACCCAGTTCAGGGTAGGCGGAACAGAGAATCCATTTATGATACTGCGAGCCTCCGCAGTCGGGCTGCTCAAGCTCCGGAGGCGGCGACCACAGCATCTTGGTTCTGAGCTCGAATATGACAGGTACCTTCTCCATTATTAATTTTCCAAACACCCCCTCACATTTTGGAAGGTCTTCTGGGAAGACAATGTTGAGCCAAGCTTGCATTGCGTCTTCAGCATCAGCTGCAACCTCAAACAATTCATACCTGCGAAGAGTCAGAAGTGTTTAGGACGCCGCCACGGGGCCCAGCCTCACCATCGTCTGTTCCTGTACGTATACCTGCCCATGGCGTCCATGATGAATATAGCTACGTCACACCTCTCCGCAAAAGACTGGAATTTCTTCTCTTTCGCTTCAATCTCGTTGAGCAGCTGCTGCTGTAAATTGGCTGCGTTCTCGATGGCCTTCTCCTTTTGACTGACTTCGGAGTCGAACAGTGCCACGCTTGCCAGACTTGTAGCTAATAAACGTAACATCACATGTACGAACTTCTGGTAATTACTGTCGAAAGGCCGCCTGGGGTTGATACCGAGTATCACGAAACCTTCCACCTGCGCGTTGTCACACGTGGTGGGAATAATGGGACAAATGACCAAAGACCGGCACGCGTCGCCGTAACCTTTCCACTGAATGTCGGCAAGTACAGAATCGGGTAGGTTCAGATCAGCCAAATGAACAATCGTGGCTTTTCCGAGTCTGACGGCCTCCAGTAGGTATGAGTGTAGCACAAAGGAGTTGTCCTGAAAGTTGATCGTGGGCGGTGCAAGCGGATGACCGGTCTCGACACCTATACAACCTCTGAGCTCACAGGCTCCTAGATTCCTACTGGCACTGGTGCCAGGAGACGAGATAGTGCTGATGTCAGAGCCAGACATGTGCCCTGTCGAATACAAGAGGGCAAAAGGTACGTCTTTGCCGTTGATAGCCAAAGTCTGCAGAGCCAGATCCCAGAAAGACTGAAACGAACGAGCATGTGCTGTCACGCTGCCGAGCTCCACTAGGCTAGACACGCGACGCTCAAGTAGGTGGTGTTTTGTGGTCTCAAAAAGGTGATGGTAGTAGCTGGTGATATGACCGTCTTTATCAAGGACAGGTGTGAATTGAAAAGACCAATATGTCTCCTCCAGAAACCCATGCCTATCGATGAACAGCGGCACATCGTGTTCTCGAAAAGAAGTGCCCGTTGCGTTGATGTGTTCGATGAGAGGGACGAACGTAGGCCAGTAGTTGCTTGCATGGGTGCGAGCGCTTTTCCCCATGCAGGGATGCAGAACGCCGAGAAGCTGGACATAGGCTTCGTTGTAGATCATGATAGCTGCCTCGCCCCAGAACAAGATGGCGGGATAGGTGTCGTTGAGCGTCATGTTTATCACACAACGCAACTCGGAACTCCACGATGACATGTCTCCGAGCGGTGTCTGCGACCAGTCTGTATCGCGGAAGTATTTGATGTGCTCTGTTATGGTGGCCATAGGTGGTGGTTGGAATGTGTAATCATATGGCCCGTGTTTGCTGCGATCTGGATACAGGCCAACTATTGAATCTTGTCTCAGCTCTGTATTGACGTCGGCACTCCTGACAGACGGTAGGTCTGCTCTTAGTGGTGGATACTGAGGCTCTTCGCTCTCTTTGAGATCCAGTGCTGGGCAAAGCTTCGTGTTGCCAGGATCAGACCACAGCATGTTAGCTGCCACACCACTAACAACCTTGTAGCGATCCATTGTGACCGCCATCCACAGATGGCCCTCGAAGAGATATGCATTGCCGCGCCGTGACATATCACATTCATCTATAACATCCAGTAGCCAGTTCTTGAAGGCATTATGCAGCGCAGCGCTTTCAACGAACATGCCACTATCCGTCTGCTCGCCTGTAATTCTGGCCTGCAGACCTTCTCCATTCTTGAGTGCCTTATTACTGTACACCAATTCGAGGGGACCGTCTGAGGTAGGTGTAGTACCGGCGTGTATGGCGAAGGAAGGGCGTTCGTCGAGGTCGAGATAGCTAAGCAGCTTCGAGTTGGCCAGTTGGGCGTGAACCGTTTCGCGTTTGAAGTCTGACAGCGTGCGGACAGCGCTCATCTGCAGCGCCTGCTCCTTCGTCATAGCATCGTGGTAGCGCTGCTCGCCATTCGGCGAGGCGATCGTCGAGCTGTCCTGGGCCATTGCCTCACCCGGCACAGAGTAGCGACGCGTCGATAAGTCCTGGGGAGGGAGAGCGCATAGTCCCTCGCGTTGGTGAGCAGCGTGGCGTCGCAAACAACGGCAGCAGAGCCGCTATAGCTAGACACGCTATCCCCGCCATGACTGACGATGGAGTTCCATTAGCTCGAACATGATGTTCGCTGACCGCGTCTGGCCAGTCCTTAGCGTCGATAGTGCCTTTGTCTGCGGTGATTGGGTGGAAAGGTGCTATGCTACCCTTGCATCAGTGTGCGTTGACGTAGAGGTATTTTAGCTACACAAAATGTGCGATGGGAGCAGGAAGGACGCTTCCTTGTAACATGTCAACAGGATACAGCCGATCTCAGGAGCATCAAGCATTTCTCGCTCACTGCATCCTTCGCGGAAGGATCCAGTAGCTCCAGGCCGCATCGGTAAGGGCGATCGCAGCTTACCCGATTTGGGGTTTGCGACTAGGCTATCGCCCTACAGTGGGGCTCCTCTGATGCACTTACATATGCACATGTTGATTACGAAGCTAGGATTTCTAATTCGACGTATCAACATCAGAATCATGGTATCGTGAACTATGGAAATTCTCAAGAGCCTGAAATTGAATGTTGACGTTTCGACGTCATCGTGCTCCCTCTTTCAAGATGCACCTGTTCTGGTCGTAACTTGGGTATCAATGTTGTTCAACGAGCCTCAGATCTGCAATCCTGCATCTTCCAGATGCTGAAGTGCCTCAGCCCCAGTACAAGCAACAGCAGCCTCCAATTCACCTCGCTTCGTTGCGCGTTCCTTCGCTCGCAAATCAGATCGCCGAGCCCGTCGGAGTCTCTAAGTCGCGACAGTGGTTTTCGAAGGGGCCGGTGTTTCCTTCTCTTTCTCCCGCTTCTTCTCGCTCTTCCTTCGTCTACGCTCTGGCTTATACACATCGTTGAAATTGATGTTGACAGCCAGCATCTTAAGCTCTCCATCCGGTGAGTGCACGAGATCACCCAAGAGCAAACATATCCTAGCTTGGAAGTCTGCAGCCAGATGTGCCAGACGCTGTCGCAGTGCAGGTAGCACGTCGTCTTCACCAGACCCGCCGTTTCCAACTCTAAGTAGAGGCGGAGGGAAGGGAGATTCTGCATCCTGTCGCGACGCAGCGCGTGATGCTGCAAATGCGTCTGGTGTAGATGTGCGCGAGCCATCTCGCTCGGAAAGGCCCCATCGCCCTGCTGCTGTGCGTGTTTCGATCTTTGCAGCAGCCTCTTGGCGGCGGGTGAACTCTGCGACAGAAAAGGAATATAGACTGTCGACAACATCCTTGTACGCGAGCATGGTTTTGAGCAGCTCGTGTAACTGCCCGGTGAAGTCGATGCTTTGGCTGCCCAACAGACCCTTCCTTGTGATGTTGTTCAAGTATTTGGCGTGCGCGTCAATCATGTCGTCCAGGGTGCTTTCTGGTTTGTTCAGAGCCTTTTGGAGGTCAATCCAAGATGACTCAATGACTTCGAAAAGGATGTAATGTTGGAGTTGGTTGACAAAGTGAACCATCTCGGCCATTGCAATCCGCGCCTTCTTCCAGTCTTTGCCGAACTTGTCATCAACGACACCAAGCACGCCACGAGCCCCAGTCGTACAGCGCCGCCACGTTGAGTCAAGGGCAAATTCGACTCGCTTTACGCGCCACAAGAAGTTAAAGACCTTCAAGTATTGTTTTGAGCCGTATGGTGTCACGATCACATCAACAGGAGCGTCGATCTTATACTCGAGTGTGAAAACGTCCCATCCAATCTCGCCATGTGAGAGCTCCAGCATACGAGAGTCAAGTCTTCGCAGGACATCCGCAGTGTCGTATTGTGCGTTTGAGTTGCGCACAGCATGCTCCAACTGTGCTGTTAGAGTATGCCGGTATTGTGTGTTGGCAGGACGATCGAGGTTCGATGCTAAAGACTCCATGAGAACAGCGATGAAGTCCCCTGCGCCAAGCAGCATGTACGACTTCAACGCCTGCAGGTGATCAAAGAGTTTGAACTTGTTGCCCATGAGCTCAATCAAGCGCGCCATGGTCGTCTTGTACGCATCGCCAATGGAACGTTCGAGGTTCGCTGTGTCGCCGTAGTGCAGCTCTTTGGATGCTTCTTTAGAATATGTGTCCACCCAATTGGCGTCACCGCAGCCATATCGTATGAAGTTGAGTGTTTTGCCGATGAGGAAAACCCTCCTTGCGAAATCGTCTGCGACTATGGTCGGTACCATTTTGCTGTTGAGCTTGTACTTGTCCTCCCAAACGCTGGTTGCTCCGCCTTTCCCTTGATCGTGCATGTCCATCATCTCGTCTTCGTTCTGTTCGGAGACAAAGAACTCACCGAAGGGATCTGACAGTTCGCCGTCGTACACCCATTGTCGTAACATGTCGTAGAAAGGTCGTGTGACATCTGACAGAAGGCGTTCGGCGAAGGACATAACATACGGGTCTCCATGGTTAAGCGAGAAGGAATGTATGAGGGAAATAAGCTGTCCACCTTTCAGAGTCTTGGACTGCTCAACCATGAGACTCATAAGTCGCAGACCCATGGTCGCGTCGCGGGTCCAGATGACACATCGCTTGAGCGTCACCCCGGCCTTGCTGACAGCTTGATGGGCAGGGCTCTCGGCTAGTTGAGTCAGTGCTCTTCTGATCTGCCCTTCCAAAGTCGCGACGAGTCCCAGGTACGCACGTAGCTCCTTGCCTAGTGCTGAACGGAAGCTCTGTCCGATCAGATCCCCCTCGCTTGACTCGACAAACTCTGCAAGTCCTTTGTACAAGACGGCTGGCTCGGCGAGAGTGTGCAGCAATCCGACGATGGGCACCGGCAGGTTCGCAGGCAGCTTCAATGTAGTCGAGGATGAGAATACGAGTTTCGAGGACGACAGGCCTTGGAGTGTAAAGGGCAGGTCGCGGAGCAGGTCTGTTTCCGACGGGCCCATGCTCACTTTTTCTGACTGGGCTGCCTCCTGTGCTTGCTCCTTGCTTGCCTCCTGCGTCCGGCGCTCCCTGCGCTTCTCCGGCTTGTCTTCAGTCCGGGTAAGGTTCTTCGGTGAAGGCTCGTGAGCTGGGTACTGTGGCAGGCCTTGCTTGGCAAAGGCTTCGCCGAACGCTGGGTTGTCGTATGCCGGTGCAGATGACTGGTGCTTGGACGGAGTGGTGGGACCACGCGAGCGGCTGCGCGAAGAGTCGAACGAAGGGTTCTGTTGTCCAGGAATTGGCAGATCGGAGAGCTCGTGGAGGAAGTAGAGCATGCGCCACTTTTCGTTTAGTACTGGCTGGTCCTCGAGCCGTCCGAGGAGGTTGTGCAGGCGGGCGCTCCGGTGGGGGTCCTGGCCTGGTCCGGCAACTACCTTGCAATCAGCCAGGTGCAGATGAGACCACACGCGCGCGCCTTACCCTTCGCTTCCAACAGGCTCGCAATGTGGCGAATATCTGGCACGGCTTCCGGCTCGCCGGCCACAATCAGCTGGTGCATCGATTGTTCGTAGGCATCTTGGAGGCGCTGCTCGGCAGCTTCCTCGTCGTCATTGGGGTCGTCGGGCACGATGCGCTGCAGCAGCTCGTCCAACGCGTGTCCGACGCGTTCATGGTTGAAGGAAGCCATGCGTGCTGTGCGGAAGTCTGCTCGAATCGCTATGCCATAATGACGACGCGCGTTGTTTTGCTGGACAGCACTGACAACATTTGGCGTTGCGGGGAGAAGCGCTTGGGCCGCCACATCATCGACTCCAACACTTTCGGATTTCAACTCAAGTCATCAGTATATACAGCTGCTTTAGTGAGTTTGGATCTGGACACTGGGGGTTCCAGTCCAGCTCAGCAACGAGATGACTTTATGCAAGTATTGGCAGCTTAGACATAGGCAGTGCGAGAGTCGACTCCTACACCATCACGACAGTTGCAACGACGTCTCGCGATGCTGACCGGGCGAAGATTCCATGTTCGCATGCATCGAAAGTTGATCCGCTATAGCTTGGTGAAGCCCGCACATCGTGCTCTTGATTTCCGCTGTTCTCTCATTATTTGCTTTCCTGTCTCTCTCTCACCTTCTGCCACAGCTTCATGCCTGCACCGCACCCAAGGTGAGAGCCAGTAGCTGTGGTAAGAGTACCCCAGGTATAAAGCATCGACAGCTCCCTGATTTTTGTACTCTAACACCAACTCGCTCCAACTGTCTACCTCCAGCACCACAGCTGATTACACGCCAACCAAGCAGCAACACCTAACATGGCATCGCGGGCTTCGACCGTGGTGCGTGATAGTGTTGAACCGGGACAGCCAGCTATGACGCCACCGTCCTCAGTCGTGCAAGGTGCGGACACAGCGCCGCCCACGACTTCGTCGTTGAAGCCGAGAGCCGAACAACGTACCCCAGCTTATCAGTAAGTTCCTTGCTCTCGTACAGTCATGTCGCTCATTGAATGGCAAGGGAACCGATGCAGCATGTCATCACGATTGAACATGGCGACAACCGCCGCAGCTGGCGTACGATTCATGAGCACGTCCTATGCAGTCACAGTCAGTATATGCAACAGACTTCTGCCAGGGCGGAACAACTGCGCGAGAAGTACGACAGTTGCAGCGATATCCTGGACAAGATTGAGTTAATTGTGCACCTCACCCTGGAAGAGTTTGAGGCGAAGAAGGTTAAAGTAAAGGTATTCTCTCCTATCCAATGGAATGTGATGCCGAGTCATCAATTCTTCAACAAGATCACGAGTTAATCGCTGTACAGCTCCTATCGCTGGTGGACAACATTGAGAAGTACCCTCTTCAAGAATATCAAAAGAGGCTCGATAAGGTCATCGGCGAAGCCTTGGATCAACAGTTCACGAACAAGAACACCCTGCAATCAGAAGACCGGCCAAAGACTTTAAAGAACTTCCAAGCTCTGTGCTTGAAGAACCGACTCTCTTTTCTCGACGCTGAAGGAGCTTTGGATGTTGCCCACGCAATCTGTGCGCAGCTCCAGAAAATCAAAGGTACGGAGGGTCAGAAGGCCAGGAACAATGTCCACAAAGCCTGGGCACAGGGTCGGCTTCTGCTCCGCGAGGCTACCGAGAACAGCGTCCTGTTGCTTGTGGAGTGGGCATATCTTCCTAACCTTCCCGATGTTGATGCCGAGCAACTATACGATCTTTGGCGCCTCGCTAGGCGTCTCAAGATCGTTGCGCTCGCTGAAGAGTGCGTTGACCAGCTTTTCAAAATCACTTTCAACAGTATCCAAGACGCTCTTCTAGACGGTGTGCCTCTTCGTCGTCTGCTTGGCTTGACTAGTGATCCCCATACGCCAGACCAGCCCGGTTCAACGGACGAAACAGTGACCTTCGTGTTCCACCATGTCCTCAAGGACGACAAACCACCTGCAAAGCTGTCAGATCTTGTCATCGAGACCATGGCCAAGAGCATGGATCTAGAGCTCTGGTCGCAGATCCAACCAGAAGTGAACCACAACACTGCCCGCAAGTTGATCGAAGCAATGGTGGCCTTCAGAGAAGTCAAGACCGAGCAGAACATCAGCGAGACCGGCAGCGTCAAGCATGAGGGCCAGCTCAGAATCGGCGGTGCTTGAGTATTGACCGTCTGCTGCACAAAAGCAAATTAGATCTACAAATCGATTTCCGATCTCAAATTGCTGCGTAGAGGACATCCCTGGTATCCAATCATTACATTCGGCCATTGAGGGAATCGGGGTGTGCTATAAACATGGCCAGCCTTAGTGCGAAGCGGGAAAAGGTTGGAGGTTTGCCAGGATCAGTTCTCGGCCAGTGCCACGCTGGTTTCAATTTCATGAGAACAGCAGGAAGAGCCAGTCTTCTTACTTATCAGGTAGTATCGTCCTCTCAAAATGTAGTGAATGCTACATCTAGTACCCCAAGAACCACTGACTCACATACTGACCAACTCAAACCATTCAGAACCGACACTGGCGGTAGGCATGACGTACAGCTTAGGTGACCTTTCCGGACAAAATCCGAAGCTTCTCCAAGTCTGGTCTGCACAGTATCGCGAGGAAGCTCCTTGACCTGAGCCGGCACAGCCTCGAAACACGCCTTGCGTTTGCTGGTTTTGACTGGACCTACGCGTGTTGTACAATCGCTGATGAGTGCACTAGACACCTAAAAAGCTGCCGTGCGTGCGTAGCACAACTCAAATCGACACCCCGAGCCATGACCTGCCAGGAGAAGACTTCCTCGCGTTGCGCGACTGGCCGTTGAAGGTTACACAGCGCAATGCCGTGTGCGCCGCAACAGCCTCGACCGGCAAGCAGGGCGCATGATGCCGAAACGTCAGAGCCGTATCCGGAAGAGATGCAGCAGCCTGGTAATTTGGCTTGTTTTGCGTCAGGGGCAATGTTGTTGTTGCCTCTAGACCTGCACTAGAGGCTGAGACTGGAGCAGATTCGACCTCCCTTGCGCGCGTCGGGCCAGGAGCAGGGTGTCCGACAACCTGGTTCGAGATGCAAAGCGTGCATTTTCACACAAAAGGATACGAGTGTGCGTCAGCCTGAGCCGCTTACACCACTGGCGTGACTGGCAACAACAGCCTGAACGTGGCGTTGAGCCATGAGATTGTCGTCGTGCCAGCGCACATTCCCGTGAGTGACAGTGGCAACCGGTTTTCTATTCTAATGGTTTCCACACGCCAAGATGCCGTAGTCGTTGCATTACGTGCTCCTTGTCCACACGCCTCCAAACTACGCCCCATCAGGGAAGATATGGAGAGCACAACAAGCTTGCAAACCCCGACCTGCAACGATGGCTGACCTTGCAGCACGGCTGGGAATACAAACACAGAACTCCTGCATCTGCGCGGACCCGTCGCGCCCCGCATCCAAACACGCAGTTTGTGCAACAAACACCGCGGCCCAAGCGCTCCCTCTACCGTAAGATGTTGCCTCCTCGCACTGCCGTTGTCGAACAGTCTTGCTCTGCAGGAGGAAGGGAGGACGCCAATGACAGCATCAGTACAGGCCGCCAAGCTCCCTGGAATGGGCCTATCGCACCACGTTGAGTTGCCGGCCGTTGACACCGTCCTCAGCGTAGTACACCTGCACGTTTGAAATCTCCGATGATGCTATCCGCTGCCTCCCGTCTACGAGGCTTACACAAGAGAGCCTCAACAAACCTGGGTGCCGATCCTGCCCAGAGGCTGGGTGTTTGGGCGCGATCGGGCGGCTGATGTGAGTGTCTGGCAAGTGGGCAAGGCTGACCATGCCTCATGGGATATGGAGCTGCATTAGTATATGCAGACCTTCCTGTTGTGTCCTCCTGAAGCTCATTCCACGTGTGAAGGTCAGACATCTGCACCTCGATACGGCATGCCGATGAACCGACACACCATGGCGCTGAAGCAGGAATCATCTTACCCACTCGTTCCTGTGCACCCTCTCATTTCGTCATGCACACTCCTTGCTGCTGTCTCCGATTCGGTGCTTTGTGTCAATGTCCGACGAGCTTGTGCAAGCCGGTTCGCTCGTCTGCGCCGCCAGACAACGGCCATGGGTGCGTGCAATATAAACTATTCGCGCTCCCGGCGATCTCGCACAACTCACCTGACAGCCGGCTCGATATTCCAATCCTCCCCGCGATGTCATACAGCCAGAGACGCCGGGGCTCGGCGGAGTTCGCTGCAACCCCTTGTCGGTACGAGTATTGGTGGAGAGAACGACAGCGACGGAGCGACGGACAACGTGGCAGGTTACCTGCCGGACTGCCTGCCATCCCTTCCAACAAGCCGCCGGCGATATTTGATCCTGAGCGCCGCCTGATCGAGCCGCAGCAGCGAATCACAGATATCGAGAAGGGTTTACAGCACAGCCACTGTAATGGTAGGGTGCGGGGGGCAGCCACGTCCATCTCCCTGTCTTCAGACTCTACGCTGTTGGAGAAGCCGCCGCCAAGTCTGATAGAGCTGCCGTCCAAACGGTCCAAACGATTCTTCCGACATCTTCGGTATGGCACCTTCGCAGTGTACCAACGACTGTTCACGTTTGTGTTTCTGGCGAATCTAGCCGCCGTCCTCATACTCCTACACCACCAATCGTGGACCATGTCCCGAGTCTTCCAACTCGACCACCTCGCGACCTTCGCATCCTCGAACCTCCTCGTCGCAATCTTCTTCCGCCAAGACTGGCTCATCAACCTGCTCTTCCGCACCGCCTGGCTAGTCCCATGGTCCGCTCCTCTCCGGATACGGCGCATGATCAGCAGAGTGTACTGCTACGGCGGGATCCACTCCGGCGCCGCAACCACAGGAACCGCGTGGTGGCTCGCCTTCACCGCCGTCATGAGCTGGGAGGGCGTGACTCACGGGCACCACACGCCAGCCCTCCTCATCCTCACGCTGACCATCGCCTCCCTCCTGCTCACCATCATCTTGCTCTCACTCCCGCGCCTCCGCGCCCGCCACCACAACACCTGGGAACTCACGCACCGCTTCCTGGGCTGGCTCGCGGTCGCCCTGTTCTGGGCACAGCTGCTCCTCCTCACGCAGCACGCCGCCCGCACCGGCCCTCACCCCTTCACCGCGCTGCTAGCCCGCACCCCGAGCTTCTACAACCTCGCGGCCCTCACCGCGCTGCTGGCGTACCCCTGGCTGCGCCTGCGCCGCTGGCGCTTCGCCGCGACCCCGCTGTCGGCCCACGCGCTGCTGCTCAGCACCCCGCGGCCCGTGCCCGCGTACTCGTGTCTGGTGCTGTCGGCGGCGCCGTGGCGCGAGTGGCACCCGTTCGCGACGTTTCCGCGCGCGGGGGGGACGGGGCTGGTGGTCAGTGGCGCGGGGGACTGGACGAGGGGGCTTGTTGCGAGTGCGCGGTGGCGGAGCAAGGAGGAGGCGCTGCGGAGCGGAGGGGAGAAGGGTGCGCAGACAGTGCAGGGAGAGCAGGGCGAGCAAGACGAGCAGCTCGAGCACGACAAGCAGCCAGCGCAGCCCTCGCAGCCCTCTCACCCCGCCCCCAAAGCCCCCGCCGTCGCAATGCACTTCTGGGTAAAACCGCACCCGCACCCCGGCGTCCTCTCCCTAACCCTCCTCTACCCCCGCCTCATAATCCTAACAACAGGCTCCGGCATCGGCCCCGCGCTGTCCTCGCTGCTCGACCGCCCCGCGTCCCAACACGCGCGTCTAGTATGGAGCACGCGGTCCCCGCTCACCACCTACGGCCCCGAGATCCTGGCGCTCGTGGCGCGCGCCGATCCGCACGCAGTCGTGCTCGATACGGATGCGCGCGGGCGTCCGGATTTGCTCAGGGTCGCGCTGGGCGTGTGGAGGGAGGAAAGGGCGGAGGCGGTGTTTGTGCTGAGTAATGAGCGGGTGACGAGGGAGGTTGTGGGGGGGTTGGAGAGGAGGGGGGTGCCTGCGTTTGGGCCGATATGGGACTCGTAGCGCGAGGAAAGGGGGGAAGGGGGGAAAGTAGGAGTGTTGTGGTGTGGTGTGGTGAGGTTCGGCTTATTTAATAGATACCCAGGAGGACGTTTTTTGTTCGGACACATGATACCCAGCGTTGCGGCGCGCGCGAAGAATACGATACGCATATATTTATGGTTATGGAATGTTTTGTAGTGTACATTTTCGGGCCGCGTGTCGGCGGATATGTTACAGCGGAAACCGGGGACACGAGAGAAGCGTGGTAAAACAGAGTCCAGCGAGTGGACACAGAAGAGGGAAGAAACCAGTGCGCCGTCGCTAAATGTTGCCGAGGCAGAAATACAAACAGAAATCATCCTACACATGTGCCAATTGCTCATCAACTTTTCAGTGGTCGTCGTCGTTGGGGGACTTGGCGAGGGGCGCGAGCAGCGAGCGGCCGGCGAGAATGGCCTCGCGGTCCTGGCGCATGCCCTCGAGCACGCCGACCAGGCCGCCCTCGCGCATGCGCTCCAGCACGACCTTCATGCCCTCCTTTGCGTTGGGCTGGCTGCGCTGGGCGCGCGTCAGGCCAATCTTCTCGATCTGGCGCTGCAGCGTGGCGGTGCCCCAGCTGCGCAGGAAGCCCATCTTCGGCGGCTCCTCGTCGGCAGCGGAGTTGGCGGCCTCGCTGGCGGCCTCGCGCTTGCGCTTCCAGGCCTCGCCGATGTGCGAGTGCAGCGTGACCGACGAGGTGACGTCGGTGCTCTCGCCGGTGTCCTCGACCCTGAGGCCCTTGCCGTCCTTGGCGAAGGAGAGGAAGCCGTGGCGGCGGGCGGCGCCCTCCATGCCGCGGAAGACCTTGGCCTCGTCGGGCAGCTCCGGGCGCTTGAAGCACTGGCGCTCGATGACGGAGAGCACGCCGGTCCACTCGAGGTTGCGCGACTCGGTGTCCATCCAGCCCTCTCGCACGTCGACGACGCTCTTCTCGAGGATGTAGGTCTGGGTGTCGCCCGAGGCCGAGGCGCCGAGCAGCGACTTGGGCAGCAGGCGGGTGACGGCGACGGGCAGCTTGGAGCGCTTGAGGTGCAGGCGGATGGTGGTCAGGCGCTGGGTGTCCGGGTCGAAGGAGCGGGCGATGGTGTCGGTGGACAGGACATGGGTGGCGTAGGGGTTGGGGTAGCGCAGGAAGTAGGCGAGGGTGACGGCGGGGAACGAGTAGGGGTACGTCTCCTGCGACGAGTAGAACTTGACCATGGCGGCGGCTGGCGGTGCGTGGGCGGGCGTCGAGGCGGTGATGCAGCGGCGGGCGGGCGTGACGGGCGGCAGGTGAGGGCGTCGTCTATCGTCGTGTTGCGTGGAGCATGGCCGGGGCCAATTGTGCGGCAGCCGTGGGCGTGGGCGGTGCTGCGGTGGATGCGGGGGCGGTGGTCGTGTGGTGTGACGTTTGCGCGGAGAGCTTCTGGCTGCTGGCTGGCTGCTGACGGCCGCAGAAGCTGCAGCGCCACAGCGCCACATGCCGGCGGTTGCTGTGGCGCTGCTGTGGCGCTGCCCCGCATCCTCAAATTGCGGCTGGTGGGGTGACTGTACGGGAGGGACTGAGTCAACGCGTGCCGGCTGCCCCCAGCAACCGCAGCAGCAGCAGCGACAGCAGCAACAGACCGCCGCCATGACCGAGCCCGAGCCGCCCTCCGTCGCCGCCCTCAGCCTGGCTGCGACCGCCGAAGAGCCCGTGTCCAAGGCCACCGCGCAGGAGATCAACCCGTGGGACGTCCAGGCGGCCACCGACGCCGACGGCAACGTCCAGGAGTTCGACTATGCCGCCATCTCGGCCCAGTGGGCCACCAAGCTCATCGACGACGCCCTGCTCGAGCGCTTCGAGCGCGTGACCGGCCACAAGCCGCACCGCTGGCTGCGGCGCCGCCTGTTCTTCTCCCACCGCGACCTCGAGCTCGTCCTGGACAGATATGAGAAGGGCGAGGACTTCCTGCTGTACACCGGCCGCGGGCCCAGCAGCGACGCCATGCACATCGGCCACACCATCCCCTTCGAGTTCACAAAGTGGCTGCAGGACGTCTTTGACGTGCCGCTGGTCATCATGTTGACCGACGACGAGAAGTTTCTCTTCAAGGAGAAGCTGACGCAGCCCGAGGTCTACGAGTTCGCCCGCCAGAACGCCAAGGACATCATCTCCGTCGGCTTCGACCCCAAGAAGACCTTCATGTACATCGACTCCGAGTTCTTCACCTCTGGCTTCAACAGGCACTTCAACCTCAACACCACCGAGTTCGAGAAGCTCATCACCAACAACCAGGTGCGCGGCGCCTTCGGCTTCCACGGCTCCACCAACATCGGCAGCAATGCCTTCGCTGCCAAGCAGTGTGTCGCTGCCTTCGCCTCGTCCTACCCCTTCATCTGGGGGCAGGACCACAAGACCTATCACCGCTCCAAGCAGCTCGCCGCCATCCCCTGCCTCATCCCCTGCGCTATCGATCAGGATCCCTACTTCCGTCTTGTCCGCGAGAACTGCAGCAGAATGGACCAGCCGTCGCCAAAGCCTGCACTGATCCACTCCAAGTTCCTCACCGCGCTGCAGGGTGCAGGTGGAAAGATGAGTGCCTCGAACCCCAACTCGGCCATCTTCATGAGCGACAGCCCCAAGGAGATCAAGAAGAAGATCAACTCTCACGCCTTCAGTGGCGGACAGGAAACCCTGGAACTACACCGCGAGAAGGGCGGTAACCCCGACATTGACGTTCCCTACCAGTACCTTGCATACTTCGAAGAAGACGACGAGAAGCTGCTGAGACTTGCCGACGAGTACCGCAAGGGCGAGCTTCTGACTGGCGAGATGAAGAAAGAGTGCATCGACATGATGACACAGTACGTCAAGAAGTTCCAGGAGGCCAGAGCACAGGTCACAGATGAGACTCTGGAAGAGTTCCTGCGCCCAAGGCAGCTAGAGTGGAAGGGCAACCCCCGCGTGGAGAAGCCGAAGCCCGAGGAGAAGAAGGAAGGCGAAGCGGCCGCAGGCGCAGACGGACAGCCGCTGACCAAGAACCAGCAAAAGAAGCTTGCCAAGCTGGCAGAGCAGGAGAAGAAAAAGGCCGAGAAGGCGGCGGCGGCTGCAGCGAAGAACTAGAGGCACATAAGATACCAAAGAAAGACATTACGGCCTAACATAGCCTACCGGCCAGACTGTTGATTTTGTTCGCGTGCTAACCAGTCATGTCATAATGGCCTGGTCAAGATAACATGGCCCTCGTTTGACAATACAGTCAGGAGCGTGGGGTGATCGCTTCGCACTCAAAAAGGGTCTTCATGACGTTAAATGATAGGCACGCGTTCGATAGCTGTTGCCCCACAATACTAGAGGCCCAAGTGCGGGGGAAAGGGATTCTGGGTTCCTGCAGCTAGCCTACCGTTGTTCCCTTCCCGCCCAGCCTATACGGACCAACCGAAAGCTTGACCAAACATCAACGCTTACAACCTCCCTGGCCAGACCCCTATGATTGCTGTGTCTCCAGAAATCACGCGACTTTTGATCCGCTGCCTTTTCCCTCTTCGGTCACAAGACACCATTACTCACGAAATTAACATATATCGACCAGCACTACTGACGCCTCTCAAAGTCGGACCCCAATCGCTTCGCATGAGGCCACTACGTCGCCGCTTCGAAGCATAAAGATGTCATCAGAACCAGTCCATCCCTTGCCTCTCTCTTCGGACGGTGACAAGGCATCTTCACATGTCATAAACAAACATCTTTCCACATTCTTTCCATATTCATTACCGCGTCCAGGCTTTCCACACCTGCGTCAGGGCCCACCAATGCTCCTCGATTGACCATCAATCTGCAATGGCAACCCAGGAACAGCAAACAGGTGCGGCCAGCACTTCACCACCGTGCCTGCAACGCCACGAGAGGGCGTGCTCGCACTTCTCAAGCCTGTCCAACACATGCACGGACTCGACAGACGACTCGGCTACACCATGTCTGCCGCACCCGTCGTCGGTCCAGACCGCGGCGAATAGTGAGGAGGACATATCCCTTCGACAGTGTATCCGCAGATACCCAAAGGCGATCATGTGGTCCGTTCTCTTCTCCTTGACCCTGATCATGGAAGGCTATTCGACCATCCTGGTCCCCAACTTATACTCGCTCGACCCGTTTCTGCAGCAATTCGGCGGCCGCCAGAACAACGGCGACTACGAGATCAGCGCCGAGTGGCAGAGCGCGTTGGTCAACGGGGCGCTGGCAGGGCAGATTGTGGGGCTGTTTGTGGCGGGTTGGCTGGCGGAGAAGATTGGCTATCGGAGGACGCTGATGGCGGGGCTGGTGGCCGCGACGGCGTTCATCGCCATTACGTTCTTTGCGACGAGTAAGCCGGTGCTGCTGGTGGGGCAGTTCTTGCTTGGGGCGCCGTGGGGCGTGTTCCAGACGATTAGTACGGTGTATGCGAGTGATGTCTTGCCTGTGGGGTTGAGGGGATATCTTACTACGTACGTACCGTTTCTTCGTTTTGGTGTTATGATGGATGTGAAGCAGATTTACTGACCAGAGCAGATATGTCAATGCTTGCTGGGTGATGGGCCAGTTGATTGCGTCCATTGTCCTTCGCGCCATGCTCACGATCCCCTCTCAATGGGCGTACCGCATCCCTTTTGGTCTGCAGTGGGCATTCCCGGTTCCCATTTTTGTCGTCGTACTACTTGCTCCTGAGAGCCCCTGGTGGCTGGTGCGCCAGAACAAACTCGAAATGGCAAAGGATTCTCTTCGTCGCTTGCGGAAACAAGCAGCGGGTGAGCCGGACGCCGAATTTGACGCGGGCTTGGTTCAAACGTTGAACTTGATTCAGCTGACCGACAGCGCTGAGAAAGAAGCTCAAAACGGGACAAGGTATATCGACTGCTTCAAAGGCGTGGACTTGCGGAGAACGGAGATTACCTGCATGTGTTGGATTGTACAGACGCTGTGCGGAAGTACTTTCATGGGCTTCTCGACCTATTTCTGTGTGTAATATCAACCTGCTTCCGATAGATTGCATACTGATATATGTCTAGACGAACAAGCAGGCCTGGGCGCCAAACACGCCTTCACCCTCTCCCTCGCCCAATTCGCCCTCGGCCTCCTCGGCGTCCTCGCGTCCTGGTTTCTCCTCTCCTGCCTCGGCCGACGCACAATTTACCTCTCCGGACAGGCCCTGACCTTCCTCTGCGTCCTGGCCATCGGCATACTCGCCTGCATCCCGCACCAAACCCCGTCAACAAACGCCCCCCGCTCTGCCGGCGGCGCAAGCCCACCCCCTCCGCGCACCGAGACCCCCAGCCCCGTCCCCTGGGCCATCGCCGCCCTGCTCCTGCTCTTCACCGCCGTCTACGACGCCACCATCGGCCCGCTCTGCTACACCCTCGTCTCGGAGATCCCGTCGACCCGGCTGCGCTCCAAGACCATCGTGCTGGCGCGCAACTGCTACAACGTCTCGGGCATCGTGACCAACCTCATCACCCCGCGCATGCTGAATCCGACGTCCTGGGCCTGGGGCGCCAAGTCCGGGTTCTTCTGGGCGGGCACCGCGCTGCTGGGGCTGGGCTGGTCGTGGTGGCGACTGCCGGAGACCAAGGGCCGGACGTTTGCGCAGATTGATGGGCTGTTTCGCGAGGGGACGGGGGCAAGGCGGTTTAAGGGGAAGGTGCTGGGGGAGGGGATGTGGCGGGATGGAGGGGAGGGGGGGAAATCGCGAGCATAGCGTTGTGGCACGTCGAATCGTCTCGTAAAAATTGTAAATCACACCCACCGTGATCCGTGTTTGTATGAACAGACAGCGGAGTCGCCCTCGAACTCCCCTCCCCCTCCCAATGATCCATCCTACCCCCTCCACCGCCGCGCAAACAACCACTCATAATCCCCCACCGCCGCCCTAACCAACCCCTCCACCCGCCCCGCCAGCTCCCCGCCAAACTCCTCCTCCCACCCGCTCCTCTCCCCTTCCCACTCCCACCCCGCGCCCCCTCCCTCCAGCTTCGCGCCCACTACCCCCGTGCTCGCTAGCAGCGTGTCCCGCATGCGGAGTTCCGTGGGGCTCATGGTCTGGGTTTCTGAGGCGCTGGCGGGGGGCCAGGAGGTTAGGGTGGGGGTGGGGGAGAGGCCGGTGTGGTGGGCGTAGCGGGATATGAGGGTTGGGGAGAGGAGGTGGGTGGCGTCGAGGATTAGGGGGGGTGGGGGTGAGGGGGGTGGGGGGGTCTGCGTCTGCGTCTGCGTAGGCGTCTGCGTTGACGTCTGCGTCGGCGTCTGCGTCCTGCTGCTGCTCCCCATCCAGCCCCCGCGCACCACCCTCCACCTCCACCTCCCCGCCCCGCGACAGCGCCTGCAGGAACCGGTACAGCAGCACGTGCCACCGGAACGAACACTCCCACCGCATCACCGCCGCGCTCTCGGGCGTCAACACGTGCGCCCGCCCTTCGTTCGCGAGCGCCGTGCGCAGCGCCGATGGGACGGTCTGGGCCGGGTGCCGGATGAGGAGGGTGGTTTGGGTGCGGCGCCATACGGAGGTGGGGAGGGCCGTTGGGTTGAATGGTGGCTGCTCGGGGTCGAGCGGCGGGTTGGGGTCAAGCGGGGAATGTTGTCCCGGGTGCAGATACGCGGACTCGATTTCCGGGCGCAAAGTCCAGTTCACGTGCTCTTTGATGTACGTCCCCTTGCCCTGTGCGTCGGCGGCGAGGAGGAAGGCTTCGTATGCTGAGGCGGAGGTGCGGAGGGCGGTGTCCAGGGAGGGCGTTTCCGGGGAGGACTGGGTTTCCAAGGACTCGGTGTACGGCTGTGTGAGTGTGTTGTGCTGCAAACGGTGGACGAGCGCGGGCAGGAAGAAGTAGCCGTCGTGTGGGTGGCGGAGGATTGAGGGCTGGGAGGGGAGCGCGAGGAGGTGCGTTAGCAGGTTGGAGGCGGTGCGGGGGATGGAGATTAGGATGTTGTGTTTGGGTGGTCCGGGAGGTGTTGGTGGTTCTGGGGCGGGCTGGTCTGGCATTTTTGGGTCTTGGACGGTGGTGTCTGGGGATTCTTTTGGGATTTGAGGATGTTACTCGACATGTAGATTGTCTCTGTGCTTGAGATTCGATGCGGCTGTGTCGTCTTTTACATCGCAGTGAAGCTTGCGTGGCCCTGTCAAAATTGGCTCTAGATGTTATGCATGTCAGCGCACGCCATTGCTTGGCGGGATTGACAAGGGAGAAGTGAGAAGTAGTGGTGGACATTCATCGGATACAGTGTAGTATACATGGAAACACGCTAAAGAGGGCAAGCGCCAGTGATACGTCAGAATAAGCCCTGGTCATACAGTAGCCTACACTTTCATAAAAATACAGTGTCGTTGAAATTGACGAACGTAGCAGAAAACATGGGTATATTGCTGAGAGCGAAAGTAAAAGTGGGTATCGAGAAAGAAGAAACCAAAGCAAGATACGCTATGCATGCTCGCTAGTATGACGTGAACGCTGTGCAGAAATCAAATGTGCGCAAATAACCAAAGTAAAGCAACGATGTGGGTGATGATGGGCCTCATATTCCCCAGGTCTCCCACCTGTGGTCGAGCATGCGCTCGATCTGGCCAATGGCATGGGTGACCAGCTCTCCGCGGCGATCTCCAATGGAGTTGATACCGACTTCTTCTGGCTCTGCGTCGTTCGAGAAAGCGCCTCGCAGGTGCATCTTCACCCAGAGGAGAAGACTCTTGCAGCCAATCTGGCAGGCTGCGATTTCGAATGAGAAGATGTCGTCGATTGCAGTTGAAAGGAAGTGCGACGCGTTAGAGAAGATTTCTGTGCACGGGAACGAGGCTCTCCGGTCTGAAGAGATGAGTGGTTGGATGTCGGTCGGATGGCACGCGTCTGTGTCGAAGTGAATACCGGAGTGCGATGTGGTAGCGATGTGTGAGTGCTGCGTTGAGAGTCTCGACAGCACTACCCTACTCGTTGCCGCGGCAGTGGCAGCCCACAACACCAAAGCGGCAAAGAAGAGGCCCAGTTCATGGCCCAAGCCGAGTGCAAGTGGCTTATTTGTCTCCAGTGAAAGCTTCAGGATGGCAACAGAAAGGGACAAAGCTTCTGTAGCTGGGTTGAGCTCGTCGCTGACAGTGGACGACCAGACTTGGCCTATCCACACTGAGAGGGTGGATCTCAGGACGGAAAACTCCTCCGCGGTTGATGTCGCCTTGGTGCCGAGAACATACGACTCGCCTGAGACGGCCAGAAGGGTGCGCATTGGCAGGATTTGTGTCAGTTTCGTGGTCAAAAGCTGCAGCTGGGTTGTCGACGACTGGCTGAGATGCTTTGAAATTGTACTCAGACTAGCCGCAGATCCATCGGCATACTCTTTGTATGCTGCAATGAGAACTGCAGACTGGAATACATTGTAGTGCTCTCCTGTCGGTAGTTGGACGGCTTCGTGGACAGTGAGAGGCATGTTCGACTGCTCTCGAGCGACGGAGATCCACTCAGAGGCTGTCGTTGCGCCCCACAGCGAGTCGCACACCGGAAATGGAAGGACGTCGCTCATTGTGTGCAATGATAGCTCGCGATCTCTTGCAATCAGCGTGGATTGTTGCGATTCGAGCACGAAGCACGACAGAAGCAAGTGCTGCCTAGCAGAGAGTTTTGCCCATTGTATCCAACGGTCATTGACGTTGTCCTCAGGAGCGAGAAGTTGAAGACCGAAGATGGTTGATGGAGAGATGGTGCGTATGCCGGCCAGCTTGAGGGATGTAAGCGACGAGTCACAAGAAATTGGGCCATGTTGTAGTACCTTCTCGTACATGAGCTCGAATCGCGAGGTCAATGTTTTCGGGCAGCGTTGCGCACAATACTGCGCAAACACCTCTACTAGGAAAATGGCTTGACTGTCGCACAGTCTGTCACAGCCAGTGCGGTTTAATTGCTCTCTCTGCTCATGATCAGTTGTCTGTCTCATGTTGTTCCGTCTGGAAACATACCTGCAAGAGTAGTCGGGTACAGCATTTATGAAGTTCCCAGGCCCTTTGCCTCTGACCGGCGTCGTTGCTATACTGCAGATCGATCGCGATCATTGCAGCATAGAGCATCGGCGAGAGGTCCCGGCTGGCGAAGGTGAACCGATGGACGATGGGGAAAGCGGGATGAAAGAGCCTCCAATAATTGTTCAGCCATTGCTCAATCGGATAAGCGCGCATAATTTGGCTCATACCGTAATGATTTTCTGGAAAGAGTTGTAGTCCCTCTTCATTGTCCATCTGCACCACGTTGTGTGGATCGTACTGTGGGTACTGAGCCATCGTGTCAAAACTTGCATGCATTGGCATGTTGGAAGTCGCATATGACACAGGCATGAAAGGAAAGCTCGATGCCATGATGTTCTTTTCGCCCGAGGGCCAAGAGTAAGGCATCGAAATGGACGACGTAGGCGACTGCGATGCATGTACCCATGTTTGCTCAATGACGGAGGCATTTGAGGATGCACGAGTTCGGACCAGACCAGAACTGTAGGGCGGTGTTGCGTACATGTGGTTGTACTCAGGACCAGGGGCTGGCGATGCATAACCACTCGAGCAAGAATATGGCGACGGTGCGTAGGAGTCGTGCCATAGTCCGCCTGTAGTCATTCCTTCAACCGGTACGGGGCCGGATATGGAATGTCGAGTTGGGTAGCCCGTATTGTGTTTCATATCACTTGATCCAAATGTCAGCCACGTGCTCACAGCGTTTGAAATGGATATGCAGAATGGAAAATTTAAAGAAACAAAGGTCTGAAAACTCTCCAGCTTGCGTGTCGTAGAAACTCACTTCGTATGACGCTTTAAATCGTGACTGGAATGAAAGACAGGATTGCTGAGATTGAAGGGACCAATCTTCGGGGTGCGAGGGAGTTGAGGAGCACGAAATAGATTTGGGTTGTACCTTGGAAACGGTGTCACTTCTGGCTGCGAGGACACTAGGGCATGAGGTTGCGAGTATGCCACAGTAGGTGAGATTATACTGGCAGTGACCACAGGTAACGGTGCGGGTGCAGTCGTGGGGGAGGCGTACACAGATTGCTCTGTACTAGAAACGGATGATTGGCGAGAAGCATTGCCAAGTTCGTTGCTGCGGGTTGTGAGTAAAGCAAGAAAATCTTGGGAGCCGTGAAAACGTACTGTCGTTCCTCGTGACGTTGAAGCAGGTCAGACCGAAAGAAGGCCTTGCCACAATTGGCGTACTTGCAGACCAATGCACGCTCCTGGGCGTGATTCCGTTGGTGACGCCTTTGCCAATGAGTCAGACCCCAAGTCCCGTTTTTGATCATGTCAACTTACCTCAGATGCTCTGCACGGGTGTACGACTGGGACAAAGTTAGTATGGTTCCAGAGACTAGCTCATGTGATGAAGGGTAGAGATGGCTGTCGTGGATGGTGGCATCAAAGGATACCGAGCAAACTTACACGTCCACATTCACAGTCATGTACTTTGAGACCCTTCTTCGCCTTGCTGACCCGCCCCGTCTTAGTTAAGCTGATCGAGGACATGTCGCTTGGGCTTGCGGTTGACCGCTGCGTAGCGCGGGAGGAGCCGACGTTGGACCCGGCAGTAGTTGCCTTGGTGGTTGTTGCAGAGCGGCGTCGAGAGGACGTTGGTTTGGTATCTGTAATGGTACCATTCGTTGACGTTGATTGTCTCCTTTGGCGCTTGGCTTTTGTTGAGGTAGGTGTGGTGGGAGGGGTATGTTCAAGTTGCTGTTGGGGTTCGATAGTAGAAGCCAAGGGGCAGCTGCTTGTCGTTCGGTCTTCGGGCATGGTCAAAAGAGCGGGCAAACAATGTATATACTGGAGCCGTCGAGGATGGGGCCAGGAAAGATCGATCCGCGTGGGTGGATCCTCGGATAAGATCAAACAAAAGTCCAGAACTGGTTGTACGGCAGACGGTTAGGAGCTAACGGCCATGTCTTGGGCAGCCGGCGTAGTTTCCACACAACGATTACAGGCAGGCCGAGGACCTGGGGATGAAATAAGGTACGAGCGCCCAGGGAACAGTCCACCAGATGGTGTGAAGTAAACTGGAAACGGGCTACCAGCCGATCCAAATCAGGATGCGAGTGATGTAGGGGTGTAGGAGGATGCACTGCGCCCACGTGCACATGGAGAAAAGCACCGTAAATACCTGCAGGCTGTGCCTGAACCAAACCCGAACGAGTGTCAGGTTAGGTTTTGGGGAATGTCGACGAGTGACAGGGTATGCTCGAAGTCCGACATACGCTTGTGAAATGACAGGGACCATGATGGGAATTCGCCAATAGCGACGCTATGGACCGTCGAGGATTGTGTCCAAACTTGGAGCCCGTGGGCATGGCTGCGGGCGTGTAACCGAACGGTTCCATAAGCAACCCCCAGAGCACCAGAGCATCCGCGCACCAAATATGGCGCACGGGACAGGTTGCTGGAGAGGATAGAGATTGGCACCGCAACGCCATGTTGCGGACCGGCCCTGCCTCGAAAGACCAAGCAAAGCGCGGTACACGCTGTGATGCGTGGTGGCTTGGTACCCGAAATAGCGACGCCCGTGCACTCAGCCTTCCTGCCTCCCTGCAACGGCGCACATTTGTGCCTGCTTACGCCAACGCGCATGATCACGACATGCAGACAAGGCGACTGTGTTTGCAGGACTAGTAGGACATATCATGGCGCGTTTGAATGACAGCATTGAACGGTCATATCATACGTTTGTTGCTCCGAATCCTGACATTGGCGGTGCATTGTCATCATGGTTTTCAAACGCTGAACTGTATACCTAGTGTCCTCCTAGTGTATTTCCGCAAGGCGTCTTTCATTGGCATGAGGGGTATTGGACTGGTGCGTAGTGTCATCTGTAGCCCTGCCAGCATGCAAGATGCTGTGGAGAACGTCAGAACACCAAGCTGTTTGATGATGTCTGCCATTCTGCCCCTGTGAACGGCGACCATCAACGGTGACCATCCGTTGCATTGAAGGTAACATTAATCTCGAGCTGCTGCAGGTGGTGGGGATGCCGGTCTGCGAGCGTTGCCCTGGTTGGTGTTGCTCATTCGGTGATGCGTAGAAATGAGGAGCGTAAGCCCGGCGAAGAGTCCCCCCGTGCGTGTGCGGCTGCTCTGTCGCGATCCTGCACTGATCGAGACAAGCGTTCTCCAATCTCCACAAGTCTAGGAAAAGCCAGTGGGAGGCCTGATGGGATTAGCGCACGTCAATCAGCCCTTCCGCTCGTCTGTAGCCTTTCAAGGCTCGGGCACTTGGTCCACCAGCGGCACACGCATCGGCATGGTCAATGTCTGTCCACTGCGTCCTCTCAAACTCCTGCGAGACCTGAAGCGCAGCCTCTTGAAGAAAGACAGCATGTCACCCGTAGCCTTAGCCTGCGCCATGCAAGTTTCTCTAACCTCGTGTGCATCTAAAAGTGCGGGAGGATCAGATTGCCGCCTCAGAGCCGCGTCTGGAGCAGGTTTTGACGAAGTTGCTCGTCGCATGTTGTGCGGCGTCGTCTTCCATACGGTCGGGATAGGGCGGCCAGGGCCGTCTAAGATTCGGGATGGAGACCGAGACACTGGTCAGTTGGAAAGGGGACCCTGGCCAACAGGCTTACGGCTGGCGCGTAAATTGATGGGAGGGAACGGGGGCATGTCCGAGCTCTCTGCCCTCACCATGCTTGACCTCCAGCCCAGTCCACCTGTTTTAACAAGCTTGGACGATGTGAAGGTCGTCATTTGTTGAGTGTGAATGTGCGATTATCGATCGACCTGGAAGTTAGAAGGATGTGCCATTTGCCCCTTTGGTACAAGCTCCAATCTAAGATTTCGGGACAACGACACTCGCCGCGAAAGCCGTGTGAATTTATTCTTTTTTCCGACGCGGATTGCTATAAGAGCACCACCTGTTTGCAACGCAATCCGTGGTGTCCAAGTAGGTGAGATCTCAAACTACGCGCATAAGACGGACGTCATGACGAAAGCGCGTAGGATCTTCTCATTTGAGCTCCTACGCGTTGTATACCAGATTGAGAAATTCCGGCGTGTCGGATTTCCGCCAAGGAGGGTTTGATCTTCGCACTGTCACCACAACATGAGTCGATGCGTCGTCTATTCGCGATGCACACGTGGATGATGCTCCCAGTGAAGACTGCAAGGTCTCCCATGCCATATCATCATGAGGACGGGAACGGCAACGGGAAAACTCCGCTATGTCCCGTGATGCTCCCGGTTTTGAAGTGTGTACAGGGAGAGCTAGGCCGCCGACTCGGTTGGGTGCATCTCGGTGGATTGTGTATGATCTGGACTGTGACGATGAAGGCAGGTTATCGGCGCTAGACACTAGCCCCACTCAATCCTTCACGCATCGCGGCTCGACGCCTCATCAATCATGCCACGATGGATGTTGTGATTTGCCGTCTCGTTTGTTCGACATTCTTTGCATCCTGCCGGTCGTGCCGGTCTCGCAGACCCTGCCAAACAAAGATTCGAAATTTTTCCGCGAAGCTGGATTACCCTCGCTGTGCTCCATCTTGCTGCATGTCGCAATCAGAATCATTGCAGGAGCGGTTGGCGAATGGCACGTGCACCATCAGCCTTGTCTACAGAGTTCTATCTTCGGACTCCGCTCACAGGGGTACGCAATCGCTTACAGTGTTCGTTTTGATTCAATCCAATGTTAGCCGGGTCGGCAGCCTGCACAGAAGTTATTCACTGTGCAATCATCTATGACATGGCGGAAAACACAGACCACAGCCTCGCCGCACATGGAGGTGTGGGGAAGCAAGAAGACGCTAGCGGGTTGCTCCTTCCCGGCTCTAAACATAGGTTGCGCTGCCCCATCGCGCTCCATGAGGCTGAACTTCTTCGCTTGCAAACAGTCTGCCTTGCTAAATCGTGCAATGGATTCCGTCATCTTTTTGAAGCGCATGCGCATATCCTGTCGGACTTGCTATTCATACTCTGTGTTATTTTAGAAGCCGCTTGGTGTCGTTAAATGGCAACAACAGCCGAACAGCCGCTTGACGACACCACTACCAGCGTCGCTGCGCTCCGAGCGTTTTTTGTCTAACGGCTCAACTGCATGCACACGTACTAGATTTCGTTCTAGCACCTCGCCGTCGTGAGCATACACATGCACGTCGCAAGTGACTTCTGTGAGACGGCTTCTGAGTCAGGGCTGGCGCGAATCGCAGCCTAGTCACCCACGGGCTCGTTCACATGGTCGATATTTCTGACGCAGATCTTCTTAACATTGCGTCTGTATAATCACATCTTCCTCTTGCCGGATTGCCATCAGCGCTGCCGAACGCAGCTTTAGCTCCTCACGTCAGAACCGTGGTGATCCTAAAAGCGTGCAGGCGACATCGTCATACGCAGGGGACCTTGGCCTTACTAGTCTCGCCTTTCGCCTTATGAACCACCATCGTTTGGATTCGATGCCGCTGACGGCAAGTCCCCATAGGCCACGGGAACCGGCATGTCAGCGTTGTCCACGGCATGCTCCATTGTCTAAGCGCCCTGACCAGCGATAGGCTGTGGCTTACTCCCCATCATCCCTAAATGAAGTGTGCTCCGAAGCCTCTCTCAAGGTTTCGCGATTTTGGCTTCCCCAACGAGCGGACGGGAAGCGCACGTTGCTCGAGCACATTGTGTACATCCGTGCGCTTGTTGGTTCCCAGCGCCCTGGTCTCATCTTATTTATCCCTTTCCCCTGCATGCACACTTGCAGCATTGCGATTCCATGCCTCGCCTACCTTTCCCTCGGGGCTCCCCGGCGATGGATTTGACGAGGGATCGTAGGAATCACACAGGTTACGCACAGCGACTGGCATAGGCGAAGGGATTCTGCAGCGGTGGAGTCCCCCCGATGCCCGTGCAAAAGCTATGTGACGAGATACGATCAACATCTGTTTCAAAGTGTAGTGTGAGTCGTCCACGATGCTTGGGAAAGACTGGGGACTACCCACGCTGCACAGCTCTGTGTAGGAGTCGGTACATATGCTTGGCAAGCAACACCCTGTACCTAGATGCGATACCGTGACATCCAAGTACATATCCCATGCAATGGAAAGGGCACGTCCTTCAGCCGGCCTAAACACGTTACGCGTCTTGCCCCACCACAGTCATTCACCTTACTTTGAACTTACCTTCGGGTTTCGCACTCGATAAGACGATGCCGTGAAGCCGGATCGATGTTCCCGCTCAGATATAGGTGGAGCTTGCTATTTTCTCATCTTACACGCAGTGTCCAATCTCACGATGTCCGTTGTATACCTGAACTCTCCATTGATGGCGAGTAGCTCGATTCAAGATATTGTAAGCGACCCTCTGTACACCCTCTGTTTGTCTCCTGCTCGCCCAGACATAAATATCAGTTCCAATCGTAATCTTACCTGTCATCGCTTATGCGCCCTGAATATATGCTCATCTATTTGCCCTTCTCCTATCATGCCGTAGTTGGTGCAACATTCACGCCTCGACGCGTGGCGACAAACAATACAGTAGACAAGCAGCTCGATGACTGATCACATTGGGCTCACATAGAAACGAGTCAGGTTGGACAGACGCCTGACTGAAATCTTGCAATGGAGTGCAGAACTGAGTGGGGCGGGGCGCAAACGGACATGTCCACGTGCTGCAAGTCCCAGTGAAATGGCAGGTCCCTGTTCGTCCATCATTGCTTTTTCTGTCTCTCTTGAGAGGGATCCACATCATTCAGTGTGAGCCCTGTACTTTCAAGATTGACACGTATCTATCCGTAAGTGCCAATCAATGTCAAGGTTATGCATGTTCTGTGTCCCTTCATAACGCCTGGTGAAGCTGGGGACGAGAAAGTGGAACCTCCACCCGTGAAGGCGGCTAGGCACGGACATTTAATGCTTCGCATCTCGTTATGTTGATTCAAGCCTTTAGCTAGCGCCTCTCGGAATATTGACGCTTACGGCACGCTCCTTTAGTTGGGGCGGGAAGCGCATGGTTGTCACGACATACAGACTGCAGATAAGTAACGGTGCGACTCGAGGCAAGTATCGCATAAGACACAGAACGAGACATGCAAGCGATTGATTCGACTGTATTAAACATCAGCTTTTCTACGAGCCTTGGCTTTAGTAGCCACTCAAAACTGCTTCCTGTTGACTCTGTCAGTAAACTCATCGGCATTTGCAGCACGTTTTGAACTTACCCTTGCAATTGCATATAGGGGCTTGATGCCGGTCCAGTACTCAAATTGATGAACACCTTGGCCGACAAGGACCTCCAGACCGTTCACAGTCTTCCAGCCAGCGTCCTGTGCGAGTTGTATCAATGCAGTGACTGCAGGCTTGTAAGCCATTTCAAGCAGAGTCATTTGTGCTGCGTTCTCCGCGGTCTTAGCTTTGTCGAACAAGGCGATTAGAGTCTCGCGAATGGATGCATCGATAGGCTTGTCGGCAGGAATGGTTCCGATGGCAACAGTGGGCAAGCGTTCCAGAGCCTCAACATCGTTAATGTCTTTGATGACACGAATATCATACTCTGCGGGGAAGTCTGCTTGCAGTTTCTCCATCTTCTCGACATTGCGGCCAAGGAGGTAGATCGGGCTGTACTGCATTTCATGCAGCGCGTAGATGGCTGCACGACTCGTTCCTCCACCCCCGATCACGAGGCCAGAGTGCTGCTCGCCGGGTAACCGCTGATCGCCCGCGTTCTTCAAGACAAGGACCATGCCGAGGTAGTCAGTATTGCGACCGATGAGTCGCTTGACTTCCTTGCCGGTCGCTTCATCAATCGAAATCTCCGGCACAATCGTGTTGAGAGCGCCGATAGCTTCGACCTCTGGACCGATGCCATCCAACAGTGGGGCCACGTCTTGTTTGAGTGGAATAGTCACACTGGCTCCTCCAAAATCCGGTGCACGGATAATGTCCTTGATGGGCGTTGTATCGGCGGTTTCAACGATGGTATAATTATGCGGCAATCCTGTCTCACGGAAGAGTCTGTTATGCAGGCGCGGGCTCGGACTTTGCTGCACAGGAGAACCAAAAATGCAGAACTTCTTTGGCTGAATCTCGCCCATCAGCGACAGACCACGTCGGATGTCGGCTGCTGTAAGCTGACCAGGTGCAGTTGCTGATGGAAGCAAAGGATGCGAGACTGGCGTCATGAAACCGTTCAGTACCCTGCTCAGCTTACCGTGCTCACCCATGTTGATGGCGATGATAGGCACGGGGTGCGCAGATTCTGCCCACGACTTGAACTCCGCCAGGGCAAAGTTGTCTTTCAGTGACTTAGCCACACCAACAAGCTTGATGACATGGCCAAACTGCAATGCTCGGTTGTAGTACTGAATCCAAGAACCATTTGTCCAACTCAGCTCACCTCGAGGATCATGGTGGCTGGCGATGATATTTGTGTGGCCCTTCTGCTCCGTAACCTCGCGGAGAATGTACTCGGGCATGGTCATTTCCAGATCCAAGAACTCACAACCCAGTCGAAGAGCCGTTTGGTACAGCTCGCGAGCTTCGCTGAATGCCTCATCAGGGAAGTTGCCGCCTTGTAACTTAGTTCTTATCGTGAAGATGACGGGCAAAGATGTGGCTTTGCGAAGCGCGGTCAGCTGTTCGATCACGAACTCGGGTGATGGCGGCCCTTGTGGTGCTTTGGGATCTTGCAGGAGATCTACTCGGAGCTCTACTGCATCCGCTCCCACTGTGATTTCGGCCATATCTTTGTGTAAGGGCTCAACCTGTGGTGCAGAGAGGCAAACAAAGAAGGACTGCTTCCTTTTGCGAATCGCCTTCAACGCCGACGTTCTCCCTGTGATCATCTTCAAGAAGCGACCAAAATCCTCCAAAGCCCTGACAAATCCAGTAGCGTCCGAACTTTGGCTGTTGACAAGGTAGTTGCTGCACTCCAGGTACCAAGGCTTGCGTCGCAGCCAGACACCCATCATGTCCTCAACATATGCTGGTCGTGTCTTGTCGATCTGGAGGAAATCCATGACCTTTGTGATGTCACGAGACACAAGCAGAACTACTCCGTTGCTCTTCTGGTAGTCAACGAAGATCTTGCGTGCTTCAGGGATCTCGACGATACCACCGCCGCACGCGAAGACATGGCCTGTCGGCTTTTCTCTCATGGTCTTCTGCAGGATTTTCAGCTCTTCAGCTCGGAATCCGTCCCACCCTCGCTGCTTGATGAGCTCCGGAATTGTCATGCCTAGGTGCTCTTCAAGAGCCGTGTCAAGATCTATGAGCGGCCATCCGAGTACACGAGCAGCCCAACCACCTGTCGTTGTTTTGCCAGCTCCGCGCATGCCGATGAAGAAAATCGATTTGTCTGTGACAGTCGACCCGATTCTGTTGTCATGGATGGCAGTGTGCGGCAGCTCGACACCATCCAGCCCGGCCTTGAAGATCTGATTAAGAGAATCCCAGTATCCTGGCCAAGTTTTTCCAGTGCACTCCTTTTCAAGGATCAGCACTGGCTCAGGTGCGACCAACGAAAGAACAGCAAAACTCATCGCGACGCGATGGTCATCGTAACAATGGATGCCTTGTTTCGGTGCCGTGAGTTCATAGCCCTTCCCGTCGACTTCGATGCCGTCGTCGAACTGCCTGCACGTTACACCAAACTTGGCAAGTTCGTCTTCCATGGCCTGAATGCGGTTACACTCTTTCACACGCTGGTTGGCGATGCCGTATATGCGCGTTGTGGTCGAGGTGCCGTTAGAAGATGCAACAGCGGCCAGCACAGACGCAGTAAGGAAAGCGTCTGTCATTGGCTCCATGTCAATCTCTTTGACCGCCTTCAGTTCTCCTCTTGGTGGGCCAGTAACGGTTGTCGAAGTAGCTGACTGCTCAACCGTGCAACCCATTGGTTCCAGAACTTCAATTGCAAAACGAGCGTCGCCCTGCAGAGAGCTTGAGCCGATGTTCGGCACTGTGCAGGTAGTTCCTGTGATAGCCGCGATAGCCAGAGGGTACGTGGCCGAACTGGCATCACTCTCAACGACATACTCAGAGGGGTTTGTGTAGGGTTCGTTAGGGATGTGGTAGGTGTTAGCCTCGGTGGAGGACTTTTCGACCTGCACACCAAAGGAAGCCATCATCGCAATAGTCATGTCGATGTATGGCTGCGAGATAGGCTTTCCACCAACCAGACGAAGAGTTACAGGCTTCTTGGAGTAGGGCGCACACAGTAGTATCGAAGAAACGTACTGCGACGAGACAGTGGCTGCGAGTTCAATCTCCCCAGTGAATGCGTTCTCTCCTTCACTGGCGCCGAAGCCGCTGCACGCGGCAATGCGCAATGGCAAGCTACCCTGGTTCTCCTGGTAGTCAATATCGATGCCCATAGTTCGCAGCGACTTGACCAGAGGGCCGATAGGTCGCTCCTTCATTCTTGCGTTGCCCGTGACGATGGTCGATGTAACGCCCTCGGTCGGTTGGGCCAGCGCGGTCACCGATGTCAGGAAACGTGCTGCTGTACCCGCATTTCCTAGGTAAAGCTCATCACTCGTAGCCTTCAAGTTACCGCCATTTCCTGTGACGACCAATTCTTTTCCATCATTTTCCCAGGAGAAGGTAGCGCCTTGCAGCTTTGCGATCGCGTCCAGCATGACCTGGGTATCATCAGAATGCAGCAAGTTGCTAATACGGCACGACCCGGACCCAAGCGCAGCAAGTACAAGAACTCGGTTCGAGATACTTTTGGATCCAGGAGGCGTGCAGGTGACATTTAGATCACTGGGGACACCGGGATGGACGGAAATGCTTGGCGAGAGCACGATCTTGATGTCACGATCTGCGACTGTGCTGGCCTTCTTCTCGTACGTGCGTCCAATACCGGACAAGAGGACGACTTTCTTGATGCTGCCCGAGTTCTTCTTGTCAACTGCCATGATCTTGATGAGCTCATCAACTGGGCAGTGTTTGTTGGCAGTACGTTTACGGACAGTCTTGTCTGCAAGCGATGTAGGCAAGCCATAGCTGGCGATGCACTTGGTGAGGCGTGCGACTGCAGAGGGGTCCAGTACGCCCAAGTAACGCGCCAATTCCGCCTCTTTGACCATACCGATTGCGACAGCCTCACCATGCAGAATCTGCGGCGTGAGAATCGCCTCGAAAGCGTGGCCAATAGAGTGACCGAAGTTCAACAGGTTACGCAGACCACCCTCTCGCTCATCAGCGGAGACAACTTCTGCCTTGACGCGTACGGAACCAAGCACGATGCGCTTCAATATGTCCGCAATGCTGTCGAAATTCCTTCTCCCACCGTCGGTGTTCTGATCGAGCGCCGCAAGGATTGTGCTGGCGTTACCCTCGAGTGTGGTGAATTCTTTATCGTCCCAGATAGCCGCTGTCTTGACGACCTCAGCCATACCGTTTATAATCTCGCGCTTGGGCAACGTCTCGAGAAACTGCAGGTCGATATAGATACGCTCGGGTTGCCAGAAAGCCCCCACAAGATTCTTGCCTGCTGGGGTGTCAATGGCCGTCTTGCCACCAATACTCGAATCGACCATAGCCAGCAGAGTTGTCGGTACTTGGACAAATTTGATTCCACGCATGTAGGTGGCAGCAACAAAGCCGATCATGTCACCGATCACACCGCCGCCAAGGGCGATGATGATCGTATCCCGTGTGCATCCTTGCGACAGCAGCCAGTCTTCTACCACGCCTTTTGTGTTTCGCGACTTGGAGTTCTCGCCGGGAGGGATCGTATACGTCAGCAACCGCGGTTTGGTTGCGCTTGCTGCGGCGGCGGCATTGAAGGCCTTCTCGAACGTAGGGATGTAGGTCGCGCCAATGTTGGTGTCGGTGATGAGAACGTAGGTAGACGACGGAATGTTCTGCACAAGGTCGTTGGCAACGTAGCTCTGCCAGAGCCCGTAGTCAACCACAATCGAGTCCTTGCCCAGAATGTTCACCTTTGTGGGTGCCGTAGATGTTTTGCTGGTTGCCATGGTTGTAGACGGGATCGGTGCGGGCAGACTGCCCTTCTGTTATTGGAGCTTCTCCGCAGCTAGGGAACCTGCAAATGTCCAAAGAGAAGTCGGCACTGTTGTAAAATATGCAATTGACGTGGAACAGAGACCACTTTCTTTCAGGAAATTGTTGTGCGGCGCTGGTCAACAGCCGTGACTCAATTGGCAGAATATTTGGTGAGGGGCGGTGTCGGCGGAGCTACGCACCGTAGCTGCTCTGACCGCCCAGTCTTCTCTGCACTCCACAACACTCGGTCTCCACCTCCGCTCTTTGTCGAACGACCTGGGTGTCATTCGGACCTTTCGCACTGTATGTGCTGTGTCTGGGCATGGTCAGCACTATATGCGTCACCTTGCGCTTTCTCGATAAAAAGGGGGCTAGTCCAGCGTGGTTGCCATTTGCTCGCCATGCCATCCACGACATGAAATCCGCAACGGTTCTGGTCAACGATTTTGGTCCATTGATAAATCCTTTGCGGAAAACAGGCCGCGGCCCCAGTCTCCGCTGGTTTACCAAGGTTCCCAGCTAATCATCCGGCCGATCCTTGCTTACTTCTTATCACGAAGGATGTTTGAAGGCTCCAGCAACCAGGGTCGTGGCCCGATCTCGTAGTTCACATGGGTTAAAACCTCGATAGTCGATACCTAGGTAGCGGTCACGGGATCTTCAAGGTTGCCCAGCCCCAGAGACCCGTGCGTCATGGAAAGCTCCCACTAGGTACCTAGTTTCCCGACTTTCGTCGCAACGGTTTCCCACAGAGTGGAAGTCAAAAGGCTTCTGCAAGACTACCGGCGTTTCTCAACGACCCTGGGTCTTGTCGCGATTCTGGCGGTGAAGCTGCGCCTCAATTACCCTGGCAACACGCAGATTCGCAACATGGCGCCAAGAAGGTGGAAACACACGAGCTGCTAGTTCGAATCAGCAGTGACGTTGGGACCTAGGTTTGTAACTTCTGCAAACAGAGAGCACTGTGCCGCCTGCAGGTACCGGGAGACGGCACGTAGTTTTCCCTGACGTTCCGCCGCTAGAGACTGACTCTGACCTACTGGTTGGCCTGAAAATGATACAAGAGGCGCTGCAGGTTATGTAAAATCCGTGGGCTGGAAAAGGCGACGCCAACATCGAAGAGTGGATCAAATGGGCTGACCGGTCAGCGGCTAAAGAGCTTGACTGTACGCTAAGCTTTCGGAAACCATCCCAAAACAACAAACTTAGCCCGCCTGGGTTACTCTATTCAATAATGTACTGGAGGCCTGACAGGCAACCACAGCGTAGCGAGCCTTGGAAACAGCATCCGAGGCGCAGAGTTTGTCGCCAAAAGCTGCATTCGTTGTCTGAAGACGCTATGAAGAACCTTTATAACTTGGCTCCCTTGCGTCGTCTCACGTCTAACTCAGCGCACTTCACCCCTACCTCAAATCATAGTAACCACATCCACAAGCTTACACCATGCTTTGTAAATTCATCGTCGCCGTGATTGCCATGGCCAGCACCGCGCTTGCTGGCTTTGATATCAGGACAGGACAGACTGAGTGGTGGTATACCGACGACGCAGAGGTACAACTCTCGCCTACGGCATAATCGAATTTGATGGCGAATGCTCACCATATTAGTCCACGTCCATCGCCAACGCAATGTCGAAAGCTATCGGCAGCTATGAAGCCGCCTTATCAACCCAGTCTGATGTGAGGAGCGCGCAGGGCGCCTTTTACACATATGCACGCACTCGCGATGGTATTCCAGAGATCGCCACAGCGACAGGGACAGATTATACACGCTTTACTACACTTCCCGATTGGTAAGTCATTCGCCTTGATGGTCCAATTTTTAACTGCTTCTGACACTTTGGACAGGTACACAGCCATGCCACCAGAGGCTCTGAGTGTCTTCGAGAGCGTACGGAAAGAGGAGGACAAGATCTGGTCGAGCGTTGTACCCAAGGCTGCACGAACAAGTGGTAGTCAGGGTGCGGCACCGCAAGCAACCGGTGTAGGCATCTACGCCCATGGTGCTATTGCTGTTGTTGTAGGAGCTGTTGCTGCTGTATTGTAAGAGCGATCTATGCTATTAGCAACGAATCAAGAATATTATGACCCTCATTTATATCATCATTATGTCTCAGGAGTGAAGATGAGGCCAGCTACAATGTTGGTGAATGTGTAGACAGGTTCGGATACTGACCTGGAAAAGCCGACCACTCATAGACCAACACCGTCCAAACGTTATTCCCACCTCTCGAGTAGATGCGAAGATAAGGGTCTTCTTAATGCGACCATGAGTATGCATCACATAGCAATATCCATCACAAAACAATAGACAAACATTCATCCAAGTACCAGCCAATCATAGGTAGGCAATATGTGATTCTCGTCCCGATCATCCGTGGACTATTTCCTCGGATGTACTTCGTACATCAGCTGAGACCTGATCATGGAGAATTTAAGGGCCAAGACAACACCATCCTTCCTTACACAAGAACCCGCGGGAGGATATGTCACATGCAGACGTCAGTAGTGTCAGTCAGGGAATTATGACGTAAGGTAGGGCAGATAATCACTAGCGCACATTTGCATTTGGTTCAGGCAACACAACTTCGAGCTGAACCAGCTTTCTCCCGTCGTTGCTCCTACGAATACTCTTTGAACCTGTCTACCGCCACCGCTGTGACTCATGTCGTATAAACCTCTTGTATATCAATACTCGACTGATCCTCCCTGGCAATAACTGCAACAACTCCGGTCCCCCGCATTCAAACGGTCCAACTACCGCCACCAACTTAGAGTGCTGTCGACAGCGCACACACCTATATACCCAGCAGCGACCGCCTGTATAACAGAACAACATCATCCACTATGCGCGACCTTCGCAAGCAGGCTCTCGAGAGCCACAAGACTATGTCGCGTAAAGCGCGTTCAAAGATCGCCTCTGGCAATTCTTCAGTAGCTGGCTCTCGGACGGCTAGTCGCAACGTAAGCCGTGCTCCTTCGGACGAAGGCGACGACGGCTATCTCAGCGACGAAACAGCTTGGAGGTGAGCCCGGTCCATTCCTCACGACTTTTTTTTGGTGTTTCCCCACATCGTGTCTCACGAAGTGACATCATCCCTGGAATGCGATCGACGCGCTAACACCCACTACAGCACCAACTCTCTCGACGACATCCTCAACGGAGAAGATGTCAATATTTCGGAAGAACAATGGAAGTCCGAGCTCAACGTGCGTATCGAGCAGATCACCAATTTGAAGCGCAGCACCACTGAGGGCCGTACTGCGAGCTTTGCTGCTTATGCCTACATTATTATGGCCCGTTTCGCCAATGAGGAGATTGAGCCTCAGATCAGAGAGCTGCTACAGTCGATGCTTCGAAGCATCAGGCAAGAGACTACGCCAAGTGAGACAATCAAGGCTCTTAAAGGTACGATACAGTCTGCACTTCCTCTACGCACCACTAACAGTCCACAGCTCTTGCTGCGACCATCGTGACCCTTGATACCGGCGATGTCTACGAGGATGTTTCGGGAGAACTCAAGCGAGCAATACAATCAGAGTCTGGTGAAGTCCAGGCCAACGCCATCCATTGTCTTGGCGTAGCTGCCTTCTTCGGTGGAGCTGGTGAAGACGAAATTAAGGACATCATGACGCTGTTCCTTGGAATCGTCGAGTCAGATGGGGCGTCTGTGGACGCTCCGGATAATGGTAGCGTCGTCACAGCTGCCCTTGAGAGCTGGGGCTTGCTTGCCACAGATATTGATGATCTCCAAGAAGAGACTGAAGCGGCCATTGAGGCCTTTGTGGATCAGCTTGAAAGCTCTGATGCTGGTGTGCAAATTGCCGCAGGAGAGAACATTGCCTTGTTGTATGAGAAATCTTACACTGCTCAAGAGGAGGATGAGGAGATCGAACCCGAGTGGGTTAACGAGGATCATCCAGAGTTTGTTAAAGGGGCTTCAAAGTTGGTCAACCGTTACCAGGTGTACCGCAATCAGTCCAAGCTGCTGCAAACCCTCGATGATCTGGCGACAGTGTCTTCGCGGAGAATATCAAAGAAGGACCGCAGAACACTACACTCGACTTTCACGGATATTCGCAATTCTGTCGAAAAACCGTCACGTGGTCCTGGGTATTCAACAGTGATCAGCGAGACCGGACGAGTATACGGTGCTGGTCGAATGAGAGTCCGGATCAACAACAGTCTTGAGTTGAAGATCGACGAGTGGTGGAAGCTCATAAGGTTCAATGCGGCCAGAAGAACACTCCAAGGAGGTTTTGCGCACCACTGGGAGTACAACGAGACTGTCTCATCAGCTCTCCCGTTCTCGGTCAACCGTCGTGCCAAGCATTAGTGATGCTTGTGCACTTCTTGGGTTTGCTTCGAATTGGCATATATACCTGGTTGGCGTCGGCGCTTTGGGAACCATCTTTAACGATCATTCAGCGAGATGCATTTTTCTGGTGTTTCCTATAGATACCTAGATATTGCAATCATCACGTGTCGAAACATGCCCCGCGTTGCCCCTCCAGGGCTCTCCAACCTGTACACTCCAAATGATCTCCATTCGCGACTGATCTCGTGCGGTTCTTCACTAAACTTACTTTTTGTGAGAATGGACCTGATACTTGTGATTTAACCCCCCGCTCATCGCTTTCGCCGTGCGATGCATGGTTGCACCTGCTGCAAGGCAGCCAGCCCTTGGCGCGGCGGCCGTACAGCTTCGTAGAACTTTCTGGCAGCTTTACCCACTGGAGCTTTTCTTCGACCTCAATCACCACAATTCTTACCGTACAACAAAGAACCTCAAAACTACACCCCTCGCCACCCAATTGTAATCCTAAAGCTTCCACGCCAACAGACAGGAACATTTGAGCAAACATGGCAGACAGTAAGCTGATCGCTTCGCACTCAAACACGCCTACTCACCTAGTATAGAGCGCACCCGCTGCTTCTTTGACATCGCTGTCGGAGGTGTCAAGGCCGGTCGCATTGCTTTCGAACTCGTACGTTGACTACCAGCGTGACCGTACCGCGGTTACTGACAGCGGAACAGTACAACGACATCGTTCCCAAGACCGCCGAGAACTTCCGTGCGCTTTGCACAGGCGAGAAAGGGGTGGGCAAGGCTGGCAAGCCTCTCCACTACAAGGGCTCGGGCTTCCACCGCGTCATCAAGGGCTTCATGATCCAAGGTGGTGATTTCACTGAAGGCAACGGCACAGGGGGCGAGAGCATTTATGGCGAGAAGTTCGAGGATGAGAACTTCGAACAAATTCATGACAGGCCATTCCTGCTGAGCATGGCAAACGCGGGACCTGGTGAGTCTGCTGTTTGAAGCATCGATATCGCCCATCGCTAACACGGAACAGGCACGAACGGCTCGCAGTTCTTTGTCACGACCGTTCCAACCCCACATCTGGACAAGAAGCACGTTGTTTACGGCGAGGTCATCAACGGCAAGAGCATCGTGCGACAGATCGAGAACCTGAAGACCCAGAGCGGCGACAAGCCATGGCATGACGCTACCATTGTCGGTAAGATGAACAGAACATGAAACACACTCCATAGCTGACATAGGTTAGACTGCGGTGAGCTCACAGATGAAGATTACGACAAGGCGACCGATAAGACACCCGATATCACAGGCGACCCATACGAGGACTTCCCCGAGGACCAGAAGCCTAGTGAGGAGGAGTGGGAAGGCGCACAGGTCTTGAAGATTGCGACAGAGCTAAAGGACATGGGCAATGCCGCTTTCAAGAAGCAGGACCTTCATCTTGGCATCACCAAGTACCAGAAGGCGCTCCGTTACCTGCATGAATACCCTGCACCGCTGGACAACGATCCTCCAGAGCTGTGGAAGAGCCTCCAGGCGCTCAAGATCACGGTTTACTCCAACCTTGCGTTGCTCCAGAACAAGACCAGCCAGTACGCCGAGGCCGCCGAGAGTGCGACAAAGGCGCTCGATATCGAAGGCATCACAGAGAAGGACCTGGCTAAGGTGTACTTCAGACGAGCACAGGCCAAGATCGGCAAGAAGAACGAGGAAGACGCACTGGCAGATCTGGACGAAGCCATCAAGTATGCGCCAGGCGACGCGGCGATTGTGAAGGAGCTGGACGTGGTGAAGAAGAAGGTGCAGGCAAGGAAGGACAAGGAGAAGAAGGCCTACGCAAATGCCTTCGACTTCTAGGTACGCGCGGTGGAGGCAGATGAAGGGCGATGCAAAAAGGGCCCAGATGGTAGCCCAAGATACAGTGAAAGAATAGTTAACGATAAATATATGACCCGACAACATCTCGTTTCATGTTTGATTGTAGGTATTTAGCCAGCGACCTACAAGCTGCGCTGTTCTAGGCGACACTAATCTGTGCAAGACACTAATTTGTACAAATACGAAGGCTCCACTCAGACAGTTTCCCCGGACGGCCTGCCTAAATCCAGCCTCAGCCTCAGCCTCAATCTCCCGAAGCAAGTGCGCTGTACGAATATCAATACACACGAGCAACCTCACCGTTGAGAATCAACAGACCCCGCGCTCCTCTACTTCCGTCACTGCGAGCTCGGTGAGAGAATTAACACCCTCACGCAACCGCCGTCGAGAAACAAGAAACACGGACTCCAACACGACCATGACGTCCGGGTACGCCAACCTCGACGAGCAAAATTCGTCCTACCCTCCACGCCTCTCCCTCTCACACTAACCCCTCCAGCGCAAATGACAAGGGAGAGGGCTGCGAGGCGGGGCTGAGAGGACTGTTTATGCGGCGAAGTGCCTCGCGACTGCGGAGCCGGGTGTGCGCTTGTTGGTGCCGGTGTTGGATGCAGGCGGGGACGCGGCGCTGGAGCCCGTCTTTGTGTTCGCTGGGGCGGTGCCGGGCGAAGACGCTGTCGAGCCTGCACCAGACGTCGATCCGGTTGTCGAGCCTGCTGGACCTGCAGCGGCCGTGCTGTTCCCAGCAGCAGATCCGATCATCTGGAATGCGATTACGCCACCGAACGGCCCGGCTTTGTTGCTGTTCGCGATCTTCATGAAGCAGACGTTCTGCTGCCCTGCCGCGGTCCCAGAGCACGTTGTCCCAGCGGGCACCTGCACAGCGATGGGGAAGTCCTGGTTGACGTTCGACGCGCGCTTGACCAGGGCTCGGGCGCGCAGGGCCCAGTAGGCCAGGCTGCGGGGGACCTGGCCGTTGGCTTTGATGTTGCCCTTGTTGCCGGGCACGTCCTGCATGACTGTGGCCTGGACGCCGGTGGAGAAGGCGCCGGTGCCGGTGGGGTCGATCATGGCGGACACGGGGCCGGCGCCGTCGGTGGTCACGATGTGGAACGTGCCGGTGATCATGCCGCCGTCGGTGACCTGGGGGAGCGTGGAGCCGCTCTGCGCCATGGTGTCGGCGAGCATGGCGGCCGTGTTTGGGCCCTGGCCTTTGGTCTTGCCGAGCCCGTCTGTGGCAATGTCGGTGCGCTTGAAGACGGTGGTGTCGGGCTCCGTCACTTTGTTCTTGCCTGCGCCTGGGATGATGCCGCCTTGGATGCCGATTGCTGTGCCGTTGCCCCCTGCGTCGCCTTGAACTGCGGCAATCTTGCCATGGGCGGCGATGAGAGTGGGCGCAATGGTGCTGATGAGGAAAGTAGAGAAGCGCATATTGGGTGATGGAGAGTTTTGAATGGGAGATGAATGCAGTAGTGTAAGAATAAAAAGTTACGGGTTGAAGATAGTAGAGAAACGAGCCAGCCGCTTCAATTGAGTAGAGGAAGAATGGAAGAGAGTCTTGAAGCTTGAGTTGCTGCTATGTGAGGAGGATAAGCTCTATTATACTCGACAACTCACGATATACATCCACTGCCGGTCGGAGCGCACAGCATAAAGGCGCAGAACAGGCATTCTCGTCCCCAATCGTAGAATGCTCCGCTTGCCAGTATCAAGCCCTAGATCTGCGGCACCAAGGCCAGGTGAGGCTTGTCTGGATGGATACGAATCTCGTAGGATGAGACGGGGAGGAATAGGTGTGACAAGCTTTGAACAAGCTTTTGGGTAAGCGCTTGGTGGGTCTGTAAGGGACGAACGCATTCGAAAACCAGCTGCAGCCTGGTCGTCTGCAGTGTTCACCGTTGTGGGAGACTTGGTCTTGCCTTGGTGTTGGCGCCTCAGGCCATGCTTGATCCATACTGCGACAGAGGTTCACTCTGAGATCTGCAATCATCGTAGCATGTATGCCACCCTGCCAAAGCAAAGCGATGTCGTTGTGAAACTGGGTAGTACTAGAGGCATGCGACATGAACAGAAACGTCGTGGAGCTGAGTTGCATGAAGTCGTGACAGCGGGTGCTGAAACAGGCGAAACGCCCGTCGGCGAAGCGCCCACTTCGATACAGCGTCTGCGATCAAGATGCAGTGTCGATTGGCCAGGTCACCGGGTGTCAGATCCTTCAAAACAGTCACATCTGGGCAATTGGCCGCACTGCTGGAACGCAGCGTGATAGCAGCAGTGGTGGGGGGCGTTGCGATGGCTCACGTGGATGGAATGTGGAAAAGACGATCTTCGCTCGGTGGTACTGGAAACCTGGATCATAACGGCTGCCGCTGCACAGCGCAAACGGCTGCGGCACGCGTCATGGGACGGATCGAAAAGAGGAAGGTTGCTGGCGGTGGGATCGACACGATAAAGAGGGGCGACGTCATCTGGCGCACGTGGACGCGATTTGATCTCGCGGCAGGACTGCTTGAGCCCAACACTTTTGCTTTTATCCACAGAGCCCAGCGACGATAAGCGTGCAGGAGAACGGTATTGACGGGCGATCTGCGTGCACTTGAACCTGCGTCCCCGGCGGTCCTGTCTGCAAGCGCCCGCAGTCAAGCCTTCAATCATCGCGCGCCGTCTCCAGGTCCGGAGACTCCAGTCCAGGGTCCAACTCCCACTGAACCCACTTCTGCGGCATCCTTGGAAGCGCATCGGCCGTTGAGAATAATTGACCGCGGTGACGGCATTGCTCGCGGCGCACGGCAACACGCCCTCCAGCACGCCCTCGAGCACCCTCTCCAGCACGCCCGCCAGCACGCCCGCCAGCATCTCTCGCACGCTGGTCGACTCGCCAACCACTGCACGGCACCCCACCATCGCACAGCGCCCACACCGCGCCCACACCGCACCACCAGCACCATGTCCCCGCAGCAGCCCGCCCCGCACTCCCCTGGCGCGCCCCTGGCCAGGCTGGCCGACGACACGACGGCGGCGCCAGCCGAGGGCGAGAGCATTCTGACCAAGGGCAAGAAGCTGCTAGGGTTGGGCGGCACTCAGGAGGGCATTGGGCAGGCCGAGCAGGACGCGTTTGCGCTGGCCGAGGAGGTCGCGCCCACGCGCACCCTCTCGCCGACCGCGCCGACGCCAGCTCCCGTGTCTGCATCTACGGCCTCGGCGCCTTCGCTCCTGCCGTCTCCGTCGCTCGCCGCGTCACAGTTCGACCGGCGGGCGTCGCCCCGCGCCAGCCCGCGCATAGCCCCCATTGGCATCGGCGCCTCGCCCAACCGTCGCAGCGTCCACCGCACCTCGTCCCCCGGCCTGCACTCGCCCGCGTCGTCGCAGATCTTCGAGCGCAACGTGCAGGAGCCCGAGCCGTCGCCGGCCATTCCCAACCATGTCAAGACCGAGGACATGATCCCGCCCGCCCTCGACGCCTCTGCCCTGGCCATCACCGACGACCTCCTCAGCCCAGAGAAGGTCGAGATCATCACACACTCGGCCCACCAGCCCGCCGCCGCGACCGTCAGCGCGAGCATGGCCGACTCGGTGTACTCGCCCTCGCTGGCCCCAGACGACTCGGCCGTGTCTGGCCACGCGAGCACCACCGAGACGACAGAGGCCGCGCCCAACTACGGGTCGCTGGACACCGAGGACGTGAAGCGCCTCAGCTTCATCTCGTTTGCCGACGTGGTGCAGGCCGAGCACGTGGAGAACGACAGAGAGACGTTTGGGCCGGGCGAGGGCATCCAGTTCATGAGCCTCAACTCGACCTCCAACCGCTCGCCGTCGCCCGTGCGGTCGCCGCTGTCGTCGCAGGGCCGGACCGCCTCGCCGCCCACGAGCGGCGCGCCCTCGGAGAAGGGCGTCGAGCACGCGCGCACACGGTCGCCGGGCAGCCCTACGGCATCACATGTTGCACACAGCACGCCGCTGAACGAGGAGATGCCGCTGCAGGTCGAGACGATGCGGCAGGCGATGCGCAAGCCGGGCACGGCAGGCACGTCGCCGCCGCAGTCGCTGCCGCTGAGCCCGGTGAGCATCGAGGACGAGCGTCCGTTTAGATGAGCAGTGCGGGGGTAGGTGCGGCGAGCGGTGCGGTGAGCAGTTCAGACGGGCGGTGTGGTGAGCAGTTCAGAGCAGTTCAGATGGGCGGTGCGGTGAGCAGTGTCAGACGAGCAGTGCAATGGGCCGTTCAATGAGTCGCTCAACGAGCCGTTCAGCGAGCAGCCCAGACGAGCCGTTCAACCAGCCGCTCAATCAGCCGCTCAATTCACCCTCAGACGAGCGCAGATGAGCAGTGTGCGAGGTTTGATTAGGGGCAGCGATGCCGGACGTGTGCAGTCACCAACGGCGGCCGTGGCAGGGGTTGCGGCAGGGTATGCAGGGGCAGGCGGATTTCGTCTTCATCTCTTTCATCTCCTTAGGTAGCAGACGCGGTGAGCGCAAGCGGCGAGCGTTGCAGATATGATATCCATGTATTTACTTCCAAGCAAGCAACCCAACAGCCCAATGCCCCCTGCTGCGACGTGTTGTGCGGGCGGCCAGCAGCCAACCGGCGGTCGCGCATTGCACGATAAACGGCGGACCCAGGATGTGAGCCAAGTATTGCACGACGCGCTACAGCAAAGTAGGGAAGATGCGAAAACGGCGGAAGACTGCCTGCCTACATTGCACCAGGCTGATTGATGTTTTTGAGATGCTAAATACTGGTCTGCTTTGCAGCTTCGAGCATTGTATGTACAGCTGCAGCGTCTGTCTGGACTGGCCCGGCTGGGGTCGCTTGTCCGCCGTGGTGAGAGGGCGGCTCGCGCGCTGGCAGGCTAGGAGCTGCAGATAGACGAGCCCCCGGCAGCACGCTGGCTGGGCAGCTCGCTGGCGGTGCGCGAGTCGCGCGTCCGCAGCGCAGGCCGAGCGCGCGAAATCAAGGCCAAGGGCCCGCGGACGGGTGCAGCGCTAGGCGTCTGCTACTGCCCGCTACTGCCATTCTGTCCCGCAGGCTGCGATGCGCCACAAGCAGCAGAGCTGGAACCTCCTGCGCCTGTCTCTGCCTCCCGCCGGCCGCGCCTCTGAACCCCCCTCCGTCCATGAGCGCCCGTCGCCGGAGGGCTCGCTAGGGCACACACAGCGCGTCCGCCAGCATGGACCCGCGCGCGAGCAGCGGCAGCAGCAGTCGGCGCAACCGCGAGAGGAGCCAGACGACGGCCGACCGCAACCCGCAGCGGGACGACTTCGAGTACGCCACCTTCACCACCTCCATCACCACCAGCAGCGGCACCACCACCAGCACCACCAGCACCACCATCCGCGCCGTCACCCCCGAGCCCAGCCCGCCGCTGTACGCCAGCCCGCCGCAGTCGCCGCGCGCGCACCACCGCCCCGACCAGCCCGCACACCACCGCCCCGACCAGGCCGCGCCCGCGCGCGCCAACAGCGACACCCACGGCCACGGCGGCGCCCGCCCGCGCGAGAGCAGCAGCCGCCCGCGCACCCGCACCCTCGAGGAGCGCAGCACGCGCGACCGCTCGCCCGCCAGCCTGTTCCCGGGCCCGCGCCACCGCATCCAGAGCCTGGAGGAGGGCCTCGTCAGCAGCATCGGGCACCCCTCGACCATCCCCGCGCCCGCACCGCCGCCCCGCGCCGCCGCCACCAGCAGCCGCCGCCCCGCCAAGCAGCAGCCGCCGCCGCCCGCCGCGCCGCAGCATGCCGCCCCCGCCGCCCCCGCCGCCTGGGTGTCGCCCGTGCCCGCCGCCGACGTGCGCAAGCTGAAGAGCCTGATGCGCACCACCTGCGGCAAGATGCAGGGCCTGCTGGCCTTCCGCCGCGGCGAGGCCAATGCCTGGGCCCTGTCCTACTGCTTCATCAACGACGAGGCCGGCAGCCTGCTGTACGAGCCGCAGAAGGAGAACACGTACACCCGCACCCTGATCCCCGACCTGCGCGGCTGCCACGTCAAGAGCGCCTACGACGGCGAGGCCTACACCGCCTACCTGCACGTCACCGTCCACAACTCCAAGCTCGAGGTCCACCTGCGCCCGCCCACCCAGGACGAGTTCGACTCGTGGTTTGCCGCCCTGCTGTGCTGGCAGCCCATGCGCCCCAAGGGCATCCAGAACCGCATGGCCAAGCCGCAGACCCCGGTCGTCATCGAGCGCCGTCTGGCCGACAGCCGCCGCCACTCCGAGGTCTCGCTGCTCAAGGAGGCCCCCAAGAAGGAGGCCCCCATCATCAAGGTCGGCAAGATGATCTACTGGGACACGAGTGTGACCTACAGCAACACAGGCACCCCCAAGTCCACCGCAGGCCGCCCGCAGGCCTACCGCGTCCAGAGCCACGGCTCGCGCCGCTGGCGCCGCGTCTCGTGCACCTTGCGTGAGAACGGCGAGCTCAAGCTGTATTCCGACACCGACGTCACCCTCGTATCCACCGTCCAGCTCTCGCAGCTGTCGCGCTGCGCCGTCCAGCGCCTCGATCCCTCTGTTCTCGACAACGAATTCTGCATAGCCGTGTACCCCCAGTACACCGCTGCCTCTTCCTCGATGCCACTGTTACGTCCCGTCTTCCTGTCGCTCGAGTCGCGTGTTTTGTATGAGGTCTGGATAGTACTTCTGCGTGCATTCACCGTCCCCCAGCTCTACGGCCCCAAGTCAGATACCCTGCCCGAGGAGGGCCCACTCTCACCGTCATTCGAAACCCAAGACATGTTCCGCATGGAAAAGTCCCTCTTTGTAAAAGTCATCGAGGCACGATTAGTGCCGCCTGTTAGTCCAAAAGTTGTTGCTGGTGCTGGGGAGGGTCCGACACCAATACGGCCGACCTCGTCGGCCACGACCAATCCCGGAGGCTATCTCATTGAAGTGTTATTAGACGGCGAGGCCCGCGCCCGCACAACGGTCAAGAACGAAGGCAACACGCCGTTCTGGAGAGAAGAATTCGAGTTCCTTGATCTACCGGCCCTGCACACGGCCTCACTATTACTAAAGAAACGACCCCCAAGCTATGTCCGAAATGAGAAGAACATGTTCGATAACTCGGCCGTCAGCGACAATCCGTATGCTTCGGAAGGCGGCTATGCTGGCATCTCGTTCGATCAGACATTGGGCAAGACAGACATCTATCTTGACGATCTGGGGCCGAATCAGGAACTGGAGAAGTGGTGGCCGCTGGTGAATATGTATGGCAACAGCGTGGGCGAAGTACTTGTGCGTGTCAGCAGCGAGGAGTGTGCTATCTTGATGGCTCGCGATTACTATCCGTTGTCAGAGTTACTGCATCGCTTCTCGAACAGTCTGACGCTACAAATTGCCCACATGGTGCCAAATGAGCTCAAAAAACTGTCCGAGTATCTGTTGAACATCTTCCAAGTATCTGGAGCGGCCTCAGACTGGCTGTGCGCACTCGTTGAAGAGGAGATTGACGGGACGTTAAAGGATTCGCCCGCAAGCCGGCTTCGGTTCAGCAAGAGACTGGGATCAAGTGACTCGAACGAATCGGCTCTGGGTGGCACTTTCGGCTCTGCAAGCGATCGGGAGGTCTTTGTCCGAGACATGGGCGTCAACGCCAAGCTCGAGGCTAATCTACTGTTCCGTGGCAATACGCTCCTCACCAAATCATTGGATCTGCACATGAAGAGGCTGGGCAAGGAGTACCTGGAGGAGACGCTGTGCGAGAAGCTGCGCGAGATCAATGAGAAGGATCCGGATTGCGAAGTCGACCCCAATCGAGTCTCTTCTCAGCACGAGCTGGACCGCAACTGGAGGCGTTTGATCAACTGTACCGAGGAAGTCTGGCGGGCGATCTACAATTCCGTGCAAAGATGTCCGCAAGAGCTGAGGGTGATTTTCCGGCACATCAAAGCCTGTGCCGAGGACCGCTATGGCGATTATCTGCGTACAGTCAAGTACAGCAGTGTATCTGGCTTTCTGTTCTTACGGTTCTTCGTTCCGGCTGTGCTGAACCCCAAGCTGTTCGGCTTGCTGAAGGGTACGTCTAGCTTATGAATTATAGACATTCAGTACTGACACCATACAGATCACCCCAAGGCGAAGGCGCGAAGAACTTTCACACTGATCGCAAAGTCATTGCAGGGCTTGGCGAACATGTCCTCCTTTGGCACGAAAGAAGCTTGGATGGAGCCCATGAACGCATTCTTGACATCGCATCGAACGGAGTTCAAGAAGTACCTGGACGACATTTGCTCGATATCGACCGCTAACTCGCCAGCGCCGCCAATCCCACCATCCTACAGCACACCCATTGCCATCCTGCATCGTCTGCCCCCTACGTTCAAGGAGGGATTTCCGTCGCTGCCGTACTTGATCGATCACTCCCGCAATTTTGCAATGCTCATCAATCTGTGGCTCGAAAACACCACCAAGACGGCACACGAGATCCAAGCGAGCGACGGCGATCTTCTGCGGTTCCACAATATCTGCGTGTCACTTAGCGAACGCACAAAAGACTGTTTGAATCGTGCCGAGCCCGCCGAGCGTCCTTCGTCCTCGTTGAGCGTCAAATGGGAGGAACTGATCGAACAGCTGCAGGGTGCCAGCCTAGATACAAACCGGGGAGCAATGACTCGAAGTCGAAATGCGATCAAGGAGGAAGAGATGGAAGATATACCGATGTCGCCGGGCAACGGCGCTGGCTATGCTGAGGATTACTCGTCCTCCTCAGCTGCCACCACTCCAATCACCATGAAGCCAGCGCCAAAGTCACGGCACCATCAGAACTCGAGCATCTCAGCATCGCACGCTTCTCAAAGTTCGCTCAGGAGCAACACCTCTCAGCAGATCTCGTACATTAATCCCTTCGCCAGCCGCGGCGGCTATGCTCCGTCGACACACGAGTCGATGACTACTTCACAGTCGGCATCCGCCTCCGCGAGTGCATCAGCATCTGCCGGAGAGGAAACCCCACCTGGCTCCAGCGACGGTCTGCATATGGCACCCGCACCCTCATACCCCCAGACACATACCACACCCTCTGGCTCAACAGGCTCGTTCCACCGCAGCAACCCCGTCGCGCCCATAAACACCTCCCGCCCCGAGCTCATGTCCCCCGATTCCAACTCCCGCACAGTGCGGCCCGAACCTGACAGCCGCAGCATCCACGCCAGCGAAAACGGCTCCATGCATGAAGAAGAATACACCACGGCGCTCCCCGCCTTCTCCTCGCAACCCCCCCGCGAAGCCAAAGAAAAAGAGCGCAAAGAGCGCGGCCTGCGCGGCGTGCTCCCCTTCCAGCGCAAAAAGAAAGACAAGGACCGCGACAAGGACAAAGAAAAAGATCCCAAGGACCGCGACAAGCCAGGCCGCAGCAAAGACAAAGACAAGGAGAAAGATAAAGACAGGGACAAGGAAAAGGGCATCCTCGATCTCGTCGACCGCGAGCGCCGCGGCGACTACTCGATGGCGAGCATGCGCGGGCGCCCCGAGAAAGACAAGCGCCGCGATGAACGAGACGAGGAGTTCTGACTACATGGCTGGTTTTCGGGCGAGAAGCCGCGGGGGGGCAAGGAGACGCAGGAGATTAAGCGCCGGAAGAGCGAGGGCGAGTTGCTGAATAGCGTGGCGAGGGACGTGTGAGCGCTGCGTGGGCGCTGCGTGGGCATAAACGTGGGCATAAACGTGGACAAGCGTACACGTACACGTACACGTAAACGCGCCGCTCGTTTCTCGAGCCCACTGCTCTCGACAGCCGCATTAGACGCCACGGCCCGTCCCGCCACGCCGTGGACAGTGGACTTGTCTGCGTCCTCGTCTGCATCCCTCTCCTCGTATCTCTCCTTCCACCACCCGAACGAAGGAACCATGGAACGGGCTGGGCTGTGTGCTTCTCCGTCTCCGTCTCCGCCTCCAAGAGGATTTCCTTGTTTGTCACGCATCACACTTTAGACTTTGTTACGAACCGGCGGGCAGCGGGTAGCGGTTTTAGCCGTTGGCGGTCCCCCGTGTTAGAACCGCCGGATATGAGGGAGCGGAATGTTGGTGCTGCATTTTTTTGGGGGGCTGGGTTGAGCGGGCATAGCGTGGTTTGGTAGCGTTGTTTTGAGAAGTTTATATGATATCGGTTTTTACCATGGCAGTGCCGGGTCGGCGGTGATGTGTGATGTTTGCTGGTTTTCGCGCTGCCGTGGCTGGTGCGTGCTGGGTTGGGTGCGGCGAGTGCGTGGGGCGACAGGGTGGGCTATGAGTTGCGTGGTGCGCTGAATCACGAGCCGTCGGCCAGGTTGTTAGAAGGGAAGAGGCGTGTGGGTGTGTGGGTTTTTAGATTGCGGTAGATTATGACATTGCTTTCTGAGCTGCACTGCTGAGACATGTTCTAGAGCGTGTACCTGAAAAACGGACTCTTGTCACCCAGCTCCAACAGCTCCTGATCCGTATACCGCGCCCGCACCGCCTCCTCCCCACACTCCAGAATCAGCTGATCCCGCTTCCTATTCTCCCTGCCATACGCCCACCGCAGCACAAACGTCATCGCCACCGCGGCCACGCACATAGCCAGACTCGCCGCAAACCCCGTCGTATACTTTGGCTTCTCGCGCGCAAGATAAATATTACTGCCCATGATGCCGCCCATGTTGCCGACGGAAATCAGCAGCGCCATGCCAACGGCCCGCTTCGAGCTGGGCGCCAGCGAGTTCGCGGCCCACGACACCAGGCACGTGAACGGGCAGTACAGGCCCGCGGCCACGGGGAACAGGAACCCGTACGTCAGCCCTGGGTACCGCGGGTGCGGGATCGCGAGCTGTGCGATGAAGCCGACGATGGCGATGCTGTAGCCGCCGATGATCCAGGGTGAGCGCGCTTGCGTCAGGTCCGAGCCCCAGGCCCAGATCAGCGTGACGATGGCGGCGAAGACGTAGATGGGGATGGTGAGGAGCTGGGCGTTGGCGCTGGAGTAGCCGAGGCCGTTGATGACGGTGGGGACGGTGGCGGTGAAGCTGTGGGAGTTAGTATGTGTCTATGCGTGTGTGAGGGGTGACTGCGTGCGTACCCGTACACGCCCACGGTGTTGCCCCAGAAGATGACCACGGCGGCCCAGATCTTCCAGTCCGCGAGCCCGGCGATGATGTACTGCTTCCCCATTTTATCGTTGTTGGTCGCCTTCCCCTGCCCACTCCCGGCATCGTCCTGCAGCCGCCTTACCAACAGCTCCCTCTCCTCCTGCGTCAGAAACCCCGCCGTCTCCGGGCTATCAGGCAGGATCTTCCAGATCACCAGCGCCAGCGCCACGGGAATCAGCCCCTCGATGAGGAAAATCCACTGCCACCCGCTCCTCCCCGCACGACCATCCAGCTTCTCAATCCCAAACGCCAGCAGCCCCGAAAACGCCCCTGCCAGCGACGCCGCAATGTAGAACACGGCCATGCGGCGCTGCAGCTCGAACCGGCGGTACCACAGCGTGAGCAAAAACGTCGCGGCGGGGAAAAACCCAGACTCCGTGACGCCTAGGAAGAAGCGGCCGGCCAGCAGCCCCGCGTACGAGTCCACCAGCCCCATCAGCGTCATCACGAGGCCCCAGGCGAGCATCAGCAGCGCCATCCAGTGCGACGGCCGCATCAGCTTGAGCACGATGTTGGATGGGATTTCGAGCAGCGTGTAGGGCACGAAGAAAAGTGTGACGGCGGTGTTGTACTGCAGGCCGTGCAGGCGCAGGTCCGTGTCCATGCCGGCGATTTTCGCGTTGCCGACTGCGGCGTGTCAGTTTACGCTTGTATACTTGTGAGTACGTGTGAGGGTGTGGAGGGGCGTACTGTTGGAGCGGTCGATGAAGGCGACGAGGTACAGCAGCGACAGCATGGGGACGAGGCGGAAATCGACCTTGCGCAGCACGCGGTTCGCATGTGCCTCGTCGAGCGCCGGGGGCTGGGCCTCGAGTTCGCCAGACGATGTTGATATCTTCGCATCGAGGTTCTCAATATGGCCGTCGGTTGGCGACGCGGCGCGCTTCTCTTCGATGCCCGTGGACGCCATCATACTATCTAGATGGCTTCTACCTAGATATTCTCAAGGACCAGACGGCTGCAGCACACAAAAAAGCGATACACGACGTTTATATAACCCTCGGTGCATCCACGCCCCGAGCTACATGCCGTACCACCCCGGGTTACCTTTCTCGGCAATTGCACCTTTCCTGCGTCTCAACACGCAGCAGTGCGTGGCGGGCAAGTCATCGTCGAGCAGCGGGTCTTCGCGCGGTGTCTGGGGTATTACGGCCCGCGGCGTTGTGGTGCGCGCGGGGTAATTGTGGGCAAGGGGGGTTTTAGTGGTGGTGGTGTGGGGATCGGCGTGACGTAAGGGGGGCGCGTTGGTTGTGCGGTGAGTTACATTCGCAGGGCGTGGCGATTGGCGTGGCTTCGGCTTGTAAGGGCTGTGTGAGAAGGCTTAGGCGAGCTTGAGCGGCCTCGGGAGGCAATTGAAGCTTGCTCGGACGTTGCACCGAGACGGCAGATCTGGGCGAGACTGCTTTGGAATGCAAAGGTCGCTTGGATGTAGATGGGTCTGGCAGTCATTTAGCACTCACAGCATTTCAGTCTTGAGATCACAGAATCACGCATAGATATGGCAATCTTATTGTAGATATTGACTCTTGGTCAGAATTGGGTATTAAGTTTGCTATGGCATTACATATCGTGGCTACTCGGGTAGAGTGCACGGCATAAAGTCGTAGATGCAGCGAGCGATCAAGCACGGCAGAAGTTCCACGAAGGTACTACGCTATCTCAGCGACAACAAGTAGAGTCTTGTCAAGGTTGAGCGCGTTTATAGATTCGCAGGCCTCTTCTCGTTCTCGGTAGCGCCAGTGACACTGATGCGCCTCTCGACATCGGCGGCCTGGTTGGCGTTGCCAAGGTGACCGGTAGGCAGCAGGTTGAGCTGGTCCTCCTCCTTGTCCATGGAACGGTAAGAGAACCAGAAGAGGATACCAGTAACGAACGAGATGATGGCAACGCCGCCGTAGTTCCAGACGACGAGAGGGTCGACTGTCAGAGGAGTGAAAGCCTGGGCAAGAGCGGCGGAGATGGAGGTGGTGGAAAGCTGAACAGCCATGACCAGTGATCTCATGTTCTTGGGCGCCTTGGTGAAGGCGTACTCGAGGGTTGTGACTGAGGCGAAAATCTCAGACATGGCGATCAGAATGTAAACACCGGTAACAGCCCAGACGTTGATGGGGGAGCTGTAGTCTTCGTTGGTGGGGTCGTCGTAGTATCCAGAGGTCTTGTAGACGTAGTATTGGAGGACAGAGGCCCAGACCATGGAGAACGAGGCGACGATGAAACCAGCGCAGATCTTCTTCAGGGGAGTGAACCTGATACCCCTCGCACGAAGGAAGGGGTACACAAAAGTATCCAGAACTGTTGATACTGTTAGCCTTGTTGTGTGCACACTGTTAACGATGAAACTTACTGGGAACGAGGATGATGATAGCGATGGGGTCAAGGTTGGCCAGAAGATCGTTGGGAACACCGTGAAGAGCCATGCTTCCGCACATCTGGGTCAGGTTGGAGTCCATCTGGCGGTAAGCGAGCCAGAAAATGGGGACCCAGAAGAACACACCGCAGGCGCGGAAACCACGAGCTACTTCATCGACCCAGGCGTCGTCGAAGGTGTACCAGGAGGGCTTGTTGTCGCCGAGAGCAGAAGGCCTGATCGACTCCCACATCTTGCCGTCGTTCCAGTTCTTCAGGTTCCTGGTGCCGAGAGCCTTCGCGAAAAGCTTGAAAGCAGGTCCCATAACGCTGCCACCCGGGGGTCGCAGGATGTAGTGCTTCTTGCAGACAATCAGGACGGGAAGGGCGAGGAGGAAGAAAACGGTGGGAATCGTGAAGGACAGCCAGAAGCCGACGTAGCGTTCAGCGTAGACCATGCCGATCTGACCAGCCAAGGCACCGATGTTGATAAACAGGTAGAAGTAGTTGTAGACACGGGTAATGGTGATGGAAGGGTCGATGATGACGCGCTTGCCATTCTTCTCCACAACCTCAAGTTTATCGGTATCAAGCTGCTCAACAATCAAAGGCGAGATATTAGGCTTGAAGGTACCAGTTCCGAGACCCATGACAAGCAGACCGACAATGAAACATGCCAGCGAGCCTTGCTTGTTGTCCAGGACGGCAGGAAGAGCAGAGACGATGAGGATGATGTGACCGATTTGAGCGACCATGACCGAGTAGAGGATCGTCTTGTAGCGACCAAGGTAGGTGTCGGCAACCCACGCTCCGAAAAGCGGGCAGAGATAGACCCAGAAAGCGTTGAAGGTGGTCAGGGAGAACGCAACCTGCTTGCCGAGTCCGAGGGCACCAGGCTGAGCCTTCTCGTCATGAGGGTTCAAAGCCATACCGGTAGGGGTCAGCCTAGGCTTCGCAATGAAGTTGGAGTAAACTTGAACACATCCATAGTAGGACATGCGCTCCACAAGTTCGACAAAGGCGATGGTGTAGATCTTCCATGGGATCGGAGCGCCGATACGGTCAAGCGTTTCGAGTTCCTCCTCGGTAGGGAGGCCATCGTTGTCGCTGAGGTAGCTCGCCTGGAGAGTAGCCTTGCCCTCAGAGAACAGGAATGGCGGCGGCTCATCTCTGTGAAGGGCCGGGTTCTTGTGATGTGGGTCACCTGAACCATCGATCAGAGCCGGGTCCAAGCCGACGGCAAGCTGTAGGAGCGTGAGTCTGAGCGCATGAAGACACACGGGGCACTGTGTGGCTTACTACTGTGTCTTCACCAGGCATGATGATGGTCGTGCTACTGTGTAGACTTGATGAGGTGGGGTGGTACGGTGGGGAGCGACAACGAAGGGAAGGAGGCCGGGGAGCGCAGGTTTATAGGGTATTCAAATTCAAGGTGAAAGCACGCAAAGCATAGCTCGCGTGTAGTGTGTGTGGCTGGCCGCCTGAGCGTGGCCGATCGGGAAGGAGGTCGTAATAGCAACAGATAAACGCCATAACCTAGCTTTGATGCGGCAGGTCTACAGTGCCAATCGCGTTGCCACCGCCATTGAATTCCCAGACTCCCTCAGGCGCGTGCGCGATAACTACTGGAAGTCCTCTGCGCGCGCCAATCAGTGCCCAGAGGAGAGCCGACGCACAAGCCTCGGCAAGACACACTAAGGGCCGACAAGGCCCACCAAGCAGCGGAAGGCAGGCTTGTAAAGGCTTTGCATGGCCAAGAGATTGCGGAGATATTGTCTTTACTGAGCGTCGCCTTCTGTTCTTTGCCCTTGATGCTGTACCTTCGCACCATCCGTCCCAGCAATCGCGCTCACCTGCAAACAGCCATCAACATCTCTCATCATGCTATGCCGCAACCCAGCAGGATGCGTAACAACGGTCTTGGCTTTATTACGTTCCGCCCGTATTTTGATGCTCCTTCCTAAGGCGGATAGTGAGCACCAAGCGTGGCGCTGGCTAGAATGCTTACCTCTCGGGCCAGCTAACCCAATACGGCCAGCCGTAGAACAATCACCTTCGATGGAGTTTCGACCAGGTCCAAAGCGTCCACACCCCGCGCGTGCTAATTAATGAACACCATATTTTCTGTCCATCGGTGCGGCGACTTGCGACAGTTACGTTTCATTGAATCCAACGTAAGTGTCATGAAGTGTTCACTGAATAATGGGCATTTGTCTGGACTTTGTTCATGGTTTGCAGTGTCACGGGTCGTCCTTACCTAGCTCTGTTCAAGGAGGATGGCACACAACGCTCGTAACTGATGCTCGGTAACACAACACACTGCATGCAGCTCAGCGCTTACGAGCGGCCGACAAGAGCGCCACTATCTTGGACGATCCGGAATGGAGTGTCATGCTTCGTCGTTTTGGGATGCCAACACGACTTACACACGGCTGGAAGGTCTGATGTCGTTCGATTCCATTTCCACCGCCTGTGATTCGATGTGCGAGAGGATGGACGGTGTATTTAGGCGCATGCATTCGGTCTATCCGTGCCGGGGGCGCAGCATAAGCTTTTCCAACGGCAGCTGGCGTGCATGCTTCTGGGTTGTGTACATGGCCTGCACAAGCCGGGGTCGAATGCCTGCCGCGGTATTATTCCATCGAGAGGAGTACTCTCGTCCCCCTGCGCATGTGGTTGAAAGGCTATAATGCTTAGATAGCGATCGTCGCTGTATCTGGCTCCCTATCAGTGCAACCATGAGACGATCAAGCTTGAAACCAGGAGTACAGTGTGTCCGCTGGGTAGTTACTAATATATTCATGCCTTCGTCGCAGATAGCAGGAATTGCTCACTGTGCGGATAGTCGGTGTAACCTTTAGCTATCTTCGGCGTGTAGAACACCGAACGATCATATCCAGTCAAGGGTATCGCCTCTTTGACGCGAAAGACGAGATCTGGATTAGCCACGAAATACCGCCCGAACGCAACAATAACATCGTACTCCTTAAACGTATCGTCCACCGTTTGTCGCGCTGACAGAGGCTTGAATCCTCCCGCTAAAACGATAGGACTTGCTCGGTCCCACTGCTTCACCATCCAAGCTACGCTCTTCTGTCCACCACAGTCAGCATCGTCGTTGCCCTTGATGCGAGCCTCGATCAGATGGAGATATGACAGGCCGAGTGGTTTTAGTTGAGCTAGGAGATATTCAAAGGTCGGTTCCGGCTCGTCCATGAGCATGCCGTTGAAGTCACTGTAGGGACTGAGGCGCATCGCCGTCCGGTGGGCACCCACAGCTGCAATGACTGCCTTGGCCACTTCGAGGTGGAAGCGCGCCCGGTTTTCGATACTTCCACCCCAGCGATCCTTGCGCTTATTGCAGGTCGTCTGCAAGAATTGATCGGGGAGGTAGCCATTCGCGCCATGGATCTCTACACCATCGAAGCCAGCAGCGATGGCATTCTTAGCCGCTGCCGCATAATCGGCTATCGCGTCCGCTATCTCTGATTCTGTCATGGCATCGGGAGTCTGGTCTTGGGGACTCATGGGGACGGCGCTGGATGACAGCATCCTGAATCCTTGGGACTCGAGTACGTTGTCCTTCGCAGCCCGACCTTGATGCCAGAGCTGGCAGTAGATAACACAACCTTTCGCGTGGACTGCTGTTGTGATCTTCTTCCACGCTTCCACTTGGGCCTCGGACCAGATTCCAGGAGCATTGTGGCAACCGGCAGCATTTTTTGCGATTATAGTTGCTTCGCTCACGATGAGAGTGCCCGGGACGCAAGCTCTTTGCTCATAGTATTCTCAACACCTTGTTAGCGATGTTTTGAATTACAGTCTGCTCGTTAGATCTACCTCTGCTCATGTCGGTTGCACTCCATGCATCGTCCATGCGATAGCGCGTCAGAGGCGCCATTGCTATGCGGTGTTTCAATTCATCAGTTCCAACGGTCAAGGGCTGGAATAGTCGCGACATATTGTTTGGAGGTATTTCGAGTTTTCCTTTGTGCACGATAGATCGAGTACTTCACGGGTATAAAGCTTTGGCGGGTCGTGCAGTGTTCCGAAATTCGGAGGACCCTTTGACTCTTTACCATTCTCCATGACTGACAGTGGCCTATGCTATCCGCGTCCGAGTAATGTTGTGCTGTAGTGTTGTTGAGATGGCATCGGCTGGTTTCGAGCCGATGCCAAGCCACGACCACTCCGATTCGTCTTCCGCATCCAAGGCTTCGGTTGCCATCTTCCGCGTCCTTCGAGAGCGCCGTTGACGTATCATCAACGTCTGCAGCCCGGCAGACGGCCGCCTTGCCAGATGTCCCCACAGACTGTGGAGCGAATGTCGTTATTAGACGGAGTCTCCGGTGCACCAGGAACCGACTGCCGGTTGTGACCCGCGCCGAAGCTCCCGTTGATGTGCGACGCAGGGTATTTTCCATAGCTGGGATGGTCTTCATAACAGGGCCGTCTTGCAGTAACGAGCAGCCCGTCCATTTCTACAGTCATGTTATATCCGAACCAGTCCTGCGGGGGAAAGGAGATACTCGCCTCCGATGTCACGGTTGACAGTGCGTCTCATGGCCATTCGCAGTGCCTCTCAGAGAAATGTACCGGAACGTCGATTGTCGAGCCGCCGCCTTCGACACCGGCAGAGGACGATGCAGATGACGGCGATGATACGCGATCCATCAGCGGCCAGCGCAACACCATGTCGGCCGGGCAGCTACGAATTGCGATACCGACATTATCAGTCTGCCTGTTCGTGTCCTTCATCGACCAAACAAGCGTATCAACGGCCACGCCTGCCATTGCTGGAGACCTGAACACGGGTACTGCGACTTCGTGGATCGGCACGTCATTTTTGATTGCTTCGACCGCATTCCAGCTCATCAATGGGCGGCTGTCGGACATCTTTGGGAGAAAGGGGCTTTTGCTGCTGTGTCTGGCGCTTCTGGGCCTCGGGGATCTGGGCTGCGGGTTTGCGCAGACAGCGGAGCAACTTTTTGTGCTGCGCGCGATTGCTGGTATCGGGGGTGGCGGCATCAACAGTCTCGTAATGATTATCGTCAGCGACATTACAACTTTACAGAATCGTGGCAAGTATCAAGGTAAGTGGGGTACAGTCTCCGTAGCAGTTATCGTGGACTACTGACACTTTCACTTAGGCTGGCTTGGCTCGGTCATAGCTCTCGGCAACGGCATTGGCCCGTTTCTGGGCGGTGCTGTGGTCGAGGGCGGATCGTGGAGATGGGTGTTCTGGATGATCCCCATCATGACGCTTCCCACTACAGTGGTTCTAATAGTGTTCTTGCCCCTCAAGCATACATCAAGTGACACACTAGCGAAGATGAAGCAAATTGACTACGGCGGCATAGCACTCAACATAGCGTCGACCCTTCTGTTGTTGATCCCGCTGTCCGGAGGAGGCCTCACATACGCCTGGTCGTCCGCATTCTTCATTGGTGCTACCGTGACGGGCGCGGTCTTGACACTTCTATTCGTCCTCTACGAGTGGAAACTTGCGCCTCTCCCCATCATGCCTCTCCGGCTGTACCGCGCACCGCATTGCTGGGCCCTCTACCTCCAGTCTTTCCTGACTGGCCTTGCCTACTTCGGAAACTTCTTCTACCTCCCCATCTACTTCCAATCGATCCTGCGCTACTCTCCGCTCGTATCTGGCGCCTTGATCCTACCCCTCGTCATCAGCACCTCCTTCGCCTCCATTGCGAGCGGCTACTACATGACCCGCGTCGGCAGCTACATGCACTGCATCCTGCTTGGCTTCATACTCTGGACCGTCGGCAACGGGCTCACCCTCATTCTCACCCGGCAAAACAACCTCGCCGTGCTCATTGTTGCCCTTGTAGTAGAAGGCGCCGGCATCGGCCTCACCCTCCAGCCCACCCTCGTCGGCATGTACGCCAACAGCCGCACCTCCGACCGCGCCGTTACAACCGGGCTACGCAACTTCATCCGCACCATCGGCGGCGCCTTCGGGCTCGTCGTGTCCGGCGTCGTGCTCGCGAACACCCTGCGCCAGCGCTTGCTCGGCGTAAGTTTTGTCTCCGACGGGCTGCTGGCGGCGCTCACGTCGTCGACTTATGCGCTCGACGACCTTGATCTGGCGCCGGCTCAACGCGATCAGATCCTGGATGCGTATATGCTGGGGCTGCGGTATATATTTGTGTTCTTCACGTGTTGCTCGGGGCTGAGTCTGCTTCTGACGTTGGGCGTTGGAAATACGAGCCTTAAGGCTGCGAAACCGGCTGAGGATGAGGAATCGGGTATTGAGCCAGCCATTCTCGGGCAGGAAATCGGAACTGAGGAGACGAAGACTGTTGAGAAAACGGATACTACTGAGAAGATGACTGCTGGGCAGAAGACACATGTGCACCCGGGCGATGGCCCCTCTGTTCGGTCGTAGTCAATGCAGACAGTGATATGTTAAGAGGAGTTTGATACTGGTAAAACTATGTATTACAAAGTAGCTATAGCCCTTCCTGAGCCATATCGAGGAGGTGATTTCCAGCGAATCCACCAGCGAATTCACCAATGTACATGGTACATCTATAGCTCTGAGACCAACCTATCCACATCCACAGAGTCACCACCTCTTCAATTCTCGTAGGCTTCAGAGAAACCATCACTTCCCATGTTGACGACCACTCCCTTGAGTTCAGGTGCGTACAGGCTCATCAATTTTTGACAGAACCAACAACACAATCTTCCTGATATCTCGGCCGCCTGAAAGGAGGTTCCGGATCCCAAGTGACAGGATAGTATTGCTTGTCGTCTTTGAAATGCCTCCACAACCACTGCTCTGCCTCTTTTTCGTCATCAGGGCACCAACCGTAGGCAGAAAAGTTGCCCATAGAGCCATAGTTCCGGATGATTGGTGAGCATATCTGTGTCGGCCATAGCTTCTTTAGCTTCTTCGGCCGTTTAGCCTTTCCTACAAGCTCCATTACCTCAGCAACGTTGAAGTCGATGATCTTGACTGTGGGTTCTGTAGAGTCATACAGAGGGCCCAGTAAAATGATGTTGCGGGGATGTAAATCACGATGATTGACTCCGGCATCGCAGATGACAGCCTCCGCGTGTAGAGCCTGTTCCAGGATGCGTGAACGAACTCGTTTACGGATCTCGGACGGATCGACGTAATACATACAATCGCCATCGAGATGCTCGATCAGAATCATACGGACGGTGCGGTGATGCGTCTCCCGTTGATCGAGTGCCCCGATGGGTGTCGCAATGACGGTGGTCCAGCTTCCCCAGAATGTAGGTATGACTTTCCTTGCTGCCGGTGACTTTTGGAGATGTAAATATGCTGCAGTCTCCCGACTGTAATCTCCGCTAGCGGCCATGAGAACGTCTTGCTTGAATCTACCATCGGTGTCGCTGTAGTAGAGAGGGTCGTATATCTTCGCTACCATGTTTCCGTTCACCACCACAAGCTGTGCCCCACGGTCGCTACCAATCCTGATGATCGAGGTGATCTCTAGCTCCTTGGACAAGCTGTCACGCGTGTTGCCGGTCGAAACCGTGTCTGTAAGGCAGTATTCGGTTTGCGATAACAAGTGCCAGTCCTTCGTTTTGGGAGGAGGGTTTATGCCATCGAATACTCCGGATGGTAGTGGTGCTTCGTGGCTGTTGGCGGTGAATTTGAACCCTACTCTGTATGGCAACGGTGGCTTGCGATACGGGTTGAAGTCGCTATCTTCTGATATGCCATCTTGATCTATTCCAGAATCTGAAGATGAGTCTGCCGAACAGCCAGACCGGTCGCAGGGATCATCAGGCGATGGAAGAGTCTCGGACTCCATGTTTGCGATAGGGTTGGGGGTTCGTTGTTGTTGTTGTGTTGGCGCGGGTACAGCTGCCTATGATTTATATAATTAGCGCGCTCAGCCAAGCGTGCTTTCACTTCAACACAAAGCAAGTGAAAAAGTATGCTCGGCAGACACAATGCTCTCACGTTACTGTCTTCAATTGGGATCAACTCCTGCTTTACAACTTCCCCTTGGGTAGGTCTGAGGACGCGAAAGACATGAAGACAATGCTGACCTGGTTTACTGAAGCCGATAATCTTAGGGAAGTAGATCAGATACGTCAAACATATCCGTAAGATCCTCCTAAGTTGGTTGTTGGAGGCTTTCGAGGCTCATTTCGATTCGTCGGCGTTGGCCAAATAAGAGATGTCAACGGGAATAGAGAAGGTGGCCGACAGCTTGAAGAATACATCTTTACAGGGGTTGTAGGAGAAACCGCCGCGAACCGCCGCACGCCTACGCAAATGACGGACAACTCGAAATCGTACGCTCAACGACTGCTGGGTACAATAGTTTTGACGAATGTTTTGCAGCACTTGTGTGCGTCATTGAACTTTGTAGCCATCAGAAGAAAACCGTAGAGCTTCAATTGAATTCCATCACAGATACAAAATGATTTGAGGGAGGGTTGCATGAGACGCACTGTGAAGCTTGTGATGAGAGGCTACAGTAATGAAAACCTCCCAATTGCGGATTCAATGATCTTTTTAATCATCTAAACTTGTGCCCTCCGTCAGTCGGAACACTCATGTTTCCTCCTGGAAACACCGATTGAGGTACCGGAGCTGGTCCCCATTGCTGAACAGGTGGCATGACATAGTGAGGCTGTGGAGCCCATTGAGGTGGACCTTGCGCATACGGTGCCGGATGACTGCCTTGTTGGAGTTCATAGACGTTGTCGAATCCTGCATATCGACCTTTGCCTCCACAAAGCCATTTGAATCCACCTCGTTGACGAGCTAGGACCCAGAGGCTAACTAAAACAAGCAAGGCGAAGATGGCCATAGGAATAAGTAAGAACCTGGTTGCTCTCTATATACGCATCAGTACTTGCGCCGTGTTGATTAGCATCACCAAAACTTACTGCTGTTCCGCACGCAGCGGTCGCCCACCCTTCGCTCGCATAGAAGCGCTCAATCTGACAAGACCAGGTCTCGCGCGTGAATTCCTGGTCCTGTTTCTGTACATCATCGTAGGTCTGCCAGCCAGTGTTGCTACTCTGCAGTGAGCTTGCCCACCCAAATATAGCAAGGCTCAGCGCGACAAGGAGTATGTTGCTAATCGCCGCGATCCACGTCCACATCCTTTGATGTCCATGTGTGCCCTCAACCTTCTTCAGCTCCCAAATCCCGAACGCATTGATAGCACAGACAATATAAGCCGCAACACATACGCCTAGTATAGCTAGCGACGGTGCATTATCTATGCGCATGGTAATATCGATGTCGGCGGCAGCGGTGGAAGATGTGGAGGTGCGGCCGTTGAGTGTGAGCATGAATGCGCCGTTGCGAAAGTTGCGGTATGTGTGATCGAGGAGCAGATTCTTGGAGATGCGTTCGAGGGCAAAGACCAGGACCGAGACTGGGAAAAGCAGGAGGACTGCTGGCGCGAGGAGGAGGACTACACGGCAGCCGTTGAGGTTGCGCATCGCGACTGATTGAAAGAGCGCTGTGCACGCTGAGGGACGCGCTGTTTCTACGAATCAAAGGCTCAAAATATTGACTACGTGAGTAATTAGTCCAGCATAACAACAAGCTACCGCTTGCGACGAATGGTGTGTAAGTAGTGGCGACATTGTTCTTAGAATAAACGGTAGTCGTGGACGCCTAAAGCGAGCGAAGACCAATAAAGTGGCGGCAGTGACCGGGCCTTGGCGATTCCAGCAAAGACGACATCAAAGTACGCTGGGTGTTTCGTGCATTACGATAATGTAGAGCTCGACCATGATAGCCATCTCTAGAGTGAGGTTGGAAGAACAGCGATGATCTCGTAGATGAGATGCTAGGTACGTGCACGTGCGCAATGACGCAGGAGACCTTAAACTAGAAGCAAATTAGACTGCCAACGTCACGAACAAGTCACTTCCACCATTCAACCCTTTTTATCTGCCTATTCTACAATTTGAGAAACAGCATAACACAAGCAGGCATGGACCAGTCGTTACTTAGTGTTTCTGGTCTCACGTCGTCTTAGTGAATGCAGCTTAGCGTCTTGAAGGCTTACTTCAGCGTTAACTGTGCATGCAGTTCTCGCGCTGCTGTGCACGCAGTTGTCTGCGCAGCATGCCCACGGCTCGCAATTTTTCAGGAGCTCGAGACAAAGGACAATGAGGCAAGCCATTTGAAGTTCATTACAGCCCCCCTTTGGCAGATTCTATCTAAAATACCCACGGATAAAGCCATGGACACACATAACACAATATCCTTAACAACAAAAAGGGAACCCTCGACCAAAGGAAAGGTGTCTTCAACCCAGGCTTCAAAACAATACTGACATGCTTGCCTTCGTACTGCCCTTCTGAATCAGCAACCTCGATCATTCCCGCTGCACAATCCCAATAGCTGATGTAGTAAACGTGATGCCTCTCCGTACTCAGCTCATGGCCCAGCTGTACATCGTGCTCCAGCGCGCCAGGCATCATGAACGTCATGTCCAACCAGTCTTCATGTTGCCGCAAGTATGTCTCCGCTCGGCCCAGGTCCTCGTAGATATGGTCATTGGCATACCAAATCAAGTTGCGCACAAAGGCAGGTCCTGACCAGAGCTTGTGGTCCATGCTGGAGGAGCTGATTATCACCAAACGAGGTGGCTTGAATGAGGAGTTGGAAGATCTCAGAGATTGTAGCGCTGCGACTAGGGCTTGGGCAGTCTCGAGTGCGATGTTGCAACCAGGCAAGTTGTCAACAGCAGCCACTGCCTGCAATACCGCTTGTGTGCCTGTGATACATTGCTTAAGATTCTCGATGTCGGAAATATTGCCTTCGAAGACGCGGATGTTTGGGTTGGAAGACAAAGATGGGTATGATTTTTCAAGTTTCGCGCGTGAGCGTACAAGGACATTGATCTTGTTCTTCGGGTCCTTCCCAAGGAGTTTAAGAATGGTGCCACCGATTTGGCCTGTCCCTCCAAGAACTGCGTATGACGACATGAGATTCGAGTGTCGTTCTGGAAAGCTATTGACGAATACCTATGTATACCAAAACCTGAAAAGACGTACGCAGGATTAAATATTCGAAATGGTCTTGCGACAAGATCTTGTACGGACGCCGTAAAGACCGAAACGCCGTGCAGGTAACCATCACTCGAAGCACAGATATCGTTAGAGCCCTGTACTACTTCGTACAAAGCCAATCCAGTAGAATGCGACACTTAATCTGGCCACAAGTTACAGTAGGTACGGAAGCCCCACCAGCAGGGTCCTACTAGCTCGTCTTGGCATATATCTGACCGTGTTGGGGATCTACACAGATCAATAACGTCATACAGGTGTCGCTGGAACCTTATCCTTAAGGCTACGTGCCAATGCTATAGAATCAGCTTAATGAGCTCAACGCCCAAGATTACGTGCGCCTGGCAACCGATCTGACATAAGGTATTGTGCTTCCGCAAACCTTGGAACTTTACACATCTCCCCTTTGCCCACCTCGGCCGATTCGGCCTCATGGAGACCGAGACATTCGCAACGCTAGTGCAAGTCCTGCAAATCACCGTAGCAACCTCTTTGATCTTTATCGGTGGTATGTGATCGATCCTCCAGCACCCCGTTTTCGGGTTGTACGATCGCTAGGTAACTGACCCCGACAGGTCTCTCATCCTGCCTCTCGCTCTGGGTGCTCCCCCTAACGAAATTGCTCCCGCCGGCCCTTGCCTGTGCTCAATTCATTCAAACAGTGACATGGGGCCTGCAATATCTCCAGCCTTCATCTCGCATCCTCGGAATTTCACTCCTGACCACCGCGCTCCTGACTTCCTATCTGCCCGATCCGGCGCAAGCCGAGCAGTGGAAAACGTGGGCGGTAGCGCTTGCGATCCTTGCGCCAGTCGCGCCGTACGAAGTGTATTGTATCTTCCCAATCAATGACCGGGTGAGCGAGATCAGGGAGGAGGTTGAGCGAGGTGCGAACGAAGAAAAGGCGAAGAAAGAGCTGAAGGCGTTGTTTTCGAAGTGGCAGTTTAGGAACTACGGGCGAGTTGGGATTCCGCTTGTTGCGGGAATTGTGGGATGGTATGGTATTACTAGGCGCTGAGGAGAAGATGGATGCTTAGGGTAGTGAATGGGAGTCGAATCTAATGCATTTTTTTGTACTGGAGATACTTGCAGGCCTCGAACGTGCTGGGAAGCTGAGCGTGTGCACTGACTCAGGCTTTGGTGATGCTTGACCGGGCCATCAGTTCGGTCAGGTGGTCTTGCTTGACCATCTGCAGGATCTCAAGAGCCTTCGTTGGGTCCATCCAAGGTTGGCGCTGCTCCACACCCTCTGTGGGAAGAGGGCGATCTTCGATACCAGGGACGATGTCGACAAGCAGGTCGCTGACCGGACTCTCATGCCAGCTCACGGTACTCAGGTCGAAATCATCCACCTCCTCCATTGTCTCATCTTCATCTCCAGCCAAACCGTGTTCAACACCCCTCGTCACGTCATCCTTCTCCTTCTCCATCTTGTCTTTCGAGGATTTCATGAAAGTGAATATCCAATGCAATGCCAACATCGGCCCCTCCCTCTCAAAGATGTCCTCGCTGATCTTGCCCGATCTCAAGTCGGCGATCAGGTTTTCTGCCTCCAGGTGCGACATCTCGGGGACCATCTGCGACATACTGCTTATCGCAGCCTTGGCCTTGACGAGTGGCTTGGATTTGAAACGTATCAGATCGAGCCCGGAGTCCTGCCAGTATTTGATGAGACTGTCGGGAGCAGTTTGATCGCCTCCCCAGTGCATTGGCAACCATCCACGGAGGTAGAGAATGAAGAAGGATTGTCCTGAATCATCACAATAGCCATCGATGTTCCCTCCATGCGAAATTCGCACCACAAAAAGGAAGGCCATGATGCATATGTTGATACGGACGACATCGAAGTGGTTGGAGAAAGAGTGTTGCTCCGAGAGTTGGTAGTACCAGATCGCACGGTTGACCTGTAGACTCTTGAGAGAAGAAGCTTTGAAGTTGCCCGCAGCAATCTCATTGTAATTACGCAGGAAGAAATCGAGCTGGAGGTCATCTGGAACATTCGCGACGCGTAGCTTCGCCTCATTCTTGGTGTAGTAGTCGTGCACATCGCGATGGTGGGGTAGCGTACGCAGGGGGACTTTTGCGAGCTTCGTCTCGAGGTTCTCGCGCGCTCGTGCATCGTTGTAGTCGTCTTGATCTTGCGAGCCACGAGCGGCAAGAGGCAAAGGTGATGTGAAGTTGCCCTCCTGCATGATTGTAGGAGGTGATATGCGTAGCGTCAGGATGTAGTCGTGGGAAGGTCGCAAAGTAGCTTATTGCTCAGCGGAAATTTAAGTGGAGACGACGCGCTGAGCACGTGTTGTCACGCTGTCGCCTAGCGTGCTGGAGGTGAAGGCAGATATGTCACAACACCACACCCATATCGAAAGTAAGCGCCGTAGGCAGACAGAGGGGAAAAAGGAATTGATATCTCTATGCCCATCCACGTAATAGTGCGACCTTGACTTAGGTGAAAAGTGAAAGCAAAAACACAAAAAAAAGATAGTGAACTGCGAAGCCACCTAGACCTAAGGAGAAACGAGGGTCGCAACCTAAGCTTCGGAGACTCCGCAGTTCGAACCCGCGACCCCACAGGAACAGAGCTGGAGGTGTAAGAAGTGATCAGTTTCCTGGACCATCTAGTGTGTGTGATGCTCTGATGAAAAAACTGTGACGAAACTGTTACTTATAAGCAATATAATAGCGACAGTAGCCATAAAACTTGCTTATCGCTGCGACTGAGACGGTACGTGTGGTTGTGAAAGTGCGTTTGCATCCAGAGCCGAAAAGCGGGGGAGACGAAGTGACGGTGAGTGAAGGGCGCAGCATCTATCACCTTACCAACGATATGATAACTACAGTATAATGAGATTACACAGAACATCAGTTTTCAGGTGGCTGGAGAAATGGCCAATGCAAGTAATTGATACTGGAGGTGCTTGGTGAACAAGCTGGAATTCGCTGGATCTTGTCAGCGAGATACGGCTGAAGGCATCAAGCCTGTTCGAGTGGACTCGCCATACCCACACATGCAAGCCAAAATACTGTTCGCATGTCTGAAACGTCTCGCTCGTTCTCGCGACCTGGTGCTCGTCTCTGATCAATGCAGATTGCATCAGGCCGACCGTACCGCAAAGTTCCAATGTCTCCAGACTTGCATGCGACTACTAGAGAACTTGGACAGTACTCATCACAATGCCCAACACCAATACACTCTCGATCTTACTCGTCAGCCGACGTCTGATAGACTGCGTACTAAAACACATCTTTCCGGGTCGAACGTGTGATGTGAATGGCCCTTTAACCTTGTTTCCGCGAAGGTAAACTCACAAAGAGTTCATGACTGTTCACAAGGCTAGCAGGTGTGCAGAGAGAATGAACAAAGGGCTGCAAGGGAATCAAGTCAGTGGAATTGCGTGTGGCGAGCAACAGTTGACGTCGTGAGATTACTGACTAAGCGCCTACCGAACTGGGCGGATGCGACGCTAAATCAAGCATCGCTGCTTATGACGGCACTTGCAGCTTTCAACGTCAATTCACGATTCTAAAGAGTTGGGCTAAATTATCGAAGGCCGTGCATTGGTGGTGTCCGGCAGGCATAAGGCTCACATGACTTTACCTTCAGGAGTCGCATTCCAGGCCTGCTCGAATGCCTGCCATCCTCCGACTGGCTCTTCGCACATCTTCAAATCGCTCACGACGAGATCGTAGTACCCATCGCTTGGCAATTTACCCTTGTTGCATGTTCCACCCATGGCTATGTTGATCAGTATCCTATATTCCTCCATACGTCTCGAACCTGCTGGGACGTTGCCCTTCATCACTGGCCGACCGTCTATGTACCAGATAAGTCTGCCTCGCCAGTCGGGAATGCCCTCCTCCTCGATCCAGGCGAATCCGTACGTGTGGGGATTTGTGGTCAGGTCAGGCAAGGGGGTCTGTACAACTCTGTGCTTCTGCGCGTCCTCGCCATTGTAGTGTCCCCAGTGTAGACAAGAGTGGTTTGTCTTTTCGTCGTTCCAATTCTCCATTATGTCAACCTCGCCGTCGCCTGGCCAGTTGAAAGGCTCACATGGCAGCATCCAATATGCCGGCCAGATGCCAGGGGCGCTCGGTGGGAGGGTAGTGGCTTCGATATAGCCGCGCGGGCGAGATAGTGTCTGGTGTGAGGTCAAGCGCGCAGAGGTATAGGTGCCATTTTGCACCAACCCACGCACAACGAGCCGGTTGTCGTGGTGGAAAGAGTTCGCGGGAGAATCGGTGTAATTCTGTTTCTCGTCATTCCCCCAGCCATGATCGCCAAGCTCATGACGGAAGTTGGCGGATACCGGCGTTGCCGCGTCGAAAGATGGCTTCCAGTACACTTTCTCGCTGTACGGTGGCGGGATGTTCTGTGGTGGTGGAGGCTGCGCAAAAGTAGGTCGGTTTTGCGGAACAGGAGGTGCCGGCGAGTTTGGCTTATTCTGTGGAATAGGCGGTGCGAAGCCTTGCTGCTGATGGGGAGGCGGCGGGCCCCAGTTCTGTTGCTGCTGCGGCGGTGGAGGGCCCCATTGTTGCTGCTGGGGCTGCTGGTATTGGCCTTGTGGTGGGTATTGGGCGCCTGAATATGATGACTGAGAGTACTGTTGTTGCTGGTTGTAGCCTTGCTGAGGCTGTTGCGGGTAACCCTGCTGGCCCGGGTAGCCTTGCTGGCCTTGCTGGGGCTGAGATTGGCCTCCGAGGTGTTGAGCCTGGAGCTCTTTTACCTTAGCCTTGCCCTTAGCGAGGAGACTGTCAAATGTAGGCATTGCTGATGCTGCTGTGGAATGTTGTACAGGCAAATGACGTAGCGTGATTTTCTCCAGCCACAGCAGCCAAGCAAAGCATGACTAAGCAACCGTGCCGAGAAGTCGGTGTTATCTCATAGACATGGGGGTGGAAAAACCGCTTTGATGTACCTATCCTAATCGTACTTGGTTCTGGGCCCCGCGTGTTTGGTTGCAGCTGCGGGTAGAGTGGTGCGCTGATGCCGCTCTCATTTCACAGGCTACGTCATTGCACCAATCATCTAAGCGTTGTATTCAGCCATACAGCCACTTCCAGCAACGCCTCGAACGCGTTCCTGATCGACTGCAAGGTAGGAATAGAAACAGGAATCTCATGCGACCTGCCACACCCATTTACGACGCACGTAAGTGTGGCGTCATTCCACTTGACATTATGTTACGCATGCCTTCCGCCGTCTACAAACAATAATAACGCCAACACCTTCACCACGCGACACGCCTCGATAACCACTACACGCGACAAGAAAGATCACCCATCAGAACTATATTCAGCATCAATCCAAGCTCACGCCAGCGCTCTCCCACCGCAATGTCGTCCATCATCAAGTCCCTCTCTGACGTCTTCACCTCGCTTCTTGAGCTTGTGTGGTCATTCTTCACCACCGCCGGTGATCTGGTTCAGAAGACCGCATCTTTCGCCCTCAAGTTCGTCTCGGAGATCATCGACCTGTTCGTCAACTTCTGCAAAGGTCTTGTTGATCTTGCTGGCGGAGTTGTTGGTTTCGTACTCGGTATGTTATTGCACCCACTTGGACTTGATAAAGCAGTATTGACCGCAGGTAGGCAACATTCTCATGCTTGGTGTCCTAGCCGCGATTGTGTTTGGCTTCTTGCAGTACCAGCGCAACCAGGGCAACACTGTTAGGGTCGGCAACAAGAAGCTCAATTAGATGCAACCCGGGCATCCATGCATGTACCTTTGAAGGACACATGCCTCATCACTCTTAGCTCAATTTGTATGATACCCTCTTACCCTAACACAGCCAGTGCCAGCGCACACGCGGCCTCTTAGTCTTAGGATATTCAATTCACTGTTCATCCCGATATCGATCTTTGCCAGCAGTTCTGCATCCACAGAAGCCTCGCGGTGATCTCCTTATGCACTTTGCTATCAAATGACGACTAGGAGGTGCTCACACTGCACTTCCTCCTTACGCTGGAGTAGGTATTGGGCCGTTATGCTCCGAAATGCCTCTTGGTGGGCAGGTTCATACTGAGAACGTACACGTGGTATGTGTGTAACAAGGTATATTCCGGTGGGAATCAGGCAATTATGTGACGGCCTAGAGACAGCAACAGTACGGTCTAGAGGTAGTCAGACTTCTTGTTGCTGCACATCTGTTGATGGAGAACTGTCGAAAACGTTTCAACACCTTGTAACGGGGGCAGGAGTCATCAGCCTTGCATACCCTATGCGTCACATGAAGAACAGTAAAGTAGGGATAAAAGAAATTTGAAACACTCGAAGCATTGTGCAGACTGAAACATATCTGTATCAAAAGAAAAAGAAAACAATGTAAAAGGAACCCTTGAACAACGCGGCAGTTCTGAGAAAAAAATCGGAACGTAAAAACAAACGGAACTGTGGGCCCTGCCCGATTCGCTACCACGCCTCAAATCAGGCTCTCAACAACAGGGCCTGAAGCCACAAACGGGACGAATCTGAAGTCGTCCACGCTGAGCAGATCCTGCTCCACTGATTCCGCCTCATCCACCTCGTCCGGACCCATGTACACGGCCGCCCTAACTACGTCGTTCTCGTCGCTCATCTCCCAGTAGATGCAACCGAGGAGTGCTCTTATGGTCTTTGCGAGTGTTGAGTCTTCCACGGGCTTCTTGTAGATGACTTTGTCGAAGCCGCTTTCGCGGACCGCGGCAGCGATCATCGCGTCATTGCCGAACTTGAGGGTGCTGGTACTGAGCAGATCTGAGTAGTACGTTCGCTTTGGTCCGTCCTTGATGGCGGAGATGGCGGTCGTTTCCCCCGAGAACTCGTAGTCGATGAAGTCCTCGATTGCAACTTGGTGGGTCTTTTCGCGGTACTCGCTTCTGCGCGGTGGGCCGCCGACGCTGGGGGTTGAGTTGTATGCCATTGAGTAGCTGCGATGGTATTCTTTGTAAGTGGTGAGTTCGTTGGGGATTCGATGCCAGAAAGGGAGAAGACTGGGTTGTGTGTGAATGGAAGTTGGTGAGGACTGAAGTATATTTATACAAATCGCGTCAAAAAGTCGCGTCAGGGTCGTGGTGAAGATGGTTCGCAGGCAATAATTCGGACCTTTCCGAGCTAGTTTACCAGATCCTTCCAGTTACCCTTGCTTTCAGAGATAGTAAAGCAGTACATCGTTTGAGAATTGTCATTCACTAAAGTGAAGCAGTACCGTCTTCCTAGATCGTCATCCTTTGAGCGTAACTTGTCCCTTCAAATTCGTACAGCACAAGAAAAGTCTCTCCATCCAAAGCCAATAGTCCTGCCCAGTACGCTGTAGGCTCGCGTACAGTTGTCTTGTTGGTCCAAGTCCTTCCTTGATCGCTGCTAATCATGATTTTGATTGCCCCTCCAGGCCACAGTCCGCCATCTTCATTCGTCCCAAAGCTTGCAACTAGCTTGTCACCAACTTGAATGATTTGAGGAGCGCCAGCATTGAAACCATCTGGCTGGTACACAACTGTTCTTTCGGTGCTCCAGGTAACGCCATCGTTATCCGTCCGCACTGTCCATATACCGAACGGTCGTCCAACTCCTGGGTTGCCACTTTCAAAGATAGCAATCTTGGTCTCAGACCCGACATAAGTGCGTGCAACGCCTATCATTCCATCCCGTGTCTCGATGCCAGTTCCAGAGATGACTTGTGCAGAGGTCCATGTCTTGCCTCCATCTGATGATCGGCGGAGAAGACTATCTTGATCGCCACGACTGTTTTCGCGGGAGTAGTAGAGTTGTAGAGTACCATCGAGGGCTTGCTGAAGGAAGGGCTCCCAGTTGCCTGTCACACCTGCGGGGTCTGATGCAGGAGTCGATAGGTACTCCCAGGTCGCGCCTCCATCCCCGGAGACACAAATGGTGATTCGGTAGTAGCTGAAAGTTGTGGGTGACGCCCTGTCGTGGTTTCTGAAGGCGCAAAGCAATTTGCCATCTGGTAGCTCATGTACATAAGGGTTGTCGACGTCCTGTGTTGCCTTCGGACCGGTGTCTACGGTGCCTTGTAGTTGCCAGGAAGCCCCATTGTCCTCTGAGCGAACCGTACGAATGGTAGTATTGTCGCCTTGTGTATTGGTGTAAGCCCCGACCAGTGAGCCATCTGCAAGTTTAGTCGCTCGTGGGTAGGTTCCGCCTTCGCCAAAAACCACGGCATCGCCAATCTTAGACGGCGATGCAGCAATTGCAGACCTAGTGAAAATCGCAAAGGCTGCGATCAAAGCCTTTGAGAAACGCATAATGATAGAATTCCGAACGATTGCTTGACATCCCATTCAATGATATGAGCATTACCCGAGTTTTGTATCATTGTTGTGAGGCATCCAACTAATTGCTTACGTGGGGTCTGAAACACTCTTTGGCGAAGAAGTCGGTGCGCAATAGGATTGAACGAGGCCGGGAGCCTAACTAGACTGCGCAAGATTGGCACACGGATGTCCTTGGGGAGACTGAGTGGTAGCCCTGGGTAAGGGCTCCACTTGATTTTTTTGTCCGTGCTGACATTTCTGTATGATCGTTTATTAAGATGAAGCTCAGTATAGGAGAGGTCGTCGGACAGGTACTGTGGTAGTGAACAGGTGACGTCACGCCACCTTTGAACACCGAGGGCGGTCAGCCCTACCACTTCAATAATGCCGATAAGTAGATGCGCAGTCGACTAGGTAAGCGGCTGAGCAGTATGACAGACGTGGGAGACCAAAGAGTGCGTTGTCAATCTTAGAAAGCCGTTGCCTGCATTTCACGTGATTATAAACATGGCGCGCTCTGCTGTGCAATATACAACTTGTGCAAACTCAGAATTTCACTAAACTGCATATCCTACTACAAAAGCCCAATGGCAATATCACCCTTAATCTTCGCGATGATTCGAATGTCTGCTTCAAGATCCAACTTGATGTGCACCTTCAAACTGCCCTTGACATCTTTGTTGTCCAGACCAAAGCCTGCATTTGCGTCCCGTTCACCAGCAGTACCGGTGGCCGGGTTATTGCCTCCGCCGAGTGTGGACACAGCACCTCCGACAGGGTCGCCGCCGAGTGCGGAAGCTGGACCACCTCGGCCTCCTGGAGCGTTGCCAGTTGCATTGTTTCTGACATGATGTCAGTAATTGGCTAGTAAGCGGCAGTGAGAAGATGTCGCACCTAGACTTTTCCTCTTCGCCAGGCATTTTGTTCTGAGGAGTCTTGCGCTTGGGTGTTTCTGCCGGCAAAGCCACTTTCTCTGGAATTCTAGCAAGAGTAGGATAATGGGATGGGATCGGTGGATGAAATTGGTACCTGAATCAGGACTGGGGGAGCAACCTTTAAACCCCCAACAGAGATCTGACAGGCTCTATCTACAGGTGTGTGGCTACTGGTAGCACACCATAATCGGCCATGCGTCTGAGGATGCGCTCGAGCAGCTCCGTGAGAGCAGTTGATTTGAGAACTCATTGATCTCCAGCGCCCCGTTGCTGAACGCAGCATAGCTGACTTGTGATTTCCCAAACGAGCACCTATTCACCGACTAGCAGCATTTAATGCGGAGCAGAGGGGTTCGTGGAAGTCGATGCGCAGGTCGGCGACTTCGTAGCTGCATGGTGAGCTTAGAATTGATGCACAATGTTCGTCACAGGTTGCGGATCCATCTCAGATCCGTCGATCGGTTCCATGGATGTGGGGTGATCTAGACGACGCTAGCAGTGGTGGTCTCCCCGACTGGGGGATTGGCAGCGCGTGCAGCCGCAAGCCTCCTACCGCAGATTGGCGAACGGGAGACGGAACCACGAAAGTGGACATTCGGCCATATTTGCGCGGAACCTTGTGTTGAACCAGGTTAGCGCATCCGGTGAATCTGTCCAGCCATCTGGACTGGCTGTCTACCTCCATTTCATTAGTTTCCGGATGCCGTGGCTGTAAAGTCTCATCCACAGAGTTGTAGTATTATTCACACTCCAACATGGTCCTGGGACTCATATCGCTGGCGGCCACAGTGCCGATGGTAGCAACATCAGTCCTAAACCTTCAAAGTCAAGCCGAAAATACAAAAAGCAACGGCGCGGATGCCGAGTGGAAATCCGACAGATGCCATATGAAGTGTCGGCCCTCGGAAAGGACGCCAGAGGACCGCAAAGAGCTGTTCAGGGATAGTCAAGTTGTGTTACGCGATGGGAGCTTGTTTGTGCAGCTGTCAACCTACGAAGGAGAGCGCCTACATCCGTTCACAGGATATTACCTGCCCTATCCAGACTCTAACTTTGAGGGTCTGGTCTCCACAATCTCAGACGAGCCACCTCAGCTGAACTGGATATACCTGGATACCGCCTCAAAATGCTTTCAAATCAGCCATGGTTTGCGTGTAGAAGCAGAGGAGGGGCTGACCGGCCCATGGGGTGCACGTGTGTGTCCTGATGGTGAGATCCGTTTCCTCATGGAGAACTGGGAGGGATTCATCGCCGTTGAAACCGAGGATCCGGGGTTGTGGAGACTGTGTTTTGACCGTTACGACGATGGGCTGGGGGGAAAACTGGGCCAGGATCAAAGGACAGTGGAGCTGGAACTAATTCGTGAGACGCTTAAAAGTTGAGGCACGGGCACCGAGGAAGTCTTGCTCGTTATCAGCATCATCGCCATTAGGGGTCGCGCAGAGGGCTCCGAAGTGAGTTGTCGCGTCGTGCAAAAGCAGGACCAGGACAAGATTGTACAGCCTCAAGAACGTGAGCACAACATCAAGCAGTTGAAGAGTAACACAACGCAGCTCTTCTCCAGAGTGACAAAAACATAGAATGTGGTCAATAGATGTGCGATTTCTACGGCTTCTGTCCGGAAATAAGCGCGAATTCTGACGCGCGTTCGTGGCTACGCGACTGCCGTTTTCACGGAATGACGTAGCCGACCAACATCACCCTACTTCAGCCTCATTCACATCCAACTCCAGTGACCCACACAACAACATTGCTTGTCTCCAGTTCTCCTAATCCTCTTTTAATCCTCGATTGGCTGACTTTTGTATAACATCTGCTATCCTTGTATCAGCATGTGCGACTTTGTGCCACTCCCTATTTGCTTCCAATGCGGAACGTATGCATGCCCTCCCCCTGATGTTTCAGACAGTACTGATATGTAAAAGTGATCAGAATCCCTGTCATTGCAAAGTCATTGGCCCTACGATTGGATTCGTGATCACCGTGTGCATGGCTGTAAGTCGCTTTGTTCACAATCATCGAAGCCTGTAGATCACTAATTTCTGCGATAGATCATCTGCTGGCCTGCGAGCTTGCTCTGCTGTTGCTGTGCCACAGATGCAGGCAAGAAGTAAGCGAGAAAACGACGTGTATCTTTCTGGACATTACTAATACCGCTAGGGTGCTTGCTCTGCCGGTGGACACAGGCAATGCTGTCAGTAATGCTATACCGATATGACAGCTGCTTCGTGCGACAAACACGAGGTGTCTATCGCTTCCCAGATCCCGAAGTCTAGTTTTCTAGGTGGTACACAGTCTTCTGTCAGCTACAATTCTTGTCCCGGCGTTTGCCTTTGGATGTTTCCTGTTCTAAAGCACTCTTATGTGCGGCATCTTTCATTTTTCCTGGCGAATGGCCTATGAGGGCATCGCAATAGTGGATGCGATTACGGTTGACTCGGCTATCAGCGCTATCTGGCTGTTGCAATGAAAGCATTCTTCACACAGCTGTAGTATCCGCCGTACCGACTTGATCTCATTCAATAAGCGTAGGGCTGTGTAACGGTCCGGCACTTCCCCGCCCCACTCGAGGGGATCACGTGGAAACGCGTTAGTACCGTGGGCGTTTGCTGATCTTCCTGTTTAGGTGAAACTTACTCAACTTACACACAAGCCAGAAACACTTTATCTAGTCAGCTCCGTCCCAACGGCGCAGCCTCCGCCGACAGATACTCACTTCTATCTCTCACCAAAGCAGTGAAGATTTCGAAAGCCTACGGGCGACGGCGTTCGGATCCTTTGTTAGGCTTCTTCTGTTTTGGATGAAGGTAGTCCCAGCTGTTAGAAAAGCAGCAAGCCTGCGGTAATATTTGTACGGCTACCTTTGTGGGACGCGCTCTGCATCAAACACTCTCGAATGCGCGAAAGCGTATTCATCTCTTTCATCTATAGACAGAAAATGGAACACTGACGCACTTTTATGCTAGTCTAAGTCCTCGAAGTACTCATTACACAAGGCATCCGTTTGTGATCGGCCACGTAACGCTCTCGCATGCATCTTGGCTGCAACCAACTATGAACGAGCCCAGCATGCCACAAACGTGCGCTGCTACATGGCAGTTAGATGACGATGCTGCCGGGCGTCTATCCGAGCTAGAGGTCTGTTCTTGGGAGGAGGGCTTTGAAGTCATCGAAGACTTTTACGGTCCGTCATCCACAAGTGTGACTGAAGAGCAGAACGCCATCATCACAGACACGTATATTTCACTTCACCGCTGGGCTTTGACTCCATTGACCTTTCCAGAAGCTATATTGGCGAATCGTTGAGTATTGCACAGCCATTGGAAGAATGTTCCACCGCTGGCATCGCGACGGAGCAAGAACTTGCTAGCGAAGAGGCAACGAAGTGTCAAGTTCACGCCGCGGAACAACATACCCCTCACGGTGTAGATCTAGAGCATTCCTCAGATCTCAGCACCTCTAATCGCCAGGCGAGCGGCCTCTGTGAAGCCCTGGTCACAGAACCGGTCTCGGATGTGCTGGAAACACAGGCTAGTACACCAACCACGCGGGAAGTGCAGGTCGCGCCAGCAGAGGAACGCGAGCTCACAGCCCCCGCCCCTTGGAGCATCGATATTTTCGATATCATAGATTTTTCACCTGAGAAACCGCTACCTGTTGCCCATTTACCACGCGAACCAGACGCAGAGGGCAGTGATGGATACGTCCAAGGTTCCAGCGCGGTCGGTCCACCGACACCAGCACTGACCCATTCCGACATCCACCTACCTTCTGCGAAGTCTTGCGTTGGCACGGAAGGCATCGCGTCCAATGGAGATCTGGCTCCCTTCGCCGTCCACGAGCACACCTACGCGACTCCCGCTAGCGATTCCGAGTTTGGAGACTTTGTCAACCTTACCAGCCCCGCCAAACCTGCTGATGCTGCCATCGAGTCGGCTGCAGACTTCACAGCAAAGGCAGCTGATGACAAAAACTGCCTTGCGTCACCATCTCAACCTGCCAGCCTGCCAGATGAGAGGGCAGTCTCCGACACCGGCATGTCCCTCGATATCAGAAATAGCGGTAATGGTCACCTTGAGACAGCTCTTACCGCGAGTGAAGAGATGCATGAGGGTCTCGGCGAGCCTAGCCTGGAAATACCTTGCAGGCAGATCACCGAGTCGCCGCCTACCATTCTTGAGGATCAATCCGTGTCCCCAACAATCACCCAAGACGCCATGAGGGAGAATGCAGAAACAGAAACACCAATCACATTTCTTGACCATAAGCTTGGGGAATTTCACCGCGAAATCGTAGAGTACGCGTCACGATGCGGTCTTGATGCTCACGATCAAGCGTTATCACACGATGAGTCCACGCCGTGCGACGATCGTCCTGGGCCAGTCACCGGTGATGCACCGCAACACAGTCTCATTGTACCCCTGGTAGCAATACCCGATAGGATGTCCACCGACTCAATCATACCGACATACGGTACACCTAGCATGGCACCTGACCAGTGTAACACCGCCGGCTATGGAGATTTTCAGATGCCAAAGCAACAGTTTCAGGTGCGAGACATCGTGATGAACGACGTGGACAGCGATTTCTGCCCCTCGGAAAGTAGCAGCCAACCTGGTTTATCACCAAACATCGGCCCCGCTGAGCCATCGTCAGATGTGGGTCAATTTGCATCAACGCTACTGTCAACGATGTCATTGTACAAGAGAGATCTGTTGCCGTCAACGCCTCACGAAGTGCTAAAGCGGCCGTTAGACAGTGCGGAGTCCGATAAATGCGAAGAGCCAGATTCAAAGCGACAAAGGATCGATTCAAGCATTGATACCGAGGTGATTGAGGCCCCCACGTTCGAGGAGTCCAAGGACCTCTTCATCAAAGAGGATGCTTCCATCTCTGCTGCGAAATACGAGATGGAGAGCGAACCAACACTGGAGTCTGTCACCATCGGACACAATCCCCTTGGAGAGCAGGAAGACGTCAACGGAAAAGAAGACGCCCCCACCCATGGTGCACGAGTTGAGCCTGAGAACGATCTCATTGTTGAGCCAGAGGCGATTGAGGCCGCTACCGTTGATGAGCTGGAAGACGTTGACATGGAGGACGCTCCTCCCATTCCTACTACACAGCTTGAGACTGCCAACAGTCCGCTCATCGAGCCTGAGGCAATTGGAGCTGCCCACCTTGACGATATAGCGGGTGACCACACAAGCTTGCATACCGAAGACGCTCCGGTCTCTGCTGTCTATTTGGAGGCTGAGAGTCTTCAAGTGGCAAACGTAGCCTCTCCCTCTGATAAGTTGGAAGGCATTCATACCGAGGCGAGCGTTCCCGTCTCTGCTGCACAGCTTGAGATTAGTATCGATGCTACTGTCGAGCCTGTGGTAGCTGAAGCTGCTCCCATTCCAGAAGTGGCGGATAGCACGAGCCTGTCTGACGAAGATCCCTCAGCCTCTGCTACGAAGAATGAGATGGAAAGCGATGCTACCGCTGGGCCTATGGAGAGTAAGGCTGCTCTGCTTGACGATGTGGCTGGTGTCAAAGAAGGCACTCTCGTCGCTGCTGCGCGCCGTAAGGTTGATAACGCTCTAATGCTTGAGTCTCAGGACATCAAGGCCACCTCCTTCGACGAGGCGGTTGGAGACCACATGAGCGATCGTGACGAGATTGTCCCAGTCGCTGCGACACAGCCCGAGATCGAGAGCACTGAAACAGTGCAGCCCAAGAAAACGGAGGCTACTCCCGTCGACGAGGCAGTGGATGTTCACATGAGCGACTGCGATGAACATGTCCTAGTCTCCGCTACACAACGCGCGATCAAATCGGAAGGCAAGGACCAGGTCACATCCGACGGTACAGTGATACCTGCTGCTCGCGCGGCCGAATCAGCAGCTCGACCCGTGCCACAAGCAGATAACGTCGTCGAGGTCGTACAAGAAGCAAGCCAGGTCTCGAGCACAGCAGAGCCAGAGACCCATCCATCAGCCTTGCGCTCGCAAAATCTGCCAAAGCCGTTTGGCGGGCCGTATATGCAGATTACCGATGTTGAGATGCAAGAGCTGATCACCACCGCATCGGTGTCACCAACACCGCCGCCCCCTGCAGCTCCGCCTCGCGGACCTAGGTTGAGATTCAAGCCCTTGACGCCACCGACGCCTTTGGATGAAGCTGAAGCCGAGGACGAGTCTGAATCTGAGGAAGAGTTTGAGTCTGAGGGAGGGTCTGAATCTGGGGAAGAGTCTGAATCCGAGGAAGTCGAGGATGCAATCACAGAAGAGCATGTAGCCACGGAAGACGAGCTTACGGATGCGGAAGAGGAGCATGCAGACACAGACGACAAGCCACGACCCGTCAAACACGAGCCTGACCTCAAAAAAGCCAAGCTGCAAGACGAGCCGACCTCCACAGAAGCAGAGCCTGGCTCCACAGACGTCGAGCCCGACAACGAAGACCGCGACTCCACCACCTCATCCTCCCTCAGCCCAGCCCCCTCGCTCTCGCTCACCACCGCCTCACCGCCCCCCACACCCCAGGCGCCCGAGCCAGCAGCACCCGCACCCCCCGCCGACGCGCCCTTCCGCCACGAAGCAGAATTCCACTACGAGCGCCGCGCCACGCGCTCCGAGACGCGCTCGTCGGGCTCCAGCGCACCGGCCGCGACGCACGTAAACCAGATCGACGCACCCGCACCGCCGGCTGTCAAGGAAGAAGACGTTGCTGGAGGGGAGGAGAGGCAGTCTGGGCGCCCGCCAGTGAAGAAGAATCGTGTGGCTGCGGCCAGGGCTAGTGCGGCGCGGGCGCGGGCTGCGAAGGTGGCGATGAAGAAGGCGGGGCCGCAGACGCTGTCGGTGTCGAAGGCGTCGAAGGCGTCGAAGGCGGCGAAGTCGCTGAAGCCGTCGACGAAGACGCCGGCCCTCCCAGCATCCAACGTGGCAACCCGGACGCGCGCGCGGACCGCGACGCCCTCGGCTCCTGCATCTGCGTCTGTATCTACACCCGCCGCTGTCCCTGCGCCCCAGCCCCCGACCTCGAAGACCGCGCGCAAGACTCCGCTCACGGCCACACACACCCGCACGCGGCGCCACACGCCTGCGCAGAATGGTGTCCCTCCCACCCCAGCCCAGCCAGCGACACAGACTCCAGGATCTCAGACCCCGGGATCTCAGGCCCCGGGATCCCAGCCCGCAACAGCACAGTCCGCTCCCTCGCAGGTGCTGGGCAAGCGCAAGACGCGCCGGGTGTCGGCGCTGGAGGAGCAGATGCGGGTTGTGGATGAGCGGGAGGGGCGATTGAGGAGGAGGGCGGGGGGTAAGTGAGGAGATGGGGTAGAGAGGGGACAGGGAAGTGGAGAGGGGGATCGTGGAGAGGAAGGGGAAGAGCAGAGAGGGAAGAGCAGAGAGGGAAGAGGGGAGGAGGGAGGGTGGTGGGCAGCAGAAGGGGGTGAAGGGTGAGCGGAGGGGGAGGTAATGGGCGGAGGTGTTGAGCGGCGGAAAGAGATACTCCAACGCGTTGAACCGGCCAGGAAGTGCAGCTGCTTGGATACACGCAGCCCCGCGCTATACACGCACGAGAAGCGAGCGAAGACGGGATGAAAAGTGATGGAAATGGCGTTGGACTGGCTAGCACGCAGGACCTTGTACTCCCTCCATAGACGGCCTGCAATCTTGCCTACGATGATCCCCCAGTCAAACAGCGCAGTACCTACCCCACAGCACCACCTTACCACACGCACGAAACAGACACACCTACATCCGACTCCTCTCCCCCTCCCCCTCCCCCTCCCCCCCCCCCTCCCGCCGAGAACCTCACAAACCCACTCCCCAGCCCTCTCCACCATAGCCGCCGAAAACACATGCCCCGTGCCCTCAAACAGCACATCCTCAAACCCAACATCCAGCGCCTTGTCCGCAACCACCTCTTTGAACACCTTTAGGAACGGCGCGCCGGCGGCGTACGGCACGAGTTTATCCTCCGCGCCGCTGAGATTGAGTATGCGCTTGCCTTGCAGGCGCTGGCGGACGAGTGCGCGGAAGCGGGCGCGCGCGGGGTCCGAGACGGGCGCGTCTGCGCCGGCAGGGAGGAGCAGGCCCGCGGGATCGAAGCGCGCCACTGCGTCGACCAGCGCGGGCGGGAAATCCGGCGAGCCGAAGAACCCCGCGCCGGGCGGCGTGGTGGAAAGATACGTCTCCCTTCTCGACAACCGCGCGCGATCCGCCATCAACCGCGCATAATCCGGACACCCGATCCCGACCACGCCCGCCCGCACCCTAGGATCCGAGAGGAGTACGTGCCACGCCGCGTGCCCGCCGAGCGAGACGCCCAGCACCGCGTGCGCGAGCGCAGGCAGACCGGGGAGGTAGGATGGCAGGTGGTCGATCAGCCCCGCGCAGTCGGCTGCGGTGCCGGCGTACACGCCGAACATGTCCTGGGCGTGGGTCGGGTTGCCCTGGCGCCAGGCTTCGTTGTGCAGGGGCGTGGCGAGACGGGTGCCGTGGTTGCGGGCGTCGAAGGCGGCGGCGATGAGGCCGGTGCGGGGGGCTGAGAGGGTCGGGGACTGCGACTGCGAGTGTGTGTTCCAGCGGGTTATCAGCGCGGTCGCGATCGGCGCCATGGTTTCTTTGGTCTGCAGGCGCGGGTTCAACAGCCACAGGCACGTCACGGATGTGCAGTTGGGGGGTAGTTCGGCGAGGCCGTGGACGGTGACGAGGATGCCGGCGATGGTGAGGGTTTGCGCGGAGACGGGGGGCAGGGTTGGGGGGCCCTCGAGGGGGTTGTTGGTGGCGGCCATGGTGAATTGATCGCAGACGAGGGAGCTGGGGGTGTTGGAGGTGGTGGTGAGTTTACACAGTACCTAGGTAGTTAGTGACTACGGTTGAAGGCGGCGGGGCACACCATTCCGGCCGAGGTTGATGGCTACATAGTCGAGCTCGGTAGGTCAGCATTGGTTCAGTGATACTACAGCATGTTGGGTCAATTGAGTGCAGAGACCGAGGCTGGCGAGGTCAGACGGCGTTGACGTCGACCGACTGCACCGAGTCCGTGTCCAAGACGTCGCGTCAGAATGCTGGAGACGCGCTAGCACTGTTTACCATGGCACCAGGAGCAGCGGGCATGCTTAGCGAGACTGACTGCAGAGTGTGGCCCAACTACTGCAGGTCGGTCTACTGCGGGCCCTTCGAGACCATTGAGACTGCCATCGAGCCTGCCCCGAGCCTGCGGCATGGCGGCGGAGGTGAAGGCGGTGGGCGCGGGGAGACCAGGGGCTGCTAGCGCGACGGGCGACCAAAAGTACGACGTACGCCGCGGGAGATTGCGCTGATGACCACAGGCCAAGCAGTCGAACTGGCCAGCGCCTGCTACGTGTGCCCGCAGCGACGACGCCGTTTAGGAGACCCGTCGCCAGCTCTCCTCCGCCCCATTGCAGTCTTCCTGAGGGCGACACCATGTTGTCCATGTTGTAGCACAGCACCGCAACACCCATCCCATGCCATAGCACACCGCCGTACACCTCAGTGACGCCCACGCCCACGCCCTCTCCCTCGCCCTCGCACCCGCCCGCTGGCACCATGGCCGCAGACGAGGCCGCCGACAAGGCCGCCGCCGACGCCGTCGATAGAGCCCCCGCGACCTTCCTTGACTATCGCGCCCTGGGCGACCCTGGCGCCCGCAGCACGTCGCCCAGCCCGCGCTCGCAGTCGCCGGCCGCGCCCAGCACCGCGTCCCGCCTGCTGCCCCCCTCGCTGCGCGCTGGCTACCGCCCGAGCCTGCAGGAGGAGATGCACGCCCCGGCGAACGGCGCCCCCAAGATCATGCGCTCGGCGCCCACCGGCTCGCCGCTGTCCGCCCAGGAGCCCAGCGAGTTCCCCTTCCACAGCCCGCCCGCGTCCGCGCAGCCCGCCGCGCCCGAGACCTTCGATGCCGTCGACTACGCCGTGTCGCGCGTGCCCAAGCCGGCGTCGCACGCCTCCAATGCCAGCACGAGCTCCTACTACCCGCCCTTCGCCCCCATCTCGCGCATACCCACCGCCGAGGGCGAGCCCGCCGACGCCAACGCCCCCAAGGAGCGCAAGAGCGTGCAGTTCGCCCGCTCCGCCACCTACGGCTCCGACCCGCCCCAGGCCGGCTCGCGCCAGCAGTCGTGGGACACCGAGGACAAGGCCAAGGGCAAGCCCAAGGAGGACTCGTCGCTGATGGGCAAGCTGCGCGCCCTGGCCGCCCCCATGCAGGGCCACGGCCGCAACAACAGCGCCACCACCGCCCCGACCGCCACCGCCTCGCCGCCGTCGCAGTCGCCCTACGGCCCGCTGACCCCGGCCAACGAGCGCGACGAATTCCGCTTCGACGGCCACCACGACAGCGAGGCCGACGCCGACGCCGAGTCCAGCGCCGGCGAGGGTGTCGCGCGGCCCGCCCACAAGCGCAAGCGCAGCCGCCGCTGGTTCGAGGGCGACAGCGGCGACGGCGTGCAGACCGCGCCCACCACCCCCCGCGGCGCCAGCTACTTCTCGCGCGACTCGCCCACCGGCACGCCCGGCTCCACCACCCGCCCGGGCATCCTGCGCAAGGGCACCATGACCGACATCCCCGAGAACGAGCGCCAGGGCTACTCCGAGGACGAGGGGCGCTCGCGCATGGGCAAGGAGAGCGCCTGGGCCCGCGGCCTGCACAGTGCGCGCGGGCTGTCGTATGGCGGCCGCCGCAGACACGACCCCAACGCAGAAGAGGGCGACCCGTCCAGCGACCGCCGTCCACCATGGCGCATGCGCAGCGAGCGCACCTCAAGCCTGAGCGCCCAGAAGTGGAAGGCCATCAAGAACGGCCTCAAGCTGCTCGGCAACCGGGCCAAGGCAGAGCGCCAGGTCGACCATGCCAAGTCGGCCGAGCTGATGGCCGAGCTGCTCGCCGGCGCCCCTGCGGCCCTCTTCCTCGCCAGCATGTTCCAGCGCGACGAGCACGGCCACAAGCGCATCCCCGTCCTGCTCGAGCAGCTCAAGGTCACCATCACCGACGCCGACAAGACCAAGGACAAGGAGGGCGACCGGCACACCGCCCTGCGTATTGAGCTCGAATATGGCAGCGGCTCGACCCGCATGAAGTGGATCGTGTACCGCACTGTCGCCGACTTTGCCAACCTGCATCTCAAGTTCAAGGTCCAGGAGAAGCAGGACTCGTTCCGCAGCCGCGTCTCGACCCTCGACAAGGACGACCCGCGAGGCAAGCTGCCGCGCTTCCCACGCAGTGTCGTGCCCTATCTCCGAGGCATCCGCGGCTACGGCGCGCTGGATGAGGAGGAGGAGGATGAAGAGGAAGTCGCAGTCGGCGGTGCAGCCACCGACGGCGATGCGAGCGCCACAGACCGCCCGTCACGGGGCAAGCGGCGCAAGTCGTCCTTCACCATGCACCGCCGGAAGTCGAGCATCGGCAGTCCAGACGCAACTCCAGGGGTTGTGGGCCAGCTCGCAGCGCGCCAGGGCAGCTTTGCGGGAGCCGTCGGCCAGCCCCTGAACTCCAAGCAGAACCACCACGAGCGACAGCGGAAGAAGCTCGAGCAGTATGTCAAGGGGCTGATCCAGTATCTCATCTTCCGACCGGATAGCAACCGCCTCTGCAAGTTCTTGGAGCTGTCGGCGCTGGGCGTGCGTCTGGCTGCCGAGGGCGGCTACCACGGCAAGGAAGGCCATCTGATGATCAAGTCCTCCAAGGGCGTCGACGCCCGGAAGCGATGGACGCCCATGCCCATGATGAGCCGACACTGGCCGAAGTGGTTTTTGGTCAGACACAGCTACATCGTGTGTGTGGACTCGCCCGAGGAGATGAACGTGTATGATGTCTTCCTGGTCGACTCCAACTTCAAGCTCGAGTCCAAGACGTCGGGCAAGAACAAAGACAAGAAAGCCCGCAAAGTCGCAAGCGAGGCCAAAGCATCGGCGACCGGCCACCATCAGCTGAAGCTCGTCAACTCCGAGCGCAAGATGAAGCTCTTGGCCAGGAACGACAAGATGCTCTCGCAGTTTGAGGAGTCCATCACATTCATGATGCAAAACACGCTCTGGTCGGAACGCCAGCGGTTTGACAGCTTCGCCCCCGTGCGCAAGAAGATCTACGCACAGTGGCTTGTTGATGGGCGCGACTACATGTGGAACGTCTCCCGCGCCATCAGCATGGCCCGCGACGTCATCTACATCCACGACTGGTGGCTGAGTCCGGAGCTGTATCTGCGACGCCCGGCCGCCATCAGCCAAAAGTGGCGCCTCGACCGCCTGCTTCAGCGCAAGGCGCAGGAGGGCGTGAAGATCTTCATCATTATGTACCGCAACATCGGCGCCGCTATCCCCATTGACTCCGAGTACTCCAAGTTCTCGCTTCTCGATCTCCACCCCAACGTCTTCGTTCAGCGGTCGCCGAACCAGATTCGCCAGAACACCTTCTTCTGGTCCCATCACGAGAAGATTTGCGTCATCGACCACACCATCGCCTTTATGGGAGGTGTTGACTTGTGCTTTGGTCGTTGGGACACTCCGCAGCACGTTGTCGTCGACGACAAGCTGACCGGTTTCGAGCTGGACAACAACGCCCCCAAAGACGCTGATCACTGCCAGCTCTGGCCTGGAAAGGACTACTCCAACCCCCGAGTGCAGGACTTCTTCGCTCTGGACAAGCCCTACGAGGAGATGTACGACCGCAGCAAGGTCCCGCGAATGCCCTGGCACGACATCGGCATGCAGATTGTGGGCCAGCCCGCGCGTGATCTCACCCGCCACTTCGTCCAGCGCTGGAACTACCTCCTCCGCCAACGCAAGCCGTCCCGCCCCACTCCGTTCCTGCTTCCTCCGCCCGACTTCAACCCCGCCGACATCGAGGCGCTCGGTCTCGAGGGTACGTGCGAAGTGCAGATCCTGCGCTCTGCGTGTGCGTGGTCGTTGGGCACACCGAACAAGGTCGAGCACAGCATCATGAACGCGTACGTCCAGATGATTGCAACATCCGAGCACTTTGTGTACATTGAGAACCAGTTCTACATCAGCAGCGGCGAGGTGCTGGGTACCAAGATTGAGAACAAGATCAACGACGCTATTGTTGACCGCATCAAGCGCGCGCACGCCAACGACGAGGACTGGCGCGCCTGCATCATGCTTCCCCTGATGCCCGGATATCAAAATACTGTCGATGAGCAAGACGGTAGTAGTGTCCGTCTCATCATGACATGTCAGTACCACAGCATCTGTCGTGGCCCGGGCTCGATCTTCGGCCGTCTGCGCGCCGCTGGTATTGAGCCCGAGGACTACATCCAGTTCTACGCTCTGCGATCCTGGGGCGAGATTGGGCCTACCAAGATGCTCGTCACAGAGCAGCTGTACATTCACGCCAAGATTATGGTGGTTGATGACCGCGTCGCCATCATCGGCTCTGCCAACATCAACGAGCGCTCTATGCTGGGCTCGCGCGACTCCGAGGTGGCCGCCGTCATCCGCGATACTGAAGTGCTCGACTCGTACATGGCCGGCCAGCCGTACAAGGTCGGCAAGTTCCCCCACACCCTACGCATGCGCCTGATGCGCGAGCACTTGGGCGTTGACGTGGACCACATCTCCGAGGAGGAGTGGGCTAGCCAGATGTCGGATGCCGATAGTACTGCTTTCCAGACAGAGTCGTCGGGCCCCGGCTCTCCCACTGCCGACCGCGCTACCGAGCAGAAGCTCTCCGCGAACCATGCCCGTGCGCAGGAGGAGCTGATCGAGCGCGCGGAGAGGCTGCACAGCTTCAACCACGACTTTGACTGGGCACAGGACACCAACCCTCACCTCCAGTCCAGCAAAAAGCCGTCGTCCGATCCCCGCGTCACCAAGAACGATGCACACGAGAAGGATGTCCGTGGCGAAGGCGTGGATCACTTCCGGGACATGGAAGCCCGCGAGCCCAGCCTGACGCGCGGCCGTGACACGTTCCTCGACCCCCATGGCAATGAGAAGCTGCTGTCTGATGCTGCGCCGGAGGGCCTTGCCAACAAGGAGACGGCGAAGAGACACTCGACGGTCAAGGGTCGCGGCCGTAGCAACACCACTGGAACCAGAGCTAGCGCAAGCAGCGGAGGCCAGGAAGGCTATGCCGGTCTCCCGCCCCCGAGGCTGCCTCGCATGGACACAGCCAAGCTGGGGCTGACACAGCTCAGCCAATTGCCTGCCCTGCCGCTGATGGACGACACCGACATCGGTGGGCCGCCGCTGCAGCGCACCTACAGCGGCGCCTCGTCGACCGTCATCAACCCGCTGCTCGCGGAGATGCGACGCCCCATCGTCACGGAGGACTGCATGCGCGACCCCATCAACGACTCGTTCTTCCTCGACACCTGGCACCAGGTCGCCGAGAACAACACAAAGCTGTTCCGCCAGGTGTTCCGCTGCCAGCCCGACAACGAGGTCAAGACATGGAAGGAGTACCAGGAGTACACCAACTTCGCAGCCCGCTTCACGCAAATGCAAGGCGGCGGCAAGCCCCAAAACCAGCGCGCGCAGGAAGCCCCCGGCAAAACAGGGCCCCCCGGCACCGGCATGACAGAGAAAATGGGCCACATGGGCAAGCAAGTCAGCGCGCTGGGCGAAAAGCTATCCGAAAAAGTCACCAACGCCGACGCGCCGTCGAAAAACGGCGCCGTCGAGCAGTGGGCCCACGAGCAGGAAAAACGCATCCACGCGCTCGCCCTCGACACGCACTCCACCACCCCGCCCCGCCCCGCCGACGACGCCGTCGTCTCCCCGCTCGCCCCCTCGCCCCCCTCCGCCACCACCCCGTTCCCCCCCGCGCCCCCCGTCCCCTCCACCCCCCCGCTCCCCGCCGACCGCCCCCGCAACGTCACCATCACCGAGCCGCCCAAATTCAGCACCCACCGCGCAACAACCGCGTCGAAGCGCTCGCGCCGCCGCGCCACGACCAAGAGCTCCACGCGCGCGTTCCACGCCGCAGATGCGGAGAGCATGTTGCCCAAGGAAGACGCGAAGATGCTGATGGATCTCGTCCAGGGCCATTTGGTGCTGTGGCCGTATGAGTGGCTGGAGAAGGAGGAGAATGGGGGGGGTTGGTTGTATAATGTGGATCAGATTGCGCCGTTGGAGATTTAGTGAGTTTTTTTTTCCTTGCTTTGGGAGTGGTGTTGTGTGGGGATGTTTGCTGACTTTGAATAGTAATTAACGGACGACGACGCGGACGACGGGATAGAGAGATGGAGAGACGGGGAGACGCGCGTTGGCGCGCTGCGGGAGGAGTCCCTTCGGCGCACGAGGTTTCGCGCCGCGTTGCATTGTGTTGTGTTTCATCGCCTTGCACTACATCGCCTTGCCATTGCATCGCCTTGCCATTGCATTTCTCCGCGTTGCATAGCTGGCGTCCAGGCGCTTCAATCTTTGGATATTGGGGTTTCTTGCTGCGCGTGCACTGCCGAGTCGGTGGGCGCTGTACTGTATTGTATTTGTATTCTAGAGGAGGAGTGTAGGGAGAGTAGGGGGTGTAAGAGGCGCGGGGGAGGCGTGTAATGTGCAGAACAGAGAGCGGGGAGCAGAGCGTGGGGAGCAGAGCGTAGAGAATGGAGTAGCAAGCAGAGCGTAGAGTAGCCTGGAATACACACCATCGAAGCCACTGACACGCTGCCTGTGATACCGATGCCCGAGTCCACGGCCTCCACTGCGTTCATTCCCCTCGAAACTGTCCCATCCCATCCCATCCCATCCCATCCCACACCAAACCAAATCGCACTTCTCGACTTCTCCCCTCCGCTCCGCTCCCCTCGATCTACGTCTGCGTCTCGGTCCTCATCCGCGCACGATCTCTACCCACGGTTCCGCTATGCAGGGACGCAGCGCCGACTTCCCCTGGCACGCGCACACGCACGCGCACGAGCTCGAGCACAGGTTCGAGCACAAGTACGAGCACATATACGAGCACAGGTTCGAGCAAGAGCTCTGCTGCTGCTGCTGCGGTAGAGTACATAGTACGGCACGGCACGGCACATAGTCCGGCCCTCCGCCCCGTCCTGCGCCCTCTACCATCCGTCCTCTGGCCTCCGTCCTCCGCCCTCCGCCCTCCGCGCAGGCATGCCATGCACGCAGACATGCACGCGTATCCCCACACACCGCGTCTGATTCTATACAATACTAGCCGAAATGTGCAGCACCCCCGTTCTAGTACACAACGCGGGGCGCCCTGCTACCAGAAAGCCTCCTGCTATGACATCTTCGGTGAAGGCGCCAGACACCTTCCAAGTATCTGCCGAGGGGCAAGCCTCTTCTTGTTTCCACCCAGCCTCAGGTTGACAACGTTTGTGATGATGTTGTAGTTGTTTTGTGGCGTCTGTGGCTGGCTGTCTGGGTAGCTAGCTAGTATAGTAGTACCGTGGGTACCTATGTATATATAGAGAAGTCTGGTTTTTCTATATCTTATAGGTACCCTACACTGCTATTGTACACAGAGTCTAGGCCTCCCCTACATGCTACACACGCATCTTATAGCTGTCTAGCCAGTTGGGGTGCGTAGATATCTGAGCTTGCACCCGTGACAGCATACTGTGCCAGTGTAGGGGGTGGTCCGCACACGTCGACATACCCCGATGACTGTGAAGACGGCTCTCATCCAAGAGGAATAAACAAGGAGGTACGCGCTAGGCCTTTGTAATACACGCTAAAGAAACAAAGTATGATACATGATATGATACACATACACATCCCCAAGCTTGGCGCCGTTTGCACGCCAGCCCAAAGAGCCCACGCTGCCTCAACCCACCCCGCCAGCAGCCTGTCCCATTCACCAGCCCAGCCCACCCCGCCTCACGCCGGACTCTCATCAAACCGCAGCACCCCCTCCCCCGGCACCCCCCCAAACCACCCCACCCGATCCTTAACATAAACCTCCAAACTCGGCTTCAACTTCGTTTCCGCAAGGTTAAAATCATCCACAGTCCCGAGCCTCAGAATACTACACCCCGGCACCTTCTCCGCGACGCGGTACATCAGCGTGCCGCAGGTATCGCAGAAATAATTCGTCATGAGCGCGCCCGAGGCCGTGGTCGCGCGCTGCGCGTACGTCTTGAGATTGGACTGGCCGCGCAGGTGGGAAAGGTGGGTGTCCGCGACGATCAGGCCTGTGGTGAAGAGTGAGGCGGTGAGTTTGCGGCAGTCCGGGCACGAGCAGAGGAAGGATTGGATGAAGCCCGGGCCGGAGGTGGGCTGGGTGTGTTAGTGACGGGGGCGTGGGTGGATTAAAGGGGGGGGGGGGGGGGGGGGGGGCGCACGAAGGAGAGTTGCACGGCGCCGCAGTAGCAGGTCGCGGTTGCTTCTTCATCATTGGACCAGCCGTCTGTTGCGACGCCGGCGCGGGGGATGTAGGGCTTGGATTTGTCCGAGTCGCGGACGCACGCGGCGGCTGTCTGGGGGGTAGCTTGCTCAGACATGTTGTGTGGATATGAGGGGGTTTCTAGGTGCCTTCGAGAGCTCTCCGTGGGCGGCCTGATATATGCCAGCTATCTGGTGTGTATGCTTGTCTTCCGTCTCGTCCGTACTCTACGCAGGCCTCTGGTTCGACCGCGCGTCGCGGACCAAATTTGTTGCTTAGTGATCACGAAGAAGGTTATTAATATTGCCTTTCCCAGTGAACATGGATCAAAGAACGGAGGGTCGGGGCTACGATCCTGAAGCTTGCTGTGTTTTGGATAGGAGGGTGTTAGCTCGCGGGCCTTCTCAGTCGACGTCTGCTTAGGTAAACTTTTTGCACACATCTCTCCTGCACACCGTCTTTCTGCACGCTACTCAAGGCGTCGCTAGTTAAGGCGTCAGATTGGGTTTATGAAACCCACTGATGTCACCCCGCCCCTGACGTGTACTTGCTGTGTGCAATGTGGACGTGTGCAAAAACAGATGAGTGCAAAAATGATTTCAGCGCAGGAGAACACCAAAAACCTCTCGTCTCAGGCATTCTTTGGGTCGGGACGCGGATAGCGATACTAGGGCCGCGATGGTCCAGCTGCGGCTAATAGATCTACCGCATTAGGAAGCGGCCATCGAACCACGCGCCTAAATAATCTACCAACAATAAGGTTGAGTGTGTACATGGCAGTCAATATAACCCGCAGGTGTTACTTCAAACGCAGAAACCACACCGACGAACTTAGCGAGCCGCACCGAACCCACTAGACCCAATGGCTGCCTCGAGACCCCGCATACTGTTCTTCAACCCTGTCCGCCACGCACGACAGGCATACGAAGCACTCCAGAAAGTAGCTTCCACAGAAGTGGTTTCAAGCTCTTCGCGCCAGGAGTTCTTCGCGGATGTTCGAACGAAGTACACAGATATCCAGGCGATCTACCGGACGTCTGCAAGCGGAGCCGTACGTTAGCAGACGTAAGCCCCAGCTCTTGCTGATTGAACGTAGGTGGCCGGGAACTTTGACAAGGAATTGATTGACCATCTCCCGCCGTCGCTGAAGTTCATCTGCCACAATGGCGCCGGGTACGACCAGATCGACGTCGAGGCTTGTGCCGCCCGCAACATCACTGTCACATATGCGCCAGACCCCGTCACCAACGCCACCGCCGACTTGACTCTCTTCCTCCTCCTCGGCGCCCTGCGCCAACTGAACCCCTCTCTCCGCAGCTTACGAGAAGGGAACTTCAAGAAAGGCATCGACTTCGGCCACGACCCACAAGGAAAGACTCTCGGTATCCTCGGTATGGGCCGCATCGGGCGTGCCGTCAAACTCAGAGCAGACCCATTTGGCCTGAAGGCCATCTACCACAACCGGACTCCGCTATCCGACAAACAGGCGTCAGGCGCTGCGTATGTCTCCTTCGACGAGCTCCTCGCGCACAGCGACATCATCTCCGTGCACGTCCCGCTGTCCTCCAAAACGCGACATCTGATTGGCGAGGCCGAGATCGCGAAGATGAAGAAAGGTGTCGTGATTGTGAATACCGCGCGCGGCGCGATCATTGACGAGGCAGCGATGGCAAAGGCGTTGGATGATGGGCATATCGCGGCTGTGGGCCTGGATGTGTATGAGAAGGAACCACTTGTTGCCGAGCGGCTTGTCAAGAACGAGCGCGCGTTGCTGGTACCGCATCTGGGTACGCATACGGTGGAGACATTGGCGCAGATGGAGGCTCATGCGATGGAGAATGCGAGAAGGGGTGTGTTTGGGGAAGATCTGCTGAGTGTGGTTCCTGAGCACTTGGCTCGCCGATAGATCTAACGAAATACGAATACTTCGAAGTTGTTCCTTAAGTCGTCGGGTCGATGTCGTACTTTGACCGAACATGAGGACGGCTTCGCTTCTGATACAGTTGCAAGTCAGAAGAGACGTAGCTGATATCTTGTGTGCTGGTACGTCGCTGAGTTGTAAGAGAAGTGCAAGACTCTACAGTTCTACACCAATCTGATGCGCATGATAGCTCATGTCAGCCATGAGACAAAACGTGTACGATCATCTGCGGTCCTCGACCAGATCCAGAAGAGGGCCCCAAGCAGCTCCATCGAAGACGTCATAGAATGTGGACGGTCCAAAACCTGGAGTGGGTACGTATGGTGCGTTCATCGCGATGTTCTGTGGGTTGATTTCAAGTGCGTAGTTATTTGCATTGTAGATTGTCTGTTCAGGATGGACCAGAGATCCATATAAGTTCCCTCCTCCCTGCGAGGACAGCACGTCTCCACCTGTGAACTGATCATTGCTTTGGTATGCACCAGCACGTGGGTCAAAATGCTGGTTAGAATCATACAGACCATGGCCCGAGGTTGTCATCAGTGGATTATCGGGAACAGACGTCGCTGACGAAGTATGCGACGGCTGCGCCGTATATCGTGGAAACTTGCTTCTCTGCTGCATGTTACCAGCAGATGCGTTATTCTCTCTTTGCCTCTTTTCGCCTCGTGCGTTTTCTTGGTCGGTCGATCGTGAGTGTCTGGATTCGGCTAGGTCACCTCTAGCAGAAACGGTTTCGGGTGTCTCTGGATTCTGGATATTGTCTAGGAGCATTGACAAGACCTCGTGACAGTTTTGAGCCATTTGCCATCTTTTTGCCATGACCTTAAGGATCTTGAGCGAAGTGGTGATGTCACTGTCGATGTCAGTTTACTCCTAGACGCAAATTATGACAGCAGGATGTGACAACTTACTTGACGGCATTGATAGTGCTCTGAAGCTTCAGCTGGCAGGTGAATGCCATGACCAGACCGCTCATCCAAACACTATGTATCGATCCTGGCCAGAACAGTTTACCCCCAGAGATCATGTGTGTATCGAGTGTTCGGATTATCGATCTTGCTGCCCCAATGCAAATCTGTGCAGCGTAACGGAACTCCGCAGATTCCGGGTCGAGAGAAAGCAAGGGTCGGTTGACAAGGAGTAACAGTTGCTGGCGCGCGACCCAGAAAAAGACGTCCTGATTGAGAGAGGCTGGCTGCACTTGATCTCCGACTGTGGGGCCAGGCAAGGGCTGCGATAGATCATTGCCCCAAGCATCAATATCGGCTTTGAGAAAAAGAATGTTTTGCCGACTGGCCAAGCGGACATGTATGGATTTGTGGAACGTTTCCATCATGCGTCCTATCAATTTCGAGTATCTTACAAACTGTGCTTGTGCGACCTGATTTTCTTGGCGTAGCTGTGACGTTCCGTTTCGGTTATTCACCGGCCAGGCAGGGGATCGTTCCTGGTCGTCTGGTTGCACTGAACGTTCTCTTTGACTGTTTTCGGGGCTAGTCGGCCCGTGCCGTGGTGAAGCATATTGTCGACTCGGGTGATTTGCTGGTAAATGCAACACTGTCTCTTCTGGAGAGGTACCTTCGTCTGCTTCATTGGCAGTTCGCACTGGCTGGTGGAGGTCAATGTCTCCTGGCGCACAAACGTCGAAGTCTGAGTCTTGAATGCCAAGAGGGTGGCCCAACGTTTGGCTCACATAACGATCCAAGCAATACGCGCTCCAAAACATACGCTTCCTCATATCGTGGTCACTCGAAGTCAAATGGGTGTATCGAACTGGACATCGGTGGAGACCTGATTTGAACATGGATCTTAGGACTAACCCTCCCACGCTTGAGGCTGCGCGCACGTCCATAATTGCGACGAAGTATAACTCTGCAGCAAGTAGTGCTTGTATAGAGGCCAGGTCGCATTTGAGTGATACTGTGCTGAGGGCAAGCATTAGTTGTTCCTCGGACTGGAATTGTGACGCTCCCAATGAAGGGAGATCGGGTCTGTCGAGCTTGGCAATGCTGAACAGACTTTGAAAGATGATCGCGGTACTCAGCGACTTGGGTTTTCTGGGCTGACCTGCTGCATATGCATCTTCCAAGTCGCCTAGACAGGTCGGACCATGTAGGAAAGGAAGTAAAGGATGCCATGTTCGAAAGTACGTGATCAAGAGCTCTTTAGCAACCGCATGATCTGGAAGCGTCCCGAGATCTTCGAGATTGCTCCGGCGCCGGGATTCACGTTCAGGTTGAGTTGGTGTTGTTTCTGCAGCCGCCCTTCTCGCGTTCAGCCAGTCCTGGCTCGGTTGCGTCTCGGATCCGATGATGCAATCCTCAGGCGAGGGTAGGCTGGCAAAATTGGCACTTGTATGGGCGTCATTTGTCGTTCTTTGGCGCTGATATGTAGTTGCAGCAGCTTGAGAAAATGCACGCCTAACGGTATTGATGAAAAAGACGCCAGATGAGCTGCCTACAAACAGACTCTCGCCATTCGGTCGCGCTCGCAGAGTGCCAATCTCGTTGGGCGTGGGCATTGGTAGCTTGGTGCACTTCCAATGCTGGATGATACCATAACCTGACACTGAGATCTGTCGCGATCAGCGCAAGCCGGTCTCGAGTCGTCAGTTGCTTGGGGCTGGGGTTGTGGCGAAGGCTGGTTATCGGTACCCCCGCAAAATTTCAATCTAGCGCTCTTTCCCCCGGTAAAACTATCTGCCGCACCTCAGGAGGCACAAAGCGCACTTCACGACATAGTTAACAACATACTTAAACTCGGCTCCATGTTTGAGAGCAGCCACCGAGATGCCAGAGAGGAGAAGTAGAATCAGCACAGCGTGTGTAGCATGCCGTGCGAGGAAGCATCGAGTATGTTCCCACATCCTAAATATCGGTTTTCATTCACTGAGGCAGACATATGTAGTGTAGTGGAGGGAAGTAAGAGAACGACTCCGTAATGAACTCAGGTTCTGATCTTAGTAGGCCTCGATGTGATCAGTGCAATTCAAATGACCTCCCATGCGAATGGCCCACGCAACAAAAGCGGTACGATGATCTAGCCCTCCTTCATTTGAATAGGTCTAATTTTGAAGGGGCCCACCGAAACAATACATCCATAATCTAGAAGCGCGTCTAATGCAAACTGAGAACGTTCTTCTTGCACTACTCTCCGAGATCTCTATCGAACAACTCGAGGCAAGCTTTCAGCAAACACCACTGTCAGGCACTCATAACCCAGGGCTTTCAGAACATCAAACAGAGCTCAACCCTGTAAGCCTATCAATGTCTCGGAAGGAGGCATCAACTTGGACCCATTTCCCTTTAGATTCTCCGGAAAATGTTCGACGTTGGTGGCAACACAAAGCGTCTCTAATCTCAAGATCGTTGGCCACAAGCAGTGTTGGAGACAAAAGCCCGATGCTTGTTGAAGGAAACTCACCGGATATGATACCATCTACCGGACTATATCTGATTCCCGAGGCTGAAACCGATATTGGACCAACAGTCCCCTTCGTCTCGGACAGTGGACCTCAGTCTTTCGAAGTCGGAGCCTCATATGCCAATACATCAAATCTGACATTCATGACGGGAAACGAGAATGGAATGGATTACACTGGAAGATTTGAACACAACATAGGCGGGCCTCAGGGAAACACAAGCCAGCCAACCGCCAGTACTGAGGGCGTCTTGAGGCTATCAGAGGAGTTCAAGCAAGACTTTATCTGGTAGATGAACAAACGCTGTCTAAAGTTGAACACATGCGGATGAGTCTAGTATAAAAGGTGGTGTTGGCAGTTAGCTAAAACGAATAGCTAATGTTCACACTCCGATCTCTTTCTACTGATCCATTACTCTTGTTAGTCATGAATCCTCCCCGGGCATTTCATCGCAGCCTTCTGATTTCATCAAGGAGAAGAAGTATGCAACACCACAACATCACATATTGAGCTGTTCGACGAAAGAACGTGGATTTAGAATAGAACATGTGTGAATCCTGTTTGGAGACGAAGCTAAGATATTTATGTCGCACTGCACTGAGCAACCCAACAGCTAACATTTGCAGCGATGACATTCCACACAAAGTCATGTTCAAAGACGTGAGACTTAGTGTTACTAGCATCGCTGTAGGTAAGCTTTTTGTATGCACTGGAGACCCATGAGAGCAATCGAGAGCATCTGCTAGCTCAACCCAGACAAAACGCGAGCGGTACCATGATTCGAGTGCCAAGTGTGTCGCCAGGATCCAAGTCTCTGACAGGCTATCTTGTACGCCATCTCGATACGACAGTGCCTCTCACCACAGGGACAGAGCACGTGAATCTTTTCTTACGAATGGATGTCTGTGAACAGCCACTCATATCGTGCGACCATAGGGCGCACGGATGTCGATGCGGTTTCGACTTCGACTGGGCGCTAGCAGGTAACAGGTATTTTTACTGTACTTCGAGCGTGGCGTGACCACGTGGCTCTTGACACTAGGCGAGCCTCTATGGGTCTAGGAATAGAGTTTGTGTATACGGAACCCGGGCAGGCAGCTTATTTCGAGAAGCACGTCTGTGTCTGGAACTGGGACGTCAAGTCTTGGGAGGAAGGTGACGTGATTCGGTTTATTTCGGGCAGAAGAATTGCTCCGTCAGGTCTCAATTTCCCCTTTTGCTTTCTGCAGGCTGTCACTGCGTGTAGGATAGAGTTGGGAGCGCGAGTCAGCGCCTTGTCGCTCTTCCGTGATCGTCGCACGGAATGACCAATGCGGCCATTCTGGGTGTGCAGATGTTCGTGGCGAGCGGGAATAGCGGTACAGTGACAGGAATGACTTCAATGAACGCGGAGACTTCAAGGCCTCGGGCATAGTAGGGAGCGCTTCGATGTCGGTGTCGGCAGGGAGACCTGGAGAATACATCCTCGAGGCCTGCGAGTTGCGTCCGGTGGTGAAGTGTCCCATCTCGATGTCGTCGTAGTATGAAGCGCGGATCATGTCTGTGGTATCTGCAGACGGGCGGAGCTCGTGGCGAGTGGGTTCGATGACGGCGTGAGGTGCTGGAGAGTGGTCGATGTGGACATCCCGCTGGACTTGCACGCCGCCATGCTCATCGACGGAGATCTCTGCATGAGATTCCGAAAGATATCCCTTTGTGCTATGCATGCCGCTGCTTTTGGAAAACAGGCTTGAGACTGTCTCCACCAGTATTGACGGCTTGGTGGATTGGGTTTTGGAAGCCTGCTTCTTTTGTGCGGAATCCTCCGATTGTTTGGCGCTCGAGGTGAGTTTGTCGTGGAAGAAATGCCGGAAGAAGACTTTGAGAGAGGGTGCATTGGCGCAGAAGCAACCCACATGCAGCTCCAGCAGCGTGACAAGGAACAGTTCCCAGGTGACCCATGTGACGTCGTAGGTCGCGAAGTAAATCTGCCAGCTATAGTATGCACGTATAGCACCCAAAGCACCCACACCGTACCCGATAGCGAAGATACCAAACAAGGCCATCTTCTGGCGCACAGGGATACGAAGTTTCCAGTATAGAAAGGTCGGCAGAAGGGCAGTGAAGAAGTCTTGAACCATAGAGATGATGCTCGCAGCGAAAACGTCCGCCCCTTCGTTAAAGCAGTGATACTTGTATCCGTTGAGTATTTTAGTGGAGTTGGTTTGATCCCAAAACGCCGAGATCGGTCGGCATCCAAAGATGGGCACAAGTGTGAAGGCAATGCTGGATGAAGCAATGAAGCCGATCGTGATCCATGTAGCATATCGAAAGCCGTTGGAGACGACCCGAGAGGACAGGCGGCGGAAGAACAACAGGATGGATATCTTGACCAGACCAGATGCAACGCAGAAGACGCATAGAATGCTGAGGACATATTTGCGTGCGATTACCACTTTTTCTGGGTTCTTGAAGACGCCTATATCCCATATGTGTTGTCTGAAGCCGCTTTCAACTGCTGCTCTATGTTAGTTGGTCAATAACAGTGCATTCTTGGACGTACCTAGAGGAATCACAAACGTAGCCGCTATTGTGGGTATCTGGAGAATGTCAGCACAAGGTTAGCTACATATGCTGCAGAACTCACCGTGCCAGCTGTCACCAGCCAATCGTCCCAGCCAGGGTTGCGTTGATGAAAGATCCTGACCCATAGACGCGCCATCAACATGACAAAAGTCAAAGGACCACATATGCAAGCGACAAGAAATACCGTGTTAGGCCTGTACTCTGGGTTGACAGTGTTCGGTAATGGCCACTTCAAAATCTCCTCGATCGGAGCATGGATTCCTCCCGGCATCGTGCTTAGGTTAATTTCTGGCGTAGTAGTGCTTGTATTCAAAGGAACAGCATTTGCAACAGATGTCGAGGTTGTTCAAGCTGGGGGATGCCTGCCAATAAAGCGCCCTAAAGTCTGCCTACAGCGTGCGGGCTTTGAGAACGCGAGCGATGTCCAAACACCATTCTGGCAAAAGTAAACCGGGTTTCAGCCAATACGAGCAGGGGTTCTCTCCGAAGCCTGCAACTGCGCCTTCGCAGCTGTCCATGCGTCCGACACGGTACCGATCCTACGGTGTCACGAGCCGTGTCGTTGCAACACAATCCGCCGCCTAAGACTACACGCTATACAAAGTAGGTAATCGAAGGTCTTTGCACATAAACCGTCATGCATATGCAGGGGCATTGCTTAGCGACTGAGTTCACGCCGCTGCGGGTCACTCAACGTAGCGTAACGGTGCGACGTCAAGGCTGGCCCAGTACGAGGACGACATGAGTATCTGCAGGCAGAGGAAGCTTTTCGTCAATTAGCTCTTGGATCCTGTAGGCGTGATGTGGATAGGTACCTAGATACCCAGGTAGGTGCATATCCAATGTTGATTGCTAGGTATCATCGACAACACCCTTGCTTGCAAAGATGTCCCGTCAAGCGCACGGCAAGGCCCTTTGGCATCATCATCGGTGGATGCTTGCTTTTGTGACAGTCTCGAGTCCAGGTGTCATTGCTGCAATAGTTGACGTTTCGGGGACAATGCCACGAGGTTAACAGCGGAGGCTTGCCCAATATAGTTTGGCGCGAAACAAACTCGGAACCTTAAGTTGTGGGTGAAGATCAACCCATACCTTCTACTTATGCGTTTGCGCACCAGCAGCTCAAGAGTCACGTTGTCTGCTACCAAGATGTGGTTGGTTCGATCTTGAAGCTCAGCTGGATTGAGCGCTTTGGTAGGTCATAGAAGCAAAAGACCCAGGTATCATCCCGTCCTCTAACAAGCATAGGTAATGCGCAGCTATGGCACAGCAAAGTTGAAGTATCCGAAAGATTGTTTTGTCTAGGCGCAGCATGGGTATGATGTAGGAAGCCTGCCGTAGGCTAATAACGAATGTAGGATTCGGGACTAGACACAACCGCCCGCCCGCCTTGGCAAGAGCAACACGCCACCGGCCTCCGCAGCTCTACACCAGCTTTCGGATGGTATGCGTACTTACATCACTATGTACCGACATTAGACCGTCATGCTCATCTCAAATGTGTGCTGATAATCGGTCGTCTGTCCATGCTCGGCGCGCTTATCGGGTACTTGGGTAAGGGTCGTCCTATGCGAGGGAGACGTTGGCGCCCGTGGCTGTTCAGTCACTCCAGCGACGGGCTCAATAAGGTAGCCCCGACATATTCAGTTGCACGAACTTCCGATAAAACGACTGTTGTCGCTACGAATGACAGGCCCTAAGTGCCGTTGTGCTCGGCTTGTCCCGCCATGCGAAAAGCAATTGCACTCGAGACGCTTCTGTGCCTCAAACGGTTTTGCGACAGACAATCAAGCAATTCACACGGGATATTATCGGTACATACCTGTAGATGATATTTGTCACTATATACATACCCCACAAGCGTACATATCAGCAAGTTCAGGAGACGTCCAGAAAGACGCCTGCCGATGATGTCTCACAAACGAAGAGTTCCAGTCTACCGGATACAACCGAAGAGTGACCGCCAACCCATTACGGCCTCGTGCATGCGAGATCATGCAGCGTCTGCAGCATCACACAGATGAACTGGGATACCGTGGGCCCAGTTGCTGTCACATTACAGTAGCGGCATTGATTTTGACACTTCCGAGGATGATACGATTCACTTAGTAAATGTCAACGAAAAGCCTTGGGCTGGAGGAGACCCGGCACCGTATCTTTTCAGTGAGCACGTATAGTAGACGGGATGAGATAGCTTCAGCCGTTCATTTCGTCGTACCGTTGAGAAGCATAGATTGGCGGAGTGCAGGTAGCACAAGATGAGATCTGGGTAATTAGCACAGTTGTCGTCGGATCTCCTCGTGTCACATTGGTATGCAATGAGATGGCAAGATCTTCAATGAAGATCGGCAGGAAGCTAATTAACGTGTTACATATCTATCGTCAAGTCGCTTTTCGAAGCCTCATGCGTTAGCAATGCTCACTAGGGATGCGAGCCGCGATTGCAACAAGCAATTCTCAACTCGATCTAGAGCGGTGCAGGTCACCGACCGTTGTACGGCGGTTGATGTTGACGCAGGTCATCGTCGAAAGAAGATGAGCAGTCATCTCATCTTCGAGTCCAGGACGCGAGGGGCCTGACGAAGCAAATGGGCCTTCGCTTCCCGTTTCCTCGAGCGGCGTGTTTCTCTAGGGTTCAGATAACGAATTTTTTAACCTGCCTGTGTGAGTTTCCTTGTTTGCAGCGAATAGAGAAAACTGGCGTTAGAGCTTTACTGAATCTTGTGACATTCTGGAGTTCCAACTTTTGCTGTCAGTCGGTGGGTGGACCTTAACCTCATAGATGATCGAAGAACTGCTGATATATTCAATATCAACAGGTGAGCAAGAGCAGACCCGACAATTTGCACCTACTAGCTTGGAAGATACCAGCTTGGCGCGGAGTCTAAGACTCCCTCGTCCTGTCGCTTGCATGTACGGCGTCCAAGGTCCAGTCTTACCTCAGCACTACCTGACTTTACGAAGCGCCACCCGACCTCACAAAATGCAGTTCATCCTCACGAAGTGCAACGTGTGATTTTAAGGCCCCCGCTGCAACTACGCTCCCAGCAGAGAATTTGGACGGACAATTCATCTTTGCTACCGCTTCCTTTCGCACCTGTTATCCATTTGCGTCGAGTATGTCTTCAACAGCGTTCGAGCAGACATTTCAGCACGCTGTGCAACCTGGCCCTGAACGGCTTTTGGCCGGGGTAGCGCTTGCTGCGGCGTCTCTCAAGGAAGGTGAGGACCAAGCCTGGATCGTATCCTTAGCATATGCCCTTGAATCTCGCAACTCTGTACACCCAGTTTGAGAGATGGCAGCCCCAAAAAAGGTCTGGGACCGTTCTCTCCACAATGGCTGACAATCGGTGCAGATGTACCAGACTACCTTGCAGCATATGGCACTCTGAAGACCACGCCTTCACCCGCAGTGACCACCAAGACAGTCATGTGGCTAGCATCATGTTCCAAATTGGCAACCACTGTCGCAGCGCTACAGTGTGTCGAGCGCGGACTCTTCTCACTGGACTCCACAGCTGATATCGAGCGCCTTATGCCCGAATGGGCGAGCCTTGAAGTGCTGTCTTTCGACGGAGATGGCAAGCCCATCCTGACCCCAACAAAGGAAAAGATTACCCTGAGACGTCTTCTGAATCACACGAGTGGCCTCGCCTACGACATTTTTCCTCCACTACTACAGTGGCGTCAGTCGCGCGGAGAGACGTCACAGTTCATGCGCTCTCCAATAACAGAGTGTGCCGTACAGCCCCTCATTTTCGAGCCTGGCTCAGCATTCGCGTATGGTACTGGTCTTGATGTAGCCGGATTAATGGTTGCCCGTGCAAACAACAGCAGCTTCGAGTCGTATCTGCGGCTAAACATCTTTGATGTGCTCGGAATGCACGATACTTCGTTCCACATTTCACACAACGATATCGGAGAACGACTAATGCCTTTGTCATCCCGACCCTCGCCCGATGGACCGCTCGAAGAGATGGATCCGACAGTGTCAACGATGAAGCAACCAGTGAATGCGAAAGATGACTTCGGCGGGTCGGGGTTGTTCGGTACGGCTGAGGATTACCTCAAATTGCTGAAGTCGATTCTGCGTGACGACGGCAAACTCCTCACGAGTCAGAGCGTTGATCTCATGTTTCAGTCCTCATTGTCGCCGCAAACCAAGGCCTCTTTACACAACAATCTCTCCATCCCGGACCTGGCGAAGGTCGTGATACCAGGTGAGCCTGTGATTGGCAGTCCGGGGGCTGGCGATTGGAACCACGGGCTTGGTGGTCTGATAGGTCTCCACGAAAGCAGCGATGGGTTTGAGTCGCGATGGATGCAGTGGGTGGGAGGCCCGAATCTAAAGTGGTGGATTGACAGGAAAGGGGGGACCTGTGGGTTCTATGCCACGCAGCTGCTACCCCCAGGCGAGAACAAGTCAGTCCACTTACAGAAAATATTCCAGAAGGAGGTAATGAGCAGGCTCAAGTCGTGAGTCCATCGTTCTTTTTTTCCTCTTGAATGGACTACCGCAATCTAGCAAGTATACTGTGTAAATACCTTGAAAATGCTCCACTCTCTTCAAACATTCACTCCCAACATCTAACGCTCGACCTTGCGTCATATGAATGAGACAAAAGTATTTCAGACTCGCTTACTCATCGCTTGAGCGCGATGACATCATCAAGAATCGTATTCCCGGCCCGAAGCCGAAATCCCATCCACGCTGACCGCCAATGACGAGTGCAGGGCTTCTCACCGTCAACTTAGGCATGTCGGCACTGGCAGTCTAGGTTCGGCGGGGCAACGGGTACACTTGACAATCTTGTTGTTGGGTGCACGCTTGGTCGCAAACAAACAAAATTTGCAACGCCGACACAAACCGCAGCCAACAGCAATGATATCTATAGATATCTATGGCCGCACAGATGTGCATAAGAGCTATAGCTTTGCAAGCGGTTACAACTACTGTGTAGGACGTAAGCTTTGCGAAGTACCATAGCTGCATACCGACAAGCAATACACTACGGCACGCCGGTGCACGTTAGTTTCAACGCATCCACCGATCAGCGACGTCAGCGCCCGCAGAATTGGTTGCGGTTGTTCATTTACTTGCGATCTGCAAATTCTCAGCAGCTGCAACACCAGCGTAAAGAGCCAGCCTCGCAGTCACTATGCAGGAATCAGATTTACTGATCCTGCGCAATGAGGCGGACGCATCGCCCGACCGCTTCGCACATTGGGACCCCAATCGCCAGTTCCGTCGCGAGTACTACGAACGTCATGGCCGTGACCCAACTTACGACGAAATTGTGCGCAACGCTGAAGCAAATGGCCGTTCACCGGTTGAAGAGCCGATCCAGGGCGCAACGGAGGTTCACGAGGAGCCATTGGCATCGCCGCTGAGCAGGAAGGTCGAGGAGGAGGAAGCGCCGCTGTCGCGCCAAACAACGTCGTCATCCACCAGCTCTAGCAGCTCGCGCAGCACTGCGCCCGGCGCGCGCCTCGAGGAAATCCGCACCGCGCGTTCAACAGCTACGCGCCCGCGCGGCTACACCGACTCTACGCAGCAGTCCAGCGGTACCATCCTCCAGCGCCACCCCACTGAACGCCACCCCGTCGCCCTCACGCGTATCGAGACCCACCGCAGCCAGCATGCAGGCACTGTGGGCGCCGCGCCGACCCCCTCGCGCCTATCCCGGACCCTCTCTCGCCGCAAGACAGAGCGCCCGCTGCCCAGCCTGGGCGCTGGGAAGCCGTTCCCGCCATCGCTGCCCGACCGCGAAGAGTACGTGGTCGAGTTCGATGGTCATGATGATCCGCTGCATGCTCAGAATTGGCCGACCAAGAAGAAGCTCATTATGGCCGTCATGCTAGCGTTTGATGCGCTAAGTGCAAGTATGGGCTCGTCCATCTTCTCCAGCGCAACGGGTGTCGTTGCTGCTCAGTTTGGCGTGGGCAGGGAAGTGGGCACGCTGGGTACTAGTCTGTTTGTGTTTGGATACGCTTTTGGGTGAGTGCACGGCGAGACGGAAACTACGAAAATCAGTGCTGACCCTAACAAAACAGCCCCTTGATGTGGGCACCTATCTCTGAGTTGTACGGCCGCCGGCCGCCGCTCGTCATAGCTGCGTTCGGCTTCTCCATCTTCACCATTGCTGTCGCTGTCGCAAAAGACATCCAAACCATCATGATCTGCCGCTTCTTCGCTGGCTTGTGCGGCTCCTCGCCTCTCGCTATTGTCGCCGCCGTCTTCGCAGACATGTTCAGCAATGAAGTTCGTGGTTTGGCCGTTGCTGTCTTCAGTGCGACTGTTTTCATGGGTATGTAGCAATCGTCGACAATGTATATGGCTATCAAGAGTAGTCATGAGGGTATCTGAATATTGCTAACAAACACAGGACCGCTCATGGCGCCGTTCATTGGTGGCTTCATCACCGAGTCGTATCTCGGTTGGCGGTGGACCATGTACATCAGCTCGTTCATGGGCTTCCTGACATTTGTGGTGTTGCTTTTCTTCCTCGAGGAAACTTATGCGCCCGTAGTGCTCATCAACAAGGCCGCTGAGCTGAGGCGCCGGACGAAGAATTGGGGCATACATGCTAAGCAGGAAGAGATTGAAGTCGATTTTAAGGAGCTCATTATCAAGAACGTCAGCAGGCCGATGCGTATTCTCTTCACCGAGCCCATCGTACTGCTCATCACTATTTACATGTCCTTCATCTACGGCCTTTTGTACCTTTGTAAGCCCGATTCGTTCGACATCAGCAAACTCTCGCTAACTTCTCCAGTCTTGACGGCATACGCCCTCGTCTTCCAAGGCGTCTACGGCTGGTCCTCCGGCATATCGGGTCTCGCATACTTCGGTATGATTGCTGGCGAGCTTATCGCCTTTGTCGTCGTCGTCCTGACGAACCCGACCTACGTCAAGAAACTCAAAAATAATAACAACATCCCCGTCCCAGAATGGCGCCTGCCCATCAGCATGATTGGCGGTGTTCTCTTCTCTGGCGGTCTCTTCTGGTTTGGCTGGACCGGCTGGTCCGGTAACGTGCACTGGATCGTCCCCGTCCTCTCCGGTCTGTTCACCGGCTTTGGCATCTTCTCCATCTTTCTCTCGCTGCTCAACTACATTGTCGACGCCTACCTGATGTTCGCCGCCTCCGCGATCGCGGCCAACACCTTCATGCGATCTATCTTCGGCGGTATCTTCCCGCTCTTCGCGACACAAATGTTCGAAGGCATGGGCATTCAGTGGGCGTCAACTTTAATCGGGTGTGTAGCCGTGGTGCTGGCACCAATGCCGGTGTTCTTCTACGTGTATGGTAAGCGGATTCGGGCGAAGAGCAAGTTCGCGCCCGCGCCTGATATCGTGCAAGATAAAAAGAGAGATGAGGAGAGCGCGGGAAGCGAAGAGGGGAGCGTGGCTGGTGCAAGGGGGGAGCAGGAGAAGCATGGCGACAAGGAGGACTAGTATCGTGGACGCGTAGTCTTTGTTTATCTAGCAATAATTATGTACGCCCAAGGCCTCTGTGTCTGTCATGAGCCTGCAGTATTCTTCCAGTCACTATGCGCGGATATCAGAGTGATGGATAACTTGAATGTGGGACACTAGTTGTGTGCTGATGATTTGTGGTTACTTAGATACTTGACGATTGCTGCTCAGCTTTGTACACCATGTTGAGCGGCGAGAGCCGCATCAACAATAATCAACATCTTTCCCTTGACCGAAGCACCTGAAATAAGAAGTTTGTGTGCTTCCTTCGCCTGGCTCAATGGCAACAGTTTGAAGATTACCGGGTCCAGCTTTCCACTTCGAACTTTGTCCACAATCTCAAAAAACTCTGCGATCTCGGCCTTCTTGTAGAAATCGGTATCGAGGGACCCGAATGTTATGCGCGGCGGTTGGATTCGCTCTCCCACCATCTCTCGCGAAGACCTCGTCACCCCGCTGCCATCGGGAGCAATATTTCCCATAACACCAAAGATGATGACCTTACCAGTGTCGGCTTTTGTTGCTGCTAGGGATTGGTCCACGCTTTCCTTGCTGCTCACTCCGTCGTACGCAACATCCACACCCTCTCCGTTCGTCAGCCGACGCACCTGCTCCGCCAAGTCGGGAGCATTGCGGTCCACAGGCTCAATACCAAGCGACTTGACATAGTCGAACTTGCCCGGCGAACACGTCCCGATCATCCTGATACCCATATCAAACGCAGTCACAAGTTGGGCCATGGCAGTCCCCAGCCCGCCACTCGCAGCGCCAATCAGAATGCTCGATCCTGGCTTCAAGTCGACACCGCTGTGCTTCAGCAGGCTCCAAGAAGTCATATAGTTCAGCGGCAGCGCGCAGATTTTCAGCGGGTCATCATCGCGCTCGATGCGAATGACATCGATCCACGGTAGCACGATATGCGTTGCGTGCGCACCGAGGACGCACAGCGAAGTGACACGGTCTCCTAGCGCCAGCTTCGCGGATTCGGGGACTGCATCGCCCAGCCCCACGACCTCGCCCACGAGATCGTAGCCGGTGGTGAAGCCTGGCGTGTGCGCGCGCACGTCTGCAGGGTAGCCGCCAGCGCGCTGGATGTTGTCGGTGCCTGCGACGCCCGCGACGAGAATGCGGATGAGGACCTTGTCGCCAGAAAGCTCGGAGGAGGGGTCCCAGGACTCCCACTTGAGGACTTCGGGTGTACCGAATTTGGTGACGATCCAGCGGCCTGGCTGATCGGGGGTGGAGCTGGTGTTGGAGGTGGATAGTGTAGACGACATAGTAAGCTTGTAGTAGAAACTTGAAGTAGAGGCTTGTAGTGAATAAATGTGTTGGGGAGTTGATGAGATCAAGGGTGAGATGGTTGAGAGTCATCTTGGAGCAGATGTCAATAGTATTATATACTTTTTCAGTAGCACGGTGCTGTACAATGTGTGCGAAGGTAAGGCGACGAATGTGCAAAAAGTGTGCAAAAACGTGGACCATGTATGGAGAGCGCTATATCGTTTACTAGTTACTGCGAGTACTTGGTAGATTAGGTCGGAGTCCTCGGTGCGCGCAGTCAGACCGAACTAGGACCGCAACACAAGTGGAAGAACCAAACTATCCAATGATTATTAAGCAGTCATCCAGCTCTATCCAAGTAGCGGTAAGATCTATACCAAACGTAGACATGGGAGGTTTCAGCCGCATTCTTGGTATTGAGCTGCTACCAATCTCATCAGTCAAGAGTGCTATGGAAAAGCCATCTATTGTCGATACTGTATTTGAAATCGTGGGCTCATACTGTTCACGAATCATTTGCACCGAGACAGGATCAAAGCACCTTCGTGTGTTGCTCACGAACAATCGATTAATGAGGAAAATGCTTGCGTATTCCGACTTCTAATGTTATCTTAGTCAACACAATCTATTCTATGCTTTCAAGATTTCGTTTTCTATTGCTGACCCCAGCGATTCTGTAGTCCCGGACTGTCCGCCCATATCTGGCGTCATGATATGTGGCTCTTTCTTCGATAGGACAGTTTCAATCGCCTTCAGCATCCCTGCTGCGGCGTCGCTGAACCCGAAATGCTCAAGCATCATCTGCCCAGCCCAAATCATACCAATTGGGTTTGCTATTCCCTTGCCCGCGATATCAGGAGCGCTACCGTGCACAGGCTCGAATAGGCTAGGGAACTTGCCCTCCGGGTTGATGTTACCTGAAGGCGCGATGCCGATTGTGCCAGTGCAAGCAGGGCCAAGGTCGCTCAGGATGTCGCCGAATAGATTGCTTCCGACGAGAACGTCGAATTGCTCGGGGCGTAGGACGAACCAGGCGGTCAGGATGTCAATGTGGAACTTGTCGACCTTAACGTCTGCGTAGTCGCCCTCCTGTTGTAGTGCTTGTAGTCTCGCGTCCCAGTACGGCATTGTGATGCTGATGCCATTGCTCTTGGTCGCGCTGGTTAAGTGTTTCTTTGGCCGGCTTTTGGCGAGCTCAAGAGCGTACTTTAACACACGATCCACGCCGACTCGTGTCATTATGGTTTCCTGCACGACGACCTCCCGGTCTGTATCTTCGAAGATCTTGCCGCCGATGGAGCTGTATTCGCCTTCGGTGTTTTCCCGCACCACCCAGAAGTCGATGTCTCCTGGAGACTTATTGGCCAGTGGGCTTCGAACTCCGGGCATGAGTCGACACGGACGGAGGCTGATGTATTGGTCAAATTCGCGGCGGAATTTGAGGAGGCTCCCCCAGAGACTGACATGGTCTGGAACCTGGTCGGGCATGCCAACGGCGCCGAAATAGATGGCGTCAAAATCAGAGAGAATAGCTTTCCAGTCTTTGGGAAGCATGTCGCCATGTTTTGCATAGTAGTCACAACTTGAGAAATCGAAGTTGGTGAATTCAAGAGATAGATTGTACACGGACGCGGCTGCTTTGAGACAGCGCACGCCGAGCGGCATGACCTCCTGGCCGATGCCATCACCAGGGATCACAGCGATTTTGAGTGTGCGGGGAGCCATTATGCGGGTGTTGGGGTAGTTCGAGGAGATTATTGCACATAGCAAGCTCACCAGACTGCATACCTATATGACTTCGGCAGACGTGGACGATGCCCGGGGGAGGTTTACCCGCTGAATACTGGACAGGCACGAGACCGAAGCCTCTGCTGCGGAGTTTCTTTGTGCGCGACGATTTGTGGCCAGCTGGAGCAGATTGACATGTGGTCGTAATGACGAATTGTGGGAACGCGGCTAATATTTCAACCGCGGGGCGCGGAGTGCGGCTCAGGTTCAGCCGCATCTTTGCTGAGCCTAGCTTCCTCATCACAGTCAATCCTTTAGCCACGATTCATTTTCGGTTATTCTTGAGACCGCAGTACAGAATGATTACTTTGGTATGGAAGAGGATTGACACGTCGATGTGCAAATGTGGAGATCCTCATCATATAAAGCAAGGGTGTGTAGGACCTAGATTGAGTGGCTAGGTATAGACCTTCCATATCTACGCAACATACACCCCATACACCCCATACAAAGCAACAATATCGATACGAAATGGTCAATGTAGCAGTTCTCGGTGCCTCTGGCCAAATCGGTCAGCCACTTAGCCTTTTACTCAAATCTGTACGTGACATATCCCCATACAACTTGAATGTCATTCTTTGTGCTAAACTTTGGTGCGACAGAGTCGTTTAGTCACAGAGTTGAGATTATATGATGTTGTTCACTCAATAGGCGTTGCCACAGATCTGAACCATATCGACACACCCGCCAAGGTCAGCGGATACTTGCCCGCAGACAATGGCCTGGAGAAGACGTTGACCGGAGCTGAACTTATTATGATACCTGCCGGTTAGCTACTCATCACCATGACCACTCCCAAGAAGTAAAGCTGATTGACCTAGGCATTGCACGAAAACCGGGCATGACTCGTGATGGCAAGTTATCATTTCTGCAGGCATCATTACCAATCACTAATGCTGTCAAACAGACCTCTTTAAGACAAATGCCAGTGTCATTGCCGATCTTCTATCAGGCGTTGCCAAATACTGTCCTACAGCCTTCGTTTGCATCATAACCAATCCTGTGAACAGCACTGTACCAATCGCTGCCGAGGTACTAAAGAAGGCCGGCGTCTTCAATCCCCGCAAGCTCTTTGGCGTCACGACCCTTGACGTCGTTCGCGCATCCACCTTTGTCGCTCACGCGCTCGGCAAGGAGGACCCTCAGGAGTTCAAGGTCCCCGTTGTTGGCGGGCACTCTGGAGCGACTATTCTGCCGCTATTCAGCCAGAGTCAGCCTTCAGTGGAATTGACCAAAGAGCAATTGGATGCGATCACATATCGTAAGTATACCTGCTCTTTTGCCAGTGATCTCACGGATTCTCGCTGACTCAGATCGAAAGGTGTGCAATTCGGTGGCGATGAGATTGTGAAGTCGAAGGCCGGTGCTGGCTCTGCAACTACCTGCATGGCATACGCTGGTTTTCGGTAAGCATGGTCTCAAAAGACACGTATTACATTGTTGATAGAGCACTAACTATCAAATAGATTTGCACAAGCCATCATAAAAGCGTCAAAAGGTGAGACTGGAATCGTTGAAGCAGCGTATGTTTATCTCCCCGGTGTACCTGGAGGTGACGCAATTGCAAGGAATCTCAAAGTGGACTACTTTGCTGTGCCGCTCAAGTTTGATGCAGAAGGCGCGGTCGAAGCATACCCGGTCGGCAAGTTGTCAGCTTACGAAGAAGATTTGCTACAGACTGCGGTGGACGAGCTGAGGGGAAATATCGCCAAGGGTGAAGCACATGTCAAGGGAGCGCAGGCGTAGACATATGTTACAGACATGGTACAAATTATAGACAACGTCACCACTCAAAGCCAATTTTTTGTCAGTGTGGAATCACTGAAACCACTCATGGCGAACACGGTCAAGAATAAGCTAAACGCATCCTTGTGATCCAAACGGGGCTTAGTACTTCTAGTTATTCAAGACTGCTCCCAGAGCTTCCAGTACCTCCCCTTTTTTTCGCACAGCTGTGCGTGATCCCCTCTCTCTTCAATTCTTCCATTGTGCAACACCAGGATCTGATCAGCGTCCACAATAGTACTCAGCCTGTGCGCTATCACAATCACAATTCTTCCTTGCCTCAATCTCTCTAGCGCGCCCTTGATCTTCCCTTCCGTGACCGTGTCAACCGCACTGGTGGCTTCATCGAGCAACACGATAGGTGCATCTTTCAACAACGCCCGTGCAATAGCAAGTCGTTGGGCCTCTCCGCCAGATAGCTTCACGCCACGCTCTCCGACTTGCGTATCGTAGCCATCCGGGTAACGTATGATTGTATCGTGCATAGCAGCCGCACGACATGCCTTGTGTACATCCTCGTCGGTTGCTGTACTGCGTGCGTACCGTACGTTCTCCATGATCGAGGTATTGAAGAACATTGGAGTCTGAGGTACGACACTAACAGAATCACGGATGGAGCTGAGTGTGACGTCTCGGATATCTTGTTTCGAGATCCTGATACTCCCGGCTGTGATATCGTGCAGGCGTAATAGAAGCTTTAAGATGGAAGACTTGCCGGCGCCTGTCTCTCCCACCAGTGCGACAGTTTGACCTGATGAGACGGTAAAGGACACGTCATGGAGGGCATAGCGGCCTTCTTCATATTGTAAGGAGACATTCTCGAAGTGGACTTCTCCGTCGCGTACCGCAAGCGGGTATGCGTTGGTGGCTTCCACGATCGATGGCTTTGTTTTCAACAGAAGTAGAAGTCTTTCAGCGTCAACGAAGTCACTGACGAGCCACCGGACGTGGTTTGTCAAGAACTTCAGTGGGTAGATGATCGAGTCCCAATACGTCAAGAAGAAGACAAAATCTCCTGAGGATGCCGTCCCAGCAGCGATGCGTTGTAGAATGAGATATGCTAATGCGAAGAAAGTGATGGGTACCAGAAGCTCCACTAGAGCCTTGATGAGTGCTTGCCGTGCCTCGAAGCGTGTCTTAGCTTTCATGTGATTGGCAACTGCGCTGGAAAGGGTTCGAGCTTCGCGTTGGAATTGGTTAAAGTATGTGACGGTTTGCCATCCTTGGATAGCCTGGTGCATCTTGCGAGTCTCGATTCGCTCCGCTTTTGTCAAGTTCCTCCTGTCATCAGTGGTGAGCTGTGTTGACGAGATTTCCGCGCCCAGATAAGCCACAGATGCAACCAACAAGACGATTGCCACAGCGGGACTGAATTTCTTGTAAAGTACGACGCAGCTGACGATGACATCCACCAGAGTCGGGGCAATGTCGATGACCACAGCCTCGAGCACGTCCCCCAACGCTTCGCCTTGCTCCACTGCTTTCATGACCTCGGCCGAGTCTTGGGTTGAATGGAAGTCGACCGATTGCGCCATGACATGGTTGAAAGCAGCATTGGTGAGCTTCTTGTATGAAAATTGTTTGATAGGGATTTTTGAGAGGTCTTGTATAAAAAGAAGACCAGATTCAGCGTGGAAGATATCGAGGGCGAAGTAAATCAAAAGCTCTCGAACAGGTGTAGATCCAGAGGTGACCTTATCGGCAATAATCCCGAGAGTGTACGGAAACGCGAGTTTCATGAACCGTTCCAAAACGAGAGTGATGATACAGATAAGTAGACAGAGCTGGACTTTTAGATCCCTGCGAGGTATCACGTAGGGCAAGAAGACTCTGAAGTCTTTCAGATAGCCAAACCAGCCTCCTGTCTGCCGCAATCCCTCGGCACGTGCATCTTTCAACTCTTGATCGTCATCGCTATCTATGTCGCTGTCGCTGTCGTCGACCTTCAAGTAGTCCTCGTTAGGTGGAGCTATTGCTGCTTCAAGGAGAGGATCGGCCTCTTGTGACCCTCGCCCGGGTAATTTGAAGAACTTGAAAGACATCATAGATCCCTGGAAATATTGGTATCACCCTACTGAGTTCGGTCGCTGTCTGCATATATAGTGTGCTACTGTCTTTAACGTGCCCCCCTGTGGTAAGCGCTACGCGGTTAGAAACTCGGCACCTAAGCACAAACACTCACAATGACTCATACAGAATCTGACCTATTGAATTTGACTCCAGTTATAGTGAGCATCAGAAGTTTGTTGGGATCGTGGATTCTACGTGAGTGGCTCGTATTGAGATGGTACAAGCCGTCGTGCACCGCCATTCCGACGCGCGGGTTCCGAGATGACGGTGCATCGTTTTGATTCGCTCACATCAACTCTGTCCACATGCAATTAGTCTATGACTCTATCTGGAAGGCAATGACAGTCCTAGAAGCGGTGAAAATAAGCATATAGAATCGCCAAACGTACCGTGTGAGAGGTACGGTGGCTCAAGTATCAATGCTCGTTCAGACGTAATTCGTCAACGACCCAATGACTCACATCATTTCACCTCCACCTCCTGTACTACCAGAGTGTCGCCTTTGGTTACTGGAATCATCGCTGCCTTGTTCTTTAAGCTTTCAAACGGCACGTCCTTCCGCAGAACGACAATCTCAAAGCTTGTATAGGCACCCCAGGTAGGCGCATCAACCAACTCTTTTCGCACCAGTTCATATCCTCTTTTTCTCCAATACACACCATTAATGCACTCTGCGGCTATTATCCATAGACTGACTTGGTCATTGTCGTTAAACTGCCTTCCATTAGTCGAAATGCCCAGTGCCTTCGACTTCAGAACAAGCTGCTGCTCCAGAAAGGCGCAAAGTTGCACTGCAAGGCCTCGCCGAAGATACTGTGCTTCGCCATCGACTGCCACTGCTTTGATTTCCCATCCCTCTTCAACCCCAGCGCCCTTTTGCTTCCAGCCACCTTGCCAAGGTATCGCGCCCGAGACAGCAACCACTTTCCGGTCGCTTGTAGATTCATCAAAGATTACAGCTACGATTCCCTCACTGCCGATCGTCTCCAAATATACGTCGTTACTTGGAAATCGGTCTCTCGGATGTTCACCCCACTTCCTAGGCTCCGGCTTCTTCGAGCGACTGAAAGCATCGTTGATGAGGTGGGTGATTTTCGTGACAAGAGAGGCATCCGATATGAGATCTGAAAACGTGTAGAGTACAGGGGCAGAGAGAGTCGAGGCGTTGGCCATTGTGAGTGCAAATCCGTGTGCGTAAACCAATTAGATAACTTCTTGCAATGCCTGCGATGGTGGAATTCAAGCCCGGGCAGATATGCGTTTTGTTCCTGCAGATTGTTGTTGTTACGGGCTGGTGCGTCATTGACTCACGCCCTACACAGTACAAAATGCTAGCTAACGGTAGTACCTGCCCAATTAGGCATGGACCACGCCTCTATAAATGACGATACATCGCAATTTTGTTCATGCTTTGCGTTGTGAGAGTTTCCTACTGTAAATTGTGTCTTATGGCATATGTCAGCCTCACAGCTAGATCTTGCTGCGAAATCTCAATGGAAGAGATGCTGACAACGTGATAGAAACCCAGCATAGGTCAAGACTGAGGATCGCAAAGTGTTATCTGGACAATGGCACGTCAAACACAAGCACACGGAGTCACTACTAAGCACAGGGAGTCAACATCAAGAACAACCGTCACGACACTTTCATCACAACCCAGCCTGTTCGTGAATCACGATATGCTTCTTTGCTGGATAACTCCGTTAAGCAAGAAACAATTCAATCATTCAATTCCAACGTACGTCATCACAAGAGAGGAATGATCATAATAAGAAAGCGTCACCAAGGTTTCCAAGTGGTCTGAGAATGTGAAATAACGAAAGAATCAGCATTAGCCCATTATGCAATCTATAACGCGCTATTATCGGCACATGTAAAAGGCCCATTGACTGTCTGGTTAGGATCCGCAAAGATGCCCAGCAGTGTTTTAATACTCGCGTACATGCCCGGAATCATCAAGAAAAACACCATCGCCAGGATCAGCACATTCAGTCCTGCTACTGCCAGCTTTTTCCCGCTGCTGCGCCACTTGCCATTCCAGTTGAGGTGGAACCAGAACAGCACTGTTACGCCCCATGTGAACCACGAGAGCAGCAGCGACGATGAAATATTGAGCAGCGAGTTGAAAACGGGAATAGCGTTGGCAAGGATCCAGACTGTGATCCAGAAGGCACTGACGCTGAAGATCCAAATGGCCCAATCCAACTTTTTAGAGACTGCTGGTACGGACATTGACGAGCGACGACCGCGGCTGGGGTCCGATGCAATACTGGGGCGGCGCTTGGGTGAGTCCTTGCGATGTAGCCAGGAGCTGGCGTGGCGCAAGAAGACGACATGGAGGTAGCGCGCGCTTGTCATACCGAAGATAAGGCCCGTACCGAGGAGACCGATGAACGAGACTGCATATGCAACCTTGGCCATTGTGGGCTGCAAGGAGCCAATGGCGGGGGACGCGACCTGCTCACCGGATAGCGCGTAGACAGTTGTCGCAACAATGATGTAAATGCAGGTTGTGACGCATTTTTCGATGGTAACGGCACGGGGAAAATCGCGGGAGGGGTTTTCCATTTCGGCGAGGACGGTGGGGAACGCTTGGTTTCCGGCAAAAGCGAAGGCAATATTGAGGAATGCTGATGTCGCCTCAATAAAATTCGGGCTACCGACAGCCTTCAGATTAAGGGGCGCATTCACGTCGCGGGGTCCTTGAACACCGAGTGTGATCATGACAAGAAGGACGGTGATGACGATGCTGGCTGTGCAGGGCCATGATGCCCACGAGACGAAGCGCATCGAGCGTGGGACACATAGTGCCCACATTGCGACGGCGGCAACGACGGTGAACGCGACCGTGCAAGTTGCGTGCTCTGATACAGTGTTTAGACCGATAGTAAGAGTAACGAGAGCAGACGCAGAGATCAACGCCATATTGATGAGGAATCCAACGGCAAAGATGACCTCGACCCAAGGACCGCCAAGAACGCGACCGTAGTCGACAATGTTGAGCATATATGGGTATTTCCGCCAGTACTGAATGAGATTGTAGGCGGTGTAGAGAGAGAGTGCACCGAGGACGATGATGCAGAGGATGCCCGGGAAGAAACCGAGGACGTTGAGTGCCGATGGTAAGGAAAGCATCCCGATGCCTACTTCGTTTGTGACGAAAATAATGACAGCTTGTGTTGTTGTGAGTTTCTTTGCTGACGACTTCGCTGTTGGGCGGGCGTCCTGAACGTTGGACACATCGCCAAGCTGCGCCTCGCTATCGGATGATGAGTCGTACTTTTCATTGTTGGCGAAGTCGTGATCGCGAAGTGTTTCTTCTGGATTATGGGTTGCATCTGCTGCAAAGGGAAGCGTTGGACGGTCGTCGGAGATGGGTTTGTTGCTGAGTTTGTCGCTTGTGGTTTGTTGCTGGGGTTTGTCGCTCAGGGAAGCAGCGGTATCAACATGTCTCTCCATGTTGAACGTCTCGACGGCTCACGCCTACACTTTGGTGAACACGAGACTGGTGGTGGTGGTGATTGTTAGTGGACGAGAAGTATCGAGATCTGCAAGGGAGACTGCTCAACGCCGAGAAGTCGACTGGTGAGTTTAAGAAGGGCACACGAGCGATTAAAAGAGATTACTGCGGAACCGCACCATAGTGTGGAGGTGGAGTATGGAGGCAGTCTGACATTACGTAGGGTTGCGCTGGTCAAAACTTAGTCGCTGTAGCGCAGGCGGACGTCCTTGAGAGCGTATCCGCCAGACCGGTCTCGAGGCACTAGGCGCAACGTGCAAAGGGTCCAAAGACTAAGTCCCTGGTGAGTGAGGCGATGGCAAGGTTTCCTATTCCAGGCATGTGGAGCATCTCAATCTGAGTAAAGTTGAGCCATTGGTTCCCCTTGGTCTACTCTTCGTGTAAATGAAGGATGCTGAACCGGGTACATCCGTTTCGGACACATCAACGCTCCACCTCCACCTCCGCCATCTTGTCGACTCCTCATGGACTTGAAGAGGAAGTCAAGTATGACGTAGATCGTGTTCGGGAGTGGCCGCGCTAGCAAGAGCCGCACCTTGTCGTGCGTACGCCAAGCTATATCCGGCTAAAGGGATTGGTTGTTCTCACATCCAGCGGCACTCGGCACGTTGACGCTGTAGGGGAGTCTTGGAGTTCAGACGCATCGTCAACATATGGCTTCTCATGTGATCAATTGTCAGTCTCCAGCCCTTCAATTGCCCTCATCTCCAGAATTAATCTCTTTCATAGAGGGCGGAGAGCGAAAATGAAGCGTGCGGTTTGCATCGGAGCACGCCTCAGGACTGTAAGAGGGACGTGCAATGAGGTGGATCTGTTTGGTAACAAGATGGGCACAGGCCATGTGATAGTCGGCCTTTCCGGCCAGTGACCCTCGATACAGGTTGGGAGGTCTTTTCGGAAGGAGAGAGAAGCCGAGTGACTTGACGTAAGGATCGCTGACGAACGATACGGCTCTTCGGTAATATTTATCCGCCGGGCTCTGCGACGAAAACCAGATCAGATATGGCATATAGTTACGGTAGACCAAGTCCTCACGTCGAGTCAGCGATCCATAAGGTGGCAGACCCAGCGCCATTCTCATGCTCCTGCGCAGGGCGAGACCGTATGTGAAAAATAAAGGTACTCAATACAGACGTACTTGGCTTGCCTACGGGACCTGTGGTGCCCGTCCACACAGGTGATACTTGTACTAGTTGGTTAGATGCTGAATTTTGGCTCTTTCGTTGGTGGATATTTGGGTGTCGCTAATGGGAGGAGCAGGGATCATCTCCTCTGCATTGGCCGAGTGGTTTCCATTCCACTGTGCTGGTGTACCCTAAGAGTAAATACAAACACAGTAGTAATGATGCGAGGCAGGACTGTAGACGCGGCGATACATCTCTGTACTACCGGCCTGATCACGTACATAACCGACACCTGTTGCGTGTTGAGACGCATCGTAGACTTTGCCGATCGTGATATTGCTGATTGCAAGACGCTACCGATACACCGGCCGAGCATCAGCTCCCGAACATTCATATTGTTGATCTGGACATGCTTGAACGCATATGCAGAGTGTTGCATGAGAAGCACGGTGCCGAATTTGTTGCAGTGGGTAGTGTCAGGCATGTGTGTGTGCACTGTTGTCGCGTGTGGTGACCCTCCGAGGCAGCGTGGTATGTCGCATTTGCGGCATGCGGGTGGCAATATTTGAGTTTCGCCAGCCGTGAAGTGGGAGATTGACAGTAACTTGAGTCATTCTGCTAGATATGAGTGGCATAGAGATGTAGCGACGCGCGGCTTTCGAGACAGTACTTCACTTGAGAATCTCTAGCAGGTCCGCTCATAACCGCATCTACAGCATCAAAAGGACCGTACTGACAACAGTGGCCGCGTTCGCAGGGACGAGGAGCTTGAGCACTTGGTAGCATCGGCGAAATGCTGCGAGATGTGGCAGTGATGAGTTAAGGCGGCCGTGGCGGGTGGACGCCGCTGACGCTAGACGCCGGTTACCCGAGATCATGGCTTGGCACCACGTCAATCATCACCAGAGCGTGTCTGTTCAGGAGGAACATGCATGCAGCAGATATGCTTGGCGATGGGGAACGCGTCTGCAACCCCTGCGACGTGAAACTCGGCGTCGAGATGCTGCCTTGACTTGATAGCAGGCCGTCCTTATACAAATCTGAAGTACTTAGACTGGTACTACGCTGATATAGTCCTTATCTCCTTCACGCACACATTCATACTCAGGCCTGCTTGTCGTATTGCAGCGTCTTTGAGCATTCCGCGAGCGTTTGTTTGACTGTCTTTCGTTTGCATCTCTCCCTCCTTTTGGCTACTCCACGGCTGCCTCCACCGACTACTCGCTCCTTCCCTTCACCCTTTACGGCCGCAATCGACGCGATGATTCCCCGGACGTTCGCTCTTGCAGGACTTTACGCCACTGCCGTGCTTGCCGTCTGTACCAAGCTTGAGGACTGTCCAGAGTACGAAACGCTGAAGACGAACGACTGCCAGCAGTTTCACCATTTCCTTCTGCGTGGCTCAACCTCGCCGTACCCAGGCCATGTCATCTCGACGGTGGCCAAGGTCTGCGACCAGTTCAACAACGAGAGCACGCCCCACGCCTGTGGATACGAGGACATCGAATACGCGGCCATGAACGGTGGCGAGCGGTGGTGCCAGAGCGCACACGAGGGTGCTCTGAACGGCGCCGCGCAGATGCGCAACTACACAGAGCGCTGCCCAGACAGCCACTTGATTCTGATGGGCTTCAGCCAGGGTGGCAGCGTTGGCCTTGACATATTGGGTGGCGGCGGTGGCGAGCTCTGGGGCTGCATGCAGGAAAGCAATCCGGCCATGGACATCTCGACTACGCCTGGGTCCAAAGGTAGGCTGACTGGCCTCCACACATAGCCCGAGTACTGACACAACACAGTCGCAGCAGCCCTGATGTACGGCCCCACACGCCGCTCCGCAAACCAGACCTGGACTGTTGGTGGCGGCGAGATCAGCGACGGCGGCGCGCCTCGAACCGACGAGCAGAACGCAGGCCTAAAGCCCTACGCTGAAGCTGGTATCCTGCGCGAGTACTGCCAGCCGCGCGACCCCATCTGCGCGCCGCACACGAAAGACACCGAGATGGCCTTCCACCTCGACTACTTCGACAAGTACAGCGACGATGCTTCGGCTTGGGTCGCTGATCTGGCGAAGAAGGCTGCCACAAAGAACACAAGCAACGACGAGAATCAGAGCGACGGGGACCAGCCGAGTGCTGGCGACAGGCTCAAGGCGGGAATCAAGCACCCAATTGGCAACTTCGTCGTCGGCTTTGCCGTGCTGGTCGCGTTATTGTGAGTGCTTTCTGATTCCGGAGCCAGCAGATCAATCATGATCACTGGAGACGACTACCGTCTGCAACGTTAATGGATGTAACGAACCACAACTCATGCCTACCAGTTTCCTCATCCGCCGAATCATGATGTGGAGAACCTCGTCTTCTCGCTTGTCCTCGTATCGACCCGTCAATACCTCTGAGAACCCCTGAGCCACACGGCTACGCCCGCCATGCGAAACGAGCCGCGCCACGACGCGTACATAGGCTTGTAAAGTGCTTGGCAAAACTGCCGGTAGCCGAGCTGTGGCGCTCGGTGTTTGGGTAGAAAGATTCCCTACCCCGTCATCACTTGCATGACACTAGTAGACAAGTGAGGTTGTGATCGGTTAATAACAGATGCTGCCCATGTTGTTGCACTTCTGAACATGCAATATACCCTTTTATAATTTCTTTACAGCGCATAGACTTTTAGCGACGACAGATTCGACGCATGAATGTAAACATATCCAGTTCTCATTGATACAGCCCAATGCCAAAACAGCTTCATGTGGGTTAACGGCGCGATTCAATCAGCGCGACTTTAACAGCCCCGGTCCACGGTGCAAAAGCGCAGTGCTAGATAGCCAAACCACTTTCAGTAGCACACGCTTCAGCTTCCTTCGACGACAACTGTCCAGTGCGCCTCGTACCATATCGTCATTACGCCACCGATTCCGGCTGAGCCTTTCCTAGGAGCATGGCGCTTGAGGCCTGTCGGAAATCCAGTCTTCTCAACCCAAGCCCCCATAGCCCTCTCCCGCATGTTTTTCTTGTGACCCATCCAGAACTCGGTGGCCGCATGTTTCACCACAACTCGGACATGTGGCCTGCGCGATGGCGTGATGAACAGTGCGGTCACGTACTTTTGCATGTACAGCGCCCACTTCTTCTGTGCCAGGCGATCCGGCGGTGTGACGAGGTCCATCAGGAGCTTGGACACTGCAGCCGGGACAGCTTGTTCGGTCAACCTCGTGCGATTTGGGACCACGGCTGCAGACTTTGGCGGTGGAGTGGTCTGGAAGGTCACTGCCGGTGAGCGTCGAAGGAACTCGAGGAGCGGCCGGACATCGACCTCACGCGCATCGATCTCGCTGATACCCACGGTGTTTACCACAACAGTAGCGGCGCTGAAGGGTGCATGGTACGGGATGAGGAATGTGTTTGCGAAATCACATATGTCGTAGAAGCGTATACTCGGATTCAACTTGCCGTAGTACACAGGTAGGAACTCCTGCCGCACCTGCTGGTTGACGTGGATCAGTTGGAAGCAGCTGACCTCATCCTGCGCGTCGTCGCGTCGAGTCACTGCGCGGGTACCATAGCTGGTGCGGCGTGTCAGACTAGTTGTGTCGCTGCTGCTGATGATCTCATAGATGGCGTTGCGCAGTTCTGTACCTCACCGTTAGTCCGCATTGACAAGAGAGACGGAGGGCGCACCAGCTGGCAGATCCAGGAACCTGAACGTGTTGCCCTCGATCGGCCTGTTTCGTAGCTTCATGGTGTGGACGACGCGGTAAACTCAAAGAGGTCGCTGCAGTTGACGAGTAGGACGAAGTAGAGTGGAACGGGGACGAGGTGGAAGGCGCTCATAAGTCACGCGTCGGCAGGCTGCAGTTTGTGGTTCCGCAAGTGAAAGCAAAGTGCGCACTTCGTAGCCTAAAGAAGGGTCTGGGACCATGGAACGATCCTTCAAACGATACTCAACAAGACTTCCGGTGCTGTTCCGACATGCTCAATATTCCGGAATCCCTAGTTGTTGTTCCTCCAATCTCTAGCCCTCGTTGTCTTTCCCTCCTTGTAAGTCCACGCATTTCCCTCGCGTTCGAACACAACAAGCTCCCGTAGAATGCGCATCTCAATGAGCTCTTGGGGTTCAGAGTGTTTTCCTGAAGTCTGGTACGTGCGAGTCCCCTCGATTGGGCGGAGAAATACAAAGGGCGCAGGGCATCCTTCCAGAATACAGACGATATCACCATTCGTTGGTGCAGGGTAGTCTGCTTGGGTCAAACCAAGGTCTTGGGAGGTAAAACGGAGTAACTGCGCGTGAATTCCTCGATTGGGCTTTAATGGTTGAACAACCCTGTATGATCTGACATGATCCCAGAATCCGGGCAGGCACGGTTAGTTTGTTGCAGTCAGATGAGATTACTGTCGCGGTCTCCGGCCACCGAAGCGTGAGCAAAGGCTCGCTTTTGAACGTCTGACTTTGCCATGTCTGTACAGGTGATCGCCCTGTGCACCGAAATGCGAGGTCAGTAGAGCTCTCGAATGATGCGAATCGGAGATACAGCCAGGGAACTCACTGGGTAGCTTGTTCTCAGGGGTCTTTGCATCCCAGATCCCCTAGATTATGGCTTTCAGGTGCTCTTCTAATGCTCTAGTAGTACAGCGCATGGCAAACACTTGAGCTCCAGACTTCCTCACTCATGTGCACAGCACCATCCACGCCGGTGAAATCGAAAACAGGTGCGATGAGGGTAACGAAGAAACTCAATCCTTTGCTCTCGTATGCTCCCTGATTGAGAAAGAGTGACCAGATGTTGTACTTTTTGCCAGCGACATGACCATTATGATGACCAGTATAATGATGAACAAGGTCATAAAAGAATAGAATCTCAGTCTCGACGTTGGGCAACCCTTCAACAAGAAAACTTTTGAAGCATAGACCGACGAGAATGACAGCGACAGCCATGAGGGTCCCGTGCCATTGTCGCGTGTCATAAGAGGACCGTGGATTTACGACGATGGCTTGGATTGTAGGAGCCATGAGGTATCATCCGGATGCCGTGATTGCTTGTCGCGCGATGACGCTCTACCTGTCGATAGGTGTTAGCCGCGATTCTACTAACTTATACAGCATACTCACCAGCCTGTTATATAGCCCAGAGTTTTTTTTCCGGTCTTTGGGAGCAAGCATATGAACCCAGTGGTATTGACCCCCTGCTATCGGCCACGTGCTGACAAACTCGCCCATCGTTGCAACGACACAAGCACAGCCAGTCCATACGAAGAGGAAGCCATATATCAATCCTACGGGTCCGCCATCTTGTAGACCGAATACAAAGACGCCGAACAAGCCTTCCCATGTGACCATCAAAGAACACGACAGTCCAAGTATGGCAAGAGAAGAAAAGTTTCGCTGGCAATGTCAGCGGTATCTGCAGAGCTTCTTCCCCAGACTGGCCAGCTCGCAAGCATCTTTGTCAGATACAACGTCGGACGCAACGTCTTGTTTCTCATTCGTGCGTATCATGGCCACCGTGGTCATCGTGGTATTCGAGATTGCTCTGTGATCTCATGAAGTGATGGCAAAGACGACAACAAACGGCTGTCATTGAAGACGGTGGACGTCAATGGAGACTTGGGGTGGATTTGCGTGCCATGAGCATCTCGCTGTTGTGGCATGATGTTGCACATGAATCCGAGAGTACGGTTTGCCGTCGTGCCACCTACCAACGTAGCAAGAGCATTAATGTGTCATCCGCAGTTGAGACATGCACAACGCCTCGACACAGGTATGCAATCTCATGCGGTTCTCTTTTGTACAGTCTCAATGCCTGCCTCTGTATGGGCTAATGAGCCCTTGGATACCTTTTCATAGCCTTCCAAGTCGTAGATGGACGAACCACAAAGGCTTACATCCACAGGGAACCTACAGCGTTGACGAGTCTTGGGAGGAGGCATCGTACCATGTCGGCTTCAGTGCAAGACCGATTGGCTCTAGAATCCGCATGATCGCAGGCTGGAGTATTCCAGCCTGTCATGGGGTGCAGTTTAGTCAAAGGATTCCACTCGCCCTGCAGGCATTGTGCGGTAGTTGTGCTGTAGATTTCGCGAGGGCGACACTGCAGAGGTGGCTGGTGCAATTTCTCAACGTATTTGTGACCATGCCTGAAGGGCTGGGAGGCGTCAGTGTATCAGCCAAGCATTTCCCAGCTGCGCCATACACCGCGTCACAAGGCAATCGCACAGCCACGTCCGAGTCCAAACGTAGCCAAGCTCAATCATCACGAAAAAGCAAGCGTCGATCGAACCACAGCTACGGCGATCTAGAGGCTTGATCATCAAAACACAAAGAGCTCGTGCCCGTCCCTTATCACGTCGTGTCTTAACCCCGCCCTGCCGGTAGCAACCCCACATCACTCCATCATCCTCACTCGTCTTTCCCTTCTGGAACTTTGCACGACCTACCAGATCTCAAAATGAACAACAACAACAACGCGCAGGGTGCAGGTCAGCAAGACTACGTCGATAAAGCTTTCGCCGCCGGCGCAAAGAAATTTGGAGGTGCGCAGGGACAGAAAATCGCGAACAACCGCGGTATGAGCGAGAAGATTGTACGTCATCTCCCTTTGTGCGCCATGCGCATACTATAGTTCCGTCTAATTTGTTTGACAGACCGACGGACTACGTGGAGTGTACGAGAAGGTTACCGGAAAGAAAGTCAACCCGAAGTACTCTAACTAGAGCACAACGCGGACATTCACAGCTATTACCGCATGCGCAATGCTTCCCCACTTTTGCGCTACAGCACACTAAATCAACATGGACCCATCATAATGGGAATTACGTCTGCAAGAGGCCCATAGGCTAATAATAAACTTAATTTTCTTGATCCCCTGTGTCAACTTCCCATTGATGAGGTCTAACCTTGGGGGCGTTGATCCTCTTGCACATCTTTGTTCCTACAGAAGTACCTTAAACAAAGAACTCACACGTGCATTTCTCATCCATGCTCTCGCTTTGCAGCATGAAAACTATTATACTTATACTGAGGTGAACTTGGGAGTTTGTAGATAAGAGATCAATCAGTGCGCGCTTGTCGTGTTCGCGGCAATGCTTGTGAATCGAGAACTGGTGCAATCGCAGTCGAATCGCAGGCGCGACAGCCTATATTATTATGTACAGTGCACTGTGCGCCATTCAGCATGGTATATTGTGTACCTAGGTAAACTGGCTATAGGAACTCTACCGGATACCTCGTGCACCCAGACCGCTGATGAACTGTCTTGGTATTTCAGCTGAACGACTACAAGTCCAACAAACTGCAACTCTCTTACGGCCATTGTCACTTTTTTGATCAGTCTCCGGTAGTGCCAATGACTACTTCTTCCTCACTTTTTCCACTCTGACCGCGTCAACATCTCGCCCGGAGGTACCTAGATAGGTAAGCATTACGGATACAAAGCATTGGCGATCAGATTCGCGACACCGTAAGCACTTTGGCTTGCACTATTGTGTAAACCAAATACTACACTACCTAGGTACAAGCATCGGTGGCTATGTCATATGTTCACCTGATCCAGGCTGTTTGCATATCAACGTACCAGTCAACGAAGTCTTTCTCTACCCACCATGCGCCTATGTACATATTACGAATTTGGCGCCGGCCACATTTGCATTTGACTAACTGCGTGGCGCTTACGGTCGCCAACGAACAACTTCAGACTTAGAGAGCTGATGAAGACGCGCAACAAGTGCGCCAGGTTTTATGAACAAGAAGCAGTGTTACAGGGGCAAAGCGTCGTGCCTGTAGTTGGTGGCGTGAAGCATCCATGGTTGGAGCAAGCCTTGCACTTTCGTTCCAATTCTACGCTGTAGACGCTTGTGTTGCAAGCCCAAAATAAGACGCTCGCGCTATCGCGGTGTTGACGGACAAGTTGGATCTTTTTGTGCGCCTAGGGCTGCACATGCTGGTATCGAAGCTGATGATCAACCTCATACAAGATCTGCGGCTACCCCTACTGCTCATGTACCACAAAGAAAATGTGTACCACCACAGGCGTATGGTGGCGTAGCACGAAACATGGTTTCTTGCTGAATGAAGAGTGGTCGAGCACAAGATGTTGGCCTTCTGCAAAATCGTCAAGAGTGCGAACAAGGATAACAGTTGAGAAGCTCAGAAATATAGAAGCAGACTTTGACACGGCCACAAACTCTTTGGAATAGTGTATTATGCCCTTGCCCTAGATTGTGTAGTCGTTAGGACACTGCCATCCAGCTCAACCGGTCTGTTAGCCTCCATCTCAAGACGCACCCCCTCCACATCTGCAGGTACCTCTACAGCACGATACGTATACTTCTCTTGTGCTGGCACCTCGACTACAGGCATTTGGGATTTCGCTGCTCGACGTGGTCGCCAAAGAAGGAACCCCACAACACCAAGCAGAGCGAGTCCACCTACCACTCCACCTATAATACCGCCTATTGCACCTCCCGAAAGCCAGTTGTTCTCCTGCAACTTCGTATTGGACGTGGGAGATGACGATGCACTCGAGACTATGCTTGGATTTTCCGAGGAGCTGGCCGATGTGGCTGTCGACGAGCTAACCATCGTGGAAGTCGACAATTGCAAAAGGTCGATAAGCTTCACCGCGTATGCTGTCGCTGATGGGTCGGCAGAACTGAGTGACGAAAAAGCATTGTTCATTACCTCCTCTGATATATGTTCGACAGGGTTCAAGGTGTTTGACCAGCATACATTTATTTGCTCGCCTATCTCTGTGCATTGCTCGCTTCAATATGTTAGCATAGTTTCTTCGTAGTAGGCAGGCTGTCGCTGAATGCTTCTCTAACCCCTATATGCTCACACACATGCGAGACACTTACTTACCTTGTTTTCATACAGCAAAAAGCTGTGTCATTCTTGTCGCACAGCTGTTGACCTGCAAGAGCTATGCCATGAGTGCAAACTTCTTTACTGCCCGTACATTTCCCACCGGGATGACAGCAGTAGTATTTGTCTGCGACCTTCTCGTGCGCACATATCGCCGGTGGGCGGCACTTGAACTTCATGTTTCGACAGATCCGGTTCGTCGCATTGCTGGAGAATTCGAAGCTGTCGAAACCTGCGGAGACGACGGATACCAAAGCGGGAAAGACCGGTACTAAACGAAGCCACATTTGTACTGCTGTGATGAGAGTCAAGCTGAATGAAACACATCCAGGGCTTAAATACAATGGAGCCTCAGCTGACAGTTCAGCGCTTTGCTGTTTTTAGACATGTCTCAGGAAAGTATTTCTTTTGGTGATGAACGGACAGAAATGTAAGAACATCATCACACACTGTGTATGAAGAGGCCTGTTCGATCTCGAATTTTTTGACTAGCGTTAAGAAGCGGCATTGTTGTAGATGTTTAGTATTAACCTTTGGAGGGAAACAAACGTTGCAAGATTGTCTAGGAAAGGCATAAATGACAGGTAGGTACCTTGGAGAGCCATACCATATACCTTGTATCTTATGACTGCGATGCACTCTTAGTATAAAGCGAACATAATCATTATAGCACCTGTGTCATGGTGGCATCGTCGATGAAGACCTCCCCGCCAGCCTTAGCCGCTTCGCAACGAACAGCCAACGTAAAGGTGTTGGAAGCTTGCGTGAAATGGGTGCTAGGATACCTCACCGAGCCTTGCTGGTACACGGAACTGGGGCAAAGGGTGCCTGCTCCAGGCCTAGAGCCGTTAACTTAGTTGACTGCGTAACGAGACTCCATCTCAGGAGAGATCTTGACCCATAGCGATACATCATATGCTCGGCCCGGGATTATACTGATAGTTTGTTCTATCCAGAAGACGAAAAGGCCATTGTTCTTCGGCGATGCCTGGTAATTGTAGTCGCCGGTGTTAGAGTCGCTGTTCACTCTGCCTGCAGTGTTGGGTAAATTTCGAGCTGTATTCTGAGCCCACGGAGCAGCCGCATTTCCACTTCCATTTTCGAAGCTAAGATTTCTGAGAATCTGCGGACCAGTTGGCGTGGGAGTAGGGGAGAAGTCGGACTAGATGTTGAAGGTGTAGTCAAAGACACCCCTCAACCTGTCAACACCAGATACTTCTTGTGGGTCATGACCGAGGTACAGAACACATTTTGATCCGTGATCTATCATGGAAATATTCTTCCTTGTATTGATCTTTTCAGCTCCGGTCTGGCTAGTTGTCGAGTTTTGTCGTACCATGCCCAAGTTGCGAGGGGTGCACACACACAACGCAGCCACCTCAACTGCGTAGAGCTAATGCGCCGAGTATCGCGATTCACAGCGATCAGGTGGCGACCGTCGAGTGCAAAGTCGCCCACATTGAGGCTGTGGTGCTGCACGCTGGCATGTACTGCGTGTGTAGGTACGAAGTGTGGTGGACGATTGGCAAGCGCGTGGATCTGTGTCGATTCGGAACCTCGGAATCTCGGAAAGGATCTGCCCAGGCGGTTTTCTTTTGCAATCTTGACCACGCAAACACGATGCCACGACCCACTGACATATTATTCATCAATTAATGAATCTTGCAATGCGCTCGGCGCACGCCGTCTGAAGACAATGCTCTGGCTGAGATTGCGAGTGTTGCAAAGTCTATGCGCTTGTGGAAGGCGCGCCGGTGCTGACTAGGAAAAGTACCTCGATGCGCTTCAACAGTAAAGGTTGTCCAGGACTCACACGCCCACACTCTGCGAGGGACTTATAAGAAATCACGATCTTTGCATGCACACACTGCTACGCCTGGAACCGGGAATTATGACAGCGGCAAGCTCGGGAATCACAAAACTCCTGCAGGCTCGCAGCCTTGTACCTTGCGCGACAAGTCGCTTTTTTGGATTGGACACCCCATCATCTTTACGGGCAGGACGTTTCGTGATTGCGCTGTCCGAGTCACATCATCAGCATGTACCGGCCACGATTATTGACCTTATCATGTGAAGCTGTGCGATGGCTTCTGTCGCAGTGCATAGCTGCGTGCCAAAAGCTGGCGCGCTGAGGCTTAACAAAGAAACATTTCACCAGCTCGGAATCTCTTGAACATCTCCGCTTATTCTCATGGACTGTTTAGGTAAAACGTTACGACGATTGCACCTGCAAGGCTGACTGCATGCTGCACCATTGATTGACCTCCTGCATTGGAGGTGGCACGAGAAGCCTGACGACACACTGTGACATCGCTCGCCGTACGGGCGGTAACATGTCGTGCGACACAAGGCCTGGATGTGCTTCTGCGCAGTCGTGATCTGCGTTCGAGCTACCGTTTTCTCGCGACAAGTGCCGCCCGCTGCAGCGTTCCCGTTTTCTCGCTCTGCAGGTAAACTCGTCAAACATGGGCGAGGCTACAAGGGATGCTCGACCTGCCAAAGGACATAAACCAGCCTGCAGCCCACAATGGTATGGAACAATCTCGGTTTTCTTCTTGGATTTGATGTCCTCCTTTGTTCGTCATGTTTCGCAAACATACCACTCGCGAACCTACTCACAACGTCGAACTGCACCATGATCGTGTTGCCGAGGAAGCTCTGGGTGGCCGCGCCAGGGATCTAGGTAAGAGTTACTTCACGAGTCCCGGCTTCGTGGGTACTGTCGTCGTAAGATATAACTCTTCATGCCCGGGCATTCTTGTCTGAACTGAGCAGGCAACCTGTCTAGCCCAGATCTCCGGGTACTTAGGATGGGTACTCCCAGCAAACACACTGGCGCTGATCAATGCCGCAATCGGACCATCGCCGAATATCACTTGGGTGGCTATTTCCTGGACACTTGGCCTCGCCGTTGGTTTTACTCTGGTCGGTCGACTGTCTGATATATTCGGAAGGCGTTGGTTTTTCATCGGCTCATCCATCCTCGGTCTCATTGGCAACATCATTGGCGCAAGTGCCCAGAGTATCAACATGCTCATCGCCACGAATTGTATCAATGGGCTCGCTGCTGCTGGCCAGTTATCGTTTCACATAACCCTCGGCGAATTGGTCCCGAACGCTCTTCGTGGACCCGTGAACGCTCTCATATTGATCACTAGCCTTCCCTTTGCCGTGTTTGGACCTCCAGTCGCTCGGGCCTTGTATACAAATACAGACCTCCAGTGGCGCTGGTCGTATATTCTAGGTATTATTGTGAACGCAATAGCAGTTCTTCTGTTTGTCGTCTTCTATCACCCACCAACCTACGTAAGTCGTGCATCCCATGATCAACAGATCAATTTTGACCAAACAGCCGATGCTCCACGTGGGAGGAAAGTCTAAGATGCAGCAATTGCGAACGCTAGATTGGGTAGGAATCGTGTTGTTTACTTCTGGGATGACCGTGTTTCTGATTGGCATGAACTGGGGCGGGGGTACTTATCCTTGGAAGAGCGGACACGTCCTTGGAGCCTTGTTTGCAGGCTTTAGCACCCTGGTCGGATTCTGCTTTTATGAAGCATACCATGGCCACCAGTATCCGCTCATTCCCATGCGCCTCTTCAGGAGCGTTCACTACGACGCTAATGTTGTTTGCGCCAGCTTAGGCGGTGTTGTGTATTACGCCAACACCATCGTCTGGCCGTCGATGGTAGGCTCATTGTTCACGAATGATATTATGAAGGTTGGGTGGCTTTCGGTACGAGTTACATCCTGTCTGGAAGTCTATACATACGATCATCCTCTGACTATTGTAGTGTGCTGTGGGTGGTGGGTTACTCCTTGGTCAGATTCTTGGTGGGGCCGGCGTTCGGTTCCTACCTCGTATGAAGATACAGATGACCGTAGCGGGTGTTATAGCGACAGCTTTCACCGCTGCAGTGGCCGCATCTAATGCGTCGACCGAAGCGCGAACAACTGCGTTCCTTCTCATTGGCACAATTGGGGCAGGTTACGTCGAGAACCTGACGCTGTCATCCACAGCCTATCTGTGGGATCCTGCAGATATGGGTAGGGTTATACCCAGAGCACTTCATCGCGTCATACTGACTTATTAGGTCTTGTCACCGGCGTGCTTGGAGCAATACGCACTGCAGTCTCTGCCATTGCAACCAGCATGTACTCATCCATTCTAACCACCGAGGTTGCCAAGCACATTCCGCAGAAGGTGACACCCGCAGCTCTACTCGCTGGTCTTCCGAGCTCTTCGCTGCCTGCGCTGTCCCAAGGCATAATAAGTGGCGACCTGTCGTCAGTACCTGGTATGTCCCCCAGCGTCCTGGTCGCCGTAGAGACGGCAGTCAAAGAGGCCTACGCTCGGTCATATCAAACTGTGTATCTTTGTACATTACCTTTTGGGGTTCTTTTGATCTTTTCAGCGCTGTTCAGTCCGAATGTAGAGAAGTACCTGACCGATGAAGTGGCGCGGAAGCTGCACGGAACCGTGCATCTAGTGAAGAACCAGGCTGTCACTATTCAGCATGCTGAGAAAGTCTAGAGTGAGAAGATATTTACGGGGGTTGTTAATATCCAGATCAGTAATCCGACAATCCGTTATTCCCGCTCATGGATAGCGGTGTCACACTGCACTGATCAATTCCAGTGCGACCCATCTGTTCGGCAATCGTAAGAGCAACTTCCACTCAATTTACCATATCTCAAAGGTGCTACTGCAAATATCGGGAACGATGTGTAGGTTCAAAGATCGATAAAATTGAGTTAGTCTAAGTTGATACACCGCTGGTTCTCATCTAGTCATACTTCTAGGCTACTGAGGCGTATGAGTAAGGTTACACCGTCTCTGTCTTGATCGTAGCATTGCTCTTCTGAGGCTTGCTCTCTGCAACTGACTCACTCCTCAATATCTCTGCTTTCTCCAGAACCTGCGAGGGCGGCGGCATCGCTGCGGCATCTTTATCGAAAATGACCGCCATTTGCTCAAGCGTGTGGCCGCGAGTCTCTGGGTATGTAAGGTACACAGTGATAAGCATAACGACCAAGACAGCTATGAAAAAGAAGTAGTACTTCCACCCTATAGCATCAAGGGCGATGGCATTGACAAAGATGTTGAAGAATAGGGCACAGAAGGCAGAGACCCAACCAACTGTGAGGCCGCGCGATCGCAGCGAAAATTGCCAGATTTCGCAGGGATAGGCGGAGAGAAATGGTGTTCTGAAGTATGTCAGTACGATGCAAGAATTTGTCAACTGACTCAAACCGGGACTTACAGCGCGACATCATAGCCAGCAAAGAAGATGAAGATGAACGGAATGACGGAAACTCCGACGCTGGGTGAGAGGCTGCTCGCGAAGGAGCCACTCAAGCCAGTGATAATAATAAAGCTGACCAGCATGGTAGTGGCAGATAGAAGGAACAAGAATCGACGGCCCAGGCGATCCACGTTCAGAGATGCTGCGAGTGCAAAGAGGAGATTCCAGACGTTCAGGCAGGCCGATATAAGCGTTTGATGTGAAACTGCTGTAATGCCAACTGTATTCAGCATTAGTGGTAGATAGTATGATACCACACCGTTTCCCGCCCACTGCGAGAAGATACCCAGCGTCACTGTGATAAACAAGCGATGGCGATTTCCAGGGGTCTTGAACATGTCGGTGTACGACACATTGGCACTGCTCTCTTTTTCCACGGCGATGGCTGTCTCGATTTCGATCATCTGATACTCTACCAGCGCGGCATTTTCATCACCACCAGCGTGCCATGTTGCTAGCATGCGGCGGGCATCGCTTAGTCGACCTACGCTGATCAACCAACGGGGACTTTCTGGCGCCATGTAGAAGCCGACGAAAGCGAGCGCAGGGCAGACAAGCTGGAGCAAGGTTGGGATTCGCCATGACCAGTTGTCATCTATGACCCGAGTTCCGTAGACAACCCAGCTGCTCATTGTGCCGCCGACGTAGTAGCCGCACATGAACAGTGCACTAGCGATTGATCGGTGCTTCGGAAGGGCGATCTCGTTGATCAGAACAGGTGTGGCGACCATGAAGAAAGCGCCGCCTGTCCCAAGAAGCATTCGAGCGTATGTGTAGACCCTCTCCGACTGTGCGGTAGCCTGCATGATGACACCAGGTATGAGGAGCATGTAACCGAGCCAGACAGGCGATTTGCGACCGTATTTCTCTGACATCCAGGCACCGATGGGGAAGGCGATCCCGCTGGCCAGGATGTAGCAAGCATTGATCCAGCCCAAGTACGCGCCTGCCGGTTCACCCATGAAACCATACCAGGTTTTCAAGGCCAGCAGACTACCCATCACGGACCCATCGTAACCGCCGGTTGATGCTGTGTTTCGCGATAGTCAGCAAGCTATGTCTATAGATCCAGCTAACAGTCAGACCTACAGAACAGCATGAGTGAGAGTATCACGAAGTTCAGCTTCAGAAGGTATGGCCGTTTGTACCAACGCACGTCGTCGGAGGGAAGTTCGGACAAATCCGTAGGGCCTGCCATGGCTGCAATATTCTGCTGTGCTTTCTGATGTTTTCTTTCTTCTCTGTAGGGACCTGGTATCTTTATGTGATTTCAGGTTGGAGATGGTCACGAATCAAGATGGGATAGCCGGCGCTTGATCTGGACGGCGCGACCATCGGCCTAACACGCCACTGGAGGCTAAGGGGCTCGTCCCGAAGAATATCCAACATCTTCTACGGGATCTAGTCGTGCAGTGCCGAGGTTTTTCCGGAAGGACATACAGGCTTCGACTGGGCCCAGGGCCCAGGGTTGCTTGCCAGGTCTCCTTCAAGATGATTCTCGTTTGCTGTGTCTCTAGTTCACGAAGTGATCTTTTCACTGTGCACAGGTTCGCTACATCGAACGCAGAGTAGGCTTTCAAAACCATTGACACGATCAATTCGAGTCATGTGAAAGGTCTAGGTATCGTCAAATCCACATGTCGCGTTTGCAAGTCTTGGTTCCCTGCCAAGGCGCAATCCTTCGACCCCATGGGCATTTTGAGGGGAACCCAGTCCCGTCTGGGGGTGCCCCACTCTCCGAGGCAATGCAGGAAATTCACGATGTTTCGGCAATTGTTCGGCCGGATCAAGACTTCTATCCTGTACTTGGTGTTGCATTATCCGATGGCGCTTTACTGCATGGCTATTCATATCCGGGTCTCCTAGATACTGTCCAAGCGAGGGATGAAATCATCGAACAGATTCCGCATAATGTCTTCTAGGTTGATAATATCTCCAAACGGATCCTGCTGCAGTTCAGGAAACAGGCTGGCGTCCATTTGAATGCCCGATTGAATACCAGGCAGGTTAAGGTCGAATCCTGGTGCTGGAGTGGTCGCATTTGCATCGAAGGGCAGTGACTGGGTGGCCACTTGCTCATCTCCAACCGCGTCTATTCGAGGACCTTGTTTAGAATTGCGCTTGTGCCAGCGTATTGTCGATTGGCCCAATTCGGCGAGGATCTCCCGTGCGCGTTTGGCGCCAGTCCAGTGCTCGCCAGTTGCGCTGAGGATGCTGAGTCCAACACTTATGTCGCTCATGAGGTCTTCATCGTCCATTGTTCGCGCAATTCCAGGTACTGCCCTTGTGCAGTAGAGAATTGTGACAAGACTGAGAACAACCCCATGCAACGTGATCCAATCATGCGACAAGAGATCTCGATTGTACAGGTGGTGATAAAGTCGGATTGAATCTCGTGCCGACGCGTGGCAGTGACATAAGACCCCTGTACCCGGGCTTGGGATTGCGGGACTTGGTCTGAGCAGGACCATTCTGACAGAGTGATATCGAAGTTTGGAGGTAGCTTTCAAAAACTCGTTCTGAGAGTCCGGGATATTCTCGGCCCAGTCATCCAGCCGCTGCAGCATGTCATTTTGCCATGCAATTACATCTTGAATTGGGGGGTATGCGTACGAAGGCACATCCCGTACAATGCTGTTAGCCACGTACTTGATCTCCGAATTGAGTCTCGCCAGCTTGAAAAGATGTACAGAGCATGCTAAGTCGCAAATCTGAGAGCGAGGTGTGACTGGGTCATCAATAGTGCCACCGTCGTTCAGAAATTGCGGAAGCTTAATGGATCAGTGAACGTGCATCGATAATGGGAGCCGAGACTTACCCTCAATTCGCAAGCCTCATCGCGTAAGCCGATAGGACGGCCCATCATAGTTGCGATGGTTCTATCGATTGTGAAGACTGACCAAAATATACGGGTTCGCAGTTCCTGTTCAATAAGCGAAATACCTAGTGATGTCGTGACTTCTCTCTGTAAGCCAAGATCTAGGACCGACGCAATGCACTGATAGTTCATATACCATACGTTAAGCTTCATGTGCGGACAATGCATCGTAAATATTAGTAGAAGCACCATGCACTGTAGTCCTGAGAGTGAGATCCCTACATCGATGCGATCGAGATATTGTAGGGCAGACAAACAGTAAGACTCGGCGGGAATATGTCGCTTTGATCTCCAGGCCCATATAGATGCCGAGATAGCAAGAACCATGAATACTTGGAAGTGGACCGTGGCGGGTTCTTCATGTGAGCCACGATTGATTCCATCTGTGCTGTAGAGTCGAGTGAGGGCTGCACGGAAAGATCCCTCGTGCAATATTGGAAATTGAGGCTGCACAGTCTCGAAATACACTTGACATAGCTGCATTGCAAGCTCCTGGGGAGGCAGAGGTAGAGGTCCTTGAATAGCGCTTACAAGGTCGTTGATGCTCGTCTGAGGTGTAGCAGTAGGCCTGCGCACATTACAATCCGGCTCCCCATCTCTGCGAGATTTTGCTAGTAGCAGACGAGCTAGGAAGTAGCCACTCGAAGGGCCTATGTACTTCTGATCCGCGTTGCATCCCACGGATATCAGCCCAATCTCATGGGCACGTTGATCTGGGACCGCAGCGGATTGCAGCTCGGCAATGTTCACAACAGAGGCATCTCGGCTGATATGCCAGTTTGGTGATGAGGTACCTTCAGCGGTCGCACGTTCATCTTCGTCAGCGACTTCGTGGAGTTCAGGATAACCGACCGTTGTCAAATTGACATCGGGGAGACGTTCCCGAACGATCGATTCCAATGCCCTGACACGTTTTCTCAGCCTCTTCATCTCGGTTCTCTCTGCATTGCGCTCCTGAGGCCCGTTGCGCAAACGTATACTGCCACCATCAAAGCATTCTGCTGAGGCTTTCCTGCAGTTGCTGCATGTGGGATGCTCCCCATCACACTGGAGTGGCAAATTAGCGGGAATCCCCAAACGCACAAAGTCACTGCGCACGCGTATCTTTCGCCGTTGGCATCGTGCGCATGCGAGGCGCAAACGCGGGTTTCGTCGACTACCATTGTCGGTCATATTTCTTTTTGTTGAAGAGAAAGTGCCGGGCACAGAAGCGGGCAGCGGAGAAGCGGACGGCGGAGAGCGGCGGCGGCGGCGGAGCCGCGATCCACACCAACAACGCGGACTATCCCGCTCTGCAGCCCGTCGAGTTGAGCATGCCCTCAACTTGTTTAAAATCGCGTTATCATTAATTGACCTGCATTTTAATTCGGTCTCCTTCCACCTCACATAGATCTACCTTACCGACATCATGACAGAGCAATCAGACGCCGATGCAAAGCACTACGTCGACGCTGGGTCTGCCCAAGCGTTCGTTGAGAGAGTACTCTGTGGGAACGGAGTCCCGCCAACCAACGCCTCCATTGTCGCTCAATGTCTCATTGCAGCAGATCTTCGTGGAGTCGATACTCATGGAATGAACCGGATTCCCTCTTACATGGAAAGAATACGACAAGGCGTATTGGACGGATCCGCAACCCCAGAGCTCAAGCAGATTACACCTGCTGTGGCGCAAGTAGATGCACGCAACGGCTTCGGCTTTGTGGCTGCTGATGTTGGTATGGCTGCAGCGATCGAGTCCGCAAAGATCTTTGGCATTGGCATGGCCAGCATCAAGAATTCAAATCACTTCGGTATGAGCGCGTGGGTTGTGCAAAAAGCTCTGGATGCAGACATGATGAGCTTGGTCTTCACAAACTCAAGTCCCGCATTACCAGCCTGGGGTGGGAAAAGCATGCTTCTTGGAGTTTCTCCGTTGGCGTGCGGCGCCCCGGGAAAAGAGAACCCATTCATCCTCGACATGGCACCTTCGATCGCAGCGCGTGGAAAGATTTACAAGGCCAAAAGAAGAGGTGAACAAATTCCCGCGGATTGGGCTTTGGATAAAGATGGAAAGCCAACGACAGACCCCGCAGCCGCCCTTGATGGTGGCGTTATGCTACCCATGGGTGGACCCAAAGGTTCAGGGCTGGCTGTTATGATGGATGTCTTTTCTGGAGTTCTCTCAGGGTCGGCTTTCGCAGGACATGTGACCGGCCCATACGACCCGTCCAAGCCTTCAGATGTTGGCCACTTTCTCGTCGCCATTAAACCGGATCTATTCATGAGTCTTGACGACTTTAGAGAGAGAATGCAGTACCTTTATGAGAGAGTCGTAGGTGCAGAGAAGGCAGATGGCGTTGATCGAATATACTTTCCAGGTGAGCTCGAACAACTTCAACAAAAAGAGCGGGAAAAAACCGGTATACCCTTAGTGCAGGCGGAGATTGATGCGCTCAATGCGGAGGCTGACAAGGTGGGTGTTGATCACCTTCAAATCAAGCTTGTTTGATAGCAAATAAATGTACATAAAACTTTTCAGGATCTCTCTTGTGTTTGATGTTTGAACGCCTGATTTCGTACAGATGTCTTGGTAAGACCTGGCTAAATTGTTGGAAATAATTTAAGAACGCATATGCCTTCATAGTATACAACCATGTGAACGCGATCAAAGGGCACTCGCTGCAGTAGGCTCTGAACACTGATGCAGCTTCTTGACTGCCATATGGCACGGTGGAACGTTGCCGCTTATTTTTTGCTATATACCGCCATACATACAACTTGCTACGGCGAAGATGTTTCGAGCTGGCTGAGTCTATGTAAATGATAGTTCACAGTGTAACTCGACACTGTAGTTGCAATCGTGGCTGTACCGTCGTTGCTTTTTTTTACAGTAATAGCTCAGCGCAGCAATCAGGCTGTAAGCCTGTCTTCAGACTCGTCTTTGCAACCTGAGACTTTTCTGTGCTGCCCATGCCCAAGGTTGTTGTTAAGTTTCCGCCTCAATTCAATAGTGCAAACGGCTAAGCATTTTAGGCGCGGTTGATCATTCCTTGGTTACCGGTAGTGATGATCCTGGGGTTCGCTGTCCGAAGTTCCAAATTGCACGTTGCAGATAAAGTGGCCCTCGAGAACACAGCGTAATCAAAACCAATCTGGAAGGCGTCACCGCAATAAGGCAGCCGAGATGAATTGCGAGTATCAAGCAACTGAGAAGCTTCGCTTTGGGTCTTGAAAAGCTTGTCCCTTCCTCTTGAGTCCTGAACCTATCTTTCACGCTTCTTCTACACAATATGTTGGGCCAAATCACTCTTGTCGCACTTGCGTTTGCTCCATTCGCCGTTTCACAAATATCAGAGGGGTTCGAGCAAGGCTGGAACCAGACCACTTGGACAACATATGCGCCGGACTGCAACCAGGGTGGCAAGATCACACTCGACACCACGACCGCTCGCACCGGAAAGAACTCGATCCGTGTTGATGGCGCCGGTGGCTACTGCGGGCACATCTTTGTCGGCACCAACAAGGTACCCACTGGCGACGTATACGTGAGGACCTACTTGTAAGCCCTTGATTGCGCAGCCGAACATGATCAGGACTGACGCCAGCAAAGCAAAGCCGCAAAGGCGTTCACCGACTCCCATGTCACTTTCATCACCCACCCTGACCCAGCTCAGGGCACGAACAAGCACCTACGCATTGGTGGACAGTCGAAGATCATGATGTACAATCGCGAATCAGATGATGCTACTCTCCCAGACCTCTCGCCGCAGGGAATTGCAACGTCCGTCTCGATTCCAGTCAACAGCTGGCGCTGCCTCGAGTACCACCTTGGTACTGATGGTACTATTGAGACCTGGTTCAATGGCACTGCTGTCGCGGGTCTGACGTCCAAGCCCGGCGTTAGCAACCCAAATGCTGCGCAGTGGCAGAGGAGCAGCATCAAGCCGAAAGTCACTGGGGTGTACTTCGGTTGGGAGAGCTACGGTGGTGATACAAACACCTTCTGGTATGATGACATTGTAGTCAGTGACAAGAAGATTGGCTGTTAAGGAGCTGCGCGACGGTGTTAGGAGAGCTCGGAAGGTGCGGTGGATCGGAGGAAGGCGCAATTTGGATCTTGTCCGCCTTTAGCGCCAGATGCAACTGCCCCACATCATCTGACCAATCATACTTGCCTTCTTCACTGCTCCTCTTGCTTCCTGTCTCCATTGTGTCCTCCAAACTAAGATCAGTTTACTTGTCCTTGAAATCGATGGTGTCGAACTTTGAAAGGGTAGCTGCACATCTGCGTGCGGGTGCTTCCCCACTACATACGTCATTCAACACCAAGCAGCGAGAGCGCTTAATCAAGAGAAGAGTGGCTCGCCAAAAGCTACAGGAGTTTTTGCTCGTAACTCAGCCGCCTAAAACATACTTGATTGGTCGTCCTTGGCCTTGTATGCGCCGACCTCGAGGTCCCGATGGCCGTTTCCTGGGTGCGGAGAAGATCGCAGCACAACGTGAGATGGAAACCGAAGCGGGGAGGAGGACATATGTGGAGAACATCATCTCACCAACCCTTTATCAGGCTTCTACACCTCTGAAAGTCCTGCTGAAATCAAAGCTTTGATATGTCCCGGTTGCGGTATGAGCCTGCAGCGAAGGTGGCTTTGTTGCAGCTTGTCCTGTTGGCTCGCTGGTCTCAGCAAAGTGCGTCCAAACCGCTCCTTCTTTGGGTCCGGTAATTTGTGCAAGCTTCAATGTCCATACTAGCTGAGCCTCTTGTACAAGTGTGTACTATTATTACATCCATCACGCGCCGCACCGGAAGCAAGTCCAAAGACCTGGGTGTCAGCTTGCAGTAGACGGATGCTAGATAGCAATAAAAAGAGCAAAAAGAAACACTCCCTACCTTTGGTCATTTCTAATCAGGATCCCTGACCGGGTCACTGTGCCGTAGATAAGACACATAGATAAAGGCCCTCGAGAACGCGAACAACGAACATGCGAGATTGGAGTGTGTTGGTGGGCATACTTCATCTTGCTGCCGTCGACTGTGAACATCGTTTGAGCTCTGGCGCACTCAAGGCATGAGAGCCGGAAATGCCGAAGACGCCTGAAGGCTGCTTTCGAGTCGACTATCGACCGTCTGCCTACCATCTAGTTGCCTAGAAACATCGAAAGTCCATCCACAGCATGCTCCGAGCCATAGAAACAGCAAAATGCTGGTAGCCCACCTTGGAACATTACCACCCTCCGTGATGACCAAGACAATACTGCCAAACGAACTTCAGCCTCCCATCCACCAGCTGCAAACAGCATCATCACGTGCAAGAAGGAGCCAGGTGTAGATGGAGATATCGATAAGATCCCGGCATTATACGGCATTACATACTTAACCCCTTCGTCCAGTCCAAGTCCAGCCCGTGTAGACACGACCTCCACTTCACCACACGCACGCACCACAGCAAAAAAACAGGTGAACAAGTGCGCCAAGAGCCGTACACCTACACCCAACAAACGCTCATACACTTCATTCACTCCGTATCTATAAGTTATGCATGCGGACGCGGACCAAATTGCCGTTACGCGCCAACCTCCTCCATGATGGGCTGCTCGTGGAACCCATTCGCGCCGTTGCCGTTGGCTACGCCGTTGCCGTTCCCGTTCTCAATCGGGCTGGCGTCGAATTCCATCTTCTCTTGCTGCGCGATGGCTTGTTGCGAGACAATCTCGGCGAGTCGCTTGAGGCGGGGGGTTTGCAGCCCTGATTCGCGTTAGCTGGAGTTCTGAAATATTTGGGTATTAGACTGGGCTTACATGAGGGCGTGTATGTCTCAAGGGCAGTGATGACGCGGGGTTCTGCGATCTCGTAGGGGCCGCTGTCTTCCATGTCGACGGCGGTGAGGAGCAAGACGTCGCTCTTCTCGGTGACTCTGCTGGCGACTGCCTTCATGATCTCGCCGTTGATGGGCTGCTCGTAATCGGCAACAAGGTACTGGTTGAGCAGCTTCTGGATCTGGTTAGGCGACAGCATCCAGCAGATGTCCTGGATGATTTCAATGTCGTTCAGCGTCGCCTTCTTAAGCTGCAACAGCTTGGTAGCCTGCATCAGATGCTCGAGCTGCAGAGTGCCCTCGGGCATGTCATGCGACTTGCACCACTCTTCGATGCGGGTGATGTTGTAGTTGATCTGCAGACCACGCTTCCACGAGAGGAAGTTGCGACGCATGAGCAGGTCGTTGAAGGCGGTGACGCCGACAAGGCGGAGCAGCTCCGTTACACACTGCGTGATGATTGTGTCTTCGAGATAGAAGGCCTTCATTGCCTTGTAGACACTGTTCAGCAGACTGAGCAGGTTGTCCATGCTGTATGCAGGAGTGTTGCTCCCCTGGAGGAGCTTGCCGAGGAAGCGGTTGCTCTCGTTGGTAACGAAGCCTGGGAGAGACTGCGACTCGATGATGGCGGGGATGATCATCTTGTGCAGCTTCTTCTTGAGCACCTTCATCCATGTGTGGTAGATATTGAACTCAAGACTCTCCAAGTCGTGCTTGACAATCTCGAGTAGGCGGTCGTACTCGTAGTTGTCAGTCTTCTGCTGCTCATACCAGTCTTCAGCCAAGAAGACAAAGGAGAGCATCTCGTGGACGTTTGACAACCAGAATGCGCCAGGGTTGATGGCGTCATCGCTATCGTGCTGCATGACCTCCTGCTGGATGGACTGCATGACGTTGGCAAGGAATCGCTCGGACTCCTTGACAAACCCGTTGTTCCACATCTCGGAGGTGACGAGGTTGATGAGGTAGGCGGGGAAAAGAACCTCCTTGTCTGTGGGAGGAGGAGTGGTAGTGGGAGATGGGATCTTCAGGTTCTTGATGAGACCAAGAGTAACCTCATCATTGAGCATGTCCTCATCAGCCAGGATGTTCTCAAGCTCAAGCTCGACATTATCAAGCTGCGCGAACGTAGAGCCAGACAGATTTTGCCTGTGCACAGTCGAGCCAACGGCCATCGAGACTGGTCGGGGGTTGTACGTAGCGCTGAAGCGGTCCAGATCGCGGGTGTCGGGTCCGGCACTTCGCCTCTTGGGCTTCTTCGACGAGACAAGGTTGATCAGGCTGCTTGCCGCGATGGGAGCGTTGCTGTTGTCGAAGGTACCGTTGATGGGTCCGGAGCGCTTCATCAGCTCGACCTGCTCCTGGAGCTCGGCGAGTTGCTGACGAAGAGACACCTTCTCGGTCTCGGTGACATTGCTCTTCCTCCTGGAGGTGTCCAGCTCTTCGGTGGTCTGCTTGAGGGAAGCACGCAGCTGCTTCTCCTCCTCCTGAAGGTGTCGCATCTTGGCGGTGCTTTCCTCGTAGTTGGTCTGCAGCTTCTTGAACTCGTCCTCCATCTGGCTCAGCTTGGCTGCGGTGATACCGGCCTGGTTGGCCTCGACCTGCAGCTCCTTCTGCCTGTTCTCGAGAGCACGGCTCCTCTCCTTGTACGATCTGATTTGGTTCTCGTAGTTGTCGACCTGCTGCTTCAGACTCTTGTTTTGCTCCTTCATTGAGCCAAGAGTCTGAGTGAGCTCGACGACCTTGTTTTCCAGCTTGTAGGAAATGTTCTTCAGATCGCGAGACTCGGCACGGAGGGTCTTGTAGCCCTTTCGTGCCTGCTTTCCTCGCCACAAGCTCTGGATAAGAACAATCTTGTTGCGGTATTGCCTCCAAGCCTTGAGCGATCTTTGCGACCTCCAAGTGCGCTGGATGATGCGAGCAGCGTTGCCGAGTCTTGTGTCCAAGATGTTCTTTCGGCAAAGGAAACCCTTTGCGGCGGCTTCGAACAGGATAACGGACTTTCGTACGATGTGGAAGCGCTTGCGGTCCTTGGAACCACGCCACACTCTCTGGATGGTGGTGGCAGCCTTGACTTGCCTAGCCTCCTCAGCACGTTCCCTTGTCATGTAGCCTCGGGCAAGAGACTGCACAGAAACGATGGCGGTCCGCATTTCCAAGTAGATGCGACGGTAGTACTTAGCCCTGAGATTCTTCTGAATCATGACAGCAGCATCGTACAACCTCGCTGTTCGCAGGTTCTCGAGGAACGCAAGCATACCAGCGCGGAAGAAGATCTTGGTAAGACCCATCTGGTACTTATCGGCGCCATCGTTCTTGCCGTTACCCAGCGCCTTATTGAGAATGGCCTTGGCCATGTTGCGGATCTCTGGTGTCCACTCCGCAGACCTGACCAACATGTAGTAGCGGAGAGCGAACTCTTCGTACGTCCATCTTGTGGGGTATCCTGCACAACTGATTCTGACCGTCTCGAGGACACCACAAGCACGCAGCTGACTCAGGACCATTGGCCCGTCGAACTGCCAGGCCGCCTTTGCCTCGTTAGGCTTGATACAGCGAATGTAGTGGACGTCGGTACCGCTGATGGTGGCCATCAGCTCAATGAGCGAAGATTTGAAGATGCCTCCCAGCGTGGGTTTCCTGTTGGTCGTTATCCTACGGCCGGCCGACATTGTGGTACCCGGCTTTGGTGCGGGAGCAGTCTCCTTTTCACGTATCGACGCTGCAACGTCCAAGATCTCAATCAAGAACTTGTTACTCGAGGCTCTCAGCACCTCCATGTGCTCATCTGGCACAGTATCTCTGTTTTTCTCGATGAAGCCATCGGACTCGTAGGTGACATCCACAGCGTAATGACAGACGGTGAAAGCAGATTTGCCGAATCGGGGCTTCTTGTAGAACTTGTGCTTATCTCCAGAGTAGTTGTGGTGCAACTTGGTGACGAATTGTTCATCTGAACCCATGGGAAGACGCGACTCTTCGTCAAGCAGCGAGAGAATACCGAGCTTGCCCTCGATCAGGTCGATACAGGGCTGGTTATCCGCAAAGTCAATAAAAGTCCAGTCGATCTGTTCGCGCATGTATTCTTCCTGCTCGAGCTTGAAGACGTGGGCGTTGAACTCCTGCTGCAACTTCTCGTTGGCGTAATTGATACAGAACTGCTCGAACGAGTTCTTCGCGAAGTGCTCGAAACCGTAGATATCCAAGACACCGATGAAGGAATGAGCCTGCGAAAGGACCTCATCCGTGGCCAAGCTCTCGTTGGTGCGCTCGACCAGCCAGTCGAACATACTCGAGTAGATAAACTTGGCAACCGAGTCTCGTACGACCACAGCCTGCTGTTGTGTCAAATTCGAGACAATCTTCTCTCCTCTTGTGATCAGCTGCTTCTTTACTGTCCACTTCGCGAAGCTAGCAGCCTCGATGCCAAGAAGACCGCAAGCCTTCAACAGCGAAGGCTCGTCTGGTGCCAGGTTCGAGTCTGTACGTGTCGCCGTGATCTTGACGTCTCCCATATGCAACAGAGCCGCAAGCAGGCGGAAGATCTGTGACTGTGTCTCCTGCGGGACACCAATCTTGGTCAGGGAACTCTTTGTCGCCTCGAATTCGGCCTTGTCGTCCATGCCATCAATGATGGGTGCGCTGCCCTGGTTGAGGTAGCTGAACTCCTCGACGGGTTTCAGAGACAGCTCCTGGCGCTCAGCGTCAGTGGCACCAGCCACGAGTTGGTAGAAGATGTGGTAATTCCGCTCCTTAAGCGGCTGGAACACCAACCTCGACCGCTCGAGCAAGTATGTCCTGATCTTCGCGCCGATAATGTCCGTCTGCTTGTTGAACAGAATCTCAATGTATTTACCGAAACGGGACGAGTTGTCGTTTCGCGTAGTTTTGGCGTTACCAAAAGCTTCCATGATAGGGTTCGTAGCCAGAATCTGCTCCTCTGTCTCGGACATGGAGTCGATCTTGCCTCGCCGCTTGCCTGGGTTGTCGGGGGACTCGCGCGTGGCAAAGTATCGCATGATGTATTTGGCGCTGACGGTCTTACCCGCACCAGACTCTCCGGAGACGACGATGGTCTGGTTCTTCTGGTCTCGCAACATGTCGCTGGGTGGCGTTAGCATCTCATCTTCACAGCAGCACGTGGAGAAGACCTACGCAAATGCCTCTTCGGCAATGGCGAACAAGTGAGGGGCGCCATAGGAGCGCTGCTTGCCGGCATAAACCTGCACCATGCCGGGGACATAGAGCGAGTCGACACGGGCGAAGGGATTCGCCGCGATCAGGACGATGCCGGAGTAGGTGTAGATTTCATTCTGCAGATAGCGCAGCTTGATGGCCTGGAGCACTGTGCCGTGTCAGCGAAGGCTCCACGGGGATCCTGTGTATGCATACCGGCCGGCTCGTTGAGATGCGATAGGTTGGTCAAGTCGTCGCTGGCCTCGAGCATGGCCGGGTTCATCAGCGGCGGCAGATTGGGGTCATTGCCCGTCTGGATGGCGACCACTGTCGTCTCGACCGACTTGCTCTGTGCATGGTCAGTAGGCCTCGCGGGTCTGGCGGCTGGCGACGCACCTCCCCGTTCTCCAGCTGGAAGACCAGCGTCACTTTCTCGCCGTCGATTCGCTTGTCCGTGACCTCCGAGGCCACCCAGCCCTCGGTCGTGTCGGGCTGCCATGCCCGTGTGCCGATATCAAAGATGTGCGCCATGGCGGCGTTGTGTTGCTTTCCTCCGCTGTGCTGCGGGCCGTTCCAATATCAGGGTCCAGTCCGCAATGCGCCCTTGACGTTATGGTGCGGGCGGGCGGGCACCTCCAGCTTCGCGGCGGCGTGGATTAGATGGGCTGTCGGCGCGGGCGGCTCACTGCGAGCAGGGCATCTCTCGCGGGGGGAGGCGTGCAGAGGTTGGGGTCAAGTCAACATGCGCGTTCCAGAAGTTAACAATGTTCTGCGCCGTGCACCTGAGCGGTGAGACCTAGTGCGGCCAGTGGCCAACGACAGCCGAGCAGCGCGCGTCTCACCACCAATGCACTCCCCTTGCGCCTGCATACGCCGCAGGCTAGCTGGTAGCTGGCCACCCACCGCTTTCGCGTGCACTGCGTTTGCATACACGCATCGCATCGTGTACCACCAAGCCTCAACGCGCATCCCAGCTGCTACCTGCGCGGTCGCAGAGCAGCCAGGGCACATGTCGCGGCGGGCCCTGCCAGCTGCCACCATGCAAACGTGTCGTTTCCAGGAACCACTCGCGGCGGCGATCACTTGCTGTCCGGCGTGGGGAGGGCGAGTGCTGGCCCTTGTTGCGTGATTGGCCCACTACGACAGAGCCTCCTGACAGCCTCCTGACAGCCTCCAACGTCCAACGGGCGTGGGCGTGCTCACTCGCCAACCCGTTGTCATTTGCGCCGCATTGAAGCCTCCACACCTCAATCTCACAGGCATCCCCGCTCCACACACTGTTGGTGGTCGGTGACGCGCGATGGCGGGCCGACCATTCTGAAACAACTAACAGCGTCACGTGACAAGCATGGCATATCGCTACGAAATTGATTCCATGCGCCCCTGTCTACTCCTTTGCGTGAATAGGACTGTTTTCTCGAACGCCATGTTGAATGCTTTTGGTGTTCTAGGCGCACTGTGGTCTCTGTACGAAGAGGCCTGGGATACACAAACTCTAGGAAATTCTGAAAAAGAAAACATGCGGTTTAGCCGTACAGAACCCGTGTGCGAATGCATGAAGAGAGCTCCTGCAGACTCTGGAACAGATCCCTAATCTCGTCCTCCTTGACAGAGCTGAGGTCAGCCATGAGGTACGCGACCTCGCCTCTTGAATCGGACATCTGCTTGTCAATGTTGTGGTTGAGCAAGATGCCGTTGACTGGCCCATGTTAGCTTCTCCCTTTTCGATAAACGTTATTTCGAACATACCTTGTCGCAGCACACCCGGTACGTTCTTGTGGATGTAAATGACGCGCATGCAGTTCGCCTCCTCAAGGGACAGGCCTCGCAGGTTGACCTCGGGCATGTTGACCGCACCCAATGTGGCGCCCTCGTTGACGTAGCGCACGAGAGCAGTCGAAACCTCGACACCAATCGCGCTCTGTGCCTCCTCTGTGGATCCACCAATGTGGGGAGTCAGGATGATGTTCCTGAGACCGACAAGGTCCTTGGTCCATGTGTTCAGCTCGTTGGTGAAGTAGTCGCCGTTGCCGGCGGGCTCGTGAGGGAAGACGTCGATGGCAGCACCGGCAAGCTTGCCAGAGCGCGAAGCGTCGATGAGGGCGGGGATGTCGACAACAGTACCGCGTGCGTTGTTGATAAGATAGCTGCCCTTCTTCATCTTCTCGAATTGCGCTGCACCGATGAGGTTCTTCGTGTCCGCTGTTGCTGGTACGTGAAGCGAAACGAAGTCGGCCTGCTCGAGCAGCTCATCAAGGGTCTCGACTTGATGCGCAGTACCAAGACCCATCATAGTCACGACATCGTAGTAGATGACCTGCATGCCCATGGACTCGGCCAACACACTCAACTGGCTACCGATGTGTCCGTAACCGACTATGCCCAGTGTCTTGCCGCGCACCTCCCAGCAGCCCTTGCTAACCTTGTTCCACACGCCATTGTGCAGTTCCATAGAACGGTCGGCAAGCTCACGAGCGAGCGCAACAATTTCCGAGATGACGAGTTCGGCGACCGAGCGCGAGTTGCTGAAGGGCGAGTTGAAGACGGCAATACCCTTCTCGGCAGCAGTCTGGAGGTCGACCTGGTTTGTGCCAATGCAGAAACAACCGATGACGATCAGCTCCTTTGCCTCGTCCAGCACCTTCTTAGTGAGCTTTGTCTTAGAGCGGATACCAACGACCTGAACATTGCGGATCTTCTCAATCAGCTGGTCCTCGGGCAGACTGGCCTTCAGTGCCTCGACCTGGTAGCCCTGCTTCTTAAGGATCTCGATACCGGCGACATTGACATTCTCTAGCAGCAGCACCTTGATCTCCTTTGTGTTGAAGGGCTTAAGGCGCTGGGCCATCTGGTTGGCAGAGAGCACATCGCTGAAGCTGCCAGAGTGGCCCTGGCTGAAGCTACCGCGCGGGGGTTGGCGGAAGCTGTTGGGCGGGCTGTGGAATGCGAGACTTGGGCTCGTGGAGAGGCTGTTCGAGACTTGGCGCGCCAGGTTGCTGATGCCGCCTGCGATATCTTGTGGGGGAGACATGGTGTATGCGGATATTGGCGGAGTTGTGATGCAAGGGATGTTGTAACTCGAATTGGTCGTTGAATCCGAGGTCTACGGGCAGTATATAAGTACAGGTGTCCGCTTCTTTATATACGAAGTTGTTGCGGGGTCCCAAAAAGTGGTCTGTCTTTGATGAAGAACAGCAGCGACGACAATAATTAACTACAACACCACAGGACAGTCAGCTCGTACCCACTCTTCGGACAGGTGAGTAATACGTCAGGCTAATTGTCGCCGTGACTCCGACAGTCGGCACAACTGCTTTCGATGGGGTCGAAGTTTTTTCGGGCGCCAGATGATGCAATCCCAGACCCCGCTAGAATTCGTCTAAAGCTCTCTAGCTGGACTGCCCCTCCAATGCCGCCAACACGGTGCGCGGCATCAGCTGTCGGCCGATACGGCTGGTCGCTCGCCAGAGTCCATCACGCCTCGATTTGCATCTGGGACTCATACATAGCGGTGAATTTGCGATGGTGTGATCGCCGACTTGTGGCAGACAAAACGCCATTATTCATAATCTATGGATCCCGGCTTTATGCTCGCCTAACGCTTTCCTTGCAGCGCTGAACGTTCGCCGACCGAATCGCAACATAGCTGATATCCTTTCTCATGACTCCATTATTGTGGTATAACCAACTTTTGTGCAAGAAGGCGCAATTTACAACTTGCCCTCTTCCTGCATGGGCCATTGGTAGCCTGTGAACATGTTAGTCGTTTGCCCAAGTCGTGCACAGAGGTTAGGACCTACCTGCTGCGTCGCTGAACTTGTAACCGTACGACGACGTGAAGTCGTCGAGAACGGCCGGGCCGCGAGATCCTGCACTGATTAGCTGGGTTCGAGTGCTACATGATTGATGTACGTACCGTATGGGTATTCCATGGGGATAATCTCCTTGTTGTCGTCGAGGTAGTGCAACAGAGGCGAGAAGATCCTCCAGCTGGCATCGAGCTCATCGTCACGAACGAAGTTGCTGTGGTCGCCCTTGAGCGCATCAAGAATGAGCGACTCGTAAGCCTCGGGGATCTTAAGGTCGGAGAATCGCCGCCTGTATGTCAGGTCGAGCTCTGTGACCACGGTCTGCATGCTGAGACCGGGCAGCTTGGAGTTCATCTTGATGTAGACGGACTCGTTGGGCTGGACACGAATGACCAGCTCGTTACGGGGAATGTCCTTGAAGATGCCGGAGGTGACATCCTTGAACTGGATGCGGACCTCAGTCTTCTGCTCGTTGAGCGCCTTACCTGCCTTCAGGATGAAAGGTACGCCATCCCATCGCTCGTTCTTGATGTATGCGACCATCGAAGCGAATGTAGGGCAACGCGAGTCCTTGGGGACTGTGTCATCCTCCTTGTAACCGGGCTTCGTTCCGTCGAGCGACTTTCCGTACTGTCCGATAATAACGTTCTTGGGCTCGATCGCGGACATGCCTCGCAGGACACGGACCTTCTCGTCGCGGATGTCTTCGGCCGAGAAAGAGATTGGGCGCTCCATGGCGAGCAGAGTTAGGACCTGCAGCAAGTGGTTCTGCATGACATCACGGATGATGCCGAACTCATCGAAGTAACCACCACGGCCTTCTGTGCCGAATGGCTCCTTGAATGTAATCTGCCTTTGTCAGCATCTAACCGCCCATCACGCGTGTACACATACCTGGACGTTGTCGATGTGGTTCCTGTTCCAGGTGGCGCCGAAGAACTCGTTACCGAACCGGAGGATCAGGATGTTCTTGACCATCTCCTTACCAAGGTAGTGGTCAATACGGAAAAGCTCGTCCTCGGACCAGTCGGGGGCAAGCGCGCCCTGGAGCTCGCGAGAGCTCTGGAGGTCCTTACCGAAGGGCTTCTCGACCTGTGCAAACGTGATTAGAAGCAAGTTGCGTGGCGCTGCGGATGCGTGACTTACAATAACACGAGAAATACCGTTCTTGGGGTAGTTGTTGCGCTTCAGGTGCTGTGAAACTGTGATGAAGACGCTGGGAGGCAGTGCCATGTAGAACATGCGGTTGTTCTCCTTGCGGCCCTTCTCGAGCTCGGCCAGATGCTTCTCCAGCTCGATGAAGGACTCATCCTTGTCGTACTGACCGGAGACGTACGAGCAGAAGCCAACAAACTCCTCGAGTTGCTTCTCCATCTCCTGTGTCGGGGTCTTGATGTACGACTTGACGCGCTTGAGGTACTCCTCGTGGTCCATCTTTGTGCGTGCATAGCCGACGATGCGAATGTCCTTAGGGAGGAAGTTGTTGCGGTACTAGCGGGTACGTCAATACAAGCCATATGTGGCCAAGTGGGCGACTCACGAGACCGAAGAGCGCAGGGAACTGGGTTGATTAGCGAAGTTTGCTGTTGTGCGGCGCTCGAGTACTCACGGTCTTCTTCTTGGCCAGGTCACCGGACGCGCCTAGCACGATGATGGTGGTGTTATCTTTGAGCTCCTTGGTGCTGTGGAGAGTTGCCGGTCAGCACATGATTCTCCGAAACGCGTTGTGTGCTCTTCCTGCGTCGCCGTCGAGCTGCTTCGGCGATGTCGGGAGACCACCGGCTCCACCTCGAGCATCAACACCAGGATGGATCTCGCGGGAACATCTCCAAGAGAACCCCGATGCGAAGAAGCATGCAAACAAACGAACATACCCGGCATTGGCCTCGACCTCGGGCTGAATTACGGTATCCGCCATAGTAATGCCGGTGGAGGACTGGTGTTGGTAGTGTTGAGGAGCGCGGCGGGGTATCAAGGGCAATTGGTGGGCGCAAAGTGTTGTGAAGGAAGAAGGATGAGCACGTCTCAAAGTCAGCTGCGGAAGGCGCGGGTGGATTGTTGGCTGCAGGAAAAGCTTCGACCTAGGTGGGGTGTGAATCGGGCCCTGGTTTTAGCGGTGGATGCGCCGGACGTGGTGTTTAGTGACGCGGTCGCCGCCAAAGCTCCAATGATGACGATATGCTCGGGGAAAATGCTTCACGCAATCTCACGGCGGCTGCACCCTCTTTAAATCCGCTATCAGTAAACACCAACTCAGGATCACTAAGCCGCCTCATGTCTTGCAAAGCATCTCCGGCGCGAAACATATCCGCACTTCGCCGGAGTTTTGCTGCCCCACCAACCGTCCGTGAGCTTCGCAGCACTGCAGTCTGCATCACTGCCTTGCCGAGACTTGTGGCACCTTTGGAAGCTGCCAGAGCAGCGATCGCATTTACTCTAGCAGACACGACTCGTTTCAAGTTGTCACAGTGCTTTGACATTGTGACACCCGTCCCACGAGTGCCCCACGAGGGATCTCCGAACCGAAAGCGCAGCAGCATCAACTATGTATGCGTCGCGAACTGAGTACACTACGCAAATCGGCAAGCCTCAAAGAATCCGGACTGCTGCTGGCAATCCTCCGGCCCCTCTTCAGCGGTCCACGAGACCTTGTTGAGGCCCTAACCGCCCGACAAGGCTGCAGCTCGTTGACAGCATCGCACTCTCTAGCACCCGCGAGCATTCGCTTAATAGCCCGCCGGATGTGCTCAACATGGCACCGTGGGCGTGGGATCTGTAGCCGGAAATACTTTATGATCACCTGGTGAGCGTTGACACGACGAAGTGATTCAGTCCATTAGCGCGGGCCGATAGGTGTACATCGGCGAATTGACCGTGCAGCACGGTACATATGATGTATTGACGGCCAGCAGCTGGTGCAGCCAAAGAGCACTGTCAGACCGAGTTATGCAGGGCAAAAACGTCAAAACCAGATGTGTGTATGATTCAACTAGGCCACAACACACTGCAGTCGTGGTTATGAATGACTGGCAATAATAGACGTCCAATTTTGGGAGAGTGTTCCAAAAAGGCAAGTCTTGTATGTGTAACTGCACAGATAAGCCGCGGCTGACCAAGCCATCGTGGGGCAACTCTTACATCTGGTCTGGACGGACGCTGCATTCGGACTTTAGCCGCACCTTCTATTTAATACGAACCCTTAGGCTTCAGCAGGCAAACATCAGGGATGGTAGTTAGTTGTGCTATGAAAGCGGAAAAAGTCAGTGGCATACGAGGCCGACTGGACCCAAGTATGTGCATCTAGCACCACACAAAAACCCCAAGACAGGAATTCCTCTTGATTCGGGAAATCCGGAAGTGATGATAGCCACACGCCTTCCACACTGAGATGCCTTTGGAAACAATAGTCAGACCTTTGTCAACCTATCTCATGCTACTAGGACCTATTCAGTCGAGTATCAGCCCTTACAATCTATACCTGTACAATGCAGCCATCAAGCATTTACGATTTGGCTATGGGTTGCGTGGGATCACCGAAGGTTGCATATGGCCCTAGCACGCTTCACACAATGATGTCAACGCAGATAGAGCAATGCAAACTGATGACAGCACCCTGGTCAAAAAAGAACGGCACGTGCAGAAAGCGTCCTTGACGACCTCTACGAATATTACATGATCTGAAAGACAGCCTACAGTTTTTCAACGACTGCCACCGCGGAGTGGCCAGCGTCGAATTCAAGGTGTTGGTGTTGACAGTTGCGGCGCCAAGTGCGGGAGTCTCGCACAACGGCACTTTCGAATATTCGAATATTCACATCACCAACATGTATTCGTGACAGGAGACAGTGTGCATCCTAATCGCCAAAACAGCACCATGAGAGCATTACCAAAGTCATATTGTATCTACGAAAGACGCGCAAAGTTGATGTGGATGCTCGAACACACATCGAAGGCGCGAGACGCTAGTGGCACGTGACGCACTTTAAGCGAGGCAGGCACCATCAGTATCCGATTTTCGACCACCGCGACACCAGGAGATCAACTAACCCGCAGCACCACCACGGTTCCCGATTCTACACACACGCCGGAGGCCAGGAATCATCGCCATGTCTGACACCAAGTCTCACCGTCTCTACGTAAAGGGCAAGCACATTTCGTGAGTGCGCACCGGAGCCAGATGCTGAACAAATCGCTAACACGCCATAGCTACCAGCGAGGGTACGACTGAATCCGCACTGCACTGCAGGCTTCGCTCACACGCAACAGAAAGCGCAACACCAACCCCGGCACCTCTCTGCTCAAGCTCGAGGGTGTTGACGACACCGCCGCCGCACAATGGTACGCCGGTAAGCGCGTAGCATGTACGTACAATCGACCCTGGGACACCGCGAGGGAACATGGAGGTTAATGAATCGCAGACGTCTACCGCGCCCAGCGCGCCATCCAGGGCTCCAAGATCCGCGTCATCTGGGGCAAGGTCACCAGGCCTCACGGAAACTCTGGCGTCGTCCGCGCCAAGTTCAGGTCGAACCTCCCTCCCAAGTCCTTCGGTGCCTCCGTCCGCGTCATGCTTTACCCTTCTTCGATATAATTTCGGCCACCAGGGGACGAGACGAATGGTAGATGAGCGATGGAGCGGTTAGTGATTCGGCGCAAAACCCGGCAACGGCATCGGAACGAAGCAATACGACAGCGGGGAGGCTTTCATGCACAGTTTCATTTACATGGCATGTTCAGGCTGGTTAACGGTGTCATTGTTTTCGGAAATCCATGACAAGGCAATGGCAAAATCAATCAAGATTCCTCCCAAGATCAATGGAAAATGATCAAATCTCTCGATTGTGGCTTTGTGTGATGGATCGGCAGGACTGTGTCGGGCAGGACAGCGATGTGGTACTGACGGTGTTCTAACGTGCACAGGATAGACATGCTCACGAACGAAATGTTCAGCATCCGCCCAAGCACCACGACCACCCATCAATGGCGGTGAGGCCGACTGCCCACTGAGTCGCTGCTCTCCGAACCACACCAATTGAGAACCCCACACGGTCTCCGCGAAGACTACACGGTGCGGAGAAAGACAGTGATACTGTACATACTCCCACATCGCCCACTGCTGAGTGCATGGAAGAGATACTATTTCCCATGTCCGAGGACTCGGATAGGTTGACGACTACGTGTACCTGCCCCATATCCTTGCAACCCAGCACATGATCAGCTTCACATGCGCTGCTTGACTCCAAGTCTTCGCACCATCTGCAGGCCATCTCACAGGTCAAGCCGATGATATCCACCAGCAAGACCCAAGTGACCAGTGTGGTTCCAACAAGTCTCAGCCCGCACCCTTGTCGTACGTCATCATCCACCGTGTCTACTAACTCTAACAGCCCACCGATGAACGCGGTTTCGCACCACCAAGCTCTCTCGTCGGCCCCGGCGGCATCGCCATGCTATCATTGTGTCTTCCTCGCGGACATGCCCAGTACACAGACAGATCAACCGCGATCAGTACATCCCCCAGAGCACGTGACCTGCGCTCTAGCACCTCATTCGTCTCAAACGCATACCCTCTGCAAGCCCCCGCCGACATCTCCTCTAGAGTACAATGAATCGGTGCCTAGTGTCTCGCCCAGAGTGGCTTCAGGCGGCCTGGGATGTGTAACACTGCTGGTATGTCGACATTGCACACCTCTCCGCCTCACCATGAGCGAACTCACTATCTCGTCGTTCGCCATCTCGTCATCTCGACTCAGAAGACGAAGCGATGCGGTATCGCGCCTCCTCTCAGCCAGTGACGTAAGGACCCTGCTTCGCGAATCTGATCTGCTTGGTAACGGTCGTGCTGTTCCGGTGTTGTATTGTGTGTGCGTTCGCGACGCAGCCCCAGTGGGCGGCTTCACGGCTTTATACAACGATTCTGCGTGGCAGAGACGAAATGATAGTACGAACCCACGGCACCGGTACCAGCAGATTCTGTCTTGTGGCCCAGATCATCTCATCCATCCCTCGTTCTTCTCGCACTGTGTGTTTCTGCGAACAAACAGATATAAACTTCGAGCGAGGATGTACACACGCAACATCGGTGGAAAGGGCGAGAATCAGAGCTGCCGAAGCTGGTATGGTGTGGTATGGTATGGTATGGTATAGTATTGAAAAGTGAAGTATGAGATACTGCAAGATGGTAGACTTTATATCACAGCATAGTACACTACACTGCAACGCACCGCGTCACACCATGCTTCCGCGTAGCCCGACCAGCCCACGCAAAGCTCGTCGCTGCAGGATGAGGGTAGTGTGGTCCTGAACGGCGTGTTGGTGTGTCGCTGATCCACTGTTTACATACTTGCGATGCACGGTATCTAAAGTATTCTGTTTACATGTCTTGTGCTGCATGTGATTGATTTGTGTCCTCGCCTCCAACCCTCTCTCCATCGATCTCGCCCGGATCCCAAGGTATTGGTTTGCGTGTACCTACACGTCAGTGTGGCGCGTAGTGTTGAGTCGGCAATACGTCTGCTGCGTTGACAACATCTTGTAATGTGAGCAGTTATATTTATGTGTACGCAAATACGCACATACTCCCATTCAGACTTACTCGTTCTGCACAGAAGCACAGTACAAACGAGCCGGTAGAATACCTGTCGGCCCATCTTTCCCCCACAGCATCGGAGCGTACATGAGTAAAATGCCAAACCCACGGTCTCAGATTACGGGAATACCTATCTCCCCTGCTACAAAGACGCGCCTAGAAACACAGTATGCCAGGGCTTTCCTGCCCGGACAAAACTCCAGCACTTCTCTGCTCCTCCCTGGACCTTGACACCCGAGCTCTCGCAATGATACACGAACACACACCTCAGCACCACAGACCAATACTAACCCAACGCATCCCCCGCAATCTCTCTCCGTCTCTCGACAAGCGTCTCCACGACCTCTCGTCGAAGCGCTTCAGCAGACGCTCACTGTAGATGTGCACCTCCGTACAGCCTCCCCGTAATCCCACCATCAACACTCCACAATCAGATGCCTTGCCGAAAGGGCCCGCACAACACGGCCTCTCAACGGTATTCCACGAGCTAGCCCCTGTTCTTCTGCCCGCTGTTCGAGATCCACCCAAGCCGAGCCCTTCGCCCCCACCTCCCCCAAGACAACTCGAGGCCCCGCTGAGCGTCGCAGTACACCACACAGCCGCACGCGAGCATGGTATCTAACTCCATCTCACACCATGGCGTAGGCGTGTATCAGCGATTCGACACGTGCCGTACGATTCCCGCACTGCGAGCCCACACAACGCGAGGACACAGACCGCGCTCGGAGAGCAGGGGAGACGCAGACACGCCGCCGGAGGGATGTACAGATAGACAACATGTCGTTCCACGACGTGGCTGGGTCTCGGATTCGGCTGGGGGAAAATGGGCGGGCTGCGATTTTCCGCGTCGGTGTCACGCGCTGTTCTGGATGCAAGCTTCACAAGTCGTGTTAACAAACTTTTTGCGCGCACGACTTGGGCGAGCACGTGCCAGATAGACGACAGGTGTGTGGAATCGGGACACTCTGTCAGATGTTTTGAGTTACGGGACGCGAGAAGATGTGAGTTGGGAATGCTGGTGCAGCGCAGCGCAGCGCAGTGCAGTGCAACCTCTTTCTCTCTCCCCCCTGGCTACATTTCCTCCTTCCACTTGTTCTCACTCGTGCACTTCCTCATCCTCCCACCCACCTACAAGCACCTTTCCCTTCTCCAACTCATTTTCTCCCCCGGACTGAGAACCACAAGCCAAGGGTCCTGAACCAGGGCGAACAAGGACCACGCAACGGTACCGACAAAACCCCAGGATGTCGTCGTTGCGTAATGAGCAGATGCTACTTCCAAGCACCAGCGCGGGAGAAAACCAAGCGGAACTCGAGGTATAGAATTGAGTTGGGTAGTGTGGTATTCACATTCGACGAGCTAGACTATTTTGCATGACTCCCGTTCAACCTCCCTCTCCATCTCCATGATGCGTTTGTGTCTCCCTTTCCACTCGTCTCTGCATCTGCCTCGCATCGCATCGCATCGCACCGAATCGCACTGCTGACGGCGTATGTCCACCGTGCCGCGCTGGCCTCAGCCCTCATCTCCAGCTTCCACCCTCCCGTCCACCCTCTCCCACCTCCCCACCATGCCTCCAATTGAACAAGAAAAAAACACAAAAACCACCCCCTCCCAACGGCGTCCACCGATCCGCGCCAAACGCCTCGCGCTAAATTGCAAATACATTAGACCACTTCTCCCCAAACCACGGTTCGCGAGAAGGGAAGAGAGGCAAGGGAAAGGCACTACACCCAAATCTCCCACTCAGGCCGGGCAAATCCCTCGCGGCGCTCCAAGGAGCAGACTAGCGACCTACAGCGCGTCCACTCGTGCCTGGAGACAGCCGTGTTAGCCGGTGACAAAGGAAATTCGTGTTGGCGGATCGCGAGATCAAGGGGAGGAGGAACCGAGATAGGTGGGGTAGCGCGAGGAACCCGCGCTCGGGCCAGAGAAGTGGGAGGCTGAGCGGTAGGGGGTGGCGGGCCTGTAGAGGTGGCGGTCGTCGGGGGGTACTTGGGGTGTGTAGGGACGGGGAGGATAGTTCAGGCGCGTGTCCCGGTAGGCCGAGGAGTGCGAGGAGTGCTGGTCGTGCGGGTCGTATCGAGGACGGGGGAGGGGGGGAGGGAGTTCATAGTGGCGGGACGGCTCGGGAGGATTGGTTGGGGGTCGGTACGCTACCTTTTTGGCCGGTCGCGGGGGCTCGTCGTCGTCGCTCAGCGTCAGGTCGACGACTTCTGACGTGCGCTTCGTCCCCGACCGCGGTGCTGTCGAGGGCTCTCGCGACGGGTTGGGCGGTGTGCTGAGGTACGCGGGTGTCTGCACGGCCTCGCCCTTGATGCCGGAGACGCGCGAGTCGGTGGGATCGACAATCTCGATGAAGTCATCGTCACTGTCGTCCGCCGCTATGCCGTTCCGCCGCGGGGGCGACGCCGCTTGGGTCGACCACTCGCCGGTCGGACTGATGGTGACCTGGTCGGCGTTCCGGACCTGGGCCAGAATCTCCTTGACGTACTCGTCCACGGCCAGGCCGTTGAAGTGGACTGTCTTGCTGCAGATGGGGCAGATCCATGTCGGCGCCTGCTCTTGCAGCTGCAGAAACGACTCGGCATCGAAGCACTGGTTGTGGGTGCACACGCCCGCCCGACAGGGGATGTTGATGCGCAGAGTGGAAATGGGGTCCTTGAGCGACATGACGCTGGAGCCAACCTCGATGTCGGGATCGGCGGCCTTTGCGCGCATCTCCTCGAGCACAGCCTGCTTGGTGATGACCTTCTTGGCGACAATCTGCTTGGTCAGATCGGCGGCCGAGAACTTCTTCACCATGTACACAAACAGGTTGTACTTCTGCGGCAAGTCAGTAAGCGCCACGACGGGGAACGACAAGGGGATATGAAAACCTCGGCGTGAGTTGCACCTGCCTTGTGGGTGAGAGCGTACGTGACGACGAGGTTGTTGCGATAGTTGGCGGGCGAGAGGCGCACCAGGTCGGTGATGTCGGCGGGGCGCGTGGAGCCGGGCTTGTTTTTGAGGCCCTTGTAGTTTGCCTTGACCTCGTCGCCGTTGATGCGCACCTCGATCTGGGCGGGGAAGGTGATGTCGGTGCGGGTGAAGGGCGGCAGCGGCGTCTCGAGGGCCGAGAACAGCAGCAGGCGCAGGGTCGAGTCGGCCTTGAGGCGGGCGCTGATAGAGTCATTGAGGATCAGGTTGCGGGTGCAGTTCTGGCGGTGGCTCGGCGAGGCTGGCGGGCGTCAGTACGGCGACATGGGGGGGCAGGCGGGGGCGTGCCTTCGAGGGTGATGTTGCTCAGCACGAGCTCGCGCACCTCGAAGAACGGGCTGTCGCGGAAGAAGTAGGCGGGGGCTTGCGATCCTGTGGGCGTCAGCGGGCGCAACGGCGGCGGGCGGGCGGCGGGCGTACGCGGCGGCATCTGGTGCAGGGCGCCAAACTGGGCGCTGGCAAAGGCGGGGGCGTGCGCGTTCATGACAGGCGGCAGAGCGGCGAAGCTGGCGGCGGTCGGGCTGCTGGCGGCAGAGGGCGCATCGCCGTGGTTCTGTACGCGGTACTGCAGGCGGTGCAGCGTGTCGGCATTGCCCGTGGCGACGGCGGCGTCGATGACTGTGAAGGTGACGGTGAGCAGCAGCAGCGCGGCAGTGCGCGGTGCACGTACAGGCGATCACGCGGGCCTGCAGGGCGGCCTTGTTGCCCGTCTGCGCCAGGCCCTCCTCCTTGAGGATCTTCTTGAGGTCGTTGTTGATGAGCGTCTTGGAGCGGCCCTCGATGGTGGCCGCGAGCTGCAGCAGGCTGGACGCCATGGGGGCGGTGGAGTGGGCGGGCGTTAGGCAGCGTCGCGGCGAGACATGAGCGCGGCGCGGGTCTGCGGTCTGCGTCTGCGGACGAGCGGCGCGGCAGTGAGAGGCGATACAGACGTGAGGTTCCGTTCAGCTTGCGGCCGCGTCGCGCCTGCTCGCGGACGCACAACGCACAACGCCCACGCCTCGCCCACGCACGCCCGACGCGCCCAACGCCCTGCAGCGAGTCGCAGTCCAGCCCCCGCCGCCCCAGCAGTCCAGCGAGCCACCCGTCTCGTCGCCGTCTCTCGCGCTGCAGCGCACGCCCGCCGCCCGCAGCATCGCAACCCGCGTCACCGACACTGCTCGCACGGACCCGGCCTGACTCGCCGCAATCGATTGCTCAAAATTATTCTACCGCCGCGCCTGCACTCCACCAGCCCTCGACTTCACCTCGCCCACCCTCACCCACCACCTCCACCACCCCCACCCACACCACACCATGGCCAAGGGACTCCGCGCCTCCACCGAGCGCACCAACCGCCGCAAGCTGCGCGCCAACGTCTTCGGCCCCGTCGAGAAAGCCCGCGCCGAGCGCCTGCACGCGAAGCTGCTGGCCACCATCAACTCGGAGAAGCCCGCGCCGCCCGCCAAGAAGGCGCGGGACGTCGAGGCCGAGATCCAGGAGGAGGCTGCGAAGGAGCAGAAGGGTGCGTTTCCTGCTTTCTAGAATTCCTCCCGCCCCAGCACCTGCTTTTCGTCGTCTCTCGTTTCTGTATGGAGATGAGTGCTAACATGCGTCCCAGCCGACGAGGACATGGAAGTCGATACCGCTACCTCCACCAAGAAGCCCCACCGCAACCAGTCCGTCCCCCGCACCAAGAACGAGCGCGCCCGCAAGCCGCGCAACTCGATTACCTTTCCCAAGTCCAAGGGCAAGGGCGCGCTGAAGCCCTTCACGGGGCGGAGTAAGAGCGCCAAGGGGCGGGTCGCGAAGAGGTGATGGAGAGGAATTGAGCGAGGGGGACAGTGGATGCATGAAAGGCGTTTGGGTGCATTGCCGGCGTTTCTGGGAACCAAAAAGGCAGGGCGGGGGAGTGCTGTGTTCAGAAGTTGTCTTGTGTCGAATGAAAACTGTCTTGCCACTGCACATCTCACCCACACTGCACATGCTTGGATGATATCACCCCGACTCAACGAATAAACAACACACGCGCTAAACCCACAAACTCAATTCGTGCTAACCCTACATCCTACAGTCATGAAAAGCGAGAGGAACTAATAGTGTAAACTGGCAAAGCGCCCAATGCTCAAGGTATCCCGTCTGTATCCCTGCCGCCCACGCTCCGTCCGTCCAGCCAAGCCATCCATCATCGATGCATCCAAGTAGCCGCCGCGCCAAAACCCCCATCACACATCGCACATTGCTCTCTTTTCGTCGTTCGTCTGTCCTGACGTCTGTTTGGAATAACAAGCTACCTCCGCCCACCTACTCGTCTACGCCTGCGCCTCCTACGGCCCGTTGTACCTGTCGAACTTCCAGATGCGGGCGCGCATATCGCCGGAGCCGGTCGCGAACACGCCGCCGGTGGGCGAGGGCGCCACGGAAATAACTGTCGATACATTAGCTTCCAGCACCACACCACAGTGATGAACAGATACGTACCCGAGTTCTTGTGCCCCTGCAGCATGAGCTGCGCAACGCCCGTGTGCGGGTCCCAGAACTGCACGCCGCGGTCCTTGGAGCCGGAGAGCACCCAGTCGCCATGCGGCGTGAGCGCAACGCTAAGGACGAAATCCTTGTGGCCCTCAAACGTGCGCACGCACTTGCCGCTTGGGGCATTACCGGGAACAAAGCGCGTGGGGGTCGTGAGCTCCCACATCTTGATCGTCTTGTCGAGGGAACCGCTGACGAGGCGGCCGCCGGAAGGCGCAAACGCGACACTGTAAACACTATCCTTGTGGCCTTCTTGGCCCTCGAGGCGCACAACGAGCTGGCCGCTCTGGATGTCCCACACGCGCACGCTCTTGTCGAGCGAGCCGGCCGCGACGTAGAGGTTGTCGGGCGAGATGGCCACGGTGGTGACGCCGTCCTCGATGGAGAAGTTGGCGATTTGTGAGTTGGCCTCGAGGTCCCACAGACGCACGCTGCGGTCGCCGGAGCCAGACGCAATGATCCTGCCGTTGCGAGCAAAGTCCAGACTATAGATGTCCTGCTCGTGGCCGGTGAACTGGTGCTTGATGGTGCGGGTGGCAATGTCCCACACACGAATGACCTTGTCCTCAGCGCCCGTGGCGAGGGTACTGGCCGTTGGGGCTGAAGCAGACGCTGCGGATGTACAGATCGCCGTCCTCGGGGAGGCTGCCGTCCTGGAGGTGGGCGACGGGGTTTCCGGTCTCCACATCGAAGATCTGGGCGGAGCGGTTGCAGCCAGTGGCAACGTAGCGGCCGTCGAGACTGAAGCGCACGCAGCAGACGACACTCTGGTGGGGCAGGTTGTGGATCAGGTCGACATCGAGCACACGCCTGGCGCGCGGGTTGAAGACGGCGTACCAGTCGTCGCCCTCGCGCTTGTACTGCGCCGGCAGCTGCTCGACGTCCAGGTCGGCCAGGCAGTTGCTCTGCGCCAGGGGCAGCGGCGGCTGGTGCTGGGCCATCAGAGCAGTCTGCTGGTGGTGGGGAGGCGGCGTCGGCCGGGGCACCTGGGGCGAGCCCGGGTACGGGGCCGGGTTGTTCTGCTGGGGCGTGGCAGGGCCGCCAGGAGGGCCGCGAGGAGGGCCGGGGCGCTTGCCGCCGGGCGAGGCAGTTGGCTGGGGCGGCTGGCCGTATCCTGTCACTGTCAGCGCTGCTGGTAGTAATATGTAGAGCGAGCGCGCTCACCGTTGGCTGCAGGTCCAGGCTGATATCCACCAAAGTGCTGGGGTGGACCCGGGGCAGGATTGAGGCCTGGCGGGCCTTGCGGGCCGCCTCCGAGCTGTGGCGGCATGCCGTGCGGCGGGTTGGCGTCCTGGGGCGGCGGCGCGAGGCCAGGCCCGCCCTGGTTGGCGCTGCCTGCCATTATGCCGCCGAAGAGATTGCTAGGCCCGTGGCCGATCTGGGGCGGCTGCGGCTGCGATGGGTGGTGGTGCGAGCTCTGGCTGGGGCCGCCGCGCTGCTCGAGTTCGCGCTCGAGCTGGGCAATGCGGTCCTCGTACCTGCGCGCTGTTAGGGGCGGTCTGCGGGGACGGGCTGCGGGCGCACGGCTGCATACTTGGCTTTCATCTGGTTGTGCTGGTTCTCCAGCGAGTAGACCTTGCTACGGATGAGCTCGATCTCCTGAATGTGGCGGGTGACTGGCGGGTCAGCACTGGGCGCAGATGCATCGATGCACGGCGCGTCTGCCGCGGGACCGACTTACTCTGGCCCTCGTAGTCGACGCTGCGCTGCGACTCGGTCTCAAACTCGGTCCGGATGTTGTCCAGCAGCTCGTTCAGGCGCTGGCTGGGCCCGCCTTGGGGCACCATGGCGCGCGGGGGCGGGTAGCCGTGGTTCATGGTCGCGAGCGGGCGGCGCTGGCGGGTCTCGCTGGGGTCGGTCGTCTGGTCGTCTGCGCGGGCGGGAGGCCGTCGGGACGCGACGTGAGGGCTGGGCGGCTGGGGCGCGGCAAGGCTGGGGCAGGCGCGGCGCAAGCAACACAGCGGCAGCAGAAGTGCAGGCAAAGGAGCCCTGAGATGGGCGCGCCGGAGTCGGGGGACGGTGCGCGAGCGTGGGCGTGGGATGCAGCGTGAGGCGTGGTGAGGGCGAAGAGCGAGACGAACACGAACGGCCGTGTTGCGCAGTGGGCCCTCCACCTGCGGGAGACTCTCGGCAAAAATAACCTCGCCGCTAGCCGTCCAGCTCCACGCCCCATGCACCATGCACTAGTGCACCCTGCACCAATGCACCATGCACCAATGCACCCTCTAACCGAGCCGCTATGCACCCGCCGTCACCACCTGGATCTCAATGCCAACGTCGCGACAACCGCGACGCGGACTGCTTGATGGCCAGCTGCTGCATGGCGACTGCCCTCCCGCCGTGTCTGACCCGTCTCCGCAGGCTGCGACTGTCGCACGCCGATACCGCACGGAAAGTGGTGAGACGCCCCGGGCGCACAGCAAGGCTCGCTGCATCGTGCAACGGTCGCGGCCTGCGACCACAGCATCCGCTGCAGTGCGTCATTGATTTGGATAGGATAAGCACTCCTGCTCTCCATGCTGCATTGATGACCCGGTGGGGTGTGGAGGTGCTGCTGTGAGCTGCTGCTGTGAGCTGCTATTGCGAGCACTGCATCAACTGTGGTCGAGCACATCCCCGTGCTGGCTCACCTCACGCCCACCCCCACGACCGCCTCCTGCATTCATCTACTCGTCGTGACGCACTCGTTGCACAGACAGCGACGATAGTGATACAGAGGCGTCTGGATGCTGCTTCACAGCGTCCACGAGACAACCACCTCAGCTCGATCGCTGCTTCCTGCCGCCGCTTGCAAGGCAGCACCGCCTGCGATTGGCAGACGGCCACCGTGAAAATTCGTTCATGTCAACCGACCCTCATTCACCGTAGCGACGCGGCGATACGGTAATCATCGTCGTCGTCTGTGTGGCCGCCTCCGGAGGCATTCCATGTCGTTGGCCAGAACACACTCCGGCTGCATGGGCGGCGCCATGGGTACCGGTAGGTAGCGCCTTCCCCAGCCTTCCGATCCCTCCACATCCGACCCTGGCTCGCATCACCTCATCACGCTCGTGGCTACAGCTCAGTACTGGCAATGTATCGCCACGATAAACACGGCCTGTGATCTTTGCACGGCGCCTTCACCGCTGCTCTTAGCCCATGTTCTGTCCCTGCCGCGCAAGCAGCCAAGCGTCGCACACCACAAGAATGTCTTCGAGACCCACTTGAATGCCATCAGCGGCTATGAAGTTTCCGAGCAGACGTCTGCTCACTCAGCACGCCCGCAGATTCACGCTGCAGTCACACGCAGGTATCGTGAAGTCACGACTGTACTTGTACATATAAATTCGTGCCTTTCTCAATGCCTACTCTGTCATGAAATACGCATTGCTTATTCCCACTCCAAGTTCGTAGTCCAATTTGCCTTTTGTATATTCCCAATTCGGAAATATCACGATATCACGTCAGGTTACGTCACAAATTCCATCCTTTGTACCAAGAATAAATACGAACGCATACAAAATGCCAGGTACCATCCAGCTCCACGGCAACCCATCTCCTCCTCGACGCCTAGTCATGGCCCGCCAAAAGACTCGTGATGCCTTCATGGCAACCACCTCTCACAAACAGAAGCTAGCCGCACAAGATACATCGACGTCTACCAGCCTCGAGGTCAGTCATTTTCTAGCTGTAATTGACAACCAAACTAACATTCATCCATAGACTGTCTGGATCGGGATTGCTGTCAGCGATGGCCTCGACGGCTCAATTGAAGTTGCCTTCGTGATTCACGACGGCACTTATTCCATTGACTTTGCAACCACCTCTATCGGTGGAAACTCAAGCAATAGCTCAGAGACGTCAGCCTCGAACTCCGATACCAATTCGGGATCTGTTACCCCTGCCACCTCTGAGGAACGCGCCGAGTTTTTTGCTGAAGACATTGTCAGCAAGGTGAAGCATTATCGTGACGAGCACTTCTTCAAATTTGTTGGCGCTGGTTTGACGACCAAGGCCGTGCAGACCTGTCCCCAGTTGCCATCACGCTTATGGCTGGAACTGGATATCGTGCCTCTGGTATTGGAGCCCAGCTCTGGCAAGCACAACACTGGTAACCCAGATACGCCTCACTACAAGACTGTAGACGAAGAGGCTGATGCGGTGGTCAGGAAGGCTCTGGGGTGAGTACTGGTCTAGCATTGATCACTTGACATGCACTGACATATGCAGTTTCTTCGGTAAGGCCAACCAGCCTCGCCTTGAAGTTGTTCATCGCAACGAAGTCGGTGTCGATTCGGACGGGCAGGCTCAAATCACCGACGAGGCCACTTACCGCAAAAGCGTGCATCCTAACACTTATGCGGCCACCATGTTCTACGCAGATTCACTCAAGAAGAACGGTACTAAGATCGCTTTCTTCAACAGTACCCCTCAAGGTGGTGGTGTCGCTCTCATGAGACACGCTCTCATTCGCTTCTTGCGTTTGATCGATGTCAACTGCAAGTGGTAAGCTTACTGGTCTTGTTTTCAGCGGTAGACACTTACACTCTTTAGGTACGTGCCAAAGCCAAAGCCTGCGGTATTCCGTATTACCAAAAACAACCACAACATCCTACAGGGTGTAGAGAAGACCGGTCTTCGTCTGGACCAGAAGAGTATCGATATTCTCGACGAGTGGGCCAGGCAAAATGCTGAACGCTACTGGATTGCCAAGGGTGGACCGCTTGCACCTCGTTCAGAGGGCGGAGCCGACGTCGTTATCGTCGATGATCCCCAAATGCCTTCTCTTGTCAAGATCGCCAAAGAGCAAGATCCAACCCGACCCGTCCTCTTCCGCAGCCACATCCAAGTACGCGCAGACCTGGCGGACCAGCAAGATACGCCTACTGCTGGAGTCTGGAATTGGGTCTGGAACAACGTCAAGGATTGCGACGCGTTCATCAGCCATCCAGTCCGTGAATTTGTGCCTAAGAACGTGACCACAGAGAAGGTTGGCTATCTGCCTGCAACTACAGACTGGCTCGATGGCCTTAACAAGGAACTCGACGAGTGGGATACACAGTACTACATGCACGAGTTCGAAATGGCGTGTGTTGACAAGGGTGCGAACCTCCTTGCCTTCCCAAGGCGCAAGTATATTACACAGATTGCACGTTTCGATCCCGCCAAGGGTATTCCGGATGTCCTCGCTTCTTACGCTGTACTCCGCCGCGACTACATGAAGGACAAGCCCATCGACGAGATTCCCCAGCTCGTCATCGCCGGCCACGGAGCCATCGACGACCCCGACGCCACCGGCATCTTCGACGAGACCGAGAACCTGCTCAATGAGCTGTACGCAGACATCAAAGACGACGTGATCGTCATGCGCATCGGCCCCGTCGACCAGCTGCTCAACATCCTAATGGCCAACGCCCACGTCGCGCTCCAGCTCTCTACGCGCGAGGGCTTCGAAGTCAAAGTCTCAGAGGCCCTGCACCACGGCGTCCCCATCATCGCCACGCGCCGCGGCGGCATCCCCCTGCAGGTCGAGCACGGCAAATCCGGCTTCCTCGTGGACGTCGGCGAACACGACACCGTCGCCAACTACCTCAACCACCTCTTCACCGACGACGAGGCGTACACCAAGATGGCCGACTACGCCGCCAACCACGTCAGCGACGAGGTCAGCACCGTCGGTAATGCGCTGAGCTGGCTGTACCTCGCCGACGAGCTCGCCAACGGCGCACACAAGATCGAGCCGAACAGCCGCTGGATCAACGACATGGCGCGCGAGAAGGCGGGATTCCCATACAGACCTGAGGATAACGAGACGACGCTGAAGCGCGAGAGCGAGAGGCTGGATCTCACGCACCAGGCGAGCCGCAGCAGGCAGGGCAGCGGGCAGCACTGAGCGGCTCGGCGTGAGCGCGCGGCTGAGGCGTGCAGCGAAACGGACGGTTTGGATATATATATTCCCCTCTCCTTGAATGAAAAGTCTTTCTTGCAAAACCCTTTCCCCCGTCAACTGACACGTCTCCCCCGTAAACCGAACGCTCCTCTCCCTCGCATCCCCCATGGCACACGCCCCGCAATTTGGAGTTGAGTCTCGCCATAGGTCTGCCTTGTGGATCGGATTTGGTCGCTTTCTGGTGCTCTTCGCTCATCCCTTCTGACCGACCGCTTGTCACTTAAAATCGCCATTCAGATCGCTGCCGAGTACCGTGTAATTGGAAGCCCGCTTTTGCGGTCCGTTTTTCGCCATAGCATCTGGCCGAATCCAGGTACCACCGAGCTTTTCAAAGTGCGCTGCGATCCCTGCAAGCTCATAAAGCACGCTTGATTGATTGGCCTGCACGTCGCTCACGATATTGTTTCGAGCGTGCCAGCGCGTTCTACCGCCCAAGGTAGGTTCCTCGGAATGATGGGATGGCAGCTCGGAGGGAGTCTTTTCTAAGAACGATCAGGCCTGTGGCTTTTGAGGCCATTGTGCTGGAGTGATCTGATCTTCCGACGGTCGCTTGTTTTATTTTGGGTTCTTGGGCAGGCAGAGGGTGCACTTGATAGTCGTGTGTAGTTTTCTCCAGTAAACAAAGTGTAACAGGATGTGTCTTTTGCTAGATCTGGTGATTTAAATGTTCATGGAGCCTTGACTCGGTGTGAGGGAAAGACTGATATCGTCCACGTGTAAAGAGTCGCATCAAAATGAAGCAGTGGATTTTTTGACATGTTTTGCTCTCGAGGGTTAGAGTAAATTCAACCTCAGGTCAGACATGAATCGGCGGGCAATTAAGTAGATTGAGAACACCTGTTATGCTATCCCGCGATTAAATTCAATGAAATAGCCATAAATTGTAGCTCGTGGCTGATCGAGGTAAGCTGATGATCGTCATGGCGAAGATGGACGATGAGATGGGTAACGGCTGTCTAGCGTCGGGCAATTCGGGACGCTAACTATATATAGATTAGAGCTTTTGAGCGGAGACCGCGACGCGTGGGATGGGAGCTAACCGTGGAATGAAGGTATACGAACGTCGACATGTCCGCTTCCCCTGTTCGAGAATTTGTGCTACCTCGCTGCCGGAGAGCAGCAGTACGCAGTCATGGAACCAGTCTCGGCTGTGTTCAGCATTGTACGTATTCTTCTGTGGACTGTAGATGCTTACTGCAGCCGCAAAAGTGTGCAGAGGAAGCAACCCAAATTTTAGGGCTAGACTGACAGGTCCTCTATAGATGGCGGCTCTGCCTCAGTGCATCCAATCAGCGAAGCAGCTGTACGACCTTCGCGAACGCTATAAAGACGCCTCGATGCTTATCACCGCCATATACTCCGAGTCTATGGTTATAGCTGCCTCCTTAAGCCAAGTACAGAATCTCTTGCAGAACGACTCTCTGCTACGGAAACCTTTGCTGCTGGAAACCTTCGACCGAGCCCTGACAGGATGTCGTATTGTATATGGGGCCTTGGAGGAAGAGGTCAGGGATCTGGTGGAGAAGGCTCAACGTAATGACCTCAAGTTCAAAGACAGGGCCAAATACCTCTGGAAAGAAGATACATTCAAAGAACTCTTGACACAGATAAGAGGACAGCAGTCGGCGCTCAGCTTGCTTATACAGGGTCTACAAATGGAGTCCATGTCAGACATCAGGAAATTGGTTGAAGATAACAGCGACAAACTCGATCAGGTCGTCAAGCGGTCCAAGACATTGCGCCAGACCCACCCGCGCATCATGGTCCCTGAATCCATCTTCATGCATGACAGCGGTGCCACAGATGTAGCAGAAGCTCAATCAGTAGTCAAGTCCGCGCAGTTCGAGTTTGACGATCAGGTTGTCAACTCAAAAGCATATCAACGAGCCATGGCACGCTACACATTGAACGCAACGGACTTGGCTAAGTTTGATCTCAAGAATTTTGAAGCAACTGAGACTGAGGTCGGAGACGGAGAGTCTACCGAGATTGGCACCATACAAGGGCCTCAGCCAAGGCGCAACTCTCTAGTTGCGGCCAGATCTGAACAACTCGTGGCTCAGATCACCTCGGGGTCGGAAATAGAAGATCCAATGGTTTTACCAAAGCCAACACAAGATGTGCCGAAATCAGAGGTCCAATCGTCTGAGAAGGTCGAGTCGATGTACGATTTGGACGCCCTTGAGCGGGATATGCTACCGTTCATGCCACAAAGCTCATCGAAAGCACCTTATTTGACACCTGTTCGAGCCGATAGTTTCGATACAATGGAGACGAAAGTTGATACTACATCTCCACGACCGCCGCTTCGATCATTTAGTGAAGGGCCGCCATGTGTGCCCGAGGCCATGCCCCCGCTGCCGCCACGTCTCTCGAGTAGGCCCCAACTTCGACCCCAGAACTCTGCAATGACGCTGAGGAAAGGGTGGTCGGAATACGAGAGTCTAAGCCCTCCAAACCACACGAACAGGACCCCGCTCCGTCCACAGACATCCGCGGCTACACTAAGGACAGGATGGTCGGAATCCGATGGTCTGAATACAATGCCAAGGACGTCAGAGCCCCCTTCATACACAGCTTATGATCCTGCTCAGCGCATTCAGAGTACCTCGCCGTATACGGCTTATAATCCTACACAGCATAGTCAGAATACGTCGCGACAGCCCATGCGACGACCTCATCAAGCTCCAAGCCAAGCACCGCACGTTGACCTCGCGCGAAAACCGATCAATCAAGGGCCTCGACTCACACAAAACTCTTCGCACGTTGACCTCGCACAGAAAGGGAACAATCCTGGGCTTCGACTTGCACACACGACTTCGCACACTGATCTTGTGTCACGACCAAACAATCCGAGACCTCGACTTACACAGAGAGCTTCGCACAATGACCTCGCCTCGAAATCAAATAGTTCAGGCCTCCGACTTGCACATAAAGCTTCACACAATGACCTTGCATCAAAACTAAACAGTCCAGGGCTTCGACTTGCACACCAAGCTTCGCATGTTGACCTCGCTCCAAAGCCGGCCAGCCCAGGGCTTCGTGTCCCTCGTCCGGTCTTCAGAAGCAGTGAAATGCACGCTGTTTGGCTAGTACTGGTAGAGGCTGAACGTAATTTCTTCGACCGCATGACTCGGCTCAGGAAGTCGTTCTACGATAACGTTGTAAGGCAATGGCCTGCTCTCGAGCCGCATCTAGGCATTGTTTTGATCGGCGAAAAGCTTGCTGCGACCAACAAGAAGCTCCTCTGGCTACCTATGGAGCAGCAACTTCTCGAATCTGACCAGGCAGTATGTGATCCTACCATCTTCGAGACCTGGACCACGAATATACAACGTATGTTCCGCGGGTACTGTCAAGCATTGCCGCATGCTCTCGGTGCGCTACGAGCAACTCAAAACAGCGACAGCAAATTCACGCCGTTTGTTAACACCTTGGGTCTCAGCCTCGCCTACTTTGGCAAGAGTTGGGAGGATTATCTGAAGCTACCAATCGTAGAACTTGATCTGTGTATCGAGAAGATGCAAAGTTTCATTAGCATTGCAGCTGGTATCAACCATATGGACGCAAACACTGAGGTACAGCGACTGACGCGTGCGCTTGAGGCCTTGTCGTGGCTGAAATCCAAGTCCGCCGCGGTACTCGAGCAATCGCAAAGTCAAGAAGACCTCCAGAACCTAGAACGGCGCATACACGCACCCGACGCTGACATTATGTCGCGGCTCAAACTACGTGACGCCAGTCGGCGCGTAAGATACCAGGGCGTTATGACCATGAAGTTCAAGAGCAAGGGGCCTTGGTACCCTGTGCACGTTGTGCTGCTTGACAACTTTCTGTTTTGGGGTGGCCTCAAACCACAAAAGAAAGGCACCGTTGATAAGCTGGTAGTCAGTGATGAAGTAAGCTCTCACACCTTTTTGGAAGTATACACACTAACGTGTACAAGCCGATTCACGTCAAAGAGCTTGAAATCCTGCTCCCGAGCGACCAACTTCAGTTCCAGAAGGCCACGATGTTCGATGAAGTGCCCAGAAACTCGATTCAGTACATCCTCATGATCAGGAGAATGGAGCCTAATGGCAAAGCACATATGCTCGGCTCACCGACATACCAGGAGAGAAAAGCCTGGGTGACCCATCTTGAAGCGGCAACTGGCACAAAAGCCGAAGTGGAGTGAACCGTCATACGAATTTCACTTTCTTATCTACACAAGGACTGAGAGCAAGTCACTACAGACCGAATGCGAGATTTTCATGGAAGATCACGAAATACCACTCTGGACTGATACATTGCAATCATCGCAGCTAGACGCAATCCAATGAGGCCTAAGATCACGCCTACCAGATTGGAAGTACCAGACAAGTAGTCCAAATCTGTACGTACCCGTGGGTGACACCGACTTGCGGCGAACATGTCACCACTGTATACTGTCTGCCCATCAAGAACCTACCCATCCGGATACCAGGAAGGTAGACCGGGGAGCGTCAAGGGCCAGTCCGACGTGTTTTTGCAGTGTTAGTTGGACAAGCTGTCGTTTTTTTTGGCTCGAAACAGTCTTACAAAGTTTCAAGGTCCAACTCACCTCCGGCATTCCGAGCAGCTATCGGCTCGCACCAACGATCCGAAAGCGAGCCGCTCGGCGCCGTGTAACCCGTGGACGATTCCGCTCAGTGTGAGGACAACGATGACAGTGTGTCAGCACAGAAGCATGAATACTGGAGCAATTCGAGTCTATGGTATACGCGGATGGCGAGGAGTACTTGCTGGATATGCGGATGACCTTGGTAGGGAGAACGGGGAAGGAGCGGAGTCGAGTGCGTATCGACTACACATGTGACCGCAGTTATATGTCTGGTGGATGGTTTCCTGCCAAGGGAATGCGTGTTTCAGATCGCAGTTATCACACACCAGAAGCTGGCAAAAGAAGTAAGAAGGATTTGGTTAAATTCACCTCTTTAGACCAGCGTGGTTGTATCACTGGGTAAAAGCTCTACAGCTCTACCAGAGATCTTGCAGCCAGCGTATCTCGAAGGCCTTGCATCAATCTACCTTCTTTTGCTCTTCACATTCGTTGTTCCTGACGCTGCATATTCGACAAATTTTTCGCGGTGCCCAAGGGTACTATGAGCGTATCCGTTAAAGGACCTACCGTCTTCAAAGCCATGAACCTATCTGGCATTTCTACTCAACCAAGGTGATGAGTTTCACGCACGATCTAAAACCCACTACTTACTCTTCCTGTAGGACAAATATCAAATTCGCCGAAACTGATAGCGAAAGCTATGCTTGAGGCGCGAATATCGCAATTTTGAGATCGACGAGGTTGCCTCCAGCCCACCTATCCGAGTGCGTTTCGAAACCGTGACACAGAGTATGGTGGAAGAGAGTGAGGAGGATTTTACATTGGCTATACTGCACACTCGAGGCAACTGTTCGCAGAATTGAGATTGCACCTGAATTGACGATCATATGCGGCTTATTCGAATCCGCCAGCCATGTACTCTCTGAAAAAGTCCTGATTTTGTGGACCATGGCGATGGCTGTATGTTCGGGACGCACGAGGCCTTTCATCTTTAGCACGCGCGGATACGGCACGTGAGGACTATTCGACTGACCAGGCTCGACGTCGCTCATCTAGCATCAGCCAGTACTGACCGAGCTGTGCGAGATATGGTTCGTCGATGTATGGACGACCGTTACAGGGTATTGTTCCGTGATCGATGTCCCACAGCGTGCCTGCCTCAGCGTGAGAGCGTACAAATTCCTGGCACTCCTCGAAGGAAAAATCGATGGTATGATGCAGCCAAATCGACTTGATCATGGGCACGTCAATGACCCTAGATCTGTTTTGTATGCGTCCGGAAAGGAGAAGGTCGGGTACTAGGCGCCGCCGTTCAGATCCCAACATGATGAGTTTGAATGGTCGGGTAGTATATTTGAAGTACTCGGCCCAGTCATCGAGGGAGTCTTCGTTGCCATCAGAGCGTGAAAGAACTAGGGTTTGCAGGGCAGGAAGGCGCGCAAGGTCTTGGAAGAAGTAGAAAGTCAGGTCGACATTGTAAAGGGCGAGGCGCTTCAGTCTCTTCCAGTTCGACCATACTGCTGGATGACGGCCATTTTCAATGACTTCAAGATACAGCTCGTCTTGACAGCTAACGAACTCCTCAAGGTTCTCGAGCCGCTCAAAGCCCTCCCTGAGCACGCGACGCACGGCCAAATGGTCGTCTTCCGGATATAAGCTCCGCAGAGGTATATCAATGACAAGTCTTCTAAGGGAACCGCAAGTGTAGTTAAACAGCTCCCGGACCCAGGAACACAGTGGCAGGTCATCAATAGTGTCTCGGAAGGGCGACAAAGATAGTGCAGTGGCGTTGCGCAGTGCCGGCTCATGCTTGATTGCCAAGATGTACGCGCTCAGCCGCTCTGACGACGAGAGATACATGCACCGTTCGCGCAGATATCGGTTGGCCAGCCGTCTTGTCTCATGGCAGACCAAGGTGAACGTCAGCAAGAGTTTTGTAACATCGTGGGACGGAGGGAGTATCGCATCCGATGATGGTAGTGCACACGTGATGATGTTCAAGACCAGTTCGAGTGGAACATGGCGACGGAGCTCCATAGTGGGTCGAGGTCTCGGAGAGCATCGTGCACTACAAGGCGAAGGCTGGGAGGATAGAGCAATGCCACAAAGGGTAAGCACCAGACTAACCCAAGAAGGGCTCCCGAAAACTAATCCCTGCAGAAATTGTGAGTGCCCCACCACCCCACCATCGTGGTCGCGCTCGGTCTCGACGTCAGGCAAACATCAAGACGCCGTACGGTCATTGAATCCTCACTTAGCAACAATGGAGTACGACACCTTCACCCCGACTCAATACAACACCAGCGATCCTGCCTCATTCGCCCACACTTCGGCGCGCGAACGATGGCCGATCATCCTCACACAGGGCATCGACGACGTGCACAAGTCGACGATGGCATCGAACGATGAGGAGACGGTGAAGGAAGGCAAGCAGGTTGTCTCGGAGCTGGCCAAGCTCAAGTACGAGCTGCAGCACGACCGCGAAGTCACGCCTATCCCGGACGATGGCGAGTCCGACTTTGAGGCCTACAACCAGGAGCTGGCCGCGCGTGGAGGACTCAAGTGGCACAGCGCGCCGTGGCTGTACGCCGAGTGCCACCTGTACCGGTATGAAGCTTCGATTAAGGTACAAGGAATAGATGCTGACAGGTATAGATAGACGCATCGCCAGCATCTTCAAGCAGACCACACACTGGCGTTCCTACGACATCTTCGCGCGCCAGAAGATGGCGACATTCCAGTCATCGCGCCCCGCCGTTCTCGAACTCGCTGGCCGCTACAAGGACATCGTCACCGAGCTGCAGCAGAAGCATACCATCAAGGGCGCAGAGACAGAGGAGAAGCTGCAGGCTGCCGAGGAGATCCTGTTCCGGGAGATGTGCGAGATCTGCCTGTGGGGCAACGCGACCGATCTCTCGCTCCTGACCAACCTCTCCTATGAAGACATCCAGAAGCTGCAGGGTTCTGAAGCGCGCAAGAACTCGGAAAAGAACATTCTCGTCAACGACCTAGACAAGGCCTTCAAGGTACTGACGGCCGCCAAAAAGGCCGGCAAGAAAGACCGCCGTGTCGACATCGTGCTTGACAACGCCGGTTTCGAGCTGTTCGTCGACCTGATTCTGGCCGGATACCTCGTCGCCTCTGGTCTCGCCACGTCGGTCGTCTTCCACCCAAAATCCATCCCGTGGTTCGTCTCCGACGTGCTGCCCGCCGACTTCGCCGCGCTTCTTTCCGCACTCGCACAGCCGCAAAACTTCTACAGCACGCTCTCTGACGAAGACAAGACAGCCGGTAAGACACCGCAGCCACTCTCAGATGTAGAGCTCGCAAACCTACAATTCTTGTTCCAGCACTGGACGAGCATCTACGCCGAGGGACAACTAGTGTTGCGTCCCAACGACTTCTGGACAGGCGCAGGCAGCTACTGGCGCCTACCCGGTACAGCGCCCGAGCTGCACGAGGACCTGCAGTCGAGCGAGCTTGTCATCTTTAAGGGCGATTTGAACTACCGCAAATTGACAGCCGATGTACGTCCGCCTTAGTCCCTTTCAACTTGACACGATCACATACTGACAAAACCAGGCGGCATGGCCAGCTACCACGCCATTTACCCAAGCCATCGGACCGATGGGCCCCGGCTCCGGCGTCCGTGTTCTTGCGCTGCGCACCTGCAAAGCCGACGTCGTCGTCGGGCTGCCAGAGGGCCGCGACGAGGAGCTGCTGCAGATACCTGGCGGCAGCACTGACGCTGGCGGGCGCAAGTGGGCGTGGAGCGGGAAGTGGGCGGTTGTACAGTTCAGCGACGGCAAGGAGTAAGCCATTTTCGAAGAGATAGACGTAGCAAATCAAGAATAGACTATGCACCTTTCGTACCACGGGCAATCTTCAATCGTCTTCAGGCGACGTAGGCAGACTGACATATATTGGCGGAAAGCTCTGAGTGTCGACGAGGGTGTTCATTCTTTCCACCTAGTTTTTAGACAGCGTGAAGTGGAATAACAATGATTATTTTCCTTACAATCATACATACGACCATAGGACGTTGAAAACAAGGCTTCCCGTTCGCTCAGCCCTATTTAAGCAACGTACCGGTGGATTAGTACTCAGGTGGGTGACCACTGGGGAATCCCCACTGTTGTATGTAGGATTTCTTTTTGCTGCTTTCACCCACTTGCACAATCGTGGTGGATGTGATGGTTGTCGTCTGCTATCTACAGTGCGTGCTACGTGAGCTGGGGCCGGCTGGTCTAGTCGTGGGTACTTACATTCGTTTTGGTCGCATCCTCGCCGTACTTTTCCTACTCACAGCTTCAGTATTCGCACTTTTGTTTGGTAAATGGACAGTGTTCACATTTTGCGGCCAATGACGTCGTCTTCCAGCTGTGTTGTGTCGTGCATGCCTCCCAGTTTCTAGCCAACGCAACCCTCGCAATGCTGTCGGTAGTACTCGGGTTGCTAAGCAGATCTTGCAATGCTTGTGCAGCGGGTCCTGATCTTATCGCCCTCCCTTGGCCTCACAAACTCGTAAATTAAGCTTCGTGGCGCCGGGCGGGCCGCATCCTCTAGAATAAGCGGGGTGTAAGTACCGCACTGGGTTATTTCGGACCTTGCGGGCGCTGCGGCTTAACCACCGGACGGGCTGCCGTCGCCTGTGATGTTTAAGCTCGGCCGAGCGTCGTCAACCCCAAAATCTGCACAACTTGGGAAGGATACCGAAGCTTAACTTGGGAAGGATGCCGAAGCTTCAGTACCAACCGACTCTCCCCCAGGTACGCAAGCAGCCTTGCCTGATCATAGCTATGTTACGTCTACGAACTCTGTATCTAACTCTCTTGAATGTCGAACATAACTTTGGGTAAGCTGGCGGTTCAGTGCGTCGGATGGTATATGCCTCAATATCCACTGATATGCTTCGGCGAACGATCGGTGTGTCGGATGGTATATGCCTCAATATCCACTGATATGCTTCGGCGAACGATCGGCGTGGATTGACGAGGCACTTCCGATGGGATATGACGACGATTTTCTAGGTACTGCCTACACTGCTACGTAGTTTCGGCTCCGGTACTTGCCACCAGAGATCATATATGAAGCGCCTGTCCTACAGTGAAGATAGAGTATCAATCGACCTCAGCGCACGAAAAAACACCGAACTTTTCCAACCTTTCCTGATCGTCCACTGTGGTTCAAAACCTAGCAGCGATATAGAACATTCCTGTTTACAATATGGCCAACGCAAAGCAGCAACAGTCCACTGTCCCTGACTACATCGATGAGGCGTCACAATCATCGCCAAATGACACCTGGGCAATCGTTCCACGATCGCCTACAAGTCTAGATCAAGGTTGGCAGCATTTCAGCTACGCAGATCTCGCGAGAGCTGTGGACAGTTTGGCATGGTGGCTTGAAAAGAACCTTGGTGTTGCTCAGCATCAAGGCCAAACTGTTGGCTATATGGGGTATGTTGTGTGCGTCTATCGCTAGTACAACCTGCTGACGTTCCAATAGTGCAAATGACTTGCGATATTTGGTTGTTCTGGCTGCAACAATGAAGGTTGGATATGTGCCCTTGTTCACTTCGCCTCGAAACTCGCTTGACGGCCAGAAGTTCTTGGTGGAAAAGACAAACTGCAAGATCTTCCTTACTACCGTTGAGACAAGAGCTCAAGTAGAGACCGTTCAAAAAGAGATACCCCACCTCAAGGTCTTTCAAGCGCCGACGACGCTAGAGCTGCTTGATTCAAGCTTGTCCGTGCCTCAGTATGCCGGCCGACAGAGTCGCGATGCTGCTGCACACAGTTTGATTCTACATACCTCAGGCTCGACAGGTACACAGCTCTCTACAAGCCCTTCACAATAGTAGAGTACTGACAATAAAGCTAGGCCTTCCTAAACCGATCCACCTGACTGTTGCAGCACTTAATACGGTGCATAACCAGGCCTTGTTGGCACCAGAAGATGGGTTCCAGCAATTTTGTAACCATTTTATTGCAGATACCAGGCCTATGCTCGCAGTTGTTCCCTTCTTTCACGCAATGGGAATCCTGGTCGGCCTACGATCACTCATGTGCAATGGCACGATTGTACGATTGCCTTCAGAGAAGATGCCTACTGCAGGTCTCATTGTGGAAGCGATCCAATCAGTCAAGCCAACTTCAGGTGTCTTTCCGCCATCCGTACTCGAGGATATATCTGCGACTGGTGAAGGTGTGGAGGCCTTGGGGCGGTTAGAGAAAGTCTTCTTCGGTGGAGCACCACTCGCTGCTGCAAGTGGCGACAAGATATGTCAGGTGACAAGTCTACTGGCACTCATTGGTAGCACTGAAGCTTTGTTCATGTGTACGCTGTTACCAGCCGAACCCAATGAATGGGATTACTTCCATTGGAGTTCTGTAACGGGAACTGTTATGGAGCCAGCGGAAGATGATCTGTGTGAGCTAGTACTGAAGCCCAAAGACATGCGGTACCAGGCTATCTTCCATACATTTCCCAATCTCCAGGAATGGCGGACCAAGGACCTCTTCAGACAACATCCCTCTAAACCCTACCTGTGGAAATACATCGGACGACGAGATGATGTTATTGTTCTTAGCAACGGCGAGAAATTCAATCCTATCTTGACAGAAAAGTTGATTGAATCACACCCGTCAGTCAAGGGTGCTCTTGTGGTAGGACAAGGGAAGTTCCAAGCCGGTCTCCTGATCGAACCTGAATGGAGTCAGGCCAGCAGTCAAGATCCGGAATCTTTGGTGGACCAGATCTGGCCCCTAGTCGAGCAATCAAACCGAGAGGCGCCGGCTCATGCGAGGATCTACCAATCGAAAATTGCCATTGCCAGTCAACAGAAGCCTTTCGTGCGCGCCGCCAAGGGTTCTATCATCCGGTTTCAAACAGTCAAAGCTTTCCAAGACGAGGTCGAGGCTCTCTATAACGATGAGGGGTCTTCAAGCGATCAAAGCCATAATCCAGGCAAAGTTGTAGCGTTGACAAGCAAGATCCATGAGGTCATGTCTCGCTCTCTTCCGTCTTTCCAGAAGGATGTGCCCGATGATGTTGACATTTTCAGCCTTGGTGTCGACTCTCTTGATGTTCTTGCATTGACAAATGCGCTCAACAAAGCCATCCGTGGTGCAAATGTCACTGCATCAACCGTCTACAATAATCCTTCTGTTGAACAATTGGCTGGAACTATCTCTAGTAACATGAGCAAATCTAGTGGGCAGCCAGTAGTTCTACTGACCCGCGAAGAGAAGATGGCCAACATGGTGAAAAAGTACACTCAAAACATGGTTCGTCAGAAAGGCCTTGAGGCCAGACTAAAATGCGCAGCACGGCATACAGTAGTACTCACAGGCTCTACTGGTAGTCTTGGTAGCCACATACTCGAGCAACTCCTCAAAAATCCTGATATTGAGAAGGTGTACTGCATGAACCGGTCCGACAATGCGGAATCTCGACAGCAAGACTCTTTCAACAGGCACCACCACGACTCAACCAACTTCGGCAAAGCAGAATTCCTCAAAGCAGATTTTGGTACTGATCAGTTCGGCCTTTCTGACGAGATGTATACACGCCTTCTCGCCACTGTCACGATGTTCATACATTCCGCGTGGTCTGTCGACTTCAACCTATCCCTCGAATCCTACGAAGCCACTCACATCGCCGGCACACGACGCGCTATCGACTTTGCCGCCGCATGCACCCATGACATCTCTATGAACTTCATCTCTTCAATTGCCAGTGTCGGAAATTGGGGTTCCGTCGTACAAGACGAGTCCGCGGTGCCAGAAGCTGTATCATCGCTGTTCGACAATACACTTACGCTCCCACAAGGTTACGGTGAGTCCAAGCATGTCGCAGCCCAGATTCTGGCCACCGCTTCACACCGACTGGGAATCAGAACTGCGATTATACGGGCAGGCCAGCTTGCAGGTCCGAGTGTGGAGGCTGGTGGTGCCGCGTGGAACAGGCATGAGTGGCTCCCGACGTTGGTCCATACGAGCAAGATCTTGCAGAAATTACCGCGTACGCTGGGGAATCAGAACCATGTGGACTGGGTGCCGATGGACGTTGCAGCGGGGGCCGTGATTGATATAGCTGCTACCACATCAACATCTGATGCGGCTCAAGTATATCATCTCACGAATCCGCGCACGACATGTTGGACTCAACTGTATCCTGTCATTCAGGACTTTTACAAGGCCGCTAGTCTGGATGTTGAGCTTGTGGAGTACGACGACTGGATCGCTGAACTCAAGAAGATTCCCCAAACTAAAGAAAACGCTGAGCGGGTTCCAGGTCTGAAGCTGCTGGACTTCTATGAGAGCCTCAGTTCAAGAACCTGGACGGGACTTCCTCCTCTGGAGACGAAAAACTCGGAAGCTGCAAGTAAGTCTCTGAGAGATGGGAAGGAAGTTGACGAAGAGGTTATAAGGAAGTGGTTGGTCCAGTGGGCGTTTTAAACGCACATGTCGGGCATGTATGGGCGAGGTAGACTGGCGTGATCTGTCCTAGCTTCATATAATGAAAATTCTTGCACGTATAGACTACGATCTACTACACCCACACATGTGAAACCCGCCACTTGATGCACTGCATAATCAGGCAAGAAGGATAACAACGATATCAGGGTTTACTCTTATTGGAGTGTATGTGGCTGAAAGGTGGAACTTGGTAGTAGTTCTACAGTTTCTGAGCTGCAATATTGATGGTTTGAATCCTGCAAAAGTGCTCAGTGGCTGGCTGAACGTGTATTCATTGTCACGCTGAACTCCAACGACCCCAAATGACATACTAGAACGCAGCTTTGACCGAACGCATTGCCATCTCGTCTCCTCTACTCTGACTCAATGTGTGCGCTTCTTTAGCTGCACCATAGGTCCCTTTCTGCTGCTTAAGAAATTTTCATACGTCTGATACTGTCCCTCCTCACGACGTCCCGGTCCGGCATCGACGCTTCCACCGCCAAGCTTATTTGTTGGGTCCTGCTTCATCTCGAACTTCCAAAGCGTCTTCGCTATCACGAGACGCATCTCCAACCATGCCATATTCTTACCCACACATCCACGCGAGCCAGCTGAGAAAGCGCAGAACGCGCTCTCGGCCAACGCAACGCTTTCCGTTGTTGATCCTGCTTGGCCTACAATCCAGCGCTCGGGCCGAAATTTGGTAGGCTCGGGGTAGTAGTCTTTGTTATAGTGCATTGCCCAAAAGGCGGTGCTGACCTGTGTGCCCTTGGGGAAGTAGTGCCCATTCACGGTGGTTCCGCCTTCGAGCACTTCGCGACCTGGCTCGGCGGGTACAGGCGTCGACATGCGCATAGCCTCCATCAGGAACGCTGTGAGATAGTTGCAAGACTGGATTTTGGAACCAGCTTTGATGTCATGGTAGTTATCAAAAGTCGACAGGATTTCGCTTACAAGTTTCTCCTGAATATCAGCATTTCGTGAGAGATAGAACAATGCAGCGGAGAGGACAACAGCGGTAGTATCAGCTCCTGCAAAGATGAGGAGCTCGCACTCAGCAAACAGCTCTGGAAGTGAATAACCGATTCCAGTCTCGGGGTCCTTGGCACCAAAGAGCCAATGGAAGAAATCCTTGCGCACTTCCGCCTCGGGTATGGGTTTCTCTTCCAGCTCCTTCTGCTTGGCCGTTCGAGTTTTCAGGCATTCGTCTACGAACTCGTACCACTCTCGGACGACGGTTGGGGTCACGGCTGCGAGAAGTCGGTCCGCACCCCGCGGCTTCAGCCATATGTAAAGTGGACCTATGGGGGACCAGGCAAGCTTCAATACATTAGCTGAGAAAACCATGCTGAATCTGGGCTTACTGACCGGGTGCATAATCTCCATGAAGTTCACCATGACTTCTGGAATATTTCGTAGTGTACTATTGGCCTCTTTCGTGTTGAAGTTCTTTCCAAAACATAGATCTCCGAGGATATCAAATACCAAGTAAGTAATTTGATCAGCCATGTTGATCGAATCTGTCCACTGGGTATCGCTCTCTATACCTTGACCAAGCAGCTCCAGCCAGCGGTCAGCATTGGCATGCACAAAGACCTCAGCACCTCTTAGCGCGCTCTCAGAAAAGGCGTAATTGATTACACGACGCTTTCTGGCGTGCACTGGGATTGAAGTAGCGCTCCAAGTGTTGATGCCGTCTGCAGTCTTGGGCCAAATGGAGTAGAAGTAGTTTTTCTTGACATTACCCTTGGGGCCAAATAGGTATCTGTATGCCTTGGGAGTATTAAGACAGACGCTATTTGGGGCATAGCGGAACTCGGTACCTAATCATTCATCAATACACTAGCTGTGAGATTGTGTAGACTCTGCTTACCGTACTGCTCCTGCAACTCAAGAAGCCACAGGTGTCTGTCCTGATTCTTCGAGTGCCACCACGACGGAATGGTCGATAGTTTGGCCCAAAAAGGGCCCGGGAATCTTGCGAGAGGGTGGAAATACAGTCGGTACACTGCTGTCGTAAAGACATAGGACAGGAAGAGCACAGCACTCAGTGCAATTATATTCGGATACGACACATCATCTGCAAAGCCCATGATGGCCATGCTTGCAAATGGGGATCGTTGATAAAGAAGAACGCTGTTTAGAATGGAGGGGTAGTATTATATGGATCACGCTCGTTGCCGTGGGTCATCTTCGATCCTTGCTGCAGCATTACACCAAGAGGACAACATCAGAATTGTGCTCCACAGTCGATGCTGGACCAACACTTTCCGTGCTAGCAAGCGTAGGTTCTGTGAGTATGACAAGGTTAGTGCTGAGTCAAATTCAGATTACGTTTACCTCAATGGTTGCAGTGCTTATCACTCGCAGCTGACCAGCAGGATTCACTCCCAGATGATTGGTTGCTACTTTGGCCCGTTCCAACGAGTTGATTTTGATACGATTTTGTCAGTCGTCTCCACCACAAGACTTGGGCCCGTTGTGATGTTCCGGCGATGGCAAATAAGTGGCGCTGCTCCATCGGAAAAGGTCCGGATCAGGCGTGGTTTGCTCCGATCCCCGTTCCCGCTCACCGACCGTGACCGCTGTTGCCGCTTACGTACCGCATGCCGTCCCGCTTTGCGAAAGTCATCCCACAATCAATACCTTGTCAAGACATGCTGCAGACGCTTACCGACAATATCTTCGAACGTTCCTGCTGACAACGGAGAACCATCCCGACCGTACCCATTGCGCCAATTCGCGTCGGCAGCATGGCGCCGTCCACATAGTCCGCACCGCGGACATGCTCTATTGGGTTGGCGCAAACATGTATCTGCATTGCAAATCGTCAGATGCCAATGCCGTATCCACTCGGCATCTGGGCCGAAGGCGTTTATATAGTCATCTGGACGCTCTCTCGCGAAACGGCAAAACGGGCGCTGTCCGGCTATTATCCTGCGTCCGAAATCCTGACGGCCAAGATTCTTGGATATTAAGTTCAACGTGTTGCCGAACTCGAGATAAGGGTAATATGTACGCATGATGAGGATAGCAGTTTGCGTGTTGCGGGCTTTGTGTTGTGCGAGTGTGCTGAGAACGCGCCGATTCCATTCTTTGAAGGAGACAAGGCGTGACTGGTAGGTGAACATTGGACCGGAAGAGTTTCGTTTCCAAGATGTGATGGACAGACGGTCGAGTAAGAAGCACAGGAGCGGGGTATCGCCGCGATGTGGTTGGTGTGTCGCTGCACAGATTGCTGTAGCTGTTGGCAGGTACTGTTCGGGCCTCTTCATCGCCTTCTCGGCTGCGAATACCAGACGATGGACAGTATCCTCAAGTTGCTGTGAGCACGCCCACTCTAGCGCATTTCGTCGTGCGAATGTTGGATCTTTCTTAGATACCTTGAGATAAGGACACGTGCTTTCGGCGCCTTTCCCTCGTTCTATCATAGCAATCTCAAGCCTTGTATGTCTCTCCAAGATCACGACATGAAACGCAGTATCAGACACAGACCACAGGCTGTGACACGTCAAATGCAGGAATGCCGGTTTGCCACACCGACAGTCTGCTTCCGACGATGCGAGGACTGAAATTACTTTGTACCACCATTGTGTATGGTTGAGTCCGGCATTATTGGCGTCGAATTCATGGGAGAGGCGCAAGAGGTAAGATGCAACAGAATGCATATAGGTCGCGATTGTTCGTTTGGAGCTCGACTCTGAATGGCTCATGATAATGTCACGAGCCATGCGACGTCGGACAGGGCAGGGTATGCGCGCCCAGTAAGTAGCCTCGGGCCTGACATGTCGAATCTTGCTTTCATAAAGCTTGCTCGTTTCTGCTTCGAAAATGGTGTTGACTCCAAGGAGAGCCGTGAGATTCTGCAGGTCGTCATCGTCCAGAACAAATTCGAAGATTCGCCGCACCAGCTCGACCGGCAGCTTCTCAAGCATCATTGTGGAAGGTTATTGGAGCCTAAGTAGCGTCTGTAAAAAGGTGATTCCATACAACTCAGGCTACTGTATGGCAAGTATATACGTTTTCGTTGCTGTGAAAAGACCAAGTTGCAGTTGGGAGGATGTTGGAGGACACCGTTAACACGAGGAAACAGTCAAGAGAGAACTTGTGGCTACGCAATTAATTCTATAATCAGCCCGTAATGTTGACTCACATCCAGTCCAGTGGGGTATCATCCGCCATGACTCGACTTTAGGTAGGCAGCTCTACACGTGACTTTAATCACGTGCAGAGCTGCCTACAGTTATACTATGCCTGTGAAGGCCAGACAACCTGCTAAAATCACAAACTTCGAAGACCCTAGTGTGATCCACGGAACAAGCAGCCTAAAACCTCACCATCGAAACGTGCTTTGTCCCCCTGCCAGGCTATCACAATCATTCTGATCGCCTTGTGCACTAGCTCTTTCACCTGTGCCTTCAGCTCTGCTCCCGGATGCCTAGAGCACCAATTGATTATATGGACCCCGGCATGTATCACAACCCGGTTTGCCATGTTGGTACTGAGAGTGCCATAACCCCTCACGAAGGCTGTGATCATGGTCTCGCAGTCCGTTCGTGTTGAAGGGTTGATGTAGCTCTTCTCAAGGAGGTCGCCGATCATCTGCCCGAGATCGGTAGCGCGATGGCCAATATGTCCGAATTCAAAATCGATGACGTAAAGCTGTGGATCTGGTATCTCGTCGAAGAGGACGCTTTGGAGAGAAGTGTTAGCTATTGTTTGCTGCTTTGGATAATGAGAAGGGGCAGTCACTTTCCAGTCCAGAAATCGCCATGAATGAGACCACACCACTCTTCTCTCTGTGGCTTCTGTTCAAGCTCCCGTAGCGCTCTGCCACGTACTTCTCTTAAGACGTCCAAATCCCCATCTACTGTCATCGAAAGTTCCTTGGTCACATCAACGATTGTGTCGTATGTGGTTCGCCATTTCAGGTGTTGACTTGTTTCGTTCTCGCTCATGGCCCGCCTTAACTTCTCCTGTCTCGGTTCTTTCGCCCAGAGATGAAATGCACGCAACCATGACCCCAGTGCAAAGCCGATCGCACCATAGTCAGATCGCAAAGTGACGTTCGCACAAGAGGTAAGTATACTTGCCAGATCAATTGCTGGCTCCAGGTTTTCGATAAATTGTATTTGCAAGCAGGGCATGTAGAAGTAGGTGAGTGGGGTTCGGACGGGGATGCTATTGTAGGCGGAGGCGAGGCTCGTGTACGATAGTGCTTTTAGCATGATGTCTTCATATTTCTGTCTAGAATGAGCTAACGTGCAAATGATATGTGGAAGATCACAATGTGGCCGTACTGATCGGTTGGAGTCCAGTGCGAAGTCACTGTTGATGGCAGCAAAATCAGTTGCCTTTTTGACAATGATCGATGACACCAGTTTTTCGTCCGGTAGTGTCAATGGAGACTGGAGGAGGCCGCGAAAGGTGAAGCTGGCGGAACCACCAGTGATACGATCCAAAGCCGAGCAAGCATAATTGGTATCAGATATATCTTCTTGAATGCTGTCAAAAAGCTGCTGGAACTCGGTTTTGGTAAGCGGTGCCATTATGCGGAGTATGTGAGGTGGGTGTGAGTTCAGAGTACATATGTACTTTGTTGTGACTCACCCTTGGAGTAAGCATGACATAGACACTGCAGCGCCAAGTAAAACCTTTCAGACTGGGCCGTGACAGATGGAATACTTGTATTGATGGGCAGTTCTGCTTACGAGCAATTATCGACATGTGACGAGTCTAGAAATCGGGTCCACATACGCAAGCAGCTTTGATCCATGCGCGTCCCCTAGATGGAGGACTGATCTCATGACCACTAATCGAAACTAGAAACAATCACAGCTTGTGTTGTCTGAGGAAAATAGTGGCAATGAAGCCAGTGAGCGCACACGCCAATGAGACAACTACAAAAAGTCAGAAGGCCAGTCCCTCGTGAAAGCAACTTCTACGCACCGTGTGTCCAAGTTAAAGCTCCAATGTATGAGCCGATAATGGCGTTTGCAATGTCCGGCTTCACCTTGTTGATGTAGTGGACATCTGAGACTGCTTTCTCGATGATCTGGAATGTAAGTAAGTATGTACCCTCGGAACTCGTGACTGTGGCAACGTACCTTCCACTTCTTTTGGTCCATAATGCCAAGATGCGTAAGACGCTCATTAAGATTGATCCTCAGAGACTGTTGCAAGACCGCGCTTACACCTGCCATACCGCCTAGCATACCTATCGACGAAGCAAGATATAGAGTAGAAGCAGCAATGGCTGCGAGACTGGGATCGAGAGCGGCTTGTATGCTAATGAATAGTGTTGAGCTTGCGATGCCGGTTCCGAAGCCACCGGGAAAGATGTACAGAGACTCGAGCCAGTTGGTGTTGCCATGCCAGCGTAAGATCAAGAGCATGTACGCCAGAGATGCGACGCCCGTGGCGACAAGAGTCAACGCTTTATAACGACCAGTTCTTTTGATGATGGCGCCAGAGATTAGGCCACCTATAGCGTTACCGAATACAGCAGGGAACAAATGAGCTCCAGCAACGGTTGACGACGCTTTGGCAGTGACCTGGAAGTAAAGCGGCACAGCAAACATTAACCCGACCTGCGCGCCCACTTGACACATCATGATAAGGGACGAGAGTAGCACCTCCTTGTGATGAAGAACGGACAATGGAATGATAGGCTCCTTGGCTACCCAGCCTTCGACTGCGAGAAATAAGCCGCCAAAGATGAGAGCTGCAGCGAAGAGCATGAAGATCCTGTGGTCCGACCATGGGATCCTATCTCCGCCAATCTCCATCGGTAGTAGCAAGCACAAGATGCTGAGAGTCATAAGAGTAGCTCCAAGGAAGTCGATACGGCCGAATCTGCTTCCCTTGGTTTCCTCGTCGAGTTGATGATGGATATGCGCGGGCAAAGTTATCCACACAAGTACGATAGCAACTCCAGCAAATGGAACCTGACCCAGGAAAGACCATCTCCATCCCACCGAATCAGCCAGCCAACCACCGAGAGGGCCTCCGATGCTGCGACCTGTGGTTGCAACAATGTTCACCCAAGATCGCCATGTAGCAACATCGCGAAGAGGGACCAGGTCTGTAATCAGTATAGAGACTAGCGCAGTCATTCCAGACGCCCCCAAACCGGACACAATTCGGCCAATTATCAGCTCTGACATGGACCCTCCAATTCCGACAAAGAAGCAACCGGCCGCAAAAAGTGTATATGCTAGGAGCAAGAGTGATTTACGACCATATATGTCACTCAGCTTCCCGTACAGAGGCAGAGTTGCTGCCTGTGCAAGGGCAAAGCTGGTAAGGAGCCAGCTGGAGTCGTGAAGTGCATTGAACTCGGAGGCAATGATAGTGTGCGTAGCGAAAAGTAGCGAGGAGTCGGCATTCGAGATAAATGTGCCGATGAGTAGGACACATACGATGTGACCGACCGAGGCAGATGTTGAAGCTAGCGGTGTCTCTGGCTTGAACTCGAGTCGTGCCTCTTCGTCAAGTAAAGGCTCGTTGCAAAGCGAGCGTCGTCCTTCGACTGATGCTTCACTTGAGACATCGCTTGAGGACACACTTAGGCTGCTAGTAGAGGTAGTGTCGCCGGATCGAGAGAGCAGAGGGGTTCGCTCCGAGGTACTGGCGATAGCCTGTTGCAAAGCCATGTTGTATGGTCACGAGGGAAGGCGTGACTTGGCAGAAGGATCGTTTGAGACATCGTAGATATATAGCGACCTTCCTTATCAGACCTCGAAGCAGACTTTTCGCCGCTGGGCTCATGCTGCGCCTGCCAGCTGCGTGTCAGCATGCAGCCTCGGGCCGTCGAAAGAGGAAAACCGATGTTGCAACACCAGGACCCAATCACGTCATCTGGTTTGAGCGAACCATAGTAAAGCATCGCCGTCCTGGACCGTTCTTCTCAACTCAAACTTTCCTTGCAGTGGATCTCAACGATTTTTTTGCATAGGGTTTGCAACAGTAGGTGTGTACAGGTTTTCCAGATCGCAAGCCGACAGCCTAGTGTAGATTCGCACACCACGCAATCTTCTATGCCACCAAGGTTACCACATGCCGCGAAGAACGGCTGAACATCTACGTCCGTTTTACACAGTATAGTCATAGGTGGTGTGTTGTACCCAGGGCGGGAGTTCCGCGCTCAAGATCTGCAGTACGTTTATTCGGCCGCGCAGAAATATCCCTCTAGCATTTCTCGATATCGATGACTTTCTCATGTTACCTATCATTTTGAAGGAAGGAGCAGATGGGGTACGGCTTCGTGCAGTCGGCGTTATCAGTCGATAACTGGAATCGATACAATCGCGATGATGACAGCGATGTACATCTCTTGTGTCCAATGCGTTGTCAGACGGGTACACAGTCTACTGCGCCTAGTCATCACACTGCTCGTGCACATGTGCTTGTTCTGTTGCAATAAAGGTCGATAGTATTCTACAGTCCACTAGGATAAGGTATGTACAGGAATGCTCTCCTCGGCAGTTGTAGCCTTGCAAAGATAATGCTTAGTTCTCGCCGTTCTTAGCCTTGACCCAAGCAATGAGCTCCTTGAGAGTGAACTCAGTGGGGAGCTCAGTGCTGGCACCAGCTCCGGCTCCGGCTGAAGCAGAAGGAGCAGCAGCCGCAGTGGATGAAGCGACAGGAGCCTCAGACTCGACAGCAGTAGCCGAAGCAACGGGAGTCTCGGCAGCGGCAGCAGACGAAGAGACAACAGGAGCAGCGGACGCGACGGGGGTCTCGGCTACGGCGGATGTGGCAGCGGGCGCCGAGGTGGCGGCGGCAGAAGTAGCGGCAACAGAGGTGGCGGGAGCGGAAGAAGCGGCGGAAGCCTTGGATGAAGCAGGGGCAGGAGCAGAGTCGCCAGAGGCAGCACCACCAGCAGAAACGGCGGTGGTCAGGTCACCACTCTCGATGTAAACGCCGCTGAAGAACCAATCCTCGGCACCAGCAGCATCGTTGCTACCAGGTAGGCGAAGAACACCCAAGTGCCAGTCCGCACCGTTAGAGGAGGTGCTGGCGTCGAATGGACCAGCGGTCTTGGTCAGCGCATCGCTGCCAGTGGAGTGATAGAACGAGACGGATCCGGCGTCGAAGTCAATCTCGTAGGCAACGTTGTGCCATTCGTCAGCGACCAGCTCAGCGTCCCACTTGGAGACACCACCAACATGCCATTGGAGGTTGGTGTTGCTGCCTCCACCGGAGCCGTACTTCAGTTCGGTGAAGTGACTCTCGAAGAAAGCAATTTGGTGCTCGTTGGTAGCAGTAGGCTTGTTGGTGCCAGTTGTCTTTACTGAAAAGTGGTAGTAAACCTTGCCCTTGTTGATGGCAGCAGTAGTCTGAGGGATGAGCTCAGTCCTCAGCATGGACTGGCCGTTCCACTTGGCAGTCTCATCGATGGTGATCTTGACACCCTGCTTTGAGCCGGTGTCGGCTGGGTTCTTGTAGGTAGCATCGAGGTTGACGTAATCAGAAACCGCACCGGAGCCGTGAATGTAGTACTGGTAAGCGCCGACGGGGTTGGAGAACGACCACTTTTCGAGATCCGCGCTTGAGGTCATGTCGTTGAAGCGTCCATCCCAGATAATTGTGCCTAGTCTAAATGTGAGCACTTGCGCTGCTGCTTCCATGACTCCGGGGATCTTACCAGCAGACACAGCGCTGATGAGCGCGTTGAGAAGGGCGACCTTGGAAAGCATGTTGAAGTGAAATCGAACAGAGACCAGCTGTACGGAAACGAATGTGTGCTACGAGACGAAAAGAGGGACTGTAGTGGGATGAATGGCGGACAATGGCGAGGAGGTACCACCGCATATATAAAGTGGTACTCATTTCGAGATACATGGAACCATCGCAGGCCCATGACTGAAGCGACGGAGATGGAGCCGCTGGCTCATCCCTGCGTAGCAAGAATCTAGAAATGAAACATCGAATGCAGGATGTTTCAGGAATTTATTCAACTGTTATGGACAAGTACACCTGTAACCTACCCACTAAAGGAGTTCTTTCAATACCGGCTCAACAGCACCGCAACCGCTTGCAGCATCGCGCGCGGTAATGTACCCAGATTCTGCCGTTGTGGCTGCAGACACGAGCCGCAATGATAGAGAGATGGCATGACGGCCGAAACGTTTGCGTGAAACATCTCGCTTATAGGCGCTAAGCTTAATTGGTCTAATGTTAAGCCTATCACAGACTAACGCACAGCGCTTGGTGATGAAAGGATCACGGCTCGCTCCTGTTCATGAAAGCTTGTTTCAGGGCGGATGACACGGAGATTAGGTATTGTCTCTCTCGGCCTTGTTGTACAATATGTTCGACGCCGCGGGGTTTGTAGACCGGTCTGTTGCACCAATCAGAACGACCGCTTGGGTGGATTAGGTAGTCGAAGTGAGGTTGGTAGCATTTAAGAACCACAGCCACTAGAAAGGTTCGTGAGTAGCTGTTTGCTCCGAAGACTGTACGTGACGACCTTCTTATGTAGCTGTCGAAACAGTGATGCTGTGCAGTCGCAGAAACTTTGCGAGTCTTGACCTTTCTTTAGTGGTGTGCATTGAGCAGCAGGACGATAACACATGAGAAGCTGTCAGACTTCGCAAACATGTAGCGTATGACGCGTGAAATGCGTGATATTGATCTACATATGTGTGATACTGATACTGTGTTTCCACCTGCCAGGGCAATTGCAATACTGCACGAGTTTTGCTGCTCGGCTACGTGTCGACTCTTGTCAAATTGTACTCCGGTCCAACTCTCATCTTGAGGGAGCAAAAACGGCATCTGCGTATGGCATTCGACGTCCCTCAGGTGCACACACTACAGCCTTCGGCAGCGCCTATCTAGCTTTGCGTCAGCGATATGACTTCAATATTCTGGGGCAGACTCACTAAACTATGGTCTCTCCTTCGTACGCCTCATGTTTTCCACCTCATCGCCTAACTGAGCTCCTCGATCTCTATCCACCAAATATATACCGATATGATTGCTTCCACAGAATCAGTACATACTTATGTCCTCAAAACTAACCCATTGCGCTCTCCTATCTTCACCCCGACTTTCATCCCGTTTTGAAGCGATGGCAGTGGCTTTCTCGCCAATGAGACCCATTTCTGCCTATGGGCAATCTCTCTGCTGTCTGAAATATGGTGCATTTTCTGCAGACCGAACACCTGTCGATCTTCGAACTCTGAAACTTGATAAGACCGGCATTGAGCAGAACGCCACTGGAGTCTTCTGTCGGCCAGTGGTTCAATTGGGCCTGGATCAGTTGTGTACGACATACAGCTTCAAACTTCGGGTTAACACTGTCGCAGAACTGTCTTACTTTCTTCGACGCGACATTGCCCGACGATGAGCGCTACCGTCCGTCTCCTCTATGGTATCATCTTCGCTGTCGAGTAAGTGAATGATATCACTTGATTTTCTTTTCTTGCTGCGTGGACTTGACAATTGCGTAAGATCGATGGGCTGAAATCCGCCTTCCAATCTTCGGCTTACCACCGTTCCAGGGCAAGGCAATGGTATAATGACGTCCTCGCTGTCGCTACACAGGTCGAAGATACCCTGATTCTGCGGAATATTGTCTGGCATACCGACCGCCGTTCGCTGAGCCTTCAATTCTCGTTCTACACTACCCTCAGGCGTAAGGGGCTTAATGTCTAAAACTTGCGCAACACGAACATTGGCATCCTGACTGCTCACGAGCGGATCGTCGGATTCTGAACTAGCTCTGTCCTTCTTCACTGCAGTACTCGGAGCAGGGGAAGACTGGCGCAATGGCGCCGGTGAAGAAACACCCGTTGGCACTGTCTCAGCGCCACTTGATCTTCGAGCATCTGCGACATAAAGACCTGAACCCACTTCTTCTGCTGACAATGTGTCTTTTGTGGCTCTAGTATCGGCAAAAGATTTGCTGATTGCAAGCGACATCTGATTTCCGAGTGCTGTTTCTGATTCTTCGCCGTGCAGCTGTACGCCAGATTCAATCTCTTCTATAGAGGTCATTTCGGCCCTTATGAATGAACCGGCGGTCTGCTCATAGCAAAATATAGGACTTGCTTCTCTTGTCCTGGCTTGTGATTGTTTGACGCCAGGCGTGTGAGGGGAGGCGCTCACCTCACTCGGCTCTGCAAGTGCTTGGCGTTCATCTCCCTGGTCAATGATGATGGCTGTTGAGATTTCAGAAGATGCATAAGCAACTTGCGGTGAGCGTCGCTTCTCGTGCTGCGACATGGGTGCATGTTCAGCTGGCGAATCTCCTAGGGAAAGTTTGTTGGGACTGCCCTGGTGCTGACGCAATCGCATTCTTTTGCTCGAACTCTCTCGTTCTCGTCGGAGTGGTCTGTCTTTTGTGATATCCTGCAGCACTGTAGACTGCACCGTCAACGTCACCATATGAGAGGGCTCTGAGTAAGTCTCCTCTTGTCTTGCGGGCTCCATCCCAAGCGCATTAGATTTTTCTACGGGCACTGCAGGCCTAGCGATGGAAGTGTCGACATCAGTGTCGTCATTCCAGCTTTCATCGACTTCTCGGCCGACGGTATTCTCTTCATCGCCGAAGTTTGCTTCTTGCAAGTCTGTGAGTGCAGCGCACAGCCGCTTTCCAAACGCATCTCCTATTGAGACCCGAGGATCCCCGATGAGGCCTTCGTTTTCAGCCAGAAAGAAATAGTACGATACAATGCTGCGGATTTTAGCGGTACGCGCAGAAGAAGCGCCTGAGCCATTCTTTGCGTACGTCGACTTCTTGAGATTGTTGAGAAACTCCAGAGGTTCGAGCAATCTAGAACCTAGCAGCTGGTCTACTGTAAAGCTTTGCTCGCGACCAGCGCTATCGTAGCCTAGAAATTTCATAGCGGTTTTTTTCAGCCGATCATGCTCAAGGTATGCATAAACTTTGAACGGTTGACCAGATAGTAACACGTGGCGGCTAATCAGCATGCGAAATGGGAAGTATGGTGGACCAAGACTGTGCGGTGTAATTTCCATCGAATGTTGCGGCATCTTGTCCAAGAGGCGGAATTTCTTGTCGCCAAGTACAACTTTCAACTTCGCGAGAGAGGTGTTTGGCCTGATAGCAATATCAATCCCACTGGGGCGTACTACTCCGCCAGTGTATGTTTCGTTATTGCTGGTACTAGCTGTGTCAAGCTCCTCCCCCGAAGAATCCCGGCTTGCTCCATCGTCCACCTGTCTCGCTACCTTCCCAGACCGCTGTTCACGGCTGGATACAAGGCGTCTTGTCGCAATGATCTTCTGGTCGTGCCGCCATTGATGATATGCATCGCGCGATGCGATGTACCGCAGTGCTTGGCTTAGGCTGTCCCTGAACTGTTCCCACTGCAAAGCGCACGTTTCCAAACCTGACATCAATGCTTGATACAGGATGATGGCGCAAATCATGTTTCGTGACCCTCTCATTTCATCAATTGGATCGTGTTGCAAAAACCGGAATGGCGGTAGCAAGTCTGTAGCCCTGCGAAGAAGCGCGGAAGCTGATCGAAGGGACTCGGAGGTACGTGTCCCATCCTCGGAGACGTCTTGATCGTAAAAGATAATGGGTGGGTTCAGGTCATTGATTTCAGACGTGACAATGCATGCCCAGGACCGACATGGTGTGCCGTCGAGTCTGGGTCGGTTTCCGAGGCACAGCTTAATCGCAGCGTGACCTAACCATTGCGTTTCCTGGAAGTTGAACGATCCAGGTTCTGGGAGCGAGTCGAGGACACCCAGTAGATCCTGGACTTGAAGATTTAGCCGCAAATTGTCGATAGGATCCCCTTGCCGATCCTTGCGCAGCAGACGCGCACCGCGGAGGTTGAACATTTAGCTGAGTGGTGGTGGTGTTTCGGTGTTCAGAGGTCGAGGTGTTGGCTGATGCACCTCGACCAAAAGAGAAGGCGCGATACCTAAACAAATGACCCGAGCGCTTACTCGTGGCGCAGTCTTACCTGCACTTGCTTGTAGCCCCCCAGCAAAAGATTAATTCAATCTAGCACCTGATCGTAGAATCACCACTTTTGTTTAGCGCATCTTGAAATCATGAAAGCAAACCAAAGGCTCTGGAGCAAGTTGGTGAAGGTAAATGTCACGTGCACACGCGCTTTCTTCGCGGAAGCCAATCCCATGTCATCTCATGTTATTTTGTAATGTGAATTATGGGGCTAGACGATAGTTCATGTGTCTTTCGAAAGATTAAGCTTGGATAATGTGAATGCCTATTCAGCGTCCGAATCTACAAACCGTAATCGCTTTGTTCCGCTACACGCCAGATCATGCCCTGCCTGCAAGAATGCAAGATCTCTGGTAGAAATCGAAGCGCGCAGACGCTTTAGCTCTGACCTTGATTGACATAATGCGTCCGTGAGCCGTTCCTCCTCCTTCTCAAGGTCCTTCAGCTCCGTCCTAAGAGTACCTTGCCTATCTTTGTTCTCCTCCAGCCTTCTCTCTCTGAGTTCGTTTTCGGTGACACTCTGTTTGTATAATTCGACAAATATCTCTGCTTTTTCTTCGGGCTTATCTACTATGAGCGAAGGCGCTGGGCTCCGCGAGGATCGAATAGGATTCGTTAGACTGGCTGACTCTCGATGTGACAACAGACTAGCTTCTGCGGCTTCTCCGAACAGTTCTTCTTCGAGTGATGGCTTGTCGTGTTCTAAGAGTTTTCGCTTTGCTGGAGATAGCACCCCCAGCGATTTGCTTCTGTCTATGGGACCGATTGTCTGTTTGTTAGTGCTGCGAGAGCCCTTGACTGCCTTATGGCTAATTGTGTAAGATTCGGCAGACTGTTGTATTGTTAGCCTTAGCTACTAGATGAATGGGATTGCCCACCGATTCTTCGGCATCTTGCAGTCTTGCTGGTGCCATGTTGTTGGGAGCCCCGGCAAATGAGCTTTTTGATGCCAGCATTTCGTCCTCCATGTTTGCTCTTGCGACCTTGCATGCCGATCGAAGGTCAGAGACAAACCGTTCACTCATCGGCCAGGATGATGGTATTTGGAGCTTCTGTAGGACGAAGTAGTATCCCAAGACTGAGCGAAGATGAGCTCGGTCGAAACGTCCGTGCTTTGGCTGGAGGCAGGCGAATGCTGCGGTTGGCGAAACTTGCTCTATTGCTTCTTCCAGAGTTATAGGCTCTTCGGGATGTCCATCGCGCGAGTATAGCCTAAGGCGGGCTTCTGGAGGTCTCCTACCACCAGGTTTACTGTGAAGTAGCGCCCAGACATCTCTCGTTGAGCTTCTGTCTCGCTTGATCTCACCAAACAAGATTCGAGTTGAAAGAGTGTGGCCTATTTCCGCTTTGTAGTCAACGAACGCCGTTTGTACCTTCTCGTCGGGTAGGTATGACAGCAAACCGACGTCCTCGCCCATGCGAGCCCTCAGATCTCTGATTGTGTCATCTGCTTGATTGTGCGGCTGCATAGGTGCTGGCATTGATGATCGAGACGATTGCAATGGCGGCAAAGAAGGTGCACTCGCTTTTCAGGGTGGTGGGAATGTTGGGCGATGTGAACAGTGCGTGACTGATGTGGATCTCTTCGGGATCGGTAGACTGTTGCTGCGCTAGCGCGGATACCTAGTGGAGGAAGGCACGAGTCGTTCAAAAGAAAGATGCCTCCCTGGGAGCACACAACCAGAGTATGTCCACAAAAGCGACAGCCTTTAAAGAAAGTTATTCTATGCTATATGACATACAGAGCAGGAAGTGCTCGTTGCTGTGGACGAATAAAAGCTGACTTGACGGTAATAATGTTCGCCTCCTCAAGTGGCTACCATGTAGCGTAACCATTAGATCAGTATCTACTGATTATTTTGAGCTAATTCTGAGCTGGCATTCTCTATGAAAGTCTCTTAATAATGCTTAGTGCGGTTGTGCTTCCATAAAATAGGAGATCACTCTAGCTAGCAGCTACATCGCATTGATGATGAAGCTGTATTGTACCATGCTAGCTAGAATTCGAACCTTGCAGGTACGGATTCTCGCTCTGATCGGCACAATTCATGTTTTTTACTCTCGACTGTCAAATTGCCTGGCATATACTATCGACCCGTTGACTTCGCAGTGATCACGAGAGAATATCACGTTTGCGATGTCGGGAAAACAGTCTGCAATGAGACATGTTTGCTTTGCTATTCTACACGAGAGATGCATCTAATCGTTGTTGTACCATGTATGCACCATAGTCCGTCGCATAGATGAACACGCGATAGAGACTTCTCCGCTCCAGAGACTGCTTTCAACTCCACGGACCTGGCGGGCCATTTGTCCTCCTACGCTTCGGTGTGCGGCCAGTATCTCCCAATTCTTTTATGAGTTCCTTGCGCGACAATCTACGTGCCACACGATCGCGCTCGGCCTTCCTCCTAGTCATCTGCTCGGTCATGACCTCCTTCTCTACTATCATGGTCTTCATTTCCAACTCGTGCTTGCTTTTCTCTGCCCTCAAACTCTCCTTCGCTTTGTGGTACTCATCTCTCTGTCGCTGCATCATATTGTCTTTCTCCGCTTTGTGCCTCTCCTGCATGTCGGTATCAATCTTCCTTACCTGACTCTTGCGGCACTCATCGAACCGATCTTGCTTCCTTTTCATCTGTTCACGAAGTTGCTCAATCTTTCTCTCGGTTTCGTCAACTTGCATTTGTAGAGATCTATACGGGGTGATTCTCTCCGCGGACGAATGTTGGATTTCATCATGTTCATCTCTCGACTTGTCCCTGGGTAAATCGTCTCTTGAATTCAGTGTAGGGGTGAGGAGTGAGTATCGCTTCAGGTCTTGACCCATGGGTTCCACAGGCGCAGGTGAAGGTTTCGATGTAGGTATCGGTGCAGTCGTATGATACGGATCCTGCCAGTCTAATTGAGATGTGAACGGATGGTCTTTTCTCCGTGGCTGTACAATTGAGGACGGTTGCGACGGTCGGGAGCTCCCAAAGCGGCGAGGAGAAGATTTAATTTGATTTGGTTCGCGCATTGATCGAGGCTCAGTTGGGGGAGTCCTTTTCCTATGTGCTACAGTATTGAAGTTCAAAGTAGCTTTTTTGGTGGGGGTTTTTGATGTAACTGGAGTCTCAATCCCACTTGCTAGAGACTTAGTAGCTTTGATAAAGGTGCCAGATGTCAGTCTGGAAGTAGTGGAAAGGCCATTTGAGAGTTCGTTATCACACCCACGCAGCTCAACTGTGGGACCGGTCTGCAAACGTCGAGAGGCTGGGCGTGACGTTGCATCCGAGATGAAGAGCGAGTCAATGGAGTCTTCTGGAGTGGTGTAGATGCTGAGCTGACGGCGCTGCTCTTTCAGAGCCCCAAATCTTCTGCCGGCACGCTTGACGGCTTCCACGAAGCCTTCAGCGAATGCAGCAGCGGTGTCCAGGGACACACCTTTCAAAACGAAGCAGGTCTACAAAAATCAGCTGAATCCTTCAATTCGACTGTGAGATTTAGCTGATGACCATACCTTGATCAGTACTGGAGTCTTATTTCCCATGGCAGCTTTTTCGAAAATACCTATCCAGGCATTGTGATCCATGATCTTTTTCAACGAAAACTTCGACATGCTGTGGCCAGCTCCCTCTATGCAGTATTTGAGGTCGAAGCTTCCATCGGGATGCACATTATCAGACATATATGCCCAGATCTTGCGTGTTCCGTTGTTCTCTGTCACGAGAGCGACTTGGATACGTTGGTGCTTCTATGCGCCTGCGGCTTCTAGAGGGTTGATCTCCATGTCCACCTCTTCGATCGGTATGTTATCAAGCAGATGCTGTTCATTACCAATACTGTTCCTGAGGCGCTGTAGGGCTGATAAAGGTTGCGTGGCGGTAGCAGTAGCCATGATGGGCACCATGCAAGGAGCTGGCGGCGCACCTGCGTCTTGTAGTGGGTCAGCAGACAATTGAGATACTCCGCTGCGGATGGATGGAGGCAGAATTATTTAATATGCTGATCGATTCGATGTAGCTTACCATGAGAGTATGACGTGTTACAATGGTGTCAGAGAGACGAGAGGATGGGAGGAAAAGGCTGCGGTCACAGAGGCGATTAATATCGACGCGCGTGCCTGTCAACAAACAAGACGCGCGACGCGTAGAGAGTGAATGCGACAAAAACTCAGGTTTTCCTGGGTCTTCCTCTATCAGGATGCTTGCAGTCCACACCTGGGCACCTACCTAGGTAGCCCAGAGGTTATCAGCAGCTCGCATCCGTTGCGACGAATTTGATTCACCATTTCTTATGTGCTCAAATACTAAAACGCGGTGTCAATGACGTCAGTGACAGAGTACTGTCTGTTTTGGTGACCGACGCGTTTCAGGCAGACGCGTCATGATGAAGGGCCTCTGGCTTTCACTCCAACTAAGCCGATGCAGTCCAAGCTCCTGGAACTATAAACTTTTTCCACCCACGTTGCCGATAGACCCCTCTTCACTATCGCATCTAGTCATGACTACGCACCTCACTGAGTCAGCTACCGTCAAGGCGCAGCTTTTGGAGCTTGGTCGTCAAGCGGATATTTTGCGTCACCTACCCTCCGACCACGTCGAATTTGCTCACCAAGAAGAGGTCCCAACAGCATACCCCAAAGCTATGCTCTTTGGGAAGACGACAGGAAAGCCCGCGCGGGTGTGGATCTACTGGAGCAAGAGTTGGCAAAAGCTCATGTTTCATTCGTTTTACAATAATGATACGGCTGACGAGTGGTTCACAGCCGAAAGGGTGGTTAAGCTGGCGACTCCAAGCCACCCCTTCCGCTTTGTCACCTGTGAGAGCGACCTGTGTGTGTTAGCTACGTATTACTTCCTGAGGGCTGGTCTGGGTACTCGGAAAGTACTGCGATTTCTACCACATCAGCTGGACGCGTTACTCACAATGTCGACAAACTTTGCGGAAGAAGGAAACGGAGATAAAAAATCGAAGATCGTCAAACTGCGCGTACATCTGTCTCCGCACCGCACACACCTGCCAATAGTTCCTCCACGGCTCATCACTCCTGTTTCGACTGGCTCCGATCAGCACTCTGCTTTTCTAAGTTCTCGAGCTGGGTATGACATACCGCAAAAAGCTACCAAGAGGGTCCCTGCGGTACACTCGTTTCTCGGTTTACCTGTGCCCCTCCACTGACGGAAGCAGAGCAGCACCACTCCACCGTATAGTCCCCCAAGAGTTTCAATGATCAACCGGTACATCCAGTACACAAGACAAGAAGACGAGATCGATAAGAAGCTAGAGATCAACAAAGCGCGCATCGAGGAGTTCCAGACCATTCTTTCGGGACTTTTCAAGGAAGATGCCAGACTCAGCAAAGCTAAGCTTTCTGTAGGCGAAGTCAAGAGAAAGACTTGGGACAACATGTCGAATGATGAGTCGCGAGAGTTGGGAATAAGAGAAGTGAGAGCGAAGAGGCGTAAGGCTGGATGAAAAAGGCACGCGGTATCTTCTAACAGAAGAGTGCTACATTCTGGACGCAAATCTAGCGATGGCTTTAGTCGATCAGAGAAGCTGTGAGGGTATCAGTCGACGGGATTAGAAGTCGCAAGGATATCAGTTCTCGGTTCAAACACGATAGATAGCCTCATGCCTTTTCCGGATCAGGGCATAACTTATCACCATCCACGATGAGCGTTTGCTTTTTGGATATGGTGCAAACAATGTATGCTTGAGGGCGGGCCGTCTTTGTCCATCTTTGTCCATCTCATTGTCGTCGCTCACCTCGCCATAGTTTTCACGCCCATCGACTCATCCTTCCCTTGTTCCTAATTGTTCGAACGGATCGCCGAAGAAAATATGGGAAATGTAGAAGAAGAGTGACAAAGTGAAAGTAATGTCGTTGTCAAGACCAGATTCGCAGGGTGAATCGGTCGAGCTAATCGAAGCAGTCGACGAAGGGACGCACAAACATTAGCTATCTCTCTTGTAGCTGCTTCTCTCTCTGAGACCAGAAAAAAACTTCGCCAACACGAAGGAAATCCAGAGGCCCTAGTATGCTGAAGTGTCCCAGAAGCGTGCATGTTCATTGAGGCCCGGGCATACGGAACGTTTGCACAGCAGACAGCGGAAACGTTACACCGAATGTGTACCTCATCATAGGGTTTGAAGCCATAGCACTCGCACTATAGGGCAAGCCATGCGTGTCAGGCATATACATCATGCAAGCCATGAATACGAGCATGTTTGCGAAACCAAGGAGGCTCTCTGCAATAGCTACAACGGTGCATGTACGTCAAAACGTGTACCAGACCTCAAGCTACTTGAACCCTGTGTTACGACTTCAGATTCGAACATCTATATGTACATTATTACGTCACGGAATTTTGACGTTAAATGTGCCTGTTGCTTGAGGCTTTGACAATGCCCACAAAATGCCTTCATCGACACACTCATCCCAGTGATCAGAGGCCTTCAAAGCCTTCCCAAATCGCCTGTGTCCGTGTGGCACGCCTTTGAAAAGTCTGACCTCTGTTGGCACATTCTGTTCAGAAAGTAACTTTGCGTACAGCAAAGCTTCGTCCCGTAAAGGATCCAACCCAGCAATGCCAAAGACCGTTGGAGGCAGGCCTCGAACCTCTTCCTCGGTCGCGTTCACAATGTTAAGCTTTGTGTTTTTCAGGTCTGCCTTGGGAGTTTCCAGTAAGCCCGTGAAGAATTCCACGACTCTCTTCGGCAATATGGGCGCGTTCTCGTTCTCGATGTACGATGATTTGCCAGGCGTAATCTTCTTCCCTGGTCCCTCTTCATAGTCATAAGGACTCGCCACGCAGGGAATGATTAAAATCTGGCCTGCAAGCTCCGGAAGACCTCTCAAAACCTCACTCTTTCCGAGATGTTTCTCCAATGTCAGAGACGCTGCCAGTTGTCCTCCTGCAGAAACCCCGCCCACCAGCACTTTTGAAGGATCGCCGTTGAGCTCCTCGATATTCTTATGCACCCAAGCAAATGCGTCCTGGGAATCATCCCATGCAGTGGGGTATACGTGATCAGGTGTGTGTCGGTAGTTGACGTTGATCACGAGTACCCCAACATTGATAGCAGTCTGAGCGCAAACGAAGTCCTCGCTGGCTATGCTTCCAAAGATGAACCCGCCTCCATGGAAGTAGATATAAACAGGAAGCTTTTCGGACTTTTCTTTCTTGACTGAGCGGTAGGTACGAGCTTCGATTGTTGAACCGTCACGTGTGGGGATGCTGTAATCCGCTGTATAGACATGTGGTGCCAGGAACTTCATGCCGGCGGCTGTTCTCTCCTCTCTCTCTTTGTTAGTAGCGTTTTTGAGTTCGACAGGGTCACGGCTGATGTCAAAGGACAGGGCTGGTAGCGTCTTCTCGATCGCCAGCCACTCGTCTGAGGGACCACCATATTTCGAGAAATCCAGAGTCATGGTAACACTTTAGTCACTGAAAATGGACAAGAGAATCGATAACTCATATAATGTCGAAGTTTGAAAGGGAGTGCAGATGGTCCCAAGGTTGTGATGGGTGCCCAGATGAGTGAGACGCACCTAACTCCTCTCCACTAGCGTCAACCCCGCGCATGTACCGAGGCACAGCATGGAAGGAATGTGGCTCTCTCCGAGTGAGGGACAAATCGCGGGCACGTTGCCGGAGAGTCATGCCTATCAAGTATTTTACGGCAAGTATTCAGCGTAGAGTTGAGGTCTCAGCGATCTAGGAGCGCCTTGCGGCTTTCCCGATTAGGATAACCGCCTCAAAGACATGCCTACGTATTTTGGACCCTTGAATCTGAATGCAATTTTCAACCACATCAATAACCATCGCCCACAGACTATAGGACGGTACTCTTCCGTTATGTCGCAGATTCCATCTCACCCACCATCACGCGGGCTCGACAGCAAGGTTGCTATTGTGACAGGTGCAGGTTGTGCGGGTGAAGGCATCGGAAATGGTCGAGCTATATCGATCATGCTTGTAGAGGAGGGTTGTAATGTTCTGTGTCTAGACATGAACTTGGACTGGGCTCAAAAGACAGCGGAGATGTCTATGGCAAGATCGCAGAGGGCGAAAGCATTGGCCTTTAAGTCTGACGTCACAAAGGCGGCAGATTGTAAAGCTGCTGTTGAGGCTGCCTTGAAAGAGTTTGGAAGACTGGACATACTTGTGAACAACGTTGGAATAGGAGGTGCAGCTGGTACTGCGGTCGAGGTCGACATGGAAGCCTGGGCAAAGGGTCTCGAAATCAACGTCAGCAGTATGGTTCAGATGGCCAAATATTGCATACCGGCAATGCAAAAGAACGAGAGAGAAATCCGAGGCAGCATTGTAAATATGGGCAGTGTCGCAGGGTTGAAGGGTGGTACGCCACATTTGTTATATCCAACGAGCAAAGGCGCTGTGGTGAACATGACGAGAGCTATGGCCGCGCACCATGCGTCAGACGGTATTCGTGTCAACTGCGTCTGTCCTGGAGTAGGTTTATTCTTCAGTTGATCGCTCTAACTGACACAACCTCAGATGCTGTATACCCCAATGATGTATGCAGGTGGCATGAGCGAAGAAGCCCGAGAAGCCCGGCGAAAGAGGAGCTTGTTGGGCACAGAAGGTAACGGGTGGGATGCAGCATGCGCTGTTACTTTCCTAGCAAGCGATCACGCTAGGTGGATTACTGGCGCAATCCTCCCTGTTGATGCTGGGTCTACAGCAGCGGTGGGAATCGGCATGCCGAAGAGCGCAAGTGTCAACGGGTGAACGGAGACGTGTGGTGGAGGGTTCAAACGCCGAACACACAGGTGTAAGACTGAACGAATCCACGCTAGGTGAACCCCTTTGTACGTTCGAGAAGTATTGGGTCACTTGTAGGACTTTATGCACCATGCGCACGGCGGCATCTGCACACTCCTGCTCTCCTTGTGTCCGGCAAGTCTTGCTGTAATCTGCAGCTTCTTAATAGCCACACCAAACTTATATTCTCAGGCAATTGCAGTCTCCTTACACCTTATCCTAAGAAAGCACGTTCCTTGTAAATGTGCGTTCCTATCCTGTTATATCCGTGGGCTTGACGGGCAAGTTCATTGCACAGCAAGCTCCATCGATGGTGACTATTCAGCGACGACAGTTGCATTGAAACGGGCGCTGTATCAGGCATTGGCGATTCGACTCTGAAAACAATACTACTGTGATTATGATCGTTTTAACTTGGGCCTTGCGACGACGAAGAAGTCCTACAGTTGTGATCGAAGCTAATTACTAGTAGACTCGCAGTATTTCCGCGTGCAGCACAGGTCATCCGTGGTGTGGCGCATGACGCACCAATTAGCGTGCATCGCGACATCGCTATGATAACACGCAAGGGGCGCACTCTGCCCGAAGTTCACCACGCTTTCGTTCGATGGTGGCTGAAAATTTTCTGAGCCGTGGCTGACTGATGTGATTCATGATAGAGTGAGGTACAAAGGCACTCGGGACCTTTCTCATCAGTGCTACTTACCGCAGCGCTGCAAATCCTCACCACATCATGTTAGATCACGAAGCCATGGCAGACGACGATCTGGAGAAGCCACATGCAAAATCACAGATTCGACAGCGACTTGATGCTGACGTCGACGCAAAATGGGCGGATTTGATACTCTTAGGTTGTTTCTTCTGCTCAGGTCTGGTCGACAGCATGGCGTTCAATATGTACGCGTGTTTTGTCAGTATGCAGACAGGTCAGTGGAATATTGGTGCGGATTCTAAGCTCCAGTAGTTGACACTATACAGGCAACACCATCTTCGTCGGATTGGGAGTCAATGGACAGCCTGACTCGGCGCCCCGGTACTCCTGGGCGAAGTCGTTGGCGGCAATCGTGTGCTTTGCACTTGGTGCCCTATTCTTCTCGACTTTTCATCGAACATTTGGCCCACAAAAGCGATGGGTTCTGATTTCGTCGTTTGCAATTCAGACGCTTCTTATCGCTATCGTTGCCATCATCACCACGGCTTCGGTTATCCCTAATATGCCGCCAGTAGTTATTACCGAGAACAACTCACAGTTCCTCACATTTACTATCCCGAGTGCATTTCCTGGATCCGATTTTGCTGCAATCACTATCTTGGCCTTCCAGAGTGCTGGTCAAATTGTTGCCAGTCGCGTGCTGAAGTACAACGCGATGCCGACCGTGGTCCTGACGAGCTTGTACTGCGATCTCATGAGCGACGCACAGCTCTTTACTGCGCCTCTTGGCGAGAATGCTGACAGGAATCGTCGCTTCCTTGGAGCTGTACTTCTATTGTGTGGTGCCATCTCTGGCGCTTTCCTCACCAAGTCCGACGCTGGGTTCAAGGGCGGCTTATGGATCGCGGTCGGCATCAAAGCCGCAATGACTGTAGCTTGGTTCTTCTGGAAACAGAAAAAAGTTACTTCTAAGTAGTGTGAGCTATCATAGCTGAGAACATTGTGTACCATTACATCCCCGCATTCGGTCGTCACCGTCAACAGTGCCATTGTGTTGTTATCATGACGTCATTATCTCGGTGCTTCTGAAAGGCGTGGCAGGCGCCAGTACTGCTCAAATCATGGATGGAATGACTATCAGGACACAGATACCTATAGAGCATGAAAAGCGGTGGGACGACCGATCTTTGGTCGTGGTTGACGGGCGGCAGCTGCCGTACCAGCCCCTTGCATTTCCGCGCACCTGCACCCCAGATCTCCGGGTGCACGGGCTGCAGCCTAGCGTCATCGTTGTCCTCGCCCAGCATCAGCTCATCCATCAACAGCTCATCCATCACAGCTCGGTGCTCAGCTGGCTGGCATTATCCTTTTCATCAAATCGACTCCACTACACGCTTGTGAACGAGATGTCGGATGAGAAGGCACCTCTCATACCGCGCTCCGTCGGGACTCACGCGAGGGCGGAATCGGCTCCGCGGCGTCACCGCTATACTTCCAGAAGGACCGCATTGAGGGTGCTGGGTGCTACTGCTGCTGCTGGAATTCTCTACTACAGTATTCCTGAAGGTGAGACTGGAAAAACACATGATGTTCATATCGAACTGACTATTGCACAGTCACGGCGCACTCTGCTAAGAACAAGTTATGTCTGACGCCAGCATGTGTGCACGCAGCATCTGAGATTCTCTATAATCTCTCACCCAACTACAAAGAGCTAGATCCCTGTACTGACTTTGAGGAGCTTGTGTGTGGTGGTTGGCGAGACCGACATGACCTGCGTCCGGATCAAGGTGATGCGTTCACGGGCACCATCATGAACGAGAACTCAGAGTTACTGCTACGCCATATCCTGGAAGCTCCATATCCAAAAGACTCTCAGGTACGCGAAAGTCAGTAGATCGAGAGATCTGGCTAACAGATCTCCTATAGCACTCGTACTTCTCACCTATGCAGTTGGTAGCTGTGCAGAAGTCTGCCGACGAGCAGAATTTTGACAAGATGAAAGCTGTATATGACGCCTGCCTGGATGAGGACAAGATCAAGAGCCTAGGTGTTGAGCCACTTCTCAAAGTACTTGAAGAGGTCAAGAAGGCATACCCACAAGGCGGTGCTGCATCCCTCCTTGCAAGGTACGGTGTGACCGGCTTGATTGCGACTGGCACCGGTGCCGATGATCGTGACCCTGACACTGTTGTTGTTTCTGTTGCTGCGCCGTACTCGTTCGGCCTACCGAGCAAAGAGCGCTACGAAGACGACAAGTTAGTCGAGAAGTACCGCAGTGTTACTGTCAAAGTACTCGCTGCTCTGTACCCCGATGCGAAAGAGGAGTCGTTCTCAAAGATCATCGATTTCGAAAAGAAGCTAGCAGCTGCTTCACCCAGCACTGAGGACCGCGAGGACGTCACCAAATACTACAACCCGATGAGTCTCGACAGCGCCAACAAACTAGCTCCCGAGGTCGATCTCAGGGGACTCCTTCACGATCTTGCACCTAAGGACGTCAGTGTTGACCGCATTATCGTCATGGCACCAGAGTACCAGAGCAAGCTGTCTTCTATCCTGAACGAAACTGATAGCGAGGTCGTGATGAACTACTTTGTGTGGAAGGCTGTGCAGTCGTTCTCGGGCTACATTGATGCAGAAGAAGTCAAGCCTTACAGAAGATTTCTCAATGAGCTCGCAGGCAAGGTCAGTTGCACCACACATGATAGTTCGTATGCCATTGACTAACCTGTTCCAGGACCCTGATTCCACACCTGAGCGATGGCGAACATGTGTCGGTCACGTTGACGGTGGCGTAGGATGGATTTTGAGCAGGTTCTTCATTGAGAAAGCTTTCTCCGCTGAAGCAAAGAAGTTTGGTGACACTATCATCACTGACATAAAGACTGAGTTTGCCAAGAAACTTCAGGCTACGAAGTGGATGGACAAGTCCACCACCAAGCAGGCCGTCAACAAGGTCCACAACATCATCCAGAAAATCGGATACCCTACCGAGAGCCCGAATATTATGGACCCCCCAAGCCTCGAGAACTACTACCACTCTGTTAATGTCTCATCTGATGCATTTCTGCAGAATGCCCTCTCGATGCTTCGCTTCGCTATCGATGACGAATGGTCAGCATTAGGCAAGCCGGTCGATCGCGATCAGTGGGGCATGACTGGTAGGTCACAATGCTTCCTGTGCCCTTTGTACATGACTGCTGACTACAAAATAGCGTCGACTGTTAATGCTTATTACAATCCACCTGGCAACGAGATCGTTTTCCCTGCCGGCATCATGCAGTTCCCAGTATTCGATGTCAACGTCCCCGCATACATGTCGTATGGTGCATTCGGCTCTGTTGCGGGTCACGAGCTCAGCCACGCTTTTGACTCAACTGGCCGTCACTATGATCAAAATGGCAACTACACAGACTGGTGGTCCAATTCGACAGTCGATAGCTTTAGAGAGCGTGCTGAATGCTTCGTCAACCAATACTCGAACTTTTCCGTACCCGGAACCGACGGCAAGCCTCTCCACGTCAATGGCCGTCTTACTTTGGGCGAGAACATCGCTGATGCTGGCGGTCTGTCTGCCTCTTACCAGGCTTGGAAGCTTCGCGCCCACAAGAAACCCAACCAGGATCTTCCCGGCCTTGAACACTTCACACAAGATCAACTCTTCTTTGTCACTTATTCCAACTGGTGGTGTGGCAAATCACGCAAGGAAAACGCGATTAATAGGATATACACCGACCCTCATGCACCAAAGTGGGCACGTATCCTGGGTACCATGGCCAACAGCCGCGAATTCAGAAACAGTTTCCAATGCAAGGACAAGAAGCCTACCTGCCAGTTGTGGTAAGCGGACTAAATCGTCTACCGGCAGACTGAGTGCGAGAGCAAACTACTTACTATGTATCACTACGCAAATGGAGTTCCTGATTTTCTGATATACTCATTTACAGTGTCGACGAACATCGCATTATGTCCAGACCTGGCACTATCACCTTCTTGCTAGCCTTGAAAAGGATGTTTAGCTCATGAAAATTGATCGAAACGTTCTGCCACCCCACCCGTACGCCCTCTGAAGTCTCTGAAAGTACGTCAGATATCACAAGACGTGTAGGTTTCCGTAACAATCTCTTTGAAAACAGCATAAACAAGACAGGTTGGTCTTTGTTTTGCGTACGGTGCTTGAGGTCGCAGATGAGAGGCCATGCACGTCCTCAAAGTACGAGTACACTTACGCCTCGGCCAAAGGCATACGAGAATGACGTTGTAGCCAAGCGTGGGGAGAGAGCGGACAAAATGTGTTTGAGCTCTGGTGTTCCATTCGTACCTACACAAGTAGTATGGGAAGTTCTACGCTTTGGCATGACGGTCATTCGCAACGAGGGATCACACTGATGGAACTCAAGGATAGGTGACTTATCGACAGAAATACAAAAGGTTCTGAAATTTCAGGACTATGGGTACTAGCATTGCAACTCGTTTACTAGAGAATTCGGTAGACATTCAGGAGTTTAGCAAACTTGCTTTACACTCGATCGCTTGATTGAACGGGCCATTCTTATATCCGCTATCACGACCAAAGTTCATCGCTCCCCTACTAGGTCAGGAGCATTTGGAAGCCATTCATAAGATAAGACAGCCAACTTTTCAGCATGTATAGGAAAAGATCTGCTTTCCAAAACACGCTGAACATTTGTCGATGCGTGTCCTCTCAAGCAAGCTGGAACGTGTCTCCAGTCCACCCATAGACGCGGCCCAAGCGCCGACCAAAGCGCTTGGCCATAACGTATGGGATCTCGTTTTCCGGGTGAGGTTCATGGAATTGAATGCCTCGCTGAGCTTCTACATCAGTCGTTGGAATGAATTGCCAAGCTGAACCCTGGAGGCTCTCCGCGGAGAAGCCAATGTGGACCATTGCACGCTTGAAGCTATTCCATTTGACGCATTTTGGGATCTCGCCACTTTCATTGGCTGGGACATGGAACAGTGCCTTGAAAACCCTGTAGTCATCTTTTTTTACATTGAAAGTGCGTTCAGTCGAGGTGCTAGGGCGATACATAGGCTGAATGGCCGATTGTTCGATCGATGGCTGGGCGGCCCCTCGTGTCTTGGGCTTCGCCTTTTCTGTCACAGACAGTCTGTCGAATGCACCAGTGATCTGCGATGCCTTGTTATGGAGTAGATCCGAGAATAGACGAAATTCTTGTTCCAGCTTCTTGTCTAACTTGACAACTTGTTCGGTACTATCATCCCAAGGAGCAGTGCGATACATCTCTGCGCTATCCTGGAGGCATTCTTGTATGACACGATGCGCCAACCCCGTCTCAGCTTCAAGATGGGCGTCAACTGTGGACCAAAAAGAATCCAGGTTTTGCTCTGCATTGTACATGACGGTGACGGTATTGCGGGTACGTCTCTTGTGCTCTGGATAGTCCAGTTTGTCTTTCAAGGGAAGGATCGACTCCAACGACGGCTTGAAGCCCTTCCCTAAAGCCTCTTGCCACCTGTAGAAGACCTCACCATCTTCTGTAGGATTCTTGCATGTGCATTCGTTGACTTTGCCTGTCTCGACATCTGGAGATTGAGCCCAGAGAGAGATTTGCCGTGCACATTCTGTGATGATAGAGAGGTCCGTAAGCAGATCCAGAAGCCGTCCCGTAATCATCCTCCTAGCTGTTTCGCTCCGCTTGAGTAATGAATCGACTTGCTCAAGTGAGTACGACAATAACGTTGGCCATTCGATTTGTTCGTCGTCCTCTTCGTTCTCTGCCAGATGAATGCTTTCCATCAGATCTAAGAACACCCTCTGCTCTGCCGTGATGCCCCGCACACGATGGTACGTACCTGCCTTGCACTTTTTCTTAAATAACAATCGACACCCAGGAGTCGAACGGTAGGTCCTGGTAATGGTTCTAAGGAGCAAGTTACCGATTCTCCGCAACATCGATCGGAATTCTAGCAAGGGTCGAGCTTGATCTTGCTTCGTGGCACCCTGCTTTCCTAGGCTTTCAGCCGTATTCAGCCGCTCTTTGAGGAATTTCCAGCTGTCTAGCATCGTATATGACTCGTGTAACATTTTAATGACCATCGCAGTCATGTATTGCGGCACATCATGGCGCTTACTCAGGTGATTGCAACAGTCTGACGGAACATTTGTCGGACAATGATTGAGATCTTCGCGAAAAGTGTCGGCGAAATATCCTGGGTCTTCTCGGAGGGCCAAAAAATGGGTTCTGTGCTTGCAATATGTACTTTCAACATAGCCTCGAAGTTGCGACAAGTTCAGAGAGTTCCATCCTCGATACGGTGCCACGTTCAGCACCTCGGTGAAAGACGCGTGTTTGGTCTCGGTCGTTTCGACAGTCTGTATAATGGGCGGGATATCTTGTACCGGAGAGTCGAAAAGTTCGGTGAGAGTCTTCTCATGTAAGATTGCTTTGGCGCATGCGAGCAGAAAGGAAAGTATGCGTTGTTGCATTAAAAGTGACTGAAAAGCGCGACGCGCACACAAACTGTACTTGTCACTCGATTTGCGAGAATCCGCTGAGCTTTCGCTGTTTCTGTTTAGTTTTCCGTATACACGCTGGTCTACTGCTTCAGTGAAGTCGATCGTCAACGAAGTACAAAGGTCTTCGTCTGCGCAGCCTTGGAAAAGCACTGTGAGTACAGGGCTGAATTCCATCTCAATCGCAGCGAACTCCCAGGGCGGCATTCGGCCACGGGCATTCAAGAAAACCATCAAGGTCGTTGGCATGACGAGATCTTCTTGATTTACTAATCTTCGATCAGTAAGGTTTTTACTCTGAAGCTTGCAGTAACAGTAACGTACTAAATGGCCACACGAACACGTCAGGTATGGAACCACGGACGTGTCGCAGAATTGACGTCCAGTGTTCTTCAGCATCCGGTCGATGATCTTTGGGCATGTTCGCCCAAGCATCGAGGATAAGCTTTCGCCTCTGAGAAACCGTCTTCTTATGCCACCTAAAGTCCATCAAGGCCTCGTGTCAAAGTACAACTGCATTGAGTAGTCTGAAGTCGTCGCAGATGCTCTTGGAAAGTGCTGTAGCATGATGCTCAAGCGAATCGATCACGGCCGAGGAAATTGCCTTATTTCTGTGCATGTAACTGGTGAGCTCCTGCAACTCCATGATCTGCTTTTCACTTGCTGTGTTAGCTCCCGGGATCGCAAGGTTTGTTGTAATGGACTGCGCAGCAATACATACTGTACGAGTTGCGACCAGGCAGCCATGGTCGAAGAAAGCGGCCACAATGAAGCGCGCTTGATATTTGGCAGGGATTGGGAAAGCTGTGGGAACAAGCACTCGAAAAGCAAGGGCGGAAAAACGTACGCCCGAGCACCTTGAGGTGAAGGAGAGTCCTGTGGCAAATATTATGACTCAAGTACAACAGGCACGTTCATCTCAACCTTGACTTTAGTGTGCACACAGAGCGCAATTCAGGATTTGCTCGCAGTCTTCATCTGCCCCCTCTCATTCACAACAGCTGCCATCCGGTCACCCAGTTCGGACCCAAGCGCCTCGAAACCCTTAACCACACCCTCCCGATCACCCTGCGTACTTTCTTGACTCATCTTGAATTTACCCTCCAGCCGATCCAGCTTGATTTCAATCCCAATAATCGCCTTCTGCAGCAACTCGATATACTTCTCGGGCGCATCCGCGACCTTCCACGCCCCCTGCCTACCTTCTTTCCCATCATAACCCATCACAGACGCCTCCGCATGCTGGGACAAGTCATGGATTTGCTTCGACAGGAACGCACCGGTGTCGGGCGACTTCGTATCGAAGTAGATGCGCGCCTTCCCGTAGGCCTGCGCGGCAGCGTAGTTCCAGGTCGGTACGACTTTGCCCGTGTCTGGCTTGGTCTCGGTGTAGAACTTAGGCGTGATGTAGTGGTGTGTTGGTGCTGTGAAGAGGACGAGGACTTCTGCGTCGAGGCAGGCGCCGCTGGATTTTGAAGTGGCTACCAGGTTGTCGATTATCGTCTTGCTTTGGGGATTTGCTCGCGCGAGATGGCCGCGTAGAGTGCCAAGTTCAGTCTCGCTAGACTCGTCTTCTACGTCTAGCAGCCATGGAATGTGGCTTGACAGTATGAAGGGGTAACGCTGTGAGGGAATCGCTGTAGTGAGGACGCCAAGAGGGTTGCTGCGGATGAGCTGTCGCAGCGTCACGAGGGATGTTTCTGCGTGAACGGCTCGAAGATACATCTTGCTTTGTTTTGGGGTCGTTGTGACTGCAGAGAATGCTGGGTTTCCACTGGAGGTTATAGAACAATCTACTGTCAGCGTGATGATGCAAATCGGATTACACGTTTCAGTCGAAAGAGTCCAGGCTCATTCTGCGAGACTTAAGAGAAGGTTGCTGTTACCAGTCATTCGCGCCCTATGGCTACATCTGGCAGAATAAGCGCTACGGATGACGCAGGCAATTGACGGATACGCTTATTTAGTCCCGAATCACCCATCATCATCGCAGAATGCTGCACTTTTCACGACCTCGAAGTGCGTGATCCGGAATCTGCGTTTTTACAAGACTTTGTCAAACCCAAGATCGATGGGCGCGCCCAGCAGCTAAGGCTCTCCTGCAAGAAATTGTCTATTACAAACTCCGCCGGGGTGGCTTCCGCTGTGCCCTATATATGCCCCGCCACCTTGGCCAGAGTTCTGGAACGATCATCAGCCAAGTTCCCCAGTTTCTTGACTTTGCGACACAAGGCCTCGCTAGACAGAACGATGACTGTGACACTGCGACACTGCGGGTAGGTAATTTAAGTGGCAGGCAAAAGCGCGCGTCTAAGATTACCGGGCTCGCTTAAGACTAACCTGCAAAGAGATGAGCAAGAAATTTGAGATCAAGTGGATCACTCGTACATAGAGCAACTGTTCATCCAGGAACCTGTCATTCGATGCGCTCTAAGCATCAGTAGCGTGCGATATCGCGACGAATGAAATTTGCTAAAACCCCACTGATGAGGTTGATTCGCGGTACCAGTTCTACGCCCGCACAGCAGTGGCTCCTTTGGCACTCTCATTGGCAGTCGGTACAGCACGTGATCCTATGGACATGGATTTCACCAGATGCCGCGAGGAAAAGCCGAGTGAAAGGTAAGCCCGGTCATCAACATGCATTGTACGAAAAGGAGGCCCCGCAATCGTTGTCACGCCACGCTACCGTTGCAAATCCTGCGCATGCTCGTCCCGCACTATTGTAACATCCAGACGTGTCCAGCTACGAACTGGCTGGATCAGACGGCTCCCAGATCCGAGTCAAGGAGATGAAACGACCCCGAAGAAAGGCGTACCAGCGCTCGGTTCCATAGGGCAGAAGTGGAGTTCGATGGCACGTCAATGTCAGCCGCCAACATTGCTTACACTACAGCATCCCTGCTAGTTGAGGTACAGATGCTACGTTGCGACGAGGCCTGATTGATGGTTTTCGATGTGGCTTACCTTGTGTACAGTCAACACTCAAGCCCGTTTTCTGTGTCCTGCGGCAGCAAGCTTGGCCTCATCTCCGCGACCAGGTCAGCAGTGCTGAAAGCGAGTCCACGTTTCTGTTGTTCGCACGAATCGCCGTTTGCGTTCTGGAACGCATATTTGCAGGTCATGATGTTCTGGTCGTGGATGACCAACTGCCGGTCCGACATGGGCGCTAATTCACGAGGGCCCGGCCATGGACCGGATGCGCTAACCAATCGGACCACGGTCGTGTGCACGGATTTAAAATAATTTTCACCAGCTATGCGGTATGCGGCTCAAACAATAGTGGACACACCCCACAACCAACTCAGGCCGATGCTTGTGGAGCAGAGCTGGAGTATTTGCCCACGGGGCGAAAAGAACAGGGATGTGACATCGCATCCTCCCCAGACATTTGCGCCTCCCCGGTCATGTTGGTCGCGTTCCTCGTTTATCGCGAGCTCTCGCTTTGTGCAGCCCTTATTGTGTCCACTAGAAAGACTTCGCATGACGTCGTCGAGATCCCCGCATTCGAGGTCCTGGGCGATCGGGCACGTGAAGAGCCGCCCAGAGCCAGTGATGCTTATTAGCGCACAACGACCTCTGCTTGTTAGCCTCGGCGTTGATCAAAGGCGGCTTGGTAGCGTTGAGGCGAACTCAATTCGTGACAATCACCCGACCGCCCTCTCCGCGACCCCAGGAGCTAGCCGTGTCCACGGCGCAGCCAGTCCTTAATCGGCTAGCAAACATGCGCCGCAAGTGCAGCCCGGATTACGGTTGTTCGATCCCCAATCTCCAGCTTTGTTATTAAACTTGAGGGGACCCCGTGGTGTTACCCTTTGCTCCTCGTCCCTGCTACGTGCAATTCCTCTTTGCCCTGCGCTCTGATAGCACGCATCACTTACATAGTGTACACGCTCCACTCATAATCATCATGGACCACTCCAACGAGAAGTCCGAGGAGGACGGCCGCCGCCGCGCATCTATCAATGCTACCACCGATATCACCATGACTGAGGCGCCCGTTACCTGGAAGGCCTACCTGCTCTGCGCTTTTGCCTCCTTTGGTGGTATCTTCTTCGGGTAAGTCTGCGACGCGCATTTCTTGTGGTGCTTGGTGCTCATTGAACTCTACAGTTATGATTCCGGTTACATCAACGGCGTCCTCAACTCCCCTCTTTTCATCGAGGAAGTTCAGGGTCCTGTCTGTCCTCAAGGTCTTGATACCCCCGGTGGTCTCTGCGCCATTAGTGGCAGCAACACATCGCTCATTGTTTCTATTCTCTCTGCTGGTACATTCGTCGGTGCTCTGATCGCTGGTGATGTCTCCGACATGATGGGCCGCAAGTGGACCATTGTCATGGGCTGCGTTATCTACATCATTGGTAAGTGTCCCAGTAGTTGCTTGTTCATATTCCTCATTAACATTGCCATAGGTGTGGTTATGCAGATGGCTGCTAACGGCCGTGATCTCCTTGTCGCTGGTCGTGCTATCGCTGGTGTCGGTGTCGGTTTCGAGTCTGCCATTGTCATTCTCTACATGTCCGAGATCTGCCCCAAGAAGGTGCGCGGCGCGCTTGTGTCTGGCTACCAATTTTGTATTACCATCGGGTTACTGCTTGCTGCCTGCGTCAACTACGCAGTGCAGGACCGCGGCGACACCGGTGAATACCGCATTCCTATCGGTATCCAGTTTGCTTGGGGTATCATCTTGGGTGTCGGTGTTGCGTGCCTGCCTGATTCCCCTCGCTACTTCGTTAAGCGCGGCCACACAGACAAGGCCAGGGCTGCCCTCCTGAAGGTCCGAGGTGTCCACCCCACAAAGCCTGATGCCGAGCACCTCAGGGCTATGGTTGACTTTGAGCTTGCTGAGATCATTGCCAACGAGGAGTACGAGCGCGAGCTGACACCCGCTGGCGGTTGGCTCGCTGGCTGGATGAACTGCTTCAAGGGATCTCTCTGGCAGTCCAACTCTAACCTTCGCAAGACCATCCTGGGTACCTCTCTTCAGATGATGCAGCAGTGGACTGGTGTCAACTTCATCTTCTACTACTCCACCCCCTTCCTGCAGTCGACTGGCGCTATCTCGAACACCTTCTTGATCTCGCTGATCTTCACCCTCGTCAACGTCTGCTCGACCCCGCTCTCCTTCTACGGCATGGAGAAGTTTGGTCGCCGCACACTTCTGCTGTACGGTGCCTTCGGCATGTTGATCTGCCAGTTCTTGACTGCCATCATTGGTGTTACCCAGGGCTTCAACAACTCCTCCACCCTTGCTGATGGCACGACTCGTGCCAACAACATTTCGGCCGTCAACGCTCAGATTGCGTTCATCGCCATCTTCATCTTCTTCTTCGCTACCACCTGGGGTCCTGGCGCTTGGGTCCTCATCGGCGAGGTCTTCCCTCTCACCATCCGTTCGCGTGGTGTTGCGCTCTCCACGGCCTCCAACTGGCTCTGGAACACCATCATTGCCGTTATTACTCCGTAAGTACTTCTCAGATATCACAGTATTCTTGCTCTAGCTAACAAACAAATAGTTACATGGTTGGTGTAAAAGAGGGCAACCTCCGCTCTTCCGTCTTCTTCATCTGGGGTGGACTTTGCACTGCCGCATTCGTCTACACTTACTTCCTCGTCCCCGAGACCAAGGGCCTGTCCCTTGAGCAGGTCGACCAGATGATGGCCGAGACATCCCCCCGTACCTCCGCCGCATGGCGCCCAACTCACACCTTCGCGGAGACCAGCCTGCAGAAGGGCGGCGCGGCCCAGACCGAGGGTGGCCAGGTCTACATTGATACCGAGAAGAACAAGCGCACTGCGTCTGTTCACTAAATTGCTGTCTACAGCGCCCCCGGCTCCGTCTTGATGACGGTACGGTGGCTTTGTGCAGTAGTCCACTCGGTCTCAGGCACACAGCGCAAGGACTCAGGCGTTGCTACCCTATCGGTTGCGCGCATAGGTCCCCAGTCGCGTTAATGTTGCTATTCATGAGCTCATGTATCCCACGTCTCCCACGTAACTCACGTATAATCCACTTCCATACTACCACAGTGCTCCTCTAGGACACTTGACTAGCCTAATACTATAAATGAACACATACATTGTTCCAGAACGCTTCTGTCTGACACCCACATGCACACCTCCCCATTTCTCTCGTAACATCTTGATCAAACAACAGCCCCCGTCAGCAGCGGTGTGCACCTGCCCTTGTGTGCGACCATCAACCCCGAGTAAAACGCCACCAATGCGCACAGCTCGAACCACTCGCCGCAGCCGGTCCCCGCCCGTGTTCAGCGGTAGCGGCGGTGGCTGCGCTAAGGCGGCGGCCCCGGTCTTGGTGGTTTACGGCGCACTGATTGGGCAGCGAGACATGAATGCGAGCTGCTGCATTGGGACGGTGGGGCGGCGAGGGAGTGTGGGTGGGCTTCGTTGGTTGCGCAGGGTATTTGTTGGAGATGACCAACTACTCGGGTGACAAAATTCCCCGCACACCAAAAAGTGTTCTCACACCAGATTCTACGAAAACCATCAACATCTACCCTCTTAATTGCGACATAACACTATAACAAAGAAGCTAAAACACTAACAAAAACACCGAAACATAGAGAAAATTTAACTCTATAATCTAGTATCCTAGGAAATTTAATTTTGTATGTGGTTGCTACTTGGTTCTACGAGGCAATTTGGGTGTGCGGCCTTTTTTGGCACCCGAGGTGCCAACCGCGGAGAAGTTGGGTTGTGGTGGAGACAATCCATTGTTTAGGATGGTTGCCTGGCTTGGGGGCGTAGCGCTCGTGGTCGCGAACACTCATTTGTCTTCATCACGAGGGCCTGTGTCGATATTTGCTGTCTGCACTCATCGCATTATCCCCAGGCCTGGGTCTAACGCTCCTTTCGAGCACAGCGAATAAAAGGTGGGCAACCGGTTTTTCAAGGTTTCCTTCAAACCACCCCAGCGTCGATCCTAAACAGCTTCACCCACCAGTAAGTAGTACAAGCAGACCGTTTCCACCACCGCACGAAAAAATCCTTCTTCATCTGCCCACGCCATGTTCTCAAATGTTCTATGGAAACATTGGTCAAAGGCGTGGTGCAGAATTTGGGACACGGGCAAGTACGGTGTTGAGCTCTGTGCTCTACCGTCTGATCATATGTACACTTCGAAGGTAATATGTCGTTCGTGGCTTCGTGGCTTCGATATGATGCTGAGTATCCACCGTCTTCGTAACGAGGGACTGCGAACTCAACAACGAAATGTCGACAAGCATCTAGGTGCAAGAAGGTGTAGAGATACAACTTGCAGAGTTCTACTTATCTCATGTCTCATGTCTCAAGATCAGTGTGATTGTAGTGTCGACGTAATATCGGTGTACAACTTTGTCGCAGATGGTGATATGTTTGCTTTGCTTAGAAAAGTATCGAGGCCCTGCTTCGGTTTTTCTCTCTTCCTTTGTCTCTCCAAGCATTTCTCATGTCTCTCTTTTTTCGTACAACTTTCTGTCCAGACTCCCTACCCAAATAGCCTCAGACTTGAGTGCTTCAGTACCAGTCGCACTCCACCGTGCTCTCCTTTATGCTACAACAATCTGGCGCAAAGCTCCTTCTAAGCTCATAGGTAACTGCATTAGATCTCCAAGATGTCTCAGGCTCAACTTCAGTTTAGTCAGCCCATAGATTCGCAAGAGGCGCGTTTTAAAGATAACGATCGGCCAAATCAGGCTCTATCGCCTCTCTGTCCCTCAGCACGCGTATGATCGACCTGTTGATCGTTCCGATACGGCTTACTCCCTCGAGAAATGGTTCTGTGATCTTGATTTGTTCACCGAAATGGTTCAGGAGGAGGTCCACTATTCTGGCTCTACCATTCAGAAGTGCCAACTTGATCACGTTTTCTGTGATCGGGATGGGTTGCTCGTCGAGGAGATGCAGCAGTTGCTTCAGCGCTGAGCTACTACATGGCGTAGACTGCGCCTTGTTTGTCGCGTGAAGGTCATCATCTTTCTCTTCTGATAGAAAGCTCAGATACATTTGCCCGGACCGAAAGAGATTCCCCAATAAGTCATCCAAAGCTAACATTGTATCGGGTACTTCTGGGTGTCTATTCAGTAATATGATCCTCAGTAAGATGCTGGCATTGCCTTGAACCCCTGCCGTAAGCTCTAGAACACGTTTGAGATTCTGCGTCTCGCTTTCGTGCTCTCTGATCAGCAATTGCTCGAGCATAGCCGGAAGCTGGGGTCTGTTAAGCGCGTGGGTAACCAGTGTAAGGAAAATCGCCTCCGGGTATCGAAAGAGTTCGGGCCTTGCCTTTAACAGAAAGAGAGTTACCTCGGGGAATGGGTTATCTGCTGTTTCAACAAGTTTCTCCTCTGTAAGCTCGTACTGTTTGAGGTGAAGACCATTGACCGCGGTTTTGATTGAATTCCAGTTTTTCGGATCTTCCAAATTGCCGCCCACCGTCTTCAGTGCGGACCAGACACTGCCTGCTTTGGGATGTGGAGTCGATTCCAACACCTGCGACAGTAGTGTTTCGGTGTTTTTTTCGCTGGTCCAGTCGCACGTGAATGATAAGCAGCGCTTGCTGGAGTTCATCGACTTGGACGTCATCCAAACGAAGCATAAGCTTCTGATCTGAGGTTATGACTCGCAGCCGTTCGAAGGCTTCTACGTATTGGCCGACATCACAGAGAATTGACGATATGCCAAGAATCCTTGAACACTGTATTCGCAAGTCAGCCGCTTCCAACCGGTTAAATTCACCGCCCGTATTCGTGCGATCCTGGACAATATCCGATAGCTCTTGTCTTGACGTCTCCCAGTCCCAAAGTACTGTGAGGTGGTATGTCTTCTCAGCACTCCGACGTGGGACGTATGTCTCTTGGCGGCTGTTTTGGCGGCTGTCCAAGCCAATGCCGATTACGATTACAAGAAGATGTTCGCTACATGGCCGTAGAAGTGTAGCTTTTTGAGCATCTTTGAAGATGCAGAGTAAGTCGCCCACTCGGGGTGGCTTTGCTGACGGCGGAAAGCTCCAGCCAGCATTCTTTCCGTCCTGGATCTCAAACACATTGACTGGGTTACGCTCTTCGCCTCCAAAAGATCCAAAAACACTGGTCACTCTGCCGATGATGCAGCATTGACCGCTGATCATAGCTATATCTCGGTTCTGCCATGATTCTACGTGGACGGATTTGCCCAGCAAATACTGTATAACCTGTCGAAGAAGGTGATCCCACGATGTTGAATAGTCTGGTATCAGTGCAACAGTCTTGACATCTGCACTCATACCAAGTAAAGCATACACTTTGTCATGCCGTTTTGTAGCCCCGTACTCATGGTACAGGTCAAGCAACTCGCCTAGACAATATTTGTTGACGAATGGTGCGGTTTTCTGGCTCGAGGTGGACGAGGACCGAAATGTAGCTTGCCTCAGAAGATGCAACGATGGATGGCCGATACCTCTGTCTCGACTTAGCCTGTTCAGGCCCTCGTAAAAGGCATAGCTGTCGAACTCTTGCTCGCCACATAGTACGCGAATCTGTCGAGCTGCTGCGACCTCTTGCAATACCTGTCTTCTGAGTAACGTGAGAGCCGGGAGTCAAGAAGCACTTACCCAAACACGTCCAAACCAAGGCCGCTCAACCATCCGCTTCACTGCTCCGATGTATTCGTCGTTCCGTATTCCGAGTATCTCCTGGAACGCATCTTCGGTGTCATCTGCAGCCTCCCCTAGCCAGACAAGCACACGACTGGCCTGACTATAAATCTGAGTCATACTCAAAATCTGTCTTGCCACTTCAGGTTTGTTCCCTTGATCGATGCACAATGCATCAATCCAAAGAACCCTATCAAAGTAGTGATCTCGTATTTGCCGTAACGCTGCACAGAGATTCTTCGTGACACTGACTTCGAAGCCTGAGACCTCGATTGATACGACCTCATCCGGATCGCCCCAAACGTATGACAGAGCTTCATACAGGTGTGGTCTTCCGCGGAGATCGACAAGGCTGTAAGCGAATAAGGAACATTTTATCGTTGCGTTCCGGTCCGAGCTTGGTTCCAAACGGAGAAGTCGGATATCTAGAGTATCTGAATCCGTTGAGAGAGGTGTATAGATGCGGGAATCCATCATAGGTGGCATGACAATAGCATTATCATGATCTCAATTGTATGGCGGACACAAATGACAAAGTGGTACAATTGACACTTGCTGCTGTTTCGAACCTATCTGAAGAGCATGTAGACAAATGTCGAATTGGAGCGGGTCATCATACAGGGTGGATGTGTCGATAAATATCGAGGTTGAGATCATGACAGGCATGGAAATCCAGGAAGGTGGGGCCTGCTCATCTCACGTGGTCAGATTACCTACTCGACACGGAGCTACGTGACAAAAGTTTGATAATCTATGAGAGTAGAGTGTAGACAACATCTCCTAAGAAATCTTACTCCCTGGACCGTCCATGAGGATAACATGGCAAATTTCAATGGTGTTTAGTGAAAAGACGCTCATTCTTCATGAAGAAACTTGGACACATACTAGCTGATGACCTTGAAGCAATGTATATCGTCATTTTGTGGATTATAGTACACATTCATTTCTCTTCGTTATTGTCACGACAAATCGCCCAGAGGCCTCAGCGAACAATAGACTAGTGCTCATGCGCGTGCTCCTCGACACAGCCGCACCCATCTCCAAATGCAGCTCGCTTCGCCTTAGCCTCGACCTGCCAGTCCGCGAACGCGAACTCCCTCTTGGTGAGTCCGTACTTGCCGTCATCGCCCTTGATCACGCCCTTGCCGGCATTCTCGACGATCGCATCGAGCCATGCGGCGAGCCTGAAACCAGCCTTAGCGATCTGCTTGGTCACAACAGGGATGGCGGTCTCGTAGTAAGCACCACTGATCTCTTGGTTGCGGAGAACGTCTGGGCCGTTAGGCACGACGGTGCTGCAGACAAATGCGTTGGCGTCCGAGGCCCAGCGCATGGCACTGTCGACGGGGTTCTTGGGCTTGAGGCCCTTGGTCCAGGCGCGACTTTCTTTCTTGTATACCCCGCGTTTGATTTCGTTGGTTAGCGAGGCGGCCCATTTCTCAGCGGTAGCGAGCGAGAAGTTGCCGACGAGCTTTTGCGGAATTGCGGTATCCCAGGCGGCATGGAGGTTGGTGCGGGCGCCGTTGAAAGTGACGTTGATGAGGTTGCCGCCTACTTCGAGGTTCTCGACGTGCAGGGGCTGATGGATGTCGCCGACGAAGTGAACCACCCATTTGAGAGCCTTCTGCTGCTCGTCCAGGCCGACAGACTTGGTCACAGCGCGGGTGGAGTAGTTGGCGATCGCGGACACAATGCAGCCCTCCTCGGGGCAGTCGCGCTCATAATTGACATCGCATTGTTTGGGCGGGCTGTCAAGTGCGTCGATGTAGTGGAGAGGCGAGCTGAAGCGTCCTTCGGGGGTAGAGCGGTAGCTGTCAGCCTGTTGAGTTGTTAGTAGTCATTTGCAGGTCGCTGTGTGCGTAGTGTACCCAAGTAGCAATGTTGGCCAGGTAAGCAGCGGATGTATCATTCAAGATACGTTGAGCAAACTTCTTTGTGTCCTGCGAGACAAGGTTCTGGGCAATATATGCCACGGTAGTATGACCGAGAGCACCCCATGCGTACGCCGAGGGAGCAGCGGCCAGACCGGCCAGAACTGTGGACTTGAGGTGAACCATCTTGACTGGTGAGCGATTGTGAGTCGATGCCGAAGGGAAAGTCTGGGCGGCCGTGAATATATACCATTTTCCGGGATTTAGGGATGTCAATTCGTTGACTTATCAACGATATCGGCCATGTCCGTTCATTGCCACACGCTTTTCCCCCAAGATCTGGGGTTTCGCGGGCGTAAGATTGAACGAAGATATGCAGGTCCGCGGGCGCTAATCGTGTTAGGAAGGTGCTTGGCAGAGGAAACCGGATCTGGCCAATGTATGGCAAGAACGTGTGCGGAGTGATTGGATACGCTAAGAAGATTGATCGGACGGGAAATATGGAGAGATAGTAACCGGGATGCTGATGGTCTGTGTGTGAGTTAGGCGGTCTGGCGGAGGAGACTACGAAGCGTGCCAATGGTGAAATCTTTCATTCGCGGAAACCAGGGTATCTTCAGGCCACAAGTAGTCGCCAAACTCCAATGAATGCGTGTGTATATGTACATGATTCTACTATGCCGGAACTGCGTCTGGTATGGCCTCGTTGGGGTCCCGCTCATGATCTGTTGCATCATCCTCTTGTGTCACTTCTGTAGGTGCCGCGGCGCCGTTAAAAAGGCGAAGCCACCATGCTGGAGGGTCAAGGGGGCTGCGGCCGTTGTGGAGAGGCGGGAAGATGTCATTGAAGTAATACCAGACTATCCATGTTAGCTGGAGACATCGAGGAAGAAGGGAGTGAACGTACTGTGGCCAACAACGATACCACACATCTCGTCTTTTGGCACAGTACCGTGCATGACGACGCTGAAGCCTAGCAGAACCCAAGGCAAGTATGGCGCCTTGAACACGAGCAGTCCCAGGAAGCTGAGCATGGTGTCCGGGTTCTTGCGGCTCCAGATGTAAATGAGCGTGCTGGACAGCGCCGACCCCAGGAATGCCATGCTGAAAATGGGTGCTATGCACAACAGCAATGTCGACGCAAAGGTAAGGAGCCATGAGAAGTGCGCAGGCGAGCGGCCGGAGCTCTCTTCGAGGAGGCGAGAGTATCGCTGGAGGAAGAAGATGTGATAGAGGAGATCGAGAGACAGCGGGCCAAAGTAGAAGAATGTTGTCAGAAGACGCCAGTACTGGTTAATAGTCAGTAGTCGCTCATAGTTTCAGCAAATAGAGAGGTGTACCTGGCTCCTAAAGAACACAGCCCGTACGCTGTAGAAGAGCTGGAACGGCGAGATGATTTGGCATTGCACCAGAACAGAGGCACTCAGCGCCGCCGTCATCCACCACCGGGTGCAGACGGGCATCTCGTAGAACCACTGCTCTAGCGGGAACCCGCCCATCATGCCGTCCCCTCCTTGCAGCGCCTGTGCCATGGTAGGTTTGCTGGTCGTGTATGGTCGGTGGTGCGCAAAAGCAGCAACGTAGGAGCCAGCAGACGGAATTCTAGGGCACGGCGACCTCTAACGGAAGTAGCGGAAGGACGGGCGAGCGGCGGTTTACTGCCACCTCACGCGCATCGTTGACCGTGGGAGCTTCATCAGGCTACGTAACCAAACGCCAAGCTCCGATTAGCTGGATGAGATTAGATTAGATTGATCAACACCATCGTACCCTCGCCGGATTTGTTTGTGGCCCAAGCTCCCGCCTTCAGTCCATTCCAGCCCCCTCGATTAGGGCACAATAGAAAGGCAACGCACGTTCGCCCGCCCGCCGCCGGCTTCTACACGCCCGTTCCTATCGGTGTTCTTGATCGCCTCGACGCTGCGACTGGATTCCCCGCGATTGCGCACCTCTGCGACAACTATTTGCGACGCGACTCGAGACGCGCTTTGGACGCGCTGCGGCTCCCCCACCGTCCCACACGCACCGCTTTCACCCTCCACCCGGCAAAGCTCCACACACCACATCCGCAATGGCGCCCAAATCGCCCGCAAAAACGCCTGGCCGCAAGAACAAAGCCCGCCCCTCGCGCGGCGGCTCGCGCGCATCCACTGGGTCGAGGCGCGAGAGCGGGAAAAGACTCGGCGCACCGGGTCCAGCGCCGCAGCGCACGAAGCGATATAAGCCGGGAACTGTGGCGCTGCGGGAGATCCGGAAGTACCAGAAGACGACAGATATGCTGCTGCTGAAGCTGCCCTTCCAACGCCTGGTGAGTGACAACGCGCGCACAGCGGCGCGCAGAGCTGTCTTTCGATTGCAAGATCCATGCGCGTGTAGGCGCAACACGAGCGCCAAATTGGTCTTGGTTAACGAATGCCTCAGGTCCGCGAGATCGCCCAGTCGGTCACTGGCGAGGACGGTCCCAACAGGTGGCAATCACAGGCCCTTGTCGCTCTGCAAGAAGCCACTGAGGCCTTCCTCGTTAACCTCTTCCACGACGCGAATCTGTGCGCTATCCACGCCAAGCGTGTCACTATTCAGCAAAAGGATATCCAGCTCGCGCGACGCCTACGAGCAGCCTGGGGCGCGCCCGTGTGAGGCAGCAGGTAGAGACGAAAAGGGGGCGTGGAAAGTCCAGTATTCTCGTGTGATCTAGTAGCGAACGCCCACTCAGCATCGAGCATTGAAGACCTAGGATCATCAGAGACTTAGAATCTGAGTGGCGGGCTACAGGCGACTACCGGGACCGGCGTTTGCGGCGCAGCACTTCTTTGCGTGTTGGGTAGGAATTGGCGTCTCAAATCGAGGCCATTGTTCACTTTTTGTAGTATCATTTCGAATGCGAGCAGCTCTGCATTACCGACGAAAACGCGTTGTCTTCGCCATCTCATGTCCGTTCATGAAAATGACCACTGTAGAATTGCGGCTGCTGCCATGGAGTGGGACATGGTTATCGCAAGATTTGCAAAAATAGCGACGACAACAAGGGCATATCGTGTGGTAGAATCCAAAACGCCAGGGTCAACGTGTTCAGCAGCAAACAGAGGATACTAGCATTCTGAATCAACAACAGACATCAAGAGCGACCTCAAAGCCCTTCAGAACCGTGTAAGTGAACCTCAAAGCGCAGGTCTTGCGGTTGATTCCGAAAAAGATGTTTGTTCATGTACATTGATCTCCCAATCCGCAAACGCCATCCCTGGATATATACGCTTGAAACGCCGTACACATTATGCCCATGCTAAGTAAGCCAGCTCTTCCCTCTGCGATCTTCGTCTTCGCTATCGCTTCCACTCCGACCACTTCCGCTTGTTCCTACAGCACTATCTGCCGCCCTGCCGCTGCCCTCCACCTCCCTGGTAATCGTAGTCGTCTGCCAGATCCCCTCGGATCCCACATCCCCACTGACCGCGACCCCGATCTCTTCCTCACTCGGCCTCTCCAGCCCGCCATCCCGCTCATCAATCGGTTCAATCCGCGTCCACACGCCCTCTTTCTCCCTGCCCGGTCCCAGAGCACCTAGCGCGATACTGCGGCGCGCCGAGCCTGCGGCGGTGGGGTTGCGCTTTAGCGACGTCTGCTTCAGCGTGCTCTGTGCGTGAGAGCGCCCCCGAGATTGGCTGTGGTTGTATGATGAGACCTTCTCGCGGAAGAAGACGCGTAGAACGGGGAGCGAGGCGCCGATGATGGCGACGGCAGTTTCGACAGCGGTCCAGATCGTCACGTCTTTGCCGTTGTAGGAGAAGTCGGCTTCTCGCAGTTGAATGACGTATACGCCTTTGACTATGGCGCAGATTCCGGCTCTACATTGGTCAGCGGGTGTTGGATTGGGGTCTGAAGGGGGGGACGTACAAGATACCCATACTCATGGCAATGCCCACGCCGATTTTCTCGCGCGTGCGCATCTGCAGACCCCAGATGAGCGTCCAGGGGAGTAGTGCGAGGTAGAAGTCGGCTGCGGCGCACCACGCGGCGTTGAATATGCCGTAGTTGACGGTGATACGGGGGTCCCAGCAACGGCCTTCAACGCTCGGGTTCCATGCTTTCGCCGTAGGCGTGCACTGAATCCAGGTGATAAGAGCAGAAGGCAACATGGTCAGGAAAAGTGTGATCACGCTGAACCAGATTGTCCACCGGATGGGTCCGAAGGTGAGGCGAAGGAGAGTCACGCCGAAAGAGATCTTTGAGAAGGTTGATGCGAGGCAGGATATCGAGGCGCCGATGGATATGTACAAGGCGATGGTCATGATGTTGTTTGGATCGATGTCGACAGTGCGTTTCCCGAATCCGAGGACTTGGCCCATTTGCGTTATTATCGCCTCGACGAGCAAAAGGACCTGGAGTTTGTCAGTGTGTGCGGTTGCTGCAGAGGCCGAGTCACACATACCCAAGAAGCAATCAGGATCCAGTCATCCCACCACAAACCTTGTCGTCGACTGAGCTTCGCGTATATTCGCAGCCCTAAGAATCCTCCAGACAGGAGAGTTAACCACCATGTGATGCCCACGATCAGTGGGCCGTTGTCAGGAACGTCCATATTGCAAGAAGAGGCGTGTTCGAGCCTGCGGCCTCACGGCGTAATAGTAGCAAGCATGCGCTACACGAATCGTCGAATATCAAGCACAGAAAAGTAAAGCCGTTGCAGAAGATCAGTGTGTGGGGAAAGAAGAGGAACACGATCTTCCCGATGGAACCACGCGCGGTGCTCAACAAGGGTTTAAGACGCGGAGGCAAACATGCAACCATGCTACGTCGCAACGTGCTCCCGAGGACAGGAGCTCAGCGCGCGCAGTGCCGTCCCGGGCGACTTGACACCCAACGTGGCGCACAAGGGAGATGTACTAGCTTCATCGCTGTTTGCAGTGGAGATGGTGGCCGGTAGGCCCCCCCTCCAATGCCAGCCGACCGCCTGGTTGGACGCGCGGAATGGCGTGCACGAGATTGATGCTGGGGGCCACGGCACGGCGAGTTCACACACAAATGCGGTCATCTAACTAGGTCGTCTAGCCACCTCCAGCTACCGTCGCATGCAAGGACGGAGGGGCGCTGCACGAGCGGGTTCCGCCTGGGACAGTGTTCCATCGAGCCGGAAATGATGCAGCCCATAAGGTGCAGTCGAGCTAGAGCCAGTAGTTGCGTGCGGCGATGCGGTTCCGTATGAGCAGCATGGACGTTGGGGATCCCTGCAGATCGCCACTCGGTTGTTGCAAATCTAGCTCGGGCCGACTGTGATCGGAGATCCAGGAGCCCAGATGCGCGGTGCCTGGACACCTTCCCCGTTCGCAAATTGCTGCGAGCCGTGTCTTTCGCTCACAAAGGCATGTGGAAGTCGTCAACATCAGCATGTCCTGCATGCGGCATGTCGTCTTGAAAAGATCTACGTGTGCACTAGCCGACGGGAACCTTGTGTCGGCGTTGTTTCGAGCAGAGATGGCACCGACTTCGTGCGCGCTTGTGGTAACGGAGTCAAGATAAACTTTGCTCGTGCAGGCTCAGCCCTGTTGTCGGCTGAGAATCTCCGAGCTCTGTCAGCAACTAAGCTCAATTTCGCCAGTGAGGCTTTCGTTCCATGATTCGAGAAGGTTGCATGAATTGCAGTGTCTTGTGAGTGGAGAGCTCGGCTAGGTAGGGTCGTCGCTAAACGTCTCTCAACATCGAACTATGTACGTTAAGAATTGCTATTCATATCACGTCGTTACTGGTTTTCCGAGACGCTCAACCAATCAGTAGTTTTATTACTACCACACGATGAGTGGCAAGTGGCCAGTCATATTAGCTCTACACATAATCTTATGCCGACCGCAGTACCGGATGGCAAACCGCGAGGTAATCTGTCCATAGGATGCTGACAGTCTACTATGGTGGTGCGTTTTGTGGTGGTTCTAAAATTCAAACTCTAAGCACTGCGGCCCGAGAGACGTCGCCGAATGTGGTGGCATGTTGGTTCACGGACACTTATTCCAGGGTCGACCAATCTCCAGCGCCGTAACGTTCTCCTAGACGTCCTGACCTGCTGTGTGCGTGCCGCACCGGTGCCATGTGCCCAGACGACGTGCTATCCTCCTGCAGTTACCGTGCGTCGGAGCGACTTGACCGAGAGCTTGAATCATGGACAGATCTAAAGCACGAGATCGGGTATGCAAGTAAGCCTGACACCGCACGCACATGCTCGCCTGATCCTCAATGCCGATCTCCCTGATGATCAAGCAGACCACGACTCAGCAGCATGGTGTGCTTCTCATTTCAGTGTTGGAGCCCAACCAGGAAATGTCTGGTATGGACTACGGTTGCGAACTGCGATCGCTAGTTCGATTTCTCCACAGCGATCGAGTTCGCGCCAAAACTTGCCGTGTCCCGCTGCTGTTCGTGACGGCACGCCTTCGGTCCCCCTTGACGACTCGAGCGCCAAGATGGCGTTCGCACAATGCCACACTACCGACAATAGTCCATGACATGAAGTACTCGAGCTCCAGTCCTGCAAACAGGGGAGACATCAGTATCGCCGGCTCACGGCCCGAGGGACTGATTGAGGGTCTTCGCGGCGTAACGTCCGCTGCAACGCTGCTGGCTGCGGGGAAGGCTTTTCGAACCTTCAATTGCTGTCAATGCCGTGCTGAATCATGCAACCAACTCGTCTGTGAGTAGCTGGAGGACTGTTAGGAAAAGGAGGCAACTTCGTACTCTGACACTATTCATGTTGCAGTATCTAGGCTAATATGTCCACGCTTGCATGTGGTGTGAGTGAACAAACGTGCTGACATTTCCACACGGTAACATTCCGTCCATCAGATATATAATTTGTGCAGTATAAGCACAACCTCGATGGCCTAATTGCGCTTCTCTTGCTGTGTTGGACTTCCTGTCTTCCAAAGTCTGGTGTTGGTTTGGTAACCACACCAGGCATTTGCAGCTTCTCAACTACTCTTGAACTCTTTGATCTTCTCTTGGATAGCCGTTTTGACGTCGAAACCTTGGAGTGTACTTCCTCGTCGCTTTCGCTCTGCTATCTCGCGCTTCACTTGAGCAACAATCGAGTCGAGCTCCGCTTCTGGATCGTCAGCGATACCAAGCGTAGGCGCCCTACTGCTGCTTGCAGTACTAGTCGTTGTATCTATCCTCGTGAGATTGTCCTTCTTGATCTCCTCTTTGGCAATCTGCTCAATCTGGGAGATATCCATTTCGGTAGTGGATGTCGGGGTTGTTCGAACAGACTGGCGTTGCTGCAGCTGCTTGCGGAAGGGCAAGGATCGAGAGAAGAGACCATAAGAGCCAGCGACTCCAATGAGTGTATAGAAGTAGACTCGTGACCAAACCTTCAAAGTGTCTGAGAAGCCCAACAGGATGAATGGAGCAACAGTAAAAGTGAACGCCGCCTGCGTGAGGAAGAACGTGAAGACGTCATAGTAGATCTTGGTCGGAAGAGCAGACTTCCCGTCGGTACCAAGGAAAAGGGGGCGGACCAGGCGTCGACCACCTAACGATGTTAGCTTCGGATTGTTCATTCGGAAGGTATACACATACTCTTTGCAGCGGCCTGGAGAAGGGCGGCCAGAACAAAAGCCATATAATAGCCTGGGTAAAAGCCATGCCAGAAGGCACTGGTTACGAATGTGGCGAGTGTAGCACCGAAGCCTGGCTTCTGCCCCTTAGGAGTGACACGCAGGAACATGTAGTTGCGCAGCCACAGGTTGGTGTTGATATTCCACTCGCCCAGAAACGCGCGTGTGTTCTGAGCAGTCTCGATGGCGATGGGGTGGATATTGGTGAGGCGATCCCATTTTGCACGTCCAGTCTTAAGGTCAATACCATTGTATCCAATCCCGGACAGAATACAGGCGCCTTCTGATAGACTCCACACGCCATAGTACTTCATGCGTGTAGTAAGGCCAAGCATATACAACTGCCAAACTCGTCGTAAGAATCCGTACTGCATGTACTCATCACCAAGGTAGAAAGAAGGATAGTACCAGCTAGAAAATTTGAGGAATGCAAAGATCCAAAGTGTACCGTATATACCCTTTATGGCAGCTGGAGTACCGCTACGAGGAATTTTGCGCTTTTTCCTTGTGGGTGGCGCTTTTGATGGGTCGACGCCTGGTGGAAGCGTGAACATCGTAGTCGTGATGTATTGGCTGTAATCGCAGTAGTCGAATGCAGGGCCTGCCATGAGGCCCGGGAAGAATAACACGTAGCCAGCGTAGTCCAAGATACTGGGCATGGTCCTGACAGCATGTTCCTTCTGAAACTCAGAGAGATCAGCTTCGGGAAGACGGCCATCCTGCACGTTCCAGCAAAATGCGGTAAGCTTCATGACGAGAACCATCTGAGCACCAGAAATATCAACCGCTGACGGGTCATTAACCGATTGTCGAATGATGTGGTTCATGGACATGTGCCCCATAAGGAAGATGAATCCAATCCAAGGCATAAATGGCGAGTCAACCCTGGATGCGATCACGTAAGCTCCGGCGGCGCTGATAACAATGGTCCGTAAACCTGCCCACAAATCGAACAAGCCAACAAGGTAAAACATGGCCACACTGGAAGGTCAGTCATGGGTCCTGCATACAAGAAGTGAAGGACGTACGCTATGATAAACACATTCTTCTGCCATGGCGCCTTGTCTGGTATCCGCTTGAGAACGCCAGCGAGGGGGTATGAGAGGTAGAAGGAGAAGACGAGCTTGACTAGCGAACATCAATACAGCACGCATATAATATCAAGAGAACCCTTACGCTCGTCGGCTGATGTTCCGAGTGAGCTGCCGACATATTCAAACGCTGTCTCAAACTGTTAGTAAGCGTCCATATTCTAAAGGACCGAGGACCTACGCGCGTTGATATAGGGCAACATCTTGGCCCGTTGACCGTAGAGAGTGAATACTCGCAGACGACGGGGTCGTGAGGAAGACAAGACTATATGGGTGGTAAGACGCAGACTATTTCTAGGTTGTCCGCATGTTCGAGTACGTCTTAATGTGCGAATGAACACGCTCGTTCCTGGCACGTAGGGCAAAGGTGGCAGTAGCCTGTGACGTCGTCACGCTAATATTTTATCCGCTAGGCGTAGACAGGGAAAGCTTGCGGCTGGAAAGCGGTCTAACGCGGCAGAATCAATCAACACCACACGGAAGTTCACGATCGCAGCGCTGCGCCCCAGCGCCAACGACTACGTATACGAGCCGCCAACATGAGCGCGACATACAATCTCGAACCGAATCCGACAGCCAAAGTCCTCCTCCATACCACTCGTGGCGACCTGGAGATTGAGCTCTTTGCGAAGCAGACACCCATCACCTCGCGCAACTTCCTACAGCTATGCCTTGATGGATACTATGATAACACTGTGTTCCACCGTCTCGTGAAAGGCTTCATTATACAGGGTGGAGATCCGACTGGGACAGGCCAGGGTGGAGAGAGCAGTTACGATGGCGAGCCATTCCAAGACGAGTTCCACAGCCGGTTGAAGTACACAAGGAGAGGCCTGCTGGGCATGGCGAATACAGACAAGAAAGACGACAATGGCAGTCAGTTTTTCTTCACCTTGGCAGCGACACCAGAGTTGCAAGACAAGAATACAATGTTCGGCAGAATTGCGGGCGACACAATATACAACCTGATGAAGATGGCGGAGGCAGAAATCACAGAAGGAAGCGATGATCGGCCAATGTATCCTGCGAAGATCACAGGATCTGAAATCATCATCAACCCATTCGAGGATATGGTCAGGCGGGAGCAGGTAGCACAACGGACGGCGCCAGAAGAGAAGAAGACCAAGAAGCCAAAGAGGAAGGCTGGGAAAAACGTGTTGAGCTTTGGCGGAGAGGAGGGAGAAGATTCAGCTCCTGTTTTGAAAAAAGCTAAGTTCAACACAAAGCTCGTCAGCGCGGGGGAGGAGCTACCGACGACGATCAGAGAAACGCCTGCCATACGATCCGCCGAGCCAAAAGCTATTCCCATCCGCAAGCCGTCTGAGAAGGCGCCGTCAAGATCGCCATCTCCTGAGCTGCCAAGGACAGTGGCGCCACTACCACCACCTCGCGAGAAGGCACGATTGCCACCTCCACGAGAGCTGTCGCCGGAGTCCGAGAAGAGGTCAAAGATCGATCGCGTCAATGCACAGATTGCTGAGCTGAAGGCATCAATGAAGCGCAACATTGGCCCTCAGCACGCAGAGCAAACAAAGAAGAAGTCGCTGTTAGAGTCGATGGTCCCTACTTCGACGACACGAGGGCGAAAGCGCGGCGCTGGTGGCAACGCTGCGCAAGAGCAGGCTACCCTTGATCTTCTCTCAAAGTTCAAGACTAAGTTGGAAACAGCAGAACCAGTAGCAGCTCCGAAGGGCAAGGATGTCCCCGTTCCAGCCGATCCCGAGTTGAACAACAGCACCATCGAGTCGGGCAAGGCTGACGGAGAGGATGAGATCGTGTGTGATCTACATTTTATCGCTGGTTGCCAGTCTTGTAAGGCATGGGACAAGGAAGAGGAAGAAGAATCCGACGATGATGCCGGGTGGATGTCGCATTCTCTGAGCTTTGCTAAGGACAGGTTAGGAAAGGATCTGGAATGGAAGAGGAAGAACGAGGAGGACTTATTGGTCATTGATCCCCTCGAAGAGGCTAAAAGGCATAAGGCCGATGCAAAAGGGAAACGTGAGTGGGACGGCGGGAAAGACAAGAAGAAGCTGAAAGCATGAATGAAAACAACCAAGCTACGATATGCTGAAGAGTTGATCACATCCTCTTATTGCGTGGAACTTATCTTGGTGCGCCTGTGCATGAATAAGGTAGCTAAAGGAGTCGTCAAACGGCATCAGATGCAAACGGTACCTGATGTTGAAGACCTTTGGATAAAGTTGTAGCAGGCTGTCGTGAACCCTTCTTGCAACTTCACATTCACTTCACCTCTAGCATAGGCAGCGGCGCTAGGCGCAGACGTTGTCTCGTCTGTGGCGGAGCCTTCTTTCTCTCCTTTCGCTTCTTCACTTAGTCACAATCATTAGAACCCTCACCTTGCACAGTAAGTAAGCTCCTGCCTATCTTCAGTAAGTAAGCTCCTGCCTATCTTCAAAGCGTTTTATTGTTGTTGTAACATGCCGCCATAAGTTCAACGCAAAAAATCAGTTTGCCTCTTACCTTACAGCTTGTCACACTTGCTCCCAAACTTGTTTTCACTCACCCTGCGGCCGCACTCTCGCCACATCAAAAAGCCCCGATCCGTCCTCAAGCTTACATCTGTTAATCACGTTCGCCAGGTTGGACTACAGTCTGACATAACACAGTACCGGTACTAAAGATACACCGAGAAATGGCGATCCAGTGGAAAGCTCCCGAGACTAAAGACCGCCTCATCGCGGCTCTTATTGCTGCGTCGCCAAACGTAAGTCTCCCATGACTTTCTTACTCTGAGCACATACTGACTACCTTGAGATCAATATGAACGAGATTGCTAGAATGTTCGGGCAAGGTGCCACTTACGACGCTGTCGAAGGCCAGCTGCGCAAGGCCAAGATCCTTGCCAAAGAACTCACCGAGGAAGCAAAGGATCGTCCGGCTCCTGCCAAGGCTCTTTCAAGGATGAAGAGCACCGCGAGCGTCAAGAGTCGTACGTTGCAACACCACATATATGCTTTCATAAATGCTAACCATATACAAAGCTGTCAACGGTGCTCGGGTCACCAAAGCCAAGAAGCCAACCAAAATCAAGGCTGAAGAATCGGTAGAGCGACGCATGCTTGATGCACTTCACGATGACGCTGGCAGCGACGACGAAGAACAGGAGATTTGAGGCTGGCCGTACCGGGTGTCGTGGTCAGAGTTGGTAGAGATCTTAGCAGAAGCTCGCGTCCTAGCAATGTCAGCCTTGGTCGTCCATCACTTCTTGAATGCTAAGGGGACTCTTGAAATACGATGAAAAGTGTCAGACGTGTCTGTCTTATTGTTTGCACCCTATGTCAGTGCGGGCTTTAGTATGACGTGCCTGTAGCTCATCGATGCATTGATGCTTATCGTTACAAGCTCTCCTACAAGCCCGAAAAGTCCCGTCGCCGTTGATCGCTATCCTATACTACTTCAAGTCATCAAAAACTGATACTTTTCGCTTGGATTGAAGCTCCTGGACCTGAGCACACCTTGCTTCACAATGAGTGGACGAATCGTGTCTCTTACAGAATTCTTCTTTTCACTTCTTTGCTCGCCTTGTGAATTAATACAGTGCACAGTTCCAGTGTTCCTACCAACTATTTTTAGCGGCAAGCCATCTACTGATTCAACTCTGCGATACTGACATTGTGTGATCATTACTTGGGATTCACTTCCTTTGCGCTGCTGTCTTCGCACGGCTCCGTAACTCTCTTTCACTTCAAGTTTGGCACCACGCACCCTATCGGATTTTTGCTGCCAAGACCAGCTAATCAGCAGGCAAACGTGCTCGACAATAACAAAACAATCAGCGCAACTTCCGCTTAACTCTGCCATCTCACACCCACTCAGCTTCCTACAAGTCATCTTTCCCCTTTCTCAAAGTTCGCTATCGCCTCTTGAAGCCGGCCTCCACGATCTAAATCAACATGAACTGGATCACTCACCTTTGTGCGGCCCTCTGGGCTGTCACCAACGACTACGCATGGTTCGCTGTCGACCCTACAGCCAGCTTCGCGCTGGCTCAAGCCAACTGCACCCTCCCCTCACCACAATGTCTTCGCCAAGCCAAGGCGGTTCACCACCAGCTCACTAAGGAGCATGTGGACCTCTACTGGTGGAGCGTCACCGAGGAGACGGCCAAGATCGAACACGAGCGGCAGACCAAGGAAGCTCACGATCGGTACATCGTAGGTCAGCTCGCCAAAGCTGACAAGTGGGATCGGTGGGAGATGAGCCCGCCTACCATCATTCAACAGACCGTCACCAACATCATCAATCCTACCTACAATACCTTCGTCAACCCGACCATTGTCTCGCCAACTTTGGTCTCGATCTTCACCGCTCCACCAGAGGTACCTGGACTGGAGGCCAAGGCCTTGTCAGCCAAACGCTCTCCATCGATTGAGTCCGGTGTCACCACCATCGACAACTCTTTCGAGAGAGCGGAGGGGCATACACTCGCCAAGCAGATCATTGGCCTCGTCTTCTTAGGCACCGTGATCTACATGGTCGTCTGCTTCGTCTCCGCTCTCGTCCGGTACCTCTACATGTGGGTCTGCTCCTCTTCTGCTCCCTCCTCGCCTGCTCCCTCCTCGCCTGCTCCCTCCTCGCCTGGTCCTACTCCACAGGCTCCAGAAAGGCCCCTGGAGTCTCCAAAGGGCACCTTACTGTCGTCCGAGCTGCCTTTTGCGCCGGCATCTCCCTGCCAGGAAGATACAGAGTGGGATGACTTTGCCATTGACCGTAAGTGAATTCTTCCAGGTGGACCAGACCCCGATCAAATTCCAGAACTAATCTTTTACCATAGTCGGGGAACAGTTGTCCGACGCGTTTGCCAAAGACATGGCTTTAGAAAGCCTCCTGAAGTCTCCTCTGGGCACCACCTCTGAGCAGTCGCCGAGCGTGCTGGTCGCTGCCGCCTCGGCTGAGGCTGAGGTCGAGAAGATTCCCTCGAAAGAGGTCGAACAAGCTCCCTCGGCTGAGGTCGAGGAGGCAAGGCCCGCTCGGAAGAGTAAGTGAGCCTGTCCACCATTGGTCATGTTGATCCTAACCTTGCCAGTGGCCCCGCTGCCAAAGAGGAGGCGAGTTGCACAGAAGCGAGCCGCCGCGCTGGGTGAGGGCCAGTGAGGGCCTTCACATTCCGACACGACGACGAGAGATATACGATACCTGTACTAATAGCTACTGTGGCACGCTTTGTCTGCTCTTTCTCCCCCAACACATCGCCCGCCCTCCCTTCGTCCTCAATTTGGTGCGAGAAGCTCGCCCCACGGCCCGCCGCGGAAACCATCGCAAGGCAAGATCCAGGGTCCAGTGGCGTCATCGTCTCCCTGCCAAGTTCCTCCGCCACGATCTCACCTCCACAAGCCACAGATCGCCAAGTCTCCGCCTCTCTCCACGCGTCTTGACAAGTCACCATCTCCGCTCTAGAACTGGCAGCACGCTCTAGAACGCTCGGCGCTGTTCATCCGGTCGCATGCGAATGGTTCCGGCCAAGAAGTACGTCATGCATACTGATCAGGCTTCAACAGCGAAGGCTTAGTGTTTTTTGCGTTGATGCAGTGGTGCGTAACTTCAAGAATTCTCAGCTTGGCGGAGCAGGAGAGTGGACAATATAAGGATGCCGTGGACCCCGGACGAAAAGGAATCACATCCACAAGACCTTTCAGCTACAACAAGTTCAGCAACTCTCACATCTACGACCTTTGTTATCATTCACATCAGACCACAAGAATAAGCCAAGATGGTTCAGCATCACCCCGGCGCGTTTGCCTCGAAAGAAAACATCGACTCAACTTGGGCATTGACAACACACCTCCTCTCTGTCTCTATTCCCCAACTCAAGCGCACAACCACGGCACCGTTCCTCGCACGCGCAGCACAAGGCCAACTTCCTAAGCCGCTGATTGCAGAATGGCTCGCCAACGACCGCCTGTATATTCAAGGCTACATCTCACTAGCCGAGAACCTCGTGCGCGTAGTTGAGTCCACATCAACCGCTACCCGTGCGACAGCAACAACCGTCGACATTGAGTCCATCGAGTCACGGCTTCTACGCTGGCTTGATGCCGCCATCGTGAACGTGAAGCGAGAGTTTGAGTGGTTCGACGAGATGACATCCTCTTACAACCTCACCGCACCCAGCCCCTCCTCTACCCAGAAATCCCTCGGCGTACAGCGATTTGAAGCACTCTTCTCACAGCTCTCCGGCCAATCACCTAACACCTTCCTCCCTTGGCTTGAGGGTGCCGTCTGTCTCTTTTCAACCGAGAAAGTTTATTACGAAGCCTGGAGCTGGGCACGTAAACAGGACCGCCGTCGCTCCGCTGACGCCGGACGCAGCCGCAGTCGCTCACCCAACCCAGCGACCCTAGACTATTCGCGCGATCTCGACGGGGGTGCTATGCGAAAAGAGTTTATCCCCAACTGGTCGAACAAGAATTTCATGATGTTCGTTGAGACGCTGGAGCGCATTATCAACGAGGGCGTTGGTCAGGCAGTCGGGCGAGATGACAAGAGGTGGCAGGAAGTCAAGTCTAGGGCGGACGCAGTATGGCAGGCGACGTTGGACGCGGAGGAGGCGTTTTGGCCGGAGGTGGATGCGATCGAGGCGAACAACGCGATCGGAGCGAGCAGCGTGGACGAGAGTAGCACAAGCAGAGCAACCAACAGCACAAGCCACACGGAAGTGCGCGGCTTGCTCGGCGCCAAAGAAGGCAGTCTACTTGAACCCAATACGCGCAGCTACGATCGCGACGCGCGATCGCACGCCGGAGGCCAGGAGACCATCTATGTGCCGCACGTAGGCAGTGTGCCACGCGCAGTGTAGGTCGAGCCTTGGACATCTGTTCGTGTGGTTCTCTTCTCGAAGATCTGATTCAGCTGCTGGCTTGGTAATTTGTTAGCACTTCCGGAGAGAAGATAGAATATTGCATTCACGATTTACTCCCTCATACTTCCACTTCAATTTTTTTGTGCGATCCTATACCCACTACTCCACCCCTGAGCCCAGTGATCCGATGTCCTCACAGCACATATCATAATCTGAAACGCTCAGCACCAGCTCTACCTCCCAACTGCCCACCTCCGCCAATGGATTCACTGTTGCAAAGAGCCGAATATATTGATGTACATCATGAGTGATGAGTCCAATACATGGGAAGTGTAGCTAAGATCATGTAGTTCACTCGTATACCACTTGACGAATTTTCACGCTGTCTTCATTCGTTGCTTGACCCATGTCGTATTTATGTTCATAATTGCACTCGTGTCAAGGTTCACACTCATGTAGCATAGACTCTGCTATTGACATTGTCATTCATAAACTTCATTAATCGTCTCATCGTCTTCCATACTATACTGCTGTCCGTGCCGGGCATCTCTCGCCCTGCCACCAACCCCTAATATACACAAAGAAGCGAACGCCGGACCCGCCTGCACGCTTAAACGCCACTAACACCACGCGCTGCTCAGACTGGAAACAGCGCGACAAAATACCAAAACTACAGAATTGCTTGCAGCTGCTCCTTCTGCTGCTGTGACAGGCTGGTCGGGAACTTGATCTTGACCCCGACGACGAAGTCGCCACGCTCGGTAGGCTTCTTGCTTTTAGGCATGCCGAGGTTGGGGTAGCGCTCAGTCCAGGTAGGGCCTGTAGGCCCGTTGCTGCCGACACTGAGTTGTTTGCCGTCGATGGTCGTAACGGTGCGGCGCCAGCCGGTGAGGGCTTCTTTGAGATCGAGGTCGATGGTGCGCTTGATGTCGTCGCCTTCGCGGGTGAAGAGGGGGTGGGGTTTCTACGGTTGTGTTAGCAGGATGCGGAGTATAAGAGATTGAGTAGGGCTTACCTCTGAGACGACGAAGTGCAGGTCCTGGGTCCCGCCTTCGACCTGGTCGCCGACATCCGAGAACTTGATCTTGCTGCCGGCCTTCAACCCCTTTTTGATCGGCACCTCCAGGATCCGGTCGCCTGTGCTCTGTTTACCGGTCGTCTGGTCGTATGTTTTCCGTTTGATCTTGAGCTTCTTCGTCGTACCGTTGAACATTTCCTCGAGTGTGACCGGCAGCGGCTTCTCGACAACCGTGACCTCGGGTTCTGGTGCTCTCCTGCCTCCTGAGAAGCGCCCTCCTGGTCGGCCGCCACGTGAACCACCCATGCCGCCGGGCATGCCACTTGCACCAAAGCCGCCGAAGCCGCCGAAGTCATCGTCGTCGCCGCCCATACCTCCTCCACTGCCGCGTAGGAATTCAGAGAATATGTTCTCTGGGTTCGAGAAGTTGAAGCCGTTGGCGCCGCCGCCGCCAGTGGAGAAATGAAATGTTCGTGCACCGCCTCCGCCACTAGGCATGCCCCCTGCGCCTGCGAAGGGGAAGCCACCGCTGCCTGCGAACGGATTGCCTCCAGGGCCCTCGGCGCCCTCTGGTGGAGCTTGGCCGCCCCGGAGAATGAACTCGAGGCCATACTGGTCATATGTTTGGCGTTTTTCGGGGTCGGACAGGATCTCGTATGCTTGCGAGCATTCTGTAGGTTATTGTCAGTATTGAGAACCGGTAATAGGGCAGAGCGCAAACCTACCTTTGAACTTCTCGGCCGCCTGCGGGTTGTCCTTGTTCTTGTCGGGATGCCATTTCAAAGCCGATTTCCGGTATGCTTTCTTGATTTCCTCCTGTGTCGCTGTAGGCGATACACCTGTAAATTATGTCAGTATGCGCATGTAGCCATTCGCGAGTGCTGCGGTCAAGCACGGCCGAGGAGGGGTACTCAAGCGTCACCTACCTAATGAATCGTAGAGCTTGGTCTCTTTGACCATTTTGACTGGATGTTACAGGAAAACAAGGTATATATCGTGTGGGTTTTAAAGCAGTTCGGTTCTGGGCGCGTGGTGAAAGAATGAGCTTGCTTTTATGATCAAGTGCATGGAATTGTCTCGCGATCTCCACAATGCGAGAGCGCGCACGAGCCACCAAAGACGTCAGCGAACTCGCTAGAACCTTCCACAACTGCTGTACTTGAATGTCGCGACAGAATGGACTTGAAGTTTGTGAATGTTTCTTAGAGTTTCTACGTCGACGTTTACAGCTAGAACCTCGAATTGAATTGACAAGATCTGTCAATGCAGTAGTCATGTTCGTACACCTAGTCGTCCACCCTGATGCAAAAGTTTGACGCGCCCAACTCCGTCATGCCAATCCAATAACGCCGACTCCCGTACGCGGTTTTCCGTATGCTACACATGAGCAGGTATCCAGAACAGAGTGAGATGCGCAACATGCACACGTTGGTTGTGTACATCGCTGATAGGTCGAGCAACAGCACGACGCTGTTGGCAGGCCGAGATAATATTTCACAACATAGCTACAGCTGCTCATTCAGAGTCGCTGTCGCTCTCGGCCGCCTTGCTCTTTCTCTTCTCCTTCTTGGCCTTCTTGGCCGCCTTCTCCTCCTTCTTCTTGCGCTTGCGTTCAGCCTTCTCCTCGGCGGTCTCCTCCTCGTCGTGCTTGCGCTTCTTGGTCTTTTCAGAGGCGGCGCTGGCCTCGGGCTCCTCACCGGTGGGGGCGACGGCCGGGGCTGCGAGAACCTCGGCGGTCGAGGTGGTCTCGGCAAGGGGTGCGGAGTCGACGTCGGTCCTGTTCAGGTCCTTGTACTCGCTGGTCCACTTGGCAGGGGTCTTCTCGTTGGGGCGACCGAATTTCTGATCATGTTAGCTGCGCGCGCGACATCTAAGGATACACAACTTACGTCGAGTGTGCCAGCCTCCTTCATCTTCTTCTTCTCGGTGGCAACTGGGCCCATACCCCATCGCCTGGGGTACAGGTCGCGCTCCATGATGACACGCTTGATCTTAGCGACAACGCCGTGGTCGCAGGATGTCATCTCGACAGCAGACATCTGTGCATAGGCAAGAGCGATTGCCTCACCCTTGGTAGTCATGAGGACGATCTCTTCGTGGATCTCAATGCCCTTCTCGAAGCGGAGAAGACCGGGAAGCATGAGCTTAGCACCGTAGCAGATGGCGTTGACCGAACTGTCCTTGACGACAATGCGCTTGTAGCTGGTCAACAGGCTCTCGAGGGGCGAGATGACGGTGCGGAGGTAGGACTCGTCACGGTTGTTGTCGTGGAGCCACTGGGCATCGAGAACATCATGAAGAGTAACCAGGCCCTTGGTCTCATCCATAGCACCAGACCTCACACGACGCAGCTCCTGCATGTGGGCACCAACACCAAGCAAGAGGCCCAAGTGCACACAGAGGGTACGAATATAGGTACCAGCCTCGCAGCTAACCCAGAAGACACCGAGCTGCCTCTCGTTGTCAAACTCGTAGAGGTTGCTCTCGTGGATGGTACGGATACGGAGCTGGCGCTTAACGGCGGAGATGAGCGGGGGGCGCTGGAACAGAGCACCGGTGAGGGTCTCGAGGGCGCGCGCAAACTGGGCCTCGCCACCGGGCAGCTTGTCGTGGAGGCGGATGACACAGCAGTACTCCTTACCAGCACCCTGCTGGGACTTGACGAGACGGGTCGCGCGGTCGATGCAGACGATCAGGCATCCGGTGACCTTGGGATCGAGGGTTCCAGAGTGACCAGTCTTCTCAACGCTGCGATTCTGTTAGTCTTCTGCGCGCATGTTGGAATCTTATGGTGCATACCGAAGCATGCGCTTGATCCATGATACGACTTCGTGGGACGAAGGATTCGAGGGCTTGTCGAGGTTGATGACACCGGACGAGATGTACTGCTTCAAGTCACGCGCAAGGGGCGCGCATCCTTGAGGAATGGGGGTGTAGTGCGAAGTGCGAACGAGCACTGCAATTTTGTTAGCTTGGACATTTTGGAGCTCTATCTCGGGTTCGCTGCATACAGTCGCTGTAGTTCTTCAGCAGCAGCGGCCAGTCGCTGGTGTCAATGGCGGGTGCCGATGCCTCTGGCTTAATGGTGTATGCGTCGGGGTTGGACTGCACGAGAGCCATTGCGTCGATTTTTCTGTGGCCTGGTGGTTACACTTGCCGTCCTGCGAAGCTGGTAACTTTTTGGCAGCGAGAATTTCGCAGGGCCGTGCACCTTTAGCGCGGTCGGCCAAACTGGCGGGCCGGTCGAGCATCACGCAGAGAACGAGAACCATCAACAGATCAAGTACCGACAATGGGCTTGAAATGCTTTTCTCAACTGAGGAGGTTGTTAAATTTGGTAAGAAGTATGGACAATCACTGCCTAGTCACATCGAGATCTGATCGTCGCTCATTCCCGATATATGTCTTTTGACATTCAAACGAGTCCAATGTTTCCAATTTGTGACCATGAGATTGATGGAATCGTGTCGAACCTAGGAAGTGAACCTATATATTGGTGGTCGTTGGCAACGCTGGGAGAGTAACATCACTGGATTGTGCAAAGGCATGAGGGAAATTCTCCAGAGCCTGTTTTACTCCAATCAAGACATCTTGTCGTTCAGAGCAGTCCATGATGCAGCAGCCTTTCCACCCATCAACGCAGTTTTCCAGTAGCGACGTATCACCAAAGCCCTCTCCACCCGTGAGCTCTTCGCATCGTACTTTCGTAAGTTTTGGCATGTCATCTACCATCATTCTTAGAATTGGTCGCCAGTGATGAGTGGTAGCCAGAATGATTCGTCGCAGGAACAGTTGTTGGAGCGTTGATGTACTTCCTCGGAGAAAGTCAAGGAGCCCTCGTCCTTCGAAACATGCAAGACTGAGGTTAACACTGGAAAGTTGGCGGAAAGGTTTATCACCGAAGCCACGAAGGCTTTTTGAGATGTTGGTTACTCGATCATCCTCCCAGTGATAGTTGTCGAATGCCAGGGTTAGACTTTGTAAATCTCGCAGTGTGCTGAGAGCATGGCCGAGGGATTTTGCTGTGGGTTCGCCGTTTTCGTGAGCATGCAAGGCAGAACCGTTCTTGCGTCTCAACTTGAGAACGTTGCTTGCATTGATGCTGATACTTACATGCTGCACACTCTGTAAAACAGGAGTAATTTCTACGAAAGTGCGAGCGCGTATACAAAACGCTGCAACACTGAAGGAGCTTAACGCCGAAAGCTGTAGACCATTGCGTTGCACAGCTGTCGCTACCAAATATAGAAGATAGTCTGGATCAACGTAGGTTTCGAGGTCGTATGGATCGCTGATCTCGTCACTGTCGTAATCTTCGTTGTCGCCATCCATGACGTCGAAGTCGGAATCGGGTTCCTCGGCCTCTTCAGACTCGTAGCCATCTTCATATCGCTCGTAGTCGCGAGCATTACTCTCGAGTGTCATCTGATAAATACGTTGGGCTCGCTCGTTCAATTGATCTTGGCGAGAAGGCGTGTCTAGCCAGAATGAAGCCATAAAATTGGGCTCTACAACCACTTCCTTCAATCCTGATGCATGAGCCATGATTGTAGAAAGACAGTCTTGGAGTCCAAGCCGCACACGCTTCTTAAGGACCAGGCCTTCGTTGGGGTACACGCCATCTATACCGTGCTTTGGAAGTTCAATCACGCCATATCCGGCATGCTCATGTTTTCGAGGCGGACGTCCAAACTCGAGAGGAGCGATATCTTCGTCGAACACAGGATGATGCGCTTTGATAAAGACCAGCTTCTTGATCAACTTGCCAAAGAGCACATGGCGGGACACGTCCCGCAGCCTAGACAATGACTTTGCATGCAGGGTCACAGTCATCGTTGAGAACGCTGCTCTCTCGAAAGTGTACCTCGTCTTTGATTCAAGGCAACGGCAGCTGAGTCGAAAGCTGCGAAAGCCATTATCTTCGAATTTGTGGGATTGTGGGTGTGTGTCGAAGAGGTGAAAGGCGATTCGGCTTAACAACTCAGCCGGAAGGTCAGCAAGCGCGGTCATGATGGCGATCCCTCTTGATCTGCTGTAGAGATAACAAAAAAGCCACGAAAAACGGGTGCTATGGTAGAGATACATCACATGTGTTGTTGATGACAAGACGTAAGCAGTGTGGATCTCAGCCTGATCAGGCTAGTCTGGCCGCCGCCGCCACTCCTGGTTCCCTCAACTAGGCGTCCTTTACCTGAGAAACACCGCTAACCCCTCGTTACAAACTCGAGAGACTGTGGCGTATGAGAAGCGCTCAGACTTGCGCCGCTTCGTCGCCACAACGTTGGTACCTTCAGCTCGACACCATCGCACTCGATTGATCAACCTTTCGTTGCTATGTACACATCAGCAGCTGTTTTAGCTTACTAGGTAAATATACTCATGCCTGCGACTCATGTGGGTATTACTATAGATTCAAATTTTGTAGACCGCACTCGGATATTGCACAAAGACGTATTTGTGTTGCCATGCGTCGCACTCGTCTCAATGAAGTCAAAAGCTCTCACCGATCCAGATGTGAAGAAGTGGACATGCACGAACGACCCCTTTTCTTTGTTCTTCGAATGGATTCTACAGTGGCCATTACGAACCCATATTTGGGGCATGTTTCCAAGAATGGAACGAGACGCTACTCCATTGCACAAGGGATGAATATGATCAGATTTGTCTGCTTCAAGTTCACGCATTGCTCATCATCAACGGTTACATCGACCGCTCCCATTATACAGCTTACAAAAACACTTACTGCGTCCAGGTAGGTATACACAGAGTCTCGCTGCAAGGAAGGCGTCTCAACCTTATGTTACACCGACGGCTGCGTACGTCAGATCGAGCATTGCCAGTGACAACAATCGTACACCTCGCTTTGACAACGAAGTCAGTTACCACAATGCTGCGCATGGTTTTACTTCGCCACTCCCTGTCACACAGGCTCACTAAGCCAGCCCCATGTACAGCAAGGTCTGGTTTTCACAAGGCATCAAAATTACCCTCATCTACACGACATCGGCTTAGTCTGTAAGCGGTAAACCGTAAGGTTGTCTACTTTGCCATCCCCTACGAGAACGCAAGAGAGTGCGGAAACCTCCCGCTCACATGCGCGTACGAAGCTGGTTATGGAGATCCAGCGTACCAACCTGAGATTGACCGCCTACCGCGTCTTCAAGCGTGTCGAGACCGATTTAGACATAGGCACAGAGAACACCTCAACTACCGATGCCCCTGATTGTGGGTCTGAGAGCGAGGTGATTGTGGACATGATCGATCACCAATGAGCCGATCACGCCATCAGCAAGCGGTGTAATAAGGAGCAGTGGAAGACTGTAACAAGTAGGATTGCACTGATCAAACACTGCACTATTCTCGGTAAACAAACGCGCTAAGCATCTGCTCCCGGAGCTGGGGGTAACGGAACAGGGAGAAAATGGAACTGCAGGCTCGGCACCTAGTAGGAGTGTTGCGCCGACCGAGCCGACCGAAGAGGCAGGCACAATCTAGACCGTCAGTGAGCTGCTGTCACATTGATTGCCCCAATATCTGTCGGCGACCGGAAGAGTGTTTATCATAGATGTCAGTACTCAGTGTGGAACCAGAATCATGCACGTAGTTTCACACCATTACCCCTGTATTTACACTTTATCCACCACCTACGTGCCTAAATATGTACAAACTCTTACAGTCCACCAATAATCCTTCATGTACACGAATAGATCCAGCTAGACATATTTACATGTCATCCTCAAGCGGACTCAAGCCCTGAGCACTGCCAATCCTGTCCTCGAGGAAGAACCTGATCCTCTCCACATTCGCACGATCAGACATCCACTTAATGAACTCGGGCGCATTAGTGTTCGGCTGCTTGAGGATCTTCTCTGCGCCCGGTGGGGGTGCGATATCAGTTCTCGTGCTCCAGCGACCGCTGGTGAGCCACTCATCGCTCAGTAGGAAGTTGTGCAGCAACTTGGCGCCCTCAGGGTGCGGCGCTTTCTTCAAGATAGCGCCGGTCTGGCCCCAAGAGGCGAAAGTGCCTTCGGTAGGGATTGTGAAGTTGAACCCCGGGGCGGCGGGGGAGAAGGAGATGCTGGAGGTGAAGGTAGCGACGCTGTCGTCACCGGCGGTGTTGATGAGAGTCCTAGGTGTCGCTGTTCCGCGAACCCAGCGTGGGTTGTTGGCGAGCAGAGCATCAAACCACTTCGGGCCGAATTTGGGATCTTTGAGCCTGGGAAGAGTGTTCATTAGTAGAGGATCTGCGAAAGGAGGTGTAGGCGACTTACAGGAGATCGAATTGCCAGAGCACCGCATCATCATCATTGGGGTAAGTGAGTGCAATCTTGTCCTTGAACTCAGGCTTGGTGAAGTCATTGTAGGATACTGGTATAGTTGCCGTCTTGTTGCCGTTGGATTGGATGCACCATGCAATGATGAAGAGACCTGCGTAGGCGGCATCTGCATCCCTAAAAATGGGATCAATCTTATCAAAGTTGACTGGTGCGTAGTTCAACAAAGCACCCTCCTTCTTCCAGCGTGGGTAATCGTGTAGTGTCTGCAGAATGATGCTGTCAACGTAGACGTTGTTGGCTGCGAGCTGCGAGTCAAGATTGCCATCGTGATACTTAGACAAGTCCACAGTGACGTTGAGTGTCATCTTTGGGAAGCGTGCTTCGAAGGCTCGCTTCAGGAAATCCTGCTGGGTCTTCTCGTCACCACCATGCCAGAGTGTGACAACGCCGCCCTCAGCCACCGCTGCATCGTAGATCTCACTGATGTTACGAGTCTCTTGCAGGTACGTTTTCTGTGGGCGAGCCAGGGACACTCCAGTTAGGAGTGCCAGGTTAAAGAGCGTAGAGAGCATGATCAAGTCGTGCAATGTAAAGTGTTTGTATGAGAAGAGGGAAGCTGCTGCGTGACAATGATCTCTATCTTGGTACCAACAATATCTACTTTATAGTGAAGCTGCAAAGACGTTTTGATAATCTCATTACCGGCTCGGTCCGTTAGGCTCTTTTCTGTGCCAACCTAGTTACGCAATATGGGTATACCTGCACGACATTCGCTTGTGGTAAGTGCAACGGATGCTAAATGCCGAACCCTGTGAGTATCGGCTCTACCTATCTACGTCTTCCAAGACATGAGGCTTGACCACCTTGCTTTGATGGCTCAATTGTCTTGATGCGTGAAACAGGGCGAACAAGACGCGCGAGAATTATTTTCTTCTCTACACAAGCACTGTCTGAATGTACCTTCATGGGTTGAAGGCGACTCGGCCTAGCCAACCCTAGGCGGTTCAAAGCTTTTCGTCATTTGGCTATGACGATCGTCAGGGCTGTCGGCTTGTTTCTTGAGTTCCTCCAGATGTGGGTCTGCCGGCAGATCGTCGGCGCTTATGTGATCCAGTTGTTATCAAGGAATCATGCGCGGAATTGCACCGTCAACAATCCAGACTCTGGGTACTATACTGAGTGTCCTCTTTGGACGGTAATATCTCCTGCTTATCTGACCATATACGTCGGGCAAGTCCGTTGTCACGTGAAGGAGAAGAAGGAAGGAGCTGGAGGGACGCGTTGCGCGTTCTAGCGCGTTGCAGGGGATAGCCAGCTTTGGAACCTCACCAGGTCCACTGCCGTCATCAGCACCAGATACGTCAACAACCACAATGGCGAAGTGCAGGCTGAACAGGGTAACGTCTGTGACGCTCGCAGGAAGATCATCTGAGTTGGATAAGTGCCATACACTCACCTTGGACGACCTCCCTACTGAATTGATCTGGCATATAGCCTCTTATCTCAAAACGCCAACACTGATACGGAACTTCGACGAGCTAACGGTTCGAAAGCGAAGGTATGATCTTTGCGCCTTGCGCCTTGCGTGTCGAAGCATGCACGATAAGGTTCAAAAGGTCTTCGTGCCAACAGCATTTGATTCCCTCGAAGTCGATCTGACCCGGTCTGATCTGGATGCACTGATCGAAATTGCGAAGGACAGTAAGTATGCTGTCGCTGTGAGAGAACTTCACTTTGTCATGGCAGAGGCATGGCCAGAGCCTGATGATTGGAGCGAAGCATATGAGCAGGAGGCACTATCACGAGACTACACCGAAAAAGGGAGCGGTGCCATCCTTTTAAGCAGAGCGCTAAACGGGTTTCCGAATCTCGAAGCGGTGAGAGTACAGCCTGTCATGTGGGTAAGTTGGAAAAGACATTGCAACCTTGTACACTTACAGCAACTGATCAAGGGTGAAGTTTCCTGGCAATCCTCGATTCATATTATCCCGTTGGCCGCATGGTGAAGGCTCGACCACGAGTCTCGTAGCGACCATTCTCGCAGCACTCAGTCTCTCGAATACCCGCATTAAGACTCTAGCCTTCTCACGGCAACCTCCATTTACAGATCATCTTAACGGCCCGACAGGTTGCTACATCAGCCAGCTCAGTATTCCTCCAAGCGCCATGGCAGCTTTTCACCATTTGCGAACACTGGACCTCGTGATTGCTCTGCGGCCGTCGAAACGATGTATGCATCTTGTTATGCTTATGCACTGGCTACGCTAACGGATCGCTAGTCGATTTTGCCATGGCCTCGGCGCTCACTTCTTTCGTTTCCGGTCTCAAGCAGCTCGCATCGTTGTCTATCCGATTCGACAGCCACATTTTGTCAGAAATCGTCATGCGCGACTTCCTGTCCGATTGTCAGGTCTTGGCAGTAACGTGGTTCCGACTGGAGGTAGCTTGGATCTGGGATACCTCATCAGGGTGCCCCCTCATCGAGTTTATGCAACGAAACAGGCAGATCCAGCATTTTTACCTTGCGTTTGTTGATCTCGACGAAGGTCGCTGGCCTGCACTTATCGAGACACTATCGACATGCGAAAATCTCCAAAGCGTTGGATTGCGATACGTCAGTGAAGCAAACCATGCTGTGACTATCAATGGCAAGGATAAACTCCACATTGAGCACACGGAAGACATGGCTTCCAGCTTAAAGGAGGCCAAACGTGGAATCAGTGTCGGCAACAGTGACCACGACGAGTTCCCAGCTGCTCGCTATGACAGATATCCAGACGACTCAGAGTACGACTCATCTGAGGAGGCCTGATCTAGACATGTGGCTAGAATCCTTGACATTTTTTTATTGTTTAGGCAGAAGAATCGTACCGATTATTCCGTCTCTAGGATTGGTTGCCCTTTGCCGCTTTTCAGTGAATCGCACCGGACCAGAGCTTAGGTTTGGCCTCTATTGCAGACGCTTTGACAGGCCCACACCTTTCAGAGTTGCACAGCAGCACGGAATGAGCGGCTGCGAAACCGCAAAAGAAACCATTGGACACGGACCTTCGCTAACGGCGTACCCCTGACAGACCACGCACCAGATGCATAGACTTCGCACATTCGCATACGATAACTCATCTTTCGGATTTGCGCGACAGTGACGAGGACAGGTAGTACAGCGATACGCGAGCTTTGACGGCATGATCAGGAGCGTTCGGCGTGTCCACATGCCCTTTCATTGGTCTCCTTACGATACTGATGATGTGTATTCCAAGTATCTGGGAGCCCTCTTCCTACCTACGTACTGACCTGGTTGCTGGGTTCTCGAGGCGCAACAGCGGAGACCCACGCAACGATCTGGATCAGTCAAACCGCAGGAGCTACGTGATGGGTAACGGGGATGTTGGCCAGCCGTTGTTTTTGGATAAGTTTTCAGTCGCGCCGAGTCGACATTTAACAACTCGCACAGCGTAACGCGTGTCACCACGGTGTCACTTGATTGCGGCTTTCTTCCCCCGACGCATGGCTTCGTCCCGTTCCACATGGCAGCTATACCTCGCAGCTTCATTTCTTTAGGAGGAGGCCGTCTTGGGCCAAGGACCTATGTGACGATTCAACATCACAAGTGGTAGAAATGTCAATAAGTCTTGCCAGTAGCAGGACGACTAGTTTTCTTCTTTCCGAATCTTTTAGTCCCTAGACTAAACGACTCTAGATGAAGAAAGCGAGAGTGGGGCATGAGAGCCCAATGAATTTAGGCTCAGCAAGTTTCCGAACGTTACATCCCACGGCCTCGGTGGTTTCTCTACTTCGAGGAAGCTGGCTCGGAAGTGGATCGGCGGCAGTCCTTGTGATGCGGTGTATAGATTGATTGAATGCACGAAACGGCTTGCTCGGTCCTATCTTCAGGTACCTGGTTCCCGCTCAGCATCACCGAAACAAAGCTTCTTTCATGGTGGCGAACGCCATGCCTAACAACGGTCAGCACTAAAATGACATAGACGATCGTAGATTTATACGGCCCGAAATTACTTGACTGCCGACATGCTGAGGAAAACAAATGTTGCTTTCTGGAACGCCAACCTGTGGGTCTTGTACGACGTTGATCCCAAAGAGACTTTGACCAGTGCAGACTAGAGTGTTGGACCCATTTTAGTCGCTAAACCGATACTCCAGAGAAGCTGACCTCATATTTGTAGCTGTGCCGCTCGCTGTTGTGTTAGATCACCCTGCCTCGGTACATTTGCCTGATGTTAGTCGATACTATGACTTAAACTTCATCGAGCTTCTTCTTCTTGAACCACTACAGCTTAGCAACTTCGTGACGGCTACTGCAGCTCGCTCCGGCTAGCGATGACGCTCGACGATGACATAAGTCGCATTTGGCGACTGGATAGTGGCGACCAAGAACAGCTCGCGGACTGTTCCCACACCTGCGGTCACGTAGGAGAAAGACCCAGTCATTCCGCCGACGCCCCATTGTGTTGTTCGCCAGTGGGATTCACGAGCGGACTGTCAACACCGAGCAGCAGGTCTGAATACGAGATGCATGACTCAAATGTACCGTCTTTGGGCGAGGTATGTGCCACAGTATTCCAGCTCCATGATGATGAGCATCAGCTGACACCAAGAAGCCAAACACAGAGGATGTCGCCATTGTAGGCATGTCTTGCCGTACTGCTGGCGGGAATGATACACCTGAAAAGCTTTGGGACTTCCTCCTGCAAAAGAAGACCGCGTCAGGCGAGATTCCATCACAGCGATGGGAGCCATGGCGGCAACGAGATCATCGCAACGGCAAGATCCTGGACAACCTCATCCGCAAAGGCTACTTCCTTGATAACCTAGAAGACTTTGATCCAGCTTTCTTCGGTATATCGCCAAAGGAAGCAGAGCTTATGGACCCGCATCAACGACTTGGTCTCGAACTCGCGTGGGAGGCTCTGGAAAATGCTGGAATCGACCCAAAGAAGCTCAGTGGAAGTGACACTGCTGTGTATATGGGCGTCGACTCGGATGATTACTCCCGCATGCTGATGGAAGATCTGCCAGCCATCGAGGCCTGGAGTGGTATCGGGACTGCCTATCACGGTATTCCAAATAGGATATCGTACCACCTGGACCTACAAGGCCCCAGCACAGCAGTCGATGCAGCTTGCGCTAGCTCCTTAATCGCCATCCATCTTGCTCGTCAAGCCATTGCATCGGGCGAGAGTACTGTTGCTATCTGCGGTGGTGTAAACGTTATATGCGCACCTGGTCTCTCGCACATGCTTCAGAAGGCAGGTGCTCTTAGCACTGAAGGCGTTTGTCGCTCCTTTGACGATGCAGCATGTGGCTACGCTCGTGGCGAGGGCGGAGCTATTGTCGTGCTCAAGCGTCTCAGTGCCGCGATTGAAGACAATGACAACATCATTGCCGTCTTAAAGGCTTCCGCTTCTGCCCAAGACGGTAAAACAAATGGTATCATGGCACCGAACTCCAAAGCACAAGAGCTTGTTGCCAGGCAAGCGCTTCTGCGAGCTGGTAATCTGGATCCCCATACCATTGACTATGTTGAAGCACACGCAACCTCGACTTCCCTTGGAGACCCCACGGAAATCAACGCCATAGCTCGGGTCTATGGAAATGGGCGCTCGCTCAGTTCGCCTTGCTATGTTGGTTCAATTAAGCCCAACGTGGGTCATCTTGAGGCTGCAGCTGGTGCGATAGGCTTCGTCAAAGCTGTACTCAGCGTGCAGAAGGGTGTCATTGCTCCTCAGACGCTATTGAACAAGTTAAACACCAAAGTCAACTGGGCCACCTGTGGGCTGGAGGTCGTCAAGGAACAGAAGGTGTGGCCCAAGCGAGACATTCGAAGAGCAGCTGTGTGTTGCTACGGCTATGGCGGCTCGGTTTGCCACGCTATTATTGAGCAAGCGCCTATCAGGTTCAGGTTGGAGTCGAATACTGCAACTCTGTCGCACTCAGCCGTCATGATCAACCTATCAGCTATGCAGGAGAAGCGCTTGCCTGGCATTGCGGCTTCTCTGGCACGTTGGCTATCTGCTGATGGATCGTCCGAGAATCTACAGGCTATTGCACGAACGTTGACTCATCGCCGAGTTTCACAAGACTATCGGGCTTCTTTTGTGGTCACCAGTCACGAAGAGGCCATCCGCAGTCTGACCGATTTCGCGAAGGGCACGCCTGATCGGTGGAGCATAAGCAACCGCGTGCTTGATAGCACAAGTGATAAAAGAGCAGTCTGGGTCTTCTCAGGACATGGCGCACATTGGCCAGATATGGGTAAAGGACTGTTACATAACACTGTCTTTCGCTGCGTCCTTTCGTCGTTAGACGAGGATCTTCGAAGAGAAGCAGGCTTCTCTGTCATCGAAGCCCTGCAAACGAGCGACTTGGGCGACACTGCAAAAGTTCAAGTCCTGACTTATGCTGTGCAGATAGGTCTTGCAGCAGTACTCCAGTCTAAAGGTATTACGCCTCAAGCTGTGATTGGACACTCTGTTGGTGAAATTGCTGCTGCTGTAGTCGCTGGATGCTTGACGGAGCGGGAAGGCGCTATCATTGTCTCCAGGCGAGCGAACCTGTATGCCTTATTGCAAGGCCAAGGGGCTATGGCGTTGGTTGCATTGTCCTTCGAGGATGCTGCACAACGGCTGTTTGGTCGAGGTGACATCGTTCCCGCAATCAGATCTTCACCATCGACATGCGTTGTCAGTGGCACCATGGAGGCTGTTGAGTGGTTCATCGAACACCTCAAAGGAGAGAACATCAAGAGCTGGACGGTGCAGACAGATATCGGCTTTCATTCACCGATGCTCAAACAGCTGGTATCTGCGCTGCAAGAAAGCCTTGGTCAAGACATCAGCCCTCAACCGGCAAAAACCCCAATCTACTCGACCTCAGCTTCTGATCCAAGAGCTACATGGCCACGCGGTGTCGAGTACTGGACATCAAACATGATAAACCCTGTTTGGCTCGTCGATGCTGTTGAGGCTGCTGTGGAAGATGGCTTTCGCATCTTTGTGGAGGTTTCCACACACCCCATCATCTCGCACTCCATTTCCGAAACCCTGTCTGCTCGCTTGGTAGACAACTTCGCAGCTTTCGGCGTCATGACCAAAGATGTATCTGCAGAACGCAGTATCTTGAAGGCTATCTCTCAGCTCCACGCTCTTGGTGCAGAAGTTGACCTCAGTACTCTGCAAGGAGCGGGCCCGTGGTCATCCCGGGTGCCGATAACGCCTTGGGTCCATAGGCGCTATTGGAAGACTGTTTCCATGACCTCTTGCACCACCGCACGACAGCATGATGTTGAGACACACACCGTACTTGGTGGTGTTGTAGAGATCGCTGGTAGCAAGACTAAGATGTGGTCTACAACGCTAGACGATTCAAGCAAACCGTACCCTCTAACACATCCACTTGATGGTACCGAAATCATTCCTGCAGCTGTATACTGCAACACCTTTCAGCGCGCCACAGGCGCGACCATACTCAACGATGTGGATCTTCGCGTCCCAACGCCGATGGCAGCTGAGAAGCGTGAGCTGCAAGTCGTGGTCGAGGGCGATAGAATTCACATGGCGTCTCGCCTCAGTCTTGAATCTACAGGCAGCAACGATATGGAGCGTTCATGGATTGAACACGGTTCAGCCATGCTTACGACCGCAGACATGACCTCTCATGAACAGACTCTCTCGATCTCGGACATGCAAAGCAGGATCAACACGAAACTTCCAAACAGCTTTGCATGGGATTACCTCCAAAGTATCGGCGTGTCCGGCATTGCATTTCCTTGGGCTGTGATCGAACACCACATGAATGAAAAAGAGATGCTCGTCAAGATGGATATGGATCCCAATACACAGACATTGACATGGGATGCACAAAGCTGGGCTCCATTTCTTGACGCTGCCACATCTGTCGGTTCGTCTATATTTTTCAAAAGTATACGGATGCGGATAGTCAGCGGCATTGATCAGATGGTGTTTGTCTCTAAAGGAAAACCACCTAAGGTCGGCTACCTGTTCATCCAAGAGAGCTCAGAAGGTGAAGATTTGAAGGCTGACATCAGTGTTCTCAGCGAGGGTGGTGAACTTCTTGTCAAGATTAAGGGAATGAGATTTTCTGATGTCGAGGCAGTGAGCGACAGGAGTAAAAGTGCAGACTCACTTGTCCACCGGTTGGCATGGATCCCGCCAAAGTTCTCTGAGACTCCACTCCCCTTGGGCAACGTTGTTGTTGTGTCCAAAGACAGCGAGACCGCGGATAACTACGTTAACACCTTGGAGATCATGGCGGAGCAAGTCCTCACGGTTTCTTCCGCCGAGCACCTGAAAGGACCCGCAGTCATGAGAATCTTACAACAAACAGGCACAGTGGTCGTATACTTGCCTGGATCGACCGTTCAAGTCGCCGAGATTGCGAAAGAAGCCCATGCTTTTACATGGGAGACTGCTAGCATCCTCACCATTCTGGCAGACATTCCCAGTACACCAAAGCTTTTTGTCGTTACTGAAGCCGCTTACAAGGGTCAGTCGCCCACCTCCCTCGCACACTACCCACTTTACGGCTTTGCCAGAGTTGCGGCGTCTGAATACCCGGATCTGTGGGGTGGACTTATCGACAACGAGGGGCCAGCATTTCCTCTCCTTCCCATGAGATATGTAAAGCATCAAAGCGTTGTTCGTGTGCAAGATGGTCTCCCTCGCATTGCGCGTCTACGAGCGTTCGCAAAGGATCAGCAAGCCAGTAAACCGAAGGGATGCTTGCTGCCGCAGCCGCATGGAACCTACCTTGTCACTGGAGGTTTTGGCGATCTTGGTTTGGAGGTGCTCGACTTCCTAGTGCAGAGGGGGGCTCGGAGAATAGTGGTGGTCTCGAGGCGTCCTCTCCCCCCTCGCAGGGACTGGTCATCCACTTCAGGGCCTATGACATCGATCATCAAGAAGGTAGAAAGCCTAGAGAGATTGGGCGCAACAATTTACCCTCTAGCACTCGATATAGGCTCGCCTTCCGCATCAGCCGATATTTCCACCGCGCTCGATCGCCTCTTCCTCCCACCCGTATTAGGAGTCGTCCATGCGGCCGGTGTCTCGGGCTACGGCTACATCAAGGACACAACTTGCAATGACTACGCGTCCGTCATGAGTCCAAAGGTTCAAGGCGCCCTAAATCTACATAACGTCTTCCCCGCTGGCGAGCTGGACTTTTTCGTACTTTTCTCCTCCATTGGGCAGGTTATCGGCACGCCCGGCCAATCCGCCTACGCAGCCTCGAACGCTTTCCTTGATGGCCTAGCAACCCACCGCCGCCTAAAGGGCTGCAATTCCATTGCAATCCAGTGGACTGCATGGCGAGCGCTGGGACTGGCGAGCGACACTGCGCTTGTGGATCTGGAGCTGCATAGCAAGGGCGTAACAGATATCACAGTCAAAGAAGCATTTCAGGCGTGGACGCATCTATCGGATACCGATTCGGACCATGCAGTCGTAGCAAGGACACGCATTTTGGAAGTTGATGAAGCACTGCCTTGCGAGCTGATCAAGGATGTGGTACAGAGACGTGCTGCGCTTGTCGCAAGCGCCATTTCTGCCCCAATCATCGCAACAGCTATTGCGAAGCCAAAGTCAGCTTCTGACATTAAGGCCCATCTTAATGCGGAGATCAAAGGCTGTTTATCGCAAGTCCTACACCTAGCCGTCGAAGAGATTGAAGACAGGGCGGCGATCGCAGACCTGGGTGTAGACTCGGTCATGACTGTTGCGCTGAGACAGCAGCTGCAGAAAGTGATGAGGGTTACGGTGCCACCAACGTTGACATGGAACCATCCCACTGTCGCACATCTTGTGGAATGGTTCTTTGCGAAGGCACAAAGCAAAAGATAAAGTCCAAAGGGGGCTGATTAGAGGTTTTGTCAATAGAGGGTAACTTGAAATAGTTTGTTTAGAAAGGAGTTGGCGTACATAGATATCACGGGCAATGTTTGAATATGTGTTGGCTTACTTGCGTGGAACTCTCCGTCAGTCTAATTCAGGTCCTCCTCAAGAAGTTCGGCATTTTCGTTGACGAAGTAAACCCTGTCCTCATCCTCTCGAACGTGGCCAGCGCGCACTAGTCGGCCCGTTCTCAGTACGACTTCGCCCAAATGAGTTCCGAGTCGAGATGCAATTTCTTCAGGGGCCATACCTCGCGAGGGATCAAACTGTCGGACAAGCCTAAGCACGGCGGTTTCAGTAACGAGCCCGACACGTGAGAGGGGGGCAACAACGGGACCTATAGTAGCGCCGGTAGTTGGGTCGAACGCTTCGAGGTCCGGCATGTCTTCGTCGGTGCCTTCATCATCTTCCCAATCATCATCATCGTCGGCCAGCGCAGCATTGTCATCCATCTGCTGTATGGAGTTCCTCTCGCTCTCATCGCTGTCATCAAACATCTCTGCCATACTGTCTCTTACTTTCTTTTCTCTCATCAAATCCTCGCTTGCTTTCAGGAATTGCAGTCTAGAGTCTCCATCTACACCAGCGGAAGCAGTTATAGTTTCCTTGTCAAGCAACCATTGTACAGCTTCTAGAACGCGTTGCTTGTTGAGGTCCAGTCTCGCGACAGTTTCATCGACGGTGAGTCCGCCAAGATGCGAATTATCTTTCAGAAAAGCCAGAACTGTGGTCCGGTACAAATAGCTGAAGTCTGGAGCTTCTGGTGGGCCTCTCCTGTTTGTCCTAAGATGGACGTCGTCTTCATCATCCCACTCTTCCTCATCAATGTCATCCTCGTCGATGTCGCTATCCTCTTCCGTCGAGGCGGCGGCTTCGAACAGCTCTACAAGATTGAAAGTTGTATCTCGCTGCTGATCGCGAACTTCTGCTTCAATACCATATTCAGTTGATAGTTCCCACCAAACAGGATGCAATTCGTCCGTAAAAAATCCTGCGTCAACGCCAGCATCGTCGCGACAGGTAAGAACTATTTTCTTGAACTTGGAGAGTTGTGTTGTGTTGCTGCCATTGGGAGACAGAGCTAAGGATTCATCATATTCCAGGCCCCGAAAGCCTTCCGCCCATTGGACTACGCCTTCGTATGGCCACAGCAATTCCAATTGCTCAAGGTTTGGTGGTAAATCTTTTGGCCTGCAATGGTCATCGACGCTAAAGGTCGTGGACTGAGCATTGAAGACGAAAGGCTGCGGGATTGTGAGGGTCCTCAAGGCAGAAAAGCGCTTCATTGATGTGGTCGGGTGTTGGCACATATCGATCAGCCAGTCCAGCTCACCGTCTTCCTCCGTGGTCTCGAGCGTAATGGATAGAGTTTCCAGAGTCCTTTCGACACTACACAGCTGGTCAAGAAAGTAGCTGGCGCTCAGCTCCGTTGTCAGGTCATCGCCAATGTGGTAGCCGTCGTTGATGAAAGCAATTTTAAGCTTTTTCAACGCACGACATGCCAATGCGTCAAGAAGCTCACTAAAAGTAATCTCTGCCTTCTCCACGAGTGGTCGATCAGCGAACTGTATGGAAACGGTCAAGGCAAGACTCTCCAGGTTCTCGGCACCTTGAAGGCTGCCTGGGCCATTCAGTCTCAATACAGTGCCTATGGAGACTGTCCGTAGATCCAGAAGGGTCAGTTTCTCCAAGTGAATACCGCACTTGAGCATGGATGTATCTCCAGTGGTGAGATGTGTGACATTCTTCCACCCGTGCAGGATAGCCTCTGGTGGGCTAGTACCACCCCACAAGCCAGAGATACACTCACTCGAAGGTGGACCACGTTGATGGTCCTTGATCCAGAAGTCGAGATCGGTGAGATTAGGAAGAAGCGCTAGTAACAGACCTCCGAAAGCCGACTCAACAGAGTTGTTGATCGACCTCCACCATGGATGCGTTGAGTGATAACCTAACCCTGCTAGTTTCGATATGCATCGATTACGAAACTCGGGCAAATCGAAGCCTTGCTCTGTATACAGTTTTTCCACGGTTTTACGCACTGCTCGAAAACGTATCAACTTGACTTTGGTGGCAAGGTCCGGTCGGTCCAACAGTGTGCGTAAGAGTAGAATAAGTGCATTTACTTTGGGATGGCAGCCACAGCAGATAGCAAGTCTTGCTGTCCTGAACAAGCCTTCTTGAGCTATGGATCGCAGTTTTCGGGACGTAAGACTCAAATTTTTGAGGTCTCGGGGCGCTCCTGAGTCGGGCAAGTGGAGCGCAACTTGGAGCAACAGCTCATCCGGGAGTCCTTCTAGAGGCATGATGGTCGTCTTCGTCAAGCTTGTGTCGTTGTGGATCAGGCAGCAACTCGCTGGAGTTTCTTGAGATCGGCACACGGTCGCGGAGGTCGCGCCGAGATGGGTCGACGCGGTGTCGCTTGTAGGGCTCGCGTGTCACCCGAGCGGGACACAAGCGGTACGGCCAAAAGGTGACGTAATCTGCGCGACATCACGTGTAATCTGTGTCGAATGGCGGGGGGGCATTCGGACCGTAAGGTGCATCAGACAATTAGCCTGCTGCTTATCTAATACAGAACTTCTCGCACTGACTGTGTGTAATTCCGACAAGCAGATCCGTAAATCCGACAAGAGGGCTGTGTGGGGCATGAAAGCCCCACATGTGGGTGTCGATTTCGAAGCCGCAGGCTGGCCATGTCGCCATTCTGCGCTTACAGAAAGCTGATTCGGAAATATAGTCTGTTGATAGTCGTTGACAAAGCCCCATCTCCTCCACATCGAATAAAATGGCCACAACTTCAGGAAGTATTTCCAACGACTTTCCACGACTACCAATCGAGAGACGACAGGAACGTCGCAAGCAAAGCGAAAAAGTGACCTGAGGGCAGCGCAATCATGTTCTACGACGATAAATCTGCCATAACCGACTCAGATGGCCCTTCACCACCAAAAGAAGAGACGTCACGCACGCCATCATCACTCAGTTTGTCCAACTCAGATCTCTCTCGCCAGCCAACACGTGTATCGAAACAACATCCCAAAGATGACGGCGATCTGGAATTAGCACGAACCAAGTCCATTGCGCAAACGATGTCACCATTACGCGAGTTCCTGTTCGTTGGCTTGCTTTGCTCTGCTCAATTCGTAACACAGGCCGGACTAGTCAACACCTTGAACATCCTGCACATCATCGGGAACGATCTCGGAATCACCGATCCTGGCGTGCTATCATGGCTCATCGCAGGCTACTCGCTCACTGTTGGAACCTTCATCTTGTTATCTGGCCGATGTGGTGACCTGTTCGGGTACAAGCCCATGGTGATCATAGGGTTCGGCTGGTTCGCGATCTGGAACGTCGTGGCTGGGTGCAGCGTGTATGTATCAGGAAACGGCGGTCAGGTTCTCTTCATCTTTGCAAGAGTTCTAAGCGGCATTGGTCCAGCTATTCTACTTCCGAACGCTTTGGGTCTATTGGGTGCAACATACGATGAGGGACGTAGGAAAGACATGGTCTTTTCACTATTTGGCGCTTGCGCACCGAGTATGTATAGACTGCATTAATCGCAGGCCAAACGACTGACCTTTCACAGGTGGTGCTGTTGTTGGTGGAACCTTCGCTGGTCTTTGGTCCCTTCTCTGGTGGCCTTGGACGTTCTGGACATTCGGCATCGCTCTGGCTTGCCTCGGTGGCTTATCATGGTTCATCTTGCCAGCTATTCCTCTCAAAGAAGAGGAGCAAGATCTTACGTTCGCACAAAGGATACACGAGCTCGATCTACTCGGTGCAACGGTGGGAATCACAGCCATGATCTTGTTCAACTTTGCTTGGAATCAGGCGCCAGGTTTTGGCTGGGAGCAGCCATACGTCTACGCCATGCTCATCGTGGGGATCTTACTCTTTCCTGTGTTCTTCTGGATTGAACTCAAAGTGTCCAAGCACCCGCTCATTCCATTTGATGTCCTCAGTATAGACGTCACCTTCGTCATGATCTGCGAGATGTGCGGATGGGCAGCTTTTGGTACGTTCCCAATCATGTGCTGTGAGCATAATTACTGACAAATACCAGGTATCTTTATATACTACTTTATCCAGATTCTTCAACAGCTTCGAGGGACATCGCCACTTCTTACGATGGCGCAGATCTGCCCTGTGACAATCTCTGGATTTGTTGCTGCCATTACAACCGGTCACGTCATCTCTCGAATCGGCCCTGGCTGGGTCATGTTCATATCGATGTGCGCGTTCACGGTCGGCAGCATTATCATTGCAACTATGCCTCCACATCAGATCTACTGGGCGCAGTCATTCGTTGTCACTCTGATCATCCCCTGGGGCATGGACATGAGCTTCCCAGCTGGTACGCTCATAATGAGTAACGCCGTCGAAAAGCGCCATCAAGGCATGGCAGCCAGTCTGGTCAATACAGTAGTCAACTACAGCATTAGTATTGGAGTTGGCATCGCAGGAACAGTAGAGATGCACGTCAACAATGGTGGTTTGAGCGAGGAAGACGAGCTCAGAGGGTATCGCGCTGCAATGTATCTTGGTATTGGGTTTGGAGTAATGGGGGTCTTGACTAGTGTGCTATTTTTGCTCAAGATGCATACGCGCGAGAAGCAAATGACGAACTCAAGATGAAAGGAGGCTTGGGAATGTTAAGGTAGCATAATAGAGAGCGTTTCTATATTGTTGGCCTTCCATTGACAACATTCTATGAAGCAGTCCAGGCTAACATGAGCCAGCCCTGTACTTTTGTGACTCCTTTAAGGCCAGTGCCTGCGGTATGAATTGGCAGCTTGGGTTCTTTGATCGAAACACATCAGGAACTTCATGGAGAAAACTTAGTGTAGAAAGATATAGTATCGCAACCTCGATGTAACGAACATGTCGACTTAGATTCGGGCTCTTGGATAGTGTGACATTACCACGAACAGGTTTGCTGAGTCTTCACGATGCACTGTTACAGGAACGGCGTTGCGACGGCGGGAAACTTCTGGTCGCTCGATACCAGCACATGCGCAGTGACCCAGTTCTTGCTGCAAAGCTGTGAGTTGGTCATGCATCGGTAAGGAAGCCACACTCGATGTGCAGTCGCAACACGATGTTAAGGAGGAGGTTGTCCGGAAGCCCGCCTATGAAGTGGGTGCTCGAGTATGTTAGTATGCATTACAACTGGGTGCGCAGAAAGAATGAAAGCTCTGCTTGGGTCCGCCCAGAGCATCGGAGGCTGGGTACAGACCGTAGGACAATGGAGATCGATCCCTCTAAGACCCTGCCACGGGACCATCTCAAATATCGTTTCGAAAAGGACCTGAGTAATTGTGTACGACAGGTGTACAAGATTGCGCGTGCGACAAGATGATAATATTCTAGAGCCACCTGAAGGGCCGGAAGTTGAGAAGTGTGGTTTCCTTTTCTGGATTAGGCGGCATTACAAGATTATACGATCGAAGTCGAAGTCTACCACGGTTCGGCAGCTCATCATCTAGGAGACGTTTGTGCACTGCTCAATAGCAGCTCCAGCACAGTCATCAGACCTTTTAGAGGTCATACCGCCTATCACCGTGAGACCACTGCATTCGAGTGCAGAATCGCTTGTCTTCCGACACCTTCACTTCACGGTCAAGTGAAAATGGAAGGACCCACCCTATATTGTTGATCTGTTTATCTGCACCCGAGGACCTGATCTCTCATCTACCACCCCAACACACCCTAGTCTTTACTCAACACCCTAAAACAACAGAAAGTCAGTTCCCACTTTTCGACATGAAGAATTTTACACTCATCTTCGCTTTAGTCAGCTTCGCTACTGCTGTCGTCGCTGCACCTTTTCCTCAATTCCCTATCTGCACTTTCGATCCCGCCAAAGGCGAATACGTGTGCCCGCCACCGCCGATCTGCACCTTCGATCCTGTCAAAGGCGAATACGTATGCCCAACTACAGCGGTCTCCGAGCTCACCACGTCTGCCGAGACCAGTTCCACACTCTCCGAGGTCACCGCTGCCAAGTGTGGCGTAGAAGGTCTCCACAAGTGCACACGCGAACGTCAGGGTGCTGTCTGCAAGAATGGTCAGTGGGAGGTGATCCATCGCTGTGCGACCGGTCAGCAGTGCGATATGAAGGAGGGCAAGCTATGCTGTCGCATCCGCGGCCCTGGCTTCGCTTGCTAGAGCTTGATCATGTGCTGAGTCGAGAAGTGGTTTTCAAGTGAGTCGATGCAAGACGTTGTACCATGCTCTTTGACTGACCATGCAGAGCTCTTTCCAAAAGTGAGACAGTCCCGAAATCATCCTCAGCCTTGATTTTGCGCCGATGTAACAGACTCGCTGCCTAGTGAACAATACTTACGGGGATGGTGAAGGGCAATCAGTCAATGACTGCGAGGAAATCTTAACTTCGACAGCTTCAATTCCCTCGGCCTTCCTGATCAGACAAGACAAATGAATATACTTCAAACCTGAATTGTTCTTAATTTTTGTGACGTGTTTACATCTTCACTCGATAAGCTGTACAGCGATCTTGATTTATGAGTATGAACACACTGACGACGTTTTACATCTGTTACGATCGGCGTTCGTGGGGGTAAAGTTGGTAAGACAAATCGAGCAATCACGATCGAGACTCTTTGCCATACCATAGCAACAGAGTGTCCCGTCCAGTATTGAACACCTTTGGGCTTATCATATCAACGTTACAGTGACGGAGGCAGCAACACAGACAGGCGGATCTCGCACACGCCAAGCCTCAGCTCCGTTTCTGTGGCGCAATGCAACCCCGCAATGTCGCGACACGCGTATGATCAGCTAGCAACGAGGGGATCCGCTCGCGAGCTGTGTAGGTTGCAAACATCTGTTTCTCAGCAACTCAACACGGTACTCGATCGTACGATATTGTCTAGAGAACTAGCATATACTCATTCAGCATGTCGACCAATGGCACTCAAAATTTGGAACAGGGCAACAGAGCTTACGTTGCTGAATTCACGCATGGTGACCTTGCACTTCCACCCAGCCAGAAGTACGCGATCCTTACATGCATGGACGCTCGTATAGATCCAGCTGCTGCTTTCGGTACGTGAAGCCACGAGAAACTCTGTACGATGACTTATGGACGTAGGCATACCTCTGGGCGCCGCTCATGTCATACGCAACGCGGGCGGATCAGCTCGCGATGCATTTCGCTCTATCGTGATTTCGCAACAATTGCTAGGTACAACGGAAGTTTTAGTTGTTAAGCACACTGGGTGTGGAATGCTTACCTTTGACAACGAGACGGCGAAGGGACTCGTCAAGAAAAACAAGGGCGACCTTGCAGCTAAGGAGGTGGAAAACATCGACTTCCTCACTTTTCCTGACCTTGAGGCAAAGGTCAAGGAGGATGTCGAATGGCTGAAAGGCACCGCTGTCGAGGAAGGCATTAGGATCACCGGATGGGTGTATGAGGTATTACGCGTGCCGTGAAGTGACGTTGAACTCTACTAAGTCATACAGGTCGAGACCGGTAGAGCGAGGCAAGTAATCTGAATGCACGTCTTCAGTGGAAAAGCTCTCGAGAACTTCCCGGTTGAAGTGGAAAGAGTCACATGACTAATTTGACACCTTATAAATAGAGTGCTTTTTCCTTTGTTATGTCTCATCGGACTTTTGCATAACATGTCATCCGTTCCATATATGTCCTACTATCGTTGTGCGAAGTAGTATTTCAAACGTGTCTGCCCAACCCTTCTCACGCGTAACGCGCTAACCTAAAGTGTGTTAGTATTTCTCTTGTGTTCATAGCGCGTCACCTACTCCGGGATACAACACGTGCATGACTCCACAATGTTCTGATCCTACATGCCTCATCTCAAACGCTCAGAGATGTCTACCCTCTGCGACTTACCCAACGAGATCCTTCTCGAAGTTGTGCGCGGCCTCGGTGCTATCTGGTCTTTCGAAACTCAGTCCGAGGCTTTCAAATGTAAAAGGACTGAAATAAGACGGCAGCGCGAGAATCACCTCAGGCAAAGGACTCTTCACGCACTCTGTCTGACTTCTCGACGCTTGAGATGCCTTTCGATTCCGACTCTATACGCATCATCGGCTACCTCCGCCACCCGGGCTGGCCTCACAAATCTTCAGTTACTGCACAGAACCCTCAGTGACCCGAACAGCGCATTGGACCAGACACGACGCTTAGCTGAGTATGTCCGTTCTGTCGAAAACCGTCTTGCAGATTTTCAAGGCAACAGTCTCCAGGACGACGAAGCGTTCCAGCAAGGGCCATCTACGACATATTTTCAACTGCTTGCCGACCTGGTCTCATGTGCGCCTAATATTGAGCATCTCTGTATCGTCAGCTTAGAGTACGAGGAGGTGTCGTTCTGGAGTCACGTCTTGACTAAATCTCTTTGTTTTCCTTATCGATCTTCTACGCAGCTGGTGCGCCTCTCTGCTCAGATACATGCTCCAGCTTGGTCTTCTTCTCGCGAGGTCTCAGTGTTGGAGCGCATGTTACGGCACGCTCAGTCACTTCCCAAGCTTGAAGAGCTCCGAATCTCAGGTGCTACCACCGGAAGCTCTGTATCATTGGCTTTTAAGACAGACGAAATTGGGAATCTTCGTCGACTAGATCTTCTAGATTGTAGTCTTGAGATCGATGAGGTAGGCGAATTGGTATTTGGCTGCAAGCATTTACGACATTTGATCTGTAAGTGGGCATTCGTCCGTGTAAGACGCCTGACGCTACGCGTACTCCACATGGCGTTGCTGGCTCGTGCGGAAACGCTGGAGACGTTGACCTTGGACTGGCAAGAGATCAGGTGCAACACTACCACGCTACCTGGTCGTACAACGCTTGAATCTATTCGGTCTATGAAGAGCCTCAGAGCCTTGGACATTTGCGAACTCGGGTTTTTGAATGATGACCACTCACTCCTGGACTTACCCGGTCAGATCGCTGAAAATGCCCTATCCGAGCTGTTACCTGAGAGTCTTGAGCAGATGACACTCATTCTCAAGGGTAAGAACGGCGATTACGATGATCACATCCTTGAGAACGCTTCATGTCTGTGGCAGCTCAGTGACGACTGCAGGACTTCGATGTCACAACTGAAAACGATTTGTATAAAAGCAGGAAATAACATGTGTACACCAAGTCTTGCAGATGCGTTTGCAAGTGTTGGCGTGGAGCTACATACTGAGATAGTCATTTGACATCACCAAGGTCATGAAGTGCACAACTCTCACCTACAACATCACACGGCGGCTCTCAGCACCAACATAAGTGCCACGGAGACGACGACCTTTACTTCAAGCGTTTGTAGCACCATATACTAGCTCCCGCTTCGTGACCGCCCACGATATAAAGTCTGCCACGCTTCATCAGAAGTCTGCTTCCTCTTTCTGTACCCCAAACACCACTACTGCACTCAGCCTCGTAGTCTTTCGCAAGGTATTTAGCTCTTCTTCCTCAATTATGTTCCATAACCTTCAAAGCCTCTGCGACTTGTTCAAATTTTACTTACACACAAATCACAGACAACCGAGTGTCCGCCCGTCAGCCATGGCTTCGATTTCTACCGAGAAGGAGTCTGCTGCTGGACTTCTCGTAGTCGATAACAGCTTGCCTCAAATGCCATCCGTCGAGACACTCTTGCCCAAGAACGCGACCGAAACGCCGTCTGATACACTAGTTGTCAAAGTCGTTCCTCCCGAATCTGCCAACGCTCTAGGCACTGCTTCAGGTATGCCTGAGAAGCTATTGACTGAGCAGACCCAACCTTCGGCAGTCATTGTAGAGGGCGAAGATAGCCTTGAATTTAGGGATATTGAAGAGCATCGTACGCCAACTTCACCAGCAGCCGGCGGTCAGTCAAGCCTTACAGAAATCCAAGCCAAGAAAGTTAGCATCACGATGCAGACGGACCTTGCCAGCACCGCTGTCACGCATACACTCACAGAGAGGATCGAGAGTGAGGCCAAGAACGCTGGCGACTCTCCTGTTTGCCAACCTACGAACAACAATCTTGGTGATGTTCAACCTGATGAGCCGACTTCTGGCGAAGACCTACCTATTGTGTATCACATGGTTCCTGTCACATCTGAGGTGGATAACAGCAAAGAGAAAAGCGACCAGCTCGGCATAACCAGCGATGTGCAGCCGAACAGCAAGACAGTTCAGGATGAGGCCGGTGGCAACACGGAAGACGAGTTGTGTGATGATGGTCAGAATCCGGTGACAAAGACATTGAGACAGACCAGTGCTGCTTCAGGACAGCCTCGAAGTGTACCTCCACATCTGCGACTGGCGCCTAGGCCTACAAACGCGCAATCCGCTGCTTTTTTCGAAGCGAAAGTAGGTCAAAATACCTTTTCAGACATACAAAACACTAATGGAATGCCAGCGTCACTGGCCCGCTCCTGAGTACCGCGCACCTCGCGTCTCTGTTCCAGCTTCTGGTTACCAGCCTCCTCGGTACCCGTTTGACCTGGATGAACTCCAACGTACAAGAGCCCAACTGATGAAAGCACGCAACGATCTGGAAGCCGAGCGAAAGATCAATGCAGAGATGCGACAGACAGTCGGGGCAGAGAAGCAATCAAGCATCAGCGCCGCTATGTCAGAAATGTTGACCGAGCTTCTCCAAAAGCAGGCAGACGCCCTCGCAGCGAAAGCGAAGGCCTGCGAGAAGGAAAGAGAGTTGCAGTATCGCGAAGAGAAGATCAGGCAGTTTGAGGTCTACCTGTCTGATGGACAGAGGCAGCTGAAGTACCAGCTGGAACAACAGGGCATTCGAGCGATGAGTGCCGTCGATGAGGCAAACTTGCGTCACGAGATCAACCTCAAAACCAAGCACCAGTTCTCCAGTATCGAAGGCAAGATCGCGATTCAAGTCGAGCGCCTTCGCCATCAAGAGGCTGCCCAGAAGATTCGCGAGCAGCAGTATAGGGTTCTAGTGCGTGACGCTCTTAAGACCGAGATCCTTGAACAGCTTGCTCAAGATGTGCAGACCAACGTCGCCGAGGCCAAGATCACAAAAGTAGCTTACGAACGTGGTCTCACTGAGGGAAAGAGGATTGCAGTTACTGGAGCATCCGAGACAGCACTCAAGCAAGAGTTCTTGAAAGGGTATACTGCATGTTATCGCTCCCAGGTGGCTCTGCACAACATGCTTCATGGTCGCCTTGCTGCTGACAGCATGGAACTTGCGTTCTTGCACGATCCTACACACACTGAGAATCCACACAACATCGGCCTCAGCATTGGTCGTATGGAGGCAGGAGCAGCTGCGAGCGTGGTGTCGAACGTAACGATCAGTCGCACGTCAATGGCAGATGCCGCTACAGCAACTCTGCGTGGGCGCGGCCAAGCTCACTTGCACGATGCAGATCTCCACACTCCAGATGTTGCAGATCGTCCAGAGCAAGCACGCCTAGCGCAGCAGATACGCCCCCAGCCACAGCAAGAGGAGCCGATTCGCAAGTAAGTACGCGAACATACATCGTGAAGACATCTCTAACACCCACCAGCTCCGTCCCTCCACGTCCCACCTTTGCCGGCGAATTGCGCGGTGCAGCGAACAGGTCCAGCCCACCATCCACCGCAAATGCACCTGGAACGACAGCTGCGTCTAGTGGTCCTAGAGCAGGCCTCGCAGGCCGTGTGGGTGAGGACATCCGCTATGAGGACTCTGACATCGAGCCAGCGTCTCCGAACCTGATCGACCTGTACTAGTTCGAGACGATGGAGTTTTGCAGTGCTGCGTTGGACAGAATGTGGAAATGGCATTCATGATGAAATGGCAGAGTCGCGATGCAGGTGATGACGGCCTTGCGCCGTGGGATCTTATATGACGGCACGTTCGAACTCCAGTGCACGACGATATATAAATTACCTATTACAGAACATCAAGTCAACTGACGCTAACCCAGTACTGTGCCGATCTCGCGACTCATGTGAAGCCTCCGGCTGCGGCTGCGGCTGCCCCAACATCCCCTTGCGGCAATTACCTCGGCGCAGTCACATCGCGTCCATCACCGTCCCATGCCACACCACATTGCACTGCACCACACCACACCCCGATCCCCACAACCTATTGTATCACCACACTCGCACACTCTCGTCTCCCACAAGACCACGCACGCGAACCGCCTCTGAGACCCACGCGCCCATGCTGCAATCCACCCGCGCCTGGCTGCGGCGCAACCGCACGCCGCTCGCCCTCGGCGCCGGGCTCCTCAGCACTGCCTACCTCACCGGCACCTACGCGCTCAGCAAGTTCCACGATGCGCGTGCCGCGGCGGGCGAGGCGCGCGTCGCCAAGGAAAATTTGCGGCGGCGCTTTGAGCAGAACCAGGAGGATTGCGCGTTCACTGTGCTGGCCATCCTACCGACAGCAACAGAAGGGATTGTGGAGGCGCTCCCTGTGGAGCGGGTGGTAGGGGAGCTGCAGGGGCTGAGGGCGAGGAGGCTTGGGAGAAGTGCAGCGAATAGCGAGGGAGCGAGCGAGGCAATGAGTGTGGGGGGCACAGAGACGGAGGATGGGAGCGCGAGTGTGGCGGCTGATGGCGAGGGCTATGTGCATGCGAGTAGGGTGGGGCTGGAGAGCGAGACAGGCGAGACAGGCGGGCAGGAGGCCGGCCGCGCGAGCAAGAAGAGCAAGGCGCAGCTGTGGGACGAGATGAAGATAAGCTGTGCGTGGCGCGCGTTGTTTGCGACCTGCGGTTGAGTACTGACGTCTCGCAGCCATCACCCGCGCCTTCACGCTGCTGTACACCATCGCCCTCCTCACGCTGCTGACGCGCATCCAACTTAACCTGCTCGGCCGCCGCAACTACCTTGCCTCAGTCGTATCGCTTGCGGCGCCGCCCGCCGAATCATCCTCACGCATCACCCTCGAGAACAACGACGACGACAACGAAGACTTTGACCACGCCTACGGCAACGACTTCGAGACAAACAGGCGCTACCTCAGTCTGAGCTGGTGGCTGTTGCACCGCGGCTGCCTCGAGCTGCTGGAGACAGTGCGCACCGCCGTAACAGACGTGTTTGCGCACCTCAATCCCCGCGACGAAATCTCGCTCGAGACCCTCTCAGAACTCACCCTTGAAGTGCGCCGGCGCATCGAAGGCGCCACAGAGGAAGACCGCCGGTATGTCCTCTTCCCGAGTAATATCGCACCTACTAACAGTCTCAGCACCCGCAAATGGCTACCCTATCTCCTCCCTCCACCCGAGCAGGAATCCTTTGTCCTCGCCGCCTCCGGCATGCCCCCGTCCCCCACAACACCCGCCTCAACCTCCCTCCGCCGCCTGATCGATGAAACAAGCGACCTGGCCGACTCTCCCGCCTTCACACGCGTTCTGACACGCCTCCTCGACAGCGCCTTCTCCCACCTCATCGACACCAAGATCAGCGCCGGCGCGTACAAGATCCCGCCTGTCAGCGGGGACACGGGCCGCGTCGTGGAGATTGTGGGCGGCGGCGATGGGGTCATGGCGAAGGTGGCGAGTAGTCTGGCCGTGTTCTGCAGGCAGGCGCATGCGATTGGCGCGGGCGTGGGCAATGAGTATCTGGAGAAGATGGAGCAGGTGGGCGAGTTGGAGGCGTTTGCGGCAGTGGTGTATAGTAGTAATTTTGAGTTTGAGAGTGCGGCGGGGGCAGACGCGGTGAGTGGGAAGGAAGGGGAGGAGGGGGTTCAGGAGAAGCTGGAGAAGCTGGAGGAGGGGTTTGAGAGCGCGTGGGATAAGGCGGTTGCGCAGTAGCCGGGATGATCTAGAAGGAGGTTGGAGGATCTGGATGAGGGATGATACCCGATGAACTACACGTCACGCGCTCGCGAGTCTTGTTCCAAAGTTCTAGTGAGCTACATATGCGCCGTCTAGTTCAGTCAGTCTGTTTGTTCAGAAATCTCTCGCACAGCGAATGACAGCCACCACTACACTCATTCTTGAGGCCATTGGATGACCACGAATCTCCTGTTGCCAAGTCCACCGTTTGGCAACGTCAGCACAAAATGTATACCAGCTACAAATCCTTGCCGCGCCAATACGTCTCACTAGGAAACACGACCTCCGCGCAATCCGAGCCGATGTTGAATCGGCGCCACACTGGCGCTCACGCGCTTGTCACCGTAGATGTGGATACGTGCGAGATCGATGATGCCGGTGTCAGCGCATCAGCCAAGGGCGAGCCTGATGTATCGGTTCTGCCGATTTCGATCTTGACAGCCTCGACTTCGCCGGCCTCCGCCTTGACAGCCTCTATCTTGACCCTGCAAAAGCTGTCGTCAGCTTCACTCTCTGCGAGCTCGTACAGTGAAAGAGTCAAAAGAGAAGCATGGTTCCTCGGCAGGCCGGCCGCGTTGACACTAGAGAAATACCGTGTTAGACGGGGAGTCTAACAGCTGATAGAGAGCAGTGCGATGCACCAGCATCGGCCGAAGAACCAGAGAACTGTGGGTGGAGCTGGACTGCCTTGCACAGCGATAGGAGAGACTGCGCACATTCCCAGAGATGAACAGAAGAAATGACCTTACCGGGAAAATTAAAAGAGATCCCATCGGTCTTTGTGTGATCCATTGTCGGTGCTTCCCAGGGAGGCTCTGCGGGCTGCAGGCTTGCATTTCAAGTCGCTTATGACAGGCGCTCTGATAAAGTTCCAGCTCTGGCACATGGAAAAGATCAACGATGATGGTTCCTTTGGCGACAAGGTATGTAAGCTCAAAGAGTAAATGACTGGCATGTCACGAACTTGGGGCCTCAAGTATATCCATTATTGTCCGGGAACGGTTGCAGGCCTAAATTCCACTGGCTCAGAAAAGAATCCTCGGACGGCGTATGTACGTTCTGTTCAGGTCCTTCGACATAGATGGAAGGGATCTCGGAGTGATCATTCCTATCCTGGTTTTCATCAAAGCTCGGCGCCGGTCGAAAAGAATCAATGATGTGAGGGACGTCGTGTTGGTAGTCCGGCCAGCATGCTTGGTTTTGTATGGGGAACTCTTCAAACGAATGTGACTGATGTACGTACCCAGACATATCGAATTGAGACCCCTCACTGACTGTATCAGGGCATTGAGGGCTACCGGACCCCGATAGGGGTTGCACGGATGCGTTGCTCGATCGGCGGCTTGCGTATTCTGCCTGATGCTGGTACAAATCAGTCTGCTGTCTTACAGCAGAATCGTAACCGTCTTGACTGGGGGTATCCTGGAGCCTAGGTGCGTTGCTAAGCTTTGTGTCATGTGTATCGCCAATCGAGATTTTCCTGTCGCACAACTTAGCAGAGCGTCTCTTTACAATTCAGGAACCCACCTTTGAAATTGATCTACTATCATATTCGGGTTGCTGAGGTTGCTGTCGACATCCTTCAAATGCGTACACTGCACAGGGTCAGCACCACTGTTTGATGTCGATGTGGCGGCATCCTTACCTTGCCCTTCTGGCGTTTGCATTTGGAACAAGCACCTCTCCTCCTCGTCTCCCTGTAGTCAACACGCTCTTCGACTGTCATTTTTCTCTTGGTCTTCTGTTGCATAGTACGTCCATCGACTGCATTGAAGACAAACTGGCTGCTGTGCGTAGCCGTCGTCGGATCCATAAACATCGATAGAATTGCTGGTGCTTGCGGAGCAGCGCGACGTTGTCTGCTGTTTACTTGAAGGTTCGAAGAGCAGTTGGAGCTTGACGGCGAATGAGACACTGATGGAGTCTCTTGTGGTTGTACATAGCCCTTAGTATCAATCTGCACCTCTGGGCGCTCAGAACTCATGCGCTGCAGATCATACATTGGTGGTATTCTGGCAGTAGGTTGAGCTGCGTTGGTCGATACCATTTCGGAGAGCTCATGCTTGAGAAACTCAATGATCGCCACGTATTTACGTTCGCGTAGATTTTTGCATTGAGGAAAGCAGGTCCTGAGAGCTTCGCCCAACTCATCGGAGCCAACTTCGTGTACGAAAACAACACCGTCCCAAGGTGCAGTCTGATCTGTGGTGTCGCGAACCCGCTTGATGAGATAAGGATACATCTTCAAGGCCGAAGATACTTAAAACGCCAGACAAAAATAGTGAGTGACTCGATTAGTTGGCATAGTGAGGTCGCGCAAGGTATTAATGTCCGTTTTGAGGTCTAGAAACCTAGTCAGTAACGTGGTATCAATTCTGACCATCTGTGCCCGGAGATTCAACATAGGAATCGACGAAAATGAAGCGGCGCTCCTTGTTTGTCCTCGGTCAAGGTTGATGGCTGAAACAAAGAGTCTAAGCCATATGCCTGTACCTTCTCATGCTAATAGTGTCCACAAGAGCTGTGCAGCTATCGAATGAGAGAGCAATGTAATGCTGAGATGCTTACACACAGAGGATAGTCTAAACAGCGCCTCAAATGAGTATTCGATTGTGAAGCTGCACCCGCTAGCGTAGAAGACTTCGATCAGACGCCGCAAAACACAGGGGCCATAGCTTCTTGATATGCGCTGTCTAGACCCAGAGAATGCGGAGGAGTATTGATTGGCATAGGCAGCCGTAAGGTTGAATCGTCAAGGCGTCTTAATCAGAGCACGGCCTGCCACGGCGTCCCGATACGGCTACCGCAAGAGGACGAGTTGTGCACATGCGTGTGAATGGCCGTTTATTCCCGAATTGCCTCAGGCACAGGAGTTCTGTGGTATTCGAATGACGAGCCTTGCGTGTCTGGAGGACTACACTGCGATCCACTTAGGGAATGAGGCGCAGGCGATTGGCGCAGGACTGTCAGCCTGCTTCAATGTTGGGCAGAGCAAACATTTCGGGCAGTCATGCAGATATTTGTGTCGAATTAAATGTAGCAGACCGTTCGTAAGATGAGAACGAAGGAGAATTTCCTGCGACCAGCGCATATCGGTGAGGCATCGAATCGCGATCGAGTCCAAGCCCACGGGAGCGAAGTCAGCGATCACGCGTCAACCGGCCCACGACGCGTTGTAGACCCCAGTCTCGGTTTTTCGCGAGCTTGCGTAAACGACGCCACGTACACGAATTCGAAAGGTAATACTGGAAGGATGATAGTTGCATGAAGAGTCAAAGAACGCTAAAGCAGAACAGGCATAGTGTATTCTGACCAGGAAGTCACGACTTTGGAATGAACATTGTATCAGCGATTCCCTGGATTGAGGAGAATCTTTCGTGACGATCCGCTTATTTGCTAGGTCTGGTGCGTCACGCCCCGGAACAACACGTATAATTCGTGTGTCCTAGTTGGAGGTAATTATCGAATCTAGCAACTGGGGTATCATCCTCTGGCGTCACTCGACCACCTAAAGTCAGTGTATCAAGCTTCCATGATGCTCCAACCCTGACCCCTTCCCCGCCCTCTACCTCGAAGAACAGGCCCATGCCCCCGTTCAACCTTCTTCTGCAGCTGCGGAAATTCCTTACCATTCTCCTGCCCATCAACCTCCTTTCCGTCCTTCCATTTCTTCGCGAAGTCCTGTGCATTGCCTCCTATGGCTTTCATCTCCTCGCTCTCCTCTCCATTCTCGGCAGCTGCGTACTTGCTCACTGTCGCCAGCAATCCTGCCTCATTCTGCTTCATTCTCTCGCCCTGCCAGTTCTCGTATTCCTTCCACCACCACGCGTGTGTCTCGCCGTCCTTGCCTAGGTATCCCGCCGTACCGTTGGGCTTTACTCGTGCAGCCCAGGGCTTGTCGACGATGTAGTGTAGCACGCTGACCTCGTTGTCAACCCAGATATTTGGGTGCCAGTATCGCCATGTTTTCAACGCATTAGTCTTCCAGCTTAGACTTCTCCAGCGACTATTGAATACTTCGTTGAGGAAGTCTTGGTCTGGGAACTTCATTGCGCGGAGACGCGCATTGCCTAGTTCATTGTACTTAGCGAGCACGAATTCTGAAAGGGCTTTCGACGGGCGGTAGACGAAAGTGCCTGAGTTGAACTGGCCAAATGACTCCGGCTCGTTCTTGACTTCGGGAATCTCAGACGAGTCCTTCAAGTGGGTAAGGGCGCAGTTCTCAGGAACCCATGACTTTGGTGCCCAGCTGTCGTGGTCCAGATTACAGACGCACACATGTGTGGCCATAATACGCATCGCATCTCCTCCCTCCAGGTATGCGTCGTTCTCCTTACTAAATATAAGTGGTGACGGGTTCGAGAAGATCATCATGTCTGCGTCGAGCCAGCATATGCGCTCGAAACCAAGGTCATACAGGTCAAAGACGCGCAGTTTCGTCCAGGTATCGATAAAGCGCTCTGCAACCATACCGTGCTTCGTGCCATCTTCTGGAAGCCGAAGGTGCTCAACGGGGCGGGTGATGATATTGGTGTGCTTGGCTTCGGCTTTGAAGGCAGCAATCGAAGCTTCGCCCACAGTGTCGGCCGTGTATGTGATGATCAAGGGGGTCTCCGGGGAGTACTTGTGCAATGTATATGCAAGGAGTATGGCGCCAGCTAGGTAAGAAGGGCGGGTCAGTAGAGTAACGTAGGCGCTTTTGCCTGCTTTGGAGTTTGTATCGTCGGCCATGATGGATGTGAAGGTCAAGTGGTCCGCTTGTGTCTTCCGCAAACTCAAGGGCAAGACAGAATCGTAAATGTGGCGCTTGTAGTCGTACCTGCGCGTTGAGACGCGCCCCCACCTGACGTCACGACTCGCCTGATCACGTTCTTTCGTTCGGAAGCGTTCCAGGGTTCGTACGAAGAATGCAACCAGTCGTCACTGGCCAAAAGCAGATAGTCGATCAATGCTTTATCTGCTGCACAACACATCCTGCACGATTCCCAAAACGTGAGGTCCAGAAGCTCTCACATCTTAAGAGGGCACTGGTATTCTACTCGCATCGGTGTTCCTGAGGCTCGCCTTTCCGGCAGCTACTTGTCTCAGAGGGGCATCATATACGTGTACCCAGGCATCGTCGAGACTAAAATTGGTGCAATGAAAGAGTGTGGACGATGGTATCAACACTAGCGCCTGAAGAGGACAAAGCCAGGTTCAGAACAAGTCTCCCAGACTTCTTGATGTGCATGGCGTATATCCTGGGACTAGAATTATGAGTTTTGCAAGTGAACGTGAAGAATACCTCGCGACAAAGCTTAAATGTGAAGCTAAGAACGTCTTCACTTCGATCATTGATTGTACGCGACGCAAAGTCGGTCAACGAGGGGACCTTGAAGTTCTCGTTGGTGACCAACCAGCCCAGAAAGCATGGCGAAGGCAGACATGCGTGCCATGCCTTTGCTTCCTATATTGCATTTGCGTTAACAGTGACGGTCGTAACATCTGTTGTTGAGCAGCAGTCACCGATGCGCTCTTACAATGCAAGAGTCGCCGATCTTCGGAAACACAATGTTGAATAGTGGATGGAAATGTAGAGTTGATTTTCGACTTGTACGAGCAGAGCATCGAACCGTACCTGATGCAACGACTCGTCTTACAACTACAGCCCAGGATCACTGAAATCAAAATGAACATCCAATCAGGTTGCCGATGGAACCTTGATCTTGACGCACAGGGATATCTTCTTGTACACGCCAGAACCGCCTTTACGTTCGCTAATGATATTCATATGTCGTATAACTTCGTTTGAATACTGTTTCCAAGCCACGGTAGCCGCATGCCGTATGGGGTCAATTTGCCGTTTCGTGATATTTTGTTTCTTTGGAATGAATCGAATTATCATCTCGGCCGTTGTATCCACCTCTTCCTTGCCTGGTCATGCGGCTATCAGAAATACGGTGTGGACAAGAAACGCTTAGAGAGCGTGGGACTTGCCAGCCGAGTCAGCCTTAGCGCGGAGATCGGCAGCAGTGGATCCAGACTCAGAGAAGTAGCGTGAGAAGACTGGCTGGAGGAAGGAGCGGAAAATGATCTGAGCACCACTTGCGAAAGGTCAGCTCAGAAGAACACAAGCTACAGCTGTGTTCACTTACGATGTCTGGGGCAGAGCCATCCACAGAATGAGGACGAACTTGAATGTGTAGTAGAACGGGAACCAGTACACCGCGCTGACAGCGCTTTCAAATACCGTCAGGAACGCGAAGACGACCCAGTAGGTCAACCACTAAGAACACGTTAGCATATTCCGAGCAGGTATTGTGCGCGGATGCGCAAGCTAGCTAACGTACCTGGGTGTCATCGACCTTGCTGGCGCTGAACAGGGCGTTCAACGAGTAGTAGCCGGGAATGATGAATCCAGCAATGTTGACGAGAAACTCGCCGGCAATGTTGAAGAAGATCAGGAAAAAGTAGAGGCCGGCAAGTCCGAGGATGGCGTAGACCTTGGGGACAGAGGTCTGCTTCTCGAAGTTGTTGAGGGCGGGGTACTTGGAAAGCTGGAACACACAATCTGTCAGCCACTGTTGCTCAAAATTGGGTGCGCAGTCATATGAATGTTGCGACGGCCATCTCAGGGCGCATGCATAGAAATGCCTCTGTCTGGTTTTGAATTCTTACCTCTTTGTCGAGCTGCGAGAGGTGCGCCTGGGCTCTATCCTGGACAGACATAGTGAATACTGAATTGGGTGGTGGTTGGTGTTTCGGGGATTGTTGATGTGATGAGTTATGTGCTTGTGTGAGTGGAACGGAGGATGCTGGCGATGTGGCCTTTCGAAGGAACGAGGAAGAAGAGTGGGGTTGTTGTGGTAGAAGCGGGCGTGCGTCATCCTAGCTATTTACGTCAGTCGTGACTGCTTTTTGGCTTGTGAAAGTCAATCGCACATTATCGGGTGCCTGCAGCAAACAGGAGAAATGCAGATGCAAGATCTGTTTGCTATTGGCACTGTACCATTACTATCTATTCAAGCTCTTGCGTTTGTACGAAAAGTGAGTCCCAAAGGTGACGAGCTGAGATGCACGTGATCCAAATTGTACCTTCTACGGGTACCTCAAAGCACGAGCGGCCGCGTGCACAGCTGCAAATGCACCAAATCTTGAGCTTCTTCGGATGCACCAGCGTTGCAAGCTCATGTTGCATTCGTTCGTGGCCAGCTTGACGCGGTCTAGACGATGCGTTTTCAGTCGCGTGGATAGAGCTCTGCTGTGCGCACATCACAACAAGCTTGCTCTTCAAGCCTCAATGCAAACACGAGTACTGCCACCACAGTCTCTGCACTGCCACCATAGTCTCAATATGCTGCTGGAAGATGCGTTCGCAATGCAGTTGGAAGAGAATAGTGTATGACAGGGACACGCCTGGGATAGTTTCTGACGTCGTGGTCGAAAGCGGCTTGAGCTAGGCGCATGGACCCGCAGCAGCAATGTTGCGCAGTAAACACGGCCAGCCTTCTTCCACAACAACGCTCGACACTGAGGCTCGACCTCCCACCAACGACGCTGTCTTGGTCCTGGATATCTTTCTCCTAATATACTATATTTTCCATCCTGTCGCACTCCGGACTAAAGTACGTGCCGCCGCCGCTTACCGTATCGACGGTTGCAGCAACAGATCCAGACACTAATCTGGACTCGAGATCCCTCAACAAACGCTACAGAGATATCGTTGCTCCTGCATAGCTTATACCAGCTTCTCGAATTTGCATAGGTGCCTCTAGGCTGGTCTTGCTGCGCAGTCAATCGCGTTGCCATTCGTTTGTTTGGGTGTAAACATTGACCATCATCTGCCACCCCGGCTCGTTTCTGATGGCCACCGACATCCGCCGATCACGATCGAACACGTCCATGTCGACAAGAAGCAATCGGCCACTGTCGCGCGCGTCGACGACGAGTGTGCACTCGTTCGATCAGCACGACATCCAGCCCCAGTTTTCCCAGTCACAGCCGCCGCGGCCTGCACATTTCTCGCAACCGCAATACAACACAAGTTTCACCGGCGAACCATTACAGCCTGCATTGCTACAAGCCGCGCAGCATGTGAGTGCGCAGGATAATCTGATGAACACCTCTATGGAGAGCCTGCAGCAGTTCCTCGGCTACCCTGTTGATGCCAGCCAAAATCCAAACCTTCCGAATCATGCAAATGGCATGCCTTCGCAACCCATGGATGCACACGTATATCATCCATCCATGTCACAGCCCCCGCCACAGTCACAGCAGTACATGGCATCGCTCGTCGAAGTGGAGGACAAGAAGAAGAAGGGCTCCACGTCAGGAAGCGCGACAAATGACAAAGAGCTGCGACAAATGCTACAACAAAATGAGGGACGCAAACTGAAAGACGTGGCAGCCGAGGTTATCCAGACCGACAGGACGTCTAAAGCAGAGAAATCAAAACAATTGTTTGCTATGCTCTGGTGGGTATATTACATCCGTCTCATGGCAGCTTCCTGACATCCCATAGGCTCAAGTCTGTTTGCCGTCTTGCAAAGACATCTGTACCACGAAACAGAGTTTACTCAAAGTACGCAGAGCGCTGTGGTACTGACCGCGTAATTCCACTGAACCCAGCATCCTTTGGCAAGCTCGTTCGTGTCATCTTTCCGGGCATCCAGACTAGACGCCTCGGTGTTCGCGGCGAATCCAAGTACCACTATGTTGACCTCGCACTCATCAACGATAGCGACGATGGAGAAGATAGCCGCCGGCCGAGCATTGGTCCTACCACCTATCACACCATGAAGAGACAGCAGTCGTCCGGCCCGAAGCTCGACTTCAGCTCGATACCGAGGCTGCCTGCTGACAGTGCACAATTCCCACCGCCGGACACTGGCATCGAATCTACTACGACACAATACGCTCCCGCTGGATCCAAGGGGCTCCTCTTCACTGACATCTACTCCCATCAGTATCGCCCGCCCATCGCTCGCACCAAGACCTCGTACGAGTACGAGTTAAAGTTCCCAACTGCCCAAGTACTCACAGCCTCGGATGTGCTAGAGATCGAGTTACCCGACATCACACCGTACCTGCCTGCCCGCACCGATCCTGATTCGGCGGACAATCTCACGGCCATGTACCGGTCGCATGTCACTTCTCTTGTTGACTCGGTCCGGTACTGTAAAGAGAAACAGTTTTTTCGGTTGTTCGGCACTTTCCATGGCACTTTGACTGTCCCCGTACAAAAGCTGTTCGCAGCACCAGAGCTTGCACCATGGATCAAGGAGTGCGATTGGATGATGTACCAGAAGATGATCCGCAATGTTTCGCAGCTCACGCTCCAGGTCGCTCCTCCGATAGTTCTCAGGTTCCTCGACAACGTTGCAAAGACTCTCCACGCGCACATCAGCAAGGTTTTCCAGCCATTGCCTGTGCACGTTCTTGAAGCCAAGCTTGAGCCAGCGACTAACTTCGCACATCTGTTGCGGCAGATGCTGCGTGTCAATTCAACTGCACATGCAGCCGCCGTTATGCTCACAGCTGAGAATCATCGCACCCAGATGTTTGCAGACTGGTTGTCACACGTCAACATCAAGCGTATAATCGCAAATGAGTTACCTGGCTCATGTAGCCACGAAGAGGTGTACAGCATACTGATGACAGAGATCCGTCCCATGTTGGGCCCCCTCCCACAGGACATCCAGTTACCCACTGGAACTGTCTATCACGCGGCGTATCCCGACCCCCCCGCCGACCCTACAGAATCTGTCATCGATCGTATCGCAGCCTTCCTGACACGTTTACCGTTCCGCTTCCCGAATGTGCACGCTCGCACTGTCCTGCACTGTATTAATGCAGTTGGCTCTGCTGTTGTACGCGAAATTACAGTTGAGAATGGTGTCAGCTTCCAAGCTTGGTGGTTGACCAAGGTCTTCGTTGATGAAATGGCCCAGTGGCTTGCTTCCTTAGGTGGATTCCTGGATCACAGTCCACCCAACTGGAACTCGCCATCCTACTCGCCAGTACTTGAGGGGTCTGTCAACGCAGGCATGACCAACGGTGGGAGCGGAAGCAACAATGAGAGCCGGTACAGCAGTCTTGATGCTGATTTTGGACCCGATCAATCGTTCATGTCAACCACCTCCACGGCGATGCAGGACAACGCCAACACTAGCAACGAAGGTATGCATTCCAAAGTCGCCCTTTGATCGGCTAGGTAATTAACTAACACAAGATAATCAGTCCATGCTCGACGACCTACTCAACAACAATACGATCCCATGAGCTTCAGCTTCGACTACGACATTCATGCCTCACAGCAGGAGAGTCATCACGATGACAGCGGTATTGGTCTCCTCGACGATGGTCTGGAAACCAAGTTCCCATCTCACTTACCGCAAGGCCTTAAATCGCACTACTCGCAGCCGCCAACCACGCAACTGCCCGCTGGCGTAAGCTAGTTTCTTCTCGCAAAACTGTTGTCAAACTTCCACACGTCAGAACCCTCGAAAACTCTTTCTTGAGATACCACTGCATGCTGCTTTTACGCGCTATGACGTCTCCGAACTTATGATACCACCAAAATTTTGTTGGTTTGTCTGGGAATTTGTTTTTCATCTACCTAATCTTGTATATGCGCTCTGGTCGCACGGCGTTGTTGAGGCTTCTTGTTATTCTGATTGCATCGTTCAGGCGCCGCTGGCCCGCCACGTTATGTTATCACGTTCGGTATGGTGCTTCTTTCTTGATCCGTTGTCTTGTTAGACTATTTAACGTGTTCGCTTCTTGTTTATACGTTCGAGGCCGCATTGACAGCAGTGCGCAGTCCATTTTCTACTGTCCTGCCTTTCTTGGTATTGTAGGGCCGGGCTGCCCTTCCTAGGAATCGGATCTTTAGACTTTAACGCTACACGAAACAAATCGTTACAACCTTGACCCATGTATCTGCAGTGATCTGACGGTATTTGGGAACCAATGTTGCGTTGCCTTCCGATTTTCATGAGACTCTGATCATCAATCTTCAAAAATTTGTGGTGTTTGATCTTTCGAAGACTTTGGACGCTTCTCATCACCATGAGAAGTACATGACCACTCCAGAAACAGACGCTAGGATTCGTTCTTTCTGTATTTGAGGACATCGGTACTAATCAAGACTATAGTTGCCTCATTATGTCTTCCAAAAGTAGTACAGAACGCATGAGAATCTTTCGTCAACCTGGCCAATCGCCAAAACATCTTCCACTGTCTTCTAACACCGAATACCTCATCTTCGCAGTCTTCTTGCTTGTCTCAAAGCGAACACAATACAGAATTGTATCTTGGGGGGTTTGAGGTCAATCAAGCGTACGGCTCAAGAAATGCATGTCGATCTGCACCACATTGATGTGAACTTTTTGATCCTATCGAGAAGCCGCTCACCGAGCTTGCCAAAATTTCTCTCGCCAGCCGTGTTGAAGAGCCGCTGTAGCCAATTGCACTTTTTCAATTCGTCGACCTGCCTGCGGAATTACGTTTGCTCATTTGCGAACATACTCCAACGAAGACAACATATAGAACAATCAGAGGAGATACATTGGGTACTGCGGGGCCTCAAGTATGCACAAGCCACCGACCTGCCGCTGCAGATGGAGTCACCGCACCGGGAGATCTGCGAGGCAATGGATATTGAGGGTGACAAGTCGAGAATGTGAAGGTTCAGATGTGGTCACGTCTAGCTAATTACTACTCCAACACGAGCATCGAGATTGGCCTTTGGGTGGCGCCTGGTACTCCGGTCGACTCACTCTTTTCTAAAGCTCGAGCGTACGCAGGGAATATCACTGATCCCCAGTGGCTCGATTGGTCTTCAACTTTCACAGTGGTGTTCGACTGGTCGGGAGGTACGGGCCTCGATGACGCGCGCGATCCGGAAGATGTGTTCGGTAACTTTGAGCACCACATGATGGTGGTAAAGCGTTCGAGAACATCAGTGCTTAGGGACCAGTGTGGAGTGGTGAGCTTTGGAGATGCGTTCCAACGCGCGAAGAAACGTCAGCCATGGAATCGAGAGGGGAAGAACATTTGAGACTTTCGCAACCGTCAGCGGACAAGAATTTCTGCAGTACATTAACATAGTACATTGAAGGGCACACAAAGAAGCGCATACTGACCATGATTTCTCACCGAGGAATACGGATTGTTTAGCTGTACCCTAAAACCCCATGCCCTGCATTCTGCGCTCGTCTGCAGTGCTACTACAACCTTTCCCACTCTTCATCCCACCTATCCTTCGCCGGCCCAATCAGCCTTGGAGCTCTAAGCACCTTAACGCCCCCGCTTGTCCCATACACCAGACTGCGCATGTCCATAGCATCATCAAGATCTCTCGACACGTAGCTTAGAGCATCTTCCCACCTCTTCAGACTATCCGGATTCTCGTAGTACTGGGGGCCTGCCATGCCAACCTTGATCGTCAATTTACCCTGCTTCTCCATCGCGCGCCAGTAGAAGATCTCCATGAACTGCTCGAACATGTGCAGGTTTCTATCGATGAGCGAGATCTCAATCGGGAGGGCTTGGTCGGAGCATAGGTTCTGCTGGACCTGGTCGATGATGTGGGTGAGTGCGAGATAATGGCGGTGCTTTGTATCTTGAATTTTTACCATTGCAGCGTCGAGTAGCCAGTCTTGGATGTTCTCATTGCCATCGTGTTCCCCGGCACTGCCTTGGCTGTCGCCCGAAGTTGTAGCGCAACTCAAGATGATGTCGAGCAGGCCGTCTTGCTGTGAAAACACGTCCAGGAAGTCGGCGCCGCACAAAATCTTCAACGTTTTCAGCTGTGGTGTGTTCCGCCTTTTGGTGATGATGGGGAGAGCCTCGTCGTGGATCATCCGACACGTGGCAAGTATGGATGCATGAGGCATCTGCACAACGAGAATGACGGGTTTATCGGAGTCCACATCACGGTGCACAGCGTTCTGGTCTCTGTGGAGTGGCTGCTTCTTGACAAAGAACGACCAATCGCGTCTTGATAAGGTCAAGTGATCATTTGTGCAAGGGATGCAGTCGTAAATCATCAGCCGGAGCTCTTTTGGAAGGTCCAGAAATCGGAATGTGTCCATGTTCTGATTCATGTGGATGGTTTCTGAGGGATCGAGTCAGAATTCGAATTATTTGCTGGAAAAGAGGGGGTATTTATCATATGCATATTGTCGTGCACGTGGTCAGGTGATGGCTCTCGTTAGCGCCAATGACCCGGATTTGGAAGCAGGCAACCACTGACTAAGCACTGTCCAATTCCACGCCCGTGTTTATCGCGTTCCTTCGACGCATCTAACATGCATCATCAATGGAGCTATCGTACTCGATATGCGATAGATAAGCGCGTATGAACGACCATATGTTGTCTCAACATCTGCCGGAATGAACGCTCCTGGTGCAGGGTCTCAGTACACAATTTAATCGAGCCCTGGGACATGGAGGTGTTGGAGAGCAATCAGGATAGGTCTGGAGGCAATGCCTACTTGTAAGAGTTTCTTGGCAGTTCCAGGCTGGTCCTTCATTGCCAGCGTATTTTCCCTGCGTCTGATTCCCGTTTCGTGGGGCAAAGTTACCTGATTGTTCCACCAGCACCAAGCACTCCAATGCCGGTAGCTATATAGTCCTCCGGATATGCCGGCCATTGCGGTACATTCAGAGAATATTTTGAATGACGCGCAGCAGATGCTAACCTGGACTCATGTCATCGAAACCTTCTTTGAACTGTTTGGCACTATTTATCGCGTAGCAAACTCTAAAAGCTGAAAAGGTTTGGAGCAGTGCTCGAGCGCACGAAACTTGCCGATCCGAACAGACAGGTAAAAAACCGGTTGGTGTGAAACTTGCATAGCAAGCGTTGGGGAAACTTTAGATGAAATCCTCTTCACTGACACTTGATGCAATCATGAGAGCTAACAATCTATCAGTCACGTCCATCATTGTGTGCACAGACACTAGGCTCCTTGCTCATGCATTTCCGAAAGTGCATCTCATTTACTTACTTCAAATGCTGACCGTTTAACTACAAGACAATCCACGCGATTCGATCCAGGCCTCTCCAACTCATGGGTTTTAAAATGTTACAAAAGAGCAGGATCATGGGAAGTGCAAGACACTGCAGGCATGTATAGCTGCTACATTCTAGCGAAGAGTCGTGTCATCGGTATGCATGTTGCAAGCATGGAATTAAGTGCTTCCTTCGTGACCTTCGTCGTCGATGGTCTTGCTTGGACTCATGTGGACATTAAGACTACTCATACACGCAGGCCGACGGCCTGAGTCGTTTTTGCGTTCGTCCCAACAACATACGTATGAGCAATGTTCCAAATGTTGATCCCAACATCATTAGAAGCCTCGCAACTGCCAACTGCCTTACTATCGCGTCATTACGCACTTGCTACAACAAATGAGAGGTACCTACCAGACTCGCCTGCGATTAGCAATCACTATCGAAATGTCCCTGGCACATTCTGATGTACCGCCCCACCATACCAGTCGAGGCTCTGGACTTGCACGTGTCTCTCGGTCCAACGGATATATCTCAGATCGATTTGAGCATCGAGAAACTTCGACACACTCTCACTTTTGGCGGCATGGCGCAATTTTCGACAAGCGAAATCATTTAGCATGATGTCGAGACGTTTCCAAAGGAAACAGCGAAGCGGAGGATATTGCAAGCAGGTTAGAAGACGCTTATCGACTGTACTTAAAGGCGACACCAACGATATAGATTTACGGTTGAGGCTAATGGTCTCACGAAGCCTCCTACATCTGACTAGCGGACATGTACACATTTCCCACAAGGTATGGGCACACAATATTGATGGGAAAGTATGACGATCATATAGCTACGACGCGGGAATGAGGGGGTGATCGGATTAGTGAAAGAGACACAAGATCGCTCGTCCGGTCATTGAGAGTGAAATATCAAATTCAGACAGGGCATACTTCAGCCGAATACAGACGTTCGACATCACACAAGTATGATCAGCACCCAGCAGCAACGCGGTGAAGACCAGACCTGTACTTCATCAGTCAAGAAGGTTTCAGTCGTAAGATAATGCATCTCGAGAGGTCACTGCAGAGTAATCAAGTAAGGCTGACGAGTGTATCATATTCAAGTTCTCTTCATTAATATGTATACTGATGTAATTAATGTAGCTTTTCCAGTCTTTTGTCATAACACAACATACAGCCGGCGACTTCACCTCTCCTGTTGTGCGATCTTGTCCCCTTCATGCATGGCGCCCCGGCTCCCTCCTTCCCCTCTTTCCCCTCGCTTCTCTTCTACCCATTGAAACAGCGACCTAGTGATGCATCACGACAAAATAGTCTCACCGAAGAAGAACACAACGTAGCGAGCAGGTCGTCGTCTCCCTTCATCCGGCGCTTCCGATCGGAGTCTCACATCCAGCCATCACTGGAACCACGGATATGAAGGGGCATACGCCCCGCGTCCTATGGCTTTGGAATTGGAGTAGCACGGCATCGAGACATGTACGACGAACTTGACGCAGTTTTTACACTGTTGTGTATGGTGGCAGTCGGCGACGTAACAAGAGGTGGAGTACGAGCAATCGGACGACACGGCTTTGGCGCCGTCAGATCGGGCACGCTCGAACTTCGAGAAGAGCGTGCAGGCCTTCATGCCAGCTGCGCTCGTCTCATCTAGATGCAGGTCAGCATGTACGCGGAAATTACGAGCCCGAGGTGATGGTGAGAGTGGGCTTACGACTGTATGGCGTTCCGAAGCTGGGTGTGGCAATTCCGGAGGGGTGGTTAGTGGTAGGACAGAGGCTTTATACGAGACTGTGCTACTCGATGCAATCTTCCAATCTGCGATCGGGATGTCAGTGCTGGGCGATTATCGAGAGGCGTTCATAATTGAACAAGCCGCGACAGAATGAGGTGCGTACCGGTGAGGTGGATGTGTGGTCGCACGACTGATGCATCTTGCATCAGATTGATCTATCGCCGAAGATGGCGAAAAGAAAGTGGATATCGTGCCACAACGACGATTTCGGGCGCTTCGAAGCGCACGTTCATCCATGTGGCTGTAGCCACCGGCCAGGTATGTGAATGAGTGCCTGCATGCGTGTACGCGCTGCAGTTGCGCTGAGATCAAGGAAAGACTTGGGCATATAGATCGAGACACAAGGCGTAAGTGTGTGACTATGTGGCTCGTGAGACAAAGTATTGCCCTTGGAATTGCCAATATCTAAAGCTCCACTTATCGATTGCTGTGCGTGTCGTTTGCAGTAAAAGAATGTGCGATAAAAAAAAGCTCTTGGTACCGTGACTAAGCCAATGTCCCTCCACGTCGCCGTCAATTCGGGCCCTTTGAGGCACTCTCCAGATGAAAACTATGTTTACTGAGTCCGGAGCTTTATTCGGCGGAGACGAGCAATTTGAAACCCCCACCCCAATCCTTCAGGGCACTGCCTCTATCATACGTCATGTATCGCATACGGGTTGCGCTACTCAAGTACCCATGTACACTTCAAAGGTCGAGGCTGCTCAAGGCTTCCAATTCGCGAACACGAGCCTCCTGAGCATTGTTGACCGACTCGCCCGCATCCCCTTTGACGTACCCTTGTAAATGTGAATCAAGACGGCCCAACACAGTGGTAAGTTGAACCCGGAAGGATGGACTACCGACCGACGGGACCGGAACAGAAAAAGCTGAGCCTTGATAGGCCTTGGTCTTGTATACTATTGGCAGGTGCATCTGTCAGCATTATGCGCGGAATGGCCACAGGCAGGCATTAAACTTTACAGTGGACAGGGAGCGGGTTGTAGCGTACCTGAACCGCTAGCAACGTAGACTAATTGAGACAACCAGAGCAGCGAACGAGGCAAAGGCTGTCAGACACGTGCATGTAGTACGAACGTTACAATATGCGGAGGCGGGAAAAGGAATAGATGGACTGAAGTCACAAGTAGCTTGACACTTATCGAGGACGCTACAGGTGACAGCCGCGGTCCGCTGGAGCAAGACAAGACTGTGTCTGTGCTGATAAGCTCGGCCTGACACCCCTGCAGACTCCCCACGTCCACATGACATGGGCTGTCGTTCGTAGTTCGCCGCCGTGCGAATCAGGAGCTTGGCCTTGAAGCCTCACCTGTCGCCCTGAAAGTCACAGGTTGTTACCGTTCAAACGTCATGTCAAAGCCGGTTCTGGCCTCCTGCAGGCGAAACCATAGATCTGCAATTAGCATCCGCCGATCATACCTAGTGCCTAACCCTTCCAGCAATGACGCTGCCTTTAAGCTTTGCCCCCATGAAAATGAGGCCATTTGCCGTCGGTCTTGCGATCCTTCAGCTCAAAGTTTGCACATGGCCCCCAATGCGCTCTTCAGCTTGCTCGCGACTCATTGACATCATTGCGCAAACGAGGGCCTGGGCCCGCTGGGATGCCCCTGCGTTCATATGCGTCCCAGACTGTCGGGTCGCCCTGTTTCAGTATCTAATTGGATGCCTAGTTATACTCAGACGCCCTGATTTGGCGACCCGCATACTCGGGGACCTTTGGCCGCAGGGCCATGCCGGCAGCGCGGGATGGACGGTGCGCTGGGACGGCCAATGGCTTCGGGCATTGGCGGAGAAGTCTACTGTCCCCAGTTGGTTGGGCTCACAGTGCGAAGGCTCGAGCGGCAAGACAGCCTGCAGCTGTACTGTAATGCTGCCCTGACGTGAAACAAAGAGTATGATGGATTTGTATGCCCATCAAATAGACTTTGAAAAGATCTGGTTCGGGAAGGCAGAGAGTGGACTCATCAATCGGCCCTACGGCTGCGCAAGGCTTTGTGTGGCTGGTCTCCCCACTTCGAGTCGGGTTCCAAGACGAGATCGATCCCACGAGGGCGGGGTCAGCAGACCTGCATGGCCTGTCGCTCCCACCACGCTCTGTGTTAGTGATCAAATGGTACAGAAATGCAGATACGCGCAATCGCATGGCCGATTGTGCGATACCCCACGATTGCGAACATCTCGATACACGCACACGATCTTCGACCACGGAGATGTGCGAGACGAGTGGGTGTGTTTGTCGATGAGTGGATAGGAATGATAGAGGCTTGCACATGGTGAATCAATTCGGTATTAGATGCGGGTAATGAGTGGAAGCGGTGAGTGTGGTCGCGTTCTGTTAGCAAGGCTATCCTTTCTATGTTTCGTGTGACGCAGCAGTACTCAAAGTTTGTCATCATGATTGGGCAGATTGCTCGAAGATGAGGTGTCAACTATCTCATGATGGAAGGAGAATGACAAGTGCAAAGATACGCCACGGCAGAGCTGCCATCTAATGACAAATGAACTCGTTTCTCGGCATTGCCGGTCGCCTGCTTAGTGGTAACAGTCATGCAGAGTCTTTGCACGATAGGTGTATATACAGAATTCGATTGAGCGAATACGATCAGCTTTACATTATCGTGAGAAACCTAACGCCTCACAGAAGGAAGGGAAAAATATGGAAAACTTGCACTCCTCAATGCGCTACTTGGGTATCATACCATCCCGTTGTCCAAAACTGATCAAAGTAATCTTTGTGCTCCTAAAACTTAAACATTGCAGCCGTGAGGCCCTCTTCTTGTACTGTCGTTGAATGATATCCTGGTGTTGGTGTGTGTGGCGAGAGCAGTCTAATACATCTTTCGTTCAGGAAAGACCATATCATCGTACCCGCTTCCCTGTTGGTGGTAGCCTGTGTGTATCGGACCACCATAGTCGTAACTGCTGTCAGATCGAGGATGAGTGACACAAGTAATGTCTGAGGACAGTGATGAGCCACGACTACTGCGGTCGCTGCCATGATGGTGGTATCCAGAGAAGCCCCTGTCCATGGAAGACATCTGTAACGAGGCGTATGTTGAGTGCAACGCACTTGAGGTAGGCAGAGTAGAGATTCTCCTGTCCTTGCCTCGGCCTTTGATGCCCTTATTCGAGTTCTTGTATAGCGAGGCGAAATACTCCCAGAGTTCCTTGTCTTGCTGCGTAACGCAGTCGCCTGCATTGATGTTGGCGAACTTTTGTGTGAGATATCTCAATGTTGCAGCGTGGAACTTGTTTTGATGCGACTATGTTATGTTAGCTCCAAGTTGTTGGTTGCATTTTTCATCAGTAGCTTACCTTCAAGTTGCCCAGCTGAGTGAATTGTTTTCCGCAATCATCAAGCTTGCAGGTGAAAGGCTTGATCTGTTGGTGAACGATTTTGTGAGCACGTACATTCCCACGCTGTGCGAAGGTCTTGCCACAAATGTCACAACTGTATGGACGCTCCCCTGTGTGTCGTCGCTCGTGTGTCTACATAGTTTAGTCACAGTAGCTAGATGGGAACGAACCGGCTCACCTTGAGATTGCCTAATTGAGAGAATCTCTGACCGCAAGATGGTGCCTTACAGATCTAATATGGTCAGTGAGTGCGAGGTATGTGGACGGAGGGCTCCTTACGAATGGTTTCGCACCAGTATGTGCCCGAACATGTATCTCCAGATGTGTCTTTTGATAAAAGCTCTTGTTGCAGCCAGGCATGTTGCATTGGTATCTTTTTCTTGGTTTCTGGGTACATTTGTTCTCCTCCTCCTGTGCGATGTTAGTGGTGTACCTTGAAGTCTCTTAGTCCAATCAGCCATTACCTTATTTACTTGTTGGGTTTCGTGCGAGTCTGGTTGCTTTGCCTGAATTGCTCTCATCAGAGTGTCGACGTCTGTTGAAAAGTTGATGCCTGTGCCTTCGGCTGGCTCAGAACGGGTGCGCTCGAGCTCCGCACCGTAGGAAGACTCGTAGTATGGAGAACTTGATTGCAAAGGTGAAGCGGTAGCGGACTTCGCGGGATGATGATCCGGGGAGTATATGGTACGTGCTTCTTGAAGAGGGGGCATCGGGTGCACCAAGCTCGACCGTGCGTAAGAAAGGTTCTGGGGAACATCTGTGACATAACCGATAGGATATGCCTGCTGCATATTGTAGGGATTTACTGGAACTGAATCAAAGGCGAATGCTCCAGACTGGTAGGATACTGAAGGAGCAAGGTTGTTTGTCGAAAACAGCGGCATGCTCATCTCTACGCTTGACGTTGTCTGCTGGTAGGGTCTTGATGTTGATGCATCTGTGACAGGGCGTGGTGTTTCGAAAGGAGGCATGAGACCAGAAAGGTTCATGTTGTTCATATGGTAAGCGGGTTGGCTACGTTGGTGCCAGAGATCAACATGGAGAGAAGCAACCATGGTTGTCATTGTCCAATTGACCAGTGGAGTATGGATAAACTTGATTGGGAAGTGAAGGATAGACAGTGACAACAGCCAGAGACAGAGGCTGACTGATATGAAGCTCTGTTGAGGAGCTATGAGAAACGCCGAGTGGGCTGAATGGCGCGAACGATGCTAGTTGGTAGGATGTTGATGTAGTTCGTACAGGATGCTGCCTGTGGTTGGGGAGACACTCGGGGTTTACATATGGACGACCAATTCGCTCGCTACTCAGTGTGTTCCGCAGACGGACAAGGATGACGACTTTTGTGGAGCAGAAGAAACATGGGCACAGGGAGCAAGCTCGAAGATCGAGACCAATACTCATGCAGCGAAATGAACAGGGTATGTCGCTTTCGTATGCAGCCAAGTACTGGTAGACGAAGGCCACAGATGCTGCTCGGCTTAGGGGTTTTAGTGAGCACCGACCAGGGCTTGCGTGAGCAAGGATAGTCCATCTGCAGAGTAGTGAATGGAGGCACCGGCGGATTGTGCGACCGAGCAAGGATGCAATCTGAAGGCGCCCACACATGTCCAGGGTCGGGACGGAACCGGGGTGCCACACCAACGCCGTGTACGTACGAACAGTGGCTGATCTCAGGTGCTGAGAATTGTGGGGAGGTTTCCTTGAGGCAGACGCCTTAGCCGCACCTCATTGGTCGCCGTAGTGATATTGAACAGAAACTTGCCAAACCGTGCCTATTGGAAGAGTCGTTTCCAGCTTTATCGGATCTGAGTGAATAAGACATAATCTGGCCACGCAGTCGGGCAAGCCGGATGAGCTTGACTTGAGGATCCCAAGAAAGATTGTCGGCATGTCTGCAAGATGCAAGATCAGCACGGCCCAGTGGCATCTGCAATGAGCCACGAAGATCAGCCTAGTGCGCGCGAAGGATCCTAGTGTGGATCCCATGATGCTGGTCCTCAAGCTGGGCTGCATCACGCAGCGCGTTCTCTTTCTCACTTCGATGATACGAATCGCGAGTATCCGATGCACGTAAATGCAAGAGAACAATCTGCTGTTGATTCAAGCTGGCGGCCGCGGCGGATAGCGGCTTCTTTCCGTACCCCACCGAACCACAGCTGAGGCCTCTCGCACATCCCACACTAGTTGGGTGACGCCAAGCGGCTGCTGTAGGCGAATAATGAGCCTCACTCAGGGTGACGCCTCATGTAGTGGTTCTGATGAGGCGGCCGCACTGACAGCCGCACTTTGAGAACCCTGAGGCGGCGAGGCCGTATGGAAACCCTAGGCTGTCAATCGAGACAGTACGACTAAACACAGGAGCATCCAACTTGGGAAGCAGGCGCAGTCGATGTGCAAGGGTCAGCGGTTCCATTGACTGCCCTTCGGCGAGGTGATTTAGGAGCACTTTACGTCGTGGGGCCGCCCGATAGCAGTTCCACGGCCAACGCGACCAACGCGCACGACCGTGGACGATGCCGTTGATGGGCATGACAGGCGACGGGTGGGTGGATGGTAAACATCCCACTGGAGCGGGAGTATCTGCACAGCGGAAGGAAAAGCTTGCTAATGGCATTACTTGTTGCTGCCCATGCACAAGCCAAGCATACCCGCGCCTTCCCCGCCAACCCTGTTAGCGCGGAGCTGCATCAAAACATCACAAACGCTGTTCTAGGTACTCCTGAAGGCTCTGCCGGAACGACATCCATCCCGAGCGATTTCCAACCCGAAACTTCTCACGACCGCATTCAGAAAATCCTGCATATTGTCGCGCACTCGATTTCGACCCTGGCTGCTGCGCGTCTAGCTTGTTTCTGCTGTCGATCAAACTTCACGCACGCCAGCGCTACGTTGACCATCAACCTCAAGACCAGGCTCATTTTTGTCGCCGATCCTCTGCATTGCGGGCCACCGGTATCACCTCCCCGCGAGCTTTCCTGTCTGTCATGCATGCTTTACAGTTTTTAACGGCGTCCCAGCGTGATGGTGAGCTCCAGCCTCGATTTGGTGACTGCCTCGCCTCAGCGCACTGCTTACCGTTCGCTGTGTCATGAACACCAAGTGTCTCAATCTTCCCAGGAGCGCTTCCAAAGCATTCAAGGCATCACGTGCACAGTACAGCTCTGGCTGCTCGCAGAACCACGTGTGGATACCACCAATGCACCTTTGCCGAATTGATCTGTCAATATTCAACTTAAAGCAGATTGGGGAAGCCTGGCCGCTCAACTATCTGAATAAGGTTCCAGGTCACGCTTGCCCTGATTGATCAAAGACGTGCAATTTCGCACGGAATCAGAACGGGAGATGAGCGGTCGAAGAAAACGAACTAAAGGTGATCCGTTCGTGATCCACAATCTCGTACAGCAACCACGCATTATCCTCAAATTCAGTAAAGTAACTTTTCGACCTTTCGAAGAGCGCAGCAATTGGGAACCGGAACGACCGAGCACTATGAGTTGCTAACATTACTTTCCATGTGGAGCCGTGGGTTTGCTCTGAAACCTTCGTGGCAAGTTCAATCTACCCATAAACTTTGTACTCCTTGAAAGGTCGAACAGATGACTGCCCAAGACATTCACTATACAGAAAACTTGACTCTACCTCTACGGTTGACCTTGAGAAAATAACGTTCTTATTGCCACACCCGCGAACTCGCAGTAGCCTGAAACCCCGAGGACAGAGCACAATCTGGGGATTTTGGCGACGCATGTCAACATAAACGGTGAACCGCCACGCAACCGGCTGCAGCCTTGGAAAATAAACTCAGTCCACGGGATATGGCCTCAGCGCAGAGACAAGAATGATATAAAGATCACAACTCTCCTGTCTGATTTTGTGTTGCTAGCAGAGTCGTGTGCAGGCCCGTTCCGCGTAGACGCACATGCTGCACGAACTCGTCTAGCGGAAGCTCTGCAAAACAACCAGATGTCATTATCGTCCTGCATATTCACTTCTTGTGTCAGACGCAGAAACGGTAGCCGACGTACCTCCTCTCTCGAATTTCATGCCTGTCTTCCGCCTTGCACCAGGAAGTATTTCCCTTTTTTGATCTATCGCAGTGGCAGCACCACTTTTGCGAATTTGTACTGGACTTGCCTTCACTCGTTGTCGATCAGTCCGTGATCATTGGCAGCCGGCAAGACAACAGGTCATCCACCAGCTTAGGATCCCTTCTCCTGATGATGGTAATGTTCCGGACGCCAAACATCGAAAACAGATATGATACATCAACCATACAGGTTGGACGTTCGTCAGCAAAAATCCTGCCTTTCGCTCTCGACGTAGTGCGCCTCAGTGGTTCCGCCGGGTGCAATACATTGACACGAATCTTCACTTGATGCGCTATAGTTTCTGTTCTGTCTCATCTACCATGGGTACAAAAGCACACACTTCGCGTCCGAGCAGGATTTTGAAAGGATGCTGATCCGATCTCAGCAGAATAGCTGCCCAGACAGATCGTACCTTGCACGTGATAGACAACCCGCCCCAGAAATGAGTCAGGCGTCCCTGTCCGATAAGCGAACGGCACTCGCTCTGCAGATCCGAAACAGCACCAATGCATGTCGCTGTAAACGTTCAACGTCGTCGCGGACCCGATGTCCAAACTCGCAGGTGCAGAGAGGATTTAGTTTGCCCCTTACCAGGACTCATCACGTTCCTTGCGATGTAGGTCAAGGGAGTGTCAGCATATGCAATCGCACGCTACATTTTCGCGAGGCTTGTGCCACAGCACTCTCGCCTAATGACTTGTCCACATCTCCGTACAAATCGCTGAACATCTTCGGCTGACCGTGTAACAGGAACCACTTTAATACGGTCACAAATTCCACGCACTGCGAGCCTTCTTACCAGGGTAGCTGCAAGATCATGCGGGCCCCTGTCATAATTTTGCGGCACGACCTGTCTGATCGCGGACTCACTATCTTGGACATGAGGCGGCAATATTATTGTGAGTCTACATCGTTTGAGGCATCGTAGAATAGTGGGGGGCATGGTCATGTGCGAAGCCCCACTAGGCTGTGGAGCGCTATATCGAGGTCCTACATCCGACAACCCTAGTCCCCGAAGTCAACCGATATCTGCAGTTCACTCGAAGCGTGAACCACTTGCGCAAACTGATTTCACGGTTGCCAAATGGGATCAGTCCGGCGGATACCCACGCGGGCGAGATCTTGTGCTACCAGGCCATACTGCACGCTGGTCTCGATATCCACACGACGTGCATGATCGCGACGCAGGCATGGCTGCTCCGCACAGACGATAGTTTAACTGACAGTGCTGTGTGCATACATCAGCGTCATCAGGATTGATGGTCTCGGTAAGGGTGCTGCACGATACTGCGCCTCAGAAGCCCGATCGATGCAACGATCTTGTTCAGACTATGGGATTATACCTTGTCGACGTCTAAAGAACAGCGGATGTGTCAGAATTCGGTCAACAAGGAGCTTCCCGCGATCCTCAACGGCAAGGAATTTGACCTCAATTCGCATCTCTACGTCTCACTCCAGCGATGAGATTGCCCGTGGATCAGCAACTTGCTACCGATAGTCAAACCAGGGTCGGTGAATCCCTCCCCAGGCCCTGGAATGGTAAGCCCTAGAATCTGCCTCTTGGTGTCTTGGGCACTCAAGACGATTATTGCAGAGCTTCGCTACTATATCCAACCGATGGATTCCTAGGATTGCGTCGATGTTACATTGGAAGCTGCAGCTTTTTGTTGATACGTTACATTTCATGAAATACACATTGATCTCAAGCAGAGCAAAGACCGTGAAACATCGCCAATACCACGCCTTGTGTCTCTTCAACATACTTGAACCCTTGCAATCAATCAAACGTACCACTGCTCATCTCTAGAATTCTTGTCAACTACCCACCACTTCACGAAACGCTTCGGCACGTGCCGTACCTAAGTCCCCACGAGCACGGTCCTAGCGCCACCCGCAAAACCACCGACAAAACCACCATAAAACCAGGTTGCACACAAAATCCCAGCGATCGAAGGAAGATTCGCTTCGGGCTGTCACTTCTCGTCGCTCGATCTCGCGCTTCGACTTCGCCGACCTGGATATGCAGCTCGCTCGATTTGGCCGCATATGATCAAATCAGAACGCGCTTGGCATAGCAGCCCGACGGCTCTTGTCTACATTAGGCACGCCATGCGTGGCGCGATCCTGCTGCACGATGCTGCACGATTCTGCAGGAAGACACATCTATACACCCTGGACCCAAGCACTGGAATTGTGCAACGAGAAAGCGACCTGTAATTTCTGTAGGCGCGGAGGTGTTGTGGAAAAGAGGCTGGTGGGGAAGCGGGCAAATGCTGCCGGATCAGGTGAGATGGCTCGTCAGCGCCTAAGGCCGAGACCTGGGGGTATTCCCGTTTCTGGTGTCCGCCTGCATTTCGTTGGGAGATGAAGGAACACTGCTGCGATGAATATTTTGGTGTCAAGGTCTTTCAGCTTGCTGTATACACGTCTTGCGGCGTAGAGAGGAGAGCGGTCAATCATGGCGGTTGAGTGCTTTACCCGACGTGGTATGAGCAGCGGGTTCCCCCGACCCGTGAAATCAAGGACACATCGCTGACGCGGTATACCAGGTAATCAGATCCACACCTGAAGCCATCCCAAAGATTATCCTTACCGGCATTCCGATCTTTAGGCAAGATCTCCCATTGTCAATATATGCTGGAAGTTTTGCTTCACTATCCTTCTCCACCATCCAGCTCGCTAGCCTCTTTGATCGTCAACTGTCTCACAGCCCCGAGGGGCACGCTTTCACCTGCTATACTGACCTCATTATGATCTATCGTCGTGCCCAGCTTTTCTTCTTCAGTGATGCATACCCAGGGTTATAGCAGGCCCTGCGTCGGAGGTGTAACTCCGCGCAAGATTATGATCAGTCGGTGCTCAGCGTGCCTTTCCCTCCACTTCTTCCGCAGTTGTGCCGTGATTGGCCCATCATATCTCCAAGCATATCGCATGGGAAGTCATACAAGTCTCGTGGCGACAGCCGCGCGTCTTGGAGGTCTCGAATTACTGTAACGAGGTTGAAGCTCACCTCATGTTCGGTCTTCATCTAAGTCATATCGATTTACATGCTGACGTTCCAGATCGCTCCGGTTTAGAATGTACCCATGAGCAAGGTGAGACCACTTGAGTGGTTGTATGTATGACAACCTTGGAACTGCTCATGTCATTTCCCGAGGTCTGGTGGACCTAGCTGATACCTGGGTTGGCATTATGGTGTGCTCCATGCGTACTTGCGTGGCTGAGTTACCTCGCCAGTGCTTTACAGAACAGTTGAGTAGGTGATGTACTCGGCCTGACCATCATGAAGACAATGTGGCAAATTTCACTCGTGTAATTTCGTTCGATACGCTCGCTGCCTCGATCGCCACTTGCCACTCACTGTTATGATGCTGTAAGGTAACCTGGTAAGGGGGTTGGGCTCATCTTTGTCTGCGATGTAAGCTTGGAGTTGCTGACGAGGGGCTTTGGAAAATAGTTGTAGCTTGGATTGTACTCATTCATGTTTCGAATTTCTCAAGGCCAGCAACAATAGTGAAGATGAACCTTGGTCATGCTGTGTATACATGGTAGATACGCTGCTCGGGATCAGTGCGTGGCCATGTCCAACGGGTAGTTTTGATGCTGCACAATAAACGCAATTTATCAGGAATACGGCTCTAGTAGCCCGTGAAAGGAAGGCGACATAGTATTGTATCCAAGATTTTGAATAGCCCGATCCCAACTACTAGGTCTTGCGGCCGAGATACGGATCCAGAGTTCTCAAATCAAGTATTTCATGAGCTTCAGTGAACAACATATGTCTCGTCTTGTGTGCAACCTTTTCAAAAGACATGTAGTCAGCGACAGTAGTCACGAAAGGTGAAATGCGAATAGGTACTTTTGATTACGCGAGGTTGCGTGGAGAAATATCCTTCCGTTCTAAATCCTGACGCACTGTCACTTGAATATTTCCGTACTGATAGCTCCAGTTGCGATAGTGCACTTTCAATCCCTCAACTCCTGTGATCAGATTGAAGTAAGTGCATCGGTTCAGATCCATTTTCACAATTGTCGCGAAAGAATTGAACTTTTGCTTGATCCTCAAGTAGGTGTCAGAATAGCATCATAGCACAGAGTACTGTCTGTACATAACTGCTGTTTGTTCTAAGAAAGTATCATATCCACTCATCTTCAGCCCACTTGTAGCTGTGCTCATCCTCCTCCATGTGATATCCGAGCAACACTACTTTCAAGCATACTGCACCTAAGTCTTTCCTATTCATAAGAAAAAATTGCGAGGATACCGGAGATGCCATTCCAAAAGAAATGGTCACTGCCTCCTGGCGGCCTCTTAGCAGAGCTTCAGTAACAATCGCTTCGAAGTTGGGTTCCGTGAGTGCTTTGGTAAACACAGAGCCAAATTTATCACTAGCATGCCACTTAGTGTCATCAGATACAGTCACAGCTATATCGAGATCCACAGAGTCTGGGTCTAAGCTGAATCGTCGGCCTGTTTGCCAGACCCATTCAGTAACGTGTCTTGCTGCGTCTTGATCTCGCAAAGATTGGATGAAATTGGGTATAGGGGAACCACGACAAAGGAGGTTCCCAGTGTCCAGAATATAATTTGAACACTTTGATGCTGTTGCGATGAGGCTGGAGACAGTGTTCAAGTCCTTTGGCCCTGTAGGGATCCAAGCAACTAGCATTTGCGCAGGCTCTAGTATTCCTCTGGTGGGTCTACGCTGCATCAAAACATTGTGCCGGAAACGCTTATAGTTTTTGACAGTGTTGTTGGTGATATTTGCTGCTTCCTCCTTGACGGCACGGCAGGTGAGTAGCACATTTGTAGGTGACCAGATGACGACCAGCGTCGGAAAGTCATGAATTTTCCGGTGTATGCGAGCGACTGGAAGTAATTCGTAGATCATAAGCCTGAGCTCTTTGGGAACATCGAACAGGCGGAACGGCGCTCGAGTGCGTAGATTGTGGACACTCATTATGCGGGGGCATAAGCGGCAGTCAGGGAGGGTCGACGGGTTGTTGTTGATACAGAGAATGACTTAGGGATGGAGTTGTCATAAATTATCTGCGCCAGTCAATGTTACAGCGAGTCTGAGATGAAAGTGAATACACTACCTACTTGAGAATTCCCAGCTTTGATAGTACATGTTCAGGAAGGCAATATTCGACCATGGTTCACAACGCAACGGTAGTGAGGGGTATTTGCGAGGGGCATTGTGAGGGGTAAGAACTTCGGCAAAGCTAGACTCCTCTATTCCTAGGGTACCAGCCTAAAGAACCACTTGCAGAGGTTATACACCGGTCTTGTCGTCACATACTACTATAAACCTTTCGTAAGGATAGAGGTGTGACAAGAATGAAGCTTGGACAGGAATAAACTACTAGTAAGAAGGAGTGTACCTGCCCTCATTCCGACTATCAATTGTCAAGCACCTTCACCCACACCCGAAGGCCCCTCCAAAGGGCTATCGGCGTTGCGCACTATAATAGACAGGAGTCCACGCATTTGTCAACCATTGCTCAAGGAAAGCGGTGACAGTGACCGGCATAGAACGTGCACCATCCAAGAGCTTGTACACACATAAAATATGTGCTCGTAACTTGCCCATCTTACTTAGACGATCAGCTTCGTTTTATTGGCCTATGTTCTTTCCACCTAGAGGACTACTGGCATACCATAATCGGCCGAGAGAAGTTGAGACGCTGTGAACAAGATAACTTCGCAAATCTGCTGCGTCCCAAGTGAGATCGGACACGGAGATGGTAAAACTAGTCTAGTTCTACACAAGTCACCGTCAGGTCATTTGTAGTGTATTTAAGAACGTCGTCAAAAGGAGCGATGAGGCTAGGCGCTGGGAACGCCACCATCTGCACTGCCCCGCATGCCCTATGTACCTACAGCCTCGCAGGACTTCGTTCCACATCACTTTATACCTAGATGACACAACAATACTTTATAAACACCTCCCTGGTTCGTGATATATCCTTTGTTCCACTATTGTTTTTGCCATCACCCCCGCAACAGGCTCGCAGCCATGGAGGTAACACGCCGACCCCGTGAATGCTCATCAGCCTCCTCGACAGATGATGAGTACAAGTTTGTCCGCCCAGGTCAGTGTATCTGCTGCAGACGTTCGAAAACACAGGGCACTTTCTTTGAATTGAAAAAAGGATACCTTTCCCATCGGTTTTGGGCTCGCTGGGAAGCGACAGGCAACTTGTTTCGCGCTGCCGCGGAGCAAAATTGCAGTCGTTGCGGTTTCGTTTTCGACATCGTAGTTGCATATATGAGTGCTATGAGTTACAAGGGCACACATTTCATACGAGTCTGGAACGGTATTGATGACCCACACTCTTTACGTGCAATGGTGATGATCACTATCACCTCCGCTGGATTCTCCGGGTCTCGGAGTCTCCGGTTGTTGCACTTGAAAGGTATGTTATCACTTCCAATCGTACCTGAAATAACTCATTGGAAAATAATCTTTGTTAAGTGAGGCCACAGATGGCTTCCACGATCTTGCTAAATTGCCTTGGAATGTCGTCACGTACCCAACACTCGCAGAAGATCCGGTATGCGAACAGGCCCTTGCACCGGCCAAAGCTTGGATGGAGGAATGCTTGAAGTCGCACGAAGAGTGTCAATCAACCGCAGTCTCTCAAATGCCCACGAGAGTTCTGGAGTTATCAGGATCGAAAGTAAGTCTAAGAGACACTCAGGAAATTGGTTCGACGTCAATGTATGCATGCCTGAGCCACTGCTGGGGTGATAAAGGGCCATCAATTCAACTGACGAGTAGCTCCGCTGCTCAGTTGAAGGCAGGTGTTCATAACGAGACGCTCCCAAAGACCTTTTCTGAAGCAGTCAAGGTTTGTCTGCAGCTTGGGATATCCTACTTGTGGATTGATGCACTCTGTAAGCTAATCATTACATTCTCACTTCTTGATTCGATTTCCCTGCTCATGAAAGTTTCCAGGTATCTACCAAGACGACCTCTCAGACTGGGAAGAATGTGCGTCAGAGATGGCCGGCGTTTATTCAAACGCACTGATCACCATCGCGGCCCGATCTGCTGGGACCAGCGACGATGGACTTCGTCACTTTGTCAAAGATCGATTTCGAAACATTTTAGTGCCATCCACCGGACTATATGTAAGAGAATATGAGCGTGAGCTTGGGCTTAAATCCTTCCACCAAGAAGACAAGGACCTGTTCCCGCTCATGACACGCGCTTGGGTCTTTCAAGAAAGGCATCTCTCGCCTCGGACTTTGGGCTTTGATATCTACCAGTTAGTGTGGCAGTGCCAGCGCTCTTGTCGCATAGAGGAAGGGCCGGTGTTGGCACACAAAGGCTACTTGCAGACCGAGCCCGAAGATCTAACTAGCACCTGGCATGAGATAGTTGAGGCTTACTCAAAGCTGCAAATCACACATGAGAGCGATAGGCTGCCAGCTTTATCTGCACTGGCAAAGAAGATGGGCGATTTCCGTGGAGACGATACTTATCTCGCCGGCCTATGGACCAAGACTTTACTTCGAGATCTCCAATGGCAGGCGTTCTCCCCATATCAGCAGCGCTGTAACGCAAATGCACCAAGCTGGTCCTGGGCTTCGGTAACCGGACAAGCGACATATCCTCCTTGTTCACTGCTACCCAGTGTCGAGTTGTTGAATGTGTCATACACACCTGACGGACCCTCACACATGGGCAGGTCAACAGAATCCAGACTAACCATCAAAGGCCAAATTGGAAGTGTCATCAGACGCCAGTCTGAGTTTCGGGGCTACAATTTGGTTCTTAGCAACCAAAGTAATTCGAAATTCTCTGGCTCGGGAATCCAGCTCCAGACCGATCCAGACCTCCTACCCGGCGTAGAGACAGCAACGCAGACCCAGGAGACGCTTACTGTACTATTTATGACGTCTGAGATCGATTCTCCGGAGCTCTTCAAACGTTTCTCGGGACTGTTGCTTCGAAGAGCGTCTGCATCGGCATACGAGCGCATTGCGTGGATTGATGTTTCATACAAGGGCGAATTCGACTCATGGGATATCACGGATGCATTCTCAGACGATTCGGACCCCTCGACGGCCAAATTCAAAGACACAGCTGAGTTCTTTGCCTGCAGTGACACGCCCATGGACAAGTATATGGCAACTTTGCCAGTGGAGGCAGTGACTATCATCTGAGCAATACCTAGGTATTGCTGAGCGCGGGGTCAGACCAGCCACTTGCTATTTTGTAGAATTCAACCAATTCATATCGCAGCCGAAATATTGGATGACTCGGGTTCGCTCTTTTTAGAAAGCGTTCCAACAAGACCATGGACCCTTCTTGCCTGATACAGCATTTTGCTAAGTGGCTGATCAGAAATTCGTGCCTGAAGCGCGTGGAAACAACATGAAATGAGGGCAGTCACGTCCAAATAGAAGGCATGTTATCGATTGTTGTTTCTCTTTCTTTGTCATATCGACAATGAATGAAAATGCCACTGCCGCCTACAAACAAGAATTGAATATCAGACCTACGGTCAGTTTGAATACTGTCTCACGAGACCTTCAATTGCCTACCCAAAACTCTACGACAGTTACCGAACGAGCGTACCTTCCCTGCAATCCTGCCTCACGTCATCCTTGGCTTCCCGTCAATATACCCCGCACTCATCAATCCCAGGCAACCGCACTAAATCCACCTCAAACGGCTCCGTCGCTGGCTGTCATCCCCCGGGCCCACAGGCATCCAAGTCCCTTTCCAGCACCCCAGCCATGGCCGAACTCACTCTCAAAAACACCGAAACCACGCACTCGGACATGTGCATCTGCTGCGATCGTTCTCGCACGCATGGCACATTCTTCGCGCTGCGCAAAAGCCACACAGCAGGGAGGTACTGCTTCGCCGGCTGGGAAGCCAATGTAGAAACGTTCCGCAGCGCAGCCGCACAGGGGTGTCAGCGGTGTACATTCGTGTTCGACACGATGGTGACGCATGGGGCTGGTTCTATGCCGCCAGAAGATGCGAAAGTGTGTGTGGGGAATAAGTGCGATTTTGGGGAGGAGATGCGTGCCAGGATTCGTATTTCTGTGCATAATTCTCACAGTTATGTGGCACTAGAGCTTGTGCTGGGTGCGTTTAATCTCGTTTCCTGGGTAAGATGAGGGTTTTTTAATGTGCGGGCTAGGTCCGGCCGGGGAACCATCGACACTGGCTTGGAATATCGCTGCGGAGAAGATGCATCACGATGATCCTACTGGTGCTGAGGCGCTTGATATAGCCAAGGAATGGATCGGGAAGTGCCTGACGTCGCATGAATATTGCGATGCTCATGGTGCATCGCCTCTGCCGGAGAGGGTCCTTGAGCTGACCCCAGATCTCATCTTCCTTCGAGAATATGTCAAGCCTCCAGTCCAGCGCTATGCTTGCTTGAGCCACTACTGGGGCCCTCGGGGTCCGGCGGTGCAACTGAAGAAGGAGACAAGTGCAAGCTTACGGCAGGGGATGCCGGTGGACAGCTTGCCAAAAACCTTTTCTGATAGCGTCAAAGTGTGTCTGAGGCTTGGTATATCGTTCCTTTGGATCGATGCCTTGTGTGGGTGCCACGTTATCATCCTTGATCGGGCGATCAGGCTGACCTCGTGCTTGCAGGTATATATCAAGATGACCTTAATGACTGGGAGCAGGCTGCAGCAACGATGGCAAGCATTTATGAACGCGCCCACATTACGATTGCCGCTGCCTGTGCCCGAGACAGTACTGATGGTCTGCGCCCTCTGGCAGCCATATTCAAAGAAAAGTTGGTCCCCTCCACCGGGCTATGTGTGCGTAGGCATTACCGAGAGCTGACCGACCAACTGAATCTGTCTCGGAATGATTTCCCTTTATTATGGCGCGCTTGGGTGTTCCAGGAAAGAAGCCTCTCACCACGAATACTCTATTTCAGCGCCTGTCGACTGGTGTGGGAGTGCAGAACTGTCCAACATATCGAGTCAAAAGCACGCGCGCACCAATGGAGCTACGACCATGTCATTCTAGGCCTGCAGTCTTTAACTAGGGAGCCTCCCGACGTGATTGCAGCGTGGCAGAGCGCGGTAGAGCAATTCTCACGCCTTGGGCTCACTTACGGTAGCGATAAATTGCCGTCCATTGCAGCGCTAGCGTCGAGGATGGAGCAGTACAGAAAGCAGGATACTTACCTTGGTGGTTTATGGTGGAGCTCACTGCTGTACGATTTACAGTGGGTAGTGTTCAGTCATCAGGCGCGATGCAATTCGAACGCACCAACCTGGTCGTGGGCATCTGTGAATGGGGAAGTTCAATTCGAACGTAGAGGCATCGAGCCATATGTTCTGCCGAGCGTAACGCTGTTAGATGTTGTTTACAGATCGATGAGCTCTGCCTTCGTCGGGAGAGCGACCGAAGCTCGCATCAGCCTTGAGGGCCACACCTCCAAGGTCACCCGAAAAGGTTTCGCGAGCCGCCACTTAGACGACCCGTTCGAGCTGAGTAACCTAAACGGGCTCGACATCGGCATCATGTCGTTTACCGACATCGATCCAGACACCGACTCGAGATCGGGGTCCCCTGACGAAGACCTGATCGTCTTTTTCCTCACCAAGCGGACCAACCTTGTCTGTGGATACTCTGGGCCGATTCTTCGCAAGCTCCACGACAATATCTTCCAGCGCGTAGGGTGGCTGCGGGCTAGTCGACCGTTCGGGTGTCCTGTGCTCAGTAGTACGGATCCTGACTTTTGGGCGCCGCTGGACGCGTACATGGCGAAATCGCCGTTGGAGGTGGTGACTATCGTCTAAGATGTCAGCTGTCTCGGCTTTTGAGAGGCTGTCGGTCGTAGGTTTCTTGGTTTTTGATGGCTTGCGATAGCAGCAGATGCCGGTTGTACAAGTGATTGTCTCTCCAAATGGCAGGTAAAAGGTTCACATGGCCATCCCAATTTGGGGTACATGTCCCCATTACGAACTGAAGGAGGGCACGGCTAGGTGCTGTCGATACTATTAGGACAGGAAGACAGAAGACGTGCGTTGACCTGATGGAATCCAACAATCTAGCACTACAGGGTCCATATTCTGGCAGCTGTCAATGGCTCGACTCAACAGACGAAACACGGTGCAGTGGTTCGTGTAGGCGTTGCGAATTCTTTGGCCATTACTCTGTCATGGTTCCTATTGTACATCCAATTGTCATGCCATACGTGACGGTCGGGTGCCGCGCTACAGAGGAGATACGTCCCGTGGGCAGCTGTCTGCCATGCGTCCTCCCAGTCCAACCAACGAACCTAAATACCGATGCGCCGAAATACTGGTGTTGTACAGGGGTGTGAGCAGTCGTTCATTGCTCTATCATGAGACCGCTTATGCGAGGGGAGAGAAGAGGCTGTGACGTGTAAGTGGGCTGGATGCATGGGCATGTCGGTGGTCGTACCGGATGAGAGACGGCTTCGGCTGGCTCTGCGAGTAGCCGAGATACAGGATCAGCGGCAGGTAGCCATAGTGGATAGCGACGCGTGAGACGTCGATGATGCGCGCGATGCGCTCCTGGTGAGGTGTGAGCAGTGCTGGGGGAGCTGGGCGAGGGGCGGCGCCGGGCGTACCTTGGACTCTTCCGACAGCGAGAACATGATGTGTGGATGGTTGGGAGCGGCGGAGGACGTGGGCGCGGCGGTCGGAGTCGGCGGTGGACAGGCGTGAGTCGGTGGTGGACGGCTGCCGGTGATGATGGCACTCGAAATCTTGAAGCTGGGGCAGCGCTAGTCCGTCACTAGCGCGCATCAGAGCTCCAAAACTTCGAACCGCCCCATCCCCGGCACGCACCCGTGACCGCATCTGCCTACGGGACCGGTACTCACAAGGCAATTCGCTTGGATAGCTGCACTCTCGCCGTCACCGCCGTCACCCGTCACCACCGCCGCCATGTCGGCCCCCAGCGCCCGCCACTGGTACGTTGCCCGCTGACCCTCACGACCACCGCTAATGCGCCGCAGGGAGCAGAACAAGGAGGCCACCGTCTATGTCGGCAATCTACACGAGCGCGTAACACCGCGCATCCTGCACGAGTTGATGCTCAACGCCGGGCGCGTGCGCAACGTCAACATGCCCGTCGACCGCGTCAACAGCCAGCACCAGGGCTTTGGCTTCGTCGAGTTCCACACCGAGGCCGAGGCCGACTACGCCCCCAAGATCATGAACAACGTCGGCCTGTACGGCAGCCGCGTGCGCGTCAACAAGGCCTCGGCCGACAAGCAGAAGAACGTTGAGATTGGCGCCGAGCTGTTCGTCGGCAGCCTCGACTCGATGATCGACGAGAAGACGCTGTACGACACATTTGGCCAGTTCGGGCCGCTGACGGTGGCCCCCAAGATTGCGCGCGACGAGCACGGCCTGTCCAAGGGCTACGGCTTCATCTCGTTCGGCGACTTCGAGTCGTCCGACGCCGCCATTGCCAGCATGAACGGCCAGTACATGATGAGCAAGCAGATCTCGGTGCAGTACGCCTACAAGAAGGACGGCAAGGGCGAGCGCCACGGCGACGAGGCCGAGCGCATGCTCGCGAAGCAGGCCAAGGCCCACGGCGTTTCCACTGCTGTCCAGCCCCTGCCCGCACATCTGTTCCAAGCACCGACACCAATGGTGCCGCCCGGTGGTCCTCCCATGGGCGCCATGGCAGATCCGCGCATGGCCATGGGCGGCCCGCCGAATGGGTCCGTTGGCTACGGACGCCCTCCCATGGGCGCTGCCGTGCTCGCTCCACCACCCGCCGGACTGCCTGCGCGCCCGCCCAGCGGTGCCCCAGCCAACTTCTACCCCCCGCCCCCCGGCTTCCCAGGTGGTCCTCCCGTCGGTCCTCCGCCCGGCTTTGCTCCGCCCGGCTTTGGCCCTAGATGATCGGACGGCGCACATAGTCTACACTCCAGCGCCGCGCTTTAGCGCTGCAAACATCGAGCCGCAACGTGAGGACATCACACCGCGAAGGAACGGCCGGCGAAGTCAGGATGATAGTGCACGGTCAGGATATACCCAGGAGGCGTCGTGGAGGGCTCTTCAAAGAGGAAGGCATAGAATTAGAGTGACAGACGGCCATGCCCAGTCAGGTCAGAGGATATCAAAGTGCAGAAGGGAAGACAAATGAGACAACGAAAGAAGACAAAGAAGAATAGAAGAACAAGTCACAGCACGCATGCCACATCTCCCCACTCCCCGTGATACCACCCGTGCCGTCTAATCCACCTCAAAACCAAACAGCAGAACAGCAAAACGGCAGAAGTAACCCTTACGAAAACGACACGAACTTCGGATCGCTCGGCACGCCGTCCAGCCCCACGCCCGCCTTCGCAAACCGCTCCTGCATCAACAGCCTCCTTGCCTCGTCAAATCCGACACCCCGCCTCTTCATAATCCTCAGCACCTCTTTCCGGCCCTTGTCGTCCAGACCGGCGCGCTCATCGCCCTCGACATTCGCCGTCAGGTCGAAGTCGGTCGAGTGCAGACCCGCTTCGATGTCGTCGCGGAAGGTGGTGGGGATGGCGTGGTAGAGCGGGTTGGAGGGCAGGCTGAAGGAGGAAGGGAGGTGGTGGATCCAGTGGGCGCGGAGCATGTAGAGTGCTGGAGACGTTAGTGGTGTGCCGGGTCATGCAGGTGGGGGGGCATACTGGTGCCTACGGCGAGGGTCAGGAAGGCGAGCGAGTAGAGCATGTAGCCCATGGCGGCGGTGGTTGGGGGCTTGCGCGAGGGTGTTGCAGCAGCTGGTCTGTGTTGGAGGTGTCGGCGGAGGTGTGCGGAGCACGGCGGGTGGTCAATAGCTTGGGGTCGAAGGGTTCAATAGCACACGGATGGGCGGCGTCGGGATTCAATAGCACGCGGGAGGGCGGCTCGGCGTCAAAGGCAGAACACAAGGAAAGGAACGTTTACAAAGCCGCAGTCGCCGTGTCTGGGCGCGCTCACCAAGGCGTCGAGGTGTCGTGCTGGCTGACGACGGCGTTCACGGCTGCACCGCCACGTGGCTGACTAGCGCGCGGAGGCACAGTAACTCCGGCGCCCCGCGCACACTCAGCGGCCGCCCTCGAAATGGCCAGCGAAGTTCGACCCGTCCGCCGCATATCACCACCCACCGACACAATGGCCGCCACAATCTCCCACGACCTCGCCTGGACAATCACCAAGGGCCACAGCGCCACCCTGGTGAAGCGCGCCAACGGCGTCCAGTTCTCCCGCGACCCGCTGAACCTGCGCAACATCTACAGCCGCAAGAACGAGGGCCAGATCGCCAACAAGGTCAGCAGCAGCCCGGACGTGGGGACGCGGACATGTGTTGATTGAAACAGGCCATCGGCGTTGTTGCCACCGAGAACGGCGGCATCCAGCTGCTCACCAAGAAGGCCGACAGGCACCACCAGCCCATCTCTTCGACCCAGACCACCACCTTCGGTGCCAAGAAGGGCTCGCGCAAGTACGTTTCCGGCACACACTTCCCTGGGGCTGGCTCCACGCACGGCCCCCGATCCACCCAGCCGTAGTGCTAACAACCCCCCTCCAGGCTGTACTCCGCCATTGTCAACTCCACCACCAAGCGCAACTACCGCCCCGACCTGCGCAAAGACGCCGTAGCCCGCGCCTCCGCCATCCGCAAGGCCGGCAAGCCCGTCAAGGCCTCGCCCGCCTCGAAGCTGCGCGGCGCCAAGGCCCTCAAGGCCGCCGAGGCCAGCGCCTAAATCTCTCCGCTCGCGATGGCTGAGAGATAATGACTGTCCAAGACGACCTCTGGTGCGGCATGGGAAAATGGAGTTCGCTGCTTTTGGGAACGCGCGCGTGGGGCACGGCCCGCGGCGCGCGAAGGCGAAGTAGAAGTATGAGATAGCGCGGCACGGCACGGAAGCGTGCGTGTACGACGGGAATGGAATGCTTCGAAACCCACCTTTGATTGTGTGCGGGATGTGCGTGAGGCGTGAGGAGTGTTGATGCGCTGTGCAGGGGCAATTGCTGCTCTGGCCCCTGCTGGAGACTGCAATTGGATTTCGTGCGATAGGGCAGCGGTGAAGGCATTGAAGACGGCAAGCATGTGCTGTCTTGTCAATTGCATCGACGTCCAAGCAGTTTCGCAGCCAATTACCGCCACTGACCCTCAGATCTCCACCCCAACGAGTTCGTCCCAGCATAAACATCCCCACGCCGTTCCCCTGCCTCCCAAATCGCCCCTTTCCCCGTCCTAGTCCCCGCATTCTTAGAAGCACGCCTCACAGCCCGCCCAGGAAGAAACAACTTTTCTCGGCTCGTCTCGCTTCGTCTCAGTAATACACCACAATACCACACTCTGCTAGGACTGTAGCGGGGCCTCGCATATGCCAATGGAGAGGAGAGGAGACTGACTTTTCCATTCGAGTACTGACGTGCATTCGAGTCAAGCCAAGCGTTCACTCTACCCAGTACATCGGCTCATTTGCAAAGTAGCTGAAGCGCAGGACTGAGCACAGCACCGTGTGTTTCACGCCATCAGCAACAAGAAGATAAAAAGGCGTTTGTCGAGAGCTTGTGAAGAGGTGCTAGCAGATGCTGACTTGCGTACGGTGAATACCTGATTGTCTACAAAGCCAGGCACTGTAGTGCTTGAGTCGTCACCATGACACCCTGTAGACAGGCCATGATTGATGTTTGACTTGCTACTGTCTGCAGGAGTTACACTTCGACGAGATGTGAAGTCGAATGTTTGCTCTAGATACAGTAATTTAGTTTGGCAACGAATGACGTGCCTTCACAGCTGCTAGCAAGGGAAGCTCTTCGTCTACTCTTCAGCGCCTCGAGCTCTCCAAGTCGGTTTTTACACGCGAGCTACGGTCTTGCAGCTCCCTCTCGAGCTGGGAAGCATCCTTCTTTCTTGCAGTCAATATGCAAATAGCTAACAACGAGCGACGAACAAATGCCCACGAGCACCTGAGTCGAGTGACCTGATCCAAGACGCCATGCGTGATGAAGCAAGCACGCCTGTGCCAATTTTACAACCGCCCGTCTCCACGACAGCGCGCTTACAACGCCACCCTTCACATGCGACCAACCCAGTTATCGCGAAACGTCTTGATCTCCACAACCAACCGCACATCCGCTTTCCGCGTCGATTCCAACGACAGACTCATACTAGTCCTCGCTCCGCCGATGCACCTTGCCCTCCCCCGCGACCCCCGGCGTCCCCCGCTCCTCAAACTCGTTCTCGTACGCACGCCACACGGCCATGTCCGACTGCAGTTTCTTGTGGCTGCGGACGGCGTGGTGGTACCGCACCATGCGCGCGTCGGCCTCGACCATGCCGCCGAAGATCATGGCCGACATTTGGATGTAGCTGTGCGGTGCGCGTCAGGGGTGGTTACGCGTTAGGGGAGGGTACGGGGGGGGGGCGTACGTTTTGAATTGGATGGTGAGGCCGCGGTACAGCGGCGAGAAGGTGTGGGCGACGCCGGCGGCGACGACGAAGAAGGCGCCCCACTGCGTTGTGAGTCAGCGTTGAGCTTGGATTTGTAGACGAGCTTCGGATAGTGCTTTTGAATGGCGACGCGGAGACGGATCGCGGGAATTTTTCGACGCTCTTGCAGCGAGCCTACGCTCACTTCAGATCTTCAAATCATGTAGACGCATGACGTAACACAGCCTCCCTAAACATGACCAAGCAACACACAAGACTCACAACCCCCTCAACTGCTTCGAACAAAAAACAATCACTCGCAGCAGAAGACAATCCCATCACATGAACGTACCTTAACACTCCCATACGCCGCACCCCGCGCGGCCTCCCAAGCGGCCTCATTCGTCTCAGCGTCCTTGGTCAGACTTCCGTGTTCGCGCACCATAGTGCCAAGTCGCGGTTCGCACTCTCAATCCAACTTTTTGCTGCGACTCTTTCTTCCGATCTTCAACTTTTAGCCCCGATGTCAACCCAGTTGCTCCAAATCGCCACAGCTCTTTCTCGCCAATCCTTCAAATGAATCCAACTATTCTTCTTTTACGTGCTTGTGATCTTTGATCGCCAGTGTATCCAAAAGGCGTCGAAAGCGGTGGACTGGTTTTACATGAGATAGGGTGAGGTGATGTCAAGCCGCAGCTTGCTAGTGCATATCGTTAGTAGTGCTAGCGCGGCGGGAGGGGGAGCTACGCGAGGACAGGCTTGACAGGGGCGCGCGTCGGCATGGGTCGGCAAGAGCGGCATTGCGGCGGCAGATACCTAGGGTTGAAGACATTGTCGGGTGGGGAGTTTGGCTGGGGCGGCACATCTGTTAGACCATAACGCAGGTATCCTAGGGGGGACTCATGGAGAACAGAAGTCTTCAGTAGAGCAAAAGGGCAAAAGTCTTCCTGATTTTGATTTTCAGTGTGAATGCAAACCATGAAAGTGTGGCCTATCAATCCTTAAGTCCCTCGAAACTTGAGGCTAGAGGTTTAAGGCGTGAGGTGTGAGGTGCAGTGGGAGTGAGAAATAAGGGCTGCTTGATGGTGGGCTTCGAAGGCCGGGATACCTTGGACTGCGTTACCAGCGCTGACAACATTTCGTAGGATACAAGAATGAAATCGAGCTGTTGATCAACCACAGCTTCGTCTATACGGCTACAGAGCTACACAGTCCACTGCGCCATCCTCTCATGCAACGTCATCTGGCAATCCACCTGACAAAAAATCATCCCAATCGTACCCCAGCATGGACAGGAGCAGCTCCTAACCGCCCTTCTTCCCCGAAAACTCAATATGCTGAGCCTGTGGCTCGTCGGCAGGGACCTCTTTGACGTCCACCATCTGAGTGTCGTGATTCGGCGATCGAGTGTCGACCTCCATGGGATCGCTGCGCAGGCCGGTCAGGGCGTCCATGCCGCCGTTCACCTCGACCATCTCGCGCACGCCCGATTCGCCGTCCACTTCCGTGTTGGGTGTCAGCGTCGCAGAGCTCATTCCGGAGCTTTGTTTGCTTGTTTCTTCATGGTATGGCTGGGAGTTGATGTTAGCCCAGTCGTGGTTGTATCCTGGTGGGTTCGCTTGTTCACTCCAGTTTCCATTCGTTTCATTCCCGTAATCGTCCCATCCGCCCCCTACGCCGAGCTCGTGGTTCTTTTGCAACTCTTCAAGGAAAGTCAATTTATCCTTCTTGACAAAGTCTTCGAGGGGCTTAGACAAGGGTATGGGCGATTCGGACGTAGCGGCCTCATTAGCGTAGACGAGCAGCACAGAAGCGGCCTCGGAGGTGGCGCGCTCGAGGACTTGCTGCAGATCGACGCGGTCACGAATAATGTTTGCGGTGCCAGACTCGTTATCGTATTGAACACGCCACCATTGCTTCGCGTTTGGAGTTTTCGAGGTGTTATCCGGATGGAGAATGTAGATGACGTCGCGGCGGGTGGCTACGCCGCAGAGTTTGTATGGGTAGTGCATGGCGTCTTGGGCGGACTGTCCTTCGGGATAGTCGGGCTCAGTGAGATCGATGAGCACCTCAGAACCGTCATCAATGGTAGGTTTGAAACGGTTGGTGATGTGATTGAGGGCCTCCAGGGCCTGTTTGTGCTGTCCCTCGAGAGCTGGCACGATTAGCGAAAACTCAACACACGACGTGCCTCACTTACTGGCTAGCTTGCTCTCAACACTGTCATACAGACTTTGCAAGTGTGATAGAGTGGCAGCGTCCTTCGGGTCGAGCTCATCTGTATCCTCTTTAGGTTGGAAAGCTTTCATGCTCGTCTTGAGCAGATTTAATGACTCAATTCTCTTGGAGTTGCGCTTCGCCGGCGTGTGATATTTCAGCCTATCAGTCTGGTCTTTGACATTCTCCAGTCGAGTGTTGTGCACCGCCATTTCATCGTACATCGATTGTATGACGTGCTTGTTCTTTTCAAGGTATCGATCAGCATACAACGTCGCCGGAATGCGGCAACCCAGTTCATTTCTGTCTTGTTGCAGGCCCTCCAGACGGAAAATTAGGACATTGCTTATGTCCATGATATGGGCAGTCCCTTCTGGATTGGGAAAGAAGGTATCGTCGAGCACGTCGTAAATGTCTGTTTCCCTCCCATCGCGCTTTGACACTGTACTATCGAGGAAAAAGCTGTCCACCCGTTGTTGAGCGTTGACGACCGACCGTAGCACGCCGTCGAGCTTGAATTCTGGATTCCGTTTCGTATAAGCTGCGCTCCATAGCAGGAGAAACTTAAGCATGTCATCGTCTGGATCTTGAAGCGAAGGCGCTTCAAGCTGCTTCCACGCGTCCATGTCCAGCATTGATTCTATTGTCGTGTAGGCTCTGTCCGTGTTGTCCAAGAAAGCCATAAGCCGCTGCGTCTCGTAGATAATGTCGAGTTCGTAAACCTCGTCCCACCCAGCTGTGTTGTCCACGATACGTGCCCTTCCGGCAGGATTTCCTTTCCACCATTCCTCGCCAACCCAATAGTCTTCCTGCGCTGCTTCTGGGGACAAAAGCGCATTTCGATACTGGGGGATTGAGTGTAGGATGGTGAGCATGGCTGGAAGGTAGTTGAACCTTGGCGAAGGCTTGAGGAAGGCGGGCTGGCCCTCCTCACGCTGTCTCTGGCTTGGTACGGGATCGGCAATGTACTCGGACGCGGTTGTGGCTGGAACCATAGCCCAGCTAGCGGTGTCGTAGTCGTTCCGGGTGGCAGGTCCAAACACGGGCTTCAAGCCGCCTGTTACGCCAGACTCCTGTCCGCTCTCGATGCCTAGCAAACGTCAGTTTCTGCATACAGCCATGTAATCCTCCATCAGATGACTGACTTTGCATAAGATCGTCGCCTGCGTGTGTCGACAGCGCCGAGCCGGGGCGGGTGCCTATCCGCGAATTAGGCCGGGTAGGGGCTGTGCTGTTGGCGCCGCTGCGAGAGTGGTTGTCGAAGCCTGGTGGGTAGTCAATACTAAAGGCTGTGGCAAATGCTCGTCAGCTGGTGTCTATGTGTTTACCTGAGTAGGGGCCCAACATACTGGGTACGCTGCTGTTCGTCTCGTCGGCATATCTGCTTGCGCCAAATGCGCTCTCGTCCCAGGTAGGCTTTGATCCATCGATGAGTTTGTGGACCGTCGATATATCCGAGCTGAAGAACTTCTCTGCCGCCTGTTCCAGGTTGCCATTAAAGACCTGCCGTTGATTAGTGCTATGCTACCGCGGTTGCGCGGATGCGCTGGCGAACCTTGAGCAGCTTCTGACAATCTTCGAACCCCAGCTGATAGCCGCTTAGCTCCTGAAGCATCGTCACATCTCCATCGCTTATGGCGACCATGGCGACGATGGCGACGCTCTTGCTTACGCGGGGTCAGAGTTGCGGTGGTGGTGGTGGTGAGCTCTATGTAGGCGGGGCGCATTCACAGCAGCAAATGGCGCAATGCTAATAATGTGTCCAAACGACAACCAAGCTAGCTATGCGAGAGAGGGACGTGTGCAAAAGCATGCAAGATTCGTGTTAGGTGGCACGGCGTGAAGGCGCAATTGCGTTGGAGTGCGAAGGAGCTATCGGAGCTCCTATGACGACGCCGACTGCAGGGATCTGGCCGTTGGTCCCTCTTTCGCCGCGGCGGTCTCGTGTCACCACCGCAATCAACGTCTGCCAAACCTCCGCGATTATCCTAACGCGGCAGTTTGTGGATGATGTCAGAATGTCAATGTAATTTCATCAGTATTTATCTCAGACAATAAATGCGCATGAACAGCACCGTGGCAAGATACATCGTGTAATCAGCGCCGTTCATGCTATGGTATATTTACATCATCCTCGCTCTTTACACAACTCCCGTTTTCACAAGTATCTATAGTACAATATACAACATATGTTACAACGCTCCAACCTGAATGAATCATTCTACAACAGGGTTAGAGGGAACCGAAGAGGCAGCCTCTGACGCGTTCACGGAAGCAGGCTCCTTGCCCAGACCCTCGGTGTACTCAGGCGAACCAGGACCCAAAGGCTTATACAATTGTGTGCCGCGCTCCTGGTTGATCTGATCTTGCTCCGCCCTCCATTGGCGCCCACGGCTAGCGTATCTTTGGATGACCTTGCGGTAGTTGGCAAGCGCCTTGTCCTCGTTCTCGTCAGTTTGGCCGACCAGGTTGCGCCGGCGCTCTTTCGTCGAGCTGTAGTTTTTCCATACGGCATCCTCTGCGATTTCCTGAATGTTGTACTCGATCTGCCAGTTGTCCAATGGCTCGAGGTCCTCGGGACGCGTGACATATTGACCGTTTACTTTGTTGCGAACCGTCACTGTCCAGCCCACCAATGGGCCTTCAGATGTGGTATCTTTTGTCCACTGGGGTGGTGCTAGGGTATCACCACTCTCACCAGTAGCAGTCTCGCTTTCGTGCTCCTCGGTGGCGGTTTCGCTTTCACTCTCCTCAGCAGCGGTCTCGTTTTCGATCGTGCTTTCGCTTTCAGACGATGCCTCTACTTCCGGGCTTTCTGCTGCTGCCTCGGAACCCTTGTTTGCAGTACCATCCTCACTGACTTGTTCGTCGATCTCTTCCTGCAAGTCTTGCCATGCCTCCTTCGCTTCGGCGTCATTCTTGCCGACACCTACGACACGGCGTGCCCACTCCCTTGCATATTGTGTTCCGGTGTTCTGAATCTCGTCTGCGCGCTCTTCTGTGACAGGCTCGGCGAAGACGTACATGAAGGGGTGCTTGGAGTCGCGGGTCTCAAAGTGAAGGCGTAGTGACTGTGAAAGTTAGATCACTTCTTAGATGGCGATTTGAAGCACTTACTGTCTCGGGGAACTTTTCTGTAGCTTTGTTCAACAGTTCCTCCATGAGGCCAATGGATAATCTGAACTCCTGATCACCCAAACATGTATCGGATTGACCATGGAGAGCCTGGTCCATATCGGCGAGGGAGAGGTACTGGAAGCCGAAGATGCGCTCGATGTTGTGGTAAGCAAGGAAAATGCCGTCCATCCTGCCCATACGCACTTGAAGCGAGTACTTCAACATGGTGGCTCGAGTCATGTCATAGTACTCGCGTTCGAATGACTCCCACTCACCCTGTGCATAACGCAATTGGTATCCAAGACCCTGTTCGTACGATCTGTGGTTCATGCGAATGGAGACTACTGCTCGTGTCTTCAAGTCGAAGATGCCAGCGCCCGGCAAACGAGGGTCTTGGGCGTCGAGTTGGGAGCGCATTAATACGTTTCCTTGCTTCGAATAGTGAAAGCATCGGGCTGAATCTCCTTCGGGCGGGGATTGCTCGGGACTCGACCTGCGGTAGCGCTCGAACTCGGTGCGCTCTGTCGTGAGGAGCTTCTCCATTGAGTGGCCGAGCCAGCTCATGATATTGGGGGCATCGTATGTCTTGTCGGCGTCCATGGCGTACACACCATCCTTGTAGCGCAAGAAGATCGCGTCTGGTCCTTTTGTGATCCTGGAGTACTTGTTGCTTGGATCCGGGAACTTCTTGGAAAGCATGGAGTGGTCGAGCCTTCGATGGGCGGATAGCAGGAAGTGAAAATGCTGGAGCACGCCAGACATGCTCGATGTGGAGCCTGTGTATTTGACGCCCAGTCTCCTGGTGACGGCAAGCAGATCCTCGTCCAAGGACGAGGTCTTGTATTCGCTCAGAGCATCGAAGTCGAACTCTTCGGCAGGCATGATCTTCTCCAGATACGGATCGAAGTTGTAGATGCCTGTCCGAGGGTCTTGCAGCCGATACACACCGGGATTGAACAGCACGCGGTCGAGACCGTAAGCGAGCTTCGGCACGGGAGGCACTTTGACGTCGACGGGCTCGAAGTGGAAGTCTTCTGCGGCGACCTGTTTTATGTCGAAGTTCAGCTTTGCTCTTTCGCTCTTCTTCTTTTTACTGCCCCCCATCAAGGCCTCCCTCAGTGACATGGTCTCAGGTGGCGGCTGCTCTTGCTTCTCTTTTCTCGAAGAGCTTTTTTCGGTGTCGCCCTTGCCATCCTCGTGCGCATCCTCAATAGGCTCGTCCGGCCCTAGGAGCCCGTTCTTGACCATGCCATCGTGCTTGATGTCTTTGAGCACCTCGGTGCTCTTCAAGCGTTTGGACAGGCGCTCGGTGGCGCTGAAGGCCCGGCGCTGGAGAGTGATGGGACGGGCGGCGCAGGAGCAGCATATCGAGGCACTGCGCCATGGAGCGGCCTGTGTAATGGTGCGACTGCTTCTGAGCATCGAGAAGGGGAGACGACTGCGGGTGGGCGAGGGTGGTGGCCGGGCGCGTCCACAGCCCGGTCGCGTCGCCTGCATCTGAATAAATTCTGCCGGCAGCCACCGCCCTCAACCGCCGACCGCCGATCGATTGACGTGCATGCTGCACCGCGCTCCCGCGGACGCGCGTTGGCTGCGCAGGGCCTCCGGGCCTCTGGGCCTCTGGGCCTCAGGGCTCCCAGCGCGCTGCTGCGGCACGGGGCGGCGCGCAGTGTGCTGCAGGCAACGGCATCGGGCCAGCTGTCGCGCTGTCGCGCTGTCGAGCTGCGCAACGGTGGGCGCTGCAGCGGTGCTCGGTGCTGGGGGCCAGGCTTGGGAACGGCGGCGCTGATGGCTCCCGCCGAGCTCCACACCCCAGAGCCAGCGACCGGGGTCATACAGGGCAGCAGCTCCAGGACAGCCCGCCCGCAGGCCACGGACGGGCGGTCTGGGCTGGCGCTCGTGGATGGGCGGCGCACCAGACTCCAGCACGCCAGGCCGCGGTGCCAACTTCTGCGCTGCGCCGCCAGCTCTGCCATTGATCGCTCGTTGCTGCTCTGCGCGCGCTGGGATCGCTCGTATCGCTGCACAGTCCTAGTGCTCTCCAACCTCCGGCCGCGTCCCATGCAACAGTAATTTGCGCCGCGATTGGCCGCCGACGGGCCCATTGGCACATTTCACGACTGCACGCTCGGCCTGCCGACTCCTGTCTGAGCGCGCCCCCTCCCTCCCGCCGGCCGACGCCCTCCACATGCGCCAGAACCGCCGCTGACCTCGCGAGGGGCGGCGCACGCCAGCAACCACGGCACTCGCCCAGGCACTCGCCCAGGCACTCGCCCACCATGTCCAAGGACAAGCGGCGCAGCATCTTCGGCAGCTCGCTCAGCGCCTTCACGAGCATCACCCCCAAGAAGGACGACTCGCAGCCCGCGAACCTCCTGCGCAAGCGCCGCACCGCCTCGTTCCTGTCCACCCTGTCCGACGCCTCCGCCTACAGCGAGAAGACCATCGACGAGAACGCCGTCGCCGAGACACCGCTGCCCGCCGCGCGCCCGCGCCCGCCTCTGCCCAACCGCGGCACCGGCAAGCGCGCCAGCTCGGTGTTTGGGTCGCTGACCTCCAAGTTCTACGACGATGAGCCGCTGTCCGCGACCTCGACCCGCACGTCCATGGGCTTCGACTTCCCCATTGACGAGACACACAGCCGCCACGTGCTGCAGCATGGCGAGGTCCAGACGAGCAGCTCCATGTTCAGGAAGAAGCGGGAGCATCTCGTGCTGACCGAGACGCATCTGATCCGCTTCAAGAGCCAGGCGAAAGCCTCCGAGGCCTTTCCCAGGTGAGCCCGCCCGCTGCCCTGGCCGCGACGTGCACGTGTATGCTGACCCGTGACAGCGTGCCTTCCTCGCACAACACCACCAGCCGCCAGTCGACCTACCGCCACAGCCACAGTCCATCCACAGGCTCGGCCCCCGCGCCTGAAGCCCCCTCGTTCGCCTCCGATGCCTCGGGAGACCGCGACATGGGCACGCCTCTGCGCCACATCGTCGCCGTGTTCCATGCTCCTGACGGAGGGCCGTACTTTGCCCTCGACGTCTACTATCTCGACGACGAGACCAATCAAGCCTCGTCAATGACCCTGCAATTCGGCGACCCGGACGAGATGCGCACGTGGATGTTCAAGATACGTTTCACTTCGAACAACGCACGGTTAAACGACGCCAACCCGCTCTCCGCCTACAATTCGCACCTCGCTGCTCGAGTCGTCGAGGCGGAGCGCGACTATGTGCCGCCGCACTACGCCATCTACAAGGTCGTACTGCGGGAGTCGGCCAAGACTGCGTCGTCGCGGGCATCATCCGATGACCTGAGCAAGCTGCCTGCTTCTGTTTGTTTCCTCGCCATTGGTGTGCACAAGGTACACTTGATCCCCTTGTTCAAGCCGCCTTCTCAACGGTCCTCTAGTCCGTCATTGGCTTCACTCAGCTCCCAGTCCTCGCATGGCATTCTCGCCCTCACCGAGTGTATCCTCAGCGAGGTCGATGACACCTTCCAGCTGACTTTCAGGTATTGCTCCCTTCCGGTTTAGTAGTCCGTGACTAACGCCTGTAGAAAACCACTGGAGAAACCCAAAACCTTCCATCTAGCCTCCCTTGCATCGCATGATATCGCCGTCCGCCTGCGCTCCGTCGAAGAAGCCCTGCGGCCGGAATGGGAATCACGGCCATATCACTTTGGTGTCCCCGAATCTGTCAAAGAGGACATTATGCGCCAACCGCAAGTCCACTCGATGGATCAGGATTCGTTGGACCGCACGCTGATTGGCTACTGTCTCGCATACGGTGTACAGCCCGAGAATATCAGCTATCAAGTTACATATCCGGATGAAGATTCGCCGCGCTTCGAATTGCTGCAGCCCATTGGACTGCGACGAGACCAGTACACGGTGCTTGAATTACTTGCTGTCATGCGAGCATTACGATATAATGAGACCTTTGCGGGCATTTCCTTCAAAGATGTGCATCTGGACATTCTCAACGGTTTGTTCGATGATTATGGGCACGAACATGTGTGCACGAAGACTAAAAGAGGGACGCACGCGCGTATGGACATCGATGACTTATCACGCTCAAGCGTACTCGTGCAAGAGATCCGAGCTCTAGCCTTGACAAACCGCAAGTTGCGGCGCATGGATTTTTCGAATTGCATCAAGAAGAAACCCAAAGACTTCACAGAAGCAAAATCAAGCGCCAGAGACTCGGGGTGTGGTATAGTGGAAGCACTGTTTCCTCTCTGCAAGTACCAAACAACAAATGTTGATTGGATCGCGTTGAATGGTATACAGCTTGGCGAGACAGACTTGGACTATTTGGTAGCAGCGGCAGTTGAGCGAGATTGCCATCTGCGGGCTCTTGAGATGAGTCGCTGCGGTCTTACTGATCGCGCCTTGTCTCTTGTTTTAGATTCCCTGCGCCCCCAAGAGAATACTCTAGAGGCACTCAATCTCTCCGCAAATCCCTTCCGACTGTCACCCACTTTGTTCGACTCGCAAATTGGTTGTTTTGCATACCTCACAAAACTGGACTTGTCGCATGTTGCGCGAACATCCGGTCCTGAGCCCTTGATATCCGTCGAGACATTGAACGTAATGAGACTGCAAGAGCTGTGTTGGAGCGGCACTTCACTCAATGCAGCGACCATTGATGCAATAGCAGGGTGAGTTCTTTCGCCTTCATGGCCTATCGGAAGCTGACCTGACCTAGATACCTCATCAATACCAAGCAGTCCAAAGGGCTTCGAGAGCTGAAAGTAGACCATTGCTACATCACCGGGAGAGACGTTGCTTACTTGCTGCAGTCCATGACGGATGAACCAGGCAAGGCTAGAGATCTACACTTGGACGTTAGTGAAAACTACATCGAGAAAGACCTCAAGAGCCTCACAAAGGCGATTGCATCCGGTCACGCTCCTACACACCTCACGATTCGCTTACTTGAGTTCGAGGAAGAGTCAGACTTCCGCAAGATGATTCAGGCATTGAGCCAAAACAAAACGATCCGCCAGCTCGACATTTCTCGTGCGTCTCTACCAAGTGATGCCTCCGAGGAGACTTGCCAAGCACTGGAGCAGATGTTTGCTGGCAACGATACGTTGGAGTGGCTTGACATGTCTGGAGAAGACTCCCGATTGGAGACTACAAAACTTGGCGTTGGAGTCAACAGGGCGCTGCAAGGATTGCAGTACAACAAAACCCTGCGCGTCTTGTACATCAGATGTAAGGCGCACCCCGTACCCACCAACTACTGCAACGCTAACTCGCCACAGACCAGAAGCTTGGCGTACAAGGTGCGAGCACCCTCGCAGACGTGCTCAAGACCAACAGCACCCTGCAATACCTCTACTGCGAGATGAACGACATTGCGCTCAATGGTTTCACTGACCTCGTCAATTCTCTTCACCGCAACACCACACTGTTACACCTTCCCACAATGCAGGAGTCCCGTCAAATGGCGCTCAAGCGGACGGAAGACCAGGTCAAGCAGTTGCGCGATGATCATTCCACTCATACGACATCCAAATCTTCTGTCCGCAGCAAACTCGCCAGCAAAGCTAGCAAGGTCACCTCCAAGACCGGTCGAGATCGGGGTCCCTCTATTGGCCTTTCTGATCAGGACATCAAAGCTGCGTTAGGTCTGGTTGATGAAAGCTGGTCACGCCAAGAGTACCGGCTACAGCAATACCTCCAGCGGAATCATGATATCGCTAATGGTCTTCCCGTCTCCATGGATGTTGGCGACGAAGATTTTGAACGCAATCGCCCAGACACGGCATCTAGTCTAAGTAGGGTCATCGAACAGGTCACCATGGACAGCACGCCCACCATGGAAAAGGACCTTCAACTAGGCGCTTCCACACCAGGTTCTTTCTTCGAGTCACCAGGAAGTACGCCAGGTAGCACTCCAGGTCTCCGAATGGCAAAGACACGACATCTGCATGCCCCGAAGGTAGACTACTTCAGCGGCAGCTTCACTTCCAGCCCCTCTGACACTCCCAACGGAACACCTTCCATCGAGAAAGACATCCAGGTCGAGCGCACCATCGGCCGAGAGCGCCTGAACCTCAACCTAGACGTCACTAGTTTGGAGAAGGAGATTGAGATGAGTTTTGCGCAGAACCGGGACTCGTTTATGTAGCATCTGTCCGCGCTGCCCCCTGTAACATTCATCCTCAGCATTTACATTGACATTTCAGGCGCACTGGCTTGGGCATCTTGCATCCGTGGCGTTGGTTTTGTGGTTTATCAGCGAGCTACGACTCGGCATTTTCACAGCATAGAGCAACAATCCAGCGGCTGAATAGCTTGTACTTGGACATTGTCGTTTACCACCCGTGCTTGATGTGATGTATGTACTCTCCAATTCGTCACGCGCTTGACGTCACGGAAAGCGCTGTAGCTATTTCACGCTGTTAAAGAATTGATAGAGTCTGTTAAAACGTGAGATACTGTTATGAATTACTGCGTGGCCGCCCCCATCCGCCCTCAGGTGTCAATACTGTTTATCGGCATAAGTTCCCTTCACGCGCTGGTGCAGGCTGTCATAGTTGCTTCGAAGCGTAACTGTTCGCAGCAGTGTGCGTATCCTTCGAACGAGTATGGCTGTCTGTTCTGGTCCGAATCTTTGTCCAACAGATCAGGGGCGTTCTGGTTGGCTCCAACAACTTTAGGACTACCAATTTACGATTTTTCTCCTGGTTGAGTCAAACTCGGGGTCCATACTAGTCATGTAGTTGTGGTCCCTCACGACCTGACGGCCTCCAGCAACACCGACTGAGAGCTTCGAACAACACCACAGCAGTCTGGATCAGAACAGGCTCTTGCACAACATCCTGAACATGGCTACTCAGCGCACAGAGTTCTCGGATGAGGAACTTGAGAAGTTCCAGGAGTTCTACGATCTGGCGGAGGGAGATATTGAGGTGGAGTTTGAATACCAATGCGACCTGTTCGATCAATACTTCCCCACACCTGAAAAGGCTGGAGACTACAACGACTGGTACGACCTTTACAAGGAGAAGGAGCGGGCGCTACAGTTTCCCTCCGCCACCAGGTCCCAACTCACGGAGCCGGTTTCCGAGCTCATCACTGCTGCACCATTAGACACCTATAAATCCCGGTTGGCGAACACAGACTTCAACAATATCCACGATGTTGCCGGGTAAGACTGTAACCACTCGTCGTCTCAATGTTGCTAACACGTATAGGCTGAACGACCTCATGAACTGCGGCTTCCATCCCCACATCCCGGTTGGCTACACTCAGGAAACAAAGAAGGTGGCTTTCCGTTTGGTGCCTACAACGACCATCCTGTATCCCACCAAGGAAACGGCCTGGAACCACGGCCCCGATACGGTGATAACGCCGCCCATGTTTCTGGGCATCAACCATACCGTGATCCTCAACGAGATTTACGGCGATAAGGAGTTCATGATGGAGGAGATCGATGCCGTGAACCGCTACCTGCACGACGGGGACGAGCACGGTTTCGACTTCGAGGGCTTACCTGAGGATGAGAACGAGCTTCTGCACTGCTTGATTGAGATCGTGGATAGTTTCTCCGTTGGACACAACCGCTTCGGCAAGTACGGCAAAAACGCTCCCGTCAAGTCTTCAACACAAAAGAGTCCTGGCATAGACTACGCGTCCAGTTCTGCTTCGGAGGGCTCAACGGTACCCTTGGACGAAGTACCTTCGAAGTCTTCAGCACGCCGAATTCGTGATTTTGAGAAAAGCACAGAGGAGTCGACCAGAACAGGCGACTCAGACTCTACCAACGATCACACTGGGTTCGTCTTCTACCAACTCGGCAGACTCCAATTCTGCGAGTCGCTTCCCGACGTCCTCACCACCGACAAAGACGTGATCCACACAAAGCACTGGGAGTCGACCGAATACGTTCTCGTAGCCGAGGTAGGGTTCTACGGCAAACTGGGCGCGGTGTGGTTGCTGTGGAACTTCTGGCTCCGCGACGGCGATGGCGATTACTGGTCGCCGCCATGGGAGAACTTCCCCGGCACGCGACACCATTTCTCAGGCGCAAGGATCGCGGACTGCTTTGACCAGCTCGGAGTGGCCAGGGAGATCAAGATCCCGAAGAGCCCTGCTCATCGTTTCACCGAGGACTTCGAGCTCGTGGGTTGTTTCAGGCTGCCAGATGATGGGAACCGGCTTGTGCGCCAGTGGGTTGTTGATCGGTCGGTGCCGCGCCAGAGGTCGAGTGCTACTTGAGCGCTGAGATTGGTGGCGGTGAAGGACCGTCCCGGGTTGTCGTGCGCGTCTTGTGGCGGTTGGAATAGTGTTAAGGGCAGTATATGGGTTGTCTAAGCTTCATTGTCTTGCAACACGTAGGTTTCACGAAAAGTGTGTATCCACTTTCCCTACCGTAGCAAGATATATCCCGCAACTATGCAAGGTGCCTGTTTCCGGTAACAATCATCTCGTTATCACTCTCTTCGTCACCCCCAAATGAGCCTGTCTAATCGTTCCTGAAGTACCCTCTCTTCTCGACCACCAAAAAACAAAGTTTCGCCCTGCAATTCCAACATCACACCCCATTATGGCAACACACCCCCAGAACAGCGTCTCTCCCGGCAACTCTACTACGCGAAATCCTTATAGCACCGTGAAATTAAGTAGCACAACGGAGAGTCCGCCGTAAAGTCTTTCAAAATGCCCCTCGGCGAAGTCTCGCTCCCATCTCAACGCTGATATCGGCTGAGTGCATGGAGACGGTACAGTCGGACAGGTGCAGACACACGACACGACATGACAACATACGCTGCAACACGGCATACATCAGTAGGCAAAAACGGTGTGTATATTCCAGCAACACGCCTAACTCTCAAACACAAACAATCGAGTTTCCCCCTCCCCCCTAGACCCCCGCCCCAAACTTCCCGCCCTCACAACACGCCGCCTCCCCCACGGGCTTCCCCTGCGCCGCCGCCGTCTCGCCCCCAAACGCCAACCGACTAACGCGATCCACCAACGTCTCGCCCTGCGCCACCCCGCTCGGCACACTGCAGTAACTCGGCTGCACATCGAGCGCCGGATTGCGCGTGAAGAAGTGGCGCGGCCGCAGCAGCAGCGACATGGGCTCGGCGGGCATGACGGGGAAGTCTTCGGGCGCGGGGAAGTGCGTGAGGCCGAAGGTGTGCCACAGCACGACGTCTGTGTTTTCGAGGGATGCGGTGGGGGCCGCGGCGATCCAGGCGGGTAGGCCTTGCGAGGGCTCGCCCGAGGTTTGCGGGACGTGGCGGCCGGCCGGGTGGATTTGGGCGTCGTCGTCTGGGGGAGTTAGTAGGGGCGATAATATGGGGGTGCGTTAGGGGGAACGTACATTTTGTGACGTGGACGGCGTGGCGGGCGAAGCCGGCGCGCTTCCACACCAGGCCGCCAGGCTTGGGCAGCAGCTCGGGGACTTCTCTGCTGACCAGCTTGTAGCTGGCCGGCTTTTTGCTGTAGGGGTTGAGCTTGGCCTCGTTGCACATGTCCCAGGTGCGACTGGTGGCACCATTGTAGTCGGTGGCGGCCTGCTCGGGGGTGCTGAGTTTTGTCTTCTTTGCATAGAAGGCGTTGCCGTATTTGTTCTCAGCACTGCCGACTTCGCCATCGCCGCGCGCGGCGTCAACCATAAAGACGGAGTTGTTGGGGCCGTCGATGTTGGGGTCGATACGCAGGCAAAACAGGTGCTGGTGGTTGTGCGCGTTGACGCCGGGGTACACTTCTGTGCCCCACCCCTTGAGGTCTTCGCCGGGGAGCATGGCGTAGGTGTTCAGGATGCCGGTGAGCTTAATCTCGAGCTGGATGGTGCCGTCGAGATGGAAGATCCAGTACACGCAGTACTCGTAGTTGGCGGCAGTGAAGATGTGTGAGATGATGAGCTTGCGTGCGCGTGTAACCGTGACACTGTTGTCGCGGAAGTCGGTGTGCTTGAACAGAATACCAGCATCTTCCTCGTGGATGCAGATAGCGTTCTTGATCGTCGTTGCCTGGCCGGCGCGGTTGACAAACGCCGCGTCCATGTAGTGGATCGCGCCCTTGCAGTCACACCCCAGACTCAGCGAGTTCGTCATGTATCCACCGCCGTACTCTCCGAGATCAAACGCGTGCTTGCGCTGGTGAGGGTGCTCCGGGTTTCCATACGGCACCACCATCTCCGCAAGCGACAGTCGCCAGAACGTGTCTCTTTCTGTGCCCTTGTCGTTGAATGTGATGTTGCTCAAAACCATACCCTCGCGGTAGTTGAAACCGACATGCAGCTTCCAGTTCGCCCAGGTGATATACCTCCCATCCATTTTGAAGCTGACACCTTCCGGCTGCGAGATATGGATTGGCTTGAGATCAGTCCTGAATCCTCCCTCCTTCTCAATGGCGGCTGCATGGTAGTTATTCGGTGGCGCTGTGTTCAGCGGCCTGCGCACTGGCGGGATATCAATATGGACAATCTCCTGAGTATCCGAGTTGTAAATTGGGCAAAAGTCGAGCGGAAAGCTATACTGGCTATCATCCACATGGGGGCGATAGTACATCAGCGCCTGCTGCAGGCGCACAGTGGTGCCAAAGCGCTCGTCGTAGCCAATCGTCCACGGGTCGCAGTACACCTTGTGCATATCCTGAGGCGGGATGCCCAGAATACCACACTGCTCAATGACTTTAGGGTCCTTGCGCACCACCGTCTCGACAATCTGCAGATCCTCCATGGTGATCAGCGGCTGCACGCCCTCGGTCAGCTCCCAGGTCAGCAGCTTGCTCTCCGTCAGGTCGACGTGGGCGTCGAACACCTTGCTGCCGCGCCCAATGCACACAACGTCTGCGACACGGTGCGGACGCGGCGCCACAAGGGGCGCGCGGATCCAGGCCATCATGTCGGCTTTGGGCGGCTCGAGCAGCGTGACAGCGTTGAAGAAGACATCAGGGTGGGCCTTGCGAACGAGAGCTACAGCGGCCTCGATCTCGAGCTCGGAGAGGGGGTCGAAGGGGTGTGGCGGCGCGACTTGGCCTGTGATGTGCGACGCCGCCTGCTTGAGGCGATCAAGAGCCATTGTGAAGGAACGGGGTCAATTGGAGAGCACGAGGTTGTCGATGATCAAGGACGGGCCCCTCGGCGGGGTTATGTACGGCTGTCGTCCAGCTCTCCATCTCGGCTGTTCTGTCGATTGGTAGATTTGCGAAGCAAGCCCGCGTCGCGGAAGTCTACCATGCTTTCAATTCAAACCAATGGGTGCAGTTCCTCAATGTCAACGTTCGTTATCATCCGCCGCGATAAAGCTCCTGTTGCGGTTAGATCGGCGTTTAGCGCGATGCGTCTTCCCCACTTCTCGATGCAGTGCTTGATGCTTTGCTGCTCTTCCAGCTGCTCGGGTAGGCTTCGGGTCATATAATTGACTTCACGCGTGATTGATTTGGGAAGTGCCGAAAGCGCAAGGTACAGGCGAGTCTGGTTGATGAAGACCGATGTGGGGGCCTGCAGTTGGTGTGCCATGTGGAAGACGTGTGTGGTTGCGACAGAGTACGAATAGGTATGAAGCAATGATGTTGATATTGATGTTGCAAACTACCGTGTCTAATAGCAACTTACCCTTCTACAATCCTGCAGAGACAACTGCTTTTTATTACGGTCTTGTGTATTTTTTAATTTCTCAATACAACACAGAAATTAAGATGACAATTACTACGATTATACTACAATTACAGCAAAGCGTCTAGCCACAAATCAACGCGTACAGTGTAGGTGTGCAATACTGATAGATACTCCAGCCTAATGCCTGAGAGGACCGCAAGTGTCTACCTGGTCTAACAGGGCAGATAGGCGAGAGGTCTGCTCAGCATCTTCTACAACCTTGGTCAGTAGTTGTGATAGGCACAGGTCGAGGCCATGGTCAACACACGTCTTGTGAGAGCTGCACCACTGCTCTCTACCTAGGTACCTTCTTCCCTGGCACCAACTTTGCGACTAACAAAAGGTCGACGTGGCTGCGCATATGCGAGAGGGTACAAGGACTATTGACCACGCGCGCACTACGCATGACTGAGGGACGCAGACTTATGCTCCTCAGGACATGCTGTACAGACGCTGGTTGATACCGGCAAAACGGTACGCGCATCTCCGCTCCAAGCGTTTGAGCCATTCTAATCCTACGCCGGGACAGCAATACCGACCCAACACTCCTCGATCTTTCCAACGCCGAACGCACGCTTTTTGACGAATCCCATGCCCGGTCCCACGCCGCCTATTGGCTGGCACGATGTGAACGAGGTGCAACGGCCGTGGTGCTCGATAGAAGACCTGTACAAGGAGATGGAACCACGCCGCAAGCGCGTCAAGTAGCCCACCTGTACCAAGGCAATGACGTGTGGCCACGCAGGAACAACAGTGAAGCAGTCGCAGTTCTTCAACGCCCGTCCTGTCGCTATGTCGCCAGCATCGTCCCAAACACCTTCGCATAGAAAGCCTTGACCTCCGTACACGCGTCCTGATCCGTCCTGCACGCTTCCTCCTCCACGCACTCCCACATCCTTTTCTCCACATCATACCCAAATTTTTCCACTACGTACTTCTCTTTTCCCCATATCCTATGCCAGTTTCCATTTGCATCCCATGCCACGCCGCCCTCGCGCAGAAGCTTCAGCGGATTGAGTTTCGTGTCCGCAGACACTGTATGCACAAAAAACGCTCTGACTTTGTTCTTCTCCTCATTTCGTTCGTTTTTGGGTTGTATGTGGTTTGGATACGGAGGGTTGTAGAGATAGTCTTGCATGGGATCTGCTTGGCCCGCTCCGGCGAATATGTATTTTTTATTGACATGATTCCCGAGGACTGACACGGGGGTTTTTACCGCGTAAAAAGGCCCAGGCGCATCCACTGCCACGGCAGCAGCGCTAAACGTCTCTTTATCGCCTTGCCCCGGGCCGCCCTGCGCTTGTAAGGGATAGTAGTAGTCCGGGCCGAAGTAGTTGTAATACACCATCATGGGAATACTTTCAGCATGGTGCTTCTTGTTCAGTAGTAGTTGGCCTGATTCTGTGCCGCGGGTTGGTGGCGGTTCGGCGATGCCTGCGATGTGGTAGTAATGCGGGGATGCGGCGTTGGCGTAGAATCCGGGCCACGTTACGAGGCCATGAGTTGTGTATGGTGGGGACTATCATTGCGCAACGTTGATTAGCTTGGTTTTGGGTTGTGGGATAGGCGACGTACGTTGAAGAGAGGTGTTGGATCGTGTGCCGGGAATGCATCCGCGTCGAGAAAAAGAACATGTCTAAATGATGAGAAAAGAATGGCGAGGATTTTGAATTGAAAGTGCTCTGGCGGCGCGATTTCAACATCCGCTGTCGAATAGATATCTTCAACGACGTGACACTGTGCATTTAAACTAGGTAGCACATCCTCGCATGTACTCTTCACTTCTTCATACTCTGTTTGATCACCGAGGAAAACTTGAACCGGTAACGTACATCCCGTCCGCCGAAGCATGCGTAGAGATACAAGCAAGACAGGGAATAATTTCAATCCGCCAGTCGTGACGATACCGGTCTCATCCCCAACTGGTAATAGCGGTGCTAGGCGTCGGGCTGCGACGCGCATACGGCGATGTGCACGCATCAGTTCCGCCTCATCTTCTGCCGGCAGAAATATTCGTTGCGGTCTCTCTTTCTTCTTAAGCGGTTCATAGTCTTTATCCGCATTGGACATTTCCTCGGTCGTGACGTTGATGGGAGGACATGCTGGACGCGCGGCTTCGAGGGAACTCGCGAGCTCTTTCCAGTAGGAGATCAGGTTGGTCTGGTAGTCTGCAGGAGAGCCAGAGCCGGCGGAGGTAAATGGTTGGAGAATGGAGATGTTACCCTCGCGCAAAGAAGATGTAAAGAGCGATGAAAGAACATAGTCCTGCGAATAAACTAGCCCGCCAGCGAGATAGATGGTTGGAACGGATAAGCATAGTACTGGTACTGTACTCTAACGTGAGAAGGTAGCACAGCAGCCTGCGAACCAGAAAGAATGTTTTGGGAAACGATTGAAGAAAAAAAGGACGAGATCCATCCCGCTATTATACATCTGCTAGATTCGGCGGCTTACTTCAAGATAGGCGGTAGGATTTGTATCCTAGTCAAAGCTTACAAGTTAATTACAGAGATAGCCAAACAGGTCGTAGGGCATGTTCTGTAAGGCGTGCAGGACTTTCTGGAAAGGGCGTCGGCTGAAGCCACAGAGTAAGCGCCAAGACCACCACTACCGCGATGTCTGCCTGTACCCGGAAGGCCTTGGAGGACATTAGGAGCAAAGGCACAAGCTCAGCTCAGTCCATCATTTGTGATTGATACCGTGATAGATTAGAGTAACTCAGCTTTGCGTATCCGTCGTCCAACAAGCTCTGGGCGTCGAACAAATAACTCTCTCTCGACCTTTTGTCGGACTCGAATGGATCTGGCCCATTGACCGATGGGAGTGGGCACTTCGCCAAGCATCTGCTCCCGATCACGATAACAGCAAGGGAGATGATAGAATTGACGGTAAGTCGGGTGCCCAAATGCTGGAACGATGCGTTGAGAAAAATGAACACCATTGTGCAACGATCAAGATTACTTTGGTAGAGCGAGGCGGCTCAGCATTCCGTACGAGATGCGTCTTGTCCTACTTCGCTACACCCCAAGAGACACTTTTATGAAGCTCGCGGATGATAGTCGACTAGTTTTTTCGGAACTACGGAGATGAGCTATAGCTGCACGCGGGAGACGAAATGCCTTCCACCAATCAGATTCAAGATTCATTTCCAGTGAACTGGCAGCAATCACCAGTACGTTGGATTGCTCCTGCATGATATAGGAGCGGGCCTAACTTGCTTACTAGATTAGTTGCATTCGGCCGCTTTTTGGGTACCGCACCGGAAGGTGTCAGAAAAGATGACTAAGTGAATTTTTCTAAACAGGTGCCAAGAGTGCCAGTACAACAGCCGTCATTCCTAGCGGCGTTCTCCTGCACAATTGCAGGGCGCGTTGAAAGGTACATGTCTTACTGGCGAGTCACTCTGCTTTATGTTTGAAGCCGTTGTTTCACTGCCTCATACATGCGCACAAAAACCATCGAATCAAACTCAACGCAACAGTACTAAAGCCTCGTCACAACGCGATTCTACTACAATCATGCAGCTCCCTTGCTGACTACGCTCTCGAAGAGTAAAAATGCTGTAGTCTCACGTCCGTGCGTGTTCGGCTTGCAGCGATGTCCCGAACCGTCATCGAAACTCGATTCCGAGACTCGTGTTTGGTCCACGGTGAATCTCTACAGGAAGTTCTGGAGATTTAGAGAGTTGCGGCCTGAGCAAGAGGGTTCGTATAGTGGGCTGGACTGGTGGAAGGAGGCTAGAAGGAGGCGCGAGCAGCGGCCATGAAAGCACTTTCGCAGCAGCAGTCCCACTTCAGTTATTACTCTCAATCACCGCCTCGGCTTGCCCTTCCCCTTCTTATCCTTCCCACCTTTACTCCCCGGCCCACCCGTGATACTCCTGACATCCTTCTTACTCAAACTCAGCGTACCACCCTTGAACTTTCCGATACTCGGCCCACCCACACTCCTCTCCCTCTTCCTCTCCTTGTCTTTACCCGCAACACGCTGCTCCTTCTCCAGGATAACACCCGCCTCGCGCGCTTCGTAGCGGCGCTTTTCCTCGCCCACGCGCGCCTTCTGCGCCATGTGTTTGCGCTGCGCCATCGGCATCTTCTTCTGCGTGAAAACGCTGCCGCGCGCGCCCAGCGTCTGCAGGTGCAGATCTGTGGACTTGTGGCGGGCGGCGCCCGAGGTGGTGAGCGAGGGCGTCGAGGTGCCCGAGGACGAGGCAGAGAGGATGTGGGAGTCGCGCAGGAGTTTCTGGAGCGCGAGGTCGTTTTTGAGGTTCGCGACTTCGCCCGTGTCGTCGGCGTCGGCGGGCTTTTTCTTGAGGAGCGTCTTGCCGGGTGTGGGCGTGGAGGATGTAGGGGGTTTTGAGGACATGAAGGCGCGCTTTTGCGCTTTGGAGGTTTCGCCGTCCGAGTCCTGGCTTGGGTCTTTGTATTCCACGACCTCGACTTGGCCTGTTTCCGTGTCGCTGAGCCCTGACCAGGCGTCTTCGTCGTCGTCATTGTCTTCGTCGTCGTCATTGTCGTCGTCGTCGTCCTCCTCTTCTACTACCGGCGTGGCCACGACCTTCGGCTTTTTGGGCTCAACGTCCAGCGGCTTGAACTTTTTCTCAAACGCGCGCCGGAACAGCTCCTGCATGTCCTCATTATCCGACCCCGACGACGGCGAGGGCGACCGCGACGACCGCTCCAGCTGCTCCCTTGTAACGCGCTTCCGTTTCCCGAGCTGCGGAGCCATCATGTGCCGAGTGTGTGAAGAGAGTCGTACGACCCCAACCCACCCAAACCCATCCACAAAAAAATCCACGCTAGCCAAGAATCTCGGACCCCCGAGCCACACACCCCTCCCCCGCATCGTCACCACCACACATTCCAATTGCTAACCGCCATGACGAAATTCCGCCCCTGCATAGATCTGCATGCCGGCAGCGTCAAGCAGATTGTCGGCGGCACGCTGTCGACCTCGACCCCGTCGGAGCTCAAGACCAACTGGACCTCGGAGCACCCGTCCGCGTACTACGCCGCGCTGTACCGCGACCACGCGCTCGCGGGCGCACACGTGATTATGCTGGGGCCGGGCAACGACGCCGCGGCGCAGGAAGCTCTGGGAGCGTGGCCCGGCGGGATGCAGGTCGGCGGCGGCATCGACGAGGGGAATGCGCGCACATGGATTGAACGCGGCGCGGAGCGGGTGCGTTGACGACTTCACAACTCGGGGCTTGCATGGACATAGGGGCCGCACGAGGGCTTGGTTGGTGGGAGCACAGCTGACCAGCTGCAGTAGGTCATCATCACATCATACCTCTTCCCCGATGCTACCTTCAGCATGCCGCGCCTGCGCGCTGTGCTTGCTGCGCTCGACAACGATAAAGAGAAGCTCGTCATTGATCTGTCCTGCCGCCGTAAGGACGACAAGTGGTTCGTCGCTACCAACAAGTGGCAGACAATCACCGACTTTGAGTTGAACGAGGGTATGTGCCTCCCTGTCATCCTCTTGCCTCGCTCGCCTTCCAGTCCCGAGAAGACCGACACTAACACCCCCCAGAAAGCATCCGGCTCCTGGAGCCCTTCTGCTCCGAATTCCTCATTCACGCCGCCGATGTCGAAGGACTGCAGCGCGGCATCGACCATGCCCTCGTGTCGCGCCTCGCAGAATGGTGCCGCATCCCTGTGACGTATGCTGGCGGCGGCCGCTCCATTGCCGATCTGGAGCTCGTCAAGGAGCTGAGCAGCGGCAAGGTGGACCTAACGATTGGAAGCGCATTGGATATATTTGGCGGCGAGGGTGTGAAGTTCGAGGAGTGTGTCGCGTGGAATGCGAGGCAGACTTAGATGGGTGGAGACACGTGACTGAAGAGATTAGTGGTGGTGATATCGGTGCAGAGCAAGCGAGTAACGATGTGAATACATGTGCATTGCAGGGATCTGTGGGTCTACTAGCTATGCAAGCCGTTCAAACTCCTTTCGTTCCAAACCTCGATTCATGACGTCTCTCATGAAGTCGGAAACCCCCAAGTGCCCGAAAAAGTGGTGCCGCGCCAATGCAGTGCGAACGTGACCAGTCTGCAGTGAGCCATGTGGCTCAAATTCCAGTCTCTTTCAATTATACAGCCCGCAAAAAGACATATCGAGAAGGTAATTTACTCGGCCTCAGCCTCAGACGTGTGCGGCTTTCTTCAGCGTCGCCTGTGTTTGTTAGCAACGTACTTGACTAAACATCTTGCAAAGCACCTACTTCTTCTAACCAGCCCGTGGCGTACCGACCGCGCTTGTGACCCCCGTGCTTAGCCCGCCCGTCACGCTCGCCGCATCGTCAAAGTCTTGCCACTCGGGGTATTCCTGCGTCGCCTCTCTCAGCTTGTCTACCGCTGTCTGCTCGATGAGGTTGGCGTCCTGGTACAGCAAACTACTGTCCTCGTTGTAGAGACGGCAATTGCTGCACAGCAAACCGAGATCTTGGCGGAATGTCTTGAGCGACTGGTACTCCTTTTTGTTGATCTTCTTCTTGACCTGGTTCATGCAGATCGGATTCTTGATCAACTGGTAGTAGTCTGGGTAGTCCCACTTGTCCGGCAGCTCGATGAACGGATCGATGATCCCGCGGTTCGGGATGCCGTCTTCAGTAGACTCCTCTTCGAGATCGTTAAGAGCTTCGTAGACAGCATTGACAACCTTCTGCAACGACGCCCGTTGCTGCGGCTGTAATGTGTCCTTGGCTGGCGCCGGGCGCCCACGCTTGCGGGGCACGACATCTCCATCCAGGGATGCTTCATCTGCCTTGCGCTTCTCGGGCAGCTTTGGCTTCCTACCACGCTTCTTTGGCAGTGGCTCTTCTGAGCTCTCTCGCGACAGCGCGGGAGAATCATCTCTCCCGGGCTTGCGACCCCCACGCTTAGCTATCCTGGCTTCTTTGCGGGCAATGGCAGCTTCGATCGTATCCTCGTCGTTGTCAACAGCCTCGAGCCACTGCTCTTCGGTCAAGCCATCGTCGTACTTGACGCGAGTGCGCTCACGAGCGCCACGACCAACAGGCGTGTCTGCAACCTCTTCAACGACGGGCCCTTCTTCGTTCAGATAGATGTCGGGAAGTTCGCTCTCGCCAATTAGACGTGGTAGCGCTTTCCCTGGACCGTATGGATCATTTGCGAGGCGCTGTTTATCCATCTCTTGGAAGAGCTTGAACTCATCGTCGTTTCGCATCATGATCATATTGAGGTCATCGTCATCCATCTCTTCCTGCTCGAGACTTTCGGCCGCTTCAGCAGACTCCAACATGACTCGCAACATGGCGTCTCGCTCCTCGTTCGTCGATTTGTTGTCGAACTTACCGGCCTGAATGACCTTTCCATCCATATCAAGCTTGTAGTTAGCTCGTTCGAGAATCTTCTCTTCGACCGAGTTGGAGGTGATGAGACGCAGAATGCGGACCTCATTCTTTTGACCAATACGATGAGCACGATCCTGGGCCTGCAAATCCTGGTGAGGATTCCAATCAGAGTCGTAGATGATGACTGTATCGGCCGTCTGCAGGTTGAGACCAAGACCACCAGCACGGGTAGACAAGAGGAAACAAAAGTAAGGCGAGTTGGGGGCGTTGAAAGCTGTAAGCAGTTCCGAACGGTCATCTGCCTTGGTCGCACCATCCAAACGCATGTACTTCATGCCTCGCAATCGCAGATAGTCTTCCATGATGTTCATGATCTGTGTCATCTGGAAGAACATGAGCACACGATGACCCGTGGCTTGGAACTTTGGCAGAATTCGATCCAGAAGCTCGAATTTACCTGCCGCACGCCACAAAAGGTCGTTCGTGCCTCGCGTAGGGTTCATCTGATCTTCAACTTCTTCAAAGACGAAGGGGTGGTTACAGAGTTTACGCAGCTGCATGAGCATGTTACTCAGACCACGCATACCAGTCTTGCCACCTTTTCCATCGCTGACCATGAGCCTGTTATGTGTGACAAGCTGCTTGTATAGCTTGGCTTGCAAGGTGGAGAAGTTGCACTTGATGACACGCTCAGTCTTGTCAGGCAAATCCTTCTCAACGTCCTTCTTCAATCGACGCAGAAGGAAGGGTCGAAGAACCTTGTGAAGACGACGAATCACGAGCAACTGCTCTTCTTCGGTCAACTCCATCTTGTCCTGGCCTCCAGTATTGGCGAATGGAGTGTTGAACCATTCGTCAAAGGATGTTGCGGACTTGAAGATGGTTGGAAGCACGAAGTTGAGCATGGCCCACAACTCGGTGAGGTTGTTCTGGAGCGGTGTACCTGTAAGGATGAGACGGAAGCGTGTGGTATAATACTGCGTGATCGTGCTGCTCAACTTCGAATTGGCGTTCTTCATGCGATGGCCCTCGTCGACGATCATGTGTACCCACTTGATCTTGCTAAGGATAGGGCGATCCTTGATGATGAATTCGTAAGTGGTGAGCAAGACCTGGAACTGGCCCCACCGAATCTGCTGTTGGAATTGTTTTCGCTGATTCGGTGGCCCCTTGTAGACAATCTTTGACACACTGGGCGCCCACTTCTCAAATTCGCTGGTCCAGTTGGTGAGTGTACTGAGCGGAACGATGACCAAGAAAGGTCCGGGCTGCTGCTTCCTTTCAATAAGGTACGTGATCAGACTAATGGTCTGGATCGTCTTTCCAAGGCCCATTTCGTCGGCCAGGATTCCGTTTAAGTTGTTGTTGTACAACGAAATCATCCATTGCAAACCCTTAACCTGGTACTCCTTCAATGTACCACCGACCAAGCACGATGCCTGCGTAGTGACAGTCTCCTTGATACGATGTGCTATCTCGTAGTAGTCGGTGCGCTTCTTGCCTGGTCGCACCTCGTCGTCGGTGTCGGCGGCTGACTCTTCCTCGTCAGAAGAGACATCGTCGGTATTGTTGAGCTTGTAACGGTCTGAATGATTTCGCTGTTGTGCCTTGACACTGGCGGCAAGCTGCTTCAAGAACCCATCGGTCTGCTTCAACAAGTGAGAAATACGCGTGTCCTTGGCCTGTCCCAAAAGTTTGAGGTAAGTCTCTTCGTCGTTGGCCTTGAGGGCCTGCAGACGCTGCTTGGCGGTACGTTCGATGCGCTTTTGTTCCTCTTTCTCGATGTTCTGGTGAGTCGTGATCATGATGCGGCCGAGCTTTTGCAGACGCTGTCGTTGAGCCATGCTGGCTTCGTTCAGCTCTGTGCGGTGCTTCCTGATCGCATCGATGAACTCGTGGTGCTTCTTCTTTTCCTTTGTCTCGCGAGCGTCGCGTTGCTGCTTCTCGAGCTTCTCGGTAAGGCGAGCTTCGCGCATCGACTGCTTCTTAAGCCGGCGGTAGACGGTCCGGTTGGCAGTCATGGCTAGGTTGTCAGCATGAACCATCTGCTGTGCGATCTCTCGCCGCAGCTTGCGCTGCTTCTCTAACAGATTGAGCTTCTTCTGCTCGATGACGAGTGCCAATTTCACCTTGCCGTCGTCCTCCGGTGTATCGGTTTTACTTGTGTCCCATGAGCCAATGTTGGCGTTGAACTTCTCCAACTCGGCTTTCCGTGCAGTAACCCGGTTGTACAGAATGATCTCGCGCTCCTTTCGCAGCTCTTGCATGCCTTGTTGAACAGCATCAATGTCAACACCCTGAGGCATGATAGACGGAAGGTACGGTCGGCTCTTGCGCTGGGTGTGTGCGATGTAGTTGACGTCATGGAAGGCCTCGCTCTTCCAAGGCTCGATAAAGGTGTCAGGCAGACGAGGTAGGTTCCTTGGTTCTTGGACAGCTCCGCTGGGTCCGACCGAAGCGCTCACAGCGCGTGTAGCGTTGTCCAGTACTTGAGAGGCGGCAGCGACGGCGTCAGATGTGCTCTGAGTCTTCTTTGCCTGCTGGTTGTTGAACATTTGCTGCATATTCGTGGGCAAGGGCAAGCCCTTTGAAAGGTGTTTGAAGGCTGTGATTTGGTTTCTCAGCATGAAGAGCTGTTCCTTTGTGAAGCCACCCTGCGCGCCGCTGGTAGCGGAAACAGGAGTTTGGCCATCTCCAGAAGGAGCTTGGCCGCCGGCAACAGCAGGGTGTGCACCTGCAGAGGGAACACTCGTGGAGGGCGTGGTAGAGTTATCAGCTAGCTTGGCGCCGTTCATGGAAACGGCGGCACCGTTCTGCTGCCCGTTCTGCTGCTCGGAAAGGCTCTGTTGTCGCTGATGTTGCTGCTGCTTCATCATCTGTTGCTGCTGCATGTACTGATTGCGCTTCTGGACCATGGCGAGGAGGTTGCGGGCTTTAATAAGGTCGGGATTTGTGTCGGGGACGCCAGCTGCCTTCATCGCCTGGTAACGCTAAGAGCAAGTCAGTCACCATGCTGCACACTAGCAATTGCGCCGAGCGCACAAATGTGCGTGGAGAGGTGGAAGTGAAAGTACCTGAATAATCTGCGCAACCTGTTCTTTGGTAAGGTTAGCAGGCAGCTGACCTTGACCGCCTTGGGCCTGGCCAGACATATCTGGCGTGGTCTGCATCGACGCCATGGTTGTGGTGGTGGGCTATATGCGCGGTGTTGCGCACAGTGCTGATCGTGTCGGCCTCCACAGTCTTCGAACGCGGTCAATCGGCCGTGAGGCGTTGCTCAATAAGCGCGCAATTCGGAGAAAAGACAGTGCAGGTAGGTGAAGTGTGCGTGCAGCGGGCTGCTATGACATTATCGTGCTGCGACGTCGTTGTGTGCCTCGTGGTGATCAAGGCTGATGGAACTCGGCCGGGGGTGCGCGCGCGCGAGCGTCGCGGTTGATGGCAGTACCGCAGGCGGCCTGGTGAATTGCGTGTGGCTGGGAGATAAGGCGCAGGCGCGCGCAAAATGTTGGGTGTTGCGCTACACGCGTTGTAAACAACGTGATGCGCGCGCAAAAAGGATGGGGAACGAGGTTCGGTGATGTTGGGGTTGGTCGGCGTTGGGGTGGACGTTCATCGAGGCGCGGCAGAGCGAGTTCAGAGGATCCAAGAAGGGTTAGCTGGATTAATCATGTGATCCACAGGCGGCTTTTGATTGGTGCACGCGTCGTCTACAGCCTCCTTCCCTCGTTTGCATTTCTTCACCGTGACAGCTTCATGTTGTCGCTCTCGTGGACTTGCTCGAGGTTCTGACGTGTTGTGTGATCGAACGTTTGGACCAACGGCGGAGGTTCGGATTGGCGAACCAGTCGAGTGCAGTTGCGACCGTGACCCCTCCACGTCCGACGACGACCTCACGAACATCAAACTTGCTTCCTGCGTGTTGGAAATCCTCCGAGAATGCCTTGCTACAAGATATGTCCCTACGAAGCGCGCTGAGGTGATCCCCAACCTTACACTGATGGCTCATTGGCTTTCTACGTCATCACGACGATGGTGTTGAGGACGCGTTGTTCTGTTCACACACGTTTTGCCTGGCGTGGGCACCCTGCGAGCTCTAAACCTAGCGTAGATTCTCTACATCGATATATGTATGTATTTGATACGTCTCTATGATGTGGTGACCAAAGGGAGGCCTTGCCTGCAACATCAGATGCTGTGGCATGGGCTATCCAGTCAATGTACATCCCAACATATGCGCCACCAGGGTTCCTCTCGATTCTTACCATGCTCATATTATGGTGTATCAAGAATCTGCTTCTGCATGCTGTTCAACTGCCCGACTGAACATCTACAGTGGCTGTAAGCCGCAAAGCCCTTTTCATCAGGCACACTGCACCTAAGGCTTTGAGGAGAATACGACGGGCTCTCCTGCAAACAGCTACGGGAATAGACAGAGCCAATCGTTCTCATTTTCAATGACCAGAAATTCGAAAGGTGCAACCTGGTAGATGCAAACCGACAGTTAAAGTGGAGATAATATCGACAACATGGAACCGCAATTCCTTGAAACAGAGAATCGTAACAATGTCGTGCCTGACCGAATTCTAGAAGAGTCAGTTCGATTCTTGTCCTCCCTTCGACCAGGATCGAAACGGGTACGTACTCTTCCATATTCGGCAGAGAACAGCTGTTGAACGGCCCTAATATCTATGATTGGACATGCTCGACTTGCATTCAATGCCAGGAATGGCTGTCTGTCGTTTGCTGACATTGCTGCATTGATCGAAGTGCGGGGTGCTGTACCTATCTAGAGCTACCTACAATCAAGTCATTACCTGCATTATCTTGTCCATCGGCTTGCGCTAACGCTTCAATAACGTGTTTGAGTCTGCCATCTACTGCATGGTAATAGCAATAATGGTATAAGCTGTGTGTGTGCTGAGAGTTTGTCTGCGCTTCGATCACATTCTCGATCCACGGTGCCGCTCTACATCATCGAATTTACAAAAGAAGCAGGGAAGTGTAATAGAAATGTCTCATGTTACAGATAGCGTAGGACATGAGCACCGTTGTTCTTTAGGTCGGTATCGTTTGACTACCTAGGTAATGGATGAACAGCAGGTATCTGTAGACTGTCGTACTGTTCCACTGGAACAGTTTTACCATCAACTTACGGTTCCACTTTGATTCCACTGTAACGGCTCCAAGAAGAGTTACATTTGGTCACGAGAGCGTATCCCAAGTGCTGCAGTAGAGAGCGGTAGTCAATTAGTCAGGCGCGCTTACCAATACGGAAGTTAGTCTAAAATTACCACTGCGGCTCCCCTCAGCCATGCATACACGACTCGGGTAATCAGAAAACCTTAAGTTCCCTCTGCGCAGTCAAGGAATCCGAAGCTCATCTTGCGACTTACCTTTGCGATATCAGAGAGATCACCAACACGCTTAACCTAATCGGGACACCTCCTCATCAACTGCATCATCAAGCTTCGTAGAGATACCAGCGCAGCAATTATCATGGCCAGCAACCGACAAGCTGACGGCATTATCAAATTCTACGAATCAAGAGCGGCGCAGTATGACGGTACCTGGCATGACGACTTCACCAGCCGGTTTGTCAAACAGGTCGACATCCAGCCTGGGCAACAGGTACTGGATCTCGCATGCGGTACTGGACTCCTTACATTCCTCGAGGGAGACGCTGTTGGGCCATCCGGACACGTTATTGGTATCGATGTCACTCCATCAATGCTGGACATCGCCAGATTCAAGCAAAGGAAGTCCGGTGATCAGTATCCCAATGTCACCTTTTTAGAAGGCGATGTGCTACACTTACACGAAGTACTGGCTCTGAACAACAAGGTTTTCGATGTTATCACTGTTGCGTCTGCCCTGGTTCTGTTTCCGGACCCAAAGGCTGCTATTGAGCACTGGTCACAATTCTTGAAGCCAGGAGGCATCATCGCACTTGACGCTACGCACCCCAGAAATCTGGTAGCTGGTATGGTTCTTGAAAGGGTCGCTAGACGCTTGGAGTTGCCGTTACCATACAACAGATCTTGGAGTAAGTCAGACTCCACGCTCAGAGATATGCTTGAGTCTGCTGGTCTGGAAGTCGAAAAAGTGGTTCTCATGGACAACCAAGCAGGGTACGGGAGACGGACATATGACGTGGAGCAATGGGATGATTTCTTTGTCGAGAACGTAATCGTGAAGGACGTCACGAGAACGTTCGCAAACAACGACATCCGACGGGAAGCGCAGCGTGTTTATAAGGAGGAGTGGGAGAAATTGGCAATCGATGGGAAGGTAGAGGAAATCGACTCTGTGTTTCTTGGAGTTGCGCGTAAATGTGAGTCCTGTACCGCAGCCCATAATAGCTCTGAATGGGCCACTGACGATATGGAAGCTGTTGATGGTTCGAGATACGTGCCGAAGACCGTAGGCGATGGCATCATTTTCAAGGGCGGCTGCAGGTGTGGCGGCGTCCAGTACACGTCCACTGCACGACCCAAGGACATTGTCGTCTGCCATTGTCGCGCTTGTCAGCAGGTATCTGGATCTGCCTTCCTCCCGTTTACCGGCGTGCCAAAGAGCGCGCTGACCTTCACGGAAAAATCCACTCGTGAGACTATGAAGCTCTCACAAAACGCAGAGCGATCATTTTGCTCAAGGTGCGGTGCTCCCCTCACGATGACTTACTCATTTCACAAGGAAGAAATATCGCTCACTATGAGCTCCGTGGACTTGGAGAGCCTGACGTGTGAACCACCTGCCGTGAAGAAGCACATTTTTCTTCGCGAGAAAGCGCCGTGGCTTATGCTGGCGGAGGATGGGGCTGAACGATGGGGAACGTCGGAGGATGCACACATGATTCAAAGTGAATGAGCGGAATAGGTGTACATAGCAAAAACTGCAACAATCAAAGCTCCTGGTGTCAGGGTTGATGACCCCGCAAGCTTTGTTTAGACAGCCTTGCAGACAACCGCGATCAAGTGTAACACTAGCGTCACGATTGTTTCGCGTGGCCCACGGTGGCGTGCATTTTGTAGGGAACTACTGCAGGTTTTTTGAATCGGGACGCCTCACTCTTCGTGGGTCCGGGGCTATTGGTGCTTCTGAGTGATGGGATGCATGTTGCGGTGTAGGCGATGACGCTCTCAGTGGCCCAGCCTCAAAAACCTGGTCGACCAGCCACCGCCAAATCTCCAGGGACAACAGCTCACTTTTCCCCGTGCGACATCCAGTCTCGAACTTGATCTCTGATCATCTCGAACAAAACATTGCACAACTGCTCACAGGCCTCTATTTATCCAACCTTTGTACTCTCCTTGACCGCCTGTTTACTTTCGCGCTTCTGCAGGTCCACAATCGATAGCGCGACCGCCCACCGTTCCCAACAGGAACACCGCGTTTCACGACACTCATTCCATCTGTTCGTTCGCCAACAGGCTTGAGCAGCAGGTGTTCGAAAGAGGAAGTCCGTGGATCCTTGATCAACCAGAAACAATGTTTCAACCTTCTTCCCCGGAGCTCGAGCTTCAACATCCCCCTCCAGCTTCACATGCCGCTCACTTGCCTGCGCGGGGGCCACTAAGGGCTCCGACATCTCCACTCAGGCAGTTTACGGCACCACCCGTGGACGATGAGCCGAATACCTTCGACAACATTGATCTCTCTGCGCCCATTCAACCACCGCCTTCTGCCTTGACCTCAAGCGCAACTGCCTATGACCCACATAGCGAACCACCTTCCTTACTTGACAACTATCCACGTGCCGGCCGCAACAGCCACCAGCGCACCCTGACAGGCACATTCCTCGACAACAGCCAGTCTTTTCTCAACCGTGCATCATCTACGTTACAGCAACATACTTCTGCAGCATCGATTCGATCACATTCGCCGTCAAAATCCCTAGCTAGCTTCCTACCTTCAAGGAGCGCGATTGATTCGACCAAGAGCTGGTTCAACGGATCTTCTGCGCCCATCAAGCTTGGTATTCAGCAGCAGGACGACGACGCGGTCTCAGAATCAGGCTCCGAGGTACCCTCAGAGTACTACTCGTCCGATTCTGAGTCAGACGGAGGCGAAGAGGAAAGCGAACAGGAGCAGACGCACAACACCATGAACCTCTTCAATCGCAAGCCAACACACACCCGGGCAGCATCTGAGAACCCAGTTCGATCCGAACAGATGGCTACACCCAGGCAGCCGCAGTACCAGTCGCCTGCTAGTAGCAGGTTTGCTTGGCTCCTGTCGACGCAGAAGAACGCTGCAGTGCCCTCCCCTAATACAGCACCTGTCTACCACAATGCTGACGACGAGTTGCTAAATCTGAATATTTCGCAAGCTCTATTTCCCCACGGTCCCGTCGACCCTCTCGCGCCATCGTCGTTCAACGACCTACTTGCGAACGCCGAAGCCCTCCTCACACGATACCAGAAGTCGTACCGCCAGTTATCAACAGCATTGGTGGACGTACAGTCGGAACAGAGTGCACAAGACGATGAACTTGACGAAGCCGAAACAAGAGCGCGACACCTGAAAATGCAGCTAGAGACGATGGCGGCGCGTGCGACCGAGCAGGACGAGCAGATGCGAACGCTGATGGAAGATTTGGCATTCGAACGTCACACTAGACAAGAGGAGGAGGCCGCGCGTAAGAGGAGTCTCGCGCTTCTCAGGGGCCAGCCTCAGTGCGGGTGCCAGGATACACCACGCCGCCGTAACCGCATTTCGAACTCCGAGCTCAGCGTCGACTCTGGCTTCGAGTCTGATGCCGAAACCGATGCCGCAAGCCTCTTCTCCAGAAACTGCCTCAGCCCAACAGGCACCGACCGTTCCTCCATATTAGAAGTAGAGACCGACGTCACACCTACGAAGCACAAGAAGGTGCAAAGCCTACAACGTGGAGGTACTTACGATAAGGCGAGAGGCAGTTCAGTGACTGTGCAGAGCTGGGGCTGTGCAAACTGCGAGGGCGGTTCGCAGGCTTCTGTCTGGGGTCGTTTAAGTAAGGAGCGTGAGGAGACTCGTGTGCTCAGACAAAGGGTAGAGGCGCTCGAAGAGGCTGTGGAGAATGCATTAGACGTTGTTGGCGGTCAATGGCCTATGCTCTGAGGTTACATTGACTGAAGATAACACTGTCGGAGCGGGGGATTGTTGAGAATGATACCAGATTGGCTAGGCATGGCAGATCCTCGATGTTAGCGGCATAATCTGCATATTAGTAGCATAAGAGCGTTGATCGTCGTTAGCATAGTCACAATACAGCATGAGCTTACTCGAGCATCCTTGGCTTCATCTACATCAAACCCCCATCTCTGATCGAGCCAATCTCCTGCATCTTCCGCATACAGAAAGCGATCGTGACTAGTTGCGGTTCCGCGTGGACGGATCGACCAACTTTGAGCGGGTCCAGCCCTGGCATGTCAAGCTTGACGTGTCCAGCCTTCTGCGACTTGGAGGCAGGTAGTGATCGACCAAAAAAGCAACGTCGAGCAAACTGCCTGAGCAGTTTTGATTTTAAAGGCGCTCGCGAGTATAGAACCACAGTTTCGGGGTGTCATAGGTATCGTAGGATGTCATTAACTATATTTTCGTACTTGGAAGGCAGCTCTACTGGAACGGATTGAACGGTCCAACAGGCTTTCTTCCCTCCTCGTCGCCCAGTGTACTATTACTATTTTGCCCCAGACTGAAGCTTCTCCTCTTGTCTGTCTTTGAGCCCGAACTGCCATACGGGGTCCCGCCTGCGGCGCGTGCCCGTGAGTTCTCAGGTTTCATCTCCGTCACTACGGTCGTGGTGACACCCTTGCGTATCCCGTCCCATCTCTCCTCCGGCAGCCCCGTGTCCAGCATATTCTCCTCATCACTACTGCTGCCCCGTCCGCCAGTGACTGTCGTCGTGCGGACCGTGCGCTCGGCCGCGGGCCGCAAATCGTCCAGTGCTTGTTGGGTGCCATACGAGCCTCCCGTTTTGGACTGGAAGCCGCCTTTGGGCGTCTTTGACCATGGTAAACCGGAAGCTTGGGCGGTTGAGTCGAGGACGGCCTTGAAGAGGGGTTTGAGCGTTGCGATGCAACCGGCAGTTATCCCGACGCCGACTTCGACAGTTGTCCAGATTGCGAAATCAGTGGTTCGGTAGAGAAAATCGCCTTTGTAAGGTTTGAGGGTGGAGGTGTAGGGAAGGCGGATGATGGTCGCCGTGGAACCACTGATGTAATTGTCAGTATCTTGTCGTGAGTCTTGTATCAACTGGAGGAGGGGGGAGGCGCAGAACTTACATTGCTGCTAATCCGATGATGCCACTGACAATAACCTTGACTCGACGCTTCATCTGCAGATCTTTGACAACAAAGATGGGTAGTATACCGAAGGTCCAGTCGGCAACCGAGTTCAGCGCCGAGACGGCATACGTGAAGTACATGACCAACGATGCGGAGAGGCAAGTGCCGGTGTGATTTGGATCCAAGTCCCACCAGAAAGAAATTGGTCTACACTGAAATATTACAAGCAGTGTGTACGCGACTCCGACGATGGCCGCAACAGCCATGATGAAACGGATAATCCAAATGTGTACTGGGTGGATGGTGATACGTAACAAGAACAGCCCAATGGCTATCTTGAAGATCGAAGTGCTTATGGTGTAAAACACCTCGCAGAAGAACCAGTACCGGAGCGCAATTTGTGCGTTTTCATCTGTGATATTTGCACGATATTGTCCACTCCCATGGACAGCACCGCCGATTTGACATGCGAGATAAGCGGTGAATAAGGCCAGTGTGAGGACCATGACTTTATCATCCAATCCGAAGCCTTTAACAAGTACTGTTCTTTTGCCTACGTTAGATTACACATTGAAGGTTTGCGGGACAGCGGCAACTAACCGGACATAGCACCGTAATCCAACCGTTATCCATGATAGGATGAGAAATGTGATGGCTACGCCAGCAACCTGTCCGCTTCGGTCTTGCCACATCTTGACTAGATGTTCTGACCTTTGGGACCGTTCGTATCAAACGGAGGACCAACTCGAGATCTGCAGTCGCAACCGATTTACTAAAGCTACTAAAAAAGCGTGATGAGCGATTACACGAAGCAGAACTGCTCCATCATTGAAGTCCGGCGAGAGAAAGAGAAAACTAGAAGTACTAGGTTTCAAATGAGGGTCCATAACACTTGGTTATACTCAAATCCGAACGACATGACTCTGTGCGTGCCGTTCCCCTTTGGAGATCCACTTCGGGCGGTGCATGGTCTAGTTCCCAGTCTGATGTCTCCGGTTGATCTTTGCCTCGGATGAACAAGCGAAAATTAAGGTGCAAAGGAAGTTTGCCGAATTGGTATGCGATGACGGGGCCTGCGCGGATTTACAAGATGAATCAGGTAAGAGTCAGTCGACAGAAGAGTGTCAACTAGTGCCGTGCCATTGAGCTTAAACCCAGCTCGACCAATCCAAATACTCGAAGCCTCTGCCCTCAGTCTGTCATTCGCCACGCAAGGAAGTGCACGAGCGAAGTCCTGTGCTAGCAAGCGGCGAGCTATTTCTTCCCAAACGCGACATGGTTCGGGTCCCGGGAAGAGCTGCCTTCCCATGCATAGACCCTGCTCGAAGGCGTTAACGTAGAAGGTAACAATGACGATCCCGGAACATGTCCATCGTACCAGTGAGAATCCAGAGTGAACTCAAGGATGCAACGTGCAAAGCCTCAGTCCCCTGGCATTGACCCCCGTGGTAACTGCCAGCCGCTATAGCAGCTAATGACCAGCTGGGTATGAACATCCAGTCCCAGAGATCTACCGCAGATTCCATACGCTGATCATGCACTCTTCACGACTCTGTTGAACAACACCGGCGACCTACAGTTTGCGACTCGGTCAAAATCGCCAATCTCGCCGTTTGGTGGGCTGACGACCCCCGCATGGTTGACGACATCCACATGCTCGTCCCGCAAGATGTCCAAAAGCGCATACCCTCAAGACACATGGTGGACCGGGAGCTGTCAGAGATTTCCACATGGGGAACTCATGCCAGATGAGCGTACTCGATATGACTAGGGTGTCATACCCCTGGAATCACGTGCTACCCCTTAGCTTCTTGGGTAGGAACTTTGAAATCAAGTGGAGTGGCCAATGAGCCCCGGTGGCTGACATCTTGTCGGTGCTGCGCATGCGTAAGTATCAGCGACAGTGCAGGAGTATGGCACATCAGTCTCGTGTCTAGATGATCTTGCATCCAGCGAGACGGACGAGCACAAAGTTTCCACCCGCATGGTCAACTTTAAATCGACTCTGCCTCAATCATGCCTACCTAAATAGACAGAGGTATGCTACATTGTGGCAGCCCACACTATCGTTACTAAACCTTAGCTCTCGGGTGTTTCCCTAGAGCCTGGCCAATCTAGAGCAGCGTAACGTTCTCCGAACGGCACTGCATGCGTGTTGCGCCGGAACCTGTCCCGACCCGACGCGGGGAGCTGTGACACTCGTTGGGCTTACATAGTAAGTGTGTTGCGTTTGGAGCAACGAAGCGTGTGCAACGAAACTGTTGTCAAGCAACGACGTGCGACTTGAAGCGTTATGCTGTTGACTCACTGTCAGGCCGGCAGTTGGTGTCGAGCCCCTCGAAGTACCCATATCTGGTTGGGAGAACCTTACTGTACCTAGATAGGTAGCCTCCAAAAACATTTCTGCCGTTGTATGCTTTGGTCATCCCCTTTTCACGGGGTATGATCAGATAACTTAGCGCATTGGTTTAACTTTGGCATCTGCCGTTCCCACAGCTCAAATCTGCGACAGCTAAAGTTCCAGTGCTTCGATGCGACTCAGCGTCACATCGGATCCTTCTCCTTAACCCTACAAGGTTGTCAGTCAGGCCCGGTCCTCACACGTCCTTCTTTGACTCAATATACAGGTGATCCACGGAGTCCATCCGACAGGGACGAAGGACTCCAACGGGTGTGTGCTTGCACCAAACTTTACCCGACTGCGTCTCAAAGACTGAGCAAGCCGAACACTCTGCTTGTCACGGGCCCCGTTGCAATCATCCACGCGTCGTACCTGACGATCACATCTGAAGCTGTGTGCGATCAATTGTGTCCTGTGTCCGGCTGACTGAGCTTCGCTGATCATCCCAATACCCACCGAGCTCGGTGATGGTATTGTATTTCTGATCCTTCGCTTCGCATTGGTAATGGCCCAAACGCGCAAATATCGAAGGTATCGCGATTTATTGTACGGAATAGCCATCTGTCAGTCACCCAATGCTATGATCGATGATTGGGCTTGGTGGGGCTGCTCGCCTAAAGTGGGGCGCGCAAGGATGGACGTTTCGAACCGCGTGGCTTTGATCCTTCGCTCCTGTACGGGCATGACAGAGGCACCATGTCGGGAAAATCTCCAGACCGCACACTAACACCAGGCAAACTGACATAAGGCAACCCACTGCCGGTGAAGGAAGAACCTAGTGCAGCACCTGTTCCTTCTAGTTGTTTTCATGGTGCGCTGGCGTTCATTTTCATTCATGGTATGCGCCAATCTGAGCCTGTGGCCGGTATCCGAGAGTTCCAAGACTCCAAGAGACGACAGGTTCCTTGTTTCCTTGAACAGCAAACATGAGCACAACCTCAACCAATGATTGACTGTAGCCACTGACGTCGACCATCAAATATTCCAGCTATGATCGCATTCATGGACCACTGGCAGGCTGTGGTCATCTGGGAAGCTTGTTTTTGCGCACTGTGTAGGAACGCCAACGCTGGTGTATGCAATGTTGTTGCAGAGGCGCAGTCCCACTTTGTCTTGCTCCGGATCATGGAGGTGGCTTGCAGCTTGATTATAGACCGCGCGACAGCACAAAGGTAGGTGCGCTCGTCAAACAATCTGCAAGACAGTACAGATGGGCCGTCCGTTCAGGATTTCGGCACCGCAGCGGTCTCTATACAACTTGCGATATCGCCTCGCGCTTGTCCTGTTTATCTTTGTTCTGCTCGAACAACATCGTTTCTTCTTCAAATACCGGACAGCGCTGGCAATCAAGTACTCACCGACGGAGCTTCCGACTGCTACTAAGCAGCAATCATGGGTCTTTGATGGAGAGGGTGCCCATTATCAAGATTATATCGTTGCGAATCGAGCAGCGTGGAGGGCGCTGGGTAAAGGCTGGGAAGGGAAGACATTCGTATACCAGGACTCGGTAATCAAGACGTTCACGCCGGGACGCAGTCCCTTCCGCAACTGTGCGCCGGGCACAGCAGATGAGAGATGGCCAACTGAAATCCCGGCCTCTTTGTACTTTGGAGGTTCCGAGCGCAACACGACATTCTCCCACGATAGCTTTCTGCCAGTAAGGACATTTTTTATGGCACCATCCTCGACCGATCGAGCTGAGTGGCACCTGGTCACGCCTCTGCTCAAAGGCGGAGATCTGGAAGACCTGACTGCAAAGGAGCGCAAGCGACGGGAAATCTATCGAAACATCGATGCACAGTACCGTCCGGCCTTCACGGGCTTTCTCCGTAGCCTGCAGGTACTGCACGAGGCTGGCTACTGTCACGACGATGTCAAACCAGGCAACGTTCTTGTAGCTGACAGCGCACACTGGATACTAGCAGACCTAGGTAATATCCGACACCTCACGCATCCTTATCATACATCTCTGCTTTGGCAAGAGAACAGGCAGCTCAGCGACTGTCGCGCCAATGATGGGATCAGAGCACTCAAGTCATATTTACGCTTCGTCCGCGGCGCAGCCGTCGACGCGAATGCCTTTGATGCTGAGTTCCTCGAGGGCCGAGAACCACTGAGCCGACTGTTTTGGTCAGCTACCGCCAATGCTACGCACCTGAGCGTGGGGGAGCTCCGTGAACAGTCAGCCATCGAGCATCCGCACCGTAACGATTATGGCGAATCTGAGAGTGGCGCGTTATTACCTATAACGAGCCACGCGTGGCTCAGTGCGATTTCCCGGCGCTGGGGGCGGAGCCATGCCGTCACCCGGGCGCTACAGACTCGTGTAGGAGAGAAAATGGCCAGGTGGTGGGCTTTAACATGGATATTTGGCGTTCCAGTTACGACTGTGTGTGGAGTTTGATACCCCGAGATTTGAGTTCGATGTTTGCGTTATTTACTTACATGCTGGATGAAGAAGATGATAGGAATAAAGCATGTTTCTTCTCTTATGTGTTCTAAACAGTGACATATGTCAGTTACCACGCTCTCAAGTTTCAGGAAAAGCGGCGGATAAGCGACCTTCAAGCTGACCAACTTTTATACAGAACTTATCTCCATTATAATACCAAATGCTATAATCTAGTTGAGAATTACCTACATTGTAGGCAAAAAAGATTTCTATAAGAGTTTTTCAGTATTTTCCCTACTCCGCTGTAATATGGTGTACTTGGCTTAAATCCTTAGTCCGGCGTTTATTCTGCAACGTAAAGGCCACGGTATAGGCGCTTCTGGGATTGCTTGAACCCCGTTTTAGAAATGCATCTTGAGCGGTAGACCAATCAGTCCAGTGATGTGTTCAAGGATGCCGACAATCTTCTCGTCCTCGAATCTTCTGCCTACAAGCTGCAGACCAACAGGTGCACCGTGGAACTCTTCGGGGTCCCAGAGTTCTCGATTGTCTTTGTCAAGCTCACCCAATGGCGGCTCGTCCCCAGTCCATTTATCCTGTTCTTTATCGACAGTACACACTGGAAACACAAGCCCAGGGTAGTCGAGCAGGTTCCACTGACTTGTGTAGCTCCAGTATCTTGCCGTGTTGTGCTTCGGTGCGACGCCAGGACCAACGGGGCACAGCAATGCATCAACATGGAGGTTGTTCCAATGCGACGCGTACTCCTTGCGGTATGCCTCGCGCTCTTCGGACCAATACGTTAGCTCACCAATCGAGAGCTTCTTGACGCATGGATTGTCCTTGATGATCCATTGGGACAATGGTCGCCAGGGCTCGCCGGATGAGGCGATATCTTCTGAATCGGCTTCTCCGCCGTCAGGATAGTAGAGTGAGGCCAGTATCGCCCAGGCTTCATCATGTAGATAGGGCGCAAAGTCGATGACCTCGACTTTGTGTGCCTTTAGTTTATCCACGACGAGTTTCAGAGCGCGAGTGATTGGCGGATGTGGCCTTACAATTCCATCATGCCATAACACTCCTATCCGCAATGGTCTGTCAGTGGGAACGGAGTATGATCGCCAGGGCATCGGTATCAATGCCGGCTCGACAAGCCATGGTTCTGAGTCAATGATCGTCTTCATACAGATCTTCAGGCCTTGCAGGGAAGTTGATAGAGGTCCTAGTACAGTCTCAACCGAGTCGGCAGCCGCCATCATATAGCCCCACCCATCTGTTGGTAGCCTGAAGGCGGTGGGCTTCAAACCGTAAACACCACAGTTGGCAGCCGGGCATCGAATTGAACCACCGACGTCGGAGCCAATGCCAATACAAGAGCCCCCTAGAGCGATGAGAGCCCCTTCACCGCCTGAACTTCCTCCTGACGTCAAGTTGCTGTTGTAGGGATTTGTTGTCACACCGTAGAGGTTGGAGTCTGTCTCTAGATGCATCATTGTTTGTGGTACGGTCGTCCTGCAATGAAAAACAGCGCCTGCGTCACGCAGCACTTGGATGATATGTGCATCCTCTTTGGCAATATTGTCCCAATGTGATATGTAGCCAGTCGTGCATCGCAGACCTTGTAGGCCCAGGTGTTCCTTCAAGCTGATGGGCAGGCCGTGTAATGGACCTATCGGACACTGGTGCTCTTCATAGTAAGCATCGAGCTCTCTGGCACGGTCTAGTGACAAGGAGGGAAGAAGCTCTGTCAGACAATTTGACAAGCCTTGAGCCACAGCAGCGCGATGCAGGTAGGCAGTGGTGACTTGCACCGCTGATATTTGACCAGTTGATAGAGACCGAAGAAGCTCTTCAGGCATCAAGGCTGTGATCGATAAAACAGATTGATCCAGTAAAATCTCGGGCAGGTGCAAGACGTTCTTTGGCAGGGTGGAGGGCACTTTTGGCGCTGATGGAGACAAGGCAGCTATAGTAGTATCTCGATGGCCTTGTGCGTCTGATGCAACTTCAGTCCACGCTTTCTTCGGTGGTTTCCTCGCAGCAGGCATTCTCGCGGAACGAGACGAACGTCACTTTCACGGTAAAGTTAGACGCGTGCATTGCTCATCCAGCAGACCAACGACTCTAGAGGAGCTACGTCGTTAGCGCGATGCTGAATCAGCTCGGCGCCATTCGCCGCAGCGCCGCAACGCTTAGGAACTTTTTTGTTGATACCTTCTGAGACGCGACGCAGGCTCTGCAGTAAGACACATTCTCTGATTTTCGTTCACTGTTCTTCGATCGGCAAATTTAGTGTATGTACTAGGCTATGAGCGCAATGAAGTCTATTCCACATTCTTTGTTTGCTCCTTCCAGTGTTGCTGCACGTCTGCCTCTTTCAACTAATACTTTCCGCCTCTACAGCAGACCACACTTCACCTACAACTACAGGCAACTATCAACCACCATGCCTCCACCACCCAAGCGCAAGTGGAATCGCCCCAGACCTAATAATGGTGCTGCTGCCAACAACGCAGCCAGCCCTCTGTCGACCGCCGCCGCCCAGCAGCCGAAGCGCCCCAAAACGGCAGACGTCATACAACAAGACATGGGTTCTGCCGGTCCCATCGACGTAAAGGCCATGTACAGCACATCTGCTGGAAACACCGAAGCCAAGCGTTTCTCCGAGATGGCAGGCACACTGGACAAGGCGCTGCTGGACAGTCTGGACAAGATGGGCTTTGAGTTCATGTCGCCCGTACAGCAGAAGGTACTCACCGAGCTGCCAAACATCACGTCCGACTGCATCGTGCAAGCGAAGACCGGCACAGGCAAGACTGTTGCTTTCCTGTTGCCTGCCATCCAGAACCTCCTCGCTGGCAATGCGCCTCCGAGGGGCAAGGTGGGCATCCTGATCATCTGCCCTACGCGCGAGCTGGCGCTGCAGATTGCGAAGGAAGCAAATGGCGTTACTGCCTGCTTGCCACGGCGGATGGAAACCCACACCGCCTTCGGTGGCACCTCTCGTGCTTCCAACCTCAAGGCCTTCATGCAGGGTAACCCAACCATCCTTGTAGCCACACCCGGCCGACTCGACGATATCCTAGGCGAGGAGGAGGTTCGTGAACGATTTACCCACGTCAAGACAGTTGTTCTCGATGAGGCAGACCAGATGCTAGACGCAGGTTTCGCACCAGCTGTAAAGAAAATCCTCCGTCGCATACCACCAAAGAGCGAGGGCTGGCAGGGCATGTGCTTCTCTGCCACCATGAACCCACAAGTCATGGATGTCGCCAAGTGTGTGCTTTTCCCTGGCTTCACTACACTCTCTACCGTGGATCCAAACGAAGCCCCGACCCACGAGCGTGTTCCACAATTCTTCATTACTGTTCCGTTGGTGACCCAGACTTTCGCAGCCCTCCAGGCGCTGATCGAGGAAGAGCACAACAAGAACCCCACCGACTTCAAGGTCATTGTATTTGGTACAACTGCAAATGGCGTAGGTCTGTTCTACGATCTCTACAAGAACGCACTGCCTCAATTCGATCTCTTCGAGCTGCACAGCCGCATGTCGCAGCCAGCTCGAACCAAAACTACGCAACAGTTCAAGAATGCTACCAGCGGTATCTTGATGGCGTCTGATGTCGTCGGGAGAGGCATGGATTTTCCAGACGTTTCACTTGTCGTCCAGGTCGGCCTGCCGTCCAGCACAGAGCAGTACATCCACCGAGTGGGTCGCACAGCCCGTGCTGGCAAAGATGGACGTGCTGTCATCATTCTCTCTGAGCAGGAATCCTTCTTCCCAAAGATCAACAGGACTCTCCCACTCAATCCTTACCCTGTCGACATCGTTTCACAGCTTCCCAAGCACCAGCAAACCATCGATCGGGCTTTTACCAATGTCGAATACGAAGCCAAGGCCAAGGCTTACCAGGCATTCATCGGGTACAACAAAACATACTTGAAGAAGTTGAGACTGACGCCTGCTGAGCTTGTACGTCATGCAAACGAATACTCGATGGTAATGGGTTGCCCGGAGCCGCCCCTTATCGAGAAGAGCACAGTCGGCAAGATGGGTTTGAAAGGTGTTCCTGGTCTCAGAATTGGCTCGCGCAGGGTTTAAGACACGGATTGAGCCTGCTTAGGCGATCACTTGTGCTGGCCATGCTGGAACAACGCGTCGTCAGCATGATGGCCGTTCCCTACGTCCTGTTTTCTTCCTCTGCAGTCTGTTGCATGATACCCGGCGTTTTCGGATGGCGGCGTTCGTTACCCGATTTGAATAGACCGAGTGGATTTTGAGGGAATCTTGTTTCTCCCTTCTCAATAGACTTACCGCAGAACTTTCATCATCAGTAATGTGAGGCTGAGTCGTTTAACAAAGAACTTGTAGCTACCATGATACCTAAAGCTGAGGTTTGGTTAAGCATTGCCTATACTGTAGGCGAAAAAGCATTCTATAGAGATTTCTTGCATTTTCTCTACTTTGCTGTTGTTGTCTTGCAACGTGAGAGGCTGAGTGGTAATGTGGCTGAAATTCATTATCTGCTCAGTGGAAGTAAGGGTTGCTGGAAAAGCTAGACTCGTAACATCGAGTACAAAGGCTCCACCACTGCGGCCAGGCTTTCAACGGCTGTCAGTACCACGTTCTGTCGATGCCATTGAAATTATGGATTAGTTTGACCTTCACGTCCCCTCTTTGCTATTGTTAAAATTACTCTGCGAAGGATGCTCGAGGCCGCCAACTGTTTCGCTGAAGCCGAGGCATCCGTCGCCTTCGATGTCACGCATACATTGGTACGACGATAGTCTGGTAAGCGTGGAAGAGTATCAACTGTTTGTGTCACTACCTCCCTTCCCTGCTGCATCCGATGGCGCAAGGACCAGACACGCAGTTGCACTTCCTCAGTACTGGTACAGTCGCGTCCATCTGCCGATTCGATATGGTCACCGTGGCTAGAAGGTGAATCCGCGAGGGACTCCCGAGAGACAAGAGAGCCATTCAGGTGCTTGTAATAGCTACTCCACGGGGCTGCCAATACATCAAGGCCACGAAGGGCATCGACAAGGCTGTCCAGACCTCAAATTTCCACCAAGTGAGGGCTCCATTCGGCAGGTTTCGATTTCTTGTGTGCCGTCGCCTCTGTCTAGTTCAGGAACAGACCTGATGAGCTGACGTGCAGACGTTAGTCCATTAGAACCGGTGAATCCTCATCTATTTGGTCTGATTCCAAGTGGTTGAAGGCTCCCTTGACGCCGCTGCTGCAGCCATCGCAACCAGTATATAGCAGCCTCATCACCCACATCAGCTAGCCATCCAGCAACTCACTCGCTTTTTTCGTTAGCTCTTTTCAGTCCTTCGTTCCTTTGAATATTCATCCAAGATGATCTTCCCTCTTCTAATTGCTGGGTTCGCAGCAGTCTCTACCGCCCAGTCAATAGTTTCCGTCTCCCCATGTCAAGAGGTCACTGAGACCTTGACGGAATGCCGGACCAGCTATAGCGAGTTCGCCGCACCTACCGGAGTTAGCATCCAAACAGCCAGCTTTACAACAACCTTCAATTACAGCATCTCCATCACAAGTACCACTTACGAGACTGTGACTGTCACTCCTGCTGCGACCACCAACTTCATTGGCGTCGTCAACGTTACCTCCACATTCACTACAACCGTGACTTCTGTACCAGCCGCAACTACGATCCCGTCGCCGAAGGGATTCTTCCCGATCATCAACACCGGTATTGCTGTGGCACCAACACCTACCCCATCAGCAATCGGCCGGCACCGACGTGCTTCGATTGAGTCTCGCGCTGAACACCTCCAGAGGGTAAAGCGTCTTCCCGAGACCCCAGCTGGGAACACGGTTGGATTCATTGTTTTTGAAAATGGCGAAGCTCAGAGTCTTAGGCGCACCTTCCCTGTATTCGTCGAGTGCCACTACACAGTCAACATAAACAGCACCGTGACCACAATCGTTGCTGGTCCTCCTCAGACTGAAGTTCTGGTTCCTGCCACTGCTACTGCTGCTAGCACCTCAACGGTCAGCGTCACTGAGACTGTCATCGAGATCGACGCCCAACCCACCGAGTATGCGGCTTGTCAGGCCAACAACGTTGGTAAGTAGTTCAAGCACATTACCCTGCACGACATCAGCTCCAGCAGCACGACTAACACGCTCCCAGTGAACAACGTCATTGGTTTCGATAACCAGCCCATCTACTTCGATCGCGTCATCTACGCAAGCGACATCGGCTTCCCCATCGCCAACGTCCTGGTCGTTGACATTCTTTCCCCCGTCGACTGCTGCATCGCGTGTCAAAAGACGCCGTTCTGCGCCGGCTCCTTCTATGCGCCTTCTGTCCCGGCCTGCTACCTGCAGCTGACCCAGGCACCGCCCTCGTCCTCTTCCTCTTCCTCATTGCCCTCGCTCCCATCCGCGACCCTGCTGCCGCCTTACCCCCTCGCCTCCGCCAACACAAGTCTGCCTTACCCCACCGCTTCTGGCGCCCCCTACCCCGCCGGCAACGACACTCTCGCGTACTTCCCCACCGCCACAGCCCTTGCAACCGGCTTCACGACCTTGACCCCTATCGCAACGCCCATCTCCGACCCCGAAGACGGCATGATGAGCATTCTGCCCATCTCCGCGGTGCCGACCACCGGCACTCTAGACAGCCCGGGCGCAGGCACCTGCGCCGTGGGCAGTTTGAGCTTGTATCTGGGCAAGGTGTACGGGCAGGTTGGGTTCCCGCCCGGTGTGGCATTGTGGGTCAGCAACGGGCCGTGTGGGCGCATGGGTATTGATTTCGACGAAGCGGCGCCTGTCAAGCCGGAGGACTTGAAGCCCTTGGTTGCGCGGAGGTTTGTGGGCAGCACTTTGATTTAAGCGGTGCCCGGGAGGTGCGGTTGAGTACTTGCAGGCACAGAGTGCGAGGTGACGGGGTGGTATGGGTAATGCACGGTGTCTGTACTGTAGACGCATTGGAGGTTGTGGGGTCCTTGTCCATGTCACTCGTTCATGTTCTGGAATTTGGTGCACGCGCTGTGGTTAGATTCTCTTCGGAACATATCTTCTCGACCTGCGAAGGTCTTTCGCTGGATACTTTGATTGTAGAAATTTTACGCTTTGCATATGACGTTTACCTAGCTTATCGTGAGAACGAATGATTTCGGTGTTTGGATTTTGTTTCCGACAAGCCACAAGCCCAATTGCTTTCGCGCCTGTATACTCTACTCGAAAAAATCTGTGAAGAACCCATATGAGCTAGGTACATGCCAAGCATGAGTGTTGTAGACAGGAACCAGAGTTTGGCGGTTTCGTGTGATTGAGACCGAAAGGGTCGCCCCAGCATAGGGCTGCATATACCACAAATTCTTTTTTTAAGTTTCCGGAGAATGGTTCCTTTGGTCTTGTCATTGCATTCGTGAAGGGCGCCCCTGGCTGTAGTCTTCAGGTATGTGTTTTCGGTAGTTTAGGGCAATAACAAAGAATTGCCTAGCCGCACTGTACCCGCAAGCAGCTGCGGACAAAGGGACACGTCGAGAGACTTGACTTAGCATCATGCAGTTCGCATCAGTAGTGCTGTAGATCTGTCTCGAGAGCTGCATGGCGCTGGTACGGGCAAGGGGGAACGGTGGGTCATGACGGAGCTGACTGCGCTGAAGGAGCGTTGCCATGCCGACCGTTACCCATTGCCGCCACTTGTGGAACACAACAAAGACACATCTCGTGAGCGTCCTCATTCTCACTTTGCTCACGCGGTGGTAGAGACAGGTGACAAGTCCACTTTGACATGTCTACAGCTCACAGTGACTTGACATCGGCTCTCTAAACTCAGATTAGCTTCGCACTCCGCATTGGCACGGTCCGGGCTGGAGCGATGTGTTGAGTTCGCAATAAGGATCCGAGGATCTTCGTGCGCCCCACGTTGAATATCGATAACCCGAGCCGCAGGGCGTTTGCAGATGATGGGACGCGTGGGTGGATTCGACGGAATCCACTCCGGATCCAGATCGCCGAAGGTTTCGCTTAGGAATCGACTGTGGCTGGTGGCTTGCGCATCGCAACGTTACAAACGGTACGTGGATAAAGTCTTACTCCGCGGGCGCTGCTGAGGTACGAGGTCGAAAATGAAGCTCTTATTACGGCAGGCGGTGCTGCAGGTCAATGGCCAATGGAGCGCAGGTGGAAGACTGGTCGACCAAATGCCCTCGCATGAACACGCGATCCACTAAGCGTTGGAGCAATTCACGGTACCCACCTAGATCGCAATGGCTAGCAGCCTTACGGACGTTTAAGGGTGCGCACGTCCGCACATCACGTTTGATTGCTGGCAGGTGTCAAAGGGGCTCGCGAGATTGATGTGAGCCACGATCGCGATGCTCGCGCATCTCCCGAGCGACATCAGGCAGCAGCCGGCTGCATTGTTCTGGAGGTGCCGAGATGTAGTTGGTGATTTCCGGTATTGATTTCCGGCGATGACCCTGGCCCTCTTCTAGACCGTGACAACGCGAGGTCAAGCTGGTTGGTGGAGCTGCAGCTGCAGCTACAGTAGCATGCCCGCATCGTGCCTTGTCCGTTTCATACCCAGCTCTCAGTGGCCCAGACGAGCGACACGATAGGCTGTGCAGCAAACCCCTTTGACGTGCTGCGGTCGCGTCGTTGGCCGCCAGCCGTCGTTCGCGGAGTAGCGTCGCTGGTGCGCTGTGCAGGCGCAACCACGAGCGTGTCTGCTGCGAACCTCTCTGCTGCGGCAACTTGATGCTGCACGCAAACGGGCACATGGACGCGCACTTTGCGACTGACAGGCGCCTGGTCGGGCGTCCGTGAGCAAACAGCTGGCTAGCGGGCGAGCTGGCGCGAGGTTATTCCTGGCGAATTCCACAATGACGCGCGATCGATCAGTGGAACGCGTGAATGGCGCACGGCCATTGGCCAGCGCCCTTGCTCTTCCTTGCAGCAGTTGCAGCTGATTCTCGCTCTGGTGCGCCGGCTGCCGCTTTTCCCTCTTGCTGCGTCTTACTTGTTGGTCGCTTTGTACCCCGTTTGTTGATCGCAGCTGCCCTCCCCGCGCCCATCCACCGCACCTTCCCCAACGTGCGTTTGTGTAAACACGGCCCTCGACGCGCACAATAGCCTGCACAAGCACGCTCAGCCCGCCATCGTCGATCAGGCGGTGCCCACCGATCTCTCGCCAGTGGCCGCCTGCTAGCGCCGGCAAGTGAGTCGCTCGGCTGCTTCATATCGCTCTCCGCACAGGTAAGATAACCCACCGCCTCGACCTCGCTCCCGTGCTCACCGCTGCGCCCAAGCCTACCCAACTCCCAATCCTCCACGTCGCATGACAGACAGCGCCTTCCTGTCTGCATTCACCGCCCAGACCAGCCCTTCACCCACCGTCGGCACGCCTGCCGTCATCGCAATCTCCCGCACCCGTCCATTCGCCGACCGTGCTCCGTTGCCTGAACGGCCCCGTTCTGCAGCACTCTACGCGACTTTACGCGTCAAAGCGCCGGGACTGACTATACAAGCTCTCCAGAGACGTCGGCCGCCTCGCATGTAATGGCAGCAGCGCGCCGGCAGCCGTCTATGCAGATTTTTCAGGATCCCGCACCCCCTCAGGACCACCACCAGGCCGCCGCTTGCGACCCGCGCTATCTCGACGCCTTCGTGAACATTGTCGACGTGTCGACCGACTCACACACCCTCTTCGCCCCGCCAAACGCCCTCCAGACCGAGCCGTCGCCGCGCAAAGCCCGCCACGCCTCCAGCTCCCCGCAACGCAACGTGCTTGGCAAGAAGGACGTCAACCTCCCACCACCCCGCGAGCAGCGGTTCCGCACCGACGCGCCCATGAAGAAGGCGCGCCAGCACAACCAACCGCAGACCATGGCCGCTGTACAGTACTGGAATGGTCTGTCGTCGTCGACAATGGACAAGGAGAACGCGTACCCCTACCCGGAGCCCAAGATGCATGCCGCAGAGCCATCGTTAAAACAAGTGCCCAACAACAAGCGCACCTTCATGGATGCTGCACCACTACGCGACCGCAGCAAGAAGCAGAAGGTCGTCAAGGATATTAAGGCCGAGGAGACCGACGGACCACTACCTGAGCCAGACGAGATGCCTGCTGTTGAAGACGACGGCAATAAGCCGTCGTACAGCTATGCAATGCTTATTGGAATGGCCATTCTTCGCGCGCCGAATCGACGTCTCACACTGGCGCAGATCTACAAGTGGATCTCAGACACATTTGCATTCTACCGCAACTCGCAAGAGACAGGGTGGCAGAACAGCATCCGTCACAATCTCAGCCTTAGCAAATCATTTTCTAAGCAGGAGCGCCCGAAGGACGACCCCGGGAAGGGTCATTATTGGGTAATCAACGCCGGCTTCGAGAAGCAATACCACAAGGTCAAGCCTGTACGCCGTTCCACCAACCCTGACAGTCTCGTTCCGGCATACCCCAGCGACCTGCCTCGCCCTTCCACCTCAACGTCTGCTAGTTTCCCTCCCATGAGCTCGACCAAAGGGTTTGACTCAAGCAGATTTCCAGAGCCAGAAGAGGCTGAGTTGCCAGACTCAGATGCCACCATTCCGTGCTCGGATCCTGCCGCTCACGACGGACATGACTCGACAAACATGCCGCCGCCGCGCGCGATGCCATCCTCACCGCCACCAGCTGACATTCACTCGTCCCCACCGCCACCAGTTTCACGGTCGCGCTCTGTTCGCGAAGACACCCCACCGCGCGGACCTCGCTTCCCATCCAACAGCAGCCGATCAGGTGGACGCAGGCGCAAGTTCCACGGTCTTGGTGACAGCGGCTACTACTCCTCGATTGAGTCATCTGCGATCAAGGGTAACCCGCTTGGGCCACTTCTCACCTCCGATGCTGATCTTGATCGACCAAACATCAAAAGGGGTCGTGCTGAAGAGGAAATTGCGCGGATACGTGGCTCATCATACGATTCTCCGTCAAAGACCAGAACTTTCATGAAGCAGCCTGGTGCTGCCCAACCCATCTCGTCGCCCTTCCGCGTTGGTGAGAAGCTTGGCAACCCTCTTACCCCTGCTATCGTCTTCAAGCGCCCTGCCCTGCCTCCCGCCTCTGCATCGCCAAACACCAACCTGCGAAATCACAGGAACAAAATGCGGGAGCTTGTCGGTGGCTCACCCGACAAGAGTTTGGCCATGTGGGCTGACACATCCTTCCTGGACGCCAAAGGCTGGAGCCCGGCCGTGTCGGTCCCCAACAGCGAGCATGTGAACCTTGTAGGTGACGGTTTTGAGAACACCTTTGACATCTTTGGCGATTTCGGGTACAACGAGAGCCCTCTCAAGCGTAGTGCTGGCAAGCAGCGCCCTCGCATGGAACGTGCTGTGACCACTAGTGGTGTTCTCGCCGACATCATAGGCTCGAAGAGCAACATAGCTAACTCGCCTACTCCCAACTGGAAGATGGCGTCTTCGTTCCTCAATATCCCTAACCTTTCGCCGATCAAGGGTATGTCGCCGCTCAAAGCCCCCCAGCTGAGGCCTCCGACATCCACCCCTCTGGCAGGTCTTGGTCTTTCCATTCCCCGACTGAACAAGGAGAACGGTTTGCCCAGCATTACTCCTCCAGAATCCTTCAGCTCTCGTTCGACACAGCAGCAAAGCAAGGATGATGATGACATTTTCCACTTGCTGCACAGCGACGACTCTGAGCCTGGTATCGATCTTCTCCAAGGATTCGAGAAGATTGGCGCAAGACCATCTGCTGTGGCGCCCAACGGCTCGCCGAAGAAGCTGTCAAGGCCTGGTCTTGCTCGCAGCCACACTGTTCGATTCTAAGCTTTTGTCGCGGATAAGCATTCGGCAATCTTTCATGCAGAGTCAACCAAGGCTTGAGCTATGTTATTAAGTTGTAGCCACGCCTGAGGCCGGCTCCTCTTAGCATCTCAATACAGCCAGGTTGACGCAGTCGTTGGAGATGAGCTCTTGCTTGAAACGCACAGAGGTCACATGATACCCTTTTCCGCAACTACCGCCTTTTACAGGTGCTTCCTTCTCCCATCCCATATCACCTACCAGGCCGCCTCACTATCTTACCCTTCTTCGAGCGACACTTGGATACACACTTCGGATCTATCTTCTGGATACTCCTCTCTTACGATGTCACGACGAATGATACCCACGATAGCAATGGCCGGCCCCTTCTACGCATAGCGCTTTAATCCAGTATTAGTTAATATTGGGCATGGCGTTCAGGTTCAAAGGGTCATGTGGGCGTACATATTCCCTGGGTTGTCTCTGTTTCCATAGAGACTGGCGTTTTGGTTCGATTCAAGTGCAATAGCACAGTAATCTTGTATGCTTCCGCATATCTTCTTGGTGGAGATAGCGCACTGCGATGCATTCAGGTTATTTTTAGATGCCTGGATGCGAATTGCATAGGAGTATCTGGACAGCAAGCCGATTGCTACCTCTATTTAGCGAAATGCACCACCTTCCTCATAATTCTCTCTGACCTTGTCTTTCACCTGCATCCTTTGCTCCTGGCCGATGTGAACGATGCAGTGGGCTTCCATGTCATCACGTCACATGTCCTTGCCTAACAACTCCCACAAAAGACTTCGCCTTTGCCACTTACTGATACAGACATTGCTTTAGCCGTTCTCTACGACATATTATAATGCGCAGGGCTACCTGGGCCAGATGTGGCATCGTGGGTGAGGCTGTGGGAAGGCAGTGCAAATACGAGACCATGTCAACACACATATCAGCGCCAGGACGATTCCATCGAGCCTCAAGTTCAGCCTGATCCAAGATTCCACTCAAAAAGTATCTGCCACTTTCTCTCATGGAGCCATTCTCTGCGCTCGCTGTCGCGACAGCGACATGTCAGTTCCTGGACTTCACTTCTGGCATCATGTCTGGAACGTGGAAGATCTACAATACTAACGCTGGCCATGGAGTGACTTCGAGAATGCTTTCTATTACAGTCCACATCTCCACATTGAAAAACTCATGTCCACAGAAATCGAACGCTTCATATCTTTCTGATTCAGGTGGCGTCAAATTCTGCTTTGAGGATTTACGAAGAAGTAGCCCAGGATTTGCACCTCGACTTATCAGTCATGTTTGCCAGAAATCCGAAGGTGTCTTCCTGTGGGTCCGACTTGCCACCAGCTCTCTGCTGGGAGAGCTAACAGAAGGCGAGAGCGCATCTGACCTCCAAATGCGGCTCAATGACTCACTCCTGATCGCGAGGTTCTTCTTGATTAAATCCTTAACGGGCTGGATGCCGGGCACTCAGATCGGGGGTTCAGACTATTTCACATACACCGGAAGTCACTAATATCTGTGCAGGTCCTGGACATGTGTCCTGCAGCTGAAGAAAATCCAAACTACGCAATTGAAGCAGCACAAGATCAGATGTCACATGAGCAAGTGAGTGCGAAGGCTATACTCATGCATCGCCACATCAACACATGTACAAAGGGCTTACTTGAAGCAGGCACTCGGGTGGCTGACTTGGTTGCGTTTGCCGAAATCCGACTCCTACATCGTATTGTCAAAAACTGTCTTTAAGCAGCAGTTTGTACTTGTCCACACGCCATCTGATGAGGCTGAAAGAGTTGAAGCCTATGGCCACCACGATTACTCAGGTAATACCAACGATAATCACTGTGAGTGATAGGGACTAGTCACCGAAACCTGCAGACATAGTTGTGAGCTGTCCATAAGTTTGATTAGTTAAACAATCTGACTGTCATTGGGGTAAGACGTCGTCAATCTAGTCTCTCGCTAAGATAGTTCGGAGTGAAGTCCGGGGAACAATTGACCCAAACGTCATCGACAAAGACGATTTGGTGCCGCCTGTTCAACCCCAACCTGAAGGAGTAATCCGAGATCGACCTTATGACGCTACTAAATAGCGTACACATGCTCTTTGCGGGGTGTGGGGATCGTCATGCAGGTACAGCAACTTAAGGACGCCAGCCCGCGACCGAGAGCCTGAGTATCGGGTTCGATACAACCAGAGAAGGAACCTTCGAGCAAAGTGGTATTCAAAATCATGCGGTTCTCTCAATTTCTTTCTATAGCAGTATCTCTGCTGTTTGCAAGTGCGCAAAGTAGCACTGCACCTCCCGCAAATGCATCTATGCCAATGATCCCAACCAATGGTGCCGAGCTCGTATCATCAGGACAGAATTACTCCGGGAATATAGAGCCCATCCCGTGGTCGACTCGTCCTGAAGTATACGACCATGCTGGAAATGCAGTACGCCATGGCCGCGCGCGCCTCAACATGATCAGGATGCACTACTATACAACTGGCTCCGGACCACCACTCCTGCTTGTTCATGGCACGCCAAAGACCAACTACTACTGGTACAAACTGGTGCCGCTGCTGAGCCAGCATTTCACCATCGTCGCGCCGGATCTCCGAGGCTTTGGCTACACGGACAAACCCGGGGCTGAGATGGGATATGACAGTCAAACCAACGCAAAAGACCTAGCAGATCTGATGACAATGCTCGGATACAACACCTTCTATGTCCACGGTGAAGACCGTAAGTCATTCATACAAACAGCCCGATCAACACACTAATGCCCATCCAGGCGGCGCAGAATTCGCTTACGTCCTCGCAGCCTCCTACCGTGACCGCGTGCTCGCACTCTCCTTCGGTGAGATGCTGCTCTCCGGCTTCGGCTTAGACAATGCGTCGCAGTTTACCGAGTCGAACGTGATGCTGCAGTATGAGCAGCGTGGCGTATGGACCTGGCACATTCCGTTTTTCTACCAGATCGACATCGCGACCATGCTAATCACAGGCCACGAAGAGGAGTTTTGGACATTCTTTATGGAGGCCGAGTGCTATAATCCCATTGCTCTGAGTCGACAGGCGATCGCGGAGTGGACAGGATTGGCGAAGGGACCGGGTGGTTTGAGGGGTATCCTAGCGACGTATCGCGCGGGCCTTGTGAATGGTAAGTCGATGTCCTACTCTAGGTTTGCAAAAAATCCGTGTTGACATGCTATCAGGTCAGATTAATCGCGAGCTCGTGCCGAATAAGCTGCAGATGCCGGTCATGACGATCGGATCTCCTGAGTTCTTCGGCTATCTAGTCAAGCCGGAGATGGAGATGGCTGCTGATAATGTGACGCAGAGCTATATCTTCGAGGAGTGCGGGCACAGTCTGGCGTTGGAGGCTGAGGTGAGGTTGGCTGATGCATTGCTGGGGTTCTTCGGCCAATAAGTGGTAGACATCGCGTGTACTTGGAGTGGCAGTCGTCGGTCAACTCGAGTCACTTCCAAGTAGTCTTTGACTACCATAATTGTGATTCTGAACCCTTGCTACATCTACAATAAGTCATGTCTGATCAGTGACGTGGTTCTTTGTAGGGCCCAACTTATTCTTATAGTAGCCGATAAGCCACAAGAGTACTTTTGAAGCACTCCGTTTATTCGTACACGCTCCAGAGAGAAAAAGTGTCAAAAAGTGACACATATTGGCTATGCCTGCAGGAAGTCAAATCGATATGAGTGTGATGCTTGATCGAAGGGTTGCAGTCGAGGTGCTCATAGGCAATACACCCCCACTTTTCATACATGCCTGATCATAGGTAGTCACGAAAGTGGACCTTCGCACTCCCACCAAGGTTCTAAAACCCCGGCATTTCCCCCTGACGCTTCTGAATAACCTTTTCCATGGAGGAGAACGACGATCTACCTGTGCCAAGACGAGCCCATGGCTCTGTGATATGTTTGAGGGTTTCCTAGATTACATACGGCTAAGCTCGGCAGAGATTTCGCGCACTAACATTCTCAAGACTTGAGCCTTTTGACCATCATTGTGCAGGATCAGCCGTACGATCGTCTGCCCAGAGTTTGCTCAGTTATATATTGCATAACCTTATCTTATTTCCCATCAAATCTGCAACAGGGCTCGTGGTTTAGTGGTATAATACTCCCTTAGCATCTCGCAGCTTCTAAGAAGCCTTCGAAATCCTCACCTGGGAGTGGTCCGGGGTTCGATTCCCCGCGAGTCCATTTTTGCTTCGGTACGTGAACTGGTTGTGGTTGTGGAGATCATTTGAAGAGTTAGTCGAGGGGGGGCTGGAGGATGTTTTTTTGCTATGTCAAATTTAGGGAAGTCGCGACGGCAGTAGCTCGGCAGTACTCATGTTTATGTAATGGAGCTTCTTCTGTTTGTTTTGTCTTGTGCCTTACAGCGTGTTTGAAGTGACGTTGTTGAGTGAGTTGGGCTGTCACGTGATTCTGATATTGAGTATGTCGTGAAGCCAACGAAAAGGATCGTCACACCCTGAGACCGCCAGTATCTCTTTTACATTGTTACATTTCTCGGCATACTTACTCACAGCCAGGTTTCTTTCACTTCCTAGAGCGACGGGTGAGCGAGAGGATTCAACAGTCATTATAACAGGATGCGATGTCGTCTAAGCCTATTGTAAAGCAGTTTCCACTGATCCGTGGTACTTATATCGATTCGAAGTCAGCGTCAACTTAAGTCATATGTCTACTCTGACGTCCATGTGTACATAGGTAGGTGTCGGGCTGAGTTGCACATATTCGACCACTCCACCATAAATGATTCAACTGGGTGCTATCTCGTATCTCTCTGCAATATAAGCCAAACTACACACAAAAAGATGGTACATGGTAGGTCACGTTGATACTTATAAGCGCACGATAAAGTACCAACTGTGTTCCAGTGCTTCCTTTTCTCAAAGATGGTGAACATGCTAGTTTTTGTTGGAGCTCATAACCATACAAATCTTTACAGAGTAAGTTTTTGCTTGTGTTTGTAAACGTAACGTATCTCTTCGAAGCTCCATACCTCCAATCAGGTATCAATCCGGTAACCTCATTCAAGTTGCTGGATATACATGCTTGAGCTCCTGCAGGTATATACCCATCTCGATTCAGTTTATCAGGCCAGCCATGCTTCCGCAGTGTTTCACTACTAACCTAAATCGCAGAAATAAGTAGAGCGTCGTCAAAACCTGTAAAGATACATAAACTTCCGACAACCCATGTGTACGGCTGGATGGTCCTATTCCACGAGTTCTCTCCCTTCGGACAAAGAACCATCTTCAATGCCCAGATTTCATCGTAAATTTCGTCAGAATAATTCTGAATACCGCGTGGTACAGAGCCCTTGAGCCAAGGCTCATCTTTTGGTGGCTCTACATAACTTTGTCCTACCAGATGTATGATACCTGGGATGAATATGAGATCTATAGTTGCCTGTATGAGTGGGTAATAGGATCCAACCTTTTGCAGTGTCGATTATCCACCATGTCGCATGTTGATCTCGTGTCAATGAAATGAATCCAGCTGGCCAATCAGCAGGATGAGGCATCAGGAGTTTGTCGGATAACTGTTGTCCTTGGCACTCTTCTATGGTTAAAGACTTGAACGGCCAGGTATCGCGGAGGTAGCTAAGATGCCGTGTTTCAAAGTATACTTCGTCTTTATCGTCACCGTCCAGCTTTTTGATATAAAGCAGTCGTCGTAGGAGATTGCATACTTCCTCTGAGCGACCAAAAGCACGGAGAATATCAACAGCAAGCTGCTCATCGCTCCAGCCTTCATCAGGAGGGTATCTGACTTCTGCTGCATCGAAGTAGGCTGCTTTCACAAAAAGCTCGTAGTGTCGCTTGATACAATTAACCACCATATCCCGATCATATGCCATTCTTGATGTTGCGGGCAATTGTGGGTCGTAAGGATTGTGGTGGACTGCGAAGCTTCTGTCGCGCGGACAGTACATAGGTACGGAGTAGTGGGGCACAACCTCTGCCCATCATAACCGGGCTCACGGAGGTTCTTCACACACGGAATCCTGACACGAGCTCCAGGTTTAGAATCGATGGATCCATTGCCTCCCCCGGCTCCTCGGGGTCTCTTTCCGGCCAGCTTGGAACTCTGGTCCTGCCATAGATCCGAGAGAGGGCCATTTACTGTTAGGTATGTTCTCTACTATGTTCCAAGGCCACAACTCCATTTAAAATCCAAGAGACACAATCAACATACAGCGGGGTCTCATACCTGCTTAGGATGATGCCAACATCCCATACTACATTTGAAACAAATTTGTACCAGTCTATCGAGAGTGTCGTGATTACAGTCTGTTGACAATCCCAGCGACAATGTGACGGCGATGTCGGCTAAGGCAAGCCGAAGGCCCGAACGGTGCATATCAGAGCTCCAATTGTGCTGCCGGGAGCTGCGGAACCAGACCAACCGGTGAATCGTGAACGGTTATGAGCTTCAGAATTTCCGCGAATGATCAGGAGCATTTAACAATGGCTCTATGTACATTTATTGACTAAAGAAAACACCTGAATGCGGCATGGAGCTGGTCGCTGACAAACTCCCCGCTAACGCCGATTTGATGACGGAGTTGATGAAATGTCCGAGCTCTTGCCTCGCAAAAGACCCAATCGCGCGCGCGTCGTTGATTCCTCTTGCACGCCGCACAATTTACCCAGTCCGTGACTCTGCGACACAGAGCCCGGCTGCGCGCACTCGACACACCCAATGCAGGGACAGCAAGCACCCTTCCTGCCCTCTTCCCCGCTCGAGCACGGCGCTGCTGTCAGCTACGGCTATCTCCAGGCATCGCAGCACGATCGCCAGCCGCTATGCGGTAATAGCGAGGGTTGGGGGCCACTGAGCCCCATCAGATTCGACTTCACGCCATGCTTTCTCGACGTGTGGATTATGGTGGTTGCTGTCTGGGGAATTGTTGGAGGAGCAGGCGCGTTGTGGTATCTATATAGGCAATGCACGCCCCAGCCTGTCAAGCAGAACTGGCACTTCTATGCCAAACTGGTAGGTGGTACCGCAAAATTTGATCAAAGTAACTTCTGCTGACCGTTTGCGCCCACTAGAGTACCCTTGGAGCTCTTATCGCCACGACTGCCGTTCAAGCCGCCCTTCAGATTGAGTACTTCTCCGGCATCTGGGCCGGAGACTTCCGCTTCTGGACCACCACCGTCACTGTTGTCTCGCTCCTAGTCATTTTCTACGTCCAATACATCGAGCACTGGCGTTCGCGGAACGCCAATGGTGTAGTCCTCTTCTACTGGCTGCTGTTCCTGATCGCGAATGGCGTAAAACTCCGCTCGCTGGTCTCCCAGAAGCTATACAAAGAGCATACCGCATACTTTGCGGTCTTCACTGCTAGCGTTGGACTGGCCGTAATTGAGTTTGCGCTGGAGTGGTTGGTGCAGAAGCGCCTAAGCGACTACGATGCCCTGGGTGACGACGACGAATGCCCCTACGAATATGCCGATATCTTCTCGGTCCTCACATTCGGATGGATGACGCCCTTAATGAAGCGTGGCTATAACCACTTCCTCACCCAGGACGACCTTTGGAACCTCCGGAAGCGCGATTCCACCAAGCACACGGCCGAGACATTCGAAGAAAAGTGGGGTGATGAGGTGGAGCATAAGAAGAGCCCTTCGCTGTGGATGGCGCTGTTCCTCTCTTTCGGCGGTCCATACTTCCGCGGTGCTTGCATCAAGACAATCAGTGATTGTCTGAACTTCGTCCAGCCGCAGCTGCTGAGGCTTCTGATCACATTCGTCAAGTCCTATGATACAGATACACCAGAGCCTATTGCACGAGGCGCTGCCATAGCCCTCAGTATGTTTGCCGTGTCTGTTTCACAGACGGCTGCCCTCCACCAATATTTCCAGCGATCGTTCGAGACTGGTATGCGCATCAAGTCATGCTTGACTGCTGCTATCTACTCAAAGTCTACCCGCCTCTCCAACGAGGGCCGAGCTACCAAGTCAACTGGCGATATTGTCAATTACATGGCTGTTGACACCCAACGTCTGCAAGATCTGGCTCAGTATGGACAGCAATTGTGGTCTGCTCCCTTCCAGATTGTACTCTGCATGCTGTCTCTGTACCAGCTTCTCGGCGTAGCATGCTTTGCCGGTGTAGCTGTTATGATCATCATGATTCCTATCAACGGCATCATTGCACGTCTGATGAAGACCTTGCAGAAGGAGCAAATGAAGAATAAGGATGCGCGTACGAAGCTGATCTCCGAGATTCTTAACAACATGAAGTCTATCAAGCTCTACGCCTGGACAACTGCTTTTGCCAGCCGTCTGAACTATATTCGAAACGATCAGGAACTGAAGACCCTGCGCAAAATTGGTGCTACCCAAGCATTCTCTACTTTCACATGGTCGACCACACCTTTTCTGGTTTCCTGCTCGACCTTCGGCGTGTTTGTCTGGACTCAGGATAAGCCCCTGACTACCGACATTGTGTTCCCCGCTCTGACGCTGTTCAATCTCCTCACTTTCCCACTCGCGATCCTGCCCATGGTCATTACTGCGATCGTCGAAGCTAGCGTCGCTGTCAGCCGTCTTACTAGTTACCTGACCGCTGATGAACTCCAAGCCGACGCTGTCCGCCGCGAGCCCGCTGTCGAAGAGAACGGTGAAGAGTCAGTTCGCATCAGGGACGCAAGCTTTACCTGGGACAAGAATGCTGAACGTCGCACTCTCGAGCAGATCAACTTCACTGCGCACAAGGGTGAACTTTCTTGTATCGTTGGCCGTGTTGGAGCCGGTAAATCTTCGCTTCTACAAGCAGTGCTTGGTGATGTGTGGAAGATCAATGGTGAGGTGGTTCTACACGGAAAGTCGGCTTACGTACCTCAGCAAGCTTGGGTCATGAACGCGTCTGTACGCGAGAACATCGTCTTTGGTCACCGCTGGGACCCGCATTTCTACGAGAAGACTGTAAATGCATGCGCTCTGCGCGACGACTTTGCGCAGCTTCCGGACGGTGATCAGACAGAAGTTGGTGAGCGCGGTATCTCTCTATCAGGTGGGCAGAAGGCTCGTCTCACTCTTGCGCGTGCTGTGTATGCTCGCGCTGATGTCTATCTGCTCGATGACTGTTTGTCAGCTGTTGATCAACACGTTGGGCGACACTTGATCAACAATGTCCTTGGACCCAACGGCCTATTGGCTGGTAAAACCAGGATTCTGGCTACCAATTCTATTCCTGTCTTAGTGGAAGCCGATATGATTTTGCTTCTGCGTGAGGGCAAGATCCTTGAAAGGGGCAGCTACACTCAGCTCATGGCAATGAAGGGCGAGATTGCAAGCTTGATCAAGACATCGCAGAATGAAGACCAAAGTGAGGACAGTGCTCCGTCTGAGGGTGTCATGAGCGATGAGGAGTCTACCGTGTACGGCGGCAGTCCAGCGTCGGAAGATGACCAGGACCGAGAGGAAGCAGAAGCAGCTCAGGAAGGCGCGTCTCATCTCGCACCTCTCAGGACCGGCAATGGTACAGCGCGCAAACACAGTTTCGCAACTCTTCGCCGTGCCAGCACTGCCAGTTTCAAGGGTCCACGTGGCAAGACTAACGATGAAGAGAACGGCCTCAAGAGCAAGCAGACGAAAGAATTCTCGGAACAAGGCAAGGTCAAATGGTCTGTGTATGGCGAATATGCAAAAACTAGCAACTTAGTTGCAGTCGCCATCTACCTCGCACTCCTCGCCGGTGCTCAGACGGCATCTATCGGTATGTAATGCACGATTGGCTCGTCATTTTTTCATCTCAAGATGACACACGCTAATATCATGCAGGTGCAAGTATCTGGCTCAAGCATTGGGCGGAGTTGAATCAACGCTTCGGCGGTAACCCGCATGTAGGCAAAAACATTGGCATCTACTTCTCATTTGGTGTGGGATCTGCCGCCCTTGTTGTTGTACAGACGCTCATACTGTGGATTTTCTGCTCCATCGAAGTATGTTCAAAATTGCTCTCAAAGTTGCGCCACGCAAGGCTAATGCACACCACAGGCTAGTCGCAAACTCCATGAGCGTATGGCGTTCGCGATCTTCCGTTCTCCAATGAGCTTCTTCGAAACCACGCCCGCAGGGCGCATCCTCAACAGGTTCTCCAGGTACGCCAAATCTATTCAGCCCCTTCTTAGTAAATGTGCTACTGCTAACAGTCAATGTGTAGCGATATCTACAAGGTTGATGAAGTGCTTGCGTAGGTCCAGACCTGTATCAAATGTCCGAGGACACTACTGACGTATATAGCCGAACGTTCAACATGCTGTTTGTGAATTCAGCCAGAGGTAAGTGGCCGCCTCGATGTATGTCTGCGGGGCCTTTGACTGACACTATTGTGTAGCTGTGTTCACCCTGGTTCTAATCTCTGCGGGAACCCCCATCTTCATCGTTGTCATCCCCCCACTTGGTGCACTGTACCTATACATCCAGCGGTACTATCTGCGCACATCACGCGAGCTCAAGCGCCTGGACAGTGTTAGTCGCAGCCCGATTTATGCGCACTTCCAGGAGTCGCTCAGTGGCATGAGTACCATCCGTGCATACAATCAGCAGAAGCGCTTCGAGATGGAGAACGAATGGCGTGTAGACGCAAACCTGAGGGCCTATTACCCATCCATCAGCGCCAACAGGTGGCTGGCTGTCCGTCTGGAGTTCTTAGGGTCTATAATCATCTTGTGCGCTGCTGGGTTCGCCATCATCTCCGTTGCCAGTCACAGCGGCATTTCGGCTGGTACGGTCGGTCTGTCGATGTCTTATGCGCTTCAGATTACACAATCTCTCAACTGGATCGTCCGACAGACCGTTGAGGTGGAGACGAACATCGTGTCTGTCGAACGCGTTCTCGAGTACGCGGCTTTACCGAGCGAGGCGCCAGAGGTTATCTCCAAGAATAGGCCACCAATCAGCTGGCCCTCGCAGGGTGCTGTTTCCTTCAACAATTACAGCACCCGATATCGGCCAGGTCTCGATCTTGTGCTCAAGAACATCAACCTGCAGATCAAACCGAATGAGAAGATCGGTGTTGTGGGTCGCACAGGCGCGGGCAAGAGTTCGCTTACGCTCGCATTATTCCGCATCATCGAACCATCGGAAGGTCATGTGAGTATTGACAATCTGAACACAAGCACGATCGGACTTTTGGACCTGCGCCGGCGACTGGCTATCATCCCACAGGATGCAGCATTGTTCGAAGGCACCGTGCGCGACAATCTTGACCCAGGCCATGTTCACGACGACACTGAGCTCTGGAGTGCGCTTGAACATGCTCGTCTCAAGGAACACATTGCTGGTATGCAAGGCAAGCTGGATGCGCAAGTTCACGAGGGTGGCTCCAACCTGAGCGCTGGACAACGTCAGCTCGTCTCCCTGGCACGTGCTCTTCTTGCACCAAGCAACATCCTTGTTCTAGACGAGGCTACTGTAAGTGTCACCTTGCTGGGCTTCTCGAATCCAGACTGACTGACCCTCGCTAGGCCGCCGTCGATGTAGAGACTGATGCCTTGCTGCAAACTACGTTGCGATCTAGCATGTTCAACAACAAGACCATCATCACCATTGCACATCGAATCAACACCATCCTTGATAGCGATCGTATCATTGTATTGGATAGGGGCACTGTGGCTGAGTTCGACACTCCAGCCGAGCTCGTCAAGCAGAAGGGCTTGTTCTATGATCTTGTCAAGGAAGCAAATTTGCTGAGCAGTATCGAAGGAAACTAACTGTAGAATACTGTTGAAGTAGGAGGTGTAGATAAAAAAAACCCAAGTAGCAAATTGTAATTCCCACATATAGACGACAAGATCAAGCCGACCCCCAAACTCGCGCTGCGAACGTCGCACACAGAACACGATCAGCAATGACGTGTTCCGGGGAAGACGTCCCCTCCAGCCACCTCCTGCCCTCTCAAGGCCCACGTCACAAGGATCAAAGTTCGAGCCGTTGCGGCTTGGCCATCGGGCGGCCGCCGGCAGAGCTTCCCCATCAACCATGTCGCACGGGACCGCTCCGCTTCGGGAATGCCCGCAGGACGACCACGGTCTGACACGCGCTAGCGGGCGGGGGTAACGAGCGGGCGTGCCGCATCTGTGCGGCCAGAGGGTGCCGGGCGACACGCTGCGCGCGCGGCTCGCTACACATCTGAGTTTGAGGCGCAAAGTCTCCGCGTGTAGAGCGCGTGGAGGGCGTCACTGTTGCGACGACTACGTAGATGGGAACTGGGCTTGGCCGACCTGGACTGAACTGGACTGGCCAGCATCGGTGTGCAACGTAGCCGAGCGAGTGTTGCTCGCGGCGACGGAAATAGCAGCAGCGCCGCTGAAGGACGTCATGCATGTGCGTGTTGCACAGCGTGGCGCGGTCTCACAGACAGCTGTCTAGCTGGAGGCGTTGAGACGCAGTGTTCTCGTGCGCAGTGGCCTTGCGTTGCGCGCAGCGGGGCAGCAAAATTGCATGGCAAAGTCGATGGCCGGCGTGACGAGCTCATATTTTGCATGGCTCGGTGCCTTTAGGCTGTCGATGTGTAACGATTCGCTTGGCGTTCTCCTCCGACGGTGTCCTGCTTGTGCGTCGCTGGTTTTGCCCCGTTGGTGGGCGAGTGTCGTGGACATGTTTGCTTTTTGTGATGAACGTATTCGAGAACGCGTGCCGTGTTGAGCAGGGTTGGGCCGGCCTGTCACACCGATCTAGGCACGATCAGACCAAGGACCGGGGCTTGCCGTTGCGATCTTGCGCCATTTCTCTGCTGTCTTGTAGCGGGTGCAAAGTGTAAAGTAGCACTGCAGCGGTCCCTGGTCTGGAGATGAAGCCTCTGGGGTGGGAAACACTGGAGACCGCGGGAGACTACGGGAGATAGGCGAACTGAGTGTCGGGTCTTCTACTTGGTATAGCAATTGCGCGTGATAGGTGACAATGGTGTGGTCATGGATCTGAAATATAGCTAGGATACGTATCGATATTGCCAGGACACGCGCGCGCGCATGCAATTTGGATGATATGGAAGCCACCTTCGATGCATTGCAGGACGGCAAACACCGCTTTTCCCGCTCTTCAAACACTGCGTAATCTATCCGTATGCACTGCAGCTTCTCATCTCGTCAAGCGTTACACGCGAACCGTACTGCGCGGCCTCTGCATTTCGCCCGCTGTGGATGTTGCAGGTCTTGTCTGCCTCAGGCAAGACCGCCGAGGAGCCCACTGTATGCGGCTGCTCTGGTGGCTGGAGCGTGCGTGCGTCTGTCGGCAGGAGCAGCTGTGTTCAAAATCACCCCTGTCGAGTTGGTCTCGCCTCGCCTCCGCATGCCCGTCCTCCCGAAGTCATGGACGTAACGCTGCAACGACGAACGCAGACCTGATGGTGGAGCGCTCCCGATTTGCATGCTCGACTCGGTAATTCTGACGATCGGCCCACAGGCCTGAGATTCGGATTCGGTACCCTGACTGCCAATGCGTCCACATCGGGTCTGTCGGAAGCAGTAGCCCCAAAAAGCACTGTTATGAGTGAGCCTCCAAATGGCAGTTTGGGGGGCGCAAACAGTGGCAAGTGCTGTAAGTTCCACATCAACACTACAGTGTGGCCGACATTATGCCAGCTGCCGGTCATTTCGAGCACAACGTCGCTGCAGCTCCGCATAACCCCACATAGTTGCACCACCTTGCGGGTAGTCTGCAAGCGAGTGGCCAGTTTGGGCGACCTACATCGGATTTTGGTATGCTGTGGGCTGGACACGGGGCGCACTACCCGCGATCGATAGCCGTGCGATTGTCGAAATCTGCATCTGGACCGCTGACCAGGATTCCGGTCGCGAACAGCGGCTGACTCGTTCTAAGAGTGTGAGATCCAGGCGGCCCTGATATATCGTTATGGGGTTTCCAATCGCTTGTTTCCAGTGTTGATACTCGCTTGATGTTTGGCCTAATGGTGGCGTGACGGGGGGAAGTGGCTTCATTGGGGATTGGTTGTTGGCTTGTCAGTAGGGATCGTGAACTGGGAAGACCCTGGGTTGACTTGCCGCTTGTGATCAGTAAAGGCTGTTCTGTGAGTGGTGCCATTATGGGAACGCACAGTGAGCCTACCCTTGACGAAATTGATAGCCGCATGCCCCAATACAATTTAGAGTTGCGGTGTGGACGCTGGCAGTGACTTCAGGGCTTTTGTCCGACCCTATCGAAGTGTAGGCCATTATTCCGATTCGATCGACCCCAGTGCCAGGTTCAGTCCTCGTAAAGGACAGCGAACGGAGCGGCCCACAACACATCTCAACTTCACTCTGCCCAGCTTTGGACCAGAACCCCCCCACATCTGCATTAGCGTGTATACATCATCCGATCCAGCTACGAAGAACGGTGTTCGTTTTTCTCGTCGCGATCTCACTCAAATCTCCTTCTTGGCGCGGTGGTCGGTTACAGATTAGGCAAAGCAGTGGCCCCGGGGAGACCGGAAGGTCAGTCGCCTGCAGATCAAGGACGTATAATCCCAGTATCTAAAAGCCGTTTCGAACCAGGCGCCCAACGGCTATCAGTCCCTCCCTTCCGCGCGCTTTGATACCAGGTTGTTCATAGGACACTGCGTCCCTGCCACTGCCCGTGGGTACCAGGATCTCTGTCCATGTGCAGGAGGCTGTCAAACAGGGCTACTGCTATGAAGGATCGATGTCGCTGATCAGGGCAGCGGCTACGACCTCAAGACGAGGCCGTTATTAAGAGCCCCTAGTCCTGGCCGATACGTGCGGATGTATCGTTCCTTTCCATCAACCTGAGCTCTTGCACCAACATAACCGCCTCCTATCGGACCTACTCAAGCTCCGTTCCATTCTACTGGCACCACAATCATCGACTGTATTGAAGTCTGTCTTGTGTACAACCTACGCTTTTCGTCAACACCTGCTTTAGCGGGACTTAACCTACGTCTACTAGCATATTGCGTCCGCGTCTGCTGAGTGGCTACTCTGGTCTGCATCTGCGAGCCATTTTCTTTTAGCTTTCGACATCCGGCTACTCTGAAATCTTATTCCTCTGTCGCTTTCAACTCTCCGAGTCTCAAGTGCGACTTTCGAAATCTGTGCACGGCATCTTGTTCTCCTCGGCACCGATTTACACCCTGGCCGCAAGTACTTTTTCGAGGTATGTAAGCACTATTATACTTAAGCGAGCCACACGGTGCTGCGCAACCACGCTTTTTATGCACGGGACGAGGCTGGTCCCGACCTATAGCGTTTGAGTGGCTGCTATATCGGAATTGCAATTATCAGCTGCTAATATGTCATCGAGCAGACACTCATCTCGCGTGCTCGCGCACCATCGCTCAGAATATTATCATAGATCAGCGATCGGCGGTAACAGTGCCTGACCCTGTCAGTGTCTGCGTTACTTGTGGCTACCAGTCGTTGAAGTGCATCGGCACGTGGCGAGGTTCGCGGCCGGGTCAGCAGAACCACAGGGCGAGTAATCTATCATGAACACCAAGGACATGCGATCGAGCCCACAGGCTGAGTATCGTGGCGAAGATCCGTCTGCGTTGACGGAGAACTGTGATTATCCAGTTCCAGTACAGGTGAGTGCTCAGCCCGTTTGCATGTCGTTGGAACTAGGTCTCGGCACCGAAATTCTCGCGAAGACACCGGCACCGGGAGCGTCCGCTCTTCCCCAAACTATAATACGCCATTCTCGATGATCTGGTCGCTACCAAACTTAATTGCTGACCTTGCGACTAGGCGGCCGCAGCACAGACCACAGGGGATGGTAAACACGCCGACGACGATGATGAAAATGATGTCGCGATGCCCATACCGATAGCGACGCTGGTGTTTCAGGATGGCCGTACCCAGCCAGTCTATAAACCACTCGCTGGTCTCGAACACCTGTTTAAGGCGCAACCTAGGACCAGCCCCCAAGCATCTTTCAGCAGCCGTACCTCTGACATACGTCGTCCCATCCGATTGGAACCGGCCCGGGTACCAGGTAAGACCACAATGGATGTGTGCCGTGTAGATCGCTTACATGCTTCCGAAGGACCACCCCAGCACGCCACAGAACCAGCTCAGCAAGCTAAGCCTCAAATAAAACCCACTGGTAGGCAGAGAAAGGCCGTTGCACCGAGGCAAAGCCTGCCGAAGTCCAGGAGTCTGAAAAGATGCCGGTCCGTTGCACAAGGGTCTGCCTCGGACCGCAAGGCTGTCGTCGACAATGACGAAGAGGCCAACCAGACCATCGGAGTCGTGACTGAAGAGGCGCAAACTTTCTACATTGGCGACGTTGATGCATTTCAAAGATTCCTTCATTGTCGCTTTGATGAACTGACCATGAAGCCACTACGCGGCATTGTTACGCACTGGGTCAAGCTTCTTGAGCCGAGACGGCTTGGTGATTGGGGCAAGTACCATGAGATGCTTCCGTCTGAGGCAGACACGCCGCCCTGGTGGCCAGAGACTGTCATCTACAAGGAGCCTTCTCATCTGAAGAAGGAGGGTAAGTGACCTGCTCCGATGCATTGGACTTCTCTGACGTCTCAGCAGACCTTTCAACATTGGCGGTTGAGATGCTGCTCGTCCACCGAAAGATTGACGAGATGAAGCGCAAGGCTCCATGGGTTACAAAGCTCCGCGACATCGCAAAGTTCACGATTCAGACGACATCAGCTGACCATTTCTCCTCGTCCAAGGGCAGCGTTCATAGCGAAGAGATGAAGAAGCGCGCAGTGGAAGAAGTGCTTCCCAGCATATTCGAAGTTGCGCAGGCATATGAAGACCACGTCATCCAGTATGGCCTTTTCGAAGGGTCTGGCAATGTCGATCCTGGCCGAGGCATGCATCACACGTGGAAGCCCATACCAAGGCCCGTGAGGCGCACACAACCAAAGCGACCTCGCCTAGCAGTCAGAGATAGTACAGGTAATGTGCAAGAGACTATCTATGAGACCTCTGGAGACGAGACGGAGCCAGACAACACCATGTCAGCGCTTGCTAGGACCCCTCAAGAGCTTGATCAATCTGCTCCTTCACCCCGAACCATGCCTGCCCCGAATCAATGCGAGATCCAGACACCGCAACAATCCTTCTCAGCCGACGACAATCGCTCGCAGGTCTGGAAACCCGACACACCTGTGTCAGTCTCCGGTCCATGCACGCCTGTCTTCTCGCCTGTTTTGTCCCAGGCTGATGCTAAGATGCAACGTACCGCATCCACACCCAATTCTTCCTTTGATCGATCATTACACGGACTGCACCTTGGAGGAGAGGACATGGATTCCAAGCCACAGATGAGGACCATGTCCGAACAAGGCAACATGCACCCTCACTTTGACATGTCCCCATACGCCCAGTCGCTGCGATACTCAGCAACACCAGCAGGGTACAACGACCAGGTATACCATTCTACAGGGACCTACTCCAACTCAACCCAGCCTCTTTTTGCGCAGACGGTTCCAACGTTTGTCAACCCTTTCAGCATGTATCATGGCCCACTGCCTCCCATGGGTTATAGCCAGTACACGAACCCCATGGCTACCGGTGCTGGGTTCGGGTTCGAGCAAAACATGTACCCTTCGACGCCTGTCAGCTTCGCAAACGCGCCGATGACCATGACCGTGGCACCATCCGACACCACCATGAACTTTGACAGCAGTCTTCCGTCCGAGTACCCTGTCGACTCGCAAAGTTCCCAAGAGCTGCGTCAATTCTGAGTTCTCCCTTTAGCGCGCGTTGTCAGCATTTTCGGTGTTTCGTCTTCTGTCTTTCCTTTTGTTTTGGCATCAGAATAACGACTCGTAACGATTCCATTTTGTGTTTCAACCCGTCATGCGTAGCTCCAGCACTGCACCATGTTGTGTTCTCTGCGCAGACTTGCTTCGGCGCTCTCGCTGGAGCGTTTTCCTTCAACCTTGTATTTCTTCCGGCCTGCTCAGGCGGAGTTTTCGTGTCATGCAAGATACCCTTACGATGTTACGCCGCTTACGACCGCATTGCATGACAAACAAAAGCGCAGTTGTCTTCTAATGGGTATACAATGGACAGCAAGGCTGTGTATGTTTTGTGTTTCGGTGGAGGGATGCGGGAGAGGGGATTGAGGGTCTGTTGGCAGGTACTTTGGAGGTGTATGTATGCAGGGTGAGAATGTGGGCGGGTGGTGGAAGCTGCATGGCCTCGCTGTCGGGCCAATGTGTAACGAATTTCGGATTAGTCATTACCAAATATATATCATCTTCACTGGTATATGTGCCTTCTGCCGGCTTCACTGTGCCGTGTTGCGGTGGGTGTGATGGAGCGAGGGCATCGTGTGAGGGCGCTGGGTGTTGTTCGCGGCGAGACGCCAAGGCACGGAGGTCCCGCGGTTTGAGCTGCAGCGTAGCTCAGGTTCGCGGCGGACTTCTTTGTTTCCCCAACGCGGCGGCCTGTCGCGATCATTCACGACTCGACCTGCCGCAATCAATCACGACTCAACCTGCGCAGGCACCGCACCTTGCTCGCCCCTTTCAGCACCAGCACGTCGCACCCATCAACCATCACACGTCACCAGCACGCATGCGCGCATCGAGAACGGCCTAGGCGCGACAATGTCGACAGTCGCTCGCGGCGGCGGCAGCAGAGGAGGGCGCGGCCGCGGAGCCGGCGTCAGCGTCTGGCGCGGCAGCAGCACGCGCGGCGGACTCAATGGCGCGTCGAGCGACTCCAGCGACAAGCCTGCGCTCGGCGCGAAGAAGCGCGGTGGGGGTGCGCAGACCGGCGGGAGCAAGACACGCAGCCATGCGCAAGAGCTGGATGAAGATGGCAACCCCAAAGCGTAAGCCCCCGTCTTCTTCTCCGACTACATGAAGGGCCGCGGGCTGATACCGATGCGACTCCACACGACGCATCACCAGATAGCAGGTGCGACGCACAATGGTGTCGCCTGTGGCCCATTCTGACCAAGCACAGCAGCGCTCCCTTCGTCTCCATGAACAAATATGGCACCGCCGCAAACTCGACCCCGCATGCGATCGACGATTACACCAGCCGCTTCACATATGTAAGCCCAACGAGCGCAAGACTACACAGACACGGGCTAATGCGCCCAGTTACAAAATGCACAGTCGAGCTGGCGCAAGCAGTTGCAGGAGAAAGGCTTCATGAATCCTGACGGGCAGATGAAGCTTAGCGACTCGGTCAAGCTTGTCGGCCGATGCAACGACATGTGCCCGGAATTCGAGAGGGTGCGCAGGATAGTGCAGAATGACTTCAAGCGTCCAGAATGCGTACGTCTGGTCTGCCCTTAATCTATCCAGCGAGTCGCTAACCCAGGCAAAGACGCCCGAAACCGAACACCTCCCATACAGCGCCCGAGTGCCCGACGAATCACGCATGGTGAAAGCCTTCACCCGATCATCGGCCGGTGCAGACGTGGAGCTGGTGATTGACATACGAAGTCCCGCAGCATGTTTGGTAAGTCACGGATAACGTCAGAGAAGTCCGAATTTAATTCGAATAGAAAACTGTCCACTACCTCTTTAGTCGTCTGGACACAGAGGGCTTCGACCACCTGCACGCTTGGATCTGGGACCGCACGAGGTCAGTCCGCAAGGACCTCCGAACACAAGTCGTCGAGAAGCCCTCTGACATCCGGACACTGCTCGTCTGTCTGGAAGCGTCCGCGCGCTTCTACCTCCTGTCGATGCACCAAATGGCACAGTCTGAGAAGGAGGACTATTCACATCAGCAGGACATGGAGCAATTCAACCAGACTCTGACGACTTTGAGGGAGCGATACGACGATAACCGACGAGCGAACATACCCTCTGACAACGAGGCTGAGTTTGTCGCATATCGCCTGATTCTGGCATCGTTCTACGCGAACAGCCAGCTCGAGAACGAGCTTCACAGCTTGCCGAACGACCTCCGCAATAACAGACGCGTCTTGACTGCTATTGAGATCTTCAAGGCCGCCAAATCAGCCTTCAATTTCGGCTCCGATAAAAGTTGGATACAGGCGCATGCTAACTGGAAGAAGTTCTGGGATTTGGTCAAGTCGCCTAGTGTATCATATCTCATGGCATGCGCTGCCGAAGTCACCTTCAACCGCGTCCGGCACGTCATACTCGACTCGATCTGGCATGCGTATAGGAGGGGATCTAAAGGAGACGTAAGCGTCGAGGCTTGGACTACCGACAAGCTCAAGGATGTGCTTGCGATGGACGACGACAAGGACGCCGTCAAGCTTTGCGAACTTTATGGATTCCACTTTGGGCGGAGCAATCAGGGCCATACATTTTTGGACATTTCGAAACTGGGCAACAGCAACAAGTCGTTGGGTGTTCCTCACACCATCAAACCGCAAATGTTTTCCAAAAGAATGGTGGAATCTAAGCGACACAACCGAGCATTCTCAGCAGTCATCCAAGGCATGACGGTGCAGCAAGCAAGGAGTAACCGGTTGCTGGTGGACCCGAAGACCATACAGACGGGCGACGAAGATTCGTTGTTCGTACCAGAGACTGTACCTGTGGCAAAACCGAACATTTTCAGCCAGAACTCCAACACAACGAACGGCATGCCGAACCCAGGCCCCTTTGCTTCACCCTTTCAGCCTCCATCCCAACCTTCGTCCGGCATCTCGAAACCGAATCCGTTCGGCAACCCTTTCGTGAGCGCATCTTCCATCAGTCAGCCTACACAAACCGCCACTGCGCCAATATTCGGTGCGCCTGGTATATCTGATGCGACTAAGCATCCGAGCCAATTTGCACCTAAGCCTGCCCCAAATACCAACGACAACCCTTTCGCCAAAGCCGCAGCAGCGTTTCCTCCACAGTCTACTACTCCCAGCTCGACACCCCCCGGTTCTTTCATTGGCGGAGGCCAGGCATCAACGGAGCCTCAAGGTCATCTATCCAGTGGCCAATCCACGCCAGCCTTCGGACAGACTGCCAATCCACCTACTTCTGACGCCTCAAAGCCTTTTGTATTTCCTGGGTTGCCTGAGCTGGACTGGAAAATACGTAACGGACAGATTCTGGATACATCCTCGACACCAGCAGGATCGCCACCACCGCCAGACGGAGCAGCACAAGCTGCTGAAAAAGAAAAAGCCGAAGCGGATGCGCGAGCGGCTGTGCTGAAGCAGAGGCAAGAGATTGAGGCACGACGTAAACGTGAACAGGAAGAACAGGAACGGAGAGCAAAGGAAGCGCAGCAAGCCAAGGAAGCCGAGCTTCGACAAATCGAGGAAGAGAAGCAGCGACAGTTGAGGGAAAAACAACAGAGGGAACTCCAGGAAAGGCAGGAGCAAGAGAGACGAATACGAGAGGAACAGCAGCGACGACAACGTGAAGAGGATGAGCGGCAGGCACGAATACGGCGACGAGAAACGGCGTACGGCGCACTGACATCAAGTATCATGTTTAGCGGGGAAGATGGACTTCTGTATCAGTTCTTAGAGAACACGGTCAGGAACGTCGCAAGGGAAGGCTACGAAGCGTGGCAGGCCCAGAAACGGCAGGAGATGGAAGCGGCAGAACGGGAGAAGAAGCGCCAAGCATTTGCACGTGCCGTGTTCACCCACTGGGTTGCACAGGTGCAGAGGAAGAAGCGCAACGCCAAAGCTAGGGAGAGAAGGAAACGTCTCAAAGCTCAGCGAGAACTGTCAATCAATGGTGAAGGTGACGCTGCGAGCGAGATCGCCAGTGCCGAGTCGGTAGCGAGCACCCTGGTCAACGGCGCGTCAACAACAAAACACGCGCCAGCCAATCACAGCCGACGCGTCAAGCGAACTGAGCAACGTCGTGCAGGTGCGATAGCCAACCACGTCACTCAAGCCACCAGCTCCTCGCAGTCGCGAGCGGCCTCGTCACAGCACGCCCAGAAATCGGACATGGGAGCAACAATGACGAATGGTCACCACGTGCGCAGCTACTCCGAGGCTTATAAAAAGTCGACGGCGCCTATCGACCGCACCGAGACCGACTGGTTCAAGCTCCGGGCTATGGGCATTGATCCCAGTAAGCACCGCAAGAGAAGCTTCGACTCAGCCACCGACGAGGAGCATAAGGGGGATGCCGAAACCAAGCGCATACGGAGGTCTGACCCGACTGTATCTTTGATCTCACAGCCGCCGCCGGAGCCCGAAGCTTCGAAGCCACTCACTATTGAGGAGCGTTTGGCTCGCATTCGTGCCGTCAAGCAGTCTTTTGCGACTTCTGGCTCAGGCTCACCACCGGTCAATGGCGCTACCCCCAAGCACTCCTCTTTCAACGGGCGCTCCAGCCTGCTCATGTCGCACGCTCGTGAACTAATTGCCAAGTCTCCGACTGCACAGCGGTCGCCAGTGGCCGTACATGACTTTGGCCGCAGCGTTCCCAATCTTAGTGTCTCGACGTCGTCCTTCCGCCAGTCCTTCCTGGGCAAGAGCGCTGGCTCTGCGCAGAGCAACAAGCCCGCATACTGGGGCCGTGCCAGTCGCTTCGTTCCCCAGCACCTCTATGGCAAGGGTGCAGAGGCCATCCGCGCATATCGCGACAAGTACATCAACTCACCAACCAGCACCCCACAGCCTGCCATACCCGAGCCGCTCGCCCTCTCGTCGCCAATCCCTGCACAGTTCTCCTACATCCCGCAGCCAGGCTACACACAGTACAGCGAGAATGGGAGCGGGAGCGGCGTTGACTTCGTCGACATCGATGCTGAATCTAATATTGCCGGCGACACCGAAGAAGACTCTTTTGACGGCGACGATGAAGAAGCTGAAGACGACAATGAAGACTTTGACGAAGAGGATGACGCTGATGACGTCGACGTCAACGCCTACCCGGCCGACTATGACGAGCAAGAAGAATACACCACCGACGACGCCGAACAATTCGCGCAGCCCGGCAGCAGCTTGGCTATCGGCCCTGGTGCTACTCAGGACGACGCCATCGAGCTGTCTGACTGACCCAACCATATATTTGTATACCACATCACCCGGCATCTGGCAGCATAGCGTTGGCGTTCTGTTCTGTTCTGGTCTGTTCTGGCCTGGTTTGGTTTGGTTCAATGCATTCGACGAGCAATGTGCATTTTGTGGGCGGATCAGGCGCGGTCTGTAAGGCGCGACACGGTATGCTATATGTAGACCAAAGGAGTACTGTGAAGTTGAGACTAGACTGTGATGGGTAACCAGAACGTCGATCCCGATCCCTATCTCGTCTCTGTGAGATGTTTGACCCTGACGTGTGTGTGAGTATGGCGAGAGTGTGATGTGTGAACACTCGTGCCTGCAGGCGGATGGACATGTAGACACGAGTACTGTACCCGGCGCCGCGCTGACTGATGTCATTTGTGGTTGGACCCTGCATGTGCCCATAGCTCCTCCCGCTCCTCCGATCCTTCACACCTCAACTATGCCATAACACACCCGCGCTCTCTGCCGTCACGATCCTGGCGTCTCAACCTCCACTCCCAGTCGCTCAGCATGCGCCCCCCTCCCCCGCACGCCGCACTCCCGTCATGCCCCTCGCCGTCCCGCCCATGACCAACGAGCGCCCCACCGCCCCGCGCTCCGCCCTCCCCGCCTCCGTTGTCGAAACAACCGCCGGCTTTACTGCAGGCATCGTCTCCTGCCTCGCCGCGCATCCTCTTGACCTCCTCAAAAACCGCCTCCAGCTCACCACAACCACACGCCCGCGCCTCGGCGCCTCCCTGCACATCCTACGCAGCATCGTCCGCGATGAAGGCGGCCCCCTCGCCCTCTACCGCGGCCTCTGGCCCAATCTGCTTGGCAACAGCCTCGGATGGGGCCTATACTTCCTATTCTACGCCCGCGCAAAGGAGGCGTTAGCAGCGCACAACGCCACCGGCCTGCCGCTCAGCAGCGCGGAATTCTTCGCAGCGAGCGGTGCTGCCGGCCTTGCGACCGCGTTTTGCACTAACCCCGTGTGGGTGCTTAAAACGCGCATGCTGGAGCGCGGCGCCAACCGCGCGGGCGCATACCCGTCGATGCGCGCGGGGCTCGCGCATGTGTGGGCGACGCGCGGGCTGCGCGGGCTGTGGGCGGGCTTTGTGCCGGCGTCGCTGGGCGTGGTGCATGGCGCTGTGCAGTTCAGTTTGTACGAGACGATGAGGGCGAGCCGTGGCGCTGACCCAGTGTCGAATTGGGACACGGTGTACATGAGCGCTGGCAGTAAGCTGCTCGCGGGTGCGATTACTTACCCCTACCAGCCGATTCGTGCGCGGTTGCAGCAGTATGAGGCTGCGGCAAGATATAGTGGAGTGGTGGATGTACTGCGGCAGACGTATAGGAATGAGGGGGTGTGGGCATTCTATAAGGGTGTGGTGCCGAATACACTGCGGGTGGTGCCGACGACAGTGGTGACGTTTCTAGTGTATGAGAATGTCAAGGTCTGGCTGCCAAGGATATTTGGGTAAGGGACGCAAGGGGCGCGTGGGGATGATTAGGAGGAGCGCACAGTAAGGAGTAGGTGGTGGTCCGAGTCTGGTGTGTGGACTTAGTGTGGGCCTGGATTAACGAGCGTCTTGTAGAGCGTGATGAGAGCACGGTACAAGCGTACGGATCGGATAGGCTATATGAAAATTCTACAGGTCCGCATTGCATCTTCATTCGAAGGACAATCAGGAGAGCGGGCAGGGCAAGAATAGTAAGTGGTAGAATCGTCTTGAAGTAACGTGTTCCACCACCGAGCCGCGCACCCCACCGAGCCGCGCACCTCTGCCAAGACCTCATCACATTCTACTACTATCATGATGCCTCAACAACGTGATATTGAATTGCTTCCTGTTGAAGATAGAATTATCCTTGCTATCCAAGCCCTCAGATCTGACGCGTCACTAAGCCAGCGACGCGCTGCTGCCATCTACAACGTGCCTGAAACCACCCTCCGCAACCGACGCGCTGGAATAACCTCACGACGCGATATCCAAGCTAACTCATCAAGGCTTCACAAGCATGAAGAGGAGGTGGTTATACAGTACATTAGGAAGCTTGATGCTAGAGGCTTTGCCCCTACGCTTAGCTACGTACGTGAGATGGCCAACCAGCTACTAGCTAAGCGTGGTGGTACTCACGTTGGAGAGAACTGGGCCTACAGGCTAATCCAACGCCGACCTGAGGTTAAATCTCAAGTAACTCGAACTCGTGATCACCAGCGAGTCCTCTGTAGCAATCCAGCTATTATAGGCCCCTGGTTTGATCTTGTACGCAACGTCAAAGCCAAGTATGGCATCCTGGATGAAGACACGTACAACTTTGATGAGACTGGCTTCCAGATAGGGGTTGGGGGGTCAGTGAAGGTAGTAACAGCCTCTGAGCGGCGCCTCAAGCCACTTGGAGTTCAGCCTGGTGATAGGGAGTGGGTAACGTTGATTGCCGCCATCAACGCTGTAGGGTGGGTTATCCCACCCTTCATCATCTTCAAAGCCAAGAACCACGACCAGGCCTGGTATCACAACCCTTGGGATTGGAGAATAGGAGTCAGTAATAATGGATGGACGACAAATGAGCTTGGGCTTGCCTGGCTACAGCACTTTATTAAGCATACAGAGGCTAAGAAAGTGGGTAGTCATAGGCTGCTAATACTTGATGGCCACGAGAGCCACAAGTCACTTGCCTTCCAAGATCTGTGTGAGGAGAACAAGATTATCACCCTCTGTATGCCCCCCCATACCTCACATATCCTTCAGCCGCTTGATGTGGGTTGCTTTGCCCCACTAAAGCGTGCGTACAAGGAGGAGATCCGAGTCTTGGCAAACTGCTATATCAACCATATCGACAAGAAAGCCTTCCTGGCTGCATTTACCCTAGTATTCAACCAAGCCTTCTCAAAGGGCAATATCCTATCAAGCTTCAGAGCAACTGGCTTAGTCCCAGATAACCCAGAGGTAGTACTATCAAGGCTTGAAGTGAAGCCTCGTACACCAACACCACCTATACCTGGGAGTACCCCTTGGCAGCCTAAAACACCAAGCAACGCCTGGGAAATAGAGGCTCAAACAACGCTGATTCTTAAGAGGATAAGAGACCATAAGAGCTCCTCACCTGAGTCTATTCTTGAGATGGTGCTGCAGGTTCAAAAGGGGTCAACTTTGAAGGTACACTCACACACGTTGCTTGAAGCTAGAATAGCTAAGCTTGAAGAAGCAAATCAGGCTGCCTCAGAGCGTAAAAAGCGTAAGAAGAAGCGGATTCAGAAGGGAGGGACTCTATCACAGGCAGAGGCAGAAGCAATAGTTACCCAACGGGATGCTGAGGTTCAACTTGAGGCCGAGAGGCGTGAGGAGAGAGTGCAGGCAGGTGCTAGCAGCAGGGGTATTCCCCACTGCAGAAGGTGTGGCAACACAGGACACAACAAGCGTACATGCAAGAAAGATGCAGTAGAATCAGGCAATTAATTTAAGCCATTGCGCACTATTATACCTTGTTGTAGCGTTGAGTTATTGAGGTTTAAATGTAGACAGTTGCATTTAGTGCGCGGCTCGGTGGGGTGCGCGGCTCGGTGGTGGAACACGTTAGAAATTTATGACAGACAATAGATAGACTGGAGCGATGACAGATACGAGACACAAAGATTCTTCACGAAAAAATCGTTGTTGATGCGGATGACGTGTGGAGAGTCTAGCTTTACTATAGACGCGCGATGCATACCTTCTCCATGTGCATATCCCGTCACACGTCCACACTCCATAATTGCATCGTAACATTACGTGCACGCGCTTCCCGTAGCCATCTATCCGGTAATTTCCGCGCGCCACTCTGCCCTCGTCTTAGTGGCATACTTGCTGATGTCGCGTTGGGCCTCCTCCTTGAACTGAACCTCGTCCCAGTGGTAGTTTAGGGTAACGACAATGTTGATGGGATCACTGAACTCGGGCACCAACAGGAGTGAGTAGATCGTGTCGATGACATCCTTGGTCGTCGTGTCAACGGTCCAGTTGCGGTCAAGGATCGAGTGACAAATGCGGCCGTGGCGGTTGATGTTGGGGTGGTACACAGACGTTACAAAGCGAGCCTGCGGTGGTGATAAGGGATAGTCTGCGCCCATCTCTACATAGAGTAGAAACGTGCCACCTGCATATGTGCTCTCCGGCGGGCCTAGCATAATTAGGATATGGTCAGTCAGCTTCGGTCGATATAGTAGCACATACCTTGCATAGCAATCTTCCAGAAACCGAAGTTCTCCTCGCAAATGTAGATGTCGTAATGCGGGTGTACGAGGGCTCCGCAAGTACGTATCTCGGAATGAATGCGACTCAGTCGTAAATTACCGTCTGACCGTGCTTGCGGAGCATGTCGCGCAAAACTTTTCAGTTCGACAAACGAGCCTGCAAGCTGAGGGTGTACCTTGCGCTGCGGGAACTCATCACGTGTAGCATGATCCACAGAAATCGACTGCTTGGCTTTTTGGAAGCGATAGAGCGCGTTGCCCGCGTGGCGTGAAGAGATGCGTGGCAGCACTGCGACAGGTCGATCGGCCAAAGAGAGGACAGGCTCCATTTCGCAAATCGCCATTGCTTCCTCCAGGCTACTTGGCTCAAACTTGTAACCCCCAGTCACATATGACAGGGTCTGAAGATCAGTGTTGTTTTCGTTACCTGTGAAAGTGAGTCAAACAAAGCTTTGATGTCAGCAAATCGTGACTGACCTAAGCAGAAAGAATCTACGACGATGTTGCGGCTAACAAGTTGTGATGCAAGATCATGAACAAGTCGACTGGACTTGTTGTCCTCGCCATCTGAGATGCAGATGATACGTAGTCTTGCCTTAGGATACTTCAAAGCATACTGCTGCAGCCGATCCATCGCCAACGCAACACTATCCCAGATAGCAGTATCACCTCTTGGGATCATGTTATTCAACTGGTGACGAAAATCCTCGATGGCATGTGTAATGTCCTGCGACACGGATACAGTGGAGCTGAATGTAACGAGACCGACATGAGTCCGAAAATTGTAGGCCAGCAGTCGATTGATAAAAGCGTCAAACATTTGTTTCAGAACTTCCAGTCGACTGAGTGTCTTGCGCTGACCAGCTGGAGGTGCAGGCGAAGGGCCAAGTGCCAACTTCAGTACCAGTGGACCCGTCGTGGAGTACGTACGAAGATCTGTAGGTGAATCAGAGTTGTCATACGCCGATTCCGCGTTCACAGATCCAGTTGCATTCGAAAGGTTCAAGAGCTCAGAGACTGCTTTCCAGTGTGCTATGCAGGAAGCGGTGCAGTAACCGTCGCCCACATCGCGCATGCCGTGCCATATTGTGAATGGATGTTCGACTAATGCATAGGCATTCTTGGAGAACATGTGCCGGTAGTATCGAAACACAACGGATTCCAAAGTCTTTGTTGCACTCCTAGGCTCCCAATACGAGCACACTGGCGTCGAGCGGTTGTTCCAGCTGTACACCTTGACCAGGTACATATCGCCTGGCGTGTCAAATGAAGGTAGAGTTGTAGTCTCTAATGGAGCAACGAAAACATCAGTGGCAGGAGCGACACTCGTCTCAAGTGACCGAGGGGCAAATGGCAAGGAAGCATTCCTGTGATGTAGTTCAAACCTGGGGTACCGGCCCTTTGTAAGGCGAAACGCCAGAGCGTACAAGTCAATCAGCGTTAGCGAGTGTGGAAGCTCCATTGTATATGAGCCAAGTGGTGACTTGATTGAGACAGTCTGCATGTTTGCGGCAGGTTTTGCCACAAATATGTCTTTGCCCTTCAAGTAAGCATCAACTTCCTGCCTAGATCGCGCGTCAGAACGGAGGTCGGTGCTGGACAATTCAATGTTCGTAAGCGGCGAAGTCCTCTTGGTGTGGAGCCTAAGACACCACGTTAGCAAATACTGCTTGAGAACTATAACAGCGCACTGAAGGCTCACCATCGCTCGATGTTTTTCCGTTCATATGTGAAGCCATCGACAGTCATGACGGGATCTTCCATGAGCTCATTACTGATGGGACAGATCAATTCCGTGGGCAGCTCAAAAAAGGGACCATTGTGAGCATTCGACTGCTGTGGGGTGGCTACCGGTGCAGATGCTCCGGGTCGCCATACCTCCAGTCCAGGGAGAGAGCCCGCATTTTCAGCTCGGTATGTAAGAAAAGCGCATAGAGGGTCGGCAAACCGCTCCATCCTAAGAAGACGATTTGAGAGTGTGAACAAATCACGCTCAGACGACGCCGCCAACGCACGATTGTACGAGTGAGTAGCCCTTCGTCTGAGAACCTCAAGTTCTTTGGTGTTCTCTGTGATTTGCTGCTGGTGAAGTTGACCCAGAATCTTTAGCACCTGACTTGCGTTCTGCCGGCGATGGCTGTATTCGGTGCCTGCACGCACGATGACCAGCATATCCTCGAAGGAGTCATGGGCAAGAATATACTCTACTTGAGGTCAGCGCCGTCTGTCACTCTGGTAGTCAAACGAAAATACCTTTTAGCTCATCTAGCGCCAAACGCTCGCTGCCCGGGTGCTCTACTTGCAAACTTGTGGTAGCTGGTGTGGCGGTATGAATAGCGCGATTGACTGACGCATCAGCGTCTTCGCTCTCCTCAATGTCAACAAACCCACATCGAGAGCCCATACTGCTAGATAGATCGACGCACACTACGACCGCTTCTTCTGGATCCTTGGTATAGCGGTCGTGGCTTCCGTACGCCTCGAACACGGCTGTACCATCGACATTGCGATGTGCGAGAACAGGCACCAGCAATTGTGTGATGACGGACACATCGATTGCCTCTTCTCCGGTTAATGGCCTGAACATAAGAATGTCCCTGCCGGGTTGACCGCACCCTTCGCGACCGACGTAAACGGATAGAAAACCTTGTCGGTCCAAAGTGAGCACTGGCGGAGAAGCAGATGGGAGGTCTGCGGGAGGAATGACGCTTAAATGGTTGTTGCTGCACATTGAAGCGAGATATTGAAGGTTCGAAATCTCTGTTTGCGCAACGACGGTATTGATGCCTTTCTCAAGGTAGCGCGTGGTGAGGGCGACAGTGTCAGGGTTGAAAGTTACAACTTTAGTCTTCATGCCACCTGCAAGCGTCACAACCCTAGCCAGCTTCTGATCAACCGAGGTGGCCATCCCAGTGTTGTTATCGTTGATCCAAGTGATGACACCGTTTTCAGCAAAGGCATCATAAAGCCCCACGTCGATCAGGCCAATCTTTGACTGCACTGCCGGTCCCCGAACAGGCCGCATAGTGACTGCACTACGGAGATCGTGTACCTGCATGCTCGTGTACGGAAGACTATTCTCACTGCTGGAAGAAGATACTCGCAACGTCTTAGCTCTGCCTAGTATCAGCCCGAATAGCAGACGAGAACCTTCGAAGAGGCGCTGAGGGTTGTTGTGGACGGTAGCAAGAGGGACGACATCCTTCAGAATCTCGTAAAGACACTGAGATAACGCAGCGCATTCGGAAGGTTGTGGGGTCTCTCCGCGCATGAGCACGTATGCTGTTCGTACAGCTGGTGGGAATCGAGTCATGAGATGAAGAATGCGTAAGACTGCATCTTGTTGAGGTTCCTTCATGTTACTACCAGAAGTGATGTCTGTAAATTTGCGCAGTGTTGATAGCAGGTTGGCTAGACCGCGCTCGGACTGACCCAGAGGGTGTTCCCAAGCATGCTGCCTCTGGAAGATTGCAGCCTTACCAATTTTTGCGCTTCCTGCGTATAGATTCAGTACACTTTCATTTCTGTAGGCGGTTCCAAAACTCTCACTAGAGATTGACCTACCTGATTTGTGGTTGTTGTTTGTAGGAAACACACGCTGAACGGCAAAGATAGTAAGGACGCCATCAACTGCGCAGTCATGGAGACCTGCTGCCTCGATCGTGACATCTTTGTTGTGAATTGTGATGTCAATAGGGCACTCGGAGATGTGGAGATCGAGAGTTAGGCCACGGTTGTCCATCGCAGCGACAGATTCTGCACCATCATCTTCCTCATGGTGACGGTGCGACTGGTGAGAGCATACAGCTAGCACAGGAAGCTTAAGATATCGCCCACTATCTCCAGCCTGCGCGTTGCGAGCAGCTACGCCTCCAAGCGCACAAAGGAGCTTGCCTGTGGCCTTGTCTTGCAGTTGCACTCGAGCCGCACGTTGAATGGAGGCCAATGTAGGCTCTTCTATCGGAACGACAGTGACTTTGTTATCCTCGTAGACAACCACAAGAGTGTGGAGTGCGTCCGAGTTCTCAGCGCTACACTCGTTCAGTGCTGCATTGGAGTCTATTTGCTGTGCAGCACTACAGTTGCAGTCGAGTTCTTGGAGTGCCTCGTCTCCCGTAGGAACATTCAGATGTTGGCAGACGGCAGCACGTAGCCCCAGAAGCGTAGTGGAGAGTGGTAATATCTGGGCTGTGGGCACAATAGTGTCGACATTGTGATGTTCATGAGCCAGCTCTGGCGTTACGACACGGAGGCGAAGCTGGTCGTCGGACCCAATGTGCGGCTGAGGCTGCGTCCTGGAAACGCCAGAGTTTACCTGAGCTTGCTAGGTAGTAAAGTCAGCCTATTTACAGTCTCGCCTGGTGGTGAAGTAACCACGCACAACAATGACTGCACATATTGTCTCTTTAGTATCGAGCAGAACGTCACAGAGAAGATCTTCAGGGTCAAGCATGGGACCAGTCTCGCTTTCCAGGTGAAGGCTGATGTGAAGGCCATCCGTTGTTGCTAAGCCCAGCTTCGAGGCAATCGTAGGGAGACGCGTTCGGACTGTATCCGCTAATGCGGAGCACAGCTGTGATGAGGACAGAACCACAAGCAAGCTTGCTGCCTGCCCGCCAAACATGACCTTGACGATTCGTCTCGCCATGAAGGAGTGGTGTGCCAGGTGGTTGAGTCGATGGTCGTTGGTGACGTAAAGTGCGGCGAGGAAGGTGCGGTGGGCACACTTATAGAGGGAGGGCGCGTCAGGTCCACGTGACTACGCGTGAGCGCAAGAAGTGAAGGTACAGAAGCAAGCAAACCACTCTAGGCATGTAGTCTCGTAGCAAACAAATGAACAGACAATAGCATGTGTTTCTTGGCGTAGAGTAGAAAAGCTGTTCGAACGTGAGGCTGATGGCAACGAAACAGATGTCCAGAATTATGAAGAGGGACGCGAGGAATTAAACTTGCTTCAATGAATACTGTTTGGATGGTTCCGTGTATGAGAAATTGCCCCCACCAGCCAGGCCTGCAACACTTCTTTAAATGGGCCTTAGCCATTCCAGCTGTAGACACACGGCGAAAGAGGGTCAGTCGCAAACGGGTGAGGTGCGGAGTGGCGGAAGCAGATTCCACATCCTGGAAGCTATCAGGCAATCCAGATTGACTGAACACCTAACCATGTTACAGGAGCAGTTTGCACAGATCCTGATTGACGGGTGCAGGTGAAGCGAGTGAGAAGAAGATGAGTACTTCGTAGAGCGATCAGGTGTCAGTGAAATCGGAAGACACGTGCGGTCACTATCGATAAGGCGCGACCCGATGTCACCAAGTGTCCTTACCCCAGATCAATGCACAAAAACTCACGCGCATAACATAGGGATCCAGACACCGTTTCGACACCAATAAGACACCTTGAGCTCACCATGGAAGCCGCCGAAACATTCACACTTTTGCCCCTGCACATGGACGATGCCACAGGTACCGTCAGCGCAACAGGCACCGCAAACAACGCCCTCAACACCGAGCTCGCCGCGCTGAACGCACTCCACCGTGGCCTTCTCACTGTCGAGACCCCAACAGGCACGCCACCACCCCCTGTTCCCGTCAACCCCAAGCGCTCAGCACAGATCGGCAAGCTGCGCGAATCTGGTAACGCCGAGTTCCGCAAGGGCAACCCCGGTGCTGCTGTCAAGCTATACACTCTCGCAGTCGACATGGCGCTTCAGCGCCCCCACTGGGAGCCGTCTGGTCTGGTACGCGAAGAAGTCTCTGGGCTGTTGAGCAACCGCGCGCAGGCGAACATGGCACAACAAAATTGGGCCGAGGGCTCGGTAGACGCAGAGGCAAGCGTAGAAATGAAAAAGGCTGGAAACGCGAAGGCTTGGTGGAGGCGAGGAAAGTGCTTGCTTGAGATGGGCAGGCTGGAAGAGGCGGAGCAGTGGGTCAAGCAGGCGCTTGAGTTCGAAGCTACAGAACAAGATCTGGTGCAATTGAAGGCACAGATCGAGAGCAGGAAAGCTAGCCAGGGTAGCGCAGCTTGAAGAGGAGCATCGAGCTGGAGACTCAGGGACAAGGCCGGCGGGATGCGCCCCGGTTCACATGCATTGTAAGGCGTCTGGCGCTTGTGTATACCAGAAGCATGGTTTGATTTTAGGGCACTGTATGCATCAGTGGGCACATCGTGGGTTAGTGAATATCAAGCGGGTACGAAGCAAGGACGGTCCATACTATTGGTTAGCTGCTTACTTTATCTTCACCTGACTTCTCAGCCATAGTGTCGTATTTTCTTTTCGCTTTGCTATCGCCCTCCATCATTGCACAGCTCTTCTCAACCCTTCACGTGGCTGCATAATCCACCTAGGCACGTCCGACCAGTCATTTGGCAAAATGCAGCATCTCACAAGAAGGATCAGCAATCTCATCGAGCTTCTTGTTAGACTGTATGCGCTTGAACGGGATCGGTTAGTAACAGTCCTGTGATGTAACCTAAAGGTCTATGTGAATTCGAATGTGGTCGCACATGGCCTGTCTGAGCAGAATGTTTTGAGCATCCCAGGAGAAGACTGTCAGCGACGGTCGCCGTGTGAAGCAGAGTGCGAGTTGTTCGGCAAGCACTGCCTAAGTGGACGGAACACATATGCTGCAGTATCAGCCATAATATCATACAAGCAGACAAGCTAAAGAGACTCGATACAAGCTGTCGTAACAAGCTTGCGGAACGGATGTGCATATTGCCTCGAAAGCGTGATGGGAAGTCGAATCTATCAATTCACGTTGACAGCACTGCAGCATTGATAGAGGTATGATTTGTCTTGCCCATCACTTGAGTACTTATCACATAAGTACCCATCGCTTAAGTACACTGAATCTCATTTTCGATAGTGCAAATCCCCGTCATATCTAAATTTGCACAGTACTCTGCAACTTTCTTCCCATACATACATTACACTATTCAAACTTAGTCTGACCAATGACACACATGAAGAAAGACCCACTTTGGACGTTTTAGGCATAACGCACCAGCTCCAGGAGATCTTACTAATGCCCCCAAGTTGCCTACTTACGCCTACGTACCTTGAAACTGCAACCACGCTTTCTCGGACAAGAATTGACGGAAACAATAAACCCCTATATATACGTGTTACTGTTCGTCTTCTCGAACACCAGATCAACTACCTTGCGTCACACGCCTGATACAAAAGCATCATCTCATCATGGCCTATCCCTCGACATACTCCGCCTGGCGTCGCAGCGGCCTCAAAGGTACTGCAGAGAATCGTCTTACAATTATCCGCACGGATGACGAGACTCTCCCTTCCACCCTTGATCCCAATGACGTAGTTATCAAGATCCACACCGTGTCCCTAAACTACCGCGAGATCGCTATGCTGAACGGTGTCTATCCAATGGACATCCTGGACAAAGGTGTTCCGTGTTCAGATGCTGCAGCCGAGGTCGTCGCGACGGGGTCTGCAGTCTCAAGGTTCTTGGTCGGAGACCGGGTGTGTCCAAACACTAGCCTCGGGAAGACGTATGAGGGAGGAAGCGACGGGACCAGTGTTGGGGTTGGAACGAACGCGATGGGCGTGTTGCGACAGTATGCTGTGTTCAACGAGGAGCATCTAGTGAAGATGCCTGAACATTTGTCTTGGGAAGAGGTAAGCCACAACTGAGAGACAGGCTTTGATGTAGTCTAACTTTATCGAAGGCATCACTCCTTCCTTGCGCAGGCGTAACTGCGTGGAATGCGCTCGATGGGCTCAAGAACGTGCCGAAAGGTGCCTATGCGCTGCTCCAAGGTGAGATTGCTTAGACCTGAGACATGACTATCTGCTCACAATTGGTAGGTACCGGCGGTGTTAGCATGTTTGCACTCGTATTGTGTCTCTCAGCCGGTATCAGACCCATTATTACATCGTCGTCTGACGAAAAACTTGCTGCGATTAAGCAGCTCAGCCCCGAGATTCAGGGACTCAACTACAAGATGGTATCTGATCAAGCAGCGGAAATCCAGCGACTTACGAACGGACGAGGTGTTCATTTTGTCGTTAATAACATCGGACCTAAATCCCTCATGGAGGATATCAACTTTCTGTGCGAGAGAGGCGGCACTGTTTCATTAGTCGGTTTCTTGGCAGGTTTTGACGCTGATTGGTCGCCGAGCCATATCATGAGCTTGATGGGTAAGGCGGCCAAACTGAAGTAAGTTTTCCGGATTCCCTATCCATATGCGTGGGCTAAAGCTTTTAGGGGCATTGCCATGGGCACTCGAGACGACTTCGAAGAGATGAACCGTTACTTAGAAAAAGGGAACGTTCATTTTGATGCGTTATTGGTAGATCGACCATTCGCCTTCGCGAACGCAAAGGATGCATATGATCGACTGGAATCGGGCAAGTTCCACGGAAAAATTGTCATTAGTGTAGACTAGCAAGGTGTCGATGTCAAGTGACTGTGGTCCGTCTACTTGGATCCAGTTTCGCGGCTCCACCTGGTTAAGCGTTGAGTTGTCGAATTGATCCTATCTTTCTGGAGATTGAAGCGATACCTCAGGCTTATTGCTTGTCTTTCGGCTATATTCTCGTAATGTCTGGCCGTTAGCCGAGTACTCGTATCCTGCGAATCCGTTCCAGGCGATGCACCTATATTTGTTGGATATACCCCGTCAGTGGATGCATGAATGTATCGGCAGTCTCCTTGTAAATATATGATCAAACCGGACGAGGTGTGAACTACACAACACTGTGTATTCGTCTAGATCATTTCATGTATATATCGTTCGTATCGTTGATCCTCGTGCACCTAATAAAGTACACCCTTCGTACTCCTGACCTCACCTTCCCACTGCTTCACCACTGTCGTCGCATGCCTGATAGCCACAGCCAGCGCCTTGAACGCACTCTCAGCCCTGTGGTGGTCGTTGTCTCCCCTCAGGCAATCGACATGTAGTGTTGTCCCGCTTGCCTGCGCAAAGCTTTGTAGGCAGTGGGGGATCATCTCGCAGCTCAAGTCGCCAAGTTTCTCCCGCTTCAGCCCTAGATCCGTGACGCAGTATGGACGGTTGCTCAAATCAATGACAGCTCGCGAGAGGGCCTCGTCAAGAGGCGCGTATGCGTGTCCGAAGCGTGCGAGACCAGTGGAGCCCTGCAGCGCATCCTTGAACGCCGTACCGAGCGCGAGAAACGCATCCTCAGAGGTGTGGTGGTCATCGATGTGCAGGTCTCCCTTGACTCTGATGCTCAGCGACCATCCAGCGTGTTTGGCGAGCGCGTGGATCATGTGGTCGAGGAAACCAATGCCTGTGTCGACGGAGATCTCCTGTGAAGTGGACTTTTGTGTCGCGTGATCCTTGTCAATCTTTTCGCCTTCGCCGTTCAAGTTCTTCTTGTCCAGTGCGGCCCAAAAGTCGGAGTGCTCGTAGGCTTGCAGTTCGCCGCCGTCGAGGTTGATTGAGACTTGAATTTTGGTCTCATTGGTATCGCGGTTGAGAGATGCGGTGCGCGGCATTGTGGCGGTATAAGGAGTTCAATTCTGGATGCAATGGTGTACTAAGGATTACAGTGGTGTTGTGCTTCCAATTGCAGAAGTGCAGGTAAGAGAAAAGTGAAGATGAGAGGCGTACCCCACGTCAGAGGCTACCGCAATCGGCCGAAGGCCGTGCTTCGTAGGGCTGAAAAAAAGTAAGCCAGCAATGATTCGCCGATCGAAACGCGCCCGTGGAAAACTTTGGTATCGCAAAGTCACGCTTCCAGGTACACATAATTTCACATAATCCACCGGCTCCTATTTCAATATCGGAAGACCACACAACGAGCAAGGAAGAGCAAGGAAAACGAACACAATGCCCGCTGCCACAGAAGAGAAGGTTGCGCCCAAGATCATTGACCCTACATCAGAGCATGGCGAGGAAATCGATGCTTCTATAGATCGCGATAGGATACGCGTCGTACGTTTAATCCGGGATGTTTGACCAGATCCTGGACTAATACTGTGCAGCTGGCGGGTGCGACTGAGAGTGCCGCTTCTTTCCAGTTCGATGGCGAGGATCACACACTCGGCAACGCACTGAGATACATTATCATGAAAAAGTAAGTCTGCCATACCTGAACTGTGACATGTTGAAAGTATGTGCTGACGGCAAAATTAGCCCTGATGTTGAGTTCTGTGGTTACTCTATCCCCCACCCTTCTGAGACTAAGATGAATCTGCGCATTCAGACATATGGTAAGCTCTACGGAATTCTGCATGTTCCGAGTATGATCTGACAACGCGTAGACAACGTCAGCGTGTACCAAGTCCTGGAGAAGGGGCTGGAGGACCTGATGAACATGTGTGATGTCGTTACTGAGAAGTTCACCGTCTCGAGAGAGGAGTTTATCAACCAGATGGAGCAGTAGAAAGTTGGTTCGCTCAGACGAGGGTGAAATGAGTCATTGCATTGCAGGCGTTCACGGAAAGCATCTACGGATCGGCGCACGAGAAAGGAAATGGTATTGTGACAAAGCTATGTACACGCTGTCTTTGTCTTGTTCGCTCTTAGCCCCAGGCCGTGAAGTGCAATCAGTTGCGTCCCTGTTTTTCATCATGAGTATTTGTGGGTGGCTTGTGGTGGACAACGAAGGGGATGGTGGATGTCGTACCTCCAAGAATCCATTGATGAAGTTCGCTGGCAGTCTCGCCTTGGGATCCTCCTCCGCTCGGAAGTACTTGAGAACGTGTGACAGCTGCTTCCAGTAGTTGAGAGTTTCCTGGAATTCCTGGTGACTGTTGAACAGCAGGACATCCACCGTCTTCACTTGGTTCACATATCGGTGCCGCTCAAATTCTTGGCGGATTTTCGTCCGAAGCGTGGAGACGGGCATGTTCAGCGAGTACATGGTCTGAATCTCGGGGGCCTATAGCATTCTGTCAGCTTCCACTGCGTGATTATCCGCGGCTTCCTCTTCCTGTACCCAACCGCTCTTCCAAGTCCGCATATCCCTCTCTTTGGAAGCGCCCGCGCCCAGAAATTGCTGAGAAATCCTCCGTAGCCCTTACTATCTCGCGCAAGGTAGACGTACCGATCGTAGCCAGTCCCTGTAGCTGTGGATGACCCTCTTCTTTGCATCGGTCCAATTGACCGCTGTGTCCGCGTTAGCGCCCCAGTCCTCCCAATGACTGTATCAGAAGTAGTCCATACATGAGCGCGTGCGCTGGGCAAGGTAGGTAGGGTTGATGACCATACTGGCGGTGTTACGCAGCTCGAGTGTTCACTGAGCTTGCTATGAGATGACGATGTCGCTCGGTGGAATAGTTGCTTGGCGTTTCGCTAGCGCGATCATTGCGGGCGGCGCTTTCTGAAAGTTGTGGATGAGTGAGTGCCTTGCGAGAACACAAACCAATCCAACACGTCCAACCTACTCAACTGTTCCGTCCGAAGCACCCAAGAAGCTGCCGAAGTTTGCCATAAACCCACCGACAAACAAACGTAAACATGCCCCCAGTCCGTACAGCGCGTGCCTCGAAGAAGGCCCCACCAGACGGCTTCGAAGACCTGGAAGATACACTCCTCGAATTCCAGAACAAGATGAAGGACGCTGAGAATGCATCGCACGAGGGCAAGAAGAAGTACGAGATGACTTGGCCCATCTTCCAGATCACCCACCAGCGCTCACGATACATTTACGAACTGTACTACGAAAAAGAGGCCATCAGCAAGCAGCTTTACGACTATCTGCTCAAGAATGGATATGCAGACGCCATGTTAATTGCCAAGTGGAAGAAACAGGGCTACGAGAAGCTGTGTTGCACCAGGTGCATTCAGACCAAGGAGACGAACTTCAGGTCTACATGCATTTGCCGTGTGCCAAAGGAGCAGATGAAGGAGAATCAGGATATTCAGTGCGTAAACTGTGGCTGTAGGGGATGTGCCTCGAGCGATTGAGGAAGAATTTCGCGACTGTGCAGACATGGAGGTTTTGCACGATCCACAGACCGTCCCAAACACCAGGAGAGCCTACCTTCATATGGATCGGCGCACAGACGCGAGACCAGTCTTTACTCGCTTGATGCTGTCACGACCATACGACACAGAAGTCAGCGAAGTATTTGGCATTTTAGCTCTCCGAGGTGATGAGAAAGACCTCACGACACGATGAGCGACAAAGACTACTACGAGCGAACTTCAGAGGGTGTGTCGGACCAGTCATTAGTTACATTCAGTTGTTAACATTTCTACAGACGCAATACAAGGTGTAGGAGAGTTGATCCATGAACCTGCCCAAGGGTATCCCGAAATATGCAAACGCCGCGCTAATCGTGCCTTCATTATGCCACCAACCTTCTCTCTCGCCGTCTCAAACCCGTTCTACAGTCGCATGCCACTTCATAGCGACCTGACCGTCGGGCCTGGATCAGGGCCTAGTTCAAGTCCCATATTTTCCCAATACTCTTGCGCCCCACGGCTCACTTTCTCCTGCGCAAAGTACTCCGCGCTGATGGACCTACGCTCCATATAGGTCTTTCCTGTTCGTGAAAACTGCAATGGAGCTGGCTGCGCTGTTGGCTGCGGCGGCGCAGGCCACGCACTCATAACATCTGGATCCAAACTACTCCTCTTCCTCGTATCGCCTCTCTTCAGTCTGAACGGGCTACTGCGATCGATAGGGCTGTCGTTCCCTGACCCAACTGTTGCCTTTGGCGCTGGGAGACTAGCTGTCGTTATGTCTACCGAGTTCCTCGGAAGCTGGTCGTCCCACGGGTTGTGATGGACCGCCGAGTCGTCCGAAGGGTATACGTGAGGACGTGACGATGCGATCCAGCCCGTGTGCACAATCGGAGTGCTTATCGCAGCCATGTTGTGCACTTTCCCTCCGCAGAATATGGACTCGAAAGAATTGATCGGCGAACCAACATCCTTCTCTGGTACAGCTGGTGGGGAAGGCGTGGTCCCCAAGTGACGAATGACAGGAGCATGTCTGCGACGCTTGCGCAACCAGAAATATATGAAAATCGCCGCAATGATGAATAGCACGGCGATGGGGATCATGGCGAGCCCAGCGATGGAGTTCGCCGAAAGGCCATGTTTCTCTTGTGGATTTGCTGCAGACTCAGTAATTGTGGCTGGCATCGTTGGACTGTTTGTCTCTATTGCGTTCGTTGGTATTGTGAACTGCTGAGATGTGGAGATAGTGGCCTGATGTATCCTGACTGTTGGCAAGGGAGACGATGGTGATGATGTAGGGATATGCGGCTGCTGGCCACGCGCAACATTGTTAATTGCCGTGTGCGATAGGGACCGTCCTTCGATATGTACCACACGCTCGATCGAGCGCATCGTGGTGGTTGGGCTGCACGTCACCTGTTGACGTCGGCGCCACCCAGGATTTAACAAGCTGCCCCTTGCAGAACGCTATGTATAGCTGGTGTGTTCCAAAGAAGTTCTGGAATAGGTCTAACAAAGACCAGTGATAGCGTGTAGTCGCAATAAAGATGTGCAGTTGGAGAATCTTGGATCGTACAAAGCGTGCGTTGCCGCGTTGCCTCTAGGGCACCCTCAAATGATAAACTTCTCATTGTGCCAGAACAAACAAGTTCAGATCCACCACGCCGCTTTGCCCTGTCCGCCGTCCATCGAGTCCGTCGCCGCGCTGCCGGGATCCCCATCGCTGTGTGGGGTGTCAGACCAAAGCGGACTTACGCAGCCCCCATGTCCCGCATGAAACCGCCAAACTGTGCTTTGGGAAGTGCGTGTGGCTCACTTGTGGCGGACGCGACTTTTGGGTAAACAATGACAAGCATGGCCGCGTTTCAGGCTCAAAGAAACAATTGTTGGGTCTCGAAAACAGGCATGATTTACTCTTAATCACGAGAGTTTATTTGCTTGTTTCTGCCTGACATCCCCGAGGATCATTTCATGCATACAGACCACGAGGCTGGTGGTGGTATGCGTGCTCATGTGGAGTTTCCAGCTATCTTTGCGTCGGACATCCCGTTGCATAATCGAGGCTTGTATTATAAGAGTGATAAGCAGCTTTGATCACGTTATGAAGCGGAAAAAGTATGCCCTGTGGTGCGTTTTGGTTCTCCGGGCTGTGGACTCCGGCGCACAGCGTGTACCCAGTCAGCAGGTTGCCGCTTTTGGCGATGGGCTGAACTTGAGTCAGCATGAGGCTCAACTGTGAGTGCTTTGCATGCAAGTCCGCTTGCAGTGGTCCTGCGAGTCAAGAAACCTTTGGTGGTTTGTCTCACAATCAGCTCACATGTTAGAATTACAGCATGACGGCCTCAGATCGAAGGACACAGCCCAGGCACGCTGTATCGACGCGAAGCATATCGTTCCCATCCAACACTACTTCGAGGTAAGAGCATAGTGACAAGATCATGACACTCGGGAATGCTATAGCTGCTCCTATTCCGGCAGCCACGATGAGACAACCGGAAGTAGTCAGACCTTAGGAACCTTGTGAGCGCCTACCAAAAGTGGGCTCTTACTCCCTTTCATCTACAACGAGCAGGACACATCGAAGGCCTAGAATGATCATGGATACTTAGATCGCCGAGCAGGAAGTGTTCCTGCCCCTCGTGACGCCAGCTATGATGCGCCGTGAAGCTGTCGTGATCCGCCATCGTGACTTCATCGAATCTTGCATGCTTGCACTAATCCTCCTCCTCGCAGCTTCGAAGTCTCTGATACTGTATGGCATCCACGATCTGCCCTACACGTCTCCCTTCAGCGCCCTCTGCACCTTCTTTACGGATGTGGCTGTCGGTCTGCGGCTCTCGATTCCCTTTAGTTCACCTATCGCAACATTAATCTTCGTTGCTTCGTTTTACTTCGTCCGACCAGAGCGACTAGTCGTGACCTGATACCTCGTTCTGCTTTGCTACTTCGTTGGAGCGACGTCGGGTGCTGTGTTGCTGCTGTGGGCCTAGAGGCGATAGAGACGACGCTAAGATAGAAACGGAATAGCTTGAGGTTGTCGTCAAGCCCGATAGCGGATGCAAAGGAAGTTGCATCGCTTGACGTGGGAATGTTGAAGCGGGAAAGCATACAGTCATTGCATTTCTTGGAGTCATTGTAAGGCGTGTCTTATCAATTGAGCGATTACACGTCAAAAGCTTTCAAGGTATGTGCAAATTGTTGAGTTGAGTCACAGTTCCGGCATTTAAGAAGCTGGTGGAGCTACAATACCGTTGGTTCTGCGTCATTTGCGATTGCGTGGTTTTGTCTTTTGACGACAGCGATTGAGCTCACTACAACGCAGCTCTATACCCTTTGGATAGCTAAGCATACGGCTTGCGTTATTCACCATGTCTCTCGCCCGCCCGAACCCCCGATTTCTTGCCCGAACGAACCGCATCTTTGCATCGCAGACACGAAGCTATGCAGCGCCAGGTGACGGTGCAATCCCCGCCGCAAAGAAGAAGTACGTACCGAACACGGGCACATATCCTCTTGGCTTCAAGGCAGGAAGCGCGCACGTCGGCGTGAAAGCTTCAAACACACGTTTCGACGATCTTGCGCTCATCGCGTCTGACACACCCTGCGCTGGTGCTGCGGTGTTTACGACCAATAAGTTCCAGGCTGCACCCGTTACCGTAAGCCGGAATTTACTGAAGAGTAGGAAGGGAGAAGGAATTAGATCCGTCATCATCAACAGCGGCTGCGCCAATGCTGTAACAGGCAAAGGCGGCATCGAGGATGCGACATTGATGGGCAGGGAGACCGATAAAGCCTTCGTCAACAACAGCAACGGCGAAGACGATGGGCAAAGTCGAAGCATTGTCATGAGCACTGGTGTCATAGGTCAGCGACTACCCATCCAGAAGATCGTATCGAAGATTCCTACTGCATACTACAACCTCGGCGAGACACACGAGCACTGGCTGGGTACTGCCAAAGCCATCTGCACTACCGACACATTCCCAAAGCTCGTCTCAAAGACTTTCTCGTTGCCAAACAGTAATAAGGAGTACCGCATCGCCGGCATGACTAAAGGAGCAGGCATGATCCACCCCAACATGGCAACTCTGCTAGGTGTAATCTGCACCGACGCTCCAGTCTCTGCCGGCCCTCTGCAAAGCGCACTCACCTCCGCTATAACTAAGTCCTTCAACAGCATTTCCATCGATGGCGATACATCCACCAATGACACTGTCGCCATCCTTGCCAACGGCGCAGCTGGCGGCAAGCTCATCGACAGCACATCTTCCGCCGACTTTGATGCCTTCCAGAAGACACTCACTGACTTCGCTATTGATCTCGCGAAGCTCGTTGTCCGTGACGGCGAGGGTGCGACCAAGTTCGTCACAATCCGCGTTACCAATGCCGCGACCTACAAAGACGCACACCGCGTCGCCTCAACCATCGCACGCTCGCCTCTCGTGAAGACTGCCTTGTATGGCAAGGATGCAAACTGGGGACGTATTCTGTGCGCCACTGGATACGCCGAAAATGTCGATGGTGTCATTCCCGAGGAGACCAGTGTTAGCTTCATTCCCTCGGACGGGAGTGAGGAGCTGAAGCTGTTGGTCAAGGGCGAGCCAGAGCAGGTTGATGAGGAGCAGGCGGCGAAGATTCTAGAGGCGGAGGATCTAGAGATCAAGGTCCAGCTCAGTGAGGGCAAGTACAAGGAGGAAGCGGTCTTCTGGACATGCGATTTCTCGCACGAGTATGTGACCATCAATGGGGACTATAGGACATGAGCGAGTAAATATGCATTCATCCAGTCCTTGCTGGCAATTGGCACAGCGTCTTGAGTTCATCAGCTATGTTTCGATAACTCATTCATGTTTCTTTCTAGATCTCGCACACGGAAACATTTATTGGAGGACTCTTACAACAGATACTGCTCTAAACTGCGAGTCAATGCATATAGATAGACTGAACTGCCTCGCTGTATGACCTATACACCAGAGGACCCAAGAGGCAAGCCCCCGACTCATATTCTCTCAGACATCCTGCCATTTAACCTTAGGGCACATTGCGACGTCACGGACAACACACCCACGATATACGATAGTATTTGATCATGAGTAGGTCAACCTCGTACCTAGGTACATCTTACACAACTTGGTTCCAAACTGCGCTTTCACTTCGCATATACATGCCTGCCGGAGCCCCACTTTCTCACTCCAAAAGGGTAGCGCTCGTCATAACCCTACATAACGCACTTGCGCCCAAACACTCACTACCGCCGGTGTCTTTCATGACTATGCCACTGCCTCCACGAACGGCTGCGCTCACTCGAGCCGTTGGTCAGTCCGGACGTCGCTACCTCGTTGAACAGATTCTGCAAGACAAGCCAGGCAACCAGGGTCGCGTCTATCTTGCAACGTTAGTTAAAACTTCGGAGATGGGGATCCTAAGCTTTACATAGCTAAAATTGTACAGTTCTGGCAGCCAGAAGTTCGTTCTTAAGAGCGTCCCACCGAAGGACTTCACCTACTTCAAAGACATGTTCGACGACCTCCGCTACTCCTCTTGTCTTCGAGTACCCGAAGACACTATTCCCGAGCACTCGATGTTTGCCTATAGGTACCTTCGCGATAACCTTTTAACCTTCTTCCAGCAAGATGTGGCACTTCCCACTACAAAACGCGTTATGGGAGATGTGTTGCGAGGAATTGCTGCGTTGCATGAGAAGGGAGTTGTACATACAGACATCAAGCCTGACAACATCCTCGTCGATTGGGAGAAGGCGAAAGACGACATCATAGTTGAGCAGGTGCAAATCGCCGACATTGAGAGTGGAGCATACGTACCAGAAGGCTCCGTTATACAAGGAAGACAACTTGGCAACTGGATGTGGCGGAGTCCCGAGGCACACATGTCTGGTCCGATGAGCAAACCTACAGACATCTTCTCCTTCGGAATCATGGTAAGTGTTGATCATAATCGGTTACTCTGTGACCTAATCTTCAACTGCAGTGCATCTACGCCTTGACTAAGGACGTCATCTTTGCAGTCGACAAAAAGCAGCTTCCTGCGGACGTACAGCTGGAGGATGCTGTCATTCAACTCCAAATTTCCTACTTCGCAGATCTTGATGGCGTGCGTGGATTGGTCGACTATTATGGTGATAGTCATTGGGCTCATTACATTGTCATGGTCGCCAATGAATTCACAACGGACAACCCAAGACGGCCTTTCGACACTCGACGAGATTTAGAACCAGAGTTCAAGGACCTCATCATGCGCCTGATGAATGTCGATCCCAGGCGGAGACTGACGGCCAAGGAGGCATTAGCACACACGTGGTTTGCAGAACAAACGTAATACAACCAAGCGATGGACACTTCGAGGATCTACGCAATCGTTGCGAATCAGTTTAGGCACGAAGTGAGAGAAAGCCGAACGCACACATGTTAGATTAGTCGAGTTGCACTACTGGTGGACAGAAGAGTTCATTGACAGGTCCTGGAGATTTCCCTTGTGAGCTGAGCTGCTGCTATACTCCATATACCAATTTGATCAGAAGTGTCTCCTCGCTCGCCGTCAACCCCGTGTACCTTTGTTTGTTTATCATGACGTCAACGTTACCAAGGGGCTGTGACGCTTGATCCACCTCGTGAGTGTTTCTCAATCCCTTCTTTACTTCCTGATCCATCTCGCCCAATATGCGACTGCTGTCCCTGATCCTCTTGTATCGCGAAGAAGTCTTGGACGTACTTCGAATGATGGATGCCATTAGTCACGATTCGATTGAAGCCTGTTTCTAACGGTTGTTCTTGATACTTCCAACAACAAATCCGAGACGATGCCTGGGTACCAGAGTGTTGGATGAGCCGCTATCATATCTGTATCCTAGATCCACGACGTTTGAACGAACCTCAGTTGAGCCCTGACGACAGGGCCATGTGCTGAATAGCCCCATCGACCTTTACGGCGGATGACGGTCCTAAGTCTTCTACTCGCGCCACATGATCGTCAATTTCTACCGATACTAGCATCACCGGCCTACGAAATTCCCACAGACGCGCGCAGGCTCCATGAGGCTCTCATTGTACAAGTGAGTGACGAGACGACTGTCGAGATGTTGAGGTGTCTTCGGCACGCTTCCTACCGAGCGACCAGCCCCACGGAAGCGCTACGCGCAGGGCCAATGACGCCAGCGGGGTATCTCGTCGTCGCGAGAGCACACAATTATCCCGCCATCTACAGCTGAGACAAACATCCTAGCCAACACGGTACTGCACTTTGCTGTTTATGAACAACATCCCGCGCCATGGATCAGTTCCCGCAGCGAGTACATAACGCCATTGAGCCGACGTGACGGCCGAGAGTTGTTGTCATGCGAAGCATAAGAAGGGGCGCCCCGCGCCTGCTGATGAGGGCTCATATACCTCGTTGTACTCCGTTTACAGCCCTCAAATCATTCACATCCTTCAGAATGTCGTCCGGAAAGACTTTCACGCTCAACACTGGCCACAAGATCCCGTACGTTCTACTGCCAGGCAAGAACTTTCCTAGAACACCGTTAACGTGTCCGCAACAGTCAGCTGGGTTATGGCACATGGCAAGCCGCTCCTGGTGAGGTCGGCAACGGTGTCTACGAGGCTTTGAAGATCGGTTACAGACATCTCGTAAGTGGCTCCGGCATTCGTTTTTGACTTTGAAAGCCGTTGTGCTCCAGTTGAATCTTTGACGATCTTTGTGAACATTCGCTGATTTGCTCCTCTCAGGATCTCGCCAAGATGTACGTTTCCACACCCCACGCTCCTCCCAATATCTGTTCGAAAGTTCTGCCGCTGCAGGCGCCAGCGCGATTACGGCAATTGCCAGTCAGAAGTCATAGCTCGGAAGAGGTCGAAGCTGGGATGCCCCTCGGTGGAGACTCTCGTGGAGCTATGGCCGCGTCCCCACACTTCTTTGCTTGAGAAAGTTGACTAACAAATTTCGCACCAATCAGCTACGAGAACCAAAAAGAGGTCGCAGAAGGCATCAAGCGTGCCTTCAAGGACGTTCCCGGCCTCAAGCGTGAGGACATCTTCATCACCTCTAAGCTCTGGAACACCCAGCATAACCCTGAGCACGTCGAGGCTGCTCTCGATGACACACTTGCCGAGCTTGAGCTTGAGTACCTCGACCTCTACCTTATCCACTGGCCTGTCAACTTTGGTCCTGGCAAGGACCCTCACTCTGATCTCTTCCCTGCGACTGCCGACGCCAACGAGGTCAACATCGACAACTCAGTGCCAAACAGCGAGACATGGAAGGCTGTGAACAAGCTCCCCAAGAGCAAGGTTCGGTCTGTTGGTGTATCCAACTTTACATACCAGAACCTCAAGGCTCTGGTTGAACAGACCGGTCTCGTTCCCGCCGTAAACCAGATCGAGCGCCACCCCATCCTTCCTAGCAAGGAGCTTATTGCGTACGCTAAGGAACAGAACATCCACATCACCGCATACTCTGCCTTCGGCAATAACTTCTTCGACATTCCTCTTCTCATCACTCGTCCTGAGGTCAAGGCCATTGCTGAGAAGAAGGGTGCCACACCAGCTCAGGTCATCCTCGCTTGGAGTCAGGTCGGCGGCCACTCCGTTATTCCCAAGTCAGTTACTCCTTCCAGGATCGCCGAGAACTTCAAGGAGATCGAGCTTGATGAGGAGGACGTTGCCGCCATTCAGAAGTTCTCCGACGAGCACCAGGGTCGCAGGAGGTACAACGTGCCATACACTGCCAACAAGCCTCGCTGGAGCATCAACATCTTCAACGAGCCTGAGGAGCAAGAGGCCCCCAACAAGGTCGTACTATAGATAACACTTGCCTATCTTAGACGTCCAAAATGATATCTTGCGATTCGAATGTTTCGCCCGTTATCGTTGCTACGAAACACGTAAATTTGATGTACGCCGATTCTACTCAGCCTTCCTGGAGGGTTGCAGCACTTCCACTCACACGCAGTATGTAATGTGAGCCGCAAAGCGCGCGACGTGATCAATCTTGAGGCACCCATTTATTTACGTAACAACAGGGCTCAAATCGAAGCTTTCGAATTCTGATTTGTCGCCTCACTCACTGCACGCTTTTGCCTGAGGGTTCGCATAAAGGATGCCTCAGGCATTTTCCGGCGAAGCTGCGCACCGGCATTGTTGCTACTGGTCCTTCGCCCCGCCAGCGCATGGGTGCTGCGCCGCCTCTGACATCGCTGCCTATACCTCGGTTATTGCCGGACTTGAGTGCGACTGGAATAGTTCAAAAGGTCGATACAACATGTTCACTTCCACAAGTAAGCGCACAATGCCTCGACTGCGCAACTTTTCAATGTCTACTGACTTTCTCTTCTGTTTACCTCCCGATTAATGTCTAACAGTAAGCACCATATTATGAGGTTATAACTCAAAAGTTCTTCACGAAGGCTGACAAGGGCTAGATCTTGCGGTTTCAACAAGAAGTGACATACAACTGTCGATCGCTCCTTGCTCCGAGCAACTGATTGAAAGATCATCTTGAGACAACACTTTCAGTCTTGGAGCAGAGGTGATTTGATACTCGAGTATATCCAAGCGTCTGCAGTGCGCAATGCAGTTAGATAGTCTTTGCGATCGCTGTCAATCGCTAGAAAACATCATCGAAGAGTTTGAGAAGCCCATTCCGCTCGTGGATAGGAAGCCAGACGGAGTCGATCGCTCTCACCAGGAGATCATCCCGTCAGACTCGCTCGACCATACTTGCAGGCTATGTCTGCAGCTAATCTCGCTATTTCGCGCGTGTGCCCAAGGGGCAAGGGCCGGCAACATCAATGCCGAAGGCCACGAGCTTCTCTTTAAATGTCGATATTGGTGGCATCCTGATCTGACCAGACTAGTTGCTTACTATCGAATCTCTTATCGAGGAAGATTATCGTTTGTGTTCCTTCGACTACATAGTACACTTCCTTTGGCGATTGTGGACAGGAGCCAGGCCGACTACAGGCGCCTCAGGAATTGGTTTCGTGACTGCAAAACTCATCACAACTATTGCAAGTTGCACGATCACACTTCGCCGGCACCCCAGGTCGCGTTGAAAGCTATAGACTGCACTACCCGAGTAATACGCCTCTTGCCACCACACTCGGACTACATATGTCTAAGCTACGTCTGGGGATCATCAAAAGCTAATTCAGGAAGACCACTTCACGATCTGCCTAAGACAATTGAAGACGCTATCTATGTTACCCTGCAGCTTGGAATTAAATTTCTTTGGGTCGACAGATATTGCATAGACCAAGACAACCCGGATGAAAAGCACCATATGATCAACAACATGGATCAGATTTATCTGAATGCAACATTCACAATCATTGCTGCGGAGGGTGATGGTCCTCATGCGGGACTCCCCGGCGTATGCGGCACGCCGCGGAGGCCACAACGCGTTGTCAGAATCAAGCAGCTGACTTTAATTGGTATAGAGAGCGTGTCTCGATATGTTCAAGACTCGAAGTGGAATTCACGCGGCTGGACATATCAAGAGATGCTGTTGTCACGACGTATTCTCTTATTTACTGATACACGCATCTACTATCAATGTCTTTCCGGATTTGGCCTGGAAGGCGTCACACGGACCATACGGCACCGCAGACGGGAAAGAAGTTCGAACAATTCGACCTGGACAGAGAAAGTCCCGGGCACTAAGCCTGTGTTTCCAATTCTCCAGGGTGACCTTCTTGGTAACACAATACTGGATCGCTTGTCCGATTATTTCGAGCGGTCTCTATCCTTCTCGACAGACACTATTCGCGCGGTTCTTGGTATCTTCAATGCGCTCAGGGTGACTGAGTCTTTCTACTTGAATCACTTTTATGGTATGCCAGTGGTCCTTCATAGAGCGATCCCAAAGACTGTCACAGAGGACTTTGTTGAACGTCTCACGTGGGTTGCTGGGACCAATCGGCCGGCAGATACTGGTCCCAATCTTGGCGATGACTACGGACTGCCAAACACAAATCTGTCAAACGTTATGCCAGGCGCGGAGCTCAACCAACGATCGAGACTGTTTCCGAGCTGGTCATGGGCTGCGTTCAAAGCCGACTGTCCAGAACGTGAGCGGACGAAAGGCCTCAAACTAATTTTCCCGACATCGCACAAACAGGTAGATACGAAGAGGTGCTTTGACGCCGCCGACACCGAAATTCGCATATGCCGTCGGCGCAGCAAGATTCCTGTCAGACTGTCCAATTTCGTACGCCTCCACCAAGATTACGAAAACTACTACCCACAGATCGACGTTACTGCTTGGACCTGGAACGCCATATTTTCAGTCGGCATGTTGGGTGAGCGGATCGATGCTTACAGCATATCTCTCCACTTTGACGATTCACGTACTTCGGCCGAGAACAGACTCACTGCGATCCACACGGTGACATACAAGACCCGATATCTACACGAAGAGGAGTTGCCACACATTCATGCGAATGGCACAGGCCAAGGAGAAAAGCTCAGGAGGGTATCTTCGAACCCACATGAGCGAAGCTATCATAGTCGGATGTTACTTGTCAAGCGGAATGGCTTTCAGACTTATACGCGGGTCGGAATACTAACCCTGGATACTATTTGGCGAAGTGATACCGCTCCGGGGAGCGTTGAGGATGTTTTGAAAAGCATGATGAAACCGGTCGCAGGAGAGCCGAGTGAATGGAGACGGAAGACTCTACGCTTGGTGTGATCTATTGAGGTATCTTGGTTTCCCAGGCGACTGGTTTCTCTGCCACACCTCGGCGTAGATCTCAGCAGCATTACATTGTTGGTTCATTTGAGGTAGAGTGCACAGAGTTGACTGTCTCGTTGTGACGTCTCTAAAAGACCTATCACTGTCACACTCTATGCGTTTCTCTTTCAATCTGCAGTCTCGTCCCCCACTTGCTCTTGTATCCCGGTCCAAACCCTCAACTCAGCCTCGTCAACCTCATCATTCTCTCCGCCGTCCCAAACCCAACTATCCATCACCCCCGTCTCCCTCTCTTTTAGCATCACCTCGCCTATCCTTGTCCTAACCGCCATAAGCGTCTTCCCCAACTTGTTCAGGCCCCAGTTCTTTCTATACCTTTCAGCCTCATGCGCCTGATACCCGATCCCCCAAACCCGGTCCCTGCGCCCAGCTTCAGCAAGCTCGTTGTCTGTAGTCTCAAGCAGAACATCTCTCATATGTCTATTGTCTGGGTGCGTGAACTTGTACCAGTTGCCCACCCTTACAACACGGCTTTTCACTTTGTCCCACTCTTCGTCGCTGAATCCCTTCACGCTCTTGCCGAATTTCTTTTGCTCTGCTGGATCCACGGTCATCAGGATCTTTCTGCATGACTCAGCATCGCCAAAGTAGAGCGCTTTGCAAAACATGTATGATTGTTCAGCGCACGAGAACGAGATGCTGTTACCGTGCTCCACGAGAAGATCAGTGTCCGAAGGTCTGGCCGAGATGCTGTGTAGAGTGGTGGTAGGGATCGTGATAGGAGACGACTTCCATTGGCAGAAGACACCGTACGGCTTCTCGTCAGGGTGGTAGAAAAATACTGTTGAGGAGGATCTGGTAGGCGTCCTGGTCTGAATGATGCGTGCATTCTTGCGTTTTGGTGCCATTTGGATTGATGTGCAGCCTGCTGCAACGAGCTATTCGAATTGAAACTCTTATTTTGTGCGGGAGATCCTTTGTGTTCAACATGTTAGGTGTCGCGGATTATTTGAAGTTGCTGCATAACTGCTACCGTGGTTCAGAAAAGGGCGGACCCAAGCTTTAAAGGGCAACATGCCCGTCAGCTAAAATACATCAACCGCAATCGAATTATGTACTCCTCTTCGACTGTAATGACCTTGCCTTGACCAGCGTTTGTACCTTCAGGTCGTTCCAAATCATGTCAGCCACGATCCTGTGTCCCTCCGGTCGCAAGTGGAACACCCTTTTGTAAGAGTCTGGTATCAGCCAGTGAATTGTGTCTCCGATGATACCCTCTTCTCCCACTGAGGTATTGTTTTTCTTGACGAAACCCTTACCTGGATCGAAACTCCATTCTGGGTGTTCGTGCAGCGTCTTCTCAATTTGCTCAGCAATACCGCTCTCGAACGAACCCTTTGGGACGCCATCACCGGTACTATTTTGCAGATCCGTTTTGTTCTCACCTTTGTCGACTGTATCCCATTCGTAGAACATCAAACCCTGGCGGTTCGGGTCCGGTTCGTGAACGCCGATCTCGCAATAACGACCTTGTAACGTCGCAATGACTTCATCGTAGTCGATAAAGCGGACACTTGGTCCTGCGGCTTCAGCAGCTCTGCGCAATACCTCATTCACAGCCAGGACCATTTCATTGAGCGCCTGACGCATCTCAAGCTTCAAGTATTGTTTGGTCTGCTGGATATCACGCCATACAGCCCAAGTTACGTTGTCACAGGTGTCATCTCCAGTGCCAAAGAAGCGCGCGTACCCACTAACATAGACCAAACCGTGGGCTGGGTTCAGATGCGATTTCGTGGCTTCGAGTAGCCTCGTGACGTTTTGATAAAGCTGTGTGTCATTGGAAATTCTTTCCTGAGCTTCCTCGATGGATTTCTGACACGCATCTTCGTCGGCCATGTAGAACTGGTAGACACAGTTGCTCAGAATGGGTGTAAGGCCGATGTCATTGCCACCCGCGGACACGGTGATGAGATCGAAATCAATTCCATTGAGCGCTGGCACTTGTTTGGCCAGGATCTCAGAGGTGTCTGCCCCGGAGCAGGCCATAGACTGGTGTATCGTATTCGACCCGTAGGTACGGAGAGAATTGTGTACAATGCTGGGGTATGCTTTGTCGTAGCGAGAACAGGAGAAGTCGACTCGGTCTCCACTGCCTAAACCTGCAGCATACGAGTCGCCAATCGACGCCATGTTACGGACCCATGATAGGTTTGCAAAGCTCGGGATATGATTGTTCACCATGATCTGAGACCGACTGGACGTCTGAGTTGTGATGAGCCATGAAATCCAGCGTATCAGAAACATCGTGGGAAACTTTGTTTTGATCAAACGGTAGCCGCAATTACAAGTTTCTTGTAAGATCTCACTGATACGTGTGAAAATTTACCATGTGGGAGAATCTGCTTTTGGGTTATATGTTATGACTACTGCTGATGGTAAGGCAGCAGTCATAGGACAAGCTCCCCGCAACGGCTTGCAAGAGAACCCCGCACGGGGCGGCAGCTTGACATGCGGTTGGACGACATTAGGATGCATGAAAGAAAACTTCGACCAGTCTATTGTTGTCACAGAGCAGCTCTGAGCTTATGGTTTTCCTGTAACCGCGCTCGTGGGTTATGAATTGAAGATTCGGCTGTACAATTTCTCGTGTCGGCCAACCCAGAGGTCCATTACGGGCACGCTCTGCCCAGCGTCTTCGACTTTGCGCACCCACCCTTCATCCACAAGACCTCGGATCCGGCTCTGCAGCTCTGCACTTGCTAGTAACGCTTGCGCCTGATACGGTCCCATCACACTTGCTCGTACGGCAGCGCTCATAACCGTGCGCGCATGAGAAAAAAGGAACATGTACGCAGCTTCGTGCAGCGGGACAGCGAGGATGCGGGTGACTAGGCCCCAGAGCGGAGCATAATGGGCGTTTGCGTGCGGTGACTTGCGAAGTGTGGCGGAGAAGGTCGTAAGAGCGCTGACGGCCGCATCCCTGCCTTCTACTTCTCCTCCATTGCCTGCCGATAACGTGTACTGCGCCTTGAAACTACGGTCCCACACAGCGAGAAGCGCTCGGCCTTGTGCTATGCTGGCTCGCCGCGCAACTGTGCACGGTGTGCTTGCGTCGAAATCGTTATCGAGCACCTCGATCTCCTCCGGATTGCGATATCCAGCCAATACGTATGGGAGGGCGGTACTTGCGAGGGTCGACAAAGAAAGGCGCAGGAATGTGTTGAACAGCGGCAGCTGCGATGCGGATGACGGAGAGAGCTTGTGGTGTGCTAGATACGACTCAAGGCCGCTGCTGAAAGCGAACGAGCCCAGCGGGAGTGCCGAGTCAGACAACAGGAGCAGAGCATGAAGAGCTGGGGCACGATCAGTATGTTTACACTCTAATATTGAGCGAGATCGGACCTGTTCTATGGTCAATTGGTGGCGGCGTAGGCACGTCCTGCAGCTGGCTCAATTGAGCTCTAGCATCGTGTAGACGCCTCTCAAGGTCAGCTATCTCATCTTGGAGAGAGTGCTGGCCTGTAGTTACAGACGTCATGGAAGAGAGTGAGTAGGGTGCGGCACGAGATGAATTGCGTGACGCGTCTGCGCGGCTAAGCATGCTTCTTATCGATAGAGCATCCCACCGTCCCATGTACTGCATAGGGCTCCTTATTCCGCAAGATAGCGTGCAATTTCAAATTCATGTCTGTCGTGACCCAATACTAGCGTTCCCAAGCCTTCCATCAATCCCAAACGCCAAAAAGATTTCTCACGTCGCAAGCAAACCCTGTCATGCATCCGGAGCATGGGGTATAGATTCAAAGAAAAGCGCCAACCCAAAAGCCAACTGCGCTCCCCGGAATGCGAAATGGGGAGACAGCTTTCACAGCATGTGTTTATGCTACGTTGGCGGTTTATTCGCTCTTCTTGGGGATGTCGGCGAACATGGGCTGGCCCTTGGCCGCCTCGAAGCTCCTGGTGCTGGTCTTCTGGAAGAGCGTCTGTGGCTTCGACCTGCATCACGTCAGAATTGGACTCACAATCGGCCTGTCTGGGATACTCACTTCTTCATGATGTTCTTGTTGCGGAAGTTGCTCAGCTTCTGTGTGGCCGGCGACTGGATTTCGTCCGAGGGCGAGACGTACTTCAGCGCCCTGCTGTCGATTAGGTCCACAATCTACGCAGCAGATTGTGTACACTTACTGGTCATCCTTCATGCGCGACTCAAGAACCTGGCGGTGGTACTCGAGGCTCTTGTTAGGTTCTTTCGCATCAGCGAGTGCTGTAGGCTTGATTTGCGCGTTGACGTCGCGGCTGCTGAGAACGTTGGCAGACATTGTTGTGCGGATGAAGGTGTGAATGTGTGGTAGATGTTGACTTGTTTGATTGATGTAAGAGGTATTGACAGTAGATGTGGGTGTGGTGGTGGATTCTGAACGCGTTCAAATGCAGCCGTTAAGAATGTTCAAGCTCCTAGTGTTTAGGGAAGCCTGTTGCTAGGGCAACCGCGATCGGCAACCCACAAGCATGAGCAGCGAACCATGACGTTCCCGTCTGCAGCCTTATTCCCTGCGTGTTTCAGCCCTATTCCTTGTTCTCCACCTGTTGGTGTTAACGCAGCACACAATTCGAGGCAATCATCCGTTCTGTTCTTGTCGACTTAAGTGACTCACATGTCCTCCGGAATTTGAGCTTTGACTTTCAGCATATCCCCTGGTAATACTTCGCGCTGTTAACTCTATGAGCTGGTTACAATCAGGATGTCGTCGTGACAACAGTCTGCTCACATAAGCACATAATGTTTAGGATTCTATGTTGACCACGGCCCAAATGCAGCTCAATTTAATTCCCTAGTCTGCTCAAGCGTTTTATCCAACACTATGCAGCTGGCGCACATAGTAAAATATCCAGACAAGCATCAGAGTCAGAACTCGCATCCCACTCCGAGCCGGTGCTTGCGTCGCGCGAAGTGGGATTCTTGCACACCAACGTGCCTCGACAGGGATGAACAAATGTGCGCCATCTCAATACGATTCTTGGAAAAGATGGAAGCTCAAGGATATCATTGCCAAACGCCTACAATGCAACGCCAGTTGTGACAAGATTGTCCTTGCATATGCCGCCTAAAACCTGTAAAATGTCAGCTCTCAGCATCCAACCCAAACCCTGCATGTGAACCTACCTGATCTCATAGTTACCTGCTCGTGTCATGTACCGCACCCATTTTACGCTGCTATAATTGCCCTTTTCAAAGACCTTGAGATACCGCACAAGCAGCCCAGAGCTCGTGAACATGAGTAATGAAAAGCTTAGGTTCAGCGGTGGTCTCGACCATGCCTTCTGGTTTGTCATACTGGTCAGGCTTGCCTCGGCGCTTAGAACAAATTCACTCTGCCCTGTGAACCGCGGTATCTTCCAGACGATGTTGTTGTGCTCTGGCTCGTATTTCGCCTTGCCTTGCGATGTGCGCTCTGTGATGCGCGCGGTATTCAGCGGTGTGGGTATCCGTACAACAACGTTCGTAGCGAAGAGCTTCGAACCGTAGTTTGCACGGATAGCAATGCTGTATTCGACCTTTGTCTTGCCGATTTCGTTCACGATGGCGTGCACCTTGAAGGGGAGATTGACGTTTTCGGTTGCACGATATCGCATGAGCTCGAACTCGCCGTCTGGAGGAATGAAGGATATAATCCTGTCTGCGTCGAACTTGCCCAGCTTGACGCACTGGTGGAATTGACAGTCTTCTAATGTGACGCTGCCAGCAGCGGCTCGTGTGGCCTTTGCGCCGGCTTTGTTGCCCGAAGGCTGTTGCAAATTGTCTTCACCCAATGTGAGGCGATCGTTGAGACCGAACTTGCATTCTGGGGTGCCCGAGAGATAGGCACGCATGATGATCTGTCCGTTGACGTCTGCCCTCAAGACCGTGCCTGTCGCAGACATGAGCAGATTGACATCTTCTATTACGTCCACGAAGGCTTCATTCTTGCGGTATTTGATGTCTGCTCGGCGCCATGACAGGGCACCAGTAGCCTGCATTGTGATCTTGGACGAATCCTCCATTGCTCTTTCCGATTTGACACCTTCCGTGGTGATGTACATCTTTAGCGTGTCTGTCTCGGTGTTCTGTGGGTAGCCAAAGTCCAAGATCTCATCCAAAAGTTCATATACCAGGACGAAGTTGTTCTTCACAGCCTCTTCATCGAATTTCCCAAAGTATGCCTTCCCTAGACCAACTAGGCGGTATAGGAACTCGAAAACGAGGGCCGCATTGGCATTGCTCTTGGTCACAGCAACCAGGTAGATATTCTCGTGCTTCACATGACTGAAGGTAGTCGAGCCCAGCGTGAGGATGGGCGAGCGTACTTGTGCGTTGGAGATTACTTGGATGCGGAAGACGTCGGCGAGGCGTGGGCGGCAGTCGTTGCGGAAGGCGCGAAATATGAGGTTCTCGCCCTTCTGGTTGAAAATGAGGATACCAGATAACATTTCAGCGGCAGGGAACGCGCGTGAAGCGACGGCGGGCTTCTGGTGACAACAAGCTTCTGGCGATGTGCGTCCTGGTCTGTTGCGGTGCATCGCAAGCTCCCTGCGAGGGGACCGCGGGACAGGCAGGGGCCACGCGCTAGACAGGTAGTGCAGGGGTCTCGCATGGAGCACTCCGTTCTTGACTACCCTCACCTCTCATCATTAAGTCGGGGGCGTGGATCAACAACGTGGTAAGCATTTTCACCACCCTACGTCAGCCATTAGGCTCGCCACTACTCTTTGTATTTTGTTGTTCTCTATACCCGCCCAATGTGTTATCTTAAACCGTAAGATTGACGCACAGATGCTTCAGGAAGTGCGGAATTTTGATAGCACGACCACAGAGCGATCTTTCTGCTCAATAGACAATCACTAGATGACACCCATTTATGTATAGAAGCGATAACATTTCCTCAACAGGTTGTGTGAGGGAAAGGGCTATCAAGGCGATATGCGCTGCTGATACAGCTTAGACAAGAGGGATTGGCGGAGCGATACTGATCATCGTCACTTTTACATGCAGCTACACAACGACCAGGCGAATTCTACACACAAACAAGTGAAAAGTCAGATAGAGGTATGTAAAAACAGAACGTATTGGCCCAACAAAGGCGAAGATGACTAAATGTCAAGAGCAAAGGCGCTCCTCCAAGACCTTTCTTGTGGAACTTTCTTACCTTCGATGTCGTACAACCCACGTGCGCCACAATGCCACATAAATTCGCAGCATCGGTGGCCGATCCGCAACCCACGGATTCCACCAAACAAACACCTCGACACATACAATGTGTGAAGAACAAGCGTTTCCCTTTGAAGACCTACCCAAGGACATCCGTCGAATGATCTATGACTGTCTTCCGGAACGCAAGCACCGATCACTGCTTGGCCCAAAGTCTGGCTTGTATTATGAGGTCCAGAGCGCGCCCGTTGCTCTTCTCTGCGTCAACAAAAACTTCAACCAAGAAGTCAGTGCCTGCTTGCACGGACATGATTACGCGCATCCGATCGTGATATTTTGCCATGCTGACGGATACCACATCGATGGTCTGAAGTACGTGAACCTGTTAGTCAGTCTTGTTGAGTTGGGTCGCAAATACGACAAGCATCACTTTCGAACAAACGTCAACAGCACTGGTCCATCGCATGCCAACATGTTCGATCGTTGGACGCTTAAGATACCAATGATGAATCTCGACAGAGATCTACGTCGCTTGCGTTCCTTTCACGGCCTAAATATACGGGAATTCCACAGTCAAGCTCTTGAGAGCTTTTACAAGAGTTCCCTGATCAAATATCGTCGCCACAGTACATGCGAGTTCATTGTTCGCTGGCTTCCGAAGTATCGTACCATGATCGGTGTTAGTGCTTGCAAAAGAAAGCGTCTCCAAGAATATTTGGAATCAATGGTGGCGTGGAATTCAGACTTTCACCATCTGCGCTTTCTGATTTTGCACCCTCGATCGTCGTCATTGCAGATAGTACTCCCAGAGAAGTGGGTATGGGATGTCGAACGCCCCACAGATGAAGAGAAGGCTCTACTGTGTCCATAAGATGATAGCGCGAAGAAGATCAGCAGCTTTGCACGAGATGACGAGACAAGAAGGCGTCACCAGTCCTCTACATCGATATCAACCAGACAAACGCAGTGCGATAGGGGGTTCTAGGAGAATGGGATCTCATTTGTGTCGGAATGGAAAGAGTAAACGTGAAGATCACAGGCCAGGACCAGCGTACGTTGGAGACGGACAGAAACCCCACAGAGATCATCTCACCATGTAATGTATTCCAATAGAAGTGATAGTTCACGGTGTCCATCTTATGAGCAGACACATATCAGCGATGCACCTGCCCATATGATCACTAATTACAGTCACGTGAACGCGTACCACGCTAGACCCAAAATAATCACATCAACGCGTCTCTCCAGGCAGCACCCCGCTCATCAAAGCGACCTGCAGTGCTTCTCGCGACCAGGTACACGCCATCGCGGTCAACCCCTGTTGCACGGCAGCCATTTTGTGCTCCGAATCTGCAAAGTTCTCCAGATTTCGCCACCGGAGGCGCCAGGAACGCGATCGATTCGACGCAGCCTATCGCTCGGCGCGCGACGACCAGGGGCATCGCCGCCCTTGATATTCCAGCGGCTTAGTGCAGCCTCCACTTTACTCTATTCTGTGGACGTTACTCTTCTTCCAGCTGCTTCCTTCTCTTCGTTCACTCCTCTCATTGCAAGCCTGAGCTGCGCGCCTTCACCCCACGTTTGATCTTTCCACAGCACGTGCCATTACGATGCCGCCTCGGCGTTCAACTCGAAAGTCGGCAGCATCAGTGGCGAACGATAGTGGTGTCACTGCGACAGCATCTGGCTCAGAGCTTAGTATGTTAAAATCGGTCCTGTTTCGTCGTTGCACTGGTAGCATTGTCTGACGATATTTACAGACCATTCAGCCGTAAATACACAAGCAACCTCTTCTTCGAATAAGAAACGCACCCGTTTGTCTCGTTCGACCGTCCCTAATCATTCCGATAACGACGATGAGAGCTCTAACACCAATCCTTCTGCGCCTCCTGCACAAGTCCGTCGCATTTTGAAACAGGTCGCGATACCTATCACAACCACCAAGCGGACTGCTGTACCTCTTATTGCACAGCAGGCCGAGTCAGAAACCCCAAACACGACCCCTTCTCTCGACAATTCCGACTGTGATACGCCCGCTACAAGCACATCGAACACGCCGGCTGTCTTTCTCGGACCTGGTCACGGCACCGGCCGCAAGAGTGCGCTGAGCAGGACTATCACAGCCTGGGCACGTCCCATTGAGGACACTGATAAGGAGACTGACGAGGAAATCGACGAGGAGATCGAATTGTCATTTGATCTAGATGCTGAACTTGCTCTGCAGATGCAGATCGAGGAGGATGAAGGCCAACATCATAGCAAGCGCCGGAGGATCGAGGAAAACAACGAAGTTCAGGACCAGACCGGTGATGAAATCGAGGACCTCATTATCCCACGATCACGGGCGATGCCTACGGTTTTCAAGGGCAAGGGGAAAGGCAAGGCGAAGGTCGAGTCTGACATCGCAACGGACGACTCTCTGCTCGATGAGGCGATTCCGGAACCTGCATACACGGGCAAGGGCAAAGGCAAAGCTGTAATTAAATCCGTAGCGCCCCGTCGCAGTGGTGCCAGCCGACCTAGTACTAACCGCAAGACCATTCGTGACTACACAATCAGCGACTCCGAAGAGGACTCCGATGAAGAGGACGAGTTCAGGCCAGACAAAGCCGGCTCACCATTTGATGTTAGTGACCTCGAAAGCGCAGCCGCAGACGACAGCGAAGAGGAGGAGCCCTTGATGATAGCCAGTGCACGCCTCAAGAAAGCATCGGTTGCTCAGACGACTAAACGTGCACGAGGCAAGAAGTCACTCACACGTGCGGAGAAGATCGAGAAGCGGAAACGAATGGCAAGGTACGCTCACATCACAGATAAGTGGGACCGGAAGCGCGCCATGAACCGCGAGCGAGCGGAGCAACAACATCCCAAGCTGCGCACAATGTGGGACGATCTCCAAAAAATCCCTGTCTTGGCTGTCGAGCAGGCAGAGCAACCCAAGACTATTACTCGTCGATTGAAACCTTTCCAACTCGAAGGTCTCAGCTGGATGATACGACAAGAACAAACCCATTACAGAGGGGGCCTCCTTGGAGATGAGATGGGCATGGGCAAAACAATCCAGGCCGTTTCATTGATCATGTCAGACTATCCTGCCAAAGCGCCCACGCTGGTCTGTGTGCCACCGGTTGCTTTGCTGCAATGGTCGAATGAAATCCGAGAGTACACCCAGAACAAACTCAACGTTCTTGTGTACCATGGCACGAACGCGAAGTGTAAGAAGATGACTGTCAAGGATTTGAAGAAATTCGACGTCATTATGGTCTCATACAACAGCTTGGAGTCCTTGCACCGAAAGGAGGTCAAGGGATGGAGTCGTGGAGAGGACATCATCAAGGAGGCGTCTCCACTACATGCCATTCGCTTTCATCGTCTCATTCTCGATGAAGCCCACAGTATCAAGTCGCGCAACACCGGAGTTGCCAAGGCTTGCTTCGCACTCCAAGGAAATTTCAAGTGGTGCTTGTCTGGCACACCTGTACAAAACCGTATTGGAGAGTTCTTCTCTCTTTTACGCTTTCTTGAGGTTCGTCCTTTTGCCGACTACTTCTGCCGATCCTGCAAGTGCGAGAAGCTGCATTGGGCCACAGACGATGATCACATGTGTGTCGCCTGCAATCACGGTGCATCTGAGCATATTTCAGTCTTCAACCAGGAGCTACTCAACCCCATCACTGGTGACGATGTAGATCTTCGCGAGCAGGCGCTTTCTAAACTACACATGATCACAGCCCGCATTATGTTGCGCCGCATGAAGCGAGATCACACCAATTCCATGGAGCTGCCAATGAAGGACATCGTCATCCATAACGAATTTTTCAGTGAAGTCGAGCGTGATTTCTCAACCTCGATCATGTCGAACTCAAACCGCAAGTTTGACACCTACGTCGCTCAAGGTGTTATGCTAAACAACTACGCAAACATCTTCGGTCTAATCATGCAGATGCGCCAGGTCGCAAACCATCCTGACCTGCTTCTCAAAAAGAACGCGGCAGAAGGCAGCTCCAATGTCTATGTCTGTAACATATGCGATGAGCCTGCCGAAGATGCTATCCGGTCACACTGCCGCCACGAATTTTGTCGTGCTTGTGTCAAGGACTACATGGACACGTGCGAGGCCTCCGGTACTGACTCCGACTGCCCGCGTTGTCATATTGCTCTGACCATCGACTTCGAGCAGCCAGAGCTCGAGCAAGATGAAGACAGTGTGAAGAAGACGTCGATCATCAACCGCATCAAGATGGAGAATTGGACAAGTTCGACAAAAATTGAGATGCTAGTGTACGACCTGTACAAGCTGCGCAGCAAAAAGCAGACGCTCAAGTCGATCGTGTTCAGTCAATTTACATCCATGCTGCAGCTGATTGAGTGGCGTCTGCGTCGTGCGGGCTTCAACACAGTTATGTTAGATGGTAGCATGACGCCTGCGATGCGCCAGAAGAGTATTGATCACTTCATGACGAACCCAGACGTTGAGGTCTTCTTGGTGTCGTTGAAGGCTGGTGGTGTGGCGCTCAACTTGACAGAGGCGTCAAGGGTGTTCATCGTTGATCCGTTGGTCTCTCGTTTTGCTTTCGTTATGTGCTTTGCTGACCTGATCTAGATGGTGGAATCCTGCTGCTGAATGGCAGTCCGCTGATCGCTGCCACCGAATCGGCCAGAAGCGTCCTTGCGTGATTACTCGTCTATGCATTGAAGACAGCGTCGAGTCCCGTATGGTTGCGCTACAGGAAAAGAAGGCAGCCATGATCGCTGGAACCGTCAACAATGATAAGGTGGCCATGGACCGTTTGAGCCCTGAGGATTTGCAATTTTTGTTTCGCGGTTCGTAGATGCACCGATCTCGGGCGTCCCGGGACAAATCACCCTACGATGCGTTTTGCGATGTGCACAGCACTGGGAGAAATTTTAGCGGCGTTCAAAAGAGGAGCATACATTTACTCATTAGAGATCATGTGAGTACGTGGGCGTCATTGTGGGACATGAATGGAGTGCAGTCAGCGGTATAGCAGTACAAGAGATAACTTTGTCCTTCCTACGGCGGGACAAGGTTGCCGGTTTACATTGTACTATACACTTATCAAAAGATTACTGATAGTTTGCAAGGCTTAATTAAGTATTCCGTGAGTCTCGTTTGCGATTGACTCTATGACGTCGATCGTGAGCTCGCTACCCCAGATTTTGACAGCCCTGTAGCCTCACCGCCAAGTGAACATCAGATCCACAAGTACATCGTTGTGGTCGTCGCAACCTAATGAATTTTTGCTGCAGGAACTACTCCTTATCAGACTCTGATAGAATTTAGCACCTGGAAGTGCTCTGTCCGTACGTTGATACGTTGATGATACAGCCTGATCTTGCCTGCCAGTTGTAAGTGTGCGTGTGACCATCAGTGCTGGCATAAGCCCGTGGATCCTTCAAATCCGCCTTGGTCTGTTGTTTCCGACATCTCCTGTGGTGTATATGTTTGTAGCTGCAGATCCGAGGAGAAGTTCATTTCACAAAGTTCGCGGTACGTAATTTTACGTAAAGCCGCGCCTCTTGCGGATGGACGGGCACTACGATCGTCATTTGTCACATCTCAGGTGCGCAAAGAATGCTCCCAGATTGAAGTTTTGGGGTCCATTGCGGTCGATTCCAGCATCGGCAGCCGGAGGAGGGGTCTTGACTTGGCTCGGGACCGACTGTGATACTCTGGGGCTAAGTAGAGATGGCGCAATGGCCGCCGCACTTTGCAATGTGGAGAGCACGTTTCGGTTCGATCTTACTTCTTGTTCCTTGATATTGGATGCATAGGGCGGGCGTTTCTTTGTTCGTCATTCGCTTGGCTTCCAACTGTTGCAAACGCTACTCAAAATGAGTGTCTTCAAGAACGCTGAGAGCTGGCACCTCGATATCGACCGGTACCTTAACCGCGTTATACCCGCTTCACCATTGCACAAGCTGCCCACGCCAGTGTCGAGGTTCCTGGGCTATCGAAAAGTAGACGAGCAAGACGTCGGGAATATCTTGGGCGCATTCTGGTCTTTAGTGGGAGCATTCTGCGGACTAGCTGTGGTGATAGGAGTGTTCAATAACACCGAGAGCATCCAACAGCATGCGCCGCCTGCAATGATCGCGTCGTTTGTAAGTTGGAAGTTCATTGTCGTCAACCCCCCCTGACTGTCTGCTTAGGGTGCGTCAGCTATACTTGAGTACAATGCAGTGCGCTCGCCTCTTGGGCAACCGCGTAATGCCCTACTCGGCCACACCTTCTCTGCCATCATCGGCGTGAGCGTCTCGAAGCTCTTCCAATACCACTCAGAGTACGAGAAGATCAAGTGGATAGCTGGCGCAATAGGGTGTGCATGTGCGTCTGCTGTGATGCTACTAACTGGTACCGTTCACCCACCGGGCGGCGCGTCTGCTGTACTTGCGGCCACAGAGCCAGCCATCACAGCCATGGGCTGGTATTTCGTGGGTCTTGTTGCATGGGGAGCGACCTTGATGGTCCTCATCGGCCTTGTCATCAACAATATCCAAAGACAGTTCCCTGTATACTGGTGGACGCCGTTGGATTTGAAAAGAGCGAGAAAACAAGACATCGAGACTTTACCTAATGCGAGAGGCGGACTAGAGCGGAGAAAGTCCGAGAAAGAGCAAAGGTACGATCAACCTTTCGGGAAGATCGAAATAACAGGAGCTGGAGTCACCTTGCCTGAGGCCTTGAGCCTTAACAAGGACGAGGCGGAGTTACTAGAGAGGCTACGGGTGAGATTGAGTGGGAAAGTAGACACAGAGCGGGGGACCAAAGATCTTGACGAGATGGAGCCGAGCAGTGGGAAGAGCAGTACAGATCTTACCATGGTGCCAACGAGAAGCGAAGGAGCAAGAAGTAACAGCGATAGCAGCGGCAGTGGGAGGTAGGATGTTGAACAGTCCCACGTCCCGCTGTTCCGACCTTACCAAATCGGGGAGCCATAGATAAGAACAATACACGACTTTGACGATCTCCGAGGCGTCCTTGTGCACCCGACATGATGAGCTCTAGCAGTGAGTCCAATGATTTAGGTTCTATCTTGAGTTTTTGGTGTGGTAGGATTGCTAGGTTGCCGTTAGTGATCACTCACGGCGAATGACCTCTGGACACCTCTAACAAGAGCACTTCATATACTGCACTCAGGCACACCAGCCACTCGGCAGAAGTTAGGACTCTTTCTCGTCAGGACGTACATAGTACACGCTTGAACAGACTCATTCAGAGGTAGTTCTGCGGTTCACCGTTGTTGGCTACGATTAAGATGATATGGATTCTACACAAGTGCCAAGTGGCTGGTCGGACGTGCCTGGTTGCAGAAAGTATGCCTCAGCTGAAGGGCATACACATCTTCAGGATTATTCTCAGGCGTCTAACGTTTGTCACAAAGCAAGCCTTCCTGCATACTCAGGCAGAGCAACAACTGGATTCTTGCCGGGCTGGCATGCTTGACGCAATGATCCTTTGACATGATAATGCTGCGCAATCTTCCTCACCGAGATTGACAAGGGGAAAAGCGCTGAAATGTTGTAGTGTACTGTTTTGGAGATTGTTGGCGACTGCCCACGGCGTTGCGCCGGTAAAGCTCAACGCTCAAAGCCTAACCTGCCCGATGACGATGCGCGCAGTTGCTGCTGCGTTCATTGGCTGGCATGCGGCTTCGCCACGACCAGAGAAAAATTATTAGGCAGATTCACAGGGTTCTCCAGACAAGACTCGCCGAAGCAAACCTAGACCTGCTCGTTTCTTACACCGACTCTTCCTCCTCACCTCCTACACGCGCTCGTTTCTCCCGAGTGCAGCATTTACTCTTTGTCGCTGACCATTTCCATAAAGAGAGTGGACCCACTTGCCCCGCCATACCTCGAAGTTTTCCTCTTCCACCCCACCACCCGCGTCCCTTCCTTATCCAACACTCCAACACAATATGGTATCCGCATCGAAGGCTGCCCGTGAGGCAAAGCGCGCTGCCGAAGGCAAGCCCAAGAAGACCCTCGCCTCCAAGGCCTCCAAGGCTTCTTCCAAGAATGCCTCAGGAGCCTCGTCCGTGAACGGCGACGGGGAGGACCTCGAGCTCAACGAGGAAGTCCGCAAGCTCACCATGCAGGAGGACAAGCACGGTCTGTCTGACCGTGTCACCACCGGTGTCCTGGCCTCTCTCCCTGCTTCTCGCGACGTCAAGATCACCTCCGCCTCCCTCGTGTTCCACGGAAAGGTTCTTTTCAACGACACAACTCTTGAAGTCACATACGGACGCCGCTACGGTCTGTTGGGTGAGAACGGTTGCGGAAAGACCACTCTCCTCAAGGCCATCGATGCCCGCGAGTTTCCGTTCCCTGACCACATCGACATCTATCTTCTGAACCAGGGTGCTCCCAAGACTGAGTTGGGTGCCCTCGACTGGGTCGTTCGCGAGGCCGAGAACGAGCTGGCTCGTCTCGAGAAGTTGGCTGAAGATATTCTCGAGAAAGATGGTCCCGAATCATCTCAGCTCGATGACATCTACGAGGTACGTGACGGCATTTTCAATTTTCCAGTGTCGTGCTAACTATGGAACAGCGTCAAGAGAGCATGGACCCCTCCACTTTCCACGTTCGCGCCTCCCTTATCCTGACTGGTCTCGGGTTCAACAAGAAGACAATCCAGAAGAAGACCAAGGACATGTCTGGTGGATGGCGTATGCGTGTCGCCCTCGCCAAGGCTCTGTTCGTTAAGCCTGCGTTGCTCTTGCTTGACGACCCCACCGCCCATTTGGATTTGGAGGCTTGCGTGTGGCTCGAGGAGTATATGAAGAAGTGGGACCGCACTCTTATCCTGGTTTCTCACTCCATGGATTTCTTGAATGGTGTCTGCACAAACATGCTCGATATGCGTCAGAAGCAGCTCCTCTACTACGGAGGTAACTACGACTCTTACCACAAGACCCGATCTGAGCAGGAGGTCAACCAGACCAAGGCCTACGAGAAGCAGCAGGACGAGATCAAGCACATCAAGAAGTTCATTGCGTCCGCTGGTACATACGCCAACTTGGTCAGGCAGGCCAAGTCTCGCCAGAAGATTCTTGACAAGATGGAGGCAGACGGTCTCATCGAACCCGTCCAAGTTGACAGGGTCTTCTCTTTCCGCTTCGCTGACGTCGAGAAGCTGCCCCCGCCTGTGCTGTCGCTTGACGACGTCACCTTTTCTTACTCCGGTAACGCTGAGGACAACCTCTACGAGAACCTCGACTTCGGTGTCGATATGGACTCGCGTACTGCCCTTGTCGGACCCAACGGTGTTGGAAAGTCGACTCTGCTCAACATCTTCACTGGCAAGCTTCAACCCACAACCGGTGTTGTGTCGCGTCACACCCATTTGAAGCTTGGTGTATACTCTCAGCACTCTGCTGAGCAGCTCGACCTCACCAAGTCCGCTCTTGACTTCGTCAAGGATAGGTTCGCTCATGTCAGCCAAGATTACCAGTACTGGCGCCAGCAGCTTGGTCGCTTCGGTATGACTGGTGAGGCCCAGACCTCGAAGATGGCTACACTCTCCGACGGTCAAAAGTCTCGTATCGTTTTCGCGCTTTTGGCTATCGAGGGCCCTAACATGTTGTTGCTCGACGAGCCTACCAACGGTCTTGATATCCCCACCATCGACTCCCTGGCTGATGCTATCAATGCCTTCAGCGGCGGTGTCGTCGTCGTGTCCCACGACTTCCGGTACGTCACTCTGTTAAAACCACGACTGAACCATCTGCTAACTCCTCTTCCAGTCTCCTCGACAAGATTGCCAAGGACATTATGGTCTGCGAGCACAGGACCGTCACAAGGTGGGATGGATCTATCGGCGAGTACAAGAACCACCTCCGCAAGAAGATGTCATCCACAGGTGTCCTTGCTTAGAAGTTGTTTGAGATTGATTTTGCAAAATTGCATATATTTTCCGAGCTGCGGAACGCGGATTCGAAGCAAAAAGTATTGGCCTGGGAGCAGGGTTCATGATACCCCTGCAGTAGGCTGGCAGCTCAGCGCGACCAGCTTCAGTGTCTGTTCTGCGTAGGCGGAGACAACTGGATACCGCACTTCGATGCATTGGGCTTAGAGGAGTTCTTAGATTTGGGTTACGACCAAAATGATATCACGTAGAATAAGAATGATCACAACCAAACTCTTGCCGTCTTTCTCTACTCGTGTATTGCGTTGGTTGTGTTCGTTGTGATCGTGCTTGCCAAACCGGCCCTTGCCGATCACCCCGCAAGACCTCCGGTGACGAGCGTGATCGCCCGTTCCTGAAGCTGCCACTGTCACTCTCACAACCTCACCCTCTGTCACTTCTGCTCACGCCTCCTTCGGCATTTGCAGAGATAATCCTCCATAACTTCTCTAGCGTCTGCACTACCCAAGCCTCCTGTGGCCGCCATGGCGGAGCTCAACAGCACAAAGCTCAACGCGGAGTCGCATCTACTGCTCGTACGGGAGCCACCTGACCTGCCATAAGCTTAGGCTAATATATCAGGACCAACCCCTCCTGCGCATGCCTTATGAACTCTCACGGCGGAATTTCAAGAATGCGCAACGCCTCATCGAGCACACTACCACCTCGCTCACGTCCGCCCTCTCCAGCACTACCAAGAACGCTTCGAAGACCAACGACTCCACACAGACTCTCGAGTCACTTGATGCCATGATCTCGAAGATGCAAGGTCTAAAGCGTAAACTGTCGAACCTGCAAGAAGAAGAGACAAAATTACACAAAGCTGCCAAAGCCCGACTACAACACCTTCAGGACTTGCATGACGTCCAAAGCTTAGTAGATGTCAAGTACGACGAATGGTCTCGTATCCGATTGTCGCGCTTACTAGTCGACTATCTGCTTCGCGAAGGTTATGCTTCCAGTGCCGCCTGCCTTGCGCAGTCCAAGGGTATCGAGGATCTCGTGGATGTCGATGCCTTCATATCATGCCACAAGATCGAACGCAGCCTCAAAGAGGGGATGAGTACTACGCTGGCGCTTGATTGGTGTAAGGAGCACGGGAAAGAGCTTAAAAAGGCTGGTAGTTTGCTAGAGTTTGAGTTGAGGTTGCAGCAGTACATCGAAATGGTTAGGCAAGGACATGAGAGCAGCGTGTCAAGCGTCGACGGCGACTTCGGTCGGGAAGGAGTTAGCATAGGAGGTGGTGGAGGGGAGCAGAAGCTGACGGAGGCGAGGGCGCATGCAAAGAAGTACCTCAGTCCGAGCGGGGACTTTGAGTTGATAAGACGCGCAGCGGGTTTGTTGGCTTATAGGCCGTGGGATGAAGTGGAACCCTACGCCGTAAGTCCTGCAGCCTCGTCGACTCTTGTACCTGGCTAACAGCACGCAGTCCCTCTACTCGTCATCGCGATGGTCCCACTTGGCGTCACTGTTTCTCACAACTCACCACAATCTGTACTCCCTCCCACCCCGGCCACTCCTGCACATCGCCCTCTCTGCCGGTCTCTCTGCTCTCAAGACGCCGGCCTGTCACTCCGCATTCACATCATCCTCCGCAAACGCCTCCTCGTCTACAACGACCGTATGCCCAATATGCAGTACAGAGCTCAACGAGCTGGCCCGCAACGTGCCGTATGCACATCATACCAAGAGTATCGTGGAAAACGATCCGGTTGTGCTACCAAACGGACGCATTTATGGGAGTGAACGGCTGAGGTTATTCAACGACAAAGTGGGCACAGAGAAGGGCTGGATTCGGGATCCTGCCGCGGGGAAGATGGACGAGCTGTGGAAGGAGAGCGAGGTGCGGCGGGTGTTTGTTCTATAAGTAACAAGTTCTGGGTATCATTTGTGCGGCATAGCGTGGCGTTTGGGTATCATATGTGGTCCTCTACCACAGTAGGTTTACGTGTATACCATCTCTTCCGATGAAGAGCAAGTCCTCTCTACCTTGAGATCCTCCCTCGTGTTTCTGCCGACCATGCTACAGCTCAATCACTATCGTCGTCCTGAGCCTTTCTCTTCTTCTGCACCACCGGCGCCTTCCTCTTTTTCCGCAACTTAACCCCAATCTTCTCGAGTTCCTTCTCCTCGTCACTATCTGCCTCCAATGCCACCTTCTCAAACACATACATTCTTGCGTCGCGGTCTTCACCCTTCCACCCGCCCCCACCCTCCAGCGCGCCCAGCGTCCGCACATGGCTGTACGCAGGATACTGCGCCCAATCTAACTTCCAGCTCTCTGTGACCTTCAGCCCAGCGTGTCGCGCGAGATCCCGGACATTCCACAGGGTATACGGCTCGCCCTCGAACAGCGCGACCATGATGCGGCCGCCCATGCGCAGAAACTCGTTAGGTCTGCGCTGCACGAGATTGGGCTTGTTGGCCTGCTGCTCGAGGATGCGCAGGCGCTGCTTGGGCGTCGACGTCTCGAGGCACGCCTTGAAGAAGGCCACGAGCAGCGCCTGGTTCGCGCGCACCTGGCGCGTGACGTCTGTGGAGAGGCCGCCGACGTGCGGGAACATGAAGGCGATGGCGTCCCAGCCGCTGACGGGCTCGTCGTCGTCATCGTCGGAGCGCTCGCAGCGCAGCGCGCGGTGGGTGCTGAGTTTTGCGGCGTCGATGCCGTGGTGCAGCGGCACGGGCGGTGTGAGGCTCGTGAGTGCGTCGCGGGTGGCGGCGAATGTGGGGTATTTCGAGAGCACTTCTTCCTCGGTGTCGAAGGAGGTTGCTGTGACGTTTGCGCAGCCGTGGTCTTCGACTAGCGACCTTGTGAAGCTGAAGTCGCCTTCGCCGACGAGCAGTATGTGATCGTATGTGCCGAAGGGAACCGCATGTTGCTGAGACGCTTGGACAGGGGGTTTGGTAGCGGCCGTGGTTTCTGTGACCTCGGTCTTCTGCTTCTTTGCAGCGGGCTTTGCGGCGGGCTTTGCGGTCGAGGACGAGGGTTTCGCGGCGGTGATTGCTTTCGCGACTTTCTTCTGGTGCTCTGCGATCTTGCGCTGACCGTCGCGCTTCAGCTGGCGCCGCGCCTGCTTGGTTTTTGATTTAGACATGACGCTGTAAGAATGAATGTAATGTGCATCAAGTCGAAGGCACTGGTGAACTTTCTTGTGGGGCTCCAACTAGCGCGATTTTATATGCACTCCCGCGGTCACGACAGCCAGCAGGACAAGTTGGGTGCGAGCGGCGTCTTATGCAGACGTCAAGATTGCGTGAAATGACTAAATGTACAATAGACGGGACTTGGTACAAAACATCCCTTCATGCAGCAACTGCAGCCTGCCCCATCCGGATATGCGCTCGAAACTTTGAACAGATCAACCCAATTTCCACCGCGCTTCGTTGCGAATCTTGCAAGGAAATTATATCAGGTCGCGCTTGATGAACTGGTCGTACAGCGACTTGCCGAGCGAAGCAGGCGAGCGCTCAACAACGACGCCGGCAGCCTCCAGGGCGGCGATCTTGGAGTTGGCGTCGCCCTTTCCTCCGCTGACAATGGCACCAGCGTGGCCCATTCTCCTGCCCGGCGGCGCGGAGATACCAGCGATGAAGCTGACAACGGGCTTGTTGGCCGTGTTGTACTCCTTCAGGAAGTCGGCGGCATCCTCCTCGGCAGTTCCACCAATCTCTCCAATCATGATGATACCGTCTGTCTCGCCGTCCTCGAGGAAGACCTTCAGGCAGTCGATGAAGTTGGTGCCCGAGAAGGGGTCACCGCCGATGCCGACGACGAGCGACTGGCCGAGGCCAGCCTGGGTGGTCTGGTTGACAGCCTCGTAGGTGAGGGTTCCGGAGCGGGAGACGATACCGACGCGACCGCGCTTGTGGATGAAGCCAGGCATGATGCCGATCTTGCATTGGCCCTAAGAGTCGCGTTAGCGTGTGCATACCGTTGACCGTGGATGTTTGCGTACGGGCGCGATAATACCAGGGCAGTTGGGGCCAACCATGCGGGACTTGTTCTGGGTCTTGAGCATGTCGGTAATGCGGACCATGTCTAGGCGAGTCAGTGTACTGCGAGCGATGCGTGGCATTGCGCGCCCATACCGTGCTGGGGAATGCCCTCGGTGATGCTGCGCGCTGTTAGCTGCTATGTCTGGCGCAGTGGGCGTGCACACCTACGTCACAATCAGAGGGACCTCGGCCTTGATGGCCTCCTCAATACCGGCGGCGGCGACGGGGGGACTGTGGCACTGTCAGGATATTGCGGTGCGGCGTGGGGCGGCGCGCGTACGGGACGAAGATGGCGGTTGCAGTGGCGCCCGTCTCGCGGATGCCCTGCTCGACATTGGCGAAGACGGGGAGGCCGAGATGCTCCTGGCCGGCCTTCTTGGGGTTGGTGCCGCCGACGACCTTGGTGCCTGCGCGTGCGTGTCAATTCGCGGTCCCGATGATGCCAGACAGCTCCTGCGTGGGCGCATACCGTACTCGATCGCCTGCTGCGCGTGGAAGCTGTGACTGCGTCAGCGCCGTGCCCGTCTCCCTGCAAGCTGTCGCGAGCACTCACGTTCCCTGCTTGCCGGTGAAACCCTGGAACAGCACCTTGGTGTCGCCGTTGATGCGGAGGTTCTTGATTGTCTCGGCGTACTGCGACGAGCCTGTGCTGTAGGGCCTGGCCGCGGCCTTGGTGAGCGCCGCACGCATGGGTTGTCTGAGGGCCTGCATGATGCCGGGAAGTCGCTCTCACGAAGACTACTAAGTGTACAGAGGGGTATCGGAAATGGGGGTGTTGACAGAGCTGGCCGAGAACATGAAGCTGCGACCGCGCACAGACCCGCCTGCTTCTGCGCCAAACTTTCGGAGGCCTGCGTCTTCCCGGCCGGTGCTCCTGCCATCAAGATAATAACCCGGCTCAAACCGCACATCAACTCACACACCAGCCCTGAGGAGAGGAGATGGGCTGTATTCAGTCCTGGAACGAGGCTTCATTTATATTTACTCCGACCGGCTGAAATGTCAGGCCAAGGTTATCTTCACCAGCCTTGTCCTCGTCTATATCATTCTTCTGCAGTACCTCCCTGGTCGTCCTCCGAGCCGAAAGACGCTCGATCACTGTGCATGCCTGCCGCTTCCAGAATCGTCCATCAGCTGGAGCCTGATAATTCTGCCCACTGCTGTGGACTGTCGACGTGAAAAATTCAAGACCACAGTTCAGGTTTGCAAATTCTGGAGAGCCCGCTCTTCGTTTCAGTCCAGGGTATTGCACAACAACAGGATCAAAAATTTCGAAGCCATATCAAAGTTGCCATGATGTGTTCGTATAGCGAGGGCATGAAGCCGAGAGAATGGAGATAGAGAATCCGAGGGCTTCAAATACTGGTGTTTGCAGTATAAGAGAGCAGGAGCACACCTATCAATGAATAGGTAAATACCACCCTTACGGTCCTCGAACGAAGGCAAGCAAACGTTCCGCAGTATTTTTCCTCAAATTTTATTGTCGCGGTCTTCGTAAACATCATGCATTCTCCATTTCAGCTGTTTCTTCAACTGTGTCCCGGAGAAAGTCTTCAGCCAAATCCTGCTGATACTGGGAACTCTCATACACGCAGTCGAAGTTCTTATACTTCTTCACAAAGCTCTGCATGTGCCTCCCAATGGAGCTCCCCTCCCCTTCCCACGCCTGAAGTTCTCTCCATTCCCAGTCACTCGTGCCCTCTTTCCTGATCTTACAGTGTCCGAAGTCGATAAACTTGCGCCTGGACTGGATCCCAGTGAAACAAGGAGGCCGCAGAGAAGAAGTGAAGTATCTTGAGCGGAAAGACCCACAAGTGAAGATAAAAGTGCTCACCTGGCCTTCACCAGACAGCTTCACATCGCCTGTGCGCTCCCTAAGAGCATTAAGACAGCTCGTTTTGATTGCTTCAACCACATCACCATGTCCTCTATTAACTTCGGCCCTGCTGTGCTGAGGACTGTGCCGTTCTCTGAGCCAGGATGCAGACCGCTGCGTCGAAGAGCAAGTGCTCCTGAGCTTGCGGACGCGAACAAGATCCACGAAAATGCTTCACCAAGTTATCAGGCCGGGAACACCGTTCGGCTCCACCTCATGAGTCGCCTTGTTCAGGCAACAATCATCAGAACATTCACTCCGTTTACGATGGCTCCAGTTATGGTTGTACGGATCTTCGAGCCTGCTATCGATCTCGAGGGGGATTTCGTTCTGAAGGTGTACGATCGTCGCTACAGCACAGAGGCTCGAGACGAAGAAGGCGACAACAATGCGTGGACAGTGGCGAGAGACATGGGTTTTGAGAAACGGCGATGGTCGAGCGATTTCGTCAAGTTCTTTCTACACCTAATGTCCAGTCAGCATCTGGACGATACCGGAGATGACTTCTGGGATGAGGAAGATGAGGAAGATAGCGAGAGTACCGGCGACGAGGAAGAGGGCCTCGCTGATGCGTATACTGAGATGTACTTTCAAGTCCAATGCTTGAAGATGTATCGCGCGGAGACAGAGTTCTATCGGAGAGCCAGAGAACATCATATTGATGGGGTAGACATACCTCGATTCATCAGCAGTGTGCGCATTCCGCCAAGCTACACGTCGAAGTATCATCATACACAGAGCTCGCACATCAAAGGCATACCAGGCGTCCTTCTGCAGTACGTGCCTGGCTTCTCAATGCTGAGACTGTACGACACTTCGTCGCCACCACCACCAGGACCCGAACACTGGAAGTCCATCATTGACGACGGTTTGCGCACCGTCCAGTACTACATGCAGAATATGGAGATTCTCAACATGGACCAGAACATCGCGCGCAACACCGTGGTGCATTGGGATCCTATTGGCGAGAAATGGAAATGCAAGCTCATCGACTTTGGTCACTGCCAGTTCCGAGCCAAGAACATGAGGAAATGGGAGTGGAGGAGCTGTCAGGCTGGTCTACAGGAGGAAGCAGCGGTTGGTCGATTTATGCAGGCGATGTTGGAGAAGAATACAGGCTTCCAGTATCGGTGGGAACAGTCGCAGTACTCCGACGAGCTAGCTCGCGACTTCAGAGGAGAGTTCAGCACCGGCATCGAGCCGAGCGATTATCCATCCTAAGAAGCTCGCATGATCTCAAGAACCTAGTATCGAAATCCGAAGCATGCACGTTATTTCCGGTCTCCTCTTCAGTGATTCGAGGACTGAATGTTATTCCGTGAATAGCAGGTGTAGACTCACAGAGGTGGCCGAACGACCCAAGGTCTACAGTCAGCTTAATTCTTCTTCACCGGTTCCGCATTACTACAGGAGTACCCCCTGCCAGCATGCGCTACTTAAGTTGTGCTTATCTTACGGTCCTAACAAGGTGATGTTGTGAGAGAGGAGAAGAAGGAAGGCACGGCAGCTCTCACCTCCTAAGGCCCAATACAGTTAAATTCTTAACAGTGACAGTTTGCAGCCCCTCAAAGACGAATCTGGTCACAGTTGATGGTCAACTCCATAATTAGCTAGAATGTCCTTCGAAGCGTCATCGGCCGAGATGCGAACACGATGCGTTGAGAAAACACACATCAACACGCTCTCACATCCACCTACAGGGAGGATCCGCGCCAAGGCTGCAAAAATGGAAACTTGGAACATGAATTTCGAGAAATGTATTGCTCAGTCGCGATGTACGTACACCTGCGACCAGCCTATTGAAGTCTTACAGATGTTACAAGGTTTTATACACAGTATGGCAAAGGTCTTCTCTAGTCGTTCAGCTTGCCGTAGAAAGGCAGACCGATGGCCTGTGTCAGCAGGCGTGCGTCCTTGTTACTTGTGGCATCAGTGATGATGGTAATGTGGCAACCGGGGATCATCTTGGGTGGATATCTGTAGAGAGTCAGTCGTTTTCTTGGGCGAGGACTAAGCAGGCTTACGCGTCGTAGTTGACCTCGATCTCCGGGAAGAGGGCAAGCTGCTCTGGTGTCAGACCAAAGCTGATGTTGCCGTGGCCGTCTCCTGACGAGCCCGGGACGCCCTTCCACTCCTTGATTCTCGGCAGCACGACGTCAATGAGCTTCTCGAGGAAGTGCGAGGCATCTTCTCGCTCCATGGTGGCGGTGACGGAGACGTAGCGCCCCTCGCGCAGGTTCCATGCCAGGACGTTCCCCTTCGCCTTGTGAGACTGGACGCGCACGTTGGTGATGGACTGTAGGATCATGCCAGCGACGTGCAGGTGGGAGCTCTCCGTCTGGGCCTCGGGGACCATGGAGTGCACGACGACCTTGGTGATCTTGGGAATGTTGCGGAAGGTGCGCGGCTCCTGGAGCAGACGCAGGACCTCGCCCTTTCCACGCGGCCCTCGCAGCGGGCGGCCCTTGAAGTACGGCGAGTCACCCTGCCACTCGCGCAGGCGCTGTTCGACCTTGGGGGCACGGTAGCCGGGCGGGTAGTGCTGGTAGGTCATGGCGAGGATGTCCTGGGCGATGGTGCTCTGGTACGTCTGGTCGAGGCGCGGCAGTGTGAAGGGGCCGGGCTGGAAGCGTCGCGACGCCGGGTCTGAGACGGGGAGAGGCTGGTGGGGGTGCAGCGGGCCGCGGTAGTACTTGGGCTCGCGGTACTGGTATCTGCTGGGCGGGAGCTGCTGCTTGCCACGGCGCCGCGCGCGGCTGCGGGCAATGGGGTCGAAGTCCTTGACGGCGTCGCTGGACGGCGTGGGCGCGGCGACGAAATCGGTCGTCTCGACGGCGGCGGCGGCGTCGGTCGCGGCATGGCGGCGCAGTATGGGCGCGAGGGCGCGGGCAGTGGGCCTGGCATGGCGGCACAGGGCCGTGGCCGTCCGGGGGGGCAGCTCGCGCAGGGCCATTGTGTCGCGTCCGGGCTGGTGACGATGGCGCCGCGCAGCAGCGCTCGCAGTCAACTTTTCGGGGCTTGGCACTGCGCACCGCCGGCGTCTCGTCGCGTCCCGGGCCGGCTGCAGCTCCAGGCCAGGCCCCGCGCCATCCCTGCGCGACAGGCAGGCGGGCAGGTTGCGCAGCGGCGCGCGGCAGACGGCACCGCGCAGGCCGGCGCACCAGAACGACGCTCCTGCCCGCGCGCCGTGGCGTGGTCGTCTCCCGGTCGCGGTCCGCGCGCTCAGGCGTCTGTCCACGTCTCTCCACGGCGTGTGCGGCTGTCTCGCGCCTGCCCGTATACCGCCCCAGGCTCGCCTACCCCGCGGCGACCCAGCCCAGCTTCGGCCAGCTGCTCGGCCCTCTGCTCGACCTCTGCTCGACCTCTGCTCGCCCTCTGCGCGCCCTCTGCCCGCCGCTCTGCACCCGCCGCCTGCGTGACTGCATGGACGTCGTCCGCCGCGCGCGCCCACTATGAACGGCATGCAGCGCTTTCTCAGCCGCCGCGAGAAGCACCAGGCCGAGAAGCGCAAGTCCAAGGACGCCGCCCGCCTCAAAGTACGCTCCGTCTCTGCCACCTCTGCTCCCGCCTGCGTTGCGCCGCCTCGAGACTGGCCCTGCCGTCTGCGACGAACCTCGTCCAGCCTCGAGTCGCTGTATCACAAGCTCCCCCATGCCCTGCGCAGCACAGTCGCCGACAGCTTCCTGTTTCTGCACAAGTGCCGCGCACCGCTCATCCCGGCATTTACCCATATTCTTACCCTCGACTCTTCTAACAATCTATTGCAACAGTCAAGCTCTGGCCAGGCCGTGTCCTCCAGCCTCTACAAGATATTCACCAACGAAGACGCAAAGCCGACCCCCGACAAGGATGTCTCGAAGAACGTACGTTTGGACCAGCCGCTGTTTGGCTCTAGGCTGACCCTCACAGGTCACAATGCTGCTCTCACGGCTGCAAGGTGCGGGTGTAGCAAGACTTGGAAAGGAGCAAGTTGAACACGCTCTGGATTGGTACCCCGATGACATCGACAAAGCCTACGACATTCTGATGCTTGCAAACGAGTCGATCGAGGGCGAACTGAAGGACTACAATCCCCAAGTCAATATGGTGGGCGCCATCAACAGGAACATGGTCACATGTTACCTGGACGCTCTGCTTTTCGCCATGTTTGCGAGACTGGACGCTTTCGAGGCCATGTTGTACGACAACTTCGATGACGAGCCTAGGAAGAAACTGGCAGCTACTCTACGGTTATGGGTAAATCTGCTCAGGACGGGACAACTCATCCGAGTCGAGCTCGTACGTACTGTGGGCATCCTGCAAGATCAATACTTACACGCTATTAGACGAAGCACCTGCAGGACGCCTTGGCCGAGTGCGGGTGGGAAGACGCAGCCAGAATCTGCCAACAAGATGCCTCCGAGGCCTTCACCTTCATCACTGGTGCACTCGAGCTACCGTTGCTCACCTTGAAGATGGACATATATCATCCCGGCCGAGAAGATAAAGAGGACGACCACAAGTTCGTCAACGAGCGGCTACTGGAAGTGGCTATTCCTGAGCAGGAAGGAGATGAAGTTATTACCTTGGAAGACTGTTTGGAGACTTACTTCAACAATCGCATCGAGGTGAAGCGCTTCCTGCAACGGCAAAACACAATAGGATCAGTGAGATCGGTAGCCCGTGAAGAAGTGGACCGAAATCCAGAGAAGAACGAGACTATCCACGTAGAGAGTGTAGAGCTACTGGATCCAGAGTCGCCGATGGTGGCCACTCCTGTATCGATGGCACCTTCCAGTCCATTGTCAACCATTCGACCGTCTCTTGAGGGACGTCGGCGCGCGGACAGTATTTTCAGTCAAAGATTCAAGAACGCGGGAGACAAGAAGTTCGACGAGAAAAAGCATCTGGATGACATGTGGAACAACAGCTCTAGCGGGAGACCACGATCAGCATCACTCCTTAGAAAGGAGGTCCTGATGCCGGCATGGCAGTTTTTCAGTCTCATTCGTAAGTTCATCCTTAGCATGCCAGGTCACAACTAACACGTTTCAGCTTGGTATACGGACAATGTCCCCAAGACAGACGCTCAGGTTGCGGCGCACTTTTCAAGTCGACGCCCAGTTCTTGGAATATGCCTGAAACGCTACTCGATGACCTTGAACGGCACCCCAAAGCGCCTCAATACATATATCGATATCCCACTCGAGATCGCGCTACCACATTTCGTCTCTGATGACAGGATGACGGAGGAGGGCCCACTATTTGGCAACTTCAAGCTCGTGTTACAGTCGGTCGTTTGCCATCGTGGCGTTTCGGTCGATTCTGGGCACTACATCTCGCTCGTCCGTGCAAACTTCCACGAGCGACCTATGACTTCACATTCTGAGGATACCGACGATACGGGAGCTTGGCTGCGATTTGACGACTTGTCGAACCCTCGAGTGTCTGACGTGGACATCAAAGAAGCGTTACGGGAAGAATCGCCATACCTGTTGTTCTACCAAGTCCAGCCGATAGATGAAGAGCTGGCAACGAGAGGAGACCCGCCTACGTACGCTGAGGCGCAGACTGGAGCGATTTCGTCTCTCGCCTCTAGAGAGACACTCATTTCCTCTCCAGAAGCTGGCGCTACGGACGCGGAGAGCAGTGGCGAGTGGGACAAAGTGAAGCTAGTGGACGTGCATCCTGAATCGGTTGTCTCAGAACCGATAGGTCGTGCGAGCATGTCTAGCAATCGACGCAGTAGTGTGGCCTTTGACGACCTGGAGAGCATTTCGCGTGGTCGAACTCAACCTCCCACCCCAGCCGATGAGTCGAAAACTACCTTCTTGTCGGCTTCGCGCCGCGGGTCCCGGACGTGGCTAGGCGCCACGAAGAGTCGACCAACTAGTCAGAGTGGTGAAGGACGCCTTTCGTTGACCCTGTCAAGACTGACTGGTCGTGGTAGCAAGGACAAGCTAGCCATCACTGAAGCCGGGGCTGCCGACGAGCCCGTCATTATCATCAACTCTGTTGATAGTCAAGATCATTCGCCACCGGAGTCCGAACCAATCAAGGAGCAGAAAGATTCGGGCATCTCGCGTAAGAAGAGCAAGAAAGGGAAGAAAGATCACCAGAGAAGTAAGAGCAAAGACCCTCTAGGAGAGCTTTCAGAGAAGAAGCATAAAGACAAGAACCGTCCTGACAGAGAGTGCTCCGTTATGTAAAAGCTCGGAGGTGTTCGAAGTGGCTCAACCATTGTTGCATGGGTTTTGCAGATGATAGCATGCTACACTCTCCAGCCGTTCGGTGTAGGTATCTCGATGATTGTGGATGAATTTAGCAAGGCGTTCCTGGGGCATGCATACGGATGTCTGGTGTTTTCCTTGGGATAGAGAAGAGGCTATGATCAATGCCACCTGGCCAACTATAACGTAGACGAGATACCCGCAGCCATATCAAGGCTCAATGAGAACAGATCCTCGTTACGAGGGTCCTGACTTCGTCTGTTCTTCTGCTATGACCTCTGTATGATCCTCACGAGACAACATCCGCTTGGCGTCTTATGGACAACAGTGTTGAAGCCATATTATCGACGCCTCAGGGTGCCTACTGTCAAGTGCTTGTTGGTCACAAATGTGGCCGGAGAAGGTGTTCGACGCCTTTAGAACGGCTGTTGTCACATCGGGCTAGAAGCCGAACGCCGCCCAGGAAGGTGGCCTTTCGCAGCTGCCGCTAATAATCCCACCACAAAAGCCGACGCACCTTTCACTCCATACCGCCCCCGCGCCGCATACAAACCTCACGGTCCTCACGCGACCTCACTGTATCACGCTCTGCAACATACCCGCGACGAACAGTCCCCACCGTCACAATGGCTATCTCTCCTCAAATGTACGTCATTCTACACTCGCTTTCAGGCGCAGCTTGCTAACAACCGCGCAGTACCAACCTGGTCATCATCCTGTAGGTCCTACTGCATGCGCGCCTCACGCGACTCGGAACTGACGGTAGCCAGGGGGTTTATGCAGATCTCGAAAAAGGTTCCCTTCGATGACCCGAACGTGCTGAACGGCGTCCGCGCCCTGTACATCGTCTCCAACATCATCATCGCCGCAATCTACTTCTACGTGCAGATGCAGATCAACAAGAAGAATGGTGCGTTATGCGGAAGCTGCGGCATGAGCCGGGTCTCGACCTCGCAAGGCATTGGACTAACAGCATGCAGACATGACCGTTGTCAAGTACGTCGAGCCTGCGCCCATGGGCTCTGGCGAGGAGCCCAAGTTTGTCGCGACCACCGTCAAGGCCTACGATCTCCAGCAGCTGAAGGGTCTCTTCAAGGGCCAGTTGATGGGTGTCGGCATGATGGGTTTCATGCACCTCTACATGAAGTACACCAACCCGCTCCTCATCCAGTCCATCATTCCCCTCAAGGGCGCCTTCGAGGGCAACCTCATCAAGGTCCACCTCTTCGGCCAGCCCGCGACCGGTGAGCTCGCTCGCCCCTGGAAGGCGGCTGCTGGCCTCATGGGCGCTATGCAGGGTGGCGAGATCAAGACCGACAAGAAGAGCATCGAGGCTGCTGAGCGTTCTGGCCGTGGTGGCGTCAAGGACGAGTAAATCTTGTAAATCGTCACTGCGCGTATTCATGATGCTGTAGTCCTTGGCTGCTTGCGATTCTGCGGCATAGAGCGTTTTCACGGATTGATTGTATAATACTTATTGGAAAAGTTATTCATATCTCTATCACGACACTGACTCGGACTGATCATGATTGTGCTAGTTGTGAAGACTGTCGTTGCTGAAGTACAATGGCGAACACAGGTTTTCCTCGTCAAAACAATGTCTCTACTATGGATGTCTATTGCAGCTCCCCTTCATCTCTTGTCTCAGCTCTCGCCAGCACGGCCTCGACATATGGCCACAAGACTCCGTCCCAGACTTCATACCCCTTCTCGTCCATATGCACGTGGTCAACCAGCATCTCCTTCGCGATCTTCTGCCGCGCTTCAACCCACACCACCCTCGCCTTCGCCTCGCACTCCTCAACAACCTGCTTCAGCTTCTCGTTCGCCCGCTCCGTGACCTCATCAGCAATATCCTTGCGATAGAACACATCACACGCCAACACCACCGAGCGCGGCGCAATCTCCAAACACGCATCAAGCAACGCCTTCCAACTCGCCACATCACCCTCCCTCAGCCCCCGCTTCGCATGCAGATTGTTCGTCCCCGAGCACAGAACCCACAGCTTGATATCGCACCGCCCGTCGCCCCTTGCCTGCGCGGCGCTCAGCACGCTGCCCAGACCCTGCGCGAGCCGGTACAGCACGGACTCGTTCTTGTCGCCGCCCACGCCGGCGTTGAAGGCTACGCCCGACTCGCTCAAGGCCCCGAGGCGCGTCCCGAGGCCGGTGGTTTTGAGGCGCTCGAGCATCGAGTTGCCTAGGTACACGGCGTGGATGGGCTGGGTGTTGAGGAGGTTCGGGAGCGGGGCGTCCGCGTCGGCGTCGGCGTCGGTGGGGAGTGGGGGTGTGGGTAGTGGTGGAGCGGGGTGGGGGTCCAAGGCCAGGCGGAGAGTGAGTTCGGGGATGTGGACGGCGTGGTGGGTGTCGTGAGAGCGCTGCTTGAACTTTGCGAGGGAGTGGGGGAGAGCGGCGGTGGGTGGTGGTTTGGCGTCTGAGCCAGTGGCTGGGGGGACGGCTTGCGTGGGCATTTCGAATGCTGAACTTCGAGATGGGATGGTGGTTGGCCGGATCGCGAGGAGAGGGGTGTGAGTAAGCTTGTAGGAGTGAATGCTGTATTCTTGAAAGAGCGACTGCCGTGTTCTTGAAGGAACGACTGCCGTATTATGATCTATTGGTCGCTCTTCGTACTCCGGGATTCCAAGTGTGAGTTTCAGGCCTCGATAAACTTCTTTCTATGCACCCAGGCAATACGTGAGGTCTCGCAGACGTCTCCAGTCCTTACATATAGACGCGCCAAAAGGGCTAAAGGGCGGCCCGCAGCCTCACAGTCTGGCTCTCCCCTCACCCTGACCCAGCACCGCCTCAACTGCAATCTCGCTCGTCATCAAAATACACGTATCCCGCAAACTGCCCACCCTATGCCTATGATTAACCTCCTGGTAATCCGCGCTCGTCAGCATGTCCCTGAAATGCTCGATGCTGGGATAGTGCGCGAGCGCAATCTCATCCCAGTCGCCCTCGACCCTCTCGTGTCGGCCGTTGACACCCGTCACGTTGCCGACGATCTTCGCGTTGCCGCCGTGCCGCGCGCCGATGCTGGCGGCGAACGCGGCGCCGTACTTGAGATACTGGTCTTTCATGCCGGGGTTGAAGGCGAGCAGGTTGAACATGGAGACGGCGCCTTTGCCTGCCTTCCCGTTGCTGCTAACGAATTCGTCGATCCAGGCGTTTAGTTCGGCGGAGAGCTCGAGGTCTTGGCTTGACTGTGTTGTTGGTTTCGCCTTGGTTGGATCGCTGAGCGGTGGCACGGTGACCGGGTCGGGATGCAGCAGGGTTTTGTTTGTTTGATCAAAGTCTTTGGTGAGTCGGGAAGGCACGCCGGCTGTGACGCTCCAGTGGTGTTCGACTAGTCTTGTAATGTCACTGGGGAGACTGTCGGTGCTGGGGAGAACCAGGAGGATGTCCCATCGTATGTTACGGGCAAGGAGGTGCTCCGTGGAGATCTTAGTGGGTAGGATAATCCATCGGAGTACACGAGAAACTACGAGTGGCTTTACAGTGCTGGACTTGAGGGTTGACAAGAAAGTGGACAGAGGATTGGGCGTGGTATTGTGGAGGGCGAGGAGGTGAAGGGTGCAGAGCGGCATTGTCTCGGTATAACAAGTCTGGATTCTGATACCGGTCCAAATTAGGAGAGAAGACGTAGAGCTTATAGGTGTATCTCAGAAAGACTAATCTACTTCTAGATGACGTAAGGCGTCGGGCGTGCCGAGGTACAACAAGAGGGGCTGCTGCAGGTACCATCCTTACAAATTGCGATTGGCAATATAGGGCATCTATTCGTTCTCCTCATCATGGTCGTCGTCACCCTTCTCAGATGCCCTGCCTTTCTCTGACATGGCATCGTCGTCCGTAGCCGTGGTGGGAAACGATAGGTGTTTCCAATCTTCAATCTGGGCAATGTTAGAGTGAGCCTACATATCACGAACGCGTACTGACCTCTTCTGTGATACTTTTCAAACGGTCACGGATACTGTCCACAGCATAGCTTCCCAAGATCAACCTCAAGGGTGGATAGCTACAGTGTCCCAGCTGCCATACTAGTTCTGCGCTCTTCACGGCGCTCACGGGCTGCCTGTCGTTCAGCCATTGCACCATTCGCCGTGCATGCTGGGCAGGGCTCGTCAGACTTGCATAGGCCTCGCTTGGGTTCGGCTTGACGGAGAAGTGGCCGTAGCGTTTGGGCTTTGGAGGCCCTGCGCCAGGCGTGACAGGGTAGCCGGACGGCACAATGTTGTCGTCTGGTTCGTCAAGCCGCACATGGCCAGGCTCTACCAGTGTCGCCTTGATGTTAAATGCGTCGATCTCGTAGAGCATGGACTCAATGAGGCCCTCGACAGCGTACTTGGTGGCGCAGTAGGGCCCCAGACCAGGAACACCAAGCGATCCAGCAGTGGATGAGAAGATCAGGTAGCGGCCAGAGTTCTGCTGGCGAAAGTACGGCAACGACAGCTGGATGATGTGGAGTGTGCCGAGGAAATTTGTGCTGAACTGGTTGCGCAAGTCATAGTCGTCCTGGTCCTCGCACGCACCAATGACACCATAACCAGTGCTATTCACAATCACATCCGTCTTGCCCCAATGCTCGAGACTCTTCTTCAGCACGTAGTCGACAGTCTCCCTGACTCTAACATCACACAGCAGACCTAGACAGCGAGTGTCCCGCCACTCCTGCATCTGCTCGGGCGTGTTCTCGTGGGTCCAGCCCACAGCAGTACACTGGTCACCGTGGGCCAGAATGGCGCGCACGAGCGAGCGCCCTATGTGACCTGTGGCACCAAAGACCTACGTTGGACGGTCAGCAATGGGCGTGGGGCAGCCAGGGAGGCGCGTACAATCCATACTGCGCGCTTGGGCGGATTGCTCTCAGAGGGAGGCTCGCAGGTGGCCGGCAGGCAGAGCTCGGGGTTCCTGGTGGCGGCGCCAGGCGACAGGCTCTGGCTGGCGGTGTCAAAGTCCATTGCGGGTGTCGGGCGGGCGGTTAAGATGGGCGGTATCGATAAGCGGGCGTGGATCAGGGCGTGCAGGTGGGTCAGGGCATGAGGAAGCGGCGCTCGTCGAGCAGGAAGCGCAGGCCGTCGAGGAACATGTGGGTGGGAAAGGCGTGGCTGCGGTTCATGAAGTTGCTGACGAGGATGAAGAAGAGCACGAAGACGTCGAGGTGCAGCGGCGCAGAGAGGAAGAAGTGGTAGGCGAGGAACAGGAAGGCCTGGGCGCGGTACCGGCCTCGAATGGAGCGCACGATGCGGGCGGCTTTGGCGACGCGTGCAGGGTCGGCGCGCTGGGCGCGGTACAGGACGACTCTGGCGACGGCCATGGTGGGCAGAGCCGCAGAGGCGGCAGGCGGCGGGCGGAGAGCAGCGGGCGAGCTTATCGATAGCGACGGGACAGCCGTGCGCCGGCGAGACGTCCGCGCTGGCAGCTGTCGGCACCGAAATGCGCGGGCAGCACCACCGGCAGCACCACCGCCCATGGCGTCCGCAGCGACCGCGGTGACCGTGGCCTCGCCGCCCATGCAGTCCGCAGTGCCCAGCATGGCGCCCGCCCCGCCCGCACCGCCCTCGGGCGCGTCCTCGTGAGCTGCCCGCCGCCCCGCCGCGCGCCGCGCCGCTGACCCGCGCAGGCTGTCGTTCACGCAGGGCTTCCTGGTGGGCCAGTTCTCAATTGCGCTGCTCATCTTCTGCTTCATCAAGTTCTTCATCTTCGGCGAGCCGCCGTCGGCCGACGACCGCGCCCTGCACCTCAGCTCGCTGCGTCGCGCCCGCACCCTCGCCCACCAGCAGTCGCGCCAGCACCTGCAGCAGCAGCAGCAGCGCACGCGCTCCAACTCGACCACCACGCCCGCCCTGCGCCGCCAGCCCTCGCGCTCCGTCATCACCAAGGGCGCCGAGTCGCGCGGCGGGCCCAGCATCGCGACCATCCTCGCCAAGACGTACTACAACGTGCAGGGCCACCAGCCCGAGAGCCTCGACTGGTTCAACGTGCTCGTCGCGCAGACCATTGCCCAGCTGCGCGCCGACGCCCGCCAGGACGACGCCGTGCTGGCCTCGCTGACCGACGTGCTCAATGCCGGCAGCAAGCCCGCGTGGATCGGGCCCATCCGCGTCACCGAGATTGCCCTGGGCGACGAGTTCCCCATCTTCAGCAACTGCCGCGTCATGCCCGCCGAGGACGGCTTCTGGTACGGCCCGTCCGCCGCCCGCGACTCCGACGGCCGCCTGCAGGCCCGCATGGACGTCGACCTGGGCGACGTCATCACCATCGGCATCGAGACGACGCTCAACCTCAACTGGCCCAAGCCGCTGACCGCCGTGCTGCCCGTCGCCCTGGCCGTGACCATCGAGCGCTTCTCCGGCACCCTCGCCATGTCCTTTGTGCCCTCGTCGTCGCCCGCCCCGCCCGCCGCCACCCCCAGCCCGCCCGCCCACGCCTCCGACCGCGACCGCGACCCGCCGCGCCCCTCGACCTCCTCGTCGAACCCGTCCGCCGCCAACCCCGCCCCGCACCGCCCCACCTCGCTCGCCTTCACCTTCCTCGACGACTACCGCCTCGACCTCTCGGTGCGCTCGCTGGTCGGCTCGCGCTCGCGCCTGCAGGACGTGCCCAAGATCGCCCAGCTCATCGAGGCCCGCGTGCACGCCTGGTTCGACGAGCGCGCCGTCGAGCCGCGCTTCCAGCAGATCTCGCTGCCGTCGCTGTGGCCGCGGAAGCACAACACGCGCGGCGGCGCCACCGCGGACCCGGACGCCGACGCTGACCCCGAAGCCGACTGTGTCGATGCGAGTGCCGTGCCGCTTGACGACCATGTGGCCGTGCCCGCGGCCGGGCTGGGGCTGGACGTGCCGCATGCGCCGCCCGCCGCGACGCTGGAGGAGCGCATCGAGGCCGAGGGCGCCAAGCTGCGCGACGCTGAGATCCGGGCGGGCGAGCGCAAGGCGCCGCGCAGAGGCGACGACGGCATGCGGTGGAGGGGCGAGCCGGGCCGGGGCCGTGACGCCGACCGCCCGCAGGCACCGAATCGGTTCAAGAGCGAGCACTACAGCGGCCAGAAGGGCATGCCTGGTGCTATGCTCGAGTAGACGTACTGTAGAAAAAGCATGTGTATTAGTATATCACGAGCAATGTATCGATTCAAGACCACAACTCAGACGATGTAATGCAGCACACTGCCATAAACTTTGTTGTATTGCAATACTTTCCACATGGAAACTCAACATGCAACAATCCCAACAGTACATACGACGCAATGTAGCACACTGCCGTAAACTCTGTTGTATTGCAATGCTTTCCACATGTAGCACCCTCAACAGTCTCCATCACACCGCCGCCCACACGGGCCGACGCGTTTCTAGTAGTATACACGCTGAAAATCAAAGCAAAGTCGGACCCAAGACACGTCCACAGGAACATCGTAGCAATCTCGCGCCACCCTGGGAAGCACTCGAACGCCTCAAGAGCTACTGCCCTGGCGCAGTAAGCGCACAGAGTGGCAGTTCTACTGCCACGTCGGCGCACCGCTGTTGACCGGCGTTGCGTACGGGGGTTGCTGCGGGGCCTCTGGCTGGACTGCGTAGGCGTGTGGCTGCTCCTGGTCGCGCTTTTCTTCGGGAGCGCTGTACGGCGGCGTGGGTGCGGAGAAGAACCCGTCGAGCTTCGGGAGGGCGCTGGCGTCTACTGGGGGTTGCTCATTTTTGAGCTTGGGTGCAACAACAGCAGCTGGCAGCTGGGCAGGCCAGTCGTTTGGTATGGCAGTGGAAAGGATGCGGGGCGGCACAGCAACGGGGGCTGCCGGGACTTCTGGTTGGGTCGATACCCCAACATCCTCCATAGCTATGTCGACGCCAGGCGTTGCGCCGTTGGCCGATGCGACTTCAGGCTTCGATTCGTTGGACGTGGCGGATGGCTTCGTTCGATAGTGCAAGGTCACAACGAGTGAGTCGGGCTCCTGCTCGTCTTCGGACGACTGCTCGGCCCCATCATCCTCATCGTTGTCAACGTCCATCCGATCAGGCTCGTCTTCGTCTTCATCGCCGCCGTCCCACGACGTGGCATCGTCATCCTCCTCCGAGTCCATCTCGCGGCTCAGGTGAGAGCGATTGCCGGCGCGTGTCGAACGGCTCTGTCGCGGCTCTTCAGAGACGTCAGACCGTACATAGTCTCCAGTAGCGGGCGACGCGCGGTCTGTTGTTTGTCCGCTGTGCAGCGTCTCGCCATACAGGCCGATTGCGCGGGACCTGACCTGGCGTCCGCTCGCAGTGACAGTCGGGCCAGTCTGCAAGGGCGACGAGTCGCGCGCTGACTGACGGCCTGATCGACGGACGGGCGCGTCGTCCGAGTCAAAGTCTTCTCCGTCGTCGAATGTGTAGCGCTGGCGCTTGCCGCGGGTGCGGCCTTCGTAGAGCGAGAAGCCAGGTTCGGGTCGGGTGAAGGCGGCGGTGCGGTTGACGCGGTATTCGCGGCGCTTGCGCTTCTGCATGATTGTCAATACGACATAACGCATCCGAGCTGGGTCCACTCACGTTCTCCGAGGCTTCGAAGCGCGGCACGGCGTTGGTCATGCGCTCCGCCAGCGCCTTAGCCTCGCGATGGCCATCCTCATCGGCCAAGACATCAGCCAGCGCCTTCAGTTCGTCGATGGACCCGGCAACGCTCCACCAGGTCGACTTGGGCGTCTTCGAGCTGGCCTCGCGGTAGACGCGGAAGTGTGTGTCGTTCTGCCCCTCGATCAGCCAGTAGCGGCGCTTTTCGCCGTCGCGGCCCCACGGCTGCACCGAGAGCGCGATGTTTGTGTCGAGCTTGTCCTTGGTCGTCCGCGACTTGTATGCCTGTGCAATCATCGCCTTGACGTCTTCGCTCTGGTTCAGGCTCCACAGGCAGAGGGCGTGGAGGAGGGTGATCTGGGCGGGTCAGCGGCTGTCAGCATCGTCGAGGTGGGCTCTTACGCGCTCCGTCGGCGTCATCGAGTTGAACGAGCGGCTGCCGCTGAGCGGGTTCGTGCGCTGCCACTCGACTGGCCACTGCGACCTCTGTGTCTGGACCGCTTCTTCAAGAGCGCGGCCATAGTGACCCTTCCTGTAAGACGTCGTGTCAGCTAGCTGCGCACAGCCCTATAAGCTTCGCAAGAGCCCTGCGACCGCTCTGTATGCCTGTGACAAGGGAGGGAGGGGGAACGCACTCGACAGGCTTTTTGCGATTCAGAACGAGGCCGAGCAGGGCGCATAGGAGGCCCTCGACGTCCGGTGACGGCGTGCCCTCTGCAACGCCCAGCTCGACATCCTGGGGCCCAACATGCGGCGCATTGCGGGGGAAGGCCTCGTTGAATCGCGAGCGAAACATGACAATAAACTGCGAGCCAAAAATGTTAGCGGAGCCCTGACGTAACCGCCGCGGACGTGTAGACGGTAAACACGGCGCGACGGGACGCGATTGACGCGTCTAACACGTACAGCAATGGCTGGATTATCCTCTGGCACGTATTCATGGGCCGGCGACGCTGGGCGCTGTCTCGGCGGCGGTGATGGCGAGCGCTTGTTGAAGAAGGTGAGAATCGTCGTCGCCTTCTTCTTCTTCTTCGACGCAGCTTTTGGCGCGGCTGCGACAGGCGCTTCATCCTCGCTAGGAGGCGCCGAGGAGAGCGCTGAGTCCGAGTCGGAGTCGGTCATGTTTGCTTTGCGGTCGTGGTTCGTGGTGGTGGTTTGGAGGAACGTCGTCAACGCGAGGGCTAGGCGCAACCGGTGAATGAGGTAACCGCTGTTCGCTAGCACAGGGACTAAGCTATTGGTTCTTGGATAATCCGGGGTATTAGACGCGGCTACTACCACGTAGATGAATCTGCAGGGGCATGTTCACAGGCACAGCATGGAGAAGGCAGAAACGCGGAGACACCGCGTTTCAATTGATTGGAGAGCTCTATCTGGACTGTCGCCATGTGCGAACGCATTCCGGTTGTTTGCGCTTGCTTTGAATCTGGCCGAAATGCGTGCGACACGTACTCACCTTCAGAGACCTGACGACCAGCCACGCTTTCTTCCACGCTGCTCCCCGCGCTTTCGCATCAGCTCTGCATAGCCTGTTTGATGCTATCGATGCCACACATGACCCCGATATGACTTGCACGCATGCACGTCATCCCTGATCACACATCTCGAGTGCGACGCAAGAGAGCCGGTGGATTGCGGATCGCCAGAGCATCATAAGACGGTGTCGCGGTGGGGAACCAATTTTTGGTGAATTGCACTGCGTCGACAGTCGATCTTCAAGCCTTGGACGCTTTCTGGTCGTGGTCGATGCGCCAGAGGGTCCTACTAGCCACTGCGTCCAGCTCTTTTGCACCAACGTCTTCGTAAAACGCCCCTTGAGGAATCTTGTAGTACATGGGAGAGGACTGACCTGATACTCAACGTGTCGATGGTTGCGAAGACGAGTTTGTGGGCGGTGGTCGGTCTGACGGGTTGCCTGTCTGTGTTCCCCGCTTTGGGACGATATCCTACTCGGACGGTTCATGACTGGGCCGCATGGTGTGGTCCCACCTACCTATTCCACTGACTCACGCGCTTTCTTGTATGGAGTGCTGAGTAGGATGCAAAGCAGAAAGAATGCACTGAGAAGATTGACAGAGAGATGGAGAGGTGAAAAGGCGCATTCTAATGGAAACTGGGATGAGCTGTTGTGTCACGACGCCCCTTTACCGGTGTCAGTGCGGGATAGCAGCAGGTCAGAGCTGGAAGCGTGTTGTTGATTTCGCCGGCACCAATGTTGAAGTTCGGGGTTGGAGGTGGAGCGTGGAGGTCACCTCATGCATGGGCGATGGTCACGTGTCGAGCCCCACCATGCCCAAGCTTGATGCTCTGGTGTTGCAATCTGTCTGGTTCGGGGCGAGATGCTGTTGCAGCTGCGACGCATGCAGAGTGTGGCCGAGCTGGAGGCGTGCAAGGCATCACCCCGTGTGGGCATCGACCTGCGCCGTTTCCCACACTGCAGTGGCGTTGGGCGAGCAGCCACCAGTCGGAGAGCGGCTCGATAAAGGAAGGAGCACAGGTCGCGCAAGTGCAGAGTCCAGAAGCAAGACTAGAGAGGGCGTCGGGTGCTTGGTGCAGCACCGACTGGCCAGCTGGGTCCCGGTGGCCTCCATGGCCTGCCCAAGGTTCAGGAGCAGTGGCGGCCGCGTCGTGGCCCGCGTTGCCAGGGAGAGCAGGGCTGCGGCATGCGTGCTGAGACGCGCAGGGAGGCACTGGCACTGGACGGGCTGCAGCAGTGCAGCGGGCGCGCAGCCATGACGTCGCCGGACGCGGCGAGATAGGGACGGGCGTGTGGTTCGCTCGACCTGTCGAGGGCGCGGCTGCCACGGGCGGGGCCAGGGCTCACAGACTCCAGAGCACGCGCACCCCAACGAGGTGAAACGCAGCGATTGGCGCCGCTGGCCGCGCCCCGCAGGACCCGCAGGGGCCAGGAGACATTCGCGGTGGATCGGGACGCGTTCATATATGGGCCGCCCGCCCACGGCCACGGCGCTCCTCCCTCCTTCCTCGCTGCCCCGTGTCTGTCTCCTGCTCCGCTGCTGGCCGGCCTGCCCCTCGACCCGACCCTCGACCCGACCCTCGACCCGACCCTCGACCCGCCCCTCGATTGACCTCGACCCGACCCCACGACCCCGACCCGCCCCGCCCCGCCCGCCGCGATGAACGTCAACAAGAAGTTCGGCCGCTTCAAGCAATGGGCCGGCGAGAAGATGGGCGCCGAAGCCCGCACCGGCGCCTCAGACGAGTTCCGCGCGCTGGAGATGGAGATGGAGCTGCGCCATGAGGGTGCGCCGCCCGCCCGCCCGCCCGCCGCCGCCGCGCCGCTGACACTGCACAGGCATGAACAAGATGCAGCAAGCCATGGCCGTCTACGTCAAGTCCATCTCGAAGCGCGCCGAGGGCGCCGACAAGGAGAAGCAGCTGCCCGGCGGCCACCTGGGCTCGGCCATGGTCACGCACGGCGAGGACTTTGAGCCCGACTCGGAGTTTGGCAACTGCCTGTCCTGTACGCCGCCCGCCCCGCGCTGAGCGCACTGCCCGCCCGCATTGCCCGCGCCTGTTCCTGCGCCTTTGCTGACCGCCGCAGCCCTCGGCCGCGCCAACGAGCGCCTGGCCCGCGTGCAGGAGACGTACGCGCAGAGCGCCACGTCGTCGTGGCTGGAGGGGCTCGACCGCGGGCTCATCCAGATGAAGGAGTACCAGAACGCGCGCAAGCGGCTCGAGACGCGCCGCCTGGCCTACGACACGTCGCTGGCCAAGATGCAGAAGACGAAGAAGGAGGACTTCCGCATGGAGGAGGAGCTGCGTGCCCAAAAGGCCAAGTACGAGGAGACCAGCGAGGACGTGTTCCGCCGCATGCAGGACATCAAGGAGGCCGAGGCCGACATGGTCCAGGACCTGACCAGCTTCCTCGAGGCCGAGCTCAGCTACCACGACCGCTGCCGCGAGCTGCTGATGACGGTCAAGCGCGAGTGGCCCGCCCCGTACGTCCCGGCCGCCGCCGCCGCCCGCCTCTTGGATCAACTGCTGACGCTGCCAGTGACGCGCCCCCCGCCCGCGCCACGCGCTCGCGCTCCAACACGGCCCACGGCTACGCCGAGCGCTTCAACCCCGTCGAGGAGGAGCCCGAGCCCGAAGTGCCGCGCATGACCATCCCGAAGCTATCCACGCGCAGCCGCTCGCCGGCCCCCGAAGGCTCGCCCGGTGGCTACGCTCTGCGGCCCGCCCTGAGCCGCACCTCGACGCACGACAGCTACGGCGCCCGCGACGACTCGCCCGCCCGCCGCCTGGCCCGCACCCCGACCGACTCGGTCGTCATCTCCAGCGGCCGCAACAACCTGCGCCCCGTCCGCCAGCAAAACACCTTCGCCGACGACTACGACGACGACGACCACACTGCCTCGGGCAGCAGTCGCCGCGACCGCTCCCCGCCGAGTCCCGACCGCTCGTCCCAGGGCAGCGGCAATGTCATCTCGCGCGCCGCGAGCTGGTCACAAAACGACGCCGCCGCCGCCCCCGCCGCAAAGCGCGTGCCGCCGCCGCCTCCATCACGTGCCAAGAAGCCCCCACCACCGCCCCCGCCGATGAAGCGAAGTGCGTTGAGTGAATCCACCGTGACACGATACTAGCACAGCATATCCATCATCTTCCCTGCTTGGTGCTGACATGCGTGTTTGTATAGGTCGCGCGTCCGCTTCTGCCAGAATCGCCACCTGGTAACACCCCTCCCTGGTGCCGTATCTGGCTCTGCGTCACACTGCGGCGTAGATTGGGCGTTGCATCTTCTTTGCTCGTCAAAAACTTATTTTCCATACCACACGGCGTTCTGGAGCGCGCATTGCGTAGGGGGGGCGTATGTAGCACAATTTCAAAAGACACGGTTAACCCAATTTCCGCAAGGCATTACGCTGGCCCATGATGTGCAACGAGTCCTCATTGATCCACTCTCGCCCCTTTTGTAACGACCGTGCCACTCGCTCAAACGTATTTCAGTCATACGCGATACGACCCAATCGCATCCGTATCTCAGCGAACCCAAAAAAATCTATAAAAAGCATGCCGCAACCTACCCGCCATCTAACTTTCATACTTGGGTTGTGCGTTCGGGAAATTCCAGTTCTCCTGCGCTGCGTTAGTACGAACGAGAGAGATTGAACTCCAAAATCATCGTCGCCACTCACCCACTGCTGTAGCCCTCCGTTTGGACTCGTCGTCCCAAAATCCCCCGACCCTTGCACCCCGCTGTCCACCGGCACGAAGATTGCATTCGCCTCGCCCCCGCCGTTATTACTGCCCATGTTGCCGAAGATGTCAAAGTCCTCTGCATTCCCACCGCCGCCATTCAGACTGCCCAGGATGCTATCAAAGTCGACATTCAGCCCGTCTAGCGTGCTCGTGCGCTGCAGCTGGCCATGCGGGCCCTGCGACAAGCGCGGGGTCTGGCCGACGTAGTTGGGGCTGGTGGACGAGAAGCTGGGCAGCGGCTGCAGCGTGGGGTGCTGCTGGGGCGCGAGGTTCTGGCGCTTCTTGTTGAAGCCCTTCATCACGTAGAAGGCCTCGAGGTTCTCCTTGACCGTCCACAGCAGGTCCGAGCACCGCTCGCGCACGCTGATGCCGTAGCAGTGCCCGAAGATATGGTCGATCATCGTCATCATGCGGTCCTTGCGCGGGAGATCGGGCGTGCGGTAGAGCTCGGTGAGGAGTAGCAGGACCGCGTGGTACTGCTGGTACGTCGTCGAGTACCAGGCCCAGGAGCTGAGCGACGGAAGCGTGTCGAGCGTGGCGCCGATTTCTAGCGTGGTCAGGGCCGCGGTGAGAAGCACGTCGCGCAGACGGTTCTCCGACTCTGACCGCGGTTGCAGAGACGTTTGCGGGAGATGCCGATACAGCAGCATCGAGTCGCAGCGCGACATGAGCAGGGTCGCAACGAGGCCTGCGTAGCGCTGAAGAGGGACTGTGGCGTCAAGGAACTGCAGGTACTTGCTCTGGATCTGGCGTTTCCGGGCCTCGACGCGAGCACGGAGGTCGTGCAGAGTGATGTGTTTGCGGTCCATCTCAATCCTGCCGCGGAAGATCAAGCGATGGATCTCGTTGCATTCGTATCGGATGAGTGAAAGTGTGACATCGGTCCAGCCATGCACCGACGTTGGGTTCTGCTGCCACTGCGAGCTACCAAACTCGAAGACGTCGTCGTCAACGTTGAGTGGCATAGCAATGTCCACATCGTCAGAGCGGATCGATGGATGAGGACCTTGCGCTTCCGCAGTCTTGAAGTCGAGGAAACAGATCTGATACCACAGCAGGGATCTGACATGGCGCTGCAGAGGGGTAAGGCTGGTCGCAGAGCTGTGACTTAGACGATGAATGCCTATGCACTGTGCCAGGCGGACAAGTGCGCCGACCACAACAGATGTTGCCCTGGAAATCTGCGCTCTACAAAGGGGGATCTGCCTACGTCAGCGCTAATTCGCAACAAAGAAAGACCGGTGCCATACCAGATAAATTGTCAGCGCCTGGAGCGTTCTGATATTTGACGTTTTCGCCCAATTGGCACGCAGGAGAGCTCGTTCAGTGGCCTTTTGTAGCCTCAAGAACAAATCCTCTTTGGTGATGCCGAATTGTGATTTTGCTTGCAGTGGCGAGACGGATGCAGCCGCTGCCATACAAACTGCCAAAATCAGAGCAGTACATGAGTTCTGGTTTGGGCTGCCAATTTCGACATTCATCCAGAATCGCTCGAAGAGCCGTTTGAAAGAAGGGATATGTAAGACGTGGGCCATAGGATCGACCGCGTCCAAGTATCGCTGGAAGAGCGCCTCTGCCTCCATCTTGGTGGGCAACTGCGGGGCACTGATATCGTTATTGCTGTGTGCAGATATCGAGCCGCCGAGCAGCAGATTTAACGCTGGCGCCAGAGACGGCATCTGCTCTGCTGACAGCAACGCGGACGACTGCGATTGCCTTTGACCCGCGACTGATGAAATTGAGGCATTGCGCTCCGCGACAAGCTTGCCCAGCTACACGTGACATTCAGCAACCACACCTGAAACGCCCTGCGGGGGCAGGTGGATGGAGCAGACAGTACCTCTTCAGCATATTGAGGGCGAAAAAAGCCAGTTACGTTTTCACAAATGATCATCCGTCCTATCCTGATGGTAAGGTCCGTCGCAATCTGGTCTTCGTCGTCATTCTCATCTTCGTACACGTCGTCCTGGGTCTCTTCAGGCTCCGCAGGGAGTTGCTCCCATGCATCTCCTCTATCAACTTCGACATCCTGCTGGTACTCCTGCCATTCGTAGTCGCGGGGCGGAGTTCCTGGCGTGGTAGTGTTGACAGAATTTGGATTCTCGTACGGGTCATGATCAGGCAAGCTGGTCGAGCTCTGCGTGCGCACCGGAATGTTCCTAGTCCAGTCCGGCACGGTAACATTGGAGCCCGACTTTGAAGCTGCGCGCTCTCTCTGCTCCCTCTCCTTCTTGCGCGCCGCGCTCTCTGGGACGGTAATGAAGATGCATTCGCGACCAAAGGCGGTGCAATTCTGGCAGGGGTGTGTTTTCGAGCATCGCGACTTCCGAGTTCGGCATTCGACACAAGAATTAATTGGGCGTGGATTTCTTCTGCGAACCACTCGAGACTGCAGTACTTGTCCTTGTTCTGGCATTGCTCATATGCTCCATCTCTTAAGCCATGGTCTAGGGAAAGTGTTGGGGGTCTGGAGGTTAAGTGGCACGACGGAAGCGTCTACCTAGTGGCTGATGATCACGCTAGAGCTGTGGGGTCGCAAATGGGATCGGTGCTGCGCGTTGCAAAGAAGCTACTCGCCGCCTGTCGGAGCGACGCAGGTACCACGATGCATATGTATACAGTTGACTATTTTCCACAGGCTAGCTCTACCGGGCATGACCCACGCGAACATGCGACGGGTCCTGTAGTCGCTATTTGCAGGAGCCTCATGCCCCCACCTTACTCACGACGGGTACAAAGCAACCCCGATTGGAGCAGCACACGACTGTCGTGTCCACAAATGTTATGGCAGACATCACAGTGCATATTCCAACATCACTTGAGGGATTTATGGCACCAGTTGCTGGGAACGTCGGCCGCGAGAGCCTGACGAGATGGTAAGATTAAGGCAAGCCAACCCGCGTTCTGCCGGACCGCCACGATTTCGAACAGCCAACACCAGAAGTCCGGGCTGCTAACCCGTCACGACACGACCTTTTCATCCGACTCCGACGAATTAACTGGACAAGACCCTTGGTAAATGGGCCGGGCGGCCGTGGGCCCAGCCAGCAGTGGCGAGGTCATTACCTGCCTACTTCCCGCCGTAACCGAGCAGCAGCTGAAGTGGCTGGAGGCTCAGGCCAAGACTCGACCGCATCCGCGACTTCTTCCAAGAAAGAGCTGCTGTTATGCACTGTAGTTCCTCCGAGAACGACACGAACGCCGGGAGAACTCGCGTTGACCTGCGCTACCATTTTGGCTTCTTCGTAGGTTGTCCCGCCTACCATAAACACGATTATGTCTTGAGGTTTGTCCTTGGTTGTCCCTCCTCCTTCCACGAACGGGTAGAGCTGCAGGCTTAGGCGCCCTTTAATCATGTCCTGCACTGTTGTTTCCAACCTAGGCGAGTGCTGGGTGTACACATTTTCGACACCCTTCAGGCCCTTGAACCGGTCCCTTGCACCGCCAAAGAATGAGCCTGGTTGGAAGAGTTCTGGCATGCCTCCTGTCGCAGCAGCAGATGGCAATGAGTCGTGGTATGTGAGTAATTGTGTGATCACGTTGATGCGATTCCGTGAAAGGCCTCCTGCAACGGCCAGCAAATCTAGTAACATGGCAGTTGAGTTGGAAGAGTTCTTGTGGTACCGCAGCGCGTAAATTGCAACGAGCCGCAGCTTGTTGTTTGCGGGGATTTTGGGGTCTTGTATGATCTTCTGTAGCGACTTGACGTCGTTTGAGTGATTGTCCTGGCACGCAAGACTCTGCTCCAGCTCGCTGACGTCCAATAAACTCTCTTCGCCAACTCTTCTGCTCAGCTCACCAACCAGGGTTACGTGCTTCGTGACGTTGCCTGATAGTTTGCGGAATTCTGGGAAGTCTTCGATAAAGCGTTTCATATCTGCGATTGAGTCGAGCTTCTGAGTGCCTTGTTGTCTGGAAGCGAACTGCTCAACATACTCCTTTGCGTTCTGACCCAGGTCTCCGAAGTTCAGGTACATGTTCTTCTTGAAAAACGGATCTTGATCTTGTGAAAGAACAATCTCCTTCATCTCTGGGCGTATCTCCGGCACGTCACGCAAGTCCACCCTGCCGTTACTGATGCCAAGTAGTTCGTGAACCATTGCTTGATAGGTCCATTGTGTGAGTAGAGGTGTAACTGGATCATCTCTGCGATCGACAATGAGCAAGATGGGTGGTGTATCAGTCTTCCTGAAATCAAACAACTGTTCCTCCTGAGTCATGTTGTATCGCACCTCAGTCGCTAACTTCTTCGCAAGAAGACTGTTCTTCTGGTATCGGATTAGCGGCTTCTTCTTTAGTGCAAGAAGTAGTGCCTGAACGGCTTCGGTTGATCGCTGCAGGGAATGCTGATTCCACGCATCTGGACTCGTACTCCAGACCCTGTGGTCGGGAAAGCTGAGGTTCAGAGACATGAGGTCTGGGTTGATAACGAAGAAGTCTGCGAAATGCTCTTGGATAGCGCGTACAACCTCATGGTCGTCTGCCTCCGCAAGTCGTTCTAATGAGGACTTTTTGATGACGTTGCTGAAATCTAAGCACGGTCAGACTGCCTCGATGCCCCAAAATCCTCAAACAACCTACATATGTTGTATTCGCCATATTTGGGTTCCCGAAGCTCCTCAATTAAGCTCTGTATGGACTCAGGCGACGGTCGTACGAAGCACAAGCAACGCAGATGCCGCATCTTCTCTCGATTCTGGTTCTCGATTCGACTGTCTACCTGTCAGATATGCCTGCTTGTGATTGCAGTGGGCGGAGTTACTCGGTGAGGTAGACTTCATGGGTAAGGAGGGCGGACTGAGTTGTCGCTGAGGATACAATCGATACCTGATCTCTGTTAGTATGTGATATCACAAGGTCTTGGTAGAGGAGACAAACCCACAGTCTCATTGTCGAGTAAGAGAATCTTCATCTTGGCCGCCGTTGTACCTGTCGCAGCGCTGTCTCCGACCGACACCATCTTGGTGATGTAGCCGGAGACGGCCTGCACGATGTCCATGCTAAAGGCTGTATTGCTGTGCCACGAGTATCGATTGTGTCTGCGTCTGGTTCTGGAGGCTGGTTTGATGTCTTCACCGAGTCGAATCTGTGTTGACGTAGCTGTGGGAACCGTCGCGGCACGTACACGAGATCGCCCGCGCGTGCTGCCGCCAAGCCAAGCCAGCAGCACTTGCAACACCGGCACAGTCCAGGCCTCGGAACCGGAACAGTGGAGGCTGTCCCTAGTGCGTCTGCATGTCGGAGACAATGCTTCCAGACGTTCTGTACGCACGCATCCCCCACTGCGGGGTCGGCCTCGTCTTGTGCCTCGGAGGACGTCATCTTGGGATGATTCAGAATTTCGCCCGATGACAGAGTCCGCACACCTATTACACAAGTGCATGTTCTTTTCGTCTGAGTATTTGCATTGTTATAGCTAGATTTCACACCGTGGTACCGCCACGACATCGATACTGCCGGAAGCACCTGTGCTGCCTGGCCCAGACATACACCCTCTCCTAAATACATAAACCCTACGTGTCCACGACAGCCTGGACAATCCGAGCCTCACTACCTATCTCACACATCGTAAAGTATCACTAAAGTTTTGTTACTTGACCGCCTTTATCAAGAATGACGAAGCTATTTATGTGAGGTCCATTGGAATCTCTCGCGAGAGCCTGTGACTAACAAGCCTATGGCACTGGAGCTACTGGCTACATTGGCGGTGACGCTCTGTACGCTATAGCGAACACGTTCCCAGATCTCGAGATCACTGCACTGGTTCGCAACAGCGACAAGGGCGCAAAGATCGCGTCTCAGTTTCCTAAAGCTCGCCTGGTCTACGGGGACCTTGACAGCACCGAGCTGCTCACTACTGAAGCGTCTGGGGCAAACATCGTTCTCCACTGCGCCGATTGTGACCATGTAGGTGCTGCCACAGCTCTGGTAGCTGGTCTCTCCAAAAGTGAAGTTCCTGGCCCAAGCTACTTCATACACACCTCGGGCACTGGAGTCCTATCATGGGCCGACCTTGAAGAGAAGAGCTACGGCCGCCATCGAGAGCACACCTATAATGACTGGGATGGTATCGAGGAAATTACTTCTCTCCCGGATGCAGCATTGCACCGCAATGTCGACAAGATAGTTCTAGGTGCAAGCAAGGGCGCAGGCGATGTCAAATCTGCGATTGTCTGTCCATGCTGTGTATATGGACCCGGGCGTGGACCGGACAATCGGGAGAGCGTTCAGGTCTACAACTACTCTGGGACCACACTGAAGCGCGGCAAAGGCTTCGTTATCAACGAGGGAACTAATGTCTGGGGTGAATCCCATGTTCAAGATCTGAGCAACATCTTCCTGGCGTTGGTCGCCGCCGCCATGGAACCGGATGGCGGTAAAGCGACATGGAATGACGAAGGCTACTACTTCTCTGAGACCGGTAACTTCGCCTGGGGTGATATTGGCAGGGCCATCGCGAAGATTGCACACGAAAAGAAATTCATTGATACGGCTGAAGTCGACACAATCACCGCCGACGAGGCGGATGGACTAACACCAATACCGGGCAGCTACTTATGGGGAACCAACTCTCGATGCAAGGCCCAGCGTGCAAGCAAGGTGTTGGGTTGGACACCAAAGCAGCAGAGTATGATGGCTCTGCTGCCTGATATTGTGGGAGGTGAAGCTAGAAAGCAGGGGTTGATCAAAGGCCACGCCGTGAAGGCTGCTGGAGACGCATAGAAGGAGATCTTCTGAATGTGGGAGTAACAAGGCATGCACGTGCGCGTGGTTACTCCGCAATTTTGATTGGATTCAAATTTGGTCGTAATGAAAGAAAGGCGTATTAGTCTGTGTATTGAAGAAATTTTGAATTTGATAATTATACGTTAGCAAGTGCCATACCACATCCCATCCAACACTACAGCTTCTGAGCACAGCAATCTTCGATTTTGGGAACCAGTACACTGGCCTGATTCTTTTGGCTGGGGAAATCGATAGCAGGATTCCTGTCAAAGAAATCACTGGGCTTGTAGTGCAGTTGATAGATCTCGCACGGCATGACTGGCCAGTCCTCAACACGCGGATTGTGAGTAAGGCCAAACACGTTCCAGACGACCAGATCCTCGTTCGTCACATCTTCTTTCCGCGCGGCCATATCGTGTACACCGCCCTGTTCCAGTTGACTCTGCAATGTAAAGCGACCAGCAGCATAAAGCTCGTCATCGTGGTATTTAGTCACCCAGACATGATGGTTTGTGAACAGTGCCCGCTGAGCCTGAATCGAACCTGGTGCTGCGAGTAACTTTTGTGTAGGGAGAGGTGTAAACTTGTAACCCACTGGGTTGCCGCTGTGAGGATTTCTCTTGTCCTGGTTGATGATTTTGAACACTCGGTGATCCATAGGGTTCGCATCAAGACCGACAGAGCGATTGACTACAGTCTTGCGTATCTCGTAGAAATTGCCGTTGGGGTTTGTTTCCTTATCCCATGGTGCAGGAAGTGATTCCTCGTAAGTGACGGTGTTCTTATGACCGTCGATGGCAGGATCGAAGCGCGCGGCAAAAATGTGCTGATGATTCTGTGCGAGGACTCCGCCGGAAACCACGTTCCCGTACAGAGATGTTTTTCCGGGGTCGATGTTGACAGTCGAGACGATACCGGTAGCGCGGACCTCAAGGGTGATGCCCCCTGCCGTGTCGAGCTTGTAAGCAAATACATACTCGTAGTTTGCTAAAGTGATGATAAATTGTACGACGAGCTCGCGCATTCGTGTGACAACTGCACGGCCAGTCCTCCAATTCGTATGTTTCCAGCCGATACCGTTATCTTGCTCGTGCAGACAAATGACATTAGGGTGAGCTTTGGGCTCGCCGTCATTGCCGACGATAACGGCATCAAAGTACTTGATGACACCTAGGCAGTCGCAGCCAAGCGAGAGATTGTTTGCGCAATTGCCAGCGCCTCCGTCACCAAAGTCAAAGGCCTGCTTGCGATGGAATGGAGGGCGTGCGTCGGCGTATGGAACAGTCATCTCACTGATGCTCATGCGGTACATGATGCTCCGACCTTCGTAGCGCACATCGTGTAGAACAGCACCCTCACGAGGGTTGAACGACACGCGGAAAGCCCATTTTTGCCACTCAACAAGCGACTCATCTGTGACCTTGAATGAAGGGCCCTCTGGTTGTGTGATGTTGATGGGCTTCACGTCCTTCCGCGTGCCGCCCTCGACAAGCTCAGGGACGTACTCTGCAGATTGGCAATGATCAAGGACGCGTGGTGAGTGTGTCTTTCCGGTAAGGCTGTCACTCTTTCCACCAGTTGCTAGACGATCAAGCCGAACAATTTCCTTCTTGTGAGCATCCATAACCGGGATGAGGGGAAGCGGATATGCGTAGAAATTGGAGTCAGGGTTGCCATTGCGGGTGTCTTGAGCGAAGCACAAGCCTTGGAAATATCTGCGGTTCTCTGCGCCGAAGTCGAGTCCGCCATATGGCCTTGTCTTTATCAGCATATTTCATAAACATCACATTGGTTGACTGACCATGGTTCGACCACAAGCTCAAATCCTTCAGGAAGTTGAAATTCTGCGATGGCATCCTGGAATTCCTTGCTCTTTTTGCAAGCGTCGACTAACTCCTGAAATTCCCATAGGGTCAAGCTTGCCTGACCTTTCTCCTTCCCGACGACCTCGTGCCTTACACGCTTCTTCTGATCTACATCGATAATCGACTCGTTGTACTCCGGAATGCGGTCGTCTCCGATGACATCATACATGACCTTGGCCAATCTTGACGGTCTCTTCGATGATGGCGACTGGCCAGGTTTTGCTGCGTGCTCAGCTTCGAGGAACTCCTTCATCAGCTCCTTCTCTGGTTCTTGAAGGAAAATCTCTCGGAAATTGACCAGCACATCTTTATGCAGCGAGAGAACAGTGTCACGGGCGGCACGCGTCTCCTCAGCATTGAGGTTTTTGAAGGGATGGGGCGCCATTGCGGCTGATGGGAAGGTGGTCGTGGATTATATCGAACACTCGGCTCCTGTAGTGATCACAATGTGTAATGGTCCTCGCGGAAAAGAAGTGATCGATGCGAGTGAAGTAGTCGTATAATGGGCCAGATAGGAGGGAGGCATTCACGCTGTTATATACCATATACGGAATCTTACTAGAGCGGCGCGAAAGCTGTTCCATCAATGTGGAGTCGACAACGTGACGATGGCGGGGCCTACAGAGCGGCTTCAGAGTGCGGAGGGATGCCGCGTGTACTTTCTCAGTACAGATAAGCTCTGTTAAAGGAAAGCTTGCGATTGGCCAATGAAAGACATGTACACGATAACGTTCATCTTGCATGAAATCCCGCAGATCTTTTTGAAGTGCTTCGGAAACATAAAGGTGGTAATCCAAGGCGCGTTGGTGCAATGTCGTCTCGGCAGGACATTCCGGAAATGGCTAAGCGTTCCTCCACAGTGAGGTTCCAAGAACACCTTCAACTGCAAACGGTATCTACCGACCTTGTCACTACCTGGCTGAATTGTTATCAAATCTCATATCTTCGGGTTAGATAGAGCGTGCAACATAATGTGTTTACGGTCTCATAGGAACGCTTTCCGGTGGAAAGAACGTTACCATCGTTGATGCGGAATTAGAGCCGCTCTAGTCTAGATTCGGTCACCAGCATTACACCTACTCTTCGTTCGCAAGTTAAGAATATTTACGTAGCGAGTTTGGGTACTCGAGTCTTGTAGCGAGTATCGTTGGATAGCGTACATGGTGCAAGAGCGTGGTGATGCACAGGAATTACATAGAGTCTCCTAGCCATCCTATGTTGTAAAAAGTACGCCAGGGGCTACTTGATGCAATTCAGATCGATGAGATTACCCCGAGTTCCTGACCTATTTGCTTACTGGGGCATGCATGTCAAGATGCGCGGCTGATAGCAAACGTTCGAGCAGAACGGAGCCCGCGGCCGGAGCCCGCGGCCGGAGCTTCCCATCATGCACAACATGTAAAGTCGCTTCCACGGTGGGAATGGATCAGAACGACGTTTGATTACAATTCAGTGACTATCAAGACGGGCAAATATGAACTACCTAACCGAGGCATTAATGAGGGGTCTTTGACTTTTAGATAAGTTCGTTCATTTGGTCCATAAATCCGCCATTTCTTCTGATCAGCACTGTCCTACTGATCACAACATTCGACTTTTGCACATAGTTAATACCAATAAGTCGGACATGTGTTTGTAGCGAGCTTAGAGAATAAATTATCAAAACCATACGCAAAGCTCTTTAACATGTGTAGGTCTGCGTTTGAGGCTCGACATACCAAGTGGAGCTCCTTTCAGTTTAGACAAGGCCTACTTATTCGTTCATTACCGTCTGTTCCTTTGAGCCTTCTTCCTCTATGCTTGGCGTTACGTCTTTAACCATATTGTATCTCAACACAGATCTTGAGGTTCATACTGGGGGCTCACAAGAAGTGCCGCCGCGGTTTTCGCTGAGTCTCACGTTGCAAGTTCAGTTCGGTAAGTAAGCCCGAGGGAATTTGATTGAAAATCTTGAAAGGGCCACATTGTAAAGAGCCCCGATGCACTTGGTGACGTAGACGTAGAAGAGCTCTCTGCTATATGGAAAGGGTGATTCCTCGTTACGGATGATTTTTTTACGAAATCTTCACATCGTTTGTGAAAGTAAATAGGTAGACACCCAATCGTGGCTGCATTAGTATGTTGATGTGATCGCTTACTACCAGGTAACGCTGCACAATTTCGGCTGGTCCCGGATTCGGTACCTACTGTTAGGTACGTACTTACCATAGCGTCGGTTCTTGCAGACTTACAGATGAGCTAGTTGGGCGCTTGTTGGAGCAACACCTAGGTACTAGGCAGGCTCGCTTCCGTAAGTCTGCAAGGGAAGATTTTTAGCCACTCTTGTCCAAATTTTGAATTGAATTTTGTCTCACAAATTGAATGTAGGTTCCGATTGTGAAGACGTCATACTTCGTGGAGCCTACTAGCAATTAAACATCCGGGCCTCGGAACTTCGACACGCCCAACGTCGCTCCGTGCACTGCCACGCACCAGCCTCTCGACTTTCAAACCCTTGCCCGCTCCAATGCACGCGCCAACTCGACATCTGCCAACGACGTTCCTACGGTCTGTGCTGTAGGATAACTTGCTTTGCTTGCGCGTGCCCGGACCTTCGTTCTTCACCGCGAATTGAAGCCATGTTTTCGTAGTGGTATCAACGTCTTCACTGAACAACGCATGATTCTGACACTGCAAGTCTACAGCAATCTACTTCTTATCCATTACATCAATACTACGTATCATTCAATCCTCTAGATATGGCTTTCTCAGGCCGGACGCCTGAATCTCTGATCCCTAGATCAGACTCCAGGAACCCGGCGACAACTTGCAAAGGCATCACTAAGTCCGGCCGACCGTGTAGACGACCAATTGATGCCAAAGCGAGCGACGATGACGGCGTTCTCGCAGTCGTTTCAGTTCCAGGTGGTGATAGTGACAGCGAGGACATTGGTGCTGCTGCGTACTTTTGCTGGCAACACAAGGATCAGGCCGAGCAGCTAGCAGCCAACAAGAGCAACGGCCCAGAGACACAGCTTTACCCCCTCATGGAACGGACTAGTATAGACACCCTGGTGCAACGCTTAGGAGTTCTAGAAGTTAATGACACCACACAAGCGCCAAGCAGAAAAGGGAAAGGTCCGAGACGGATCAACCGTCCCCCAACCTGGGATCGTGTTGAAGGACCTTTGATATCAGTTCCGAGCGACGTCATGGCAGCGCAAAAGAAACGTAGAGACGGTCAGCATACAAACCCATCATCACGAAGGAAGAAGCCAAGCTTTTGGGCATCTTTATGCTGCGGCGCTGCAGATGATGACGACACCGGCTACCAGTCCAACTCTACTTACGCAGCACCCGCTCCACGGGTGTCCTCTGAAGTTCGGCCAGCCCATGGCCGACCGTCAAGCGCGAATCCAAGGCCAACTTCAACCTATCAACAAACGCCCGGCCGTAAACCATCATCTTCAACTGGTGAGAATGCTTCGGACACCACGAAAATGCTGAGGTACATCCCACAAGACGTGTCTCCGCAACTGGCTTCGACTTTGCTTGCTGAGTTATCTAAACCTATCTCGCCGCACGACGATGAGGGTTACATATACATCTTCTGGCTGACACCTGAAGCCTCTGGTCCTGTACCTTCGTCAGCAGCTTCCACACTCCTTACTCCACCATCGCAACCCACTCAGGCGCGACGCACTTCAGACGTAATGCGACAATACTCTACAAAGCAGACGTCTCAATCACGAACACCTTCTACGCGCCAAGATCCTGGGGATAGCAACGCGGCCAGTAGAGCAGAAGAAGGAAAAAGCACAATCCTACTGAAGATCGGACGCGCAAACAACGTGCATCGTCGCATGAATGAGTGGACACGTCAGTGCGGTTACTCTCTATCCCTTGTCCGCTTTTATCCGCACGTCTCATCCTCGACTCCTACACCTTCGCCACAAGTGTCACCTGCAGCTTCCCGTCGCCAATCTGCGCAAAATGTGGATCAAAGCCGACGCGCATCTGATGCTGGGACTGTGCGGAAGGTGCCGACTGTTATGCGTGTGGAGCGCATGATCCATCTCGAGCTTGCACAGCAGCGGGTCATGAAGAAGTGTGAGGCGTGTGGAAAGCAGCATCAGGAGTGGTTCGAGGTGGAAGCGACCAGGGACGGGATAAAGAAGATCGATCAAGTAATCAAGCGGTGGGTTGAGTGGGCTGAGCGAGCTAATGAGGATCGCACAGCTTCTAGCCATTAGAGAGCCTAATACCTGCCATTCTCATGAACCTGGGAGGTGTAGGTAAGACAACCGGTTTATTGTTAATATAGCAAAAGGCGGCGTTGCTACCGTTTTTCGAGTGAGATGTCTTATTTATTTCTTGCTTTTCTGAGGCAAAGGTAACTTGTGGAAGCACAATGCAAAATCGACAATAGTACATTAGTCGCAACTAGGCAACCACGCCCACACCACAGACATGGGCTACCACATTATTACACTACGATCTGGCAGAGCAGCAAAATGACTTGTACAATTGGCATTAATATACACTATTTGCGTATGTTTGCTGCCAAAACACTAGTGCGTCGTAGCTTCCTCTCTCCACTATTGTAGCCTCCCGATATCCAACCCTTCGCAGAAAGGCAAAACAATCGGCAAAAAGAATGACTGACATACAACAGTGGGGATTCCCCAGTGGTCACCCACCTGAGTACTAATCCACCGGTATGTTGCTTAAATAGGGCTGAGCGAACGGGAAGCCTTGTTTTCAACGTCCTATGGTCGTATGTGAAATAATCGGGCGTATTTGTGTAATATATCGTCACACATATCCTCAGAACGTAGCACAGTATTTTCAATCTGAGTTACATCGTTGCAATCTTCCTATCCGCAATGACTCGGGAAGAAAGTCCAATAATACCGAAATCTGAGTAGGGTGGCATCGCAGCATGTTGCTGTGGTCATGTCCGACCGCCAAAATCTGTGATAACATTCGTTGTACTTATCTAATCAAGTACTATCTACTGTCAATCCAGCAAGCATTTATCGAATCCGAGCTGATACTCTACAAGGAGCTCTATCATGGCTGACGAACCTGCAAAGCCATATGGTTCTATCATCTACCCGGGCGGCGACCCCAGTAATGCTGCTCGTTGGAAACAACGTATGGCTTGCTTGAAGCATCAACTGTGGAGAGGGCTGAGTGAAGCGGAGAACAGCCAGCTTGACTGTCGAATTGACTGGGCAGCCATAGTACAGTCTGTTGAGGTGTTGTACACAGGTTCGTATCCTTCGACTGACCCGGCTCGGTTTCCACTAGCTTCACGATACACCAAAATATGTTCAAGTCTTAGCAAGCTAGGTGAGCTTACTATTCTGCTCTTGCTAGAATGAGTCAAAATCCAAAGAAGGTGTATTGAAACTGAGACAGGCGCTCGTACCCGCCAGTCAACGGACTTATACAAGTGTGAATCGCTGCATCGGAGTCCCGCGTGGCAACGAAGATGTCTGCCCATTATAGAACATCCCAATACGTCTGTACGCTTTCTCGTTGTCCTCGGGCTGGGGGTGCAATTCCACGACTCCAAGTCCGATGTCATGTGCGTTGTTATATGGTTCTTCCGAGCCAATGATCAGCATCCAAACTTTGTCGAGGCCCTCAGGTATGGGATCATCGTCGAAAACGAATGTGGCAGAATATCCCCTTACACTCGCGAGGTAGAGTACTCCAAGTACCTGTGCTGATGATGAAGCGTTTTCCTTGATATCTGACATTTTGACTTCTTCAGCAACACATTCCAGAGTAAGACTCGCGGACTTAACCGCTCCAAACGGTAGTGCAGGATCCACAAGTGCAACATCACATGCGATGAAGCGCGAACAGAGATCGTCGCTTGACTCTGAGCCCCTGGCGTTATATCGAACGCGATGACTACGCGAAGCCCAGGACCAGGACGGCGCGACGTAGCTATCGTAAGCCTTGCGTGGAGAAATAAATCTCGGTACACGCCACATTAGATCGATCAGTATTGACTTAGACCACAACCCGGCATGATACGTGCCCAGATCTACTCGCTCGGCATATGTAGCCACAATTCCTGACAGCGCAGGTAGCTTGTCTTCGGAAAAGGCAAGCGACCTTTGTGTGTACTCTGCAACGGTGTCGCACCACTCGTCTTGGACTTTGTACGAGTCAGTATCTTTGGATTCCGCAAACGCTGTCCATGTCGTGTCGATCGAGGACAGTGATTTGGAAAAGCTGGCGATGACTCCACCATCTGCTCGAATTGGGTGTTGGCAACACCTAAACGATGGTGGTTGACCCCCAGCGAAGAACATCAGAACGCGAGGGCTAAGTAGGGATTCTTGGAGAGTCCAGGCTCGGCTCAGAAGGGGCTCCTCGAAGAGATTGCGCTCTTTGAGGTCGCTCTGTCTTTCCAAGATGACAGTGCGATGACTGTCCATGTCTTCTATCCTGAAGTTGCGTGTGACCGTGCCACTTTCAGAACATCCGTTGGCTTCTAAGAATCCCTCACTTGCTGCTTGAGACGACATAGCACATATCGTGCAGACCCCACCGGCATAAATGGAAGCCATCTTTGCCAGCTCAACAGACTTTGACTGTGCAGAGTCTTGCACGATGCAGAGAGAGTCCGTCCAGAGATATTCGAAGCCAAGGCTCCTTGTTGTGATGATAGCATCAACAATCGTTGCTGGAAGCGTTTTGGTGTCGATATCTTGGAGGTATGTGGCTAATCGAGCACGCGTAGTCATTTGCGGTTGCGGTCCACCCCAGCAATAACTGAGACAAACATAGCGAAGTGGCCGAACTGAGATCTCTGGTACCGATAGAAGGCGTACTGAAAGCGACTCCGCCGGTCCAGAGATATGTAAGAGCATAGAAGGGAGTGGACCTTCGGATTGTTGCGAGCATAATGGATGCTCACCGAGACACTCGTCTATGAAAGTACGAAGAACCCTTATGCTTCGGCTGATACTCTGTGTCCAATGTCGGGCCTCGGTATTTGCTGCATTTACATCTTGCGAATGAACTCCGTGATTCGGTACATGTGTACTAGTAGCTCCAGGTTGAGCGAAGCGTGAGTCAACTGGATAAGTTCGAAGTTGCACACGAGTAGACTTGTGTGGTACATCTGGATACTCGATTTTGATGGTCGACCATTCCCAGGCGGGTCGAAGGTTAAGACTGAAATGGAAGCTCCGGCTTGCTTGATCAGCTGTTACAGCTCTTTGTTCATCATGATCGGCTTGTGATGTTGGACTCGAAAATGATGGCTCTTGTCCCTCTTGGGCCTCAAGAAGCGAGCAAAGAATGCATCCATTTTTGACACCGTCATCAACCTGACCAATTCTGTAAGTGAACTTCCGATGTAGGTTCGAAATATACGATCGATTTCCGTAGAATGCTAGTACATCCATGCTCTCATTGAACACTCCTTCGGTCTTATGACCGTATGTTTGATCGTAGATTGCTCTGATTGTCTTGGCATCAAACACATTTGCTCGACACGTCCTGCAGAGCTCATGGGCTCGTGTCTCAGAAACAAGTCCTGCGACATGTCCGGAAATAGTGGTCTGTGTAATCAGTCTGATAACAGGCTTGGGGGTCTCTCTGGAGACCTACCAGAGCTTGTAGAGAAGATGACAGCGATGGTACACAAGGATCACAAACAAAGGTTGAGACTTCAGCTGGCTTGCGGATCGGTTGTGTTGATTGCTGATCCATCGCATCATGCTACGGGAGACGTGGTAGGGTTGCGCTGGGGTTTGTCGTGACAAACACAAGTTGTGTGCGGGGTGAGGTTCAGCTGCAGCGATGTTCTCAGCCGCACCTGAGCGTGCAACTACTAGGTAGTAGTCCAAATTTGGAATATGACCATTTACCCAGCACACAGATACCAACTACATAATATGCTACGAACCTTTTGCTCATCATTCCTGAAGCACACTTCAATCTCTTCTTCCAACAACCACATCTATGGATCCTCGCAGGTATAGATCTTGTGTTCTGTAGAAGCGGAAATAAACAGACTGGAAGATAGATTTGGGGTACCCGGGGTGGATAGAGTTTAAAGTTAGGGTTGCATGTAACTACTGTAAGCGGTGGATATGCTAGCATGGGTTAGGATTAGGTTGCCATACAGCCAAAGTACCTATAATCTTACTGTGTACTAATGTATGTAAGGAAGTTCAAGAGATTGAAACTTGAAAGGAGGAACATAGTGGTGCAAACATTGGACGCTTCTTAGCGCTTCTTATACAATCCTTTTGTTAAAAATTTCGAATCTAGTGTCGTTAGCCTCGAGTTTCAAGCGCTCACCTATACCTGGGAGATGAAGCATCAGCACCTGATGTGTACATCAAAAGCCATGATCGTCAGGGTTGGTTCTTAATTCGACAGAATATGTGTTGATCAGCCAGCGTCACAAGATTCATCAATCAAGATGACTATAGATAGATCAATTCTGTATTGATTAAGAAGGCACGAGGGAAAAAGGATACCAGATTAACCTTATATCTGAAAGACAAGTGTGCGCCACGAAGGTGATTCTTTGGCTTGGACCTACTTTGTAGGAAGTGGTGAAGCAATGGACTTCATTGGCCTTATAACGCACCAGACACCGAACTTCAAGGGGTCTATTAAGAACGCGGAAGACTGGGCCTATCGGGGAATTCAAGATCACCTACAGGCATTGATCAGCATTACAAAAGCTTCTGCTTGGTCCCGGTTGTGGATTGTCCAAGAACTTATGCTTGAGTCTCCCTTGCATCTAAGGAGTAAAACGTTACGTTTTACCTTCGAGGTCACACCAGCTTTTCAGGGGGCCATAAACCGTTGCCTCAGTGAGGGGCGATGCGGAATGACTGTCAGCAAGTGAAAGACACATCCATGGGTGACTATACACAGCTATCTTGGCATCAAGACTACACATCATGCGGAAGGTGAGGCTGATAAAACTTGGATTGTGCAGAGGCCTTAAGTGGAAGTCGATTTTACTGATTCCGTTACGGTCGCGAGCTCCGCTCCTGTCGCACATGGCCTGCGCCGCTCATACCCTCTGCCAGACTGTGGGCAGCAATGCAAGCTACCTAGGTACAAGGCTGTGACCTCTTGATGGCCAGTGAGCTTTTTACTATAGGTTTCAGCCTTGCCTGTGTTGCACAAAGTGATCACCAATCTAGCAGCTGACATCCATCGACCGACTTATTGTACACGAGTATGCATATAGTGCTGACCTGCGTACGTTATCTGTGCATATAACTTATCGTACAGATTATGTTCCGACGACACAACCACTCGACCACGCTGGCAGTAACGATCCGATAAAACATCCTGAACACCAGCACACGGATAGTCTGCCACCTACAAACGTAACAATGAAGAGCTTTCGAAGTTCTGACGACATCAGTTCGTTGCATGCGAACGAAGCGAGAGTTGAGCTAGACCATTTTGCTCGCGGTAGTTCACTGCCGGCCAACGAAGAGTGGACGGAACAACCACTACTCAATTATGGCGAAATCGAGATGAATGAGGCACCTCAACACCCTCACCCGAATATCCTCTTGCCAGATATCGAAGCACAGGCAACGGAAAGACAAGACCCCAGTGACACCAGGAGGACGGTCATCGCTTCACCAGCCGTCCAGTCTAAGGAGCACTTTCCAACAGTACTCAGTCGCATCGAGATCAAATGTAAGCAATTCTCTCATTATATGAGTCGTGTTGGGTCAAAGAGCTGGACGGTGGAGATCTGCAGTTACTTCATCGCGATCCTGGCCCTTGCTGGACTTGTCGCAACGCTCTCAGCGCATCAAAGCAAGCCGCTCCCTCAATGGCCACAGCTAGTCACGATAAACTCAATCATATCTTTGCTCTCCTTGATCATGAGAGCCTGTGTAGGGATTGTTCTCGCAGAAGGTAGGGCGTCCTCATCTGAATGCAGATGTGACACCAATGCTAACTATCAAAGGCATCAGCCAGTGCAAGTGGAATTGGTATAGGAAACAAAAGAAACTGGATCATATTGAGCGATTGGACTCTGCCAGCCGTGGTTCTTGGGGCTCATTTACTTTGCTGTTCTACTTCAGACTAAGGCAAGCATAGTAAGTAACAATAACCTTTGGCTTTAACAGATTTAGCTAACTTGTAAGTTATCTTGCAGCTATGGGCGCAGTTAACGCTCATGGCTTCGCTCACCGGCTTCTTCGCGCAACAGCTTGTCTAATTCCAGGATTGTCTTGAACAAGACACTGCTGCGTTAGTGAGTATATCAAGAACTAGTTCTTATTCCCGTATAGGAGGGTTTCTTCAATACAACGTGCCTGTTGACTACGCTCCAATGGTCGCTGCAACAAACGTTGGCATACTTTAAAGCCCAGGCGACTTAACAAGCGCACTTTCCTCTGGGTGCAGCACTGGCAACTGTACTTTCTCCGATAATGGCAGTCCTGCGTTCTCTACTTTAGCCATCAGTTACTTTTGCGAGGATATTACTACGCAAATCCATATTGTAAACGAAACTGAGGTTGAAAGTTCCAACCCATACACGCAAGTGTTCTTGGGGTTGGACTATGGCCAAGACTAGACCTTCGAATGGTTAAAAGAGCAGGGTGGACCTGTGGTCTCATCATGGGTCACTGCACCACTAAAAACGTCTGATTTGGTTGCAATGTACTTCTTATTCAGATCGCACTGGAACAACACAGACTGGAAAGTTTCAAGATGCTCGCTTTTCCCAACTATCAACACTTACACGGCCAACATAACAAATGCCGTTCTTGAGGAGAGTCTGATTAGTGCTGTTACTCCTGAAAGGATTGCCTTTTTTAGTTTAATGAATCTCCTATTTATGACAAAGATTTCGGCAGTTTAGTCTTCTCGTTTGATCACAGAATGACTACAAGCTACACAATACGAAACGGCGTGCGTGAGTCGTGCGAAGGCTCTAAAACTCCTAAATCCGGACTAACTCGATTCCCAAAGCTCAGCGACAACGCAACTTACGTCAATCTCACAGGTCATACAAATCCAAGCGCAGGATGGAAGTGGTGGTACTTCCGAAAGGACTGCGACTGGTCTATAAGTACATTGTCCCAGATGGCGATGGTTAGTACCCTGGAGCAGGTGTTCGACAAACAGGAGGCTTCCATAGGGTGCGACGGCGGCGTTTTCAGATCAGCTCACCTACGCGTACTATTCCAAGATGGCAACATTACAGTCAAAAGCATTGATGAGCGTATCAAAGGGCTAGCGACCGCAATTACTACCGTAATCCGTACAAGTGCAATACCAATTAGAGGTAGAGATGGCACTGTGATGGTAGAGGCCGATGAGAACGCCACAGGAACCGTATGGAACAACGCAACTTGCATCTACATTAGGTGGTCTTGGATCTCATTCCCATGTATCATGATCAGCTTCACAGGCTTGTTCCTCTTGCTAGTCGCTTTTGAGAATCGCGACATCGAGTCAGATCGACTCTGGAAAAGCTCGTTCCTTGCTGCACTTTTTTGCGAAGTGGAAGTGCCCCAGAAACCGGCTGGGAAAGAGGAGATGAAGGCTATGGCAAAGTCAACGAGTGTCAGCCTGGAGGATAGGAGAGCGACGTTGAGATTTGTCTCAGGCTAGCTTTTTGATAATGTCTCTTTTCCTCAAGCGGGTAGTTGGTAGGGGAAAGTAGCAGAAACACCTTATAAAATCGAACTGGAGAAAATACCGCAGCCCCCGCAAAGCACTAAGACATACGTGACAAAACCATTCGATAACAGCTGGTCTGCGTGATAGAAGCGGAGCCAATGTGGGGACTAGAAACCCGTTGTGCTCGCGACTGTGTGTTTCTAGTACTGGAAGAAACTATCTTTCAGAAAAGTACACTGCCTCATCTATATGTCACTTAGATTTCGCGTCTTGAGCGGTGTCCATTAAGGTTGGCTCATGATCCGGCTACTGCGCTCGGTAGCATCACTCTGGCTGCCTCAAACAAAGCCTTGTTGCCTTTCCTTCGTGGTCTCAGCTGCGCAACTGAACGAGAGCTCAAGCTTACACTCCACAGCAGGTAGTATTTTACAACGCTAGCTCAGCTTCACGGGACTGGAGATCATGGATAGCAAACAAATTTTGGTCAGTTTCATTTCGACTACCGACTTTTGCATGACACTAGGTCGTCATAGCCGCCACCTGAAGTGACAGATACGTGTTGGCATTGGTCTGGAGGTCGGTAAGTGTGTTAGTCATGGCCGTGATGACGGTCGGGGAGTGTGTAAGTGCAGCCACAGGACTGGCCCAGTAGAGGAGCTCCTCGCTAACGTACGTCCCGAACGTGTCGCGGATTCTGTCCACCTGCCACGCGAGGTAGTCCGGCATGATCTGTTCCCAGGCGTCTTGGAAGTCGTAGGTGATGCCCTGGGTCGCGGCGTAGCGGGTAAGGTCGCCGAACAGGGTCGCAATGTTGTTGAAGGTCGACGAGAAGGCAGTCACGACGAGGCTCTCGCCCCGGTAGTTGTGCATGTCGACGATGTCGAGCAGGATCCCGACCCGGTCCTGCGCGTTGTAGCCGTTCCAGTTGGACCGCGACACAAAGTCCAGCCCCGCGACCATGTACTCCTTGTACACGTTGAAGTCGCGGTCGCAGACCTGCAGGTTCTCAATGAAGCGGTTCTGCAGGCCTGCGTCGGCAGTCCGGCCGAGCAGGCCGGTGAAGAAGTCGTTGATGTTGCCGACCCAATTATGCGTGAACTGTAGGCTCGTGTAGGTGGCGCTCGGCCAGTTCTGCTGGAAGATGCCGTTGGCGCCGAAGACCTGGGCGAACGGCACGGCGCCGGACCGGAGCGCGGTACCCCCGGGCGTCTGCCCGGCCGCCATGTACTCGAGCGCGTTACGGAACTCCTGCTTCTCCAACACGTGCTCCGTCACCCAGTCCGTCGAGGGCGCCAGCGTGCTCAGGCCAGTCAGGCCCACCGCCGCGCAGAGGCCCTGCTGCGCCACCGTCCACGCCTTGCCTGTCGTCCGGATGATGCTCGACGCGCCCGGGTGCGTCTGCACCCAGATGCTCGACTTTTGGCCCTGAGGACCGCATAACGCCATGGCGACTCGATCCCGGGCGCCACGTTTGTCCAGATCACGGGTGTCGAGGAGCTCGAATGTCTCCATATAGGCCAGCTCTTCGCTGGTTGCCCCTCTCGCCAGGAATACCAGAGACGAGTTTGAAGATTCGATGCCCTGGTCTCTCCCCCGGAGGAGGCGGGTGGTATCTGTGGTCCCACATTCTCCGTCAAATTTGTGTTCCTCCTCGAAAACGTTGGGAAGGTTACTTTCTTCCTCTGGGCCGCTCTCGAGCTGATCGAGGTGGCTGGGTCCGTAGCAGAGCTTGACGTCAGGCACTTCCGGCACGGGTGGCTTGTTTGGATCAGAACAGCAGAAGTAGGAGTAGGTGCCCGACCGGCAGCCCCAGCCGTCGGTGGCTACGGTCGTCTCTCCGGGCTCGCAGCCTGTCTTGCATTCCGTCGAGAAGTCAAAGAAGAGGTTTCCAATGGGCCCGACGAGCAGTTTTTCCCACTGCACCCATGTGGTGTCTCCAGCCCGCCTATTACGGACATGTTGAGTTAGTATGTGGTGACGGAGGAGCCGAAAAGGAGTCGGTCATTTGATTTTGGGAAAACTCACCATTTGCAACCCGTCCATGGGATTGGGTCTTCGCAACATAAACTCTTGAACCCTCCGTTATAGGAGCAGCTTTGCTGGCCTCCTTGGCCTTGCTTTGCCTTGGTGAGTTCCTTGGGCTTGCTGCTGTCGTCGCCGCAGCCGTACGACTGGAACGAGAAGGCGCCTCCTAGCGGACCGAACAGGGAAGGGACAAAGGACTTGAGGGTGCAGATGGGCGCGGCGCCGAACCACTTGCAGGCGTCGAGCACGTCGGTCGAGTCCGTCTTGGTGCAGCAGAGCGACTTGTGGCCGGTCCAGCAGCCGTCAGTGCTGGCCGAGACCTCGATCTCGTCGTCGCCGCACTGGTTGCTGGGGAGCAAGCCGCAGAACTTGGGGCTGCCCTTCCACTTGCACGTGGGCGGGTTCTTGGACGGGCAGCAGAAGTTGCGCTTGCCCTCGGTACAGCCAAGCTCGATGCCGAGCGGGTTCTTGTTGCTCGACGACTCGGACACTGGGATCAGCCCGGACGGGCAGTTGGCTCCGCACTCGCCCCAGACGCACTGGCTCGGGTCGTTCTTCGCCGTCACTGCCAGCGCCGACACCGACAGGTCCGTCTTGCCCGCCGCCTTGGCCAGCGCCCGGATCGCCGTGCCCTGGTTGTCGTCGGTCGATGCAGCCCAGACCATGACGCCGCCGAGGCACAGCTCGTTGGCGAAGTCCATCTTGGCCTGGAGCGTCTCCTCGTCATCGTACGAGACCCACTGGTTGGTGTCCCACGTCACCATCTTGACCCCGGCCTTCTCGTCGTGCACCACGTCCGCGCCCGCGTCGACGATCTCTTTGATCTCAGAGAACATCAGACTGCCGGCCGACGCGGAGCACTTGCCCGGATTGCCGCCCGCTGAGAAGCCGCAGCCGGGCGTCTTGCAGGAGGGGTCCGATAGGGTGAAGCTGCGGCCGTAGAAGCCCATGCCCATGACCACCTTCTTAGGGTCGATGTCGTTGCGCCAGAGCAGGTCCATGGCCAGGTCGACCTCGGTCAGGTTAGTGTGTGAGTTGATGTATGGCCCCAAGTACGGGTTCGTCCCGTCCCAGGTTCCGTGCAGGTCGTAGCTCATGATGTTGAACCAGCTCAGGATGGGTTCCATTTTCTTGATGTCGAAGTGCTGCAGGTACCAAAATGAGGCCGGCAGGGTGATGGTGAGACCCCGGTTCCCCAGCACGCCGCGGAGGTTCTTGAGGAAAGTCACGTAGTTATCAAAGTCCTCCGGCCTCCCTGAACGCTCTTCGGCCACACTAGCAAGACGCATACGAATTAGCATCAACACTGAAAGAGGTCGCAACAGGAGGAAAGCTTGACTCATAACTCACGGGTATTCCCAGTCGATGTCGACTCCGTCGAATCCGTATTTGTCCATGAAGGACAAAAGGGACTCAAAGAAAGCATCCTGGTGGGACTGCGATGCCGCCAGCTCGGAGAAAGTCCGCGCCGTGGGCTGATCAGGATCGTTCATGCTCCATCCTCCAATGGCAATCTGTAGACAGCAGCTGTTAGCCATCAGGGGCCATTGGGTATGTGCATTGGCAACGGATTCTTACCCAAACTTCAAGCCCGGGGTTATAGTCCTTCAGGCCCGTGAGACGTGGCATGTATCTCTCATCAGAATCCTGCATATTGGCGATCTTGTATGTGGTAGGATCAATGAAGGCAAAAGCGTAGTTCAGATGGGTGTATGCCCCGGACAGCAGATCCTCCGGGTTAACTGCAGTAAATCAAGAGGTCAGTAGGGTACGAAGCCAAAGCATATTCTGCTTCTCCTTGGAGCTGGACTCTGGCCAGCATCACTGAGGTCACTTACGTCCTTTGCAGCCCTTGCTGGTTGACCAGCCTTCGTAGTACCCGATCACTTTGCTGGCGGCGCTGGTACCACCCTTACAGCTCGGCTTCTTGACCTTCTTGTCCCCGCAGAAGTCCTCGGTCGTCCCACAGAACCCAAACTCAGAACAGCACACATTGAGCGGGCACGCCCCCCGGGTGCTCCATTGGGAGCCCCATCCCGGGTCGCACTCGCTCTTTGCGTCACAGCCGGACGTGCAGTTCGCGGGGGCGCAGTATGAAGGGCCCATGCCGCACACCTGTATAGGTGTTGAGTAAGGCTCTCGCCTGGTAAGTGATAAGAGCAGGTAGACGACTCACATTGTTCTTACCGCAGCATCCCAGCTTGCAAGGCCTCTCTGGAGAACAGGAGTAGTCTTGCTGTCCCTCCACCAAGTAAATCAAGCCGGCCGCTACCAGCAGGATGCAGAGGCAGTGATACAGTAGTCTGCTTGGTCCTGCCATGTTGCTTGTTGTCGACTGAACTAAGCAACGAAGTATAGGTATTGAGTCCAAAATCCCACAGTTCGCTCAAGGGACATGCTCGACTCTCATTATATTCCGACCAGACCAGCAGGTCGAGTTACTATGTCTTAATTAGCTGATACATTTTGCCCCATCTCACAGTTTCTGCCGCACATGACGACCAGGACTTGTCATCACACCACCCTTGGGTACGCCTATACATTAGCGTATATCGGCAGGTGCACCGATTGAGGTATAAGCCTGTCTAAGAGTACGCCAAGTGCGGGTGTGCCTGACACAAGGAGCCTGCTAATTGGCGAGTTTACTCCCTGTCTCTGATCTACTCATTTAAGGTAAGATGATAGCAAATTATACGGCAATCTATATTTACAGGGAGGGTATTCCTCCGGCTGATAGCTCACGGATAACCATTAAGAGTTTGGCCAATCCAGAGAAGCTAGACCACCCTCCTAGAGCTTTTGACTTGCGGGATGCATGCCGCGCCGGCACACTATATCAGCCCGACGCGTACCCCCCTGTAGTATTTCGGCGCGGCTCGCGTAAGACGGAAGCAGGTACGGCTGATAAGCGCATCACCCGACGGTATACAGAGATTAGTGCGGTACCATCTGATCAATGTGAGTCTCACTGTTAGTGCCGATCACATCACTGAACTTCCTATTTTGTCTGTGTCTCGCAATATCCCTCATTTACTGCCGCTTCCGCCGGTTTGTGCACCGGAAATATTGCTTGGTGGCGAGATCTTATGACCAGGCTTGATGAATAGTCGACAAAGAGCAGCGAAAGATCCGGTCATATCTGCATCTTTGGTTCCATCGCACACTCGGCTGTTTGGTTCGATCTGGCTGACCACTCTTAGACTTCTAAGCCTGGGTCAGTGAAATATCTCTGTAAAGGCTGCTCAATATTTCGAGACCTCAGCCAGCCAACAACAGAAAGGCCATTGCGATTTACAATGGAGATTCTTTGGTTCTTAGGCGTGCTCAGCATGCTTCTGCCCCAGACGCTGGGCGCCGACCCAAGCGTGAGTTCGATGGTCCTACCGCTATTATACCGAGTGCAGACTTGCTAACAAAACGACCCTCAGTTCTTCTTCTTCATCAATCAAACAGACACCCTCTTTGACGGTGTGTCGGCGCAGTGCAATACGGCACTGTCGTCTCCAATTCCGGAATGCCCTCAGGAGCTGCTGACCCTGTTGGGCGGCAGTCAGTTCTACACGGTCCAGAACGAGACCATGATGGATATCCTGTGTCGGAAGGAGTGCCCGCCCGCCTTTGAGACTTACCGAGCCAACGTAGAAGAGGCCTGCTCTAATGACCCCCAGCCAAGGGCGGGGTATCCTTCCACATACTGGGTAGACGCTGTTTCGTCCGTCCAAGCGCAGATGTGTCTTAAGGACTCTGCCTCTGGCAAATACTGCACAGGTTTGTTACAGCATACCCAAGCTCCCTGGTGCCAGTGCACTATGTTCGAAACTGATATCCGCTCGCAGAGTTCCTTGAGAAGGCCCTGGGGGACGCCGGCGACCCGACCGAGCTGCTCGGGGGCTACACCACGGAGCAGCTGTGTTCCGAGTGCATCGTGAACCTCTTCCGCCACCAGCAATCTACCGCCTACTCCAACTACGATGCCGAGATGTCGCGGGCCTGGGCCGAGATCCAGGGTCGCTGCGGCCTCAACTACCCGACAGCCACGCCAACGCTCAAGACTAACGTGACAAGCCTAGGCAACTACGCGCCCTCGGGCTACGCCACGGCTGCGTGCGTTGGGGGCCGGACTCACGAGGTTGTCAGCGGTGATAACTGCGTCGCCATCTCCAAGGCCAACCAGGTATCCACCGGAGCACTGATCACAATGAACAGCCTCCGCCTGGACTGCACGAATCTGCAGCTTGGACAGGTGCGTCGTTCTCTTTCGGCCATGTCAGGCGCATGACTTCTCGTGTTCGGGGTCGTCTCTAACGCAGAACTGCCAACAGAAACTCTGCCTGCCTGCAGCTTGCGATGACTACGTTGTCCGGAGCGGCGACACCTGCGTCGGTATTGCAAAGCAGTTCTCCGTCCCGTTCCATCAGCTTACCGCTTGGAACCCGAGTACGTCTTTCCCCAGTCTCCGTGTGCATTTGTCTAATGGTTCTGCAATACTGGCAACCTTGGTTTAGTGCTGACAAGATGCCCGTGAAACGCAACAGCTATCAACCCGCACTGCACCAACCTCCTCGTCGACCAGAATCTCTGCATCGGGCCCCCCGGTGGGGAGGCCACCTTTACCACCGTGCCCGGCGCCACGGTCACGCAGACGGCTATCTACGCCACCGCCACAGCGGCGAGGCCAAGCCCCGTGGCGGAGGGCACCACGACTAAGTGCGGAAAGTACTACCTTGTGCAGCCGGTAAGTGACACCTGGTTTCCGCCCTTTTGCTCCAGGCAAAGACAACTCCCAACCAGGGAGAGGTCTTGGCTTGGCTCTACTGCTGACGTGCGAGGCTGAATGTGTTTAGGGAGACTATTGCGAAATCGTAGCACTGAACCAGACTGTTCCTCTCAACTGGTTCCTCGGCATGAACCCGCAGGTGAGTAGTGTATCTTTCCCAGTTGTATATTGAGGAGCAAAGTTATTTACCAAGCCGGACGATGACACAGATCGACGACGCGTGCAGTAATCTTCTCTCAAGCTTCAACTACTGCGTGCAGCCGACGAGCGACTGGAACACGACCGGCACGTCCGAACCCGTCCCGGCCCCGACGTCTACGCCTCCCGGCACCATCAGCGAGTGCTACGAGTAAGTTGACATTTTGCAAGGCCGGATCTGTGCATCGCACGCATACCATGGGCTGAATTCTAACGTGTCATCCCAGATGGTATGTCATCCAATCGGGAGACTACTGTGGAAAGGTCCAGGACCAATTCGGCATCACCTTCGCGCAGTTGCAAACATGGAATCCGGTACGCCGATTTTCATTTTACCACCGCCAATTGGTGTTCGAGAGAGCTAACCTATGACCCTCCGCGTCTCGTAGGCTCTGGAGGACGACTGCTCCAATCTCCTGCTCGACGTCGCGTACTGCGTGAACGGGGGCGCCATAGCCATTGGCGCTTTCGCCGCCCGCCTGACTCCGACGCCCAGCAGCGACAACGACGACACACCCGTCTCGTCGCTGGCTCCATTGCAACTCCGAGGCCCGGTCCAGACACAGACGCCTGCTGCAGGCGACGGGCTGGGTGGCGTGCCTGTTGGATGGCCTGGGGTGAACTCGCCTAGGCTGAGGGCACAGATGGGACTGGGATCGCCTGGGAAATAGGAAGACTGAAAGTAGGTAGTACCTGTACATACTCTTCAGTGCTCTCAATCGTGGACTGGGGCGTTTGACGGCTCTGTCTTGCTTGGGTGCTCTCATGCGATAGCCACAGGACTACATGCCATTGGCCGTGGTTTAGGTAGTGACCGTCTTCAATGCAGGCCGGCGTACAATTAGGAGCGCCGTCAATTGCAACTCAATCATACAGGTGGAGCAACAATCATTTGTCGCGCGTGACATTCTGCTCTCAAGGGGGAATCTCTGTGACACCTAGACGTTTAATAGCAGACGTCAGCACTAACACCATTAAAGATTAGACTGCCTGCAGTCGCTGTAGGTTTGATGCCTGTCTCCCCTTGCAGAAATAAAGGCAACCGCTTACGCTGTGTGTACCAAGTGCTGGAAAGTGCCGCATCACTAAATTACTTCCCTAAATGAGCCACATCCCCGGACACTTTAGGTATCGCAGACTTTCGCGTTGAGCGGATGTGTTGTCCTGAATAGGAGTTTCAAGCAGCTTTTGCACGAGATAGGCTTATAACATACTCATGGTAACCACAAGTCCAAGAGTCACGTTATTTGCCACTAGATGTTATTGGTTCGATCTTGAGGCGCAGCTTCACAACGCTCGTTGATTCGTGGAGAAGAGCAGCAGTCTCAACGTGATTCTTGGACTTGTGGTCTCCACTACGGGACACATGAGTAGTAACTTCTAGCTCCATTAATAAAGATTTTGACATACTAATTCACTGAAGGGGAGAAGATAGAAGTAAGAAGTTCGTCAGAAGTCAAGTCTGTAATTTGGATACATAGTGTTCTGCCGCTTAGTAACTGGCAACTGCATAGAGATTCCAGATACCCTATCATTCATCCTTGCTACACCTATACCGCCTGCCTATTTAGGATACATTTGTTTAACTCGAAAGTCTGTGGTACTTAAAACCCGTTTACACCCCCGGTTCCCCGCACTCAATCAATCTCGCCCTCGTGCACCCTACCACGGAAAACCAAGTACTCACAAACATCTAATAGTTGAGGAACACCAAAACCTCCACTACTTTACTACAAAATCACTACAAAAGCTATCTTAGCCTTAAGAAAAACAAAAAATTGTAGGGAAAGCCTGTTCTACATATCTGTTGTTTTAGATTCTCGTTACCTGTCCTGGTTTGTGCTGCGATTTCGAAGGGAGAATAGAACAGTTTTATGAGTTCCTGTTTTTGTCGCGCACCGGGCTTACCAACTCACTACTTACCTTCTCCACCCCACCTTCCACCCAGAGCCATGTCGAAACCGTCCAGCTTATTCACCTCCTATACCGACGCCGCCAGCACCTACTGGCCGCCCGGCTGGAACTTCCAGCGGTATGCTCACACCACGCCCGCGGACAACGCCGCGCTGTCAGACCAGGAGCGCGCTAAGATGCAGGCTGGCTTCCGCGAAGCGCTCGGCGAGGACGGCGTTATGGAGATGGCTCGCGTCGTGTGGCAGGAGCAGCTGCGCCGCATGAAGCTCGAGAAAGAGTCTTCTTCTGCCGCCACCGCGTCGTCATCGTCGTGTGCGCAGAAGCAGCAGCAGCAGCAGCAGCAAAAGCCTCCGCCACCTCCCCCCGACTGGCTCAAGACTTGGCGCAAACGGGCGGGCGGCGACGGCGGCGGGGCCTGGGGCTTCGTCGCGTTCTGTACTTCCAGTGCCGTTGCCGCCATGCCGGAGTCGGACGTGGCCAAATTTCGCACACATGCACGGGAGATGGCGGAGATTCCGATCCAGAAAGCATTTGAGGAGGAAGGGCAGCGAGCCGACGAGATCGCCGAGGCGCGACGCTCGTTCGAGATCCGCTGGGTCGAGGTGGACGATGACGATGAAGACGCTAAGGGCGAGGAAGGAAAGGGCGAGGCGGGGACGGGAGGAGACTGGGTTGAGAAGGCGCGCGCCAGTTATCGCACCATGCGCGAGTCTGGCGTCCTTCCGTCAGGTCTCGATTTGCCCGTCTTCCTCTGCGCTTCACCCGCCGCCGTGGCCTCGGTGCTGCGGACGTCGCCGGCGGAAGCGAAGGAGGTACACGAGGGCAAGCCGCGTTGGCGATCCGGCGACGTCCCGTTCCTGCTGGTTGCGGCTGCGGAGACGGGGCAGGGGATCGCCGAGGAGGACGACAATGAAGAAGAAGAGGAAGAAACCGAGGTTGGCGGTGGGGAAAGGAGCTGGTTCAAGCCCGTTTTCAAAGCGGCCGTCGAGGTGCTGGTGGACGAGCTCTGGTGGGTCGTCGCGGAGCAGATGACGTCGCTGGGCCAGATGACAAGGTTCGTTCGGGGCGCGACGGTGGCTGAGGAGCATGTCTCGACGACGGAAGAAGAGAAGCAAGGGGGGGGAGGAGAGGCGGGTGATGTTGGTAGTGGACGGGCCGAGGAACCGGGCCATGACGACGACGGGCTAGATGACATATGGTGGACAGTCCACATGCCGCCGCGTCAGATGAGGAAGAGGCGGAGGGTCTGAGCGAGATCTGGATATTGAATCCGAAGAGCTACATACCTGATCTGCAACCATCAGCCAATGCGCAGGCATTCCAAATGTTCATGCCAACTACTTGCAACTGCAGCTATCCTCTACCTAGGTAGCATGGACAAATCATTCAAATTCCTTAAGCTAAGACCACCAGTGTGATAGAGACCCTTAGGTTTCCGCTGTTTGTGCCGTGTGGTTGCGGCCAAGGAAACGATAAACGATCGCGCTGCCGTCGCTTGTATATACCTGGCGCGACACTACGTACAGCATGTAAAAAGAATTCTCTTCAGACATACCTCACTCCCTGATTCTTGGATGTCTCACCAGATGCTTGCAATTGATCCACACAAATAATTAAAGTCTTGCTTGTAATTCTCTATAGCTAGGTTTCAATTGGGTAACAAACTACACAACTCACGTCCGAAAAGGAAGAGCATTGTCACATACTGGGGGTACATTCTTTGGAGCATAGTGGCGTCATTACATCTTGTCAAGCAAGTATTCCACCCTACATAACTGCAAAAAGCGCTCATAATACTGAACAATCAATCATGCCCACATACTTGTCGCTACCTATGTTTGGATTCCATTACGAAGCACCACTATCCACCCAAGCTTCCGCGTGAGATTTTCCGCTGACACAGTCGGTATTCCCTTGGAATCAACAAACCGGACAATAACTTGGAGGATAGCTCTCAGTTAGGCATCGATTAATCACAGCGCCTCTTGAAGGAAGTCGTCTGGCTCTCTGGAGAAGCGAGAGTTCTTGTAGTGTACAACACATTTCAGAGTTGATAACTTAGTGCATTCATCTTGACACAGTTTGACGCTCTGCAGACTGTCAATCCTGAGCTCAACTACCCTTTGTGCAGGGAAAACTGCTGTGTCTGTGCACTAGTGTAAGCGCTCGTGATACATATCACTCGTTTGATGGTACAATGCGGGGTATCTCTTGGCTTTCAGTAGACTACATACCGGAGAGGCGCCAGTAACTTAGCCTCTCCTAGGTACGGTCCGTTCCGCTCGGGGGTGACCAGATACGGGATCTTGTTTCTATGGCGCCCTCCGCCCCTACGGGGAGTAGGAGCTCTCGGCGCGCACTGTCCGAGCGACTGACTCGTCTACGTCAGAAACTCCAGCCTGCTGCGGATATCGCTCGTGCCTCACCAGTTCAAAGCTTCGATACACGCCCAGAAGTCGCATCTCAGTAAGCTCCACGCCCTGTCTGACAGTACTGAGCTAAGCAAGCAAGCAGTCCCGACTCGCGAATCACGTCACGAGGGAACGCCGTATCCGCAGATGCGTCTACTGGGGAGGCTAGGGCCCAGATCCAAACAGATCCGAGCAGTGTCCACGCGGATCACACCTCACTTTCCATCAATCAGTCGACTCTTGATGTCGATGATGGAAACTCGATCGTATCCTCGGATCTTTGGAGTGCAGCGTATCGTGAAGCTGTTGAAAGCTTTGGGAAAGATGTCGATACAGCTATTCTTGTGGGCACTAGCACTGCGCAGCTATTCGCAGAGCTTGAAGGCCTAGATAAAGGATCGAGTCAGCAATCGGTATTCCTGCGTGGTGTCGCGTATTTACGTTCTATTCAAGTGCCGCTCGAAAGATTTAAGCTGGCTCTAGACTTAGCGTCTCCTCTGGCCAGTTTAGATCCAGTAGCTTCATCCGTCGTTGGCGTCGTCAGAAGCGTAACAGCAGTAAGCATGCTGTTGGGCAATGGCATATCCAAGAGAGCGTAATCAATCTGACAAGATACAGATTGCGATAAGCTTCGCAACCGCCGACTTGGAATTCGCACGTCAGATTGGCGAGATGTTGGAGCAAATCTCTTACATTGATGATTGTGACACGCTCGGACAGAGAATCAACGAGACAGACATTCACAAGGTAATTCCGATGACAATACGTGACATCTTACTGATATTGTTAGGCGCTTATTCATGTGTATCAGAACATCCTAGAGTTTTACAGTGTCGCGCACGAGATCCTCACACAGAGAGGAAGGAAGTTAGCAATGAAGATGATTCTGGAGACCGACCGCCTACCAAACATCGTCCAAGACTTCTTGAGACATGCTGATACCCTTCGGAAACTCATTGAAAAATCAACATTAGAGATTGTTGCGGATATCAGATCGATGCTTTACGATCGTGAAAGTAAGTAATTGCTAGCTGATGCACAGTATATACTCATTGAATTCAGTTGCTAGATGGCTCGACGGCAGTAGGAGGAGTCAGCAAGATCAATACCACAACCGCCTTAAAGGGCTCCGAAGCGACGAGGCCTGCAGGTTCCTACTCACCCACCCCAATTTCACTCAATGGTGCAATGCACCCGATTCTCAGCAACTGTTGGTTCTTGGCGACATGGGCTACGGAAAGACGGTTGCCATGACATTCATTGTGGATGAACTGAATCAAAGGAACAGTTGTCAAATACCTCGACCCAAAGTGTGCTACTATTACTGTCGAGACGACGAAACCGGCCAAGCTGTCAGTATATTATCCGGATTGATCCTGGCGCTGCTCGAACAGCTTTCTGGCCTAAAGAAGATGTTCTATGAATGGTACAAGAGGAATCAGGCTTCTGGAATTCTTGACCCGGCAACAAGTGTAAGCAAGCTTGCGGAGTTCATGGAGCTGGTTCTGGAAACGTTTGACCGCCTGCTCTTCATTGTTATCGATGGTCTAGATGAGTGCGATAGGACGTCGCGGAGAACACTTCTACAAGTGCTAGGAAGAATGTCCGAGAAAACTCCACGACTGAAGATTATTCTTTCTTCGCGACCTGAAGAGGAGATTCTGAAACAACTGGATCAAACGCCCAAGATTGCCCTAGAGTCCAACGTGGACAGGGACAGTGTCATTGTTCGACATACAGTTCAAGAACAATTGTTCTATCTCCCAGAAGACGTCCGGACACTTGTTATCGAAACATTGTCTCGTTCGGCACAAGGAAGCGCTATATGGATCAAGATGACCGTCGAGCTGATTCAAGTTCGCAGGATTAAAGCGCTTGCGCCAATGCGACTTTTCTTGAAGCAGATGTCTCTCACAGAGCAGCTCTCGGAACTTTACACCACCTTGCTATCACGTAACTCCTCAAATGATCCCGAAAATCAAGAACTTGCAGCTCTGGCTTTAAAGATACTCGCGGCTGCGTGTAGGCCTCTCAGTATCCATGAGTTGACCTGGGCTACGGCACTAGCTGCGGCTCAACATGACATCGAGACGGTTGCTGCTTTAGCTGAATTAGTAGATCATCAGAGGGTGATGAGTCTGATCTATCCATTCATTACGCGTGTCGATTTCGCAGATCTCAGAAAACGCCAGGTCCGGCTCGTCCACCAGTCGGTGAAAGAGTTCGTTGTAAGAGACTGGTCGTATCTTGAGGGATTCAACACATCGACAGCATCTCATCAAGCGATCGCGCCTCGCATCGAGAGCTTAGAAGCATTCATGTTAGATATATGCATCAAGTATCTTCTGTTGCAGGAAGTCGGCAATGTTCCTCTATTCTCTGAGGAGCAAATCGCAATTGACGAGCTTCCTCAAGAAGTCGATTTGTTCAGCGATCAGAAGTCATTTGAGTACGATATTACGTGTACATGGGAAGTGTGGGAAGAAGACATGATATGCTACGATCCGACCGAGCGTGGCTTCGGTGAGTTTTTCGTTTACGCATCCAGCTACTGGCTTAAGCACTTCGGGGCTACTGAGAGAGGCCCCTTTCCACGCCTAGCAAATTTGGAAAGATTGTGCCAAGTGGGTTCTATGCGACTCAACAACTGGGTTAACCAAAATTGTCGCCCCGGTTGCGCAATCAAGGCTAGGTTTGATTTTGACAGTCGATTGCACGATCCACTCAGCATCACTTCACTTTATGGCTCGGATGCTATCCTCCGCGACATGCTCCGAAATTCGGACTTTGACAAGGACAAGTATTTCTCCTCACCAGCTGCGAGCGCTGCCGATCAGATTCTACAGTGGGGTCATTTGTCAAAGCTCAACATAATTTTCTTGGAAGGCAAGTTTCGCTCTCAGCTTTGCAACCTCGAGTTCTTTCAACTTCTCATCAAGAGATGGTTCGATTTTGGTTCACGTCATGAGAATTGGGCCGAGGTTTTTGATCTTATCGACAACGTGCTGGGTGCACTTGTGAGCGAACAGTGGGGAAATGAGCTCCTATGTATAGCTGCTCGCGCTGGCTGTCTACCAATGATTCAGCGATTGCTGGATCGAGCATACCACATGGAAGCGCTGAGGGCCGAGCTATGGCGGGACTCACAACCGATCAGTGAAGCTGTCTTGGGAAACCACGCTGATGCAGTAGAGCTTTTGCTGAGTGCGGTAGGTTTGGAAGTAGACCTTCAAAGCCTGAACTTTCGAGGCGAAAGCTTGCTGCACACAGCGTCGGTGCATTGCAACCCAGCAATTTTTCGACTTCTAGTCCCCTGTGTGCAGAGCGCCATACACCAGGTTGACAGCGTTGGAGAAACTGCCCTCATGCGGGTTGTTAGGAGCGGGTCTAGCTCAAAGGGCCGATACGAGGCCGCAAGGATACTACTTCTGAATGTCAAGACTGACTGGAGCACACACAATGTCAATGAACAACAAAGAGCCTTACAGTTAGCTGTGCAACTCGAGGATGCGGAGATGTGCCGCATTCTGCTCTATGAGGGCAGACTGGAGGCAACGTCAACCTTTACGCATGATCACGGCGGACGATTGGTCACGAAAGACAAGCCTCGGACGAACGAGGAAGTTGTACTGCAATTACTACGACAGCACGTGGAAGATGACATTCACCGTTGACAATCACAGCATGTCAACAAAGGACTCTCATCTGAGGGTGCTGGACACTTAGTTACTTAGCTCATTGTTATGAAGGAGCGTAGCTTTAGAATCAGACCTGCGCATACTGGCCATGAAGAGCAGTCATGCAACACTCCAAAGGCCGCAGCAAGAAGCAAGATCTAGGACAGATAGGTGGAGATTTCTGTAGAGAATGACCGTTTGGCTTTGAGACTTCATACGATGTGCGAAGAGATTGCAGCTGCTTACGTTTTTGGACATGGTCATCGCTGTGGGTTGATAATCACAATTCGTGATGGCGACCCTAGAGCATAACATTAGATAGATATCAAGTCAGAATCAATCTCGATCACTTACTTGGTACCAACCGTTTGTCACGAGAGAGGGCGGTTTCCCCTCACGACTGATGTGGAGCACGGTTCTAGCGCTGATCAAGAAGATCTTTTACGGGTTCCATATTGTTCAGGTCTCAGAGGCGAGCCGTACATTGACTGACTGCTTGATCATCCATTTATTAACCCAGACAGCAAAGAGAGTAACATCCTTACACAAGCTTGATTTAGATAGCCGGTGTTCTTTTCAAATATTATTCGAAGAGAAAAATTGGAGGTTCCATAGCAGCTCACATATCTAAGAAGTGACTTCCGCCAGCCTTTTGTCAGAACCACTCCCAATACCTAAGTCAAAGGAAGTTTCGCGTGCAAAAAAAGATGACATACAACAGTGGGGATTCCCCAGTGGTCACCCACCTGAGTACTAATCCACCGGTACGTTGCTTAAATAGGGCTGAGCGAACGGGAAGCCTTGTTTTCAACGTCCTATGGTCGTATGTGAAATAATTGGACGCATTTACATACTATATCTCTGCGCGCAACACGGTATTTCCAGTCACAATCATAAAGTCGCAAGTCTCCCAGTCGCGATGGTTCAGGCACACCAATAGTGTTGCTCCACACGGAACCTCATCTTCAGGGAAACATCCAACAACACCAGAGGGACTCTTCGAAGATGTGAAAGATCCCAATTGAGACAGTCCGTGTCATGTTGGAAGCAGTCCATCGTGGCTGGTGCGGTTACGTTTACGGTGGATGTTCCCAAACGCAGACAGCCGGCGCTGACGTTCGAAGTAGTTGCATCGCACGTCTTGCTCAACGTTTTAGGTCCAAACTGAGGTCGGCATCGGAAGGTATAATGCCCAACCTGTTCAGGAAGGACAGGTCCAAAGGCTAAGTGACATTGTCTGAAGCAAGCATGACAATGTGGAGGGGCTACAACTCAAGGAGCTTAGACTTAGACCTGTGGGATACTAGGCAATGTCAGTTCTACACTCTTCCGAGCTCTGACAGTCGGCAAAGCTATCTTTGGGCAAAAGATGGACACAAGGCTGAAGTAAGGTCCAATGGCCGAGGGGAACCAACACCGAAGGCTTGCGATCTGCATTTCTCGGGCACAAACAAGGGTTCGCGCTGACAAGGCTGAGCAGCTGCAGCTTCATCAGTGACTGCGCCGCATTGGAAGCCTCGTCCTGACCCGCGGAATGACCCGTCCGTTGTCTCACGTAACCATGCTCTGCTCGAGTATCCTTCTCGCTATGCTGTCAGTCTACCATGCAGCGCTCAAACAACAATTCCTCGCACGATCTGCCAGAAGCCGTTGCGCCAGCGGATGCTTCAACGTACAAATACTCGGTCCCTGATCACGCTGCTCAGGATTCGTCGAAGGAGGTCGCACCCCAGACATTCGCTCCACATGGCATCGCAAAGCGCCAGCGATGGACGCAGTGGCCCCTGCTTCTTCTGTACGGTCTGATGATTGCCCTCCTCGCCGGCGTGGCAGGAGGTTTCATCGGCAAAGCACTCAGCAAAGCCCCTCACAACACCACCTCGGCGTCTTCAACCGCTACCATCCCGCCAAACAACTCGTCCAACGACTTGTCCAGCGACTCCTCAGTACGCACCCTGCCTATCCCATCTACCGGCTGCCCGAGCGACATCCACGCACAGAAGTACATGGCTAACACGTCCCTTACGTGGGGTGTCCCTTACACAACCGTATGCGCCACGCGTTGGACTGACCCGCAGCTCAGCGCACTGTCGGCGGCCACAGCATCAGACTGCATCGAGGCGTGCCACAGCTTCAACGGCGCTAAGGCCCCAAACGCAAATGCGGAGCGGTGTCTGGGCGCCAGCTTTGTACCTGGGTGGTGGGATCAGGCGCGGGCGATGGAGCAGAAGAATGAGCCGTTCAATTGCTTTCTTATGAAGGAGCAAGATTTGAGGCGCCGGAATGACAGAGACTTTGAGATTGTAGCGTTGTGTTTAGGAGAGTCGTGCACAGGGCTTCTGGGCGGTTGAAGGGCGAGGACTGGTGTCAGTAATTGGTGAACCTGTGTGTCTTGCGTGAAGTCTGGCTTCGGCCTTGTCATATTAGAGTAATTGAACGACAATCTTGTTTACTGTCTGCCAGCTGAACACAAACCGCCGTTCGACCACACCCCTCGCTAGTGCCACGCGGACCTCCGACATGCACCTGCACTCCGAACACCTCACCCAACTCCTGTCCTCCCCAAACCTCGCAATGCCAATCACACCCCCAACGCACTGAAAATGCCCGCCCGATCCCCCCGGCGTAGCAAAAGCGACCTGCTCAACGCGCCCGGCGTCATTGGCGCCATCGCCCGCTTCTGGCAGGCACGTCACCGCCTCGCACAACACCAGCACTGCTAACATCCCCCAGCGCTCTTATGCCTCCGACTACGCCGGCCTGGCGCTGCTAGTCAGCGGCTACATTCTTGTATGCCCCCGCCCAGCACCCCTGACCCCGCACCGCTAACAGCCCAGCTACAGATCCAATTTCTGGCAGCACCCTTCCACCGCATGTTCTTCCTCTCAGACCTGCGCATCGCATACCCCCACGCCGTCCACGAGCGCGTCAACGTCCAATGGCTCTTCATCTACGCCGGCGCGCTGCCGCTCGGTGCCCTCGTGCTGTGGGCGCTCGCCGCGCGCCCGGGCGCCCACAAGGCCCACGTCACATTGCTAGGCTGGGCGGCCAGCATGGTGCTGACGCTGTTCCTGACCGATGTTGTCAAGAATACGGTGGGGCGGCCGCGCCCGGATCTGCTCGCAAGGTGCAGGCCTGCGCCAGGCACGCCGGCGGATGTACTGGTTACGTACGAGGTGTGCACGCAGACGGAGCAGCATGTGCTGCATGACGGATGGAGGAGTTTCCCGTCCGGACACTCCAGCTTTTCGTTTAGTGGGCTCGGGTATTTGAGTCTATTTATTGCAGGGCAGTGCCATGTGTATAGGCCGCGGGCCGATCTGGCGCGTGTGCTGTTGGCGCTGGCGCCGCTTTTGGGGGCCGCGCTCATTGCGATTAGCAGATGTGAGGACTACAGGCACGACGTGTATGATGTGAGTGTGGGGTCGGTGCTGGGCTTCTCGGTTGCGCATTACACGTACAGGAGATACTACCCGGCGCTGAGGAGCCGGGACTGTGCTACACCGTACCCGAACCCAGCGGATGAGAGAGGCTTTGGCAAAGTCAAGGATGAGGAGAGTATCAGGGGCGCGCAGGAGTTCGAGCTGGACGATTTCGACGAGGAAGACGAAGTGCGTGAGAGCAGGCCTTTGAACGGGCGGCGGTGAAAAATACAGGCCGCATAAACCGAACCAAGCTTTTGTGTACTTGTATCGCCATTAACACTATACCTCGCCGCCCAGACGCCCGCTCCCGCTAGAAATGCTACATCGCCGACCATGTGGCTCATTCTGCATGCCAGCTCTTCCTCCCAGTGATCCACTTGAAGCTCGCGCACCACCCTTCGGCCTCTCCTCGCTCCGACCTCTCTACCCAATCGCTAATTTCTTGCTGCGCCCGCGCTATATCTGTTCTGACCTCATCTGCGCTCCACACGCGCTCCCTATCCCCAAACTTGGTCAACAACCGCAGCAGACTCGCCTCAAAACCCTCCATGACCACGACTAACAGCAACTTCCCAACCCGCTTCTGCTCCTCGTCGCCCGCCCACTGCCCAATGGGAACATTAACATGCGTAGTCTGCACATCTGTAAAACCCGCTTCCTCGAGATACGAGGGGTGCATGTAGAACAGACCCAGCGGGCGGCCAGACTTATACGACGCCTCCATCATCGAGGCAAACAGCTTGCGCAGCGTCGGTATGGGGAACGACGCCGGATCGGCGGTCGCGTGGTCGACCGGCACCGCGCCCATGTCCCAGTCGGCCACCTCGATCCAGCCGCCGGGCGACAGGCTCTTATGGATCTCGGCGTACACATCCTCCCAGTGTGAGAACGAGCCCTTCATGTTGCGCAGGTGGATGAAATCGTACGGCTCGCTAAAGTGCCACCCCGGCTCCGGTGGGGGCGCGAGGGTGTAGGGATCGATGGCGAGGGACTCGAGGGAGGTCTCGGCGTACGAGGTGGATCTGGTAAAGTCCATGCGGTCTGGAGACTTGGGCGGCGAGTGCACGGGCGTGCGGTGCATCATGTCGCGGTAGAAGTCGAAGTTGGAGAGGGTGTTGAGTTCGTCCATGTGCGAGTCCACGCCCCACACGTCCAGATTGTCGAGCTCCCACGTCACGTCTGCGCTGCCCATGGATGCTTCGGTTGTATCGAGATCCCACTGGGTCATGTCGATGCCGACGACTTCTGCACGGGGGTGTGTCTGCGCCATTGCGACTGCCCAGTGGCCAGGCCCTGTTCCAAGATCAAGGATCCGTTTAGTCGAGGGCAGGAGCCGCGTAGTCGTCAGTCGACCTTGCAATGCATGCACGAAGATCTGGTGCTGGAAGAACAGGCGGTCTTGCTCCTTGAGATCACCACCAAACACACACGGGTTGAAGTATGTGTCGTTGCCATAGGTGCGTCCGTTTTCGTGGACGTATTCGAGATCATCTGATGTTACGGTACGAACGGATCGACTGCGTAGTGTGGTTAGTAGTAATTTTACTACGCCAATGTACGAGCATAAATTGACAGCGAATTGTCCACATGCGAACAAGTCGACATGCTCGAAATATGTTACGAGAGTCTACCTAACAGTGAACAACTTACACAGATTCGACGGAGGTGGAGCTCCCTGAATCGGCTCGCGGACGTTTGGATGCGGCCGTGTCATGTCCAACCAGAGTGTCGGGATGTGGCTGTCCCTCTTCCATGGCCCCGGGAAGGACGCCAGTTTAGTTGTCCACCTGTGGAGCAAATGGTGGCGAACGTTGAAGACGAGAATCCCTCGACTCCGGCTCGTGTTTCCTTTGTATGAGTTGTTTGCGCAATCTGAGAAGAGGGGCGTAGACCTGAATAGTGCAGGCCCTCGACACTGGCGGCTCGACTGACTAGCGCATGATCGTGTAGAACTTGCGGAGCCTACAGCAAAACCCAGGATTAGTCTAAGCGCGAGCCGCTCCGAACTCTGATCGGTACGTAAAATTGCCGACTTCCTGATTGATTCGCTGCGCACTAACGATGGTTCTGCTGACCTCCTAGATACATCCTTATGTACCTGGATCAAGCTGGTCAAGTGGCCGTCAGCGATTGCATCCATGTAATCAGCGTACAGCGTACAGCGCGCTAAACATGCAACGACTGTCCCACAGAGACAGAGTTTCGATAAAGTCAAGCATGCAGCCAGACTGGACATACGATGGCTGCAGCGATGAAATTGAGGATTGCATCAAGCCAGCCCCAATCCGTCGTTGCACGAAGCTAGCATGGACATTGAACATCTTCGGGCTCGCCACAGCATTGCGAGTATAGCCGGACGTACATCTCGTATCTGACAAACTGCTCGGTGGTGTGGATGCAGCCTGGGCCGCCCCTCGGATCCCCTGGGAAAGAGGGGCATGCTGTAACCCTTGGCCACATCGGTGTAGTCTCAGTATGGTGCACTCTCCGCGTCCGATGGCTTTCCTTTTGCAGATGCGGTAGTCTCGAGACCATGTGAAACGAGTCAGGAGGCCTATCAAGTTGTGGCAGCTAAAATTGATGCATTAGCCGCATGTGCTTCTCAAAAATTGAGACTGAGGCGGGGAAGCAGACGCGGTATGTACCTAGCTTGAGGCCGGGTGGGGTTCACGAAGATCGTCACCTGATGGCCTGAAGGAGGCAGCGAGCGCAACTCAGAACCAAGATGGGTAGAGTGGATTTCGTCCGGCGGTTTCTGAATAGTCCAGTGGGTTAGGTTCGCGGATTACATATCGCCATTCCGAGGCTTCGCTGCGACGTTGAACGCCGTGACCAGCCTCGGAGATTAGACCGCGTCCTGATCCAACGCAAAGGTAAGGAGGCGCTGCACAACCGTCCCGTTGGGCGAGGGTGTGAGGCGCGCCTTGGGTGATTGGATTGGTGATTGGATTAAGGTGCGCCACTAACCCTGTCACTGGCCTCGCTGCCGCTGCCAAAGCGCTCGTTGGAAGAGGATGCCGTTCCGGCGAAGCCGGACCAGCAAGCTGGGTGAACTCATGACTCAAACCGAAGTGCTTATTTGTAGTACGAAAGAAGTGAAGATGGTCACCGAACGATCTGTTATTAGGAGGTCGCCAGGAAGTGCTAAGCAAGCGCCCATGCCAGAACTCAGATTGATAAGCACAGAGAGTAAGCAATGTATTGAGGCACATCAACATGTCTGTCACAGCATTTGCCAATTATTTTGCTTGCATTTGTGTAGCGCGAGCGCACAGTGGCAAGCCCGCTTGCCTTAGTTGAGCGCTGGTACTCGTTCTCATATGCATCTTTTACAACGATTGAGGGGTGTTCCCCAACGTTTGACTCTCAACTTCGGTCCGAAACTTGACACTACTGTGTCCACGTCTTTACTCGTGTAACTTACTCGTCGATCTCCTGACCCTCAAACTTGGGCAGACGTGCAGCCACGTCTGACCATTGCTCCTTACCGTTGACGAGATTGGTGATTGCGGTGGTGATCTCGTCGAGACCGGCGCGGACCTGCTCTGTCGAGTCACGGTCACGCAGGGTAAATGTGTTGTCCTTGACGGACTGGAAATCGATGGTGATACCGAGAGGGGTACCAAGCTCGTCGTTACGCTGGGCATTGTTAGTGTCATGCAGGATGGAACAGGAATGCTCGATGACCTACCGCGTAGCGCTTGCCAATGGAGGCGCCAGAGTCGTCAACGCGGGTTGAGACGCCGGCTTCTTGTAGCCTGTCACTCAGCGTCCGTACGAACGGCTTTAAGTCGTTGTGAGCGCTCAAAGGAACGATGAGCGCCTTTGTAGGAGCGACCGTGGGAGGGAAAGACAAGACACCGCGAGCATCATCCTGCTCACGAGTCCAGTAGATGTGCTCGCAAAGAGCATAGACAATACGGCCGATACCGAAAGAAGGCTCGATGACGTTGGGTGTGTACTCCCGAACGTTCTCAACTCTTGTGCGCTTCTCAATAGTGATCAGCTCCTTGGGCACCTCGACCTTGCCATCACCAACACCGGGTACATCGATAACGATCTTGCCGTCCTTCTCGAGATCCAGAGACAGTTTCTCGCGAAGGTCTTGTGTAAGTGCCTCGATAGCAGCCTCGACAGTCTTGCCATCTTTCTTGAACTGGGGGCCGAACTTCTTCTTCTCGATGTCGCACACCCACTCCTCGATCCTGAGAGGCTCCTTTCTGGGCTCACGAACGACGAGCGGTGCACCAGTCTTCTTCATGTGAACTGTCAAGTCGTACGCGCTACGGTCGGCACAGCCAACACATTCAATCCACCCGTACGAGGTAAGCAGCTCAGCATCCCAGCAGTCTGCGGCGTAATGGGCCATCTCGTTGGCCATATGTTGCCTGAAGCGAATCTTTTTGGGATCGACACCGATCTTCAGCAGGAACTGCTGGATGCGTGCCAGGAAGTATCCAAGTGTCTCGTTGTCTACGAGGCCGGCCTTGACAGCCTCGCCGATCTTGGTGTTCTTGACCGTGGTCTTTCCGGAAAGCTGAACGTCGCGGTCGAGGAGCTCGAGCTCAACGTGCGCAACATCCTCGAAGCGAGGGTGCTTCTTGCCGCCCTCGGGGTCGACAAAGTGCTCGATCTCAGCCATCAAGAACTCTCTTACTCGTAGAAGACCAGCTCGGGGGGAGATCTCGTTACGGAAGGACTTGCCGATGGAGGCAGAGGCGAAGGGCATCTGCTGCTGGTTGAAGTCGAGGAGCTTCGCGAAGTTCAAAAACTGACCCTGGGCGGTCTCGGGGCGCAGGTAGCCAGGCATGTTTGAAGAGGGACCGATCGATGTCTGGAACATGAGGTTGAAGGCGACTGGGGGCAGAAGCTCGCCGTTGGTGGCAGGGTTCTTGATGTCGTACTTCTTCATCAGCTCGCCAAGCTCGTCGCCGCTGTAGTTGTCGATCTTAGCCAGCACCTCCTCGTACTCGGTGACGAGCGCATCGTCCATCTTGACAACAGCGATGTTCTTGACCTTCTTCTTCTTCTTCTTGGGGTCCTCCTCCTCGGCCTCGACCTTCTCGCCGCGAGCCTCCTTGTTGCCCTTCAGCCTGGCCTCCAGCACCTCCTCAACCAGGTGGTCTGCGCGGAAGATCTCGCCGGTCTTGGGGTCTTTGCACATCCAATCGGCGAACTTGTCGACGTGGCCGGACGTCTTGAGGACCTCGTGGGGCGTCAGCATGGTGGTGTCGACTGCAGTCGGTCAGTATCGTCCGCGAGCCATGGTCTCGTGCGCGTTACCCTCCAGCATGTTCTCCTTGAGCACAAAGTGCTTCCGCCATACGTCGACGATGTTGTTTGTGAGGGCGGTACCTGGCGGGCCATAGTCGTAGAGGCCAGAGACACCGCCGTAGATGTCGAAAGCGGGTGTGTAGAAGAGGCGGCGCTGGCAATGTCAGTATGACTCCACGCAGCGCATCCACGGTGGGAGATAACGGCGCACCTTCATGACAGAGTCAAGCGAAGCCCTGTCGAAGGGCTTGCCCTTAAAGGTGGTCATATCGCTCGACATCGTAACCTGTTGCTTCCGCTTGGGGGCGACGTATCTGAGGTGGGGAGGGGTGGTAGAGAAGCTCCTCCGGGGCTGGGTGGGATAGACAAGGCAAGGCGGGGTACTAAATTTACGCAGTGAAGTATTAGCGCGTAACAGCCGCGACACGCACTGCATGCATGTGGAGTCTCTCGGTGCAGAGAGCAGCAATTGCCCTAATGAGCGTCTAGTCGATATATAATACACAGATGAATCATCGCTCGTGACTCTGCCAATCGACCATGGGTCTCGCCATCAACGCGACGCCGCGGGCGGAGAAAAGTTCCGCCGAAAAATTAAATGTTCGTCGACCAGGTACTCGATCTGCAGCGGCCGAACTTTTAAGCACAACACCGCGGCTTGAAGCTGGCAAGCTGTAATAGTAAGGACGCTGTCGCAAATATATCAAGAAAGTCCTGACCAATTTCTAGGCGCGTTCAACCACCCACCATGGCGTTCTCAAAGTCCCCATCCGTAGCCACAGGCTTCAAGCCGAGGAACAAGCTTCGCCGACAGGCCGCCTTCCTCTCCATAAAAAAGTCCAGAGAAGCAGATAAGCGTGATATGCGACATCGCCGCAAGCGAGAGGAAACAAAAGATGCCTCACTGCGCGAAGAACGCCTCAAGAACAACGTACCCCAGACCATCGACAACAAGCGAGTGTGGGACGAGCCTGTAGGTGACGATGAAGACGTTCTGGGCTGGGCGGTAGATGTGGAGCGACTGGCGAAGAAGCGGAAGCTGGATGCGGAGACAGCTGCACAGGACGAAGATGAAGGCACACTAGCCAAGCTTAAGAAGAGAGAGCAGGAGCAGTCTGAAGGCTCAGACGACGACGAGGAAGACGAAGACGCCGACTCGATGCTGGAATCCGACGCTGAAGACAGCGAATTCGACTCCGACGACTCGGAACTCTCCAAAGCGAAGAAGCGCGCCCCGTCCCCCGACCCCTCCGTCGCAACCACGTCCGCAACCAACATGGAACTCTCGCCCGAATTCCTCAAGCAGAAATTCCCACAGCTCTTCGACCCGCAACCCGAACCCAAAATCCTCGTCACAACCTCCATAAACTCCACCCTGCACACCGAAGCCGACACCCTTACCTCCTTCTTCCCCAACAGCACCTACATCCGGCGCACAGCACACGCCCACGCACACAAGTACTCGATACGCGAGATTGCTCAATTCGCCGCCGCCCGCGAGTACACTGCTGTTGTGGTCCTGATGCAGGCGCACCACGAGAAGAAGCCCGACGGCCTGGACATCGTACACCTGCCAAACGGCCCGCATTTCCACTTCAGCGTGACCAACTGGGTCGAGGGCAAGAAGCTGCCGCGCCATGCGAACGACACAGGGCACTATCCGGAGCTCATCCTTAATAACTTCAAGACCCCGCTGGGTATCCTCACAGCGCATTTGTTCAAGGGGTTGTTCCCTGAGGCTCCGGAGCTTGCAGGGAGACAGGTTTTGACGCTGCATAATCAGCGTGATTATATCTTTGTAAGGAGGCATCGCTATGTCTTCCGTGACAAGCGCGAGTCGGAGAAGCCGATCCTGGGGAACGACGGGAAACCGCTCAAGGGCGTCGAGGATGTGAAGGTGGGTATGCAGGAGATTGGGTAAGCTGCGAGTCCGGAATTTAGTCTGGTCTTTTACTAATTTGACTATAGGCCGCGCATGACACTCAAACTTCGCAGGGTGGACCGCGGGATCCAATTCAAGAGCGGGCAGGAATGGCAATGGAAGGGCCGCATGGAGAAGCAAAGGACACGCTTCAACATGTAGAGTGGTCAATCAGAGTGGCACGAATACCAGAGATTTCGAGCGTTCGAGAATTGGCTCTTGGCCGTTTTGCTGACTGTGTGATAAATCGTCAATGTCTGGTTGACTAAACAAACCTGGCAGCTGCTAACCCACAGTACCCCGACCCAGCCGACCTGTTTCCAACGCCTTCAAAGATGTCGGAACGCCAAAACAATACATGCATGAATAAACCATAACGCTCGGCCAGCCATGGGAAGAAACCTTCACTGGGACATCCCTCTGCGCCAATAATTCACATTATATCCTCCTCTACGACCCACTGTTCTATTACTGGGCGAACTGTGCGAGCTCCCCCAAGGCTGCTTCGACGGGCTGGAGGCAAAGAATTTTGCAGGACTTTGAGCCGAGGAGACGAGCGGTTGAGTAACGGGGGGTGACGACCAAGGAGCCCTTGGTGGATGTGCTGAAGGCGGGTACAGCGAAAGCGGGTGCGGTTGAGATGCCCATGAAAGTGGTGGACACGAAATATGCGGTACTATACAGTCGTTCAGTATGGAGCTCAACTTGGTGCAACTATTTGTTACCACCATAGCCTCCATAGTTACCACCAGGGGTCATGTGGCCTGTCGGTCCTGGTGTCGTTGCAAGTCCAGCTGGGTGATTTGTTGGTGTGCTGGGTCCGTCGCCGTGTCTTGCATTGCCCGGATGGAACATCATGCCACCGTTGAGACCTTGGAAGCTAGTGAGATTCTGCTGGCCTTGTGCAGCAAGAACAGCTGCTTGTGCCGTTGCACTGGCTGGTGGTCCAACACCGGTGAGTCCCCACATCTGCCCGTTCATCTCATCTGGGACTGTTCCATCGAAAATCTTTTTCCTTAATTCCCAAAAGACGGTTCCTGTGAGCCAGGCATCCGAGCCTGCAGTGTGCGAGTTACCAATACGTTGACAGCCCAGCTCGTCAGCCAGGTCTTGCAGGCCTGACTTCGTACCCAGATTGTTCAGGATGGTGGTTGCATTTGCGTTTATTATCCCACGGCGGACAAGACTGTTCGCGTGTCGCCAGAGGTATTTGACATCGAGAAGTCGGGGAAAGAAGATCTCGACGAGTTTGCGGTAAGAGTCTTCGTCCTCAGGCAGTGGCTTGGAACTGAGCATCTTTACTAGATAGGCAAAATCGTATCCAGAATGGAAAGATATCCAGTTAACGTCTTCTGAGAGAGTCATGCCGGATGTTATCAGTAGCGAACCAAACTCTTGAGGGTCGATGCCTTGCGATGCATGCTTCTCAAAATCTGCTCCCGATTTCTTCAGCATCTGGATGGACTCCTCATTGTACATGTCGTCCTCGAGTGAGAACTGAAAGTTGAAGCTCCATGTGCATGGACACATCACTATGTTGTTCGCATATCGTTGCAGCGACTTGGGTTGGTACTGTAGTGTGGATGGATCGAGCTGCGCGGGAGGAATTTCGCCTTGTACCGAGAATAATGTGACGCCCAGCTGGATTATCTTAAGGAGGTCGACGTTGCAGCGCACTGTTTGGTAGTGGTATGAGGCTTTCGAGTTGAACTCGCCGATCGGTCGCGCAACAACACCGGGGAATTCTGTGTCCTGTTCCATGTGTGAGTATTGTCATGACCAGGAGGACCGCAGAACAAAGAGACTACCAAGCTCATGGCCCAAACCTCCCTCGCGCCATTGACAGGGCACTTCAACCACGCATATCAGACATACGTCGCGCACAGCAAGCTCGCCCGGATTGTATAAGAAGGTGGACTTACCATGCTGATGTACGGGTACTGATCGATCAGGGAGCGAAGCAGGTCCATCTCTTGGTGTAGGTTCGACCGCCACACGTCGCGGATTCTCTGACCAGCAAGCCCTTTGGCGCCATCCTGCCCGCGAACAGCGTCCTGCTGCAGTTGAGCGCCGTGGGCAAATCGCATACGTGCCTCATGCCCGTCCAGACCTGTCCCCCCACTGACCCCACCCAGGGTAGCCGCCGCGCCCAGCCCTGCACCGCCAAGGCCGCCAGAAAGTCCGGCGTTGTTTGACTGGAAAGCATGCTGGTTCTGACCGAAGAGGTTGATGTTGTGGCCCTGGTTACCTCCGCCGAAGCTGGGATGTGGCATGTTCTGTTGTTGCTGGTGCTGCTGCTGCAGCTGTGGTTGCTGGTGTATCGGTGCGGAGAGATGCGCGAAGGGATTCGAGAGGTTGTGGCCGGGAAACCGGCCGCCGTTGCGTGCCATTGTACGATGTGGAAGGTGCTACCGCTGGGTAGCTCGTGTGCGATATTGCTGCAGGTCTACAGGCATGCGGTAGCCGAGGTTGGAGTGCGAATATCGTGGGCGCGACGGTCGCGTCGAGTAAGCGCGCTTGTCCTGTGAGCAGCGCGAGTGGTGGATATTGAGTCGTATTTGTTGGGTCGAGATGCAAATGCGGTTCTGCGGAGGGGACATTGCAGATGAAGCACTCCCGGGCGCCGTGGCCCAGCGGTCCGAGCTTTGCCAAGACCGAGTCGAGCATCCGCGACGTCAACGGCTCTCGCGACGACAGTCTTCAGATTCACGCTGCGTCTCGACATACCCACACAATGAGGCCCTCATAGTAAGTGCCGCACATGCAAGCCCCCAATTGGCGGGAGCGCCAGCCTCTGCGCCCATTGCTGACCTTGGCAGCTCCATCATGGCAAAGCCTAACATCACTGGCTTCGACCCTCAGAAGTTCGCTGCCGCCGCAAAGAGCGGCACAAAGGGCGACCCATGGGCACGATAGTATGGCTGACTGACGACTGCGCCCCGAGCAATAGGCTTACAACTGCGTAGCGAGCAATGGCGATACACAGGTCCCTTCTCCAGGTGGAACCGCTTCAAGGGCTCCTTCCCCGGCCTCGGCATCGCGACAGTTGCATTTGCCGGATACCTAGTCGCCGAGAAGCTGTTCTTCGCTGAAGAGCACGGTCACCACGGCTCGGACGGTCACTGAGTGGGGTAGCTGTGTGGGCAGGCAGGCTAGAAAGAGATGGAGAGAAGAAGTGTGCAAGACCTGGGCGAACCGGCTGACCAGTTTCCCTCAATGCGAGGGCTGTATATATGGAATATCACGCTGCACGACCAAAGCAAGTCTCATTTGTCAGCGCTCTTGGGCCCCATATGATTCGCTGCCCCAGTCTGCTGTGACTCTATTTGAGGTTGTAGCTGGCATGAGGATCTGACAAGTTTGTGTCTGGTCGATATGTTCTCCGCCGAACACCTAGCTTGAAGGAGGCCGTGGCATGAGTGCGAGCGATCAATAACACGAACTCAGCCAAAACAGAATATGGCCACGCTTGTCTTGTTCAAGCATGACAGACAAGACTTCGCGGAACCGAGGTTTTGACCAGCAGTCTCTTGTACTCTAACAGTTTGACTCATCGATACTGAAATGAAATTCCCAGTCCGAACACCAATGTGGCGGGGCAAGACTTTCTGGGCGCCAAACAGGGGTCATTGCTTGCATAGGATTGAGGCAGCAATTAGGATCGATGAAGGATCACTGAAGCTGTGGTCAGGTTCTGGCGAGAGCACACCAGCTGCCATACTCCGTCTTCGACCCTAGGCTATTTGTAGAAATATGCATTTCATGCTGATTGCCTTCTATCAAAGAGGGGGTATAATAGCATAAGTCAGAGTCACGAAACGCAACATCTGAACAACAGCATGACTATGTTCGGCATGCTCCGGCGCACCAACGTGCGTTCTTACCGGCTTTAGTCAGACTTCATGAACATACTCCACCACCGCGGTCACACGAGCGCGCTTGTCTGCGTCGGCACTCCACATTCTATCGGCGGCTCAACCGTGCCTCCCACAATAACCCGGTTCTCCGTGATCGCACTTCCAGACTCTCGAACCACATCGAATCTACTCGACCAGATCCTCATCCGCGGGAGAAGTCAGCCTGCCGCACCGCACCCATGTAAACCAGAGCAGATGCGCAATGCCCGTCTCACCTCGAGTCCGCGACCTGTCATCTTTGTGATTTGTCTTGCATTTTTCCATGCAGTAACGGCTGGTGGCCCGTTGCTGGCTAGCGATCCTCGGCAGCAGGATCACCACCCTTGTTCGCCGGCCCGCGTGCCAGCCCGCTCGTGCGCTCGAATCGTGCAAACACCCGCGATGGTCTGCGCGACTGTCTGTGGTGAGAAGGTGCGCGTGCCGCGGGCCGGAGCCTTGCGAACCAACTTCCTGTTGAGGCCCCGCGTGTGCTGCTGATCTGCAAGGCTGGTGAGATTGGAGACGTTCACGGTCTGCGTGAGGCGCGGCGAGGCCGTATGTGGAGATGATGTTGGATAGACGGGAGGGTGGGTTGCATGTGAGCCTTGAGCAACGGACGGTCAGAGAGGCGTTGTGGCAACTACACAATAGTAGAATAGTTCCAATCAGGCGTCATCTTGCGAAGGAGGTAAGTAATTGTGGCTCATGAGCAATCGTGATGTCAATAGATGATGACAAACAGTCGACATAGAAGCGTAAAGGAGTAACGTCCGTCAGAGACGTAACAATACACGACTAATAATCGTAGCTGCTCAGACTGGAAGACACTTGTCGAGAGTTTAGCGAGGGATTCAAGAGACTGTACAGTACCCTGACTATTCCTGGCCGCATCTACGTGAGTGGACGATACTCAGGGTCTGTTCCGGCGATGAATCTTGGATTCGGTGCGGCTGAACCCTGTATGCGACCCGAGCCTCCCAGCTGGATTCCACAGACTATCGTTCTTTAGGTACTCATACCTAATTCCTCTATGTTGGATTAGAAACAGCTGTACAATGTGGAATTACTGCAAGGCTACTAGGAAGTTTATGCCCTAGACTGCTAAGGGCATTGTCGACTCACTTGTCAACGAGTTTGAGTTTATACCTTGGTAGATCTGCAGCTGCAGCGGACAGGGCGTCCGAAGTATATGCATGCAGGGCAGATCCGATGTAGTTGTATTGCATGGTCGGTATTCTATAGATGATATTTGTTGACTGTTATGGTCTTCAGCTTCCGCGGACCTGGGGCCTCGGTTACTACACAATTTAGTTCCCGTTTCGCTCACGATCTGGGTCGCGTAGACAAGACTATCGAAACTCTGATTCCTCAAGTAACTAATGTTGGCAATCTCCCATGACCTCATCCTTGCCGTCGCCAATGATATGCATGCGGAAGAAAGGAGCTTTTACACCATCTCCACCATCTACGAGATCGATTTAAATAACTACCGTTGCGTAAGCGTACCGTTGAATCAACAGAAGTAGCCGCATGCTAAACAGTTCGTCAATCATGAATTCGATGGCGTGGATCCACATAGGGTCTCCGACCACTTGAAAAGTAGAAAGGCCCTCCGACATGAAGAGGCAAAAAACGGCTCCCACCCAAGTGGGCAATGGCTTGATCAGCTCATTGTTGCATCTTACAGCAATGTCCTTGAAACGCCCGCGCAAGTGGCCTGCAGCCGCAATGCTACGTCTTGCATGCGTAAACGACTTGTTACGGCCAAAGTTAATCTGATTTCACGTCGTTCAAGCCATCGGATTCGACTTAGCCTGAGCGCTGCAGAGTTGAGGATACACGGAGAGCTTCTCCGAACTCCATCTACTGTGGCGGGTTGTGGACTTGACCTTGGTGGCGTTGGGCTGGCCATTACTGTGGAGAACGAACCTACGAGAGCTACCACAAACTGGAGGGTGTTCAAATCAAAGAGAAGCTGAGAGCTGAGAACCTAACCACTGCATGTCAATGGCTCATCAACATGTAGGTTCTTGCATGAAGGCTAGGTTGACGGTGGCTCACGAACCACCAATGTATGTGCCTGTAGCCTCATAAGCAATCCACAGCTACTGTGTATGTAAGTCGGTGCTTTAAGCTGGATATGGGCCGAGCCTAAGAATAATTCTCGGTTGGGACAACGCTTAGTTCTGGAAAGGGAGAGCGGGGCAACGTGAAGGGCAGCCAAAGACCGGCGTGTCGGTCTACACTTCAGGCGTATTTGGCATTCAACGCCTAGATAGGAGTATGCAGGTACAAGCGAAAACATTGGTGCACCGGCGGGAGGCTGCCCGTTTGGAGAGTGGAATGAAGTCAGGGACCAAAGTTCGGACGCAGTGGAATGCGTAGAGCAAGCACAGCGTCCCAGGAAGGTCGTTGGTAGGTCGTACTCGTGTTCACTGAGGCTATCAGGGATCAAAGCTGAGTCCGAAGCGATCGGATTCGGCAGCTCTTTTCAATGGAGCCGATCCGCAGAGGTGTACGCAAGCACATGGAGGGCCATGCAACCGGGTAGTAGCAGACTATCCACGAGGGCGGATTTCTGAGGTGTTTTTGGGCCGCTGTGCCCGTTGGGAATGGGTACCTCGTATTTGGTAGTAGCGCGTGTTCGTTTTGGGAGCCGACGTCATTCAGGTACGAGAATGCACCACCAACATTGGCTGATGCAGCCAGCGGATGGGGTTGACAAGACGTGGGGCTCCAGTCAAGTGGATGGACGGAGCAGGCCGTGCCGATGTAGTCAGCTCTTTTGCTGCAGCGGCCAAGGGGAGCCCAGCTATCGTTAGCAGGCTTTGCGGTATCTATCTCGGTACGTATCACTTTTTTGTTCCTGCAGTAGAGCGAGGCGACGAAAACTAGATCTATGCTGGGCTTCCGCGATTTGAACGGTTGCGCGTGCTGTTCGCGAAGATCAGCTGGCGAATAAGCGCACGGCTACGTCGTTGGCGCGATCTCCACTCCACGCGTCGTTGGATCGTCAGCCCTCTGGAACAGGTTCACGGCACGGCTTTTGATGAGTGGTTGAGTGGAGCATGTCTCAAGCTCCGTTGCCTACAAGCGTTCAAATGATCGTGAAAGCCATCGACGCGAGGCTACGATGCGAAAAGGTCCTCTCATAACCTTGTTGACACGCAGATGAGCTCTTGTCGGCAAAGTACTACGCTGGTTTGTTTCACTGAAAGGCTCCCCCACTAGAGTCATGATGGTCGAGTGCTCGTTCGGCACTGTTGCAGATGCATCGACCTGCGCACGGCACTTCCTCCTGAGCAAATCCTAAAGGTCAGGGACGAGGAGAAGGACTGGCGACCTTAGGAGCTCACCGCAACATAAGCGCTCGTCCCACCACGATGGGCACACCCAGCTCCTTATCGCTGTTGCACAGCGACCGACAAAGCTCCTACAGCTTCGACCGCGTGGCACAGCATATGCTCGACGGGGCTGCGACTGCAACGTCGCTAGTTTTCGTGAGCATGACGAGCTCATGGCACAACTTCGCTGGTTGTCGTCCACAGCAGGCTGTGCAGGCTGTGCAGTGCTCCGCTGTGCCTCTGTGTCTGCCCGTCGGCGGTGCTCTGGAGTGTGAACCGGCAGGTGAATCCGAAATTGGCAGGTCGCGGTGGTCCAGCGGCTCTGACAGTGGCGGCTTGGGTGAGCCTGAAACATGTTTGAAGACCATCCAGCGTTTGAGACTGCATCTGAAGGCCAAGTCCTTTTGCGGCCTCAACGACTGTTCACAACTCGGTCGACCCACAAGACAGAATTGTGACAACACGAATGATGGCGGGGCAGCGTCAATCGACACGCGGTCGCCGAGCACACATAGGGCCCTCTTCGGTTGTTTCATCTCATCTTTCCGCGATGTGAAGATCGTTGCGGCTGGAACGGTACCCTATGCCCAAAGAAGGCGCCCCCTCAACGCGTGCCATCAGATCGTCACGGCATTTCCTCGCTGTCACGCAAGTGTGAACTGGCCTCCGCACAGAGAAAGGAGATTGTGCGCACCGCGCTCTCTTATGGAGGCCTTACCAAGGTACCCACGGTCTTCAACCTCTCTTTGGCGGAGAGACGGAGCAGGCCTCGAGACGGCAACCACCAGTGCAGACGCATGCATGAAGCGCGTTGATCAGGCCGACCCTGGCCAGCGCGAGGTTCCCTGCAGGTACGTGCACCCAAATGACAGCACGAACCCGCCCGGGCTAGACACACACGACGAAAAACACCAACAAACAACACGATATTCGCCGCGCACGCTCGCTCACCGGAGGGTCGCATCTGCCGGCGTGTCTGTTCCACGCATTGTGAGATCGACGCTGCAGAGACCTGGTGCACAGCATCAATAGCTCGCTCTGATCACTACAGGGTCACCAAAGAGGATCCTGCTGTCGAATCCTCTGCGGTAGCACAACAACATCGGCCGGCATTGACCAGATTGATGCTCGGCGCCTCTGCTAAGCGGGCCTCGCAGTGGTCCCAGCGAGCGCGCTGCTGCGCTATTCACCCGTTTATTTACATCTGAAGCCAATCGCCGTTCGTAAATTTCTCCCCTGCAATGTTATGCTGTGTGCCAGCCGACCTGTCGGGCCGTGACCTCTCCGGCCCAAAGCCCAGTGGCTTGCGGAACGGCGAGCTCAAGGTTCCCCCGTCTTCACAACCCCTGTGCCTGATGGCGCCAGCCACTAACAGCTGTCTAGACGCCGCTTTTGCTCACCTCACATCCATGTCCTTCTTGCATACAGGGGCCCCTGTCCCTGCTTGTCCTGAATATGTCACTAAGCACCTCGGCGCAGCGCACTGAGCACTATCCATCTTTCTCCACATGCTCTCCGCTGTTGTGTACGCCCGCTATGTACTTACATACTCAGGTTATCCCTACCTTTGCTAGTGGTTCACCGGCTCCAAAAGCCTCATGCGCAGTGCCAATATTGGGAGAACTTACCTTGACTTCCAGTCCACTCCTTTGTACTGACTACGGTAACCATAATACCGCTTCCATCTGCACCTGGTTGTTGGAGCTGCAAACTACCCACCCAGCTTTACTTCAACTCTTACCACCAATCAAGCAGATCACTCGAGGGGTTCGTGCCATCGCAGCGTACCCTCGTCCTAAAACTTGATTACAAGCGACATCCCTCCCCGTGAGCCGTACCTCTTCGGCAGTGCACTCCCGCGGTCAGGTCCTCGCGCTGCTCATTACCTCCTTGGACGCCGGAGTTTGTTGTCTTAAGAGGTGCGCATATAACTCTTTCAAGTTCACCCCATTCAAGCTAAGCTCTGCTTGCAAATCCTTCCGATTCCTGTCGACTACACATCATTCATACTGTCCCGTTTTCCCATTGAACTAGTCTCTATTCTTTCAAGCTCAACCCTCGACAACTCTCAGCATGGACCACTAATACCTCGAGCAGCCCATCAACCCGTATACACACCTCTCCTATTTCCAGCCGGTCTGCCGTCTGAGGAAGACCACTCTGGATCATCTGCATCCTTTATGGTCCGCTAACATTGGCACCATCATCGACCGTGTGTGGGGTCTTGTTTATACAACTCTAGTATTGCCCCGACTATTGATGGATCGTTGCCAGGCATCATATTGATACCTGAGCGATGTTTGCGTTCCATAAGAATGAGACGCTCTCGCGCTCCAGACAGTCATCTATCGACTCACCTTTGTCTGAGTCCGCAAGTCTGACATCGGTCCCCGACTCGATGACCGCATCGCAATATTCCGATTCTTTCGACATGGAAGGCATGCACTCACCAGAACGGCGGCGAAAGGCTGCGTCAGGCAGACGAAGCTCTGTATTCAATATGCGGTCAAGAAGTAACACAGCTGCTTCTACAGCTTCCTCCATATCTCCCAGCCATACAGACATGACCGTACACGACCATGCCTCGCCCAGCTCACCACCTTCACTCCGCCAAGTCCCCAGCCAGAGCCGTCTCGATAACGCTGGCCCAAGAAGGTCAATGTTTCGTGGAAAGATGGGCAAGAGGTTAAGCGAGTCGATTGGAAGCGGCCTGGACATCGATGACTTTCCAGAAGCAGATCCTGGGAAGAAGCGAGCATCGTTCCTGCGAAAGCGCAAGGGTACCAATGAGTCGGAGAGTTCACGTAAGTACACCGTCAATTTCCTTGGATGTTTAAGAGCTGACATGAGACTTAGATCACGAACTCAAGAACCGAATCTCGAGTCCCTTCGATTTTCAGCATCTTACGCACGCCGGCCGACATCAAATAGCTGCGCTAGAACAGAACCCTGAGTCCGTAATGGCAGCAGGGTGGGCCCAACATGCCGCGCAGGCCTCCACTTCAGCATCACAAGGAGCTCACCGTCCTCGACAGAGATCGACCGACAATCTGATGGCCTCCAAGTCCGCCTGGAGATCACCGCCCCAAAGCCCACGCCAAAGCGGCTGGCAACAACCTGAATTTCAGAATGGCGCATCGCTATCCCGACCGGAGCTTCGACTGACTCGGTCTGTCGAGAGTTTCTCGCAGCCAGGTATGAATCTTCGTGCTCATCGGCATTCATCATCGGTTGTCGCACCCCCACGGACAACTTCACTTCTTCCAGCATCATCCATAACCAATATACCGGAGGAAATGTCCACTAACCAAGCCTCAACCACGTCACCTTCCTTCCGCTCAAAAAGACAATCAGGCATATGGGATGCATTCACACTGTCAGCTGTACCACAAGCGGATCAACTTCCAGGGATAGGGGAGGACTCGAGCTTTGTTGGCAACGCTGTGACAACACCAGACGACTCTGCGATCCAGGCTATGACACCACCCTTCAGTCCCAGTCTCGAAGATGTTGCGGAAGAGCCAGAACGCTTCGTCAGCCCCAGGCCTGCCCCTCAGCCGCCTCGCCTGAAGACTCCAACGTCCCCGAAGCCGTTTTTCTCTGAGCCGTTCTCATTCAATCATCAACGTTCTTCAGGTGTACGCACTCGACCAAGGGGGAACTCCCGTGCATCACCAAAGTCTGCCAGCTTGAATGTTTCCAATGTTAGGCCCGTCTCACATGTGTCCGAGACCTTTGCCTCGCCTAGCTCAACACGCGAGAGCCCTGTTCCTAGACCCACGACCACACGCCGCAAGTCGAACACATGGCGGGCCATCGAAGAGTCATGGGAAGAAGACGTCGACTATATCTATGAGCACGCCCTTGAGGCCGAGTGTGATAACGACTGGGACTGTGTATCAGAGGACGAGGATTTTACTGACCGACACCGTGCGTTGACCCGAGCTATCTATGAAGAAAGACCTTCGATCCCGGAAACCTTGCAGTCATCTCAATATTCTGCCAGCAGTAAGCCCATGTTCCAGTTGCAGATGCCGTTCCCAGTTTCGCGCCTGCCTCCTAGCAATGATAGCGTTCCAGAACTGGGCACCGCATCTACAGTATCAGCTTCGACAACAGGAACTGCCTTGCAAACCCCATTCCACGAGGCCGAAGGTTTTGCATTGAGCCCGTCACTATTACTTCCCCAGGACTACAAAGAGGTCGCGGAGACTTCTTACGAAGATATTTTGAAAGAGTATGACGGTTCTGATTGTCATTTTCCCCTCATGGATCCAGACGAAAGTGCCACGAGCTCGACCCGCAGCAGTCGCGTTCGTTTCAGCCGCCGGAGCTCGTATGACAGCAGCTTGGTGTCCTCTGCTCAGAGCTCTGGCCTCTGGCGCTCTCCCGTGAGGCGCTCGGCGAGTTCTGCTGGAAGCGTTCCGGAACTCGTACATTCTCGTCGCACTCGCCAGCATTTCAGCCTCGTTGTTGACGAGCTGTCCGAGCAGGTCGCAGCCATGCAAGCGTTTGGCAGTGACGGCGAAGAGGATGACGATGTTACCCCGCCCGGGCCCTCTCGTCTTTCGACAGAACGATCCTTTTTCACTTCCGCACAGGAACTGTCTGACAATCAAAGCTACCAGCGCAACACACACTCTCACAAGCAAGCTCTCTCGGACGGCGCAGCCCATCTACCAGTCTCGGCTGAGCATGTCAAGCCTCGCGCCCGGGCAGCAACTACCAGCCGCACCAATGAACAAGAGTACCTACATCTCTTTCCCACACCACCATCATTCTCTCCTCCCATCAGCAATTAGAGAACGAATTCCTATCATTACAGTACACCCTGTCCGCAATGTCTTTCACCCTGGTGTATTCTCAAAGCCTGGCCGGACCACGCTCTGACACGGTGTACGATCCTTTCATTAGTCTATTTCATTGTATATATCTACGACGCACCATGAACTCAGGTCTTAGCGGCTGTTGCATTTGGCGTTGTTTACAGAGAACCAAAAGGGATGGGCTTGGTTGGTACATTGACTCTGGTCGTTTATAGAATCTGTTGTCTGTTTTCATATGGGGTCGCACACACTACCTGGAAGGTACTGCATTTTGTGCTTTGTACACGATGTACCGGACTGTCTAATCAGTATTGCCTTTCTTTGCATTTCGTTTGTCAGCTGCGTGGGCGAGCAGAGAGCGCGAGAACTTCGGATAGTGCATACCATCCAGAATCGATGGATAATCATACTTTGATCAACAAGATCCATTTGAACACAACACACGACCAAGATCTTAACCCCTCCATCGAACACACAACAAACCAGATCTTTCGGCTCGACCGAACTGTGCCGTCGAGCAATCACGCCATGACCCACCGTGTACCCATGCCTTAACACAGAATTATAATTGTGCCGCCAATCGCGCCGGCATACCCCGTCAACGAGAAACCTCCTCACCCAGATTCCTTCAGCTCTTGCCATCGACGCTAAGGCCTGGGGCTGCACCGGAGTACGATACGGTCTTACGATGATCGGGCGATAGACTGGGCTTCTGGACTGCGACTAGGATAAAGATTACTGGAATCCGAGGGCTGCATTAGTGGCACCGAATTGATGATGAAGCACGGGCAGAGGACGTTTTGTGAAACTGTTTCACGGTTAACGGGAGCGTAAGGCTGAGGCGCTTGATTTGTTTTTGCGGGGAGAGGGGACACGGGATCTGACATCTGGGAAAATGGGAGGGAAGGAGCGAGCGAGCGTTTGACAGCAGGCATGTGATCCGGCAGTTGCATCGCTATGAAACACAGCCCTGATCGATGTTCTTTTGACGGAAGGGTCCATTCCTGATCGTGTGAGCTGCCAGCGCGGCAACGTTCGTGAGCTCCAAGCTCAATGCCTGTACAGCGCGATGCTGCTCTTGCGGAGTTTCTCGGGTGTACCTTGCATGTCAACAGGAAGCGGGCATCTCCACCCGCAATTTGAGTATTTTCAACGGCGGCTGCGAACGCCTTTCGATAGTCCGGTTCAACGCTTATCTAAGCGTTTAGCCAAACCTTGTCGCTTCATTGATCTTGGACTAGTGCGGTGAAGCGTTCGGGAGGTCAATACCGAGAAAGCTGCTCTTGCTTGTGCAGTCTCGAGAGGGTCTCCTGGCTAGGTAATGACTGCTCTTACATTGATACCGATACTGTCCTCGTATGCCGCAGCTCATAAGCTACTGCCATTTGATAGTACGCAACCAAACTTTCCACGTTGCCGACTCTTTCTGCATTTGTCCATGTGTGAAGTTTGATATGAGATGCTTCAAAATGTCGCATAATGTCTCAGTTCATGACCACTGTACTGACGGAAGGTACAGCGAAAACAAAACGCATGTGCTCCTCAGTATTGGAAACTAGGTGCATCGCGTCTGCACCTCTTGTTCGTTCAAGTAGGTGTCAAGGTTCATCGATTGATATCTGGGAGCCCAATGCGAATTAGCATGTCGTGATTTTGACTTTTTGACTTCAGGGACGTAGGTTTGACTTCAGGGACATAGAAGTCAGGGATAATGTTCCTGGTATGTCAGGGTCGAGGGTTTTAACCAACGCGCCATGCGTATCCAATGACAGGTCGCGATTGCCAATCTCCCGATTTTGCACAGCTACGTCATCGCTCACCACCGTTGCTGGTGTCGCCACAGCACAGTCTAAGCCACGTCGATGATCCCGGCCTCTAACACCTCTTACAGATCATCTTCAGTCTTTCAAACTCAAACGATCTATTGTGATACCCTATTGTAATCTTCGCCCTCTCATCCGAGTCTTCCGCTTCTTCTGGGTCTGAACGAAAAATATGGTCTTCGGCCTTAGCCGCCTGACGCCGCGGCGCATCATCTTCTTCACTTCGGCGTCTCTAGTGTTTTGGTTGCTTGTAATCGGTCTAACGCCAATCACCTCACCGCTGCCACCCTACACTGGGCCACACGAGGTTGGCATCCTTGATGTCGAAACAGAGGTCAACAGAAGGATCATCCGCGAAGCCACATTAAAAGAGACGGGGAAGAATGCATTCGAGCTATCAACATTAGCCGTCACGCTCTACTACCCCTCTTCACTACCTAATGCCCCCCCTTCACACCGACCATGGGCCCGTCCGTGGCTTCCACAGCCTGTATCGTTGATTGGACAGGGCTACGCGCGCCTTGCGGCCGTTTCCTTCTTGTCTCCTATCTTCACATTCGCCCTCTGGGCGCTAGGATCTTCGACCGTCATTCCAGGCGTCGTTGACGCACCGATTCTCTCTGGCTCCGAGAAGGTGCTTGTCGAGGAAGGCGCGGGCCTGGGTGGTTTTGGCAAGATCCTGGAAGCAGCTGAACAGGAGCATACTGAGCTGAAAAGGGACCAAAAATTCGGGACCCTGCCTTGTGTTGTCTTTACGCATGGCATGGCTGGAATGAGCCAGAGTTACTCGCATTACTTAGGTAGCATCGCCAGTCATGGCTACCTTGTTGCTGCTGTTGAGCATCGGGATGGAAGTGGACCAGGTACCATCGTTCACTACCCGAACGAGACAGAAAGGACAGTGTGGCACATGAAACTCAAGGATCTTGTGTAAGTCAGACTTTCAAAGCTGATTCTATCATTCACTAAAAGCATCTAGCTCAGACCCACCAATGACCGATCTTGACCTCAAGGAAGCTCAGCTTGCTTTCCGAGAGGCCGAAATCGCAGAGACTATCAAGCTATTTGCGCAGCTCAACGATGGCGACGCGCCAGTCGTAAATCTGAAGCCCGCATCTCCTCGCAAAGCTCTTCCTGGCTTCGAGAATCGCCTTGACATGTCAGCTGTCACGGTCGCCGGGCACTCGTATGGTGCGACCGGTGTCCTGCGGGCTCTGAAGTCCGCCGGGCGTAATGATCTGAATCTGAACGGAGGTATTGCACTAGATCCAGGTAAAGGCTCAGGTCCGTTGAACAAGGACATTGACGTACCCCTTCTGGTTATGCAGAGTGGAGAATGGACCGAGAAACAGACGGAGTTCTACGGACAAGGCTGGCATTACGATGTTGTGAAGAAAATCGTTGAGAATGTCAAGGATGGCTGGATGATGACCTTGAGTGAGTGTCCGTGCGAAGTTCACATTATACTTGTTCTGACCATATGCAGCTGGTACTGCGCACCCTTCTTGCACTGATGCGCCACTGATCGTACCATGGATTATGAAGGTAAGTACATGGGAGTCATGTTTCGTGATGCTCTTCGTCTGACAATCAATAGTTGGTGACCGGCACTACATTGGAGTCAAAAGTTGCACTGCGTGAATACATTGACACGTCAGTCCACTTTTTGACTTACCTTAAGACAGGTGAGAAGAAGGGTGTCATTGCGAGCAAAGTTACGAGCGCAGCAGGACCATTAGGAGATGCTGATAAGCGTGGGAAAACCAAGGGAGAATTTGGAGCGGACTGGGAAGTCCATGTTGTGCCAAATTCAAAGAATGAGTAGATATACAGGTTTTCCGAATGATTACACATTGAAGCCTGACAAGGCAGACTCAGGCTGCATTGCAGTGGGTCTTTGCGACACAGCCGTAACATGCAAGTGGGGAATCTGAAAAACCCACACCCTGTTCACAAGAAATCTCCCTTCAACGGCTGTGCTCTTGGTGTAGTTCACAACCCGAAATTCGTCCTTGTATCATGACGAAATCTTCGTTTCCAGGTGAATGTGATGCCTAGGCCGTAAATCGACTAAACTGTTGACCAACGTGGTTCTAAAATTATCGATAACTGATAGCGTGTCTGACCCTTGCGGTTGCGCGGGGAGGCGTGAGCTAGCCGTAGTGAGGCTGAGCGCGCTGCGACTTTCCTTCAGCTGCAATGTCAGACACACACTCCTGAGTAACCCTTTCTTTCACGCTCGTAGAGGGCTCTATCTTTTCGTGCGCGACACCTTCGATCCCGGAAACCACCCATAAACCACCACGTCGACTGCGATATCGAACTTGCTCGGACCCAATCGATAGGGCTGAGCCGCGTAAACACAGCACCTCTCTGCCTGGTGTCCATAACAACGCACCTCGGTCGCCTTCGAAAGGGCCACAGAAGCAATCATGCCGGTCGGGCGCATAACACAGAGCTATATCCAGAAATGCAAGATTGGGTTGCACTTCTTACAGGTCATCTTCATTTTCGTAGCGGGATGCCTTACGATTGCTGTGATGACGAAGGGTGACATTGCTGGCCCAACAAAGTACTACTTTGCTATGGTGAGTGCTAAACGCGACTCGCAGAAGATGGGAGCCCTCAAGAAGTGCTGCAATTTTCGGGTCGTACGGAGCGCATGGCTAACACGTCTGCAGTGCTTCCTTAGCATTCCAGCCATCATATACCTCGTAATGGTGCCCATGTGGAGCCGAACTAAGAAATTCGCAAACGCATACGCTTTCCTTGGGGTCGACGTCATCTACACAAGTGAGCGGATCGACAACCCGCGCACAACACAAGGCTGACGCAGAGGCAGTACTATGGTTCGCAGCTTTCGTCGCAGTTGCGATGTGGAACTCGACCGGTATCAAACAGGGAGCAGAAGAACAGAAGATTGACGCTGATAAACGCAACTGCACTACGTTCAAGTACGGCAGCGAGACAATGTGCAACATCAGCAAGGGTGCTGTTGGCGTCGGCGTGATGATCTTGTACGCAGTGACAATATCACCTACGACGTTGCTCAGCTAACAAATTACTGCAGTATCTTCTTCATCCTGACGAGTTGCATCTCTGGCTACTACATGCACAAATTCATTCGTGAAGGCGTCCTTCCCTACGATTCCAAGAAAGAAAATCCCTACTATGCGACCGGCGATAACAGCAAAGACAATGCCTGGTCTACTGAGATCGAGGCGCACGAGTCTGACGATGACGACAGACGCACGGAGCGCGGTGGCAACCAGGAGGAAGACGAGTACGCACTCCTACACTCAACAGAGACAGACCAGGGCAGACATCCGGGCCGGCCGCTGAGCTGGGGTGAGGATAGAAACGGCGAGCCGTATGACAGGCCGACAGGCTATGCGGATTTCAGGAACAGCACAAACGAGTATGGCTCGGATGCGCTGTCGCCTGGAGGGTATACTCTGGGCGGTGGTTACGAAGAATTCCGACGGGAGGCCGTCTCAAACATGGACGCGAGTGTCGGTCCTGCTGGTGACAGGGCGCCAAGTCGCGCATCGCATGGAGGAACTGGCTACAGCTTTAGTGGGGCGACCAAGGTGTAAGTAAGGATATCGGCGCTGTCGTTCGTTTTGCATCTGGAATCAATCTGAGCGTTTCCGTAAGCATAGAGTTTGCCTTGAGGGTTTGGTGCATTGCAGACCTCGTGTCTTTTGCGCTTTAGCGATATCAGCATCAAGCATAGTTCTCTTGCTATTGAGGGATCGATCTTGGCGTGTTTCTGAGCCAATTCATGGAACATATATTTTAAGCAACACTACCTGCCTGAAGAGCAATACCTGACTGGAGATTCATGTGATTCGAACCGATCGCTTCCTCCAATGACTTATGATTTGATAATTATTTCGCAAATGCACAATGTAGGTTCCTGAGAGGTGCATGGCAGATATTCATCGAGCAATCATCTGATCAATGACTGAGAGTGTGATGGTTTGCCCTTGCAGACAGGTTTCCGATTAGTAACATACATGCTGTGCATTCACCGCGGTTCGAAGACCTATAAGACGACTGTGATTTTGTCATGTCGTACTTTGTTAGGAGATCGCGATCGAAAACTGCCTAGTGCGCTAGCCACCCAGGCCTCGGTCTATCTTCGCTGTCCCCCGGATGTGATCGGCAAACATCTCATGCCTCGAACCTGCAGCTCCAAGAACCTCAGGGTTATTGCGGTCGTCCGTATAGATCTTGGAAGAATGACTTTAATGTGATACACCTTCGAAGCCGTCCTGGAGCACAAGTCAGATCGGGCAATAGCCGAGCGAGTCCGGCCCTGAGCTATACTAATCATCGTAATCATCCATGCCCTACTGCTGCTGTTTTGTAATCACGGTATTTCGCACTTTGTCGCGCGAAATCCTGCACCTCCAGTCTCATAAAAGGAGTACTGTGCTATTGCGTGCTTTAGCTTAATGGTTCCCTGCCTCATGCTGCAGCAGCTTTGTGGTAGCAACCCAAAATGACCGCCCACAAGGTTCGTCGTGCAACAAGCGTGGGAATTTTCCCAAGGCCGAGGTCTTGCTATGCTAATGTTCGGGTTGTAGCTTCGTCCCAGTCAGCCCCTCCACTCGAAAAGCCCCTGCGGCGGTATGCCGTCGAGGTTCAGAAGTACGGTACCTTCAGAACAATTCCCCGCTGAAAAGGACCGATATGTGCTATATGTCAATGCGGTCTGTCCCTGGGCTCATCGAGCGGTGATCGTACGAGCTTTGAAAGGCCTGGAAGACATCATAGATGTGATTGAGATTGACGCAAGAGATCCAATACACGGTTGGTTCTTCTCTGGCCGTCGCGGCCCCAAATGCGACCCAGTCCACGGGTTCCGATGGCTAAAGGAGTTCTACTTAATAGCAGATCCGACCTACACAGGCCGGATCACTATTCCCGTGCTATGGGATAAGCAGCAAGGTCTACATTTATCCAGTCTGGACAGGAAAGCAGGCGACTGACAGACTGCAGGAACCATCGTGAACAACGAAAGCGCAGACATTATACGTATGCTAATCAGCGGCTTTGACAATCTCTTACCACCTGAGAACCGCGAAGTTAACAAAGGCTCTGCCGCTCTTGTACCCGAGCACCTGTCCGCTGATATCGATGAGCTCAATTCCTGGGTGTTCGACACCGTGAACAACGGCGTATACAAGATCGGTTTCGCTACATCACAAACCGCATACGACGAGCACATTACCAAACTCTTCCATTCGCTCGATCGACTCGAGGAACACCTCTCCGAGCCCGGGCATCATCCATATCTGTTTGGACAGCACATCACCGAAGCCGACATCCGCCTCTACACTACCCTCATCCGATTCGATATCGCGTACTATGCACTGTTCAAATGCAACATCAAGATGATTCGGTTGGACTACCCACGCCTGCATGCATGGCTCAGGTGTCTTTACTGGAACGATGGCCCAGAGACGGCAGGTGGGGCGTTCAAGAACAGCACTCATTTTGACATTGTAAGCACTTGGGTTCTGGGACCAACAAGGCTTGTGGCTAACTATGACAGATCAAACGAGGATATGCGTCAGTGACGGTGGGTAACGGCATCGTACCCGCCGGACCTTTACCGCACATCATGCCTCTATAACAGCTACTATTCGTTTTCTATGTTCGTATGCATGTTTCATTTTGTTTATGGCAACAATGCAGATATCCAGATAAGATCATCCTCGTGATCAAGCACGTGTTTATGGGAGTTCTACAAGTCATATTGTTGCGATATTCTAGCACTTAATGTTTCCAATCTTTGTTCTCTCAGCTCCACAAGCTTCTTAATGAAGAGCTCGCCAAGTGTCTCCATGAACCACAATCAAGACTGGTGTATGTCTATCAACGGCTGGAGGTATCTTGTTGCTTTAGGTCTTGGAAACGGGAGACCCGTGACTTCAATCTAAACTGCATTTGAGAAACACTATAGATTGGCAGCCGCAGCAACTAGACCCACGCAGAAACAGGATTTGGTGAGCAGATTGTGACAATCGGGTTTACGACGATGTGGTCCGAAGCTGGCCACCAGACATGACGAACGATTAGAAGTTACGGTGTTGTAAGCCCTTTAGGGGCACTTGAGTATATCTGGACGGTGGCCTATACGTCAAAACTCCACATTGAATGTTGCCCAACGTCTATTTTAAACCTGTGTCTGTGCATTAGAATCATATTCTCTGGAAATACTCTAGTCACCTACTTTAACCACGCCACAAGTTTCACAGCGACCATGCCGGCACTCTTGGCAACTTGGATTCCAATCTCCGTATGGACCATCACCACACTCGTGACAGTACCAACATACATCGCTACGTGGTCCGGGCGATTTTGAAGCAATCGGCGATTTAGAAGCAATCGGCCATTTTGTTAAAGCGGTGTTTGCGTATGGCTTGAAGCGTTGCAGTTGTATCAAGCGCACGATCTCCTGAGTATCATGCGGCAGTGAGACAGAAGTAGCAGCCATGGCCTGCTTTATATCCTCCGTGACACCAGGAAGTGGTACCATATAGACCTCACCATAGGCGTCATCTGCAACAACGACGCCATGGACACATACCCTACGGGTTATGACACTCTGGCTATCATCATTAGTGTTCATGATGAACTCTTCTGACACAACCCAGGAGCCGGAGTAGTCTTTCGGAAGCTCAAATTCTGATTGGAGTATGAGCTTATGCCAGAAACTGTGAGTTCGAACTTACCACCAAAGCTGGCCATGGTCATCGCATGAACACTGATGAAAGAGTTTCCCGAAGGAAGTATGGCTCGTGCAGGCAGGTTCGATATCTTAGCCGCACCAATTGAGAGAGGATCGGGACGAAACCGAACGGTTCCTTGACATGTACCAAGAACAAACTGCTCACGCGCTGGCTCGTTGGCGGCAAAATTGGCGACCGTGGTCCTGTTGGAGAACTCGATGAGAGCCCAATCTCTATTTCGAGCTCTCGCAGAGAACGATATATTCGAGATATGTCCCAACGTACGACGTGAGGATGCCAGCGTGGTGCCGCTTTCTGGAGTGGGTTTGGAAATGAAGTCATCGATACCGACATCGAGCTGCGGTGACTCTACGACGTTCTCAGAGTGTATCAGGTGCCCGATAGTCAGCCCGTGTATGGTTTCGACACTATTTGCGTCCTTAGAGACTAGCATGCCGCCCATAGTAGCATGATACTCATTTGATCGTTGGGTGAGCGTAATTGGACCTGACCAAAGATGTGTAGAAGGTGTGCCTGCTGTAAGGGTGACTTCCACATCGTCCCATAATCCGCTCTTGAATCGTAAAGGGCGACCCACATATGCCACCTCAAGTCCTCCTGCAAGACATAGATCTGCGCAACAATTCCGAGCAAAGTCCTTGTGAAAGAATGATTCTACATTCTTCACTACAGCAGCTGGACAAAAGACTACGATCCATGGTTTGGCAGAGCTCTCATCTATTCCCAAAATTTTGATTCTGAACATCAGCGGTTTGAAGACATTAGGAACCCTCGACAAATGAGCGAGAAGTGGTTCTTGCAGGTCGTCCAACAGAGAATTGAGTCTCGCCGATAATGCCGGGTCCACGTCCTTCTTGATAACTTGTAAACCGTTGATTTGTGTGTAGTTTTCCTCACAGGTGGTGTGGAGCTTGCTTCCACATTGCGGACATTTGGGTTTACCCATTGCGGATATGTGGGCTACAGGCAAATGGGAGTGGTGCTGTTTGGTGCAAGCATTTCGCCAAACGAGACTCGAAGAACCAGCTGGTAGAGATAAGCGTGCCAGATGATGAAAGGCTGATTCCGCAGTTTTGCAAGCCTTAGGCTCTGAACGGGTTGTTGGGGGTATGTGTGGTGGCTCAGAGCTGCAGCTGCTCCGAAAAGGAGCCAATCGTAGTATGACACACGCGACTCAGCCCCAGCCCCTCCAAGTGAAGGCATATCACTTGTTGTTGTAGTAGGAAATGTTCAAACTACTCTCGCCCCCTTTACCGGTCTTGCAAAGATCATCATGTCGTTCACTCCTCTCGAAGTCGTTGCCGATAGTGATTTACAGAGTATCTGCAAATGCGTATTAGGTTGGCAAATGTGCGGCCAATGCAATGGGAAACCCCACTGTAAGACGCCAAAATGCCCCTGGAGTCGTAGAGACCGCGTTCGATCGGTTCTGACGCGATATGAACGCCTCTGTTCATATTACATGCCAGTTTCAACAGCACACCAGGCTTTGAGCTGCCACCAAGACCTTCTAGATATAATGGAGCTGATCAAAGATCATCCGAACATGATCAAGGAACAGTTGATGAAACAGCACTTCAATACTGCGGCAACTAGCGTACCTATTCTGGACCAAGAGCGAGCCTTCAATCTTGCTGTGAGCGTGTTACTTTCGATAAACTGTGGCATACCCAACGACTGCGCAGACAACCTGGAAGACAGTGCAGATTCGTTCCCCTGGGCCTGCGGAATATCAGTTACTGCTTTGGTGGATGAGGCTTTTGGAACCAAGTCAAATGGACACAAAACAGTGGATTCGCCATCGATACTCGAATCAAATCTGTCCGCTCAGTGCTTGAGAAGTACGGCTAGGTTGCGAATCCAAGCAACCGATGACATGCGCAGCCATCTCAAGTTGGATCTGAAAGCCCGAGTAGTCTACCTGTTCGACTGTACAGTACTAGCAGAAGAGATGCTTGCAGCAACCAGACAGAGTCCACAGCAGGGGATCCTGCCCCGGAAACTACTTTTGGAAATTTTGCACACGATGTACAGAGTCCTGTTTCCTCCTGGGCGTGAATCAGAGGCCTTTGCATTGTACTTAACGAAGAAGCACGGTTTTGAGAAGGGATTCCTGAGTTACAGGATACGTTGGTTCGGAAGAGACGACGACCCAGAAGTTGACTATTCATACTTTGGCGACCGACTTGTGGAGCTGCACAACGAACTGAAGGATCCAAGTCCACGAAACTGGTTCGAGCGATTGTTTGAGGGTGGCACGAGAAGCGCCGAGAGGAAAATGCTCATGGCCACAACGATTGGCGTATTTATCGCAGTCACCATTGGACTATTCGGATTGGTGATTGCCGGGTTCCAGGCTTGGGTGGGCTATCAGCAATGGAAGCACCCTGTGAAAGATCAGTGACCGGTTATGACCGATGAGTCTATCGGCGTCTTATCAAGTTTGAATTTCATGAAATTTCGTTCGTTGAGATCGTAAGCGCTCAGAATCGCAGGGGTATATAACTGTGCTGCTGGAAAATCAATCTCATCCCAAAAAGTCGCACTTAAACACGTTCTATGTCCGTGCTACCTCTCATCCGAAAACCCGTGCTGAGTCTTTCAACGGGTCCAGGTCGCACCTCCACACTCAACCTGCCTCCTGCCATACTCATGCCGCGCCCACGTGTAGTGACATGCATTGCGTCCTTGCCTGCTGTGCTGCGACTTGCAGCAGTACGCAAGGTCGTTCCGTTGCCGTACTCGTATCCATTGCCTAGATAGCTCCCGATGCTGCGACGTCCATTTGCTTGCACCATGCTGCTACGTCCAGCACTGAGTGCTTGCTCGAGCGCACGCCCATCGACCACGTACTCGATGCCCATTTTTTCATCACTGAAAACTGCGGTGCTGTACACATCGTTGTGGGTATGTGCGGTGTTACTTTTCCTGTCCCGCCATCTGCGTCTGATTTCGCGAAAGAAGTCTCCTATTGCATCGAAAGAGAGCGCAATGGCGATGAACGGAATCGAGATGGCGAATCCGATTCCGAACATGAACTTGAACACGTATGACATGGGAAGGAGTGGCTCATCGCCGCCAGGTGTACGTGGGTACTCCTCAATGTTAATGGTAAAGAGAGAGGCGATAAAGCTCAAGGGCAAGAAAATGATGGTGACGATGGTGAACACCATGATGGTCTGACCTTGCCGTGCAGTGCCAGCGGCCTGGTCGCGCGCGAAGCGTGCCTCAAACGCGTTGGCGTGTTTCTGTTTGAGATCAAGCAGATCTGTGATGGACTTGTAGATACGTTCTGCCTGCTTGTCCATCCGCTCCAGATCTTTCATATGTGTGTCAATCGTTTTGAGCTGGTCTTTGAAGTGTCGCTTGAGATCTACCTGCGACTTCCGCTCTTCTTTGTAGATATCAGTGATAGCAACCTCGAGGTCCGGGATTACGGAGCGCTGATCTTCGAGGACCTTCGCGATCATGTTAAGCTCATCGCGAATGTCCTTCGTCTCTGCCAGAAGGTCTGTCTCGGATCCGATGTCGAGAAGCTTATCGACAAAGAGAGGTGCATGAGCCAGCGAGGAGTCATCGTCGAAGCCAAAATGTTCTTCCTTGACCGGTGGGTCGGTGAGTGCGTGTGCATGAGTGTGGTGTGGCACGTGGCGGCGGTTTTGATGCTCACGGTGCCTCCCTTCAGCCTCGAGGTGCCGCGAGAATCGGTTCGCGCGTCTGTGATGCTGTAACCAAGCAGAAGCTTGAGCTGAAGCGGTGTTGAACTCTTTGAACAACATTGTTTCCATCTCTGTGGCATCGCCGATACTGCTTTCGAACATGTCCAAAAACTGGTATTCCTCGTCGCCAACACGGTGCCTATCAAAAACACCACTACAACGCTCAGTAATGATCGTAGATAGATCATACACACTGCGCACAGGTTCCTGGGTCTTGCTGTTGAGTCTTTCGATGATACCGTCGAGGACATTTAACGGGTCGTTTCGAGGTTGCTGCCATCGCTGAGGGAAAGCAGTTACGATCAAGTCTTTGCCTAATACCCACATCCAAAGTTGATCAACCATGAAGATCTTGGGGTCGGCATAATCACTACGAGTTGACTTGCATTGGTACCTGTACACGACTTGATCTCGGTCTCGTGATTGCGTGTCGATGTTGTGGTAGAAAAACTGGTCCAAAGTTCGACGGACGTGTAGTGAGACTTGAGAAGATGTCAAATGAGCTCGTAGCATCATCTCATCGTAAGTTGACGGCCTCCGTAGCGGTGGAGGTGCAATATGCGCATCGTGTCTATTGCGTTCTTTAAGATGCTGAGCTCGCGCGATGGCATCTTGCATCTCCTGTCTCCTGCGATCTGTTTCGAAATGCAGATATGGCATGAAGGTGAAAATATTCGACTTGGCAACAGCGGTGGGGTCCTTTCTCCCAGGACTGCCCGGCGATCGAAGACAGCCGCTTTCGGTCATTGGCATGCTACTCTTCCGACCCGTCTGATAATCGTAGTGCTTCGTCGGTGTTTCCGTACCCCGAGATCGTCCTCCGGCCGGCTTGGATCCTCTCCACTTCTGTAATTTTCCCGTCTTATCCTTTTGCTTGCTCTTGCCTTCTTTCCCTGTTGGGGTGCCTGATCCTGTAGTCCAATCTGTCTGATCGGTGCTGACAGTGCCTGTTCGGGCAGGCGCTCGAGGAAATGGGGGCAGCGGCGGCTCTTGCACACCTGCTATAGAAGCAATGCTGAGACCGAGACCACTGTTGACGACTATCTGCGGTGGTCCTTGTTCCGCGCCATCGGACAGATCAGACTCTTCATTGTGTTTGGGTGCACGTGGAGTACTCTGACAAAGAGGGCGCATGAAGTGCGAGTGTATCTGCTGGCCGCGATGTTGATGCGTGAACGATCGTTCAAGCGCCCTGAAGCCCTCGTGATCATTCGCGCCCTCTTCAATGAACGCTTTGGTCAGTAGCGCTTCGACCCAAGCCATGTTGTTCGCGGGCAGATGGATCCAGCGGAAACTCGTCGCTTTGGATTCTTGCGGCAGGATCGTTACGGCCGGTTTCCTCGGGTTGATGGCATCCCGACCATATAGAATTTCATACACTGTCCGTTTCGTGACTTTGTTGTCATTGTGATAGTTTCCAAAGTCAACAATCGTGGCATCAAACCCGTTACAAGCACCCAAAGCGTCTTCGCTGAGCGACTCCACGTTATTAGAAGGGGCCAAGAGATGAACAATGTCTCGCCTTCTATTCTGCGCGGCGCGTAGAAACGGCGTTATGCCAAATGAGTCTCTTGCAGTGCGTTTGAGGTCTTTTCTTTCTAACAGACATTGAACAACTTCGAGGTGTCCAGCTTGAGCAGCGACATGTAACGGCGTCATACCGTTCAGCAAACGCGCATTGATGTCTGCCCCAACACGGAGAAGGACCCTGACAACTTTGACTGTTCCCTGTCCGCAGGCGTTATGTAAAGGCGTCCAACTTCCATCACTCTTTGCCATAACGTCGGCGCCGTGTGCGAGAAGCGTCTCGACGATATCGTCTCGACCATGCGCGATCGCAAGGTGAATGGGCGCCTTTCCTCTTCCCTCGGCTGCATTCACATTCGATCTCGGAAGTCTCGGCCGCTCCAGTAGCATTTCGCAAAGTTCGCGTTTGCCCGTGCTCGCCGCCCAATGAAGCGGGGTTCTCTTCTGCTCGTCTTGCCCCGGTGGTCCATCGAGGGCAATGTTTTGACGCAGCAACAATTCAATCACGTTGGATCCCCAATTGCAGTCCTTGTCTGCCGCCAGATTGTGTAGAACGTGCCGTCCACTGCTGTCCTTTTTGTTCACATCCGCACCTCTTTTCAGCAGCACGTCTACGACGTGAAAGTAGTTCTTCCATGCAGCAGTCATGAGGGCAGTACGGCCTTGCTTGTCCTGTGCATCTACATTCCCTCCAAACCTGAGCAACAGCTGCAACAGCTTTGGATCGTTCCTGTCTACTGCCTTCAAGACAGGCGAAAGCCTGCCTCCTGGCGCGCCATCAGGCTTCGCTCCGTTCTGGAGCAGGTATTCGGCGATTTCGGCGCTCGTTCGTTCGACAGCGCGCATCAGACCGATGCGCAACAGGTGTTCGATGGGTTGCGCCTTGGCCTTAGCCTCCTCGATGATGGCAATGACCTCTCCATGGCGCTTCTTCTCGATCGCGGTCAGAAGGAGTGGTTCGACGCGTGCAGGTGCGCCCCCATCACTTGAGTGGGAAGGCGAGCGACCCATGCCGACTTGTGAAAGCGCGCAACTGTGCTGTGGAGCGTCCTTCGGCTCGTGACGTGATGAGACGGCGCCTCAATGTCGGTACAGGGCGTCGTCCATGTTGCGCAATGTTTTTGTCGAAAAGCAGAACCTTCTGCGGGTCAAGTATGGGATCCTGATCCCGTCTGGACATCGTTGCACAGGCGCCAGTGAGCGCACGCGGAAGAGCTAAGCTCGCACAGCCCTGTTGCATGGTGCATCATCACGTGTTGAGGATGATCTGCAGTTGTGGCTGATACCGGCAGGGATGTCTACAGCTTGCCGAATGTTGTGAGAGGTTGGTGCATTGTATGATCTTTTACCTCGAGTTGTCTACATGAAGTCGGATTGACTGGATCTGCCGCGGCGCCAGCACGGGGGTGACGTCGACTCGACACGGCCCTACACGCGGCAACTGACGGCTCACCCAACCAACACACGTCCAGTCTCAGATGCACGATTGACGTGTCTAAACGGGAGCTGTACGCTACATTGCGGGGAACCGCAAGCCCCTGACTACAAACAGCTATGGAGTCCGAGGTCTACAAAGCGTCGCTGCTGCCGCTACCCGACAACTCAGCCTCGTCGACATCTTCAACATCACGTCGAGGGGATTGGAGGAGTTCAACACTCTTTCATCGTGTCGTCGTTGCATTCTGTATTATCGCAGCCTACCTCGGCATCTATACATTCAACAGTATGACATCCGCGGACGCTGACGTATCACCATACACCGAATCGATCTTCCTGCCGTACATATACAAGTTCAGCGCTAAGCATGTACCGCAAATACAAACTATCATCAACGGTATCGAGATTGAGATGCCAATTGATACAGGCAGCACAATGACGTTGATTGGCGCATCCATTCTACCCAACATCAACAAAACCATAGGAACGCCCGCGCACCATTTCTTCACCAGCAGCAAGATTCTGTACGTTGGGCGGCTCGTAGATCTACCAATCGCGTTCCATGGGGAAAGCGGCTCGCATGCCGTTGCGGAAGTACCAGTCCTGCTGGTCGACAAGAGTTGGACGTGTCCGTGGTATAAACCAAGCACACCAGCAGGGCGATTTGAATGCCCAAAGGGACCTAACGGCGAAGACGCTGTCGTTCGAGACACGTCCAAGATAACATATATGGGTGTTGGCTTTGGTAGAAACGGGCCAAAGGATGGTATGCCCTATGCCTCCCCAGGAGTAAATCCATTCCTGAATGTGGTATCGATCAATGGGCGAGCAGTATCGCCGCGATCCATGCGAACTGGATATGAGATCTCTTCACGGGGCGTGCATCTCGGCTTGACAGAAGCAGTCATCAAAGGTTTCAGCTTCACACGCCTTGAGCCGGGCTTGACACACGACGAGGACTCAAGAGACTGGGCCATGGTCAAGATGTGTTTCAGCATCGACGGCGAGGGGAGCCATTGCGGTCCTGGCTTGGTGGACACCGGCATCGCGCAGATGTATATTCGAGCTGAAGAAGGCTGTTCAATACCGAAAGTAATGATTCGAAACCCAAATCCGAACGGTACAGCGAAGATGGTGAAACGCGTCAAGCCTGGCACAAAGTTTGCCATTGGCTTCCCAGCGTTGAATGAGTCTGTGATGGCTTACACGCTCGTAGTCGGAGAAGGTTCGCAGATCGAGCCGAGTTACGTCTTTCCAGAAGCGTCTCTGCGGCCACCGTTCGTCAACACAGGGCGGAATCTACTTTGGGGCTATTCGATAGCCTTCGACGCAGTCGATGGGCGGTTCGGGTTTCGGCCGATAGATAGCTCCTCAAATCCACCGCCATCTGTGCTGTGACCAACAGGTCCAGCCTGCATACAGCATCTTCAACTCTTCGCGAGCTTGTTTGCTGGACTCAGCTCCAGCCCCTCCATTCTTATACCGAGTCCAGTGCCCTTACCCAGACCATCTAGTCATTTGACAGTCAGGCTTCGCATAGGGCTTTTGGATCCCTCTCTGAGTGCCTTGTACTCCTCGACTGCTTTGAAGACCACGCTATGCGCCTGTTCACCGTCGAGACCTGCAACGACAATAGCGCCCACGCAACCTTCCACGCCCTTCACAAAGACGGGGTATCCCCCTCCTTCGATGGTGTACTTCGCCCACTCATCGCCGCTCATGGCGTGATGCTCAGCAAAGCGCTTGTAGTCCCCATCGAACTGGCAGTTCATCTGCCACGTCGAATGCCCCCAGCGCAGCACCGTGTTGCGTTTTCTCTGCACCCACGTTTCGTGGTCGGGCATCATGCCTGGCAGGCTGGGCGAGTGGAAGAGCGTCTGGCTCGCGAAGGAAATGTGGATTAGCGCCGCCGTGTCGGCCGCTCGCAGCGTGTTCCGCAGGATATTGCCGATGACCCATGCATGTTCGCACGTGAAGTGGGCAAACGTAAAGGACTTCTCCTCGCGAGCGAGGTCGGCAACGTTGCGCGTGGGTTTCGGGATGTCGAGCATCGTATTCGAAACGAGCGAGTCGTGGGTTCTATAGGACGGCGAAAGTTCGTTATTGCCGTTAATCTGCAGGGAAACGGGATATAGATTCATGGACTGGGTAGATCTCTAGGGAGGGAGGTTTTATGAAAAGATATTGACATGTGGCGCGGCGAAAAGGAGCGCGCACCCCAAGAGACCGCGCGCCGGCAGTGGTAGCGTCGAGTTATGCATGCTGGAGATGAAGTGGAGCGACGCGGCTGGTCCCGCAACTATTCGAGGTTTTGCAAATTGGGAAACCGGAAGCGACACGGAATCGGTCCTCGGTTTCATTGCCCGCCCACGGACTTACTTCCTTTGTTGTCTGACTTCATTTACAATACACTCGAAGAAGTGCCGTCTATGATTCAAGTCTGTTCTCGGAACATCAGGACACCCGTGCCTTCCCAATACCCTTGAATTCAACAAGTTGTCCGCCTGTCTCGCGCACCAGCCACTCCATCAGTGTCCGAAATGCAGACCAGTCGTCGTCTTCCTGCGCAGTGTCCTTTCCAATCTGCTTGCGTTTGCTCCAACGCGAATCCCCAGTCTTGAGTGCAATAACACTACCCGTATCTTGTGCACAGTCGAAATCTCCAACAACAAAATGATCCCTGAAGCCACGCTCAACGTATACGTTCTGTGGCCTTATATCGCCATGTACTACTCCCCAATAGTGCATGTGTTCAATGGCAGCAGAGATAGACTGAAGACACAGCTTCACATCGATCTTTTGGCGCCGGATTACCATCTCGTGCAACGTGCAATCGTATTTCTTGAATACGAGACCTACCACACTGTTCTGCGCCAGCGGCACCGCGATTTTACCGCCTTTGTATTCGAAATCGAGCTCGTCACGCACCTGCACGCCTAGATATTGGGCGATGTTTGCGTGCGGCTGCAGCCCTAGCCGGTCGCAGATGCTAGCCTCATGTGCCGTAATTTGGCTCGCACGCGATGTTTGCACGGCAGACATGCCATATGCGGCGATGACGTCGAGGGCCCGAGTATGTTTGATGTAAACGTCCTTTGCAGTGGCGCCATCTTTCTTACAGTATAGTGCAAACTGAGCGGTGTATCTGGGATAGATGTTCGCAAGGTCAACGCTATCCATCCGCATTTCGTTTACCGCGGACGAGAATTTTGTTAGTTGGTTGGTATTGGGCGGTGACTTCGCGTCATACGCTGTGATATAGAGCACTGAGTCCTTGTGGCAGAGGGCAATGATGGTATTGCTGGTTGGGAGCTCAAGGATACGCCAGTCTACCACTTGCATGCCCGGAATCGAAGGCGCATCGGGTGAACCGAGCCCGAGGCGGCGGACAAGTTTGAGCATATGCTTGATAATCTAATGTGCTCTTTAGAAACGAATCTGGTTGTTTGAGAGTTTGGGATGCAGCCCTAATCGTGCAACATATAGGAACATCCGAATTCTACAGGAGGAGACGTGGTACGGAAGACTTTCACTCTGTCTCCATCAATCTCACAAAGCCCTTTCTCCTGTGTACCATGCATTGTAGGCCATGGTGCTTCCTTTGTTCGAGTCCTTTGAAGTCCATTGTGAATACCTCAGTCGTGCTCTACCAAGGCCTTTCTTTGATACTTCGTCCGAATCTAAAACTCTTGAGATCCTGGCAATGGTCACACTACAAACACCAACTGATGATCGAATCATGCTGTCTCCCTCGCGTTCACCGACCCTTAAATACTATATCCAGCCAGATATGTTTTCCTTTTTTCCAGATATAGTGCATAATTGTGAAGAATGACCGGCCCACCGTATATGGCACTGCCGTTCTGTTAGCGATAATGTATACTGACTTGATGGTCAGTGTCGTCTTGTGGAAGCGTAGCTATGGATGCTTTGGTGCTTGCAGTCCCGTGTTCAGCTGTCGGAACTTCAATGACAGCTTTATACAATCATGACTGCGAAACTATGTGAATGTGGTACATCGAAGAGAACAATAGCAGTAAATCCCATTCCTTGGTCTATGTGGAGCTTTGTGATATTGTCACGAAGATCGTACTCTGCTAAAAACAAACTATCTCTTGCACTGTGAGTGTGTCTTCCTACATGCCAGTTATTTTGAGTTGGACCAGAGCTTCGTCTACATCAACGTTCCACTCTCGTTGATCTTCCCTGCATCCAAGATGGCAGGCAACAAACCTGTTTCTGCCTCGCGGAGTGGGGTAGACGCTCTTGAACTCGCCCATAAGCTCATCCAATCTCGCGTCCACAAAGTCCCTAGTCTCACAACATTTCCAGAGACCATCGTTATCGTTCAAGATGTCGGAAGTTAGCTCCATATAGATGTGACTATCTATGTTTTGTGAGCCATACATACATACCGATATGAATGGATGAACTCACCTTCCGTGTATGCGCCGACTTTCAGAGGGACGTTGCAATAGCGGTTACCAGCTTCCTCATCCCGAGCGTAGTAACAATTACGGTCTAGGGTGGTGGAGGCTTCGTAAGCGGCAGCAAGAGATCCGATCAACAGATTACGGATCTGTTCGTTCTCGAAGTATGAGTGAACAACGTGAATCTGGTTGGTGGTGCCTGAATCGCAAAAGTAGTTAGAATCCGTCTAGATGTATTGAATCCTGCTTAAAGTTTGTGAGGGCTATACCAGTGACTTTGCCGGAGTCTTCTCGATACCGAGTTGGAAAGGACCACCAATTGCCCGCGCATTTGTGCTTCGGAAAGATAAAAAACCGATGCGGGCAGTCTTTCCTGAGACTCTGTTGAATGACGTGATAGAGTTTTGAGCCGGTCACGTAGCCAACGTTGTTGACAAAGTCCGACCCCATGTAGACCTCGATGGTTGCCTCGCCTTGCCATTTTCTCGGCATCCGGCCCTCATCTGGGAGAGCGCTGTACGCAATCTGCACGAGGTCGGGATCGGACACATTGTAGACGTTGACAGAGACTTGATTGATCAGTAAGGACGAGAGATTCAGTAACAGAGAACGTACCGTTGAGACTGTTGTTGGCTGCGACAGCCGCGACAGCTGCGAAAGCCAAGGGAAAGAACAGCATCGCCGCCACGAACACAGGAAAGAGTCGAAACATCATTTTGGCCAGTGGTACGCAAAGGACAGAAGGATGTCTGCGAGTCGGTGAGAGTGGGCAATTGAAGTAGTGGGAAAGTGCGCAACAGAGCGTTTGTTTATTGGGTGCTCCCCGTGACTAGCGCCACGTGAAGGGCAAGAGCTACCATGTGAGTGAAGCTCTCTGGAGCTACGGCTCCTTCAGACAGATGAGTGACCAACACAATCCACTAAGGGTCCCAAGGGCTTGTCGCAAACCCGCCGCTGATGTTATCTGCCTCGCCCTCCTCTTTCACTACCAGTATGTCCTCGTGACGCACGCCAAAATCATTGAGGACATACACGCCTGGCTCAGCAGTGAAGACCATACCAGGGCGCAAAGTTACGCCAAAGTTACCCTTGTTGAGGTAAGGGCTTTCATGGGCCTTGATGCCAATGCCGTGCCCAAGACGATGAGTGAACTCTTTCTCATAGCCGGCAGCTGCAATAACGCTCCGGGCAGCTATATCTACTGCAGCAGCGGTTCCGTTTGGCACCATAGCTTTGACTGCTGCGTCTTGCGCGTCAAGAACAACCTGCCACACGCGTAGCTGCTCAGTGACGTTGTAGCTTGAAGGTGGCGGGTTCGATACAAACGGTGGGTAGAACGTGCGACACACATCGCTGCTGTATCCATATAGGTGGGCGCCCACATCAATCAGTACAAACATGCCGGACTCGAGCTTTCTGCTGCCATCATATCCTCCATGAGGCAGCGCCGCGCTCTTTCCAAACTCGACAATGTCAAAAAACGGGTCCATCCCAGCTGCTCTCATTGTATCATCAAGAACCTCTGCAACTTCGTTTTCGGTAACGCCAACATAAAGGCACTGGCGCATGGCTCGTATGGCCTCAACGGTGCCGGTATTGACAGCCCTCAGAATGCCGAGTTCGCGCTCCGTCTTGATTTGGCGAACAGCTTCCACTTCGCCATTCAGCCCAACAACAGTGAAGCCATTGGCCGCGAGGCCGCGTTGAATAAAATCCCGCATCTCTTCATCGACCATCAGCTTAGGCGATAGAATTTCGCCCCATATTTCCGACTTGTACAGGGTAATGTAATAGTCCCAATGCTCTTCATACGTGACGGTATGGATGTCTTCTTCGAAAGGCATATTCAGGAGTCTAGCACGAGTCTCCTCGAAATGTGGAACAAGGAATGATGTGTTGGCGATGATGCTGCCGTCTGATAGTTTCTCAGGGCGGACGACCATGACGAAAGGGCGCTCTTCTGGCTCCCAAACCTCCCATTGCGGCTGGGTGATGTTTGCGTAATAGCTGAACGTATACCCAGGCTCAACAACAAAAGCATCAACCCCCTCCAACGCAAGAGCTTTGGCGAGGTTGTTCCTTCGCAAGACATATTCCTCAACAGGAGGTCTCTCAGCAGTGTCGAGGAACTTTAGTCCGGTGGCCCGGTATGTGTCAATGGAACAGGCCTTGAATTTGTCTTTCTTTGATCTGGTTAGAGGGGTTGAATGCGTATTGTATGCGCCATAATTCTGCATCGTTAGCTACATCATCGGGGAACATAATCATGACGAACCCAAACAAGTAGCAATGACACTGCAGCAATGCAAAACACCCATCGGGCAACGGCATTGAGCCTCGACTGTTGTCCATGTCTATGATAGGGCAACAATGTCTCTTTCATGATGATAAAGATTGGTGTTTTGGAACATGGGCACGAGTGCCGACGAAGTCGAGAGATGGTCGGATGCGCTTGCCCAATTCTCACTAGGGCTGTAACGTCGTCCAGGCACCCCATAGAAAGCCCACCCCCACTCCCACTCCTCTGTTTATCATTCGTCTTGAATCGTCGTCCATTTACTTCCGAAGCTCACCCGCCTGCCGTTCCGTCCATGATAAGGAAGACATTCTCCGAAAGATCGGCAGTACAAAAGGCAGTCGGACTGCGGTCACATTCACGATGGACCGTCTCGTGCCACTAACGTGCCAACTCAGTCAATATGGAAGTCACCCAAGCCAGGAACGATACAATGGACACAACACCTGTGCCAGCAAAAGAGTCAGAGATCAAGGTTGAGAGCAAAGGCAATGACACGACTCATGTCACTCCCACTGCTGACCTCGACTTCGAGGAAGGCCATGCGCCAATCCTCTACTCGAAGCGCTCCATTTTCTTCATGGTCCTCTTTTCGGGTCTGGCAATTGGAAGCGATGCGTACAATAGCGCACTGATGGGACAGTTGCTTCTGCTCCTCACAGCACTGTACCCGGAAAGTCTCAGCATTGCAACCCAGTCTCAGCTAACGAATGCCTTCATCATCGGCCTGATTCTTGGTATGTTGGGATTTGGCTTTATTAGTGATCGACTGGGTCGTAAATCCGGAGCCGTGCTGACGACTCTCTTCCTCTCCGTCGGTATCATCATGACGGCCGTGGCACATGGTACCAGCGATAGCGGCCTCTTCTGGATGCTCACTGTCAGTCGAGGCATTGCTGGTTTTGGTGCTGGTGGCGAATATCCAGTGGCGGGAGCTGGTACGGCAGAGTCTACGGATGACTCTCCGCGAGCGCGAAAGCACCGTGGCTTCATCTTTGCCATGGTTGCAGACGTCTCCGCGTCCCTGGGTTTTGTGTTCTCTGGTCTTGTCCCACTCCTCCTGCTTCTCTGCTTTCACGAGCGCGAAGCACACTACGAGAAGATCTGGCGCATTGCATTTGCTCTTGGTGTAATCGTACGTCCTCTCCTGCCCGCAGTCATCCAGCCTACTAACTAAAATTAGCCTCCCATCTCAATCTTCTGGTTCCGCTGGCGAATGGCCATGTCTTCAGCCGAGCGTCGCAGTAGTGCACGTAATACCATCCTGCCCTACCACCTCGCCATCAAGCGGTATTGGCGCCCGCTCCTCGGCTCAGCAGCTGCGTGGTTTATTTACAACTACATCGCCTACCCTTTCGGCCTCTTCAGTTCCACAATCTCCGCATCCGTCAATGCTGGCGACTCCCTCGTCAAGTCCTACGGCTGGGGCACCCTCATCAACTGCTTCTACCTGCCCGGTGGATTCATCGGCGGCTACCTATCTGACAAGATCGGCCGCAGAAAGACGATGGCACTGGGCTTCGGGCTGCAGGCCTGTCTCGGATTCATCCTCGGCGGGTGTCTGAAGTACATCCAAAACATCACCCCGCTGTTCATCGTCCTCTACGGCCTCTTCCTTACCCTCGGCGAAGTCGGCCCCGGCGCGACCATCGTCGCGACCTCGTCAGAGTTCTTCCCCACCAGCATCCGAGGGCAGATGCTGGGCCTCTGCGCCGCGTTCAGCAAAGCCGGCGCCGCCATCGGCACCAGCGTCTTCAAGCCCATCCTCGCGTCCTACGGCGACGACACCGTGCGCGGCAACCAGGCCGTCTTCCTCATCGGCTCCGGCTTCGCCGTCATGGGCATGCTGGTCGCGTGGTTCTTCATCCCCGCGGAGCCACCCAATCTCGCCGAGGAAGACGAGAACTGGAAGATCTATCTGCAGGACGCCGGGTACGAGATCCAGTGGGGCGACGACGTGGCACAGGACCCGAAGCGGGTTGTGTTTGATGCCGTGCGGGACAAGACGGTCGACTGAGTGTGGAGTCTGGACTAGAGCGCTGTGATAACTTGATGATGCCCGTGTGTCTGAAGTCCCAAGCAACAGTTATCCAGATGCAGCAATGAATTCCTACAAATGCTTTGCCAATGCACCGCAGTATACATAGTGCTGACGCGATTTACATATATGACCTCATCAAATCACCCCCTCACGCACGACGTCACGCGTGACAACACCACGTGCAACTACATGCACTACACAGCATATCCAACGTATTGCCATCTGTCCCCTCCCTCGTCGTGACCGTGACCGTGGCCGTGCATAGTATGAAACGCGTCATCCCCGGATTCAAGACTCTTAGGAACGATACTTTCATTCTGTATGCGTGACATTGATGTAGCGAGCAAGAGTGACGATGGAGTTGGTGCTTCGGGCTTGATGTGAAGGTCTGCTAGGGCTGGTTTGGAGAACGTGCTTAGGGCTGGTTTGGAGAACGTGCGTAGGCATTGTGCCGGGAGGCTTGGTGATGAGTGTGTGGATGTGGTGTGTTGCCACTGTGGGTGTGGCTGTGGAAGGGACGTGAAAGCGTAGGGGGGGGGGGGGGGCATATCCGTACACGACATTGCAGAGAAGGAAACCGCCTTCTCGCCACTGTCAATGGCGACACACGAGTGAGTTATCACAGCAAGAACACGCAGAATAGTGAAACCTGTGGGATCAGGTGCAATGCAATCTAAGCCGAACACGCATATCTACCTGCACAGATAGACTACCGCATGACCACATTACCGGACCCTGCCGCACCGCACCGTACCGCACGTAGCGCAGCGCAGGGCAGGGCAGCACAGGCACAGGCACAGGCACAGACACAGCACAGCCCCGGGCCGCAGCGCCCCAAACTCCAGCGCGAAACCCCGAACCTCGGTCGTAGTGTTACACAAGCCCGGCCTCCCTCGTGGCTCCTGGGCAGCAAACGCGGCGGCGCGCCTGTGTCGTGTAGCTCCGCGCGGGCGCAAGATATAGATGAGAAAGGAAACGTGGTGGTGGTACAGGGGCCCGGAGCCCGAGGCCAAGCGGCTAGACCTCGCCGTCGGCAACGGCGAGGCGCTGTTTGGCCGTCTTGGCTTTCTTGCTGAGGCCCTTTTTCTTCTTGCCTGCGGGCGCTTCCGAGGGGATGGGCGTCGCGGCGCCGCTGGGCTTTTCGCTCTGGTCGAAATGGCCTTCGCCTGGACGGGGGTCAGTGCGGGTTTGGGGGGAGGGGTACGTAGTGGGGACTCACCTTCGTGATACATGTCGTCTAAGTTGGCCTCGACACGCTTCTTGGCCTTGCGCTTCTTGCCCGGCGGCGCGTTCTTCTCCTGCTCGGCGAGTTCAGCTTCCTTCTTCTCGATCTCGGCGGCTTGGTCGTCGTCTACGAGCCACATGGCCATATCCTTGGTGCGGTTCTCGCGGGACCGAGTGTTGAAGTCGACGGCGCCTCCGGCGCCTCCGGAAATAACAACGCGCTGCACTTCTTCCTTCTGCAACGCACGCTTGCGAATGCGTTCCTCGATGGTGCCGCGGGTGATGAGACGGTAGACAGTGACCTGCCTGGTTTGACCGAGACGATGGGCGCGATCCATAGCCTGCGAATCGATCGTAGGGTTCCAATCGGAGTCGTAGAAAATGACCGTGTCGGCAGAGGTCAAATTAATACCAAGACCGCCAGCACGTGTTGACAGCAAGAAGACGAAGATGGTTGGGTCGCTCTGGAAGTCGGCAACAGTGTCGCGACGGTCTTCGAGCTTGGTGGATCCGTCGAGTCGCACGAACTTGTAGTTGCGGTACGTCAGATACTCCTCCATCAGATCGATCATTCGTGTCATCTGGAAGTAGAGCAGCACGCGGTGGTCGTTGACCTTGAGCTCCTTTAGCAGTGCGTCCAATTGGGCAAGCTTGCCAGAATCCGTAACGAAGCGTGACATTGACGGAGCCTCGATATGAGTGAATCTAGATCTCTCATTGGTCGGAGGCGGCAGCCTGTCACGAACGATCAAAGCTGCGCTGTCCGATTTGGACTCGAGCATCGTTTGTTCGACCGTGCTTGAGATACCGTACAGGGCAGATCGAATCGAGGGGTTAAAGAATGTGTTCTGCTTTTCGGCGATGACAGCTTGGCTGGCGCAATACAGCTCGACTGGTGGAGCAGCAGCGACAGGCTTTGCGCACCGTTCGACGAAGTTGAGTCCAGTCTCTTCAAAAGCAGGCCGGGCCACGTTAAGGAGGTTGTGCATGTAGCCCTCAGTAGTAAGCTCGGCCAGAGGCTGCCTGTCCTGTCGGCTGACAATGTTCAGCATGGAATGCTTCGGTGCCCACTTGCCGTTGTCTTCGTCGTAGAGAATGTTGAAGCGAGCGCTCTTGTTGGGTTTCTCTCCAAGCTCGATGGACCTCTGGAACAAATCACTCTTGGCAATCTTCGACGCTTCGCTCGCCGACACATCTGAAAAGCGGAGCCACGAGTGCGCTCCGGCCTCCCGGGCTGACCTCTCGAGGTTGTCTGGTGTCCAGATGTTCAGCTGGTTATACAACCAATGGCCGTTGAAACCAGCCTTGGGGTTCTCTGAGCCAGCAATATCGAGTCTGCCACCGTTGCGGCATACTAACCGAGGTAGAGAGTATTCAATCAAATTACGCGTTGAATAGGCAACTCGAACATTCTGCCCCTCACGCAAGAAAGATCCGGTCTCGGCGAAGAACGCGAAGGAGAACGGTGACCATGTGTCGGCGCGCTCGAACAAGTCAGGGTGGTTGCACACCTTCCTGAACTGCATGACGAGGTTCATCAGTGTTGCGCTATCCTGGTCGTCTCCAACAGCCTTCTCGATGAGATCCATGATGCTGATCTTGTTCCGCAAATTGGTGTAGTAAGCGCGCTGTCGGTACGTGAGGTCGCAGAAGACGTCGAGCTCGATCTTGTCTCCCAGTTCTTTCTGGACGTGCTTCTTGACACGCCTCAGCATGAATGGCTTGAGGATCATGTGCAGACGCCTGAGTTGATCCTCGTTCAGCTTGGTGTTACTCTGGGCGTGGCTTTCGATGTCTTTTGAGAACCAGTCACTGAACTCATCGTGGGAGTCGAACAAAGTTGGCATGATGAAATGGAGCAGAGCCCACAGTTCCTGCATGTTGTTTTGAATGGGTGTTCCAGTGAGCAGCAGTCGGTTGCGCGAGTGGAAGGCAAGCAAACTCTTCCATCTGGAACTCTGAGAAGATTTGATAGCCTGAGCTTCGTCGAGAATCATATACTGCCAGCGCATCTTCTGGAAATATTGTGCGTCTTGGACGACCAGCTGGTAGGATGTGACAACAACGTGGAAGGGTGAGTTTTTGTCGTATGTGACGTGCTTGCGATCCCAGAACTTGCGTAGAACCTTTCGATCCTTGGCTGTGCCCCAGTATGGCAATACATTGAGATCCGGCACGAATCTGGTGATTTCTTGTTGCCAGTTGTGCAACGTCGAGGCCGGAGCAATGACAAGGAAAGGTCCCCAGATGTTGTATCGTTCTGCCAGATATGCCATAACGGAGATGGACTGCACTGTCTTTCCCAGTCCCATTTCATCGGCCAAGATACCGTTGATACCCTGCTCGTACAAATTGACCAGCCAGTTGAGGCCCTTGAGTTGGTATTCCTTGAGCGTGCAGTTGAGCAAGCCGGGCTGAGGGATCCAGTCTTCCCTGTTCTGCAAACCTGACGGGTTCTGGAAGTTCAGCTCGCCATCATCCTCGCCCTCGCCACCCTTGTTAAAGGCTCGGGCTTTGTCTTGCGCCTCCTGTATAGCGTGCTGAGCATTGGCCATGGCAGCGGCGTTGAGAGCCCCTTCATCCTCGTTATCGAAGTCGAGGTCCTCAAAGTTGGTGACTTTGCCCGGGGCCTGTGCAGAGATCTTGGAGATGTCGAGCCCGCTCTTGTGATCTTCGGCCGGCGCGCTCGCGGCAGTTTCTGCATCATCTGTTGATCTCTCGATCTCAGCCGTGCGGGCTTTCTTGCCGATGAAATGAGAGTACAGCTCGGTCTGCGAGATGAGGAAATTGAGTTTTCGCTTTTGCCGGTTGGCTTCGCGGTCCGCCTCAGCCTTCTTTGCACTCTCAAGCTCCTGTCGCTCAGCGTTCTTTCGGGACTCGCGCTCGTCACGCTCGTTCCTCTTCCAGAACGCCAACATTTCACGCATTCCACGCTTCGCCCTCGCCTGCATGTCCTTGGTGTTCTTGTTGGTACGCATCTGCCATCTACGAGCCTCCTTTGACGCTAGCTGTGCGGTCTTGCGAAGGTTCGATTGCTTCGTTGACAGGGAGTTCTCCTTGATGCGAACGACCTTGGGGACATCTTTGCGAGCGATGTCCTTAACGATTTGATTGTAGATGTTCCGGTATGCCTGAGAATCGTATGAGGTGAGAACAACGGGACCGATGTCCTCCGTCTCGCTGCGGCTCTGCAACATGCCCAGACGTGCTTCTTCGCGGGGTGCAATGGTGGGAAGGTCGTCGCCACGGTCAATAGCAGCTTGCCCAGCGGCGGCAGCATCCTTTTCTGCCTGCTTCTGTTCCTTGCTCTTCTTGAGACGACCATTGCCACGGGCGCCCTTGCGTTTGCTGGCAGCGAGGTCGTCAGATGCCTGGAACGAGCTCATGGTTCCACCCTCCATGTTTGGCCCGTTGGGTGTGACGTCGCGGATGTCCTTGATCGGGGCGTTGCCCTGCAGAAGCTGCGAGGTGTTCTTGGCCTTGCGTTCGGCTTTCTGGGCAATGAGAAGGTGCCTCTCCTTCTCCTCCTCATTGTCAGCCTGTCCAGCTTTGGCCAGTGCTTCAGCACGCTTGGCCTCCTCGTTCTGGATGGTCTTCTCACGCCGCCTCTTTCGCTGCATGTCCTTCTTGCGCTCCTTCTCTTCGGCAATCTCCTGACTCTGCACCTGCTGCCATGCCTCGCCCTCGTGTTCGGCGTTGTATGATTGCTTGGCATAGTCTCGATGAGCAGCCATAGTGTCGGCGAACTTTTTCAGGTGAGCATCGCGGCGACGCTTGCGCTTGGTGTCCTCTGCGGTTGTGACCTCCAGGGCGCGCTTCTTGCTGTTCTGGGCGTATTGCTCGCGCTCGTGCGGGGCGCCGGCGGCGTCGAGCTCGTTCATCTGCGTGGTCTCGATGTGCGCAAGGGCGGCCTGGACGTCGGCCTCGTCGGGCATGGCCAGCTCGCGGGTGGCATAGTGCGGTGGCGGGGCGCCTCCGACGGGCAGTCTGGCCTCGTAGGGGCGGTAGCCGTTTGCGTGCGGCAAGTCGGCCGGGGCGGGCGAGGGCATGGCCTCCTGCTTGACAAACATGGCGGCAAGCGACGTGGGCTGCGGCGGCTTCGCGGGCTCGGCGTCGGCGCCGGAGGACATGATGCTCGAGAGCGACATGGGATCGGCGCGCGGCGGTGGCGGCGGTGCCTGCGGAGGTCAGCGAGATGGGCGGTGAGGGGGCGGGCGCGGGAGACTCACCTCTTCCTTGATGGACGGACGCCTCGCGTAGGGCTGCGGCGGCGGCTGCACGGCGCCACGGCCCATGGGCTGGTAGACGGTCGGCGACACGGGCGAGCGCGACACGGCGTCCATGGCGGGCGGGTAGGGGCCCTGCGAGGGCCGGCGCTGCACGGGCGAGCGGTGGGCCGGCGAGTGATGGGCCGGCGAGTGGTGTGCGTAGGCGGCGGGCGAGGGATGGGCGGGCGCGTGGTGGGCGTAGGCGGCGGCGGCGACGGGCGAGTGGTGGGCGCGCTCGTACGGGCTGGGGGCCGGGCGCGCGTCGGGGTAGGCGGGCGCGTCTCGGGGCTGGCAGGTTAGCGGGCGGGCAGCAGCACAGGCGGGCGGACGCACCGGAGGGTAGTGGCTCGGATGGCCGTCGCGGGCTACGGCATTGTCCTGGGTCGGGTCGTAGAAGCTGTTGCGGTCGCGCGCGTACAGGGCGGTGCTGATGGACGGCAGCTCGGCGCGCGCAGGCGGCGGCGAGGGCAGATGCGGGTGGGCGTGTGGATGGGCGTGCGGATGGGGGTGTGGGTGCGGGTGCTGCTGATGCAGGGGGACGGGCGACTGGTGTGGTTGCGGTCCGCCTGGAGTCTGCGCCGTCTGCGCGGTCTGCGCCGGCGACGGGCCCTCGTGGTAGGCCTGCCCTTGGGGCCCTGGCCCTTGGGGCGCCATCCTCTCGCGCGAGTAGCTGTCCATGGCGCGCAACGTCAACGGCAAGCCTGCGCGGCGCGCTGCGCAGTCATCGGCAGCAGCAATCGCTGGGGCGGCCCGGGTGCGCCTGGCCGTCTGCGGGAGCGCGTCCGGCGGTGATGCAGCGGGCGCGGCGGGCGGGCGACTGGCGACGGGGCGTGGGCAGCACGGGGGAGCAGAGCGAGTCTGGCGAGCTGGCGAGCTGACGAGGGCTGGTGTGGAGGCTCTTGGATCACCCGGCACCTCTGGCACTCTGCAGCTAGCGTCCACGGCTGCGCTTCGCCGTGGGCAGCTGCGCCGTCCGTCTTGCGTGAAGATACACGCGCCGCCGCCCGCCCAATGGCTGCCCTGCTCCGCGCCGGCCAGCCAGCCCGCTGCAGCGTGCAGCGTGCAGCCTGCGGCGTGTAGCTGTCGCCTGCTGCCGGCTGCCCGGCCACTCTGCACCTGGCTCTCCCCGCTGCGCGCGCCGCACCGCCTGCGCCCCGGCCTCGCCCTGCGCGCTGCACGCTGCCCGTCGTCTGCGGTTCCTCGCCCTCGCTAGCGTGCCTGCCCGTGTCGTGCCAGCGGCCGCCGTCGCTGCGCCCGCAGACCGCAGCGGCCCTCCAGCACCGCCGTCTGCGCGCCCGTCCCCGGCTCCGAGACGAGCAGACAGCTGGGCTGCCCCAGAATGGGGTCGACGAGCGTTGCGACGCCGATGCTCATTGGACGGCACCGCGATGGAGGCACCCGCAAATAGCGGCGCTAGCGGACCCACTTTATTTTCGTCGCTATCAAACTTCTCGAACGCCCAAACGCTGCCCTCACGCATCGCAGCAGCAGCACCACCGCCATACCGCTCGCCATGGCCGCCGTCTACAAGCACCTGTCTGGTAATGACCGCGACGACGAGAAGCCGACCGCCGAGAAGCGCAACAAGCAGCGCGTGCTCATTCTGGTACATGTTGCGCCGCAAGTCGACGCCGCAAAGCTAATTCCGGACAGAGCTCGCGAGGTGTGACTTTCCGCCATCGCCACCTGCTGCAGGATCTGTACTCGCTGATGTAAGCAGAGCTCGGAAACGCCTTGCACGTGATACTAATACCCAGCAGGCCTCACAGCCGGAAGGAGGCAAAATTCGACTCCAAGACTAAGCTGTACATGCTGAACGAGATGGCCGGTAAGACGAGCCGAGTCCTGCGCTGCGAGCCATTGGCTCTGCGCCCATGCAATTGCAAAACTGACATTTCTAGAACTCTACAACTGCAACAACATCATCTTTTTTGAAGCCAGGAAAGGCAAGGATCTGTACTGTTGGATCAGCAAGCCACCAAACGGCCCCACGGTCAAGATGCATCTCCAGAATCTGCACACCATGGAGGAGCTCAATTTCATTGGCAACTGCCTCAAGGGATCCAGGCCCATTCTCTCCTTCGACGCCGGATTCGACAAGCAGGCCCACCTCCGTGTCATCAAGGAGCTCTTCACCCAGATTTTCGGCGTCCCGAAGAACTCCCGCAAGACCAAGCCATTCGTAGACCACGTGATGGGATTCACAGTCGCAGATGGCAAGATCTGGGTTCGCGTGTACCAGATCAACGAGTCTGAGACCAGTAAGAAGAAGCCCATTGACGCAGACGACGTCGACGTTGATGAGCTGGTGTCCAAGAAGAAGGGAAAGACGTCCGAATTTGACGTCAGCCTGGTCGAGATTGGTCCCCGTTTCGTCCTCACACCCATCGTAATCCAGGAGTCGAGTTTCGGCGGGCCCATCATCTACGAGAACAAAGAGTTCGTCTCGCCCAACCAGGTCCGTTCCGACTTGCTCAAGTCCAAGGCCGGCCGCTTCAACACCCGCACAGATGCGCAACGCGAATCGAGGGACAGGCGCGCAGAACTCGGCCTCTTATCGCACGGAGGCGTCAAGAAGGCGAAGGACCCGCTCAGCAACCAGGTCCTCTTCGCATAGTGTTTCGAAAGCGGTCTGGCAAAAGCATGGCGTTTACAGGTTTATTCATTTTCAACTGGCGCAGGATGTACGGTCACCGGGCTGGGTGCGTGTGCACGAATGTTGCTGTACACCAATATACCCAAAAGATATCCTATACATGTGCTGTTTCTCGCGGGGCAGCCATGCTTGCTTCCAGCTCCCTTGCGTACTCTTTGCGCACACCCGTGACCTGCACTTGTTCGACACCATGCAGCCCTCTAAACTGACTCAACACTGTCTGCGTCCTTATAAGATAGTTGGCATCCTGCACCACATGCACTCGCCCACTGGTGGGGATTCTACCGTGCCATGAGCGATCTCCCTCAACCAAATGCACCTTCAGCCTCCTCAACCTCTGCACTGACCTCAGCAGATCCACAAGTTCACGCACCCTCGCGCATATCCAGTCCCTCTCAGGAGACTTGATCTCTGTTGTCCAGTCCCCGTCCGCATCCTCCATATCAGCTATCCTCTTATCCGCCGCCACACTTTCCACATTAACCATAAAGTTCCTTATCCGCATCAAATTCCTCATGCTAAAATTCCCTAGCAAGCTAATTTGCTTGCAACCCTTCTCTCCATTCTCGCAGAGCCACTTGTACCGGAACGCAGTCTCGCCGCCCGTGATATCCACGACAAACGTGTTCTCGCCATACATAATCTCCGCGGCCTCCTCATGCACCTGCTTGCTGACCGCGAGCAGCGCGGCGCACCCCCGGCGCCACACAATGTCGTGGCCGATCTCGCGCTCCTCTTTGGTAGGCGTGACCCCCATTGCCCATTTTCGCCACGCTCCTGGTGGTTGTCGCACAAAAGATAGCCAGTCATCAGGGCGGGGATCGGGGGGTTTGCTGGAGTCCCGGGGGACCAAGGCGATGGTGACGGTGCGGGGCAGCGCGGCGGCGTAGATCTCACGGCGCAGTTCGAGAGGGAGATTGAGGAACCTCGATTGGTTGTTCGCGAGGGCTGTTGGAGACATTGTGCGGGGGTGTCTTTCTGGTGTTGGGTAACTGTGAGTTGTGTCTGGTGCTGGCGGCTCGCATTGACGACATCGGGAGCGGAGGAGGAGGCGCGCGCCGATTGGTCAGTGGAATCCGGGGTGTTATCTACCAACACGTCGGTGGTGACTCCTTGCTGTCCTCAACCACCCTTCATGATGTCCATCGCGTCCAACAGCCTGCTGAGGCTTGCAATGGCATCCGAGATGTTTGAACACACTGGCACATTTCCTGTCTTCAGCCCCAACGCAGGGGTATCTGTCTCTTGAATCTTGCGAGCTCTCCAGGTTGAAGCATATAACAGCTTCGAGCCACTACGACTATCAACTCCATACTTGAAGCTCCCAGAGCCATAGGGAGCAGTAATTGATAATTACCGCACGAAAACCACTGCAAATTCAGAACTCGTTCTCTCAAGCCATCCTGAAACACCTCAAGTACACAACCGCCAGCCACCATGCTCTTCGAAGACCTCGCGACCGAGCTGGTCATTCAGATACTACTCTTTTGCAGCTCGGTCGACGATGTGCTTGCGCTGTCAACAACATGTCGTCGCTTCCATAACATCCTGCATTGCTCCCAACGACTCGCCATCCTCGAGCACGCCGCCGAGGCCCAATACGGTCCCTTGCTGGACCTCACCCAGCTGCTCACACACAATGACAGCCAGCCAGCACACATCATCCGAACCGTCCCCTTCTCCCTCGCTCTGCTTAAACAGATGGTACACGCCGGCCGCATCGCCGATAAGTGGTGTGCCATCTATCCCTTCAAGAAGTGGAAGCACAACTACGAGTCACGGCGCCTCCTCACCGACGACGAACACTACCGCCTCCGCGCCGCCATCTACCGAACCTGGCTCTACTCCCGCGCCTTTCACAATGCCCAGCACCCACGCGAATCCCGCGTCACACGCCCGATGATCCAGAAACGCGCTGCCCTTCTCCACAACTGGACCACCCCTTCCCTCGCCGACATAGCCGATTTCGCCGCCGTCCTGCGCGACGTCGTCCAGAACAACATCTGCCCCTCCAACGGCACCATCGCGCGCCGCTTCAAGAAACGCCACCCCTCAAACGACCAGTCGCTGCTCTTCAACATCCATCTCAACTACCCGCCGCCCGCCCCAGCCCCCGCGCCCCACAACCCCTTCACCAACCAGTCCCCCGCAAACCTCTGGTCGCGCTTCACGACCCCCTACGCCGCGCCCGCGCGCTACGCCTGCCCCGCGGCCAAACTCGCGTCGCACGATGTCGGCGCCGAGGGCTGGGGCGACGATATCAGCCACTACTATGTCATCGAGGACTACGTCAAGCTGGATCCGGAGCAGGTGTTGTGGCTGCGTGAGCATGCGCCGCTGAAGGGCATGGTGGAGGGCCATGTGCGGTTGCTGGGGTCGTGGTTTGAGAACAACGGGGCGACGCTGGGGCAGACGATTGATTGGGTGTTGGATGAGCGGGGGGAGTCGGCAGGGGGGTTTGCGGAGGCGATTGCAGAGGGGCGGTTGGGCGTTGCGTTGGCGGGGGACAGGGAGGGGAGAGATGCGCGATGATGCTGGGGGAGGGCGTGCGACGCCGCGTTGCTCGATACACATATGATACATTTATATACCGCCTTGCTCTCCACAGCCTTCACTCCGTCAGTAATCACTATCTCGCCGCGTTTCTTGAGGCAATAGCTGTTTTGCGCACGACTAGCTGATTGACCTTCCTAAAGGTAAGTTTGCGCGGCGGTTCCTGGGCCCTTTTCTCCATCAACTCGAAGAATGGCAGGGGGCCCGAACGCTTCTCCGGGCGAGAACTGCCGACTGGAGGGTCGCGTGCAACTTCAGTCTGGGTCAAGAGCGGCGACCTGTCGAAGTAGAGATAGCGCAGGGCCTTGCCGATGCGCTCTTTGCGCCAATGTCGCGAGTACTCTTTGTACGAGGTGTCGGGGAGAGGTGCCTCGAGCTGGGTTGTGGGTTGCGCCTGTGGCTGCTGACTGCTGGAGTCCTCGTGGTTGGGTGCAGCGGACTTGTTTTCGGCTTCAGGGGCGATCGTGTTGGCGACTGGCAGACCTGTGTTTACCACAGCATCTGCTGCAGGATCGGTGGACACGGCAGTTTCTTTACGTGAATCTTCAAGTTCAACCGTTCGCACAACCGCCTTGACAGCCAGACCGCCTGTAGGACCCTCGATCCAGACGTCCCAAGTATTCCCGGTTAATTCCCGCTTCTTGTTCTTTACGCATACGCGCAGCTCCTCGTCGCAGTAAAGCGGAGATAGGTTGCGGTACTCGATTGATTCCATCCTTTCAGAATCGATGCCTTTTGGAGCGAGGACATGCTTGTCCAGCGCCAAAAGCATCAGCGTGAGCGTGAGCGGTCCTTGCACAAGCGTATTGCGATGGCCCTCGACATCTTGCGCGTATCTGGGATCGAGGTGTAGCAGGTGGCCGTTGAAGGTAAGCGCAGAGTACCGAAAGAGGAGGGAACACGTCGGCGTGAGCTTGTGTGCGATTTCCGGGTCCGTCAGTGCTGAAGCATGTTAACACACGGACAGAGGCAGGGAGGGCAATCGTACGCTGCAGGTACCTGGGTACCAGTGTGACGCCAGCCTGTATGGCCTCGAGTGCAGTCGCTCTCTTTGGTTGGAGGAAAACAAGACGGCGCTCCTCCTTCATCCAAACATCGCCCCAATCGTCGCTGATGTTGGCAGCATCCTGCACTTTCTTTTTAGCAGCGCCTCTGCGTGCCTTTGCAGGTGCAGGGGAAAAGCTTCGCTCGACCGTCATGAATATTTTGGCCTTGTCGCCAGTTCCCCGCAGCCGAACGTCTTTTATGCGCTCGACACATATGGCCGTCTCCACCGGCCCGGACAGTGTCCTGTATGGGCGCCCCAACATGGAACTGAGATTGGGGTTGAGCCTGACAGCTCCGCCTGCCCACATGCGCCGCGCCCACGGCTCGCCTGGACTGTGTAGGGGGTCGGTGCCATCAGGCAGGAGCGCTGAGGTCTTTATTGCGGCATTGAAGCGTGTCAGAACATCGGGTAACGGGACTAATTGTCGGCGTCCAACAACTAGCCCAGGGAATTGTGGTGGAAATGCCGCAAGGGTTGTGCGAAGGTGTTCGTAGTGAAATACGTCTATGTCTTCGCGATACTCTTGTGGCTTTCGACTCAGCAAGTCGGTGCGCACTTGCTGGAACCATTCAGGATCGTCGACCGTGTCTGAGGCATAGCTGCGCACAAATCGGCGCCCCCATCTGGCGCGGTGCGCAGATGCGCAACCTATCCGCTGTGGACATCGCGTGTAGATTGACATTGTGAGGAAAAGCGTCCTGTCGAACATCAGTGCAGAGCTGATCGATGCGCCCACGCTAAACCTAACCCACCACGCACAACACGGAACGGCTCACCTCCGCATCTCCTCCAGCTGCCGCACCCATCTCACGCAGCCATCAGCGTGCGGAATACATTGTTCAATACATGTCGTTTGCCGTGCGATCCCCCGCCATGTGGCGGTGAGCTGGTGGATCTTGGCACGTGGCTCCAGTGACTGCTGCATTGAGCCTCTCTATGCCATCACGACACTATTGACCAAGCACTTGCAAACGAATGCTTCGCCTGGGACATCACAGTTCAAGCATGCGTACAAGACAGCGTATTCCGACCTCCAACCTGCGTCTAAAAAAATCATCCCCATAGCACGCCACAGCAGCATCGACAGCGAATTTGCTTACGATTACATTGATGAATACACAGTCACAGACTGTGCTGTGAGGCTACTTGGGACTCACATGCTTGACGTGTGCTTGTCGAGACCGTTACCTACCATTCACTACGCACTATATTCACCACTATGGTCGACAGTATAGAGCTCCTTGAGTGTCCACTCTGCGACTTCACGGTCCTGCCGACCGATGACTACATTCTCCAATTGCATTTTGAGCAAGCGCATACAGAAGACAGCCCTTTCGTAGTCAAGGATGACCCAGAGCCGCTTCTACCTTCGCTTGGTTCCTCCTCCAAGTGCAAGCACGTGCAGGACACGACTTCCTCTGACGACGACGATGAAAACACAGTCGCGTGTCCCGAGCCTGATTGTGGTGAGTTGGTCTTGCTTGACGACTTCAACGACCACCTTGATTTCCACGCCGCAGAAACATTAACATCCACGGAAACTTACCACTCTCACCATTCATCCAGCAGCATGCACAAGCCAGCCGCTACGCACCATTCTCGTAGGCGTTCATCAAAAGCCGCTACCTCAGACTATCGATACGATACAGAATCATTAGACGGCTCGCAGACGCGCGACAATCATGACAAAACGAAGAAGCATCATCCTCGCAGTCGGAGAGACACCGACAGCAGCGAAAAGAGCACGTTGGCCAGAAGCATTTTGAGTTTCAATCCATTTTCCAAGTTGGATAAGTTAGTGAAGCCGCCCGTGAAGAGTGCGCGTCTTGGAGTAAGCTTAGCTTGTAACATTGCACATGCAATGCTGACATCCTCAGAAATCAGAACTCGGCCCTCATGCTTGGGAAGAACGCATGCCCCGATGGCTCCATGAGCAGCTTGCGGCTGGTCCTAAGATCACCACTGTAAATCGCATCGGTCGGGATGGCCGTCTAATCAAGCAGGAACAGGTGCAAAACGAGACTCCAGGCGTTATTCCCATCCTTGCGCAGCTGTCCGCTCTGGACCGCACCGTCAAAGAAGCATATTACTGTCACCCATCGACACTTCATATTGGCAAGACTCCAAAGGAGGGCAGCTTCTGCGGATACAGGAACATCCAAATGCTCATATCGTACATTCAAGGCGCCAAAGCGCAAGGCCACGAAGAATTTCCGAGCCGACTACCTGGGATCCTCAAACTACAGGAGATGATCGAGAGAGCCTGGGACAAAGGTATCAATCGTATTGGCAGGATTCAGACAGGCGGTATTAAGGATACCAGGAAATATATTGGGACCCCAGAAGTATGTTCAACCTGCATGATTGATAGAATGCACTGACACACATGCAGGCTCAAGCGCTTTTCCTCAGCACCGAGATCAATTGCGCCGTCGAGATGTTCAGTGACAAAGACACGCCGCACGGCAAAGTTCAAGCTCACGACCTACTCCTTCTCGCTGTCGAACGCTACTTCGCTCAAGCTGCTGTCGACGATGGTTCTGGTGTACACAAGACCCTCCTGCCACCAATCTATCTCCAACGGCCTGGCCATTCGCTCACTATTGTTGGATTCGAGCGTCGCAGCGACAGCTACTGCAACCTCGTCGTGCTTGACCCTGTCTACGCAACAAGTCCGGCTATGCATAAGTTGATAGGCAGAAAGAACATCAAAAGTGCGCGACCTGAGGTCATGCACGCTTACCGAAGAGGTCCTTCGCATCTTAGAAAGTTTGCTGCTTTCGAGATTCTTATGTCGGTATTGTGCAATAGCTCAACGTACCGTGCTGACCACAACAGACTTACCGCCACACCGCCATTATTTCCTGTTTGGGATGTATGAGTTCACCTGTCTACCACATATTCGATATACTGCATTCCGCTTCACAGATCTCTATACCTCAACGGCTACGCTTTCAACTCATGATGATTTTTGCTAAGCTTGTTTGGTAGGTACTTCGTCAATTCCCTGATTGCAGCTATGTGTACGCCTTCTTTCGTGCTCGGACTCTGGGCTATGACGTTTATCCAGAGGACTACTTTCTTCGTAACTTTCCATGGCAACAGTACGGCGGTCTCTGGATTGTCAATGAAGCCCGTTTTGCTCGCGCAGAGCCAGTGAATCCACTTACTGCTCAGGCTTTGCGACGTATTACCGGCGCGGGGGCGTCACTCCCTGCCAGCGACAGTTGCAGCCCCATCAGCTACTTAACCAACAGCTCATTTGGACATCGACCCGTCAAGCCAGCAGACCCACAGAGCAGTGTCTACAGCCAACACCACGCCATTTCAGCTTTTGATGGTTCTGCCAGTGGTTTCGTCCCTACCTCTGATCATTGCAACAACCAGCCTGTATTCAACATAGGGGGTTCAGTAGCCATACCACCCCAGCCAGACGTGCTACGACCAAATCTGACTCTCTTGACCGAGGTGAGTCGGAGATATCCAGGATTTCCGAGCCCCTTATCTCCCACTCTGAGTGCAAAGGAGTTGTATCCAACACCAACATCGGTTTGTGGAAGCGCAGCTACTATGCCTCGCAACCCATGTCCGACTGTGCGTTCTATCAGCCCCATGAGCCTCGATGGGTCCAACATGTGTGGCCCGTCGACGCGCTGCAGGTCCCACAACTACGAGCACTTTGCCTCGCAGATGGACAATATCGACAGCATTCTTGCTCGAAACAACACCACATACCAAGTTCGGCCAACTTCCCGTGCTTTGTCGATGTCTTCCATTGGTCCTGCAAGCCCAACAAGCCCACAGCGGGCCTTGTCACCACGCGCGAGTATGCTGCGCCACATGGCCGCCACACAAGCGCTTCGCAGTCCGAATGTTGTCCCGGGTCCTGGAACGCAGCCCTCGCGCCGCGACAGTGTCATCAGCAATATCAGCCTTTCTTCGACCTTCTCAACGCCATCCGTATTCCCCATCTCCTCACGTTCAGCTCATGAGCAAGCTACATTATCAGCGTGTCCGTCTATTCAAATAGCCAACGGCACAGAGTTCGAGACAGGGTCACCAATATCTCCTACCGGTACGATGCTCTCGTACACGTCTAATCGCGCCGTCGACTCGGGACTCTTAGCTATTCCAGCTTTAAGCGAGCCTCAAGTGGCGGAGTATCGGTTCTGGGTCCCTTGTGGGCGACGTTCCTGCGCATTCGGATGTGGTGGCGCACATGAGGGAGAAAATGCTGCGGCGAAGAGGCTCTTCAAAGGGTTGGATAATGTTGTGGAGCTGAAAGCGGTGGACAAAGGACATGGATTTGGACGCCATGACGACAGCTTCGAGCAAGTGCAGACAGGTGCACCTCAACAGGAGCCACGGTACGACTTTGGCAGGGTGGGTATCACAAAGCCGGTCGAGGAATGGAGGAAATTTTTGATGAATAAGGAGAGGGATGTGAGCGTCGCAAGGGTTTGATTCAGAGTGCTTGATACCAAGTAACTCGGTTTGACGAGCGAAGAGGGATGGTGTTTAGTTCAGAAACCCGGCACTTTATGACTTTACGATGTTAACGATCCTCGCTCCCAGGAGGCAACTGGCGTTGGATTAGGTATTGGCTTGGACATACAATCATTAGCTCGCGAGTGCAATATTGATTTTTCGGATCAAAAAGGGTATCGAATTTCTGACGCCTGACCATGCAACTCTTTCCAAACCATTTCTTTACAGTCATGTTGATACAATCTAATCGCTGTCATCGTCGCTGCCATACCCAGCCAACAGAGGGCCTGCCGGTGCTGGCCTTTTATTCGATGAAGTCGCCGTATATCCCTTCAGCGCTGCGAGCGTTGAGCCGGACAATATGCCGTTTCCTCCGACCTGCGCATTCTGCTGTGGCATAAGAGCTCCGTACTCCTCATCTTCATCATCGCCAGCCTCTATCATCTTCCTGTTTTCAGTGCCTCCAGACTCTAATTGCCGTGCTTGCTCCCAGTCGCCCTTCTCCTTGGCGTACCAAATGTCATCTGGAGCATCGTACCCCTGCAGTCCAAAGCTCCCCTCCACCTTCCGCCGCTTCTTCTGCTCCGGGTCTCGGCCCTCGATCTCGGCGACGTAGGCTGCCGGTAGCGCCTTGCGAATCGCTTCCGCAGCCTGCTCCTCGATTCTGTGCGCCTCGCGCTTCGCAGCCGCAGGATTCGGATCGACCGTCGCCCAGCGCACATTCAGGATCTCATCGTGGTCCAGACTCTGATGCGCCATAGCCTCCTTGGCAAACTGGCTGTTCGCCTCGTTCATGTACGTCACGAACGCGACGCCGCGCGCCGTCAAGACACGCGTGCGCTCGACCTGGCCCCATTCCTGGAAGTGGCGGGCGACAATCTCCTCGATGTCGTCGGTGACGTGCACGCGCCCAATGTACAGTGTGCGGTTCTGGCGCTGGAACGAGCCGACGCCGCCCATGTCGTCGCGGTAGTCGCTGTGCTTGTCGCGCCCGAAGCAGTCAATGTTGCTCGGGAACATGTCTGTCACGGCGGGCAGCCGGTGCAGGTACTCGCAGTCGACGCCCTTGGGGCAGATGCCGCGCGCAAAGAAAAGGCAGAAGTAGGCGCCGGGCATCTTGTCGGCTTTGGTGTAGCCGCTATCCTTGGCGATATTGCAGCGCCCTTGTGCGTGTGTCTGCGACAGGTATTTGTCTTCGCGGTCGCCGCCCGACCATTTGTTGTACCAGATATTGAAGATTGTGCCGGTGGGCGGTGGCGCTTCGGTTTTGAATGTCGCGGCATCGACTTGGGGGCGTGCTGGGCGTCGTTTGCGGCGGATGATCTTCTTGACTTTTTTGCCTTCGGCGTTGGTGGTGATTATGGTCTGCTCAGTCGTCATGGGCGCGAGTTCTGTCGATGTGGGGGCGGATGTGGAGGGTTCGAGCGATGTTTCGGGGACAGAGGGCGCCGGCGCTGTTTGCGCAGGTGGTGATTGTACTTCGGCCATGATGTGTGGTGTTGGTGTGAGTGCGTTGCAAAGAAAGAGAGGTTTCGTGATGCGGTTGCGCGCAAGCCGACTTTCCTAGCGCAGTCGTCTTGCAGGGGTCCTAAAGGTCACGTGACTGGTAGTGCTGGGCCTCACCTGGGCAGCCCTGGAGCTTTCCGTGAAGTTCTTAGCCATGTTCTCGACCTTGAATAAGCAAAAGCTTTACTTTGTGAAAATCCATCGCTTCAGCCGTCCTGAGTGGACCCTGCAGGGTTTGCAGCAAACTACATATGCATCTAGGAGATCATACCACTTTCGTGCATTCTCTTGACAGCATGTCAGCCTCGCGGAGAGATTCCTTCCGAGCTTCGGGAGTGTGCACTCCATACCTATCACTTCTTCACTTCGTTCGCACGTCTGTGGTGCCGCTGCTCCGAATGTACGCGTTTAACATCGTGTCAATTGTATGAACAAGAACAACCCTTTGCTACTGCGACTCTTACACTGATACCAAGATATGTCAAAGTGGTTATTGTCCCGTTGTCTTGCACAGCATAAAGTGGTGCTGAGCCAAGCCCAGGCCGTTGCTGGTCGGGCCGGTCCAGGCGCTTACCGCTGTCGCGCAGCAAGGCGGCACCTCCACCAACAATCTTACTCCATCATCTACGAAGTCTGCATCTACCTAAGCCCTGTATGATGCTAGTGTATTCCGTGACCAGGATGTCAGCCCGTGTCAAGATAGTAGATATTTAGGTAGGCCATAACCCAGGTCGTGTCGTGATGCTTACGTCTGTTCGTCCCCTTCCATGCTGTGAGACCTCGATATGCCTCTATTCTCCAGCCATGCGAACGATACTGTCATCGAATACAGCACAGTAGAGTCCGACCCTGGACATTACAGTGGCGATACTGGTGGGAGAAACAACCCCTATCACCACGAGACCCAAGCCAAGCAACCAGGCATTGACATTAGTGCCATAGATGGCAGAGTTTCACACACTGGCACTCCTTCGAACGGCGAGAGAGACGAAAAAGGTTCTAATACCTATGTCGGTCCTCCAATCAGCGGCTGGCCTACAGCTCCCCAGCGGCTGCGTGGTTACTCGGTACCATTGTTAATCGGAGACATACTTCTGATTTTACTCCCAATCGCCTTCATAGGTAAACAGTGCGTTCAATGGATTGGAATCTTTGTGTTGACCGAAAACAGTGCTTGCAATCTCTGCATGGCGCCTTGATAAGAAGACATTATCGGGGAATGGGAGGATGGTAGAGCGTGCCATGAGCCTCGGCCCAACCATATACCCTCTTGCTTTCGCTGCAATAGGTAGCCGTTGTCTACGGAACATTGCTGTTCGTCTGGCGGAGCGGGGTACTACCGTGCTCGTACGTGAATTCGAACACCCGAACTCATCTCTTTGGGATATGCTAACTTGCGAACAGACTTTAGAGAAGCTGCTAGGCAGTCAAAGTCTCGTTTCTGCAATCGGAACTGCGTGTAGCCTTCGCTCTGCCAACTTCATATCGATTTGTCTCCTCTTGCTTTGGGCATTGTCGCCACTTGGTGGGCAAAGTTCACTCCGACTGCTTCATGAGACAAACTCCACAATCTCAGAAAACGGCACCATCTATTACTCTGATCCGGCGGCTATCGTAAACCTAGACGAGGCAGGAGAATGGTCTGCAGTCGTTCCTGCCATTCTCACTGCGAGCCTGGCTTCCTCAATGGAGGCGAAAAACAGACCAGTCGACTCTTGGAGCCACCCAAAAGTACCCAGGCTCGACGTTATAGAACAGCAGGCTTTGCGAGATCCCCTGTCAGAAGGGAGCTGGATCGATGTAGACCCGACACTGAACCACACATACTCGTCCTGGACCGGCATTAATATACAGAACCTGCGACAAACAGAGCACGCTGCTTTCCAAGTCAGATATAACTACATGTATCTCGATCAGCGAAGTGTTACAGTCGACTCGCCTGAGAACGTTTATGATGGATTAATAGCGTCCGGCGCCCTGTTCCCACCTTTGATCAGCAAATCTAATAACGGCCAAGATGCCGTGGACATGTTGAACAACGTCACTACTGGCTCGGAAAAAGTTGGGATTCCATTACAAAAGATGTTCTTGCGAGTTGTCCATGTATCGAACAGTACACAAAAGGCTCCGAACCCGCTAGACATACGATATGGCTTTGATTTCAACAGAGAGCCTATCAACTTTTTGCGTGGTGCATACTACCTAAAAACAGACGGCTCAAACACGTATTTGTACTTTCTGTACACATATACGCCTCGCATCGTCACCGTAGACGCAAAAATTGAATGTCAAGCAAGCGATTGTATTGTGACTCGGCTACGACACGTACCGAGTGAATCGTCCTCCTCCCTCAAGGAGGCATGCGACATTGGATTGGGCTACAGGCTGGGTTGCATGACGACTGCCACAAACGCAGTATCTCGATTCTTGGCCTGGTTTCCTGCAATGATGGCATCGTTCGTTGGCACATCAGACATCTTTGATATTTGGGCCAAGGGTTGGAACGATACTTTCGTATTGCCCACTAATCTCACCACCGACCAAATCTCAGACCAGGAGAAAGCCAACCGCATCACCACTCTGCTCAATACGTATTGGCAGGGATCAAGCTGGGGATATCAGGTCACAAGAGCGGGATTCTTCGACAGACCAGACTACCCATGGTCTGGAGATCCGGAAAATTTTCCGCCCGCGCGCTATATTAACGCCAGTGAAGCCGTCTTTTCGCACCCTGTTGCTATCTATCAAGCGGATGTTGGCTGGATCGTCAGCCTGCTCATCATCAGCGTTATATTGCTTCTTCTTGGTGTGGTCAATGTGGCTTTCGCTTTCATGACCATCGCTCCAGACCTATTCTATTACGCGTCGTCCTTGGCTCGTGAGAACCCCTACACAAAAACGCCAGACGGAGGAACAATGCTTGACGGTGCACAGCGAAGCCGGATGCTCAAGAACATGAAAGTTCAGATTGCTGACGTGAGCCCTGAAAATCAGGTTGGCTACGTGGTGTTGAAGAGCGTCGATGACGACGACTTCCTGACAGGGCGACTGAAGAAAGGTAAATTGTACTGGTGAGCGCCTCTCATACTCGCCATCACAAATGCGGCGTAGTGGACATGGAAAACATCACTATATTCGCTAAGCAAGTAAATTTTTATGGTAGCCATTGCATGTTCAGACTACGCGACGTGTGCGACCCAAGGCGCAGCAGTCCACCCAGTGAATCAGCTGATAGGGTAGTCCGCGCACCACAAGCTCTTGTGTATCTTCTAGTCGAGTTATACGACATGTCTTCTATCGGAAGCGGGCACCGACATCACTTGATCTCGCAAACGCTCTTATCATGGAAAGACCCGCCAGCTTTTATTCGTTTTGAAATCTCTTGCCGCAACGTCCTGCCAACATCATCTGTAAGACGTCAAGATGGGTCCCAACTTCACAGAATGTGGCATACGCTACATGTCAACGCCCGCACTGATCGAACAGTACAACTACAGCGGCCGTGTACGCTTGGTAGAAGCAAACCAGAGCGTACAGATCACTTACGAAGGATGTTTAGAACTATGCGGCAAGGGAAATGAGTACTATACATGGCCGGTCATCTCCGCAACCTTAACAACATGGATACTGCCGATTCTAGGCACGTTGCTGCAGGCGCCATTTGAAAGCAACGCTTTCTGGAGAACACTAAAGGCATGCAATAGGTGGATTGGTAGTCCGATCAGCAGTCTTGCGGCGATATTGTGGGATATTGGCATTAGTGGAAAGTGTGCGCTTTTTGGTAGGTCGATACGTAAAGGCTGTAGAATTTGGGAGGTTGTGGACTGACAATTTGAACAGTGGACATGTCAGTGCCATATGACGATACACCCGACCAGTACAGCGAGTTTGCGAGCATGCGAGACTCGTTCTACATCTTGATGAACTTGAATCAGTACAAGATGAAGCCAGTCATCTCAATGACCCGGGAAGCAGAAGGTCTATTGCGCATTGCGTTGTTCAGTAGTGAATTGAGACTTGTGGGAACGCACAAGACATTGAGCCAGAAGCGTCTGAAGCTAGCTCACGACCTGCGTAGTAACAGACGTAAAGGCGTTGTTCCAATCTTCCTATCTACATTGTGGTTCATTCTTGCGTTGGGCATATCGATCGAAGCAGGCAGGTACCCCCCACAGCTTGCAAAGTCCTCTGTTAACCTCTTCCCAGCTTTTGGGGACCTGGGGAGCAACCTTCAGGCCCACAATCTCGCGATGGGTCTCTTCATTTCCTGGCTCCCAATCCTCATTCTCTGCTCCATCCTCGACCGCAACCCAGTCGCATCAGACGACATCCAGCGCAAGCTGAACAAGCTAGTTGATTTGGTGTGCAACTCGCTCCTCGACCAGAGTATACAGGCCGAGTACATTGCGTCATTTGCCGACTCACCGCACGCGCAGCAAATGGCATATTGGGTCGAGAAGATTGCCACCAAAGCCGAATATGTCAAGGGTGAATACTTCCGTGGGTTCGCAGGCCAGGCACGCACGAGGTTTCACTATGGCGCGGCGTATGCGATCCTGATCGATATCGAAAAAGCGTACATCGCTGAACGGGGAAGGGATTGGCTAGGCGATGCGAAAGATGCAAGAGCTGCCTTGGTGTTGGGTCAGATTGATCAAGGTTGCACATGGTTGTATGTGTGTGATGCCTACTTGTCCGGGTGTTGAACTAACGAAATTGCAGTGATGGCAGGCAACTGTGGACAGTACTTGCTTCCATACTGCTCGTTGGCGGCACCAGTGTTGGCGGATTCGTCCTGTCGTTCAACACGCCAACTGTCGGTCTTGGATGTCGCACAGGTGGCTATCTGATTTTCTTCATTATTGCGCTTGTACTACTGTTCGCTGAAATAGTAGCCTGGTGGCTCACTTCGCCATTGCGGAAGCAGGATAATTTTCATGCTCATCTCGAAGATTACACTCGACGTGCCAAGTCACGCAGACAGACGGTTTTTGCAAACCTTCCCGGTCTGAATCCATCTGGAACGGTAGTGGCATCGATTCTTCACACTGTTGAGGTTGTAGTGCTTCAAATCGTCTTACTACCGCTCCGATTGATACCATCGAAGCACAAGAGTCAACGGTTAGCATCGGCAGAGACCGCTATCTATGCTCACTTCTTCCAATTGCGTTGTCTCACAGCGCGCAACTGGCTCCAGCGTGCTTTCTTCACCCCGTTGGAGTTCGCAAACCTAGTCTGGGCATGTTACCTTTTGGGTGCGCAGACGATCGGTGCCTTTAACAACTGCGCCTGTATGACCTCGACTTGGGGTGGGTTTGGAGGATATTTGGACTTTACCCAACTCAACGTCGCAAATAGTGGAGCTATTGAAGAGTACTGGATTATCGGCACGACACTTACCTGCGCAGTGATGGGTATGGGTATGAGCTACATTATTCTTGAGGTACGCGTCTCCCTTCTCAGAATTGAGTAGACACAAAGTCTAACCTTGAAAGCAGTGGCTGTTGCAAGCGCATCTAAGTACAGAGAATTACGATGATGCCATGGTTGGACTGAAGCGTGTCAGAAGATTTCGATTTGCGACTCTGTGGTTCAACTTTCCACTCGATATCTTTGTCCGCCTCGTGACGACTATTCTGAACGCGACTCAGATTCGCGGAATCAAAGATCGCCGGGTTATGCTGTGGACAAGAGCCACTACCTTCAGTCCGAGTATTGGGCACACATTGGTGCGACTTGCGACAGATGCTCAGCATTTGCCCTTTCAGGAGGTTGATGCATGATGGTACTGGCCGTAACGATGACATTCAAAAAATCGCGGACTACTAATTACGGGTCACGACGGTTCTGTAGCAGTATGGTCTGCGTTACGCTACTCGTCGCGAGTTGCGTGGTATTGAAACAATTTTCCATCATCCTAGTGGAATTTCTGCAGGCTTGCAGTGAATGTGCCACCAATTTTCGCCGTGGCTATACCTAAGTTCCCGTGCGCGGACAGGAGGAAGGCTACCCCAATCCTTGTCGTAATGTGCCAGAGCCTCGCTATACCTGCGGAAGACGGCTGGGAGTTTGGTGCACGATGTTTTATCAGTGGTTCCGAGTCAAGCAAAGCAAGATGAGCCGGATGCGAGTCTCGAATGTAAGAATCTATAGGTAATAGTGGGTCCTGTAGACTGTTGATCTAGCAGGGCTCAGCTGAGAAAGTTACAACGTGAAAAACAACCGGGGGTTACGATGACAGAAATGAAAATGAGATTGTCGTAACTGGTACAATCTGAGCTCAAAATATCTTCCATCTCACCCGAACGCCGTGCTATGCAATAAATACCCCAATCATACGCCTGAAGCACCACTCGAAACGCACGACACTGTAACATATAAGTCACACCGATACTATGCTACAACCGAAACACTGTTCGACATTTTTTCTAACACGCCGGTTTTCCCGTCCGCTGTCCAATCTTCCAGAAGCTCCGTCAACTTCGCGAACCTGACTGGCTTCATGATATACGAGTCAACGCCAGCCGTATAAGCCTCCTTCTGATCTCTTACACTAGCCAAGCCCGTCAGCGCGATAATCAAAGAGTGATGCGGCGATCCTGAAAGCGGCAGTGTGCTGTTGTGCTCCGCTTCGATGTCTCGGATCCGCCTTGTTGCTTCGAAGCCGTTCATAACAGGCATCGAGAGGTCCATAAGTATGATGTCGGGCGGTGCGGGTGGTGACGATTCGAGAAGCGTACGGTACGTGTTTACAGCTTGGAGGCCGTCTGAGGCGCTGGAGATGGCGGTGTAACCGCGCTTTTTCATGCCGACTTGGAGAAGACGAAGATTGATCGTGTTATCGTCAACGAGGAGAATGCGGCGCCCAGGTAAAGAAGCCTTGTTGGTGGGTTTGGCTGGAGTTTCAGATATGTTGAGGAGACCAGGTGATTCTGTTGACGCTGGGGTGACATCCGTGCTGTCGAGTTGTTTTTTCACAGGCTGAATGCGTTTTGGCGGGGCTGTCGGGTTGGAGATAGACTCAAAGGATATATCGAGATTCACAGTTGCAGCCGTAAGACGATCAACTGACGCTGCGTCTTCTGTCACATTGCCGTCCAAAGTAGCTTTGGAGCGATCCCAACAAGCTTGTAACGCTCGAGCAAGCTTGTGCGGCCCAACAGGATGTCGAATATCCTCAGTATTGTTACGAGATCCAGTACTCGCTGAGCTTGTGCTATGAAGGACCAGCACCATGGTCCGACAGTTGGGATTGGAGAGTGTAGGACAGCGTCGGAGCAGTGTATCAAAGGCAGATTCCTCGACGACAACGATGTCGGCTGTACAGTCCTCGCGCCACTGGAGAACTGGTTTCCTAGACCATGCACTCAGATAAGCCAGTAACGTCTCGCGCAGTAGGTGAGAAGCTTGTTTCTGATCATTGGTTGTCTCCTCCTCTTCTTCTAGCCAGTAGAGGGCAACAGAGGCACTCTGTTGTACTTCGGTCTTTTGTATGCTGCTTTCTTCATCAAAAACAACAGCGCTCTTCTCGAAAGAGGTGGTCTCTACAAGTGAATCGAGCTTCGGGTCCAATGGCGGCTTTCTAACCAAAGGGAATCTGACGGTCACTTTGGTGCCAGCACCAATCTCCGAATCGATGTCGATGTGACCGCCAATGCTGTCAATTATTGACTTCACCAGGGATAGACCAAGCCCAATACCTGGCGCCTGGTTTGATTCTTGTGCAAAAGGTGTGTAGAGCTTATCTTTCAGATATGCTGGAGAAATGCCCTGACCAGAGTCGGTGACTGTCAAGATTCCGTACTCGGTAGCATCCTGTTCAGCGATCTGAGTATCGAGCTTCACATGGACAAAGCCAGATTGCGTGTATTTGAGTGAATTGCCCACCAAGTTCATGACGATGCGTCTGAGTGATCCAGGTTCGCACCAGTACATCCAGTCCTGTTCTGAGAGTTCAACAATAAGCTCCACGTTGGGTCTGCGCTGAGCGACAACTATCGAGTCGCTCAACATCGTTCCGTTAGACTTGGACTCGTGATCTAATGCCTGGTTTTTAGGGCCTTTGAAGGTATGACCGGTTGCTACGCCTTCGACTACCTCTTCGGTCAGAACAGAGAGGTCCATAAGGCGATGTGTGTTAAGGCTCGTTTGGAAGACCTCGGAATGTTTTGACTGTATATCATTGGCAAGGCCTGGGAATGTGCTGCCAGACTTGTCTTTTTCAAAAGCATTAATTTTGCTGTAGTCGAGGACCATGTTGACCGTATCGAGTAGTGTTCTTGCACAGCTTTCGGCAGTTCCGATCAGCGATTTTTGGAACGAATCGCATGTTGTGTCTTGTAAGAATTCGCAAGAAGCCAAGATGCCATGAAGAGGCGAGCGAAGTTCATGCGAGATTGAGCCAATGAAATTGTTTTTCTGTTCGGTTGCCTTCAGGTTGGCGAGTCTCAGCAGCTCTTTATCAACGCAGTTGTTGAATGTTATGCAGGTCAAGAACTCCAGCTCATGCGAAAAATTGCGGTATTCCGAACAATTATAGACAAAGCAAGCAGCAGAACGACTCGTTGTGGAATCCCAAATTGGTACAAACATGATCTGTCGAGCTTTGGGAAAGTGGGCGTGTAGAATCGCAGAGTCTGCAGCAGATCTTTGTCGCCGTCGCCTCGATCTCGGTCGGCCGTTGTAAGCGCTATCATTATCCGAAGAGTCGGACAACTCTTGCCCTTGTTGATCGTACGTAAACAACCTTCCTCTTGGGTACCGCTTAACGATCTGTAGAAGCTCCCCTGGCGTGAATGGTAGGAATTCTGGTTGATCCGAAGATATGGCCGTGGACTTGTATGTGTGTGCGACGACTTCAGTGCTGTGCGTACGTTTCGTACTTGCGCCGGGACTTGGAGATCGGGAACTAGCTTCGATCGTGAGTGCAGATCCCGATTCGGCCTTTTGATGAGTGAGTTGTGGTGATTCATTAGCCAGACCCCTAGTTGCCATCCCGCTCGGGTGATTGTCTCCGGAAGATGGGTGCTGTAACGGAACAGCTGCCAGTGAGGTGTCAAGGTAAAGCACTCCACCTCCACCTTCCTCAAGATCCATGGCTTCTCGTAGCAGCTCCGCAGCTCGATCTACAACTTCTATCCGCTCGTAGCCATCGCCGGTGCGCCTAGAGTCGGCGTCTGAGTCGGGGTCCGTTGATTGACTGTGGTTGCTAGGACGCCGCTTCCGGTTCACATACTCAGAGGTTGGATCCACATACGCTGACAAACACGTATTCATGCGGAAGGTCCGTTGGCGGTCTTTCTTGTCTCTAGACATTTCGAGATGTTGGATGACGTTGTCCGCCATGACACCGAGGAAGTGTCTCTCCTTGCGTGTGAGTGCTGGTCTTGTCTTACTATCAAGGATGTAGATGGAGCCAATGTTGATGCCTCTTCCGGTGCGCAAAGGTACACCAGCGTAGTACCGGAAATAGGGTGGTCCTGCTATGAAGCCGAGCTGATTGAAGCGCTCATCCTTACTCAGGTCAAGCACCTCGAAACAAGCTGGACCGCCATCAGGAGGCGGTGGCGCCGCAATGGTGTGTTCACACAATCTCCCGGCCTTAGGAACTCTGACACACTGAAGATCATATCAGCTGTAAGTCCCTACACGTGATAAATCACTTAAGGGGGAAGTACTCACTCCAGCCCAGATCGCGTCATCAGGGTCCTCGTATTGTTCGGCGTCGTCGAGGTGGACCGTCTTGGTGCTTTCAGCTACAAAGTACTGTGTTTCCTCGTCGATCAACGAGATCATTGCGCGTTCTGCATTTAGTCTCCATGCTGCGAGCTGCGCGTGTGCTGTGAGGACAGTATCTATGGGTTCCGCAGCCACCGGGGGGCGGAAGTATCTGTAGAGTTCCCGCGCTCGTTCGCGGTCGTCATCGGTATTCTGAGGCAAGCCCGCGTATGGGCGACTTGTGATTGAGCCATCTATCATATCGGCAATATTGGTGTTTAAGACGAAAGGGCGTCATGTTAAGAACAAGCTCGGACTGTTGGCCCATGTCAGTTCTCGCAGATTCCCCGTAGCTTGCTAGCTGGTGCGCTTATTACGGACAAGCCGGCCACCAGCTACGCCGTTGTTACGCCGTTGCAACGCCATAGTTGTTACATAAGGGTCTCGTCAAGCCACAACACGTGGGCTGAACATCGCCAACCTCAGCGCAGAGAGCTTTACTATGCTCAACGGACTGTGAAACAATGCCATAATCTGGGTCGCAGCTCATTTTACGTGATAAACCACTACGACAGTCTCTCAAACCGGTGGCAGGCGCAGCAGATACCGCCCCAGATACTATCGGGATGAAAGGCCGAAAACGCCACTTCGCACATCCCGCATTCTAGGCCCTCGTTCACTATAGCGTTCATCTACTGTATGAGAAAGACCCGAGAATCGGGCGTTGAGATCGAACACACCGTCGAGTCTGGACTTGTAAATTTTCGATCTTCACTAAGGCCTTAACCCTCGACTAACTCCCTGTTTGAACTTTCTTCCACAATTACACTCAGACTGTTATCGCGCCGTACCGAACGCGGATATTTCGCCAGTGGGGCTAGGGACTGAGGACCCCACAGCAGATCGCCATGTGGGATCTTAGACACATGGCAACTTTTCCATGTGTGATGTCATACCCATCCTTCGAGTTCCAGGAAAGGCGCAATGCGAACACGAGCCGGAAAGGTTCTGCGACTAGTCGTTCCAATATACCTAGGTAGGTATATCTAGCCTTCGTCAATTTCTTCAAACCCATTGTTTGTCTGATACTTGGTTTTCGTCGATACAACTCAACTCCAAGGCGCATGGCATGGTATTCGTCACACATTTTCAACACTTTCACGATCTCGATCACCAGTTGATCGGGGTTGGTTGTTGCTGCTCTACCACGCATGGCTAACTGACAGCGAATGGCTTTTTGATACCTTTCGGTAACCATGAAGCGTTATCCTGATCCTGTAAGCCTTCGACTCGCTTCGTGGTCCAACTACGCAGGCGGCGAACTGGCCTCATAAAGACTGTTCACGTCTGGTATCGGAGGTGCAGCATACAAGAAGATAAGAGGGACGAGAGAGCAGGTACACACAATGATCGCAAACCCTGTGACCACGGTGTATCACGTGATCAAAACATCTACTTTCCTGGTATATCAAGCTTTCTCCAACAGTACACTTCTCACTGGAACAGACAGCGCATCGATGCCTGGGAGCCTGGGAGCAGACCGGATCAAGGCTCCGTCTCCTCGCATGGCGAACCGTCAAGTCCATTGAATGATTTGTAAGTCGCCTGCAATGTTCGATTTGCCATGAGCAGCGTGGGCGGCAAAATACATAAGTCATCCCTCCGGTTTTGAAAACAAGGAACCGTCGCGGGAGCGCAAAACGACGCAGGAGGGGACGAGAGATGGATTGGACAACACTTGGTCAGAGCGCGTCGATCGCACGCGCGCGCGGACATTGTGGAGTGATGCACGACAGCGGAACAGGCGATTACCAGGTGAGGCTGGCGCGAGTGATGTGATCAAGCCTAGCGGTCTCCCTGTAAGTCCACTTCCGAACCCAACGCGCTCCCGTTTCCGAGCGCCCCTGGTGGGACAAGTCGCGGTGATTGGACTGGACCGCCAGAGATCTTAAATCGTAAGGGTCTAGAGAGACTCCTGCGCATCGGCCAACTATTCTAACTGCTTGAAAGAGGGTGCATTGTTTCCTCATTGTTTGTTGCGTCTGCCGTTCAATTGCTACGGCACACTCGTTCGCATTGCGTTTACCTACTCAGGCAGTGACGTTCAGACCCTTCAGACACCACGAATCGCGTTGTTTTCGTGCCTGACTACTGCAACCCGGGCCAACGGGCTGACTTTCTGCGGCCACAACAATCATGGATATAGTTCTCGAGGTTGTTGACACCTTCGTCTTTGACCATCTCTACTCGAGCTTCTTGCCGGCATCGACCTGCCTTTTCACTGCGAATGCGACCTTCTCAAGCGCGAAAGAGGAGCCCACCAATTTTGCCCTTCCTGCAACAACTTGGCAGTATGTGCCGGCGTCAAAGTACTTTTCAGTGCAGCCTTCTCGAGCTGCATATGAGAGTGCTTGGCCGCGTGACGACTGGCGCAGGCAGCTAGTGACGCTGTATCTCATAACATGGTACACTCCACCATTGGCCTTTGTAAACAATGAATTCATTTAACAACTCACTGTAGGCTGTTTGGAGTCATTGTCTACTACGTTTTCGCATCCGCATCTTACTTCTTGGTCTTTGATAAGGCGACCTTCGCCCACCCCCGATACCTCAAGAACCAGATCAGACTCGAGATGAAGCAAGCCAACATTGCATTTCCTGTCATGGCTATCTTCACTGCGCCATGGTTCCTGGCTGAGGTGCGCGGCTACTCAAAGCTTTATGACGCAACAGAGGAGGGTCCAGGGGCATGGTACAATTGGATGCAATTCCCACTGTTTGTCATCTTCACCGACTTTTGCATCTATTGGATCCACCGCGGTCTGCACCACAAGAGTATCTACAAAACCCTGCATAAGCCTCACCACAAGTGGATCATGCCTACGCCCTTTGCCTCGCACGCCTTTCATCCCATGGACGGATACGCTCAAGGTCTACCGTACCATATATTCCCCTTCATCTTCCCGCTGCAGAAGTTCGCATATGTCGCGCTCTTTATCTTCGTCAACATCTGGACTGTTCTCATTCACGATGGCGAGTATGCCCACAACTCGCCTGTTATCAACGGCGCTGCTTGTCACACCATCCACCATTTGTACTTTAACTACAACTATGGACAATTCACCACATTGTGGGACCGTATGGGCGGCAGCTACAGGAAGCCGAACGACGAATTGTTCCAGAAGGAGCTCAAGATGTGCCAGAGCGAATGGCAGAAGCAGGCCAAGGCCGTCGATAAGATGGTCCAAGAAGTCGAGGGAGAGGATGACCGTAAATATGAACCTGACGCGAAGCACAAGAAGATGCGCTAGAAGAGAGCGTGTTAAGCACACAATGCACCAGATGACATGGAGGAGGAGAATCAACGGCGAAGGCTGGGTATATGCCGGACCGCTGTACACGGCCACAAAAGTGAGAGAGTCCTGGGCAGCTTCAGTGCATAGTATCATTCATCGTACTGAGCACGTTCCCTTGACCTTCAAGGTGCTGTTCTAGTTCACGTATGTATTTGATGGGGAGGGTGATTAATTCCGGATAGTTCAGTGGTATTAGTAGATGTATTGTAATAACGAGCTATGCTGTTCACACGTTGATATTGACTTTCGTCTCGATGATCAAAAACAACGATTTGAACCGGTTCCAAACACCTATTGCCAAAGCCATGTTATTAGATCCTTGAGGTTTAATTAATATGCAATGCTGCTAGGATATGTTCACTCAAGCAGCAATGCCACTCTGCCACCAGTGCTTCCCAGTATGCCATCTCACTACAGTTCCAGCCCAGCACCACCATCCATCTTGTTTTGTTGCGCCCAGTCCTAGTCCTCGGAATAGCGAGACGGGTATCGGCTCAAAGAGCCAAACGCCACCCAATGCAAAATCGTTGCACAGTAAATGCGCTGTGTGGTAGAACCACACATGTACATAGACAAACGTCCACATCCTCATGACCCACACCGGCACATACTTCTGAATTCCCGTTGTGCGCAGCACAGAAGACACAATGGTCTCGAGAAGTATGCCGAGCGCCTGTAGCATGAAGAACGCGAATGAGTTCGAAACAGGATGCGTAGGTCCCGCAGCTGTATAAGTGCCACACGCATGCAGAACGCCACTCAACCCGAACGCAGTCAACAGCTGGATTCCTTTCGCTGGCACACTCCGTTTGTCCAACCCGAGTTTCTCACAGATCCGCAAGCTCGGCTGCTCAAACGCGAACCGGAAGGTCTGGTGCCACCAGCTGCTCCACCATCCAGCCAACCCTCGGTCCAGCACGACGGTAAACGAACCCCACGTCTCGGGGTATATCCAAGGTTCTGAGCGCGCGCCGATGTACGAGCCAAAGATACCGACAAAGACGAGTGGTGCAAGAGAAAAGATCGTTTGAAGCGCGTATTTGACGGCAATCATGCTGAGGAAGAGACGGTATGTGTGTACCATCCAGGGCTGAATCAGAAGCGTAAAGGGGAAGTAGGATGGTGGTGGGCGCGATAACATGCCCCAAAAGTATGGGTCGTGCATCATGACTGTTTTAAGAGCATCAAGAATCAGATAGCCTTTGAGGAGTGTTTTGGCGTTCGAGACGAGCAAGGAGTGTCGGTCGGGGTAAGTCGTCACTTGGCCTGCGTGGATGCGGTACGAATGTTTTGGCACGTCGCCTGAGTTGCGATACAGTTGCTCCTGAAGCCACTTCGGTGGCGGAGGGAGCGGAGAAGTGCGCCAATTCCAGCCTGCACCACGGAAATTACAGAATAGATCGCATACCCAGTCGAGGCGCTCGATGAAAGGCGACAGCGGGTAAGGTTGCCATGCATATTCGCCGTGGCGATCACGAGGACCGGCTGTTGAATTTTCCGGGACATGGCCATTGGAGTCTATAACACTAGCTCCAATTTTTGTCCTCTCTTGCTTCTGAGTTTGGTCACTGCCAAACTGTCCTTCTGTCCTTTCGATGCGCTGAAAATCCGTTTGTGCGTCATTGAACACCAAAAGTGCAGCAAGATAGACCACACTCCATGCGTGTACAAGTCCTAAGCCTAGTGCTGGTGCCATGCCCCTAGCTCTTTGATACTTGGTACTGTATGCTGCAAACGCAAGCAAGATACCCCAAACGAAAAAGCGACATTTCTTGAGCCATGGTCGGTTTTGGTGTGGTATACATAAGTATACAATGACCAAGAATGCTCCGTATGCGCTATAAGGATAAACAAAAGGATCAAACTCGCCCGATGCTATCTGCGCATCGTACTGCTGATAGTAGTGATGAACCAAATCATGATGGGAGTTTGGCCAGGGATCAGTACCCAGTATGAACTCCATACCCAATAGACGGATAAATGCAAGATGCAAACAAACGTATGTCAGGAGAGAAACGAAAACGAAAACAAGCATGCAGTGGCCAATCTTGGAAATGAATGACGCAGTCGTCGATGCGCCTCGCTAAGTGGAAGACTAGTCCCGCTAGGCCTAATGTAGCCGTGGCGGGTTGAGAAACACCAGAGCCATCTATCACGACCTTCGGCGAGCTGTGATCGGCCTGGATAGGCACGCAAGACAACCTCATTCCATTCCCGTAACCTGAAAGAAAGATTCAGGGGCAATACCGCAAAGATGGTGAATATCACGGAGAAGATCAAGGAGTATGCGGCCCCTCCAAAAGTTTTGATGCCAAGCCTAACGCCCCGCCAGGATTGAGGATGAGATGAAGAGGACGCAGAGTACGTTTCGCCATTGCCTGAAGAAAGATACAAGCTAATCTGTGACAGAGAACAAGGCCACAGGTACGAACCCTCGCAGTTCATGACACCATATGCGCGAATCGTTCTTCATCACGTGCTGACACAATCACTCAGAATACCATCTCGGTCTTTTGAAGGGGTATGCATAGAATCTGTCACTAGATGGATGTTATGACTAACAAACCCAAGAAAGCTTGCTCGTCTTCGTGCTCAGCTTCTCGAGCCGGCTCCAGGTGCTGGCAGTGGCGGCGGAACAGGTTTCGATGTGTCCAAATCTGGCGATGCACGTATAGCACTCGTCGGCTTCCCCTCAGTCGGAAAGTCGACCTTCTTGTCGCGAGTCACAAAAACGAAGTCTGAGGCAGCATCATACGCTTTCACTACGCTGACCGCTATTCCCGGCGTGCTCGAGTATGGCGGCGCTGAGATCCAAGTCCTCGATCTTCCCGGTATCATTGAAGGTGCCGCGGAGGGCAAGGGCCGAGGACGTCAAGTCATCAGTGCGGCAAAGACAAGTGATCTGATTCTGATGATTCTCGACGCTACAAAGAAGGCTGAGCAAAGGAGACTACTTGAGGCCGAATTGGAGGCAGTCGGCATCCGGCTGAACCGCGAGCCACCGTAAGCTCCTTCATAGCCAGGCCTTCGTATTGTAGCATGCAACTAACAAGGACCCAGAAACATCTACCTCAAGCCCAAGAAAGCAGGCGGCATGAAAATCAACTTCCAAACGCCGCCTAAAGGCGGCCTAGACGAAAAGTTGATCTATCAGATCCTGAAGGATTACAAGATGCTCAATGCTGAAGTGCTTATTCGCGACGAATACGCTACAGTAGACGACTTCATCGACACCATCATGATCAACCACCGCAAGTACATCAAGTGCCTATACGTGTACAACAAAATCGACTCAATTTCGCTGGAGCATCTGGACCAGCTGGCGCGCGAGCCGCACACGGTCATCATGAGCTGCGAGCTGGACCTAGGACTGCAGGATGTGATTGAACGCTGCTGGGAGGAGCTGCAGCTGATGCGCATCTATACCAAGAGGAAGGGATTCGAGCCGGATTTCAGCGAGGCATTGATTGTGCGCCGCGGGAGCACCATCGAGGATGTCTGTGACCAGGTTCACAGGACGCTCAAGGATACATTCAAGTATGCGATGGTGTGGGGTGCGAGTGCGAGGCATGTGCCGCAGCGGGTGGGATTGAGTCATACGGTTGCAGATGAGGACGTTGTGAGTATCGTGGCGAAGTGAAGTTATCGTCTATTCAGTGCGTGGAGTAAAGAATGGGACCTTGCGCAAGATTGTCTTCAACGAAATGAATGACATGAGTATCATGGGTGCAGATAATAATGATGTGGTATCAAATTTGTTTGCGTTTGCGCATGAACCACTGACACGGTTGTTCACAACCGTAAGAGTGCCGCCATGCGGCCCAAAATATCCAGTAGCAAGGATATCCAAAACGGACGCCAACACATCGCTATGCAAAATCCAAAAACACAATCTGCGTGACAGAAGCTGAAAACCTTCGTTCACTCGTTCCTCTGCATCTCAGTCCATTCCACCACCATAGTGCTAAGGACATCTGTCCTATCAGCACCCAGCACACACTCACAGGAACACCGGTGTCAATACCGGTCGCTTCCCAAGTAGCACGCTTATGGCCGATTCAGTCGCTGATCGCCTAAGCCAGGGATTGTCTGGGTTCTATCCGCCGTTTACTTCCTGCTGTTCGCGTTTTGCGTTCATGTAACGTTCCATGTATGTGATATAGTCGTATTTGGGCAAATCGCGATCCTCTTGCATGTCAGGTCCTTTGTGCTCGGGCATAGAGGAAATCAGGTCGTCGATGACTTCGTCGGGAACGAGAGAGTGGCGGAGGTCAAGCTCGGTGACATATGGCTACGCGAGGTTAGATTCTGTAAGGAAGGTAAGGGGAGAGAGACGTACCTTGCCGTCTGCCACCTCCTTGAACGACTCAAAGACCTGCTCCGCTGTGTTCTGATCCTCCGTCTCGTCAACCATGAAGCGAATAAACTGCTCGAACGTAACAAAGTCACGGCCGCCGCTCGTCTCGCGGAACTTTTGATGCATTTCTTCATCGTCGTAGACAAGTCCCAGACTAGCCAACGCTGCGGAGAACTCCAATTCGGCCAGTGAGTTTGACAAATCGCGATCGAAATGTCTGAACACTGACTCGAACTCCTCAAGCTGTATTGGCGTCAAGTTCGTCATATTTCGAGCGACCATCTGATTTTCCAAGAACGCGAGCTTTTTCGAGACCGAGTTGCGCACCAGGCTCAACTCGTACTCGAGTTCGTCGTACGTGTATGTCGTAAAGTCGTTCTCTTCGATGTTTGCTTCGGCGCATTGCTCGTCGATCGTTGCGATAAGGTTCAGGTAGTCATCGAGTGGCGTTAGGGACTTGCTGATTTGCTTAGTGTGCTCTAGCTGGTCTTCAACTTCACCCTCGAGAGCTGATATCGAGGTTCCAAGTGTGTTCAGTGCGAGGGCGAAATCATTCGCTTTGTCTGCAAACGACTTGCGGAGAGCGTTCTTGATGTCACGGATCGTTTCATTGATGACTTGTGAGCGTTCACGCTCCGCTTTCATCAGACCTGCCCATGCTGCATCCAATGTCTCCAGGCTCAGCTCTGCCGGAGGGTCGTATGGCCGTAAGCGATATGTCGCTAGCTTTGTCTTGATATTCCCTAATAAACCAGCCAGATCTGACTTCTCAGCGACCCAGTTGCGCTTGCTCTTGCGTTTCCAGGCCGTAAACTCGGTCGCCTGGGCTCTGGCGTCTGTGTATGTCCCGTCAAACTTGGCCTCCTCCCATTGCGTGCGCTGCGCGGCAATTGCTGCAAGAAGTTTCCGCATACGTTCCTCGAAGTCATTCTGCATCTGCCATGCTCCATACATGTTTTGTACGAACTTCTCCACTCGTCGACCAGCGTTCTCTACTCGCTCCATTTGCGAGAAAGCGTGAAACCAGTAGGCGATGTACGTCATGAGCGAGCGCTCGTCAGGCTTCGCAACATCGCAAACGTCCTCTACATCGAGCAGATCTGGGATACCGATCTCCTTAGAGGCAATGTCAAAGGCAAGTTGCATGTTGCCGCGGTGATCGTTCTTGTCGAGGCTGTCGTAGTCGATGAGGTCGGGGCGGTGGATATCCAAGAGGGCGCAGAAGGCTAGGCCGTCGTTCCAGCTGGAGGAGAAGTCGCGTACTTCGACCTCATCGTAGCATGCTGTCTTGCGCTGACACCACAGCAACAGTCCCTCCTTCGCACTCAGACCCTCTTCGTTGATGTCACTGATCGTGAAGCGCAGAATCAGAGTCCAGATCAGACCCAGGATGATCTTGCTGTTGCCGTCGACCACGTCTTCAGCACCAATGTTGGTCATTTGGATGCCGCGACTGCGGATGTAGTCGAGTGATTTGTTGACATTCTCGAATTTCTGCACTCGCATCTTCGGTCGGGAGGCATAGCGGCCAAGCGATTCGTTGCTGAGGACCTCGAGGAGGTGGATGAGGTTGATCTGAACATGCGTGTCAGAGGGTGCTCAACGCGAGGAGTCAATGAGGGGCACGCACGCCATCAGACAAGTCTGTTATGAGGTCTTCGATTTGCACATTTCGGATCTTGATTTTGCTGTTCAGCCTGTGGAAGAGTCAGCACATGGCCCCAAAGCTGCGACTCATCGTTGTGGCTGCAGGGTTGCCCACCATTTTGTGAAGGTCTTCTGCTGGACCTTGACCCATTGTTGCTCAAGCGGAGCCATGGCGGTCGGTGTGCATTAGAAGTGCCTGTTACAGGACGCGTGCAGGCAAGGACGGCGGTAAATGTTTCCAAAAATTTCCTGCTGCGAGGTGGCGAGTACTGTTGCTGCTTACTCGCTGCGTGGTTGTTGGTACCCAAACAATGCGAGGCGGGCGCCCACTCGGCTGTTGCGGGGGCCCCTGAACTTCCAAGGGATCGTCGAAGCTTTGTGGCTTGTGAGTGCTGTCAACCTGTGGCACATCGGCGGATGTTGAAATCTTCTCCCGTGACCTTGAAGAACGCTGGAGGTCGACTGCACGTTTAATTCGCGCGCAAAGTCCTGCGCACCCTCCTGCTTTTGATACACCGCTCGCACACAGAGCCGCCTGTCGCGTGTGGGGCGCATAAAGCTGCTCTTACCCGCATTGGTGCGTGGCTGTCTATTCGCCCTTGCTGCGTCACCTTCCATGGCTGCAGACGCGTCTGAGGTTGCCGCCTCGCTACCCTACCACGAGCCTGGCATTGAGACGCTCTTGATCCTGGTCTCTTTTCTCTTATTGCTCAATGTTGTCAATGCTGCACTCGATAGGCTCCTGTACTGCGGCTTGCTCGGTCAGGTCTTGATTGGAATAGCTTGGGGCACCCCAGGTGCCAAATGGCTGCCAACCGAAGTCGAAGAAGTGATTGTCCAGTTGGGATATCTTGGGCTCATTCTACTTGTGTATGAAGGTTTGTCAACGTCATCTTGTCTCCCGTAGAGTGGCAGCTAATAACGACCAGGGGGTCTGCATACTTCTTTCCAGTCGCTGAAAGCTAATTTGCTGCTCTCGTCTGGAGTTGCAATCACTGGCATTTGCGTCCCTATTGGACTCTCATACACACTCCAAGGCCTGCTTGACGCTACTCCATTACAAGCCTTTGCTGCCGGCGCTGCGCTATGTTCGACCAGCTTAGGGACGACATTCACTGTGCTAGGCTCTAGTGGCCTCTCCTCCTCTCGCCTCGGTGTTGTCCTCACTAGTGCAGCAATGATGGACGATGTTGTTGGGCTAGTCATGGTACAGGTCATCTCCAACCTCGGGGCTGCGAACTTCAACGCGGTTACTGTCCTTCGACCCGTGCTAGTCTCGATTGCTTTCGCTGTCGTTGTTCCTATTGCATGTTTGTTTATTGTCAAGCCGTGCACACTATGGCTCAACAGGCATCGGGAGTCTCACCCTGCTGCGCCGCTCAACCAACTGTTGTGTAAAAAGCACATTGCGTTCACGATCCACACAGTACTACTCGTCGCTCTCATCACTGGGGCGACTTATGCTGGGACGTCGAACCTTTTCGCTGCATACATTGCCGGCGCCAGCATCAGCTGGTGGGATTCTGAGGTACCCCATACTGACACAAGCCCTGGAGCTCAAGAGACGACAGAAGCAGTCGCCATTCCGAGCAACGAGCCTTCTGGAGCCACTGAGGGCTCTAGCAAAAATAAAGATGCGGACGCCTCCGGAGTGCTTGACGGCAGTGTCCATCCTACTCGAATAACGAATACTGTCAATGGGATGGACAACTCAAGTGGTGTGGCCATATATGAGCATTACTACCTTCAAGTCGTGTCAAAGATGCTACAGCCACTCTTCTTTGCATCAATCGGATTCTCCATTCCAATTACACGCATGTTTCGTGGAGCTATCGTCTGGCGGGGCATTGTCTACACAATTCTCATGGCATTTGCAAAAGTGGTATGTGGTTTGTGGCTCGTCAGGCTTACCATCGCCCCAACAAACACTGTCCGCCGCGTCGTTCATGGACTAAAACTTCCCGCCGTGCCTCATCTCTGGGGTAGGAGTAAGGTGCAGGCTACTCATACGACCGCCGAGCGGGCAACGACCGAAGCGGAAGCTGTCCCCTCTGCGACGGCATCCATTCACGAGCGACGAAGCTCACCAAACCCACCGAAGCCTCTGTCCATACACCCGCCGCTCATCCTTGCACTAGCAATGTGTGCTCGTGGCGAAATTGGCTTCCTGATATCTGGGGTAGCTGAATCGACCGGCGTTTTCTCGCCATCTGGAGTTACCTCAAGCGAGCCATCAGATATATTCCTCGTTGTGACTTGGGCAATAGTGCTTTGTACTAGCGTCGGCCCTCTTGGAGTCGGGTTGTCAGTGCGCAGGGTGAGAAAACTTCAAGCGCGAAAGGAACGAGAGCGAGAAGGCGCTGGGAGAGATGTCCTTGGAGTCTGGGGGGTAGAGTAGGCTATTTTGTCGACATGTCACGTTTCGAAAGAGGCTGCTTCTTCTCTCCGGGCATGAGCCATATATATACTTTTTCCACAGAAGCGATTGAGCCCGGTTTGTGTCAATATGGTGCTCATTGTATCTTTGCTGGCTGGCTTTGGCTACTGGTCTGCCGCAGTCAAAGTACTTCATTAAGTGACTTCAATCGGTTGACTCAGCGCTTTCATTCACGGTCATCGAGAAGAGAGATGACCGTCAAAGCCGAACGCCTCGCAATTTGGCACACATCAAGAAGTAGAAGGTGCAACTAAACGGAAGTTGAAACAAAATGTAACAGCGCTGTGCGAGTCGAAGGTCGCAGCGTGGGAGCACGAGCAAGCCCCGTTGTGAGACCAATGGCACGTGCAGCAGCAGGAACAACAGGCCCTGCATGTACTGTGTAAGGGATCTAAGGACAGTGACAGCTGTGTTCTCGAAGACGACGGTTGACATCATACTGTTTGCGTTGTCTATTCCTGGCCGAATCTCCGCTGCAGTGGAAAGCGTATGGCCAGGATAACCTTCCCTTGTGCACTGCGGGCGGCTCTGGAAGGTTTGCTGTGCGACCCTAGAAGCGTTTCAAAGGCACGCTTGGCTGAACACATTGCGGCCCTGAAACACTGACCCCATCATGTCGCGGGCGCGCTGCCGGCGCGGCGCTGCGATGCTCGCCGTGGACGCGCCGTAGGCGGTGGCCAGCACGCATCGATCTTGTCTTTTTTGCGCACGCTGTACACAGTCTTTGTCCAACAAGCTGCCAGCAGTACTGTGGCGACCGCACCCTGGTTCTTTGTGGGCGAGCACTTGAAAACGGCTTGTCGATTGGCCGGACGTGCCAGCATCGCCTTCCGCCGCTTTAGCGCTAACAGACGGGGCTCCACCGCGACTCCAACCACGTCGCTGCCGTGCAAAGACGCTCACCGCGCGCCCACGGCTCCTGATCACTTCCCTGCTTTCTGTCATATACCGATGAGGCGCTGAGCCTCGATTCCGGCGTGACACCAACCTTCACGCACCTCCCGTTCACTCTACGCCAACGCGTTCCACCGGCGCACTGCAGCCCGACGAACGTTACCTACCAGAACCACAGCAGCGCCGTTGCACCGAGCCTCCGCAGTCCCTCGCAACTTCCGACACCTAAAGCGGACATATCAGTGTGTTGTACTCTACAGCTGCCACACGCCCCGCCCGCCCGTTACTCCCCTGGTCGGTGCCGCTGAACCCCGCCATTCACCGCCGTTCGCTATTGTAGAGCTTCCACACCCCCTGTTGTTGACAGCGTGATCGTGTTTCAAGTAAGCAACCCCAGACTGTCTCGTTAACATCGAACGATGTTCATGCATCCGTTCTGTTCAGCGTCATTAGCCCCTGCTGACCTCCCTCGAGCATGTATTCGAATAACCAGTTCATGGATGCCCGACCGGCGCCCCGACCACCGACCGATCGTCCCCGCCTTGCCCTGACACCGAACACCAGCAGCACTCTGCCTGGCAACATGGCCGGTCTGAGCATGCAGTCGCCCGCTTATGGCCAGTCGTTGTCCCGCTCGCAGACGGAAAGGAGCGTCTCCTCGTCTTCCGTAGTCAAGGAGGGTATGGTCAAAGTGAAGGATGAGGGTCTATTCAAGTCATTCGTTTGGGCAGATCGGTGGCTGGTCTTGAAAGAATTTGAGCTGAACTTCTTCAAGAGTGCCAATGCATCCAAGGTGTCCAACACAATCCAGCTGCGAGACATTCTTGGCGTAGAACGGTCTGATACACAGCCGCTTTCGTTCGAAATCACACGGTCGCTCAACTCCAGCAAAGGCTCGTCACCTCCTCGCGACGGACCGACGAAAGTCATTACATGCAAAGTGGAAACAGACGATGATGTCTATTCCTGGATCGACAGCATCTACCAACGCTGCCCTAGCATGGGCGGCGTCAGCAACCCCACAAACTTCACGCACAGAGTCCACGTCGGCTTTGACCCTACAAGCGGCGCGTTTGTTGGTTTGCCAGTTGAATGGGAGAAGCTGCTGACAGCATCCGCATTGACAAAGGATGATTACGCAAAGAATCCTAAAGCTGTGCTCGAGGTACTTGAGTTCTACACCGAGAAGCTTGTCAAGCGATCCGAAGACCCCCAGCAGTACTCGAGCCTTACGCCCACCCCTGGTGTCAACACTGGATCAGAGAAGCAGCTTGGCTATGGTGGCGGAGGAAACTCGGTTGCGCCGCCTCGCCCTGCGCCGCCAGCTCAGTACCAGCGCAAGGACAGCTACAGCATGGGCTCACGCCAGGATACACCACCGTCAGGTGGATATGCAGCTCCGCTCCAAAACAGCGCCAACTCGGCCGACCGCTACGATCAAGAACGACGCAGACAGGAAGAACAAGTGCGAATGCAACGCGAGCGAGAGAGGGAAAGGCAAAGGCAAGAACAGGAGCGGCGAGACCGCGATGAGATGGCTGCGTACAATGCTTCAATACCTCAAAAGAAGCTTCCAATGGCTCAGCAAGAGATCGGTGGCGGCGGTTACGAAGATAGAGATGATAATGGGGCACGCTACAATCCCTCTCGCCCAGCTCCTTCGACGCCAGGCTCTCAAAGAGCCCCAGCAGCTCAAGCTCCCGGGTCGCTCCGCCAAATGGCAGCCCAGCGTCCTGCACCCCCTGCTCCAAAACAGCAGCAAAACGGCTCTGGCTACAGTCCTTCGAAAATTCCTACTTCACAGCAACGACCACCTATACAACCAAGTTCGAGCTACTCGGGATCGCAGAACCAGGTTCCCCAAGTTCGTGCTCAACCACAGCCACAGAAGCAGTACCAGGGTTCATCTGCAGCACCCAAGCCACTGAACGTGGCAAAGCCCACAGGAGCTCCAATGAACGATGCAGTCAAGAAAGCCGAAGCAGCGCTCACAAGCAAGCCGAAGGAAGAGACGCCACGCAAGGACGTTCGCATGTCGAGCATGTCTGAGACCGAAGTAATGGCCAAACTTCGCGAAGTCGTCTCAAAGGACAAGCCTCTTGAATCCTACAACAAGCAGAAGAAGATCGGTCAGGGTGCCAGTGGTTCAGTCTACGTGGCGCGCATCCGTGAAGGCGCAACCTCCGCCATGGCACGTCGCATTCTGCAAGAGAACGGACCACGCGCCCAGGTCGCCATCAAACAAATGGACCTGCGTAATCAACCTCGCAAGGAGCTGATTGTCAACGAAATCATCGTAATGAAGGACAGCAAGCATCCGAACATTGTCAACTTCCTTGACGCTTTCCTGCAAGAAGAGCAGTCAGAGCTCTGGGTAGTTATGGAGTTCATGGAGGGTGGTGCTTTGACCGATGTCATTGACAACAACCCAACCATCACCGAGGACCAGATCGCCACCATTTGCTTCGAGGTAGGGAAATTTCCACACGACAGAGACAAAGGTCGACTAACTTTGGCGTAGACTTGCAAGGGCTTGGAGCATCTGCACAACCAGAACATTATCCACCGAGACATCAAGAGTGACAATGTCCTACTCGATGGCCGTGGTAACGTCAAGATCAGTACGCTTGAAACACATTCACTTCTACTGTGCATATGCTAACCGTGCTCCAGCCGATTTCGGATTCTGCGCCAAGCTTACAGAACAACGATCCAAGCGTGCGACCATGGTGGGTACGCCGTACTGGATGGCACCCGAGGTCGTCAAGCAGAAGGAGTATGGCAACAAGGTTGATATCTGGTCGTTGGGTATCATGGCTATCGAAATGATTGAATCCGAGCCGCCCTACCTCAACGAAGAGCCCCTGAAAGCGCTCTACCTCATTGCCACAAATGGAACACCCCGCCTCAAGAAGCCAGACAAGCTTTCCAAGGAGCTCAAGGCCTTCCTGTCCGTCTGCCTATGCGTCGATGTCAAGAGCCGAGCAAGCGCATCTGAGCTCATGAGTCACGACTTTCTCAAGAGTGGATGCAGTCTCAACAGCCTGAGCCAGTTGCTAAACTTCAGGAAGAACGGCAGCCACTAAAGCGCCTACCAGAATCCGGAGAAGAGAGCACCCGGGGCAGCGCAACGTAATAATCTTTTCTGGGCCTTGCAAATCTTGATCGATACCCTTTCTATATCTTTTCGTCAATACTTGTGACCGGCAAGCATGCGCCTGCAGCGTACGGGCGAGCGAGCGCGCGGCGCGTGGTGGAACGCCGCGGGACCAGGCGGGCCAGTCCAGCCAGTGCGCGTGGTGCAGTGCCGGGTCGTTGGAGGTCACGGGTTTAAGCTTTCATGCAAAAGGACGATGACGAGGAACAAGACGAGTCGCGCGTTGGATAACGGCCGCCCATAGCCTCTTTTGCTGCCTCGAAAACGCTGTCCAGACTGCGCTCATAGTAGATATTGCAGTCAAGGTCACGATACATATTAGAGCATGACCTCATAACGATCTGGACATGCATCACGATAGCGGGTCAATCTATTACTGGAGTTTCGAGATTTTAATGAAAGCCCGCTTCCAGGTGGTGCATATCGTCAGCAATAGCACTACTCATGGTCGTTGCTTTGAATGGATATGTTGATTGATCGTGACTATGCCACAATATAAAAGTATGATGGGAGTATCTTCTAGATGCAATATCCTGAAAGCAGGAACCAGTGAGGCAAACCCATAGACGCCCCCAATGCAATGCAAAATGACGCCGTAGCCGAGACAGATACATGCCTGATTCTTCCCGAGCCCGTGAGACAATATGAGACCGAACGCCGCGCTATTGGACACCCTGAAACGAATAAACAAGAACGAACGAGATGAGAGCTCAGCTCCATAACGGCTCATTTGTCATCCTCGTCCTCGTCCTCGTCGCCCTCGAAGTCAGAGTCCATCTCCTCGTCGAAATCGCTCTCGCTGCCGCCAAAGCTCTCAACATCACTATCTTCCCAGCTCATCTCGAAGTCGCCCTCCTCCTCCTTGCGCTTCCAGGCCGTCTCGTGTGTGGGCATGACGAAGTCCGCCGGAATATCCGCCTTCGAGGCCTCGGTATCTTTCGTGACCATTGCTTTGTATTGCTCGGGCTGGTTGCGCAGCATAACGCCGGCGTCGACATTGGCGGGCGATGAAGTCTCGGCGTCGTCGAGGAGGGACAGGATGGAGAGGAGAACCGTCTCGGCGCGCTGCACGGGCGACCACCGCTCTGCGGCGAGCTCGCCCGACATTTCGTCGTCGCCAGGGGGGTGTAGGATCGATATGCAGAGACGGCCGTCGGGGTAGATGTTGGGGTGGTAGAGGGGTCGTGCGAACCGGAAGTCTGCGATGCTATTAGCCATATTTCCATGGTCCGCAAGTGCTGGTTCAGGGTCCAATGGGGTGACGTACCAGGCGGAGAATGAGGGTAATTGCGGGGAAAGGTCATTTTCGCTTTGAAATAGCCACCGTAGTAGAGGGAGTCGGGGTTGAGAACGATGAGAGCGACACTCCACTCAAAGACGTTGTCGTTCATCAACTGTAACACAGTCAGTCACAGCTCGTTGGCAGCCGCCACTCCATAATCGACATGGAGACTGACAGGCAACATACCTCGATATTAGTCCAGGTCTCCTTACTCAGAGCCTTGAACTCGTTCATAAGCACTCGCTGCGCAGCGTCCGCCATGATGTCTTCTCTCGCGGGGAGCTGAGTAACCGGGGCTCTAGTCTTGTGATGCAAGCAGGAAGGGTAGGGTGTCGGCGTAGATAGGTGGGGGGCAATGTAGCGGGCAGAAGTCCCAGAGGCCGGTGAAGAGGTGCGAGTGGGTGGTGAAGAAGAGGAAAGGAGTGGTTATGTGCAGTGAGAGTAGTGTGAAATGAGAGGCGTGGTCCACCCTACCATGACCAAGCACGCTCGCCGAAGTCAGGGTACACTCAGTGGTCTCGCCGGCCGAGCTACTCCTCGTGCATGCCTCACCGCCTGCCGTTTCCAATCGCCCCAACAAGCGCGGATGAATGAACCTGCCTTGCGTCGGCGCTTCCGCTACAGCCGTTGCCTCTTGTTCCGCCTGTTTCATGGATTTTTGCTCGGAATTGTTGCACCTTTTGTCTAAGCGATAGCCAAAGCTCGCCATTGTTCACTTACCGATCTCGGCACATGATGTCTGGTAAGCACCCTGGAGTACCATGTTCACGTCACCTGCGCTAAGGCACAATCCGGTGCTCACAATGATGATGAGAGTGACATCGTCCTCATGCATGACAATTCCGGCGCATCACGAACAGCCCATTTGAATGTTGCACCTGTCTTACTTGTGGAATCATGACATGCATACGGGTCACTTTTGAGCTTGAGAGTAAGGTCGTGTATAATGTCAAAATTGATATTGACGGATATGTCGTGTGAACTGTACATGCACCTATAATTCGGTATCAAACACCCATCCCCTTCAACGCCGTGTGCTGTGTGAGAAAGCAAAATCTCTAATTTCTCCAACTCGACCATGAACCACCAACATTGCAGCATCTATTATCGCCTCATATTCCCGATCAGAAGAGACATGCCGTGCGTGAATGCGTCAGACAAGACATCAGATATGCGATCAGGATAGGCTTATCGCGCCGCGACGGCTCTCGCGGAGGTGAAGGAAAGCCTGGAGTCCACAGAAGACGAAGAAACCCTGCGCCTCGTTAGAAATGATGGTTACAACATGACTTCGAGCTCCGCGTACAATGTAGATGAACACTGCGCCGAACACTGCGCCAGCAACAGCGCTGCCGTCCTCAGGATCCTCGTCCCCACCAAGCATCGTGTGACTACCCGATTTGAAGAGCGCTCCAATTGTGGACAGAATGACGATCGCGAAAACAGACAGGACGATGCATGTCCATGCATTCATGGCAGAAACGACGGGTTTGACCATGGTGGGCGGCTTTGAGCTCTGCGGCTATTCGGAGGCGGGAAGCTTTTCGACGGCGGCGCTTCGAGCGCAGAGGGTGAGTTGTAGATTGGAGAGAGCTGGGCCAACGAGGGAGTTCGAGGGCCACTAAGGTACTGTTTCGCAAGCGATGGAGATGGATGGTCGTTGGTGTTGATCGTGGAAGCCTGCCGTGCACCGCCGCCATGGTCGAGCTCAGAGTTCCGTCATCCGGCCTTGGCGTGTCGTTCGCGCTAGCAGCTCCACGCACGCCTCAGCCATCGACACTCGCTGAACTTCAATACATGGTATGATGACTTTGTGAGATTGACATTATCAAGTTATGCGATCGCATTGTAAGTTGAAGCTCGCCTATCGGCTCAGACTATACAATTCGAGTGAAGGCCATGACACTCTTCTCGATCACATATCAGCGTCGAATGCTTAGAGCGAAATAGTGTCCACTACCTTAACAGCCCCATGTTCAATGTGCAAAGTCTCTTGCGATACGAACTCTCTTAATATCCGAGTACCGTGCCCAATCTTTCCGAGCGACCGATCACTTCAGACAGCCATCCAAACAGTCATCTGGACACCGTGCTTGCTCAGCCGCATACGTGTTCAGTCAATCGTGGCCACACGAAGTTCCTTGTAGGTCAACCGGCCCTTGCCTTCTCCTGGAAAGGATGCCTGTAGCTGTTCGCCTTCACTGCGAAAGACTTCTCCAAACCCGTCCAGCGATGGCAAAACCCAATTCCTGCGGTCCTCGACAGCACGCCATGACTGTTCGAGCTATTGAACGGTAAGTCCAGTCCAAGGGGTTAGCATATCAAAGTCATACCTCTTCTTCCAGCCTGAGCTTTGCCTCCCATACGTTTGCGTCTTCTCCTTGTAGCTTCAAGAGTACTGGCGTCACGCAGGACGGTGCATCAAAACAAGTGACTTCTTCGCGGAACGTCCGTCGGTGCAGGAGACAAAGCGCTTCCTGTCCCTTTCGACGGCATCGCGAACAATGAGGGACTGTGCGAGAGCATGGTAAGTCGGCGAGGATACACTGCGTACATGACGTGATGCAGACAAAGCGAGGTTCGTCTGGGTCGATAAGTGACGCAGTCGTATTCTCTAGAGCGTCGAAGTTGTTCGAGCCACTGCTGACTTCGCTTGGCGGATCGTACGAGACAAGACTGTCCGCGTCATCGAAGGTGGTATCGAGAGGTTTTACGACAAGTGCAGTGCCGCATCGTTCTCTTTTATTTTCTAGGTCCCACGCCTGGTCATTCGCAGGAGCAATATCTGGAACATCGTCGCAGAACGGGTCCAACCCCTCCCGGTCGTGTGACAGAGCTGGAGGGTCGAAAAGAGAGTTACAAGAGAAGCTTGTGTTAGTAGGCGAGACTTCCTCGCAATGCAGAGGTGGAAGCTGTCGTCTTGAAGGTGTCAACGGATCGACAGTCACCCAGTCGCCCACCTCGCCCACGTCTTCGTCGTGCTCTTGCTGATCTGCAGTTTGAAGCCAGCTAAAGACCAGTCTTCGATCATCTGTGACGCGCATTTTCTGTTCGTTCGTTAAATCCACCTTCGAGCCGGCCATATTGTGATAGAGTCGAGTCTTGAATGGGTGAAAGAGTGACAGAAGATCCAACTTGGAGACGCAGCACACAAGGTCACCAGATCCTACCTAACTCACGGTGAAGGAGAGCACGCTAGGCGAGTACAAACGAAACCGTTAGCGCCTGTGCAGGACAAACGGCGATACGGTCGACAAGGAAATTGACCATAGTCAGAGTGCAGATGGCTTCGCTCCGTTGGGGAACGGTATGTGTACAACATTGTTGCTCGCATGCTCCCAAGTTTTAAGCTGACCAACTTTAATATACAACTTGTAGCCGTTATAATACTAAATGTCTACATACATTTAGGTTCTGCTTACATTGTAGGCTAAAAGTATTCTATAGAGTTTCGTGTATTTTTCCCTACGTTACTGTCGCGTAGTAGAGTATCTAGCTCTCATTTCGTGCAGATGGAGTATGTCGTACTCATCAAAAGAACTACCACATGCTGTAAGCTCCAAATTCCCACTGAAGCAGCTGCAACGCAAGAAACATTGGATTAATAACATCAACACTACGCTTCCTTATTGGTGCAGTTGCACTTAATTGGAGGCATCCACTTATGGTTCAGAAGCCTACTAGCTGTGCTGGAAAAGATTGTAAACCTTCAGACCTGCCAAGATGCAACCCGGATGTGCCTAAGTGCGGTATACATGCCTTGGTATCGCAAGATTCAAGCGATCAACTCCACTGTTACTGCTATAATCGTTACCCCAGCCCATTGATACATACACGCTTTCTGACACTCGCAACAGTGGATGAGCATTAACTAGTGAGACTCTATTCACGCTTTCTTTTGACGAACACTAGGATTCTGCCGGTCCTTTCCACTGCACATGGCACTAATACTAATCTCGAAACGGGTCCTCGATTGGTGTGTACATCCGAGGCGTATTCCATGCAGTCTTCCTCCACAACCAGCATGGCAACTTGCAACATTTTTCACAGGACCCTAGTTCCGGGATAATAGCGCAACTTTAGACAACCCTCCGCCTGTGAATTAGCGTTGCTAGGCCAATATCGACAACAACAAAACTCTGGAAGCCTGAACTAGTCGGCCTTGACGAGTGGCTATCACGGAGTCCAAACTAATCACAGGCAATCAACACCGGACACCAAAGTGGGGGCGACGAGAATATGGTACAAGTGGATGAATACAATGCTTGAGTTCAAGAGGGCAGCAGCTTTACGGGAGCACTCACCAGCATAACGATAAGAAGTACATGTTCTGTTTACGGAATACATCGATCCTGCGTCTCATCGTATCGAAGCACGAAGATAGATATTCGCTACCAGCCGACTGGATTCTACACGCCCACGAGGTGGATTGGGTTTATTGGAGGCGCAACAGCTCCTACAGACTTGGCAAGGCTGTCTTACCCTCAGGCGTCCCATAGGTATCGACGAGGCTGATTTATCAACATGATAACTAACAAACAGCATGAAGAATTTGTATAAATCTATACCACATGCTGCTTGTGTGAATAGTGCCAATTGAACGATGCAGATCTCTCTCCCCTCGTCGCGCCTTCGCGCCATTCTCAATGGCAGCACCTTGTTCGTATCCCTTGCACTTCTCGGGATCTCACCTGCTATGATGATCCTCTCAATGCGTGGCATGCATCGCATGGACAGTGCATGGCCAGAAGCCTATTACGAGTGGTTCCTTGGGCCACCCACGCACTCGGGCCACAAGCACTTGGTTCAACTCGTATACAACAACACAAATGAGCACATGATCCTCGCAGCAGGCATTGCTGGTGTATTTGCCGGAATTGTTAGCGTGGTCGGATTCTTTCTCGCTCAGAAGGTTTGTCCTTCACGACGTACCCTACATAACTCGCTCCTGACCCTCGCCGCAGACATTAAAACTCAACGCCCAGAACCACACAATCCGCCTACAAATCATCCCTGGCATTGTGTCGTTTATTGTCTCCTTGATCGCTTTCATCTACACCCAGATCATCTTCGATACCGAAAACAGCGGAAAATGCCGGTTTGCAGATGGCTACACGCCTAATAACGTCTTCGATTGCACGCGCGAGCAGGCGGCCGGCAGTATTGTTGTCTTTCTCACGAACGATCCCACGAGGTTGGCAGAGATTTACGAGACCCAGCGCAGTGTTCATGGTGATACACAGACCTCAAGGGCTCTACTGGTTCCACTGTTCGTTGCAAGCATACTCATGTGCGGGTTTACTGTTGGCAAGCTTCTGATTGAAAAGAAGGAGTACCGATATGTTGAGACCCCGGATGAGAGGGTCGAGAGGCTGCAGAGACAGGAAGAGTAGAAGGGAATGAAGAGATTGACGAAGGGTGGGTGGTGGATACGGCTGTGGTTGTAGGGTATTGGAAATGATATGAGCACAACTAGGATATTGGATCATTGATTTATGTTGGTTGATGGGATGTTGAGACTGGACGAATCACTGTTATGTAGAGCTAGGAAGCACGTAGATCAACGAATGAACGAAACTTAAACGAGCGTTTTGATTACAAGCCTATGCATTTTTAGTCTGACTATTCGAGTTGCGATGGGTAAAGATTGCCAGATGGGCTGCGGATAGCCCCGCTCCCACTCTTCCTCGCTCAACACATGAGAGCCACGTTGGCGGTTCTAATGTCAAAAAAATGTCATCTCGCACGCTCTAGGCTTCGATGACACAGCACTGATAGCCTATGGTTCATAGCTGTCTCACCGGCGCAGTGAGCACTTGGCGCAGATCAGTCTGCATCTTTTATGCATCATAACACTCCGCAATCGTAAGGAGAACAGGGTGCGGTATGGTTAATACGCCAGACTCTCGAGTTTAGAGGAAAACGGCGGATAGGCGATGTTCAAGCCGACCAACTTTAATATAGAACCTGTGGCTATCATACCACTTAGACTTGAAATTCAATTAAGCATGACCTATATTGTGGGTAACAAAAAACCTTATGGTGTCTTCGTACATTCTTTCTAAGATACTGGCGCATAGTAGACCAACTGCAGGCTCGCATCCTTGATCCATCGTTCATCCTGCAACGAGACACCCAAATACAGGAGTTCGATCTCAATCCGCGATGGCGCCAGATTATCGAACAACTGTATAACAGACATTGCCAAATCAGGTGTTAGGTACACTTTCCGTGTCCAGTGTCACAGTCCGGGGTAACACATCGAAGATCTGCACCCCTGTTTCCGCCCCCAAATGGCGGGTCAGCCTGCAGAAGCTTCCCTTACTGTATGACATCTTGGCAGCAAAACAAGATTTCGAGCGGATTGACGAGCGCTCACAGAATGCACAATGTGAAGCTCGATGACGCAAATGGGAGCAAACGATATATGTTCCGGCGACAAACTGATCTTACTGAGAGCCCAACGTTCATATCCATTCGAATTTCGAATTTCTCATAATCTACACCAGTAGTACGAACATGCTCTCCCGCACGCTTGCCGTCGCGTTTCTTCTGTTTAACGTAGCGAATGCATTGAGCATTGGTAAGTCTCATACTTATCGTGTTTAGTAAAGGTGTAACGTGATAAATCTACAGGTGAACGATCATATGTTCTTGTCCCTCGTGCTTACAGGAAACGTCAAAAACGCACGACAGCTTTCATCATCGCTTTCAGCCTCCTTGCCGCTGCTGTAGTGGCTTCCATGGTCTTCTGGTTAGTCCGGCGATACAGGAAAGGGGATATGGCGAGAAGCAGTTCGCCGGGTTCAAAAAGGCCTGTAGTCGCACAGGAAGGACCTAACAATCGTTGGTTTGGACAAGCGGGGCTGAGTGGGAAATGAGTAAAAAAGGCCTGTGGAGGGGAGCTACGCAGTACCAGTTCAACAATACCCTTCAAGCGATATATGTTTAATAAAAAAAATGACAAACTCCAGGCTTTGGCCTAAGAAATTGATTCAAGACGACTCACTTGTCATCTATGATGTTTTTCAAGCAAAGTCATAGTCACACGATTACGATACTATTACTGACGTGATTGTCTCTTGGTCGGGATATCACTGCCAGAGACAGAGTGGAGGTCGAAGCTCTGTAAGGTAGAGCGTTAGATGACGATAGCTTGTACTCATGTTCGGTTGAAGCCGATGTTTCAGAGGACACGAACGAGTACATACATTTGCATGGCTTCAGAAGTTGCATCTCCGTACAGGGCACAGTGCAGTTGGAGATTGTGAGCCATGCAAGAAGATTGAAAACACTGTTGGTGATTTCCATATTCAAGGTGTTTTACAACGTCGCCCTATATCATGTTGTTCATTGACACGACAGCAGCACGCTATCCAATCCCGAGCGCAGCTGCACTTGCAGTTCGATGCAACTTAGCCACTCTCCATTATACCCTGTTACTACAGCACGAAGCCACCGGAAGCAACATTGCTCCAGTTCCTTACAGGATGTGTGTCCTCGAGTTCTACACACCACCAGAGCACCTCCTTCGCCTTCTCGATCTGCCCGCTCTCCTCATACGCCCTTGCAAGTGCATACCATGCCTCTGAATAGTCCCAGCCAGCACCGAGCTTTGTCAGCGTAGACAGCAGCCCGAACGCACGGTCACGCGCAGCAAGACGGCTGAGTTCAGGTGGCGAGAGTTGGTTCTCAGCCGAAGGAATATGTGACATGAGATGGTATTTCTTCGGCTCCGACGACGGTGTCGTCGCAGACGGTGTCGGTGCTTGTGTTGGGAACAGAGAGATAATTTCTGTAGCTGTGGTGGGCTCCATGGGGATGGCCTGGCTGTAAATGTCGAGCAGAATGTCGGACAAGCCAACAATACCCTGCGGATGGTCTGGGAAGTGTAGAAGCGCGCGCTCAAAGTCTGCGCGCGCTTGATGTTTCAAAGATTGAGCTACAAGAAGCTCACCGCGCTAAAATGGTCAGTCGTGTACAGTCTCATTTGTTTCAAGTGGACCTACTGCAGTGTAGGCATCAGCCCACAGTTCTTCGACACTCTTCCCGCCTCCCCAACTCTTGTCAGCAAGCGCTTTAGCTGTCGAAAACTCTAGGGTTAGCTCGTTTTCGAACGTTTCTACAAGTTTCAATGCCTCTGCGACGGCTTCCTTGCCGTCCTCGAATGCTTGGGCATTGGTGTAGAGTTTAGAAGTGAAGATCCAAATTTCGACCAGCAACGAAACCTTCTGCCTTCGGTCCTGCAGCTTGGAGAAATAAGGGTCCGGAGGTATGTAGTTAACGTCTGGAAGTCGAGTATCTTGTCTAGGAGGCTGATGCTCGTGGTTTTGCGGGGGTGAATCATGGCTTAAGTTGTGAGCAACAGGCCGAAGAGGCGTCTTACTATTCTCGACAAAATTCCCGTGCGAGCTTTCTGATGACAAGGGTCGTGAAGCGTTGCTTCGGACTGGCGCTCCATTTGACGCATGCTCTGACAAGGACGGCACTTCTGCAGCTTGGCCATTGCCCGATTCATGTTTGTGGTGTGTCAAATGTGGGAGATGATGGTGATGGCCGTTTTCGGAGACCTGGATGGCGGGTGCCGATCCGGCTGCAGGTGTGTCTTTCTGAGATCGGACAGACCCACGGCCACGAAAGATGCTTCCCTTCGACCCACCACTGCTCTTCGGGGGTGCTATCACAGCTGGAACTTCTAGTTTTACTTTCTCTGCAGCCGGGGAGCCGAACAATCTCCCGTAGAGGGCCAGAAGCTCGTCACAGCCATCCACAGCAGCGACGGCGCCATCGGTGATTCCAATGAGCGCGAGCTGGGTCATTTTGATCTGTAAGATACCGGCCTTTTCGAAACTACCCATGCGGTCGACGATGCCAGATGGGCTTGCGTTGCGACCAGTAGCATCCTTCAGATGTTCACTGCGGAATGTTCCAGCGTCTGTCCCGAAAAGAACTGCTGGATCTCCGAATTGCGCGAAAGCTGCCTCGCAAGCCTTCTCTGCCGCAGTATGTTCAGAACGCGATGTCAGAAGCAAGGCGAGGAGGTGCCACAGGGGAATCAACTTTCGCTCACGACCAAAGTCAGTGGCTGATCCTCGCGAGAGGACACCGTCTGGGCTGTATGCAGCCTGTGTCTTTGTAGCTGAAGAGAGTGCGCGCTTTGCGACCTTGATTGCTCCAACTATGTCTCGTGTTTCGGCCAAAACGATGGCCAGAGCATACAACGCATCGACATTGTTCGAGTCTTCAAGAGCTGGCGAAAGAGACCTGCGCAGTAGCTGAATGGCTTTTGCTTGTATGCCGGCTCGCGCGTCTGCATCATATGTGAATTGCGCCCAATGTGCTTGGCTGACACCAATAGCACAGTACGCGACAGCTAATGCAGTAGGCTCGACCACCGGCTTCTTTGCTGGTACCTCATTGGCATTAGTGATTGGTTTAATGTCTTCGTAGTGGTTCAACCACTCTTCCAGGTTATGCCCAATCTTGATGGCTTTCTCAGCTTCTGTGCGACACCCGAATCGACACAACAATCGAATTGCTTCTGCTGACGTTCGGAGGACAGTACTATCATCATCAACATCCTCTTCTGCTGTGTCCTCTTGCTCCGCACGATCTTTGCCTCGTGTTACGATCTCGATATACGAGTCGTAAGCTTTGAATGCCAGATCGAACTCGGCTAAGGATGCGTGTACAATGAACAGGTAGCGTAAGATCTGTGTAGAGTGAAAGGTCTTGGTGGCAGCTCGATACAAAATCTGCAAAGGGGTTAGCATTGACCTTGAACATCACATTCGGCTGTCAAAACTCACGTCGATCACACTGCGCCCTACACCTTCTTTCCCACCCTCGCCCAGTTCACCGTCGGTCCAGGATGCGCCGCAAAGTACGCGCCAGTTGTGGATGACAGAGTCGACCCAAACTTCAACCTCGTGATTGCTCTCGCTGGCTTTAGGGAAGTGTGTTTCTTTGATCAGCAGATTCTCGTAGATAGTCTCTACACGCTTCAACTCGGCGCGCTGTTGTAGTCGTGCACTAGCTTGGTCGTGTGCAGGTTTTTCTGAGGTAGCATGTGCGGTTCCTGCGTCGTAGGGCAGATTGTTGCGTATGATGGTCGATAAGGTATCGTAGTACGCCTTCCAGGCCAGTCGACGTGACTTAGCGTGATCTGCAGTGTCTGACCCAGCAGCCTGCCCTGCATTATCCGAGAATTTAGCGAATGCACGGAACGTCTGCAGAGCCTCAGAAGGGCTGATCAGGCTGCTGCTGCCCTCACTTTGATCTGACAGCTGGCAGAGTCGACCGAGAAGGGACTCGGTCCACATTCTGAATTGTGCGGTTTCACCGTTTTGTGACGACAGCCATGGCAGGATGGAGGTGTACGTCTTCACAGCGTCAGCAGTGGCGCCTGTCTTCTCCTGGGATGAGCCTGCGGAAAGTCAGCGGTGACCCAGCCATGCGGTGTGAGGTGTTGTACCCTTCAGGAACGTGCCCTTGACCACAGATACTTTCGTCCAGCCAGTAAGTGACCCCGCTTGCCCAGAAAGTCTGGCAGCAACTGTGTCAAGGCTATCGGGAAGGCGCGATACAGCTTGTTCTGGCTCGTCTAGCACATAGTGTAGCCACCCCAGACAGACAGTGGCCTGGAAGCCTTCTTGAGATAGATCATCCTCTCCTTCGATTGCGCCGAGCAGTGTGGGTGCGGTCTGGGAAAGGCCAGAGGAGGCCGTCGAGGCTGCAGTCGAGGGTCGCTGGGTGGCATAGGCGGCTATCTGCGCTTCAGCGCGACCAGTGAGTGTGAGGCCTTGTTGCGCCGTTAGCCCTCATGAAGCCGACGTGGGTGGTAGCAGGGTTGCGGACATCGGCGGTGTGAGGCATGCTTCTCGACCTTCCTGCACAGCTCGGGAACGTCTTTCCATCGTCCGGCACAGCGAGCCTCGTCCAGTTGCTGGATGTAGCCCGCGGCCTTTGCGCTTTCGGTCTGCGCCGCTGTCAGCTACTGGCCATGCGGCAGATGACGTTGCTCTCGAGCTTCCAGGAACGTTGTTGTGTACGTGCAGACTGCGAAAGACCTACCACCATGATGTTAAAGATATGTGTGTCGCGCTAAAGGTGGTCGCGGGTGACCCAGTATCATGTTCGAGGAGTAATGCAATCTAACAAGAAGAGGGCCATGGCCGTACGCCTGTCACTGCGCGTCTGCACCGTTCCGCCCGCGTAGACCATTTGTTGGCATACCCCTGTCCGCTAGCGCCATGCACGGACCCACCCAACGCTGACATCTGAACTTTTTTTTGGACATGGACGCAGCGTTGCTGGAGCATAGATCGAAGACACAGAGCAGACGGAAAATGGCACCGTCAGCGACTGAATTGGCGACCCTCCGAGCGCTCAGCTTTCGCATTTCCTCTACCGCGACTGCGCAGCTCCCTCAGCATGTGCCTGCCATAGCTGCATCCTTGTCCAATTGCAGGACCATTCTGTCGTCAACTCAGACATCAAACGCCAAGACCTCCTCTGAGGCTTCTGTCGCAGTACACAAATACCGGACTCTTCTATCGACCCTGCTCCAGGACCGGACTGTGCAAGGGCGATGGTCAGCTATCGTCCTCATCAAAGCTACCATCGAAGTCGGCGGATGGGAGACTTTGCAGAAGGGCCTACCTTGGGTGCGTGGACTGCTGGGCATATTGGCCAAGCCCGATCCGCCAACCTCGAAGAAGCTCTGCATCATCACGCTGACCCGCATCTTCATGCTTACGCGGGAGTACCCAACCTTGATTCGTGAAATCACAACTCCCTCTTTACCAACTCTGGTGCAGTCCGGTCTGCAGATCGCTGGCTCGAACCCGTCAAGCAGTCTATTGCTCACCGTTCTTGAGTGTTTCTCTGAACTGCTTCCAAGACACCCAACCATCTTCCGCTCTTACCTCAAAACGCTCCGACCACTCCTATGCCGCCTGGTTGCACCGACTCCATCTACAGGACTATCAGAGGATCAGTCTCCCACCACTGTCACGACAGAGGTCTCGGACGCTGCACGTAGATTGCTCATTCAGCTGCCATGCTGTGCCCCGAAAGGTGCTTCTAGCGAGGAATGGGAGAATGCTCTGCGAACCACGATTGGTGGCGTGCATCGTGTTGCCGATAGGGTCTTCCGTGCGGTCCTTGAGGATTGGCAGTCTACCGTGCGAGAAGCGCCTACCAACGGCCACGCCTTGGACGGCGAAGTCCAGGATCTCAAAGACGACTATCTGTCTCTACCACCATGGTCTGGCGTCTTTGCGGGCAGCGAAAGACTTGTCGGCTTATTACAGCTTGTCAAGGAGTACCTCAACAGCCCAACCGCCAATCAGGTGACCTTCAGGGTCGGAGTTATCATGGACATGATTACCCGAATGCTGTCTCTTACGATTCCAGCGTCTGGGTCGAAGTCGTTCCAAAACACTGTGAGAATCAACAACCAAATCGGTAAAGAAGAACGGGAGAACCTTTGGCAAGTGCTGCCTGCCATCCATGTGGCCACCATTGAGCTGCTACTTGCTATGGCGGACCGGCTGCAGGCAAGCACGCTCGCCATCGACACTCTGGTTCTTGATCAGCTAGTTTGGGTCTTTGGTTCTGAGAAAGACAATGCGCAGGTCCGCACAGCCTGCTATTTGGCTATTGCGACTGTACTGGAGCGATCAGGCGTAAACTTGCCGAAGCCATCGATTGACTCGCTGATCCCTCTTATGCGCACTTGCTGTGGGGATCTGCTGCCATCGGAGATCAGTCCTAATGTGGTGAAGGATACCCCAGGCCAGGCCAAATCAAAGGGCAGCAGTCAGGCTCAGGGCACTGCAAATGCAGACTCCTTCCTCGGCTCGAGGACTGCCAGTGATCCTATTGCCAGCTATCCGGGCCTGAAAGACGCCGCATATAATTTGTTACCGATACTTCTGTCCGATATACGCGCTCAGTACTTCTCCGACTCGCTTAGGGCGCGTCTAGACCGTACCGCAGTACTTGTCCAGCACAAGGATGCTATGTTGGCAAGTGTGCTGAATCCGCCACCCAGCAAGAAGTTCGGCAAGCCAGCCGCCAGTATCCTGCCACTTATGGCGAGGTCTTTCCAAGGAGACAGAGACATCGAAGGCATGTTGCGGCCCCGACTGCCCGTCATCCGCCTCGGACGACAAGAGAATGACGACGATGAAGAGGCTGAGGAGGATGACGAAGTAGAGGACGAAGAAGACGAGCCGCTCGAGGATACACCTGCGGATGAGGGCTTTGTGGGTCAAGAGCTTGACTCGATGCTGAAGACTGCGGGAGAGACGGACGTTGCTGTTCGAGATACCACCATGAGAGATGCACCGCCTCTTATCGAAAATACCATCGTTGCGGCGGAAGAAAGCGCGCAGCTTGAGGCCCCGGGTAAGCGACCACATACCACCGACACTCCGCTTTCACCTGCCAAACGGGTCCGATTTGGCGAGACAGAGTACGCCGAAACGTCAAAGATGCCGCCAGCTGCCAATGTTGCTGTCACTTTGGTTAACGATACTGCGAGTGCGGAGGTGCCCGCGACATCTGACTTCACTGTCACCTCTACCGCCTCCGCGATACCAGACCTCCCAGCGCCAGGGGAAGGCGGTGATGACACCGACGATGACGATGACGTGGTACCGCTGGTATTCGGACAAGATACCGATGATGAGTCGGAGTAATCTGTGAGGAGTTCCTCGCTTGCGAAGGATTAATTCAATCACCAGGAAGCTGCTCCATTGGTGCAGATACGCTTGAGTGGAGGTATCCAGTCGTAATTCAGAAGCCTATTGGCTGTCTCATGGATGTACCTGAGTGAAGTAGTTCTGTGGCGGTAACGAGACCCAGGGTAAAGGTCGTGACCCAAGGTTCGCGGTGAAAGCACGGGCCACTGTCAATATAATTCGCATTTGCTCTCAGTTTGACTCTCATCCATCACCAAAGTGAAAGACACTGTAGAGTCTACTACAAATATCCGTCGATAGCATCGCAACGTTGAAAGAACTTCCACTAAACGCTCACACAACTCTCAGCTGGAGCTACCCAACGCTAGTCCAAAACATGTCACTTGCGCAACTACCACAAGCCAGCAGCTCTCGTACAATACGAGAGAAAACTTCTGCTCCCACAGAAATCCTGGCACCCGTTGTATTACAATACGAGAAGTACCAGGACACGATGCCCGTCAACTCGAATGAAGAGAACGAGCACGCTACAACCATAACGGGAGTGAAACACTACCGACATATGTACAACCAGAGGGGACTCTTTTCCAAGCCAACACTCGACCACATTGACCACGCTGCGCTCTCACGCCTACAATCCTCGACAGACACTCCCTCTCCGCCTCCCGCGCCGGCGCAAAACGCACTCCCAGCCGCACCCTCACCACCCTCATCTGCAGCCTCCTACACCTCCCCAATATACACAGGAACCACCTGCAACCCAGCTGTCTTCCTCGCCATCCTGCAAATCGCGCGCCTCAACCTCCCCACCCTCAATCTCGTATCCGCTCTCAACCACATCCCGAACATTGGGCCCATGGACGCGGTCCCCGTGCTGCGCCCCGCGGCAACCGAAAACCTCGCGCCGCAGCCTTTTCTCGAGATGCACATGCCGTGGACTGCGTGCGATAGCGACGAAGATATGGGGATTGCGTTTCTACCTCACTTCTACGACGGAGGAGCCAGACACGCGCTGGGGTATTTTAGTATAGTGCAGTGTCCACTGCGGGGGAGGGTTCTGGGCACTGCTTTTCTCACGCCGTGTGTGGAGGAAGATCTGAGGCGGTTTGGATTGGTGGAGTACGTGGGGTCGTTGGAGGGAGTAGAGGCGATGGGGTGGGTTGGGTGTGTGAACGGCAAGTGGTTGGAGAGAGACACAGTGGAGGATTATGCGGAGTGGAAGTTGGTTTTTAGAATTGCAAGTGTGACATGGGAGGGGCGAATAGGATTGTTGAGAGGGGAGCTCGAGGGGTCATGAGAGGTACTCTACATTGTCAGACATCCTTATCAGAACGCGCATACCATGTTAGGCAAAAGTGGTGCGTTAGATCTTCCCATTGAATTGCATGACATGTGCATGAGAGTCAATGATACAATCGGAGAGGTGAATCAGCGGACAACCATATATTCGATGGCAAAACAACCAGCAAGAAGCCCATGGAAGCTTGGTCCGCTCGCCATCAAATATTTGTGCGCTGCTCTGAAGTCAACACGCTTCGACGCTTTGCATGCGAGATATTCTGATCCGCACGTAGTCTCAATCAACAAGACAGCATGAAGGCACCCTCTGATTTTGTCGCAGGCAATAAGACACAGAGCACGACCCCGTCCAAACACTTTTATGATTCACGAGAGATTGGTGACACTGATTGTGACTGCAATATATTGGATTGACTGATATTTTGACCGAACCAAAGATGCACATGTATCAGCCGGAGAACTTTGTCCCGATCCCACCGCGAGAGGCAGCGAACACTCCATGCGCTCCCGCTTACCTCCAGGTATCGCTGACTGTGATGCTGCTACCACATCCAGCCGAAGTGGTAAACCTCCTGTTCGGATCGCTCTCCCACACCACTGCACCGGCTGACGTCTTGCGGATATACTTGTACTCGAACACTGTCGAGGCAGGCAGGTCGATATCAGCAGTCCAGAGTGGATCGCTGCTGGTGTACTTGCTAGCACTGAGTGCTCTCGCGCTGTTCGGGCTCCAGTTACCGAGCTCAGTGAGCTGACCAGTGACGAAGATGTTATCACCGAAAGTGGTAGTTGCACGGACGTTGAATGTGACCTTCGCGTTACAGGCGGGTGTACCAGTGCAAGACGTAGGGGGCACATTGTTGGAAGGCTCGCCCCAAGTCGGGCTGACGACGCCAGCACGGCGCTCGACAGCGGTGAGAAAGGCGGCGTAGGACCAGGTAAGGTCAACTGCTGACAGAGGAGCGCCATTGTTCTTGTCGAACTGCTCGGCGAGACCGCCGTTGGAGGGTGTGTATTTCTGAACGATGGCGATGTAGCCATCGGCGTAAGTCTTGACGGCAGACGTGATTGTTGTGTAAGTCGCCGAGCCCTTGGCGTATGTACCAGCAGCAATTGAAGGCACAAGGTCCCTGAAGAAACCGAGCGAGACCGAGTTGACGGTGATGGAAGCTTGCTTATCCCACTGGTATAGGGCAGAGTATAACTGCTCAGCTGCCGCAAGAGTAGTGAGATACCACGGGTTACCATTGTAGTATACATCCTCAGAGTATCTTCCAACAGCAACGGCCCTGCCCTGAGCAATGCCCCTGTTGATAGCGTATACTGAACGGAAGGAGTCGGTGACAGACTTATGGTTGGCAAGGGCTCGGGCGGAGCAGGGTTGGAAAGTGGCGTCGGTGCACTTGGCATTGGGGTCGAATGTGTGGATGGAAGAGAGGATAGAATTTGCGTCCTTTCCAGTGCGACCGTCGTTTACGTTGATGTTAGAGTCGATGTAGCTACCAGTCCAGAAGCTCTGAGCAAAGCAGAGTACCTGGGGTGCGGCAGCTGCACAGCCACTGCAGGTTTGTCCCAGCCTGGTGGCCAGGGCTGCACCTTCGACGAGCGCGCGGTGAGACGCAGCAAGGGTGAAGTACGAAGAACCATTGACCTCCTCCCAAAGATCAAACCCGGTCTGGTTCCAGTAGCGGACAGTGTAAGCAAGGTCCTTTGCGATGACCGGCCAGACGGTGTTGAGAGCCTGTGTCCTTCCGCCGTTGTCGATCAGCCAGTTCGCGTAGATGGTAAGTGCTGTGGCACGCAGAGGTGGTCCGTCACGCTGGGGACGTCCCCAAGCACCAGTGAATGCGGTGCGGTCTACGTTGAACTTGGGTTCGCCAAGACCGCCTGAGTCTGGGCCTCCAGACGGATTGGAGACACCCTGGAGGTAGGCCTGAGCCGAGACGTAATCATCAAGCTTCTGACGAAGTGATGTGTCGCCAGCAATGAAGCGTTCGACGAGCGCCTTGTAAGTGAGGGCGGCGTCACGTGTCCAAGTGTACCAGTCTGCAGCCTGTCAGCACAGTGAAGTCACAGAATGTATCCTTGGACAGTCACTCACAGTCAGGGTTGGTCCGCGAGGGGCTCGCGACTACGATACCAACCGGAACACCAGGTGCTTTGCTACCGCCTCCACCAATGTTGGCAAGCACGCCATTGATCGAGACTGTCGACTGGGACTTGATGAAAGCATCGATGGTAGTCTGGCGGCCCTCAAGGGGTGTAGCTTGGGAGCCGGAGAGCAAGAGGGCAGCGGGGAGAGCCCGGAGGACTGAAGTGAACAACATGATGCTGTCTGAGGCTGTGAACAGAGCTGGTGAACTTGATGATCATTCCCTTGAGGGCTTTTGATTGTTTATATGCGCGTTTGCGAGGTCGAAGCTCTCGACGATCAATACAAACCTGGTCGTTACTCGTCCAACTGGGATGGACGTCGACAGGCACCAAGCGGCGGGCGCTAACGTAGTCCCATGCTACCACGGAGGCGGGAGGATGCTGAGGGACGTGATTGAAGCAGAGCGGTCCGACGGTGGGCAAATGGGAAACGTCGCCAGCTGAGGCTCATTTAAAGCTGCGGTAGCGTCCGGCTAGACCCTCCAATCAGATCAAGTAGATGCGAACTAAGAAAGATGCATGTGAAGAGAAAGGAAAGACCAAACCCAACGTTGTTCGCTCTGCCCCAGATTTAATCCCGGCCAATTACTGCACGTGGTGTGTGGGGAGCATTTCGCCTTCCTCATTAGGCATTAGCCCCTGCGCTTAGAGTATACACGCATCCTGCGGACCGACATTGTCAATCGACCACACCGTGACGCCACGCCACAAGCAGACACAGGTGCAATACTTCCTTCGTCATGTCGTGATTCGATCTCCTGGCCCTACAGTGACCCCGCTTTGCCTAGTAAATTTGTAGCTACCGACGTGCTCCACGCCGGTGTAATATATCGAGGGCCGACACTGCACCAGCAAGGTTATCGGGGGTATCGGGGTATGTGCAAGAAGAGGAACACCTGCGAGCCGTTCAAGAATTGGACTTGCGTTGTGTGAGCTGAGCTTTAGTCCTGGCTTGACCTTCTGGTCGGACGTGTCTCCGGAGCATCAGTCTTGGTCATCAACGTACAAACCATGAATCGATATCATGACCCATACATTCGTGAAGTCGTTAATTTAGTGCCATAGCCTAAGTGTGAGACATAGTGGCATCGTCTAAGAAAGCACGTAAAAAATCAACATGCTTCCGTTGCCTGAAAGAAGCGAGGGCCCGAGTACCCATAAAACTGTACACTTTCAATGTCGATGTTGCCATCTTCTGAGTCTTTTGGGCTCCACAGCTTGAGTAACACATTTCTACCGGAACTACGCAGAGCGTCAGTGAAGATTCTGAGCTCCGGGGCGCAAACTTACATCGCAGGCTCAAACTTGATCGTAATCTTGGACCTGTTCTTTTTTATGAAGAATCTTGCGTGGGGTGCAAGCACACTTCCTTTCTCCACGTCCTCCACACCAGCGTCAATCAAACTTGGTCTAGAAAGTCGACTCGCACGGATGGGTTCTGTATTATCGAGAATATTTCGATATCGAGGGCCCAGTGAGATTCGACGTGCTCGCATCTCATAGTCATCGGTAAACTGCGCAGTTTCTAACAGTTGGCGGAAGTGGGCACCTGTACCTCGACGGGGCGCCACATCTTCATCATCTTCCTCACTACCGGGCCTCCAGCGGCCCTCTCGCTGAATGCGGTCGGCCATGGTCTCGACGTTGGGATAGTCGTCATTTGAGGACTCCTCTTCCTCGCTGGTCGTGGTGACGTTGAAAGGTGGCGGGGTGGGAGCTGATACGCCAGCCGAGGTTGTATAGTCACAGTCAAAGTCTACTTCCTCGTCACTACCTGGTGGTTCCGAACTTCGCTGGTTGGCTGGATACGCTCGTGCATGGGATTCTTGGTTCAAGCGTTGAGTGCGTAATCGAAGGCGTTCTATCCTTGCTTCAACATCATCCTGTAAACGTCGATGGGAATATTGTCCGATATCTGAATTGTTGAATCCCTCGCGGAGCGAGATTCGCTCAGCGTTGCGAACATATCTACGACGTTCAGGAGAGGGTGAAGCTGACGGCGAATGAGTGCGGTGCTGTAATCGGTATGTAGAGGTGCCAGACAAGAGCTCATCAGCAGACATGGCAACAAACACGAGTCCCTCTTGGACGCTGCAAGTTGTTAGTAGATCATCAACCCACGAACGGGCACACATACGGAGACGTGAATCCACGATCCGGGGCTCGAATGACAAGCTTGTCTAGAGCAAAAGGGGCGTCCTCCATATGCCTTAGTAGGAGATTACATTTGGAGCTCTCGCTACAATATACGCTTTTGTCGTTCTTGAGAACATTATCCACGTGATACATTTTCATGGGATTGTCTCGTTTGATCTGACCGCCATCACAGCTGACGACTTCCATGCGCAAGCGACCAGAGACGACCTGGCCTTTGTAGCCGTATTTGTAGTTCTGATATTCGGGGGTCCTGCTGGACTCGTGATCCAGCTTTCTCCGCTTGGAGCGTCTGTGAGCCATGTCCGGGACACCAGGGCTCGGCTGGCGGTTGGTCATGTTGATCCACTGCTCGAAGTCGGCTACAAAATGAGGCCGCTCGCTGAGCGAGTCGAACGGCTCGAAGGTGGAGTTCAGGAGGGCCTCGCGCTCCTCATCGATTCGTGCCTGGGCGCGCTGGAGGTAGCGCTCGCTGGGCGTGGCTCGCGGACGGTTTGAGTACGCCGTGGGTGGTCTGTTGAGAGATTCGTATGTACCGTCGTCGCTGCCCCGTGGTACACCTTGCAGGCGCTGGAGACGTCGCCGGGTGGCACGACGCCTGGCTTCATGCACGCGGTCCAGCTGGGCTGACGAGCGCTCGGGAGGTTCGTCGGCGAGACGCAGGACATTGCCTGGATTAGGGCGGTCTGCGCGCAGAGGAGACGCCGAGGCGTGCGGGTAGTCGAAGCTGCCGGCCGCAAAGGAGAAGCCGGCCGGTGGAGGTGACGACGTAGGTGGGCGTGGCATCGGTGACGTGTGGCGCAGCGCCCATGAGATGGGGAGGGCAGTCGGAGAAAGTGCGGGGGATCGCGAGGACGCAGTCGGCAGTGTGCAGGGCGTAGAGCGGTGGCGGCAGCGGCGGGTTGTTACTGCAGCGTGTTCGCGGGACAGACGTTGAGGCTGAGACGGTGTTCAACGTCCAGCGAGCACCGCACCGCCAGCCGCCCCACGCGGGGCGCTAGCGAGGACCTGCAGAGCCGCAAAGCTTGGGGTGCGTTCCCGTCCCAGGCATTTCGTCACCGCCCGAGCTCCGTTGGCACCTCCGAACGCGTTTGGCGAGCCGGCGTTGCTTTCACCTTTACCTGGCCTTGTCGCGCAGTCCGCAGCCTTGCTTTGAATGCCGTGACTGCTGCCCTCCATAACACCAGCACCCACCACATCTGCTTAAAATGACGGATTTTGCTACGCCGGCCGGTGGAGCGGCAGTCAATGGCTCCTTCCCAGCGGACGATGCAGCTGGCCAGACGGTCGCTGCCATTGCCGAGTCTGCGAAGATCTCCGCAGGTAACGTCGCCGCAGAAACAGTGCTGGCACCCACCTAACCTCGACCGCAGACGAGATCGCGCTCTACGACCGGCAGATCCGCCTCTGGGGCGTCAAGGCGCAGGAGAAGATCCGCACTGCCAACATCCTCCTCGTCTCCATCAAGGCACTGGCCAACGAGATCGCGAAGAACCTTGTGCTGGCTGGCATCGGCTCCATCACCCTTGCCGACCACGAGAATGTGACCGAGGATGATCTGGGTGCGCAGTTCTTCATCAGCGACACCGACGTAGGCAAGAACGTATGGTTGTCCTCCGATTCCTCCATATGCATGCTGACAATCTACAGCGTGCCGAGGCTGCGGCACCGCAAGTCCAAAAGCTGAACCCTCGCGTCAAAGTCCACACCTACACGAACCCCATCTACACCGAGACAGACGCCAGCTTCTACTCCAAGTTCGATGTCATCATCGCGACAGACCTCGACTTCAACTCGACCAACACTCTCAACCTCTGTGCGCGCCTCGCGAATCGTCCATTCTACGCTGGCGCATCCCACGGCCTGTACGGGTACATTTTCGCCGACCTGATCAAGCACAAGTTCGTTGTGGAGCGCGACCTCGGCAACAAGATAACACAAGTGGGCCCCGAGAGCTCGACGCGCAGCATCCTCGAGTCTTCGTCGAAGAAGGAGAATGGCAAGTCGGTGGAGACGGTCACGAAGCAAGAGATCTACTCGCCGATCATGGCCATTAAGGACTCGCCTCTGCCCCCTGAGCTTTCAGGCAACATGCGCAGGCTGAAGAAGGTGCATCCTTTGCTTACCTGCGTGCGCGCATTGTGGGAGTACCAGTTCAAGGCGCACGGTGTCTTCCCCTCGCACGACCCACAGCAGTTGCAGCTGTTCACCATGATGGCTACCGAGAAGCACAAGCTGCACCTGTTGCCTTCGAACACTCTCACCGCAGAGTTCCTCCGCAGCTTCCTGCAGAACGTGGGCAGTGAGATTGCGCCCGTCACCGCATTCCTGGGCGGTCAACTCGCGCAAGATGTTATCAACGTGCTGGGACAGCGGGAACAGCCTATCCAGAACTTGATGCTTTTCGACGGGGAGGAGTGCGCTGGGCCCGTGTACGCGCTGCACCCTATCTTTGCCGACAACCCGATCACAGCTCTTCCGTCGATCCCGATGCCTGTTGAGGCGATTGCGATTGATGACTAGACAACGCAAAGGTCAAGCAACAAGTTGGATGCAATATGAGATACAGTCTCACGGAAATGAAGGAGGCAGGCGAGGACCTACGATACCCAACAGCTAGTCTGGCAGTAGCCAGTAGCGTTTTGCAATGCATAAATTTCCATTCAAGAACCACCGCTCTTTTTCATGCGTAAAATTCTTGCTATGCTAACAGCAGGCATCACCGCTCCACATTCACTGCTTCTTCTTCTCAGCCTCCTCTTTGGTCCCTCCGATCCTGCCAAACAACACCCAACATAGCCCCAGAAACGCGACCAACACAATCCCCACAGTCCCGCCCTCCACCCACCCAACCTGCCGCGTATCCAACACAGGCACGTCAATTGTCTCCACCAGTCTCTTCAACGCCCCATCTGCCCCTCTCTCGCTCACAGGCTGCACATGCATGAACCTCGTCTTCGGCCCAAACAGCGCCTCGTACCCCAAATGTCTGCGGTCAAACGGATTAAGCGGGTGCTTCTCGCCCTCATCAGCGCGACACGCCCAGAACACAACAGGCCAGGGGACATGCAACGTATCGTGCGAGGCAGGCGCTGCAGGGCTGTAGCGCAGATGCAGCGGGATACTGACAGTCCAGTCTGGCGTGCTGGCATCAGCGGGCGGCGTCGCGAGCTCGAAGAGCGATGACGAGCCCCATTGTGGGATCACCCAGTCTGGGGCTTCGAGGTCGGTGGCGCCGGATAGGCTGCGCAGCGCAAGAAGGTTCTTGGAGGCGAGGAAGAGGGCGTCGGAGAACTGATGTTTATCGATGAAGAGCGCCGAGGGGAGCGTGAGGTGCGTGTGTAGTTTACATGTTGGGTCTGGAGCCGTGAGGTGCTCTGTTGGGAAGGTGAGGGTCAGAGTGGGATGCAGACCTGTGGGGCGATTGATGGAGGTTCTAAATCTGAGTGGTGAAGGTTTGGGGGTTGTGTTGGGGTTGAAAGGGTCAGCGGTCAGGATCGGATAGTGGCGTGCTGGCGTTTGGAAGCGTGTGGGTTCTAGTGTTATGTCAGTGATGGTTTGTGATTATGGTGGTGTCGTGTAGTACTTGGCTTGTCGTCACGGCCGAGCACGGTCAGAAAACCGCCAAATTGGTAGTCCTCTGGGTCAGTGTTAGACTCGTGGGATAGGACGCCAATCTCGACTGTCGAATCGTCTTCAGGGACTGCAAATTGATCTGTCCACCCTATCCTTGGTCCACTCGACCAAACAGCTGTGCAGATTACGGCTTGAGATATAGCGTCATAATCGATGTCAACATAAGCAGGCGTTGACATCTCCCCAGTCATTCTCTGAAACCACACTGCTATCTCAGATGCAGACCAGTCATCTTCTGTGAATGGCGAGTAGTACTCTAAGGCTGTGGACATTGTGAAACGCTCAGAGAGCATCGGCATCTTGATCGCTGTTTCGTTTGATGTCGTGCACTTGAAGCGTCTGTCAACACTGTGAAATACCGATCGAACATCATGGCAGAGATCCGGGTCCTTCGCTTCTGTGGATGGCGTGAAGAAGATGTGTAGACCTGGCGACACGCGTGATGTGAATGGAACAGCCGCTAATTCGGGGATGTCTGGCGCCCAACGAACATGCAGCTCATGCCATTTCTTCAGCACTTCACTGACATTTGTCAGCCACTGGAATCTATTGCGGAATCTGGGACAATTACATATCGATTGGTGCTTCCGAAAGTTCGTCGAGACCAAGTGTGATACGGTGTTCTTTTGCAGCTCTGACGCGTGTCAAGGTAAAAGTATCGCTTTTGCCGTTGCTTCCCTTTTGGACATCAATCTGCTCGGGATTGAATGACTCTGGGTCCGTCACGACATATGTTATCCGTTGCTTCATGGTTGCTGTGTGTTGAGATCGCGCGTGATGGAGCTCGATGTTCACATGCAGGGTGGCTCGGCTGCGACTGCCCCTCGATTACAACTGCACCCTAAACCCTTCGACAGGTGACATCATTGCGCTAAGGAGCCTCGGTGCCCTTTCACGGCGAAGTCTGGATCGCTGCCTATGCCAACGCCATCTTCAACACCGTGTCCTCACGCGTTTTGCCACTGCATGGGCTCACATACCCTTCTACATTCTTAACACATACAGTGTGCATTTCCCACTCTCGCGACATCATGCGTGTTCTCAGTCTTCTATATGCAGCGCTGCTGAGCGCATGTGGCGCACAAGCGCTGCGCTCAGACAAGGTCAAGCTCTCCAATATCCAGAGCCTCACACTGCGCAAGGGACTCGATACTTCGCATCGTCGCGTCTCTGCTGTACCTCAGGTATGCCGGAATTCGATTCTGCAAGGGCGCGTGCTAACACCTTGCTAGCTTTCATGCATAGGCGGCAACGCTAAAGGCCTCTACGATGTCGACGTAATGCGTTGCAAGAACTCCGGTGCCGATTATGACTCCGAAAATATACAATGGACGTGCACTGCTTCGCTACCCGAAGAGTTCAAGTTGGGCTCCACAGACGTTTTCTGTGAAGGCTACGACTACCCAGAAGACCCTTACATTCTGAAAGGAAGCTGTGGCGTTGAATACAGACTGGTCTTGACAGATAAGGGTCACGAGAGATATGGCAAAGGAAATGGGGACCACTGGTGGGGAGGAGACGACGAGGGCCGTGGCAGAGACGGACCGAAAACACTAGGCGAAAAGGTCGCGGCAGCACTCTTCTGGATGGTCTTCATTGGTGTTGCGGGTTGGATAGTGTTCAACATTATTCGTCAGTGGGGTCAAGGCCCTGCAGGTGCCGCAGGCGCCGCCGGTAATCGACCCGGCTGGGGAGGCGGTGGTGGAGGCTGGGGTGGAAACGACGACAACGACGACCCACCTCCCCCTTATGACTACCAAGGACAGCCGGGCAAAGGCTCATACGGCACAAACCAACCTCAAGGATGGAGGCCCGGTCCATGGTCCGCTGCACTAGGTGGAGCTGCAGCTGGATACGCAGCGGGGCGCATGGGGAACAGGGGCAACCAGACCAACAGCGGTTGGGGCAGTAACAACGGTGGATGGAATAATGGAGAGGGCAGCTCGAGGTCGTCTTCTGGATCCGGAGCCAGCTTCTCTAACACAAGGCATGAAAGCACAGGCTTTGGCTCGACCTCGAGGAGATAGACACTCGTGGAAACACAACTTTCACTTGGCTCAAAATGATACCCTACTTTTTTCATTCATCGATACCGCCAGCACATACTTGAAGCCATCACACTTGCGTGGCAGTTTCAAATATCTACGATCCAAGCGAATGCCGCTTGGTGCTTGTGAGTCCCAACCTGAAACGTTCAAACATCCCTCTGAGCTCCAGCTCTCCACGGAATGTCTTCCCTCTCGATTTTCACACATGTTAGCCATCCCACTTTGTTTTCTTCCACATCCAAGCTCAACTCGTTCCTCGCAAGATTCTCCACGAACCTACTCGCGAATTCCTTCAGAAGCCCTAGATCCTCGTCCAGCGTATCAACCGCACTCGGCATGACCCGCTGCATCATCCTCCTTACCTCCTCGTACACCATGTAGCGACTCCCGCCCGCCCTGATCTTCCTGAAAAACTCGCCTCTCTTGATCGAAGGCTCCAAGGCGTCGTGTTGGCGCAGCGCGTTCGTCAGCGTGTCCCGAAACAGCTGCACAACGAACCAGGTATCAAATTCGGAGTTCACGTCGCACCTGAAAGGCACTTTTCTTTCTGTACGTGTGATCGTGAGGAGGAGAAGTTGGCGCTCGACCTCGAGTACCTCGGTATCCAGCGCCTCCGACTTCTTCACAATGAGGCGCTGGATCTCTTCGGCGAGAAACGTGTGGCAAGTTGGCCCAGGCCGGTGCGGGTAGGCGCCAACGAGATGGATCAGCGATTCGGTGTAGATGAAATCGTTCTCGAGCGCGATGGAGAGGAGCAGGTAGCGCGTGGGATCTCTGAAGATGGCTTTGTACAGGAGTTGCCGGTATTGGAGGAGCGCGTTGCCTATGTGGGGGGAGATGAGGTGGGTGCATCCGAGGTTTGTCGCGACTCTGACAAGTTCTTCTGCTTCGAATGTGGCTCGTGTGATGTTAGTGGTTGTAATGTTTGGCGGAATGCTGTAGAATGACCCCAAAACCTGGTCGTAAGTTCGGATGGCAGCTTCACGCATTGTGTCTTCGATCTCGCTCTCAATCTTGATGCTGAAGGTATTTAGACGGGTACCGTCAGACCTTCCTGAGGTGACATCTAGTTCTTCTTTGGCCGTTCGAGGAGTCAGTCGCACCTGTTCATCGAGTATGTCAATGGTGTATTCGCAACGCTCCGTTGCTGAGGCACGTTGCTCTTGGATAGATCTCGCGAACCAGGTAGAGTGTCTAGTAAGAATATCACTGTGAAGCTGCCACTGCTTGTGAGGTTCAGTCAGGTACGTGCGTATCGTGACGTCGCCTGCAGAGAAATTTGGGAATGAGTCTGTGGATGTGACATGGCAAGATGTCGGGAAATGTAGTTCATGTGCTGTAGGCTGGACAACCTATGTTACGTCAGTCATTGTCTTTCTCTGGTACAGTGTGTGATTTCTACCGTCTTTCCGATTGAATGCGAAATCGGACCTGGCAGACTGGAGGCAGTCATGCGTTGAGCTGCGGGTCGATTGAGCGTTAGACTGATGCTCGACATTGTGCCCTCTAAACACGATTGATACGCCAGCAGTTCTTTCGCAGATGAACTAGGTTTATTTAGTGTAGCTTCAGTGCTCGCAGAGTCGGATGCTGTGAATGTGCAGGGAGATGAGTTGAATATTGAGGCTGTATCACAAGGTGATTAGAGTTCAGTCGTTTCCTTGGTGTGGACAGCTCTGTCGGTGTTTATGTTGGAGGCTTTGACGAGTTCTGGATACCTTTACCTACACGTGCACTTGCGCCGCTGGTGAACAAGATCTCCTAGAAGTCAAGTGATTGAAAGTACAAGTGAAAGAAGCTCGCCGCTCTTGAGACTTCCATGCATACTTGCTAGATGGCAAGCTGAGCTGACTGAGACGTACTGACACATGCTAGAGAGCAGAACATCCAATGACCTTGCCGCTCACACACAGATTCGATCTATAAACTCTGTCTCAGCTGCACTAGCGAAGAGAAGTTTTCCTGGCTCTCGATCGTATAGATTCTCACCAAGATGACGAGCACCTGTATGGACTGGCAATGGCGTACCACACTCTATATACATCAAACCGTGTTTAAGATGTATTTCTATGCCTAGAGTATCCTTTGATGAAGATGAAATTTCGACCACAGATGGTGATGGTGGTGGCGCATTACATCGCTGCCGTGAAGGGATCGAAGAATTTTGCCGTGGCCTTCTTCGCCCTCTCAAGGCCAGTACGAGCACCGTTCACAGCTGCTTACTAGCAATTGCCTCTTCCATCGATCACCCTGCTACGTGGTATGGTTTCCCATTCGGGCTACCAGGTGGTAGGACCTCCGGAGTTGGGTTGTGCAGGCTTTGTAAAATGAGAAACGCCACTTAGAAGGTTACAACGTTTTTTGTTACTTGACCAAGATACCCTCGGATTGATTCAAGACCTCCAGGCTGTATTGTGTCCATCCATACTCGATAGGGCATTCCCCTGTGTCCCACTTTTTCGGCATAGCTTACTTAGACCACAAATTATGAATGCCAGTGACCGAGTGATCAGCCTTCGACTTATCGGGAAGAGAATCGCAGTCAGAGGAATTGTATGGAACAACGGGGTTGTCGCTGGCTGCAGAACATTCCTCGTGTCTCGGGCTCACCCGCTGCGTTAGTGCTAGCACATGATGAGGCAGGTCTAGACAATAGTGGAATCCTTTAAGTGTTCTAGATGTCTGCCGTAGTTTCATACGCGATGCGAGACGAAACTTATTCGTTGATGTCCCCATAAATGGCTTGCGGCTATTGGCATGAAAGCCCGGGTACGCGAATAAAATGACATGATTATCGCGTCAGTGGCTTGTCGAGATGTGATTGAAGAAGACGAAGCAGTAAGATAGATCAACAATCCTGTCAAGACTCCTTCTTATTAATACGTATGTGCTTAAACGGTGATATTCAATTGTTGTTCCGCGGCTTATGGGCTGTGATAAGGATGAGTTAGCTCCTGGAAAAGTGCAGTACTCGGCAATGGCGACGGCGCACAGGCCAGTGTGACCTCTTTAGTGCCACCGCACGCAACACAGGCCTTCTCCTGCGAGTGAAGGGTGCGCCTAGGATGGGGGGTCGCGGGACAAAAGGTGGTCAGACCCTGGCCCACGAGGTTCTGATGCGATCCTCGTACGATTCATTTCTGGAACTTTCCTTCTTTGACGTCTTATCCTGCGGAATTAGCATAGCCTGGCGGCTCTCGACTGTGTCAAGATGACAGGCGTCGCCGCCGCAACCCTGAATGCAATTCGGCCAAAGTCACCGGCCTTTTCTACACTTGTCGATCTCCCGCGGCAACCAAAACGACCCGACAGTGTCTGCGATGCCAGTAGCGCCGAGTTTGATATATTCCGGCTTACGCCTGTGCCTACGCTCATACTGAATGCCACGCGCACAATCGTTCAGGTATCCGACAGCCTTGTTGTGACAGCGCCAGGAATCACTCGCGAAGATCTCGTAGGATGGCATGCAGATGACGTTTTCGACCGGGCAGAGCGAACTTTGGACTGTCCAGTGCTCGCCTCGGCCCGCGAAGCATTCCCAACCGCTACGACAGCTGGATTACCAACTCGACTGGACCACACAACCGATGCGCAACAAACCTGGAGGACTCGTGTGGTGCCAATCTACCGCAATGACAGTCTTCATTGCACACAGCTCGAGTTCCACGATGTCACCGAGGAGTACAGGAAGAAACTAGAGTATGAGGAACGTTTGTACTCCGCCGAGACTTTTCGCATCCTCGTAGAGACTGTTAAAGACTATGCCATATTCATGCTCGACCCAAATGGAAACGTTGCGACATGGAATGCTGGTGCTCAAGCTTTTAAAGGATACACAAAATCAGAAATTGTCGGTCAACATTTCTCCAAGTTCTACAGCGAAGAAGATCTTGCCTCTGATAAGCCAGGGAGAGGACTTCGAGTTGCTCTTCGCACTGGTCGTTGCGAGGATGAAGGGTGGCGTTACCGAAAAGATGGTTCGCGATTCTGGGCAAATGTTATCATCTCTCCTATCTTCAGAGATGGTGCCCTCCTTGGTTTCTCAAAAGTCACTCGCGATTTGACAGATCGAAGAAACGCAGAGCAACAACTCATCAGCGCTTACGAGGAGGCATCAAGATTGAAGTCTGAATTTCTCGCCAACATGTCCCATGAAATACGGACCCCTATGCATGGCTTGCTCTCAGCTCTAACACTACTCCTTGATACAAAGCTAGACCCTGATCAACTGGACCTTGCTCACGTCATCAAAGAGTCTGGAGAAGTGCTTCTCCAAGTGATCAACGATATCCTTGACTACAGCAAACTGGCGAATGGCAGTTTCTCAATAAGCCATGACATCATCAACATCGCCGATATCGTACATTCGGTACACCGAGCGCAGCAGAAGTTGTTCGACCAACGGATCAGATTTGAAAGTCGTCTCGATCCTCGGATACCCACAGCCGGAGAAGGGGACAGCCTTCGATATCGTCAGATAATACAGAACCTAGTTTCCAACGCTGCGAAGTTCACCGAAGAGGGCTGCGTGTGTATTAACGCTAGTCTCGAGAGCGAGGATGAAGAGAATTCCGTTATCCGGACCGAAGTTGTAGATACTGGAATTGGAGTGCCGGAAGCCTCTGTAGACGCCCTCTTTACACCGTTCACCCAATTCGATAACTCTGCCACCAAGAGATACAAAGGCACAGGTCTAGGGCTCAGTATCTGCAAAAGCCTTGCTGAGCTCATGGGTGGTGAGATCGGTTTTCACCCTAATTCTGGGGGTGATGGTAGCGTTTTCTGGTTTACCATCAAACTCAAGAAGGTCAAACAGTTTCACATCATTGAGACTCCGGGGATCGAACTGGACGCCCTGCAGATTCCTTTGCCAACCGTGGTCGATCAGATGGAAGAAATGAAAGATGTCGCTGTCAAAAAGCGCCTGTTACTTGCTGAAGACAATTTCATCAATCGAAAGGTTATGCTTCGGATACTGGCTGGTCTTGGCTTTCCAGTCATTGATGTCGCTGTTAACGGGAAAGAAGCTGTCGCGAAGACGATACATGCAGCAGATGATAGGCACACGTCAGTACCTTACGATCTCATCCTCATGGATATCAACATGCCAGTGCAAGATGGTGTCTCAGCCACACAGGAGTTGAGGAATAAAGGCTTTCAAATACCGATTGTCGCAATGACTGCAAACGCACTAAAGGGTCAAGCTGACGCATATATTGCCAAAGGAATGACTGGTTATGTCGCGAAACCTGTGGACCGAAAGCTTCTGGTCAAGATTCTTTTAAAATGCTTCAAAGAGTCGTCCACCGAGTAAAGCTGGCCGCTTCTTATATTCCAGCTCACAGCCACTATTACCACTTGTGGCCATCACTGGGGTATGAAATCATGAGAGAAAACACTGCAACACGGTGCGAGTAACACCGCGCTGTGGTGTTTTTTTTTTTTCACAGAAGAAAGACAGCGTTAGGTGAAACACACCGCAAAACAGGAACCTAACCTCAGTTGCGGGGTTTAAAACACTGAAGAATGTTCCTTTTCGTGAAAGAAAACACCGGATGTGTACTTCAGTGCAGCTTATGCGAACTGCTCGGCCTTGACAAGGATCTTGATGGTCACAACTCAAATCACAGCATTGTGCAATCATGAGCCGAAAGCGGCCCTCGTTTCCGCGAGGCATGCGATGATAGGCCATGGTTATATTATTGGATTATGTTCTGTCCAGGATAAGCGAACGATTGCGAACGGGATGTGGAACCAGATCGTGTTTCCGTTCGTGGCGGTGGCTCTGCACCCCTGCCAATCGCCAGCCCTAAAGTCCGTACCCGCCTTCTCGAGGTCTCTCCGCGCAGTTATCGTCTGAAACCTGCATTCAAATATCTTGGGTATGGTCCTAGAGATCTGGCATGGGCCGTAGTGGGCAAGAGTCAGGTAGAGTAAGTATAAATTTCAAAGCTACTTGCTCGTCCAAAACACAGTCGCGTAACGCCTTTTCAATCAAACCCCGCACACGCTGTAAGCGTCTGTTCCTCCAATGTATGTGTGCATGAACGCCATTATGCTTGGCGTACCGTTGTCGTTGCCTGCTCGAACCGCAGCGGTTCGCAAAGTCGCAAAGTCAGCCTTGTGGACTACACTATAAATCAGTTATCTGGTGGAGATCAGCTGTACATACGCTCATCATGAGATTCTTCTCTTGCGGCTTTACACACAACGATGGAAGCTGATTCTCGCGAGCTGACATCCCCAATGGCTGAGCCTGGCAAACTGCAGGGCAGTGCGATAAACGTGACACACATAAGTCCCCCACCACCAGCATTGCATGTCACGTTGAATGCTTCTATCATTTCAGGAGAACGAGAACCGGGTTGTAGTGATGCTACAACTAGAACTCTGCCATCACCTGCTCACCATGCAGTGTCCGTTCAATCGACTCCGATCATCACACCACTGCTCGAGCAACATGAAACATACACATCAGTATGGAACCGAAGGTACATACACAAGTGGCGATCTCCCTTCTTGATGGTCCTTTTTTTCGTGCTAGGCGCTGCTGTGAGCATCGCTCATTGCGTGTTCTACCCAAAGCTCAACGGGAAAATCGTCGGAGACTCCTACCAACAGGAAGAAAAGATCAGGTAAGGATGCTGCCAATCGTCAGATTGAATACTCACCTCGATCAGATTTGGCACTGCATGCTCTTTCCTTGCCCAAATCTGTTTAGGGGCCAGCGTCTGGACTGTGTACACCCAATGGCTTTGGCGGACAGTGAAGCGGAAAGAGATGACCATTGAAGCATGGAACGCCGCTTTCAGCGCCGATACTTCTGTTTTGTCTTTGTTGAATTGGGAAATGCTGTGCAAGCTTCGTGTCGGTAGTGTGTTGGCGTTCTTTGCATGGTTAGTTGTATCCATCATATGTCTTCATGCGCTGACGGGTTGGTAGGAGTCTGCTCTTGCCTCCCTTCTTCACTCCAGCGACACTTTTCATCTACGAAAGTACTGCTGTGATGGAGATTATCGCAGCTATGCCGTACCCAAATATTGCACTCGGAACGACGGCCCACCGGTATTCTTACTCACCACCTGTTCGTCGAGGAACTCGGCAATACATCGATGATCAGAGTCGAGTATTTACTGGCCCAAGAACTCAACTGAGTCTGGTCTCTACGGCGGCTTCTTCGTTTGGGGAAATCCTTCCTGCCGACCTACCATACAACAACTCCGCATACTCCGTACAATTCTTTGCCCCGATAATAAAATGCGAAGAGGCAGATCAGAATATGAGCATCAAGATTGACTCATACCTCCAGGAAGGTATGGTCACAACGTGGGGATCTGCAAAGGAAAGTGATAGCGCTTACTTCGGCTTCGTGCCTACATGGAACAGCACCAAAGAACTGTACGCAGTCTGGCATCCCCGACAGCAGACACCCGCAAGTCCCTTGAATCAACTCTGGTTGACTTTCTTGCGGCCGAGAATAGACCATTCTGGTGCAAGAGTCAAAGATCGTCACTACCAGGTCTGTCAACCACACAATGCGTCTTACAATCTGGAGGTTTCTCAGTATCATGGTGTTCAGAACGTGACTGGAAATTACACCACCGGCGAAACCGTTCCATTCCCAACCGACGGCCTCGACATCACATCCAATATGACGCAGCATGCTTACACCGCATTCATGTGGGTGCTTTGCGATCAGCTCGTCGGCAAATTGGCGTGGTACGTTGAATCTAATGCAAGTACAAGTCCTACCCGCGGCGCGAGTCAATTTGGAATCATCGAATCTCCCATATCACGTACCAGCCTCCTCGGAAGCCTCGATCTTGACTCGTTCTTTGAGTTCGATGAAGAAAAAGGTTTGTATCAAGACCAGAACATGTCTCAGGTATACAATTTTAGCGATCAGCGGTTGAAGGATAAAGCTCTTGCGCGAAACCGAACGTTAGACACGCTCATCGAGGAACTGAGTTTCAACACGACCGTCAGTCTCATGCATAACAAATTGTTCACGTAAGAAACCCACGTCGACTGTTCTTGCTAGGATCTGACTGTTTTGTAGCAATCTGACTAATACCACTGTTCGCCTGACCGACGATGTGAACCGCTATTCCTATAAAGCGCGTGGTCTTTTCATCCCTTACGCACTTGCGAACTTCTTCACGTTACTCTGCGTGCTCATCGGCGCATGGTCATATGTATACGATGACGTCCTTCCGGATAAGAAGATACAGGATATTATCTACGCAGCTAGACCCGAACTGAGACATGGCTCAAGGAGATGGAGTGTGGTTGACGTGGATGGTTCGCGTCGCTCGGTAACGATCCAGGTAATCCAAAACGACAGCCGAGTCGGGACTGAGGTGCAAGCGGAAAGGGTGAGTTGGCACAAAATCCAGTGGGGAAGGGCTATGTCGCAGCAAGCAAAAGAGGCGTCTCCCAGCTAAGATCCTCGTTATGGAGGAACCAAATGTGAATATCATGACAATTTGTATTGTTCTCTCCAGCTACTATGATGTGGGTGCGCCACAGAAATACATGACAACTCGGGCAAGGCTTCATGCCGTCCTTGTATTCCGCTCGCAATGTAGGGGCCTAACAAAGCAGATCAGTAATCCACACAGAAGATGCTCAGCTTTAATAGCACAGGAGTTCTTACATCACTATGAGCCAATCCATGGTACTATGGCCTTTTTCCCAATTGTGGCACGGCAGGAGGGTCCCTCAGCGGCGAGCTCGAAGGTGATCGTGCTGGTACTTGCGTGGGTGGTGGCATAGCAGAGTCCCTCGGCGGCGAGCTTGAGGGTGGTTGTGGTCGCACCTGAGGGTCCTGCGAACATGGAGGGTTTGGAACTTCGATCGGCGGGGCTACATGAAATTGTTCAGTGAACATACATTGTAGTCGTGGATGCAACATACTCTGTGTGTCGACGTCACTGTTGCGGTACACTGGAGTGATCTCGTCTGTCTGCGTGCTACTGTCTCGGTACACTGGTGTGGCTGGATAGGACTGTCAGTAATCTCAACGACATCATGCATGTGACATACTCTGTGTGCCGGCGTCATGGTGTGGTCTCCGAGCCACGTGTGCACGAAGTCTCTCTATGAAAGAGTCGTTGTCGGACAAGTCGTCAGGTGGGTCGGAGTTGTTCTCTCGTTCAAACTCGGCTTGCATGGCAAGCGTCTCTTCTTGGTACTTGCGTAGCCAATCTTCCATTCCACCGTCTATGACGTGAAGAGGACAAATTGAGTGAAGAGGACAAGTGAAGTGAGTGAAGGGGATGAATGGAGTGAGTGAAGAGGGAAAGTCGAAGTTCGTGGAAAATATTAGTTTTATGAGGCATGTTAGCTCTTTCTTCATCAGACGAAAGAGGTGCTGGTAGCGAATGTAGAGCAGGCAGCTGTTGCGTTGGGCAGGAGCATCGCGACGCGCCCCACACAAATGAAAGATGCCACCACGCAATGCTATGCCTCATAAGCCTACAATTGTATTGTCGGTGCTCAGGCGTCTACTTTCCACCAAGTTGTTGTATACCTCTTGGCTACGTCTTCTTCAACTTGCTACGAACGGAATTCACCGTGTGCGCCCATTTTGGCACCTGGGCGAAATCGTTGTGCACCTGCGAGTCCGGCGTGCTGAGGGAGACGACTTGGATAGGTTTCGAAGGACCGACTCTCGTGTCATAAGAGTGAGACACGAATATCGAAGGGATGATTCACGTACTGTAGCTGTCAGGTATCTAGGTACCGTAATAATACTGTAATCCTCCAGTGCAAAATCTTGTAGTCTTCTATTAGTTTATCAGCTTGCGAATTTGCTTAGAAGCTACTCTGAAGGCCTCCGATGGAGTCCGGTAATTATGATCTGTAGCTGCAGACACCTTGTTAACTTGCTACATGTTATCAGTTTGTGTAGGAAAAGACACCGCGCAAGATGTCAATAACGGAGGAGCCTCTGCATGCAAATACCCTAGCGCTATATATGTAGCTTTGTTCTGTTTATTTAGGCCCCCAAACTTCTCGCTTCGCCCTCCAGCCACTTCATCTACCCGAGAACTCTGATTCGTTTGAGTTATCAATCTACCTTGGCAGCTGAACGTCAACAACACAACCTCGCTGCACCCCTGCCTTAGGCCCCGCTTTGAAGCTACACCATCATAGCCTGATTATACACGCCAGGTTATTTCGATTGGCAGCCTTGCTACGTGCCGCCTCTAGGTACATGATCGCCACCTGGATCGGCTCCGATGTTTCGCTTTCTAGTTGTGAATGCGAGATACGGCTTCACGAGGCTGGAACCTAGGCTGTAGTAAGTTGACCGGTGTACAGGACTAGTATAGGGCGGGTGACAGCACTGGTACGAGGTTGGCTTCTCAGAGCAAGCAAACCAGGCTAGCCAGCAAGGTAGAAAGTAGTATATATGCGCAGCCTGACCGACGCCCGTGCGGTTACTCATCTGTGTCGTGTTTCTGCTCGGCTTCTAATCCTTCGCATCATGCGAGTCTCACAACTTGTTGCTGCCTCTGCAATCTTCAGTCTTGCTTTAGCGCAGTTTGATGTCAACAAGCGAGAGAATCTCGAGGCGCTCGGGATTGAACGCGGCGATGAAGTCTTCGGCAGCGAGCTTGTCTTCAAGGATTTAGAGCCAGCAGTACTTGTGGAGGCATTCCAAGGAGCAGACAAGAACGAAACACTGTCGCAATTGCAAGATCGCAGCGTGGGACTGTTTGAACGTCAGCAGTGTCAAGCTGGGTACGGCTATTGCTCTGGTAAGCTTTCTTTGAATGTGATTTCTTACAAAAGTCTCCGTACTTGTGCTGATTACGATAATAGCGTTTGGAAGATGCTGTCCCAGCAGCGGCAGGTGCTGCTCCTATGGCTACTGTCTCGAGCCTGACAAGACATGCTGTCCAAACGGCCCCTGCGGAGCTGGGGAGACCTGTTGTGAGAACAGGTGCATTCCTGTCGGCACTCAGTGCTGCAGAGGTGGCAGATACTGCGAGGCTGGAAATATGTGTGTCCTTGTTGAGGGGAGAGGTATACCTGTATGCTGCACCGACTTGCAATGCACGGCGGTGGTGACCGGCGGTACAACTTCTTTTGCAAGGACGACTACGCAAGCTCCTCCGGCACCATCGATCACGGAGCCGCCGCGCACGACGCAAGTCATTGTCGATAGCTTCACAACATACTACTGGACAGTGAGATGGAGGTACTTCAGCTACTACTGGACTATCTTCCAGGCTCGAAGCACAGTGACGTATACGACTATCACCTACACGACCATCTATACAACCACTGCAACCGACGATGGAGATGCTTCAGCCATATTTGCGGAGCTGAGCAGGACTATAACCTTCTCAACGCCTGCAGAAGCGACAACTCTTGCCAGCCTGCTGGATGCGGCGCCGAGTCCAACTGCAACCCCAACAAAAGCTGTTGAGACTGAATTGGGGAGCTCAAAAGCAGCTGAGCCTACATCCCAAGAGATTTCCTTAGACTCACCTGGAGACAACGAGACTTCATCGAGCTCTGCTGTGACCCCGTCGTCGTCGAATACGCGCACCTCGTCAAGAGCAACGTCAAGTTCCAGTACATCATCTACGGTTGGAGGAGGGTCAAGTGCCGCGGGATCGGTTGCTGTACAGATGGGTGTTGTTGTTCTAGTAGCTTTTGGTGGAGTCCTGATGGTTTGGCTTTAGGGTAATCCAAGAACCGAGCGAGTCGCATGATAGTCGTCCAGTCAATTTGATGTTGTGGACCTCGTTCGTTTACGAAGTGGTAGCAATATTGGCCAAGCTGATGCATACTACTCTAGGCTAAGAGAAGACAAGTGCATGTGGAGATATGGATATTACCCGGATCTTTCGCCATTTCTGTGCATCCGGGTATCCGACTCGATTGTGTGCACACCACTACTGCACCCAGGCGCGTCCGACCAGCTACTTGGCGATGATCTTATCAGGGAACTTTCTTGTTGGATTGTATGTCTTGACCGGAGCCATTCAGCAATAATTCCACGGCTTATTGGCTGAGATGAAAATGGAGTAGATCCTACGAAAGCACTAAGTTAGGGAATTTGAATAGATATTAATGCCAACCAAGAGGGTAGGGAGTGCGCGTTGAGCTCTCATGGCTGCATTGGTTCACATGTGTGCTTCAGGCCCACCCTTGGCTGACACGAGAACGTAAAGCACCTTCTCTAACGGGAAAGCCCGCCTAGATATCAGTACAATCTATAAAACTCGAGCATGGAGCTCTTCGTATGTTCTATCCTCCACTATTGTCGGCAACGAACATCAGGATATCAACATGGGATTTTTTCAACGCATCCTTGTTACAGCCGGCGTGCTGAGCCTCGCACTTCACCCCGCCCTGGCTATGCCAGAACCGACTCCAGCCCCGGAGCTGCATACTCTGGAGAAGCGTGCCTGCTCAGCAGACAATTGCCTGCGCGCAGTTCGACGCAATGTCTTGTCGGCTATACCCTTCTGCTCGACGTACACCACTGAAGCGACCGCGACGATTCCCACATGGGCAGCCAATTGCCAGGATAATCCTACCAGAGTCTCCAGCGCGTGTAGTTGCCTTGCGGTAAGCTAAACATATTCGTGGTTTCGACACAGGATATACTAATTTGGATCGCTTTGGCAGACTGCTCCTCTGGTTCAGGTATATGGGCCGACCGACGACACGAGATACACTATCTGGGAGCAAGCCGATAACATCAGGAGCCGTCCCGAGACTTGGGAGGAGGCTCTTGAACAATGTTCGGCGATATGTTTAGGTATGCTTCCTCTACACATTACAATGTACCGTTACTTCGCGAATTAGCTCAACCACGATCAAAACATGGCTAATACATATTGTCTTGTACAGGGTCTGGATCGACTTGTCAGTCCTTCTCTCTCACCATGATGCCAGGATACCTCGAGGCACCTGGTGCGGGCTTAGCTTTGTGTTATTTGTGAGTGCTGCCTCGTGACTTTAAGTCATCGTAGCTAACGATCAAAGTTACATGACGTTGTTCCAACCCGACAAAGTGACGGTCGCATTGAACCATACTAGAAACGTCGTGTTCGAGCGAGTATAAAGTTCGCAGTCTCCCGTGGTCTGGAATCTCTGAATCATCTGCTGAACCTTATCGATACTCTCTGAATCACAGCAAATCGAAATGGTGGCGCTGACAGACGAGCGCCAGGGATTACTCGCAATCAGCAGGACTTTGGAAAGACGGAGCAGCACCTCAGGACTGAATTCAAACGGGCAAACCCTAAATAAACGTTTTTGACTTCAGAATATGATGACTGTTATTGTGTTCGAATTGGATTGCAGTAAGCTAGCCTATCTGACGAATCCGTTCAAGCTCGCCTCTTGTGAACGGCTATAGATCCTTTCAACTCCATACTTAATTTGCACTGACTCATTAACTTTTATCTTCGGGTGGGGAGGATCTAGGCGAGAGACATCTGCGCCTCGGCATCGGTAGCTTCGCCATTTGCACCTTCATCTGGCTCAGCATCAAGGAGCTTGATCCTAGCCTCGACCGCCTGCTCACCGACGACTGACTCCTCGACTTGAGCTTTGCGCAGGAATGTCTGGTGCCAGCGCGTACCCCATGCCTGGATCAGCTGCGCCTCATCCTCAGAGAGAGCACCGCTGGCCTTCTTCTCCATTAAGACATCGGCTGAGCCCTCTGAGACTCCTCGCGTGGAATCTTCAATGTATTTGAAGAGCTCACGAGCGTTGTCGCGATCCTTGGCCAGTGTAGCGTCCACCATCTCGATCTGGTCTGCAGGTAGACCCTTCTGGATACGCGCCGACGCGATCTGGCGGTTGCGATTTGTGACCTTGGCAACTGTATTAGAGACCATCTCGAGGACCCAGCTCTCAGTCAGCGCCTCGCCAGCGCCTAGATGGCTACCAAAGACCCACTGAACGACGGTCATCGGCGCGAGGATGGTGTAGTTGAGAAGGATGTCGATGATCCTGACGGCGACACCGGGCTGATCCTTCCAGTACTCGACTACGCTTGCAACAATCTGGCGTCGGGCAACCTCATTCTGAGAAATCTCCAACAAGCGGTCCTTGCCTCGCTCAATGCAGGAAAGCACATGAGACAATGATTTTGCGCCTAGTCGACAAATCGCTGTAACGAACGCATCCGTTGAAGGAACCAGCACTTCCGTGATGCCGTGCTCAATAGCCTGCTCATGGATTTTGTTGATAGTCGCTTGAACTTCCTCGGGCGGCGCCTTCTTTCTTAGTTGATGCAGCAGTGCCTGACCTTCGGCGGCGTACGGAGTCTCCTGGTTATCGTATTTGAAGTCCGGGCTGTTGTCCTCATCAAGGCGTTCTGGAATAAGCGCATGCATTGGCTCTGGGAGTGTTGACCTGACACGCTTAGCGAAGGAAAGGCGAATCTCCTTGTCAAGTGCGGCAAGGATGAAGGCCTTCTTTGGGTGCAAATTGGTCAGTTCGAGATCCTCGAGCCTAGTCAATAGTCAGTTGAGTTCCTCTAAATATGTGTCGATGCTCACCATTCTGTCCACCTCCATCGGAATTCGAAGTTACTGAGATGGTGCGAGAACCAGTCCAAGAATCGATAGCCCAATTCCAGATCCAGAACAGGTAGACTCTTGTAGATTGTGCGGATAGCACGTCCAAGTGACGGCGCAATTGCCTGAGGTGCGACCTTGCAGCATTGTGTGATCACAGAGTGATAGTACACCAGCTTGTGTTCCGCAGACGGCAGCTTAAACAGTTGCGAGAAAATGGCGTCAATAATCATATCTTCAGACTTGTACTGGGTCTTCTCTCCCGTCAGCTCCTTGAATTTATCAAGCGGTGTTCCGCGCTTGGCAAAAACATCGATTGTCCAGTAACAGTCGACGTCGACAAGAAACTTAGCAACCATCTCACGGTTGAAGTCGAGCTGATTGACTGTATCGACAATGGCGTCACGGATGAGCGAGGAAGCAATGTCCGTCGTTTTGGGGACGGTGTTAGCTTCCTGGTCCGCGAACAGAGAGAAGTAGGCTTCTGGGAAGATAGGTCGAGGGCCGGGGTTGATCAGCGAAGGGATGCTGAAAGTCGGGAACGCATGGGTAGGAGGTGCAGCAGGTAGCGCTTCGGCGTCTTCTTCCTTGACAGACTTGCGCACCGCGTCCGGGTCAAAGTGTGGAATGCAATTAAGCGGGAATCCAGACTCTGCCTCTGTTGTAAGCTGGGCTTGCAAGAGGCCAATAACGCTGTGGTAAGCCATGGGCTTAACATCGTCGTCCCCAACGTATGAATGAATCACACTTTCGATGGGAAGTGCATTGCCGGCCACGATGCCCGTGTTCTTCAACAGCTGCTGAGCCTGGTCGTGAAAACGATCACCGCCAGCGACTACAGCGTAAGGGATGGTAAGGAGAATGATTTTTACGAGCTCGATGCCCACAACGTCATTCTCGTCCTCGCTCTGAAGATCGACAATCTTGTCGAAAAGCTGTCCCAGGAAGCTGAAGATGCCATCATCTTGATATAACGACTGTAAGCACGCGAAGAACCTCAAGAGCAGCTTGAAGTCTTTCCATTCGCCGGCATTGAGCGCCTCCTGGGCGCGATCGCCAACGCGCCTCATAGCTTCGATTGTAATCTCAGGCTTCACATCGTTTCCGTAGAAGGCGACAGCGGCGACGAAAGGGATCTTGAAGGGCTGTTCGACGATACTGGGTCTCTATTAGTGTCGGCCAGGTAAGAGAATTGGAGGAGGCCACTCACAGCTGTACGAATAGGTCGAAAAAGTCAGACCGAAGGCGCTCGTCATCGTAGTGCTCTCCAAAATATGTCGCAATATCAATGGCCTCGTCCTGCGGTAATTTGGTAGAACTTGCGACGTTCAATAACAGGCGTCGCAACTTGGGAAACGGCGGCTCTTCGTAGCGACGGCGGGGAGGGTCTTCTCGGCGGCGTCTTTGGGGACCACGACGGTCATCTCGGTAAGCATTGCTATCATCATCTTTGCAATGTCAGCTCTTGTAACCAAAATAAATATGGAGTGGTGAGCTCACCATCGCGACGACGCTTGTTTCCTCCACCTCTGTAGCTGTCTGTACCACGCCTATCGAAGTCACGCTCTTCTCTCGCGTCGATATCCGCCATTGGTGCAAAAGATCGAGCCGTAGACTTGTGCTCGGAATCTCCAAGCGCAGCGTTCCTGTCTCGAGAAGGACTGTAGTGATCGCGTGTATTACTCACGGCGTTTCGATTGAAGTTGTTAAGACAGATAGAATTATAATAGTCGGGGCGTTGATAGGGAGAGCGGTGTCGCGAGTGTCGACGTCGATGCGCCTTGATCAGTCGCGAAGCAGGAGCTACGTCGAAGCTTTGGAAGTCGCGACGACCAATCCACGCTTGCTCATCGTGGTTAGCCACGTGAGACCGGCCTTGGCGAGGATTATCTACTCCAACGTTTGCAACACCAATGGTCACAGCATCAAGAAAATGCGCAAATTGTTGAGGTATTGCTTCAATGGATGTTGGCAATGGGGCTATCAAGCGCTGTCGGCGTTCAGCAGACATGAACTCGAGGTCTATCTTGAGGTTGAGCAGATCAACTGGAGAAACATTTAATTGCTCCGTGGAGACTGTCAAGGAGCTCAGCTTGGTCCGCTCGGCATCAAATTTCTGTTCGCTACCAGCTGGACTTGAAGCGCTGTATACTTACTGTTCCCGTTACTTTTCACTGCGCCCTCCATGGTTATTAATGCCAGCGTGTGCACCTGAGTATTGCTTGTGACAAATATCTAGGACCTGTTGGTGACTGCTAAGGGTCGAAGTTTTTGAGAGACTTATGCGGACCTCCCAGGTTGCTAGTACTGCTCAGTTGACGATGCTCGGGTCGGGTTTGAAAGAAGTCAAGGTTGTAGGTTGACTGTACTTATTAGGGACGTATGGGTGACAGCGAAGACCTGTGAGGTAAGTTCCCAGGTAAAAGCAGTTGGTTACCAGTTGGAGTAGCAAGTGAGAGCAGCTGGTTGGGGGTGTGAGTACCTTTTGCGTTGCTACTAGGTGGGCTATGGACTGTCTTCAGAACAACTTCGGGATATATCCAGATGTTTATAGATTGATAGACAACCATCAGATCCTTATCTGAGTCAAAATATCGTAACAATCACTAGATACCTCAAATTAGACTGTGCGTGCTGCTATTCCCTCTCTTCTTCAACGTGAGAGGCACTGTGTTACTCTTTCCCGGCCTCCACTGGTTTATACACATCCCCAAGCAAGAAAGCATCTTTTTAGCTGCTATAGGTATTGCCAACCTGTCAAGACACGAGTCCGCTCCTCATACATGCTTAAGAAAGAGCCAAGCAAGCCAAGATCAAGTCACAGGGAGAGCAAAATGTGGAGATAGGTAGTCTAATGCAGATTGAAGTGAAGAGAGCCGTCCTCTGAAGGCTAGAATAACGCATGGAAGCTGCGTTACATCACGCGCATGTGCTGCCAGATGGTTTCACATAGACATGAAACCTCCCATCAGCACCCACAAAGTCCAGGCAATCCGCCTAGTGTTGCACACTCCATCAGACAAACGTCCGTAAGCAAAGCGTTTGAGCGTCAGCCAGGCCCTCAACCCGTTGAAGATCGGGTGAAAGCACCAGGCACACCGACTCACACGCAGCCACCGCAAACACCCTCCAATGAGAAAACTCCTGCATGCAAACGAAAAGACGCAATGCAGCCCATGCCAGGTTGCCGTGAAACCCTCCAAGATCCGGAACTCATCCTAGGATGGTCACAAGCGATTCTTCCATGACTTTTGTCGACCTTCCTCCCTTCATTTTTGCAGCCGTGTGCGCTCGATCACCGTCTCAAGAAACAGGGAAGAAAGAAAAACATTTACGGAGCCAGCCCGTGGGCTTGCATAGACGGGGCAGCCAGAAGGGAAAGCAGAGCAAGCCGTTCTTGTAAATGTCGGTATCATTACAGACTCGCTCAGATATTGCAGGTAAGGGTGTACACGTGTGAGCTCTAACACTCGAAAACCGACGCCATGCGAGGCTCCATGTTGTACTTGCAGGACGGTAGACTCCTGGGCTCGAGAGCAGAGATGATCGAGGCCAGGCCGCGTAATCAAATGGTATCGTTTCGCGTAAGAGGCGCAAAGACTCTTAATCTAGTCTCGCCATCATCTGGTCCTTCGTTAACGGCTTGAAGTCGGGCGACTCAAAGTCCAAACCGCGCGCAGCCAGCGTAGGACGAATGTGGGGAGGGACAAGTTGTTGGTTGAGGTGAGTTGCGATGGAAAGTTCTAAAATTCGTCAGTCTGCGGGCTTTGAGGCATGAGCGATGTACCTACCGTGGTGGTTGAAGTTGTAGAGGCTGGGTAGATCCCGTACGGCGCCGTTGGGGTGACGGGAGTCAGGCAGACGTGTGTTGGGATCCCTCAGCTCGTCGAAGAAGGGGTGCACCATGGCATCGATAGCGGAGAGTCGCTGCGTTGGTGTGTACTCGAGCAGCTTGGAAATGAGGTCGATGGCGTTGGGATCAGCTTTGCGGAAGACCTTTGGATTTGTAAGTATAGCAAACAATTGTGTGGAATTGTGCTGACAAACCTTGTTGAACGGGTGCGGCTTGATCTGAGGGAACTTGTGCTCCATGTAGTTCGGGTTCATGGTACGAATCTGATCTCTTGTAGGTGTGCCAAGAACCTTGATGATTTCAACAAGCTGGTCGATACCAGACTCGCCAGGGAACAGTGGCTGTCCAAGCATAAGCTCGGCCATGACACAGCCCGTCGACCATACGTCTAAGCGGCAAGTGTTAGTAGATGATCTTACGCGCAAGGCCCACATGACGTACCGATCTTCGTAGTGTAGTTTGTCGCTCCAAAGATCAACTCGGGCGCACGGTAGTACCTGGAGCAAATGTACGACACATTGGGCTCGTTCTCGACCAGAATCTTTGCGCTACCGAAATCGCACAGCTTCAGAATGCCAGACGCGGGGTCCAAAAGCAAGTTCTGGGGCTTGATATCCCTGTGACAGATCCCTTGCGAGTGGATGTAGGCGAGAGAGCGGAACAGCTGGTAGATGTAGAGCTTCACCTCGAGGATGGGCATGACCGTCTTCATCTTGTTGAAATAGCGCGAGGCGCGGTACACAGTCTCCGGGACGAATTCGAGTACGAGGTTCAGGTAGACCTCGTCCTTCTGAATGGCACAATTAGCTCCCTGTTGCGCCTTCGGCATTGAATGCAAAAACGTACCCGCTCGCCATTGTTGTAGAAGAAGGCCTTGAGCTCAACGATGTTGGGGTGTCTGACAATGCGCATGATCTGCAGCTCACGGTTCTGGCCGTTGTCAGCACTAATACACTCACGCGGACATAGCGCATGCGCGGGCTCACCTTGAATCGCTTGTCCTGCAGCACCCGCTTGATGGCTGCATCCTCTCCGCTTGGCGAGAGCTTGGTCTGGAAGACGACGCCGAAGGAGCCGTTACCGACAATCTTGCATTGCGTGTACGCGAGGTCCTTGTACTCGCCGGTTTCGCCGTCCTGGACCTTCTCGCGGATGACTTCTGCAGCGCTGTTAGCAAGGCGGGGCGGTACGGGGATTGGTAATGCTTGCCTCCCATTCTCAGACTGGAGAAGGCCGATGGCCGGTTCTGGCTCATTGTTTGGGGGGCTGCAACGAGGGGTTGTCCGGCAAGCGTGCGCGGACTGCTATCGCGAGAATGGCGGGCTGTAGCTGAGGAGAGTGTGGGAGGGGGTGCGGGCGTGAATGAGTAGATCCGTAATGGGCGGTGGTGGTGAAGGCGCAGGGTGGAGTGGAGGTGGAGTGTGCTCCGTGTGCGTGGTTGACGCTCGCGGCTGGCGGAAAGGCAGGTGCTAGAGCGGCTTGGTGAATCGCTAGCGGGCCACGTGAACTGACTGCAAGGCAGCGGTGCAGCAGGGCAGTGCGGGGAGATGGGGGTGAAGGGGTAGGAATTGACGTCGAGATTGAGTTGCAAAAGGAAGGGAATGCGGGTTGAGTTGAGGGTCGACGTAGATGGAGCGGGGCGTGCTTGGGGCTTGTAGGCACAGACGAGGGCGCTAAAGCTGAAGAGGAGCTCGTGACATGAAGGCCGCTCGCGTTAGGGAATGGTCAGCTTCTCAACGACCAGCAACACCGGGCCTGGGCTCAGCAGCAGCGCGTGGCAACGGTGGTGTGAAGACGCCTGGAGCTGCCCGTCTGCATTGCCAGGCTGCAGCGCACGGCGGAACCAAGATCCACGAGGCTGGCTCGCGCAGCAGGAGCAGCAGATCGCTGTTTCTTGAAACAGACGTCACCGGAGCGCGGCTTGCCAGGACGTAGCGCGTGCACACGGCAGCGTGCGAGCTCTGTCTGTCACCGTCCGCTGCCATGCTGCTTTACGCCGTTTAGACGAGCAAATCGTTCGCAGGAGCTGGCCTGGGGACGGCTAGCTGGGTGTGGCCAGCACCAGCAGCGCTCTGCGGCGTCTAATTTTAAGCTGCCAGCTGCCATCGGCCTCATTGCCAGGCCAGGCCGACTGTGCGAGCTGGCACAACGGCAATGGAGGCCCCGGAGTTGCATTACAGACGCCTGCACGTGAGCGCTCAGATTCTCAAGCACGCCGCCTGAAATAACCAGCCCATACCCACTTGCTTGGACCCATAGCGCGGTGCGGTCGCTTGGGCGCGTGGCTGACCAGGAACTGCTCTCCAATAATACCTGCCACCTCGCCGTCGAGCTCTGCACTTGGGTCGCAGCGGCGGGCGTCGCCCAACAAGCATTTTACTATGTACTTAATGAACAGCGTTGGCAACAAGCAAATGTTTGATCGCAAGCAGCTCCGTGAACAGCTCCACAGGCCCCTTGCCGGTCCCTTCGGCATCGAGTGATTGCTTGTAGCCGACTCTGTTAGTGAAGATGACCGTGACGCTCACGGCTTTGTCTAGCACCCAGCGCCGCCGGCCTCATCACGCGGCAACCAGCTTGAAAGACATGTTGAACGATGGCCTGAGCGCTCCACTACACGAGCCTAGCAAAGCCAAAGCCAGAGTCACCAGATTTCGGCACAATGCACTCCTGCGTTGGCCTCGAGTCAGCCTCTCATGTTGTTCGCGCATGCAGCAGAGGCGGGACATGCTCAATAATGCGTGCAGTTCAGCTGTGCAATGCAATTGGCGTTGACGTCCTCCAGGCACTTGCATTGCGGGTCATCAACGTCAAATCCAGTGCTGCGGACGCATGGGCGCTGCCGGCCATAGGCATTTTATGCACTCTGCAAGAAGTACGCCCGAGCAATCACAGCTCGTCTTTATTTGCACGACAAGCGTCCACCAACGCCGCCCGCCTCGTTTCTCGTCTCGTCATAATTTCTGCGGCCACACGTCTGAATTTCCCGCATCCACATTTGCGACAGCTGACCAGCTCCAGCACGCCCCGGTCCTGGTAAGCGCAGGGGCCTCCTGCCGTGCAGAGCCTCTGCAGCTATCCTCAACACCCCTCCCGGCCCACCCTCGATCGTGGGTCACCAACTCGCTGTTCAAACGGCCTTCACCCCTGATTTACAAGCCATTGTGGATGCTCGACGGCGCCCTCGTCCCGGCTGCAGAGTCCCGAGCCTCCGTGATGAACCATTGATCGGTACACGTTACACCAGGATTCCTCATTGCTGCGCCTTTAGGACGGATTGAGCAAGACGTGCAGCAACCGACATACACGTCAAACCACTCATGACGACGGTGATCTCCCATCAAGCGCTTGGTCGCTCTAGGATTGCTCCGAATCTCATAGCACGTGCCGTCCGACGTGACAAGGCGCAGCGTGCAACAACTGCATCCATCTAAACTTCTTGCAACGAGCCTCGCTGCGAGTAAAACAATGCAGGGCCCTGCCAATGGACGATGCTGAAACACAGAAATTACGAGCATCAAGTGTGTAGAGCTAGCGAAACTACCGTCAACTCCCGGCTGGTTCGTTGATTTGTTCATACGTCAACGTGCAGCTTGCTGCCCCGCTCCGGGGCCCAACTCCGGTACTAATCACGTGCAATCCACCTTCATCTGGCACGACCTGCATCGAAGTTTGCGGTCGTTCGCTGCCTCTCGCTCTGTAGTAGCACGTCATTGCTCTGCACCACATCACTACCTGCATTTGCATTTGCTATTGCCAGGCCGCATCTGCGCTGGTCAATGTACGTCTTGCCCTTCACACAATGATTAGGTACAGTGTGACAGCAAGCGAGATGGGTGGCATATGTTTGTGTCATGAACCTCTGTGAGTGGTCAATCGCCACATTGAAAACTTTATATCCCCTGCACGAAACAAAATGCAGGTTCCTCATCTCGGATTTTGGTGGCGGACGGAATGCAGATCTACAGTCTGGGGCGCTCAACATATCGATAATCATCTCCCTCGGGCGTTCTGATTAGCCCGGATCCAAAATTGGCCTCTATCGACGTCCTGCATCTCAGCCTTGTGGCCCTTTCGTCCTCTTTTTTTCAATCCTGCCGCGTTACACGCACGAACCGAGCTCGAGTAGCGACGCCGTGTAACCGAGATATGCTGTCAAACATGATCGGAAAGTATCTCGCCAATAGCATGATTTCACGGTCGCCAAACCATTCACGTCTGCCCAACATACCACGACATTTCCGTGCGGCTTTCTACAAACAGTGACCGACATCGGCCGGATACTCGCTTCTACCGACTTCAGACTACAGGTGTCATGCTAGCTCCCGCGTAGTGGCCGCCCAACGTTGCTTTGGTACGGTGCCATACTTGCTACACGGGGTGTACGGATAGCAACGTCGCTCGGGGCAGCCACTGCCTTCAGTCATACCCGCGTTCTGAGACTAAGTACGTCGTCGTACTCACGTTGAATATAGGATTCATGTACCGTCACATCTTTTGCATCTCGGACTTGCTTCCAAAATGGCTGGAGTGAATTGAAGTTACAAGCAAAGCCTAGCATGTCTCATGTTCGAGGATAAACGGCGGACGAGCGACCTTCAACACCAAACTTGTAACCATGACAATAACCAAATCTGAAATCGAGGTCAGAACTACCTACGTTGTAGGCAAAAAAGCATACTGAAAATTTTCAGTGTTATTCTTACCCGCTGTCGTGTGGTGGAATACTTGGCTCACATTCTCAGTCAGCCGTTCATTCTACAACGTGAGAGCCACTGAAGAGACAACAGCTGTCGAGCAACCCGCAAGCGCACGTCGATCCTGCACTCATCCTCAACAGTTTCGCATTCCGCAGCTACCGGTGAACCTCACATCTCACAGCCAGGGTCTTGTCCCTCCGTCGTCAAACCACACGCTGAAGCGAGGCCATCGCCCGTTAAGCCGGTTTTCGCACGACTACCGCACAGCATGCACACTTGTCGAGCCGGCGTCTTTGCGAGAGAGCGAGACACGCATGCTCCTTGCCCTTTAATACATACGTGTAATAATGCTGCTTCTCCTGGGCTCTGTATCGAATCACCCCAGGCTCTAGAGATGGCGCGCAGGACTTTTCGCCCGATCATGCAGTCAGAGATCTTCCATAGATCAGCCACATGGTCGCACAGCACAGGGACAGCCAATTGGCGCGGCGTGAAGGTGATTAGTGTTTCAGTGTTGTCCATAGTGAACGAGTACACACACAAACAAAGTTCCTTTCCAACTCATAATCATACAGCACTTGACGCAGAGAACCAAAGCCCTTGTACCCGAGCGAAGTAATGAACAGCCCCTTCCCCTAGCTCATCAGCACCCAGCGCTCAACGCAGGAACATACAATCGATAAACCCTTATAGCGCCCCGAAAGTACCCAAACGCACATCCTCTCCCTGTACACGCCAGCCGTCCCCGTGACAAACAAGACCGCAGACAACATACCATGTATCCACCCGCCCCCCTCTCCCCCCTCTCCCTTCTACGACGCCCCCAGCACCATCCATACTCCCCAGCACCCCAGCCCCGTCGGCGAGTCTGACGCCCCGTCTCGCGTCATCCCGCGCACCGCAAGACAGGCTCTACACGGTCATGAGGCGAGGCAAAGGAGTCAGGCGCGGACGCCGCGTCATGTGTCCACGCGTCGCGCTACATCGCGGCACGCCTCACTTGGAACAGGCGGGGTGCGGGTTGCTCGTCGCACACCGCGAGCCCGGCGCAGCGAAGGGGGTTGGAGTATGGAAATTGCAGAGGTGGAAGTGGTGTTGGGCAAGAGTGAGGCGTAATGCCTAGATGCGGTGCTAGAATAGTGGTCGTCGCGCTCGCGCATGCGGTGCTGCTGTCTACACCGTGCCTGTGTCGAGAAAACGTGGGGCGAGGTTTGCCGTATCTTAGGTATGTGCTGGTTCTTGATACTGCAGGCTCGCGGCGTATTGTTATCACTTGTCGTGGAGCATTAGATCACACGATGGGCACAACTTGTGCCGACCACGGTATCAACAGATGCGAGCTCGTGTTGTGAAGAGTGTATTGAGTGTGAGTGTAATTGTTTCCAGAAAGAAGATAATATGCCGTTACAGACACCGTGCATGTGAAGTTGCGAACCGAGCCTGCTCAGCCCGTGCAAATCCCGCCTGTCAGTCCTCATTCGTACATGGAAACGCCGTTATCCGTAACGCCTGTCTGTGTATGCACGCCGCTAAGGGCCTCCGGCGACCGGTGTCCCGCTCCTGCTTATCCGCGTCTGCACACTGCTGGAGCTGTTGTTGCGGGGCACCGGCGTACTACTCCTGCTCCTTTCTCGCTCGCGCTCGCGGTCTTCAACCCTGACTCGCTCCCGCGCTTCTTCAACCAGACGCTTAGCCTCTCTGACGTTGCGCATCGTGCGGCCAAGCTTCCCCTCCTTCCCCTCCTGCAGCTTCTGCAGCTCGCCTCTTGCCTCAATGTCTTCTTTGGTCTTTTTAACAAACTCTTTGAATCCACCTTTGATGCCGCGGCCGATATCCTTGCCTTCGTCAAATACGCAATCGACATCGCGGATGCGCTTAATGTCCTCGACACGCCGTGTAAGATAGAGTGTCGGACTGCGGTGTTGGTCCTTGCGCTGAGCAATGATGCGCTGGACTTCCTCCTCATACGCTGTCTCGTACACGTTGATGTCGACGTTCGAGGGGGACTCTGATACAAAAAGGGTGTTTTCGCTGGCGGATTCCTCGCCGGTGCCAATGTTGAGAAACAAGGTGTCCTCGAGGGGGTCATGGGCGTGGCCTTTGCCAATCGGTGTCGTGGGTCCTGACGGTACTGTGTTGGGGGTAATGATAGACGGAGTTGCAGCAGATCGGTAGGACATGTTATCGTGTATAACGTTGGCATCAGTAGGGCTCAGGGAGTTGGGGGCGTTTGCTCGAGTGATAGTTGAGCGTTTTGAAGGTTGTGTGGCGAACGCTTCTTCGCGGAAGCCTGGTATTATGTCAGCGAGAGTGTGGCATTCATCTTGCAATACTTGCGTTCATGAATGTCGACATCTCGGTGGACCCCTTCTGCTGCGAGAACTCCCTCCACAGGCCGCCGATTATCTGTATCTTGCGATTTCGACTTTCGCAACGCCGAAGGTCTCATGGACATCGGAGGCTGCACGATCCTCGAGGCGCTACCAAGTATTCCGTCGAAGCGCTCTGGCCTCCGTCTGAAGAGCAGTTGTTTGAATCGCTTTACTGCTTGCACCTGTCGCTGTCAATTCCAGGACATGACCCGGGACCAGATCGAACATACCACTGTCACGAGGTGACCCATATTTCCGGTGATGGCAGCGTTGACTTCTTCATCGGTTGGAGGCTCTATTATGATGGCTACGTTTTCGGACTTAGGCAGTAGAGGGTCGGCGCCGTTCCGTGTGACCCAAGGGTGTTCCTATACAAGTCAGACAGTTCTACGATACATAATTGGTAACATACGCGAAGCTGCTCGAGGTTTATCCGCTTCTTGGGATCCTTTTCGAGCAATCGAATGAGAAGATTCTTGAGCTGCTCGTTGCAGTCACTGTCGAACACAACCGGGTCCATTCGTATCGCCTGGTACAACTCAATCATGCCGTGCTTTTCGAATGGTATGCGGCCGAAAAGCAGACAGTACAATGTGCAGCCCATGGACCAGATGTCGGCAGCTCTGCCCGAGACGTGGCCGTGTTTCGCAACACACAGCTCTGGCGGCATGAAGGCTGGCGATCCCGCCGACTTGGCCGTTTTCATCTCGTCGTCCTTGTCGAACATCTCTGACACGCCGAAATCGACAATCTTGAGCATGTCGTCTTCTGTGATGAGGCAGTTGTCCGGCTTGATGTCGCGGTGGATGATGCCCTGCGCGTGGACTGCACACGTTAGCTACGTCTTGCATGCACTGGCTCGCGACGTACGGTACTCGAGGCCCAGGATCATGTCTCTCAGCCAGCACCGACACTGCTCTTCGCTGTACGGGTCTGCGCGCTCCTCGAGGCCGACCTGCATCACCACGCCCTTCTTGCACATCTCCATGACCATGTACAGCGAGTCTTCCTCTGGGTCATCGAGCACTTCGATTAGCGACACCAGGTTGGGGTGGTTGAGCTTCTTCATGATGGCGATCTCCTCCTTGATCAATTCAAAGGCATTGTTCTCGCCCTCGGTGGACGAGTGGCGGTGCAGCGGCGAATTGAAGCCAATGCCGGCGGGCAGGGCGCGGCGGCGGTTGCTGGGACGGCGGAGCAGGTTCGACTGGGCGCGCTTGCGCAGCCGCGACTTGGAGAACTCCTTGACGGCGTACTCCTGGCCATACTGGTCGACGGCGAGGTGCACGGCACCAAACGAGCCGCGGCCGATCTCCTGCTTGATCAGGTACTGGTTGATGCGGTGCTGGGCGGTGCCGTCATCTTCGCTGTTGCTGTACTCGGAGCGCGCATTGAGGGTTTCCTGCACGGTTAGCGGCGCGGGTGCAGGCGCGGGGTCCGTACCTTGACGTGGCGGGTGCTCGAGGCGGCGCGGCGGTGGTGTCGGAGCGGGCTCTGGTATGCGGGCGTGGACCTGGCGGAGTCAGCACCTCCGCGGGGCAGCATTGGCTGACGTAGCCGGGGCGCGCACATGTACTTGACGGGCGCCGGGCGAGCGTCGTCGGGGACGTCGAGCGTGGGGCGCGAGGAGTAGAAGTCGGGCGGGGCGGGGCTGCGGGCGGCGGGCGAGGACGGCGTCGAGGAGGTGCGGGCGGGGAGCTCAGGCGGATGCGACATAGGTGCGAGGTGTGAGGGCGGACGGCCACGGACTAAACGAGGAATACTATGGGGAAAGCTAGGTGCTAGCTCGGGCTGGCGAGCGTGAGCATTGATGTGGGCCGGCGACAGGCTCGATCGACGTGGTATCACTCCAACGCGCCCAAGAGGGGGCCAGGCTCGGGGGTCAGAAAACGCCTTCAGCCTCAGGCTCGCTGCAAGCACCGCGGTTCCGCTGGGCCACCGCGGTCATCCCGTGCGCGCCCGGTCTTGGCAAACGTCGTCCGCAGAGGCACGAACGACGCCTGCACGGCAGCTGCCACGGCCCCGGCTCCCATTCGCCGGCGCTTGTTTGAGCCTCAGTTGCAGGGCCGCCGATCGCCGTTGCATGCACAGAGCGCAGCAGTGCAGCACCGCGTCGCCGTCGCCAACACCACTGCAGCACGCCCGCGGACTCTGGGCGACCCCTCTCTGCGCACGTGCCGGCCCCTTCACCTTCCCCATCCTGTCACTGGCTGGCGGAGCTACCCATTGCGCCACCAACACTACTGCAGCACGCCCGTGGACCCTGGCGACCCCTCTCTGCACACGTGCCGGCCCCTTCACCCACTCCGTCCGTAATTGGCCTGGCGGAGCTCCTGTCCCGCCACCATGGTGCTCTACAGCTTCTACATCTTCGACCGCCACAGTAAGCGGCCCCCGCGCCAACTACCAATTGCTTCGCTAACCCGTCCAGCGGAGTGCATCTACAGCCGCCGCTGGACGCCGCGCCCCGTCTCGTCCTCGGGCGCCGCCAGCGCCTCCAAGACCACGCGGCCGACGTCCAGCGCCTCGCTCGCGTCCGGCGCGCCCACCGACGCCCCCGGCGCGCCCACCCACCGCGGCCTCTCGCACGCCGACGACGAGAAGCTGATCTTCGGCCTCGTCTTCTCGCTGCGCAACATGGTCACCAAGCTCGGCGGCGCCGACGACACCTTCCTGTCCTACCGCACCGGCGACTACAAGCTGCACTACTACGAGACGCCCACGCGCATGAAGTTCGTCATGCTGACCGACACCAAGGTGCCCAATCTGCGCCAGTACCTGTACCAGATCTGGGCGAACCTGTACGTCGAGTACGTGGTGAAGAACCCGCTGGCGCCGACAGAGCATCCGGGCGGCGTGGGCGTCAGCAACGAGCTGTTTGAGCGCGGGCTGGAGGCGTTCCTGAGTGCAGTGTTGCCAGCTTGAGCGGGAAAAGGACACGGTGGAGTAAACCACGGGCATGACACGTGCGGAGGAGCCAGCGGTGCCAGGACGATTTATGAATGCTGCGTGTGCTGGACGATACCCTATACTGCTAAGGTCGGCCAAGCATTGAGCTTGAACAGCCGACGTTGTATAATGATACCAATACCAATGATGTTACCACTACGACGTACTGCAGCCACTTGACATTTTTGAGAATCTAAAGCCATCACTGTCGTAGCTAATAGGCCGCAGAAGTTCTACTAGAAACTCCGTTCCGGTGTATACAGTCTAACAACAAGGGCTCCTGATGAGACTACTTGCCTGATGCTGCACTTTGCCAGTTGGCTGGTCGGACGTGCTTGGGTGCAGCATGATGGAGACGTGGATCATTCATTCATTAGTCTACTTGCCCTTGAACGGGCCTACCTGGTCCTCCAGCAGATCTACCCTCAGAACCCAAACGCCCAGAAATGCAGCCTCCCAGTCATAGCGCTCAGATGAACTGCGCCTTCTGCGCTCCGTACCTCTGCTGCGTCCTGTCACTCATGCGGGCCTTGCCCAGCCCACTCCTCACTTCATCCAGCTGCTCCATACCCGTCGCAACCTTGCCCTTGCGAACGTGCCTCCCCGACTTGCCAACTGTCATGTGGTTCCCCAAGAAGTCGTCCATGATGCTGTCGAAATCGCTACGCAGCGGCGGCGCATCAGCAGAGCTCCACTGGCTCATGCCTGTCATGCCGCTGATGCCGCTGATCTTGGACATGCCCGAGACCATTGACTCGTCGTCGGGGAAATCAAAGCCGTCGTCCGCGTACTCCTCCTCGATCTTCTCGAAGCGCTCGTCGAGCAGCGACAGGGCGTCTGTGCGGTGCAGCGCCGACGACGACATCGAGTACCCGGATGTGCTGGTCAGCGCGCCCTTGCGCTTCTTGCGCCGCCCGCCGGCGGTCAGGGCCGACGCGCCCGTCATGATGGACGACTGCATGTCGCTTGGCGCCGCGGGCTTGGGCGCTTTGCTCGACTTGACGTCGTTCTTGAACTTTTTGAACTCCTCCATGTACGCCATGTCGCCGGCGTCGGCGAGCGGCGGCGCTTCGTCTGGTGCTGGGAGCTCGCCTGGCTGAAGGGGCTCGGCGGGTTTGGGTTTCCGCGAGGGCGAGGACGCGCGGACGGTGTCGTCTGATTCCCAGCCTGCGTCGTCTTCGTCCAGGAAGCGGTCGAGTGCGTCGCGGTCGGCGTCGAATTGACCGGCGGCTTCGAACTCGCGCTGATTCAGCTCGAAGCTGTCCTGTTGGAGGCTGTCGAAGATATCTTCGTCGTCGTCCACGTAGGCTTCGTCGTCGAGCGCCTCGAGCACTTCTCGTAGTCGCGGGTCCATGTCTGGCTGGAATCCAGAGAGCGCATCGGGGATGTTCTGCTGGTCCTGGTATGTGGTCTTGCGCACGAACTCAGAGGGCGCCATATCTTCGCCGAACATGTCGCTGACGCTGCTAACTGTGCTGTTCATGCTGTAGCCGGCGTCGCTCTGCCTGTCGTCTAGCGAGGCATTCTTCAGCGCGTCCGCCAGGTCAAACTTCTCTTTCCCCTTCTTCTTGTCTTCCTTGGCCTCAACAAAGTGTGCGTCTCCACCGCCAGAGTTCAGGTCGCGCATGTGCTGCATGTAGTCGTACTTGGAATCGTCGTAGAAGATGCCATAGTTGGCGGCCTCGCCCTCGTTTCGTCTGACGGCGTCTCCATATTCGCTGTCTAGGTCTCCTCTTGACTTGATTTTGCTGCGTCCCGTCGCCGACGAGAACTGCGAGGCGCGCGAGACGGAAGAGTACTGTGATGCGCGCGAACTGCCAGCAGGCTCGTCGCCTTCGCGCAGGTTTGCTGGCACCGTCTCGGCGAAGACCATCTGTGGGGCATCTTCATCGTGGATCCTCGGGTCGTTCTGGGCGCGGTGAACGAGGCGGTAGTTGATGGCAGTCTTTTTGTCGCTGGGTGCGATTAGTGGGGTACTCGCTCAAGATTCGAGCGTGCTTGCTTACATGAACTTGCGGCGAGGCATGATGGGCTATTTGCGATTGTCTCGTGAATGGCAAGGGAAGGCGGTGGCGGAATATCGAAGTCGGGGCGGCGCTTACAAAGGACCCTCGGTGCGCTTGAAGGAAATAACTTTACAGTGGGGCCGCCGTGAATGACATCGCGGGGCAAATTTCACATCATCTAGTCCACCCCTCACAGGCACACGACTGCCACCAACACCACCAGAGATACCCACGCACAATCGCAAAGATGGTGCTTGCAAAGTCGAAGAAGGCCGTTGGCCTCGGCAACAGTCTTATGAACGACAGGTTCGGCAAGGGCAAGGGCGCCGATATGCGCCGCGGAAACTTCCAGGGCGGTATTGAGCGAACGAACCACCAGACCGGCGAGAAGGTAAGCAGCGGACGACTTTTGAGACAAGCTTTCCTGACACTGTGCAGTACATCACCAACGAGAAGAAGGAGGCGTCATGGGTGAAGATGCGCTCCGTCACCGAGCAGGGCGATCTGGACGAGTTCCTGGAGACGGCTGAGCTTGCCGGCACCGATTTCACCGCAGAGAAGATGAATAACGTCAAGATTATCCACAAAGACCAGAAGAACCCGTACCTGTTGTCCGCAAACGAGGAGCGCAATGTTGTCAAGAGGCAGAAGGAGAACAGGCACAAGTTGACCGTACCAAGACGACCAAAGTGGGATTCGAAGACAACACCGCAACAGCTGGATACGCGCGAGAGGGAAGCCATGCTGCTGTGGAGGCGTGGACTTGCCGAGCTCACCGAGAACAACGACCTGCTTACAACACCGTTCGAGCGCAATCTCGAAGTCTGGAGGCAATTGTGGCGTGTGATCGAGCGATCCGACTTGGTCGTTCAGATTGTCGATGCGCGAAACCCACTCTTGTTCAGATCCGAGGATTTGGAAGTCTATGTCAAGGAGGTCGACGCCAAGAAGAACAACCTGCTGTTGGTCAATAAGGCAGACATGATGACGCTGGAGCAGCGTACAGCCTGGGCTGACTACTTCGAAGAGAACGGTGTCAACTACAAGTTCTTCTCGGCCGAATTGGCCAAGGAGATGAACGAGGCAAGGGATGCCGCAGAAGAGGCATCTGGGTCGGAGGAAGAGTCAGAGGACGACGATGAGGTCGAGGACGACGAGGACGAGGTCGAGTCTGAAGATGACGATCTCGCAAAAGAGGCAAAGAAGATTGATCTGCAAGACAAGAAGGAGGAGGAGGCGAAGTGGGTCGACGAGGAGACAGTCGATACACCTGGTGATGGCATTCAGCTGGCAGACGGCGACGAGCGAACCAGGATATTGACCACCGACGAGCTTGAGGCCCTCTTCCTGGCACATGCCCCCGAGATCGACACCGGACCTGACGGCCAGCCTCGCAAGACCTCCATCGGTCTGGTTGGTTACCCCAACGTCGGTAAATCGTCCACCATCAACGCCCTCATCGGCGCGAAGAAGGTGTCAGTCTCGGCCACACCCGGAAAGACGAAGCATTTCCAGACTATTCATCTCAGCGAGAAGGTCGTTCTCTGCGATTGCCCTGGTCTCGTGTTCCCTAGTTTCGCGGCCACCAAGGCTGAGCTCGTCTGTGCTGGTGTCCTTCCCATCGATCAGCTGCGAGAGTACACTGGACCTGGAGGTCTTGTCGCACAGCGCATCCCGCAGCCTTTCCTCGAGGCTATCTACGGTATGAAGATGGAGGTCCGCCCGCGTGAAGAAGGTGGCACTGGCATTCCCACATCTGAAGAGGTCCTCCGTGCGTATGCCATCGCGCGTGGCTTCCAGACACAGGGTCTTGGTCAGCCAGACGAATCGCGAGCCGCCCGCTACATTTTGAAGGACTACGTAAAGGGAAAGCTCCTCTTCTGTCACCCACCTCCCACAGACCCGCCGACAGACCCCAAGCACTTCAATCGCGAGCTCTACGACGCTGCACACTTGCCCGAGAAGCGCCGTGCACGCCTTGCGCGCATGACAGAAGCTGCCGAAGCCGATTCGCTGATGGACGATGATGAGATTAACATGGCTCCCAAGACAGGCCAGAAGTCGCAGCGCATGGACAAGAAATTCTTCGGTCCTGGCCAGGGTATGACTCACGTCAACAAGCCCTTCAACTACCAGTACAGTGAGCAGGGCAAGGAGTTGAGCGGCAGAAAGCTTAAGACGATGAACGCACTCAACATGGACGTCGACCCGGCGGATCTGAGACTCAACAGCAAGAAGCACTTCAAAGCGAACAAGAGGAGGGCGAAGAAGGTGCGGGCGGAGTATGAGTAGGCTCGTCGTGTTGATTCCTGTCTTGTTACCCTCTCACAGGCTGTCACATTGAGACGCCTTCTTTCTTGTTACGAATGCATGGTTGGTGTTGCGGTCTGCTTTGCCGTAGCTACATCTGGCTACATACAAAATCCACATTTCTTCCTATGTCTTCGTATTGCATGGCTAGTCTTTCAAAATTTTACGCTCTTGCCGCTTTTCCGTCCACGATTGCTGGTAAGCTATTGCCGACAAGCATTCGCTTACACGGAAAAAGCCAGATACAGCAACCATAGGCGAACGTAACGTCGTCGCCAAGAATCGCGACTGCAAATCTTTGCATCTGATAAGATTACCAACAGCTGATCGGACCACTCCAATGCTATCACCCGTGTCTGCCCCACTCCCTGGCTTTTGACGGGGTCCGTGGATCCTGGAGTGCCTCGTGGTGGGCAGCTTGAAAGGGCAAAGCCTATCCGAACAGCTCCACCTTAAGGGACTACTTACCTGCTCACCTTCGCTCCTTCACTCCGGGCTACATACGATCCTGCGACACATCTACACAATTGCGGGCGCACCAACCAGTAGTAAAACCCTACAATAATGGCGTCTACTTCCTTGGACGACATCAAGCAAGTGAGGGAAAGCAGTCAGAGCGTATCACCTGTTGAAAAACCTATCAACGAGAACAAATCGCCCGGTGTTGCTCGCATCGAAGCTCTCAATGCCCACACCTCACTCACCAACCGCTGCTTCATCTTCTTCGGCCTCTTCCTCGTGGCATACGCCTATGGTCTGGACGGCTCTCTTCGCGGCGTGTACCAGCCGTATGCAACAGCTGGCTTTGAGACCCACTCAACGCTTGCAACCATCGGTAGATCTGATACCTTCCGTGTTCGAATTACTCCCGCTGATGCTGCGCTCAGGTGTGTTACGAAGCGTGATTGCCGCCGCGGCTCAGGTATGTTATTCAAGGCGCGCGAAGTGACCGACAATGAACTGACTTGCCCTGCAGCCAACGGCCGCGAAGATTGGTATGCTCGTTCACGTTCGTTTTGATATCGGACCGCTCTGACTCGAATTCAGCCGACGTTTTTGGGCGAGTTGAGGTTGTTCTCTTGTCGATCTTCTTCTATGTGCTCGGTAAGCAGACATCTCTTGCACAAACTTGAGTAATGCTGAGTGTGCTAGGAACGGTTCTTGAAGCTGTTAGCAGCAACGTAGAGACTTTCGTGGCAGGTGCGGTCTTCTATCAGGTGTGTACTGACCCATGATTTGTAAGTGACTTCAACGTATTGATCATACGCAGGTTGGCTACACGGTCATGATCGTGCTGATTGAAATCATCATCGCTGATATCACGTCCCTCCGATCACGTCTCATTGGTTCATATGTGCCAGCCCTACCGTTTCTCGCAAGTTCTCCTACTCTGGCACTCTGCGCACCACTGACAGACTCTAGGTCAATACTTGGGTCAGCGGCGATGTCACTTCAGCAGTCTTGAACGCTACAACCTGGCGATGGGGAGTAGGAATGTGGGCAATCATCTACACTGTATGCTCGATGCCTTTGATTGCAGCGCTTCAATGGTCAACATACAAGGCCAGGAAAGCCGGGGCACTTGACAATTACAGGACTCCGTATCAAATATACGGTGGCAAGCGTCTCGCATCATCGATCTTCTGGCTACTGGACACCCCAGGTATCATACTCCTCATTGCGGTCTTTGGCTGCATCCTCACAGTAAGCATGCCATATACATTACCGCAACAAGTCCCACTGACAGTCTCCAGCCCTTCACGATCGCAGGTGGTGTCTCCTCTCAGTGGGGGACAGCCAAAGTTATCGCCCCTCTCGTCGTCGGTATTCTCTGTATTCCAGTCTTCATCATTTGGGAACGCCGCGCGCCGCATCCTATGCTGCCATTCCATCTCCTCGCTGACAGAGCAGTATGGGGCGCTCTCGGTATTGCATGCACTCTGAACTTTGCCTGGTACATGCAGGGCGACTTCCTCTACACTGTTCTTGTCGTCTCCTTCAACGAAAGTGTCAAGAGTGCGACGCGCATCTCCTCACTATACAGCTTCAGCTCCGTCATCACTGGCCTTATTCTTGGTGTGGTGGTTTACCGCGTACGACGCCTGAAACCATTCATTGTATTCGGCACCTGTCTGTTTCTGGTAGCTTTCGGTCTGCTGATCCACTACCGTGGCGGTACCAGTTCAGCAAACCATTCCGGACTTATAGGCGCGCAGATCTGTCTTGGTATCGCAGGCGGCATGTTTCCCTATCCAGCGCAAGCCAGCATTCAGGCAGCGACCAAGCACGAGCACGTCGCTATCGTTACGGGTATCTACCTTGCCACCTACAACATAGGCTCTGCGTTCGGCAACACTGTCTCGGGTGCTATATGGCAGCATGTCATCCCCAACGAGCTTGTCCGTCAGACTGGCAACGCTACTCTATCTGCTTCAGTCTACAAGGATCCCTTTGGATTTGTTGCGGCGTATCCCGTTGGCACACCAGAGAGGGCGGCAGTCATTGTGGCATACCGACATGCCCAGCGCCTGCTCTGCATCGCTGGTATCTGCTTATCTATCCTTCTGATTGGCTTCTCGCTGGTCATCCGCAACCCGGAGCTCGGCAAGGAGCAGAGTCTGGAGAATGCCGAGCAACACGACGAGCAGAGGACAGAGAAGAAGGGCATGTGGGAGTGGCTCAAGCGTTGAGTAGTTCGAAAAAGGACAGGTGAACCGTGAGACCGGGGTGTAATGAACAGACAACAGGAGCTGACACTTGACTGATAAACATACTGCTTTTGGTGGTGTAGATAGTGATGCGGAATTTGAATTTGCAAAAAGTCTGCTGAAGTGTTCTTGAACATATAGATGATGAAGAGCCTCAAACGTATTGCAGTAGTCATTGTATTTCCAAGCAGATTTGTGTGATCTTGCATGTGTAGTGAACTTCCGTGTAGAAGGTCTGAGTCTACACACCCGTACACACTGATATATCGAATGTATTGTCACTGAATAGAAGTATATAGTAAAGTGCCCTACACGGAGTTCTTCTCGATCACTTTAGATTTTGGTACTGATTTTCCGGCATATCTACAAGGTACAGCAGCTTATAGACACATGTGTAGGTACACTCATAGGAGTGATATTGTATAGATGTAAGATACTTTGCTTCTCTACGGCCGGCTTACACATGCTGTCAAGGACTATAGTTTCCTATCAATTCACTGACTTACACAGAGCCCCACAAAGATCTCTGTAATAGTCCATTGACCTGTATACAATTGATCAACCAAGTACAAGTCTGACCTTCCTAGATACTCCACAGGCCTGCGCAAGGGCCGAGTGCTCACTTCCTAACCCGCTGTTCAAGGTGTTTCCACATGTGACTCTGTAGTAAGTATACCTGCCCTGTCGTTCTATCAACTTACAAACCTGATCATCCAAGATATGCCCAGGCCTCCGCGAGAGCTAGGTGTTCACAGCCCATGATCCACTACTCCAGGATGAGTCTGTAGTATAGTATCACTCACCCTGTCATTCTACTCACCCACAGACCTGGCCATCCTAGGTGCTCAAGAGTCGGGTATCCACAACCCGCAGCCCGCAGTCCAAGGTGCTCCCGCCCTCAGTTCGTCGCCGCGGAGTCGCACACAAGGCCGTCGAGGCCCAGCATTCGAGCTCGTCCTTCGCCGGACCTAGCTCCCCACACCTGCCCGTCCGTTCTGCTAGTCCATCCCTGCAGTCGCCCCTGTCGTTCTACAGCAACAGTCTGTGTGTACACACAGACGCAGAGCCCATGCTAGGCCGTGGCAAGGGGAGGCCGTGGCAAGGGGCGCCCTGTAGGACAGAATGTGGATACGCACATAGCGTGTGTACAGAACCCTGCCACGATCGAGGGCTAGCTCGCGGGTAGGTGTCGGTGAGAGTTTTGGCTAGTTGGGCAACGTGTTGCGTTCGTCCAGGCGCTGACCTGCTGCATGCACGCCTGCCGGCACTACGTAGCAACCCAACGTGGCATGGGGCTGCTAGCCTGGGCTCTGAACGTGAGGCCGCTGCCGGGGTCGTAGCAGATGCCGGGATCGCAGCAGATGCTGGGGTGGCGGCAGATGAAGGCGCGGTGAGGCGACGAGGTGGCCTGCGGGCTCGGCGTGAGGCTGCTGCTGGGATCGGTGTTGTCGCAACGCTGCTGGCTCGGATCTTGGCTTCGAGGGCGCGGACCTGGTGGGCGGAGAAATATACCGTGTTGGTCGGGGTCTGACGTGGACTGGGCGGCAGGCTCCTGCAATGTTAGATCGATCGCGGTAGCGAGTCGGCTGCTTGCCACGAGCACCCTGGAGGGCCTCGTACGCAACGGTCCTTCAACCCTGAGACCGCCCATCCGCTGTCTGCCAGCCGTGATGCCGAGTCTGCGAGTGCGTCCGTCCGACCTGGATTACGACGACTGCGACTACGCACCACCCCGGTACGGCGGCTCGATACGCGGTGTCGGCGCGGCCACGTTGGTCCAATCTGCAGAGCGCAACGTTCTCCAGCCGTTGTGACTTGCTGTCTGCATGCCCATGTACCGGCCGACATGCCACCCTGTGTGCGGCAAATAGTTGTCTGCGCCCAAAACTATTCTTATCGGAGCCAATAGACCGCAGAAATGCCACTGAATAACTCCGTTCAGGCGCATACACTCAACGAGACGAGTCTTGATGAGATTAATGATCCCTCTTCCCTGATGCCGTGTTTTGCCAAGCGGTTGGTTGGGGTGCAGTTCTTTCGGACCGCCAGCCGTCCACTCTGCCGCTGCACAACCTCGAGGTACAAGGGTCTTCTGCGTAGATTGCGTTCTCCTTCGTGAATGCGAGTGCGAGCGGCTAGAGCGTGATCTCCCGGCATCGAGCTCGACGATCGCGGTCGCTGCTCCGGTCGCCTCAGCTGCCTCACAACTCAGGCGTAGAGATGAGTACCTATTCTGGGCTCTGCTTGGGCCAGACCTGTGCCGGAAGACAGCGGATGCTACCCACGTGATCGTTCCCCGCGTCGCCGTTCCATACGACGTACGCAGGTACGATCACGTCTAGGTTACCTTGGGATCTGGGGTCGGATCGGCACGGTCTAGTCTGACGTCCATCTTTTTCTTTTTTGCTTGGTTTTGGTCAACGGTGTTCGCACGTGCAAGGCATCAGAGTCTTCGTTGCGACGGCGAATTGATGTGGATGAACATGATTAATTGCGGCATATGCCGTTTAAGGTAGAGACATGTCTCGCCTCGGTGTCTCTAGCTTGCGGTATTAAACGCCCTCCGATCCTCCGCACTCGCAGAGTGCGATTTGGACAGGACGACGCGACCGCTCTAGAGCCTTCTAAATGCTAAGTGGCGACTCTCTAGTCTTTGCTTTTCGAACTGATGACGCACCGGATCGTGCTGGCGCCCGCCAAACGTGAAAATAATTAAATGATACAACAAAATAGTGTGCGAGAAGGAAAACAATGGGATGTCGATGAATCGAAGAATGCGATGCGTCGTGGAAAGTGACATGCGCCGGGTTATGCAAGTGGAAATACAGACAATGCGCTCATTAAACATCATGGGTCGAACATTTACGCTGCCGAGGTCTCGCTCAGACCTCGTGTCGGTCGTCCAGCTCAACGTCCTTCTGGCTTATGCGGCGGTAGAACGGTAGTCGTGCATACGCAGATCGTAGTCTGGGCGAGCTGGGTTGTTTGTTGCCCTTATTCAAGAAGAAAACCTTGTACAACAGCCCGAGAATGGTGAAACCGACTGTGAAGCCGATGAGGGTCACCAAGATCCAGTGGCTGCCCAGCCAGAAGATGACCTTGACGTCGGTCTTGTGCCAGCTGTTGCCCAGATGGTGGGTGAAGAAGCTCCATGCGTGGTTGTTGTACTCCTCGGGGAACAGGATACGCAGGCGATCGTTGCCCTCGGGGTTCTGGTTCATGTAGTGGCGCCAGACAAGACTGAGGTAGAGAGGCCCGGTTGTAGCCATAACAGTGATATACGGAAGGGGCCAACGACGGTTGTAGTCGGTCAGAGAGTCGATGGCCTTGAGGAAGAATGGGTGGCGGGGGACTGCGCCCATAACGTCGTTGGAGATACCGGTGGGAATGGTGCGGCGGACCCAGGCTGGGTAGGCGAGGAGAGGGTCGAGGCTACGGTTGCATCCCTAGAAGCTGTTAGTCGTGTCCAGATGTCAACTACAGGTTTACATACATCGTCCAGATCAATGTAGATGCCACCAAAGTGGTGCAGCACAAAGTATCGAATCGTGTCGGCACGCTGGATGGGGTATGGGTAGCCGTCGAATGTCTCGAGGAACCATGGGTACTCGTCGGAAATAAACTCGCGAGCCTTCTTGTCGGTCCACAGCTAGTCTTGTCAGCACCTGCTCCATGGAACCATTGTTTTGACCATACCTTGTACTCGTAATCCGGGTGCAGATCGATGCATGTCTGCTGGGGGCCCTTCCAGTGCGCAGGAATGCTCTCGTTGATGTACGTCTGGTGGATGATCTTGGGGATCAATTGCGCGCGGTCGTTGCCAGCGCTCGAGTTGGGGGCGGGCAGCTCGCCGCGCAGAATCGCATCTTCGCGACCAGTCGCGACCAGTAGCCCGAGCAGTGTCCACACGCTGTGCACGGCAAAGCCGAGAACGACAACGGTGACGAGAATAAATATTGTCACGCCTCTCTTCATGGCGGCGGTTGTTGCTGCGCGGTGGAGACCTCCTTTTCTTAGCGTAACCTGGGGGTGTTGAAAGTCGCGTGCGCCGAACAGGGAGTTGGGTGAAAAGTGCTGGGAATAAGCACGTATGGAGCGGGAGGGACGTCTCGGGGTTTTGTCTCGAGGACTTGGCGAGTAGAGGCAGAGAGAGGCGTGAAAGAATGGTGCGCGAGACAAGACCGGTGTTGGTGGCAGTGCTGCTGCGCCAGTAATCTCGCTTCCAGCTAAATCCTACCGCGACAACTCGGCCAACCAATTGCACCTCTCCCTGTCGGCATCCACGAACTAAAACGCGGGATGGTCTTTGCACTTTTTTCGATAAGCGCGCAAAATGCGATAAGCTACTATACGACTGTACGGTCCTGTCTTACTCTCTTGTCTGCGAACTTCATACCCTTCTCGGCATCACACAAACACTTCTGCAGCCATCTTATCTCACCGCATTCTCGCAGCAACGTCTCAACTCGGTGTCCGTTGCGAGCTGTGGCTGCGCCATCTTAAAAGCCGCGCCGCCCATGACGATCACCTGCAGGCCCTACGCTAGATGCTTCGCACATGCTGAGCTCAAGGCGGTAAAGCACTCGCTGGGCGCTGCATACCCGCCACCTAACCTACATACGTCATGAGCCACGCCTCTCTCCCGCGTACAACTCCAAGCGAGCTCCCAGACATGACGTGAGGCGGGCTTCAGAACGTCGTTGACTGTGCGACGCCGATCTATCTCGTAGCTGCAGGTTCCTAGAGCATGTCAGTAGCGCTTTGTGGGGGCAAGGCTATCACTCTAAGGTCACGTGCAGGCTGTGCAACCACTGATCACCAGGACAACCTTTTACTTGTGTCTGAATACTGATGGCTTGACATTGGTATAGGTTTTTGTCGTGACTTCAATACCGTTCGGTGTCACATCTAGCGGGCCCTACGAGAGCAGCCCAGAACTAACAGTATTTGTATGAATAAAAGACAACATTGGCTGTCCGGTTTGTGTGGCATTTACCAATACTCAACACATACCCTCAATCTTCTCGACCCATGCAAGGACTGCAGTTTCCAGACGCTCTATAAACCGGCAGGTGCGGTTGATTCATCAGAAACTTGCTCATCAAGAGCGGTCTTTCCTCCTACAATCACTGCTTCTCATGGCAACCATTGAGCTCCCACCATGCTTTCTGCCTGTACACGAGCCACAGCCTAAGACTATGTTCCTCTCTATCCTTCCCTTGGACTAACACTCTACCCCTACTAATGCATTCACTACCATCTACTGAGCGGGGTTGGCTCACAACTGCCGCGACAGTGGCTTTGCTGCCATCAACAAGCCACCAGGACCATGTTTCAAGAGCGCAGGAGGTCACCGATCGATGCGATCCTTTGCTGCGACATTGTGGCGAGAGGTTGTCTGCGCGCGGAGCGTTCACAGTCATCTCAATGCTATGCATGGCCATCTTGGGTGGGCTCATTGGTGCGCAAGCAGACCTCCTATCGATGAGACGCATTGACAAGGTCAGGTTATCGAGTGCGACAAATCAGACGCAAGGATCTGGAACACTTGTGCTTTGCTCATGTTCTCATTTGCCTCCTCTACGTACTGTCGATGTGTTTCGTCTTTGCGGCCGCAGTGGTCAAGTCCGGCCTTGGACTATCCTCGTTCGGCATCTGTCGGACAGCCATCTTCCTGTGCCTCTCATTCTACGTTTTAAGCAAGATCTCCATGTAAGTCGTTTACACCCTGGTTTTGTTTATGCCAACGTGTAACTAAATTCGATGAATAGGTATCTTTTCCTCGCCGAGAGAGCCCATGCTATTCGAGCCCCGTTCAAGCGCCGCCTTCACGACTGGCTCTGGGTCATTGGAACGGGTGCTGTTATTACTGGTTTCGGCGGCTTAGGTATCGCGGCCTTTCTCAATCCTGTGACGGAAATGTCCCCGATCGATGGTCTGTGCCGCATCGGTATACCGCGCTACATCACGATACCGTTGGTGGTGTACGATGTCGGAATCAACGCGTTCCTCACACTGACCTTTGTGTATCTCCTGGGCCCAATGATACGAGCCGGGACTCTTCCTGACAAGACTTTACCAGCAACACGCTTCGCGGAGTGCTTCAGTGGCATTTGCGAGCGTTCAAGGAGGAGAACCGGCGTTCTTGTGGCCGACAGAGGCAACCAGCATGTGGTTAGGAAGTTGGAGAAACTTATTTGGAAAACCTTCATTGGATCAGTGCTGGTGGCGATACCAACCGTCAGCAATGTCGCGGTCCTGACTGCAGTCGGAGGGCGAGAGCTGGGCTGGGTGTGTCTTACAATATGCACCTTCGACGGTACGATATCAGATCTCGTACGGCATCAACTTGCTGACGATGATCACCAGTGGTGTAGACTGCCGGCGTTGCCCATTGGTTGTCTTCCGGCGCAAGCGAAGCTGAAAATAGACAAGCAGACGAGTAAGTGGGACTGGCCCTCTCGGCCATATTATATGGTCCGAACAAGGCTGATGTATTCTATTTCAAACAGACGATACTCGTCCCCAAGACTGTCTCTGAGGCAGACCACGTCAATGAGATCGCAGAAAGCGAAACGAGTAGCCCTCTCTTCCCTGTCGCTCGATGAGATTTGGTCTGGAGCGGCATGCGACCACGCCGTTCGTGAGAATGCGCCAAGTTCATGCTCTGAGAAGGCCCGGACAACCAAACCGTCAAGCCAGCAGTCTGACCCCTACTTCGATGCGGTAGACATGATGGGTGGGGAGGCAGACTCTTCTTACACGACTCCTCCACGGTCGCGTTCACTTGCGCTGCCTGTTACCGTTACAGATCTGAATCCTCCTCCTCGACGATGGTCTGTGACAGGAGACCTCTTCTCCTCGAGGAGGGAGTCCTGTCCACTGCCACACGATTGGGACTTTGTAGAACAGGCGACAGCTTCTCACGCTTCTCGCGCTGAGCAGTCCTGAACTCAGCAGTGGTGCGAGCTCTGCGGGCTGGGGGTTTCGAGGCAGCATCAATGCTGAGGGTTGAGGACAAGAACTTGAAGATGAAGTAGAGCACGGCGCCAGTCATGCACCCTATGAGGCCAGCAGTTCCAAGATAGATGTAGAGTGTCTGGCTGTTTTAGTGGTGTAGCTACTTCCTATACACAGTAGATGTACCTCGATGCGCTCCAGCCACTCCACCTGCAGCGGTAACGTGACGACATGAAACAGACCCTTGGCGAGATGTACAAAGGGGAGCAGCACAAAGCCGCCCACGATGGCGATTGGCGACAGCAGGAAGAGGACTAGGCGCAAGATGGGTGACAGGACGAATCGCACGGCATGGAGGAGCTTGGTGATGGGCAGGCAGAGCAGCTGCACGACAGCGAGGAGGTTGGCGAGCGGCTTGTCCATGTTGTTGTGAGGCACTGAGGCGTGAAGGAGACGTCCACGACGCCACGGGCTGTGGCTTGTGCAGACTATCGGCGATGGACAGCTGCAAGCCATGCAAATCGCCGTCCCTGGCGTGTCCCGCATGCATCCTGAATCTGAGACAGGTGTTGGGAGCCTAGCTGCCATCCGCCGTTCTGTCGTCTCTGGCGATCCCCCGTGTCTGACAGCGCTCGCAGCATCGCCGGATGGGGAACCAGCACTCGTCGAGCTCGCGGTCGACGCCGGCGTCGTCGCAACCGCAGTCGCCCGTTGGCTCGAGCAACGCACCCGCGTCACATGCACCGGCACAGGCGCACGCGCACTCGAGCGCCGACAAACACCACCTGCCCGTCCTGCCGCACGCTGGCTTCCGCAGTGGCCGACGCGCGAGCATCCAGCCGGTGACGCTGACGCAGGTTGCCCCTCCGTCGGCGAGCTTCGAGAGCGCTGAGCGGGGCCGCGCGAGCACACAGGCCAACACCACCGCGCACGTCACGAGCCAGCTGCGCGCCGCCCAGGACCGCCGCATTGCGCGCGAGGGCAGCTCCGACAAGATGGGCAACGAGCAGAGCAGCCACAAGAGCCGCAAGGACCGCGACGGCCACGACCGCGCCAGCCGCCAGGCCACGCCGCAGCCCACGCCCGCCGCCGCCGCACAACCACCGCCGCCTGCACCCGCCGCGACGCCGCCGCCCAGCGAGGCGCATGCGATTCCGCTCGACGCCCCCAGCGACGCCCACCCCATTGCCGCCGTCCCTGCCGTCCCTGCCACTCCTGCCGCCGCCCAAGCCATCCCCGCCGCTCATGCCATCCCCATTGACGCGCCGCGCGCCCGCGCCGAGGTCGCCATCGCGGGCTCACTCGAGCCGGCCGACGCCTCGGACTACATCGTGCCGTCGTCGCACTTCAGCCGGCCGCCGCGCCTGCCGCTGCCCATCGAGGAGGAGCTGCACACGCCGGGCTCGCCCATCATCGCGCCGACGGGCATTGGGCCCGAGACGCTCGACCATGGCGAGGTCGAGGGCGTGCTGCCGCGCCGCACCTCGATGCTCAGCAGCACCACCGCCGACGACGACGACCTCGGCGAGGAGTTCAAGGTCCCCACGCCCGGCCGCCCGACCGTGCCCACGCTCGTCGAGTGGGAGGGCGCCGGCGACCGCGTCTATGTCACCGGCACGTTTGCCGGCTGGAATCGCAAGTACCGTCTGCACCAGAAGTGAGTGCGCCCTGCCCCTACCCGTGTGGCGTGTCCTGCCCCTACCTGTGTGGCGTTTGTCCTGTCTGTAGCCTGCCCTGTGGCGCTTGTCCTGTGTGCGCCATGTGGCGCCTGTCTTGTCTGCACCATGTGGCGTTCATCCTGCCTGCATCCGTGTGGCGCATGTCTCGGGCAGCGCTGAGACATATCAGGCGCCAATCTTATCATGGTCGCGAGTACACGACCATAGCGGTTTGCGCTGCAGACTGTTACACTGCGCATCGACAAGGCTGACTTCTCCTTAGTGGTCCCAGCAAGAAGGAAAATGTCCTCTCCGCATACGTCCCCATCCACCCCGGCACCCACCACCTGATGTTCATCGTCGACAACGACATGATGATCTCAGACAAGCTGCCCACAGCCGTCGACTACACAAACATCCTGGTCAACTACCTCGAGGTCTCGTACGACGATATCAAGGACCAGCAGGCCGCCGGCGCAGCAGCAAAGCCTGCAGACACGCCGGCCTCCACAGATGACCAGCCCGCAGCCCAGCCCCCACAGGACCCGCCCTCCTCCCAAGTGCCCCTGGTCAAGCCCCCCGGCGCCGAGATCCCCAACACCAAACTCCCCGAGCCGGAGAAGCGGTACCACTCCAAGATCCCCGCCTACCTGCTGGACCTCGACGCCCCTGACGAGTCGTCGCGGTTCGCCCGCGCGAACGCTGCAACCGGCAACTTCCCCACGCCCCCGAGTCTGCCCATGTTCCTGAGCAAGAGCATCTTGAATGGAACTACGCCGATGAAAGATGACAGCAGCGTGCTGATTATGCCGAATCACACAGTGCTTAACCACCTGGCGACGAGCAGCATCAAGGACAATATCCTGGCTACGAGCGCGACAACGCGGTATAAACAGAAGGTGTGTGATATTAATATGACGGTCATGCGTGATGGTGTGCTAACATGGAGCAGTTCCTGACGACGATCATGTACAAGCCGAAGGAAGAGCACGGAGAGGTTTACTGAGGCGGAGAGCGCTGATGCTAGAAAGGGGATGCTGGTGCTTCGGCACAGGACAGAAGTCGATCTCTCACCTGCTTCGGGCAGGTTTTTGTGTTTTAGCGTTCCGGTGCGATATGGATGAGTTTCACGAAATACCCCGGCCCGGCACGGAAGGCGATCTGGACGGCATACATACATATATACATACTTACTTACAGCTTGGCTGAGATGCTCGTCTCCCAAGCACGGCACGGGTGCTGTGTGCCTGTTGTGCAATGAAACGCGTTCTGCGAATGAGTTTGGTTGAGAATTGATGAAATAGACGTAATGGTTGAGAAGTGATGGAACAGACGTGAGGTTTAGAAGTGCTAGGACAGACGTGATAGTTAAGAAGTGATAGGACAGACAGGATAGCTCAGAAGTGCTGGAACAGACATGGTTGACGCTGCTGACTTCAGAACTGAAGCTCATCGAGTGTCCGTGGAGGTGCACGGCTCTGCTGCATGGTGACAGCATCTAGCGTCACATGAAGATCGCAGATCGCCCGCCAGAACCCTGTCAGCCAGCACGGCGCACGGCATACGGCACTGCAGCATTGCTCTGCCACTTTCTTGGAGGCCTGGAAACCGCGCATATCATGTCGCTGTGCAGTCTGTAGCTCTTCACTTCGACCTCTATGCAATAGGACCCCCCGGGCACAGCCGGAGCACCCGCTGCACTCGAGACGAACGCCTTGCGTCCCACCACACGGCGTCCGGAACGCACTCGCCATGTACCTGCCAGCCGCCGCGCGCAGCGCGCCGCCCGTCTACGCCGACAATGGCTTCCTGCGCCACCTGGGCCACTCCGGCCGGTACGACGAGAACTGGAGCAGTCTGATCGGCATCGTCACCGCCATCGTTGGCAACGTGCTGATCTCCTTCGCCCTCAACACCCAGCGCTATGCGCACATCAAGCTCGACCGCGAGTGGCAGGCCCAGGAGAAGCTGCGCAAGCGCCGCAACAAGAGCAGCACCAGCGTCGCGCGCCTGGCCGCCGAAGCCCGCAAGACCGCCGCCAGCCCAAACGGCAGACACAGCACCGAGCAGGACCCGCTGCTCGTCGACCCGCCCGCGAGCCTCGACGCCAGCGCCCACGACGACGAGGTCAAGCAGAAGTCCTACCTCAAGTCGCCCTACTGGTGGTCCGGCATCGTGCTCATGACCATCGGCGAGGCCGGCAACTTCCTCGCCTACGGCTTCGCCCCGGCCTCCATCGTCAGCCCGCTCGGCGTCGTGGCTCTGATCTCCAACTGCATCATTGCGCCGTTCATGCTGAAGGAGCGCTTCCGCTGGCGCGACGGCGCCGGTGTCGTCGTGGCCGTGGGCGGCGCCGTCACCGTCGTGCTGTCCGCCAACGACAACAACCCCAAGCTGGGCCCGGACGAGATCTGGGAGCTGATCAAGCGCTGGGAGTTCGAGACGTATCTGGGCATTACTGTTGGCGTGATTGCTGTCTTGATGGTCGCGAGTAACCGCTACGGCGAGAAGAATATCTTGATCGATCTTGGGCTTGTGGGCCTGTTTGGCGGCTTCACAGCATTGTCTACAAAAGGTGTGGCGTCGCTGCTGAGTTATACGCTCTGGCGTGTCATCACCTTTCCCGTCTTCTACCTCCTAGTGGCTATTTTGATAGGAACCGCGGTCATGCAGATCAAGTACATCAACCGCGCGCTGCAGCGGTTCGATGCCACGCAGGTCATCCCGGTGCAGTTCGTCATGTTCACTCTGTCGGTTATTCTTGGATCTGCCATCTTGTACCGCGACTTTGAGCGCACGTCAGGTGACGACGCAGGGAAGTTCATTGGCGGTTGCGCCCTCACGTTCTCAGGCGTCTGGCTCATTACTAGTGGTCGACCGCGCAGACATGATGACGATGATGACGAGGATGATGAAGACCGCGAGCCAGAATCAGACGAAGCTATCAACCTCCACAACGAGCGATACCGCGATTCAATCGACAGCTACCGCGACTCGATTGGCAGCAGTCACTCGTCCTCGTCGACAATTCGGCCCGCCTCGCCCCCTCTCGACATCCTCGAAATCAACCCCCTCTACCAGGACGAAGACCGCCCCTCAACCCCCACAATAAAAGTGACCACCCCCGACCCCTCCACCCCACCGCGCCAAACATACACCTCCGACGCCCTCGACGCCCTGATCCAAAACCCCTGGTCTCAACCTCCAACTCGCAACACGCCCAGCCCCAAACCCTCCATCAGCAGACACACCTCCACCCCCGTCTTGCCTAGCGAAGCCGCACCCCCACCAACCTCGCACTCCAACCTCGCCACCACCCCCTCCGACCCCGCCCTTCCACGCACCCCCACCCGCGGCAAGAGCCACGACGAACTGCCCATTACCCCGGGCACCTCGCACTCGACCCTGGGCCCCGGGCTGCGCCGCCTGCGCACGGCGTCGCGCCCGCGCACGTCCATCTCCGGGCCGCTGCTGGCATCGCCGCTGTCGACGTCGCTCAGCGCGCTGGTGCAGGATCTCAAGCGCGGCGGCAGCGTGCGGCAGCGCACGGGCGAGACGGCCGGCGAGGGCCGGCGCCAGAGCGTGCTGGGGCTGCGCAGCGCGGGGGCCGACGCTGACGCCGACGCTGAGGAGTTGTTTGGCGAGCCGTTGAGTCGGAGGAGTACGCAGGGCGTTGGGGCTGAGCGGGGCAGCGAGAGGCCTGGGAGGAGCAGGGGGAGGAGCGGTACGCTGAATGAGCTGTGGAGGGGGTTGAGGGGTGGGAGTAGTAGGGAGGATGTTGCTGGGGAGGAGGCGGGGGAGGAGGGCGAGACGAGATGATGAATAAGGCGAGGCGAGGCGAGATGATCTGAGGTGGTGGTACATACGGGTGAGCGAGTCGACGTTGTACATGATGAGCCGCGCACCTTCCCTTCCCTTCCCTTACCCTCCCGCGCCAGCCGTCTCTGGATCTGGCGTTGCATAGCTTGCGGTCAACATATTTCCATTTCCCCATCTTTCCGCACGATAACAAGCACCCAGTGTTTCTAGACCACGTACCCAGACGACTCCATGTCTGCCTTTAATGTATTGTTGCAATCCTGCTCTTCTGTCCTACGTACCGTTGTTCACAGTATCTTCTGTCTCTGTCTCTGTGTCTCTCTCGCGCGAGCGAACGGGTCTGGTGCCTGCTTACCCGACAGACTCACTCACACACAGACCCAGCAAGCGCTGAGCACGACGCCGTCCACCGCTGTGTCTGCACAGCACGCATCCACCCCACGGCACTGCGAAGCAGCGAGGCAGCCAGCGTGTGTACGCTCCTCGCGCCGCGTCCAGAGCAGTGCATACCAGAACCCAGCCGTGCTTACACCATCCTATAGGCTAGTTAATACGTAGCACGGGAGCAGAGCACTTGCGCGAGAGAAGCATATCCAGCACGTCGGATCTCAGGCCCTTCATCCAAGGGGTGCCGACTGCGCATCAGGCCATGGACGGCGTGTACGCAGTCGCAGGGTGGTTGTCGGTGGTGCCGGAGGGGCGCGCTGGAGAGAGATGTCTTGCGGCTCCCGTGGTGTGGTGGCGGTGAGTACGAGGTGCTGGTTTATCTGGGCAGTGGGGTGATGTATCGGGGACGCCGGGGCTTCGTGGGCTTCGTGTTTGGATGCTGTGATCTGATCTTTTGAGTGCGTGGGCCTGGGTACGAGATGCACATTTCCCCCGAGGACATGCGAGGTGTTTGTGTGCGTGTCGGAGCGTTTTATTGGACCGCGTTGCTGCTGAGTGGACGTCTTGGTCCCGTAAGGTGCTGCGTGAGTACGAGGTGCACCAGTGGTCTGGGGACAATGAGGTGGTTCGTCTGGAACGTGAAAGTGGTCTGTCTGGTGTGTCAGAGCGTTTATTGAAAGGGGTTACTGCTGATCCAGATGCTGTGGTCTAGTCGTGCGCGAGTACGAGTGGCACAGCCTGTCTGGGACGTGATATCATCTCTCATTCGGCACATGTTTCTCTGTGTGGACGCCGTACGAATGCGAGATTGGAGTGTCTGCGCGGTGATGAGATGGGGATGACTCGTTCAGGGCAGGACTGGGAATCACCGACATGGTGGCTGGGTTGGTGGGCTGTACGGTTCTCCTTCTTTGTCTGGATGTGTGTATCGGTAGACCTGGAGTCTCGAACGCTGCGTGATTGCGGTTGATGGGTCGTCGGTCCGTTACGTGTGTGCTGTCTGGGCTGCTCGACGGTAATCGCTGAGCCGAGGGATTGGTGAGATATCTGTCGGTCAGGTCAGGTCATGGAGATAGCACTTGATAGTCCTGCATTGTCACCAAGCCTGCGTGTGATGAGATGCTGGGGGCTCATGGGCCACGGAGGGGCTGGTCAGTCGTAGGTGCTCAATACGGAGGCTTTGTCTTCCGTTCGTCCCTTGCACAACTGCTGTAGCTGAGATTGAGATACGTGCCCTGAGCGCCGACTAAACGTAAACAAGAAGATTTGACATTAACATGTCATCTAGAGCACTGCCGTGTCTCAATCTTGATATTGTACTGAAGCACAGTGACTGAACGAGTGTGCAGACGATCGTCAACGCAGATACCTCCTATCTCCATCAGACCAATTGGTTCTGGCGAACACAATGAATACGAGTGGGGTGGCCTCTCGGCCAGTCACTCTGCTGTCCGCCCAACGGCCATCACCGCTGAGACCTGGACCATCACATTCACGTCACAGCGGTAAGAAGACTATCATCACCAAAGAAAGCCTATAACGCGAACATCCTTGTGAGGTCCCATAACAACCTCGAAAGCTGTCCGTGTTCAGTCAGCCTTGCCTATACCCGCAAGATTTCAGGCGCCTCTTGGTGTCCACGGATACCCATCCGACAGCACGCTCGGCCAGCGGAACATAGGGAAGACCGCCGTTGTGGCTTTCGCCGTTGAAAACAAACACTCACTCCAACTATGGGCAAGAGCCTAATGGCAGTTATCGAAAGATCCGCAACCTTTGCGTTATCGAGATCGCACGAAGCCATCATGACGCGATCGAAAGTGCTAGCCATGCTGGCCTGCTTCACACTGCACAGGCGGGCTCTGCTTTGCGTTGGAACAGCCGGTGGAAGCCGTCGCCGTCCTCTCACTGCGCACAAATTCCTCGATCGATCATGGGACGTGATTGAGTTGCCTTCGCGGGCTAGCTAGCGATATGCCATGCATAGCGTTCCTGCACTTGTTAGATTCAGGCCATTGTGCTGATGCGGGGGATCACTGCCTCCTCATGCACGCACTGATCGAAGTCCGACGAAATGCTAATCAACGGGGGCATCTGCATGTTCACAGTAGGTGGAAGTTTCCTGCTGCGATGCGGGAGGCCCGATGGGCATAAGCCTCTTGCTGTGATCATCGACGCAGAACCGGTGGTCCTCGAAAGAACGTGAGCGGCAGGCCCTGCAGATCACCACGAGTCACCCGGTCGCAAGACATATGTTTCGCCAAGGTGGGTGTTATCTTACTTTGAAAAGTCAATGAGCGTGGTGTCGCGGCACTTTGCGGTGTTTGAAGTGCTTCCGGCCATGACCCTGTGTCCGGCATGTTGAACGGACGCCTCATGCGCCCCATTCTGCCACGGCCTTGAAGTCGTTACGCTGACCCAGGAGAAATGGAGCTGTTAACCTGAATAGGCTCTGAATCGGAGAGCCCGGTGCTTGCCATGTGCAAACCGTTCTCCATGCCTGTTCCTATGACCTACGCAGCCGAACACTGAAACGTCGAAACATGGCCTAGGTTGCATCCGCCATCATAGCGCACAAGATGTGCATACTCAAGTTACCCACATTTGTATGTTGGTTTTGGACGGGGTTGGTGTCTTGAGGTTAGCTCCTGACTCAGGTCTGCACGAGAGGCACGGCCTGCAGTAGCAGTCTCCTGGTTAGTGCTGCGGGTGATCACCGGCTGTCTAATCAAGCTGAGAGGATCATTCGATTTTAGGTCAACGGATGGCTCCGAGCATTGGATGCTGGCTGCAACTCACACTTGTGGCTGAAGTCTCGCTCCACGTTCCTGCATGTGCACGAACAAGCGTGTCAGCCACGGCTGTCTCTTTCCAAAGTTTTGACAGACGAACGAGCGAGACTAGACACAGGTACAAGCTCTTTTGGGGGTTGGAAGTATTCAATAGCCCATCGTAGTGGCCTCCGAATGTCGTGACTGGCACCGCGAATGTTGCCTCTGCGCTCAAATCCGGCCTCGTATCAAACGCTCGAACCACGTGCAAACTCCCCACTTGATACAAGAGAAAGTTCGAGAGCACCGTGAACAGTTGGCACGGATAAAGATTGCCGGTGGCGTGGCACGGTGCTTTGGCGTGTTTCTTGTATATCTGCTTTAACGTCTCTGTGCACAATCGCATTCTGATCTCGCGATTCATTGATGGAGGATGTATACAAATCTTGACCTCGGAGATGCCGCCGTTCGTATCTATACGTAATCCGTATGATCGGCTTGTTTGACGGTGATGTAGGAGCTCCTGACGACGCAGGCTTTTGTGTGTCATGAGTGCAATATAGTGCAGTGACGCATTGAGGCCCTGCGGTCAGATACAGGCGTGCTACCTCTTACTGTGCCCTTTTCAGATTTACTTTACCTTATCAGGCTTTCTGAGCGTTGGGATTTCGCCGCGACAAAGTCTAATGACGTCGTGCTGAAACGTCACAATCGTCTGCAAGCGTCCCAGTAAGTCCGCTCCCAACGCATTCTCGATTGAAATGACTGCACTGGGAATGATGCGGTTAGTGAAACTGTTGACTGACAGGGCACTAAGCACCTCTCTGTGGCATTGCCCCTGAGTCGGTTGGTATGGGAGATCCCCGAGTGACCGTAAAATTTGACGTGTAGATGCTGCTTTCAAAGTCACAGGGTCTCGTAAATGCAGGTCCGTTGTGCTCGGACTATGTTTTTGCATTTGCACAGACCACGGTCCGGATCGACGCGTGCATTCAGGACGCTCGTGCTTTGCGTTAGAGAGAGATCAACGGCAGTCCTAGACGACAGCTCTCGCACTAAGCGCTAGGGTACCAGTCTTTGACTTGATTGACCAAGAAATGACAATAAAGTTTGAAAGGCGGCCGGCACAAGCCTTCGTACCTTCGTCTGGGCCAAAGGCATGGCCGACACTGTTTGTGGATCAGATCAATTGTAGTGAGTATTGATGGACATGGCTAGTCTTGAATCATGTACACGACCAAGGAAACACACAAACCGCACCACTGGTGTAAGAACAGTACCGCATGGTTGTATGAGGTGAAACTGCAGAGTCTGAGGGCATGCTTGTGAGCTGCATGCAGGATGATGCATACCCCCGGACCGGGTTGCCCACATCTCCCGAAAGTGTCTTTATTCTCCTGAACATTATTGTGAAATTCTCCGAGCGGGAGTGCAACCCTGTCGTAGAGTTCTCACTGCAGTATAATTAGTCATAGCAACTGCGATACCATTTTTTTCGGTTGCGTGGCGTCCGCAATTACGCTTTCAGCTACAGGTGTGCGGCCCGGAGAATCCACCAGCAAGTGACAAATTGACTAGTGAAGGCGTTGCTGAGCCATATTCCATGATTCAGTGCTCGAGGGGAAGGCTGGAATCATCGGCTATACATTGAGTACGGGCAATCATTTCGGAGGTGCAATTGCTAACGCAAATGGAAATGGATGACTGCCTGGCGCTGCGTACCAACTTGTACACAACATAATCTGCCAGATTGTCAAAAGCCGATCAAGATGCACAGATTACGCAGATGAATGGCGCAATGATGCAAGAGAGATCTGGACACTGGGCATCACAGGTTGCCATCTCGATGGCACGCTGTTGTGACCAAATTTGCATGACCGTGGTGATCAGCGTCGATAGTTTTGTGAAATGCAGGTAAGTTGAAATGGTCTGCAAGTGGATCTCGAGCTACAAACCGGGTCGAGCAGACATCCGGTGCTGCACCAGCAATGCTCTGACACTGTTCACCGCGGAATGTCGGCAAGTGGCTGAAGCGGAAACTGGGGAAGGGACCAGATTAGCTCGGACGTGCAGTCGCGGTCAACACCTTCGAGGGTCCTGGCTGAGTTGACGGGATGTATACGAGGCGCCGAGACGTGTGGTGAAGCATTCGGCAGCGGCCAAGAAGATACGGATGCAGATCCAAAGTGATTTGCATCATGGAACTGACCTCGCACGAGCACGATGATGCACACTCGTGAGGTCATGCCGAAGAGTCACAGCCCAGACCGCGAGCCACTGGCCGTAGATAGCAGTCGTTAGCAGGTCAGTCGCGATTACCGCTGCGAAGAGAGATGTGTTCTCAGATCGGGCCGTGGTGGTAGTGAACAGAGCTACGGATGTGAACAGAGCTACTGACGTAGCCTGGGAGACTTCTGCAGCTGACGTGCAGCTGCAACACTTCGACGATGTTGTGCCGTCAGGTGAAGACTATGAACCTGTGGCGAGACTGGTGTACGCTAGCTTCGTCGCTAGAGTCGTCAATTCGCGCGAACACGAAAGCGAGAAGCTAACGGACGAAGAGCAGCTGCATAATCGTGAACGGCGTGTCCGGGCTGAGTGGTTTGAAACGGGTTGCCAAAGTCTCTATTTGCTGGTCGGATGCGTGGGGGAGTACGGCGGAAATCTGGAGGAAAGAGAAGACACATAATGCGACCGAAAGAGAAAGGACGGGATCCTGGGAAAGTGGTCTGTCATCGTACGTGGAATTGATCAACACAAGAAGGTGAGGCGCAAGACTGCTAGCCCAACGGGCGCAAACAAGAAAAGTAGATGAGCGAAACCGTCAACACCCCAAACAATATTTACTTCAAATGAATTGGGCATCGAGCAGTCGATAGTGCCACTGCTCTGGGTATCGAGCTCAGGCTGCGAGCACAGATCAAATAGATATATGTCCGGAGGCTATATTGCCTGGCGTTAAGCATTGGAGAGCAACGATGCCCCAGTTGTCGCGGTGGTTGGCGAGTGCCAGGCCGGATTCGAGCTGCGCCGTGACTTGTTAGCACTTCCGTCCACGCACGCTCTCCGGCTCGAGCATCGAACAGAAGTCTATCTCGACGTCCGTTGTACTGTTGATCCTTCGAAAGACTCTGCCATGGTATGTGCAGTACCTGAGACGTGCCGGTGGGCCGCGTTGAGACTCGAGCTCGTCATGCCTGCTGCTGCGAAGGAACAGATGGAGCCAACGCTGCGAAGGGGCAGCGAGTGGATTCGGTAGCCACAATGGGAATCTCCAGCAACCTCAACGGGACAAGCGTTTAGCTGTGTTAGCGGGGATTGACCCTGGACGCACATCACTGCACGACTCGCGGGGTTGTGCGAAGTTCTGGTTGACCTGATTTTCCAGCCGAGCCTCAGCTTGCAGGCCGGCCCTATATTCCTTTTTTGGCGGCATTGACGGTTCAGTGCCGCTGCGCGTGCTGGTTTTGTTTCAGTGGCTCAGCGACAAGCCGAAGATGGCAGTCGCAATCATGTGATGGTGATCACAGACAAGGCACGGCAACCGGCAGCTCGCTCTGAGTGCCCGAATCCTGGTCCTTGATGCTTAACGGCCTACCTAGGGTGCATAGGACGATTAATCAGCTCATTGTGGGCAGGCCTGTCTCTTGCTGCAGCTGCAGCTCCAGGGCATGAGTGTTGCAGTCGCATGGCCATCCGGCCCAACGCTACACAGCCTGTCATATGCCGAGGCCAGTATGCACGTTGTTGCGTCGCGAATTGAAAGATAGCCGTGCGGGGCTTGCGGATCATGAGTGGGTGGCATTCCCCGCCGCCGACACTCACCGCCGAGCTGAGCTTGCCCGAGACGACGTCGACACCGCGTCTGCGCATGAAGCAGGAGCTCTCAGCAAGCGCAGCAAACCAGCACAGCACAGCACAGCACAGCACGCCAGCGCCGCCCGCTGTCCTGCCCGCTGTCCTGCCCGCTGTCCACAGCCGTTGTGCAGCAGCAGGCGTAGTCGTTGATCGTAGATGTGCGGTGTGTGATGTGTGATGGTCGTGCATGGCCTGGTCACGTTGGCTGTGGGCTCCGACGCCCTCCTCTCCGACTCTGTACTCTGTCTGGGTCGCTGCTGCAAACTAGCCGCATTCGCTGTTGTCGTTCCAAGGCAAACATGGTAGCAGCCATTGCGCGTTCCAGAGCTCCAACCACGCTTGCCGTCGCTGCTCTTAGACACCAGCAACTCGCATGGCCGCCGCTGAGGCTATCAGACGCAATCTGCTGACCACCGCCGGGGTAACGTTTCCGCAAGAGAGACGTTTGCCAACTATTATCGGGGAAGCAGACGCGAGCGGGTGAAACATAGCGCGTCGTCCCGGCTCCGCGTGTATGAACCCTGTCCAGCGCCTCGCATCCTATCGCGCTGAAGTCATGCACTTGCTCGGCAGCGGACTCGCATCCAAGCGCGCCATGCTTGTCGCTTCTTCAAGAGCGTGCTATTCCGCGTGTTTCCTCAGCTTGGCCTTCTCCGCATTGCTGAGCAAACCCAGGCGCGAGCGCGCAGGGCTGTAGCCACCAAGAACGGCACGGTGCTGTCGCGGCGGTGCGGGCGCTCACTCTCGAGTCTCCGCCTTGGTAGTAGCCAGGTCGCTGTAGGTCCGAGTGCGCTACGCGTAGCTGTTCCTGGATGCACAGCGTCACAGCCGGAGCGTTGCAGGGGAGTGCCTCATCTGCGGCCGCCGTCCAGGAACATGAAGCTTACGCTGTTTGCTAGCCGTCAGCGCCCGGTATGGAGTCATGGGTGATCAGCTAGCCGTGCATGGTGCGGTCGTGGAAGTGGAGAGTGCTCAGAAAGCGTCTCCAAGCCGCGTCGATCGTCTCAAAAGGCCAGAACCCATGAACGAGACGGGGCTGGCGGCGAACATCCCAGCAGGGCTGCCTCATGTCCAAAGTCTCCCCTTCACAGTCTAGCAGGGGTCCTCAGCAGGGGCGATCGTTACGCTACCCTCGCCAGTAACTGTCGGCCAGCCCAAGCAGGCAAAGCCTCTCCAAGCCGCTTGAAATATAGCGTCTCGTAGTCGCGAGAGAACGCTGCATCTCCCTTTCAAGACCCTCACCACTACGTACGGGCTCCGTTGACTACTGTCGCATCTCGTGCATATCCCCCCTCCACGCTTCACTTGCCGCAAACATTCGCCTCCCAACCAGGAAACGTCCAATTTCTCCGAACCCTCCATCCCAGACCTGTCAAGGCTGAGAGTAGCGTCCTCTCGCGTGGTGACGGGGCCATGCCTGTCCTCTGAAGCCGTCGACCGCCGTTGCCACAATTTCATCTCCTTATTACTTCGTCAAGGACCCGCCTGCTCTGACAGCCAAGTAGCCTCGCAATCTGTGGACTTGGCCAACATTTAGTTTCCTGCCCATTTCCTTAACCACCCTGCTGCACACGGACTCCCGTCAGCTCCCCTCATACCACCCGGTACGTGCACCGTCCCACTTCCTCATCTGGCACATCAATCATCACTCAACATATAACTAACTCGCTCTCTAGCTTCACTGTCTTGCTGTGTCTCAGAGCAATTGACTCAAACCATCCACCGAGCAACTGTTTGTACAGACTGCTACCCCACCTTACGATCATCAAGCCTGCCAACTTGTGAGTAACAACCGCAACGGCCATGACGTCTTGATACTGATCATCATATAGCCCTTTCTTTGTCGGGATTGAGTCTTTGGCTTTACCCCAATCACCAGCTTCACCACTATCTTGGTGTTCAGGCTTCACATCATCGATGCCCTTGGGATCTACCTGCATCTAGTCAGATATCGACCCACGGAACCTTTTAGCCAGTGAGCTAGATCGGACCACTACTCCAAACTCATTCCCGCTTCCGCTCCTCATGTTGCAAGGTATCAGGGCATCGACATTGACGATGCCGCCTTATGGACATGACCTGTCCTCTGGTGGGGTATCGAAGGTGGGCAACTATAGCGACAACTGGGCCTGGTCCCAGCAACCCTCGCCACAACCGCCATATACCAGCATGTTTGATCCCTCGGTGTACGCAAATGCAAACTTTGCATCTCACCTGCAACCAGCCTCACGCGTACAGCCCCGGCACCACTCGATAGCAACGTCTCATGTCATCTCTACAGGGACTGCAACGCCCCCACCACCAAGGCATCAGGTGGCAGGCAACATGGTCAAAGCGCAGCCTGCCTTCAAGCCGACATGGACCGGATTCCTCGATACTACAAAAGATGCCATGACGATTGTGGAAGCAGCTTTACAGGGGCGACTGAACCACATCAGTCGTAGACCCCATGACAAGGAACGAGCCGAGATGCTCACATCAGGAACGGTCCTCGTCTACGAAGAGAATGCATCTGGCATCAAACGCTGGACCGATGCCGTACACTGGTCACCTAGCCGAGTCATGAACAATTGCCTGATCTATCGACAACTGATGCGTGCTTTGAAGCCTGAAGAGAAGAAGACCGCTCTCAACCCTTCTTGTGGCACGAAGCGCAAGCGAAAGGAGAGTGCAGGGTCTTCTATCACGAAGACCGGCGACCACGTCAACAACTCTGATGACGAGTACGAGAATCCCTCGTTTGACGGTGCGCTGTTAGGTGAAGTTGACTCTGCGGGGAAAGTCTACGCCAACTTTGCACAAAGCCTAACGCCCGACCAACAACGGCGCTTTTGCGGTTCTCTTATCGACAGCTACGAGTTCAAGGAGGGAGGCCTGATGAAGAAGACCATCTCAGTCAAGTACCAGGGCACTCACCACCACGTCATCTCCTATTACAGCCTTGAAGATGTTGTAAGCGGCAAGCTCAAGCGACCGTTCCAGGATCCAAGGCTCGATAACGTGCAACCACGACCGGAACTCCTTACTGGTTGGAAGGTCAGCCTGGAGGATGAAGAGAGCAAGGACATGCCGCTCATTGCAGGATACTCACAGCACATCCAGCCCAGCCACGTGCAGCACCACGCCATCACCGCTGTGACACAAACAGTTGGTCCGCATGGAATGATCCAGACCCATGGCCCACCGCACCTACAAGTACCGCAAATAGGTGAATACTGGCACGGCGGACATGTTCAGCAACATTATGCGTCCCCTCAACCGACCGCCCCGCACAATGCGCCATCACATCCGTACCATTACTCAACTCAGCAGCCGCCGACACAACACTACGTTCAACCTCCTTCTCCCCAGCCTTACCCATCGCCGCAACCGTCGAATCAAACATATCCGGCGCCGCCAAATGCCACGTCGCAATATGCACCACACCAACAAGCTGGCCGACATTACTCGATTGATCAACAGCAGCCACCCCTAGGATCTCACTACCCTCCTCAAGTTGCGGCTTCTCACTATGCGGCTTCTCATCATTCTCAGCCAACTCCGCCACCTTCTGTGCCTCAGTATTCAGGCCCGCCGGCCCAGAACTTCGACATTCAGGTTCCTGTTCCACAAAGCGCGACTTCCGTCCAGGCACCTCCTCAAAGCTCGGTCCCACAGCATGACCCTCAACGTAGGGCATCTGCTCCTGTGGCTGTTCAGCACTACTCTCAGCCACAGTATCACCCTGCCCCACCTCACCCGGCAGCGTACTATGTCGAAGATGCCAAGTATCCACCCAACACACAAGGGTATTAGGCTGTAGCCACCTTCCTTTATCACTCGGTCAAACACTGCAGATTTTTCACACCGGAACAATGGACGCGTACACGAAGGCAATCCACGGTGGTCACTTTTGGTTGCGATACCCCTTGAGGTTTATTACTACTTAGCGAAGGCGGCTTCCTGTTAACATTGCATCTTGCTCGTTTCCAAGCTCTCGTTTATTATGCACTCTTGGCGCTGGCGGCTGTTGCTTTGATTTCCAACGACCATTTCTCACTTCATTCTGCATTAATTTGTGCATGTGTACTCTCAACTTTTCCTCGTTCTACACGAAAAGCATCTTGATGATTTCATTCAGCGTGCATCGCTTGCTCGGCCTAGGCCTTCTTTCGCTTGTCTCAACACATCATCATGCCCGACACTATCACCATTCACCATTTTGTATAAACATAATGCCTGTATCTACAGCCATGCAACCTTTACTGTGCTACCAAAACATACCTGCACGCGCATTACATATGCAGAGACGCAGTGAACACCCCATCTTGGCTCATCTGAGTTTGCAGCTCTGATATCACCGGTTTCACCCGTGCCATATTTTAAATGAAAATGCAGCAATGTACCCCGCAATGATTCCGAGTGAAAGGAATAGCCGAAAAGTTACGGGTAAAGCGACTGCGTCCAGTGGAGTAGCGGAAAAAAATCGCAATATTATTGTGTATAATTAAGGACATTCCTACTGTGTATAAGCTTCGTGGGTGGCAAGGCTCACTAATGTGATACAATCCAGCATGCAGTCACTACACCTCGTATTTCTGTTGTTACTCGAAGTGTTGTCGACGCAATCGCTATCCAAAGAGCCAAGAGCCTAAGGCCCGCTCCGGCCGGAGACCTGTGACCTTCAACACGGCAAAGGCTGCGTCTTTTCCCGTTCGGCGTTCGCGTCTTGATGATTGAAAATCATTGTCCATGCACCCCGAGCCGCTCGGCCGCTATTGATTCGCTTCGCCATCGGCCCTTATGCAGTATCTTAAGATCATAGTGATATTTGATTGGCAACCTGCTACCAAGACTCCCCTGGGAGCCACACAGATCCACATCCCGGGCGACGATCAGGAACAAGTATAGACGACCCGCCACATGCCGCGCCTAAGGCATCCAGTTTTTGTGTTGCGACATTAGCGTAGCGATGACTTGTTGGCTCGTACTTACCCGCACCACGTGCTCCATAAGCGCAGTTTGTGCGAATACGAAAGAGAGGCTACTTTTTCTCACCTCAGCATTTCGCCAACCGAGTGCGACGCGCCCAGCTCTCCTTGGATCAGGTTTGCGGGACACGGGTAGCATGCTGCCGCAGATCCTGCGGCGTCATAAGGCCGATCCCGTTCAGTGGCAATACGAGTATTGTGCAGGGTGACAAGCAAGCATATCGGCGCGTAGTCACGGGGGCACTTACGACAGGCCCCCAGTACTTCTAGGCCGAGTCGAGGTGTAAGAGGAGCCGAAGAGCTATTGGAGAGGAGATACCGAATATAGACAGCGTCGACGGCACGAATGGTCACAGTAGTCGCAGAAAAAGCACACTCTTGTCGTTGTCGAATAGATACTCCGTATTTAATTAAAAAATCCCAGAAAGCGCACGGATCTACGTCGACCACGATAGTCGCCCGCCCCTCTTGCTGCACCAGCCAGGACGGCTTCAGCTGCGCCATCTTGGTCTTGAGGAAGATCCATTCTCGGTGGAGAGCTTTCGTAGTCCTGCCGTACCCTTCTCCTCAGGTCTTGCTGCGAAGTCCTGGAGACTCACCCCGTCCTCTTCCATCAAACTCTCTACCTTGGAATCCTTCTTCACCATGCCTGTAGATGCTTTTTCCCGTCCCACCCAGGGCTCGCATGGACCGTCCTCGGTTGACGCCCGTGCATCGTTCTCTTGTACAGTCTTTCTATTGAGTTGGTTGAAAGTCCGCATGGTGTTGAAGAACAAATCTCGGGCAGCGGTAGACTGCGCAGTCTGTTCATTCTCACTCCGGCCGCGTGGCTTAGCCATATCGTGTGTTGAATGTACGCTCTCTGATCCACTGTCTTTCTGCTCGATTTCTTTGACTTCAGTATGAGGAACTTCAGCCGTGATAACATCGTCTTCTTTGTCTTCTTCGTGTTCAATGTCCTTTCGTTCATCACCGGCGTACGATCTTCTGAAAACGCTGAGGCCTCCATATCTGACATACCGGCCTTCGAGCTCCGCCATGTTCTTCATTCGATCCCTGCACTTCTTGATGTTGTACGTGCTCACACTATAACCTGTCTTTGCGATCTCTATTCGGCTTTCAATACTCTGTCGAACATGTTCCAGCCGCACAAGATCTAGCTGCAGCTTCCACGCTTCTGCAGCAGCCACACAATAGGCTTTCTTCTCGGCGGTGCTCAAGTGCTGGAGTGAGTCGGCTGCATTGATCGCTTCCTCCATTAGGCTTGCTATCTGGGATGCAGCCATTGTCTGAGAAGGTTTCGCTCGATCGTGATTCCATGCAGAAATGTCCACCAGCTGCTCAAAGCTAAGCTCGTCAAAGGTCTGAGGTAAAACAGGTCCCCCTGCATTGGCCGGGACTCGTAGTATTGGTACATCGTGTGCCAGCTGAGCAAGCTGTTCTGCCTTCTTTTCTCCACTCAGTGTTTCATCGCTTTCCACGTCCCTCTTCATGCTGCAGGAGAGACACCCTTCGTGTTGAGGGCTTAACGCCTTGCTGAAGCGCTCTTCGCCGAGAATACGACCCTCTTGCCACACAGCTTTTTCCGGTGGTATATGAAATCGTCCTGCATCAAGAGCGCCTACTGTATCGCGCTTGGAGACCCACTCGCGCCACTGTGTCTGCGACGCGTTCCATTCTGCATCCGAGACATGGTAGAGTGCAGCAAGCTCGTCCCATTCGGATCTCTCCTTGTCCAGTTCTGCGAGGGGCTGATCGTCTTCGCAATCTGTTTCGGCAGGTGCTGCATCTGTGGGTACTACTCCTGCTTAGAACCACGAGAGCAGAGAGAGGGAAGGCATGTGGTTACCTTCGACGGAGAGTTGGCCTTTCTGAGGGATATCCCACCTACGGACTGTGCGCGTTTGACCACACGCTGCGACAAGATCTGTTTCGTCGCTTGAAAGTGTTGGGGCTGTCTCGGTGACGACGATGTCTTTGGGGATCTGGTCGTGGACATGCATTGCAAAAGCGTGAACTGCGCATGCCATGAGGTACAGAATGATGAGAAGATGAAGGGACAACGTTCGCTTCGAGGGCCGTTTCTCAAAGTTGTCGAGCAGTTCCATGGAGGTTCAACACAAAGTTTGGGTTGTTGAGGGGTTCTGCAGATGGGGACCCTGTCGCCATTGGTAAGGGCACATTGGTAGTCTGATCACGACGTAAAGACTTGCAGCATCGGGAAAGTAGAGGCAGCCCGGCGGATCCATCTCATGTCTCTGCTCCAACCGAAGAAGTTGCCGGTACCGAGATGCAAATCACCCTCCTCCTCCTTGCCTGACAGAACGCTTGCTTCGACGCGGGAGGCCCTCCGCACCTCAGTGAACGCCACGCAGACAGACAGACCTCGTGCTGGAGGAGCTCGCAGCTCACTCCGCGACGTACTCGTCGTCTGTCTCGCCCTCGGCATCCACATCACTCCCCATCTCCCACTCCTCCTCTGGGCGTTCGTCACCCGCCAACAGAGCCTCGTCGAAGTTCTCATCCATCTCGGGAGGATTCTCCGGGTTGAGGAATGCATCCTCCATAGTCTCCTCCCGCGACGGAGATTCCGTCACGGTTGGGCCATGGAGGAGATCGAGGGTGGGAGATGGGGGTGCCGGCTGGGAGGAGGCGGGTCTGGAGGACCTCCGGCCCTCACTTGGCGGCGAACGGGATGGCACCAGCGAACAGGGGGGCTCCAGCGAGCGAGACGTAAAGTCAAACACCATACCCAGGTGTTGACTTGCGTCGAACACCTGGGTAGGTACAGATATGTCGACTTTTGGAGGAGCCGACGAGGGAGCCTGCAGTCCCTCACTGCTGGACGCAGGCGGGGGTGAGGCAGGGCCGGCAGCATCGTAGGCTCCGACCTCCGACATCACCTCCCCCTCGGACTCGCTCGCCATGTTCTGGAGCTCCTGCACGCTGGTGTAGAGCCCGTCCGTGACTTCGTCGAGGGCCTTGGTGCGTTCGCCAAGGTCTTCGGTGCGTTCTTCGAGGACATCAGAGCGTTTCTGGAGGTCCTTGATGCTAGACTGCAGTTCTGTGAGTTGTGTTTGAGTGGTGGTGTTGGCGGCAAGTAATGTGCGGATTGTGTCGTTCAGCGCAGCGATGGCCTTGGCCTGCTCGATGATGGTTGACTCGAGTTGATTAAGATGATGTGTCCTTCGCTGCTCGGCTTTCTCTGATTGAGCCCGAAGCTGGTCGACTTGTTGGCCATGGGCCTTTGTTCGGTCTTGTAACTCAAACAAAAGGTCTTGGTTCCAGTCTGCTGTGCCAAGTGCGAGATTGGTCACAGCCTCCTGGGTGGCCTTACGGATCGTCTTCAGGGCTACCGAATTCACAACTGTCGCGATAGCTCGACGCAGCGGGACTTGCAACTGCCCTCTGAACAACGAGTGTATGGACTGGATCTGCTCTTCAAGATCTGTCATCATATCGCTGTGCTTCTTTACAGTGTTGGAAAGCTCTGCTTGGAAAGTACCGAATTCGGCATTCATAATCGTAGTGTACTCTTGGAGTTTGGTTGGACAAAGCTGGTTAGATGATGGTGGGCTTGCTTCATGAGGTCCGCATGGTGAGCTTGCGTGATGGTGTCTTCATGGTGGTCAGTAGAATCCTCATTTCTGCATTAAGACGGCGCTCACCTTCGATGTCAAGGACTGCGACCCTCTGGTTCAATTGGGAGATCATCTTTTGGTAGAAGGTGTGGATCTTGATGAGGATGATGAGCATGAGGAGGACAGCCCAGAACTGCTCTGCAAAGTCACCAAACAGCGACACCAGCCAGTGGCAACGTGCAGGTAGCAGCATCATGAACAGTGCTTCGATGAAGGTGAGATGTTGGTTAGAGGATTCCATCGTGATAGAACAGGGTTACTCGTAGTGAAGCTGTCCGGTGGCCGACCAATGTTTGAAGTGGTAGAGATGACGAGTCGCGAGTGCGCAGTGAAGATGTTGTTGTGTTTGTATGTAAGGAACATAGGAATTGAGTAGCTAAGTAAAGCTGTAGAAAGGTAGAAGCAGGTTCTGCGTGTCTGGAGGAGAAGACTGTGTGGGTTCAAGAAGCAAGTTTGAGGCACGAATTCTTGGCAGCTGGCCGTGCGCCACGGTGAAGTGAAGGCGGAAGAGATTTTTATTTATCGTATTGTTCGGCTTGAGGCAACAGGAATTTCGGCTTCACTCGCTGTCAGCGAGGCGGATCGGCACGGCTAGATTCAGCGTGCGGGCACAATGTTTGATCTCGATTAGTCCGAGTCAGAGATTGGTACACTGTGAAGTGAAGGCGCAAGAATTGATACCAAGTAACAGACACAGAGAAGAGACGGACGGTACCTGATAAGAATACATCGATTGTTTGTAGGCTCTGCATGACAGTCAATTCATTCTTCACTCTATATGCTGATCTGCCCATCCCTTAAAGCTTGCAGATCATCTGGCGTGAACTTTACATATGAACTTGCACCTGGTTTAGCCCACAATACCACATCTGCCTGGCCGTTGGGCACCTTTTCACCGTACTTATCAAGCTCAATGCCTTCCAACCGCAGCGGACCCTTGTTTTGCTTCTGGTTGTCTGTGTTGGAGCCAACAAGGATCAGTCGCAGGAATACTGGCACCGCGTATCTTGGCAGCTTACTCCTGCTGTAATCAAGGAGTGCTTTCCAATCGAACGTCTTGGGGTCATGGCCATCGGCAAGTCGCAGTGCAACACAGCCAGCGCGACCGTCGTGCTTGGGTACGAGTGTGCCGTAGACAATGGCCTCGCCGATTCCTGGGTACTTGCCCAATACCTCAGCGACTTCTGCGGTTGATACGTTCTCAGACTTCCAGCGATATGTGTCGCCCAACCTGTCTAGGAAGAACCACCTTCCATCTTCATCTCGTCTCAATGCATCCCCTGATCTGTAATATAGATCTCCTTTCTTGAACACATTTCTCTCGAACTTCTTCTTTGTTGCAGAAGGGTTGTTGTAGTAGCCCGCGAACGCCTCTTCACCGGGTACACCGACTAGAATCTCCCCTCCCTCGTTGTACGAGTTGCGTTTCACAAACCCAGTCTTCGGATCGCGCATCAGATCGCCCGTCTCAGGGTCTATTGATACAGGAACGTACACGTCATTCAGTGCCCGCCGAATGAGAGCGCCGTGGTGTCCGACCGTGGTGTCCGTGAACGGGCCTTTGGAGTGTACAACCATGGCTAACACGCCCTCGGTGGAATTGAAGAACTCGATTACTTCAGGAACATTGAAGCGTTCCTTGAACCGTGTCCACACATCTGGACGCATGCCGTTACCGTACATGCCACGTAGTCTGTGGTCGCGTTCGCGTGGGTGGGGAGGCGCCATTAGCAGATACCGTGCTGCTTCGCCGACGTAGACAAACATGGAGGAATTCGAGTCGTGAATATCATCCCAGAAGCCGCTTGTGCTGAATTTCTTGCCAACTGCGACGCTCATGCCGCCCGTCAGGGCTGCCATAGTGGCAAGCCCGCCGGTGCCGTGGAATAGTGGCATACAGCAATACCAGCGATCTCCATTGGGGCCAGCGGTCTGGTCGAAAGGAAGCTTGTCCGGGTTGCCACGGTCATGGTAGCGGTTGATCATGAATTTGCCAGCCTTTGGGAGACCAGTCGTTCCGGAAGTGTAGAGCAGACAGGTCGGGTCGAAGCCGGATACCTTTTCGCGGTACTCGTCGCCTGGTACATCTGTCCGTCCAGAGTAAACCTTCTCGAAGAGTGAGGCGTTGACAGTAAAGGGCGTAACGCCGAGCTCGCCCTCAACTTTTTCTCTGACCTCTTCGAAGCGCTCTGCACATTCAGGATCGGAGTCTACCAGCACCAGCTTTACATCCGCAATCCTGAGACAATGTATCATCGCGTCCCCTCTCAAGTTGTAGTTTAACATAGCTGGCGCACAGCCGATGCACCATAGGCCTAACCAGATGACGAGGAAGTCGGCTGAGTTTGTGAGGTATGTGGCTACCATGTCTCCAGGCTTAACACCCTGCTCAAGGAAGAAGTGTGCCCATTGCACAGCTTTGTCGTGCACTTCTTGCCATGTGTATGTCTTTTCACGGGACCAAATGCAGAGATTGTTGGAGTATCTTGGGACGTGGGGGGCAAACGAGTACCAGAGGCACTGGCGTTTCGTTCTCACTGTACACAATAGACGTCAGTGGTACGTAGGCGACCACCATGATTTCATGTATTTGGATTGAACAAGCTGGAGCACACGTACCTAGCTCAGCATAATGTTTCGCAGCGTTGCTCTTGAACTTGAGCTGTCGCAAGTCCTGTCCAATGTGATACTTCGCATTGATGTACGCGGCCAGGCTCGAAATGGCAGCCACCGAGGCAGCAGTCGCAGCGACTGTCATAATGTCTTCTCTTGTTCCCAGGTCCGAACTTGCAAATCGAAAATCGCTACCGGTCAATTGATGTCGAAGGGAAGGAGGGGAGAACGAACAAAGTAACAAGCCCGAGATAATGCAGGACGCAGATGGTGTGACGCTCGGAGGAGCACAGAGCTCCGAGACAGCGAGAAAAGATGCCGAGGTCGACGTCGGACGGACACTAATGGATGCGGGGATACATGCGAGCGTCGATCGTGGCTTTTCTGGGGTCCGGGGAAAGCTGACCCGAGGCTGCAATGTCATTGACACAGAGCGGATTGGCTGTTGCTTTATCACACACAACGTCGCTCTTGTGCCTCAGCATGTAAAGGTAGAGTGAGATGATAATGTACAATGAGGTGTTATGGATATGCCAGTATTATGGTTTGTTGTACGTATTATACAACATCTTCTTGCTGCTATTGCGACCCAGATCCTGATTTCATCCCCGAACCTAGATGAACGACGAGATGTACGGCACTCCCGGTATAGCACGCCCTCTACGATATTGCCTTCTTAGGCTTCTTTCCAACACTCTCTGTGCCGGGCGGTACCTTCAGCCCGCCGAAGACGATTGCGCATACAGCAACCATGCCCGCAGCGCCGGTTGCATATGCAGTCTCCCGGCCTGCCCACCAGTACAGCGTGCAGAAGATGAGAGGTCCAAGAGCGCGACCAACCTGACCTGTTGACTGTTAGTAGTTGGTCTAAATAGACTCAGGTGGGTATGGCTTACCGAAACTCCTGTGGTTTCCAAGCTTGTTGCCCCTCTCGTCAGCGCTCGCCTCAAAGCTACTCAGGCTGTTTAGGCCTGTCACAACGGTTGCGCTTGTAACGGCAAGGAGAGCAGCAGCTCCGTATAACGCGCCTTGTGTCTGTACGCGACCCAAAAGTACGAATGCAAGTGTGGCTGCGACCACACCCATCTTTACAACCTTCAGCGGATGCATGCGCCTGACGACCGAACCTTGGAGCAGGGACGCTACAAGCCCAATGAAGCCGAGGAGGCGGCCGGTATCCTTTGCTTCGTAGGAGAAGAGATCGTACGTCATGAAGGGCAGGCTAAATTCCATGCCGCTGAAGAAGAGGATGAAGGTGAAATGCGTAGCATTGAGGAGGGTGTGGGAGTTTGTTCGGACGCGCGGTTTGGGGGGCTCGGCCTTTGCGTGACCATTGGCCTTGCCGTTCGCGTTGCCGTTCGCTGGAGGAGCTGCCGACGGGAGCGTCTCTGGAAGGCAAAAGTAGAGGTAGATAGACTCGGTTACAATCAAAAATAGCGAGAAGCCAGCAGCCATGGCAAAAGGATTCTTGTCCATGATGTTCAGAGTGGATAGATACGCGCCCAGCGCAGGACCAAACGTGAAGGCGACACTGAAGCACACACCCACGAGTGCCATAGTTGCTCCTCGCTGGCTCTCATCGCTGATGTCAGTCGCAATCGCCATGGCAAGCTGTACGTTGCCTTCGCTCAATCCTCCGACAATGCGACTCGCCAAAAATGTGCGGAAATCGGTCGCTGCGACCCAGAGCGCGACGCTGAGCACGTTGCCTGCCATGGACCACAGCAATGCTGTTCGCCTGCCATATTTATCTGAAAGTGTACCAATCACCGGCGAGGCAACGGCCTGACACAGCGAGAAGAGCGATCCGAGAGCTCCGCCGAGCAAGACGATGTCGTAACGAGAGATGATGGGCTTCGCGAACGAGTTCTTGTACGCGTTGAGTCCCGCAAGGATTTTCGAGAGGATCGTATTCGGATTGCCGGTTTCATGGTTGCGGTAGAACTCGATGAGCTTGGGAAAGAGAGGGAGAATGAAAGTGAACGAAATCTGGAGCTCTTATTAGCGAAAGCATTGGTGGTGACACAAGGGTAAATGACGTACCAAGTCGAGTAGCAAAGAAATGAACAAGACCTTCAACACCCTCTTTCGGAGTGCCGGAGGAACCGGTGATGTATCTGCTCCCATTATGGATGTATGTGGAGTACACAAGAGGGTGGAAGCGAACGAAGAAGTTGACAGCGTGGAAGGCTGTACACTGGGCTGAAGTACTATACACTATAGTAGGGACCGGAAAGAGGGGAAAGACAGATCCGGCCTTGAAGATCCCATGAACTAGAAATAGAATGGACAAGTGCCGAAGGACGAAATCTGTCAAGCCAACTGCAAAGCTGTAAAGTCGGTCATGTCATGACGGAGATGGAACGGCGCGAGCTGATGACCATGAAACGAGGGTGGGGAGCCAATGATCGCCATGACCTGTTTGCGGCTGTCAGGCACCACAAGTTTGGTTTCAAGTGCACGTTTGCGCCGACATGCGACAGCGAGGGCAGACCCACAATCTGCCTCAGGGCTATTGTTTTGAGCATCGCGCGCAGGTCTCCTGAACGTACGTGCAGCTTCGTGCACACTGACGCACGCGACTCGCTCTTCGCCGCGGGTGGAGCCGAGGCAAACCCTCGAGCTTCACACTGATCCCCGCCATCCAGCGAATCATATCGCCGACCATATCAGCTCCATGTAGCCGCGAGCTTTGCGCATCGAATGCAGTCTTTCATGCGAAGTCCGAATACCTACACTGACACTGTGGCGTTATTCAGCAACCATGAGTGCGGATGAAGGCAAGAAGAAGGCCAGGGCGGCAGTCCAGGCCATGTTCGACAGGTACATGGTACTGGCCTCAAAGCGGCCCAAGGATCACATCGTGAGTAGTTCGAACTTGACCACGATTGTTACAAGTTTTGATTAGACACAGGACTTCGATAGTGAGGTCATGAAGAACATGAAGTTAATAGATGCTGGACCCGAGGGCTCAGTGGAGTACCAGCTTTATATTGCACCTGGCTTCTCCAACCTAAACAGTATGATGTTGTCGCGCGTCTTTGGCAGACGGGCTCATCTAACACTTGACCAGATGTCATGCACGGTGGTGCCGCTGGCGTCATCTTCGATATGTCCACCACCACAGCGTTGTGCCCTGTCGCCCGCCCTGGTTTTTGGGAGTTCATGGGTGGCGTGACACGCACTCTCAACATCTCGTACCTTAAAGCGGTGCCAATCGGTACCACTGTGAGGCTGGTCAGCAGGGTAAAGAGCGTAGGCAAGCAAATGGCTATGATCAGGGGTGAGATGACCAGTCTCGACGGGAAGGTCACCTATTGCACAGTGGAGCATCATAAGGTCAATGTCCCCGTGCTGCCAGAACATGCAAACGCAAGGATACCTTGGGATGATGAATTTGAGAAAGAATGGGGGGTTGTGAAGGGGCAGACCGAGATTGGAGTAAAGAGCAAGATCTAGCGCAAAAATGTACGGACTTGAAGGATGTGCAATAATTGGTTTGATTGTGCGCGTTGAGACTTGCATAGTATGAGCACTTGCCATCTCGGATAAAACGCTGTGTGATGTTCTTTTGTACAGTAACTATACAGTGCGTCCCATGGTGGGTATCTTCTTGTGGCGTGCGTCCGCTCACTTTCTCTTGTTGAACTTCTTCGATTCTGCCAGATGTCAGCATTCAGCTCTGATTTTCCACATTTGCTAATGAACGTACCGGCAGCCGTCCTCTTCTTCTTGGGTGATGTTTTTCCTCGTGATCTCGCAACGTTGAGATGCTCAAGCCAGTCTTCCTCCTTGTCATCCAGAATCGTGTTCTCGGGGTACAGCGATCGCAGCTGAGCAATCGTTCCTATCCTGGGAGGGTAGTATGAGGCGACCGAAGCACCCTTGAGGCGCTGGCGCATGATGTTGGATCCAATGCGGACGCGCTCGGGGTTGTAGGTGTTGTTGAAGACGCGGCACGAGGCCTGTTGTGGTCAGTCAGGCATTCTTATCCATGCGCTATCATAACTCACCTTCATGAGGTCCAGTATTCTCGCCCGTGGAACCGCCATCTTTGCGCAATGGGTGTTGCCCTCGGTGGTGTTGCGGAGTTCTGCTATAATTTGGCTTGGCACTGCGGACGCTAGAGAATCACCGATGTCACTTCTTTTACAAGCCTTGAGGCTTGCACTTCAACGTTGACAAAATGTCGCAAAACCGGGGTGGCCCCTTCAAGCAATTCGAGAGTCGCGATCGTTTCGATAAGCGTAGCCGTCCGAACCAGCCTTCCTACAGCTCCGCGCAGTACGGTAACAGGGATCGTGATATCCGGCACGGACACCCGCAGCAGCGCAGTCATGGGCACCAGCAACCACGTAGCGGCAACACCACTGCCTTCCAGGGCGAGCTGTCTAAGGCAGAAATGCAGACTGGTCTTGTAGCATTGCTCGACCGATTCGTTGCAGACGAAACGAGATCTGATGCCGACCGAGATATTCTACATCATGCAAGCGAGCTAAGGCGACTTCTTGCACGCAAAGAGAACCCATCGTCTGCAACATCACAGCGCGAACTCGACAAGAAGCGGCCCGAAACAGCACCCAAGGTTGCAGTACCTCCATACATTCACCGCAAAGTCCAGGAGGCCAAAGATCTTCCAGGGCTCCCGCCAATAGACGAGCCTCACATACACGATGCGGTCTTCACACACCGTTCGTACATTGTTAGAAATGGGGATAAAAATGCCTTCACTGATCTTGAACTTGACTACGAGCGCCTCGAGTTCCTCGGCGACGCTTACATTGAGCTTATTGCTTCTCATGCACTTTACAGCCGCTTTCCCCACGTGGACGTACCCCAGCTGTGCTCATGGCGCGAACGTCTTGTGGAAAACTCGATGCTGGGCAAATTCTCCGAAGCGTACGGCTTCCCCGACCGACTACGACATCACAATCAATGGGATCACAATTCGAAGGCATGGAAAAAGGTTATTGCCGATATTTTCGAGGCTTACGTTGCTGGCATTGTCCTCGCGGATCCTGAGCACGGTTATGAAATCGCAGACAAGTGGCTCACGGAGCTTTGGGCGCCACAATTGCTGAGCTTCAAGGAGAAGATCGTCGAAGATTCTCAAGCAAAGAACAAGCTTGCTGCATTGGTTGTCGTCAACGACATTAAGCTTGAGTATCGAGAGGAGCGCCCCATGATATACGAGCAGGGCAGCAACTTGCAGAAATACTTCATGGGAGTGTATTTGACAGGCTGGGGTTACCAATCTGAATGGTTAGGTAGCGGTGAGGGGCAGAACAAGGCCAGCGCTTCTTTATCTGCCGCCGCCGATGCTATCAGGAAGAACAGCGATGTGACACAAGATGCAGCTAAGCAGAAAGCGGAGCTAGTATCGAAGAGGAGGGAAGAGAAGGCCAAGGCTGAGGCCGAAGCCGCGGCGAAAGCAGCCGAGGAAGGCACAGTCGAGTCTGGTGCACAAGCAGTCGGAGAAGACGGAAACAAGAGCAAAGAGAAGAAGAGAGACAGAGACGCCGCAGAGCTGAACGAATCCTCCAAAAAGAAGCACAAGAAAGACAGAAAAGATCATTAGCGGAAGGACATGGCCGATACTGGATCCTCCTCGGGTTTTTTGGAACCACCATCGAAATCGGAGTTCGCGACACAAACACTCTGCCTACATTGTTGCAGCAGCTCGCCTTGGCGAAAGTCAATCTTCACAATATCCCGCCGTATGTAGGTATCTAATACAAGCAAGACCGTCCCGCTTTACTCTTAGTCTGCTTCACCAGATGCACGAAGGCTGCCGTGGCCTTGAACTGAGGCTCTCCACTGCGAGAGCTGATGTGCAAGACTCTTCGGTTGCTTGCCTATCTCCCGGCTTCAAGTAGTAGCGGGCTGCTCTTTCCCCTCGTGGAACAATTGGTTGAGTTACACAAATATGCCAAATAACGTCGCAGTTTGGATTTTTTAATAGCCGCCTGGATTTGGCGAGATGTTTCAGCGCTTCCTGATGCTCTCTGCTATTGTAAGCTCATCAATCAGGTGTTCCGGACGGAAGTGAGCGCTTCCTGGAAGGGAATTGAAACTTTACGACGCAACACCACTTGCATCTCATGCGTGTCCTTTATGACCCGGCTGTGAAACAAGTGCCCCACTTAACAAAAAGCAATGCGAATTGGTAGTCGAAAAAGACTGATCGTTATTAACTATATCTTCAACACCAATCCCGCTGCCACGTAGACAGATAGTCGTGCCTGTCATATACTCACTCGCTCAAAGATCCTGAACGGCATCCCTGTAAAACGCCGATCCAGTCTAGAAAATGCTAAATAAAGTGGTCAAAAGCTCGTGTCTAAGCGGTACATGAACAAGTTTCGAATCGAAGCGCCCTGAAACCCCGCCAAAGAATATATTGGATTCAATCCAATAGTGCCGCAAGTGGAATGATAGCGATGCTGAAAGTTGGCACTCGCTTCGTGTAATCATACATTGCAACCCAAGCAGGCCTTTTACGCCTTGAGGCCGTCGCGCATGCTCTGGCTGCTGGAGCTGAGCGGCACGTTCGAGATGGGCAGTACGCTCTTCGCCTTGGCAGCGGCGTTCTGGCGCACCTTTGCGAGCGCATAGACGATACCGCTGATGAAACCGACGAAGATGGCGGATACACTACCGAATGTGACGGGTGCGTCGAAGAACACCAAGCCACTGAGCGCGATTGGGAGCTTGTTGAGAGCACCGACCATGGAGTAGGTGGTGGAGGTTGTGACGCGCACGGCCCATGCGGAAGTGTAGGAGATGAAGACGGAGGAGAGACCGGACAGAACCATCACGAACATGACTGCGTTGCGCTGGTCGGCGGGGAAGTTCTTCTGGATGTTTGCGGGGGACCAGTCTTCGACTACGATCGATGCGACGAGGAGGATGGGGATGGTGAGAAGGTTGTTGTAGTACATAGCTAGAATTTGTTAGCTTGATCGACGACCGGAAGTTTGGGACGTACTGTCAAAGTCCTTGAAGTTGGTGAGCTTAATGCGCTTCCTCATGCAAAGGACGAATGTAGCGCTGCAGATGCAGTTGAACATCATCCACAGGTAGCCGGCGTGCAGTGTTGAGACAGCCTCAGTCGCCGTCTCCGAGGCGTGGCCTACGCTCGAGAGCGCGTGCTGAATGTCTGCCCAAGCTGCGATGAGGGAGCTGAATACCATCAAACCGAAAGAGAAGAGAGCCATGGGTGTAACGGAGCCACCGAACCAGAGCACCTCACCGTAGGCAATGAGAATGATGGTCAAGTTCTTGAAGATTGTGTAGACGGGGATCGAGAGATACTTGAGCGCCCAAGTACTTGTGTAGATCATACCGATGAGAAGGAGAGCAATAGGAAACCCTGCCGACATTAGCCTGAGAAGTCCCCTTGAGACGTGTTCCTCCACGTACACTTCTTCGCTTCATCCGAGTTGAAGTCGCGGTATGTAATGATCCCAGAGGCTTTGCATATGGAGATAGCAAAAACACAGACAACTGACTGCACGCAGAGCAGGAAGAAGTTGAGGTTGAAGTCGCGGCCGGACAAGACGTATTTGTTCGTCACCGTCATGAGGATCGAAGAGAAGCAGTAAGAGAGGATGGCGACAACGGGGTTTTCTGTGATCGAAGCGCTGCTGCCTTTGGATGAGCGTGTTACCGGCGATGGCGCACGGGAGCCCTTTGCTGAGCCCATGCCATAGTCGTCGCTCTTCTTATCGTCGGACATGGCGAAGTATTATGCGGAGAGGATGCGCGACGTGTCGTAAGGAGTGGACGGTCCGGGGGAGGGACGGAATTGCGGTGGTCTCTGCTCGAAAGGCGGGCGGCGATGACGAGAAAAGGACAGAAATGAGAAGTTGGGGGAAAAGAGGAGACACTGGATGGTGATGCGCAAGGACGCGAGTACGAAAAGTGGACCGGGCCTAAAGCACCCCTGGCTTAAATTAGACTTACACCAACAGCCCTCGTAACTGGCCGTCAGCAGCCCTGCATAACGGCTGCAGCCTCCTTTTCCCGTTAGACGGCAGCCTCTGCCATGAGGCCCTACATCATCAACATTTTGTAAGGGCTAGTCAATCCCCAACTGTAGAAAAGGAGAAGATGCAGCTTTGCCCCCACGTGATGCCCGCTAGTCCGAAAAAGTGTTGATTCCAGGGTCTCACAACTTTACAAACTCCCCTCACTTCGCTTGTGGTTTTGGAGATAACAAGATCAACATGTCGCAACTGGACTCGAAAGTTGCCTCGGTCATTGATCGTGCCGCAAAGAACGATGAATCGGACGAGGACGATCTGATCGCACAGCTCGAAGACGACTCAGAATTAGACGCCTTCCGAGCCCAACGGATACAGCAACTCCACGATGAATTCGACAGAGCTCGACGGCTGAAGGCTAGCGAGCACGGCACGTACAGTGAGGTCAAAGACGAAAAGGCTTTGATGGACATCACGACGAGCACGAAGAATTGCATCGTCCATTTCTTCAAACCGGACTTCAACCGCTGCCGCATTATGGATACCCACCTAGAGGTAGGTTGTGGCTTCCACTCTTCAAGCTTACAGTCCTAATATCCCAAAGTCCCTGGCACCGTCACACTATGAAGCTCGAATATTGAAGATCAATGTCGATAATTGCCCGTTTCTAGTCACCAGATTAGGGGTTCAAGTGCTCCCGTGTGTCATTGCATTCATCGACGGCATTGGTGCTGACCGCATTGTTGGCTTTGAAGGGCTGGGACGATCGCCAGACAACTTCACTGTGCGCGATCTAGAGGCTAGGCTGATTAGAGCTGGCGTCTTCGCGAGGACCAAGGTTACCAAAGAGGACGAGGAAGAGCGCAAGCAGAGGAGTAAGATGACAGCCAAGTACGACGACGAGAATGACGACGACTGGGACTGAGGAGGAAGGTAGCGAGCATTGGATGAACGGGCGGGCCTTTGATTACTCAGCTAAGAAGTCGATGCTATGAAGTATAGGCTCTTCCCCAGCGGGACAAGGTACACGCTTGTCATCTAAGTTGCTAAGAGGATTGGCGTGGACGCTCAACTCCGCCACTACCACCCAGCTATGGCACAGTAGACAAGATATACTGTCTGTCTGTTTCACAAGTGGCCCGAGACTTGATGACGCAGGATGAAATGAGGATTATATGAAGACAGAGCCGTGGAAACGTAGTATCTGGGTCTCAACATTAGACAATACGGAAACAGTTGACTACACTTGCAGAAGGGCTAAGTTTGGCCACAACCTTGTTCCCTGAAAGTCTCCGAGGGTGCGTTTCTGTGTTATAGGAAGGGCAAGACACAGTTTCACGAACGTGCAGAGGCGGCAGGTGGTAGCAGGGGAGCATTTGCCGAAGCACCAAGATTCGGATAACTATGACGGTCATGGGACTAAAACCAACATCTGAAGACCAAATCCTATAATTTGGAGCTAATTTCTCTGTTGTCCTACTTGGTTTCAAGACTTAACTTCTTATTGATTATCGACCCTCCAATCACTCTTCCGTAAATCTTCCAGCCATCCTCCGTTTGTTTCAGTCGATCAATCATAGGTGACCATACCCAAAGGCCTGGTAGTCCGTCCTTGCCTTCTGTGACGGTCGATGTGCTGGAGGCGATGTTGTTTGCATCATCTGGCCATGCGTAGCGCACCAGTTGATTATGGTACCGTACTATGACGCCGCCTGTTTCCTCATCCCGATCAACTATGTGGTTGGTTGCATGCCGACTGACTCCAGGAACAGCGGGAGGATATTCGTCTCTGAAGAAAATCTCCAACTCTGCATGTCCGTGGATCGTGCCGTGGAAGTGATGAGTGACGGCGTCGGGGAGGAAGCAACTAAGCATCTTTGCAGTGTCAAACTCTTCGAACAAGTAGTTGAGGCGGTTGACGAAATCAATTGCAGAGCTGCGCTCTTCGCCGGAAACTTGTGTGGAGGTGTTGGGATGTACATTCTGAAAGGCGGTAGCAGGTGTAAAGGCAGACATGCTAGCGATTGCGACCGTGACGGTGTCTCAATCATGCAATTAGAACAAACAGGACGAAGGCAAGTCCACTTACGGATGGCGCGCAGCTCTCTATATATATATCTGTCCGCCGTGGACGTTTAGTAATCGTTAATGTTTAGTAAACGTAAATGGTCGTTAGTCGCGTTAGATGACTTAAGATTCACTTCAACGTGTGCAAAGATTCAGGCTAATATTTGTAGGCATCATCATCCCCAATGACAGATTTCGTTCAGAGCTTGTGCACAGTTCGTTGCGTGATCGTGATATCGCTAACGATGTCTGTCGGTAATGACTGGGGTGTTGTAGTATCATTCTAGTATCATGGCTAACTTCCACGGTTGTACTTAAGGTTCACGGCGGCGCTTTGCCTACCACACCTTGTGTCAAGCTCCAGAAACGACCCACTGTATTCAACAGTGACCCAGACGATGGCCTAACGCAGCGGGGATCTGAACGCATGCGACTTTCATTCCCTGGGACGCAGATAAGACATTACCCGTTGATTGCATGCTTTCATTGATTACTGATCGTTTGATCGGGTTTGATAAAATATATATACTACAAGCAGAAAAGTAACCGAGCACAAGAGTGTTGACATTTCAACATCAGCAGAGTAGATGCGTTTCAGTCGTAGCCACAAAATTTCTACGGTACTGTCATTACTGCGTCCTCATTACATACCAGTCTATAATGGAATACAGTTTCTTCCACGTGAGTCATCTGATCGCGATCTGCCACGTTTGGCAGCAAAATACAAAACCCTCCGCTTAGAAGTTCTGAAGCAATCCGCAAACTCCTTCTCGTCTACTTTCGAAGTCGAGTCCTAATTTTCCTACAAATTCTGGCAGTCCCGGATCACAGAACTGGAAAAGAGGCCTTCATTTGTCGAGCACGTTCACCCACGCAGGATGATTGGGTTGCTCAAGTCAGTCTACGAGGCCCCATCCTTGCGGAGGACTTCAATCTCCCAACAGAATCTGGACAGGCCAACGCAGAATCCGACCCAGCAGAAGTAAGATGGCAGATGCTCAGCCTCTACACGCTCCCATCACACCGATCGAAAGGACTGGGCAAGAAACTATACGAAGAAGCTTTCAAGTACCTTCAATCTCGAGACCAGAACCAGGCCAACCCGAGCAAGGTAGTCGTACGGATCATGGTCAAGCCTGACGACAAGGTCACCATAAAAATGTACGGAAGTCTTGGGTTTGTTCACACGGGTGTGTGCACGCTTGAAGAAGCCCTGGAAGCGAACGGCGACGCTGAATTGCTGCCACGTGGTGTTCTTCCTTCACACTTCACAGTCAGAAGTTGCACCAAGCGTAAAACAGTAACAATATCGATGTTTTTTTTTAAGGGGATTACTTTTCGGTCAAGTGGAGGCGATTTCCTACTGCGTGAATAAGACACAGCATCACTCTACTTGGGCATACCACCACCTTCTTTAGGCTTCGCCTACAGCTTGAATGCCCTTCCTTGCTTAGAACTTTAGCTATTACGTCTAGCCCCTGTAAAAAAAATAGGGAGTAATGTGCTTAGCCTGCAGTAGTAGCCTGTCTAGTATAGCAGGTGGCACATTTAGACCAGTAGTAGAGGACAAGCAACAGATCTTGCTCGAATGTTCGGGCTGACAACATTTGGTGTCCAGAAATGCTATCTGCACAAGTGATGATTACAGTAAGAATCACTACTGAGGACAGGAAGACCAGCAGGCTGTGTAACACGCCTTTCGATCGGACAGTATGCTGGCTCGACATACTGCCTGATGCAACTTCACGAACGTGCATAGATGGCAGGCGGAGGGGAGCGTTTGCCGAAGCACTGAGAAAGCGTGGCCTCTGATTGGCTGAGAGCCACCAACGGTGCGTCATCGGATCGCGCAATTCTCAATTACTTCTGAGTGTCGCGCAAGCAAAGCTCAACATATAACCGCAGAACGACGTCGCCTCTCAGCAACCCTCTGACCAGATACATAATCGGAATTAACTACACATTGCAACACATCAGGATGAAGGCTTACTGGTTCGACAACGTTGAGGTACACCGACCCCACATCCACCAACCATCACATGACTGACCCTTCAGGGTGACCAACGCCTGCCCCATGACTCTGGGCGCAGTGTTGACCCCAAATATCTCTCCAATTTGGGTGTTATCTACCAACATGTCACATCCGATGATGAAGTAAACGCACTGGCTAAGGAGCGCAACTACAAGAACAGAGATGAAATCACGGTTTCGCCAGAGAAGATGGGCGACATCTATGAAGAGAAGGTCAAGAGCTTTTTCCACGAGCATCTGCATGAAGACGAAGAGATCAGGTACATCCTCGATGGCGCAGGGTTCTTCGACGTCAGGAGTGAGGAGGATGACTGGGTGAGGATTTGGTTGGAGCGGGGAGATTTGATTGTGCTTCCTGCGGGAATCTACCATCGTTTCACTACTGATGACAAGAACGTGAGTGTTTTCTGTTCCCATAAATGGGGCAGGCAAGATGGAGTGCGTCACGGGCTAACGGTTGCTGTAGTACATCAAGGCTATGCGCTTGTTCAAAGAAGAGCCCAAGTGGACTCCGCTGAACAGGAGTGCGGAGACCGATGCGAACCACTACCGCAAGGAGTACCTCAGCACACAGCAAGCTCTTGCTACATGATAGCCTCGATTGTGAAGACGTAGCGACGAAGCAACGGCATCATGTGCATACAGTGATCCAGGAGTAAACTTACAACAATTTGCAGTTGTTATCCACTTTTATACGTCTTCTGTTTCCCTAATCTCGATTGGTTATCGATGGCTGACCTGCTTATTTATGCATGAAGTCGTACAAATATGCAGCAAGTAGCAAACAATGCTGCAGCTTCGGTTTGTTGGAGCCAGGTTTGCGCAACAATCGTTTTTGGAGGACCCGAGTGTAACAATACACCCCCTTCAAAAGCAGTCCCCTAAATATCAGCCACTCTTGCTATCCTCCCACTGCTAATCAACAGCTCGTATCCATCTAGTCTAGCCTACGCAACATGTTTCCCCCGCCGTGGGCCCGTGACCCGAGGGGACCTGACTTCTCCTACTATCTCGGACCTCGACAACCCCGCCACCAGATCATGGGTTCTCGCTCACCCTGCCCCGATCCGTACGGTACCCACGCCCGGCGCAGTTCCCATCCAAGCCACGGTAAGCCGCACAAGCACACGCGCTTCTCCGAACCCGACACGACATCCAGCTCCTCCTTCTCCTCGTCGGAATGGGAGGAGCCGTACGCGCTCGACACCGAAGAAAGCTTCTTCGACACGCACCGTGCCCCGACTTTCCAGGTGCCGCGACGCCGCTTCTCAGCGCGCCTCTTCGATAGCGTCCCGGACCTAAGACGCATGTCTCTCGCCCTCCCCGCCGCAACAGCAAACGACCTGAGACCCGACGACGTCCTCATCCTACCCCCGTTGGTCCATGTACACATCCGGATCTACCTACCCCACGCGCGGCCAGAGGAGCTGCGCGCCGCGGTCCCAGCATCAATGGCGTTTGGCGACATGAGCCAGCAAGTTATCCACTCGTATGTCGGCGATAGAGCGAGGGGTTACGATGTCACGGTTCGTGTGGAGCAGCGAGGGCGGATGAAGGAGCCGTCTTCGTCGGCGACGCTGGAGGATTTGGGGCACAGAGGTGAGGTTTTGCGGGACGGGCGCAGGGAAATGAAGATCGAGATTGTGATCGGTGCGGACGAGGAGCGGATGGGTGACTTGGGAAGGTATGGAGGCAGGGGCCCGCAAGGCGGTGCTGCGCATGTGGAGACTGTGAGGAGAAGAGAGGTAAGCAGAACTAGATTTGCGCACGTTTGAGAGGCTGTGGCGGCCTCAGACCAAAATAGCTTTCATGAACCGGTTGATAAAGACGCTTTGATAAGTATGGAACAAGTCAGATACTGCTGTGTTTGTGGTGTTCATGGACATGTAGCTGGCGCGCCAGCTGTCAGATGATCTTTGGTGTCACAGGCGCACAGACAGATTCGTTGAGCTGCTGAGGTTCGGGAAAAAACAATCGAGTGTTGCTACATATCGTAAAAACCGAGCTGCCTAACCAAACACCTAAGCAGATACGCCTGGCGCGTGATTCCTATCTCAACACCTCGTATCTGAACAAGTGTGGGAATCCAAGGCTGCTTTCGCCTTAGTCACAGCTTGTCTCCTCGAAATGAAAGGCGTGTCGAACAAAGCAGAAAAGAATGATTGTGAAGTCGCAGTCAAAGTCCGTCCTCCATAAGCTGCAGTAGCTGGCGCCGAGCTGATCAGTCGTTGTCTGAAGACATGTCGCTGCGCGTGGATGGATGTTTGGACACCTAGACCTCCGCAGGCTTGCCACCCTTCTTCTTCTGCTCTACCTTCAGCAGCAGCGCACGGTTGATGTGTGGAAGAACACCCCCGAAGGCGATCGTTGCGCGAATGAGTGTGTCGAGTTCCTCGTCGCCGCGGATGGCAAGCTGAAGGTGGCGCGGCGTGATACGCTTGACTTTGAGATCCTTGGCCGCGTTGCCCGCAAGTTCCAGGACCTCAGCGGTGAGGTACTCCAGAACAGCGGTCAAATAGATCGAAGCCTTAGCGCCGATGCGCGTCTTCTGGCGCGTGATGGTACGAAGGTGACGCTTTATACGACCGCAAGGGAACTGTAAAAAAAGACAAAGTCAGCGCGTCATCCCCGATAGCAGAAACGAAGGTGCAATAGGCGGGGTAGGCGAATTGCGCATTGAAGAACGCGAACTCGGGCCGTTACTGACCTGGAGACCGGCTTTGGCGGAGTGCGACTTGGATGTCTTGACGTGAGAGTCACCCTTTCCACCTGTCTTGCCTCCAGTCTTTCCTGCACATCCTGTCAGCTATTTGGGAACTCAACGACGCGAGCTGCTGAGCTACGCGCGTACCTTTGCCGCCTGGCATTGTAAATAGCTAAATCGGTATGGATGCCGATAAGAATGGTGTGTGTAGGGTTGCGCGACTGGTTTGCCAAAGTTTGGAGGCGTGAACGGTATTGTGACGTTGGCGGGAGGGGGTGGTTGGTGTCGAGGTTTGGTAAAGCCTTGGGCAGATTGTTATGACAGGCGCGTTTAGCCGATTAGGAAGGAACGTCCGTGCGAGGTTGTGCACGAGCCGATCGTTCTGTGTAACGCACTACGGCGACGAGCAGCGCGAACTTGAGCGTTGTGCAGAATATGGCTGATCTTATAGGAATCAGCTCGAATTGTTGCCTGCTCTATCGTTGGGTGTCAGTAGGCAGAAGCGCCCGTATTGGGTGCTTCTGGGCTCGCGGAGTGTACGGGTGCAAGAAGCAGCAGTGGCGTGCCAGCAACTTGTAGAAAATGTCCAAGAGCTCAGTAGTAGACAGGAGAATCTCTTCTGTGACGTTCTCACCTCTTGCGATCCACGACTGAAGTCTACAAGTTGAGAAAGGCCTGTGATTTTGACGTAGATTGTAAGGACTGACAAGAAGGAAGGAATGACTGAGGCATGACAGAACTTAAGACGTTGAAGAAGGAACTCACGCTGGCGGCTTCCAGATGGAGAGCCGTATGCTAGAACACTGCTACAGTGATGCATGCTTTCTTTTGCTGTGCTGGTAAGCACATCGGGCTTGTTGATGCTGGATAGCGTCTGCTTCGACCTTTGCCACAACAGGCATTGGGCGGAATCAAATGCTCAAAGGTGTTCAGGACGACTTATCTTGCACTCATACAGCCACCCGGGGTCGAGTCTACCCTCTCGCAGAAAGTCTGCGTTGTCGCACAGTAATGGATGCTGGCAGCGCTGCAACCCAGATGGACGGCAGCTAAAGTAGTGCGTCTTGGCATGCTGTCGCGCTTTGGAGAGGCCAGAACTGACAGCTCCTTAAGTTTTTGGAGATGGACTCACAACAATCGGTGATCGCATGACCACAAGTTTTGTATTCTGCTGCAGGTTGCCACATAGCAGACTCTGCTCTATTCGCGCACTCTCGGCCTCTGAGCATACGAGCAGAAATCGTCCGAGCTCCTGAGTCTTGCCCTGGAGCTTCGACACACTTGCATCGCGCTTGTTGGCCGACCCCCGACGTCGCATGCCCCATCCCCACCGCCCGTCCAACAGACCGGCCGATCACAACAGAGCAGCACCGCCATGGCATGGCAATCGCCGTCGGCCATGAACGCAGGCGGAGCGAACGGCGGAGACGGCAATGCGCCGGCAGGGACAGAGTACACGCTGCAGGGTAGGACGTCGCTATGGACACGAGGCACAAGGTGTCGGGCAATGCAGCCAGGCTAACAACGCTGCAGGCGTGATGCGTTTCCTGCAACTCGAATGGCACAACCACGAGCGTGCCCGCAATGCCTGGGACATTGAGCGCGCCGAGATGAAGGCCAAGATTGCAAAGCAAGAGGGCGAGGTGCGCAGCGCGAAGAAGCTGAACGATCAGTTGAACAAGCACATCCGAATGCTGGAACATGCCTTGACCAACGAGCGGGCGAAGAACAAGAGCGGCGGCGACGCCCAGACGGCGGACGACAAGAAGGATGGGAAGGGGAAGAAGAGCGGCTCGAAACGTGCGTTGCATGAGCTACACCACTTTACAGTGTGTGCCCGGGAGACGCTGACAATCTGCAGCTCAGAACAAGCATCACAACTCTTTCCTCGACGTCGACCCCGATTTCCCCGACCGACCAGACGCCGACCGCGAGGGCCTGCGCGAAAAGTCGAAGCTGTACCTGACCAAGTGTGTCGAAGAGATCACGTATCTGTTAACACCGCCGCCGCAACCTCCGCCACAGCAGCCCGGTATGCATGGCCTAGGCAACGGCGCGGGCTTCCTCAACCACGGCGATGCTGCCATGGAGGACATGTACATGCAGCAGCACCGCCAGAAGATGCAGTCGCAGTTACCTACGCTGCCAAACAACTCGATACCCAACCACCAGCCGCCCGTTACCTCTGAATACCAAAACCTCGCCCATCACCCGCAGATGCACTCTGCCCCTCAGATGACCCGAGAACCGTCTGGACAACAGCCTCTGCCTCAACATGCTGGTATCCCTTCTGATTTCATGGGACAACAACACCAACAGCAACAACAAGCTCAGCCTCAAACTCAACAGCAGCATTTCTCGTCGGTACCCGAGGAACAGGTAGAGAAGGTTACGCATACATACGACAACCATGGACGCCAGGTGCCGAACCGCGAAGACACAAACCAGCCCGCAAACCAGTCGAATATTGATGACACGGAAAGCTGGAACTTCGAAGAGCCCATCAGCGAGCCACAGGACAGTCTTGCCTCGAGGAGACCAGATACAGAGATGTTCCCAAGCGCAAATCAGATTCCCCCGAAATCTCCCCCAAGAATCGGAAAGGGGCGAAGGGCGAGTACGGACCACAAGCGCAAAGCTAGCAGCGAGCTACAAAATCAGCATGCGGTGGCACCGGGTGCAAGAACGGACCCTCAGAGCTTCAAGGTTCGATTTGCACTGCGAGGCCATCTTGACGTCGTTCGAACGGTTATCTTCACTGGTGGCGGTAGCCCTGCTGAGCCGGAGATTTGTACTGCAGGAGATGATGGCATGATCAAGAGATGGATCATACCTGCAAGCTACGCCAATCAACACAGCATGAGTAATGATCTCGACATCGCCTCCTTCTGGTCACACAGGGGTCATGAGGGCGCCGTCACGTCTCTGGCGGCCTGTCCTGCTTCTGCGCATTTCGCAACCGGTGGTCGGGTGTCTGGTGACGGATGGATATTCTCAGGTGGTCAAGATGCTACTATACGCGTCTGGGAAAGAGGTCGTGTCGATCCCAAGGCCACTCTTGACGGCCACAAGGATGCCGTCTGGACTGTTTGTGTGCTGCCGACGACTTGTGCATCAGTGTTCGGAGCAGATTGCAGCAACTACGGTGGCCCAGATCGCATACTACTTGCGTCTGGTTCAGCCGATGGCACTATCAAGATCTGGGCAGTCAGTGCGCCACCTCAGTTGGTCTCGCCGCAGACCAATACGCGACGCGGTGGCAGCCGAAGACATTCGGTCACATCAGGTTCGAACTACCCATCATCGCCCCAACCAAGTGTCGCAACGTCAACGCCTTTCCACTACATGTTGGTTCACACCATCGAGAGGGCGACGCATCCATCCCCCACATGCATTAGCCCCTTGTCGCTGACTGGAGAGAACTTTGTCGTTTCATTCACGGATGCATCAATCATGGTTTACGACACACGAACAGGAGAGGAGCTCATATGTATGGCTAGTAACGAGACTTATGATGGCACTCCTGCGACTGGTATCACATCCGTGGTTACGAGCTCGCAAAACACCGAGTCTACCGCACAGGATGCGGCCCGTGGAGATGATGAGGCGATCCATGGTCCAACAGGATTGAACAGCGGTGGCGGCCTTGAGGGTGTGATCATTAGTGGGCATGAAGATCAATTCATCCGCTTCTTCGATGCAAACTCCGGTAAGTCAACAAGACAAAACACTACTTCAATCGAGCTAACGATAGCATCAGGTCAATGCACATACAGCATGCTGGCACACCCCTCCGCCATCTCTTCCCTCTCCCTCAGCAAGGACGGCCGCGAAGCCGTATCTGCTGGCCACGATGCTTCGATCCGTTTCTGGTCGCTTGACAAGCGCATCTGCACACAAGAGATTACCGCTCACCGCATTATGCGCGGTGAAGGTGTCTGCAGCGTGGTCTGGAGCCAGGATGGGCGCCTTGTCGTCTCAGCAGGCGGCGACGGCATCGTCAAGGTCTTTGCAAGGTAGCATCTCCGCAGGCCACTAACAAACCCTCCCCTCAGTAACGCGCAATGACTCTTCAGTGCGTGGGTGAAACACGACCGTAGCGTTTTTGGTCATTGCATTTCTAGCTGGATCATACCCCGCGCTTTTCTTTGGCCTCCGAACTTGAACGGCATCATGTAGCTGCAATGATTGATGGAATATGGATATGGTAATTATACGCACCGGGTCAAGACTTCCCTTTGACCTCTGTTTGAAGTTTGCATGGGGACTGTGTCAGATGCATAGCTCATAGGCGCCGTCCTTCCGATTCACTTCAGCTGTACTATACATTCGACTAAGACTGTAAGGCAATGTCAGCCGAGGTCGACTTACTTTTACATGCACTTCGTCCCAATCTCTTAGGATCAGTGATGTTCCTTCAATCCCTCATAAAACTTTTGATCGCATGTGTTACCTGATGATCGATCACTGGGTTCGACTGCCTTAGATAAGATGATCGTTGCGCGACACGCGAGTCATGCAGCATTTATCCCACTTCACCCCACTTTCTCCGCAGACAATCATCATCACTGCTGTATGTGCATGATAATGGCTCGCTTTATTCCCACGATTCGATATCGTTGCTTTCTTGCGTCTACTCTACATCCTGCCTGAAAAGCTGATACCTACACACTCACAATGGCAAAAGAATTCCAGGATAAGATAGTCCTCATAACCGGAGGTGCCAGCGGCATCGGGTACGCCATAGTGTCCAGCACACCTCCTGCTCCCTTTCAGAGCTGACCAAATATATTCACAGCCGCGCAACAGCCGTGAAGCTCTCCTCTCTCGGTGCCAAGCTCTCCGTCTGTGACCTCAACGAATCGGCTCTCGCAGACCTGACTTCAGCTGTAGACACACAGGTCTATACACAGACCGTAGACGTAGGCAACACATCCCAAGTGGAGGACTTCGTAGCCAACACCGTCCAACGCCTCGGCGGCATCGACTTCGTCTTCAACTGCGCCGGCGTCAACCCGACCTCGATCCCGCTCGAAGACACGCCCGACGCCTACTGGGACAAGCTGGTCAACACCAACCTCAAGGGTGTGTTCCTCGTCACGCGCGCGTGCCTGCCGCATCTCGAGCGCGGGAGCTCGATCGTGAATGTGTCCTCGATCTCGGGGATTCGCGGCTCCGCACTCCAGTCGGTCTACTGCACGACTAAGTTCGGGCTGATTGGCATGTCCAAGTCGCTGGCACTTGAATTAGGGCCGCGTGGGATACGTGTCAATTGCGTTGCTCCGGGGTACATAGATACGCCGACTAATGCGGGGATTGTGAAGGGTGGAGAGGCGGTGGAGAGGATGCGCATGGGGAATGCGTTGGAGAGGCTTGGGACGCCGGAGGAAGTGGCAGATGTGGTGGCGTTCTTGATGGGCGAAGGAGCGCGGTATGTAAATGGTAGTGTGGTGGAGATTGATGGCGGGGTGAAAATGAGTAGTACGACAAGTAAGTCATGATTAGATAATGTGATGTCTCAACTGATCGTGTGTAGGTAAATGATCGATCTACGGGCATAATGAGTCTAAGCAGAAGCCATCTGTACCGCACAGCTCACATACCCGTCAGATAGACTCCGGGAAATATGTTGGGAAAAGCTGAATCGTATTCTACGAACGGTTTGGGGATATCAGTCAGAAGTCATGCTGTCATGGTCCGTCGTTACAAAATGCCACCTTGGGCGACCCTCGTTTCTAGCCCTGAAACGCTCAAACACCACGCGATGCTGTCAGTACGCGCTATGAGAACGTATTTCGCTACCCCTCCTTGAGCCCTTTCTTTATCTGATGTTTAACTTTGTCTGGATGCTGGCCAACATGATCTTTGTTTTCTTGCTTCTCCTGGCTCTTCTGGTTCTTCTGGTTCTTCTCCTGGCCTGGTTTCTGTATTTTCTGCTGGTGGTCTCCTTCGAGCTTCCTTTCTCCCGGTTCGTTATCACCCCCGTTGTCACTCTTGTCTTTCTTCGCTTCTTCTTGTTCGTCTGCCCGCCTCTCCTGTTGCTCGTCTTGCTTGTTATCGCAGTCCTGCTTATTCGATTGCTCCTCCTGTGCTCTCTCCCTCTCTCCTTCCATTAGTGATTCCTTTTCCAACTCCTCGCCCCTCTCCAATCTCTCCACTTCCTTTGTGAGCTTCCCGTCTACGCCATTGCCTTCGTTACCCCCGATCGTCAATTCATCAATCTTCTTGACAAGAGCATCCACCTTGAACGGTTTGCTGATGAGATCATCCATGCCCGCTTCGCGCATACTGTTCCGCTGGGCCTCGCGCACGTTTGCACTGACGCCAAGAATTTTGCTGTATCCAGCCTTGCCCTCGTCCTGCAATTGCCTAATCTCGGATGTTGCTTGGTTGCCATCTTTGATTGGCATTTCCTGGTCCATTAGGATACAGTCAAAGAAATTCCGATTATGCACGTCGTCAGCATTAGTTTGCCCACGTGCAGATACAGCGTCGATAGCCTCTTGTCCGTTGTTTGCCACAAAAACTTCGAATCCACGAGCCTGTAGCTGGCGACGGAGGACCTTTTGATTTATGAGGTTGTCTTCAACTAGAAGAAGCGTTCGTTTGTCTTCCGAGCGTCTGAAGCTTTGTGCCTGGTGTGCCTTATCAGCCGACGCTTGCTGGCGGGCGCTCTCGCCTGACTCGGCATAAGACGCGCGACCATCGTGTCCTTCTAAGGCAGGGCTAATCTGTTTAGCAACAGTATCAGTCTCATGGTATCGCTCGTCTTCATTTGCTGCAGGGTGCGACTCGGGAAAGTATTCTGTGGGCGGATCCTTGAGAGATGAATTGACATCGTCAGGGTCAACCCCTGAACGGCTGGTCAGTTGGTTAAGATTTGGACGTTTTCCATGTTTTGAAGTTTCGTTTTTCATAGAAGTGTTCTCTTTCGAGTTGTCTCCTGTTTCCAGCTTGATCTCTTGTCGACCCTGATCGTTTGTTCGCTCCTTGACATCTGAAAGATGTGAGTTCCCGCGCCTAAAGCCTGGACGGGGTGTTTGCGCCCGCTGATTAGGAGTAGACGGGTTTTCGGAATTTGTACGCGATGCGAAAGGAGGCCGTCCGTCTTCGCCGGTGGTTCCATCGGATCGGCGGGCCTTGAAGAAGAACCCAAAAGTTGATCCCTCACCCTCCTTGGAGCTTACACCGATGTCGCCACCGTGCAGCTGACATACTAAAATTGAGTCAGTATCAAGCCGGCGAGGAGGAGGAGAACGATACGTACACTTGCGGGAGATGAAAAGGCCAAGTCCAGAACCCCCATACTTCTCCTGTGTTTTCGGGGTTGCTTGCCTGAACCTCTCAAAAAGCTTGGCCTGGTCCTCTCTGCCAATACCTATGCCCGAGTCCTTAACGGCTACCATGATGTAAAAGGGTTCGCCGTTGCCCCACTCCGAGGACTTGGTGGAGTCAATGTGAAAAGTTTCCTTATCTTGGCCAAAGTAGATGACGTTTGGTGGGTAGGATGTCGGGCGCTCTTTCGAAGCCCCCATGGAGACTGTTATTTTCCTATCGCCCTTTTTCCTGGATGTGAACTTTACAGCATTTGTTATCAGGTTTACCAACACTAGTCAAGTCAGTGAATGCTTCCTGGCCGAATCATGCTCATTACCTTGCTTCATCCTGTTGAGATCTGCAATGATGTGATCGACTTCAAGATCATCGTACGAGATATCCATCGCGTAATGAAATTTGATACTCTTTGCTTTGAACTCGGACTGGAAGACCCTGAGTGATTGGGAGAACTCCCATTTAGGACGTACAACTGCACTGGTCAGTAATCATGCCATGCACGTATCGACTTTGAAGATGGACAAACCACGGGGCACCAGAGATAGCATCATAGAGTCTAGTTTAGAAAAAGAGAGGATGTCGTCGACAAGAGTGTTTTGATGCGAGACGCAAAGCAGTATCGTGTCAGCAGCATCCATGATATCTGATACCTGGTCCTTGATGTCTTCGTGGCTAGAGCCTATTTCGCGCACAACGTCTTTGACCTCTTCGGCTAGATGCATGACAGCACTGAGCGGGTTACGGATTTCGTGTGAGACCATATCAATGAACCGCTCCTGTTGTTCTTTCCTTTCCTGGGCTTCGGTAGCGGCTTTTTCTTGAGCCAGCTGGGCTTGTTTGATCTCAGTAATATCCACGACAGCACAAATAAAGCCGGCTTCCGGGTCTTCGTTCAATGGTCGGAATAAGAATAGCCTCCACTCGCCTTCTTCGCCTGTGGCCTCACTCGTGCATCGGAATTCGATTCTAAGGTCTTCTCGACGGGAAAAGGCCTTGCGATAAGCAGACATGACTCGGTCGTAATCGCTTGGGTGTATGCTCTCGGGCCAGGCGCGGAACTCGTTTGCCATTTTGTTTGTTGTGAGCTTGAAAAAGCCATCGTTCACGAAAATAGCTTCGAGTTCCTTGTCAAGGATCGCAAGTCCGTTAGGCAGTAATTCGGCAAACCGTTGAAACAGTTGTGTCTGCATCGCATCGACCTTCTCACCAGACTTGCTTGCATCTTTTTTCTTGTTGCTGGATTTGCTGTTGTTCTTCCTTGTCGGGTTTTGTGAGGCCAGTTTATCGAGACCTTCGAGCGCTGTGTATTTTTCGACGGTGTTCTTCTGCATGAGTTGTGCCAGCACTCCTTGTCGACTCCCCTTTTCGTCAAGCAGGGTACTAAGCAGTAACTGCGAGTCGCCTTCTCCCTCAGGGATGTTGTCTAGAAAGAACTTTGCATCTGTGTTCGTGATATGAGACAATATCCTTGACTGAATAGGTGAAGTTTCGTGACTTACCTACCTTGATGGTCCTGCCGCGCACTACACGCTGTAAGGTACTGAGAGCCTCTGCTTTGTACGTTTGAAGTGCGCTTGTGCCTTGCCCATCCAATCTACCCCGTGCGTTGCACCATGCCGTATTTGCGATGACAGTAAGGTCGCTACCCCCAAAATATGGCGCTGCAGTGCGTCATGGGTAGAACGCAAGAGTTGACGAGACATTTGAGCGCCAAAGACCAGGACTCGTGCGGTCCGACGGGAGTCTTTGACCTGCTGCGCGTTAGCTAGAAGCGCCTGGTAGGGCGCCGATCGTACCAGTCAACATCTGACATGGCCTCCGAATTGACATCGAAGGGCATGAAGGCGTCCATGGTTGCTATGCAGCCACGTCGTGGGTAGGGCTTCAGACAGTCGACAGATGCAAGAGGACCGCGGAATCCACCGTTGACGTCATGGGGGTTGTCGAGTTTCTAGAGTGATTCGCAGCTTCGAAAGAACAGCGTGCCTTGCGCCAAAGTCACAAGAAGGATTCAGGGACAGGTCTAGACTCCACGCCCGCCGAAAGCCGAGGAAAACCTGGACGATCGACTCGTGATAACTTTCAAGTGTGGTTAGTGCACGAAGTCCACCGCTGTCAGATCGAGATTGTAGCGGCAATCGACTAATTCTTACTACCCCAAATTTCAGCCGCTACAGCACGTGTGGTGTAACACCATTGAGAAGCTGATGTCGTAGGGCTGGCGGGCCAGGGACTTGACTGAATAAGATCGACAGTCGGCTCCTGGTCGGTTGAGGAAACACTCAGGAACGACATCGACGATCAACATTCGGCGAAATCGGCAGCAACATCCCAATGCGTATGCAGGCGCAAGCTGTCCGGCTAATGACAAGATGCATGCTGCAGGTGGACAGTGCCCTTGCTGAACAGATCAGGCGAATTTGGCTGTGATTTGATGGTAGAAGCCACTAAGACAGTGTTACAGTTGTGCGTAGGCATCGTCAGACGTAGGGACAACGTCGGGTAGGCAGAACATCATACGTCATCAATCCCAGCACTCAGTTATTCAACGCCACGAAGCTTGCGCACACGACTGTGACCCAAGATCTAGCAACCTGTATACCAAATACACCATACAGACAAGTGTGTGCCAAAGGAGTACCATACACAAACATACCATTCACCGTCTCGAGTGTCAAGACCCACGGATTGCAGGCCGTAGTAGTGCCGAATAACCTCAGAGAACTGGGCTGTACAAGAATCCATTTCAAACACACCTCTTCAATCGAGTGACAGCGCACCCTTTTAGAACTAAGGGTCTAAAATGCTACGCTGTCCAATAACCCCAAATAATGCGTCTTTCTGGCTTGGCGTGTTTTGCCAGTGTGGGGCGAGCAAATCTCATCCGTGTGTAGAAGTCTGGGGATTGTCATTGTGCACCAGAGGTCGCCTATAGTCAACGGTCTCTCCCGTCCCCGATACTATTTATTGCATACCATGAGGCTTATACAAGACGTGGGGTCAATGATCAGCAGCGCATTCGTAGCCTCGCGAGGCTTTGCATGCTGTCCAAGAAGAGCTTGCGCGTCGTCCTCTGAGCCATTCACACCCCGCGTGACCACACCAGACGCGCCCTTGGAGTCGAGCTGTCCTAGGTGCCAACACAGCCGCACAGATTCCGCATACGTAGAGCCTTGCCTAGCGCCTCTCGGCTGCTTCGGCTAGCGGCACTTGTCAACTCGGGCATTACAGTAGGTAGGTAAGTACCCTTCCAGCATATCTTGAAACATGCAGAACAATGCGCATTACTTGCCATACTCAAGGATTCGCTGTCAATGAAAGTCTTCAGCAGTTGCAAACAGTGTCTTGTTCCTGGCGGCGAGACATCGCACGGCCACACCTGCCTCTTGTTTCGGTGACTACAAAGCCGCTAATCTTCACGTCCAAGCATACCTAATTTGACCGACGGTACCCAAGCGTTTGCGCAACAGGACGGTCTACGAAATCCGCTCTTGGTGCACTTGGCGATGACATGGGGACTGATGTTGATCATAGGGTAGATTTATATATAAATGAACTCAACCTACAGTTTGACAGATCATCATCACACCGAGCAATCAGCCAACAAAACGTTTTACTGCATCAGTTCAAATCATTATACCACGAACCACAATGCTCTTCCAGAAGCTCGCCATTGCTACTGCTCTGACCGCCCTTGTTGCGGCTCAAGAGATAGACCAGGACGATATCCCCCAACAGTGCACGCAAGTATGCGCAGAGGTTGTGACCATTGCCCGTGACTGCGACAGACAATCGAGTATGTAGCGAATCAACGCTTAATCGACATCTGCTAACATGACTTTCAGACGACAATGCTGAGATTCAGTGCATTTGCCGCGCCAACAATGCCAACACACTACTTCCCGCTTGCGATGCTTGCGTCCAGCAGTACGACCGCGACTTGGACGACGACAACGATAGGAACGACAACGACGTTCGCGAGATTCTCAGAAGCTGCAACTTCTCAGTCCAGAGTACCTTCACGTTGTCCAGTGGTGGCACCGCCGCTGCTACGGCGCTGCCTTCTCTCTCTGCTACCCCAACAGCAGGCAATACCTTCGTCAATGCCCAGACATCTGTAAATGCAGCAGCTACTACAGCTGCCGGTTCGCAAATCTCTCAAAATGCTGCGCCCGCTGTTACTGCCGCGGCTGGTATGGCCGGTATGGGACTTGGTGCACTTGGACTCGCACTTGGTATGATCTAAATGTTCTGTGCAGTAGAGGATTGGATGAGGGCATGGATCATCCAGATTCTACAAGATTACGACCATTTCAAGGGCTCCTGTTCGTATCGGCGTACCTGTATATACCCACTCTCGCTATAGTATTTTGTTTCTACAAGTCTGTATTTGATGGACTGAAGATGTACATAGCGAATACCAAGGACATTTCACCCTCCCATTATGCTCCAATGATATTACCGTAACCAAAAGTGGCCCCGTTTCGATTTCGCTGAATGACCATCCTATCGATATGTACATGGCCGAAACGAAAGCTTATCGGTCCGCTCTTCGGCCAAACCCCTGGTGAGTGGCATTTGTAGTCTTCATTTCAAGTAATGATTGTCATATTTGTGTATATGACATCACTAGACAACCGTGACTCAATGCAAGAATAAGGCCGGATGATAGGGGGATATTCTTCTTCGCGTGTCAAGGACAACAAGTTGAGCAGATGACCGCCTAGGTTAAGCTCTTGCCGACGGCCTTAACCATGGTGTGAGCTCAGAGGGAAGAGCTCCGTGATGGGCTACTGCCGGATATGAATCCGTGTGTTGCTGCGTTCCGACCGCACCGCCAATTTTTACGTTCTTGAGATGTACACAAGATGTGCAGTGGAATCGCCAGAGAGAAAACTAGTACTCGACTTGGACCGGAGCGCCTCAGCATAGTTAAGTAGCCAGTACTTAACACTGACGAGATGGAAACGAAGGTGCAGGACAATACAGTCCAACTTCTTGCGCTGTAACTGAACGTCTTGCTGCTCTCACCTAGACAGACTGAAAGTATTTCTACTGTTAGCTACTCAAACATGGTAACAGTGCTCGTTTATCCGATTTAGAACAGAAAAACAATGCATGTAACATGCACGTACATAGCAGACGACGAAGTATGTAAACGGTCTGGAGCGGTGGTGCTAAAGCCGAGGTGCACTCGCGCAGGGATCGCGTTCCGGTCTAACCGCTTCTCGATGTTTCCAGCAAATTTCTAAGAACATCGTCGAACTGCAGCTATCAACTCCGCAATCCTCCTCACCTCTTTCGCAACCTCATCTCTTCCTCGTCATCTTGCATTAGGCTGGAGTCTGGGAGCAAAGCTTGAGAATCCTTTCCCGAATACACATCCAATTCCTTCACAATGCAGAGAGCTTTTACCGCCCGCGCGCGGACTTCCGCTTTGAAGTCGAGCGCTAGGAGCTTCAACCTCCAGCAGCAGAGGTTCGCCCACAAGGTAAGACATTGCAACCGTCGCGCATGGCTCGCCTCAAGCTTCAGCAATTGACAATGACAACAGGAGCTCAAGTTCGGCGTCGAGGGACGCGCTGCCCTGCTCAAGGGTGTCGACACAATCGCCCGCGCTGTAGCAACAACACTCGGTCCTAAGGGTCGCAACGTCATCATCGAGTCCAGCTACGGCTCGCCCAAGATCACAAAGGGTATGTCACAACGAAAAGAGGCATTGGCTGCCAGCGACTGATAGATTTAGATGGTGTAACCGTCTCCAAGGCCATCACGCTGGAGGACAAGTTCGAGAACCTCGGTGCTCGCCTTCTCCAGGACGTCGCCTCCAAGACCAACGAGGTCGCCGGTGACGGTACCACAACTGCCACCGTTCTCGCCCGCGCCATCTTCTCTGAGACCGTCAAGAACGTTGCCGCCGGATGCAACCCCATGGATTTGAGGCGCGGTACCCAGGCCGCTGTTGAGGCCGTCGTTGAGTACCTGCGCGCAAACAAGAAGGAGATCACCACCAGCGAGGAGATCTCTCAGGTCGCTACTATCTCTGCCAACGGCGACACACACATTGGCAAGCTCCTCTCCAACGCAATGGAGAAGGTTGGCAAGGAGGGTGTCATTACCGTCAAGGAGGGCAAGACCATCGAAGATGAGCTCGAGATTACCGAGGGCATGAAGTTCGACCGTGGTTACATCTCCCCCTACTTCATCACTGACACCAAGAGCTCCAAGGTCGAATTCGAAAACCCCCTGGTTCTCCTCTCCGAGAAGAAGATCTCTGCTGTCCAGGACATCATCCCCGCTCTTGAGGCCTCTCAGCAGCAGCGCCGTCCCCTTCTCATCATTGCCGAGGACATTGAGGGCGAGGCTCTTGCCGTCTGCATTCTCAACAAGCTCCGTGGCCAACTCCAGGTCGCCGCCGTCAAGGCTCCCGGCTTTGGTGACAACCGCAAGTCCATCCTTGGCGATCTTGCTGTCCTGACCAACGCTACCGTTTTCAGCGATGACCTCGAGATCAAGCTCGAGAAGGCCACTGCCGACATGTTCGGTGCGACTGGTGCCGTCACAATTACCAAGGAGGACACAATCTTCCTGAACGGCAGCGGCAGCAAGGATGCCGTTGCTCAGCGTTGCGAGCAGATCCGTGGCGTTATGGCCGACCCCTCCACCTCTGAGTACGAGAAGGAGAAGCTCCAGGAGCGTCTCGCCAAGCTTTCTGGCGGTGTTGCCGTGATCAAGGTTGGTGGTTCCTCTGAGGTTGAGGTCGGTGAGAAGAAGGATCGCATCGTCGATGCTCTGAACGCCACCCGTGCTGCTGTTGAGGAGGGTATCCTTCCCGGTGGTGGTACTGGTCTCCTCAAGGCCTCGGTCAACGCCCTCAACAATGTTAAGGCCGCCAACTTCGACCAGCAGCTTGGTATCACAATCGTCAAGAATGCCATTACCCACCCTGCCCGCAAGATCGTCGAGAACGCTGGCGCCGAAGGCTCCGTCGTTGTCGGTAAGCTTACCGACGAGTTCGCTAGCGATTTCAACATGGGTTACAACAGCGCTGAGGGCAAGTACGTCAACATGATCGATGCTGGTATCCTTGACCCCTTCAAGGTTGTCCGTACTGCACTTGTCGATGCCAGTGGTGTTGCTTCCCTTCTCGGAACAACCGAGGTCGCAATTGTTGAAGCACCCGAGCCACGCGGCGCTGGTGGTCCTGCTGGTGGAATGGGCATGGGCGGCGGCGGCATGGGCGGCATGATGGGAGGGATGGGAATGTAAGAAAAGGCGTGTCTGACTGACCGTCCCTTCGATTCTCACCCCTCTTCTCTATACCCTCTTTAGTACTCAGGTCATTCCCAGCGACGGTTCATGTACACGATATTGGGTTGGTACTCCGCTCTTGTTCTCCCCTGTCTTCATAATTACTTGTACGAAAAGCGCAGCATTTGTTTGGGATAGTTGTACGATATCACGTGTATTTAGAAGGAATCCTGGGAAGGACAAGATGTAAAAGTGACCACGGAAATGTAAACAAGTTCAAATGTATTCTCATGAATCACTCTGATGACTACAAAGTTGCGGTTTAGCAGAAGGATCACTTACATATAGCTCAGCAAAGGACTGACTCTGACGTTAAGGACTCAAGGACTTGTGCGGTGTCTACATGGCTCAAATCGCACGGAGACCTACTGTTGCATATGAAGACTCCTCTTATTACTAGATATATCCACACCAAAGCAAGTTTTATGGACTTGGCCTTGCTCAAGCCTCAGCGGCCGCCTTGCCATGAGTACACAAGGAAGAAACACCGTGACGTCGCTGGTATATGTGAAGTGGTGACTATTTAGACCTAGCAGGCGGATGCACAACGATGCATTAAGAGCAGTATAGAGCTGAAGTCTCAGAGTCCTGGGCTCTGCTTTGGACAAGGATGCCAGCTCCAGCAATCAGCGAGGCGCATCGTTGCTGGGGCGTCGGTGTGCCGCGCCTGCCTTGTTGCAGCGCCTGCCCCTCCAGCAATGCCCCACACTTTTCCCGACTACTCAGCCCATCTTTCCCGGACTTCTCTCACTTACACGTTTCCTCCACTCTCTCCAATTGACGTAAGTAGCTTTCTCCCAGCTTCAGGCAGCCGCTGAAGCGCTGCAATGTTGCGCCTGCCTTGCGCAGCCGATGACGAATACGCTGACAGGCAGCACAGATAAAGCCCTCCTCCCCTAATCCACCTCCCCCACCACACACAACACATCATGGTAGGTCCCCAATGAATCTCGAGCCACAATACATAGCGCTAACACAACGTGAATAGGCTCAGTCCGGGTATGTACGAACATTCATGCACCTCGACCCTTGACAGCTGCGGATGGGCGCCCCTCACGTTCTCCGCGCGCATGTCTGCACCCCACACCGCCCTATCCACGTTGTCGCCCCGCGCCCTTCGCTAACACAACCACTTCAGTGTTTCCGTCGCACCCGAGTGCATTAGCGCCTTTAACGAGCTCAAGCTCGGCAAGGATATCAAGTGGATCATCTACAAGATCAGCGACGACTGGAAGGAGATCGTTGTTGAGGAGTCTTCCAAGGAGGCTGACTGGTCTGTGTTCCGCGAGAAGCTCCTCAACGCCAAGAGCAAGGACCGCAAGGGCAAGGAGGGTATTGGCGGCCGTTACGCCGTTTTCGACGTCGAGTACGAGCTTGAGAACGGCGAAGGCACACGCTCCAAGATCACTTTCATTTCGTGGACCCCCGATGATGCGCCGCAATACGTAAGTCTTGGACTTTTCTCACGATATCAGAGCATACACTCACATTGTGAAGCCCCGCATGATGTACAGCACCTCCAAGGAGGCTATCAAGCGTGCCCTCAACGGTCTTGCCGCCGACATCCAGGCTAACGACGCCGACGATATCGAGTTCGACAGCATCAAGTCTCGCGTCTCTAAGGGCCGATAAGCGTGTCGCTCGGTATTTGTCGATTTCGCGCACCCAAAAGCAAGCATTAGGGTGATTTGTGTTTTGGCGACGACTATAACGAAATGAACCAAGTTTGCGATTTGGTACAGGAAGCGGTCTAGCGACCTGGTTTAGTCCTGTAGCGAGAACGCAGTGGCGGACAAGTGATGGTGTACAGCGCTCGATATGTCTGTTGCCAGACCACTCGAGGTCTGGCAACGATGACTCGGCGAAATATCACAGATGAAAGACGTTCAAACTATCCACCCGCATGAAGTGACGTGATTTGTTCATTGGGCCGTTGGGTCACTCCCACTTCGCAATATCTTAGCGATTACCTATCAGCCTCCCAAGCCTGCCTGAACACGCTCACCAGCCTATCCCCCTCTTGCTCATCCTTTATCCGCTGCAAGACAAAGTTCTTCAGATCCCCCCAGAATTCCTCAGTAGCCACAACCTCTTTCCCGCTAGGCCCAACCGCTGCTGCCCCTCCCGCAGCACCCATGTTCGCTCCAGCATTAGCACCAGCCAACCCCTTATCACTCTCGCTCGGTGCAACGGCTGCAGGGCTCTGTACAGGCGACTCTGCGCTCGGCGTCGAAGCACCCGCCGTTGCGCCGCCCATGACCATAACGCTGAACTCAACGTCGTTGCCTGCATCCGTACCAATAACCTCCGAAACAAGCTTGGAATCTGTGACAGGCTTCTTCTTATACAGAATCTTGATCTTCGCAGCGGGTATGCTAGTACTGCTTGCGTACTGCGATTTGAGATCGTAGACAGAAGTCTTGCTGGGGTCAACGGCGGATAGAGGGAGTGTTGGATTCGTGGGCTTCATCGGCTTCAGGGAGATGTTGATTGTGGCTGTTGAAGCGTTGGCGGCGGTCTTGGGGTTGGGGCGCTGGGGGTGGCCTTGCGGGAGACGGGGCAGGATGGGCTGTGGTGTGTTAGTCGCAATGAAAACAGGTAGTCAGAAAGAGACATACAACGCCCATCGCCGAGTAGGTTCGCGCATCTGATACATAGTCGGAAGAGAGCTTGACGGGGCGAGAATCGATTGCGCCGAGGAACGTCTTGCAGAAGGTGACTTCGGACATGATGGAGAGGATGTCGCGGGAAAGTGGTAGCCGATCGGGCAACGTATGAGGTAATGGTTTAGGATAATAACACTCGATGCCACGCTATGCAATATCAAGAGCTCCGCGCAATGTGTAGGTGTTGACAGCTTGGTCGGCGATGACATCGTCGCTTCCATCTGCGGGCGGGGCTAGTGCGCTGCTAGCGCGGCAGAATCGGGCGGTGAACTAAATTTCCAGAGCTGGAGTTCGAACTTTTGCTTTGCAGTCGAAACACCTTATTTCATTCCGTCTTCCCTGTGCAATTTTACGACCGCAAAAATGGGTGGCATGAGAGGAAAGAACAAGCAGGGTCCGCCCGAGCCCCTCGACGAATCGCTCGTCACCCGCAAGAGGAAGGATTACGAGGCGCCCGCGCCGAAGGAGCAGAAGAGGAGGAGAACAGACGCAAAGGCTAAAGCTAAGGCCAAGGCTGCGCCTGTATCCAAGAAGGCTGCTGCTACAACTGCTGCTGCTAAGAAGAGCGCAGCAAAGCCTATTAAGGCTGCTAAGCCTGCGAAGAAGTCTGCGCCGCCGCCAGAATCAGACGACGAGGACGACTTTTCAGACTTGTCAGAAGGAGGCGATGACCTTGACGCAATGGTAGACGTAGCGGATATTGCGAGAGTCAGTGGACTTGATGCGCTCGGTAGCGCTTCAGAAGACGACAGCGAGATCGACGACGACGATTTCGACTCAGACGTGGAGACCAATGGCAAGAAAGCAATGTGGTCGGATGACGAGGACGATGAGGAAGTTCAGGAACAGCTCACAGCAGCCAACATTGAGGGTCTGTCGCGGAAGTTGGACATGCAGCGTGCAATTGAAGAGGCTGAAGCGGCAGCCGAACTCGAGGAGGCAAACTTGCAGACTAACATCGCGCCCGAGGACCGACCAAAGGTGCTGGATGACGAGGAGGATGAAGAAGGCCGTAAAATTTCGAACCTGGTCACCCAGGATATTCAGCTTCTGCGAACACGACTCAACGACACCATCCGCGTGCTTGATGACTTCAAGAACTTAGGTGAGACCGGTCGCAGCAGGGCTGAATACCGCGCGCAGCTGTTGAACGACATCTGCTCGTACTACGGCTACTCCGAGTTCCTCGCAGACAAGCTCCTCAGTCTGTTCCCTGCCCGCGAGGCCTTCGCTTTCTTCGAAGCTAACGAGACGCCCCGACCCATTGTCATCCGTACCAACACCCTCCGCACACATCGTCGCGAGCTCGCACAATCCCTCATCAACCGTGGCGTGCAGCTTGAGCCCGTCGGCAAATGGTCCAAGGTCGGTCTGCAGATTTTCGACGCACAGGTACCGCTCGGTGCCACTCCCGAGTACTTGGCTGGTCACTACATTCTGCAGGCAGCTTCTTCGTTCCTTCCCGTCATGGCCCTCGCACCCCAAGAGAACGAGCGCGTGCTTGATATGGCAGCTGCCCCTGGCGGTAAGACAACGCATTTGGCTGCGCTTATGAAGAACACTGGATGCATCTTCGCCAACGATGCCAGCAAAGAGCGTTCCAAGGGTCTGATCGGTAACATCCACCGTCTGGGTGTGCGAAACGCCATTGTGTGCAACTACTCTGCGCTTGAATTCCCCAAAGTTATGGGCGGTTTCGATCGTGTGTTGCTCGATGCGCCTTGCTCTGGTACTGGTGTCATTGCAAAGGATGCTAGCGTCAAGACCAACAAGACTGAGGCCGATTTCATGAAGCTTCCGCACTTGCAAAAGCAGCTGCTTCTCTCAGCTATTGACTCTGTCGACCACCACAGCAAGACCGGCGGTTATATTGTGTACTCGACATGTTCCGTTACTGTAGAAGAGAACGAGCAAGTCGTTCAGTATGCACTGAACAAGCGCCCGAATGTCAAGCTTGTCGAGACAGGCCTTACATTCGGTAAGGAGGGTTTCACGAAGATCGGCGGCAAGATCTTCCACCCCTCTATGAAGGTACGATTCCTTAGAGCGCTTCTCATATGTGCAATCGCTAACTGCTTTCCAGATGACCAGGAGATACTACCCCCACACTTACAACGTGGATGGTTTCTTCGTTTCCAAATTCAAGAAGATCGGTCCCACACTCCCTACCGCCGTCGGCGCCAACCGTTCCGCCAACGGTCAGCCCTCCACTTCTACAGCAGGCCAGGACGAGTACGTCGACAAGACACCTATCTTGACTGAGGAGGAGGAAGAGGCGGACGACTTCGGTGGCTTCGACGAGGACGAAGATCGCGCGTACATGGAGCGCGGTCAGGCAAGAGATGCACGCCGCAAGGGCAGAGACCCCAAGGCAGACCCGAGCAAGGCTACAAAAGAGGCGAAACCTAAGGAGAAGAAGGGAGGTGGTAAAGAGGTCGCAGCTAAGGAGACGGCCACTTCGCCAAGCCCCGCAAAGGCTGGTAAGGCGAAGGCTGCGAAGACAGCCGAGGTAGAACAGGTGGCTGAGATCATCGCTGCCGACGTCAAGGTCAGCAAGAAGGATGGCAAGGGCAAGAAGGCCGGCAAGACCGAGAGCGCTGTTGCGGTCGCTGAGGTCACGCCCGTAAAGAACGTCACTGAAAAGAAAAAGGCGAAGGTCGAGGCTGCGGCGTCGCCCAAGGCCAACGGTGCCGAGAAGAAGGCGCGGAGAAAGAGCGGAGATAAGAAGATGAAGGCCTAGATTTTTTGCTGTTTTGATGTTTCGTGTAGGTAGTAGATACCACTGTCGAAAGTGGCTCTTAGTACCATCTTTTACTCTGAGTATGTTCGTGGGTGCCTTGATCAATTTTTGTTGCTTCTGTCGAACAATGTTTGTCGGCTGCTTGTACGCGTAAAGTAAATTCGGCGGGCAAAGACTGGTCATCTATGTATTAAATCATCCAACTAGGCTTTCTGGATTTGAACACCTCACAAGGGCTTTGGCTGAAGTGACTTAGTACTGGGTTTGACTCCTTGAAGACGATTTGGCGTTCCTAGCAAAGATAGATATCATGTTCCTCAACCTCCCAATCTATCCAGTCCTTGAAGTCCTCGGTACCAAAGAGACCCCAATATGTGGTGTATGTAGTATACAAAGCCGCAGCTTTAGCTTCAGCTACCTCGGACCGAAATCCTTGAATATATGCAGGCCCGACGAATTGGTAAGGACCACCTGTTTCAGAGGCTCTGAGTACGCAAGGATACACACACCCGAACAATATCCCGCAAATATCCCCTTGGCGAGCAGCAAGTGGTGCGAAACCCATGTATCCGCGTTTGGTGAGCATGAAATTTTTATTCTGTGCATTGTTTCGAATCCACTCATGCACATAGGCCAGTTTTCTTTGGTGCTCAGCGTCTCCGGTCCAACCGAAGGCTCCACTATGTGCCGAAGACTGATGTACGTACAGTTCACGCACAAAGGCGCGTGTGCACAGATCCCACTCGACCGGGTTGCCTCTGCAAAAGTCCCTGGTAAGAATTGTGAGGAAAGCTCGAGCCGGAAAGGCACCATAACAGGCTGTGTGGTGGGAGTAAGCGCTCACACGAAGCCAAAGACAGAGTATGAACTCCGGTGTGATTAGTGCGGCTTCGAGAGGCTCTGTTACAAACTCAATTAAGTCAAACAGAACTCCATGAACCTTCAGAAGCTCATTATCAACGACTTCTGGTTTGCGTGTGAGTCCAGTCCTGGAGAGTAGGTTAGGCGTGTCGAGGTGCTCGCTCGATTCATTGGATCCTTTGTCTGCCTCGACTGCATCCCAAGTTGGGACCCAGGTGGGCAGACCATCTGGCAGGAATTTTGTGTCGCGTACAATGTAGTCCAATATTGAGATGTCATTGGTGGTCCGAAGGTATTGTGTGGCAAATGCACGGAAGGCTTCATGATTCGACTGTCCATAATCCGCCCTCAATCGCAGGTTACTTGCGGAGTCAATGGCAAGATCGGAAAAGGCATATATGCTGTCCCGGCGGTCTTTGAACTGTAAACATTTTCCGATGAACATGTAGTCTAGCAAACGGTTTGGTTGCCAGGTGGACTGTTCAAAGAAGACTTTGGCAACATTGTTGTGTCGATCATAATACGCGTCTATATGGGCTCTGAGAGGGTAGTGCGACGATGGTAGAGAATCTATGGTGACTCTTCTACCGCACAACCAAAATACCACCCACATCAGGTCGGTCCAGGTGAATTCGCTGGCGCCCCAGGCCACCAAACATTCACGAGCCAGGCCTGCTTCTCGTACGACCCAGCCTCTCTTGAACCAAGGCAAGCGAAGGAGTATTTCTAGGGAGTGCCATCGTTCGTCTCCCAATACTGGATCATTCAGTGATGGATACGAGATCAAGTTCCATCCGAGTTTGTCGAACTTTGCTAGCTCACGGTCGAACGAGCTGCGCATATCCTTTAGTAACGAGCAAACTTGTGGCGCGTGGTAGGAAGGATCAAGACCCATGTACAGAATTACACGCTGTGCCTTTGCATATATTTGGCCCATGTTTGCCACCTGATGGGACTTCTCTTCTGCATCTTCTTGATGAACACAGATTGAGTCTGCCCATAGTCTCCTTGCAGCGGAAGGATATCGCAGCCTTTGGAGAGCATTATGCAAATTTTGGGTGATACTGAGTTTGCGCCCGTCGCATGAAACAACGTGATCTCTGACTTCAGTCCCCCATACATATGATATAGCCTCATAGTCTGTGTCTGCCACGAGTGTGGTGTGGAGACTACACTTTAGTGGTTCGGTGCCGGAGCCAGGCTGAAGCAAGAGGTAGCGAAAAAACTCTCCTGGGGGTATTGTGTCGTACTGGTATGATTCATCTGACCCATTACATGTCAAAGCTTGCATGGTGTAGTCAGGATACGGTTTCTTGTATAGCGCAACGCAGATAGGGATGACCACGAGTGGGGTAAAATCATTAGCTTGATCCGTTTAGCCCGAAACCTGATATGGGATAGTTTTGTCTTCGTTGATATCCCTCGAAATCTGCGCGCGAATCTGTTTTCAAATCAGACGAATGATTTGTTCTTTGACATCCCACTCCAGCCAGTCTTTGCTATGATCGAGCCCAAAATAGGTAAAGACTGTGGAGTTCAATAAAATCCTCGGCTCTTTACCTGCCATCCTGACAGAGCCTAGATAGATATGCATGTCAACAGATTCACTCTTGCGGAGTAAGCATGGAGAGGAACACCCAAAGACAATCGCACACAAGTCTCTTTTCTGTGTAACAGCAGGCGCTACGCCTATATATCCACGTTCGGTGACAATGACTCTCTTGCCACTTGTTGCTGATGAAATGAAGCCATGGAAGGTAGTGGACTCGAGCGTGGCGACCTCGTCGGCGTCTACCTCGATCTTGCCCGTCTCCTGCATCTGGGTGTGAAGGACTGTGAAGATGTTGATATATTTCTTACGGAAAGTATACCACGCATGGATCTCGCCGACAAAGCTCAAAGCTGCTAGCGTGTCAAAAAGTTGTTCAAGTAGATGCGTGGTCGGATAGGGCGATTCAGAGATTGACTTGTACACCGCTGTCCACAATTCGAACAACACTACCAATGTTGTCGTTTTGCTCTGCAAGACGTTGGAAGTCCATTGCACGGAGCCAAGAATGACTCCATCGACTTCGAGGGTAGTGCCATTGAGCAATTTCGGATTGGACGTCTGCTTCGTACGTGACAGCAAAGGAGGATTGTTTTCGTCTGCCGCCACGAAACCTGTGACATCTTTCTCCTCTTTGCTCCAGTCTGGTACCCAGCTCATCAGTGTCGACTCCGACAAGCTGTCGTCGTGCTTGACATAATGTAAGATGTCCACCTTCCCTGTCGTATATACGTATTGAATCGCAAAATCCCGGTAGACTTTCATTGGCGGATCTGCGTAGTTCGGTATAATGCAGAGTTCGCGCACCGAGTCTTCTGCAAGATCAAGAAATGCGTATATCCGATCCCGAGGGTCTTTCAAGCGCAGAGCCCTGGCGAAGTGGAGATAGTTCAGGAGTGAACATGCTTTCCAACTGCTTTTATGATAGAAGATACGTATTGCGTCTTTATGAAGAGCCTCGTACGCTTCGAGATGAGATCTGAAGCGGTCTTCTGCCTGGATTGTGATACTCGTTACAGCTCTTCGATGCCTCCAGACAAGGGCCTGCATCAAGTCATTCCAGAGGAACTCAGTCTGTCCCCATAACACGAGCGCTTGTCGCGCAAGACCTGCTTCTCGAACTACCCAACCTCGGTGAAACCACTCTTGCTCAACGAGAGCATTAATAGAAGCCCACCGAGAGTCATTCAGAAGGGGAGCTTTCGAGTCTGAATATGGGAATGTATTCCACATGGCTGATTCACGATTACGGAAAACCAATGATTTTTGCTTGGAGCCCTCGGTCGCATGAACGAGTCCGGCGTTGATCATCTCGCGAATGTCTTGAAGCAATGCAAGCACATTAGGGCCATGCTCCTCCCTGTCAGCTCCCATGCAGATCATAACACGTTCTGCGTTACAATAAATCTGTCCCATGATGGTAACTTGGCGGCTCTTCTCCTGCAAATCCTCCTGGTTGATGCAAATCGAGTCCGCCCAGATGTTCCGTGGGGCATCTGTCAGCCTTACTCGCTGAAGCACTTGGTGAAGATTGGAGGTGATTTTCAAGATGCTGTTATCGCACATGATTTCATGGTCTCGCACATCAGTCCCCCAGACATATGAGAGCGATTCATAGCGAGCCTCGTTGATGTTCGAAGTATGGAGGCTGCATCTGAGCGGGTCGCTGTTGGCACCAGGCAGGAGAATGAGGTAGCGGAAACAGTCTGCAGGAAGCTCATCATATGTGTATGCGTCCATGGTTGAGTAGATACTCCTTTTGGGATTGATGACTTTCAAGGTTCAGATCACGGACAAATTGGTTGGAATATCGTGTTTCAACAATCTGCGATAGTCAATTCGTAAGAGCAATAGGCCCCGACTGGAACTTGCCAGTCACCAAAATCTTGATTCTTGTTGTGAACTGTTCGAGTTGTCAGTGTGTGACTGCGATCGCAATGTGAAGGAAAGGGAGGGGTTGCCTTTGAGAATGCGCCTTTCCTCTTAAGGACTAGATCCGACCGCACTTCACACCACCTTTCTTCCTTTTCGCAATCTCCCTTGTCAAAGAAGCGACTGGACGGCCTTTGAAAATGCTCGCAATTGTGATACTAATTCTGAGAGAAAGGTTTGATTGTGCGCCCTTCATGATGTTTGCTATGACGCTGCACAACAGAGCCCTTGGTTGTCATAGTCGTTTCGCTACCAGGTACCACGAGATAGATTCAGCGTCTATATGTACGAGATCTCGTCTCGCTGCTAGAAGTGCTACTGATACCGCTGCTACTATCGCTATCCTGGTCACTGCCACTCCTGCTATCCTGTTCGCTGCCACTCTCGCTGCTCTGATTACTGCCACTTTCGGTGTCTTCCTCGCTGCTACTTTCGCTGACCTGATCACTACCACTCTCACTGCTTTGAAAACTGCCACTCTCGCTGTTCAGATCGCTTTCCCAATCGCTATCACTCTCGCTTTCCATGTATCTGCTGCCTTCGCTGACGCTCTCGCTATAAGCCTCGCTGTGAGCCTCGCTAATAGTATCCACGCGGTCTTTCGCTCCAGTTCTATCGCGGCTTCTACTTCTCTCTTTCTCATCGCGCTTCTCTCGTCGCCCAGATGCAGAACTATGGGGACGTTGCGTTCGTTCGCGCTGTCCCGACTTACCTTGAACGTCTCGTTCTCTGACTTTGCTTCTACGATGCCTGTCCCCTCCTCGCGCCTGCCAATCGTGTGTGGCTCCATCTCGCTCTCCGTCAGCGTGCCTCTCTCGTCGTTCAGTTGACCTCTCTCGTTGCCCGCATGATATCTCCCGTCGATCAGCGGGTCTCTCCCGTCGCTCGGCTGGCCTCTGTTGTTGTTGTTGCTCGATTGGCCTCTCTTGCTCAATACGTCTCCCCCGTCGGTCAGTTGGCCTTGGTAGATGCCCACCGTGTCTGTATCGTCGCTCAGCTGTAGAAGCATAAGCATGTAGCATTTGTTGACATCATTCTTTCTGACATACCTCGAATGTCGTCAGATATTCCGTCATTCCTCCTACGATGCCTGTCACTTTCTCGTGGCCACTCACAATCAGCTCTCCGAGATCTATGCGCAGGCCATTCGTCATAATGCTCTTCATCATATGCGTCTTGTCCATACCCTCGCCCGACCTTCCGAAAGACAATCACTTCAGGGTCCTTGTTGTTAGATTTGGCCTTGCGGCGAGTTACTTTTCGGTTGGCGACAGTGCGGGAGGAGCGCTTGGAGGCCCTCGAGAGTCTTGAATGTTCCGAGCCCATCGTGATGGTACTTTGAGATGTTGCGTCCTCTGATTGAGTATGGAGACAGGCAGTGCTTTTATACAGAATGTGCATGTTAAACTCTAGAGATAGTCACGTATGTAAAATGGCAGGGGCAAGAGTGAGTAATTCAATGTTCCTTGTTGTTATTGACCAAATCTCGTTGTGATCGTGGTATCGTGAAGCCTTCCTGACTTGTCCCAAAACGCCAAAATAAGAACCTCCAAAACCCATTGGTGATGACCAAATCATATCCTGGAGGTGTCATCATGTCAAATCAATCCTGCAAAAGACCGCCCAGCATCTGAGGTCGGAGGTAGCCGCCAAGTGCACCTCTTTCCTATCAGAAGACGTCGTCGCTGGCATCGATGAAGTTGTCGTCGATTAGAAAGGAGCTTCCACTAGTGAGCAAAGCAGTGGCATCTCCATGGTCAACAAGCATACCCTGAGAGAATCCGGTGTTGCGACCGAAGGTAGCAGTAGACGGAGACGTGAACGTGCGAGAACCCGTCACTGGCGTAACCGGAAGGTATCCATTACCCTGGGTGGGAGTGGAAGCTTGAGTGTCGAAGAAGTGGCTGCGAGCGCCTCCAGCACGAGTGGGAGAACCTCCAGCCTGGGTGGCGACACCTCTAGCTCGAGTGGAAGTACCTCCAGCACTAGTAGAGGCACCTCTAGCCCGGGTAGAAGTACCTCCAGCCCGAGCGGAAGTACCACTAGCCCGAGTGGGAGTAACCGGATCTTCTTGCTTCATGTCAGCAGAGCTCTTGAGCGTACCTGGCTTGGCGCAGCGCGGTGACCTCTTCCACTTGTATGGACGGGCCATACCTTGACGGTCTTTGTCGACGTAGGGTCGAGACATGGTGACGATGTGGGACTGAGTCGACATTACGCGGGTGGGCTTCTTGCGGGATCTGTTAGCTTCATGTCCAGAAGATGTTTTAGGTGTCGCGTTAGAAATCTTGCGCGTCCACCCCATTTTGAGACTTGGAATCTGGTATCCTTCGGCAATCTGCTTGCCACGAAGCTTGAGGAGAGCCTGCTGCAGGGCGCCAGCGGTACATTGCTCGCCAACGACCTGAGCAGCTTGTTCAAAAGGGATGTGGACCCCAGTCTCTCCGCAAGCCCAAACAATACCAAGACACACGTTCTTCCAATCGTCATCAGTCCATTTAAGGAGCTTTGGACGTGGTTGGCGTGGCTTGCGTGGAGCGCCATCCTTGTTCAACTTGGGGAGCTTGCGAGGACGCTCCTCTTCAGAGTCGCTCTCCGCAAAGTCGCTCTCTTCTAAAAGGGTAGCACTCACCATGTAGTCGTCCTGAGAATCATCTTGCTTGGAGTGCACAGGAACCTCCTCGGCCGGGTCGGTGTTGTCATGACCTGAGGCGAATGGGCTAGAAGTGAACAGATCGGCATCGCCATGGTAGTTTGGCTCAGCAGTGGCGAAGGACTCTGGAGTGAAGGAGGTAGGCACGAGGGTCTCACCAGACCAGGATCGCTTGAGCTCAGCAGAGTCTGGCATGCCGATATCGTAGAAGCCATGATCGTTACCGCAGAATGTCTGGCCGTTGTTGAAGACTGCGTCCTCGTCATCGTCGTAGAACACGTCGTCGTAGGTGGCTTGCAGCCAAGGATGGTTCCTAGGATAGTTGTAGAACGGTGCGGTACGGTTGTAATCGGTGCTGGAAGCGAAGTTAAAGCCTTCAAACGGCTCGCTGAAGTGGATGTTATCCATGTCTGCAGCACTAGCGGAGTCTACAGCAGTCTGCTCGTGAAGTGTCTGGTACTTGAGAGCTTCCTTGCGCTTACGCTTGTTGTCAGGAGTCTCGTCAGGCCTGGAGGCCTCTCCAGCGCTAGTGCGGGAGGCTTCTTCTGCCCGGGGAGGCTCGGAATCGTCGAAGAGAGGGATCTCCACCAGTCTGTTATTATGGAACACCATGTTTGATGCTAGGGGACTGACCTGAACCCTGGCTTAAGTCAGTATGTGAGATCAAATGCAGAGAAGCACGAGTACTTACTTGTATGGCGGAGGCGGGGGTACGGGCTGCTGGGGTGGCAAGTTCTTGAATTGTGCAGACTGCGTTGAGTGTCAGTACGTGTCAAACGCGTAGTAGGATGTTGAGGTGGGGGAGTACGACAAGCATAATGACTTTGCAGAGCAGAGCGAGGTGGTGTGCGGAGCAGAAATATGAGGAAGAAAGCAAGTCAAGCTTGACAAAAACACGCACGTACCTTTGCGGAGATGGCGATGTGAAGGCGAGCGTGCTGCGGGCGCGGAGAAAAAACCGGGACCGCGTTGATTGTAAGTATCAAATAGGCAAACTAATCTGCTCCTCGCAGCTGGGCCTGGGATCACGCTGGCAACGGCGCCCTCGCTTAGGAGTGCGTGCGGCAAGATTCGACCGCCAAGCCACGCCAATTTGAAGCCAGCTGCACTCCTCGCGTGTATACTCTGCCTTTGAAGGAAACCTCAGTAACCCAGAGGCTTAGATAGGCAACAGCTCTATCGTCAGACCGCCCGGGGTCACTTTTGTGGGGCGAAACAAGGGCAGACGTGCGGAGGCAACTAGCGTGACGGGAAAGGTAGGAGTAAGGGTACTCGACTACAGCGTCCGTACGTATGCTCTCAACGCGGGGCTCAGACGTACTGCTACAGGACAAATGGATATGACAGCGTTGGAAGCCCTTGTCTGCGCGTCAACTCGTACCAAACTTTTGGGAGGACAATGAGCAAGTCTAAGAGAAGCAAGCTACAGACTGTCAGAGGAACGAATGGAGGCGGTGTGCATGGAGAACATACCTTTGCAGTAGGGCGGGCAGTTAGGGTTAGCAATGTGCTCGCACGATTGCTATGATTCTGTCTATCTGAGGGACGATGTCAAGAGGTGGCGTTGATGTGCGATGTTCAGGTGAGAGAATCGATCGCGGCTCAACTGCGTTTGAAGTATCGGTATAACGATGAGTTGCGAACTTGCAAGATGGGAGCTCTTGTAACTTGCTCAAGCTTGCGAGAGTGTATGACCGATGGCTGGACAGTGGTCCATATATATAGTTGGAGGTACGGGTGCGAGCCTGTGTCACGTGCGGGGCATGTACACCGCATACATCGAGCTGAGGAGTGGGTCTAGCCCGTCTAGCTCACTCGGCGCGACAAACGCATAGCGCTCAGTGGACATGGACACGTAATAATAACTTGACGGTCGATCTCCTTGCTCTTTTGCTCCGAGTACCGGAGGTGGGGTACATCGGCATGTTCGCGCTATGTGCGACATGATTGTCTTCGTTTAGGGTCCATGAAGCCCGAAGCTGTATCAAGCTGTGGAGATTTCATGTGCTGCCCACGGACAGGTGCATGCCATTCCACATAGTAGTCTCGTCGGTTTCCAATGGCGAAAAGTACAGTAGCGATCAGTGAGAGTTGAGTACCGGGAGCCTGGAATTTTCGTTGTTTGAAAGGAAACCGCAGAAATGTAACCCAAAGCGCGAAGACGACAAGTGAAAGTCGAAGAAGGTTTAGTCTGTAGCATAGATAAAGAGAGAGGAGTAACGTTGAGGTAAGGCAAAGTGGATAGGAAGAGAAGGTGTAAAGAAATCACCTATCGTGTCAAAGAAAAAAGAAAAAAACTGTATGCTTGACGCTGGTGCATTTGGCCAGTACAGCACATACCTGTACCCCGACACAAGAGTGACGATAGCGATGATAGTGGAGATTGAACAGCTCGATTGCCTGTCATGGTATGCAGGGACAGTGCCAGGCTTTGCATGGCCGAACAGTTGTCACAGCCCGCGGGGTTGTCTCTCATGTGCAGTACACCAGGTATTCGAGTAGGCTAATACATCCACGAGGTTGATCTGGTCCATCGATTTGGGAAGCTGAAGTAATGAGATGTTCGGTCGACTTGTGACCGAGTTGGGAGCGTACAAGGATGTCAATCTGACGGTTCTCGCAAGCAAAAACGCCTCGACGTTGCGTGTATCCGTAGATGTTGGAATATGTAATCCCTCATTAGTGAGATATAAAACATGTGGTAACATCTCGTACTGGGACCCTGGAAGAAAGCAGCTGATTCTCATGGCACCCGGGACCTACCAGGAAACCTTACCTTGCCACACTCATCGGGTGACGCGCAAACACAAACACGCGTCGGAGTACATCGACACAGAACCAAAAAAAAGATTGCTGCGTTCTCCGAAGGTGCCAGCTTGTGTTGAAAGCATATGAACGACGTCCAGTGAGATTTACCATCAATTCGCACTGATGCTTACGTTGGATCTCTCAGAGCGAGGATCTTGAAGTTTCAAAACTGTCGTAACCGCATCGTAGACTGTAGTGAAGCATATGCGTGACACTTCGCCTCAAGGTCTCGGCCAACGTCGACGTCGGTGTCGTCTTTGACCTGTCGATCACAGGGACGCGAATGGACGCGACTCAGGCGTGCCATTCGACATCGATTCGACTGCTGTGACTGCTGCCCCTTACGTGACTCACTGCTTCCCAGAAAGAGGATCATCGCGGAGGCGGTTACAGTACTCGAGTCTCAACAGAGCCTTCTGCGCTGGTCAGCTTTGGGTGAGAGTTAAGTCTTGGAGCGCGAACAAGGTTGGAGGGGCGGGGAAGTGCGGACAACAAGGGAACGATTTGCTTGGCACGATCGAAACAAGGACAGAATGTTCGCAACAACGACCCTTGATTCCATTGGCTGATAGATAACTACTATCACTACTACGAAGCTATCTGAGCGGCTGTTAGTTCTTGTCTTTCCAAGGGTGAAGAGTTGTAATGGGAGCATGCTTACCTCGACATTGACCTGAAGCTCAATCGATGCCCTGCCCCATGTGCACTCCATGTGCACCTACTGTAAAGCTTTGACGCCCGCGCCTTCCTTCTTCCCTGCATTTGGATGTTGAGAAACACTGTAAGTCGAGCTGTGTTTCTGCATCGAGACAAGTGCTGCTCATTGTACCGAGGCGCGAACATCCTAGCGTGTGCCTTGCATGACGAGCTCATCCCTCGAGTTTGCGCCCCGTCACGCATGCCCTCTTCGTCGCTGGCAATGCGAGGGTCACGGGTTGTGGTGTTGCGACCGCAAGGGTTCGTGAATCGCACTCCCCGCACAATGCCTCCGTCCACCCCCTGCCTGCCAACAACTCCACCAACTCATTGCCTCACACGTACACGTATACGTCAACGTGGACGCAGAGCGTGGCGCCAGCCGTGATGCTGTCCGATGAAAGGTGCCGCCGACGTTCTTTGAGCTCGTTGAGGCGCAACGTTCCTGCCCTGCGCAAAACCTCCTGCTTCATCCGCGATCGAGACCGACCACCTTCACGACGCGACTCGATCGGAGCTGCAACTCTCGAATACCCGCCCGTCACTGAGAGTCTGCGCGAAGGCCTGGGAGACACGAATCCACCTCTTACCCGAGCGTGCCTGTACGGCAATTCGGTATCTCGCGCGATCTTACCCACCAGCCCCGCGCTCGATCAAAATCCACATTGAGAGCATGCAGGCTGCAACGGAGAGGTTCACTGGGCATGTCTTTGCTACCAGGAACGGCTGCATATATTGGGCAGGTCAATTCCTGCATATAGCGCTTCCGAGTGCAGGGTTGGGCACACAACATGCGATGACAGATGTACTCCCAGGAGCTATACAGCGTGTATGGCCAGCTCAAGCAGACATACATGCGTGCAATTGGTGCAACACCGGCTTTTACGTCCCAGGTCCTTTTTCGGCACGAGCAGCTTTAAGGAGCGCAGCCACTCACTTGATGGTAGAGGGTGACGCCGATAGCGTCGTACATGCCGTGTGGCTGTCGCACGCGAACAGCAACAACCTTGACAGCCTTCCAGCAGCCCGCGACCAGCTCAGGGATTGCAGTGCATATTTGGTCTGCTCTGGCAAGGTCGGAGCTTGTTCAAGATCGACTTTGGACTTCTCAAGATTTTCTTGGACACCCTTGATCTCATCGAGCTGCAGCGCTCCATGTATCAGGCAAAGCTGTGCATTGATTGGAAGAGGAGCACCCTCACCCAGCACAAACAGACTGGACATTCGCGCATTATGCAGTGAATCAAGAGCTCCGAGCAGTCAAAGAACAACAGTACCCGCAACAAACTTGGCATCCAGCAGGTGTTTTGAAGGACACATCGATACTATCCCGAGAGGCACGCGCATAGAGTTGCATGAACATTCGGAGAGACTTCAGATCTGAGCGCGCACCATTGATGCGCTCTGTTGTGTATCGAGGACGGAAGTCGAGGCCGGTTTTCACACGGCGAGAGTCGTTTCAATGGTACAGAACAAAGTACATCCCGGCAGCTTCAGGTCTCCGATTTTGTCTGTTCTGCTTGTTCTGCCAAGCACATTGGTCGTCCGGATCTTGCAGTCTTATCGCCAGATGAACACCTATCGTAGGGCCATATGGAAGAGTTGGATGGAAGAATCTGGGGTTTGAAACTCGTCCCTTGGGTCAATGGACGTCATCATCAAAGTGGATGAGCCGAGAATTCATCAAAACTGAGTTCGACCTCAATCTCTCGCGGCGCAAATTGTCTTTACTGCCAGGCACACCCGCGAGATGGACATGGGACGGTGTAGATGCCCGACCGTAAAGCTTGGGAGATACATCTCATGAGATGACGGGGTTTGAACCGTCATGTGGCTTGCTCTGCGCGCAAGCACTACTATCCGGGTCAAGATCAATGGACTAAGGCTTGCATCCTAATCAATCCTGTCAGCTGGTATATCGCCGGCAGAATACTTGTCAGGAGAAATCAGGATTGGTCGTGGCCACCTACCAGGTAACTTACATGATGGGCCCTTTGATATGCAACCCAGTCCCGTTTCGCAACGTTGTACCAGGAGTTTGACTGCAGCTGTTTCGATCCTCAGAGCTTCTATCCGACGGTTGTCTCCAATACTCACGTTCCCCGACCGGTGGCCAATACGATAGCGAATTCCAGCCAATGTCCATACACCTTCGCAGCGCCGGACTATGGCTGCAGCTCCACCAGTATTACTTTGATACATCTTGAGCTGCGTGTCGTATTGCCACAGTTGATGCGTCGTTGTCGCCGTCAAGACATGGCATCGGATTCAGTCGATCATGCAGCATGGGAGAACCTTGAGTAAACTCGTGAGCGTTGCACAATCTCCAGGCGCTACCCGATGCCCATGGTTCCGACTTCTTTCCAAACCCTGCCGGATATCAAGTCTTACAAGAGCGGCAGCAGGTCGCAAGTTCCGCCATTCAGCCTTGAGGTGCTGTGCACACATTTGTATGTTGGATGTTTGCGCGGGCAAACATGCTGGGTCGGCTGCTCAGATCGGTGCAGTTTCGGGCAATCTGGTCACGGACCGTCGCAATGGTGCTCATGCATGGACGGTTGTTCGCACTGGTATCTTCCCGAGTTCGCCGTATATGCCATGACCGTCTGCATGAGCTTGAGCCTCGAGGAAGTTGCGGTCGCCTGCGCAGCGGGTTACTTGATGTGCGAAGACCATCAAATACTTGCTCTTGGCTTCGGCTTGCGCCTACTAGGTCGCCAGGTGTCGGCGAGGTATGTCTAAGCGGACTTCAGCATTGATGCTGCGGCAAGGCTGTCAGGTGTGACTGCAACATGAGGGTCATTTATACCTTGAGCGTCCTTGGTAATCCTTTCTCTTCAGAAGCCGGCGCCTGGGGCCGGGAGATCAGCCGTAAGAGAAACAGCCTTGGGAGACCTGCAGCTTCGCCGTCAGGCTCGACGCGGAAGTGCGGGCAGGACGGGTAGCAGTACACCAGAACTCGAGGAACGCAAGTTGCAATTACTTTAGCGCTTGGTGTCGCCTGGTTCGTCGTCGGTTGTGGCGTCGTGGTGGTATGCTGAGGGGTTGGACAGCTTCCGCGGTCGGGCGTCACCACCATGCGTAGCGCCAACGCGCAGCCCGCAGTGCGGTGGCCCTATTGACTTACCAGTTTTGCACATGGACGTTCTGCAGCTACACGTCCATGAGCTGGCGGGAAAGGAGCACTGCAGAAAGCAAAGTCATTGGAGCAAACATTCCTTTTTGGATGCAGCATGCATTGAACAAGCGCATCACCAGTTGCGGATGCGCGTGAGAACCACACAGTTTCCACATGCGAACGCTTTAGAAAGCCTGCAAGGAACCCCAGATGACACAGATGTCGCGCGTCTGGAAAGGTCATGGTCTGCCTTTCTGAAAAAGCACTTCGGATACCAGCACTGCTCTTCGGTATACCGTAGTCGAAGTGAACTTCAGCGTCAAGCTGAAAAGGTCAGCCATGGCCGCAATGCCCGGCATGTGGCATAGTACAATGCTGGCTCATCATTTTGGGCTGGACTGTTGTTGCAGGTGCACCGCTACTGTCACCTCGAGCGGGCAATCTCTGAGCATGCCCTTCACCGCGCTCAAGCTGGTTCCACACTCACAAACCTGGAGACTACCCATACATCCCACTCTTACAATTACTGTCTATATATATGAGTAATTTTCTAGAGATTATCACCAAATAACAGGTGGCGCTGATCACTGGTACTTCGGGAACACGAAGGCTAACGACATGCAGGGCGTCAGTTCGATCCTCAATTGGATCTCGAGAAGTCATAAGACTTCGCCACCACCGGGGTGGCTTTCTTTTTTGCTATTTTTGCCAACACATCTTGCAACGGCAACCACAGGAACACTTCTGACGCCAGCGCTCGGTATCATCGACTTGCGGCACCACCAATGTCTTAAACTGCATACCACTGGCACCGCTTCTCTTATTGACTGTGCAAATGGTCTCATGAACGATTTCCACATGTCATTGAGCCGGATCTTAGGCTTGCAAACTTGCCCAATTGCCGGGCACGCAACGAAAAATCACTCAGCCGGAACGTAACCTTGAATTCCCTAGCACAGGACATGATCACACTAAGGCAAGCGGCTTGTGCGAAATGCGATTGCATAGAAGTCCCAGAACAGCGGGCGGTCGTCTCGCATACAAACATCTCTGACGGCGTGCGCGCTAGCTGCCGCATCGAGCTATGATACTAAAAGCTCAAAGGATCCAAGCAAACGACATCCGCCGGTGTGACCAAACTTCTCATCCGTCTCGGCGAAAGATACTTAGGTAGTCGATGCATAGGCAAGTAAGGTCATCCGCTGCTCCTCAGTGCTCACGATCTCTATCTACGGCGGACCTTGAGCCCAAGGATGTTGAGGATCAAGCTCCGCTATTGCACGTGGCTGCCCAGGTGAATCGCAATCCAGTCAACTCCGCGTGCAAGAAATCGTTTATTTACTCATAGTTGCTCATACATGGAACAGACGACCCTGTCTATTCCTCTTGCACCGGTGGGCTTCGTGCTGCCGGTTGTATACACCTAGAAGCTGCAAATCTCACTTTCAGAGATCTGGAAGGTCTGCATCCTTCTCCACCTCCTGTACCTCGGCGCGCTCCAATCTGCTGTACCGAAATCAGCGTTCTGTACGCACCACTTTGCGGGCCCAAAGTCGTTGTTTGCGGGGAACGATTCAAGAGTGGAATCGAGGAAAGGTGCCCATGACTGTGAGCGGCAGTCGTCTGCAAAGCTGCGCAAGAGGCGGAGATAGGGAAACATAGAGAGAAACGGTGCTTCGTGAGACGCTGTCTATAAGTGCTTGTGCCTTACTGGGTAGTATTCAGCAGCTCGGCGCTGCCTGTGGTGGGTGACGATGGCTTAGCTTAGTGAGCACGATAAGAGAATAGTTTGTTTTGAAACCCTTCGCATCTCAAAACTGCAAGCTCTCCTCAGCCGCAGTGTCTTTTTGAACATTCTGCCAGTACACAGGTACGTCAACATTGTTATTCTCTTTTCTCCTACCACCGCTGCTGTAGTGGTCGAGGGATACTAAGGAGGGAGCTCGACTCAGACGAGGACCAGCTGGGTGGCTGATGGTTTTTTCGAGGTCGTGATGTCGTGTTCATCGGCAGGGCCTGCGCAGAGAAGCGTGTGCAATTTGAGCTTCAGTGGTTTCCGTTCCGATATGTCTGAAAGAGGTCGAAGCAATCCTCGGGATGTCAGCGGGTATGGGAGTGTGCGAGGGCAAGTAGTCGTTTCAGACGTCAACATGGGGCTATGTAGAGCAGCCAGTCGATGATTGTCATATCAACGAAGGTACCGGGATTACCCAGGCAGGATATTGAGACCCAAAATACTGGGACAGGTTGGTCGTTCAAGGTCATCAAGGCAAGAGGGATCAACTTGAGTAATCTGAGTGCCGTAGACTCGTAGTATCTGATCTTTTGCGCTCTTGCGGGGTTTTGGCCTTGAAGGATCAGTCGCAATGCTTTGTCGGGGCGACTGACTAAGATCCCTTCGATATGCTCTTCGGCAGCGGGTTTGCCCTGGATCTCCAAACCTAGGCCTCACCGATGCCCCGTGGATGTCTATTCATCAAAGCGCTTTTAATGGTACAGTAAATAGACTCTAAGCTTTGTGGCCCTGAAATGCTACTTGTTCACGCCATACCAGAATCAGAGCACGAAGTGAATACCGTTTCCGCAGCGCGGATGGCGCAGATCGTGGGGTCGGTTGTGAGGAGCTCCAAAGACATGATCAAGCTTCACTGGGGTCGATAGTTGTCGGCACATCCAGCATGTAGCATGCCGTCGCTCGCATATCACAACACTGGGCTTCACTTATGGCTACTTAGCAGTCTTATTGAACTGAACTTTTGCCTCAGGGAGATATGATTTTGGGGATTTATAGTAGTCATCACAACGCTACGAGTGTGCGAGAATGCCAAATACATACCCAAAGTCCTCCCAGGTAGCCTGTAGTTAGGCAAATGGCATTAAACAAAGATGCATTTACGAGTCGCAAAGCTCCCTGAATGTCTCAGGATCAACATGCAGTCGAATTAGAGTTATCTTTGGTTGCATGGCGCACATCGGGCCATCGGGCACGGGCCGTCGGCCCTGTGCGGAGTATGCGCTAACGCTAAAGCACTTGCTCGATTCGACATTCCGGGCGACGTCAGCCCTTTAACAGCTGCCTGCCACTTACTGAGTTGCCCTTCTTTATTCAGCTAGATATCTTCGACAGTTTGACTCTCTCTAGCCGCCTTAATGGTGTCTTTCGACCCCACGCTGCTGGACGCCGAGACCGCCCTTGCGATCCTCGCATCTCTGCGTTTGCCGAACGAGATAGCACTTTGCATCTTAGACCAAGCTCAATACTGGATAAAGGATGAGTACAATTGTGAAGAGCATACCCTCCTTATAGATGGTGCCTGGTCGCTGGATTACTCGGCTGTGTACCCGTACCTCTGCGTTCGCGCGTATCCACAGCTTCAAGGACGACATCTACAACTCCGCGAGATAACTTTCACTATCGTCAGCCATGACCAGGGATGGACTACCGAAGATACGCAAGGTACCTATCAGACATCGTCCTGGTTTGAGGTTTCTATAATCCGGCCAAACATGGCCTCATCCGACCTTCTGGAACCTGGACTTCGTCTGCTACGAGATATGAACATCAGAGGGGATATAGTGGACGGCGTCAAAGTTGCATTTGATATCATTCACTCGGACGGTCGTTTTGAACTGGTACGTCGCCCCTCGTCAGATTTCGAACCTCAGAGGGTTCACTGCACAGAGATGATGCAAGTGAACTCGCAAGGTGAGAAAGAAGGCGAATATGCTTGGTATCTGCAAGGCAATGAGGTTGCAAGGAAGAAGTCAGTGTTTGAAGGGGAGATGATAAAGCGATACAGAGTGACCTGGGGCTGCAAACACAATCCTGTGCAGGTGACCAACGAGGGAGCTGGCAGCGGCGATGGCTTTATCGACAGCATAGAAAAAGACGATTACATCTGCGTCTGGGCACGAGCAAAGGTATGTCCAACACCCGCCTCATAGTCATTGCAGTTTCCTATCCCAAACAAAGCTAAGTGGGAGGACAGAGGCGAGGTTGGGAGAACCAGATCTATGGTGTTCGGATGGTCATGCGATACATGATCTAGCTCAACGATGTCGTGATGCCGGCGGTCTCATCGATGAAAATTCTGCGTTCAGGCCAGCAGAACACAGCAGCAGGGATACCGAATCAGTTGCTTGCCCCGAACGCACCAAATCACTAGTCAACAGACACCGGGCGTGAAAAACACTCGGCTCTCAACATTCGTATTGAGATCCACAGCAGTCGGAATCGAGGCTCGGGAAGTGGATCCTGTAACACGCGGACTGCCTGCGGCTGAGAACCCACTTCGGCATAAAGTACCCATGTGGAGTTGGACCAAGTGGGAGCACGATCTATCGCTTGCATGATCTCCTGTAGCTTGCGTATGGCAGACCTCCGATCCGATGAAGGCCAATTCGTTGCCGTCCTGGTTCTTGCGGACCTCTCTCGCGCTTAGATTGGCTCCAAGGCTTGCAAATTCGCAGCGGAAGAACCCGTTGGAATGCAACAGTACCCACTTCTTACCAAACGCGCCACATACGGCGGCTGGTAGAAGCACTAGACCAGATTGCTCCTAGCTATTCTGGCTCCGGCTTGTGCTTTTGCCAATACGTGCAGCGAGCTCACAGCTTACCAACTATCTGAATCTCTTTAATCCGGCGCAACTGAAGTTGAGTGCTGGATGCGTGTGCTTTGCGCATCATCATAGCATCGTTGCAATGAAAGTGGGCATTCACATGGCTCGCCTCCATCAGCACACAAAAACCAGATACTCTTCTATGTGCTATGAGTTTGGCTGTGCTAATGACTCTGGTAATGGTGTACCAGGGCCGGGCGGCTCACTCGTTACTAGTTTGAATGTGCAATAAAGTCCCCGTGGCAATAACTCTTCTTCATTACGGCGGTGGCAAATGATGCACATATCTTGGTAGTCAGGCCAGCGGTCAGCGGCGAGCACAGAAGGTTTCAGGGGGCTCTGCATCGAGTCTCGTGTGCTATGTATCCACAAGGCCGTCTCTGGAAGTGTGCAACGCGCAGCGCGACAGCCTTGAAGAGTCCCAACTACTGCCAACGTTCGAGGGACTCGACTTGCACTACTCATATATGAGTAAATTGACCAAATACTGGCTCATGAGTATTCCTTAAGAATTTAGCTGATATAGCACAGCTACACTATTCTCTCAGAGCGTCTGGCTTTCTGTCTGCATGCCGCGCCGGCTTTATGTAGCCAGCCGACGTTAACCAATCCTGTACAACAGGCTCCCGAATGACGTTTCGTGCCTCGAGCTCCTACTGCATAGGGCTCATGGGACCAGAATTATGAACCCCCATACAGTTCAATCACCGAGCTTTCCCCATGTCGCATGTGCTACTGTCTCGACTGGATGACCTCATACGCTCGGTGGTCGAGTCCCTCAGCCCTTACAGATGGGACTGATCTGTTGTTAACTACTGTGGTTTGTTACAGTGCCGTGCATCCAAGCCGAGACGAGGTAGTCCCCCTGAGCCCGACGGCCTGAACGCTATGCTCTAGAAAATGAGACTCCAGTGCTCAGCAGGTATGGCGATTCATAGCCTGGGTGTCGGACGCGGCCCGAATAACGGCTGAAGGCGTGCTGCTAAGGGCCAGCCCGAGCGCGACTCGTAGAGTAGTGAACTGCCGCCTCAGACGTTGCAGGGCGAGCAGGCTGATCATTTTCTAAAGGGTCTTGATTTGCATGATTGCAGGGCCTTGATGCTGTGCGGGCTTCGTGGCGATGCCGTTCTATTGATGGTGATAACCATCACGAGTTATTTCGGCTCGTCCCTAATGGGAGCTGCGACTTGCTGGACTGGAGCTGCGATCTTCAGTGGCGTCCATTCTCGAGGAGTCGTGGCTTAGAAAATTTTCTACTGATCTGAGCTGGAGGCTAACATTTGAAAGGGTCTCTTTCGTCCAGAACGCACTCAACCCAGGAGCGGCTTTCGCGCATTAGGCGCCGACTGCCGTGTACCTATCCGCGTTGCCAGGGATGGAGGTGCCATCGGAGAACGATAAGTCTGGCGCTCAGGCTTACAGCCTAGATGCCTCGATCTCCACAGTAATATCTTGAGACAAGGAGAGACAATTATGTAAAAGCGTGGAAGTAACCCCCAACCTTCAGAATTATGGCGCAATCGCCTACAGGAGGGAAATCGCCCGAACATCAGCTGAAGGGTATTCGTTAAGTATCTGGCCGATACGGAACAGCTACATTGTCTTCTTGAAGCTTCGGGCTTGCTGTACGAAGTATGCATGCCGCGCCGGCACCAAATACCTAGGTATCAGCCCGACGTTGACCCTTCCGTTCAGCGCATGGTTGCAAACTCCATCCCTCGCCGAGACGATATTTTAAAATGGCGACATGCAGCCATCACGCTAGCGTAATGCCGGGTGACATCGTTGTATTCTAACTGAGCCATTCTTATAGGGTAGCACACCATCGCACCCGCTTCGCGGCACCAACACGTCGGCCCCCAGCAGTTCGCCGTCCAAGCTTCACCATCAACCACCAACTATCATCCACAGCACAACAGACTTTAACAACAGAAATCGCAAGTCGCGCATCGCAGATGGAGAGGAATGTCGGAGACCTATCATTCAACATTTGGACAGCAGATCTTCACCGACGTATCTGCGAGTGGGAGTTTGTCTGGACGTAATCGATTCGAGATGCTCGACGCAACTCAATTCTACCATAGCGACCGCGAATATCAAGCTCCAGGAACACTCCGTCTATCAGGGCAAGACAATAACTATGTTAACGGTCATCCATTCGCATATGCGTCACACAGCGGCCCGCCGTCGCTCCCAAGTAAGAACAAACCTTTCCTACCCCGTTCTTTCCCTGCATTCGACTTTCTTTGGGTCGTTTCGTACTCCCCGGCTACTTTCGCTACTTCCAGTCCCTGCTCGTGGTTTGTACTCCCATTCCTCTGGGTTGCCGATTCTGCATGGCGTCATTTCCGAGGCAAGCACGCAATGTCACGTGAGCACCACACCTAGAGGGACATTCACCAGCTTAGGTAGGTGCCTATGCAGGGCATCTAGGGTGTTTATGGTCTACATGAGCTTTAAGTTATCGATGTGCAGCGATAGTGTTCACACATTCTCTTGTTCGTACATCCCGCCATGGCCCGGTCACTAACGCGCTCCCGAGGTTTGCACACGGTGCCCCCTATGTCGACACACCTCCAGTCACAGTACGACCCCGATGTGAACATCCTCGACGAACTCCAGGGCTTCTCTCCAGTCTCGGCTGCCTACAATATAAACGCATATCGGACCCCTTATCCCGACAGCAATGCGACCTCGACCTCATCAGCTACCAGCCCTGATCGCCAAGGCATGATGGCGGATCCCATTATTGTCGAAGCGGACGAGGACAAGAGAAAACGTAATCAAGCCGCTTCCGCGCGCTTCCGGCAGAAGAAGAAGCAGCGAGAGCAGCAATTAATGGAGACCAGTAGGGAAATGCAAGACAAGACAAGGAAGCTGGAGTCAGAGAATGAGGGATTACGGAAGGAGAACCTCTTTCTCAAGAAGCTTCTCGTCGAGAAGGTCGATCATATGAGTGAGGAGGATCGAGAGGTCCTATTGAAAGTGACAGGAGAGGCACTGAAGAAGGCGTCTTGAGCGCTGCTGCGATCTGTCCTGGTGTTGGTCTTAGTTTTAACAGCTTGAGGGAACATGAACAGCTTGATGGAGCCAGGAGTCAGACTGATCAAACTTTCTTATTCGATCTACAAGGCGAGGAGTTCAGGGTCACTATTCGGATCGATTCTCAGGCGTCAGGATGGGGAGTTCGGAGAGAAATTACGCTACACTCGAATCTACGACATCTTTATGCAACTGCCCAATAACGGTCTTATCGACGTCGTACAGGATGGAGATGCGAACAAGAGCAGAACACAGTCTTGAGCCAGACGCAACATCGTGCTGATCGGCTTACCCCAGTATGCCGGCTCACGTAGACACAGATGGAAACTATTATACAACCTCGCATCACTTAACCATCATGGCATTCCAAGGTTAGTGATCCTCAGATTCAATGCTGAGGTGGCGTAGATAATTCACGGCTTATGTCATTGTCTCTTGCCCTGCTTCAGCGCGCCACGCGTCTGTAACTTTGATAACGCTTGATCTTCGGCCTTGGGCAAATGGTTCACAGCTCTCAGCGTGAGCAGCTAAGGCAGCGGATTCAGTCTAAAACCCAGCGGCTCGGTAGATTTCAACCGGACCAATGATGCTTCGATACCCGCAACGTGCATGCATTTGATCAACAATCTAGAGCTCGGCAGTCAAACAGCGCCCGATAAGCACATGAGCGGCTCGGGACTTGTGCCGAGCCGTGTCCCGTAAAGATGTAATATATATGTAGATATGCAAGTAGTATGTTACAACATGAAGAAGTCAAGACAACACTATTTCAAAATCGCTGAACCGCTAACACTTGGGAAACCCCGCTATGCAGTGTGGCACATAACTTAAAATCTTTCCGCTCAACACGCCCCTACGCACCGTCTAGCTGTCCGTGTCCGGTAGGACCTTGAGACATATCTGCAAGGAATTAGTAAATTTCTCACGACATTTGAACAAATGGTACTCACAATCAACCGTAACAAAAGCCCGATCAACTTCGCTCAGCCCTTCCAAGCAATATTGCAACGTCTCCGCGACATCATGACACAGTCTCAATGGCGCATCCTCGGGCATCAGGATGTCAATCTCTACGCACACACCATCTCCAGCATGATACGCCTTGATACTCTTGAAGCCTTCGACGAGCGGCTCGAAGCGGTACGCCATGAACATGAGCTTGCGCTCAGTGCGATCGTTTGCAGCTTCACCAGTCAAGCGGGCGACATTCTCGAGACACGTGCCTGCCCAATCATAGATGATGAACAGCGAGAGAACAGAGGCACCGACGGGATCGAGCCACCATACACCAACTTTGTGGCCAATCAGCGGAAACAGAAGGGACAGTGTGTTGAAGTAGACGTCGGTCTTGCAGTCCTGCGCCAACGCCTGGACCTGCGTGGTCTTGACGCGTGCACAGCCGAACCAAATCGTGCCTTTCACCACGATGGTAGCGACCATGGCAAAGATGGCAGCGGGCGGTAGTGTCGCGACGTCGTGATTCCCGCTGGGAAGCAGCTTCTTGACAGACTCCTGGAGAATCTGCAGGAAACTGATGACCATGATGATGGAGAACACGAGGATGCCAAGAGGTTCGAGACGTCTGCGGCCAACGGGGAACTTCTTCTTGAGCTTATCCAGGCGCCAGCCTACGAGCCGGTTGGTAGTCCAGATGATAACGGTGCAGAGGAGATCGAGGGCGGAGTCGACTAAGGAGGCAATCAGGGAGAGCGAACTGGACCAGATGGCTGCGACTCCCTTGGCGGCGAGCAGAAGTATGTTGACGAGAACGTTGATCTAACCCTTGTGAGTAGGTCGTCCAGAACAGTCGAGCGTTCTAAACGAACATTGATTGCCCATCTCACATGCTTCGCCGATTTGGCTCGCCTCTCACGTTCGTCGTCAGGCAGGAATGGCTCCAGTGCTTCACCACTGTTCCCCAGTGGTCCCCGTTCCTCAACTACACCATCACCGTCGGTATCCCTGGGATGCATACTATCGAGGATATCATCCGCAAGCGACGTAACAATCATATCTACCTCGAGCCAGTCATCAAGACGGTTGTTCTGCTCCTCGTAGAAAGACCGGATCTTCTTGTTCTCGATGGTCTTTAGCTATTCATCTTCGTCAGCACCTGACCACCAGCCTACTTTCGTTGCAACCATACGCTTTCTTCGCTCTTCCTGTACTTCTCCAGAGCCTCGTGATCCACGTTGTCGATGAGTTTCTTCTTCATCTCCGCCGTCCGGTTGTCCTGGATGGTGTTCTGGATAGCATCGCGGAACCTTTGGCGTGGCTTCATCGGGTTAATTGAGCCATACGCAGCCTCCAAATCGGCGCGGTTGTATCCATTGGATTGCTTGCGCGAGTCCTTCGCGTAGAACGATCCCGTCGTCTCGAGCACGCGGCGTTTACCTCCAACCATCTTCTCTGTTCCTTCCTAGACTTGCGAGTGGGAAGATATTGCGTCCGTAGTTTTTAAAATAGGTACGAAGCGAAGAAGCAGGAGAGAGGTTAAGCACGGCGTGGAAAGCTTCAAATGTCCAAATCTTGGCCCGATGCATGAGACCGCATCATCAAATTGACAAGCACTAGCCTGTTATAGCCAAGAGCTTCTACATCTTATGACGGGGCTTGGTCTGTTCTTTGAACGTCGACCGGATCTTGGTCAAGCTTGCGCTGTCTGGAATGGTGTAAGTTCGCTCTATGATGTCATCCCTGTTAGATCGCGCGTGGCATCACCGTTCCCGTTCCCCGCGTCAACTGCGATCTGCCGCTGCTTGGCAGGCACGGTGGAACCATCGTTTAGTTGGATTGATGTGTGCATTGTGTATACTGATATAGTGAATTGCAGATGTTGCTATTGAGACGTTGGCCTCTCGACATCAGATGTGGTGCGGTCTTGTTTCGGGATGCCTGCAGGCGCTGACGTCACGCGCCTCTGAGCACAGAAAATGATCTTGTTACGAAACAAGTTGACCACGTAGCGCTGCCGACTGAACCGAGAAGCGATCCGGAGAGGTGGGTCCTTAAAGTATGTACGATTCTTGTCCTGCTTATTTCTTGCAGGCTGACCACTATGACGGATTCTAAGCATATCCCAGCTTTTCTTGTGAGAGCATCATTGAGATGCACCACCTCTAAGATCATCTGCTTTGCTCCATCTGCATCTCCTGCGAAACTGAAAATGAACTTGTGGACTCGGCATCTCGATATTATGCTCTCAGGACCAATTCCAAGGGCCGCACTAGATGACGTACTTTGGACGCGTCAGTTCTCGAATGTCGCGCGCGCCTGGGCCTGTGACTTACTGGAATGAAAAGATAGGGGACCTCCTTCTCGTACTGAGTCCAGGCGTCTCCGTACTTTCTGCGACACCTTGCAATGTCCCTCCGGGCTCGGTGGATGATCATGACCATGAAGAAGACAAAATAAAACCAAGGAAAGGGACTCCTGAGAAACTGTCAGTACCGATGTCACAGGCCAATGGGGCCAGGATGCGAGCGAAGCCGGGGAACCTACTTGAATCCTGTAATGAGACCCCAGGACATGGCAAAGAACATATCGGGAACATAGTTTGGCTTGCGTATGATGGCAAACCACCCATCCACCATGATACGATCTCCAGCGCTGGTCTCGATGACGCGGGGTTTCTCGATGACCGTCCAGGGCATGTGAGGGAACGCCTTGCGTTTGATCAGCTGCCCGCGCTCCTGTTGACGGAACGAGTTCTTCTGGCCATTCGACGAGTCCCACATCCAGTACATGAACAAGTACACGACGGAGAATGCCAGTAGTGAGAGTCGGTTCCAGCGATACTCAGACGGTGCATGGTTGGCCAGGTACAGCGCGCAGTGGCAGTAAGTAAACGGTACGCCGGCCATGTTCCAGAAAGTGAGGATGAAGCCGAGCTTCTCAAAGTACATGTCCCTATTCAACTCGTTAGCACGGAGTTCGAGCACAAGAGAAGACATAGGCAGAATAAGTGCGATTGCAATGCTTTACGTCTGCATGCTTACCAGGATGTAATGATCAACTGCTCGCCTTTCGCACACCCATTTGCGTAGAGGAAATGTGCTCCCATCAGGAAGACCACCTCCGCCGACACGTAACCGTATGCCTCGTACTGTCGCACCGCCACGGAGGCGGTGGTGAGGAACAGAATGAACCACGGAATGCGGACCTCATAGAACATCTTGAAATCCAGGATGCCAATCCGAGGATTCAGCTCGGCGCCCATGAAGAAATCGTATATGGGGTATCCAGTCAGTCGATGAGTCCTCCCTCGGAAGACAGCCTGAGCATAGACGATGATGCTGTTGATGAAGCCCGAGAGGATCGCCACTGTCATGATGGACCCGAACTCGTCGATGAGCGTGTATAGAGGAAAGACCCCGATGATGTGGAGTGCAGCGGCGATGGAGAGAGTCGCGTACCAGCTGGTGTAGGCTGAACAGTAGTACGGGAGCTTCTTGCCGCCTTCGTGGCGCAGAGGCCGGCCCTGGCTCAGCACGCCGGGCATGTAGCAGTACCTGGAATACGTCAGACCGCGGAAATCCGAGTGTTCAAGGGGGCCCAACTTACATCAGAGCCTCGACGATGAAGAAGGTCCAATACACAGCCCAGGCTTTGGCTGTGGGGTATGCTCCTTTGTACACGAGGTGAGCCATGTGGTGCGCAAAGTCACCCCAGGTTTGGCCGGCTTCTGGCGTGGGGAATTGGCCATCATAGTAGGTTGCTCCAATCCACATGTACCACATCAGGAGGGGAAAGCCAACCATCAAAGATGCTGCTCCAAAGGAACCACCGAACTCGAATTCGTCTGATTCGCCATCGGTGTATTTGGGCTTCTGCTCAGACTCATGTGAAGAGGCTGGAGTTGTGCTTGTGTGCGAATGAGACGCGCTCCGATCCTTGATCGTGGTGGTCACCCCCATGCTGGATGCACTGGACGGTAATGAACCTTAGGATTGTGGAGCAATAAAGCGTAACGTAATATGGATGGAGAACGGTGTCTCTGATAGAACAGGCAGACACAAGAGCTGTGTGTTTGAAGAGCTGGAAGACTCGAGGAAGGCATGAAGACTCTAATATATGAGCTGACACAACCCATCTGGGTCCACTGTCATTTCGCGGCAATAGAACATCACGGCAGGCCTGATTGCCGTTTAGGAAGTTCTAGATTGATTTCAGGGGCCAAATGCTACACAAACAGCAACATTTGGGTTGAACGAACATAATCTCTGAGTTGGTCATGGCCGACAGGAAGGTCACAGCGAGCCGCTAACGCCGCAGCGTCGGTGGGGCGGGCATGCGACAGCGAGCCAATCAGAAACTGGACCGACACCGTGGTTCGGCCGACTCTGACGACTGGCAAAAAGAAGCGGGCCGGTGGACAACCCCCTAGAGGTACACTTCAACCTTCGACCATCCATTCGCTTTACTATTACGGTGGTCGACTAATTAGGCCAAGCCAAACAGGCTAAGCTCAATCCCTTCCGCTCACAGCATTTATTCAGAAGGGAGCTATGCTGGTTTGACATCGGAGACGGACGCCAGGCAAGAGAGAGCGAGCAGTGGCATACCAGACGATCAGCACTTACCCAGAAGCGACTGCCCTCGCAGAACCGAATCTGGAGGCAGCCCCAGGAACCAAGTGTTTCTACGCCAAGCATGAAAAGACAGCGTACAAAGTGCTTCACTGGCTGCTGGACCTGTCGATCGCGCCGAATCAAGTGCGACGAGTAAGTCGACGACCACTCAAGACCTGGAGCAGGAATCGTGCTGACGTAGGCCTCTGGGGTTCAGAGCGACCCCCTCGTGCAAGCGTTGTCGTCAGGCGGATATCGAATGCGGAGGCTACGGCCTCCGGTTGAGCTGGGTGCAGTACAATCCCTACGACGCAGCAGACCCTGATCATGACAACGGCAGTCGCGAGACCTCCAAGCAACCGGAGGTCAGAGCTTCCAGGAGGTCTTTGGTGCCGTTTGGTGCTGCTCAGTCTCTTCCTCGCCTTAGTTCGCCTGAGCTGGACAGTGCCTTGACTGCACTCGACGAGTGGCGTCCCGAGGAATCTTCGCAGTTGGAGAATGGAGCTTTTTGCGTTTTTGCCGTGCAATCGTCTGCACCGGGTTCTTCTGATATCACCGAGACCGTGATCGCGCCTGACGACTACGCATTGCACACGATTGAGACGCCTCATCAGGACGACGATGGCATCCTGGTCGCCTCAGCTCAGGTCTTTCACAATATCCACGACGACTCAACACCTGCTGCCCGGCCTCACTCACCCTTCGAAGAGCAGAGCCGAACTGTTCCACCGCGCCATCTCGATGCTCTATCCATGCCATCCAAACAGAAACGACTCATACACCACTGGATCACCTTCACAAGCCGCAAGCTAGTCCTGATCGACGAGCCCCACAACCCATGCCGCACGATGATGCTCCCAATGGCGCTGAAAGGTCTCGTCTCGCAATCGGCCAGCTCCAACGCCGACGTCGCCATCTTCCACGCCCTGTGCGCCTCGGCAGCCTACAACCTCTTCGAGCTGTCCGGCCGCACCAACGAGCAAGACCGCGTCCTCGCGCTGTACCACGACAACGAAGCCGTCCACCACCTGCGCCACAACCTGGCGCGCGCACACCAGCACACCGACCAGTCCTTCGCCATGGCAATCATGGCCTGCATCGCCGTCGAAGCCGTGTCCGGCACCACCCAGCGCTGGCGCACCCACGTGTCCGGCGGGCTCGCGTACCTGGCGCAGCTGCAAACCCAGGGCCTCCCGGAAGCTGCCTTGTCCGCGTTCCGCCAGCACATGGTCAAGATGGCGATCCTGTGCGGCGTCGCCGTGCCGCCGCACCTGAAGCTCTTCCTGCACGACGCGACGGGCGCGGCTGACGGCCTGGAGTACACGTTCCCGTACTACGGCGTGTCGCGCGCGTTTCTGCGCGCGCAGGACCACGTTAACACGCTGTTGGCGCGCGCGCCGGGGCCGAGTGACACGGAGCTGGGCGACCCGGAGCGCGAGAAGGAGCTCGATGCGTTTGAGCTGCAGCTGTACCTCGACTTCCCTACTTTACCGCCGCAGAGTCCAGCACCAGGCGCAGGCGCCGCGAACACGGTCGTGATCCACCACACGTCCATGGCGTTCTACTACGCGGGCCTGGTGTTCTTCCAGCGGCACGTGCGTAACACGCCTGCGGCAGCAGTGCAGGACCTAGTCGAGCTGGGGCTGCGGGAGCTCGAGTCGATCGACCGCGTGGGCCAGGGCGCGCTGGGCTGCTTGATGCTGTGGCCGGTGCTGGTGCTCGGGGCCGAGTGCGAGGGGGCGGAGCTGCAGCAGCGGATGCGCGCGTGGTTCCTGGCGCAGCGCCCGCTGGGGTTTCGGAACTTGGTGGTGTTGGAGGATCTTGTTGCGACTGTTTGGAAGGCGGAGAAGGGGACGAGTTGGCGGCAGGTCATCGAACAGCCTCAATTTGATGTTTTCAGGCTGTGATATATCTGTCTCGGGCTGGTAGGTCGGGGAGTGCTCCGCTGACGTATTGGACCTCCTCCGATCCTGGGAGCGAGACTTGCGAGCAAGATGGCCATGATGACTCCGGGCTGCAGACTTTGTCCGACGTAAGCAGCGTGTTGGGAGGAGCACACCTACTTGCTGAAGGAGCGCGAGGTGTGAAGTACGCTGTGTGACGTCACGTCCACACCACGAACGACAGCCTCCACAGTCCGGACTCACGACAGCCTCCGCAATCTGGACTCACGACGTCCGTTGTGTATACCCACAACGGCCCGTACGAACAAGAGTAGTCCAATGTGTATGCACACCACACACCCTCCCGGCGCGCACTAGACCCAAAGCGGGCAACCGATCCCTCATACATACATCACCTATCTCCACTTCACCCAACCGACCCGACCAAATTCCGAAATACATCCCCATCCTCCACCTAACTTAAAAGCCCCTCCCTCTCCTCTACAGAGCCCCCAGAAGCCCCCTTTAACACCCCACCATGGTCACCCCAAACCCCAAAGCACCACTCATCCTCAGCGGCCCCAGCATCGCCGCCACCGCAGTATCCTCCTTCCCCGACCCGCACACCAGCGGCAGCGTGACCTGGAAAACCCTCATCTCGGCGCCGCAAACAGCCTCCGACTCGCTCACCGTAGGCATAGCTACATGCGCGCCGGGCAGCGCGGCCGGGTGTCGAGGGGACCTGAAACCGCATCGGCACGCGCAGGCAGAGGTGTATCACGTGGTGCAGGGTAGAGGTGTGATTACTATTGACGGGAAAGGGTATGCGGTGGAGAAGGGGAGTGTGGTGTGGATTCCGGGGGATGCAGAGCACGGGATTGTGAACGAGGGGGAGGAGGAGTTGGTGTGGGTGTATGTGTTTGCTGTGGATGGGTTTGAGGATATAGTATATCGGTTTGATAAGCCCGGGGCTGGGACGAGGGAGAGAGCGAAGTTGTAAGTGTTTCGAATCTAAGCATCGCCTGAGGTCGAGATGTGGCGTTTCTTTCACGTAATAGTGTACCGCTTCATCCCATGCTTTTGAAGGATCGCTGGAGTGATTTCTTCTGTACCGTCCAGGAAGTTATGGCCCCATTCATGCCCCCGAAAGCCTGCCACGTTGATCATCTGCCACGTCACTCCGTCAGTGTTCCGACGCAGTACGAACGGGAAGTTGACACCGAACAGACCGACAAGCTCATCGCCAGGCCGTATGCCATTTGGATCAGGGTGGTATGAGAGGCCAACAGTGCCACCAGTCGTGACGAAGATGACGCGATTTTTGGCAGTTGCCGCCATGCTCGCGTTAAACTGATCCACTTCCTTTTGGAACGGGTTGGGCATTGATGTAGGGCTTACTGTATCTGCTTCAAGTTCTTCCACGAGCCAACAGATGAACCTTGCGTTGCGAAAGACATCTGTTTGACTTCGTTCCAATGACGTGCCCCCTAAGGCCCTGACCAGATCCATCAATCTGCCACCATAAGGTGCGACTATATCTTTGTATATCTTATACAGGTTCTTGAACAATCCCGAGTACGGATCCACATCTTCGAGAGAGTCTAACAGAAGGCCAGATGTTTTAGCGATGGTGCCAATGTACAGGCCTGATGTTGTCATCGTATCAGCGTTCGTTGGACTCCATGATATAACCGTCATCGAAATAGAGCACCAATAACTCATGGACCACATTTGAACGGTAATCGGGTCAGTATTAAATCCAGTGATCATAGTGAGTGGACGATGGTAAGTGTCCACGGCTTTTGGACGTGTGACTATCTCGAAAATAGAATCTGCAAAAGCTGCACCGGTGATGCGCAGGTCTGGCACCCAGGAAGGTAGAGTCCCCAAAGATTTCGAATGAGGATCTTCTCTGAGAGCATGCAAGGGTGCGTATTGATAGATGAGCAGATCGTTCTGCCGCAATAACATGCCCGTTGTCTCGATGAACACTTCACGCATAGATTTCGTGTAATCTGGCACAATTCTCATATCAACTGTTCTAGAGATCCCCAACAGGCTGAAGATCTTGTCGCGGGGATCCGTTGCTGATAGATGCAGGGTTCGACATAGTTGAGAAGAAAACGAGCTTTTAGTGGATGCTCTGCGAACTCGGGAGGCCATCTCGCAAAATTTGCTGTGTATGTCAGGCTTAACCCTGTGGTGCGGTAGCCAGTTTATGAATTGCTGGAAAGGTTCCCAATGAAAGGTGTAGGCACCTATTCGTACCGATGCAGCTCGTGACAAAGCAAGCTCTTGCACGACCCATACTCTCTGAAACCAGGAACGGTCGATGATGCGGGATATAGCATTCAGAGCGCACTCCTTAGAGTCTTGAGCGCAATCAGCTTGTTCGTTGAGTATGGCTATGATGTCGCTTAGGTAGTCGAATAGAGTGGCTATAGAAGGGGTCGGGTTCGAGAACTGCAGTTGCATTGCAGCGAGGACTGTTCTCAGGTGGAGATCACTGTTGTCCACCGGGCCTAGCCAGACTATTACTATCTTCGCGGTTGAGTATATCTTGCCCATCATCTGGACTTGATGGTTTCGCTCTTGGATATTACTCTGGTCCATGGAAAGTGCGTCGACCCAGAGAGTGCGAGGCATCACCTTGTAGCGGAGATGGCGGAGCGCGCAGTCGAGATTCTCTGTGATAGACACCGGTTGGCCGTCAAGTATGGCGTTTTGGATTGAAAGCTCTGTGCCCCAGACGTAAGAGAGCGCCTCGTAGGCTTGCTCTGTGCTGTGCAGAAGGTTGCTTTTGACAAGCCTGATGATAAGCGGAGATTCAAATTGTCCGGGTGCAAGCTCAAGTAAGCGGATGTCACCTTGCTCAGAGTTGATTGCAGTGTATGGGGGTGCATGGCTGGAGTTTTCCAGCGCTGTGGTCGACACCTGTGGTATGAGAGGGCTAGGCTGGAGCAATTCTGGCTCCTGACTTGTTTTGTTGTCCGAATCATCATCGTGTTTAGTTTTCTGGCGCTTAGCGTTCATTGTGTTGATTGTGGCCAGTGGCTTCGGTTGTCGTATCGATCCAAGTGATTAGTGATGCGGTGGAAGTGAAGAAGTTCGAACGTGAGGTGTGCATTGCAGCCACAGCGTACGCGAATGGCAGGCGTCAGGGGTTGTGTTCTAGTCCATCAGGCGCAGCTGAGGCGCAAGGCAGCCGCGAATCAGCACAATCAGAGGGGCATTGCACGCATTAAGTTGAACAAGACAGTTTTGAAAAAAATGATTCATTACAACAAAGAAATTTCAACAAGAGACGCCTCGCTGTACAAATAAGCACACCGAGATCTACCATGCCGTCATTACGCATAATCTAGATAAGGACAGTGATCAAAACAAAACAAAGGGTGAGCATGTAAGAAAAGAGCTACAACAAGATGACCTGCAAACCAAAAACCCACCGCTAGATGTACCTCAGCCTCCTCGCAGTGCCCAAGCAGATCGCAACGAACAGGGCGATCGTGCCCAAGATGCCATAGAACCAGGCCGGGCTGCCGTCCTGCCCAGGAACTCTCACGTTCATACCAAACAAACCGCAGATCAAGTTCAGCGGAACAAGGATTGTCGCAATAACGGTAACCTTCTGGAGGGTGTCGTTACTAGCATTGCCCTGGATAACTTGATCGACCGAGATCTGCGCGAGGTAGTTGGAGTGCGCGCGGCTCAACATCTTCTCGAAATGCGCCAAGTTAGACATCATAGTGACGACGTGGTCCTGGATATCGCTGAGGTAGAGACCAACATCGCCACGAGGTGCAACGCTGTAGGATTCGTTGCAGCGCTTGGCAAAGCCCTTGATGACGTCGGCCTTGCCGCCGAGGAGGCGCAGCAGCTGCATGACCCGCTTGCGAGCGTCGCCTACTGCACGGAGAATTTCGCGCGAGTCTTCGATGCGGGCAGTGAAGACCTGGTCCTCGATGGCCTCGGCCTCGTCCTCAATGCCGCGGATGACAGGACCAAAGCTGTCCACAATGTCATCAATGAGGGCATAGCAGATCCAGTCGGCATTGAGGTTGATGTAATCGCGGAGGCGGCTGATGCGCTTACGGACGTTGAGAGTGTGGGGGCTCTCAGCAAACGTGAACGTGAGCAGCCCTTCCTTGAAAACAACAGCGTAGAAGTTGAGTGGATCCAAATAGTCCTCGGAGTCTTTGTCGACTTGGCAGAAGGAGCGGAATGCCACGAAGTAGTATTGGTGAAACAGCTCCACCTTCTCGCGCGGCTCCTGGATGCAGATATCCTCGCGGGTAAGAGGATGCACACCAAAGGCCTTGCAGATAGCAAACACTTCCTCTTCGGTCGGGTTAACCATGTCCATCCAGAAGACGCCACTGTCTGGAGGTGTCTCGAAGAGGTCGCGGAAGCGTTCTCCAGGCATGAGCAGGCCTCCAAGCTCTGCTGCATGGATAGTGTCATCGAGCTCAGAGGAGAAGAACGTGAACCGGTTACCAGACAGGCCGGGGACGTCCTTCTTGTTCTCAGTGTACATGTGCGCCAGGCCCTCCTCTGCGAGCTTCTCTTGGATGGCTGGATCAACATCCTTCAGAGTGGCAGTCTCGATGTCGTCCTTGCGGCTTGTCTGGCTGGATTTCGGTCGAAGGTCTGCAAATATCTTCTTGGACATCTGAGAAGCAATGCTAGGCTTGTGGCGCAAGTTCTGGCCGATTGGGGTCCTTTCCTGGCACTCGGCAACAAACTCCTCCAGCTCTTCGTAGTCAAACCGCGTAGTCTTTCCAAAGTCTTCCTCCACGGGAAAGCACACATCCTCCTCTGCAGAGCTGGCAGCAGATACAGACTTGATGCTCTTCACGTCCTCGGGGCGCTCATCACTGATAGTGGGACGACGTGCAGTGGCTCGGGAGTGCGTCCTCTGGAGGTTGAGCTCGACGAAAGACGGCGTGCGGCTGTTGACAGTGTTTGCACGGTCGCGGCGGCGGTTGGGACCAGCGAATGCATCCACAGAGTTGGGAGGGGATGTTGATCGCGAAGTGGTTGAGGATGCGCGAGACCTAACAAGTCGCTCAATGGCTGGGTCGCGCGGGCGCCTAAAAGTGTCGCGGCGTGCGGACGGGCTGTGGGCCTGTACAGAGCCACGACGACCACGCACATCAGGGGACAGGTACGGGTCATCGTCGTCAGCAACGGCGTTTTCCTCAAAGTCGCGAGCGGTAATGCCACCTGCCTCCAGGGCTTCGTTGACATGAATGAGCAGGTTCGGGCGCTCAATCTGGTTATTGATACTAGCAAAAGTCGGGCGGCGCGATCGAACGGGAGGCGGTGAGTCAGCGCGGGGCATGGACTGGGGCTGACGGCGGTGGTCGTCGAGTTCAGACACCGGGGTGCTGAACCTCGTCTCAGACTTCTCGGATCTTGGAGTGTCAGACATGTTGGCGGCTCAGGCGGCGATTGAGCTTGACTCCAAGGGTCTTGTCGGTTTCTTTGGTTAAGCCAGGGTTGTGGACGTGGGTGCGCAAATCAAGATCTCTTGCGGAGCAAGAAACCTCAAGGTTCGGCGAGTCGCTTGTGAGCGATCACCTCAAGGCGCGCTCAACTTGACTAATGGCCTTGCGTAGGGTCCTCCCCTACACTCAGCCGCTGGGGGGAAGTTTCCGGTAGCCAGACTTCCTGATCCTAAGGGAACAAGGAAGGGTGAGGATGCAGTAGGTCGAAAGCGAATGTGTCTATGGGTGCTGGTGAAGCCCAGTTATGGCGGCTTCTTGTAGTCGCCTCCGTAGACCCACGCCTTGGGTCCGAGAAGGGGACGGATGGAGGAGAACTTGTGAAGGTAAAGCCCCGCCAACTTGATGGTTTGGATTGATTAGGACGCCGAGGCGTCAGAAAGTGCTGTGAAGGGGAATGGTGATCGAAACGGGAAGCCCGAGTCGGATCAGCAGCAGTGGTGGGCGGTGAAGTCCACGGAAGGTTTGAGGGATTTCCTGAGCGAGTCAGCGATGCAGCTCTGGAGGTGCAGTCGCTAGTGGTGTTGAGCGTACAGTGGGAACGAATCGAAGTTTGTATGCGGGTGCTAGGGGGTTTACAGAGTCCTAGGGACGGTGTGGGTGGTGGAAGGGTGGGAGGGAGGGCAGGAGGTTGTTATGTAGCGAACGCCGACGGCCCGCACTGTCAAGCTTTTCAAAGAGAGTCGGCCGCGGTCCCGACGGGGCTGAGTGGATGCTACGGCAACTACAACCAGTGACGCATCCAGACAGGGGCGCCCAGATTTGACGTCGAACAGTATCTAAATCAGGTGACTCTTTGCGGTGCTCTGACTGGCCTGAATTGTGTACGCCAAAAGCAGTGTTTGGCGCATGGGTGTGTCAGGTTCACGGTTCCAGGTTCGCTCAGCCTCGACTCGCGGCGTCGGGTTGCGTCGCACGGACTGCGGCTGATAATCCCTGCGTCGGGCTGCAGCTCGGGGAAGCTGCCACATCGACGATTGAGTGGCCGCAGAACATCCATCTCGCCGGGTCGGTCAGTAACAGTAACGCAAGGCACACGGTGTCTCGACAGCAGCCAGAGTGCGACCAACGACGTCCACCACAACCACCACCATGTCCGAACAGATGCTGGAGCAGGTGCGCGAGGCGGTCGAGGGCCAGATTGTAGGTGGACGCTTCGCATTCGCGGGAAGCTAGACATGGTATGGAGGCTAACACGTGCAGGACTTTGAGGGCCAGCGACTGGCGGAGATGCTGACGACGGTGTTGCTCGGTGCAGCAGGTGTACGTCCTCACTGCTCCGCGCGCGCTGTCCCCACGACTCACCGCCCCAGATCATTGCCTTCCTCGTTGGCTTCGCGCAGCAGGACATCAAGCTCGCGCTCTACATTGGCCTCGCCGGCACCGCCCTCACCTTCCTCGTCGTCGTCCCACCGTGGCCCTTCTACAACAAGAACCCCGAGGACTGGCTGCCGGCGCACAACGCCTCGGCCTCGAGCTACAGCATCGACGTGGACGGCCAGAAGGTTGGATAGACGCACGTCACAAGAGTGGAGAAGACAACAGGGCAATATCATGACTGTAGTTTATGGTTCATTCGACGATTCTCGCGCCGGTGATGCTGACTGCTCTCGTGTTCGCATGATCCTTTTATAAGCCCAGTGACGCCAGACGTCCATAACGAAACCCAGACCAAACGCTGCTTGCTGTGCACAGTGTTCCCGGGCCTCTATCGGCCGTACCTCTGGAACTCCCAGTCTCGGTTGTCGAGCGGGCACACTTGTCGCGTCTTGAGCCATCGGGAGATGCAGTGGAAGTGGAAGGCGTGCTGTGGACGTTAGCTGTGAGGGCTGAGAGGGCGGTGATAGTCGACGTACATTGCAAATGCCCCAGGCGACGGTGCACTCTTCACTCGTAGCAGACGCCTGGTTGGCCTGGCACTCGATGCAGAGATCCATGATGTGGTTACGGCAGATGGCGCAGTTGTCGACGACGATGTCCCAGGCCCAGAGCGCCACGGCGTTCCACTGCGCCCTGTTAACAACCAGCCAGTCATGCTTGAACCTCACGCGACTACTCACCTTCTTGACCTCGAAGCGCTTCTTGTCGCCGGTGTCTGTGCTGGCTGCGGCCTTGGCGACCTTGGTCTTGGGCGCGGGTGCGTCTGCCATATCAACGTCGGCCATGGTTGCGGTGGATGTGGGGGCGGGGAGTTGGGAGAGCTATCGGGGGCCGGCGGCGGCGGTGGGAGGCGTTAAGTGCGGTCGTGGTGCGGTGGAGGACAGGCAATGCAGCTCGCAAGCAGGGTTGGCAATGGCGCACTACGGTGACGGTGTGTTTGCCGTGTTGGCCTGGTCGACGTTCACGCCCGCCAGAGGCAACAGTGGATCGTGCCTGCGGAAGCTCGGTGAGCACGGGCCAGCATCGTCCTCCTCCCTGCGTGTGCAACAGAACACCACTAGGGATGGATGTCTGAACTTGAAGGCTGTGAATCAAGCACTGTAGTCGCTGTAGGCCCTTTTCCAGGGCTCCAGTCTCCCCAGCATGCTGGACGCTGTTCTGCAACCAAGGGAGGGCGCCCGTTTCACGCGCACCGCTTGCGTCGGTGCATGGCCGGGTCAGGCAGGCTGTGACGCTCGCTGCCCGAAGACAAGGCTGCGCCGCCTCCGCATAGTCACCACCAGCGCAACCAACGTCGCCCACCACTCTCTCACTTGCCCTCCTCCGCTTCACGCAACGACCCGTGCCCATTACTACTCCTGCGCGCTGGACATGAACACTCCCCACCTCCACAACTCCACCACCTCGCCTTATCAGTCCCGCTGCACCACCGCCTCGTCATCCCGCGCCATCACTTGATCCGCGCCCACGCCGCAGAGAGCCCCGACGACGACCACGACCACAGTCGCCCGCCTTTCCGCCTCCACACACATTGCGCCTGCCTTACATGTCGACGGGCCAAAGTATAGCGTCTCCACGCGCCCCGCGCGGCCAGCACCGCCAGCCGAGCGCATCGCAGCCCGGGCAGGAGAACACCAACGGCGGCAGACATTCGCAACGCCGATCGAGAGGCGGCCGCAACCACAACAATGCTGCGCATGCCTCGCCAAGCAAGCTTCCAAATGCCGAGCCCTCGTTCTCAGAGGGTGGCGCCTACACCACCGACGATGCCCGCGCGCACCCAGGCCCGCGCAGCGGGAAGAAGCACATGCGTGGCCAGCCGTCGCACGATCGCACATCCACAGCCGTGGGCGCCCAGACCTCCCTGACCGACACCGAGGCCATCACCAACCGTGCTTCTGCCACGCCCATGAAGAATCAAGGCGCATACGCCGGCCCTACCTTCCACGCCTCGCCCGCACCCTCAGCCTTGCCGATCCCCAAGTTTCTGTCTCGTTCTGTGCCCGCCAAGACCGCTTCTGGTCCACCCACGCCTCCACCAGACCACAGCTCTGATTCCGCCGACTCGCTGAGCCCGTCTCCTTCACCGTCGCGCGCCCCGATTGCAATCCCCGCACGTCATGAAGACTCTCCTCTCGACATGCTGTTCAGGGCCGACAAAGCGGAGAGGGCTAAAAACATCAATTTCAGTCCAAACGCGCACCAGGTCCGGCCTCAGCCGCCGCCGCTGCAGCAAGAGTACAACGTCTTTCCCATGGAGCTCGACGGAGAAAGCAGGAACTCGCAGGGACCTCCTCTGTTTCAGTCTCCAACTGGACATCGGTCCACAACAGACCCTTCAAAGCTGCCTCAATTTAGAGATGTTCAACAGTCGGACAGTGGAAACGACGTAATGCAGGATCTTATGAACAAGCTTTCAATGTCGCAGAAGAAGCCCAACGCCGCAATGGAAACTCCTCCTCGACAGGCTGCACAAGCTCCTGGCAACTTTCAGGGGCCTCAGCACACTCCTTCCCCGTTTAACACGGGTAGACCTTCGGCCAACCGCAGCGTTTCAGGTCCCTCGACCCCCGCGCAAGCCCCTCAGGACGGCCCTGATTTCTTCTATGGCAATCGCAATCTTTCACCAATGTTCAAAGCAGCCCAGGGCGACACTCCAAAGCGCAACTCTAGCCTCCGCACCGAAGTTACGGCGGACTCTCCTACAGGCCAGCAAGGCATTTTCCAAGACTTCCCATCTATTTCATCTGGAAATGCCATCGACCCCAATGCATTCGCGCGCGGTCAGCCCGCTGGCGATGCTCAGGGTCCGGCAAATGCACGTCGTGGATCTGTGCCCTATGGCCAGAACCAACAAAGGCAGCCCAACAAGCATGTCACGCAGACACCGGGACGGTATCAGCAGCGTCAGGACGCTCATCAACGCGGCCGGGGCAATTTCCACGGACAAGGACCTAGAAACGGCCGACCGACTGCAAACTCACCTGCCGCACCTGCTAAGCCAGCTACAACCATGATGTCTTTCGTGCCCGCCTCAGTGTCCGCGAAACCGAAGCCAAAATTGGAGCAGCAGCTGGCTGCCTCTGCGCCTCCGTCCACGACTGTACCCCCTCCCCAGTCCTCAGCACCCGAAACGTTGGCTTTGGAGCAGGATCTCAAGCGCATGCTCAACCTCAACATCTCTGGACAGGGGGTTCGATAGCCTCGAAATCCTTGATTCTCTCTTTTTGCTGCATGGCTCGCAGGCGATTTGTGGTTGCTTCGCTTCATGTCCATCACTTTCGTTTACTCTCATGGATCTATTGCTGGCTATTGCCATGTCCGTGATCATGTTGCATGGCACTCTTATTTTTATCTTGCTCAGGCGTTGGGTGGCGTTATATTGAAATCCGGCAATGATTGGCATATCACCCGGATTTATGGCGGAAGTGCTGGTTTTGCTCGAGTCAGTTTTAGGTTATGGTATGACGGGCCCATCTCGCAAGGACACATTGTTTGCGACAGATGCACGGCAATGGTGTTAAGAGCTGGAATGGCGTGGTTATGATACCAGGTTTGGTACCTTGTTTATCTACATACTCCCTTGAGGTGTCCCGGCAGGCTATTGAGCAGCGGGCCCTTTTTGCTAACGCTCTGCCATCCTTTCCTGGATCCAGGCACGACTTGAACTCATCGACACTCCATCAACACAGTACAACATAAAAACAAATAAAATATATGGGCATAATGCTCGGCTCAGTCTCAGAGAGACTGAGTTTTATGCCTAACACTGGCTCTCTGTGGATTGACGTGTTATGGTGAGGTCTTGTATTGACAAGTCACAGATGCCAGGATGATTCTCCCAGAGTCAAACGCTGACCCTTACTCGAACCGCCAATATCAATCTTATCCTCGCCTCTATGTTTACAGACGCGGGTACATACGCGTGCTCGGTCAGCTCTGATGCACTCCTACGCTGGCCGACGTCACATGGACTTACTTTCACCTAAGCACTGGCCAGCTCGGATTCAGGCATCTACTGCTATTTCACGCCGTGCGGGGAAGTTCCGTCTGCTTCTCAACTTCACCTACGATTGCAAGCCTGGCTAGCGACCTTCCCCTCTATTTCACGCGCGCTTCTTGCTTCCTCGAGCCAACCTCTCACAGCAGCAGCAGCAGCAGCAGCAGCAGCTACAACAACAACAACAACACACGCGCGCTTCTTGCTCCTTCAGTCAAGTTCTTACAGCTATATCAACAACAACATCGACAACATCAACACACGCTAGCAACGATGAATCGTCTTAAGCAGAAAGGCATGTCGGGCGCGATCATGGTTACGAGTACAGGCTAACAGACTCCAGCGTCACAACTGTTCAAGCACGGCCAAATCCATGACGAAGAAGAAGTCAACGTCTCTCCAGTTCAAGAAGCTGACCTCAACACTGGCACGGAACGCAAGCTGCGAAAGAAACGTTGGCTTCACCACCTTGCCTGCGGCCGGCAGCTAACATCAACAGCAACCGCCATCTTTCGAAAGCGCACTGACAAGCCACTCCCTGCTCCACCGAACGCTGATGCTGTCGATGAAGCTTCTGCAGCACTGGCGAAGGGTCATGCTGGTGAATGTGAGATGGACTTCATCACTAACGCGCTGGATGCGACAGCAGTGACAAGGCGTCCAGCGTTTGCTCCCACCACAGTATCGCCAGCGCACACCACTGCTAGCGAGGAGAGCTCCGATGACGTGCGCAACACAAAGCAAGCAGAAGTGGTGGTCAAGAAGCGCCCCAGCTTTGCTTCCCTGCGCAAGTCAAGTATGCTGTACAAGTTCCACCGCTTCCACCCTTACCAACGCCCTGCAGGTTCTCGCATCTTCCGCACCAGCTCTGACGACCATGAACCTCCTCCACCGGTGCCCCAGATCCCCGCCATCATCCCCACGCCACGGCCACGCCACACTGGCCTCTGGCCTCAAGGACCGGCCCGCCCTGCACGCCTCCCCCGATCAGACACCGGCCGCGTCGCCATCTCCCGCCCGGTCGCCTCAGCCCAACAGGCTCCGCCCCCACCCCCCGCTGAGGTCTCCATCTTCTCCTTCACCAAGCCCTCCGGCCCACCGCCCCCCCGTCCACCGCGCCCTGGCCCCATCGACATGGACATCGTGGCCATGCAGCGCGACAGCAGCGCGCGCGTGGTCCTGTCGAGTCTCCCCCCCGCGCGCCCCCCAACAGCCTCGACCACCTCCTCGGCCGCCGCGCGCCTCGGCCCCCAGCGCCCCAGCACCACGAGGCCCTCCTACTACCCGGGCCGCCTCACCCGCCTCCCGCGCCCCAGCGACGTAGACCCCTCGCTGCGCGTCCGCTCCTCCTCCTCCACCCTCCGCGCCCCGACCTTCTCCCCCCCGCTCGCCGCCATCTTCCCGCGCGACCCCCGCCGCCCGCTGCCCTCCCGCGCCGCCGACGGCTCCGTCACGGGCTACTCGCGCTTCAGCGCGTACGTCATGGCGCTGGAGGGCTACGGGCGCGGGGGGGTACCCCGCCGGCGACGGGCCGCTGGAGCTGTACGACCCGGAGCGGGCCGCGGACTGGACGGTGGAGAGGCGGATGAGCGTCGGGCCTGGGGGGAGGGGGGGTGGCACGCTGTGCCGGGACCGGTGGGGAGGGTTCCACTACGTCCCCGACGTCTAGGGGGCGTAGTGGAGGTGGGTGGGTTGGGAGTCTGGGTTGGGTTCTTGTGTTTGGGTTTTGTCTGGTTTTCGTCCTGGGAGGAGTTTTGCGGCTGCCTCGTGCTTTTTAGATACCCGCTGAATGATACGACGTGCTCCTTTCGCCCACAACGTCTTCCACACAGTCCGGTGGCACGTGCGGAGTGTCTCCCCGGAGCCGCGTGTGCAACGCGCCTCCAGCCCGCCCTTACCTGCCTCCCTCCCCCCCTCCCCCGTTCCAAATACAGACGCCTTGCAGTCGAGCCGAGACCGCAGTGCGAAATTGGCAATGGCAGTCCGCACGTCGGGACCCCCGGGATCGGCACAGGGATGTCTAGCACGCATCGCGAACCTAAAAAACTCCTGTGTCTACGCAAGCAGCCCGCAACGCCCGTAGCCCTCTCTTGCGCGTAGCTCTGCGATTACAGAGGCGCTGTACCGACCGGCCATCCGCCCCACGCTCCTTAATCTTTGGCGTTCTACAAACCTCCTTTTTGCGAGTCAGACGCAAGGCCTCACTCAGATATCGACTTACACAGATCGGCACTCGCGCTCTTACACTTACACTTCCACTTACGATGACGCCCCCAACAACCCTGACCCAGCGCCGCGCCAGCGCCATGGACGCCTACAAACAAGTACGCCCCCGTCTACCCCCCCTGCCACTCACCGCGCCCGCGTCACGTGCTAACAGCGCAGCACCTCGACGTCTCGCAGACGCGGCGGCAACGCCGCCGGCGCAGCTGGGCGGACCAGGACATGGCGTACGCGAGCCTGCCGCACGGCAAGACGTACGCGCAGCTCGCGGCCGCGGGCATCGTGGCGCGCGCGAAACAGGTACGGGGACTCTTTTTTTCGGTGCGTTGGGGGGGAAGTGCTAATGCGGGTAGATTTTGGCGGGTGATGAGGTGGTGTCGAGGGGGTCGTCGATTAGTGAGGGGGGGGAGTAGGGGGATTGGCGGGCGGGTTGGAGGGGGGGACGCGGATGTGATGGGATGGCAGTGTATGAGCGCCAGACGCGGCATAGATGGGTTCTCGGTTCAGGTCAGGGCTAGGGACGGCGTTGAGAGGGTCTTCAAGGTCACGCGAGATGGGATGGATAAGGCGGGTGGTGAAAGGGCGGAAGGGCGAGGTGTGAATCCAACCCAGTTAGCCTGCTTAGTCATACCAGCACCCATCAGGCATCTATATCTTACTGCATCGCCAAACACATGTCCCAGGACAATCAGACGCAAACCCGGATATCAAACATGTCAATCACAGTCCAGCCCGTGTCCGACGCCGAACTCCACCGGTCGTGCGTCATCGAGGGCGCTGCCTACGCCTACAGCGACCTGACCCGCATCCTCTTCCCCGGCCCGTCGCCGCCAGACTCGCACCAGAAGCGCGTGGACCAGCTGATCCAGCTGCGCGCCGAGGACCCGACGGTTGTGTTCATGCAAGCCATCGACACGGCGTCGGGCCGCATGATGGCCTCGTCGAAGTGGCACATCTACCGCACCGCGGCCGACACGCAGATTCCGCTGCGCAAGCGGGAGTTTGGCGCTGGCACGAACCCGGCGGCGTGCGAGGCGTTCTTTGGCGGCATGGCGGCGCGCAAGAAGCAGATTCTGGGCGACCGGCCGCATGTTTGTACGTCTCTACGCGGGGATTGCGGGGGGGGGGGAGTCACTAACCAAGCGCAGACCTGCATATGCTGCACACGGACCCGGAGTATCAGGGGCGCGGGGCGGGGAGTGCGCTGATGGAGTGGGGCAAGCAGCGGGCGGATGAGCTGGGGCTGCCGTTGTATCTGGAGTCGAGTGCGGTGGGGCATGGGTTTTACTTGAAGCACGGGTTGAAGGATATTGAGGTGATGGATATTGATTTCAGTCCGTTTGGGGGTTCGGTTCACAAGCAGCCGTTGATGATGCGAGAGGTGTCTGGGTCACGGTGAGCCATGTTTGTGTGAAAACCGTCTCATCATTTTCGCTATCTGTCAACGAAGACTGGATTGTGTGTTGCATATTTTGGCAATACGGCCGTCATCCCTGCATTAGACCGTCGTGTAGACCGTGTAGTAGATCAACGGCGTCGGCCATAGACCTTCTTTGGTTTGCCGACTTTGTGAGCCAAAGGTACTTCGTAGACATATTGCCTACAATTCTGGTCAAAGTCACGGCGTTCTCTATTCGTACTCGTGACCTTGGGCTCCAATACCATCTCTGGAGGCGTATCCTGCACCAGGATATCATCATCCTGCGTCATCGTCTCCGCCTGCGTGTCGTAGTGGAATTGCGTCTGCTGGTCACGATGCTGCCCCCATTGTTCCAGACTATCGCATGCCTCATTGCCTACAGGCGGAGTCCTGCGCACCTGAACAGTCTCTTCTCGTCGTAGTCGTCCGTACTGCTTTGCCGCATCACCCCTCTCAGAGTTAGGCTCGACGACATTCACCCCCTCATTCGATTCGTGTGTTGGAGTATTGAGGTCATCCAGATCGACAATCTCTCTTTGAAAATACCTACCTCGTGTTGAAGTGTTGACGCGATGGAGTTGGCCTCTACTGTCGTTCGTTGGAGGCGTCGGAGCGTCATCGGGCTCATCTTCGGCATACTCCTGCCCCTCGGACTGCTGATCGAGGGATGCATCTTGACCTTCGTTGGATTCAGTATAATCATCAGCATAGTCGCGATGTGTGCCGACTGCATAGTCTTGGTAGAGCTGGTCTCTGCGCTGAGCATTACCCGTGCGGTGACACTCGTCCGTGAGATCGTTTGGATCTGGGGTTCGCTTGGAAGAGAGGAAGTGGGACTGTGTGCCATCAATTGAACTCCTGTCTGATGCTTTTCGCTCTCCAGATGTCTGGTTCAACACTGAGATCTGTTCAATGAGCTGGCCGTCTTTACGACGTGGGCGCCACTTCTTAATGGCTCGCTCGTATTGAGCTTCGAACTCTGCTGACATCATTGGGTGGGTGAACCAGATATGCTCCAAGGCTTCGGTCGCAGACATGCGATCTTCCTCGTCCAAGACAAGGAGACGTTTGATGAAATCTTTCGGCGCAGGGGCGATCGGGCCCCACAAAGGGTGGTACTTGTCGTCGAGGATGCTCAAATCGCATTCTGCGGCTAGACCTACTATAACACGTCGAGGGTCTTCCTCGAAGGGACCGTCATTTCGGCAGCTGAATAAAATCTCTCCTGTGAGTATGGCTGCCGTGATGGATCCAATGGACCACATGTCGACACTTAGAGAGTAGCCACTCGTGCTTGGGATGGCGTCGTTCGCTCTGTGGATTTCAGGTGCAGCGTACTCAAGCGTACCCACAACACTATACATGCGTTTTAGCTTGTTGCTCGTAAAGTCGCGCTGGGTGTTTGCGTTAGGCAGAAATCGCGCATGGCCAAAGTCTGTAATGACAACACGGGCGCCGTTATCGAGAGATGTCATCAGTATGTTGTCAGGTTTGAGGTCTCTATGCACGACATCGTGATCATGCAGATACTGAACACCCTTCAAAACCTGTCGGATAATAACAGCGGATTCGATGATTGGAATCTTGCCATGCTTGTACTGAATGTATGAGAAGAGGTCTCCGCCGGTCACGAGTTCCTGGAACATGTAAATCGTGCTCCGACTCCAGAAAACCCTTTGTATGTGGACAATGTTGGGATGGCTGAGGTCTTTGAGAATGTCAAACTCGCGAAAACAGTTCTGGACATTGAGCGGCAATTCATTGATGGCTTGGTTCGAGGGCTGTTGCGCATCATTTGTGGACGCGAACAGGTCAGCGCGTCGGTCGTAGAGTTTTTCGAGGTTCACCATCTTACATGCGAGCTGACGCTGTGTGATCTGGTCGATACCAATCAGTACCTTGCCATATCCACCTTCACCGAGTAGGCGGTTGGTAATGAGGTAGCGAGACGAAAGCACCGCCTTCTCGCGCTCTTGAGTCGCTGTCAAAACACTTTGCATAACTGCTCCAACTGACCGATAAATTAGAGTAACGGTCTCTGACAGCTGGAGCTCGTCCCCGTCATCGAGAAGAAAGCTGCCATTCTGGCCCATCAAGATACCCCGACCTTGAGAGCCAGTGCAATCGGCATTGCTTTTCCTCAAGTAAGTGCCATTCGCCGAGAGGTCAGTAGCATAGACGAAAGGAGCAATATTAGCAACCGGATCTTGTTCGTACAGGATGCAATGGATGCGAAGATGTTCTCTAGAAATTGTGAAGTCGTCATACCAGCTGTAGCGGCTGAAGACCGCATTAGCATCTGCAATGTCATCGGACGAGACACGACCACTCTCACCACTTCATGTCTCTTCCAAGCACGAATTGTTCATTGCCGCATACTTCGACGGTGCCATGCGTGTCTATGCATGTGAGCTTTCAACGTTCGTCGAAAGGAATACTCTCACAAACATAAAGGATTGCGGCCCGCCAGTTGGATTTCGAAGTGCGCCACAACCTCATCCGCCATCATACAGGATCTGCTCCAGTTCTGAGAGCGATTGAATAAGAACCGTGCTGTGATGCCAGAGGTGACGCGTGACCGTGCCTTCTGGAGCTAGCGTGCCTTCCTCGCTTAGCTCAGTTAGCGCGCTTGGCACCACACCACAAACCAAAGCCGCGAGCTCAGCAACTTTCCTTCTGCATCCCACGACACTCATCTCAAAGCAACGTAAGTGTTATATCCGAGCCCAGCAGCATACTCCCAATGCTCAATTGAGCATGTTGCGGTGTGTTGTTCTTTGTTGAACACTCACCGTTCTTGCTGCAAACCCCGCATGACGTGCACCGAAGCTACAGCTGCTAACATCAATCGTAGTCAGCCGACAAGATGAGAGCCAAATGGAGGAAGAAGCGCGTCAGGAGACTCAAGCGTAAGAGGAGAAAGACGAGGGCTCGTTCGTAAGTTGCACTGCACAACCAAGTTCAGCTCAGCAAGCTAACAACCTCGCAGCAAGTAAACAACTCGCCCCCAATCTCAGCAACCACCACCACCTCAGTTCTGAACGATAACGATCATTGAACGCCCCGATCTGCGCACCACCTTCCGTCCGCTCAACTCACTGTTTACTCGACTGCGTTGCCCAGCTACGTCATACGGCAGACATGCGACACGAGCTTCAACCATTCCACGGAGGGCGACTGCTAGGCTGAGGATGGCACTGGCTACTGGTCAATCACCCATTGAGGTCTTCGAGAATTACTTGAACACGATGGTCACTCTAACACCGACCGTGCTCACCAGCACATTGCACGCATCGCGCGCATTGCACTTCTGAACCGGTCTTTGACTGATACATCTCCGTGTGGAGACATGATATCGAATGAAAAAATGCTTCACGACAAACTTGCCCTCCTGTCTGATTTTGTGATGTACTGGTTGTGATGTGCGCTTGCCGAGACAGCTTCCCCGCATTTCGAGCTCCAGCTATGACGGTCAGCGTCGTCCGATATCCGAACTAAATTTGCTAACAAGCACGCTTGTTACTCTGCGTTCAGTGCTGTACTCTCGCTGTTCTGGTCACGCTACTTGAGTAGCCTGTCCCAAGACGGCGTCGCAGCTGAACGCAACTGGAGCTGTGCGTGCAAGGATCCTCCGTGAAGTCGCGAGCTCCACATGTCCTTGTGCGAAGCAATAAGAATTCGAACGCGTGAGCAGTCTTTAGTGTTAAGCGCAATGACCCCCTACTGAGGGCGTGGGTGAAGAATATTCAAAATGCGCAAAAGTTCATGTACTCACAAAGACAACAAAAAAACAATTCGGAGTTGTACAAATGCATCATGTAGTTTCCACATGTATGAAGAAAAAAGCATTACATCCCCATCGCACGCCGGCGATCCCACCATGCAAACCCAGGGTATCACTTCATCCGTATATACGTATCCAATCCATATGCAACCCCAACGCGCGACACAAAAAAACAGCACGGCACCAACCGGCTCCTCACGGCCTCAGCATCCACTCGTCGGCTGACTTCCGCTCCGCGCTCGCCCGTATCTCCTCGTCTAAGTGCACTTCGCGGAACACAATCACGCCGCTGGGCTCGCTGGTGCGTCGGCTCGATGGCGCCTCGGACGCCCATGCGCGCGCTGAGAAGCCCTCGGTGACTGTGTCTGTGGCGGTGTCTTTCTCGGGCTGGGGAGTCAGAGAGCGCTGCGAGAAGACGGGGAGGATGGGCTGATGGCGGCCGCGGGTGAAGATGCGTTTGAGGAGCGAGGGGGCGAGGGGCTCGCTGTGGTCGTGCAGGACGGGGGTCGTGCTGGAGACGGAGCGTAGAGCCGGGCGGTCCAGGGTGTCTAGTGCGACGGAGTCGCTGCGCATGCTGGTGTTGAAGGTGCTGCCGCCGAACGAGCTGAAGCGCGAGGTGCCTTTGGAGAAGTAGCTCTTGGCCTTGCTGACGTACGACGAGGTCCATGTGCGGGCTGACACGAAGCTGCTGGGTGTGCTGGAGGCGGTGTCATGCATGATGTACAGGCTGGGGAAGAGTTTGCCTAAGCCGATTGCGAGGAGCATCTTCTTGTAAGTGTTGTAGGCGTCTGTGCCGGTGCCGAAGAGCAGGAATGCGATGTATCCCAGGCCAATTTGGCCCCATTTGTCGACGTGCACAGCGCCGTCTGATCGGAACTTGAGAATGACTTTTCTTTTGTCTCCCTCGATGGAATCCCACCACGCGGTGTCAAGCTCGTATGTGACCATGGCGTTGCAGAAGTAGTAGAATGAGTACACCGAGTACGCTACGACGGTGAAGAGGAAGACCATGCACATCAAAAAAAGACGGAGAAAGCGAGATCGAGTGGTATTGCGGGCTGACACGAGGCGGGAGAATTCGCGACGGTACCGGAAGAGACGGAAGAGGAGGAGGACTGTCCAGGATTAGCACAGGTCATGGTCTGAAGGGCGCTGCACTTACCTGCATAATACACCACTGCGAGCATTGTGATGAGCACCCACATGACATTGAGAACCAGACTTCTCCAATTTGGGTCATACCCAGAATTACATCCTTCGATGCCTGAGATGTGGTAACGGACGGACTGGATGGGAATGTATAACAGGATCATAACCAGAGGATATGCCCAGCACCATGCAAGCTCGACTAGCTGACGCCTCAACTTGCTGCTCCTGCTTAGAGACACGGTGATGTTGCGAGTATCCATGACCTGTGCGAGTCTCCGAAGGATCATGGCCACGGCTGCGCCCAAGCTGACTTGCGCTCCGACCTGGATGCGGACGTTGATATCGCACCACACAGCACCATCCCACCACTGGTCGATGTTGTCGTGGCCCCATATTATCGCATTGATGCCGAGAGGGAAATTTGTGAGGATGATCCAGAGCACCAGCGAGCTCGCTGCAACGTTTCGCTGCGAGATGTGCCAGACAAGAGGTGCAATACAAAGAAGCCAGGAGAACCAAGCGAGTACCGAGAAGAGAATGGCTGTAGGGTAGACATCTCCAGTGACGTCTCCAGTGGACATGATCTCTGTCAAGTCAGTTTCCAGTACCAGAACGGGGAACGGCCTGATAGACATACTGAACGTCTTGGGTATCCTATAGGAAAGTCTTTGGCAGCCACACCAGCCGGGAGAGTGGTAAGCTGTGGCGATCTTGGGTCGGTAGGTGATTGGGGGAAGATCTGGTATTCAGAGTTTGGCTTGACAGAAGCTTGCTTGTTCTTTGTTCCTCGGGATATGGGAGTCGGCGAGATTGATGATGTGACCAGAGAATCAGGGCGGATGGTAGAAAAGAGGTCGTCGTTGGCAAGCAAAAGACCTCGTACCCATACTTTCGCTCTACAATTGATATTTTTCTGTCTGAATAGGTGTCTCAGTGCTCAATACATCTCAATAGCAACTGGCGTTTGCCTCACACGGAGCTGGAGGTGAAAGCAGGTCCGTCACCTCGACATCTGGAGTGCTCGCCGATGAGAACACACCACTCTATGGTGTATGTTCCACTGCGCTACTTTCGTCTCACCCGGTGCCATGGTTATCATGTGTCGCTAGCAAGAGGCGCAAGTGAGGTTCCTAGCGTGGACTGACCAGAACTGGACCTCAATAGGACTTGAATACAACATTGTCGAAGCGCTCGCCAACATTAAAGGAGCAGGTGAGACGTTCTGTGACCGAATAGCGTACCTGACGGTAGGCTGTTCTTCAACATGCTTGTGACGAAATCGTAATAGAGAGGACAAGCGCGTAGTACCTAGCTCTGTGGCGCGACAAGCGGATGACGAGGTAGTGCAGACCATGGTCTGTGTCACGACCCTTTGCGCCGTGACAGAGATGTGCCGAATTCTCATATTGAATACAAGCCGAGCTGAAGATTAGGAATGAGGATGCTCGGTTCATCGTTGCGGTATACAATTACCCAAAAGCGGCTAGCGGTGACGTAACCCGCGTTGCGCCTTCCCGAGGTACACTGTCAAAGGCACGCGAGCGCGTACGTCCTACGCAATGTGCGCATCACCGCAACACTGCGCGACGCTGATGGTCGCGCCGACTGCCTCCAATCTCTCTACAACTCTCGAAGTCTACGTATGCTGGAAGGTTGATGTCAAGGCGCATTAGGCTTCCACAATTGGTTCCCTCGTGTCCTCTGCGCGATGGAGGGCGCGTCTGCTGAGGGCCTCGCCTCCGAGCCTCCGATCCCTTTTCAACTCCGCCAAAAGATGTTGAATCGCGCAGCAACCTTTGCCGACGGTGTGCAGCCCTCGCCTGCACGTTCACTCCGACGCCGTAGCTCTCTGCTCTCCGACCTGTCGGACACGCGACACTCGACTCGGTCCTCAACCGATAACCTCCTTAGAAATACAGAAGCTCAGAATAAGAGCGCATCCTTGGAGGACGGAAACCAACTAATATCCAGCCCGGTCATTTTCGCCATATTCCCAGCCGTTGGCGGACTCCTATACCAGAATGGTGCTGCTGTCTTGACTGATCTCTTCACCCTGGGGCTGGCTTCATGGTTTCTGCACTGGTGTTGCACATTCCCCTGGTATGAACTAAGGCCCAATTCGTTGAGGGGTCGTTAACGCCTGCATAGGACTTGGTACCACCTAGCGCAGCAGCGGCGGTACATTGAACCCGACGAGCCCCAGTTCGATGATACGATTGAAGAAGAGGATGAAGACAGTGTCCACGACCCTGGGGACGACCCAGCCTTGGCAGCAGACGACACGAAAGCGAGAGAGCGAGTGGGTGCGACCGCGGCACAGCTCGAAGCAAGCCAGGCTCTGAAGCTACAAGAACGAATGGCATTCGCTGCGTGCTTTCTGGGCCCCTTGATTGGAGCCTACCTCCTTCATACCATTCGTGGGCAACTAAAGGTCACTGAGGGGCTGGTGTCTGATTACAACCTGACCATATTCGTCATGGTCGCAGAGCTCCGGCCAATTGCGCGCCTGATGAAGATGCAGGAAGAACGCATGTTCCATCTCCAGCGTGTCGTGAAGACAAATTCAGCGGATCTGCTGGACTCTGACGATGCGCAAGCACTAGCACAGCGGCTATCAGAGCTGGAAGGCAGACTGAGCGGTCCAACAGCGAACAATGATCTGGAGATATCGCGAGTTGCTGTGGAAGTGCAACAGGGTCTACAGAAACAGCTAGATGCCATCACAAGAGCGATCCGACGCTATGAGAAGAGGACGACTTCACAGACAATGCAGATCGAAGCACGCTTTCAAGAGGTCGATCTACGCTTGAGGGATGCGTTGACCCTGGCGGCAGCGGCAGCACGAACGGGGCAACGGCCTGGCATCGTGTCGAGCGTTATTAGCTGGATCATAAATGTCATCAGCAATGGTCTGCAGGGTGCTTGGGACATTGCTCTGTATCCGCTTCGGACTGTCATTGCCCTTACAATGGAGATGAAGTCGTACTTTGTCAAGGATGAAGAACGGCAGTCGCGAAAACGAGTAAAGGGACAGTCTAATGGCCACTCGTCAGTACCGACGTCTAGGACACAGTCGAAAAGCACACGCTGATATTGCTCTTAATACACCTACTTCACCTACGCTTATTCCTCGTACATGTCCAGTGTTTTGCCTTCTGAATGGAAATTAACTTGTGGACTACAAAGCCGGAGTCATGACGCGGAACACGAATGACATCTCTAGGGTTACATACGGAAATGCAGCTTATCTTAGGCCCACATTCCATGTAGCTTCGTGGGCGATCAATCATCGTAGTCCGACAGCGGCGAGTTCGGCTTCTTCGCATCCAGTAATCCGACCCTAGATGCAACGTCCAGTTACCGTCGTTGCTACCCCGCCCCCACCATAGCTACAAGTAAATACACCATGGCCGCGTCGCGTGCTAAATGTCGTTGCGTTCTATTGCTTGCTTCGGAATTGTTCATACTTTCATTGCCTGGCCGTCAACATGTCTCTCCAATCTGACCTGACCATCGACGCGTCCAAATTCGACCGCAAGCTTGCCGACAAGCAGACCGAAGAGTTCAATGAGAAGCTGATCAAGATCTGGGCCGACGGGCCCCGGTGGTACAAGGTGTGATCTGCAAGGACCACACTGTTGAACCATGCTGACCGTCGCAGGTCGGCGCAGAAGCGTACCGCAAGCTTCGCTGGGAAGGCAAGACACCGCTCCCAAAGCCCGTCGTGCTCCCTGAGGGCATCAACGGCGCGATCCCCTCGCGCGATGCTGGCCGAGAGATCCCGTACCGCGTGTTCAAGCCTGCGGGCGGGGTGAGCAAGGGGATCCACCTCCACATCCACGGTGGAGGGTGGGTGTTGCAGTCAGAGCATTAGTAGGCTGGTTCTGAAAGCATGTGGATGCGTCTGACGTGTGCAGCCAGGATCACTACCTGAAGTATATGGCGGACCACTACGAGGTGACGGTGTTTTCGGTCGGGTACAGACTCGCGCCCGAAGACCCGTGGCCCGCAGGCGGCAACGACTGCTACGACGCAGCGGAGTGGCTCGTGGACAACGGCCCGTCAGTGTTCGGCGGCGAGCTGATGTTCACCGGCGGCGAAGTAAGCATTCGCACTCCACTTCCACCCCCACTCCCTCGCCTCAGCTAACCCTGCCAGTCCGCCGGCGGCCACCTCGCCTGCCTCGTAGCATTCCACCTGCTAGAAACCCGCCCCGCGTTCGCCTTCCGCGGGCTGCTACTGCACTTCGGCTGCTTCGACCTCTCCGGGTTCCTGCCGCACGTGGCGCACCACGAGAAGCACCTCGTGATCGACCACGACGTGATGAGCGCGTACATCCAGGCGCTGCTGCCGGGCACGACGATGGAGCAGCGGCGGGACCCCAGCATCTCGCCGTTCTTCAGGGACATCCGCGGCTTGAAGCTGCCACCCGCGCTGTTCACGTGCGGCAGCGAGGATCCGCTGCTCGACGACACGGTGTTTATGGGCGCCAAGTGGCAGATGTGGGGGAATGAGGCGGTGGTCAAGATTTATAATGGCGCGCCGCATGGGTTTATTGGGAATCCGGTGGGGACGATTAGGAGTGTGGATGAGGGGCTGCAGGACAGTGTTTCGTTTGTGAAGGCGAAGATGGGGGCGTGATTGAGAGGCATTAGACGTTTGAATATGTATTCTCAAATGCTGTTCGATCTTGTAGATGTGCTAGCTCCCGTTTTCGTATGCTGTTCAATCTTGCAGGTACGTTAGCTATCCACGGTATTGATAAGTAAGACGTTTAGATATCTATCTAAATATAAGGCTATTGGATCTTGCAGATATGTGAGCTCATATTTCCATGCTGCTTGATCTCGCAGGCATGTTAGCTATGCAGTCACGGTGATGATATTTTAGACGTCCGAGTAGGTACCCGTCTGAACGTCAGCCAGATGTTCGCTATCGACAGACGACCTCGGCCGCTAGCGCGGGCATGACGGACCCCTGCAGATCTTTCGATGTCATCGCTATCTGTGCGCGCCAACGGCCTCCAGGTTTTCTCCACAGAGCAATGTGCTGACGGCAACACCTCGATTGCGCGTGACATGGCAGCAAACGGGAGCCCCGAGCGGCGCCGGCGGAGCATGGGCTTGTACCGGCGCGCGTCGAACATGAGCGAGTATGGCCTCTTTCGCACGTGCGCGGAGACGTGATGGCTGATGCAGCGCAGCGCGCCCAGTTTTATGGAAGACGTCGACATGGCGCAGGACGAGGTAGAGCTCCGCCCCGTGGCCCCCTTGCGGCACCGAACTGGCACAACTGACGCCAGAATCCAGATCTTCGCCGGCCCGGGCATGAGCGAGAGCGTGCCCACGAGCGTGTCCGCCTTCTCGCACCGCCGCCGCGAGCGCGCCGACAGCAGCGCCAGCCTCACGAGCTTCGCCTACTATGACGAGGAGCAGGACAGCGAGCCCGAGTCGGGCGAGTCGGCCATTGCCGACTTCGACGACGACATCGAGTACGACGGGTACACGGCCGAGGAGCTCGAGGGCCTGGACCGCGACCTGGAGGCGGGCCGCAGCTCGAGTCCCAGCCCGTCGCGCTCGTCGCGGCGCACGTCGAGCGGCACCAAGAGCCGCCGCAGCGTCGACCGCCCGCTGCTGCGCCGCCACTCGAGCGCGAGCAGCGCGGGCTCCGGCAGCTGGCGGGGCCGCCGCTCCAACCAGAAGATCTACATCATGACCGAGGACCTGACCATTGTCGTCGCCGGCTTCCGCACCTCGGCCGCCGGCTTTGCCGTCTACGCGCTGCTGTGCGTCGCCACGCTGGGCCTGGGCTGGCTGCTGTTCAGGTGGATGCCGCGCTGGCAGACGGCGCTGACCGGCAGGGCCGCCCCGCTCAAAGACGCCGACTGGGTCATCATCGAGAACCAGTGGGGCGAGTTCGCCGTGCAGGACGTGCTCAAGCAGACCTACGGCCGCTCGCTCACTACCGTGTTCGGCGATGCCGAGAAGAAGCGCCGCGGCGACTGGGACGAGGACGAGGACCCGCTGATCAAGGAGCTGCGCTGCCTCGACTACCGCTACATCCGCTTCATCTACCACCCGATCAAGGACAAGTTCGTCCTCGCAAACACCTGGAAGGACCCCGCCTGGACCGATGTCACTGCGCTGCGCGAAGGTCTGGACAACGAGGAGCGCGACTACCGCGAGCTCGTCTTTGGCAAGAACCAGATCGACATCGCGGAGAAGTCTCTCGGCCAGCTGCTCGTCGACGAGGTCTTCCACCCGTTCTACGTCTTCCAGATTGCCAGTCTGTTCCTCTGGTCTGTGGACGAATACTACTACTACGCCGCCGCCATCTTCCTCATCTCTGTCATCAGCATCACGACCACGCTCCTCGAGACCAAGGCGACGATGAAGCGCCTGCGGGAGGTCTCCAGGTTCGAGTGCGAGATCCGCGTCCTGCGCAACGGCTTCTGGACGAACATCGACTCCAGCGAGCTGGTCCCGGGAGATGTGTACGAGGTTACCGACCCGGCGCTTGCCCAGTTCCCCTGCGACAGTCTGCTGCTCTCTGGAGACTGCATTGTCAACGAGAGCATGCTGACGGGCGAGTCCATCCCCGTTTCCAAGATCCCAGTGACCAACCATTCGCTCGACCTCCTCGACCTCAGTGCCTCTGCCGTGCACCCCGAGATTGCCCGACACATGCTGTTCTCGGGCACCAAGATCATCCGCGCCCGTCGGCCGCACGAGGACCATGTCGACGACGAGGCTGCGGCGCTGGCTATGGTCGTTCGCACCGGCTTCAATACCACCAAGGGCGCTCTGGTGCGCTCCATGCTGTTCCCCAAGCCGTCTGGCTTCAAGTTCTACCGCGACTCTTTCCGGTACATCTCCGTCATGGCTTTTATTGCCATGATTGGATTTGTCGCGTCTTTTATCAACTTCGTCCACCTGGGTCTCGCTTGGCATCTGATTGTCGTCCGCGCATTGGACTTGATTACCATCGTAGTCCCTCCCGCGCTACCTGCGACACTCACCATCGGTACTTCCTTTGCGCTGTCACGTCTCAAGCAGAAGAACATTTTCTGCATCAGCCCGCAGCGCGTCAACGTCGGCGGCAAGCTCGATGTCGTTTGCTTCGACAAGACTGGCACGCTCACCGAAGAGGGCCTTGACGTCTTGGGCGTGCGCGTGGTTGAACGACCGCGCAACAGGTTCAGTGAGCTCCTGGCTGATCCCTACGACATCCTGCCTGCATCGCACCACGACCGCGACCCGACTGTTCAGTATGTCGCCCACAAGACCATCCTCTACACCATGGCGACCTGCCATTCCCTGCGTAAGATCGACGACGAGCTTGTTGGCGATCCTCTCGATGTCAAGATGTTCGACTTCACCGGCTGGGGCTACGAAGAGGGCGAGGGCACGGGCAACAACGACGACGACCCGGAACAGAAGCTATCACCATCCGTCGCCCGTCCGCCTCCCGGCCGCGAGTACGACCTCGACGACGCCGAAGACGCTGCCCGCAAGCCCGTCGAGCTTGGCGTGCTGAGGCAGTTTGAGTTTGTGTCGCAGCTCCGCAGGGCCAGTGTTATTGTGCGCCGCTTCGGCTCCAAGAGCGGCGACATCTACGTCAAGGGCGCGCCCGAGGTCATGAAGGAGATCTGCCGCCCGGAAAGCTTCCCCACCGACTACGAAGAGCTGCTTGCGTTTTATACGCACCGCGGCTTCCGCGTGATTGCGTGCGCGACCAAGTCGATTCCCAAGCTCAACTGGCTCAAGGTGCAGAAGATGAAGCGCGAGGAGGCCGAAAGCAATCTCGACTTTATCGGCTTCATCGTGTTCGAGAACAAGCTCAAGGACAGCACCGCGCCGGTGATTGAAGAGCTGGAGCGCGCAAACATCCGCAAGGTCATGTGCACCGGCGATAATATTCTGACGGCCATCAGCGTCGCCCGCGAGTGCGGCCTCATCAACAAGACCGCGCACTGCTTCGTGCCCCATTTCGCGGAGGGCGACAGCCGCAATCCTCTCTCGAAACTCACGTGGGAATCCGTCGACGACCCCGTCTTCAAGCTCGACGAGCACAGCCTCAAACCGCTCCCGCCGCCGCCCGAAGCCGACGTCTCCCTGCCCTACGACATATCCAATCTGCGCAACTACTCGCTCGCCGTCTCCGGCGACGTGTTCCGCTGGATCGTCGACTTCGCGTCCGAGTCGGTGCTGCGCGAGATGCTCGTCGCGGGCCAAGTCTTCGCACGCATGTCGCCCGACGAAAAACACGAACTCGTCGAGAAACTGCAGAGCATCGACTACTGCGTGGGCTTCTGCGGCGACGGCGCCAACGACTGCGGCGCGCTCAAGGCCGCCGACGTCGGCATCAGCCTGTCCGAGGCCGAGGCCTCGGTTGCCGCGCCCTTCACCAGCCGCACCTTCGACATCGCCTGCGTCCCGCACGTGATCCGCGAGGGCCGCGCCGCGCTCGTCACGAGCTTCTCGTGCTTCAAGTACATGTCGCTCTACTCGGCGATCCAGTTCTGCAGCGTCAGCTTCCTGTACGCGTCCGCGTCCAACCTCGGCGACTTCCAGTTCCTGTTCATCGACCTGGCGCTCATCCTCCCGATCGCCGTGTTTATGGGCTGGAGCGGCGCCGCGCCCGTACTCGCGCGCAAACGCCCCACCGCCAACCTCGTCAGCCGCAAAGTCCTGGTCCCGCTGCTGGGCCAGATGGCGTTGTGCATTGCCACGCAAGCCATTGCCTTCACCGCCGTGCGGCGCCAGCCCTGGTACCAGCCCCCCGTGCTCGACCCGGAGCACTCCAACTCCCTCAACTCCCAGAACACCGCCCTCTTCCTCGTGTCCTGCTTCCAATACACCCTCTCCGCCGTGGTCCTCAGCGTAGGCCGTCCCTACCGCGAACCCATGTCGCGCAACCTGCCCTTCGTGACGACCGTCTTCGTCGCGCTGGCCGCCAGCACGTACATGCTGTTCGACCCCGCAGACGCGGTGATGCGCGCCATGGAGCTGACGGGCATGGATTCCGGGTTCAAGGTTTTCCTGCTGGGGTTAGGGTTGGGGAACTTTGGGGTTGCGTGGGTCGCAGAGGGCTTGTTGTTTCCGGGCCTGGCGAAGTGGGTGGGTGTGCTGAAGGAGAGGGTGGCGGGGAAGAGGGAGAGGAAGGCGTATAAGGTTATAAGGGAGAGTATGATGATGTAGACGGGTGGTGTGCAGGGATTGTGTAGTTGTATAGCGGTAAGTTGTATAGGTGTGTTGGATAGGTGTGTTGTACAGGGCAGTGAAGCACGTAGACATAGAACAGCGGCGTCACGCAGCGGCCACGACGTCAGTGAGCAGGACAGCCAGAATCCGATTCCTAATTAAGACCTCGGCGCCGCGCCGCAGACCATGCATGCGATATCAACTAAGTGTGAAGGGCAGCAGCAGCACCACGCACGCACACACGCACGCAACCAATCAATTAATCAAGCAATCAATCAATCGCGCAAGCACAGAGAGAAAGGTATCCAAGCCTTGCGATGCTTCCACAGGAATAATACAAAAAAACATATGCCTCAGCCACATGACACAACAACACATCAAAGCCGCCAAAATCGCCAATACGTAGAACCGAAGGTGGGCCGTCCACTCAAAGACCAAAAACACATCCGTCATATAAATGCCTAGCTTTTCGCACTCGCGCGCTCGATAACCAAATGTGCAGGTAGCGGTGGGGGGAAGCCAAAAGGTGGGAGGTGGGGAACAGGGGAAAGGGGGGGAAGTAGGGGGGGGCAGCGGGCCCCAAAAAATGCAGCTATAGCGGAGCTGTAGTATACGGACAGTCTACCCTCGTGGCATCATTCTTCGTATGCGTCGTACGTCGTAAAGTCAATCCCGAGCCGGGGGGGCGCGGGGGTGCGGGCCGTGAACGTCGTCGGCGTCATTGGGGGCGTCGTCGAGATGGTAGGGAGCGGTGGGTGCGTTACGTTGTCGTGCTGGGAGCGGGGCGAGTGCGGCGCGGGCTCACTGGCCGACTAGGATCTCCACGTTGGATTGGGACGAGAGCTCGTCGCTGCCGCGGCCCTGGTGGCCGTTCTGGCGCGGGCGGCTGAAGCCCTGGCCGCGCTCGGGGAGCGGGCCGCGGGGCTGTCGGGAGGGGCGGTCGTCGTAGTTGGAGCTGAAGGCGCGGTGGCCGCCAATGGGCCCGGGGTTCTCCCAGGATGTCATCTGGCGGAGCGAGCGGGGGCTGCTGCTTTGCCCGAATGAGTTTCCGCCAAGCGCCATGCGGCTCATCTCGCGCTCAAGCATGTCGTCGCGCTGTGACATGGACGTTGCCGTTGGTGTGCCGTTGGGGTTTGTGTTGCTGCCACTGAAGCCGAGGCCTTCGAGAGAGATGCCGCCAGGACGTCCCACGGGATGGCTCGCTGTGGAGGGTGCTGGCGAGGGTGTGTAGGAGCGCAGGTCCGCGTACGACTTGGCGCCTCGGAGATTGGGGACCGCGTTCAGGCCGCCGGGTGAATCCGGAAAGCCGAGCAGGCCCGACGCCTGCCTGCCGAAGGCGTTGTAGAAGCCCTCGGAGCCGCGAACGTCGCTGAAGTCGGTGGTCGCAGCGCGGTTGAGGCCGCGGCGGCCGGGCTGCTCGGTGGCATGGTTGGCGGGCATCTGCGGCATCGGCGGGCTCAGGCCTTGGTTGTTGTGCACCTTGAAGATGTGCACCTGGCGGGTGTCCCCCGAGCCCTTGGAGACGTGGGCGAGATCCAGCTGGTGGGCCAGGGTGTGGATGATGCGGCGCTGCGGCGGCGACAGCGAGGGCGGGAAGGTCATGCTGTCGCGGTCGGGCGACTCCTTGAAGATCAGCAGCTGCGAGTAGAACTGCAGGATCTGCGGGTCGTTCAGGTCGACGTCGGCAGGCGGGTTGCTGGGGCGCTCGGACGCGCCCTGCAGCGACATGCCCATCTTCTGCTGGCGCATGGCGGACACGGGCGAGGGCGAGGTGGTGGGCATGTGCGAGTGCGAGTGCGAGGCCAGCGAGCCAAACGACGGCTGCTGGTGCAGCTGGCCGCCGAGCGGGCGGTGCTGCTCCTCGAGCTGGCCGCGGCGCTCGCGCTTCTCGCGCTCAATGCGCTCGCGCTCGGCCAGCGGCAGCATCTTCTTGTACTCGACGCGCAGCTTGCGGCCGTTCAGCTCGAAGTGGTTCATCGACTCGATGACGGCGGCCGTCTCCTCGGCGGTGGTGAAGTTGGCAAAGGCCAGGCCGCGGAAGACGCCGTTGTCGAAGTGGTAGTTGAAGGCGTAGGGCAGCGGCAGGCGCAGGTCGGTCATCAGCTGCACCAGCTGCTCCTTCTTGACGGCAAAGGGGATGTTCTTGATGACAATGGCGGTCGGAATCAGCTCCTCGTCGACGTCGTGGCCGTACGGCTGGCTGCTGCCCAGGCCGGGCAGGGCGAAGCTGGGCAGGCCCTGCGGCGGCGGCGCGTCCATCCAGCCCTGGAGGGTCAGCGGGGTCACAGGCAGCGGGGAGAGGGACGTACGGCGGGCAGGGCGCTGCGAGCGGCTCCGCGCGTCTGCGACTTCATGCGCGGGCCGGTGCCGCCCAGCGAGCCCAGGTTCTGCGGGAAGGCGGGGGCGTTCCAGCCCTGCTGCTGCAGGTCGTAGCCGTAGGCGGCGTGGACGGTGCTGGGCAGGCGGTCGTTGTAGCTGCGCGGCTGGTCGTAGCCCCGCGGGTGGTCGTCCGGGTACGGGGGCTGCTGCTGCAGCTGCTGCTGGTAGGCGTCGAACTGACGCGAGGGCATGCGGTTGAGGGTGCCCGGCTGCGGGCGGTGCGCGCCCGGCGACCGCGCCGGCTGCTGGTCGTAGGCAGAGTACATGGTGGTGGTGTCGAGAGAGGCGGCGAGGACTGAAAATAATCAGGGCTCAAGGGACCATGCAACGCCAAGCGCGCGAGTCGTGCGGCCAGGGTCCGATATTGCGGTGCGCGAGGGCAGCCGCTCTCAGGCCGCGCACAGGTTCGCGGAATAGGAGACGGCGTGAACGGGTCGCGGGCGGGCGTGTCCTCCGCCGGCGACTGTGGTCTGGTGCGGAATCGGCTTGCCGCGCCTGCTGGGCTGGGACTGAGCGCGGTGGAGTGGATCGCGCCGGCCAAGCAGACGTCAGAAGCAATACAGGCACCGAACGGCTCGAGTCAACGCGCAAGGGGCTGGCGACGAGCAGGCGGCGACTGTCGAAATCTGTTCACTCGCGCCCGCTAGCACCCGGGGAGGCGGGAGCTTCACCTGCGCTGCTGGAGCAAAAGGTTTCAACTGCGCCGACTGACGGTGCCGTGTTGCGCCCGCCATTGGCTGTGTGGCGCGCCATTGGCTGTCGTCGCACGCCGCCAATCAGCGCCGCCTGCACTGCTGCCTCCAGCGCACCTCGTGTCGACGCCTGCCTGCAACGGCCGCTGCGAGACACTCGACAATTCGGCCTGGCAAAGCCTCACGGGTGCTGCACTCCTCGCCTTGGCCAGCCGTGCAGCTCACCGCGCCGCTCACCGCGCCGCCCGCGCAGTGTTTCGACCCGTGCCAGCCCGATTGGCTCTGGCGTCTGAAGTCTGAACGGCCCGTCGTGGCTCGCGCCGCCACCTGTAGCTCGCCCATGAACGTGGACGGTACCAGTCGCCGCCCTGCTAAAGCCGTGGCTGAGCCCGCGCGTTGCACTGCAGCCCCCCCGGTGCCTCCTGCAACCGCCCTGCTGCCGGCCTCTGCTGCTGCATCGCCCGGCGCCGCGCTGGAGGGTGTGCTGCGAACTTTGGCGGGTGCACGAGGCCGTCGCGCGCCCCCCAGAGCCGTCGCGGTGGCATCAGCTGCCCTTGCCACCGCGCAGTGTCCAAGTCACATTTCGGTTCTGTGCAAGCCAGATTAGCCATTACGAGCCTGACACCTGAGCCGGGACTGCTCGCTGCACACGCTGCACAATGGTCGCCCTCACCCTCTCTGGCAATGACGGCCACATAGGAGGTCACGGCACACGCGTTGAGGTCACTGCACAGACGGCACGCGTTGAGGTCCTGCACAGACAGCTCGCGTTCGCGTTGAGTCACTGCACACCGGCATCGCACACCGGCACCTTACGTCATGCCACCACCTCCTGCGCCAGCATACCAAACCGTCACATCCAGCCGACATTCTGGTTGCACCGCATGCCCAACTGCTTTTCATTCGAGCAGCTAGTGTTTGGAACCTGCCACTGCAGCCCTCCCGCCCATCACCACGGCTATCGCCCTGTCCATCCTTCCGACTGGCTGCATGCATGGAGATGCACCGGTAACATCGCTTAGCTGCATTGCATACAGGTCACGTTATCTGTTGTGAACAGCTCTGCATTGTTGCAGCTGCCTAAGTGGCCGCGCGCTTCCGCTGTCGTGGAGCCTGCACCGGCGTTGCACAAGCCTGTATAACTGCGGCGCTCCAAGACACCCATCCTTGTGGCTGCTCCATGTTCTGATCGGCGCGACTTCGCAGCCATGTGTGAGCGCGGGGCCTGCAAACGTTAATCACCAGCGGTCCGCTCAGTCGTCAAAGTCTAGCAGCCGTGACCACTCCGCCTCACCAACTTTGCGAAACTCGGCCCCAGCCGTGAACTGCCCTGCTGCCTCCCACGCTTGCATCGTAGCCCGGTCGTACGGGCCGTTGATGTCGCCTTCTGGCGCCGTGAGCCAGTGGAACTCCCACTGCGCTTCTTCTGCGTGTGGATTCTTCCAGTCCTCCCCCGTGTCGCGCTTGTACAGCCGCATTATCATCTCGCGCTCGAGATCGTAGATGTCGTCCATGCCGCGGTCCTCAAGACGGCTTGCACATTCCGTGATGGTGTCGATCGCCTCCTTTGCCTTGGCTGCGGCCGCCTGTTGAGCCGGGTCTTCGTCGACTTCCATCTCGTTCTTCTTCTTCTTGCTGTAGCTGGGCTTCTGTTTCTTGGGCGCTGCCTTGCCATAGCGCACCAGTGCCTCCATCGGTGACTCGCCCACCTCAAGTCGTGCAATCAGGTCCGACAGGACATCGCTCGTGACGATTGCATCTTCTGCCCGTTTGCGTGCTTTCTGCTCGGCGTCGCGCATGTCCTGTGCTTCCTTGGCCCGCCGCATGTCCTTCTTGGAAATGCCTTCCAGCCAGGAGTCTTGCACAGCCTCTGGGTCGTAGGCTTTGCGCACAAAGTTGCCAGCCTCGTCAAAGCGGCCTTCTTCCTGCTCGGCGCTCATGTTGAAGGCGTCGAGCTTGGGGGCGTGCTTCTTCTTGCCGCCAGCGCCAATCTCCTCGTCGACGTCTGAGTTTAGATGGTCGCGCTCCTCGTCATCGCCACTCTCGCTACTACTCTCTACGTCCGCCGTCTCCTTGCCCTTGCCAGTGAAGTCTACAGCAACGTGGCCGCCAGCCTTGCTGTCAGCCTCTTGGCCTTCGATCTCGTCGACGTCCAGGAACCTGAGCTGCTTCTTCTTCGTCTCGTCCCTCCGCGTGTCCTCGTCCTCCTCATTGTTATTGTCGTCCCCTGCAAACATGTCGTCATCGTCATCCTCCGGAGGCGCAACTTGCTTGTTCTTGGCCTCTGCGCGCGCATCAAAGTTTTCGGTGGAGCTGTCGGAATCATAGCCGTCGATGTTGACTGCATTGCGTTTGACTCCTGCGCCCTTGCCGATCACGTCTGCTTCGAGCACCGGATCCTCGTCTTCTTCTGCATCTTGCACGAGCGTAGAGGGGTTCCGGGGGTCGAATCGGGGCTTCTTCGCTGACGGCTCGCCAGCGTCCAAGTGATGGGTTCGTGTAAAGTGATCGCCGTCGCGCTTTGGGCGAGCGGGATTATATTGGCCGCTCGAGCTGGCCATGGCGAGGGGTCCTGAATAATTCCAATTTGTTGTTCGTGGACAAGCTCAAGTGACGTCTGAAGCTTGAGCTCGGGTATTCACGCGCGCCTGCGCGACTGGTTCAACCAGACATCCGTAGCATCTTCGCAGGTCGTCATTGCGTATCGATCGCCTTCGACGACCTGCCACCAAACTCCTGCTGCCTGCACCTTTGAAATAATAGTAAAAGCCTCCGACCGCCGTACAGTACCGGCACTGGCTTGACGCTACTACCATGGCAAGCACTACCCCACCATTCCATCTACCTCCACTAACCCGCACAGTTCAACCCCAACTTCTACGGCGAAGACGACCCGATGGCTGCATTCCAGTCCATGCGTCGGGGCGGCCCTCGCCGCTTCGATGAATATTTCCGCTGCTACCCCGTCGCCATGCTGCCCGGGCCGGACCGCGAGGATGCGAACCACGGCGGCAAAGTGTTCCTCCCACCCAGCGCTCTCGACAAGCTCACACGACTCCACATCACATACCCCATGCTCTTCGAGCTGATAAACGGCGCACAAGACGGCAAGAAAACACACGCCGGTGTGCTGGAGTTCATTGCGGAGGAGGGCAAGATCTACCTGCCATACTGGGTGCGTGTCCGCAGCATGCGCCGGGGGTTTACTAATGCCATCGCAGATAATGCAGACGCTACTGCTCGAGCCTGGTGATCTTCTGCAAGTCAAGTCGACCGACCTCCCCCTCGGATCTTTCATCAAGCTGCAGCCCCAGGACTCGTCGTTTTTGGAGATCTCAGACCCCAAGGCCGTGCTCGAGAACGCCTTCCGCAACTTCGCCTGTCTGACCAAGGGCGACATCTTCACATTCTCATACAACGACAGCGTATACAGTGTCGCTGTGCTTGAGGCCAAGCCAGAACATCCCAGCCAAGCCGTGTGCACGATCGAGACGGACTTGTCTGTCGACTTCGCACCACCCGTCGGTTACAAGGAGCCAGAGAGGACGAGCGGAACCAGCACACCACGAAGCGTCATGGCAGGCAAGGGCGGAACTCTGCATGCCCAGGGCACCATGGCACAGGCCATCAACTACGCCGCGATCGCCCCATCAGCAACGAGCGCCGCTGCTGGCGCAAAAGCCGTCTCGTCCAACTTCATCACCGGCGGCCACAAGCTGTCGAAGAAGGGCAGCAAGACGCCCACCCCGCAAGCCTCCACGCCGATCGCCGGGCAGTCCTCAAACCCGCCCAAGACCGTACGGCGCACCAACGGCCCGCAGCCGCTGCGACTGCCCCCGGGCAAGCTCTTCTTCGGCTACGAGATCAAGCCCGTCAAGGACAAGGAGGGCGCCGACGAGGGCGAGCAGAAGCAGTCGAAGCACTTCGACGGCGCCGGAAACACGCTGCGGAAGAAGAAGGGCGATAAGTAGAGGGCGGATATCATACGATGCATTGCAAGGCGCTGGGACTAACCGAGACGGCATGGCGTTCTGGGATACCTTACGAGCTGCTTAATTCACATATTCGAATGTAGAGAGTACTTGTCAAGTTATTTGCTCACTAGCTGACACTGCAGGAGATATTGAGGTGTCTAAGCGTCCATGCGATTGATCGAGAACTGACGACCACAGGCCGTGTCCAAAAGCAACAAAACACCACAATCAGAATCCCTCACCTCTCCGTCCAGCAACCGCCGGCCAAATCCGCATGTCAAGACTGCTGAGACGTCCATGCCATATTGTATATCCACCAGCTGACACCCTGCACAGAACCCCATGCCGTGCACTCCGCGTCCCCTCCCCATGCAGACCACGCAAGCTGATACCTGCAGACCGTGTTTGAGCAGCCAAACAGCGAACCCAAGACACAGCGCGCTGGCAAAGAAAAGAAGAAGAAAAGAAGATACCTAGCTCAGTGGTTCGGGCTAGATCTCCTCCACCTCCTCAACCTTGACGAGCCGCTGCTTCTTCACCCCGCGCTGTGCGCCAAGGTTCCAGTCCCCGCCCTCGCTCTCGTCAGACTCGGAGGCGGAGGACTTGGAGGAAGGCGTGGTGTTCTTGGTGCGCTTCTTGCTCGGCGTCTCGTCCACATCCACACCGTCGGCGTCGCTGTCGTCGTCGCCGGCGTCGAAGGCGCGCTTGGATAGCTTGAACGGGGTAGCGCGCTTCGACGGCGTACCACCAGCAGCATGCTTCGATGGCGTAGCGTACTTGGACGGGGTAGAAGTAGACGAGGCAGCTTTCTTGCTCGAATGGCCCGCGCCGCCGTCAGGCACTTTCCAGCCCAGAGACTCGTACAGGTTGCGCTGTTTCACGCGCAGTGCGGAGATGCGGTTGCGGATGCCGCCGGTGGAGACGCCTGGGGGTGTTAGCATTTGGGGCTTCGGGAGTTTGGGTGAGAGGAGGAGGGGAGGAGACGCTGTAGGGAAGAGACACTGCAGCGAGGTGAGAGGAGGGAGACGTACCAGCAAACACAGACGCGAGCTCGGCGTACTCTTCGGGTTTAACGTAGCGGCCTTGCGTAAGGAGGAGGAGTTTAGTGTCGTTCGCGCCCTCCCATATGATTTTCTGTGACTGTTAGCTGTGCGGGAGCGCGTGGGCGTGGGGGACTTACGCCTGCGCTGGCGTCGGCGCCGTTGGAGGCGTTAGAGGCTTTCTTGGGGGGCATGGTTGCTAGATGTATCGCGTGAATGCAGTAATGTTGTGTGTGGTTGAGTGATAAGGTAGTAGGTGGTGGTGATAGAGGGTGTAGGATGGGGGAGAGGCGGCGCTAAAGTATCCTGTGGGCAGCTTGGAAACTGGTAAGGTCAGGTGGGTAGCAGTGAGAGTGAATGATTGTCCGCTGTAGCAGCAGGGCTAGCAGCAGGGCAGGGCCACAGGCAGCACAGCAGATTCACCTTCACCGCTACTGCGCCTTACCCTTTCTGCACTGGTTCTGCAGACTTAGCGTAGAGGTAGGTTGGAACCCTCTGCTTGGCCTCTTCTCCTTCATCACTACGGCACTACAGCAATCCATAGCCAATAAGCCCACTTCTCTAGTTCAACGTTGTCTATCTCTTAACACAACACCCTCACAATGACGCCCAAGAAAGACTCTGCAGTTGCCAACGACACCGTATGCTCTCACTCACTTACTGCCTCTACTGCACTAACATCCAACAGGCCTGGAAGTGGACGCCCGAAAACGACCGCAAGGTACGCATCCCCTCCCCTTCGCCATCCCCCACGCACTGACAAACCCCAGCTCTTCGTCCTTGCCTTCGGCCGCACCGGCCTGGGCAAAGAAGAATGGACCAAGATCGCCACTGCGCTGTCCCGTAAGTCTCTCTCTGCCTCTTGTTTGCCTGTCCCATCCTCTCTGTCTCTTCCCTCCCTGAATCTGCACACCTTCCTCTACAACGCCATCCGCACCACTACAGTCCGCGGCTAACACACTCTCAGCCAACCTCACCTGGAACGCAGTCCGCCAGCGCCTGGCCAAGTTCCGCTCTGAGCAAAAGACGGCGTACGACAAGCTCGGATGGGCTCTTCCCCAAGGTAGTGCGGTCAAGGGCAACACTGCATCGCCTGTCAAGCGCAAGTGCAGTGAGGAAGGTAACGAGGGCGAGGAGGTGGCTGTCAAGAGCAAGAAGGCTCGGGCTAAGAAGGGTGGCTCTGTTGAGGCTGTCAAGGAGGAGGAAGAGGACGCTGATGAGTGGTTCTGAGAGAGTGTGGTGAGTTGCAAGACCGAGACAGTTGTTCTTGGTCTGCGGTTTTCCGGCTTTGGTGGTGTTTGGAGAATGTGACCGTCATCAGCAGCAGTTGGTAGCAGTCTGTAGCAATCCGCCGCCGTCCGGCCTACAAACTATGCATTCAAGGCTTCTAGATTCCGGGTTGCAGCCTTAGGTACCCAAACCTTGTACACTAGTCTATCGCGCAAAAGAGAAAGAAAGTTCTAACATACCTTACAGAATTGACGGGTGAACAAATCACTTATGCCAAGATCTGACCAAAACTCACCCTCTACACCGTGCCTTTACAGCAACACCAGCTGTGTTGTTGAAACACAAGTTGTCTGGAACGGCAAAAAGACGGCAAAAAGAAAGTTACATACAACAGTGGGGATTCCCCAGTGGTCATCCACCTGAGTACTAATCCACCGGTACGTTGCTTAAATAGGGCTGAGCGAACGGGAAGCCTTGTTGTCTCCTGGCCGCTTGCCACAGATACCCTTAATTCTACTGTATCCGGTATCACCATTTACTGTAAGCAGATAGCAAAGGACGCAAATTTGCGACGTTTCGCCTGCGGTGTGGCGTGGGATGTCGAAGTTCCGACAGTGGCTCTAGCTGACTTGGCTCTTCCTGTTTCCCGATCTCCGCCCGTCCTAAAGAGGCTGAATCCTAAAGACACGCGTTTCCTGTATTCAAGAAATGTAACTTACATTAACAATGGCCTGTCGGCCATACTTATAGCACGCTTAGCGGCGTTTGCCCTTAGCGGTGCCCAGTACTTGCCAGAGAGCTACAGGTGTCTTGACCTGGACACCCTCACTCTGCTCCGAGGATTTTCTCTACTTCTCCATGTCACGACCGTTCCCATCATCGGCCACAGTGCATCTTCAAAGGCATCATGTCGTTCCCGATGTCGCAATCCTCGCTCAAGGTGCCAATTCCACGGGTTCAATCACGCCGTCACCAGCAGCCGCCGCGCAGAGATAATCAGCCTTATAGAGACAGAGTCCTCATAGCATGCCTCAACTGCCGAGAGCGCAAGGTGCGTTGTGACGGACGACGGTCGGATTGTAGAAATTGTCAGGATACTGAGCGACCCTGCGTCTACTTGGAGAGTCGCAAGAACCGCTTCAAGGCGTTCGTCGCTTCCGTCGCGACGCCGAGCACCAGGTCCTGACTACCAACAGTGCCACGATGCAGAACCAGGGCATGATCTAGTTGCTCAAGCAGCTCAGAGAATCTGTCACGGACAGGATGAGGCAACGGATCGACGATCTGCTAGAAGACGTGCATTAGCCCCTGATTGGCCCGATTCTCTCTATCTTGTGGAAGCTGACAACGAACAGGTCACGGACGACGTCACGGATGCCGCAGCTACGTTACGGCTGGTCAAATCACTGGATCTGAACGATACGCACGGAGAAGCCTTGATATCTATTGTAGTCGGCTCAAACGACGAGACTAATATCTTGGATGAGGACATACTCAAGGATAAAGATTCGCAAGCAACTGGATATATTGGCAAGAGCTCTAAGGTGCAAGGGCTACGGCGTCTGCAACAGGATTCAGAATGCTGGCAAGGGACACCGTTAACTCTGAGCAGTCCATATGGACCTCCTGGAGCTAGTTTCGAAAATGCAAAGCAACGCATGGAAGCTTTTAAGGAACGGCAACAACACAAGCCCATCATACCAACTAGCACTTCCACGTTCTACTTGGATGGCAAGGGCGTAGAAGTGGATTACAACGTTGATCCGTACGCTTTGCCGACAATTAAGGTCGCGCAGAGACTGCTTGACTGGTACATGAGTACTGTTCAAGATATGTTTCCGGTACTGGCAAAACAGATTTTCACAGATCAATTTCGCCATTATTTTACGTCTGCAACGCAAGGAACGCCTGATTGTGTGCCGAAGAAGTGGCTGGCGATATTGAATCTTGTATTCGCCATTGGAGCAAGGTTTTCAAACTTGACTGAAGCGGACTGGCAGGCGGATAGCTAAGACAATGTCATCTACCAGTCTCGTGCGCATATGCTGAATCTGGACGAGTCTTTGCTGGTCCACCAACCAGATCTTCTGCAAGTCTAGATCACTGCTCTTTTTGCGTTCTACGCCTCTGCTATTGGAAATTTTAACAGATGAATTCACTCTGCCTATTGATGCTCTCTGCTAACTACATGCCTTGAGGAGCCTAGGTTGCCGTAGGCATTTCCCTTCGTTACGCATTTGCACTTGGTCTGCATCTTCGTAACGAAGACCAAATGGTTAAATTTGTCAAAAAAGAAATACTAATACAGACCTGGTGGGCATTAGAAGGGAGCTTGAGTATCATGCTTGGGAGACCTAGTCTTGTCGCCGAGGACTATTACTCAACGCCATTACCGTTACCAGCATCCATAGAACAGCTGTCAGACGAAAACATGGCATCCTATTGGAACGATCGTGGTAGAGGAGGTCAGTTCTACGACAACAACACTGCTGGACCCAGCCCGCTCACTTTCGAGCCTTGCAACGCAGGCTCACTCCTAAGGTGCCTGGCAAACATCAGTAAAATTGGTCAGAGTGCTATGACCGGCTTGTACTCTGCCAGACTGACAAGCAAGTCGTGGAAGGACATGCAGAGAACAATCGCGGGCTTATGTGATGAGCTTGAGATGTAGGCCGCAAACCTTCCTTCAGATCTCAACTTCACACAACTAAACAGTGGTAAGGGCTTCGTGCGCAAACGTCTCATTGCACAGATAAATTACATCAGGACAAAGATCCTGATTACTCGACCCTGTCTGTGCAGACTCGACAATGGCTTACCAGAACAGACCCAAGCCTCTAATGATTTCAACAACGAGATGGCCCGCAAATGCGTCAATGCTGCAAAGACGCTCACGGACATCTTGCCTGACCAAACAAAATGCAGCCTACTTGTACCAGATTGGTCCTTGGTGGTCCTTGTCTTATTACCTCATGCAAGCACTTATAGTCCTGCTACTGGAGCTATCTTTTGATGCGGTACACGATCCTGAGCGCGAAGAGATACTGCCAAATGTCAAAAAGCTGATTCGGTGGCTGAGAGTCTTGAAGAGAAAGGACAGAGTCGCAGGACGTGCTCACGACTTAGGCTCTGGAGTTCTACAGAGTCTGGCATCTCGACTGAATATAGATCTCTCCGATTTCTTACAAGAGGAGGCAGCGCCTTCAGCAAGACCGACTTCACGAAGCTCTTCCGCGCTGGGCGTTAACGACCAGTTGCAATTGTTCTTCACCGGCGAATTCAATTACGACAGTGGAATGAGTCATCAGTCGATGTTTGCATTCCCACCACGCACTTACCAAGGAGGTTTGCAGGTACCGGAAGCCGCGGGCTCTGCTATCAATCTGCCTCTGGGATCGGGATCACCCGGTACTTCTTTCGGCAACGCGTTCAGCACTTCCTACGATGAGCGAAATCTCATTTCCTCTTACTTTCCAATGTAGCGCAATCGCTTCGTTTATTTTGGTCGGTTCTACATTCTCGAGCATGGCTTATCGATGAACGGCGAAATGATTTGATGACTATCAGAATTTGGGGTTCTTAAAGAATTCTAGCGAGTCTGAAACGTAGACAGATTGACAACCACGTCGAAACGTCCGAAATGTCTAAAGAACATGGTGATTTGACTCATTCAACGAAATGGGACTGCACAAGGCGGCTATTCGCTGCTTCGACCTACCGGCGCATGTCCGTAATGGCGCATGCCGCTATCATGGAACGTCTCGCTTGAACGAGCGGCAGGTCCCACACAGCCGCCCGGGGAACCTGGAAATGTGACACTCGCAGCTTCGCTTTATGGCGCACAAACTTGGCCAATGGCAGTGCACGATCAGCGCCCCCAACTTGGCCCTATCAGTCCTGGGCATCCAATATAGCGTCATGCCAATCCAGTCGCTGTGCCGGATGAGTAGTCTTACGGCATCGGATCATTCTGTTCCTATCACATACAAGATCTCAAGGCGACGTATTACGTGGAGTGAATAAGCCCCACATGTTGCGGTTTAGTATCTGTTGAGCGAAATCCCATCACCATCACATGTCACAGAAACTCCCTTGCTTATCAGGGACCGAGGACAGTCGGATTAGGCATGACCCCACTTGTACCGGATCACCACGATAACTGCTTAAGAACTGACAGAAGTAAGAAGTATCGGACTCACGCACAGATACACCGTACTATACTACCGCCGCGTCCATCCGAACAACAACGCTTTGCTTGCTGTTACTCCATCATGATAGGGACATCCTTTCACGACTACATTTTCATCCGGCTCTGCATTACTATCCTACACTGGATCGCTCCTCTTAGTATTCTCTATTGCATAAGCTCTCTTATCTATCCTGCCCCATTCCATGTCTCTCCAATGCTGCAGGTTTGGACAATCCTCGAGACAGTGTTTTACCTTTTTGTGTATCATCCACGAAGACTTTACCTACAGAGAGCAGCGACTCATCCAACGCCCATCTGCCGCATACATCGCCGCATACTCTTCCAGCGTTGTCATGAGAGTATTTCTGACCCGGAGCACTATCTATCGAAATGGTTCATGGACGCTCCAGCATCAGAGATTAAGTGGGAGAATGTTAAAGACTTTTTTCGGTGGGCATTTCTGAATACAGGAGTGCTGAATACAGTGGACGATGAGGAGCTGGATGAATATGTTAGAGAGATGGAGAAGTTGTTAGGGCGCAGGATCGAACCTGGGAGAGGCAATGCAAAGTGCCTTAGACTGACCCTTGAGAAGGTCGACATGTTACATCGGAGCTTGACCTGGTATCTGGTAAGTCCTTGCAACAAAGAGCGCCCCAATTCGTCAATCCATGGGCACAAGTCATATCGCTAACCTTGCTCCGTTTTATAGTGTGTCTTTATTGTGGACACGGTAGCATCTGGCTACATGTGGTACTACTCCTTCGACTTCCACAACGCTTCCCTTCTGCAATCCCTTGCTGTCTTCCCCTGCCGCCCCTTCGCTCTTGTCACCCCCCATCGGTCTCCTGCGAAAACCCTCACTTATTGGCACCGCCCACATACCTCTAAGGATAGACTCCCCATTCTATTCATTCATGGTATTGGTATTGGACTCTATCCTTACATAAATTTCCTAGCCGAACTGAACTCAGAAAGCGAGACAGATATATCAAACGGAGAGCTAGGTATTATAGCTGTGGAGATCATGTCTGTGAGCTTTAGAATCGCAAACGAGACGCTGGAGAAAGAAAAGATGTGTCACGAGATTGACTGCATACTAAAAGAGCATAATTGGGAGCAGTTTGTGCTTGTATCACATTCGTGAGTGCTTGCTTATCTTCCTTAACCGTGTTATTGTTACTGTCGTCACTATTGTCTTAGTATAATAACAATCTTTTGTAAAGTTACGGGAGCGTAATTGCCACACATCTCCTTCGTGAGCCACATATCGCCCGAAAAGTTGGGCCGGCCCTGTTTATTGACCCAGTGTCTTTTCTACTGCATCTGCCAGATGTAGCTTACAACTTTGTAAGGTCTTCAAACATCCCCCAGATTAATTCGAACTCATCCCTTTCTCATCGTAGATCTGCCGTAAGCCAACCCGCGCCAACGAATACCAGCTTTATTACTTCGCTTCCAAAGACATGGGTGTGTCACACACGCTCTTCCGGCGTTTCTTCTGGAGTGAGAATATCCTGTGGAAGGAGGATATCCAAAACCGACGTGTGACTGTAGTGTTGAGTGGAAAAGATCTTATAGTCAACACGAAAGCTGTTAAAGCATATTTAACAGGAAGTGAGACTGTGGGGAGCGAAGATAAGGACTGGAAAGAAGTAACATGTAAGGGAGATAAACTACACGTACTCTGGTTTCCAGAACTGGACCATGGGCAGGTGTTCGATAAGAAGAGTACGCGAGCGCAGTTAGTGGGCATTACCAGAAGCTATTGCGATAGAGAATAGGCTACAGTATTTAGACCGACAGCTGCACATCAGTAGAGAGTGAACTAATGTTAAGGGAGACGATTAAGAACTATTCTTCGTCAATCTTTATCGTTGTCTTCCTGCTACAGCTATTTCCTGTTTCAAAAGGCCTGTGTGTCCCATTATCTCACATTTTGATCTCGGGCCGTTCCGTACTGACTTCATTCTTCTGCCATGATAGCTCTAACCCAGCTAGTGATAGCGCCGTCCCAATGACGTCACATTTAGCCTCCTCCACACTTCCTAAGCTTACGCGACTAGCGGCGCGCAGGCTCCGCTTCTCACCCCAACTCTTGATCAACACCATCTACCGCCTTGACCCTGCTATTCTCGCATACTCTGCTTCGGTGACCACTTTTATCTTACGGAAGCCGTCAAGATGCGTGAAATTGTACGCGTACATCTGGTGTCGCATATCCGCTGGGCGCATTCCTAGCCCCATGTTTCGCCTAGGGTCAACGCAGCATTTGGAGAACAACAGCTAACAATGGCCTTTGGCTCTACAGGTTCATCTTCAGACAGGCCAATGTGTAGGCTACCACCTCCGATGACGAGCAAGAGTACGATGAAGAAGCTCCTCTTGAGGATGAGGACTAGGTCATCTATACAGCGGAGAGCTGACGGTGGCTAGCGTATACAGTGTTGCTTACGCCGCTTCGTCTGTGTTATACATTTAGCGCTACTGATAACTATCGCTCTTAAGTGCATCGAATTCTTCATGCGCTTTAATCACTGAACACAGACCCTTATAAGAACAGCCCAATAGATAAGTCGAGAGCATATCAAAAGAGCTTATAGATGCGAAAACCCAAATGGCTGGATTCTCTCACGCACTTATATAGGCCATATCAGACGGCTGTAGAAACCTGCTCGCCTGTAACCCCTATACAAATAACACGTAATTCAGCATCACATAGTGGCTGCAGGTCTGTAAGTCCACATGCTAGATTCAAGTGTGCTGTAGGTTGCACTATGTGTACTATTGTGCTTGGTCGATTACATTAGCACTCGTGTGCTGATGAAGGTTGCTAGTTTCTCCTGCTTTGTTCACTTCCTCCACACCTTTCTTTTGCTTGTTGGGAACGTTTTGAACATTGCAACCGGCAGGTGCAGGAGACGAGGGATGAGATATGCTCCCGCAAAGAGGGTGCTCTATTCCGGTCTGTATGTGGCCAATGTCGGATACTCTATGCGCATGCGACAGAGCAAAGTCACCCGAGTCAAAGTACTTGCGTCGCTCCGAATGAGTTGAGTCAGTTTGTGCTCGTACAGGGGAATATAACAGGGAGATACCTCGAGTTGGTGGTTAAGCAGATCTTCTCTTGCTGGGAGCTTTCCATAGCGGCGAAGCAAACGAGCATCTTGCTTGGTAAGGGGCTTAGAAGGCGTGAGTAGCTAAACACAAGGCAGTGAGAACGATCGTACCTCGGAGCCATCTTGATCCTTAGGATGGTTCATAATAAAGAGACCGCTGTGAGCGGGTGGAGTATTGTACATTTGGCGCGACGGAGGATAGTATGTGCCCTGAGTATATCTTACGTTACACGACCGGAATGATGTAACTGGACCTCTTCCCGCTCAGTAGTACTCGAGCATCGCTGGTAATAGCTAGCGTACTGCTTCACAATCTGTCTGATCCCTTCCCCATGCAGATTAGCTACTGCCATGGCATGACCTGATATAACGAGCTTACTGAACAGCGTTGATAAAGCGGTATGTCACAAATGTCTCGCTACTACCCATCCTCCTGATTCGTAAAGGTCGAGCTCATCGGGTTTGATGAGCAACCCTCTATATTGTCGTGCCTCAAGCACGGCGCGAAGACTTGAGGAAGACCCACTCACAATATCCAAAATTGCTTTACCTTTACCTTAACCAAAGCTCGTTATATAGAAAGGCACTCATTCTCATATGCATCCTTGATATTTTCTCAGGCAACGAAAGCAGCGATACTGGACCTGTTCAATACACATGCATGTGAGCAATTAGCGCTACAATTGCCTCAACGTTTTCGTGATTTTGGTGAATCGACCGATCACGTACCCAGCAGGAACGCAAACTGTTGGAAGACAAAGCCGCACCAATCGAGGAGCATGCGACCAGCTTGTCCTACTCTTAGCTTATTGGTTAGTCCCTCGGTCGGCATAATGTACCGAAACGCAGACTGAGATGGCGCGTTTGCTCCCCATGATTGGACTCTGGTTGTATGGATAAAACTCTGGTCTAGCCAGGAGCAGACGTAATGTTGAAGAGATAATCGCTTGGAAGGGAACTTGATACCAGCGATCACATGTCTACCAATAGTATCTCAGTACTACCGTGCCGAAACGCGCTAGGACCTGAGAATTCGGGAAAGCGTTGTCTTGGTATTACTGACGTAATATCGGTTTTCTTCCTGGCAAATCTTCTAGCATGAAGACTGCTTCCTTACACTGCTCTTAACCTCATCCCTTCACTACCAAAGTCTAGCATTGACTCTTCGCTCACGTTGCTTTCTCGTCAAATCCAGCGTGAGTAGACCGGCAACCACTATGCTGGGCTATACCTGCTCTCACTCCACAGAGATCAACGTGGACTATCTGCCTTTTAACGACTCATACACTAAACAGCTCAACAAGACCTTGCCCATGGAGGCTTACACTATGCAGCTCTGCGACTCTTTCTGGATGCTTTCTGACTCTTCCCACTATCACCCAGATGCGTCTTTTGGGCTCCCCAGGGACGTGATACCCGAGCGTCAAGCGGTTCTAACGGCCGACCTCCCCGCAGCAGTCGACGCGAAGGCAGGCTCGTATCAAGCACTGCCCTTCGATCAGGCTATCGTCACGTATTTGGACCAAGGTCGGGCGGATGTTGTTCACGAGGCTGTGCCAAACACGTCTTTCGGGGCGAGCTGTGTGTCTCAGCCAATGAGGGCGCCTATGTCCTCGCGCTGCGGCGACAGACTGCAGACCGCCTGTGTACAGTCACCAGAGGTTTGGCTTCACTATTCAGAGCGCGAGTCTTCTCTGCTCGGGTTGTCCAAGATTGAGCCTAAGCTTGAGCATCCAAATGGGAAAAAGGGTCGACCGCAACTTAATCGAAAATCGGACAGCGCATCAGCGGGATATCCAAATACAGATCGTATGCCACACAACAAAGTTGAGCGTAGGTACCGCGAAGGCTTGAACGCAGGGTTCGAGAGATTGAGGAGGGCAGTGCCGATGCTGCTGCAAAGTAATAATGGCAGTGTGATGGGCCAGCCAAAACCGAGTAAAGCTATGGTGATTGCTGGCGCTATCAACTACATCGAGAAGATGGAGCAGGAAGGACGTGTGCTGCAGGATGAAAATGATAGACTTCGCGCCCGTTTATAGCTGGACGGGAAAGCGATGGGAAAGAGGCTACTAGAACTTGTTCCAAAACAATTGTGGTGAGTATCATGGACGTGCTAGCGTTCATTAGCAGGTAATATCCCTTTTATTAGGAACTAGGGTGGCCGTTAATATTAGGTCAGGCTACGACAGCACAGTATGATCTGTTGTTACCGTTTACTAGGCTGTAAGGGCTGGGATGACCGAACAGCTGGATCGGAGAGACAGCCTCGAACGAGGCCCTGACGCGTCTTGTCGTGAGCATCTTCCGTAGTAACTTATCTGCGGCGGGGCACAACGGGCACATCAACACCAAGGACAACCACAGCAAGGCGTGGGAAGGGGCTACAAAAGGGAGCGCGGTGGTAGACATAATAATAAAAACACATCATAAGGCAGGAGGTCACAGCAGAGGGTCGCAAAGTTAGGTTCTAGCAATACATAGAGACAGGCACTCCGTTAAGGCTCCTCCAACTTTCGGCGTGGCAAATACGTGGGATATATCAACTTAGTTCACAAGCAAGTCGTCCCACCTAAGCAACCCGTCCACCCCATCAAAGTTAGCCTAATACTAGACTAATAATACAACCTACCCAAAGACTAGGTTATTATGGTTAGTTATAACGGCTGTACGTTAAACAAGCTTGGTCTTGCCTAGCAAAAGCGCTTTAATATACGCAAAGGCGCATAGTATAGGTGTATACCAGCTACTAGTTATAGACAGCTACAAGAGCCACGACTTACACAAATTCTACAACTATTACAAAGGGGAGAAGATTATTGCTCTCTATATGCCTACTTACTTATTACACCTACTATAGCTACTTAATATAGATTGCTTTTCTCCTTTAAAGCAGGTACACAGCAATAAGATTAGTAGCTTAGCATAGTATAACTATTAAGGTTGTACTTTAAGCAAAGCTTATAAGCACTATTTAATTAGTTCTTAGGGATAAATACTGTTAGGGAAACTAAAAGGGTCTTGCACTAAGGAGTATAGATATAATCTATCTATCTTAAGGGCAAGGAGGTAATAATAAGTAGTATAGAGTAGACTGTCTAGCTTAAAAGTTAAGTTAAGATCTAATATTATAGATTAATACTTAGATTAAATATAAACTATAAGGGTTATATTCCTACACACTATATACTTAAGCTATCTTAGAGAATCTTATAGTCTTATAGAACTCTGTCCTAAAGTCTTATAGGATTCTTATAAGATACTAGTTATTTATCTTATAAATTCTATAGCTTGCTTAGTCTTTATCTTATAAGATGCCTTACCCTCTTAGTACTAGTGTCTTATATATAGCATGCTGTTATTACCTATAGGGTAATAGCCTTCCTAGTAGTTATTATACTGCCTTGTAATATCTATCTATAAAACCTAGTATTCTCTTTTCTAGGATTTATATTTATAACAATAATATAGTATAGCACTAAATAGATTAAGAAGGAGGCCTTCCTACTAGCCTCTAAAGCAGCTTTTAAGAAGGCAATTATAAAGGATAATATTTATATAAGCTTTAAGAGGAGTTACCTAGTTCTAAACAACCTAGAAGCTATGCTCTTAAAGCTTAATAAGGTCCTTTATACGCCTACTCTACTAAAGCTAGAGGACACCCTATAAGAAACTAAAATACTAAGTAACCTTTATAAGATAGAGGCTTAATTAACCTTACTTTATAAGTGCGTATAACTATATAGATATTCTCTATCTTCTCTACTTTTTAGAGTAGTTAAGTAGCTTACTAAGGGTATTGCATTAATAGGTTATAAATTAGTGTTAATATAATAGGAAATAGTAGGGCTTTAAAAGGTAGTTAAGATAGTAATAGAGGTAAAGAGTTAAAAAAGGAAGTAAATTTAGATAGCTAAGACTCTTATAATAGGTAAGGTAGCTAATTTAATAGCTAAAAAGGAAGGTAGTAGGTAGAAGGAGGGTAGGTAGCTTATAAAGAGGGTATATATATAGAGGTACTATAAATATTTAGTAAGACTAGCTATAATACTTATACCTATATAGTTAAACTTATATATCTCTCTAATAGTAATAAGTCTAAATAATATTTCTATCTCCTATAAATTATAATAGATAGTTATAGTATTATAGTATAAGTTAAGTAAAAGGTTAGCTTTATAAAGTTAGATAGCTTGCTTATAAACTACTATATCTATATACTAAATACCTAGAGTTACTAAATACCTACTCTAGGCCTATAAGCCTACTATAAAAATAAGGCTATTAAGCTATATATAATAGTTATTATTATAAGATATCTTAGTAGAGTATTCTATAAACCTATATAATAAAGTTCCTCTATAAATATTACTTATATAGAGTAGTAGTATAACTACTATAGATTATATAAGTATAAGCTAGTAGAGAAGGTATTATAGGTTTTAGGTAACTATATATACTAACACTATAATATATAAGCTTCTATTTAACTATAGAAGCTTTTAAGGTTATTATAAAGTAAGTAAAGTAAGTAAAGTAATTTACTAGAAAATAGTTTATATATAGAAATACTTTAGGTCCTAATTAGGTAGGCGTCTTACCTATTCTAGTAAAAAGTGCCTAACCTAATTACTTAGAAGCCTATATAGGAACACTAAAACAAAATCTAAGATAATATAGAATATAACAAATATAGAAATATTATTAGATTAAATTATAGCTTTAAATTAGAGTATTAAAATAAGCTGCTTGCTAATACTATAGCTATACTAGAACGCTAGCTATAGAGCTTTAAAGTTTAAATATAGACTACCTTTAACATAGTATAACTCTAGTAATACTAGGCCTAAATAGGTAATTTATACACTAAATTATAGGTAAAGTATAGCTCTATAAGGTACTAGTTTATTATACTAGTATAGCTTACTAATATAGTAATATCTAGTATAGAGAGTAAGCTATAGTTTTAAGTATTATTACCTATAGCTCTACTAATACTAGGCCTAAAGAGGTAGTTATAATATAAAAATAAAGCTATTACTTTACTTATTATATAATATTAATATTAGTATAGTATTACTTACTAATACTATACTAGTAAAGTATTAAGGTTATACTTTAAGTAAAGCTTATAAGTGTAAGAATCGACTACCAAAATCTCGAATCTTACAAACAAGATACTACCTAACTTAAACGACCTCCGACTCCCCTCTGACTTGGTCCTGACTCACCTCTGTTGCCATTTCTTATCTATCCGTAGCCAACCGAGACTTATAGGTATAAAAGGCAAGCCTGTAGCAGTTCTAGGATAGATAGTTTTTAAGTATTCTTTATATAAGACCTATAGGAATAAGATTCTCCCTAGTTATCGACTTTCCCAGTGCTCCTATACACCTCGTAGTGGAATCGGAACCGTATCAGAGGATCTTATTACCTGCGTCGTTACAATAAGCACTATTTAATTAGTTCTTAGGGATAAATACTATTAGGGAAACTAAAGGGGTCTTGCACTAAAGAGTATAGATATAATCTGTCTATCTTAAGGGTAAGAAGATAATAATAAGTAGTATAGAGTAGACTATCTAGCTTAAAGGTTAAGTTAAGATCTAATATTATAGATTAATACTTAGGTTAAACATAAACTATAAGAGTTGTGTTCCTACTTACTATATACTATAGAGAGTATAGTAGCTTACTAAGCTTAATATAAGCTGTATAAGCTCTATATAGAACCTACTTTAGCTTAACTACTAAGGAGTAAGCTTATTATATAACTTATAATAAAACTATGCTATATAAGAGAGCCTATATAATATTGCACTAAGTATGTTAGTACTTATTAAGTGTTAGTAGCTAGTTAGCTATAAAAGGTAGATTATAATATAAAGGTAGATAACTATAAATTAAAAGGTTTACTTTAATACTACTATATAACTAATTCTTTTAATACTAGGCTTATTATAGTACTAACTAGCCTTAGAGATACTATATAAGTATATCTATCTATAGTAAAATATATATATAGTATAGGTTACTAATATACTACTATAAAGGTTAGATAGTAATAGAAAAAAAGTATTTCTTTATCTTACTTTCTATTTAGCTCTTTTTATACTAAGCCTAAAATAGTACTATATAGCTTAAAATATAGTAGATATATAACTACTATTAATATTAAGATATATATATAGTATAGCTTACTAATATACTACTAGAAAGGTTAGATAGTAGTAAAAAAAAAGGTATTTCTTAGTATTACTCTTTATTAAGCTCTATTAATACTAGGTCTTAAAAAGTAATATTTAGCTTATACTATAGTTATTATAGTATTACTATTAATAGTAGGAAAAATATATAATATAGCTTACTAATATACTACTAGAAAGGTTAAATAGTAATAAAAAGAAAAGTGTTTATTAGTATTACTCTCTATATAGCTCTATTAATACTAGGCCTTAAAAGGTAGTATATTACTTATACTATAGTTAAAATACTAATACTATTAATAGTAAGAAAGATAAATAGTATAGCTTACTAATATACTACTAGATAGAATAGATAATAATAAGAATAAAAGTATTTCTTAATATTACTTTCTATCTAGCTCTATTAATACTAAGCTTAAAAGAGTAGTATATAGCTTATAATAGAGTTAATATACTAATAGTATTTAATATAAATATATATAATAGATATATAATAGATATATAATAGACTCTTATAATATATATATATATATATATATATATATTTAATATACTAGTAACTAAGAGATATTCTAAGCTAATAGGTATATAAATCTTACTATACTTACTTTATATATTATAATTCTATTTATAACTAGTTATTATTTAATAGACTTATCTCTTTAGAACTATTATAGAGCTTTTATAGAGTTATAAGCCTATTTAGTAGTAGTTCTAGTAGCCTTCTAGGTGTCTATTACTTAATATTTCTCTACCTTTATCTTTATATACTCTTTCTTCTCTTATATAGTCTTTTTATACTTCTCTTATATAATCTTATCTTTATATAGCTTATTAGTAGCTACTATTATAATCGCCCTTTTATAACTAACTAGATACTAACACCTAGTAAATGCTAATATAC